TTCACCCTCTGCTGCCGCACAGAGCAAGCGGAGATTCTTATTGATCGTACTTCGTACTTCGTCCGTCCTAAATCGCGACTTCGGTCTAGGACATCTCTTTTCCCTCAACGACGGTGCTTTCATCGTCGATGTCGGATTCCATCGTCGCATGGTTTACCTTCGCTGTTCCGCGACCAAGGCGTGGCATCTCCTTCATCTGCGGGTTTGTGCACTCGTGGATTCGGTGTCCATGCTCACCGCACTTGTAGCATCGGCCATGCTGAGCAAGCAAGGCGCGATCTACCGGGCGCGGAACATAGCCTTCAGATCGTGTGGCGAAGGGTGTCTGTCTTGGACGTGATTTTTCGTATTGCTGATTGGTTCGGCCGGTGCCAATGACACGGCTTGGCAACCTTCTTTCGTAATCACGCATCTCGTGATCAACATCTCGATAGAAATCTACCAGGTCGTAAAAGTCTGCGGGTTTCTGCAACCCGATGACTTGTCGGGCCAACTCGTTTGAGATCGCGTTTTCGAGTAGTGGTATCATAGCATCTTCAGCATATCCAACTTCCGCAGCGCAGCGGGCGAAGTCGGCATAGAAGTCATCAAAGGTCCTTCTTCCCATACGCAGGGTGCGCAGTTCGTTGATGGCCCGTTTTCTCTTGTTCTTATCGCCGTAAATCTTTTCTAGAGCTTCCAATGCATCTTCAGCAGACCGAAAGCTGCGCGGATGGTCGGGTCGACATTGGGCTCGGATTTGTTGATAGGCGATACCGTCAGTGCGGCTGCGAATATAGGCAATTCGTTGCTCTTCATTTGGGTACTGAGCGGCGCTGTTACTCAGCTTGTCATACACCTTGTCTCTCCAGCTATCAAACGCGCCGCGATCTCCTGAAAATACAGGCGCATCAGGAAACTTTGGATTATCGAAACGTCCCGGACTGGAGTAAAGCAAGTGGGAACCGTCTCGTCGTATCGGTTCAGTCCGAGCCTCCAGGGAGACATCGCGTCGGGGAACACGACTGTTGGTGTTTCTTTCCGGAACCGGCGTCGTTTGTCTCGCCGTATTCATCAACGTATTGATTGACTGGTCTCGCTCTCGGTAAGCTCCGTCCAACTTCGAGGCCAGTTCCTCGACTCGCTTCTCTGCCAAATCTCGTTGCACCGTCATACGGTCTCTTTCACGTCGCAGTTCTCGGTTGTCTTCGCCTAAACGTATGACTTCTTCACGAATCAAATCATCGGTCACTTGGTTTGTATTCATTTTGGCTTGTTTGTCCATGGCGAGCATAACGTCCCACCAGAACTCGAAATGGTGTCGCAATCGTGCCAATTGTTGCGCTCTATCTAGAACACAGATCGCTCGAGCAGGACGTAGCGGGTGATTCGGGCTCACGTAGTCAAACGCATCAATCATCGGGGTCGTGCCCGCATTTTCGGGCAGTACTGTCCTGTCGTCTTCATTACTAGGCTGGTAATCGTCGTCGTCAGATCCGTCATCGTCGACGACGGTGGCTTCTTGTGCCATCACGGTTTCTCTTCTTGTTCTTCCTCTCCGTTCCATATCCTCAGGCCCTCGAGCGCTAAGGGCTTCGTTAGATTTGGACGTCATTGTGTCTTTGTTGTCGTCGGTTGTCTTTGTTGTCGTCGGTTGTCTTTGTTGTCGTCGGTTGTCTTTGTTGTCGTCGGTTGTCTTTGTTGTCGTCGGTTGTCTTTGTTGTCGTCGGTTGTCTTTGTTGTCGTCGGTTGTCTTTGTTGTCGTCGGTTGTCTTTGTTGTCGTCGGTTGTCTTTGTTGTCGTCGGTTGTCTTTGTTGTCGTCGGTTGTCTTTGTTGTCGTCGGTTGTCTTTGTTGTCGTCGGTTGTCTTTGTTGTCGTCGGTTGTCTTTGTTGTCGTCGGTTGTCTTTGTTGTCGTCGGTTGTCTTTGTTGTCGTCGGTTGTCTTTGTTGTCGTCGGTTACCAAGGTTGGCGCTACGTAATGTGAGGGTCTCACGTATCCGTAGATGAGTGATCAATATTAAAGAAAGCTATAGTCGACTCTAGATACAAGACGTAGCGCGAGGAAGCAAAAGGAACGGGCTTCCTCGCGTTCAGGGGAACCCATATGCACCATGTGGGTCCCGCAGATCATTTCTCCAAACATCCTGTATACTTCAGGTAGATCCCTGACAATAGCATTGCAGGCTCCTGGGATCGTGTGTCAGAGATCGAGCATATATAGTAGTTTGGGTGTTTGGTCGCTGACCAAACATTGTGCCTTTTTGGCCTGTTAGCCTAGTGGTAAAACCCAAGCAACCGCACCCCTGACATCGTGAGGGCGTACTCCTAGGAGTGACAGGGCTCCCAGGACATAGCGTTGATGCTCCCAGGAAGCGGCACACCGGCTCCTGGGAGGTATGCTTGTGGGGCACTGTTCAATGCGTCTGTAATGCGTTATACGCATGGCATTGGCATTTACCATTCTTACGAGGCATAGATAGACGGACCGTCTTCTCAGCATATAATTACGTAAAAAGAGATGGAAAAGGTTGCCCAAAAAACATTGCAATATGTATGCGACATTGGTGTTCTGACTTGCAAGTTGCTCAATCGAATCAGGCTTGAAAGAATGATCTTATTTGGGGGTTTACATATCATGAAAGGACAAACTTTCAAGCTTTAGACAACCCAGCAGCGGCCAATTTGACTGTACTTTCTTGTATTTTTTAGACCAGCTTATCGTGAGAGCGGGACTTTGAGGCATTTGCGCAAGGGTATTGAAAATGAGGCATACAGTGCGACTGCTTCAACCTGAGGGTGTTCCGACAAGTTTCGATTGATGGTGAACAGAGCCATTTTTTGATCCGAAGATTCATCCCATCATCTTCACTTTTCTTTTTCTGCTCGGAAGCTTGCTCGTGTCCATCAGCTTAGCCATCAACGCCCACCCAAACTTGGGAACTCAATCAAAGACTACCACGATCACGCAAGTCCTTTGCTTATAAATACCTCGCCCGACGTCGGGACTTCTGGCAATGCCTAAAAAAATGACCGTTGCCGTTCCTATAAATGAAGGCAGTTTTATCACCGAGAGAGCCTGTTCTTGACGAGGGATTTCAACTGTGCAGGTATGTCTCTTATGATCTTTAAGCACTGATCCCAGACCACTTGTAACCTCTAGGAACAAGATCATTATCCTTGATACGTGACACATATTGGTATTTTGTGAACAGTGGCAGGGATTCCGCGGCGTTACTGTATAGAAAACTGACTCGGGAAGGAGCCGGGCGACCCCGATTAGGGTAAAGACAGGCGCTAATCGCTTTGGGCTAGTATATATACCTGAAATGTGAGGCTCGAGTCATTTTCCAGAAGAAATCATTTTCCGGCAGCCGAAATCAGATGAGAGGATAGATATACAATCTAGCTATTCGCAATGAGTGTGGTATTTACGAGGGGCTTTTTTCGACCTCAGTTGGCCTGACCGTATGTGCCCATGACCTAAGGGCCAGAATATATAAAATGCAAGGTATATTTTCTATCTACCCACGGCTGTATGGTCCCAATGAGCATATTCATTCGCATAACTAGATTCCCTTGGACAAGACAAACCACAGCCAAGGGTGGTATGCTGTCTCATCATCGACCGGGTCCAAAATAGTTGGCAGGTATCTCGTATTCCATTCTTCATCCAAGTCTTCATCAAAATATTCCGGATTTGGCCTGACGCGACGCGCCTTGCAATACTCCCAGTAAGCAGGATACCACCCTGCCTGGCCCCAATCAATGATGGCAGCTACTACTGGATTCGTCCCGGGCGATAAAAGTATATTTGGGGGCACAAGGTCGTCATGTGTGAAGACCACGGGCACGTCCCCATCAATCTCGATATCGCAGCCATTCTGAAATTTCTGGACGGCGTCTGCACCGTGGAATGGGCCGGCCAAGTCCCGGTGACCGGAAAGAAAGATGTCGTTTAGAGGTTGATTATCTAGGCCACCTAAGGGGTACTTTAGCATAGTTCTGCCTAGCTACCGCAATGAACTCAAATCACTTACCCACGTAAAGGACTTGGTCGGGCTGTTCTAACGATCTCCAAGCTTTGACCATGTCGTTGAGCTCTTTACAGACAGCCTCTCTCTCCTCATCGTTCAAAGCGCCCCATCTTTGCTCCAAGGGCTCGCCCCCTATCAAAGACATGTAGATAAATACTTGGCCACCGTCTTCGGTCCACCCAAACACCTCAGGAACTGGTACTTTGCCTTTCAACTGCTTGTATACCATATTTTGGGTCTCTGCCTCTGTAACGGTTGTGTCGGCTCCATATTTGACAATCAAGCCCAACGATGGAAACTTGACAGGCGGAGGTCGGTTGAACCTTGTACCACGGATGTTGCCTGACTCCTCGTTGATGACTCTCACCTCGGCCGGGGTAGGGAGCGTAGACGCCCGATGCTCCCTGAAAAAGCTGGAGTCGGAAATGGTCCTTGCTGTGTTGTGGCTTGAATCGTGGAGGCCGGCCTCGCCTTCAACCCCCTTGGGCTTCATCTTCGAGACAACACAGGTGAAGCAGGGGTCTCGGCGATTGTAGGAAGAGAAACGACAGTAAGGTCCAGAGATAGAAACATGTTGCCGCCGGGCATGCCAGGCAGCGAGGTGAAAAGGTGGGGGACCTAGCCAGACCAATCAAAGCTTCTAGCGCTGGACGGGATAATATAAGCGCCGGCCCGCTGCATCCACAATCTCAAGGGTTCAAGGGTAGAGTAGTTTCCGCAACAGCACTTCTCGTCCAATACTTGCTTTCTTGACCGCTGGACCTTAGGGGATAATGAAAGTAGCTTCGTTTTATGGCCAGGAGCGTGGTCTTCAATATCGGACAGGCCTCCTCAGGAGACTATATAAATGGCCTCCCTTCTCCTGGATTATAGTAATGCATATCAATCAGTTCATTTTCCTTTGCCTTTCATCTATAAATTGACAATTGTTGGCTTTCCGCAGGTCGGAATTGATCGTATTTTACTTTACCTCTTTTTGAATACCATGGGTCTCTTCTCCTCCTCTAAGCCAGGCGCTCCTCCTCCGCCTCCACCCCTCCAGGGCCCAGGCAGACTGCGGCCCGCCCTCAGGCTCCCTTGCCTCCGGCAGTTGCCGCATCAGGACCTCCGGGTGCTTTCCTTGTCGAGTTGCTGATCTACAACGGTGCCCCCTTCAAAGACCACTGGTCGTACTGGGTACGCTCTCACCAGGACCCGGACCTTGGTGTCCTCATACACGCCGCCGGTGACGTGAGGAACGGCTTTCGGTTTGAGATTAAGCGCAGTCATGACTTCCGAGCTACTGGTAACCTCCCAACGAAGAGGATACCGCTGCAGTGGGTTGGTAAGGAGTTCTTCATCGAGAAGGCGATGTTCAACTCCGGCCAATACAAAGTCGATCAGACCCCAGTTTGCTACTTCGAAGCTAGTGCACATAAGGTCAAAGTTCCCGAGAAGACTTTGAGAGCTGTCGATGACAAGGTACTTCATCCAAACCGTATCTATTGAGCAGCAAACACTCTTGTGGCCGTTGGGTTGCATTGCCGGCATCCTATCCGACTTTACCCCTGTCCGAGCACGCAAGCTGACTATAATATATTCAGGTTACTTCGGCACCTAGCAGGCTCACTCAGAGGAACTGCCAGACTTGGATCGTCGAGTCGGCCGACCAGCTTGTGAGAGACCGGATTTTCGGCAGTGAGGTTGCTGCTTATGTTCACTCCATCAAGCAGTGAGTATATTTGCACATTATTTGGACAGTGTTGGTTATTCAGTGCAGCAGTGAATTTGTCTAGTTTGATCACTCTCGTTGAGCCCCTTCCATTCAGATGAAGCCTTTGAGTGTTTCTGGGTCATGTATATTTCTTGTATATCTGCACGCGGAAGAGGGATGGGCCCCATCATCAACAATGTACATACTTAGTCTAAGCACAACCAAATATAAAGAGGAGAATTCAGCCTCCCATTACTCCAGGTTAGATGGCCAAAAAGACGGCTACGTCGAGCAGAGTCAGGCGATGTAAAAAATCTTCGGTTTTCGTGTTCAGGCAACCATTTTCTACGTGTTTTGTTACCCAAATTTCCATTGTCATCTACTTATTTCGAGGTAAAGTGCACTCCTTAATCATATTCTACGACGCCACCCGGCTTATAAGGTGAACCGGACCCTCGAACTTGAGAACTTTTGGAATGATATGACCATTATAAGAGCATTCTAGACTGACATCGTTCCTGATACCCAAAACTGTCGTGTACTCAACTAACCGAAAATATCGCTACATAGGTTTGGACACCGGAGTGGCCTGACGGCGAAGCAGGGATTGTTTTTCAAATTAATCTAATACGGTTTAGCGTGGCTCGCATTGTGCTGAGCGAATCACAGGGATAGCAGGCATCGGACTGGAGCCCGAAGAGACCGTTATTTCTATTTTAAGATCGCTTGTATCTCCCCCAATCGTCCCCCAATCGTCTTTCAATCTTCCTTCAACCGCCTATGTCTATTAATCAAAGGCTGACTCGACAGTATTCTTTGAACCTATATTTTTCGGAAAGGAAACCGAAATGCGAGTTCCACCTCATCGAGCATATCCCTTCCGTTGTCGTCTAAGGCCCTTCCAGTGAACAAATAATTTGGAGGAAGGCTGTACAATCTCTTCCACAGAACCATCGAGCCATATTCGTTATGAATATCCAACTTGGATTTCACCGTGGGGTCATTCTCGGAGAACCTGATCGTGTGGGGTTCTTCTGAAGCGTTGATGTAGGGGAGACTAGAACCTTCATGTATGTCTTTATACAGGTCATCCCAATCAATTTCACAAGAGATTGACCCCGTCGTACATAGGTATTTTGACCATTGAGTGTCAGGTTGAGGATGCCGAAATCTCAGGAATATACCCGTGCCTTTCATCAACATCACCGCCATACTCGTATTGGAGTCTCTGAACATGTATTCACTCTCCACAGGAAAAACTAACATGTCAAACGACTCTTCAGATGCCGCCGACATTGTTGGTATATCATGCGTGAGCTTGTTGGGGGGTATTGCAACGATCCAGATTTCAGGCGGAGGTATAATTCCACCATTGGTCTCTACCTCCTGCAATCGACTGCTCCAGTACTCGGCTGGAAATTGAATTCTTTGAATCAATTCGGAAACCCCCTCACCAAGTATCAAGACCCGGAGCTTTTTCTGGATGAGTGGCCCAAAGTAGATCATGAATGGATCTTGCTCTCTGAGGGGGTTCAGGTATTTGTTGGCGTAGAGGAACTTCTCTGTTATCCCGAGCAGGTGCGCTGCCAGAGCAATCTCCGTGGCGGTAAGTCCGCTCAACAACATGTCTGCTAGCTCATAGTATTCGCTATTGGTCATGATCATTTCGAAGACGAAGGCGATGACATTGCGGTGTCCTCTCGGGATTGGAAATTTATAGGTCCATGCCCTGGGCTTCATATCTGGGAAAATAGAAAAAGATTCGTCGTACTATCAGGCAATATGAGATAGAGCAGGTTCAATGGAGAGAGGAAGTAGGGGCACGTCGAAAATTTGGTACTGGTATTGAAGATATAGTGTACGGAGATGATAAAATCGATGCGTCAACCCAGATTCACAGCTAATGGCTTTTACACACCACAAACAAGACACAAATGATGCCACAAGGCCACTAGCTGAGGGGTCTTTGTTGAAAGAGATAGGAGTGATCTACGAAGCATTTTTGGGCCTTGTAAGCTCTAGATTTCCAATGTTTTTCGGAATGGCTGAGCTTGGATTTTTCACGGCTTGCTGCAGGACTGGCCTGTCCCTTCAGTCTCATTCATCTTGAAACTGGTCTAATTGATCTCATAGCAAGGACCCTAAGGTATAAATTTAACATCGTCCACTCTGCAACTATTTTACTTGCGATCTTTTCTCAATCTCCCTTATCTTCGATCGCTTCTCGTTGCTAGATATGGAAAAAAACAAGAAAGACGAACTCTCTCGAGGTGGTCCTCCCATCACTTCTCAACAAAATACGGAGGATATGACCCTCTCTTTGCAGGACAAGGTGAGTTGTGATCCAAAGAATCTTAAGAACTCATCTTCTAGCTGACCACTTGGCTTTGATTATAGAATCATTTCCCGGGTCTCGCTCCTCTAGGCGAGGAGGAAGGAAGTCGACAAGGTACTGTGACGTTGTCCCACTCCTTGCTGCCGTCACTTGGGAAAAGTCTCATGTGATTCCCCCTGGCCCATAGGTGCTTCATCCAGACGGTCCGCGCATGGCTTCTTTGGAATGGAAATAGACGAAAGTTCACGTGTATTCAACGGCGACACCAGAGGCAAGCATCCCGATGGAACTTCTCTCCACATGATCAGTGGTGGGTCTGTGAAGAATCATAGCACTCTGTTTAATGGCGATTTGGACCCGGAAAGTTTTAAGAAGATTTTTGCCAAAGAGTGCTAGAATCACCGCATCGGAACACTATATAGCACGTCGTCTGACATTTGCAGGGCCAATTTAATTCTTCAAAGGATTCTGAATGCACGTGAAGTATCTCCTGTACAAATAAAGCCCAATCAGTGTGAGAATGCCCTCCACTATGCACATGAAGCAGAAAACGTATAAAACCGTAGTGATCTGGCTCATCATTTGTTCCTATGCGGTGATTTCTTCCAGATTCCTTAACTCTCAATTCACAGGAAGTTTGTGAGCGTCGATTTTGCGTAAAGAGTTTCTTTATTTCGCCAACTGCGAGTCATACCATTCGTTGACTATATCGGGCATAGTACTCACGGCTCGTCGATTTGCCTACTGCTAGCAGTAGGTACTTACGATATACCGAATAATATCGGAGTAGAACTCGTGTCAATGGGTCCCCTGAATCCTCGTCGAGGATCACCAAGCTCAAATCGTTCAGAGGTAATGATGTGGATAGGTCGAGGACGCGATCAATCGCCCCTACCACAATGACCAAATCCACCAAGACTGAGTTTTAGTGGCGGCCATCGAATTCCTTGTCTTGATGGGTTGTCGAATGGCCTATCCCCAGCACGACACCTTCCAGTACCATATCATCCAGCCTTTTGCTTCTGACATCACCCATAGGATCAACACAAGACTTGGGCATCCAGACCCTTATGGTCTGATAGGTTAGCAGGAGAAGAAGTATTATATTTCTCAGACGCTTACCTGTATCGACTTGCTTTTCATGTTCAAACTTAGAGATGCGCTGGAAAAATAGTAAAATGATGTCTCTTGCTAAAGGAATGACGCCGTACTGTAATCATCAAAAGAAGAAAGGCGAGGTTTGTGGATTGAAAAGACAATGCGCTTTACTATCTCGGGCCTCTGCATCAAGGCAAGCAAATACTATAACAGTGTACACTTGAGAATCACTACTGCACAATCCTACGCTCATTGTATCTTTTACCCACTTGGCAGCCTTTTTAATAGCCACTTCAGGTTTCCCTTGAAACCTAAGAGGTAGCTCTGGATTTCAGCTGTGGTGAATTTGCCAGCTGGAACTAATTCGGCAAAGCCTTTTGTCTCTGCATTCCCTATCCCGATGAATGGAGACAGATGACCGTAAAGGTCATTATTCTCAATTGTTCTATGATAAACGGAGACTCAAGAGGAGACTGAGCCTCATTCAAGATATATCTTCTCTTCTTGTCAAATGCTGGCCGTCTTAAAGCGCGTTCGGCTCAAGCACCTTACGGATTCGGCGAGACCTGGACAATGTGGACTACCACTGGTTCTGCTGCACCATGTTAGTTCATGCCATGTCACATCGGTACAGGTCGGCCAACCTAGGTGCATATTCTCGCATCTTTGCTGGATGCTTCTGATTTGAAATATCTCACCAAGTATCATTCTATCGGGCTTGGATCTTTCTAACAGCTTCACCTGCTTTGTCTCTTGCCCTAATGCATTCAGGGATGAGACTTCTTGAAAGATGTTGGCAATATGTTGTACTCTCATATCTGTCAATGTCAGAAAGCGGCATCAGGAAAATGAAAGGTACCCTGCTTCATACCGTGAGTCATTGGTTCCATGACCAGGCGGGGCAAATCCTCTTTGTTGTTCTTTCTGGATCGAATCCAAACTTTTCTCCATTTCGGCAAAATTTGCAATAGTATGCTTGGTTCAAGTGCACGAAATGCTGTCGCAAAATAAGCTTGTATTTGAATAGTATCGTTGATGTCGATGGGATGAGGTTGAATCAAAGCTGACCGCTCATCTTCCATAGACAAAATCGCTTCAAGATTTGTAAGCACAATTTTGAGTTCGTCTAACCGAATGTCGTCATCGAATAAGGGCGACTTTTGAAGACGGCGGAGCATATCATTAACAAAGCCCATGTCAAATAACCATGGATCGACCGATTGATAGTCACTGATATTGGCTATTCCCGAAAAGCTGTAGCAAATGAGAGCTATACTTGCTCTACTCCCAAACGGTCTTTTAGAAGGGTTTTGCCGCCGCCATAGCATGAATCCGGAACAGGGCGACTGAAGTGAAGTTTCGCCAAGCATGAAGAGCACATATCCAAGGTGGGTTTTCAAATCTTCCACTGAAAACGCACGAAGGGATCCTGCTTCTGTGAGAAAGTTTCGTGTCTTCATCCACCACCTCTCTACCTGCATGTGATTAAAGTGCCCAGGCACGAAGCCGGCCTCCCATTCATTCTCTTTCATCGTTATAACTCTCCGAATCTTAGACTCATCCTCGACGGTTGATGATGCGATGAAGAGATAGTTGAGTATTAAGATCATTTGCATAACGCTATACCGAACTTTGATCATGTTTTGGAGTGCGAAGGGTGAGCGGGTGGATGATTGCGGATGATTCATCTTGGGGTACGGAAATAATGAAGGTTGATAGTAAGACTTTGGATGCTTCGCTAGCGATGATGCCTTTTTATAGCAAATTTACCATAGGGCCACTATGAGATTACTTTAAATGAAAAAAGGATAAAGAACTCATAAGAAATTTACTTTACTTTACAACTCCCCGGTCTCGCTGGGCTATCTTTCACCTCCCTTGAGGTAATCTATCGTTGGAAAAGATCATAGTCACACCTCAGACGCGGGTTGTTTTGTAGTGCAGATTTCTAGCGAATCATTTCGATATACTCACGATCCATCGATGTTTTTTCCTTCGTATTGCCTAATATTGGTTATGATAAAATTGCAACGCCAGAGGGTGAATAGTATAAACTTGTGTGGAAGAATCGTGTCATTGGTCGGCTGCTACTCTTTTCTCCACTTTGGAATAAAGTTGACTAGTCAAGATGGACCGGGGAATGTAGAAAGACTTATCGCGAAACGCAGATATATCAAGTTATGTCGAAGGGTACATGGTCTACTTTTTTATTCTGTTTGGATGATTAATGTAGCAAAATCCCAAGTCGTGTGGGCCGAAATGCAATGCAAGGCTAGTAAAACCCCTTCACTAAAATATCTAGAAGCCTTGGCCATCAGAAATTAATGAACTTGAGAATTGAAGGGAGCTTGTGAGAGGCCTTCTGGAGGCCCATCTGCCCGAATACTATTTAACACCTTGTTCAAAGCAGTCTTTTCAAATGTGGGGGAGGACCAATCGCAATAATCGACGTTCCTCGCTTCCACGTCAATAATTCTGCCTTTGATAAGTTGAATATTTGGAGGAATATGAGGGAGCACAATGATTGTGTGATCTGTGCTGTCGTCTGATTTGATAGAGACGTTTCGAGTCCGTTTTGCTAATGGTTGAAGGGTGAGAAAACATCAAAAGATTTGTGCCATGGGCAAACACTCACTGGAATTGCTGTTGAATGATCTGACACGCGATGATCTTTCTTTGTTTGTTTGGTTTGAATTATCAATCGGCCGAGGCTTTTTGACTTCCGTATCTTGAAGCTGATATGCAGCAGATTCGGTTCGGGTATACGGGCTGGCAGCATTGGGGATAATTTGTTCCAGCCCTTCTCTACTTTGCTCTCCTTCTGATATCCAAAAATTCTGTATCCAATTTGGAAAAAGAGACCGGAGCGATGCAGAAGGAAGACAATGCATGAGGTCGATTAGAATCGTGTAGACAAATATATTGTGAAAGTTTTCAACAGAGATGAAAAGCTCTCAACCCAGCAGATTATAAATGGGCTTATTCCTGCAGATCAAGGTACCGTTGATTGCATCTAATCATTAAACCAAAGACTGAATCATGGTGAGTATCGACATACCGCTGGCGACAATTATCTGCTGACACCAGAAGCCTATCCCGATTCCTATCCAATTCCTATACGGGCCGGCAGAAATTGCTTTAAAGGAACTGCTCATTTTGCGAATTGATTCCCTCTTATTCTGGAAATGGAAATCATCGCAAAGCCTAAGCCAGGATGCTAGAAAGTTGCTAGACATTTGTCAAGCTCTAAAAAAAAACAGATCCAGGCAATCGTCACTCGATAATGCGAAACCTCCATTTGAGAACGACTTGTGCTCCTCCGTGGGGAATGCGTTACACAACCTCAGTTATGGCACTGTTTTAATGCTAGCGTTGATCACTTGGCATTTTGATGCTTCATCTTCCGAAGCATCGCCGGACTTGATTGAATTTTTGAGAAAGCCATACAATAGAGAAGTGAGAAGAAAACTGCAGGATCGATATCAATGTTATATGCATGAAACGGCCCTTTCAAACTTTGACTTCTTACTTGCCCTGAATTGAACTCTGTCTATTGATCAATGGAAATACAAAACGTGTATACTACAATCAGCAGTAACCGCATTTTTGCAAGCAGTTGCCAATGTTTTTTAGAGATTCATCGTACCAGTTCCTCCAAAGCTCCTGCATCTCGAATCCTGAAGTTTCTGCAAGGTGTTGCCTTTTCAAATACTCCTGCGAGTATAGTGAATGCAGTCGCTGGTAACAAAGAGCTTTCTTTGAGTCGAGGTCTTCTGTCGGTTGTTGCAAAACGATCGGATCATCGTTGCTCAGAGGATCGAATCTTATAATTCCATATTTCCCTAAAACCCGAGAGATGCCGGTCTCAAGTACTGCGAGATCCACTAAGACTGCGGATTTTGTGATTCCAGAATCCTGGGAGGGATGCTGAGGGCTGAACTCTAGAAGAACAATGGCGTCAAAAACCACATCTTCGAGACCCTTCCTCTTGATGTCTTCCTTGATTAGAAGTCCATTAGGAGTAAACCAAACTCGGACAGTCTTTTGCGGTTAGAATTCGATGTCAAATCAACGCGGAGAAAAAGACAACGCACGTGCAAGCGAATTGAAACTGAGTGACTGGCAGAAGAGATAGGCTGTTCTTCCGACATTGGGTATCTCAGATTCATGGACACAACTTCGATTGGGATCTGGGCCTTGAAGTAAAATTGTCCCGCGCGAGCTGCCTGGGGAGGCAAAGAGGCGGGAAATGCATTTAGAAAACAGAAGACGGCTTCTTTGTAGGCTCGTACAATTCATACTTTCACTGATATGAATCCTTAAAAGATTTATATGATTTCGAGAAATAATTGGCCCTTTGTACTATGACCCTTTCTTTTTCTTTTTCTTTCCACATCCACTAGTCGCAGGCCTTAGAGTACAAGAAAATAAAAAAGACAAAGCTAAGAAGTACTATGCTTGAACCCGCCGTGAGAAGTCATAAGAAAGAAAACCAGCTTTTTTGGATATTTTCGAACTCCGCACCCCTGGAAGTAATCCCAGCCGGTTAAGATTTTCTAATGTATTCCGTATTGGGTCAGCTCCGATTCGGGCCAATTGAACAGCGGTAAATAAGCAACTACTCTGAGGTGATCGATGCCCAAATAGGTTTAGATTTAAGGTCAGCTCCCTTCCCTGAAATCTAAGCCTTTTTGGGATTTCCCCACACTCCCAATCAGATAAATGTCAGCTCCGCCAGCCACTTGGGTATTCTTTCCCAAATCGAAATGCATTCGGCAGATGACCTCAAAAAACAGCTCACTTTTGTTCTTGGGGCTTTATCGCCTACATGTATCATTTCCCAGGTATTAAGCACTTTGAAATATATTAAAAGCGTTCATTACTAACTTGGAAAAAGGGTTGGGATGGGGTATTAAAAGATTTTCTCTCAAGGGGAACAAGACATGAATTACAACAGCTGCTCCCAAGCGAATACCTCCTCGCACCGACTATATCGTCCACCGCACATTCAGCAAGCTCTGGTTCGAGTCCAAATACTGATTGTGACCTTGCTTTTGGGTCAGTTGAGAATCCAAGCACAGCCCCAGCGAGCGAAGCGTTACGCAATGTCGTTCCAATGCCAACAACCATGTCAAGCTACTGTGTGAATGGTTCTTTTTGTGCTTCTTCGGCCCTTGCTCAGAGGCCAATCTCGTTTTCGAGCGCCCGTAACTATACTTGCGCTCACGATTTTACGCCCGATCCGGGCCCCAAGACCAAGTCACGCAAGCGAGTTTCCAACAAGGTGTTTCGAGCTGTTCATGCTATGCGCGAGGCTAAAAGGCACGAGACAACATATTATGATTCAATCTGGCTTGGACTGCAGAACATTTCCGATGGCCAGGATGTTGAGGAGGTTGCACTGAATCGATATGGCCGGATACAAGCACTGCAGTCCCGGAACAATGCGAGGGGCGACATGTTCAAGTACGCCCAGCGTTTTAGCCTTTTGCTTGGAGCTCAGGAATTGCAGGTCATAGAGAAAACACTGCCATCGGAAGCGTGTTCCAGGGGTGTAACCCTGAGATCTGTCGCAATCAGCAGATTGGCTGAGTATCTCCAAGTTGAAAAGCGACAGATATTAGATGAAAACAAGCGACGCTCTCATTACGTTTCAGTATGTGAACTATTCGGCCCCGGCGCCCTTCTTTTACTTGGAGACTCTGAGGGGGTACTTTCTCTGTAGGTCACCCAATGAGGAAAAGACAGCCCATTGCCTGTTCTCACGGTTTCTAGGTGGGAAAGAGATATGAATACTGAAGATATAGAATCATTATACGAATACGTGACATGTCATCTCAGAGATTGGATGGCTGACTGCAAGAAGTTGAACGAAAAAGCCGTGGCCTTGGTTGCCCAAGGTCTCCGTGCTTGTGGGTGGGATGGACGCTCGCACCGTGATACTCTATTCATGAAGAGCTTGGCTGGTTGTTTTGATCTGGAAGTTTTGCCCTCCATGGCTACTAGTGAAGCACTACCGAGAAAAAGGAAACTCACCGACAAAGATGCATCGTCGAAACGACATCATCAGGATATGTGCCAAAATTCTATCCCGGATGGGGGCCCAATATCTCCACGAGTCGAGTTGAATAACCAATCTCTGGATCAGTTTGGGGGATCGCAATCGCAATCATCTGCGGTCAATTTTGGCACGACACTTGACTGGGATTTAAGCGTCAACTTGAGCTTAGATTGGGATCAGTTCATTGAGGACCAGATCACAGAAAGCATGAATGTATGATTGGCTGGAGTCTCGACTTGAGGCATGAAAGCAATCTTATAATCGTGAATAGCCTAACCTTAATCATCGGAATCCATTGGAAAAGACAAGACGAGGAAAACCCCTCCGCCACCAGGGGAATGGAAATACACCAGATCACCCCTCCAAGCCACGGCGTCTCCCGCTTCAAGGTCAATTGCTACCTTCTTGCCAAGGCGCGATCGATGTTGGTGAGACCCTTCGTAGAAAGTAAACCAGCCATTTAACGGCGATAGCCTCGTAATTGCGATAGTAATATATATTCTCGGTCCAGCTGTCATCAACTTCGTTGGATCGGCATCTGTCTCGTGGAACATTCCAAGATTCACGGTCTGCGGCGAGGAAGGAGTTTGGTTTGGATAAAACAATGGAGCGACTAAATCTCTGTCCATATTCTGATCGGTCAGCGAGCGCTAGCATGGAAAGGGGGTGTGTTACCCTAAGGAATTCATCCTTGATTTCGAACCCAGTCTGAGGTACTTTGTACTCGTTGTATTTGTCCTTCGTGGCAGTCGGCTCATTGTGGACTAGACCATTTTGAAAATCATCGGCGAGTTTTGATGCGAGTGGTGCTGATACTGCCTGCCTCAGCACGACATAACCGTTCGAATTGGCCATCGTTTTGGGTCGACCATGAGGGCTGGTTTCCACGACCTAATAAATCGAAGCTTCTTCATTAGAGTAAAGCAAACACTTATTTATTGTTACATTACCTCGAGATTTCGTCAAAGTCGCTCTCTAAGTGGAATTTCGCCTTAAACTTAGCACAGAATGAAACCCCGCCATCAGGAGATTCATATCCAACTCCCTGCTTACAAATAAATTGGTGGGGTAGATATATGTCCACGGTCACGTGGCTAAAGCCCAGAAATAAAAGATGATGGCCAACAACATTTGCCTGGATTGCAGAGCCTTTTTTCTACAGTAGAGAAGAGGGCAAGGTAAGAATAATTGAGAAAAGAAAACGAGGCTAGATAGAAGAAATAACAATACTTTGTTGACTTAGACGGACGGACAGTTTGACAAAAGCCTCAAATTCAATTCTGAAACTCATTTACGACATTGATTCAGCGCCAGCTTCGCATGCCACCCCGAGTTTCTGTTAAGCTTAGCAACATCATCCCAGCCATAGGAGCTTATCACTCTTTCCCAATATCATGAGCATACACATCTCTCACTGCGCCCTAGCTCGATTCAGCATGCTTCCAAATATGTTGCGCGAAGTATATGGAATCCCGATTTCAATATCTCTGATTTGGCGTTCACTCTATTGTAAAATCAGTGAAGTGTTCCAAATACATCGAGGCAAATGTAGCTTACTATGGGCAGTGCAGAACTTTGATCCACTCTCAGCCCACGTATTACAGCCTTGCTTTACGCACTTGATGGCAGGGCTTGGCATCTTCATGATTGCACCCCTTAATTACATTTCTTGGCTTTTGCCAAGAAATGAATGCTTCGTAGCAGCTATTAATATTCAAGAGACAGACAATTTTAAGGAGACTCGCACAAAGATAGACAATAGAAATAAAGAAAAATTAGCACCTGGTTCGTGATGGGCGTCTCGCCGTGTAATGCAACCTGCGCACAAAAGTTTGATGTGTACGCCAATCAGTGTCAGCCTAGATTTTGGCGCGCGGTACCTTCTATGCACGCCGACACATGCAATACCAAACTTGGCATCTCAATGAGAATCACCGTTCTCTTTTGGCGCCTTCTTTCGGGGGAAAGTTTGATTTGGAGAGCACATATAAATACCGGGATAGTGATCACCATTTTCAGTCTCATCTACATCCTCGGTTTATAGTATTGTTTCAACCAATCTTACACATCAAAGTAAGTACTATTGAGGGATACTGCGTCCGTGACAAATTCTAAGTATCACAGCGTTCGTTATCCATTGATCGCTTTCAATATGTCGTACACTGTCTATCGAGTTTCTTATGCTGGCCTTCCCCGGGACCATCACGCCATTTTCGTCGAGATGAACAACGACCAGTCTGGTCATTTGTTCCAGGTCACCGGCGACATACAGAACGGAATGAAACATAACGATAAGCCTGCCAAAAAGCCCGAAGAGTCAGGGACCTATCAAAGCAAAGAATTCATTGGGAGGGTCGCCGCAGCTGATTTTGCCCGCATCCTACCGACTTGCGAAAGCATCCCTCCGCCAAAAAAGCAATTCGAAGGGGCTCGAAGACTCTATCCAAAGGAACCGCTTCGTCGCTGCCAGGAATGGACCCAGGAAGCTGTAAATGCATTGGTCAATGCGGGGATTCTTAAGAAATAGATCCAGGCGCGATGTTGGAGCGACTGAGTATAGATCGGGATCAATCGAGGCTGGAAGATCTTCTGTATCTCAATTTTCAAGCAGCTAGTGTTGAATCCAATCACCTGGAGGCCTAAATATCTGGTCGATAATCAGGTATAGATTGTAGCCAAGATATCAGCCTCGGTACTAGGCGCAACTTAATACGAAGTGTCCCCTATGTCGTACAGTTGTGTGTTGTCCATAAATACGGTTGAAAAAAATGTGTTGGTAAAAGTAAACAGGGATCTTACTGGCGTCATTAGTCTCATTCAACACGAACCGCTTCCTGTTTCCCAAGACATCAATTGCTCAATCAGCACATGAGAGCCGCCTTTATTTTGCCCTCGGATTCGGGAAGTAAATTCTATCTCAAGTACCGTGTAATAACCTGAATAACTTATCCTAGTACCACCACATACTGCATCTCTCGGATTCGCACTACTATATTCCCGAACTCAAATCGTACTTTAGTCTCATGACCTTGGTAGGCGCTGACCACGTGATGAAGACAAACAAACATATATATGTCGGGTGTTTGCATCACTGTGATGATAAATAAAACCATCTGCTACTCCCTTCGTTGCCACCTTCCTACCCTCCAATCTACCCCGCAGTCTACCAAGTGACCGATATGATGATGAAGAAATCATTTGAAGTTCCGTTCTATGCAACTGACTTGCCTTGTCCGCTACCCACCGGTACCGAAATAGAGAACGCCCCGGACATATCCATGGAATATGGAGGACGAAGAATTGTCGGAGTAGGCCAGCATTATGTTGTGAAATTTGGACTGGGTGTCAATCTCATTGAAGGGGAAAATATGTTATTTGTTCGGCAGAAAACAACCATCCCCGTCCCGCGGGTCTTCGCCCTTTATTCAGACCCAGAGACAGGCAAAAATTTCATTGTCATGGAGCGCATACTCGGTCAAACACTTCTTTCAGCATGGCCACAACTTACAAAACCGGAGAAAGAAGAAATACTGAAACACCTGCGGAGATACTTTGACGACTTGCGCCAGCTTCCATCCCCAAACTACTTCGGCAGTTTCGACCAAAGACGACTTCTGGATGAGATATTTTGGACACACGAGCCAGATCCGTTGGTGAATGGTCCTTTTCACTCTGAAGAAGACCTCAACGAAGCGATGCTGCGAAAGTACACCTACAACGGAGGCCCACTCTACAGAGCAGAATATCTTCGAAGATGCTTTCCTTTTATTTTCAAGGACCACAAAGCGACATTCACCCACGGTGATTTGCAAAGGAAAAATGTCATCCTCCGCGAGAAATCTCATCAAGATCAAGAATGTTCGCGCCTTGTGATCATTGATTGGGAAAAGTCTGGATGGTATCCAGGGTATTGGGAATATTGCTTAGCTGTCTGTGCTTTGCGATGGGATGACGACTGGTCCCTTTGGATTGACAGTATCCTTTCGCCCTTTGTCTCCGAGGCTTCATGGTTCCAGTCATTGCGCTTAGAATTATGGTCGTAGAGGTTGAAATGACATGAATCTTCATACATAACACCCGTCGTATCGAAGTGACTGACAGTGCATTCTTCATGACAAGGAATGCCGTCCAAAATGAATGTCAATGGCCTCAAGGCGACCCGCAAGCGTATCCTCCATTTCTCTGTTATTGCTTTCTGGGGGGTGCACATTTGATCTGGTAGATTTCTTTCCAGCATCAAGCATTCTATGAGTCTATCATTAGAGAGAATATCCGATAATTTAAAACGAGGGGTCCATGCAAGGAATTCCCTTAGCTTGCTATTTCTTTTTTCATTTATTTTTAATTCTTGGTTTGGGTGCCTTTTAGTCTCGGTGCAAATTAACCATCTTATGCTGAAGCTACGACGCCAGCTCCATTGTAGCGGTGTCTACGCCTTCCTAGCACCTTGAAACACGTGACAAATTGCTCCAGTCCCTCGGAGGTAAATTGTTGCCGAGTCAATCATAAGTTGAGAAACGGCCATGTGCGGTGGTTTGAGCAAGTCATCAAAGCGCTCGGTCAAATGCGGTGAAAAGAAAAAAGGGCAGCAGGAGATGACACGCGCAAAGAAACGCTGAGCAACCATAGAACCAGGCTGTTGGGATAGGAGATTCCTACACCTTGGCTGGTATTTCTCTACAGAGTGGTATGGCTTAATATTGGTTGCCGGGGAAACATGGCAAAGAGGTGGGTAGTGACGTTCAAGTATTGGGAATTCGGCTGAGAACAGTCTAGTAGGTGCGGGGTGAGAAAAATCTCGCTGGAAGAGGTGGGGAGTGGCAGGGTATAAGGGAATGCACGGACATCAGAGCAAGTGGAGACAAATTAACCAATAACATCTAATGAACACCATCCTCACCTTTCTGCTAGGGTGGTGATCAATGAAACAATATGATTTTCTCGAGCAAATTGAACACTTACACTGCCGTCAACAACTTGACTTCATACTGACTCAACGTTTACGAATCCCTCGTGTGCAATGGCCAACATACGTTCAGCATCAACCCACCCACCCGATTTCCGCAATAACATTTTTTAAAGGGTATCCGTTTCCTCACCCTACTGCCGAGCGTTGAATCGGCCTCGAACGCCATCGAAATCGAGCGGACTCTCAATTCTCCAACATGCCGCATTCAATTGCGTTTGCTTGTCTTGTTCTAGTCTAAACCCAGCAGCTATTTTTCTGGTTAACCTACGATATGCTGACTTAGGGTGCTATATTCAATTATCGTTCCTAGGATCATGCTCATCGCCTCTGGAAGCGAAATGTCCATCAGGAACCGTCCCTGTCATTCCTGGAGGCGAGACAGAGCGTTCCTGGGCTCTCCACCTTGGACTTTGGAGCCACACCCGTCCGTCAACGGGGCCCTCTCGTTCTAGGAATTGTGGTTACGCTTCCGAATGCATGTGGGTCGTGCGGGGAAACTCTGCAGAGGCAAGATGACCCCAAAACCACTACACTATGAAACCCGTAAACTACGAAAGAGGGGCAAGGGCGAAAGCAGAGGCTTACTAGTATAAGGGAAGGATCCAAGCTGCAACGTATACTAAATTAAGAGTTACTGACCATGGGCTATCCGGAAATTACTTTAGCCGAGAGCTAGCGAGACTCTGAACAGCATTCAGAGCGCCACTAGTCCAAACCAGGCTGCCATTAGTTATGTCAAAAAGAATGAAGCTTACCATTTCTCGAGTACTCGAACACAATGCCTTTCTAAAAGATGCTCTGAAAAATGTTCATGCACTGCTGGCGTCATCACCAAAATGAGACCGTCCACTTGGTATAGCATTGCAGGCTCCTGGGATCGTGAGAGCGTACGCCTAGGAGCGACAGGGCTCCCAGGACATAACCTTGATGTTCCTAGGAAGCGGCCCACTGGCTCCTGGGATGTATGCTTGTGGGGCACTTTCAATGCGTCTATTATGCATTATACGCACGGCATTTACCATTCTTACAAGCAGTGTCTTGTCATTTGCGAGCATAGATAGACGGACCGTCCTCTAATCCATATTGCAATATGCTACATTGGTTTTCTGACTTGCAAGTTCCTCAATTGAATCAAGCTTGAAAGAAGGATATTATTGAGGGAGAGGGGGTTTTCAGAAAAAAAAGGTCAAATTTTCAAACTTTAGACAACCCAGTAGCGGCCAATTTCGATTGCACTTTCCTGTATTTTCTAGATTAGCTCATTGTGAGAGCAGGACTTAGAGGCACTTACGCAGGAGTATTGAAAATGAGGCATGTAGTGCGGCTACTTTAAATTGAGGGTGATAAAAGTCTTTTTTTGATCCGAAGAATCATCCCATCAGCTTTGACATCAACGCCTGCACAAACCTGGAAACTCAATCAAATGATACCGCGACTACACAATCCCTTTGCCTATAAAGACCTCGCTCGATGTCGGGCCTTCTGGCACTGCTTAAACAAATGACCGTTGCAGTTCCTATCAATAAAGGCGATTTCTTTTATTACCTACAGAGCCTATCTTGACGATGGATTCAATATGCAGGTATGCCTCTTTACCCTCTTATGAGCTTTAAGTGCTGATCTCAGAGCACTCAAATCTCTAGACATGAGTGCAATCTAGATATGTGACACATAGATAAGTATTTCGACAACGGTGGTAGGAATTCCGCGGCGTTAATGTATAGAAAACTGATTTGAGAAGGACACGGGCGCTAACCGCTTTAGGCTAGTTCATATATCTGAAATGTGAGGCCCGAGCCAATTCTCGGAAGAAAGAATTTTCCGGGAGCCGGGGTCTGCTATCGGACCAGATCGTCAGCCGAGCTCTAACGCAGTTGCGTCCAGGCATCACTCCCTCTTTCTAACGAACTAATGGCCGACCACAGCTCTCCAAATTACAAAGATCTTTACCTTAAGGCAGAAGAAGGACGGAAGCAGGAGGCAGAAGGGAGACGGCAGGCAGAAGAGCGCGAGAAGCAGGCGGAAGAGCGCGAGAAGCAGGAAGCAGAAGGGAGACGACAAGCAGAAGAGCGCAACCAAAAGACCTCTTTCGCAGAGCTCTTACGGCACTGCCATGACCTTCTCTCCCGCCAGTTGAGAGTCGAGACACCGTCTCGCTCAACCACTGGCAGAATACCCCTTCCCACCGGAAAAGACTGCCCAACTCGATTGGAACATTGGTCCGACTGCCCAGAGCAGCTTCTAAGGGTCTACAGGTCTGTCTACCAATACCTGCAGTCGGAGCCAGGGCGGCCGCCACGCTTATTCTCGCCTCTACCGGAGTTAGAAGGGCTTGGCCGTCGATTTGCTCGCAAGCCCCTCAGTAGTGAGCAAGATCTCGAGGCCTATGAGCGGTTTGGGGTGGAAGATCATGTCCATGATATAGTAGCCGAGTTGTGCAAAATACCGGCGGCCTGTGACGAGTTTGGCCTCGGTGATGGAATCCAGTTCAGCAATCACACAAATTCTTTGAGCAGGAATGAAAACTTTGAAGCGGATACAAGCCAGTTGTCAAGCACGCCTCACCCACGACCAGACCAGTTCTGTATTCATCGTGTCGACGGCAACACGACTACCGTGCTGACGACCGTCGAGTACAAGCCACCTCACAAAATGCCTGTCGCAACTCTTCGCATGGGACTACGACCAATGGAGCTGTGGAAGGAAATGGTCAGATCAAATAAAATACCCACCGACCAAGATGCGAAGCTGAGGTACAATGCAGAGCGGCTTGTCTGCTCTGCTATCGTCCAAGAATACCACGTGATGATTCAGGAAGGACTCGAATATTCCTATCTGACAAATGGAATTGCCCGTGTCCTACTTCGTGTTCCACGAGACGATCCCACCACGCTGTACTACTTTTTCTGTGATCCCCACAACGAAGTGGACATAGCAGGCGATATAGATCATCAGCTATCGAGGACCTCTGTTGCAAGGATATTATGCCTTTGTCTGATGGCCTTCCGTTCACCCGTCCGTGGGCAAGAGTGGAGAAATCGCTTTCGTCCCGACCTTAATACGTGGGAAACCAGCTTTGAACATACGCGATCGCAAATTCCGAGAAAAGAATTACAGCAGATTCCCCACTCCGATAGCACCAACCCTGAATTTCCGAGTCCAGATACTAGTTCATCCTATGAACTGCCGTCGTCATCTCCGCTGCCGTCTCCCTCAGAGGGCCGCCGAGTGCCTACACGATCTCAAACCAGATGTGCACCTTCGGAGATCCGACCACGGTCGCGTTCACCTAACTCGTCCGGTTCCGACACAAACCAAACGGCTGGCTATAAGCGGAGGATCAGTCAAGTCACGCCTTCACCATCTGCTCGGCGATCAGGTCGCCAACAAGAGCCAGCTAATGACCGCGATGATCATTCCCGACGCTGCGCTGCGCTATTCTGCACACAGCGATGTTTACTCGGCCTACAGACCGGGAAATCCCTGGATGAGTTGTGTCCAAATGTGGACCATCATCGTCGGGGCCAAAACGCCCCGACTCAGCATCCTGTCTCGGCTGAAGACCTAATGCTTTCCCTCAAAAGACAATTAGACGAAAACATCGATCGTTGCATTCCTCTTGGTGGTTGCGGATCCTACGGTGCCCCGTTCAAACTGACTTGCATGAAGTATGGTTACACGGTTATCGGGAAAGGCACCACTTCGGGGCTATGGGAAGAAGTTTCTCGTGAAGCGCAGGTATATCAGATCTTGCGCAAGGTTCAAGGATCTGCTGTACCGGTCTTTTTGGGAACGATTGACTTGGCAAAGATCTACTTTCTTCATGGCGCTGGACAAATCCGCCATATGCTCGTCATGGGCTGGGGCGGTGAGAGCACAGCCACGATGGAGCTGACTCCACACCTCCGCCGAGAGATCCATAAGTCGAACAAAGAAGTCAAAGCCTTGGGCATAATCCATGAAGACCTCAGACGAGACAATGTCCTTTGGTGTGAAGAGATCGGGCGTGCTTTGATCATCGACTTTCACAGTTCTACTCTGAGATGCCGACCGGCTACGCAGCGACTGAGGCCGGCAAAACGACGACTATATCAAGTGGACGCAGGAAATGCAAAACGTCTTAGGATTTCGTGATGAGGAAATCTATTTTCTACCTGTTAAACTAGCGATCTTGTTTTTGATACCCAAATTTCCAGTGTCGCCTATATTCCGAGGCAAGTGCACTCCTTACTCATATGCTTCGACACCACCCATCTCGAATCGTTGTTCCAATTTGTGCGTTTCCTTCAAACTTGAGATGTTCTCGGAATGGTATATCATTTTTAGGATCATTATAAGAGCATTGCAGACTGTGATTCAATTCCAATACCTAAGACTATCGTGCACTAACCGAAATCATCACTATATAGGGTCGGGGCCTCTGATGGACAACGGAATGACCTGCTGAGGTTTACAGTCTATGCCGTTAGACATACATTCCGTCAACGGCGCCCTTCCTGCCAAATTCTTTCGAGAACTTCTTGTTCGATTCCGCTGCTGACTCCAGATACTTATAGCTGACCTGCGCGGCATCTGCCTCAGCAAGAGCATGTGCAATTGCTGCAATATTTTTGATCTAATTGACCGGGAGTCAGCAAGTTACATATCTGCGCAACAAGATCAAAATTACCTCTCGTCCATTGAGAGCCAAAGACTCCAAATGCTGAATGTCGTCCTCCTCAACCACAGCGGGTCCTTGCATTTTTCGGGCTTTGGCCAAGAAGGTGGACCAGAGACCCCTGCGGAAGTCTCTTGTTAAATCCTGGTACTCAATTATCAAATGAGTTCGGCTCAGAATTGCCTCATCGAAACGTCTGCCCCGATTTGAGGTCAAGAAAAGCATTCCCTGGTAATACTCAAGCTTTCGGAGGAAAACCGTGACCAGGCGATTGTGACTATCATGGAGCTCGCTTCGACTCGCCATGAACGCATCCGCCTCGTCCAAAAGAAGAATGGCATTGAAATGCTTTGCAATTTTGAAGATGATTTCAAGTTGCGATTCAAGTGCGTGGGAGTCCCCGTGGTCGACAACAAGCTCACCCGCAGATATCTGAGAAGGTGGAAGGTCAGCTAGGTCGATCATTGCACGGAATAGATTCTTGATACCGAGTATAGAGGTAGCTTGAAATACTCCGACGTCGCCTCGACAGTAAAAGTCTTCCCGACGCCTGGCGGACCACTAACACAAGTCAGTTGAGGATTTTGCAGGGCTTCTGTGATTCGCCGACATACTTCAGCAGCACATTGAGCCCTTGGCCTTTGCCGTCGATCACGTCGTCAAAAGGTACGATGGGTATGAGACCTAGACGCGTTTTTGCCAGCGACAAGAGCATTTTCTTGGTCTCCGGTGGAATCTGAAGGCAATCGAATGATTCAGGTGACCAGTCAACTTTCCTAAGAGCACTGATTGCACATTCCACTGTAATCTTATTAGCCCGAAGCTAAAACTTCTCAGTGGTGTCACATACGGAACATTTTCTCCTTGAAATTAAAACAGCAAACTGTTGGGCAGGCGACTAATAAATCAGCCTCGTTCAGCCTTTGACCATCCACGCCGTCTCCTCGCATTCTCTCCTTCTCTCGCTCACGATCCTTCATGAACATAGCGCCTAAATCAATGACTGCCATCCCGTCCTTTTCTTTTACCCCTATGTCACGGAGTGATGGTCGGGAGTAGTTCGGCTGCATTTCATGGAAAAACGCGGCGTCCACCGCTACTCGACTGTTGATGTTGACTTTGAAAACCTTCCCCTTGTTCATAACAAATGCGTTGCCTTTACAGTGCCGAATGTGCGAGCCGGCCAAATCTCGAAACTTTTGGCCTCTTCCGACCAGGTCTTTCCGGACTTGCTCGTGACTTGGATGGTGGCGAAGAGGGAAGGCTTCAAGGCTCTCGATCGGCTTCGACCCTCGGAACTTTGCCACGCGTAGAAAGATACCGGCCTCGCCGAATTTGACTCCGTCATAATCAATGAATCGGCATTCAAGGTTGAACCAGGTCTCATCGTTCTGTGTGATCTCTTCCCCAGCGTCGAATATGACACACCGTGGCTCTTTTGTACCAAAGCATGTCGCAAAAACATGGGAACCTGGTTTAAAAAGTGCCCAAAGAAGATCGTAAGTAATGTGACTGTGCTGCAGCATTGACTCGAGACGCTGCGAGATGGCTGAATATGCTTGCTTGAGGTGGTCGATGAGCAAGCGGAGGTGCTGACGTGATAATTCACAGTCTAGGTTGTTCATGTTTTCAGCATATATTCCAAGCTCTGGGAGAAAATGGAAAAGAATGTTTTGTTCAATCTGTATTAACGTCAGCAGCAATTTCTCATGATATAATACTCTATTTCAATTACCGATGGCTTGTCCTCCATCAGGCTGGTGGCCTTGATATCGTACAGTACCCCTCGCAGGATGTCGCGCAAGCCTTCGGATTTAATATCTATGTATGGGGTCACCTCCTCGGAATTCCGGTCTGATAATAACATTAGTATGGATTCAGTCATTTAGTAACGACATTACATACCAACACGCTCACGGACAACAAATGCATATTCAGCATAGTCGTCCAGACAGCCGCTGCTCTCGGTGGGTTCGGCGATCTTGTAATTGCATGCTTCTTTGTCCCAGCTATTTCCACGTCAGAAAACTTCTTTTTGGAAGTGAGAGGAGACTGAAGTAAGGGAGTTGACTGGGCCACAGGGCTTAGCTAGCGACATACGTTTCCTTGACTGTCTTGAATTGGGGTGCAGACGCCCACTTCTCAAATGACTGGAAGTCCTCAGGTGTTGTACAGATGGGCTGCTCGACGTCAAACCCATCTGGCCCAGGAACCTTCGCCCGTTCATCGCTTGCAGAAGATTGAGCAGGCTTATTTGCCAATGAAAGCTCAAGTGAAACACAGTCCAGTGCCTGTCGAATCTTGTCAAGCCCTGGTAGGCACTGGTCCTGGGAGACAGGAGTGTTTGGGGGTTCTTGGTTGGTTTTATCGAGCATTCTCTCAAGTAACACGCCAAAGAGATGTTTCAGGTCTTTCACGATAGCCTGAGACGTGGCTGTCTCTTTCGTTGGGCTACCTGGGGGGGTCAGGCCTTGGTGACAAGGAAAAGACTTTTTCAAAGCCAGGTCGTGCTCAAAGGAAGGCATATCCGGGCTACTCTCAGCAGGTGCCATGTTGTTTGATTCGGCCGATCGAATTGACAGGTACGATGAAGAAATGTTGAATCTGCGAGGTCAAACCCTGATGTGAATACGAATAATAATGCTATAAACCCGAGAGGTTACTCCCTTTTATACATTCGCCGCCTCTTCTTTGATTGTCTCGTTTCGTGAACAAAGGTGCAGCACTTGGCTGCATGTCCAGGGTGTTTGACTGTATCTGGTGGCAATCTAACCTGATTGATTTAACTGAACTGCATGCCCCAGGTGGCATTCTGCACTGGGAGTAGATATTGATCTGATTCGTTTTTATTAGCAAACATCCATTGGTCCAACCCTGTAACTAAGCAGGAGAAGAATCCCGTTACTAATCTGGCGGATAATTATTTTTAAAGCTCTATCGTTACCAGCGAACTAACACGGGCAAAGGCCCACTTTTACCCCGCAGTAACAGCCAATAAAGACAGGCTATAGGTGAAACCACTTGGATCCAATTAATTCCAAATGTATTAGTAGGTTTCCCCCTTTTTTCCAACTTTTTCCAATTGTTCCCTTCTTTATCCAATTAATTCCAATATTCTCCAACATACGTTGATCATCTCACGTCGAAGACAGACGCAATGGCATCGCTCTCCGTTGGATCGGCGATGGTCAAACTCTCGCACTTCGCAAACTTGACGAAGCATCGTATGGGACTCAAAACAATGGAGAAGAAACGCGTTGACGGGGCGTTCGAACTATTCGCCACTGGTCCACCTCCTGCTTCTTCCAAGGGCGCCAAACAGAAAATGCTGTATCTGGAGTTTCTTCAAAGAGTAAGGACTCTTGTCGGTGATGCAGGAGTTGTTTTCTGTGCTGCCGGACTTGGGCCCTCAGCTATTGCAAATATGAAAGACAGCGACCGAGTGTTCCTGGCATCCAGTCTAAAGGAGAAATGGCACACATTCGACACCGCTGTGTTCCAAGGAATTGCGGACGGCGTCTCGCAAGGTGAGCTTTTACTTGTACGTTGACGTTTAACACGACTGACGATTCTTGTTGAAGAAATTCCACTGGCTTCTCTTTCTGGAGACGTCTATGAACTCACGGCAGACGATATACAAAAAATTGCTGCAATGCCAGGCCAGATTTCTGGCAAGGTACGACTAACTGATACGTACAATAAATATGCATCGACATTTGTAACGATCCCAATCACCAGGGAACTCACGAATCTCTTGACCATCAATCGCCAAAGTATTTCTCAGTGACCTCTGTTTTACGAGCGTGGTCCTCCGATGGCGTAGCCAACTTGAAGAGAACCAGAAACTCTGAACCACCAGCCATCCCCCCAAGGCACCACAACAACGTAACCAGTCTCCTCTGTTCCAACCGTGTCAACATACGAGTCGTCATTCTTCTCGAATATATGCACCGCGCCTTGGTTGCCACCAACATTCACGACGATTGCCACACAGTCTCCTGGAGGATCTATTCGGGTTGCTGTCGGAAGAGGGGTCCATGTGATTTGTTTGCAATGAATGCCTTCCTTCTAAGATAGTATCAGTTTTGCAGGAACGTTTTCTCATTTCTATGTGATTCGTACATTCTGGATCGTTTCCAACATTTCTTGATCCGTAGAGGGCTGAAGTCTCAGTTTTGTGACAGTTTTAGCCATTTGGCTTAAAATGCGGTCAAAAAATATGACCGACTGTTGCTCAGCTGTAAGGTCTGGTAATCCCAATTTCAAGAGAAGAATGCTTGCCCTCCAGATATCTCCGATTTATCTGATCTTATTTGACTGTTTTTGGGGCAAAAGCTGAGACTTTCTTTGATCTCCTCATCGGGGTTTGAATTTCGAACCCAACGAACTGCGACGTGGAAGGTTTACGCCTGGAGATATTGAAACATGTGGTTAGATGAATCACAGGTCGATTTGGGCCAGCTTGGGTACCTGTACGTCGGGCCTCAAAGGGTAAGCCGAGGGTGATGCGAATCGCGGAAGATTTTCGTACTCCATGATGCTGCCCCGCGTCGTAGCAATGTATGCGCTAGGGCGCCAGTCAGGTGACACAGACATTCGGATAAATGATGTTCCTGGTTGCCTGACGAGCTTTCGCGTTATCTCGGAAGTAGTAGGCTATTTCACCCAACCTTTTGTCTCAAACCTCTCTTGCTGATTGCTGGTCGTTATAGGTACCCAATTAGTGAACCCACGGATTTACTGGAAGGAGCATCAGCAGGAGTTTCCCATACTCGCAAGCCTAGCACGCGATGTTCTTACAACTCCTGCTAGTGGTTCCGGCGTTGAGCGGCTATTCAACTCTGCTCGCGATATTTGTCATTACCGCCGAGGCTCGCTGAAATCCAAAACAATCCAGGATCTTATGTTGTTTATGTATACAACAAAGTTTGATATGGAATCTGAACAGCTTTCCTTGATGGATGATTACCTCACCACCCAAGAGACGCAAACAGCGAAAGAGGAAAAAGATGCTCGTAACGGAGAGTGTGAATTTGATCTCATCAGTGACAACGAGGATGAGCCTTCAGCAGTCATATCTCAGGTCGTCCAACCGGTCAGTGAGCATGCGCTTGGTAAAAGACCAAGGGCAGAAAACACCACAGAAGACGAAGAGCATGTGATTGAACTAGATGAAGAGTATGAAGTTCCTCTGCCTGACAATATCCATGCACAGGGAGAGAGTGGTACTCAGAGGCGTTCATCAGGACGGCTTCCAAAGCGTTCAAGGCGAGATGAAGATTTTGTGTATGAAAAGCCATAAAGTTAGCAGAATTAAGGATTTTGAATGGAATGATTTTTGATTTGACCTTTGAACTATTCCGTAAGCGAAATACTCAAAATTACAGAGTACACAAAGCCGCCCTCAATGCTTGTATTGAAACAGATGGCTACGGAGGATGTTGTATACAGCGCAAGGTCGACAGGTGCGAGCCAAGAAATATCCCGACAGCTTAGCCTCTCTCATTGGCGTTTCTTCGGTCTTCCAGACCGAGAGCTGACCTTGTGGCGTAATTTGGTTGAATAGTGAACTTGAAGGGATGACATGTTTCGACCTGGGAAGTGAGTCGTAATCTCAGACCATGACATTGCCTCTTTTTCTTTCAGCCGCACGAGCAGCGCATTCTCGTCCGACGTGTACGTGTGTTTCAAAGGGGGGATAACCGCCGTGTGGGCGGGAGGCAGCATCGGGCTAGGGTCGGGTACGAAAGTAAAGAAATATGCCGGTTTCAGACCAGTATTAGACTCGACCGTGAGGATAGCACTACCATGTACACCCTGGATAGCACCCGAGCGATGAGATGAAATGGGAACGGAAGATTCCGCAGGCTCGGAAAGTGGTCTGATTGAAGGTCTCCTTTTCTTCCTCTTTTGACACGGCTGTGCTGTGTCATAGGGGGTGTTCTCGTCTTGGTGGTCGCCGGTGCCTCGACCTGAGCGGAGTCGCTTCTTGCATATTGCCGCAGCGGCCCTTGTGCTTGTCCTGGCGGCTCCTTGTTTCCAGGACGTTGACGGGATAACCACAGCTATCGATGGGTAGCGCACGGGGGTTTGGAACTTGGTGTCGTTCGAGCTCGAGAAAGTTTTGATGTAGAGCGAGCCGTCGGCGGAGAGGTTGGCCTAGATCTGGCTGGCGTGTCTTCAGCAGTGCTGGGATCTTCAGCCCGCCCAGAAGCCTTGTTTGCCCTTGAGCATAGATTTCCACCTAAGTTAGATGTCTGACTCGGCTCCGAATCATTTTCGTAGTCCACACTGTCTGAATTGTCTGAGGGTTCCATGGTAGATAACTTCCGCTTGGCTGATTCTTGCTGAAAATCACCCACCACAGACAGGTTGCTAGAGACACAGTTCGCTTGTTCGGGTGTAGGCTCGGGTGCGGTCACACAGGGTGTGCACGATAGTTGAGAAGTCTCCATTTCCTGGGCATCAGGAACAGCGTCTACAATAAAAGAAAAAAAGTCAGACAATGAGAGAACAATGGCCGACTTTCAATGTGTTGAGCCAACTTACCCGGCAGATCATCTCCTCGCATATCAGGAGGGATAGGGTCTGGATGATTTAGCCCTGCAGGACACGAAATGGTTCTCGCGGGGTCTATCGATGGCACTGGCTCTGAGGAAGCCAGCGCAGTACTTCCACGATCCAACAGAATATCATCGGCAGCTGGTATATCTGTTGTCACTGGGGGCCCGACATCTTTCGTCATTTCAGGCGGAGTAGGTCCATAAACATGATTGATTTCGAAGTCAAATATGTTCCACTGATGAGTTGTACCGGTCAGTGGCGGTGTTTGTCCCAGGGGTGCCTCATAAGGTCCTGGACAGAAGCCGAGCCCAGTGGGAAAAGACTGCTGGAGGTACCGTGGCACATGAGCTGGGGCGTAGTTGGGGGACACGCTTTTTGCATTGGTAGAAAGCGGCGGGCGACTTGGGCCATGGTAGAACTCGATTTGATCAAGATCCACCCTCATTTCTCAGATAGTGGTAAGGCACGGCGGAGACAGGAGACACAACGGAGATAGGAACCAACAGATAATGACGCAAGTTTGCATAAGAGTGCAGCGGTCACTGGGCTGGTGTGTCCACGTCCGTTCTGAATCATATCCAAAGAATGGGAAAAAGAGGCCAGTCATCCTTTTAATACCCAGGTGCCGCCAGAGCATTACTAGCTGAGGAATCATGCAGTATATCGCCTTGCGGACCCCACACAACTGAGAACTGCGACAGCACTGCCTCGTTGATACTATTCGCTGCTTGCGTCGGGCGATCACTTGAGAATACTCCGGGCGACTCTAGCCAATCGGCCTGGTCAAAGGCCGCCTCGGGTACGTAGTAGCCACCGTGTAACGTTGCAGCCTTCAGGACACCTCAGCTGACAATTGATGGATTGGGAAGAGATTGACAGGAAAAATCCCTCAATCCGAGCGGCAGCCTACAATTCGCCGATCACGCAAGCCGGTCATGCAAGCCATCAATTTCATGGATGTTTGCGATGTCTCAGCTCAGCGCCAGAGCTCGTTGAGGCATTTTTGCGGTTGGATAGAGAGCGGAAGCGGATCCAGCGAGCGACTCACCGGCTATTCAATCAGTGGTCGGCTGAAAGAGCGAGATGGCCGTTCTGCGGCATTCGCGAACCGAAGCCTGGGACAAAGAGCGGCCCGTAGTCCTCCTACATTGCTCTTCAAATGTCCAGTTATCAAGCAGTCCGAGGGTGATGTCTACAACGGTTGAAACAGCGACTCTGTGTAGCGTACAGTACGAAGCCAAGAATATATTGGGCCATATAGAATTGGGAAATCAAGGGCGATCCCGGTGACTCGCATGGCCAGAGCGACCCGTTCGAATTTCCGCGAGTGGAGAAGCAGGCTGTGTTCAGGACCCTGAATTTTCAGCTGACAGGGGCCACGTCAGTCGACTAGGGAGTGGCGGCGTGGAAAACAATGGAAGTGGAAAGGGGAAAGGGTGTGGGAAGAAGGTAACCATTGTCGAGCGACGCACCGCTGGTTATATAGATGGCGGACGTCGCGAGACGGGCGGTGTGAGACGGCAGATCCCGATCGGGGCTAGCGTCAGGCGCCAAACCCGTTACGGACGGGCTAAACCCGGCGTGGACGGACGCGATCCCGGATCGGGCGGCGGTCCCACGGGCGCTAAACCCGACGGAGGGGCGCGCCGAAACAGGCGGCGGGCCAGCAAATCGCAATTCTACTTTTTTATTATATTTGCTATATTAAAGTTATATAATAGATTATGTAACTAATTATGTAACTAATTATGTAACTAATTTAATAGAGAACTAATATCTTTAAATGATTTATAAAAATTAGATATTTATATAGTAAAAATCAATATCTAAGAGGTTATTATATTAGATTGTATAGCTAGAGTAAACATAATTTTATTCCTATAGAAAATTTAAATAATTTAAATAATTTAACATTAGGTTCAATCTTCTATTAATACCTAATCATAAAGATGTATAATATTTTCAATGTAGAATATCTATCTTGGTTAGTATTAACTTATAAATACTATATATTTCTAATAAACTAATTTTAACAGTTATAAAACTTTGTTATTATATTAATATATAAAAGAAAAACATCCCTTTTTTTAGAATTTCTGAATATTTCCTATTTCTTATTATAATAATATAATATAAATATAAATATAAATCAAAATATAGATAAAAGATAATAATTTATTAAAATAATTTAATAACTTTATAAACATTCTATATTTTATATAAATTTAAACTTAAAGAAAAAGCTTAATAAGCTCCCTCTCTATAAGCCATGATCTAGGTTAAGCCTAAAGAATTCAACCACTAGTCTATTAAGAGTTAGGTTTCAAGCTCAGAGCTTAGGTTTAAAGTGAGACTTTATAAAAGTCTATTTAAAATATCTAATTTCTTATTATAATAAATATTTACTAAAATATTTACTAAATTTCTCAACTCCAAAATTGGAGCATAATACTTTTTTAAATAAAACTAAATTAATTCATTACTACCTTACAATAATTATTATAGCTATTATAACATCATATATAGACATTTATATATATACTATCAAATGACACTATTAAATGAATTTTATCTACCTTCTAAATAGGAGATAAAAATTATTTTTATTAAAATTTATAACTCCAAAATTAGAGCATAATATTTTTACAAACTAAAATTAATTTATTAATACTTTATACATAATTATATTACCTAATATGATATTTTATGTATATACTATTCTGTATACTCTATAATATTAAAGTATAAGAATAGTTTATTTTATTTTCTAAATAGGAAATAAATCAACATTAATAATTCTTCAAAAAATTCTAGAAACTAAAATTAAAAATAATTTTTCCTAAATAGGAAACATAATTTTTAATTCTTAAAATAGTAATTACCTAAAAAGATGATTATTCATCAATAATTTCTAGCTCATTCCAAAATTCTAAAATAAGTCATAATTTAATAAAACCTTTTTTGGCTTATTAAATTATACTTTTAAATACAAGATCATTCAAATATAAATATGACCTCGATCCCCAGGGTAAATTTTTTTTATCTATCATCGATCTCATAATATTATTATCTTATTCATCATCTTATTCATCATCTTATTCATCATCTTATTCATCATCTATTATTATGTGATAACCTTTATAGATATTAAAAAAATATCAAAAAAGAAAATATCTATTAATCTTATTGATAAACTATTTATATTATAATATAATAATATAGCTTTTTATTATTTTTTAATTCTAAACAAGTAATTAAACTGCTTTTACTCTATATAAAAGAAATTAATTATAAGATTAATTTTATATAAGATAATAATAAAAAAACTATACTATTATAAAGCTTACTACTATATAATATATTAAATACAAAGCTTCTAGTTTTAAAGAAAACTCTTAACAAGCTATTAGACTAGAACTTTATCTATACAAATAAATCTTTAGTTATTATATCTATACTTTTCATATAAAAACTAGATAATACATTATACTTTTATATTATTTACTATATATTTAATACTATTATAAAAAAAGATTATTATTTACTATTACTAATCTATAAGATATTAAATTAGATTAATAAAATGAAATAATTTATAAAACTTAATATCTTTATTATATTCTATAAGATTTATATTACGTTTAAAGATAAATAGTAATTAATTATTTTAGTTTTTCTTTACAAAAATATTATGCTCCAATTTTATTAATTTGAAAAATTTTAATAAAGTTTTCTAAAATAATTATCATAGCTCCAATGGGCTTATATGACATCTGATTGGTTAGCTCTTCTACCACTAGGCCCTTTTGGGACATACCAAACATCACGTGAGCTCATTTGCTCACAACACAACACGTGACTATTTTTTTTTTTTTTGGGGGCTGTCGCCCCCAGACCCCCAGCATTAACTAATTTCTAAATTCCTATCCTTAACGGTATTAATAAATTTCAACAATTTACCCTGTGTCGCAATTTGAAAGCCTGTCACTGCGTTCTGTAAGAACATACATGGCTCACTCTGCGTTCCGTCACAACTTAGCTGGGGGTCTAATCATTAATAGAGCTCCTCCAGGGCTTCTTTCCTCATTTAGTAGGCAAACAGGGCCCTAGTGGCCATATGGAACAACATCTACACCTCGATCCCGACATTATCAGCTCTCTTCTTCTTCCTTCCTTTCCCTAGATTAATTGTCATCGTTGTTACGGACCATCGAATACCCATTTTCTTTGATGATGTTGCCGACCTGACAAATAGTATGTTTACGGAGAGTTACACCTGCCAAAATAGTCAAAACGGTCAAAACGGTCAAAATAGCATACCAGGTCAAAACGGGGGCTGCTTTGACCATTCCTGCTTTGGTTAGAAGAAAATTCCTACTTGCCTTTTGGCTCGCGACTTTTGAAACGGACCTCCGTAGCCTCGACCCTGATCGCTACGCCAGGGGCAAAGACCACAAGCAAGGGTAGACCTCTTCAATGGGCCAGGTGCCCGGACACCAAGCCCAAAGGCCAACCCGTTGGTGAGTTGGGCTGGGCTTTGGGCTTCGTGGGCCGGTGAAGAGGTCTAAGCAAGCCGCACCTTGGAACTACGCTCGCTCAGTGACAGTCAGCTTATAACCAAGTCCTTCACCATACAATTCCAAGCCACAGAGGGGGAGGTAAGTTAAAATGGAAGACGAGGCGAGAGCAAAAGGTATGTGTGTTGTAAATGTACTACATCTCAAATACTCCGACAGAGTACACATTCATCGTAGGGGTCAAATATGAATTGGGTTTGGTAGTCACAGCTCCGAGCTCCGGGTTGAAACGAACGAGCTCGGATAATAGCCTGAAGCCTAAGCCACCAGAGTCAGGTCGGGTCAAATTTCGAGCTTACTCAACTCTGTAAATGCTAATTAGCAGATAAGACACTGGTTTTCTGCCTTCGTCGCCTCGTAAAATCCAGTAAATCTCTAGGTTGGCAAAGGTCAAACGCATATACTTGGGATATCCGGGTTTTCCGAAGACGTTGTTACATTGGTAATGTTGCAGACTGTTTCGCTGATATGATCTCAAGAACGAGAGATTCATTTTGCAGGACTTCTTTGGCAGCCTCGTCGCCCGCAGCCGCTTTGCTCAGACCCTGACCTGACCCAAGAAGCCTTTTATGCCATCCCCACCCGGTGAGATAAACAGCGATGAAGAAAGTTTGAGTGCCTCCTTTGTGCTGCATCGATGGACGGGCCTCGATGTATTCCAACTTCACATTCTTGCCCATGATCTTCTTCGCCAGGGCCTCCTTCGAACGTAACTCACCCGTCTGATGACCAAGACCGTTGAGAATAGGCATCCACAACTTGGTTAGCCAGGTTTCGGCTGATTGATATCCGCCAACTGGATCAGACAGTATGATTGCTGCAACGTATGCCTCAAATACGTCACCCTTTGTTTTAGTCCATCGCTTTGATGGGGTACTATAATCTGGCGGCGCAGAGACCCTGCGGTCAAACCCAAAGGACTCCGCAAACCCGGAGAGAGTTTCGTTTTTGACAAGAGTCTCCCGAATCTGCGATATTCTCCCCGCGGGTAACTTTGGAAACATCTTCCAGATGATTTTGGTTGCAATCAGCTCGATATATGCATCACCAAGGATTTCAAGCCGGTCATACGTCATCTCGCTATTGTTGCTCATAGCTGGGTGGGTAAAAACGGCACGCTCGAGCTTGTGATCCAGAATGGAGGGCGGTGCCAGCGTTTTGGATGTAGGACCTGAAGATTTGGTTGAATGAGTCCCCGGGAGGATTTTAGTTGGAGATTGTTTTCTGCTTCGAGAAAATGCGTCACTTAGATGAGAGACTGCACTCATAACCTCTGGATCAGCATTGGCAGCGTCCTCATCATTAGATATCTCCTGAACTAGTTGTTGAAGGAGCTGGAGCCGAGAACTGCTGTTTGATTGATCCACTGTACTCAGACTAGCAGATGAGCTTTGATCCGATGGAGATACCGAGTGAGAAAGCTGGATTGAGAGTCAGAGATTTCAGTCATGCAGTAGAGAATAAAGGAAGTGATATATACCTTTGATCTCTTTTGTGATGTATTAGTGATACTGGCGATGGATGCTGGTCTTTTCATATCTGGCCTTTCTTTGGAGACATGTGAGTCGGTCAAAGCTTTTGGCTCCATTGTGTGTGCTATGAAAAAGGAACAGGCGGGAGATGCTTGACGTATCTACTGAAGACTGCATGGCGATGAGCTCTAGCAGCAACATTTCTTTTTCAGGCAGGCGGTGTGTCACATGATCACCACAAACTTCACTCGGTATCGTCGATAAGGCTTGTCTCTCAGCTGTTGTCAACAATTGCCTTCATATGCTCCCTTTGCATATGAATTGTTCACCCATTTGAGACAAAATGGCACAAAGTCGGATTTTGGATCTCTTGAAGGTTGACAGACACCACCCTTCCACCCTTCCCTCCCCCCAATGACCACCACCCGCTGACCGCATTGTCGTTTAGACCCAATGCCGCATCTTCTCTCTCAATTACAACCCCGACCGCCTGCGACTCGGAAACAAGGTCTTGAGACAGCGCCTACGGGGTCCCACGCTTGCATCCTGGTATCCAAAGCAGACCATCCCTTTCCGCCGGTTACAGGACAGCTATAAACGGTTTGGATTGACGACCTTTGACGAAGATGAAGTCGACAGAGAAGAAGGAATTCAGGTGTATGTCTCACTCTGAACATCTTGGACATGAATGTGGACTAAACGTTGCCAATAGTACAAAGATGAGAGGAAAGGGCCGGCCGAAGAAGAAGCGAACCGCCGCAGGTAAGTTGGAGAATGGCCTCCTCGAAATGAGTAATAAACACGTTCTCACCACTGAACAGAGTCGAGGTCTTCCAGGAAGAAGAAATGATCTATTCTTCTGGGCCACCAAGCAATGTCAATCAGATGGGCATAGGCATACATTCACCACCCAACGTTTCATATTGGGCTTGTACAGTACTTTCACAATGCTGCGTTTGCTAGAAGCAGTTCTGTTAATCGTTCCATATTTTCTCTCCTGCCCTGCGAATGGGTTGGCCATAAAACCAAGTGTCTCATATATTATACACTATGATTTCGTATCCCCATGTGAAATGACATCTACCCGCCCACGCGAGCACCCCCTCCAAAACATATTGACATCGAGCATATGTTGGTGGGTAATAATTAGCAATTGCAGTAGAACTCATATGATTTGGTGTACAGCACTTTGTTCAGAGTACTCCGTCCTTGACACCCAGATGCGACAGGGAACCTTGAGGGGTCTCAAAAGGGAAGGCGGTGCCACACGTGACTAGATTTATTCGCTGCATATCAGTCTAAGCTGATCAGACCTCACTGGACTCCATAATCTTCTTCACTTGTCTTGAAAACTAATTTTCACTATCTTGCCACAGTTAATCCCCTTCCATTTTGATCAGGCTTTCACGCTGTCCGCGTGACTGCTGCCCATCTCAAAGGGGACCATGAATCCAAGCAAAAGCAAGAATCAGCTCAGACGGGCGAAGAAAAAAGCACAGAAGGCCGAGGTCAGTATGAAACCCACCATATCATTCAATTGCGCGTTTGATAGGAATCTCACAAATTTGAAGGCCTCCTTGCCCACCGAGAAACAGGAATCTCCAAAGTCACTCCCTCCCATTCCCACTCCAGAGGACGCGCCAGCCAACCCTAGCCATGACTTGCTTCTGGAACCGAGTGATCCTCTATGGGAGATGTACAAGGATGTTGCTGGGAAGTTCGATGAAACGACGACAGACAGCCTGCCCAAGGAGTCTGAGAAACCCGAGGTCTTTTTCGATGACGGCGATGAGATTCCCGACGAAGACCAAGAAGCCGAACCCAAAATCTCCAAGAAGAAGCGCAAGGAGATGAACAAACTTTCAGTGGCTGAGTTGAAGGCAATGGTTCGCAAACCCGAAATTGTTGAATGGACAGACACGTCTGCGCCCGACCCTCGACTTTTGATCCACATTAAGGCACATCGCAACGTGGTTCCAGTCCCCGCTCACTGGTCGCTCAAACGAGAGTATTTGTCCTCCAAACGAGGAGTGGAGAAAGCACCATTCGCGTTGCCAAAGTTTATCCAGGAAACCGGAATCTCGGAGATGCGCGATGCCGCGCTAGAGAAACAGGAGCAGTCTTCCTTGAAACAGAAACAAAGAGAGAGGGTCCAACCCAAGATGGGCAAGTTGGATATTGATTACCAAAAGCTCTACGAGGCATTTTTCCGATGTCAGACCAAACCGGAACTGACTCGTTATGGGGAGATTTACTACGAAGGGAAAGAGTACGAGACAAACCTCAAGCACCTCCGTCCCGGCGAAATTAGCGACGAACTGAGGGAAGCCTTGGGCATGGCCCCCGGAGGACCTCCACCCTGGCTCGTCAACCAGCAACGATTCGGCCCTCCGACATCATACCCTGCCCTGAAGATACCAGGTCTCAATGTACCACCCCCAGCCGGCGCGCAGTGGGGATACCACCCGGGTGGATATGGAAAACCACCAGTGGATGAACACAATCGTCCCTTGTGGGGTGGTGATCTGTTCGGTGTCGTAATAGCTGGACAGAACGCGCAGCAAGGAGAGCCAGTCGAAAAGGATCTGTGGGGCGAACTGCAAGAATCGGAGGAATCCGAAGCGGAGAGTGAAGAGGAGGAGGAGGAAGACGAAGAGGATGAGGACGAGGATGAGAGTACAGATCCCCGCTCTCCCGGTGGCCCGGAAGCTCCCCGTGCCATGGACCCGGTAGCACCACCTGAGTTCCTCGGCGCCGAAAATGTCTCCGGGGAATTTGACGTTCGCAAGCCCCACCGGGGAACCGAAACAGAAGAATATGGACAGCCTCGAAGTGCATACCAAGTGATACCAGAAAGACAAACACACGTTGAAGGATTCTTCGGTGGTGATAGGGCATACGATTTGAGTGGGTCGGCACCTAAACACCCGGTTCTTGGAGCGGATGACCAGAACCGCAAGCGCAAGAAGCCCGGGGATGTTGAGGTTTCCGTCGACCTGGATGCCATTCAATCTGGCGATGGAATCAGCAAAGAGAATCTCCAGAACATGTACGAGGCACAGAGACAACAGCAGAACCAGCCGAGTTGGGGATTCCAGGAAGACCTCAGTGATATGATCGCACAGGAGAGCCGCAAGAGATTGCGCAAGGAAGAAGAGCGACGAACCAAGCCTTGATCAGGCGGTTCTTTCATGGGCATCGGGCGTTTATCTGGTTTATTTTCCACTTGTGTATGACCTTTGTATGAGGAGTAATGTACTTTAGATTCCACCGTGAGGATACATTGGACATTAGGCCTTGATAATCCTGTAATTCTCCAGATTCCCTTTCGGAAGAATCAGAATCGATAGATTCAGACAACCCAGGGAGACCACTGTGTGAAGTAGCCGCATGGGGGGTCTGTTTGTGGATCTATATACGGGGCACTCTGGTCGGAGGGGATGTATGCAGTAGTTCACTCCGGAGTGCTCTGTATGTGTAGTTTATAACTAAATAGTTACCCTAAGTGGAAATTTGGAGTACGTAATCAAATGATTGGGCCCGGGGCTTAGTGGCTTTCCGAAAATGGCTTAGTTTGACCTTTAACCATCTCGATCGGTCTCCCAACTCCTTCAATCCTTAAGACTCAAGATACAAACCTCTCGATTCGATCTACTTTAGATCTTGGAAGTGCGGGCTTGTTTTAGTCGCTGTGGGCTGTCTTTTTTCCTAGTTCCTGGCCCCTGAGCATCATGGATTGGGATCGCAGAAGGTTTGTCGCTCATGGGATCTTCAATCACCACAACTTTTCTGACTTTTTCTCCCTCAAATCTAGATTTGAGGATCGAAGAGGAGGCGAGAGTTATCGGCCCGCGGAGAGAACTGGCCGTTCACCTTCTCGTGGATATGAGATTCGTCGCCGCTCGCCACCACGCACACGCTCTCCTCGACCACGAAGTCGTTCCCGACCGCAGGCCGATACATGGGTCCCACCATCTAATAGAGGTTATGGACGACCGCGAAGTCGCTCTCCACCGCCATATCGGCGCCGCTCGCGCACTCCACCCACCAGAACTTTCGGGCCAACTTCTTACGACCGTAGGAGATCTCCACCCAGAAGATTTTCACCCCGAAGAGATGAAAGGATGAGATCGCCGCCGCAATCCTGGCGCTCAAAGTCTCCTTATAGCGATGGGAGGTCACGCGATGCGTCTTGTGCTCGTACCAGTCCGAGGCGACCTCGCGACACAACTCCAAGTAGCCAGACCTTCCGACCCGCTAGGCGAGATCCCCCTACCGGCCCGAGTATCGACAAATTCTCGAGGCCACCCTCCCCCTCGAGCACTGCCAGATACCTCCCTACCGCAGGGTCCATCTCATGCCCCTCGCCGGGAACATATTTCGGATGGGGTGAGTCATAATAGGACTTCGTCACCACCAAAGCTCACTTCGCCCCCGACCACCCTAGCCTTGTCGGGTTCAGAGCCACGCCGCTCACCTCTAGGTGCAGAGGAGCCAAATTTCATACCACAAGGGCCCCGGGCCCGCTCTCCAATTCACCCAATACCCCCGTCGCGTTTCTCGAAACCCGCAAGTCGATCCCCTCATCTGGATCAGCATCAAGATTCGGATGCTCCCCTCCCTCCAAAGCGGATTGATCACGACGATCGTGATGCGATGACTCCCCCTTCTCTTGACCAAGGTCAGCCTCCACCAAGCGGGCCTAGAATGAGTGGAAGTGTCCCAACACAACCGAAGAATCACAGTGCTGGACCGGTTTCACAGCCACCATCCGGTCCCTACCAGGGACCAAGACCACCATCTCACCAGCATCGTGCCTCTCCAAACGTTTCTATGCTCTCGGCCCCGACGCGTCCTCGTCGTGGACCCAGCTCACGGGAACCTTGGACGGGACCCCCGTCGAGCCGTCGTGGATCGGCTGCTCTCTCCCACGGTCCACCCGTCGGTCCTCGTGCTTCCTTCTCGCCGCCTACAGCTGGTGGTGGGGGGATTCCGCCAGTCAACCCCCCGGCAACCGAGCGTCTCTACCCCTCAACCCTCGACACATAGGGGACCGAACTATTTAGCAGGTGTCAGTGCTCTTATACCAGAAGGGAAGAGCTTCTCAAACTTCCTGGATCCCGCTGTGGAGAAGCGGCTGTGTCAACTTGAAACAGACAGAGAAAAGCTTCTGGAACAAATCGCAGAAACGCAGCGAACCAAGCGCGTGGAACTTCGTGACTGGGATCGCCTCGATCGCGAAAGTGCCATTTGTGCCCTCAAAAGTGAATTGGCCGAAGGTCATCTCCAACGAATGGCCGACGAGAGCATTGGAGGAGGGATACTCTTCTAACTTCCAAAGCACCAGCATGTATTATTATTTTTACGAGATGATGACTTTGTATAATTCCAAGACTGTTAATGAGCTCAGTTCGTTTCCTCATATGAATCTCGTACAGCTCTGGGGAGTCAAGGGGATCGGTATAGATCAATATAGATCGCGCAGGCAGAATGTACAGGAGTATACATGTACTCCGGACATGGGAGGCATGTCGTGAGGAATTCAATGTACATTGCTATACTTGGGACCAAGGTAGTTTTGCACGGAAACCACGCTGTTGCAGTACTTTCACAGATGTACTGCGGAGTACCCGGTACTGTAGGGGTAAATACATGTCGCGTACCTGCGATCTGCAAGTAATTTAACCCTTCCGCTTTCTGCCTCCGTGTCAACAACTTCATACTCCCGACCTCTGGGACACCTCCCATCCTCTTTCTTCCCTTCTATCTTCTATTCACTGGCTTCGTATTCACCATGAATCTCTTTCGGCTATTAGGTATGTCTGAAAATTATTCCAATACGAATCTTTATTGATCCGTCGCAGCCGATTTCTCCCACCTGGCGTCGATCTTCATGCTGCTCCAGAAGATGAAGACCTCGAGCGTATGTAGTTCCTCCAATTGAGTGTGGTCCTGTGCCCTGCTAACGAGATACCTAGAGCTGTTCCGGGTTGTCGTTCAAGTCGCAAGTGCTTTATCTCCTCGTGTTCGTCACTCGTTATCTTGGTGAGTTACTTTCCAATGATCGGCTCGTCTCTCATCGCTCATGCGCCTCTCAGACCTTTTCTGGACTTTCACCGAATCTCTCTACCTCACAACATTCAAACTTTTGTTCATCGGCTCCTCCGCCTACGTGATCTACCTCATGCTCAACGACTACAAGCCAACGCATGACCCCAACATCGATACTTTCAAGGTCCAATACCTGCTGGGTATTAGCGCCGTGCTCGCGATTCTTTTCCCACACGACTACCGAGTTTCCGAGGTATATCGACTCGCTTCGAAGCTGCGACCGAAATAATGAGCTAACCTCATCTAGATCCTCTGGACCTTTTCGATCTGGCTGGAATCAGTCGCTATCTTGCCGCAGCTCTTCATGCTTCAACGAACTGGGGAGGCGGACACGATTACCACCCACTATCTGTTTGCTCTGGGCCTATACCGGGCACTCTACATCCCCAACTGGATGTTCCGATACTTCACCGAGGCTTCGTTCCAACGTTCCTTCCAGCCTGTTCCCATTCTTGCAGGTATCATCCAAACCCTGCTTTACTCCGACTTTTTCTATATCTATTACAATAAGTAAGTCCTCTGGTCTGACAGCATGGTGGGCCAACACTGACATCGACGCTCTTCTGTCCAGGGTCCTAAAAGGCAAGAAGTTCTCGCTGCCTGTCTAGGATGCAATTTGTTGGAGCCAGAGGCAAAAATGAAGGCGTCCAAGACTTGATGAAATATCGTATCTATTCCCGAGAATGTGTATGTGACTTCATATCTGATGATGGCTCAATGAGTTCCTATACTTGCTCGGTGTGTTCAGAATACACCAAACACCGACTATGACCGTACGACCGCTTGAGCTCTTCATCGCTCAAGATCGATGCTTGCTGACAGTGGGCTACGAATTGATGTTCTCATGTTGAACGTGAGATTTAAATAGACCTGCAAGCAATTGCACAAACGCGAAGCTCGTGGATTGGTACTGGCCTGCCTCATCTTGCGTTGGAAATTCGCAAGACGTGTTGCTTCGTGTCAATGTGTTCCTGGTTCACGGGCCTCCACAGTGTGTCTACAAGCCTAGATAAGCTTATTTCAATTGACTTGCGCCAGCAAAATTTCCGCTCACACCATGGCAATCTTCTTTAAGGATAGACAGTAGCAGCATGACAGAAGACGTGGTCTTCGATCATAGTATAGGGGATGCAAAGGTGACTTGATAAATGGGTGTATTTGTGATCTTGATATTGTATCTTTTCGCGAAAATTTCCACGTTCCAAGCCCTTGGGCGTCCTGGCTCGACTGCAAATGCGTTGGAAGCCCCCTCCAAGACTTATGGCAACCAACTCCTTTCAAAGGCACTTTTTTCTACAGGGAAGAGTACAGAGTAATCTTCTCCCCTGGACATAACATGCGGCAATCAAAACTCTCTCTGGGATGGAGTATGTGTCGGCACATAACCAGTATAGCTCAGCTGCGATGGAGGAATAGATAGGTCAGCGGAGAAGGGATCCAATGTGTTGGCGATTGAATGTGAAAGGTTGCCCATGGAGCTTTGATACGACCGAACTCCATTTCCGAGAGTCGATCGGCCCTGTACACTTTGATGGCTGTCCAACCAGCCATTGTGACCATGTAAATGGCCAAAAAAGTCCGGAGTTCGATCAAGAGGCATTTGGCCACTAAAATTAGATTCGCGCCGCGAAATTGGGGGTGATGGAAGCTTTGGTGACCGAGGGACCATGTCCAGCCTAGGCGAGCTCCGGCGTGAATTGGGCGGAGTTAAACGTGAGCCTCCTCGTCGTACCTGGCAGGTTGGGCAGATCTTCACAAAGCGAGAGATCAGTTCCTTGGGAACCCTAGTTAACCGCGTCAACAGAGTACCCTTTGCATAGATATTGCATCGTTCCTTACCATGAATAGATCCTCCGGACCTGGGCAGAAGTCTTGTCACGGCCACCATGCTGGCATTGCTGATGGGCCTTGGTGAGAATTTTGAACAGTTTCTCCCGAATGGCGACAGGTTTGCCCTCATGACAGATCATTTTTCGATTCTTTGTGGCAATGCTAGATCAGCATTGTAGAATTATCTCGTCAGGAGGGGCGGCACCTACATCCGATGCTCCAATCCCCACTGCTTGTAGTTTGAACATTTTCTTGACCCAGAATCTGATGTGGTTAGCAAAGCATTCTCATCGAGCGATGTTTTGGAGAGCTTATACCGGAATTGAGCCGACTCGACCGCCGTGTCCTTTGGGTCAATCAACACAGTCCGGATATTCCGGGCTCTTTTAGCATAAATCAACGCCTTGTCTTGCTTCTTGATGGAGAGATCCTCGACATAGCTAAGAAGATAAGTCAGATTTACGAAACGTAGTAATATACCCGAGGGTCTCACTTCTGCATTAGCTGATCGAACTCTTTCACGTCGGGAAAGCCACTGAGTGGAGGCACCACCGCTTCGGATAGCAAAGTAGCCTCGTTGCGAGATTCTTGGCTTTCAATCTCTGTGTCACCCAGTGGATCGCGTGGCAGATACCTGGACGCTTGGAGGTATCGTGATTGAGTCACGTACTGTGGCGAATGGTGTAGCCTTGGATCATCCGGAGTTGTCATAGATGGGATTGAGTGCTCCGAGCTGTACTGTAAATGCTGTATCCCCGGAGACAGACTTGGATGTGGGCCGTAGGGCTGACCGAATTGGGAGCCGTAGGGATTGAAGGAATGCTGAGGAAAGTGGTATGAGCCTGATCCATGCGTGCTGAAATCGTGGGCTTCTTGCTTGAAGTCATGATTCTCTGGCTGGCCGTATGACCCAGGCACTGCCATTTGGTGATTCATGAGATATGCATCATTCCCTTCGTTGCGTCTTGCAAAGCTGCTCATAGCTGACGAGTTGCGGACGACCGAAGATTGAATGGGCAAAATCAATTCAGCTCGTTCCAGTTTGCTTCGAATCACAGAAGAATGGGAGTATGGCGGAAGATGATGTTTGATTCAAACGACAACGAGAGTGATTGATAACGACCGCGAGGGTGTAAGGTAACGCAGAGAGCTTGGTCACCCAGCTTTCGAAGCGAGGAATAACGGCCAAATGAAGCTGATAGAAGAGAAGTCAAGGTGTCGAAGACCACGGCTCAATGCAGTATAGTGAAGGAAAGGAAAGAAATAAGTCACTGGAGGCCCATCTAGAAACGGGATAGTAATTCTATTAAAAAGATCGGACGAATGTTGCAGGACTGACATGGCTAATGCCCAAGTGCACGAGACCATGTCGAAACAGAGATAGTGGACAGAAACAACAGAGGGCATCCCTGGAAGACGAACAGCAAATATTCCACAGAGAAAAAGAAATGGAGCCAGGCGAGTCGAGCAAAGCTCTGTAAGGTACGGGAAGCAAGTGTATTACCAAAGGTTGCAGGGGAGAGAGTGACATGGGTCCTGGAGGAAGAGAAGGGGGGAGAGAGCAAGGAAAAAAAAAACAAAAAAGTCCCCCCCAAAAAAAAAGCCGAGAGCAATAGAGTGGACTAGGATTCGTGGTCCATTCTTTCCGACCCGCCGAGGGTATTGTAGAGAGTAGACTGATACGACAGCGCACAGGTGATACGGATTCCTGCCTCGATGCCCTGGAGGTCAATCAGCGCCACCATTTGCCTCAGAGCCACGTTGGATGTGAGAGTGGACAGCCTACTCGAGGCACCCTATCGGAGACTGAGATGACCAGGGGTGGTAAAACATTCGACCTGGTTTGACCGAAAGTACGGGGGGCAAAGTCAACTCTCCCCGACTTTTCCTATACTTAGGCACAAGCCTTGGAATCTCCCAGGAAGCGCAGGAATCGGGGGATCTCTGTCTTTGTCTCTGCACGTTTGCCTCCGATCAAACAAAGTCGGCAGGAGATCTCGAGCGAAGAACCCCCCAGTCAAAAAGACAGAACATGCAAGTAGCCGTGCAAATTCGTAAGGAACATGGATTTGGATGTCCCACTTGGCGTCCCACTTGACGTCTCACTGGGGGAAGGGAGGGGGAGGACTTCTGCGAGCTCGAGGGAAGTACTCCGTAGACCGAAAAAGCAAAAGAAAATAATAGAAGAGAAAAAAGGAATAAAGTAAATTAAAAGACAAGAAAGGCATAGTCAAAGTCAACTCCCCCAAAAGAGGGAATTTGGAGCAAGATTCGATAGAGTCTTCTAGGGGACGATCCTTGTCGCATGCATGTTGTACGGTGTGTGGGCCATGTTGTCCGACAGCTTCACTGTTCCAGATACCAGTGAGCTTCCGCTTGCGTGTTTCGGGTTTTTGACGTGGCCATACATCAGAATGGAGGAAAGTGGCAGGAGATGTCAGCCAAGAGAGGGGGCGACAGAGCAAGGCGAACGATTGGATGAATTGAGTTGACAGGCGCATATGGGGGGCAATCAATGCATATCGGGACGGCAGGATTGCATGCGTTTGGCCCCAAGGTGAGACACCAACTCCATCGGACTTTGAGCGCCCAACACTTTCCCTCCTCAAGGTTCGGACCCTCGCAGGACAAAAGCAATCGTAACCCGGCCCAGTCGAAAACTGCTAAGGGGGAAGTGTACAATCTAGCAGCCGGTGTCACTCTGCTGCTTCCCGTGGATCTTCTCCATGTTCCCGGAAATGGTCTGCATAGGGGCTATCGGTATCCCCCCGAGTCCGAGGTGTTTCGTCTCCTTTTGACTCGCATCGATCTGCATCATGGATATTCCTTGGTCAGCGCCAATGGTCGCATCGGGGGAGGCTCACTTCGATGTCGCGCTTTCAAGTGAGTTGGAAAACAAGAAACAAGAAGTGAAAGAGAGAGAGAGAGAGAGAGAGAGAGAGAGAGAGAGAGAGAGAGAGAGAGAGAGAGAGAGACCAAAAAAGAGACGAAGAAAGAGAGAAAGAAGAAGGGTAATTCCCTTGAACATTAAACGGTATGTACTCAAACAAAATATAGTTACAAAGGAAGCATCTGACTGTGCTTCGAGGTGAACCGTAAAGTCATGACATCGGCCAAATCATCAAGGCCAATCAATTGGGGGGTCTTCATGTCGTAAGTTCGTTTGTGATTTCAAAAGGAGCCCCAAGGCTCCATGACCACTGGCCCGTGGGCTCAAGGTCTGTCAGGCCAATGAATTGTTATCAAAGCCTACCAAATCGCGGATGATCCATCTCCAATGGTTCGCTTGATCATCGCGATCAAAACCAACCCACTTGTCAACCTTCCGCCTCCACTTTTCTTCTTCGACCCGTTGTCGTCGGATAAACTCTGGGCCAACATCAAATTCCTCAGTCATAGGTCCTTCATCTGAAGAATCACCGCCACTGCCGTCTTCCCCTGTCACGTGGCTGGGGTCCTCAAACACCCCGGACTTTCGCCCATGGATAGTGCTGCTTGTGACCGTATCTTCCAGATCAGCGAGGCCTGCAAACACGTCATCTTCGTCTCCAGCCTCAGCACTTGCGGTCTTGAGCCAGCACATGCGATGGGGATCGAAAACCATCCCCCGACGGTTTGAACGTTTTGCATCGTGCCGACGTTGGTGATAAGCGCCGGTGCAGGCTTGGGCGATTTCGGAGCACTGATTTCGAAATCAGGGATCTGGTTTTCATTTCCTTCCCACCGAAACGTGGTGGGATTGTAGCGCATGCCCCTCACGGCTGTGACAACGGACAGGAAGTAAGTAATGTGCCCTGGAAGTTCTGTTCGAGAGTGGATGGTTGTACTTACATTTAGCATCCTGGACGCCACTCCCCATCGGTTTGATCAAATGGGGCTTGGTCATCGATTTGGAGCTCGGTTTACCTTTGCGGCTTCGGATTGTTGCAGCGGCTGGCGGAGGAATCCGTGAGATTGGCTGTGGCTTCCAACCCGAGTTGAAGCTCGAGATAGAGCCTGTTTCACGGGCTTTCGAGCTCATAGCCATAGAAGCAATGCGTTGTTCCCTGGCATTCCGGGAAGCATTGGTATCTTGGGCAAACCTCGGTGTTGGACTGCGCAATTTGGAAGCTGAGGGAGACGTCACCGGCTGGGGAGGTGATTCACCATGAGTCAGATCAGCTCGGCTCTGACTGAGCTTGTTCCTGACAGATCTCGGAGCGCCTCGGCCCGTAGGAGTTTTGACAAACTTGCTTTCTGCGAAGACCGATGTAGATAGATCATCAAAAGATTCCAACTCTGATCCATCGCCAAAATTGCGTCTCTTGGTGGGTTTGGTGATGGTTCGTTTTGAGGCGTGGCCAGCGGAATGAGTGCCTGTCTCACTAGGGCCAGCACGGAGGGATTCATGTTGGCTTGACCTGCTCAGACGAGAGAATGAGTTTGGTGGACTCAAGAGGCCACTAGAACTATCAGAGTTCGTGCGACGTGAGGTCCGATACCCCTTCACACTGGCATTATGCGACTGAGTCTCTGAGACACCAGCTGGCATAAACGGCGCCTGAGTTCTACGAGTCAGTGATCGTCCATCGTGGATGACACGCTCCACCGGTGTTTTAGGTCTGGCAGTAGGGATGCGAATAGGACGATCGACTGGTGCTCGTTGAGAGGTTTGCACCGACGAACCTGACCCGACACCGCGGATTGAGGGCAGAGATCGCTTGGGTTTTAGACGTCGAGCCGAAGGATTGATCTCATCAACGAGAGTAGAGTCTCGAGAAGTTCGTGATCCCAGGACCCGTCGAGCAGAAGTTAAAGGAGTTGGAGAGGTTGCGCTAGAGTTAGACACCGGAAGGCTCGAGGTTGACGACTGTGACGAATGCCCAAGCCGGGATTGTGATGTCCTGAACCTGAAGAGAGGAGCACCGCTTTCTGACACGGTTTCAAGATGTGTGGAATGTGTGCGCTCATGGCCTGATAGTCGCGGGATGCGCGTCCTTGGGGATCCCGTCGTACTAGTGAATGTCAGGGTTGTCGCTGACCGACGAGTTGGGCTGGATGGTTGTTCCGTCTTGCGTTTTATGTTGGGGTTCAAGTCTGGTTTACCAAATGAGAAAGCTTTCTCGCCGTCGACTTCAATTCCAGAGAAAAAGTCATCAACATCCGGGGGAGCATGGATCGTCTTCTCTTCTATCTCGCCGTTTTCATCTTGCGCTGATTGTCGTTTTCGAAGAGAAGCATTGAAATCAAGAGGACCGTCGGGAAGAACAATGCCATCAAGCCCATCATCCCCGCTCTCTGCCGTCAGACAGCTGGAGACGCTGGGACTAGCAATCGATATGGAAGAGCTGGGGAGCGACCGGCCATCTCTAGCGGTTCCTCCAACTCGAACGCCAATACTGCCTTCGGACCATTCAAGGTCAAAGTCATCCAGGGTGGGAGTGGAGGCGCCGTTGGTTTCTTTTCGGTGAGATAGTTCTAAAGGTTGGTGATGTTCGGGGAGCTCAAAATCCTGGTTAAAGTCATCTTCTGTCTCCTGATTCACTTCGACGGGCGTAATCTTTTGAGGAGACCGAGGAGTTGGGGCTTTGAGGGTTGGAGCGTCGGGGAATTCTAGGCCCTCAGTCTCTCCGTCGAGGTCACCAAATGCCCCCAGGGCAGATTGAAGCCGGGTAGAGATCTCTGCATTCCATGGTGTTGAGATAGTGGGTTTCACTGGACTGGTAGCCACGGAACCGAGCAATCCGATAGAATCCGGAAACACGGTTTCATGGGTCTGGAGTCTCAGAACGGTCTCTGGACCAGGAAGCTCAATATCCTCTGACCAGTCGTCAACAAAGGTTTTCCTGGTTTTCCGACTTGACAAGCGCTTAATTGTACCCCCAATGAGTGCCGACTTCGGGATATTGGAAGGGATGGGAATTCCGGCGGTTTTGGCGGATGCAATGGCCTCCTCTTTGGCGAACTCGTCATGATCATAAAGCGGGACCTGCCAGTCCTCGTCGCCGGCGTTGGACTCTAGGTCTGAGCGGGCAGAGCGTCTCGATGATATGGAGTCTCGGTGGCCAGAGGGTCGAAATGACGAGTTTGTTATGGAGCCTGCACTAGACGCAGTGCGGAACTGAATATCCTCGTTGAATTGTAGATCGTCGTCGTCGTCCCAGCATTCAACTGACTCCTCGACGTCCGGTCGTAGTTGTGTGTAAATTGTCTCCATGGTGAAGCGGATGGAAAGTGGTCAGGGCGGACACCGGATGCGGCGATGTCGATGGTGGTGCACGTATGCCGAGGGAGCTCTGCTTCAAGAAAAGAACTCACAGCTTTGCGACTCTGAGGGATATCCAGGGGGCGCGAACATGAGGGTCATTCCGTGGCGGTTGTGGATGAAGGGATCAATGGTCTGCAGTCGAAACAAGACTTGGAGGGGAAAGCAAATGTATTTGCGAATATCGCAAGGCGAATGAAAATGGTGTCAGTGAATCCCTGGGGAGGTTGGCAATCGACAGCACTGGCAGCTTCGGGGGGTGTGATAGATTCAAGGTGCCCCGACAACATGTAGAGAGCAATGCAGCATTGGGGATTGTGAGAACCCTACTTTCCGAGAAGACACCCTAAGAGTTTCTCAGTGGTTAGGGGTGTTTAGGTAGCAAGCAGTGAGTCCAGAGTAAAAGGGTAGTGGCTGGTTCGGGATCCTCGTGGAGGAGGAACGTGACGGATTTGTATTGGTAATATATCTGGTAATCTCAATACGGAGGTAAATGGACAACCGCATGGATCTTTTTGTTTTTTTTTTTTTTTTTTGTTTTTTGTTTTTTTTTCAGATGATGATAATATACCTCTATCTGAATGTCATTAATGTCATCACCTCAATAATGTCTACTCAATACTCTGTATGGAGTACTCCGTACGACTAGGTAAGCTACGGAGTACAATACCAGTCACTGCAATATGTATGGAGAAGTACGGAGAAATGAGGGTTAATTGAAAACTACCTTACGGAGTATATAAGTCTCCAATTGACTATGCAAAGTACGGAGTACGAAGTCTCCACTAGTTAACTATAGTGCTGCAAGGTACCTATACATTGAGCAGCTCAGAGATCTTCAAATCTGAGAGGTTGGGTTCTAAAAATACCGTACAGCGCTATTGAGCCGCCAATGCCGGCGGTGGTATCCAAAACTGAAAATATACATTTGTAGTTGGTACATAGTGTATCTCCTCTTGAATATGTGGGGACCAGGTAGTCGCTACTTATCTGTGGGAGTACACACCGTGGTTCCTGTTGCCTACTTTCGGTAACTTCGTCACTTATTCCGTCTACGATATATCCATTGTCAACATACCCTCTCTGTATCACACTCACCTTGCATTCTTCGGGGCTTTTCTCTCCCTACTCGCAAATTCCATAATTTGACCTGTCAACATGTCATCACCAGAAAGAGTTTTGCGGTTTGAGAGATCCGACGAAACAGGGGCTTTTGTCTTGATACATGTCTCACATCAAGGCCCAGCGCTGCTTGATCTGACCCTAACGGCCACCGAGGGGGAATCGCCCTATGTGAGCGTGGGTGAGTCTGGACTTTGGGTTACGGTTACTGGATCCCGGAGGCTGATGTCGTGCAGTGAAACAAGCCCGTCTCAAAGATCTCCGTGCCAAAAGCTACCAGGGATCGGAGGATGAGTGGACGGGTATTGTCGCCTTCTTTTTAGGCCAGTCCCCGTCTTCTGATCGTCCCGACGGGGTCACAGGTCTGGAAGCCTCGGCGAGTATGTCCGGCTCTGACCAAAACAAAACACTCGTCATCACAATACGCAAGCGAGTACAGAGCATCACGGTGTGTGTTTCATCATGGAATCTGAGATTGCACTGAGACTGACCTCAAATAGCAACGACTGGGGGCCCTGAGTCTGAAGCAAGATGATGAGCAGTCCATCGAGCTCTTTGACTGGACTGGGATCTCTGCCGCAAGGGCAAATGATCTTGAACAACAGGTTTCCAGTCTGGCTAGTCGGCATACTTTTGCTGAGAACACCATAAAAAAATTGACCCAACAACTGGACGAGCTCATGGATGCAAAAGCCCACCACGAAAATCAGCTGATGGCGAATTTTACGCATATACTAAACGAGAAAAAGCTAAAGGTGCGCAACCAACAGCGCCTGTTAACAGCAGCAACTGTGGACCCCAGAAGAAGTAAGAATTATACACACCAAACCACGGTATGCCTGTGTGACTCACTACTCCCAGTTTCCGAGATACAAGCTTGTATGCCTACAGACAACCCCGACGTCCATGGGTCATTGCACCCAGCAAAGAGGAGTGCGGGTAGCTTGAGCGACACGGACACCTCAGATGGGTTTGAACGAATGGAAATTGATCAATCCAAGTCCGGCAGAGTGGCTGTCAGTGGCCACGACACAGACAATGAAAGACTCTCAACTCCCCAATCGCCAGAGGAAGACATCACAAGCTCCACCGACGATGATTCATCGCAAGAGCTGCCAGCCCAGCCGAAGCGAGTGGCTCAAGGAAGTGAAACTGCCCCGCCTCAAAGAGTGCTACCGTTTGCCAAGAGGACCCGGGATAACTCCCAGAGCAATGTGCCTACTGCGCTTAAAAGTAACCCGGAGGCTGATGCAGGTGAAACGGACGATGACGAGCTTTAGGATATTGCACAGATATGATACAATAATACTACAAGACTTGAAAAGACATTTGGAAAGACATTTGGAAAGACATTTGGAAAGACATTTGGAAAGACATTTGGAAAGACATTTGGAAAGACATTTGGAAAGACATTTGGAAAGACATTTGGAAAGAAGACTTGGAGATGTCGGTCTCTAAAGAACCTCGGAATACGGCCATGAAGATACTTTCCCACAAAAGCATATTGAACAATCAATACACCGGTCTACAGGAAGAAAGGAGAGTTCACCATCCTCAACACCCATGGATTTGAAATTTTAGGGGTTCAGTCTTTTTATGTACAAGTCAACCATGACCATTGAATCCAGGCGACGCCATGTGAGAGCGAAGAGGTCAACAGGCACCAGGAGGGGTGTTCAAGACGACAGGGGGAAAACACAGAAGATGGAAGAAAAAAAGGGAGACGGCACATCAATAGGGAAATTTAAGATGTAGTACAAGAGGAACGCCAGCAACCATTAAAGAAACATAGAATGCGGTCATCACGAACCACGATCTAACCATACAAAGCTTGGGGAGACATCTCTCCCGCGGCCATGAAGTTGGTCTCGGGATTTCCGGTGGCCTTAGCAGCGGAGGCGCGGGCCATGGTAGGCGAGCTAGGACAGAATTAGCATTTGTGAACGTGCAGGTGAAGGAAAGGGGAAAGATACGAACCTCCTGGAGATAGCGTCGGTGAAGAAGAAGTCTTCAATGACCTTCTTGAAAGGCTCATTGGTAGCCACGGAGCCCCTGTTTTGGTCCACAAGCTGAACCTTGCTCAATGAGCCAACTGAAGTGGGCTCAACGACATCGTAGCGGCGCATGACAGGGCTGATTTCCTCCATGCGGTCACGGAGAGCTTCAATATCATCATAAGGAAGAGGAGCATTGAGGAATTCACTGGCCGCGCGAATGATCTTCCAGTCATCACGAGCTGCGCCAGGAAGAGAGGTGGCAGCACGGGTGACCTGCACACGACCTTCGGTGTTGATGTAAGTACCAGACTTCTCAGTGTACGCAGCACCGGGAAGAACAACGTCGGCAAGCTGAGCACCGCGATCACCGTGGTGTCCCTGGTAGACAACAAACGCATCCTTGGGGATCTCACTCTGAGCAATCTCATCCGCACCCAGGAGCCACACCATCTTGGGGGCGGTCTGAGCAACTTCTGTGGATGGGGCAGTGAAACCAACCTCGTACGCACCGGCACGGGAGGCGGCACGCTGGAGAACGTTGTAGCCTTGCCACTCGGGGGTGGTGAAGGTGGTTGCGTGCTTCTCAACAAAGCCACCGACAGCCTCGAAGATTGCCTTTGAATCGGCATGTTCAGCAGCGGCGCTGCCAACAATGATCATTGGTCGCTTGGCAGCGGCAAGCTTCTTGCCAAACTCTCCGGACAGAGCGCTCTTCAGGGAAGAAACGTCGGTACCGAGGTGGTTGAAGTCAAAGGTGCTCTCAAACTCTTCGCCAACAAGACCAATCTCGAGGTCAGATCGGAGGTATTGCTTGCGAATGCGAGCGTTAAGGACCGCAGCCTCGTGACGAGGGTTGGTGGCAACGAGAAGGATAGCATCCGCCTCCTCAATGCCGTAAATCTTGGAGTTGAAAAGGTAGTTAGAACGGACATCAATACCGTGAGCAATGGGAGCGCTGCCTCCAGGTTGATCAAGGGCAAGGTTGTCAGAGCCGAGCTTGTTAGCAAGGTCTTTCATTGCGACGAGCGACTCGGCGTCAACCAGATGTCCTGCAACAGCCTTGAACTCGTTGGCCTTGGGCTGGATCTTCTCTTGAGCGGCTGAAATCTCCAAGAGAGCTTGTTCCCAAGTAGCAGGAACAAACTTGCCCTCCCGGCGGATGAGCGGGGTGGTAAGACGCTGAGTCTTCAAGCCATCACAGGCGAAACGGGACTTGTCGTTGATCCATTCTTCGTTAACATCGTCGTTCAATCGAGGAATAACACGCATGACCTCCAATCCTCTGCTGTCGATGCGAATGTTGGAGCCAAGTGCGTCGAGCACATCAATCGATTCGGTGTGCTTCAGCTCCCAAGGACGCGCACGGAATGCGTACGGCTTCGAGGTCAGCGCACCGACGGGGCAAAGGTCAATGACATTGCCGGAAAGTTCTGAGTTGAGGTTTTGTTCGAGGTAGGTTCCGATCTGCATGTCGTTTCCGCGGCCAGCGGTTCCCAATTCCGGGGCACCGGCAACATCGTTCATGAATCGTACACAGCGAGTGCAGTGAATGCAGCGGTTCATTGAGGTCTTGACCAAGGGGCCAATGTTCTTGTCCTCCACAGCACGCTTTCCGCCTTCCTCGTGGAAACGACCCCGGTCGGCACCGTAGCGCATAGACTGGTCCTGAAGATCACACTCTCCTCCTTGGTCGCAAACGGGACAATCGAGGGGGTGGTTAGCGAGGAGGAATTCCATAACACCCTCTCGGGCCTTGTGGACCAGCGGTGAGTTGGTTTTCACCACCATGCCGGGTTGTACGGGCCATGCGCAGGAGGCGACCGGCTTCGGGGCACGTTCGACTTCGACGAGACACATACGACCTGAATTGGCGGTAAGCAAATGATTTTTGGGTGGTAATTGAAGAATAGCGACTGTTGAACTTACAGTTTCCTGCAACCAAAAGTTTTCTGGGTGACTAGGATTAGCAACAACAACATAAATGATTCGATCGAAGGCACATACTCGTGGTAGCAGTATCTGTTACATGTTAGCAGTCGGGACCACAAGGCAATTGGGGAGGGGTCTGTCATACCTGGGGACTGTGGCGCCTGCTTGTTCGCATGCTTGGATGAGAGCCGAGCCGGCTGTGAGATGAGGTGAGAAGGAACCCAATTGAATGTCTGATGATGAGATTTACCTTCTACGGAGACCTTCTTGCCATCTAGAGAGCCGAATCATTAGTAATCGGTCAAGTTGGATGCACACGACGGATAGAAGGCATACCAATGGTGAGTTCCACCTCGGCCGCGCGAGGAACTGTCGTCGCGAAGGTTCTGGGTGTGATCTTGGGAGCCCGGAGTGACCGAGCGGCCGCACGGAACAGCTGCGGCCGCATCATTGCAGAGAAGCAGACTTAAAGGGGTGGGAGATAAGGTGGAGGAGGGCGAGGGGGTGGGTTCTTGACAGTTGGGAGTTCAGAGAGCACTTTGCACCGGAATCTGCGGTTACATAATGGGGCTGCTGACCATCCCTCCGGCTGACTAAGAACAACGAGAAATGGCCTCACGCGGATTGGCTCGGTTATCACTCGCCGCCTTAGATATAAATACGGCAGAACCAATCTTCGGCGGTCAGTCGGGGTGCCATAAAAATCGCTCGGCCGCGTCCCGCTTCATCCTTCTTTTCTTACTAATTAAATTGTTTCACGGGCATCTTTTATTGTAGGAAGCAGGCTGTTCCTGTTCCTTTTTCCTCTACAGCATGTCCCAAGAGCAGATTGCGCCGTAGCTGGAGCTGTCAAGGGTTCGCCTGATGATGACTTTGTTTCCTTACCAACGTCGCTACAGCCCTTTTCTTTACACTGAATTTATATCAATACATTTCCAATTCTTTTGCGTCCATTTGTGATGTTGGTAACAGCGTACTCATGCGCCGCTCAAATAGTAACTAAAAGTCTCGTGAACATGTTGGGCACCTTTCAACGTCAGGGATACGGAGTATTTGATCATGATGCATGTCGGGTTACTTATCCGTTCTATATCCCATACAATGTGGGGCCTATACGGAGTACCATGGTCATTATTTCAAGGTGCCCAGGTGGACTTTATTCTCAATAGTGTACATCCCACACAGTTACGGGGCTCGCCAACACTGCTGCCATCAACGAGGGTAACTACTTTTAAGACATTTCGTAAACAGGACAGAATATTAACGTAAAGCTTCTGCCAGCATCACAACGCCATGATATCATACAAACCAGCTAATAAACACAAAGGCTAAGTCGCAGCTTGCGTGTCGTTGACTTGCCATGTAGATTCTTGTTTTGTTCCTGGTAGCCAGGTCCGGGACACACTGGCTCCTCTGGGTCGGACGTGCCCTTGTCGGTCATCTTCTTTTTTGGAGTTGTTTGTGGCGAGGTATGGGTTGCCGGACTTGACGGCATCGCCATTCCTACCCCCTGGAAAGGCATAGCCATTGGAGTCCCATGGCCTGCTTGAGTGTCGAACGTTCATCGGCAAGATGGACTTTTGAGCCCGGAAATGATCCGCATTAGCTCTTTGGTCCGCTACGTCGTCGTGGCTGTTGCGGTCGTAGAGGTAAAGACCGACAAACGTGAGGGCAATCCCAACTGCCTGGATTGAAGTGGTAGAGCTACCGAACCAGACAATCGCCACAACGATCACAAACACACGTTTGACCAATGATGCCACCGAGTACGACACCGGGGAAATCATTGACAACAGAACGAAGGCCAAAATGTTCTGGGCAAAGTGAGAGACTCCGTTGAAAACGAATTCAACCACAAGGGCACCATGGTCCAATGACCCCTTCTTGCCTGAAAGCGAGATCACGCCGTCATTGATGAAATCTGCGACCATGGGATACCCTTCAGTTACAAACCAAAGAGGCAGGGTAAGGAAGAAGGCCAACCCAGAGCAATAACACAGAAGATTGAGTTTATCCAGCTTTCGCCGTCCAGGGTTTTGCATTTCAGATTCCGCACGTTCTGCCTCGTTGAATAACTTTTTGGAGAAGATGTTCTGCGAGACGAATACCAGAGCTGCGCCGAATGCGCAGAAGATTCCGAAAAAGTTTGTGGACACATCAGTCGAGCACGCGAGCATCACGCCCATGGTCAGGGGGATGAGGGATAGATAGGTTGCCCGGGCATATCGAATGCGGAAAAGCACCCGATATGCTAGAACAGTGAACAAGGGCGAAAGACCCTTGATGGTGTGAACCAAAGAGACGGGGATTTGAGCAGTCGCCATCGAACTGAGGATGTGACCTGCCAGTTGAAACACTGCCAAAGGCATGGCCGTGGAAATGACGTCCCGAGACGGATATCGAATTCCATGTTGAAGTATAGGAATACTTTGTCGCAATCGAGGGATGATTGTTGAGAGGTATACTAGTAATAAACACCAGAACGAGACGAATGCAAATTGGATCATTGTCAACGTGATAGGCATGGGGAGGGCGTTCAAGATTGATTTGGAGGAGGTGTTTGTGAGGGCGGATGTCAGGTACCAAACGACGCACAGGGCCTTGACGGGGTGTTAGCAAGTGGATTCAGTGGATTGATCGCGGGCTTGTCCCCGTTGGACTGGAATCAACATACTGTGAGTCGGTAGGAAACCGGCGCACGGAGTGCCTCGGCCAATTCCTGCGCGTTGGCACTCACACTGCCATTGCGTGTTCTGATCGTAGAGATGGCTTCACTGATGCTTTTCCGTGGGCGGTGTTTGGGGTTCCTTAATGTCCCGTTCGCGTACTCGCGCGAGTAGAAGCTGGCTTTCCGGGGTTCCCACAGCTCATTGGGGCCATATTTCACCGACGCACTCCGATTCGGATGGGCTGACCCAGCGGGCTCGGTTGTGTCTTCATACGCTGGGAACTGGTCTATCGGACTGCTTGTCGGTTGAGAGTCCGCGGGCGTGGTTGGGATTTGCAATTCTGTCTGGCGCATGGAGGAGCGTCGGCCGTGACCGGTCACTGTGGTTGTCGCCATATCCCCGAGACTATTGACAGTACCTGTTAGCTGGACGATGCCCCACTCATCGGCATTGGTTCACGTACCCAAAGAAGCAACGGAAAGATAGGCAGGAAAATTCCGAGAAGGCGTAGACGTGTCTGGTGAAATGGGCTGCTGGGACGGATTAGCGATGACGAATCCCTGTGGGCGAATGAGCGTCGAGTATGGAGGACACACGTTTTCGGCGCAATCGACCCTCAGAAGCGGAGTGTCCCCTTTGACGGAATGTGAGTCCAACCTTATACCGGGACACCGAGGCAAAACAGAGGGAGGGAGTCGGTTCGTTCGAGATCGTGAGAACGGGATAACCATTTGGTTTCCACCGCCACCTGTTACATTACGAGTTACCGGTTGAATACTTCGGCGACGTCCGCTGGATGCATATCAGGAGATGTACCTCCCCAGTACCCTTTCACCAGGCGGAGATCTATACGAGAACCCCCTTCTTCTGGTCTCCAGTCTCTCCTCTCCTCTCTTTGACTCTCTTGTCATATATAATTACTATGGCACCAGGAGAGGGTTGTAACGGGGATACACGCTCTTACGCGTCGCTGCCACGTGATAGGGGTCTCGATCGACTCTTGGCAACGGCTTATCGCAACGGCTTATCGGGACGATCTATACAGAGTACTTCAACGTTGTACTCCGTACCTAGGTACCGAGTAGTACCTCACACTTCTAAGGTCCGTATAACTGATATTTTCGCCTCGTTTGGTCCTGATACAGTCTTAATATTCTCCTGTATTTCAAAAAAACTTGCTACCGTTTATGTGCAATAGGAATTATGACCGAATATCGAGTCTCAAGTATCGAACATCGTATAGTCAGATACATTGGGCTTACAGGTACTCACGTATATCAAACATATTGCCTAATCGGGTCTGCTCTGGTTGTAGCTTCCTCCAAAGTCCTCCTTCCTCAGAGACCGCCGGCGTTCCTTCCTTCTTGTCGAGTCTCTCGTCTCCCCTTCTCTCTCGCCTCTCCTTCCTCTCCTCCCTCCCATCGTGTGTCTTCTCCCATTCTTCGTTCTATGGTCCCCATTTCAGCCCCCCTCAGTTGCTTCATGTTTACCATCTTGCAAGAATCTGCCCTGAAACCTTTCAGTTGCATGTAAACCTACTTGGTTTCCAAGCCTGTTTACGCTCATAGTTCATTCATCGCTGTGCCTTCTTCTTGTCTGTCTTGGTCTTTGTTTTAATCTCTGCCAGTTCAAATCATGTCTACCCTCAGTGTGCCATCAGCAGTGGCTCACATGGGGAAAGCTGCACGTTTTATTCCCAATGAGGGTATGGATGTGCGAAATTTATCTTTTGGACAGGAGTCATCGGTATGTTTCTCATTGACAGCCTCGGGATCGATTGACCTACTGATCATCGTGGCCACGACAGGGTCTGTCAAGCTCGACGAGCCATTACCACCTCTCCGAGGTTGACGCCTCCCACCAAGGAACCTTGCAGATCTTATCTAGTGAAGGGTCGGAGCACACATCAAGCAAGGTGTGTAATTCAGTACTTCCCTGTGGCATTGACCCATCTGTGCTTGTCATCTCACAATCCCAGAAGCAGAAGTTAGATCATATCACAGTTGAACCTTCATCAAATCTCGAGAAAATATTGGCAAAGCTTGCCCCTCAATCAATCCCTCTCCGTTCCGAAACCGATCGGTCTTCTGCCACATCGCAGTCGGTCACACACCCAATCCCGGTTTCCGACCTCAACCAAGCCACTCAGTCCTATAGCCACGAGGATAAAGCGGGAGAGTTGCTTCGACTTAAACAGGAGCTTCTCGCTGCAAACTCGAGAATAGCTCTCCAAGAGCAAGAGCTTGCCCAGACTCGGGTCATCAAGCACACCCTGGACCAAGCCCTTGGTAATCCGTCAGAGGTAGACACTGGGACTCGTGAAACCACAGAGCAGACCATTAGTCACCTGCAGAACGCGTTTAACGCATCGAGCTCTGCGTTTGGTCATTTCTCGGATGCCTGGGGTAGTCATGACGATACCCAATCTGACAGCTCGGATCTATTGAATAAGTCTCGTGGGCTCTGGGTCCATAACGGGTCATCTATGGACAGGGAATATGCAGAGTCTCCAGCCACTAGCAGCTCCATGACCCTGGATCCGAACCGATACTGGGGAGTTCCAAGTGTATATCAGCCCTTGGCTGGACAGCATGCTCTACAGCCTCAGAGGGCGCTCCCAGGTCCTTCAACCAGCCCATGTGGGTTCTTCCCCCGCCCTGTCGCCGAACAAACGCGATATACTGCTGGCTCAGTCAATGGGACTCGCCGTGAAATTTCACAAAGCCACCGAAGTGGATCTCTGGTTCCAATCCACTCTGCTCTTTGGGGCGAGCTTGCCCCTGGATCTTCTGGCGAGCTTGCCCTCAAACAGCCTGCATCACCGATGAAGAGATCGCCCAGTGCTCTTCAGCAGACTGGAGCTTATTCCGTGACGCCTTATTTACCCCGACCAATTGGTAGTCCACTTTCGCCGACTGCCATCGAGTTCACAGGGCCTGCCCTGAACGAGAGCACATGGAGTTCCTCGGTAGGGATCATGCCACCAAGCCTTCACGTTGAATGTCAATCTAATCCTTTCTTGGCTGTCCAGATTAGCTCCTCTCAAACCTACGTCTCCCCGCTCGAGCCATTGAACTACAGACGTTTGCTTGACAAGAATGTGTCCTGTGATTGGAAGTACATTGTGGACAAGATCGTTTGCAACAATGACCAGCAAGCTTCAATCTTTCTGCAGCAAAAGCTTAAAGTCGGAACATCCGAACAGAAATACAACATCATCGAGGCAATTGTGCATCAAGCATATCCACTCATGGTGAATCGCTTCGGGAACTTTTTGGTGCAGCGCTGCTTCGAGCATGGAACGCCAGATCAAGTCATTGCCATCGCGAATGCTATCAGAGGCAACACGCTGAACTTGAGTATGGATCCATTTGGTTGCCATGTGATCCAAAAGGCTTTCGACTGTGTTCCAGAAGAGCACAAGGCCATGATGGTCCACGAGCTTCTGCGCCGCATCCCGGAGACGGTGGTTCATCGATATGCATGCCATGTCTGGCAGAAACTCTTCGAGCTTCGCTGGAGCGGTGATCCTCCTCAGATCATGACCCAAGTCAACGAGTCACTCCATGGAATGTGGGATGATGTCGCTCTGGGAGAGACAGGTAGCTTGGTGGTTCAGAATATCTTTGAAAACTGTGTCGAGGAGGAAAAGGTGAGTTCATCCCATGAGACCAAGCCTGCCTCACTTGTACCAAAGACCTTGCTCCATGGCTTTATACCCGGATAGCTGGAATCATACTAACGACACCGAAAGCGTCCGGCCATCGAAGAGGTGATAGCCAAAATTGACGTCCTCGCCCACGGTCAATTCGGAAACTGGTGCATCCAGCACATCTGCGAGCACGGTGCTCCTCACGACAAGAATCGTGCCATTGAGCATGTCATTCATCGCGCTGTTGACTACAGTATGGATCAGTTTGCCTCTAAGATCGTGGAGAAGTGCCTCAAGATTGGCGGGTCAAACTTTATGGACCGGTATCTCGACCGTCTCTGCACAGGCCGTTCTGACCGACCCCGTATGCCATTGATTGATGGTACGTTTTCACCTTGCCTCATAACAGAAGCATCTGACTAACCTTCTATCAGTTGCGGGAGATCAGTATGGCAACTATCTCATACAATGGATTCTAATGAATGCCGAGACTCACCAAAGAGATCTCGTGGCTGGTCACATTCGGTACAAGTCACTGGGTGCTGGTATCTATGAAATGACATTGGCTAACTGTCACTCCATTAGGAAACACATGGTCTCTCTTCGGGGTTCCAAGTTTGGATCACGAGTCGCCATGCTTTGCTGTAACCCATCCCATGCTACGCGCCCTGGCCCCGGTGCCGGTATGCAAATTGGCCGATTCAACAACTTCAACGATGAGAAGTTCACACCCGCGAGCTCATCCGGTAATCGATTCGGTCGCGGGAGCACATGGGTACCCGGATATACACCATCATCACGTTGATTCTTCGACTGACAGCGATCGCGTCGTTGTCATATTTCATTTGAACCGCTACAGCCGAGAACCCCCCATCTTTCTCCACCTACAGCGAGCAGGGAGGAAAGGCAACAATCCCCAAAAACCAAAAACCATTAAAACAAGAAGAAGCATCATTTATGGGGAATTGTCGATCATTTCACGTTCTTTGTTCTCTGCCCGGTATTGACACCGCCGTCGATGGGGCTGGCAGGTTTTCCACATGTATTTCTACTTTGCAATTAACCTCGAGTATCATCGCCGTGCAGCCCTCTTCATGCTCACAGATTGCCCATTTATTCGCTTGGTTCGCTACCCTCACCGTGCAGCATGCTTTTCGGCCTTCCGATATGAGTTCTCTGGTGCTAATCACAAATAAAATCATATTGTTATAATCAAAACTCCATACGATCTAACTGTTACCCATGTATAGTATGTGTATGCACATAGTACTTCATGGAGCAGCACTAGCAGTTTGCTCGGGAGTATCGACTACTTCGTCTTTCTCCCAAGGTTTGCGTCGCCGGGGCTTCTCGCTGGCGATATCGTGACCGGTCAAGACCGTGTCGGGAATTTCCTGGATACCCGGAATTGGTTGTCCTGTGGTGATGAGCTCCACAATATGCGCAAAGGAGGACGGATACACCGGCTCGGTATTGGTTGCATTCCCATCGTCAGGAGAAGTGGGCTTGGATGACTCGGTCGATGTCTGTGTGGTCTCGATGGTCTCGGGGACTTGCGCTGTCCCCGCTACCCAGGACTTAAAGGCGGCAAAGTCAATGGCAGGAGAGAGCTGTTCTTTGCTACTACTTTATCAGTGGGAGCTCTAGCATAGACATTTCCAGCGTACCGTGAGAAGAAGAAACATTTTGCTTGTAGAACGAGGTCGTCATCCCGATTCATCTCTGCCTCGGAGGCGGGGGTTTCCGGATGACCGAGGATGATTGAAAGGCCATTCGCAAATTCCGCGTCTGAGCTAAATGGGTATGATTGTAGCCGTTCAAAAAGATGTGTGTCCGAGGCAGCCATGTTGCGGAGGTTGTGTATCCATTTGGGTTGGGGATGCGGAGGACGTGGGGCACCTTCATCTAGCCGAGGCTCATCTCTCCTACATCACTACGGAGTATGCGAACAAAGTGTATGAAGTATACAAAACATAACATTATATTGACAATATTTCGAGGTTTTCAGTCTCTATTTAGTGAATTTAGTGGATTTAGTGAATTCGATTCTGAAATGATCAAGACTCAATAAGCTAATGCTCCATTCTCCATGCTGACCGGTCTTCAGATCGTGTTCTTGCATGTAAAGATTAATTCTAGGGATATCATACGCCAAACCATGCAATGTATAATGTGGTCATCTCTGCCCCATGTTACGAGGGGACCTGCTGTGTACTTTTGCTCTGACAACCCGGGCAGTTATGCACGACCTCATGGGCAAAGAGATCACAGTCAATGCAAAAGTGGCTATGACATGCGGTGCATTCATAACGACTGCTCACGCTCATTCCCTTGGTTTGGTTCTCTGTGACTTGCCATTGATCCTCTGAAGGGACTGGCGGGAACGTGATCCCACAGGCAAAGCAAGCAGAGCTCTTCGAAGCTCGACGCCAGGGGACCTCTACCCAATTGATCAATGGGAAGAGGTGATGATATGATCTTGCCAAATGGGTTGACAGGATCAACGTGAGCCCGCATGATGGGCACTCGGCAGGAAGATTACAGACTTTGCTGTTGCACCGGGAACAAAGATAGCCTCCTCGCGAAGGCTTGGAATGGCAAGCACAGAGAGATGGAGCGGCTTCCACCGTGCGCGACGGGAATCCCATCATCAGCAAGGAGCTTGCGGATTCTTTCTGTGAATAGGCAGCTGGAGGCGTCGTCACATCCATCATCAGCTCTCGGAAGTGCTGCTCGTTCAGTGCAACACCATACGCCGTTTCATCCCCTCCATTTGTTTTGGTGCAAAGTTCTCGGCAGATTGCAACCTGCGCGGCGAGACCTACGATTCTGACCCGGACTTTGTCGCTGATCAAAGTTCCTATCGTCTGGTGGATATCACCGGGGTCGGAGGAAAGCAGAGATCCGAATATGATGAGTACCTCCCGAGTGCCGTGACTCGGTGTATGGCTGTATTGATCAGTCAGTTTTCATGCTCCCCGTACTCCGTGTCGCCGCCAAGACATACAAAAGAGCACCGCGTGCCATCTCCAATCCATTTTGAAGACTCGGCAACCCCTTCGGATCTTGCGTTTTGAGATTTTGAATGGCAGTGAGATGTTCTGTTGGGTTTCCGCTCATGTCGCTCACTCTGACCGCGAGGCCATCTCTCAGGCCCAGGACGCCGAGCTGGGAAATCGGGTTCTGTTCGAAAAATTCCCTCACAAATTCCTGCGCATATCGGAGGGTCAACAAGTATCTCGTGGGTCGTAGGTCCTTCTCGGACATGGATTGCGACAGGTCGATAATGAGGATAAGGTGTCGAATGATACCGCGCTGTAGCGGAGTTGTATCTTTCAAGAGCCTAGGAGAGTTGCAATGAGCGATCTGAACACTTCTTTGGGGGAGGGAAGAGAGAGAGAGAGGGTGTCGCAAATACCTTTTTCGTTTATTAGCCTCCAGCAGACCCTCGACGGTCGAACTGATGGTACCATCGGCTCCCTCGACGAGTGTCTCCCACGTTCTGGAGAGCTCCCACTCTGCGCCTCCCCGTTGTTTCCTCTTTTTGGCGCGAGGATTGTCACCTCGGGTGACTTGGAGATCATCCTCATCTTCAGTCACATCACCGACATATTCTTCATCGGAGTCAGCCATGATGGGGTCAGATGGGAGGAAAGTGGAAGAAGAAGAGATTCCCCCGGCGGAAAAAGGTCCAAGCTCCCGAGCTCCGGTCCCTTGGGGGTTCTTCTCTTCAATCTCTCTTCTCTTGTTCTACCCTCTCTTTTCTTTTTCTTCTTTTCTCCTTGTCCTTTTCTCTCTTTATTCTGATATGCGCGGAATTTAGAAAGAAAAAAAAATTCCCGACGGTAGCCGTAGAAGCTAACGAGATGTGGGGAAGAAGATCGATTGCGAGAGCTGTAGCATTTGGCCGTCCAGTCACCGTCCGCCCTGCCCCTCTTCGTCTTTTACATTTGGTCTCGCGTGTGCCTCGCTTGCCAACTCGACCTCTCCCTCTTTTGCCGGGTCAACCTCGCTCACGTATTACTGCCTTGAAACCCTTGACTCCCATCAGACATTGTTCCGCCGAAGTCCGCATGATGGCCTCCCAAGAGAGAGAGACCCTCCCGGATGTGTAAGTAATGCCCCGCTTGTAGTAGTTTCTCTCTGCCATGGGCCCGGTAGCTGAAATGGGATCGCCAATTGCTAATCATCTAACAGGGTCAAGCCCATCAACTACCACGTCTCTCTCTTCGATCTACAGCTCGGTGGCTCGTGGGGATACAAGGGTGCTTTGAAGATCGATCTCCAAGTCACCCGCGCCACAAGCGAAATTGTGCTCAACTCAAAGGAAATCGACGTACAGAATGCCGAGATTCTGGGCAAGGATGGTACGTATACGTATTGGGACGCAGAGTGGGTTGGTCAGAGAACAGAAGGCTGATGTTCCGCCGTCACAGGAAGTCTATTGGCGAAAGCATCGGAAATCACCTACGATAAAAAGTCCGAGAGGGTTTCTCTTATTCTCTCAAAGGAGCTTGCTCCGGCAGACGTCGTCCTTTCGATCAACTTCACTGGTATGATGAACAATGCCATGTGCGGTTTCTACCGTTCCAAGTACAAACCCACCGGTGAGGTCTCGGCGGACACTCCCAAGGAAGATGACTTCCACTACATGTTGAGCACTCAATTTGAGTCTTGTGATGCACGAAGAGCTTTCCCTTGTTTCGATGAGCCGAACCTGAAATCCACCTTTGACTTTGAGATCGAGGTTCCCAAGGGACAGACTGCCCTGAGCAACATGCCTGTGCTTTCTGAAAGAGATGGAAGCAGCCCCGGATTGAAGTTTGTCACCTTTGAAAAGACCCCGGTGATGAGCACATATGTAAGTTCCCACAATACATCCCTACCATGTCTCGCATTGGCTAATAGAGGATGCCTTGTAGCTTCTCGCGTGGGCAGTTGGTGACTTCGAGTACGTCGAGGCCATGACCAAGCGTAAATACCAGGGCAAGAGCATTCCTGTTCGCGTCTACACCACTCGAGGCCTCAAGAACCAGGCTGAATTTGCGCTTGAGTGTGCGCACCGTACTGTCGATTATTTCTCTGAAGTATTCGAGATCGAGTATCCGCTCCCCAAGGCTGATCTTCTTGCCGTTCACGAATTTGTAAGTGGAGACGCTTCTCTGTATGTTGTCACAACCCTCGATAGGCTAATCCAGCTCCTGTAGGCCATGGGAGCCATGGAGAACTGGGGACTTGTTACCTACCGAACCACAGCCGTTCTCTTCGATGAAGGAAAGTCAGACAACCGCTACAAGAACCGCATTGCCTATGTTGTGGCTCACGGTAAGTTTCTCAAATCACAAATGCGGCCCAGGGATCCCAGGCGCATACGAGAAAGCGATGGTCATTGACATCCCCGACAGAACTGGCCCACCAATGGTTTGGTAATCTTGTCACCATGGACTGGTGGAATGAGTTATGGCTCAACGAAGGGTTTGCCACCTGGGTTGGTTGGCTGGCCGTGGACCATTTCTACCCAGGTATATTCCCTTTCAATCTCAATAATCCTCGTCTGTGAGCTAACACATGAACAGAATGGAACGTTTGGTCTCAGTTTGTCGTACGCAACTCCCGAGGTAATAAACCCCCCAGCTTAAGCCGATATTGACTTTGTCACAGGCTGAAGGTGTACAACAAGCATTCCACCTCGACTCGCTACGTGCCTCCCACCCGATCGAAGTTCCTGTCAAGAACGCCCTCGAGGTCGATCAAATTTTCGACCACATCAGCTACCTGAAGGGCAGCTCGGTCATTCGCATGCTCAGTGTTCACCTTGGAAGGGAAACTTTCTTGCGGGGAGTTGCAGACTACCTTAAGTCACACGCCTATGGTAAGACTAATGCTCTGTCTGCAAGAATATCCAAACTAATCTTTGGTTTAGGAAATGCCACTACTAATGATCTCTGGTCCGCATTGAGCAAAGCCTCCGGCCAGGATGTGCACTCTTTCATGGTATGTTCAAAGTGGTGATAAGCCATAGGCTCGGGAAAATTGAGAACTGATCTATTCCAGGACCCTTGGATCCGCAAGATCGGTTTCCCGGTTGTCACCGTGGCAGAGGAGCCCGGCCAGATCACCGTCAAGCAGAACCGTTTCCTGTCCACCGGCGATGCGAAGCCGGAAGAGGATGAAACCAAGTGGTGGATTCCTCTAGGTATCAAGTCTGGACCCCAACTCGCCACGGTCGATACCCGCGCGCTCACTGCCAAGTCTGACACTGTTCCGGGTGTTGGCGAGGACTCGTTCTACAAGATCAACAAAGACTTGTCCGGGTTCTATCGAACAAACTATCCTCCCCCGCACTTGGCTAAGCTGGGCAAATCCCTTGATCTGCTCAGCACTGAGGACAAGATCGGTCTTTTGGGAGATGCTTCTGCGCTTGCAGTCTCCGGGGAAGGCACTACACCTGCCCTTTTGACTCTTTTGGAGGGCTTCCAGAATGAACAAAACTATCTGTAAGAGACCCCGTTTGCTTGGTTTTTTGTGCTGTCCAGTCTAACATCCGGTCCCATAGTGTTTGGTCCCAGGTCTCTGCCTCTCTGGCGAACCTCCGATCGGTCTTCTCGCAGAACGAGAAGGTAGCCGAGGGTCTGAAAAAGTTCACCCTCCAATTAGCCACCCCGGCGGCGGAGCGCATTGGATGGGAGTTCCAGCCCAATGAGGACTATCTCATTGTGCAACTGCGCAAGCTTCTGATCGCTATGGCTTGCAATGCGGGCCACGAAGAGTCAGTTTTCATCCATTGTTCCTTGTGATGTCATTTGACAGTTGCTGACGATCTCATTCGCTACAGATTTGTCGCAGAGGCCAAACGTCGCTTTGGTTCCTGGGCCACCGGTCAGGACGTGAATGCCATTCACACTAACTTGCGATCAGTGATCTTTAGTGTCAACGTTTCAGAGGGCGGCCGTGAGGAATTTGACGCCGTCAAGGCCGAGTACCTCCGCACCAACTCCGTGGATGGCAAGGAGATCTGCTTGTCTGCCCTTGGACGCACCAAGGACGCTGCTCTGGTGAAGGAATATCTGGACTTTGTGTTCTCTGACAACGTGGCTGTTCAGGATCTCCACAACGGTGCGGTGTCTTTGGCTGCCAACTCCAAGGTCCGTCATCTCCTCTGGGAATACATCAAGGAGAACTGGGATGGAGTCTCCACCCGGTTGGCATCCAACAACGTCGTTTTCGAGCGCTTTGTCCGCATGGGTCTGTCCAAGTTTGCCGATCATCAGATCGGTGACGAAATTGCTGCGTTCTTCCAGGACAAGGAGACTGCGGCTTACGAGCGCGCCCTCGTGATTGTCAATGACAACATTCGGACCAATGCATCCTACAAGGAGCGTGAGGCGGCATTGGTTCTTGAGTGGCTGCAGGCCCACAAATACGTGTAAACCTGATTTTTTTAGGAACTTTCAATATAAACACATGAAGTTGACAGCAATCACTGTATGATCCATAGGTCTTTAGCCTTGATTTCACATAGGCAAGATTGGTTCTCAGTAGAGCTCATTTGGTCATTTGGTCATGTGAGCCATTTTGACCATTTTGACCATTTTGACCATTTTGACCATTTTGAGAATTTTGACCCTTTTGATGTACTTGTCACAATCCACAGTCTCGAGGTGCATCCCAAGAGTGCTGAGTAAAAGACCATCCAAGTCACCACCTTGGAGCTGTGCTGCTATTTATGGACATTGTTCGTTACAGCCCTAGAGTACCCCTAGATTTATGTAATCTACTCTATGTGTATAGTTTAAGTACACTAGTAAACTATTCGAGATTCTATAGTATCCATAGACTCTCATTGGAATTTGAGGAAATATTAAATATTGTTGAAGCATTGGATATTATAGACTATGGACTGTTATAAATTACAGGCTGGCTAGTGTAAATTACCGACTGTTGCCCAAATCTATGTTTTTTTGCACAAACATGTATAAACACAAATACATAGATTCTCAGCTTATTTATGGAGTACATGGTCATTTGTTTCTTACACGTACATTATATTTGGAAATCTACTAACAAATCCCCAATTTCCCGGCATGGAATTTCAATATGACCCTTTGGAACTGTCCAGTTGCTCAGTCTGACAATGTGACCCCCGGAGAATGGAGGAAGTCATGATTGATAACCAGGGCACGAGATGTGATGGGACTCAGGTGATGAAGTAGAGTGACATGAGCTAGTCTGCTCTCTTCTATGCTTTGAGTGACAAGGTGACTCGAGGCTCCATATACTGGTTTGTCCCATCGTGCTCATACCACAGACTATCGGCTATACTGATCCCCCTTACATACTGGTCATAGATATATGCATCGTTACCACATTGAAACTCTAGACTTGATAGAATCCACCACTATATTCTGAACTCTGTAGTCTGTAGGTTCTGAGACAGAAGAGCAATATAGACTGTCATATACATACCACCTGCATTATTCTGGTAGAAAGTAAAGACTGTAAAGACTGTGAAGTAGTGAAGTAGCGAAGTAATCAAAGGAGAGACGAAGAGCGGTGACGTGAAACAAACTTGCACATCAGGTGCGTCTGGCCACCTGCACCTCCTATCATTTCAGGCGACTGTTCCATCGTCCCCTCCCCCGACTTCAGGACTCTCATCACTTTTTCTTTATATCTCTCTGCTGGGTGGTACTGACTCTTGAACTGCACGCCCAACTTTATTTCATCATGAACCCCGAGTGGTGAGTCGATCCCAGATCCCAAAATTCCCCAAACCCCCCTCAGCCACTGTCAACTCTGCGAAGCCTGTCACCCGTGGCCTCTGTTGACTGATCCTTGTTCTTTAGAGTATCTTCCTGTCAGATCCGGTGTCCTCCCGTCTCCCACCAGAACCGCGATTTGGTCGAAACTCGGTTGCCTAACCATCATAGATACGATTATCTTTTCAAGCTCCTCCTCATCGGTGACTCCGGTGTTGGAAAGTCTTGCTTGCTGCTTCGTTTCGCCGATGACACCTACACTGAAAGTTACATTTCCACAATCGGCGTGGACTTCGTATGTTTGGGACTCTGCGGGGCATGTGATTTCGCAAGTGAAAGGTGGTGCTGACCTCGCGCTTTGGACAGAAAATCCGCACGATCGAACTCGATGGCAAGACTGTGAAGCTTCAGATTGTACGGTTACGTGGAGCCCCAACATCTCGGTGCAGACGCTAATGACCCCAACAGTGGGATACCGCCGGCCAGGAACGTTTCCGTACTATCACTTCTTCTTACTACCGCGGCGCTCACGGCATCTGTGTGGTTTACGATGTCACCGACATGGACTCCTTCAACAACGTGAAGCAGTGGCTCCAGGAGATTGACCGATATGCCACCGAGGGTGTCAACAAGTTGCTTGTTGGAAACAAGAGCGATATGGAGGACAAGAAGGTCGTGGAATACACTGTTGCCAAGGTATGTTGATGGATGAGACGGCTATGGACTACTTACGAAGAGACCGGGGATTAATCTTTCTTTGATGCATAGGAATTCGCCGACAGCCTCGGAATTCCCTTCCTTGAGACCTCCGCCAAGAACGCGTCCAACGTCGAGCAGGCATTCTTGACGATGGCACGACAGATCAAGGAGCGCATGGGTACGGCCACCGTCAACAACAAGCCTACCGTGCAGGTGGGCCAGGGCCAGGGAGTCCAGTCCGGATCCGCAGGTGGCTGCTGCTAAACGACCCATTTTTTTGTGGTGCAATGATTCCATTTGGCGCAATGTTACATCATGAATGAGGGCACTCAAGCGGCGTGGTATCTACTCGGCAGGCCTGTCCGGCCCTGCGACACTCGGCATCGTCCTGGGTCGGAGGATACTATTTCACGGAGCTGGCAATCGTTGCGATAGTGCCGTTGGGGGTCTGCCTCTATTATGCTTTAGATGGCCTGCGTTACATCCTCATTTCTGCTTTTTGCTTCTGCAATTCCCGCCAGGTTCTGCGTTTTCATGATCTTCCTCTTTGCCCTATTTCTTTGGCTCATCATTCTGTGTTTTCTAATTTCGCTCTTGTACGTTGGATTTCTTTTTTTTTTCCTTTTTTTTCTCTCTGAATGGATTAATGGCGAGAAATGTGTGGATTCCCCAAGGCATCGCCTGTTTCTTATATAATCTCATAACCTTGTAAGGTCATTCCGAGAAACCGTTGATAGTTGATGCTCAAGGAGAGGCCGTGATGAAGTATATAACTATACATTGTCACATGTCAATATCCGGAGAGAGCGGACTACAGGGAGTATAAAATTTGTCTGTAGATCACCGGCACATGCTGGAGACAGTATGGAGTATTGTAAAGTAATCAAAAGCAGATGCAGGTACGGTGTCGAGCCTAGGCATTTTAGAGGCAAAGAGTCCGGGGCGGAAGTGGAGGAGCCGAGGCAATCACATTCGGCAAAACGTCATGAACATCACTCGGGCATTGTCGCTTTTATCTCCTGACTTTCAGACTGACTTTCAAACTTCCTCACATTCTGATCTGACTCTCTCCTCTTTCTTTCTTTCTTTCCTTTCTTATCACAAAATTCTGAGAGATCACATCTCATCGACCGCTCGCTCCCCTATCGCCTTATCGATCCCACTCATCATGTCCCAGCCGGAATCGAAGAACACCGTCCCCTCTGCTGCGGTGCAGCAGAGTGACAACATTGCCCACGCGCTGGCGGGTGCGGGTGGTGGAGTCCTCTCGATGGTCTTGACGTACGCTTCCCCGCGTTTCCCGCGGGCAACGCTAACCTTTCCAGATACCCTTTAATCACATTGTCTACAAGAGCCCAGGTCGAGTCTAAGCGGGCCCACTCCACCACCCTTGATGCCGTGCGCCGGATTGTGCAGCGCGAGGGAATTGCCGGGCTATACTCGGGCCTGGAGTCTGCGCTGTTCGGCATCAGCGTCACCAATTTCGTGTACTATTACTGGTATGAGTTCACACGCTCGGCTTTTGAGAAGGCCGCCGCACAGGGAGGTCGTGCCTCCAAGAAACTCACTACCGTCGAGTCGATGATCGCGGGCGCCATCGCAGGTAGTGCTACGGTGTTGATCACTAACCCCATCTGGGTCATTAACACGCGCATGACTGCCCGCAAGTCCCAGGAGGAGGAATCCCTTCCGGGAGCCCCCAAGACCAAGGCATCGACCCTGAGCACCCTCATGGATTTATTGAAGCAAGAGGGTCCCAAGGCTCTGTTTGCCGGTGTGCTCCCGGCATTGATCCTGGTGATCAACCCCATTCTGCAATACACCATTTTTGAGCAATTGAAGAATGTGGTAGAGCGTCGCCGGCGCATGACGCCTAAGGACGCGTTCTATCTGGGTGCGCTCGGCAAGATCCTGGCCACCAGTATCACCTATCCCTACATTACCATCAAGAGCCGTATGCACGTTGCCAGCAAGGATGGGCCTAAGGAGAGCTTGAACGGAAGCCTGAAGAGGATCATTCAGGAAGAGGGTTGGAAGGGGCTTTACAAGGGTCAGTATCATCATAATACTCTCTATCTGATCATCTACTGATATCATCTAGGCATTGGACCCAAGGTCACTCAGAGTGCTATCACCGCTGCATTCCTATTTGCCTTTAAGGATGTGCTATACGATACCATGGTGTCCGCCCGTCGCCGGCGCATCGCTAAATAAAGCCGTGTTATCGTTCCCTACCGTATGGATGATTCGTTCACGGTTTCATGCGGGCAACAGCAAATGTGACTAGGGTTGATGGTTTTCATCTGACTCTAATGTGATACCCCGCAAATATGTAGTTTAATAGTATATATCTAGATATTTTGCCTTGACATACCCTACCTAAGTTGAAACAGGAGAGATATAGGAATAAGTTCATGTTCTCTGGATTTGGTTTATTGTACTCCGTAGGACTATATTGACTGAATGATCGACGAACTGAGTCGAAAGGAGTAGTTGACGAGGTTCGCCCTCGTAGAATAGCTAATAGAACATGAATGGAATGAGATTATATAGTTATATAGTTATATAGTACAATATAGTACTATAGGGCGATATACGTACTTGGACTGAATGTACTTTATGCTGACCGCCTTCACCGCGTTCTCGCGCGACGCGATTCTGCTCTTTCAAACTCTCTCCGCTTGCCGCTATCTCTCCTCGCTTTCGTTTGTCTTTCTTGCTTCCCCGCAAAGCGCACTGGCTTCGGGGATGTTATGTCTCTTCCTATGAGAAAACGTCTACCGGAAGTGGCCCTGAGATCATCTGTGGTGAAAGTGCTTGGTCACTCACTCCCGGTGAAATTGCGCTAGGATGTCGCACAGTATACCAGCCTCGAGTCAGGGCATGCCTCCGGTTTTTGGACTGTCAGCGCAGTCCATTCCAGAGAACCCAGACACAGTAGAGCAAACGAGACGGCTCCTCCAGCAGTTTTCCGCGACACCCTTCATCACTGCTAAATATGAAACGAGAAGGGAAACCCCGCGAAGTGAACTTCCCCAGAGTTCAAGGCAAGCTCAACAAAGCTCCCCCCGCCGCTTTACCCGTTCCCCCGCGGAGCCTCCTTCGCATCCTCAGCCATCATCTGCGCGCCGCTCCGTGCCCTCATCTCCGATTATCTCTCCATCCGCTTCTCCCTCCCCATCACTCCGCACTTCGCGGACCCGGTCACCTCTACCTCCGCCCCCGCCGACGCGTGGCTCTCGACAACAACGCCCTTTGAGAGAAAGAGTGACAATAACCAATGCCAACAGAAGTGACGAGGCCGCGGCCCGGATCTCGCGATCGGGGTCGGGTTCATCCACACCTCCAAGGTCGACATCACCCGTGGAGAATACGATCATTCGTCGCTCACACCGATCGCGAGCTCAGCCTACAAATTACTATGCGCGGAGCTTTATCGATTTTGAAGAGCCAGAAGTGAATACGCCGGAAGTGAATACACAAGAAGCACCTACACTGGTGTCCCCACCTGAGTTGCGACCACAAGAGCCCAACCACTTCAAACCGCGGAAACCTCTGCAACACTTCCTACGCACTCGCGAACTTGGAGGGAGACCAATCAACCTGGACATGATTTCAGACTTGAAGCCATGGAAGTCGTGGAAAGGTGCCTCGGGTGACATGTTTGTTGTGATTTGGTCTCCCGATGGCACGCGGTTCGCCGCGGGTGCCGGAGCCCTGAGTGACGAGTACAACGAGGCCAGAAATTTCGTGTTGGGAAATGTCCAAACCAGTCGTCTGAAGGAGATTCCGGATCACCGAATCCCACAGCCGAATGCGTCCAATATTCGAGACCCATGGCTCTATACCAGTGTGACAGATATGCAGTGGGCTCGTGATCGATTATACACAGCCAGCTATGACAAAACTGTTAAGGTTTGGGACACCACATCATCAAATAATATTTCATGCCTGGGTACCCTGGCACACGAGTCAAAAGTGGAGTTGACAGCTGTGCCTAAATTTGATTCAAGAATCGTGGCGACTGGCAGCGATGTGTGTAGCGAGGTGGTGAGAGTCTGGGATACTCGGGATATCGAAAACCCTACGTCAACAGCTCTATCTATTGATCGACCAAACGTGAGGCTTAAAGCAGGGGCTTTAGCTTGGGGAACCGCACCTGCTTCACAGGATATCTTGGCTGCTGGCATGTCACAGACCGGAGATGATCAAAATTTTAAGGGTTATTTAGGCCTATGGCGCGCTTGTGAAAATCGTTTTGAAGCTATCAAAGCCTCAAAAAATTCACAAGCAGTTCACGATCTCACGTGGCACTCTTCCTTGCCACAATTCGTGACTGCTAGCCCTTTGAATTCTCATGATGCGCGTTTGAAGGGAGTTGGTACAGCGACCAAGTCCCTTGTGAGTGTTTTCCACGTTGACATGGGGGATATGCGTGGAAAATCGATTATGGAGTATACTTGCCCGGCTGATGACGTGAATCAGGTGCACTTTTGCCCCTCTGACGACAGATATGTGAGTGCCAGTTGCACGAATGGCACCACTTATGTTTGGGATATTCGAAAAGGCGATAAGATTCTCCATGAACTTCGCCACGGGGATCCTATCAACCCGTACGACCATGATTCCACCCGTGAAAAAGAAGACGCTGGAGTCAAGGTCGCTGTCTGGGGTCTGTCTACCGATCAGTTTTACACCGGTGCTTCAGATGGCGTTTTGAAGCGATGGGATATCCGCCGATCATCAGAGGATACGTTGCTTCAAAACGTTGCCACGTTTGATCATGGTCTATTCAGCGCCTCTTTCAGCCCGGATAAATCTCACCTGCTCATCGGCGACTCCGGGGGTGGTGTCCATATCCTGTCATCGGGCCCCTGTGCAGATCCTGAAAACAGAGATTTCATTGTTGATTATGCCCCCGAGTTTCCCACGGCCGAGGCTCAAGATAATACTTTGGAGATGGACTTGGCCCCGGAAGAAAGGTCAAACTCCTTTTCTGGCCCTCCACCCACCCGAGTCGATCACAAGAGAAAGAGAGGGGGGAAACAGAGGAGAAGCAAAGAGTCAAGCTTGAGGTTGGCGACGATACGGAAACTGACAGCGGAACCCGGACCAACGAGCAGAGTTTGGCTACGAACCAAAAGAGTGGATTAAAGTCGTCCCATGCAAAGGACTCTCCAGCGGAAAAGAAATCTCGCCGTTCCAAAAAGAAAAGAAAATTGCAACCCATAATTCGCAATACCGAAGCCGTCGACCTCACCTTAGACTCGGACTCCGACACACAATCCTTCGATATGGAGCAGTTGAGAGAGAAGCTCGAAGAGGACTACTGGCTCCCAGACAGCGGGAGCATCGATCCCAATATCACAGTCGAGACTGTGTGATTTGCCGCCTTTTGGGTTCGCATTTCCGTTCTATTTTATTACCGGGCATAGCATGGCGTGGATTTTCAAGGGAATTTTTTGTTTTTGCGATTCAGCGAGTTCTGGGAGCATTTGAGGTGCGAATATGACCATATTTTCAGTTAATTTTCAGTTAATTTTTGAAGAATTGATCCACGAGTAGAAAGAATTGCCTACGTTAGGGCTATAGGCAGCGATATATCCAAGCGTATGGCCCTCAAAGACAATCACTGGCCCCGGGGTCAATATAGGGTTACGTCATCTGGCACCGCCACCGAGGCGCAGTTACTATACGCTTCTCCGCTTATCCGCCAAGAGGGTGGTTATATACCCTTCTTTCTCGGACTCGTTCACTTCACCTATTCATCGTTTCAGATCCTCAGTACCACCCTTCAAATCCCCTTCATCTCATACAACATGTCATTTGCCCCGCCTCCTGGGCCTCCTCCACCCTCAGTGCCCGAGGGATGGAAAGCACAGTATGACGAGAGATATCATGCATGGTAAGTGCCCCCGCCGCCGGTCACACCATACATACTCACAACCAGCCAGGTTCTTCATCGACCTCGCAACAGGAAAATCACAATGGGAACAACCCGAAGGTCCCCCGCAGCGCAATCATGGCGAACCACCGGTGCACTCACCCCCACCATCATACAATACCGGTGCAAGTGACCCAGCTGCACTGGCAGCCGCAGGGGACAAAAAGCAAATGGGATCCAACAACCCATACAACCCAGGCAATGCGCATAGCGCCAGCCCCAATACAATGGATGAAGACGCACGTCTGGCCGCCAAGCTCCAGGCCGAGGAAGACGCCCGCGCACACCGAGGAACCCCATCCGGCGGGGACCGTGGCGCCTCAGACGACTACTACAATAATGCGCAACAATCTGGACCAAGCTATGCAGCAGGTCCTTCGCAGAGTCCATTGCCAGAACGAGAAGAGAAGCGCAGCAAAGGCGGCTTCCTCAGTAAGCTGATGGGCAAGAGTTCATCCAAACCTCGACCACAACAGCAGTACGCATCATATGCGCAGCAAGGTCCCCCGCCTGGTGCGTACTATGGTGGTGGCGGCCATCCACCACAGCCTGGCCCCCAGCTTGGCTATGGACACCCCGGCCCTGGATATGGAGGTGGATATGGAGGTGGATACCCGCAACAGGGCGGATACTACCAGCAACCGCCTCGCAGGCAAGGTGGTGGTGGCATGGGAACCGCGGGAGCAGCTGCGCTCGGTGTTGGAGGTGGATTGCTTGGTGGTATGCTCATTGCCGATGCCATTGAAGATCACCATGATGATGATTACGGCAATAATGATTACGGCGGCGGTGACGATTATGGCGGTGGTGGTGATGACTTCGGCGGCGGTGACTTCTAAGCCTGGTCGTTGCTTTTGGAATAGTAATAAGGACATCCACGAGGTTTTAGGCGCTTTGGTTATGGATTGGGAGGACTGCTTTTGCCAAACAGCGTTAAATGTTTGGCTCCAACTTCATGGGCTTTGAGCTTCATAGATAGCTATGTATCATACAATTGGTTATGAGACAAATCTGCCCAGATGAGAAACCGTAGGTACTATAAACCGTACCGGTCGTCTATCCACGCTTCCGGGTAGAACCACTGGTATCTCTACCAGTTGAACCACCCTGAGCCGCATCACTGGCTGTAGGGTTAGAAGCACCAGCACCGGCCATCCAGCCGGCCAGATCGAAGCCACCGCCAGCCATGGCATTGCTCGTGGCACCGGTGATGGGGGAGGAGCGAGAGTGCTGTTCAAACTCTGCGCGCATCTCAGGGTCCACTAGAAATAATTAGAATATGATACATCATTGACGACAAAAGAACATACTGTTTTCCATGAGCTTGGGCATGACAAACATCAGACCCAGAGCAACAACTGCAAGCAAGACCATGGGGTTCTTGACGAGGCTCAATGGAGAGACTGAGGGACATTAGCTTCTATTCAGTAATTCCAGGGAAAGGCAAGTCAGAAGCTCACATTTGGCACGCTCCTCGTAGAAGTTCTTGCGGCCAACGACCTTGGCCTCAACAACCACATCATCCTGCTTCTTCCCAGCAACATCCACGACATATTTCTCTGCACCACGGTTGTCCCATGGATTGCCCCGGAAAGTCTCCCAGATTCCGAGGACAGAGCCGTCCGCCGCAACATCCACCCGGTAGGGGGCGAAGACATACCCACCAGCGGAGCGAATATCAAGAAGATAGGACTCGGCCGTAGCAGAAGTGGGCAAGTCGAATACAAAGGTTGCAGCGCGTGTCAGCGAAGCAGACAAAATGTGGTCCTTCGCGGAGGAGGGGAGCGTAGTGAGAGTGGCATGGGTGGTTGCGGGGAGGACGTGCGGGTTCGGCAGAGGGCCAGACGAGGGGATAGAGACTGTCAGCGAGCTGGAGACCAAGCTGCTGAGCCCGAGAAGGACAATGGCAGAGAGCGAGAACTGCATGGCGGATGTTGGTGGTTGAGTGAGGGAGTTGCTCGACTTGCCGATGCAGCTGTGGTCATCCTCACGTGATACGCCCCATGTCTCTCCAACTTTCTCCTCCGAATACACTCCTCCAGAGAACAAGATGCCTGTCTACCTTATTTCCAGGTATGAGAGTGTTTCCCCCAATGAGGGTATGATCTGTGGAGTGTTTCCTAACGTTTGGATTGGTTTAGGATTGCGGACCCCGTCTTCGCCCTGGCAATGGGCGTCTCCGCTGCTTTTGCTCGCATCCAACGCGACCAGCGTGAGAAGTTCCCCGAACGTGCTTCGGAGATTACGTACGGAAGCATTGCACAAACGAGTGGGCAACGACTACAAAGGTGGTGGAATGGCGATTTCCAGAGTGTCGAATGATTTGAGGATGCGGGTTTGGAGTTTTGGTCTGGCTTGTTCGTTTGCAGGAGTGTCATTTGGATTTTGCGGAACTACTGTATAGCTACATTGTACCCAGAGCTATGAACTCATCAATTGCGCCGTTTCTATGATTCTAAGCAAATCGGACATGTAGAGTCTGAGGTAACAAATGGGCAGACGATTGGCAAGATGGACCAGAAGAGTGAAACATATTTAGAGACAAGCCTCAGTCTACAAAGACGATGATAGTTGCTTATGTTCCGAGTGTTCTACAATTTACAATGGAGCAGAGTATTTGAATTAAAATGAAATTTTGATCCGCTAGGGGAATTTTAACCCAGCAAGAGATAACTTTGTATCTATGCAATCATGCGCAAAAAGAAACCTTGATATCCCATAAGTTCGTAAAACAAGACGTGAAAGGAAACATGTGCCGAAAGGCAAACAAGAAAGACTCAAAGGCGAGACATTTAGTCGAGCTCCTCGGGCTTCTCCTCGACCTCGTCGGCGGAGCGGGCACCACCCTCAGGGGCGGCACCGGGGGGAGCCTGGCCACCGTAGGCAGCGGAGATGATGGGGTTGGCAATAGCCTCAAGCTCCTTCTGCTGGGACTCGTACTCGTCCTTCTCGGCGGTCTGGTTGCTGTCCAACCAAGTGATGGTCTCGGAGATCTTGTCCTCGACCTTCTTCTTGTCCTCCTCGGAGATCTGGAGCTTGCCCTCACCGAGAGTGTTCTTGAGAGAGTAAGCGTAGGACTCGAGACCGTTCTTGGCCTGGATGCGACCAGCCTCGGCCTCATCCTCCTCCTTGTACTTCTCGGCCTCAGCCAGCATGCGCTCGATCTCCTCCTTGGACAGACGGCCCTTGTCGTTGGTGATGGTGATCTTGTTGGACTTTCCGGTACCCTTCTCGACAGCGGAGACGTTCATGATACCGTTGGCATCGACATCGAAGGTGACCTCAATCTGGGGGACACCACGGGGGGCAGGGGGATGCCAGTGAGCTCGAACTTTCCGAGCAGGTTGTTGTCCTTGGTGCGAGCACGCTCACCCTCGAAGACCTGGATCAGGACACCGGGCTGGTTGTCAGAGTAGGTGGAGAAGGTCTCGGACTTCTTGGTGGGGATGGTGGTGTTGCGCTTGATGAGAGGAGTCATGACACCACCAGCGGTCTCAATACCGAGAGACAGGGGGCGACATCGAGAAGCAGGATCTCGTTGGTGGACTTGGAAGACTGGTCACCGGAGAGAATGGCGGCCTGGACGGCAGCACCGTAGGCGACGGCCTCATCGGGGTTGATGGACTTGTTGGCATCCTTGTTGAAGAAGTCGGAGACGAGCTTCTGGATCTTGGGGATACGGGTAGATCCACCGACGAGGACGATCTCGTGGACGGAGGACTTGTCAATCTTGGCGTCACGGAGGACACGCTCGACGGGTTCCATGGTGCCGCGGAAGAGGTCCTGGCAGAGTTCCTCGAAACGGGCACGGGTGATGGAGGTGTAGAAGTCAACACCCTCGAAGAGAGAGTCAATCTCGATGGAGGTCTGAGCAGCGGAAGAGAGGGTACGCTTAGCACGCTCGCAAGCAGTGCGGAGACGGCGGAGGGCACGAGCGTTGGTGGTGAGGTCCTTCTTGTGCTTGCGCTTGAACTCGTTGACGAAGTGGTTGACCAGACGGTTGTCGAAGTCCTCACCACCCAAGTGAGTGTCACCAGCAGTGGACTTAACCTCGAAGATACCCTCCTCGATGGTCAGGAGAGACACATCGAAGGTACCACCACCGAGATCGAAGATGAGGACGTTGCGCTCACCCTCGACCTTCTTGTCGAGACCGTAGGCAATGGCAGCAGCAGTGGGCTCGTTGATGATACGGAGGACGTTAAGACCAGCGATGAGACCGGCATCCTTGGTAGCCTGGCGCTGGGAGTCGTTGAAGTAGGCGGGGACAGTGATGACAGCGTTGTTGACGGTGCCACCGAGGTAAGCCTCAGCGGTCTCACGCATCTTGACGAGGATCATGGCAGAGATCTCCTCGGGGGTGAACTGCTTGGTCTCACCCTTGAACTCGACCTCGATGACGGGCTTGGTAGCCTTCTCGACGATCTTGAAGGGGAAGTGCTTCATATCAGCCTGGACCTCGGCGTCGTTAAAACGACGACCAATGAGACGCTTGGCATCGAAGACAGTGTGGTGGGGGTTCATGGCGACTTGGTTCTTGGCGGCATCACCAATGAGACGCTCGGTGTCGGTGAAACCGACGAAGGAGGGAGTGGTGCGGTTACCCTGGTCGTTGGCGATGATCTCAATGCGGTCATCACGGAAGACACCCACACAGGAGTAGGTGGTTCCCAAATCGATACCGACGGCGGGGGCCATGGTGTGTGTACTTGTGTGAGTCGTTAAAAAGGGTATGTAAAAAGAAAATTCGTGAGGTAGAGCAAAAGGTAGTGTACAGTGGAAGGGGTATTTGAAAGTGAAGAAGAAAAGAGAGAGGAAGAGGGCAGCGAAAACCTGCTATATAGTGAGCGGTGTATTGCTCAGAAGCTTCTAGACGGGGAGCTTCCACGGAGATCCACGGGGTTCCATGCCCTTCGATGACCCAACCACCACCCCCTACGTCCTTTCTCTCACTCTCTAGGGGCTTCTAGCGATGCCTACAGGCCTCTGGATTCATTTGGCTAACTTGTTTGACCCTATTCCTGCCAACCGGTGCGTCAATGCCATGCAACGCTGGAAGTTCTTTGATCTGTAGATTTTTTTTGGCGGGGCGTCGATGATGTAATAGTGGGATGACTCTTAGGTCACTGTACGGTATTGGTATTGACCGGTATTATGGTTGCTAGGGGTTTCCCTTCCTTTCTGCGGGCTCATTGCTCATTTCTAAATGTATGGTATGGTCACGGTGGACACCTCCGTCATGATGAATTCATAACCCCATAGCAAGAAAGGAAAAAAATGGAGGGAAAGCAACAGAACCCGGTGTAGTATACAATTGGTAGGGGCTGATGTATGGAGTAACATGCGCCTTACCTGGGAATATCAAGGTGGTTCCTCAGGCATCAAATCAAGTATCATGTCAGGCATCAACTTAGATGCCTGAGGTGTCATATATTTGCCTGAATAATAAGGTGTCATTTATTAGCCTCCTGCCTGAGGCCGCCAAATCTCCCACAAAGCCAAATGGTCGGTGATCCACAAAAACTGATCCGACTAGACCTTAACACAACTACTTCGACACTTCATCTCGACTACACAGACTACATTGGGATATGACCATCTTCTTCTGCTCAATGCTTCGTCACATATATGGTGCAGTATGCTGATGCCGGTGCTTATCTTCCCCTGCCGCATGGGCAACAGCCATATCACAGAAATAACAAGCATTCGGGGAAATCCCGGAACCAAGCCCGAGTCGAGGCTTGATAACGCCATCCGCGCTAACCATTCGAAAGGGCCTCGCGCTGCCCGTTTTACGCTCAATCTGGTGCTTGTCCCCGGTCTGCACCTGCTTCTCCGGTGGTTCCACGCGTTCGAGGAGGCAAGGACAATGTAACACCGTGATCGCCAGCTCCCCGAATAGTCCAATGAGCTTGCTCCATCGCATTTGGATGCATGCAAAAGGATTCCATTATGTACGAAATTGCGATAATGTGATCCCGTCAATTTTTTATTTTCCATTTTCATTTCCATTTCCAAGGTTCTGCGCGGACATCCCGACGTATATATATGCGATTCCTCTTCCCACAGCTTCCATGCCTGCTCCTTGTTTTTGAACTTGCGTAGTCCTGGTGAATTCGATATCCGTGGATATCACACGCTGCCATCATGGCCAAATGGAATCTGACCCGGCGCAGAGCGCAGGAGCAGCCCGAGACAGAAACGCACGAGACAGAAGAAACGAAAGAAACGACACAGACGGAGCCGGACTTCGCAACCAAAAAACCAAATGTCGCAGAGGCCGCCGTGGACGAGGAGAACCTCCATCTCAAGGGCGACACCGCTGCCATCGAACAAGAGACGCAAGAGAACCCCGAAATCGCCGCCTTGCCGCTCACGGTGCGCCAGCTGGTGAATCTGACTGACGACCCGACCCTCCCAACCATCACCTTCCGGTACTTTATCCTCTCCGCCATCTTCGTGATCCCCGGTGCGTTCTTGTCACAGATGAGCTACTTCCGCACCACCAAGGCACCCTACTCCATCTTCTTCGTGCAGATCGCCTGTCACTATGCCGGCCACTTCATGGCTAGAGTGCTCCCAGCCTGGAACATCGGTATTCCAGGCACTCGGTTCAAGTTCAGTCTGAACCCCGCCCCGTGGAGCATCAAGGAGCACGTGTTGGTGACACTGACGGCCGCCTCCGGTGCGACCTACAACCTGGGGTATGCCCCAATCGTTCTAGCCGAGCTGTGGTACGGAACCCGAATCAATCCCGCCGTGGCCATCTTCTTCATGCTGTCTATCGTCTGGATTGGGTACTCCTTTGCGGCCCTGGCCCGCCAGATTCTGTTGCCAGATCCCGAATACATCTGGCCCCAGGCGCTCATGCAGACCACATTGTTTGAAACCTTCCGCAAGACCGACACCTCGTCTGCTCTCGCTCGGCGACAGATGAAGGTTTTCTTCTTCGCGCTGCTTGGCATGACCTTGTGGCAGTTCATCCCAGAATATGTGTTCCCATTCACCTCGTCACTGGCGTTCCTGTGCTGGGTGGCCCCTCGCAACCCCGTTGCTAACTTTATTGGCTCCGGCATTGGAGGAATGGGCTTCCTGAACCTCTCCCTAGATTGGTCCAATGTCAACTGGAATGGTTCCTCGATCATGACCACCCCGTTCTGGACGCAGGTCATTCTGTTCTTGGCTTTTGCCTTCAACTGCTGGGTCCTCCTTCCTGCAGCGAAGTGGGGAAACCTGGGCTCCTATAAGCATGGCCTCATGTCAAACACCCTGTTCATGGCCAACGGTACAGCCTATCCAACCCTTGAGGTACTGACCCCGGATTACCACCTCAACACAACCGCATTCGAACACTACGGACCCATGTATATGGGCCTGCAGAATGTGTGGGCTACCTTCTTTGACTATGCCAAACTGCCGGCCGCGGTGACGTGGATCCTGACGTTCGGATATGCCCAGGTGTCTGGTAACATCCGACGCATCCTTGACTCTCGTAAAGCCGAGAAGGACAAGACTGCCCAAAGTATTCACCACCAGTATCACGACCGTCTCAATGTCATCCAGAGGCAGTACAAAGAGATTCCGTGGTGGTGGTATGGCACCCTATTTTTGGTGGCTTTTGTCATCTTGATCATTTTCCTTGCCCTCGGCCATCTTTTCATTCCGATTTGGACTTTGTTTGTGGCGCTTGCAAGCGCTGCTGTTCTGGTCATCCCCTTCGCCTGGCTTTACGCCATCTCCAACTACCAGCTAGAGACAGGTTCTTTCAATGAGCTCATGTATGGCTACATGGTCCACACCAAAGCTGGCGAGAGTCACCAGCACCCATGTGGACCTTCTGTGTATGGATCGATCGCAGGTGATGCCTGGTACCGTGCCCAGTACATGCTGCAGGACCAAAAGATTGGCCACTACATGCATATCCCGCCGCGGGCAGTGTTCTTCTCCCAAATCTTTGGTACTTGCATGGGTGTCCCTATCAACTATGCCGTCATGCGTTGGATCATGAGCACCAAGGGCGATTTCCTGACCGGAAAGAAGACTGACCCCCTCAATCAATGGACTGGTCAATCACTGCGGAACTCCAACACCATGGGTATTCAATATGCCATCCTGGGACCAAAGCGGCTCTTTGCCGAGTCAGAAATGTCCATCCTACCCTGGTCGTTCTTGATCGGAGCAGTCATTCCTCCGATTCTGTTCATTGCCCACCGATTCTTCCCGCGACTGCGCATTGAGATGTGGAACGTGAGCATCTTCTTTGGAGGACTTGCAATGTTCTACGGTAACATCAGTACCGGATATACCTCTGCGATCATCGGTGGCTACGTTGTGATGTACTGGGCCTACCGCAAGCACTTCGAGACCTGGAAGCGATACAACTATTTGCTTGCTGCTGCCTTCGATGCTGGGTTCAATCTTTGCATGCTGCTTATCTTCTTCTTCTTTGGAGCTGGCAAGCAGATCCAGATGCCCGAATGGTGGGGAAATAATAGCAACTCAGTTGAGAGATGCTTTGCTCTCGACAGTTGAAGGAGGAAAGAATCTATGATATTAGCTACCATTATTCCCTAATTCACACCATGTTATGTATATGTCTAAATTCCGGGGTATAAAGTGTCGAACTGCATGATGCGCATGGAAGATCTAAATAATCAGGGCACGATTTGTCAGGGGCAGACCGCTCCGCCAATCACAGGGCGTATTCCCGCCCTTACTGTTTTGGCTCGGAGAGACCTTACTTGCAGACCATCTTTTAATAACCTCCTTTGCCCCCTGTCCCTCTCCCTTTCTCACCATCTCTCTCTCCTACACATCTAACATCATTTCCATCATGGGTGACCACGCCACTACTTCCAATGAGGACACCTTCGCCAAGGGCAAGGGCAAGGCCGACCCCACCAACGAAGTGAGCATGGACGAGGATAGCTCTTCTGAGTCCGAGCCTGAACTGGTAAGTCTACAACCATTTATCTGATTCCATCTGATACTAATCTCAATGCGCCTCTAGCCCGAAAACGGTACATGACCCTACCCCGCCTCTCTTGTTTACACCCGAATCGCCTTGCTCACACTTCTGCAGATGATGACGACGAGGGCCAGCACGGTGACCCCATTGACCAGAGCAACATCATCCAGGGTGGTCGTCGCACACGCGGCAAGGTCATTGATTACTCTAAGGTCGCCGCCGACGACATGGAGGATGACGACGAAGATGACGAGGAATACGAGAGCCGCGAGGACAAGAACCAGGACGATGATGACCAGATGCGCGATTAAATGAACATACACAATCTACCGGGTGGCATGGGATTTGGCTTTAAATGACAGGCGCCAACGGATCGAGGATTTTTCCTTCCCCCACGCGTACCCGCGTACCGCGTCTGGCCCACTACGACTATGAATCAATGAACGTTTTCCTTGACTCCCTTTTTCCATTGGTCTGCTCTTCGACATGTCTCGATATGTATTGAATTGGGGCCTATGATGTAATGTGTAGATATTTCCTGGATTGAAACGGAGTATACATTGGAGGAATGTGATATCATACCATGTACAATCCATACATCTCATGATGGACATTTGAATCAACACTCGGTCTCTCTGTTTTTGTCTGCTGAGCCGAGGTGATGGAGAATCAAATGAAAAGCAAATGAAAAAGGGCGAACCATCGATCCCATACTTCGTACTATATCACTATCACGTGCCCGCTATGGCCACTTGGGGTGTTTTTATCTCCGGATGCGACATCTGAACAGATCCTCGACAACTAATTTATGCCAACCTCTTAATACACCATGGCTTCACGGTATGATCTTATCAACATTCATATAGACTACAATCTGACCACTCTAGATTCCCACGCCAACGCGATCCTCGCGCCTCTTCATCTCTCTTCGATCAATATGGCGGCGACTCCCGCCAGGCCAGCAGATCACCCGCCCAACAGAGCTACGGATATGGAGGATACTCAAGTCCCGGTCCGAATGGGTATGCGGACAAACCAGGATACCAAAGTGCATCACCGAATAAGAAGTGAGGAGCTCTTCCGCGGCGTCTGTTTCCGATAGACTAACGGGGATCAGGGGCCATTACTCGGACGCAGTACTCTCGTCACTGGAGTCGCAAAATGATGCGGAGGTTGAAGGGATCAGTGCGAAAGTCAAGATGCTGAAAGATGTAAGGTTCTGCCAAGCACGACAGTGAAAGACAAGCTAACACTTTTAGATCACACTCGCCATTGGAGACGAAATCCGCGATACGACGCATATGACCGAGCTGAATGATTCCTTTGATAATACCCGAGTTCGACTGCGGGGGACGATGAACCGCATGATGCGTATGGCTGACAGCACCGGTGTTGGCTGGCGGGTGTGGCTTGGGTTCTTCTTCGCCGTGTTCCTCTTGTTCTTCTACGTTTGGATATTCTGAGCAATTGCTGGGCAATATGGCATGGTTTGCATGATCGGCGTCTATACATTTAATCACTCGACGTGGCGTGTGGATATACATCTGTCGAAGAGCTTTACATTTTTAGCATGGGCTTCTCCTTTGGCGGGCGTTTGGTGTGACTTTAGCTATGTACAGGGTTACGAGAGAAGCTTTTCTACTTCCGAAATTTTGTATCGTGGCTCTCAAGTGTAGTAGGATCCAGGTTAATGAAGGGACCCCTATAATATCGTGGGAAGAGGGCTGTGAAAAGTCATCAAGTGTAATTACAGCTATGGCCTGATGGTATGTGCGATCATGGCCGGTCTCGAGATGACTCGGTCATGCTCGATTTCGTGGGTATCATCGACTGCCTCAAGGCAGGTTATTTCCAGTACTTTGCTCAGACACATCGCCTTGGAGTTCAGTGCTGATAGAGTGGTAGAACACATTGCTTGGTTGCCTAATTCAAGCTGTCACGGGGCCCACCGATGTGTCGCGGCAATCGCCCAAATCCACTGCGCCGACTGCTTTGACTGGTGATCGAAGCGCGCAGATCCCCATCGCTATACAGCAAGCTGCTCGAATCAAAAGCATCCCCTCCACCACTCCAGCGATTGATGAAGCGCCGTTGAGCCTCCGTCTCTCGATCACGAGGCAGTGTTGGCGGAGGCAATCCACCCCGGCTATTGGGCGTGCTGGTGCGGAAATTCTCCGTGAAACGAGGCGTAGTCATACCAGGCTGGATCATACTCGACTCTTCTTCGTCGCTCAGCTCTTCCTCACTGTCGGTGTGCTGCCACTCCTCCGGTGAGCCCGCCGCGTCGGGAATATCGTCATCCAGATCACGTTCACTCTCTTCGGGAATATCTGCATCCAGATCAGGCTGATTGTCGAAATCTTCGTCGTCATCCTCGTCATCATAAAGACCTGAGCCCTCATATTCGTCATCGACAAAGCCTTCGGGGATATCGTCGTCCAGATCTCGCTCCATGAATTCTCCTTCCTCTTCCTCGAGCTCCTCCTCGCCCTCTTCAATGAGACCTGAGGGCTCTTCCTCGCCATTTGGAATATCCTCATCCAAATCTCGCTCCATGCCTTCTTCTTCCGGGTGGGTGGTATCGTCCATCATGCCCCCTTCGGCCGCCTCCATCTCCGCCGCGGCCGCCTGCATCGCCTCTTCGCGCTCGGCCTCCTCCTCCTTCATGCCGAGCATGGTCTTCGGACATCCGGCTGGTCTGATCCAGGAGTATCCAAACGAGGCGATGTTGAGCTTTCTGGTGCGCAGCTTACGCTCCTCGGCTGCCAGCGCGGCGAGGGTGTTGGATGGGTTGCGCGAGGGTAGGAAGGCACGGTGACTTGATGGGCCAGCATTGCGGCGCGCGAAGGGGTTGGCGGGATCGTGTTGTTCCGTTTGGGTCTGAGAGGATCCAAACCATAGCTCGTGGGACTGGGGATGGTTAATTATCGCCGGAGGATTTTGGAAGGCACACTCACGTCGCGTGGAGCGATGGAGGGTAAAGAGAGCATGGTTGTGTCTAATCAAGTAGACTCAATGATTGAGTTACTTGCAATTTCAATGAATCTCGGAGGATGTGGAGAAGCAATGGCGTACAGTCTGAGGCTCTGATATCGAAGTGGAATCGAAGTGACAAAGGGAGCGGAGCAAAAAAGCGCCGCAGCTCTTCGGCCAATCAGCACGTGCTCACGGCTTAAATGCGGGGGAGCTATCAACCCTATATTTACTGCTTTGCAGCTCCTGTCCTTTGACCTTGTAGAGCTATGAGATACAAATTCAAGATGGAGTCTAATTTGGTTGAATAAGTCCATTGATATATAGATCTTTTGAGGTTAGAGAGACCCCTCAGTGCCACTTTCATGACCTCATTACACTACCGCCATTACTTATTTACACCACGAAGTACATATGGCTTGAGCAGATGGTGCATGAGGAATCCCCGGTCGCACTGCATTGAGTACTATTGTGCCCAGGGTATTCTTTCAGCCAAATTAACGTGCTTTTGCCAAATGACCCAAAAGTCAGCCCCAGACGCCTAACTAGTGCAGATCCCAGACTAGAGACTTGGCGTTGTGGAGATCCAGGCCTTTCTGAGACTGCAGACATGGCATGGATCTATCATACAGTTCTTTCACCCCCCATACGGGGTACTCCGGGTCCCTGTCTCGCTTGAAATGCCAACAGGCCAAGAGACTGTGCATCTTCACCGATAGTTTGTCCCGAGATCACCCGAGAACCATGGTCAGTTGTCTGGGGCCACAGACCGGTGAGCCTTACAAGCGAGGTCGGGAGAAGTCGGATCGTGCGCCACTCCGTTGATGTATTTGAGCAATACATGAGACACCTGGATGGGATGGAACTACTGACATCATTAGACCAGCATTTGTCTTAATTTCTTTTGAGGACACCAATAGAAGACCTTCCAAGAGACTGTAGGCTGTGACGAAGCCCCAGATCTGCCGATGTCTGAGCGGAGATGTCGTCTTTCATACTGAACTTCCAGCATGTCCGGCATATGTATGTTGACTTGTATGACTTTTATGGACGATCTGATTGGCGAGGATCAGGGGTGGGTCATGTGATCCCCGCATATCGTCGATCCACCCATCTCCGTACGGAGCTCCCTTACCGTTACGGAGTCCGGAATACGGAGTACACCCAGAAATATGCAACACCTTCTGCACCCCGTACGGAGTACTGAAATTACCAGAGACAAATGCATATTGCATATCAATTGGAGATGGTTATGAAATGTGACGTATCAAGTTTTCACCAGATTACGGAGTGGGAAGACCTGATTACACGGGTGGAGAGAGTCTAGGCGAAAACGGGAGAAGCGATCCTCTATGGGCTTATGTGTTCTTATTAGCATTAACAACGCCCTTATCTCTTTCCCCTCAAAGCAAACATTGGTCTTGGACAGGGTATATTTTCCAAGTACTCCGTAGTTGGGAGTACTTCAAGATACGCAGATGAACAGGACAACAACCATGTTTCCCGAATCCCAACTTTGAAGATTCCGGGGTGGTTGTGGTCCAGTCAGAGGGCAGCTATCTATACGGAGATCCGCGATAAGCAATGATGACCGCAAAGAATGAGCAAGGACCCGCATGCGGACGAAGCATGCCCGAAGTCGGGTCCGTCGGGCCAATGGGAACTTCCACAGGAGCTGGCCGTTGTCGGCTTGGATTCCAATGGCCATCTCTTGCCATTGACCGAGAGGATGATTACTCCGTACATGGTATAGAGTACACTCAAAATGTACCCCTAAGGTCCTAGTCAATTGGCAGTGGTCAGTGGTTAGTTACTCTGTACTCCGTACTCCATCTTGTTTTTTTTTTTTTTTTTTTTTTCTTCTTTCTGGGTCTTTTGCCAATGAGATTTCCCCGGTACTTTGGGAGATTCTCCTGCGTCAAGCAGTGCATGCCCCACTTGGTCCATCTGAGGAACATGTGCGGTGGATGGGGACCCGAGGCTCCTCCGCTTTGAGCCTCTTCCACTTCAACGGGACAATGGAAATATAGAAGAGACAGCATGTCAGATAAAGAGAGAAATGCAACGAAGCAAAAGAACAAACAGATCAAGAATCAAACAGACAAACAGGACAAACCAAGAAACCAGCAACCTTGGAAATACCAAAAATACGGTCACGATCCTGACGTCGAGGGGCCATCGTCATATGGGTAAAGCCTTCCCGCTTATTGGCTGGTAGCTTATCTATGATTTGCAGCGTATTAGCTTGATACGTTTCCGGCGGATCTCTACGAGAACGTAGTATCTGGAGTATCTTTGGTATCGTACCTAGGTAGTCAAGCAGTACTGCAATTACTGTTCGCAATTACTGGCTCCCTTACTCCAGACTCCAGATTCCGTTCCTCCGTACACAGCGGGTATTTTTCCCTTTTCCCTTTTGGGCCTATCCTAATCCCCGGACCTGTTGTCCCGCCGTGATCGCTCGACTGGCTCCCCCTCCTTCCCTGACTTTTTTTTTCCTTCTCTCTCTCTTCTTGCTCTTACTCTCCCCTATTCTCTACTACTCACGAGTCTCGTTGCTATCTCACTCCTTGCAACTCGCTCACAGAAGCCCACCTGGGACACTCCATTGCACCCGGTGACGACATCCCCCAATTCCCACCCGGCGGGGACCTCCTGAAACCACCCCTCCGTGATCAATCCATTCTCTGTCGGCCCCCGGCGGAAGAATGGGTCTTAACTTGGAAGAGCTCTATGGTAAAGATCTAAGTGAAGAGGCTCCCCAGGAGTACTCGGAATATCAACCTAAACAGGGCTATGGCTGGGCCAACGCGCTGCCGGAACGGCAAGGTCTCTACGATCCCGAATATGAAAAAGATGCCTGTGGTGTAGGCTTCGCAGCGTGAGTGGAATCCAGATTGGCTGTCTATGGGCTCAACAACGTAAATGCTGACCTCTTAACCCTTCCAGTCACATCAAGGGAAAAGCAAGTCACAAGATTGTGAGCGATGGTGAGTTGCCCACTGGCATCTTAAAACTTTTGTCGAGCGGCTCAAAGTTGACTGATTGAACAGCGCGCAATCTCCTGTGTAACATGACCCACCGTGGAGCCGTAGGCTCAGACGCCCGAGACGGTGACGGCGCGGGTGTCATGACCAGTATCCCCCACAAGTTCTTTGTGAAGAATTTCGCCCGGGAGGTCGGGGTCGAGCTTCCCCCATTGGGACAATATGCTGTGGGCAACCTCTTCTTCAAGCCTGACGAGGAAGCACTCAAGCTGTCCATTCAGAGCTTCGAGGAATTGGCCACATCTCTCGGTTTGCGTACGTTAGGATGGCGTGAGGTGCCCCGGGACTCGACGATCTTGGGCCCTGCTGCGCTCTCGCGAGAACCCATCATCATGCAGCCGTTCGTAGTGTTGAAATCAGCATACGGGGACGGAAACAAGCCAGAGATCACTGATGTCGAGCAATTTGACGAGCGAAACTTTGAGCTCCAGCTCTTCGTGCTCCGGAAGCGGGCTACTCACACCATCGGCCTCGGTAACTGGTTTTACTTATGCTCCCTGAGCAATAGGAATATCATTTACAAGGGTCAGTTGTCTCCCGTGCAGGTCTACACATACTACCACGATCTGGTCAACGTGGATTACGAGGGCCATTTTGCCTTGGTACACTCCCGATTCTCCACCAATACCTTCCCTTCATGGGACCGCGCCCAACCCTTGCGGTGGGCCGCCCACAACGGTGAGATCAACACTCTGCGGGGAAACAAAAATTGGATGCGCGCACGAGAGGGTGTGCTGCGCTCTGAGGTTTTCGGCGACGAACTGGACCAGCTCTACCCCATTGTGGAGGATGGTGGCTCGGACTCGGCCGCATTCGATAACGTGCTGGAGCTGCTCATGATTAACGGTGTTCTATCCCTCCCCGAGGCGGTGATGATCATGATTCCAGAAGCTTGGCAAGATAATCCCGCTATGGATCCCGCCAAGTCCGCTTTCTACGAGTGGGCCGCCTGTCAGATGGAGCCCTGGGATGGTCCAGCACTGTTCACCTTCTCCGATGGACGCTATTGCGGTGCCAACCTGGATCGTAATGGATTACGTCCTTGTCGATTCTACGTCATGGACGATGACCGGATCGTCTGTGCCTCGGAGGTCGGCGCTATCGACATCGATCCTGAGAGAGTCGTACAGAAGGGTCGTCTTCAGCCTGGAAAGATGCTGCTGGTTGATACCGTGGCTGGACGCATCATCGACGACGCGGAGCTGAAGCAGACTGTCAGCCGTCGCCAGGACTTTGCGGGGTGGCTGGATAAGGAGCTGTTGAAGCTCCCCGCTATCAACAAAATGCTGCTTGACTCCAAGGTTGATCTTTCTTTCGCCTTGGATGACAACACCATCCAAAACGACCCCCGCCTCAGGGCATTTGGATACTCATTTGAGCAAGTGAGCTTGATTCTGGGCCCAATGGCCGCAGACTCCAAGGAGGCCCTCGGATCCATGGGTAACGATGCTCCATTGGCTTGTATCGCACCACAGCCTCGTCTGCTCTACGAGTATTTCCGCCAACTCTTTGCTCAAGTCACCAATCCACCCATCGATCCGATTCGAGAGGCCGTCGTTATGTCCCTCGAATGCTACGTCGGCCCTCAGGGTAACCTGCTGGAGATGGACTCTTCGCAATGTCATCGCCTTCTCCTGCCTTCACCAATCCTGAGCATCTCAGAGTTCAATGCTTTGAAGAATGTCAACCTGGCCCACAAGGATTGGACCGTGTGCATCATCGATATTACATTTGAGAAGAGCAAGGGCACTGCGGGTTACATCGACGCGCTTGACTCTATTTGTGATGCTGCCACTGGGGCCATCCAGAATGGCGACAAGGTCATCATCTTGTCTGACCGTGCCACCTCTGCCGATCGTGTTCCAGTCTCTGCTTTGCTAGCCACTGGTTTAGTTCACCACCACCTCGTGCGCAACAAGTGGAGATCTCTTGCCGCTCTTGCGGTTGAGACCGCCGAAGCCCGTGAAGTCCACCACCACTGTGTGTTACTGGGATACGGTGCTGATGCCATCAACCCTTATCTCGCTTTGGAATGTATACTGAAGATGAACCGCGAGAACCTGATCCGCAAGGATACGCCCGATGAGAAGGTCATTCAAAACTACAAGTCGTCCTGTGATGGCGGTATCCTCAAGGTCATGAGTAAGATGGGTATCTCTACCCTCCAATCATATAAGGGTGCCCAGATTTTTGAGGCCCTTGGTATCGACGATAGCGTTATCGATCGCTGCTTTGCCGGCACCGCCAGTCGCATTCGGGGTATCACATTTGACCTGATTGCCCAAGATGCTTTCGCTTTCCACGAGCGCGGATTCCCCTCCCGCCCAATTGTTGAAGTCCCAGGTCTCCCCGAATCCGGCGAGTACCACTGGCGTGATGGAGGTGAGGCTCACATTAACGATCCCACGAGTATTGCCAATATTCAGGACGCTGTCCGCACCAAGAACGACAAGTCCTACGAAGCATACGCCAAGTCTGCACACGAGCAAATTAAGAACTGTACCTTGCGCGGAATGCTCGACTTTGACTTTGATCAACGCACACCTATCCCCATCGACCAAGTTGAGCCCTGGACCGAGATTGTCCGTCGTTTTGTAACCGGCGCCATGTCTTATGGATCTATCTCTATGGAATCCCATTCTACTTTGGCTATCGCTATGAACCGCCTTGGTGGAAAGTCAAACACAGGAGAAGGTGGTGAAGATGCCGAGCGCAGCAATCGCATGGAGAACGGAGACACCATGCGGTCTGCCATCAAGCAGATTGCCTCTGGTCGTTTCGGTGTTACATCAAACTATCTTTCTGACGCGGACGAGCTACAAATCAAGATGGCCCAGGGTGCTAAGCCCGGTGAGGGTGGTGAGCTCCCCGGTCACAAGGTCGTTGGTCCCATTGCTCGCACTCGCTTCTCTACTCCGGGAGTCGGTCTTATCTCCCCTCCTCCTCACCACGACATCTACTCGATTGAAGACTTGAAGCAGCTTATTTACGACCTGAAGTGCTCCAACCCCCGTGCTAGAATCTCCGTTAAGCTTGTCTCGGAGGTCGGTGTTGGTATCGTTGCCTCCGGTGTGGCCAAAGCCAAGGCTGATCACATTTTGATCTCTGGTCACGATGGTGGCACTGGTGCTTCCCGATGGACCGGTATCAAGTATGCAGGTCTTCCATGGGAGCTTGGTCTGGCCGAAACCCATCAAACTCTTGTGCTGAATGATCTTCGTGGACGTGTTGTTGTCCAAACAGACGGCCAAATTCGCACTGGTCGAGACCTCGCCGTTGCCTGTCTCCTTGGTGCCGAAGAATACGGTTTTGCTACAACTCCATTGATCGCTATGGGCTGTATTATGATGAGAAAGTGCCACCTGAACACTTGCCCTGTTGGTATTGCAACCCAGGATCCCGAGCTGAGGAAGAAGTTCCAGGGCACGCCGGAACACGTGATCAACTTCTTCTACTACGTCGCCAACGAGATGCGGGCCATCATGGCCAGACTGGGCGTTCGCTCGGTTAATGAGATGGTTGGTCGGGCTGAGCTGCTCAAGGTCCGAGACGACATTCGGAATGAAAAACAGCAACGCGTTGATTTATCGCTGATCTTGACTCCTGCTCACTCACTTCGTCCCGGAGTCGCTACTTACAATGTCCGCAAGCAGGACCACCGCCTTCACGTTCGCCTGGACAACAAGTTGATTGCTGAATCAGAGCTTGCTCTGGAGAAGGGTCTGCCTTGCCGCATCGAGTGCGATGTTGTCAACACCGATCGAGCTATGGGTGCCACTCTTTCCTACCAGATCAGCAAACGTTACGGCGAGGCTGGTTTGCCTCAGGATACTGTTCACGCTAACATCAAGGGATCTGCCGGTCAGTCCTTTGGTGCGTACCTTGCTCCTGGTGTGACTCTTGAGCTAGAGGGTGATGCCAACGACTACGTCGGCAAGGGTCTTTCTGGTGGTCGTCTCATTGTATACCCTCCTCGTGGCGCATCTTTCAAGGCCGAGGAAAACGTCATTGTCGGTAACACCTGTCTGTATGGAGCCACACGAGGCGCTTGCTACTTCCGTGGTCTGGCTGCTGAGCGTTTTGCTGTCCGCAACTCCGGTGCTACAGTTGTCGTCGAGGGTGTCGGTGACCACGGATGTGAGTACATGACCGGTGGTCGTGTACTTGTTCTGGGTCCTACTGGCCGCAACTTCGCTGCAGGTATGTCTGGTGGTATCGCCTACATCCTGGACAAGAACCAAGACTTCCACTCCAAGGTCAACTTGGAGATGGTTGAAGTCTCAGGTATCGAAGATCCATCCGAGATTGCCTTTGTCCGTGGTCTGATCGAAGATCATCATCACTACACTGGCTCTGAGCTGGCCGCTCGAATTCTGCTTGACTTTACCCGCGCCCTTCGACACTTCGTCAAGGTTCTTCCTATTGACTACAAGCGTGTCATGGAAGAGGAGGCTGCCAAGGCTGAGGCCGCGAAGAAGGCCGAGTTCTCTCTGCCTCGTCTTCCTAGCGCCCCTGTCAAGGCCGAGAAGCCAAAGGCCGACGATGCTCACAAAGCTGAATTGCTGGATATTGAAGACAGCATCAGCGACTCAAAGGCTGAGAAGAAGCGATCGGCGCTGATCCTCGACAAAACCAGAGGTTTCATGAAATACAGCCGGCGCAGTGAGAAATACCGCAACGCCACTACCCGTACTCGCGATTGGGGTGAAATTTCCAACCGCCTGAGTGAGGACGAGCTCAAGTTCCAGTCGGCTCGTTGTATGGACTGCGGTGTTCCGTTCTGCCAATCTGATACTGGTTGCCCCATCTCCAACATTATCCCCAAGTGGAACGAATTGGTTTTCCAGAATCAATGGCAAGAGGCTCTTAACCGCCTACTCATGACCAACAACTTCCCTGAGTTTACTGGGCGTGTCTGCCCTGCTCCCTGTGAAGGATCTTGCGTATTGGGTATCAATGAAGACCCTGTCGGTATCAAGTCTATTGAGTGCGCGATTATTGATCGCGGATTTGAGATGGGTTGGATGGTCCCTAATCCCCCGAAGACCCGATCTGGGAAGACAATTGCAGTCATCGGATCCGGTCCTGCCGGCATGGCCGCTGCTGACCAGCTGAACCGTGCTGGTCACAGCGTCACCGTTTACGAGCGTGCCGATCGCATTGGCGGTCTTCTTATGTATGGTATCCCCAACATGAAGCTCGACAAAAAGGTTGTCCAGCGTCGTGTTGATCTAATGGCTGCCGAAGGCATCAAATTTGTCACTGGAACTGCCGTTGGACCCGACTCCGAGGTTACTCTGCAATCCCTGCGCGCCACCAACGACTCTGTCATCATTGCCACGGGTGCTACTGTCGCTCGTGACCTCAAGGTTACCGGTCGTGAGCTTGATGGTGTTCACTTTGCCATGCAATTCCTGCACAAGAACACTAAGTCCCTTCTCGACTCTGGGCTCTCAGACGGTGAATATATTTCCGCCAAGGACAAGCACGTCGTTGTTATTGGCGGTGGTGATACTGGTAATGACTGCATCGGTACCTCCGTCCGTCACGGCGCCAAGTCAGTTACCAACTTTGAGCTCCTGCCTCAGCCACCTCCAGAGCGTGCCGGTGATAATCCATGGCCCCAATGGCCTCGCATCTACCGCATCGACTACGGTCACACTGAGGTCAAGACTCACATGGGTAAAGACCCGCGCGAGTACTGTGTCATGTCAACTGAATTTGTTGACGATGGAAGCGGTCGTGTGAAGGGCATCAATACCGTGCGTGTTGAGTGGACCAAGAGCTCTACAGGCGGTTGGGACATGAAGACTGTCGAAGGCAGTGAGCACTTCTTCCCTGCAGATCTCGTTCTCCTCTCCATGGGCTTCCTGGGTCCTGAAGATCGTCTTCTTGGTGAAGATATCGAGCGTGACCCCCGCAAAAATGTCAAGACTCCCCCGGGTCACTATTCGACCAACATCCCTGGAGTCTACGCTGCAGGTGATTGCCGCCGTGGACAGTCCCTTATTGTTTGGGGTATCAACGAAGGACGACAGTGTGCTCGCGAGGTCGACGCTTTCCTCAGCGGTACCAGCTCCCAGCTCCCAGTGACTGGCGGTATTGTTCGTCGTCCCGCCATTGACTCTGTTCCCCAACCCACCGAGGTTGTCGCCTAAGTCGTAGATACCAGACATCATCACGATTGACGATCATGAAACGCTTGTAAGAATGAATGTGTGGTTTTGACAGAGTCCAATTGAATTTGGCCTCTGGAAAAGTGTTCGGGGTTTGGGTCGTTCGGTTTCAGCGTTTGTATCTAGAGCGTCCACTGTTTGGCAATCTCTCTTTGTTGTAAATAGCGTTTGTTAATTTTATCCATTGTATTCCTTGTTCTAATCTCAGTAAACTAATCTAGACTTACATCTCTAAGAAAGCGACAAAGAACAATCAACAACATATGGTTATGCCTATCTTTGCTTCTTGAAAGGTTGTTCTATACTTCAAATTATGGAAATGTCTCTTGTCTATCCCACTTCTCATCTACTTCATCCTAGAGACCTGATCCCTTTTTTTTAAAAACAAAAAAACCTACCATGACCGAAACACATCGCAATGATAACCCTAACGGGTTCATCACCGAACGCGAGGTCGACGGCGAGCGTCGATCTATCCGTCATTACAACGACGGTCGAGTATCGTCGCGGAATAGTTCTCGAGAAGGCCGTATCTCCTCGCGACCCACAAGCAGGGCAAGCTTCACTCGAAGTAGGGTCAATTCTCAAACTACCTCTCGGTCTGCCTCTCGGTCCACACGACGGGCCTCGTCTGAGAGCGGCGTTGGACTCGTCGAGTTATTCTTTGAAATGGACGAGCTGGACATGCCAGAGCACCACCGTCCACTTGAGAGCGAAGCGCCTCCCGATCTATCAAACACCAATCGGGAAATCAAATCTTTGGCCTCGCAAACGGTTGTGCCGACATCTTCACCGGATTTACTATCTTCAGGCACTGCCAAGGAAAGCCATGTCCTGAGTCGTGTAGCCAAAATCGAGAATCAAATCAAGAAGCTCGGGAAACAGCCTTCTGTCGATATTGCCAAGGACGAAGAGTATTGAGTCGAGGGATCATCACAGTTAGAACAATGAATGGGCATCACAAAATGATACAAGGTCTCTAGTAACATTTGAGAACAGGCTCGGACGCGAGACAATGGAGATGGTCGTATTATACATGAGTAAACAGAAGGATGCACATCTACATATCGTAACAAAAAAAAGACAGGCAGGGGGTATCAGGCAGCTGCCTTGTGTTTGGCTGCTTCATCCTCAGCTTTCATTTCCTTCTCCAAGGCCGCGAAGTCACCCTTGAAGGATTCTGTAGCTGGATCCAACCGAACATCCCAAACGTCTTCACTGCTGGGACCGGTCTTGTACTTGATTGCCTTCTTGCGGTTGTGATCTCGAATAGCCCGCTTGCGCAAGTCTTCTGGCCACGTGCGAGTTTTCATGCATAGCCAAAGGTTGTCCCAATGATCGCTGCAGGATCGAAGTTCTCCGTATCGATAGACATTGACGAATTGGCCACCGAATGATTGGCAGAAGAAGGCGTAGTCGAAGGCATTACGGCAAGACATTGTATCCTGATACAAAGATTCTGGAGCGATGGCTGATTGAGGTGTTTGAGGTTCGAGACTTCCTCCGGGCGTGAGGGATTTGTTGAGAGATGCATCTTCTGATCTAAGATCGGCTAGGATTTGGCTGAACTCCAAGTCGGCTTGTTCGTCGGGGGTCAATGCCTTCGGCGGGACATTTTGCTTTGGAACCTCGGGTAGATTTGTAGAGGGAAGATCTTGAGGAGTATCTTTGGTAGTGTCCTTGGGACTTGATCCCCACAGCCAGCCCATTGTGTTGTTTAGTAGGGAAGTGAATTGGTAGAACAGTCGCGGCATCGCGAAATCACGAGGTTCTTTTCCGCGCTTATCGAAATTTGCACGTGACTCGGCGATAAGCGATCGTGAAAACGACGTCATTGATCGATTCAAACAAGCTGATCGCACTCGATCTCTCGATTGTTTTTAATCCACTTCTTCCAGTATGCTGCTATGAACGCAATGAAGCCAGCTACCTTACCTCGAGGCCTGCTGGCCGCGCGGTCAACAGACTCTCACATCAACACGCTCAGGTGGAGATCTCCGCTTTATACACGTTCGGCTATACGACACAGCTCTTCTATCAAGTCTGGGCATATCCCAGTCGAAGAAAATGAAGGTCTCATATATGTCAATAGTAGGTAACCTAAGAGTGTCGCTGGATGTTCTCACTGATCACAAATAGATATCTTCCCGCATCGGTTACAATGGTTGCTGCGCGGACCCCTCAGCCACATTCAGCCCCTCGAGGGGATCTTGAAACGAGTCAATAAGCCTGGAGTTGCTGCAGCAGAGCCGCTCCGCATAGTTGAGCGGGCCTTGCCCAAAGACTTGGACCTTGAGATCAAAGAGGTCGTCACCAGGTACAAAGAAGGCGGCGCGTTCGTGAAGTATGGGCTAAAGTCGTCCATGACCGACGATGGTATCTCAACTTCGATCAAAGAGCATCTGCGCAAGAACCCTATCAATCCTTGGTTTAATCCATTCCAAAGAGCCGATGCGGACGTTGTTTGTGGGACCCCGTGGATCGAAGATCTCTACAGAATTCCTAGTCAGAGCCTCAAGGTGGAATTCTTGCCAACCTCTCCGGACACTTCAGCGGCCGAGTTGACACAGGAAGCCTTGTATTCTCTATTCCGTCCTTATGGCAAGATTTTGGATATCCAGGCGCAGCCTTCTGATTCAAAGGTCGAACCACGATATGCAACCTTGCGATTTGAGCGACCTCGATACGCCGTCATGGCCAGGAATTGCATGCATGGCTTTGTCGTATCTGAAGAGGCAGGTGGTGGCAAGTCGGGTACTCGTTTCAAGATCAACTACGAGCGCAAGATCAAGCTCTTTATGATCAAAGACTGGATTCTCAATCACCCCAGACTAGTGATCCCTGCCATCGCAGCATTGTTAGCGACGATCACCGTCATCATTTTCGATCCAATCCGCACATTCTTCATCACACTCAAGGTCAAATCATCGTTCCAGGCTGAGGATAATCCAGTCGTGCAATGGGTTCGCAGGCAAGTCAGCAAAGCCAACATGTTCTCTTTCGGGAAGAAGAAAACCGACCCCCGAGGACTGGCCGCTATCTGGGAAGACCGACAAAAGGACATCGAGCAACTGCGAGCCTGGCTGACCGAGACTGCCGAGACATTCATTGTCATTCACGGTCCCCGAGGCTCCGGTAAACGCGAGTTGGTCTTGGAACAGGCGCTCAAAGAACACAAGTACAAGGTTGTCATTGACTGCAAGCAAATCCAAGATGCTCGAGGTGACACGGCCAAAATCTCCCGGGCAGCTGCTCAGGTCGGTTATCGGCCGATCTTCTCTTGGATGAACAGTATCAGCAGCTTCATTGATCTTGCTGCGCAGGGCATGATTGGCACCAAAGCCGGATTTTCTGAAACATTGGATGCGCAGCTGAGCAAGATTTGGCAGAACACAGCCGTTGCCATGAAGCGGGTGGCTCTGGAAGGCAGAAGAAAGGAAGATAAGGATTCCAACATGTCCGAGGATGAGTATCTGGAGGCTCATCCCGAGAAGAGACCTGTTGTGGTCATTGACAACTTCCTCTATGACGCAGATGATAGCGTTGTTCTGGACAAGCTCACCGAGTGGGCGGCTGGTTTGACGTCCGCGAACATAGCCCACGTCGTCTTCTTGACTACGGATTCTTCCTTTTCGAAGCCTTTGAGCAAAGCGATGCCTAATCAAGTGTTCCGCACCATAGGGTTGGGTGACTGTTCACTCGAGGTGGGTCGTCGTTTCGTGTTGAGCCACCTAGACGCCGAGGCTGGGGCCGATAATGAAGAAAATGCGAGACGTAAAGAGACTCTGCACGGGTTAGATTCTTGCATCAAGGTTCTCGGTGGGCGAGTTACCGATCTGGAATTTATGGCTCATCGTATTGAGGCTGGCGAGAGTCCAGAAGGTATGTAAGATGTCAAATACATCCAGACCGGGATTGCTAACGCTCAACACAGCTGCTGTCAACCGCATCATCGAACAATCGGCGTCAGAAATTCTCAAGATCTTTATTCTTGGGGCAGAATCTCCGTCATCTCAATACTCCCGCGAGCAGGCATGGAACTTGATCAAGTCTCTAGCCCAATCCAAGGACGGCACTTTGCTGTACAACAAGGTGCTGCTTGGAGACCTCTTCAAAGACAATGGCGAGGCCACTTTGCGTGCATTGGAGCAGTCCGAGCTCATCTCTATTGGAACCGACAAAGGTTTCCCACGGTATATCAAGCCCGGAAAGCCGGTGTATCGCGCTGCTTTCCAACGCCTGGTCGAAAACAAAACCCTGCAAGGCCGGCTCGATCTCTTGATCCTGACTCAGCTGATTGGTAATGAGAACGCGAGCATCAAGAAGTATGAGGAGGAGTTGCAGGTGCTAGGTTCATTGCCTAAGTACCCCTGGGAGCTCACTTCACGGATTGAGTGGCTTTTGCGTAAAGTCCATGGATCGCAGGCAAAGATCCTCAAGTATGAGAGTGACAGCGCGTCTTTGTCGAAGATCCTGCAGAAGGAGAACTAATGTCTTGTAAATTTATCTCATCTCAATACATTTTGTTAACAATCCTCACTTCTTCAATGGCTGGTAGATAATTATAGATCTGGTGGTTGATGAGTAAGCAGGTATCCGAGCTCGCGTGTTCTTTCGAATGTTGATGCTCATTCTTGACTTCTTTAACATCTTCAACTTTCTATTTGCCCTGCTTTTTATCGATCTGCAAATACCTTTGAATTTGCGTTTACTTTGGATGGCAGTGGCTGGTAACGTTGAAACATCGGACCGTTGGTGATATGGACGGCTACCAATATGCACTTCAACTCGCCCGAGAGAAGTACTTTGGTATCAATTGGTCTACGGTCCTGGGCCTTTTAATTGTCGTCTGCATCACGACTCGTTTTGTGACTGGACTTCAGAGTAGACGCAACCAAACCTCACCACTGGACGTGCCGGTGGCGCCCTATTGGTTTCCTTGGATCGGGCATGGACCAGCCTTTCTATGGAATCATGTCTCCTTCTTCAAGAGCACACGGTTCGTCTTTCGCGCGCATATTTCTTTGGCGTAACTGATGAATCCCCAGAAACTCCATGGGGGAAGTGGTATTTGGCATATACCTACGTGGTGTCAAGCACACTGTCGTAGCCTCTCCATCCATGATGAAAGAGGTCCTTTCACTCAAGAATGCCTCAAATTCAGAGGTACTTGATCAATCTTTACAAAATGTCTTTGGCGACCGTGCTCTCGTCCGGAGCCTGAACCTTGACAGCAATCAAGGAGTCAAAGATGTGGCCTCTACAGCTTTCGACGACGATTCATTTGTCGCAGAGGCTTCGTCTGCAATTACTCGTCTGGTTCAGCAGAACATGCCCAACCTGGTGAGCTTTTGCCGAAGCGAAGTTGACCAAAATCCTTGGGAGCGTGGAATCAGTCAGGTCGAACTTGACGAGGCAAACCAAACAGTCTGTGAAGCCAATCTATTTGCGCTTTTGAGCAAATTCATTGGCTACCTCACTTCCAACTTCCTGATGGGAGAATCTTTCGTGGAGAACTTCCCAGATCTTGCAGAGGACCTTGGCAGACTCGACGATACATTCGTGACATTGTTTGTAGGCACTCCTCGGTGGTTTCCACACCCAGCTGCTTCTGCTGGTCATGCAGCTAGCGATCGACTCCGCCATATCATGTCAGTCTTCCATCGAGCACTCTGTGCTGTGGATGATGGTATTGACCCGGGTATCGAATTGCGCGACCTTGACGATGCCTCTGAGTTGGTCAAGGATAGAATGCGCATGTTCCGCAAGCTGGAACTATCTGCCGGGGCCAGCGCCGCGGGTCACTTATCTCTGTACTATGACCTGATTGAGCACACGACCAAGATCAGTTTCTGGGCTATCATCCATCTATTTGCCGACCATGCGCTTCTCGAACAAGTTCGCAAAGAGATAGCGCCATATGTGATCGCCTCTAGGCCAACTCGACAGGAGACAGGTTTCCCCTTCGACGAGCCACCTCGGCTCTCTGTTGATATTGAGAAGGTGCTTTCCTCGTGTCCTCTGTTCAAGGCCTGTTACTATGAGACTGTGCGCCTGCATTCGGCTGGTATCTCGTTCAAAAAGTCAGCATCCGATATCACGCTGTCCGAGACAGCAGAGGAAGCCGCTTATGGTTCAACGGAGCCCCGGAAATACAAAATCTCTAAGGGCGAGAGAATCATAGTTCCTCATGGCGCTTATTACCACGACTCCCGCTACTTTTCAAACCCCGATCAGTTCGATCCCCTGCGGTTCCTCGTCACCGTTCCCGAAACTGGAGCTCAGCGAGCTGATCCGAGTATCCTCGCTCCTTTCGCGGAGGGTATGTATGGATCTACTAACAATGGATTTACCGAGCGATCTATTTTGACCTTCACTGCCGGTGTTGTGGCAATGTGGGAAATTGAGCCCCAAAGTGGGAAATTCCTCACAGTTCCCGGGCACAAAACTAGTTGGGGAGCTTTCCGACCGACGAAGGATCTGCGAGTGCGATTGAAAACGAGAGTTTGAAGCATAGAAATTAGTTTATAAACAGCATATTCGGGATCATCGTCCGGATATTAATCCGATCGGCGTTCTGCCGATGACACCATCCACTAGGAAGAGGGGAATATATAAGCCTTCGCTCTTGCGCCTGCAGTAGCCTTCGAAGGTGCTATATCTTCAATTTATTCGCAATTCACAATGGAACCCAACGACTACGACCTCACTACTCCCATTACATCCACGTCGGGACTTCGTCAAGGTCTAGCTTCCTATGGAGATCCCCATTTTTCATTGTTTTTGCGAAAGGTGTTTATCAAAGCACAAGGATATTCAGAAGATGCTCTCTCACGCCCGATCGTAGGAATCATCAACACCTTCTCGGGGTTCAATCCTTGCCATGCAAATGTGCCTCAGCTCATAGAAGCCGCCAAGCGTGGTGTGCAGCTCAATGGCGGACTGGCGATCGAGTTCCCTACAATTAGTGTAGCCGAGTCTTTCTCGTCTCCAACTAGCATGTTCCTGCGAAATCTCATGAGCATGGACACTGAGGAGATGATACGCGCCCAACCATTAGATGCTTGTATCATGATCGGAGGTGAGTGCCCATAGTCTCCAACTTGTTGGTCCTGAAGGGTCTATTTTAACAGGTTGCAGGGTGTGATAAGACCGTGCCAGCTCAATTGATGGGAGGCATCTCTGCCAACAAGCCAATCTTACCTCTCATCACTGGACCCATGTTACCAGGTAGTCACCGGGGTCAGCGCGTGGGAGCCTGCACTGACTGCCGTAACAATTGGGCGGCTTTTCGAGCCGGGGAGATCGACGTCGAGGAAATAGCGGCGATCAATGAGGAGCTTGCGCCGACGGTATGTGTGAACGTGGTCGGGAGCCATTCATTTTCTGATTGAGAGTTATAGATAGGAACCTGTGGCGTGATGGGAACTGCTAGTACAATGGCCTGTGTCACGGCAGCTCTGGGGATGATGCCACTTCGAGGCGCTTCTGCGCCGGCGGTTTCATCCGCGAGACTGCGTATTGCAGAGGAGACTGGTGCAAATGCCGTTGCTCTGGCAAAATCCCAGAGAAAGCCACAAGAAGTATTGACCAAGGAATCATTTTGGAATGCCATCACGGTGCTCCAGGCTATTGGGGGCTCGACCAATGCCGTGGTTCATCTGCTAGCTATTGCCAACAGACATCCAGATTTGCAAGGCGTGATCACTCTGGACACGTTTGAGGAGATTGGTCGCAAGACCCCACTGCTTATTGATCTCAAGCCGAGTGGCGATAACTATATGAACGATTTCCACAATGCCGGTGGGATGATGGCGTTGTTGCAAGTCCTCCGACCATTGCTTCATTTGTCTGCCGTGACTATCACAGGACAAACCTTGGGCGAAGTTCTCGATGCAGGTCAATCTAAGATACTTTCTTTTTCGCAGAACATCATTCGTCCAATGTCGAACCCCTTGTTCCCTGCATCGTCTTTAGCGGTTTTGCGTGGCAACCTTGCTCCAGACGGAGCAGTCCTCAAAGCGTCGGCATCCAAATATAAACATCTCCTTACTCACACCGGGCCCGCGGTCGTGTTCGAGAATTCCGCCGATCTTGCTCTGCGAATCGACGATCCGGACCTTGATGTCACGAAAGACAGTGTGCTAATCCTGAAGAATATTGGTCCAGTCGGCAACCCAGGTATGCCCGAAGCTGGTATGATACCCATCCCAAAGAAGCTAGGAGAAGCCGGAGTCAAGGACATGTTGCGCCTTTCAGATGGAAGAATGTCAGGCACTGCAGGTGGCACTATCATTCTGCATATTTCGCCTGAATCTGCGCTGCCCGAGTCACCATTTGGAGTGGTAGAGACGGGTGACTTGATCGTGTGTGATATTGAATCCCGCAAGTTGCATTTGGATGTCTCCGATCAAGTCTTACAGTCCCGTATTGCGAGCCGCAAGCAGACCCTTGCAGGGGAGGTCCAGGTTAGAAAGCAGAGGAGAGGATACCGAGGGTTGTATGAACGGTCGGTAAATCAAGCCCAGGAGGGGGCGGACTTTGATTTCCTGACTGCTGGAGGTGCTGGTGAGTGAGAAGTATAAGAACTGCCAGAATAGAATCCCTAGAAGTAGGTGTATATAGTGGCATAAAAGAAAACACAATTGGAAAGAGACTTGGAGAGATTGAAATTGACGGCTATAGACCTGCGGGTGGGTCTCTGACCCAATCGGGTTAAATCAACGCGACGCGGACGCGTCCGACTTTAATCCCTTTGCGCTAACCTCATTTGCGATCGAACTTGAGATGCTCCAAGAGTTCACTGCACTTTGAAGCACCCAAGCCATCATGAGTTTCGATCCCGTACTCCCACGGGCGCGGCCAGCCCGTAAGTAACGTGAGATCCCTGAACTTACACCACTAACACGGCAATAGACACGCCCGGCACGACGATCCTAGCATACACGCCAGACGGTAATCGGATCATAACTGGTGGCTCCAATTCGGCTATTCGCGTGTACAACATCGACGGAGATGGAGAGCCCAGAACCATTGACGAGGGCGTTGACTCGCATTTCGGCATTGCTGTCAAGGTATGGCGTGGCGGTTGGAGTACACTGCCCGGGATCGACTGACAATTGGCAGGGGCGATCTTTTATCATGGGTGCCGAAGATGGAACGGTCTGGCAGTACGATACCGCATCGGGAAAGATGCAGAGCTTGCTCGTGCGATGTGCCTTGCCGGTGAGAGATATCGCCTTGACCAAGGATGGAGAATGGGTTGCCGTTGCCAGCGAGTGAGTGCTCACGAGCCCAAGGCAAAGATTGAATGCTGATAAGGATTAGTGAACTTACCGTCAAAGTCGTGAAAGCCGACGATATGACCCAAGTGAAGTACCTGCGTGAGCAATCCAAGGGAACGAAGCACGTCACATTTGATCCAAGCGGCCGGTATGCGACAGTGTCCGGCACGGACGGTATTGTCTACATCTACTCTTTGGAGGGAGAAGAACCGAAGCTGGTTCATAAACTAGATGGGGCGATCCGCCGACTCGAGCCGGATGCCGAGGCGACGTCTCGAGCAGTGTGGCATCCCGATGGGACTGTCTTTGCCGTGGCAGAGGCGACCAGAGACATTTCCCTTTACTCAACCTCACAGTGGAAGAAGGTGTCGACATTTGCTGGCGGTCACACCGGCGACATCACGGCGCTAGACTGGTCTCCCAATGGAGCGTTGCTTGCATCCGCTGGATCAGACGGGCACATTGTTCTCTGGGAAAGCAAGACACAAAAGGTGTTACAACGGTTCGACTTCAAAAATGTGCTGAATTTAAAATGGCACCCAACCCGGAACTCGCTTTCGTTTACGACTTCGGATGGAGAGCTCTTCATTCATCATGACTTTGTCCCAGATAATAACAAGGGACTGTTACAGAAACCGCTACAAGCGGCTCCAATCCCCGCCGAGTCTCTCGAGCATATTTCCACTCGGGTGGAACACACAACGCTGGCGGACCGGTCTAAAGAGGCCATCCAGCGAGCGGCGCGGAGAGCCAGTGTTGACTCACTGGATGACATTCTCGGCGGAGATGAGGAGATGATGGACTTTGTCGATGATGACGATGGAGCTGGCTACGCTGATGAAGAGGTGAACGTGTACGGAAAACGACCTAATGGTCATCTCGATGACATTGGTGCCGATGTCAAGCGCATGCACTCTGGCGGCCTGGCGCCAAAAGCCCACCCGCCTATCCAGCCCGGCAGCACCCCTTGGGCTGGAAGTAGAAGATATCTCTGTAAGTATACGTTCCGACTTACTGGAGTTGGGAGTGCTAATCTGGTTAGGCCTGAACCTCACTGGAGCTGTCTGGACGGTGGACCAGGAAACACACCACACAGTTACCGTAGAGTTCTATGATCGGGAAGCTCATCGGGACTTCCACTTTACTGATCCATATATGTACGACAAGGCCTGTCTAAGTGAGTTTGTTCCAATGTCTGTCCAGTTCCATTCAATTTGACTAATCTTGCGCAGATGACAATGGTACACTATTTGCCAACAGCCCCTCGGATGGTAGTCCAGCAACCATCTTCTATCGGCCACATGAGACGTGGACTGCCCGCGCAGACTGGCGGACTCAATTGCCCGAGGGAGAACAAGTTCGGGCTCTTGCGCTCAGCGATTCGTACATTGTTGCAGTGACATCCAAGGACTATGTCCGCGTATACACACTCTTCGGCACTCCTTTCAAAGTGTACCGACAAAAGAGTCAAGCCGTCACTTGCGCAGCGTGGCGCAACTACATTATGAGTATCGGAAACGGACCAATTGGACCCAATGGCCAGCATACTACACTACGATACACAGTGGAGAATGTCAAGCGGGACGAGATCTGCCAGAACGAGGACATCGTTGCCCTTCCGGAAGGGGCAAAGCTGCAGAGTGTCTTCTTCTCTGACAATGGGGTATGAGGTGATCTGGCGCGCAAAGTGTTCTTTCAACTAACCATATATAGGATCCCTGCATATACGATTCCACCGGTGTCCTGTTAGTCCTTCAAGGTTGGCGCACTCCGGGCCAAGCCCGATGGGTACCCCTGCTCGACACCAAACAGATGGCTCGTCTCGCGGGCGGGCGGAAGGAAGAGACCTATTGGCCTGTGGCCGTCGCCCAAGACAAATTCCACTGCATTATTCTCAAGGGTGGCGACAAGAATCCTTACTTCCCACGACCACTACTCAGTGAATTCGACTTCCAGATCCCGATCTCCAGCGCGGCTGTGAACAACGAATCTGAAGAGACGGCAGCTGAAGGCGCGCGATTCGAAGAATCATTTGTGCGCGGTAACGTCCTCCTATCGCTGTTCCGCGATCTCCTAGGGTCTACAAATGCCACAGCAAGTCAGCGCTCCGACCTGGCGCGGAGAGAGCTTGACTTGGATAAGAATCTGCTGCAAATGCTGGCCGTTGAATGCAGAGAGGGTGAAGAGCGCGGTATGAAAGCGCTCGAGCTAGTGGCCCTGATGACGGATCGTAATGGCAAGATGCTTGAGGCTGCTGCTAAGGTTGCGCAACGGTATGGCCGGGGTGTTTTGGAGGACAAGATTCGGGATCTGGCTGAGCGCCGAGTGATGGGAATGGGTGACGATGATGAATTGGCCTAGGGATGAATAATGTAAAGAGAATGAGAGTACAAAGTTATTGTGAAGTACAGATTGAAGTGAAGCGTTCAAGTAAGAAGTATGAAGTATGAAGAAGTGTCAAAACAAGGATTGTATACGAAAGCGCTGTGATTGGCGTGGCGATAAACGTTATCTCGCATCTCCACACTTCGCCTTCCGACCTCCGACCTCCGACCTGCCAACTTTTGATCTTCCACTTATACTCTCATGGACTACCTTGCAGAATGCCGAAGCTGGCCCCCTTTTCAGCACTGAGAGGCTCCCGGTCTTTCGGTTCCTATGTACGACGTCACCTAGCACAGCCTCGACATGGCCTCCTCAACGAACCCTGGCTCCCTCCACCCGCAGTGCCCGCGCTGCCCGTCACCTACTTTACGCCCTCCCGGGTAAAACGGGACGTAGGTCTAGGCAATAATGGAGATCATAAACCTCCAGATGAACGCACGTTGAAGCTTGGGAAGAGTAGGTTACCTACCATATCCGCCGTCTCGGCACTGTGCTGACCAGAACTATATAGCCCTTCGAACCCTCTCACCACTCCTCCCCACTCTTCTGTATAACACTTTACCAACAAGCATTCTCTCCCCGAGTGTCAACCTCCACCTCTTCCCATCCACACATCCTCACCTTCCCATTGTCAAAGGCCGAACCCTCTACCGCGCAGCCTTGTGGACTGTTCCCGTCGCATGGAGTAGCGTCCCACTAGTCGGCAACGTCAAACTTCAAATCCTGAGTGAGCGGATCGTTCGCTCAGGAACACTTCTCGACCCCACTCATGATGGTCACCACCACGACTGCGGCGACGAACGTCTCATAGTACGCTGGAAAACAGAGCCTCGAACGGATAGCAGACCGTTCCATGGCCCCACCGCGTCCAATTCGTCAAAACCCCAGACGAGCCATCTCTCGAATTCAAAAGGCACCAACAAGGGCCTGAGTGTGCTGCTCGGCGGAGACGAGCCGATCTTCAAGCTCTCCAAAGAAGAGCAGTTCACCGGTATATTCATCTTCTCTTTCGACGAGGAGGGCCGCGTCTTAACTCATACTATTGAGCATGCCGATGAAGCTGATGGTTGGGACCGGACTGCGAAGTTTGTCACATTGACGGATTGGCTTATTGGAAAAGCCCGTGGCTCGTTGGATCCCAACCCAGAGCTTGCTGTGCAGTATCACAACGAAGTCTCCCGGCGATAATCTCGAGAAGACTGCACGCTCCCTTTGGCTACGATGAATCTACGACCCCTGCATTTGTTCCACCACCTTTTCCACTCTTCACGATTTGAGTTGTTTCATCGCCACTCTTGTACTATACCCTTGAGATGCACCCAAAAACGCCCGTTAGAATTGATTTAAACCACTGTACTCATCATTTTGAAGCTCATATCCTGTACCATAGTTACATCTCTCATCAATTGGAGGTTCTCCTGATCTCTGCCAACTGGTCAATGAGCCAAGGGTGGTCCCATATCACGTGCCCACGCGTATCCGCCAATCGTCACGCTAAGCCACAATGGGCCAAGCGTGCCCGTGGTGGGCCACATCGCGTCATCTTTGCTGATGCGCTTTTACTTTCAATCTGTCCACTTTACTTCCTTTGTGTTTCGTTCATATCCCCCTCGAACCCCTTTAACCCAAATATCCTATTTATATAACCATTCGGCGCCAGCAAAAATGGCCATCGCTGGCGCCCAACGGAAGCAGGTGCTGAAAGTGCTGATGCTTTCGCTGTTGATCGACCTGGTAAGATTACACTAAAGCCACTAGATGTCCTCTAACAAGCTCAGATCTCATTTACATTTATTCTACCGCTGTTCCCTTCCCTGCTGTCTTTCTATCGCACCCAAGATCCATCTCCGGATTCCCTGCTCAATCGCATATTCCATTACCTAAACGCCTACAAAAACGCCTTTGCGCGTCCCATCAACTCGCGCTATGACATCGTACTACTTGGTGGGGCCCTGGGCTCAATGTTCTCCCTCCTGCAGGCCTTCGCCGCTCCAATCATTGGCGGCTTGTCTGATCGCTATGGCCGGCGTCGTGCCCTTCTGATCTCGATGCTCGGCAACCTGATGAGCGTACTTCTTTGGGTGTCCGCAAGGGATTTCCGCACCTTCCTCGCCAGTCGCATTGTTGGTGGCATTAGCGAGGCAAACGTTCAAATGGCCAATGCCATCGTGGCAGACATCACCGACGTCGAGCACCGCGGCTCCTCCATGGCATTGGTCGGGGTATGCTTCAGTATTGCGTTTACCTTTGGCCCGATGCTAGGCGCGGGACTAAGTACTGTGAACGTCGTTGCGGAAAACCCATTCATTGTCGCTGCATTTGTTTCGTTGGTGCTGATCCTGGTCGAGACACTGTACCTTTGGGCTTGCTTGCCGGAGACTCACCCTCGATTGACCACGCTCCCAATTGAAGGCGCATCCGAGAAGAGGGATGCGCCGAGCGCAGAAAAGAAGAGCTCCGTACCCACCAAGCACACCCACACTAACAATCCGGCTCTGCTCAATGCGCTCCACTTCCTCTTCCTGCTCCCGTTTTCGGGCCTGGAATTCTCCCTTCCTTTCCTAACTACGACCCTTTACGCGGGAACGGCGACGACAGCTAGCCCAGCTGCTTTGAATGGCCGCCTACTGTCTCTGATGGGGCTGGTTGCCTCCCTCCTGCAGGGCACAGTCGTGCGCCGTCTTCCACCGCTGATTACCCTCCGCGCGGGTATCGTAGCATGCGCAATCTCCTTCTTCTGTCTCGCTCATGTGACTACCCCATCCGGTCTATATGCCGCCGGTGCGCTGCTGGCGGTGACTACTGCGACGGTGGTCACCGGGCTGAACAGTCTCGGCAGTTTTGAGGCGCAGGATGCGGATCGCGGCGCCGTGATGGGTCGTTTGAGGGGATGGGGACAGGCTGGACGAGCGACGGGTCCGATCTTATTTTGCTCCTTGTTCTGGTGGGCTGGTCGCGAGGCTGCCTATACGGCTGGTGGGGCGGCCATGTGTGTTGTTGCTGTTGCAGCATTTGGGCTGCTCAAGTCGCCCGTTCAACATAAGAAGACCGAGTAATCTCCGGTTGCATTGTTGCGTGGATATACCCCGATTTTGGTTGTAATTGTTAGACTTTTCTTTTCTTCTCTTTGCTCAACGCCCCAATATTAAATTGGATATGAGTTGAATATGAATTCACGATGAATTTTGAGGAGCCTTGACAACTCGGAGAGAACAAGGCTCATGTGGTCATATGAGATGTAACTAAATGATCCATGTTCTTCCCATCTTCTCCATACAGTGGAGTTTCTAAACTGCCCGAAACTCCTGAAGTTCAATCCGATATAATAGTATACTAGGATGCTTGCTCACTAGACCAGACTATTCCTCCGCCTTGACCTTCTCAAAGATTTCCAAGAATGTCTCTGGCTCATCAGCCCCCTCAACATGATACTTCCCCTGGACCGAGATGTACGGCACACCAGAGACAAGCCGTCTAGCCGCCGTCTTCGCCTCCAGATCAACCTGCTCAGCTCCAACATCCTCATCAAGCAACTTCTTCACCTCCTCTCGATCCAACCCAGCCCCAACACCCGCCTCAACCAGCACCTTCAAATCAGTAATATTCTTCTCCTCCTCAAAGTACGCACGGAACAACTGTTCCGCAACACGGGTCTGCAGCCCGCCCACAGTACCACTGGGAGGGATCCCCTCCTCCTTCTGCCCGGCATACCAAAGCAGTCGATGCGAGTCCCGGGTCGACCCGGTATTCCCACCAAAGCTGAATTTGATACCATCCCCTTCAGCCGCAGCAGTCAGACGCGCGAAGATGGCTTCGGTGCGTCCGGCCCCGAATTTCTGGGCATACATTTCTCTCTTGTTCACGCCGGGATAGGCGGCTCCCGCTGGGTTGAGATAGAAGGCTTTCCAGTGGACACTGAATGTGTCTGCTGGGTAGAGGGCTTGGTGGGTTGCTATCGCCCTTGAGACACGGCGGTAGCCCACGTAACACCACTTGCTTGGGTTAGTTGTTTTTTTGAGGTTGGGGCTTGGATGCGGAGTATACTGACGGGACAGATGGTGTCGGAGATGAATTGGATTTGGAAGTTCGTCATGGTGAATGTAGGGAGTATAGAGGATGTAGGATTGAATATAGAATGCCTAGAATCAACTCTTAAAAAAGGAATAAAATGAAAAGTCACGAAAATGGAGAAAGAATGGGCTTTTTTCCAGGTCTCAGGTGGATTTGTCAGCGAGATGAGAGAGCGCTGGAAGGCTCGGGAGGTGATCTTCTTTTATACTCGCCTCTTGGGGCCTCTTGGGGCCGTTTGGGGTACTTTTGTTTAGACCCCGTATGCACCGATCCCTTCGATCTCTTCCGATGGAAATTGGACTTGTCACAGTTTTAGTTTTGAGATGGCATTTGTAACGCTGACATTTTGTACGTAGAAAACAAAGTGATGTACAAAAAAAACTTATAACTCCAAACATATGCAGATTCTCGATCCCACATCGTCAACCTGAGTTGAATCCAGTGTCATGACTACAACACTTGCTGGGCTTGGTTCTGGCCCCATGATCCCTCAAAGATGGCCGAGGAGTTCAGGTGAGCAGGAGTGTCAGGAAGCGGATGGTTACGGCCTTGTTCAAGCGCGGTGGAGTACTGCGGGTGATGTCAGTGAGAAGTTCTCGATGTGAAGAAGTTGGGAATTTATTACCTTGAAGACAAAGTTCAGGACTAAAGCAACAGCTAAGCCGATGCAGACCACAATAGGTCCAAACATGTTATCGAGATCCTTTCCGCTGCGCTGGCGAATAAGACGGGCCCGTCGCTCGTACATGGCCCATCCCCAGACCGCGGCGAAGATGGCGAAGAAGGTGTAGACGACAGCCAGGGCCTGGGCGACCTGGTTGTGCTTACCAGCGGCATTGTAGAGACCCAGCGATAAACTGGACAGGAGGATACTGATATGCAGCCACTTGATGAATGTGCGCTGGTTGGCAAGATAGACCTTGCTCTCCACGCGGACGGGACCCACGTCTTTGATCCAGTATCCTGGGTGTCGGACGCCAGGAGGCAGGGAGACAGAGTCCTTTCCAAGCCAGCGTTCGGGGGAGAGGCCCAGGTATGTGACGAGGGATTCCAGGCGGCTGGGCGGCTCGGGCTCTTCTTCGACTTCAGACACGAGTTCGGTGTCGCGACGCTCGGGCGCAGGGATCGAGGGACGAGGCCGCGTTGAAGGCTCGGTGACACCGGAGGGTCGACGCACGGTGGAAGGAGAGCCGGCGGAGAATTGGTGGAAAGACGACCCGACCAAAGGGCGGGTACTGGGGCTACCGGCGCCGCCCATGAAGCTGCCCACTGCCATGTCCTCCTCTGCGCGCCGAGCCAATCGTTCTTGCTCCTCGTGGAATGCGGTCTCGGGGTCGCGGCGAATGTCACCCTCAAGGGTACTGAGCCAGAAGGGGAAGCTGTTGACATGGTCTTCAAATAGAGAGGCAACACCGTGGACAAATTTGGAGAAGCGGGGAGCATCTTTGACCAAGTGGGAGACCATCAAGTCTTTAACCCACTCGGTGTTGTGAGCTTTGCCACGGAGCTGGATCTCGAGCAAGGCGTGAGGGAAACGAGTGATCTCTCCAGTCCTGACGGCATCAAATGGATATGTCATATCCGCATCATCCAAATCGTCACGGTGCCATTTCGCCGAGTCGCGACAGGGGCGCTCGGTGTCGAGAGAATCTTCCCGAATCAATGCCAGATTGGTGTCCAGGGAAATGCGAATTCGGTCATTACCGGGGATCTGGAAAGCTGTGCGAGTGTAGTTGGCGCGGAGCATAGGCTGCAAGTCGTTGTCTTTGATGAAGGATTGCACCTCTTCCACGTCCCGCTTGAATGCCTCGGCAGCAGCCGTGTCTCCGTTGTTTGAATCCTCCATGCGATGGACTTTCTTATCGAAGTGGTATTCACCGTCCAAGAATTCCTTGACGTGCTTGTCCTTGAGTTGTACTTTTACCTGTCGACTTTCGTCGTCGTCGGTGACCACTTTCTTTTCCAAAAAGATGGGAGGCTTGTCTTTTAGTGAACCTGTCCAGCGAAGTCGTAAAGATCCGGCTTCGGGAGCTCGTGCCACCTTTTGGTTGTAAAGGTCGAATTGGGGGTTGTCGAAGTATAGAGAGGTAATGGTGGGGTCATCGGTGACGGTATCGATGTGCTTGGAGGTTCCCGGGTTGTAAATCAGGACGGGCAACCGACGCAGGATATGAGTCTTGACTTCCAACACATTGTCCGCGTGCACCCAGAATTTGTATGAAGAGTAGGTCTCACGGCCGAACCCACGCTCTGTCTCCTTCGGTTGCACGATATCATGACTGAGTGTCTCTCGGACAAACGAGTACATCACCGAGAGTTGATGTACCAGCGGCGAATAGTCCTCGGAGTTGAAGGGTAACTGCGACAGTCGCACCTGGAGCAACGGTTTCACCCGGTACCGGGCTCCGCGCTTGCGATCGTGCTTCTTCGCCGCCTTGAGGAAGCCGGTGAAGTTGATCCGACTATATTTTTCCAACGCACTGACCTCCTTGGTGATGTTGTCCAGCTCCTGCAGAACCTCCGTGGCAATCGATCGCTTCTTCTGTTCGTCGAGGGCGGGCCCTTCCTGCTCGGCATCGGTGGCCAAAGGTCGCAATTTAGCTTCACAGGCCGTTGTGCGTTCCCGGAGTTGCTGTGATGTCTCTGCCTGGAAGGAATTCACCCGCTCCAACTGCACATTGAGCAATTCCTGGACAAAAGCTTCCTCGTCCTGTTCAGTCCACTCGTCGTCCTCCGAGTCACTGGCATCTTCACCGGTGACATCATTTTCCCTCAGCAGGGTCTTGAGCTTGGTATAGTCAATGTACTTCCCTTTCCAGGGAGGGTACACCGCATTGCGGAGGGTTTTCCCAAACCGCATGTTGAGTCAGCCCGGTTGTGAACGTTGTGCAGTTGTGCAGTTGTTACTCAAGCCCTTGTGCACCTGATTGGGGGGAATCAGGAAGGCGATCAAGAATTGAGACGCAATGCAGAAGACAGAGAGAATGCAGATGAACAGATTGTGCAAGGTGACTATCTGAAGAATTAAGCGTCGCAAAACATTAGCCTCAAACTAAGCGACGGGATGGTGAACCTCCAGACGAAAGCGTTCGATAGCCAGCGATAGACGCACGTGCTGATCTTCAGTAGCCAATCAGCGGCCGAGGAGAGGACAGCTATCCGGATAATCATCGGGCCGTGTTTCTGTCATTGAGATTTACAGTATTTACAGTATTTGCAATACCCACAGTATCCACAATACTGACCGACCTGGGTGGGCTAGACCGTCTGCTTCGTACTTGTACCATGTACTGAAATTAATACACAGACCACAAAGAGGCACGTGCGTTGTAATTCTGGGGAGAACTCCGAGCCAGTTATGACTACGCACTTCCCGTACTCTGAACTTCGAACCATGTATAGTACCCGGGTCCATATCAGATCATGACCTCAGACACCGGACTGCCCCAGCATTTGCATGGGGTTCTAGCTGAACTAAATCGCCGTCCCTATCCCCATGTCCCCAACCCGCCAACCTGCAAGAAACGTGCCTCGGTTGCTTTAATCATTCGGGTCCGGCCGACCTATGACCATTGGCCCAGCTCTATACAGCCCATTGATACTGCACAGTCAGTCCAGGAACGTCTCCATGGATTCTTCTCTCAGCCATGGGTTCAGCACGGCGAACCAGAAGTTCTGTTTATAAAGCGTGCCTCGCGGGTGGGAGACCGATGGACCGGTCATGTTGCACTCCCCGGTGGGAAGCGTGACCCGGAAGACGCAGATGATCAAGCGGCCGCGATCAGAGAGGCCTCGGAGGAGATTGGTTTAGATTTGACAACGGAGGAGTGCATCAGCGTGGGCAATCTCCCCGAGCGAGTGGTCACCACCAGCTGGGGATCCGAGCCGTAAGTACTTGGCGGGTTTTGCACTAGCATTAGTGGCTAACTCCGGCCTCAGTCTGATGGTTCTGTGTCCTTTTGTGTTCCTCATCACTCGCAGCGACTCCCCAACCCTTCGACTGCAACCCACGGAGGTAGCCTCAACGCATTGGATTCCTCTGCGCGCTCTCCTATCGCCGTCTCAACGGACTGTTGAATATGTGGACATGTCGCAGCGATTTGCGCGACAAGGTGGGTTCTTAACTCGTCTTGCGGTTCGATCTTTGATGGGCTGGATGCAGTTCTCGGCCGTGCGACTGCTCCCCTCCGAGACCCAGCAATGCACCACCACCGCGGGATTTCTTCCCGATGATAACAAGCCCAAGCCTTCGGTAGCCCAGCGATTCAAAGGGTGGTGTTTGAGCAACCAAGCGGAGTCCACTGACACTGGTCGTCCGCTGCTTCTTTGGGGCCTTACCCTCGGCATCCTAGCTGATTTCCTGGACATGCTGCCTCCCCACGATGCTGTCAAGCTGTGGCATTATCCGACCTTCACGGTCCCCGACCTGCGTCTCATAGTAAGCGTTGTAACCTATCATTTGCGAAAGCGCAATGCGCGCAACGTGAAAGCGGGTGCTCGTCCTAGTGACACGGCCTCTGATGGCGAAACGGCTGCCGCTCCGGTCACAGAGGGAGCGGGTGACCATGATCATAATGAAGTGGGTATTGGTGGCCTTGGAGTCGGACGATATTATGGGGCGTCCGATCAGGCCACCGATGGGCAATCCTATGCGGTGGGGATCATGCTCCGGGGATATTATGCCCGATTACGCACTGCCATCTGGGTATACCTCGCCTGGCGTGTAGCCATTGGCTCGGTTGCCGGTATCTCTGCCTGGCGTTTGCTTCGACGATTACGTTAAAATGTAAATATAAACGTAGCAGAGGCTGATAGAGCGACTTTTTATAGATGGGTAAATACAAATACAAATACCGGATTATGTCAGAAACAGATCATTACGGTATTGGGGAGCTTTACCCATACAGAGTACACAGTCAACACTCGGTCTTGTCTCCTCAAACACAACAACACAACTTCTTCCTTTCATGGCTGCCACTCAGAAGCTGTACCCGCGAGGGACAGTCAAGCGCATTGTCAAGGCCCAATCCAATCGGACTGTGAGCAAGAACGCCGACATCCTGGTACGCGCCGAGAGCCCTCTTCGCTAGCCACCCCGCTGACCCATGACCCAGATCTTCCTCGATTACATGCTGTTCATGCAAGAGTATGTCTCTCCTCCGATATTCGACGCGTCCCTATCGCTCTCGTCCTGCGTGGTGTCGCGTGACCACTGGCATTCGCTGTTATTGGGCTATGGTGGGATAAGCTAACACGGCGCAGATTAATGCGCGAAGCATCAATTCGGTCCCAGCGATCTGGCGAGAAGAATATCTCAGCCAATACAGTGCGCAAAGTCACTGAGGTGCGTCCATCCCTTTTACAATCCAAGAGAACATCGCTGACAGGCATGGGGTTGTTTCAGAAGACACTTCGCAAGTTCCAAGGATAGACCTGCCCGGAACCCAAAGCCTAGGCATTGACAAGGAGATCCAAAAGGCTAGGAGGAGCCATTGGAGAGGATATATGTTGGATTTTGGACATGGCGTTTATTGATTTGAGGCGTTGGCGGATAGGACAATATGATACCCTAGGATTGGCTAGTTAATTACTAGCACACAATGAATTGAAAGCATAGGGAATTCTCAGTAAAACTGGTATACACAGTAAAACAGAAGTACCAAGGAGTGAAGAAAGAAGCGGAAGGGAGTAGTCAAGCACAGCAGGAAGGATATAGAAGCCCTGTGCCCCGACCCGAACACACCGACAGCGGGACCCGCATATTGTTTCTTTCCTTCTTAAATCGCTCTCGTCATCCCACGACCTGTACAGGCCTTGCGATATCCTCAAATTCCTTCACTTCCACATTCCATCATGCCTCCCGCTACTGAGAAGCTCAAGGCCGAGGGGCTCTCCCGAGCTTCAAGCGTTTCCAAGGCTCCCTCTGAGGGAACGGAGAACAACTACCTGAAAGAGCTACAAAAGTAAGTGTGAACCAGTGCTCGTTGCGAACCTGAAGAGAGTGGTGATGGTCATGCGCTGTGACTTTGGAAAGTGAAGACTGACTTGTGTACCCAACTTCAGGACCCTCCGCAATGCCACCAAGAAGCTCGTAAGCATCCGCTCCATTCGAAACTCCCACTTTGCTTTTCGATCTCTCGCCCTTCTCCTTCTAACCTCACTTTGATAGAATGCTAGCGCCAAGGTCGATGCCATTCTCGCCGAATACCCTGACAAGTCACTGGACCAGCTCATCGAGGAAAAGAAGATCAACAGTGACCAAAAGGCTCAGCACCTGCGCAAGGCTACTCTCCAGGCTACAGCAGCTCAGGCTGAAGAGCAGATCACCCACTACAAGAACTTCGCCGCCCAGTATGAGGAGCGCATGGTGGCCAAGGAAGCGGAATTGACTCGGTCCTTTGCCGACGACCTGGAAACTGTCCGTGCCAACGCCATTGCCGATGCTACTGAGTCCGCAAAGAAAGCAGAGCGCCGCAGACTCCACACTCTCGCCAAGTTCCTCTGCAGTGCTGCTATCCTGCGACGCGACGGGGAGGTCAACACCGAAACTCAAGCCTTTGAGGCTGTCTTGTTCCAGATCTACGGTGGCAGCCAGGAGTCTGTCAGTAACATGCTGAAGGTCATCGATGGCATTGATGAGAAGATCATTTCCGACGAGAACACTGTGCTTGAGGTTACCTGTGAGGAATTACCCCATCATAGAGCGGTCGACCGTCACGCGCGTGTGCTAACGGGGGTTTGAATCTAGATGGCGACGTGAAGCAGGCTTGCGATCGGATCGTCCCTACCGAAGAGGGCTCTGACACCTCCACTGAGACTATTCCCGCCTCCGATCCCACCCTTGCCAACGCTGGCCTCACCGAGCTCGAGGATGGTTCCTTCTCCAACGCTGCGCCTGAGACCTCCCAGGCCGACCAGCTGGCTCCCCCCGCCCAGGCCATTGTCAGCGACGGTGCCAACGATGTCGCGGAGAAGAGCGCCGGTACCTCTTCTGGCTCCAATGATAGTGACTGGGTCGAGCTCCCCCGTAACCCCGCGGAGACGGAGACTGGTCTTCAAGCCACCCCCGCCAGCGCCGATGGAGGTCTGACCAATGGTTCCGTGGGCGCTGATGTCGCCAGCCAAGCTGTGCCCGAGACCGGTGCCAAGAAGTCCGGTGGTCGTCGTCGCAACAACAACCGCACCCGTGATGGACAGCCTCAGCGCGATACCCAGGGAAAGCGTGAAGGCCCCAAGGCCCCGCGTGAGGGTCAAGCTTCTGAGCAGGCACCTCGTGAAGGTCAGGGTCAAGGCCGAGGCCGTGGAGGCCGCCCCCGTGGTGAAGGACGTGGTCGTGGTGGACGGGGCCGTGGACGCGGCGCCCCTGCCGGCAATGGCGCCGCTGAGGCGGCTGCCACTACCGCTCCCAAATCCACCGAATAAGAGAGTGGTACTCCTAGGATATATCGGTTGAAGGATGGAGTTTGAAGGTTTTTGGAAAACACTATTCCAGCGAGTGGTTTCGAGGCCCCCATGCCACCTTTCGCTGGTCGTCCGGTGTGATGGATCACGAACGCAACGAATTTTCTTCACGGAGAGTCACTTTCTTGATCTCTCCGTCTAGCTCGTCTACAGTCTTACCATGTCCTGCTATTTTTTGAGCGTGCATATCCTTGATCTTCCCAGTGAAGCTCTCATGGCATACATATGTATTCTATGGCTTTTGTTTTATTGGCGTGTGTGGACCGGTGGACTTCAGGTTGGGCATAGATCGGAATTGATCATAATTGAGTGTGCTACTTGCGACTTTTCCAGTGATATTATCCAGCCTACAGTATACTTTTATAAGTACGGAACCTCTAGTACTCAATGTATACTTCAGAAGACACTGTATTTCAAAAGCCATCTAGAGCAAGTACTAAGAGATGGTGTATGTGCCAGCAGGCAAATGCGCGTGGATGGAGGAAAAGTCTCTTCAGCAAGGCACTCAAGCCAGTACAATCAGGCAACGCGGACGTGAAACAGAAACCCAACGCCGTGTATGCAGCAAGTGAACAGCCCTGAGAACTATTGAAAACACACGATAGTGGAGAGAAGAGACGGTGGAGAAGAAATTCATGAATAATACACAATCAAGATCCGAGTGGAAATCATAAGGCTGAAACTCAGCGTGTGAGCAAGAATGCAATTGAAGAGGCAATTGAAGAGCCCAAAAAAAGAGGGGGGAAGACCCAAAGAAAGTCATAGTTGAATCATAGCAAGCAAGTCATGGAAGTTCGACAGGATCGTTTAATGGGTCGTCAGAGACTTGACCTGGTGCAGCTCGTAATCGGGCAAGTAGTCAAACCAGTCGCTCTCGGTATTGTATCGGTAGGCCTTGAAGTCGACTCCGTAAGGCTTGGGCTCGAGCATGTACAAGACACCCATGGGGACATCCAGATCGGCAACCTCGTCACGTTTCAGACCACGGAAGTAGGCCAGGAGGACGCGGGCGACAGATCGGTGACCGATCAACAGCACGTGGTCAGTAGTGCGCTCCACCTCAACGATGACGGCACGCGATCGGTTGATGATATCAAGGTAGCTTTCTCCACCAGGGCCGGGATAGCGGTAGAAGAGCTTGTCCCTCTTGCGGTGGGCATATTCGTCGGGGTAGCGCTCTTGGATCTCTTTGTAGGTCATTCCTTCCATCTTGCCGGAGTGGATCTCATCCAACATCCTCATCTGTTTGACATCATAATCATCCTCGTCAAAGTACTCGGCGGTCTGAACGGAGCGCTGCATCATCGAAGACCACACGCAGAAGTTGCGCGGACCCTCGCGGGGGGTGTGGGTTGGGTTAGGGGGTGTGCTGTCACCAGGACGAGGCGGGAAGTGGGCGAGAAGGTCCTTCTGACGCTGGTAGTTCTCCCACTGCTGGCGTTGATGATCCACAAAGCGAGCCAGCGCCTTGGCGTACCGTTTGCCGTTCGGGCTGAGATCAGAGTCACCGCCGATGCGGCCTGCGGCATCATCATTACTTTCGCCATGTCGGGTGATCCAGATCTGGCGAGGGGAGAGATTGAAGTTGAGCAGGTAGTAGACAACCTGCGAGGAAAGGAAACCATGGGTCTGGTGGGCAACGACCTTGCGACCGACATCAATCATTTGAATGTATGCCATGCGATTTCTCTCCTCATATTCGCCGAGCGGTACGTAGGACTTCTCGTAGAGAGCAACACGCTTCTTGAAATCAACCAGCGCGGTGGTAGGATCCTGCCCCTTGTAGTCGGGACCGGACAGCTTCAGGCGCATGTTGGCCTCGAGCAGATCCTGGTCAACACACGAGCTTTCGAGGAACAGGATGTTCAGCTCGGAGCCGGCGCGCTCGCGAATGTGATCGACGATAGCCTTGCGGCGTTCCATGGTGCTGTTTGTTGCATCGAGGATACCAATGCTACCACCTTCGTCGAGGATGTAATCAAGCAGCTCATCCAGGGTGTCCAGGGCAACCTGTTCTCTCATCTTGACGGCACGCTGGTTCTGAGGGTCGAAGAAGTTGGCAGTTTGATCCATGGGCTCGGGTGAAGCCTCTTTGATAGCTTCTTCATCTTCCTGGGACAGCACAGGGCCGCCGTCGGTGGAGGGAATGACGGTGCTGCCATTCTGGGATATTTGCTCCGGTTCCTCGCCGTTGACCAGAATCTTGGCCGGCACGACGGGGGGAGGAAGCAGTGCTTCGTTCTCCGGTGCGTTCTCCGGTGGGGAGGTTTCGTTCGGGTTCTGGTTGGTGCCAACGCTAACACTCAAACGACGCACCGAGTCCACGAGATCCTTGTGAACGGCACTTGGCTTTCGTTCGTGTGGGATGGGTGAAGGGGACTTGCCAGCAGCCACACGACGACGCTGTCCAACGTTGAAGATCTCGGTATCGTGTTGGAGCCAGTTCATGTAACGAGCCAGCTTCTTTGTGATGTAACTCTTGCCACGAGCCGGAAGACCGACCATGACAATGACAAGCTTCGCACCGACATCACGCTGGGCAATTCGGCCATCTGGAGAGACCTTGGACTTGGTCAGGCCGGGAATGTCGAGGGTAGTAGCTCGCACTCGGTTGGGAGTACCAGCGGGGTGTTTCTGGCCCAAGCTGCAGGGATCCTATTAGCTCAAGTTCGCCAAGCGCAATGCAAAAGCCACGAGGCCCCTCGCACCGGGTCCCGGGTACACCGATAAGCTCCAGAATAAGGCTGAGACACAGCCGCGGAACAGAGGAGGACCCCGGGGTGCATCCCAGTGTCGATCAGGGCTCTGATAGGCTCCTAGAGGGCAAAAAGACTCGGGAAAGGGAAAGACTCACATCTGTGGAGACGGGGGTGCGGTAGAAACCGGAGTGTCTGTCAGGGCAGTTCCGACTCCGCCCTTGGGCGGCTGCGAGGATTTGTGGGAATCGGAATGCAAGTCATTACCTAGCGCTCGGTTGACCACAGTCTTCGGAGGCATAAGAGCTCCTTCTTTTCCCGAATTTGAGCCCTCGTTGATATTATTTCTCTGCTCCTGATGCTCAGGCTGGCTGGCCGACGTCAGGATAGCTGACCGGGCGATGTTGGAGTGTTGCGCCATCCCCGCTGGGGGATCCCTTTTGAGGTTGTGGTTGATTAAAAGGTATCGTTGCTCTTCTAGAGCTTCAGCAGCCTTGATTCAGGCGATCAGAGTTCGAAAAGCGCGACGAAGAAATTGACTGAAGGAGGGGGAGAGAAAAGTGGGAGGTCGGATGAGTCAGGCAAACCCAACGTCACTTCAACTCGTGGGGCCTCTTCAACGGAGAGATGCTCAACGGTCGACCAGAGCTGGAGCTTGGTTTTTGAAGATTTTAGGAGCTTTTCATGTGGTCCTGCCTCGGAGGACCTATGACTGAACGGGGGTTTCGGAAATAATGAGATCACCTTGCAGGTTCGGCACTCAGAGTGGATCGTGGCTTGAACGATCGCCTGGATGATGTCAAAGGGAAGATGGTGACAGGGTAGTCAAGAGGGGAAAGAGGGGAAATAACAGGTGAGTTATACAATGTCACAGTCGAGGTGAGATTGAGTGGAATGTGATGAGATTGTAAATGAAGAATAGTAGAATATTATGAAGACATACCGAGAATAGAGTGAGGCTATACAATCTCCCCTGGATCATTTTAAGATCTTTATACATTATACAGATGAGAGGTCTCACATATCATGCAACATCCGTCCTATCTTCAATAGAGAATGCTTGGCTACAGAAGAGTCAGAGAACACGAATCACATCAACCCCTGTCCTTCGTGCCTTGATTATCCACCGAAACGTTGCGAATGTTGGACAACGATGGGCAGTTCCACGGTGGCCGGCTCCATGAACAAAGAGAAAATAGAAAAAAAAAAAAAAAAAAAACCATGAAATCCAACTCAGCCTCGATGCGTTGGGCAAGGGACGGTGGTGTGACCTGAGCCTCGGGCTGGTAGGCTGGCAGGCTGGCATACTCGGCTTGACTCAACGTAGATAGATCTCCGACCAACTGTAGATGCCCGTTGCCGCACGCTGATCTCCGCCCGGAAGGGGGTCCCCATCTCCTATGGTTTGGTGCGGAATCCTTGGCACTTGGCGGTAACGCAGGGGGGGGCATCACGTCGGAAAGCCGGGGATATCTAGGATCTTGGATACGGTGTACTTTGGTGAACGAGGTTCGGGACTCCCCTTATCAAGTGCTCAAGTTCAAAGTCAAGCCAATCAGACATGCGTATGCCGCGATACTCAGAGCTGTCAAGACCAGCACGGCATTCCCGCTGGTTCGGAACTTATGGCGATGAATCCCATCCTCCCCTACTTCGGCAAAGAATTGTTTGTTACCCTGCGAGCGACGGAAGAGACCGATGATCAGAACCCCGGTGCCGTAGATCGCGAACAGAGCCCCGATACTGTAGAACTCGGCGGTGAAGATCTTAAGGACCACGAGCGCGAAGGAGAACTGGGAGAGAGCGGTGCGGACATAGGCACCCTCGAAGGTGCGTTGGGCCGCGCGCACTTCCACAATCTCGTCCGAGGTCAAGACTGCGGAGCGAGCCCGGTGCATTCGCAGGCGATAACGATCCCCTGCACGACGCTGGGGGTGGTCAGACTGTAGGACAGAACATCAGCTGAGTAAACCTACCTCAAACATGTTGAGTCTAGAGTCTGTTTCCAGTGAAGTAGTGAAAGTGAGGAGTTGTGCCAGTCAAGAGTCAAGCTGTCGAGTGGAGGGAAGTTGAATTCCGGGGGGAGATGACCCTCTCACGTGGGAAACAACATGACTTCGCAGAGACAAACACTATTCTTGTTTTTATATATACAAACTGCGCTGATTTGGACTTTTATTCTATTCTTTGGACTACTACAATCACTGTTGTTTTTTTTGTATGCTCAACTGGAGGATTCTCCACCAATAACGTCGACTCCATACTAATTTCCTCGTCGGCTATCGAAAATGTCGCCCAACAAGGCAAAAGCCGCTGCCGACCTTTCTCCGCACTCTCCAAATGCGCCTTCTTCAGACAACTCTTCTCGAGTTCCTTGACTTTTCTTTTACTTCTCGTTCACTGCCCTGCTTTCTCTTCTTTGCTTGTAATTGAGAATGGCCAAGGTCTTCGACGCGACAGAAGGTATTCCCCCGCATGACTGTCGTCCCCCCACGTCGCGCGGGATGTGAACTGACGCAAGAAATAGTCGCGAAACACAACACTCGCGAGAGTTGCTGGGTGGTGTTGTATGGCAAGGTCTACGATGTAAGGCTGATCTCCATGAAATACCCATTGCATCTACTCTGTCGTCAATATCTAACGGAAATCTAGGTCACTGATTTCCTGGGAAGTCACCCCGGTGGTGCAAAGATTATTCTGAAGCTTGCGGGTCAAGATGCCACCGAAGAATACGACCCAATTCACCCTCCTGGGATTCTCGAAGAGGAGCTCAAGCCAGAGGCATTCCTAGGTACCATCGATCCTAGCACCGTTCCACAGGCGGAAACATCCTCAGAGCCCCAAGAAGAGCTCGAAGGACCCCCGCCCATGGAGAACATTCTCAACCTAGATGAGATGGAAGAAGTGGCTGCCAAGCAAATAAGCCAAAAGGCTTGGGCTTACTACTACTCTGCATCGGACGACAAGACCAGCAAATCGTTCAACAATCAAGTATATCGCTCCATTCTGCTACGGCCCAGGGTGTTCGTGGACTGCACCAAGTGTGAACTAGACACTACTGTCCTCGGGCATAAACTTCAAACACCCATTTACGTCTCCCCTGCGGCAATGGCCCGTCTGGGACACCCGTCCGGCGAGGCCGGTATTGCAGAGGCATGTCGCAAATTTGGAGCCATGCAAATCATCTCCAACAATGCATCCATGACCCCAGAGCAGATTGTCAAAGACGCTTCGCCAGATCAGATCTTCGGCTGGCAACTGTACGTTCAGATCGACCGCAAAAAGAGCGAGACGATGCTCGCTCGCATCAATAAGCTCAAGGCGATTAAATTCATCGTTCTCACCCTCGACGCCCCCGTCCCCGGTAAACGTGAGGATGACGAGCGTACTGGCATGACCGGGCGTACTGCGGCCGTGACGAGCGGCGTGAAGGCCGCAGAGCGCTCGGCGGACGACACCCCCAATCCCACCGAGGGATCTGGGGGCGTGGGCCAGCAATTGTTTGCTGGAACCGATCCCTCCCTGTCGTGGACCAAGACCCTTGCCTGGCTTGCCACGCAGACGGATTTGCCGATTATCCTTAAGGGACTGCAGACCCACGAGGATGCCTATCTTGCGTCTCTGCACGCGCCCCAGGTCAAAGGTATCATTCTGTCGAACCATGGCGGTCGAGCCATGGATACGGCCCCTCCGGCCGTGCACACTCTTTTGGAGATTCGGAAATATTGTCCCGAAGTCTTTGACAAAATTGAGGTCCATGTGGATGGCGGCATCCGCCGTGGCACAGACGCAGTCAAGGCTCTTTGCCTTGGTGCCAAGTCTGTTGGCTTAGGACGTGCAGCACTTTGGGGTCTCGCTGCGGGAGGTGTCGAGGGCGTGAGCCGAACTTTGCAGAGTAAGTTTTTCCAGTGCTTCGTCTGGCCCTATCTTTACTAACAAACTCGTAGTCTTGAATGATGAGATGAAGACTTGCATGCGGCTACTTGGGGTGGAGAGGGTTGAACAATTGGGGCTCCGACACGTATGTTTCCCATCCATCTTCCTCTGGAATATACTGACTGGTTGGCAGATCAACACTCGCATGACCGAACAACAGATCTACGATGGCCCTGCTGCTCTTGAGCCCTTACGGCGTGAGTTCCGCTCTAGACTTTAGGTTTTCCTAGCTGTATATCCATATCAATCATGTTTTCGTGGCCTTATTCATATGAAGGAAACACAAAATTCAAAAAAGTATCCAGATGCCACATCTCTTAGGTACCTTTAGTACTAGTGGGTGGTAGTAAAGATACACAAAAATAGTTTCGCTGGGAATCGAACCCAGAACCTTTCCGGAACACTCGCCTGTGAGGCAATTGTTAACGGAAAATCATAACCGCTAGACCACGAAACTGCTTATTGGAAGACTTGGCGATTGGTGGTTATATCAACATCGTGGACAATTTGACCTGATGTGTGAAGTAGCATTATGACCTATACAAATCATGAGCACCAAACAATTCCAATAGATATCCGCGAGCTGCTTTAGCATAGAATGACAGCTTGCATTAGCAGATAATAATCAAGCCCCGCTCCAGTGCCCGCACTCGATCTGGAACATGTCAGCATATCGCCGTATTGCCGAGGAACTATATAACCGCCTCACTAGCTTCACGTCACACCACACTACGTCTAACACCATGTCTAACACCCTAGCATGGGCCACCCACACAACCCCATTCATCGCGAACGCCCCGATGTTCGGCTTTGCCGACGTCAACCTGGCAACCGCCGTGACAAAAGCCGGCGGATTCGGTATGCCGCCCACGCAACCGGATCAACCAATCTGACCACTCGCAGGCTTCATCGGCGGAGGCTTTGACTTCCGAGCCGAGTCCACTCAACTATCCAGCTTGGACCGGCAGCTGACAGAAGCCCGAACCCTTCTCGGCGTGGCCGATGGGCCGCTGCCGCTCGGGGTGGGCTTCATCACGTTCCAGCCAAGTGGGTTTGTTGAAAATGCTATTCCCATCCTGCGCAAGTACCGCGTGGCAGCCGTGTGGTTGTCATTTCCTCAAGCGGATGCCGATCATGATATTTTGATCCAAGGTATCCGGGAAGACCGGGACTGGGATGTCAAGGTGTTTGTCCAGGTCGGCACGGTCGAGGCTGCTAAGGAAGCCATTCGACAGGAAGTGGACGTCCTTGTCGTTCAGGGAACGGATGCCGGTGGACATCAGTGGGCCCGTGGTGCGAGTTTAATATCACTCTTGCCCGAGGTGCGAGACTATTTGTCGACAACGCAGAATACCACAACTGCCATTCTGGCAGCAGGCGGTATTGTCGATGGGAGAGGCTGTGTTGCTGCTCTTGGGCTTGGTGGGTATCTAGTTTCCCTCTGGGGCTGGTGACTAACTTCAACAATAGGCGCTGATGGTATCGTTATGGGCACCAGGGTAAGTTGTCTCGCGGTGAATCTTCTTCCATCTACTTCCGTGCTAACTTCATCTAGTTCGTTGTTACATCTGAATGTCCAGCACCACTTTCAATGAAGCAGACCATCGTGTCCAGTCACGATGGGGGTGTCTCAACTATCAAGTCCATCCGACATGATGTCTTCCAGTCGACCGATGTGTTCCCCCGGCAGTATGACGGCAGAGCTGTGGTTGGGGTTAGCTATGAAGACTCGCAGGCCGGTATGAGTGACGAAGAGATCATCCGTCGATATAACGAAGCTCGACAGGCTGGAGAGGACCAGCGACGGACCGTGTGGGCGTGAGTATTCAACCCTTCTATGACTGTTTGTACTGACTGGAAGCCCAGTGGTTCGAGTGTGGGAAATATCCATGCGGTTGTCTCTGTCAATGATCTTATCAAGTCTACCCAACAAGAGGTGAAGGTCATACTGGATCGACTGAAAGGGAGTGCTTCCTAGTTCTTCCAAGGGTAATGGTGCTGTTACACTTCATAGTAAATGAATATATCACAGATATGAGGACGTGTATGACAATTCAAACCCACGAATATTTATGATTTCCATAATTATAATTATTCCTGCAAGAATTGTCATATAATTCTACATTTCAAAAATTAAAACGGACAGTTGGCGGAGACAAGCCGGATGGAGTCTTGACTATCGCAGGACCCCCCTCTTCTTTAATCTCTCAACTTTCTCCGCATCTCATCTCTCGCACATTAATTATCCGCAATCATATTTCGCTGTCGGTTTTGGTCTCTGCAGCTGGGACCGAGGAGCTCCCTTTCGCGCTGCTCAGTGACTTCGCGTCTCGCTTCCGCAGGCACGCACCTCGAATCCTCACTTCACAGACCATTCGCCCTCCAGGTCGCCCACTTCAGCGAGATCGCCATGAATCAAAATACCCCCTCGCCCAGCCCTATATCCAAATCCTCCATCGGCTCGAGACCCTCCCCGACCCCGACTACGGGCAAGCGCAAGCGAAACGCGACAAAATACTATGCCGTGAAGAAAGGCCACAAGCCAGGTGTTTACGCCGAATGGAAAGATTGCCTGGCTCAAATAACCGGCTTCAAGGGAGCAATTTGTAAGTGCGCATTGGGAGTACCGCCGACGAGCGCGCCAACCGGTCTTGAAGCTAAGACAGTAGCACCCTAGTCCAGAGTTTCCCCTCAGAAGAAGCCGCGGATGCGTTCATAAAGGGACTTAAGCTCCCATCCACGACAGACGACTCCGACGACACGCGGTTTTACGGAATACAGAAAGGACGGGTCCCCGGCGTGTACACAGACTGGACTAAAGCACAAGAACAGATCCGAGGGTTCCAGCGACCTCGATACAGGAAGTTCTCGTCGCGCGAAGAAGCCGAGGACTTTGTGCGCGAAGGACGGCAAGAGGCCGCTTCATTTGGCGTCGCGGATGGCGTATCTGCGCCTCACGGAATCACACTTGAAATACCAAAAGACGCCGAGGGCGTTGAGTTCGCCGCGGGTGACGCACCATTGCCAATTGGCGCCGAAGATGGATTTGACCCTAATGTTCTCTTGGATCCGGCGACTGGGAAGGTGGTTTATAAGACCGTCCCCCAGAAGCAAGCGACCAAGCCACAAACCACCGGTATCCCCGGCACTCTTCGCATATACACCGATGGAAGTTCATTACGAAATGGGACCCCATTGGCATCGGCCGGGGTAGGGGTATACTTCGGGCCGGGTGACTCAAGGTTCGTACCGATCCCCCAAGTGCTTCTTGCTGCGTGCGGTCCCTTCTAACTACCATCACTTGTCCCAGCAGAAATGTCTCCGAGCCACTCAAAGGAAGCCGTCAGACTAACCAGCGCGCGGAGCTCACGGCGATTCTACGGGCAATTGATATTGCGCCTCGGCATCGCCATGTGACTATCGTCACGGACAGTCGATATGCGATTGACTGTGTCACGGTGTGGTTTGTGAATTGGCGGCGCAACAATTGGATGACTCGAGACAAGAAGCCGGTGGAGAATAAAGACCTGGTAGAGTCTATCTTGGTGAAGATCGAGGAACGCAATGATCTCAAGGTCAGGACGGTGTTTGAATGGGTCAAGGGTCACAACAAAGATCCTGGCAATGAGGAGGCTGATAAGTTGGCCGTCAATGGTGCCCAACGTGGCGTTTCCGCTAAGGCTGAGGCGTTTGACGTTGCCCAAAATGTGCCCGACGAGGTATTTGAAGAGGACTTTTAGGTACGAATAATGACATGCATTGGTAACAGGTGAAGCATACGCAGTAAGAACATTGAAGTAGAAGGAAAAGAGACTATAACTTTGGACGTGTACAAGCGGCAAGGGCCATCTGGGACGGCCTTCAGGGCTTCTAATACTCCTCATAGGCAATCAACCATTGTATTTGCGCTATAGATTATACAGTATTCACATTCACATTTACGTATGATATATAGACGAAAATTAACAGACATGACAATATCTCACCTATACTGCCAACACCACCGGAAGGACCAACATAGACCAAACCATTCAGTCCAGCCAACTGTCTGTCTACCCCAGCCATCGACACCACGAAAACAACCCAGCTATAGTAGATGATTTGCGAGGGGAAGTCAAATAGGACCAAGCAAAGCGCGACACCCACCGCCCGTCCGGCTGAACCGAGACAATCAACCCTGAAAATCAAGATTGCGCCTCGTTACTTCTCGTCTGATGAGCTTCTAAGTTAACAGGCCTCTCAGGCTCATCCGACTCACCCACGCCAGGTTGGTTCGACGGCAATCGATCAGGAATCACCGAACCACCAATGCGAAAGAACGGTGGGCGAGGCGTCGCACTTCGGAAACGAAACCCACGCTTGCGGCTTCGATAACTCGAATCCTCGCCCACAGTCAGAGGCGTAGCGGTGCTGTGCGTGTGTCGGATATTCGTGATGGGAATTGGTTCATGATCCTCGTGCGTAGTGCTGATGACGCTGGAAATCGTGCGTGGGAGATGATATCCCGCTTTTCCAAGAGGGACTGAGAGACCATGTACAACCTGCTCACAGTCAGACAATACAACCTTTGACTTGGGTTCTGGGATGACTTACAATGCTGCAAATGACCAAGAACCAGACCACGATCTGGATGGTTTCTATGACCTGAGTTACGTCTTCTGGGATCTCACCGTCGACTTTGATCTCGCGTAGGAACTCGAGACTGACGGAGAGGTAGAAGATGGCACCGACTCCGATTGGGCCGAAGAAGCCTACGAAGGCGGCTTGGGAGACGAGTTCGATCTGTGGGATCCATTTGTGCATGGCAAAGACGATTGGAAGTCGGCGAACCAGGAGAATCAGAATTCCCAGGAATATGAGCCGGTAGATGGGAATGATATCGTTTTTCAAGAAAGACGACCATGGACACACAGCTCCAAACCACATGAACACGGACAGGTTGAGAAGCATGTCGATCGTCGGTTGAAGGGAATCGTCCATAGTCTCGAGGCGGAACCAGTCACTGTAATTGTCAGTATCTATGCTGCGGATTTTGTCAACATGCACCTACTCTTGCGTGAACACGTTTCCCGCAATGAAACAAGCAAGCAGATCATCCGTTCCTATCAACCCACAAGTACCCACAACGAACAACTACCAAGAAATTAGCATACGACGATTTGGCCTGGGGGTGTCGACTTACCGCAAGAGCAATGGCAAACACCAAGAAGCTCTCTCGATCAACATAGTGCTTCTCTTCCGCCCAATGAAGCAGCTTCCTGGCAATCCACCCGACAACGGTACCATATGCAACACTCAGAAGGATTTCATAGGCCCACGTCTCGTAAAACCACAGCGCCATCGCCTTTCCCGCTCCCCCGCTATAGGCCTGCGCCCCCATACCAGAGTATTGGAGGAGATAGACCCCGAAGAAGAGAAAGGGGTATCCAAGGCCATCATTTGCACCGGACTCAGCAATGATGATCCTTTGCAGTGGACGTGGAACGTGCTTATCAGCGAACTTCCCCTTGACGATCGAGTTTGATAGCACCGGATCAGTGGGCGTCACGCAAGCTCCGACGATCAAGGCGTGCAGGAACTTGAAATTCGGAACCATGGCCCAGATCAACAGGCTGCTACTGATCCACATCACAGCCATGCCGGGTCCCAGAAGGAGACCCAGACTTCGCCATTCGAGCTGCAGATAGCGTTTGGGGAGTTGGACTCCGGCGAGGACTAGCTGCACGCCGAGGACTAGACGCGTGAAGTGCAGGGTGATTGCCTCGAGATTCTGCTGGGAGTGCAGAGCATAGTCCTCGGGTCTGATGAAGTTTGCTGCGTGGGGTGAGAATATCACGCCGGCGATCAGGGAGATTACTATTTTTTTGTTGGTGACGGAGTTGGGGGATGATCAACTGGGGGGTTCTTACATGCTTCAGATAGGTAGAATTGTTCCTTGCATAGGTAGGATACAAGTCCAAAGAGCGAGATGAAGCCCCCTAGTGTCGCGCAGACGATGTTGAAATTGATCAGGGCTAGTGTGGGCATCTTTGCCGCGTGGTGGGTTGTTCTTGAGGTTGGAGAGTCACCACTTGGGAATGTTTAGGCTCCGAGACGTTCCACCAAGGCGAAAAGTACTCTTTGAGTATAAGTCTAATGCGAGATTTGTGCTTGTAGTCTGTCAAGCAAATAAACGAGTGCAAGCGAATGTTATTCAATCATAATTCGGAGTCGCTGGCTGTTGGATTGGTTGAATAGGCAGATCATAGGGGAAAAGACTTGTGAAATGAACATTGAAGGGTCAGAAAGAACGAAAGATCCACCAAATGCAGCAGTCAGGTAGTCAGGCAGTGAGAAATATGCAATGCGCAGTGGGGGAGAGCAGAGAGAGAGCGAAGACAACGCGAGTTCGGGAAGATCTCTTGGCGCTCGGAGATGGGGGTTTTGTCATCGGTCTGGAAGTGAGGCCGACATCTACCTAGGTAGTTTTTTTGAATACAAACACTACATAAAAGATAGTACAAAAGACATATCTTACAGTGCCAAGTGCTGAACATTTTGAAATGGTATACACTATGGGAACTGCCTGAGAGAATGAGAATACATCAAAATCTCGATCTGCATTGGTATCATAAAGTCCCATGATCCATTAACCTAAAGAAACTTCATGACATCGTCACTGATAACCAAAAGGAACTATTTCATGTAAATCTCCAAGACAGAAGATAACCCCAAATCTTCAATCTTGTGCTTCTCCCCCTTGTTTTTCATGTTGTGACATCATACTGGAAACAAATTGTCGGAAATGCGTGACAGCATCGCGCGTGGATTCGTGGAACTGTGAGATTTGAACTAGCTCAAATTGGCAATCAATTCACGAGCACGACGGGCCAGAGGCGCAATGTGACGCAGGATGGGATCATGCGGGTTGCGCTCAACGACACCCATATACAGGTTGTTCAGGCGCTGGCTCATGATGTCGAGAATGCGTGGAGCAACTTCCTTGAGATCGGTGTCCTGATAATCTGTGTTAGACAAACGCTCAGATCGAGAGGGGAAAAAGTACATACCCTTGGGTCCACGTTCTGCAGAACAACTTCGAGCCAATGCAGGCGCTGGCCAATGTTGGTTGCTAGAGTAGAGGTGACGGCCACGGCCACCGAGAGCATGACAATGGCAGAGAGTCGGGACAAGTAGGAAGGCGAAATGTGAACGAAGAAGTTATCGAACAGATCGGCCTGTTGGTTCGATTGCAGCCACTGAAGATTACGTTAGTCGGGGATCTTTGTGATTTCTGAAACGTGGGGGAATCGAAGATTGCGGAAGGGAATTGGTACTAACCTTGACGGTTCCCTCCTCGAAAAGACCCGCATTGATAAGCTGCGCGATTTCCGCGAGTTCAGCTTCCTCGGGGGATCGAGGAACGGGCGCGGGGACAGGGATAGGAGCAGGCGCTTGAACGTGAATCGGAGCAGCATGCGATTGAGCCAGAGGCTGCGGGTGAGACACCTGCGGCATACGCATCTGGTTCTCAACTGGGCGTCCAGCGGGAGCTCGCTTGTTGGCCGGAATCTCCCGATGGGGAGCTTGGTGCTGAGGGCTCTGACTTGGACGAAGCTGGTGGCCTTGGTTGGCAGACAGCACAGAGACCTGCTTGGTCAAGTCACGGAGGACAGCTGCCATCTCCTCGAATCTGGCATTGTCACTCTGGCGTTGTGCCTCGTATTTCTTGACCTGCGTCTGGAAGTGGAGCTCCAGGTCTTTCTCGACCTTCGTGGTGGTACGTCCGAGGGCCTCCAGCATTGGACCAATTGAAGTCTGCATGACTCGAGTGACTTCCGTCTCGATGCGAGGTGCAAGCTTTTGTGCGAGGGATTCGGTCACAGCCTTCAGCACAGGTGGCTGCTGGATCGCGTTGATGACAGCCTTGGGGAGGGACTGACGCAGCTCCTCGTTGATGGCGCCTCCGAGTTTCTGAGAAACAGCACCACCAAGCTGCTTGCTGACTGCAGCAGAGGTGGCCTCGGTGATGATGGGAATCACATCGGTCTGGATGCTGCTAGAGACAATACGAGCCAAGTTCTTCTCGACGTTGTCGGAAAGCGTGCTAGAGACCAAACGCAGCACTTGGTCTTGCTTGGCGGATGACGCAGCATCCCAATTCTGCCGTTCTTCGTCGAAGCGACGGTGCAAGTTCTCGAACTCTTGGCCGAGGCTCTTGTTAAACTCACTCTGGACATTGCCTTGCAGAGATTGGATGTGCTTGGCCAAGGCTTCACTTGACAGGCCCATGCCAGAAAGGTTGCTTGGCAGAGAGTTGTCAGCAATCTGAGTTGAACCCATTGATGCGGTGGAAGAAGCAACGGTATCGATGTCCTTAGAAGGCGTGGGGAGGGGCTCAACGCTGGAGGTGGCAGCGGGTTCCTTCGCAGTCTTCTTCTTCTTCTTCTTGTCAGACTTGTCGAGGGTGACAGGGGTGGCTGCAAGTTCACTAGGCTCCTCAGCGGTCTTCTTTCGAACCAACTTGGTGGGAGATGCGTTGCGCGAAGGGGCGACACCAGAAGCAGGCTCTCCAACATCAGTCTTCTTGACTGGCTCCTTAGGAGCAGGGCGGGACATGGTGGATGCAGTGTCACCGTTGACAGATGGCTCATCAGTTGCGTAGCTTGGGAAAGTTTGGAGTTCACTGATTTCGATCAAGCTATGCTCCAGGGCATCAACAGGGCGAATGACCTTATTGTCGGCTGTCCAGCCCAAGTCCTCCTTCTTGATGTTCAGACAAGTAACACCGCGCGAGTGCATGACATATAGCTCAAACAAGGGGGTCTCTTCAGCACCGCTCTTGTCAAGGGCAGGCTTAGTAACAGGCAGGAGCTCCAAGCTTCTCAATTGACCCTTGGCGCCTAGGGAGATCTCGCGAATTCCACTCAAGCAAGCTGTAGATTCCGGCTTGGGAAGAGTGTTGTCCTTGTCATTAAGATCGCGGATATACGCAGCCTGAGACATCTGGGGCAGATTGTACCGAGGAGCAGAAAGATGGGCGAAGTAAATAGAGTTGCGCGTGGGGTGTCCAACAACGATGACACCAGAGGATGGGTGGTAAGCAACACTACAGATAGCGTCGGACTCGTTCTCGTGAGGGAACTTCAACTCCTGCACAGCCTTACCGAGCCCAATATCCCAGAGCTGCAAGGTGTGGTTCTGCTTGAGTCCAACCAGAACATAGCGAAGGGCCATGGAACGCGAGTACGCGCGGAGTTTGTCGAGGAAAAGGACAGAGGTGGGCCAAGACTTCTCGGTAGGGGAGCCGGTCACAAAGGTGGTCAAGGGGACCTTGATTTCGGCAGGCGGAGCTCCTTCCACCAGGCTGGCATCGTTCAGCATGTCATTAATATCCCAGAAGCGCAGACGGCCGGTCTTATCCAAAGAAGCAATGACAGAGTCATCGTCACTGAAAGCAAAGTCCTTGCCGGCTTTACCAGTGGAGATCTTCAAGGCACGTTCCTTGAAGAACTTCTCGGTGTTGACTGTGCGCTGGGTTCCAGAGACGCCGTAGGCAGGGCTCATTGCCGCCTTGGGAGAAACGACGTAAATATTCTTACCCCGACCAATGGCAAATAAGTTGGTGTGACGAGTGCTTCGCTTGGCCCGCGTTTTCAGCTGGCCACCAGAAGTGTTCTCATCCGAAGCCGGGAAAGGTGGGAAGATCAGGCTCTCGCTCTCCAATGCATCAATGTCAAAGAAGTCCTTTCCAGAACGAGAAATCAAAGCCCAGTATACAGAGCCGCTGACTCCAATGCCCAGGATGGCCTGGACTTCAGAATCCCCAGCAGGGGAAGGAGCGGTGCAAAGAGCGACATTGAATACACGGTCACGTGTCGAACGGAAGACCTGTCGGTCGCTGCCGTCATCCTGTCGAATGATTCTAATACCACCGGTTTTGGCGAGCGCATAAACAATATACTCAGATGTGGCGGCAGTCAAAGATCGGTCCAGCTGATCGAATTCCTTCTTCAGGCGGGCGATATCCATAACGTCATCGTCACGGAACACATTGAGCTTTCCAGCTGTTGCCTTCACGGCGATAGAAATGAAGGGCCTCATGGGGAAATTATGAACAGAGACAACTCGTTCCTCTTCCTTTTCGGCACTGTCTTCGGCACTTTCCCAGCTGTCGGCAAGAGCCTCAGTGGTGTCAGCCACCTTGAGAGTGACCGGGACGGCAGGAGCTTCCACCACGGTTTCCTTCACCACCTCGTCAACCTTGAGCGAGTTGACCACATCTTCAGCGACAGCGGCGGTGTCGTCCAATTGATCGGCGATTGAGGAGACAACTGCCTCGGAGGATTCCTCCTTGACATTAGCCACCGCAGCGCTAGCCTCGACTGCAGCTTGAGTTTCATCACCGCCGAGAGACCGACCAATCTCGTTAACCAGACGGCCAACAACGTCATTCACCGCCTCCCGCTGTCCTTCGCTTAAAATGGGCGACCGAGGCTCATGCTTAAAAGCCGCAGGCTCTGGCGCAGCGGGCTCCAGAGAAGCAGATACATTGATCTTTTGCTTCTGCGTCACCTCAACAGCGGGACTCTGCTGGCCCGACGCAGGCTGCTTGGGAGACTTGTTGCGAGGAGAGATAGCAGCCAACTGGTCAAAGGGGTTGACGTAGGTAAACATTGAGTCCTTGGAGTTGGGCGATACGACCGTTTCCGGGTTCGCAGGCGCCAAAGGACTCTCGTCCACAAACTCCATGAAGCCGTTGTTGCTTGGCTCGCTCTGGGGCTCATCGACAATAGCTTGCACGTATGGTGGCTGCTGGACGGGAGCCGGAGCCGGGCTTCTGGCGGCCGAAGCACCGGACTGAGAACGATTGAGGAGACGAAGCAACATATCCTGAGTGTTCTCATTGGGACCCTCGGGGTGGCCAGATTGGAAACCAGGGGGCACAGCAGGTGGGGTAGGTGACGGAGCCGCATTTCCTGCGGCCTGGTTACCGAACAACGAAGCAACCAGGTCAGAGGCGGAAATGTTTCGTCCGTGTGACGTGTGAGCTTCATGGCCTGGGTGGACTGATGGGGCCTGCAGATGCTCAGGCGCCGGAGCTGGGGCCTGTGGCTGAGGAACACCACCGCCGGGTCGCTGACTGAATCGCAAGAGGTTCAGAAGGTCATTGGAGCCCGGGTTGCCGTGCTGCGGCGGGTGCTGCGGCGGCGGCGCCTGCTGGTGCTGCCATTCACCTCGGGGGGTTGACATGTTGGGGCTCAGAATGTCGGAGCCGTGGTGAGGCGGAGTGTTCATCGGCGCAGGGCTTTGGATGGTAGATGATACCGAAGGATGCTGGTAGCCGTGTGATTGCGGTTGAGGGTAGCTCTGGCCGTCGTAGGGCTGCTGGTGCTGGGGGTGCGGCGGGAACATGGCTTGCTGATAATACGCCTGGCGCTGGGCCTGAGTATGATCCTGACCAGGAGTGTTGGAGGGAGAAGGGCGCGGCCGAATGCTGGCCAGGAGAGCCTGGAGATCAGTGGGGGTGGACATTTCTGCCGGCACGCCTCGATTATGGGCGACCACCGCTGACGGAACCAAGCTTCGAAGAGCTCTCAAAAGCCCTCTTTCGAGAGACTATATGAAAGGAAGGTGAATTGGAGAAGCTTGAGCAAGTGACGAAAGAGCGAATCAGAGATAAGAGCGCGCAAAGAAAGATGAGATTGAGGAATGTCGAAGGGTGAAGAAGGGTGAAGGAAGAACTCTCGGGAATATTGGAGGTGGGTGTGGCGCAGGCTGCCGAGTTGTGGCGCACGGTGTGTGGTTGTGGCTGGTGGGGCTTTTGCCCGGCTCGCGTCATAAACTACTCCGTACTTTCTATCTCAACTACTTACTAAACTGCCTTGAACCAAAGGCTACTGGCAAGTTCAGTTGGGCTATTTTATATCTCTAGCCAAAGGCAAATTGCTGCCCTTTCTCAGACTGTCTGTGCCATCCCGCTACGCAGCAAGCGCAAGCGCAAGCATCCGCACGCCCATCATGTTCTGTCTACGAAGGTGCGAGACTAAGCTACTGATCGTCCAAGAACCCTAACTAACCCAAGCTGTCTATTCCCAGTTGGCTACCTCTCCTCTTTATTCCGACCAACGCATCCCCGCTTTTCATCATCTCGTTTGTCGCTTTAACATACATCATCCACCGGCCCTGCATCTACTGTTCCGCATTACTCCTAATCCTTTTCGTCTCATCATGCCACTGGTCAGATCGCTGCATCTTTGACTTGCGCAGCAACTGGTTTGCACCCCGGTATAGCGCTGAGTCCGGCGACTATGGCTCTATTTCCGGCAACGCATCGACCGAGGCGACGGTATCTACTGAGGGCCTGACGGAATTTGTGTTTGACACTGTCAACTCTACCGCAAAAGCATTGGCAGGCGCCGCAATGGAAGGCGTGCAGCAGCGATTTGCGCCCAATGGGTTGGAATCAAAGCCTGACGAGTGGACTGGAGTCGGATTGGAATGGATGCGTAACCTTTTGGGTAGGCGCGAGTGGACTCTTCCATGTGTGGATGTCACAGTGCGACTATAGAGGCTCTTTCATTCTTGGTTGGACGTGACTCTCTTCTCATTTTTGATTCTCTTTGTACTTTTCGGCTTCACGACCTTTTCATCTTGTACGAAACCTTTGGTTCCACTGGCTTTTCAAACAAGCCCTTATCATCTTGTGCAGCGAATCCTGATGTCTTTTTTTTTATGCTTACGAACAACTACTGTACATACCCTGTCTTATATTAATTGGCTAGGCTCACAGCCTATGGACTCTTTAGCGCTGTTCATTTGTTACCCAGGGCCTTGCCTTTACGGTTACCAGAACCAGTCCATGGATGTAACCGAACATCGGATTGAAATGTATATCTCCAGGGCTCCCGTGCTCGGGTCTCTTTTGAACAGACTAGACCGCTACCCAAACGCACACCCTATGGAGCATACATGTTCTTTTTCAACAACCTCCAGGGCTGCATCTTCTCGCCAATGCCTTCCTAAAGCCCTTTCCCATCCTCAGATGGGGGTGTGGTGTCATTCGGAGGAGGTGAGACCGGGCAAACGCCAAGAGCAGTAAGAACGTTGCTCAATGCTGGGATACAGGCAATGCAGGAACATATCTAAAACCAAAATAGTTAATACGCAGCCTTGACAAGCAAGAAAGCTGAGCCCATACCTGTGACATGGAGGTAGTCAGACACTTCTGCAATGCAGTTGGATCACCATTGGCAACTGCATTAGCGATGCACGTAAGTTGAGCAGTGACATTGAGGCAAGCAGCGAGGCTACATTCTGCTGCGAGCTGTGGGACCAATTTGAGATTTTCTTCCAAGACTACAGAAGCCTTGGGTTAGTATGGATCAATAAAATAGTATGAGCAGAGTTTGATACAAGGGCTTGGAAGTTGAGTGGTGTTAGTTTTGACTGGTGGTACTGCCGCTGCAGCCAAGGCTGAGGCAAGGAAGAGGAGGTTCAAGCGCATATTGAAGATTATGAAGTATCAAATGGAAGCAGGCGATTGAACTTTGACAAAATAGCTTGTATATGCTTTGTGGGAGATCTCAAAGGGAGTATGATACGCTACCATCTCGCTGTCGGTTTATATATTCAGAATGTTCATGCGCCGAGAGGTGGACAAACGCTTTAGGAAACAAGAACCTCCGGGATGGTTGCTTGGATGTTCACACCGGCCGGATGTCACATTCATGCCCGTGGGCATATGCAATCAAGTGCAAGCCGATTGATTCGCCCCGAGTCGTACCAGAAGCTTGGCTCGAAGTCCATGGGGCACATTAAGATCCAATGTGTCATAGAAAGCCATGGGCTCCACGGCATTGCACATGAACGAGGCTGTCAAGGATAGGATGTATTTGACTTGGATTACAGCTAATTACAAGACGAGGTATCTGACAAAATAGCATAAACATAGATGCCGGAGAGGCCAACCAGTCTAGAGCATGGCAGACCGAGACTCCCACAAGTATTTCCAGGGAAAAAAAGTAAAAGAAACGAGAACAACAACAAGATCAAAAGCAAAAGCTAGAACGAGTCACGACGCATGACATGAGAACCACCGGGGGAATAAAGGAGAGATAGCAGGTGAATCGTGAAACATGACAAAGATGTGGTATCACAGTGACGATCCGTGTTCAAGAGACTGGTCACGGGAAAGCCGAGAGGAAGGATGCTTATGTATGGAGAGATTAGGCGTAAATGTGGGAGACAAGGCAGAATAAATGGCGTAAACATCAGAATCTTCGATATCAGATCAGTTGTTATAACCACCACCACCCACAGGGAGGGGCCAGTCATCTTCCGTGATGCTGCTCCAAAAGGTCCAGATCCCAGAAACGGCGAGAAGAGTGAAGAGGGTCTCGAACAAAGCACCGTTGATCTTGCCACTCGTGGCACTGCACAGGTGGGTGCTGATCACATAGTTGAAGATTTGTCCAATTGCAAAGAGCAATGCGGCACCAGTGAGATACACTGTTACATGGTCAGTACTTTTTTTCTCCAGTGGACAGATATCCGGGGGTCACTCACGCATTGGCCGGAATTCGCCCAAGATCCGAAGAACCAGCACACTTTCCAAAACGTAGTAGAACACCACACAGATGAGCGGGACGAGTTGGTATAGCACGTAGAGGGCGATGTTTCGATTCGGGGCCTCGTGACTCGACTGGAAATGTCCGGTCCAATCGAAGCCGGTGTCCAGGGCGATATAACCGGTGCCAATGAACAGCGCAGCCGCCGATGCGCAAATCAAGCCGAGAGATGCTGGGGTACCGTCGTCGAGAAGCTGGAAGCCCACAAGCGCGTTCATGAGAAGAACCCAGCACGTCGAAGTAATGGCCGCGATATGGACCGCCGAGAAACCCTGGTGAATTGTGTTAGCCCGATGCCTGTCGCGCCTAGGCCGATTCGAGTCTGCTTAAGTACCTTTCGCACCGCATCGTTCAATGGGAAGCCGCCCACGGTGAAAATCTCGCAAATCTCAATGATGATGTATCCCAGTAGGAATAATTGCATCTCCCTGTCAATGAATCAGCAGCGGTTCTCCCTGCATTCCTCGTAAATCCATACCGTCGCCCAACAGCCGCGTGCTTCTTATCCGACCTCCATATCATGCCCACGGTCAACACGATGGCAATGAAAGCCAGTAGAATCGAACCTATCACAGATCAGCGCCCCATTCCTCGCGGCAGCTCCATCGCACGGAGGGGGAGAGGGGAACGGTACCTAAGTTTCGAAGGTATCTATCCTCTCCAGTCAGCGGGATACCCGTCAACTCGCACGCGTTCGTTGTCGCATTGGAGAAAAGCTAAAAATGGCGCAAGGTCAGTCTCCAGGCTCACATCCGCATCCACCTCCACATCCACATCGCGGGTTTCACGTACATTGCACACGGGCAGGGTTGAGTCGCGACAGAAGTCCTGTCAGAGGATCAGTATTTTAGGTCCATTGGAAGAAGCATCATGAACTCACGTGGAAGTTCCCGAATTGCGTTGACCCCATGGCGACGAGTGTTTGCAGGGGAGTCGGAAAAACCTCCGGGGGACCAAAGATCGCTCGGCCGCGGATCTGCAGAGAGGATCCAGGTACGGGGTACGAGGTCTGAGGGAGTCGTGTTTGAGGTTGTCAAGGTCTGATGCGAGATGCAAGATGCAAGAGGGGGAGTGGGCGCTAGTGTCGGGACCTCAAAGCCTCTTAATTTCCGGTCGAAAGTTGGCCAAAAGAGTTGGTTCAGAAACAGAAAAAAAGAGGTTCCGTCGGGAAGCTAAGAATAGAAATTAGTACCTGAGTCTACCAACAAATGCAGATATAATAGTTGAGACCCTTGGAAGCAGAGGATAATTAAAAAGAATATAATAACATAACAGCATCGAATAATGACCAGGTTATAGCGGTGGATACGGTGTTTAGAGGCCCTTGCCGACAATATACGGTCGCCAGGTCGACCAGCCCTTTATACTCCTTCAAGACCTGGAGTACCTGGAACACTTCGACTAAACCAGTGAAGATGCTGTACTCTACTCGTACCTGGCACAATATTCACAGTCCTTTATACAGATATCTTCAATATTGAAACCCTGTGGGCCGATATAGAAATGATTGGCCCCCAATTTTGAGCCAATTTCGACCGATCGACTCCAGATCGACAGACACCGTACTGATACTCGATACAAGTAGTATCAGTAGTACCAGGGTCCTCCTTAACAGACATCCTCAATCACCTGCTTTTGACCGTCATGCTCACCCAAGTCCAACTTGAGCGTGCGACCAAACAGTTCCAGCAACATCTCAAAGCAAACCTTGGTGATCGCCGGGTCATAGCGACCCTTGCTGAGCTCATCTCGGATAAAGGCGTCTAGAAGGTACGGAGTACATCGTCAGCGATCGAACCGTCAACCCCATGTGTCGAACTCACGCTGTGCCCACGCGGCCTCGTAGAATCCAAACAAAACACCCTTCTCATGCAGGGTCTTGCGAATAAGGTCTCGTCCCTCGGGCGGAACGTGGTTGTCATTTTTACCGAAGATCTGGATCCAATGTGAGCACACACACTCATCAAGAGCCTCCCCCAAATAAGACATACCATGAGCATCTCCCCTTTAATATCACCTGCCCGCTCCAAGCTATCGTCATTCTTACCCCAGGCAAGGGTCTTGCTGTGGATATCCGTGGCAAAGTAACACACACTAGCCTTGACCCGAGCATCCAGGGCACACCGATAGGCCAGATGGCCACCGAGACACATACCGGTGGCACCGACACGGCCATTGCACGTCGGTAGTGACAAGAGGTAATCGACACTCAGACTAGCATCTTCATCGTACGCAGCCAATTTCTAAACCCGTCAACACCGGAACTAAAACATTAAACGTTTGCTGGGCAAGGTGCTTACCTTGCCGATCTTCCAGGCATTACCCTTGTCAGTGTCTTCGGCGTCATACTTGAGGGCCTCGGGGCCTGTGAATTCGTGGTAGCTGGAGGGTGCCGCGCAGATGTAGCCTTGGCCGGCGATCTGGCGGGCGAAGCGTGCGACAGGGCCGGTCACTGCATGCTGTTAGTGGTGCGAACGGGGGCGATTGGAATTGGTCCCACCTTGGTAGATCTCGCTGAAGACGACCACGCCTGGGAAGCGGGCGTTCGGGTAGCCTGGGATTGTGGGGTGGAAGACATAAATGCCTGTTTGGTTGTTAGTACGGGATTCTGGTTGATAGATGGCTGCATGGCGGGGAGGTTCGGATACATACGCATAGTTCCCTGCCCATCCGCCGTGGTGGGAACATCGTGGTAGGATTCTTGGATCAGCATGTTTTCAAACAATGATCTATATAAGAAGAGTAACAAAGTAACAAAGTAACAGAAGCAATTGAGAGGGCGCAATCGAGGGAGCTATCGATAACCCGCGGGGCAGTCATGTGCTGATATGGAGCTTGGAGCTCCGTTCCGTCATTCTCGACTACAACTATAAACTATTATTGCAGAGCTCTGTTCTCAACTTCAACCGTCGGCTCGTAAACCGATTTTTCATTACCAGGAATATTAATCTAATTGACGTTTTATACAGAGAAGTGAAGGTTTGAAAAATGGCCCTGATAGAGCCCCAAAGAAAGTCCCTCAGCTGCCCAGTAGCAGAGCTCCGGGAAGCTCGAAGGAAAGCAGCAAGCTGCGATTAGAAGACATACTACGAGATGGTTAGTGAAAAGCCCTCATCAATTGAGTCAGAATACTCACAGGAATGAACAAGTAGGGCACCTGGCGCTCATACTCGAGCCAAGTCTCACCGTACTTGGTGCGACAGCGCTGGATATCACGAAGAGCACGGTGGCTAATCATACAAGCAAAGAACAGCGGATAGAACCAGGGGAAGGGGCTGGAGAACCCGGTAATCAATCCCCAGTTCAGAGCGAAGTACAGGTCGCACGAGTAGTGGATCTTGCGGGCCTTGCCATCTATACCACACATATTAGCACTGAGGAATTGCACGATTGCGATTGTAAAAGGATCAACTTACACCAACCGTCGACAAGAATCTTCGAGCCATCGGCGGCGGTCAGAGTCTTGGGGTTCTTCACGGTCTGCCACGGCAGCTGAGGGAAGGTGTTGCGGGCCACCATGGTGCCACGCTCCTGCTGGCGGAAACGGTTCTTCTGGCTGTTGGTGGTATCCCACACCCAGTACACGAACAGGTAGGCGATGTACAGGAAGGCAAGGAAGAATCGGTTCCAGCGGTATTCAGCAGGGTCGTGGTTGGCCAAGTAGATGGTGCAGTGGCAGTAGCTGAGAGGCACACCAGCCAAGTTCCAGAAAATCAGCATGAAGCCCCACTTCTCATAGTACATGTCCCTGGGAGAGGTTAGCAAACCGTGAGCACTAAATGAATACATGGGATTTTCTTACCAAGTCGACACAATGCACTCCTCACCCTTAGAGCAGGCATTGGCGTATAGGAAATGAGCCATGACAAGGAACATAACTTCTCCAGACACGTAACCGTAGACTTCCCACTGGCGAGCAGCGGCACCCATAGACAGGAACAGGAGAATGTACCAAGGAAGGCGAACCTCGAAGAACATCTTGAAGTCAAGAATGTTGAACATGCGAGGGTTCAGCTCAGCACCCATGAAGAAGTCGTAAATGGGGTAACCGGTCATACGGTGCTGGGCACCACGCGCCAACGCCGAGAAGTAGGCAATGAAGGAGACGATGTAGCCGGAAATGATAGCCACGCTCAGCAAGGGACCGAACTCGTCAATGATGGTGTACAGCTTGAACAGTCCGGTGAAGTGCGCAATCAAAGCCAAGCCAATGCTGGTGTAGAAAGACCACACAGCGGAGCAGTAGTACGGCAATTGCTTGCCACCCATGTGAGGCAGGGGGCGGCCGGACACACTCACACCGGGAAGCAGGACGTAGCAAGCACCCTCAAAGATGAAGAACACCCAGTAGATGGTCCACGCCTTCAGCGAAGGGAAGGCACCCGAGTAAACCAGATCCACTAGGTGGGCAAAAAAGTCCCCGTAGCTCTCCCCCTCTGCGGGGCGAGGGAACTTGCCATTGTAGTAGGTTGCACCAATCCACATGTAGTACATGAGCATAGGGAAACCAATCATCATGGACAACACGCCGAACGAGCCACCGAACTCGAAGTGGCCACTGTAGTCGATCTTGGAATCAAGGCCGGGCTCCCATCCATCCACCAGGCGCGACTTGGATTGCGCCTTGGCGGGTGTAGCCTTGCCATTGACCTCCACCTTCACCGGAGTATCATCCTCCTCAGTCTTGACCTTGCCCGACACGCGACGGCGGGTGGTGGACTTTGATCGCTCGGATGGGGAATTGGAGCCCTCGTTTTCGCTGCCGTCGACGACGGAGCTGTTGCGGGTGACGCGACGGCCGGGGGTCTCGATGAAACCAGGGCGATCCATTTTCCTGCACGGCGCAACAGGGCTTCGTTAGCTTGACAAAGACCTTCACGGACCAATTCTGGGGGAATTGGCACCATATAACCACTCATGTGGATACGTCGCAACAGCGGGAAGGGACTCACTTGGGGGTCTTCCCCGTCTGGGAGCGGGTTAGAGTCATGGTCAACCAGAGGACAAGTCCAATTGCAAAAGAGGGTCTGAAGAAGAAAGGTAAAAAGGAGCGAGGAGGGAAAAACAAGGAATGTCCTGAATGTTTACTTTGTGCATTACACCGCTTACATAATATACCGAAGTTTTTAAAATGCTTAGTTTGGACGTCGGATCTATACTGCTGAACGTTACGGAGTAGAGAGAGAGATATGACTTTGTGAAAGTATATGCAGTCCTTTCTAGTGTATGCATGAATATAGTATTCTAATGATATGCCACTGATCCTTTATGTCGCGCAAAAACAAGAAAAAGCATTCGAAGCCAAATTGCATAGATCGTCAGTAAAGGGGCTCGCAGATAAATACCAAAAATACATCAAATTACTACAAATTACAGCTCATTTCGGCTCATACCACCTTTGCCACACTAGTCGGCTTGCGATGTCATTGTGGGGGTGGCTCGTCGTCAACTGCCGTTTTGTCTTTGCCAATTTCTTTAACGCTATTGAGGACTTCATCTGGGCTACGTGGGCTCAAGGCTAGATATTGATGCAGTATCTAAAGGTAATTGCCAAAAGAATCCTTGGAAGCTTTTTACTACTATGTTTACTGTCTTATTTACTGTCTTCAGCAATGCATGCAATAAACTTCCTTTGAAATTTTTTTGTGTAGAAACAGGCTTTTTGAATATACCACAAGATGGTATCTATCTCACGCTCAGATATGCACACCCCCGGACGCTCTACTCTCTTGTATCACCCCTCCTTCTTTTCCTCCCCAACCCCAGCCTGGGTTTTTAGACTCCTTCCACCGTCTATGCAGACATTGTTATCAGATCAAGGAAATTCGTGACATCGTCACAAGATCTGAGGGCTTGGAACACAAGATGCTCCTCCCCGCGATTGCGAGGTCAAGATTCAAAAACAAATAGGGGTATAAACCGAAGTTGATATCCCGTGAGGTACAGCCCATGGCTGAAAATGGACAAAAAGTGGCTCAAAGACAATGGGCTGCTGCGCAAGGCAATGTCTGGTCATGGCAACATATTTGGAACTAGAAAAATAAGAAAGGCAAAAAATGAAAAGGCAAATGATTCGGAAACAAAGTAGCCAGGGAAATGCTCTTTCAAAGCAGGAAGGAGATGTGATGGGAGGGGTTTGAAAGGGCTCCGGCGAGAAGTCTTTTGGAAAGTCTTTGGAAAAGTCTTTTTCGGAGGCTAAACAGGTAGGGGCCGCCGCACCCTATACTGCATATTTCTCTCAATGTGCACGGTAAGCTCGAAGCCACCAGTAGATATGACTTGCCAAGAGGCGATATTGATTGCCGGTTGTGCCGGGCTGATAAAGATCCATGCCAGTAAGGTTCAAAATGCGTAGATCGAATGGGTCGTAAGTCGATGCAGATCGTGTATGATGCTTGGACAATGCATTATTGGACGATGGCCAATGCCATTCAGTCCATGCGCTGGTAGAACAGAAGGTAGGCGACCTTGTTGTCGCGAGAGCCGTAACGGCCGAGCGGAGTGCGCACTCCAGAGGAAGGGCCAGAAGGAGGGATTCCATTCACAGACTTCTTACTAGCATGCCCATTGGTGCCGTTGCCATTGACTTGGCTCCATCCCTTATCGTTATCGGCCAAGTCCATGTCGTCCTGGTCAATGTGATCAAAGATGTTGCCGTTCGGGGTTTTGCTGTGCTTGTGCTGCTCAAGGGCCGCCGCCAAAGCCTTGGGGTCTTCTTCACCGCCAGCTTCAGCAACGTCTTCGCTGCGGACACGACGAATGACAGTGTCGTCCATGCGGATCCATTCCAGGCCTTCCTGGCGACGAACATCGACAGTGTAATGACCACCGCTGGCATTCTTTCCGTGGTGGTAAATAACGCCCATCAGTCGGTACTTTGGCGGACCTGTCGCAGCCATGGCATTGCGACGATGGACAGGGAAGACTTCCCGAGGAAGATCCAGTTCGAGAGGGTATCCGACCTTCTTCCAGATCTTTTGGGTGGCTCCGGTGAGACTGTCGTACTGGAAGCGCTTCAGGTGAAGAATCAGAACAGGGGGCAGTGTTTCAATGAAGATCTGCTTGGTTGCAGTGACATTTGAGCCACGTGACGAGTTGAAATCGCCCTGAATGCTTTCGGGCTTAGTCAATCCTTTGAGCGCATCAAGAATATTGTGGACATCATGCGACCCGATGTCGAGTTGCAAAGGCTGATATGGCTCCAGGGTAACCGAGGTCTTGTTGCCGGGAACCTTGAATTCTGATCGAAGCTTGCCCCCGAAGATACGAGTCACGGGGGACTCGCTGGAAAGCGAACCGGACATTTGGGTAACTGCTGCTTTCTGTCTGTGGCCAACTTCCAACCAACCATCAACAGCAGATTCGTCACCCTCCTGCTTTGACGCAGTGTGCTTCTCAGCACGGGCACATTCTTCATGCATTTCTTCGAGAAGGAAACCCAGGAACTCCTGGGCATCTTGTTGGTGCCCACGGCGCATGTCCCTAAAGCGTGGCAGCTGACGAACAATTTCGTAGACGAATTCGGGGGCGAAAGAATCGCCATATTGCTCAAGCTCGTTGGCTTTTAATCTGAGGCGCAACTGATCCTCCGAAGTAGCGGCGTCAATGACACGGAATTCTTTCATGAACATGATCATTGCGTCGATCACAGGAAGATCGGTATTAAAGCTGTGGGCAGCACGTCGGCCGAGGTGATCAAGGAATTGGTAGAATGGGGTGCAGGAGACAAGAATCTGAAGAACAGAGTTCATGTAACACATGTTTCCAGTGTTGACCAGACCACGAGGTTCAAGGAACGCAATCTTGTCGCTATATTGTGTAACGTCTTCTCCGAGCCCACTCAGAACCTCAGCGAGGTTTTCGTTCTTCTGTGTCGGCAGACCTGTCGATTCGGACGAAGCTGCAGCGGCGCTCGGTGTCTTCGCCGAGCCCGAAGGGCGCATCAAATCAGCCCAAGACTTGGGTGCGGCAGGCGTAATGGGGCTCTTGGCTTCCGGGGCAGTAGTAGAATCTGTCTCTGCCGCTGGCGCGGGAGTAGGAGCGGTGGTAGATTTGGGTGTGCCGGATGCGACGCTGCTGCTGTCTCTGGCGTGACGACGCGGGGTGGCTGGCACATGTGGAACAGCTGGAACAACTGGTGCAGTTGCTTGCTTGGAGGGTTTGGAGTGACCCTGGGATTTTGCAACCGACGAGGGAGTGGTGGGCTGTGTCGAGTCGGTATCCGATTGTTGGAAAGACGTTGTCGGTGTTTGGGGCTCTGATGCCTCCTGCGCAGGCGCTTGGGAGATCTTGTTCTCGTAGCTAGGAGCCTCTGTAATGTTGTTGGCATCCTTAGAAGGTAGTTCGACGGAGCATTGCATCACACGGCCCTTGCGACGCCTGCTTGGGATTCTAGCTGGGAATGATTGTTCTGGAACAGAGAGCCATGGAAGCTGTATGGCGTTGGTCAGAAAATTGAAAGAAGACCGAGGTGGAAAGGTGAACCGCGGGAGAATACAACTTACAGGTGGGGCAAAAGCAGGTTTGGGCGGGACGTTAACCTTGGGTTCCCAACGTGGCGATGGAGAAGCAACGGGGTATCCCTGAACTGGGTGAGGCAGAGGGGGCGGGGGTGTCTGCATTTCTGGCTGCATGGGCGACATCGAAGGAAGCAGGACGGGCGGAGTCATGATCGGCTGTTGCGGAGTCGCAGTTCTTTGTTGCATATGCATCGAATGGTGCGGTAGATGTGTGGGAGCCATTACAGGCTGCGCATGAGGATATGAAGATACAATCATAGGACCATAGTGCGGCTGTTGGTATTGCGGCCGCGGAGGGGGCTGCATAGTATGTCCGTAAGGAGGGTACCACTGACCATATGGTTGGTGGTAGGGCTGAGGCATGTGGCCATTCATGTGTGGTGGTGGATACCCCATATATTGAGGGGGCGCATGTTGGGGGGATTGAGTTGTATCCAAAGTCCTGCTGCCGTCTAGAAGGAGGCATGGGCGGCTGCCCGTGCGGCATGGCAGGCAGATGGTGGTTCATGTTGACTTTAATAGAGAGATATGCCTTGACTTTTGGTCACGCTGTATCTCAACCGAGAGCCATGCGCGATAGCAGTCAAGATGAGAGTAAAATTCTAGAGCTGCATGCGCACTTAAGCAGCCATCATGAGCTGGATGGTAGGTGGGGGATTTGGCGGGAGGCTGGAAGGTGTCCGGGAGAGCTTTTGGGTCGCGTGGAAGGAGAAAGGAACACCAAGTTGAAGGACTGGAAGAACAGGATCACTGTACAAGGCAGTTCCTAGATGGATGGGGGTGAACCAGTGGGATGATAATCCAGAGGCTGGAACGGAAGAGGAAGGGAAAGACGAGGGTGCAGGAAGCCTCTATCAACCGATGAAATGAGCTGGACGACCGAATTGGGTGGATGACTCGGATCACGTGACACGATTTGTAACCGGAAGAGGGGCGACTTCAATTGCTCTCACTTCAACTGGCACCCTGAGGGCCGTCCCTCGATCACTTTATTCTTAGGTCTTTTAGGCCACTGGTCGTTCTGTCGTTATTCGATTGTGTCTGCATCTGGTGGATCACTTGCCTTGGCGCATAGTTGATTGGCATCTTATCAGTGATCCGGTTGATATCCAGTCCGCATAGATCCCCCTCTCCCATCTGTTTCCATACCACCTCCGACTCTTTGTTCTGGATCTGATTGAAGTCGCTCTGGCACTCAAACATCTGGATCGCTTCTAGGATATGTCATCCAATCCAGGACAAAACCCGCCCTCTACTAAAGCGGTAAACATCCCGAATGCTTCGACCTCATCTACGCCGTTCCACCATACAACGTCCATAGAAAACAGCGCTCAAAGGCGCGTAGGAGGCCCTGGGAGCTCCCGGGGTGGTATTTCACCCAAGACTTCGGCCACTGCACGAAATAATCAAGCTCGGAGGAGTCAACACAACCGACAGAGAAAACCTCGGCTTTTGGATGATGACGAGTATAACGAATCGGTGGGTTATCAGGTTTTCTTGAGTTAAAAGAGGCACCTGCTGACCCTGGAACCGATGATTAGGCCGCCATGAAATCGACCACCAGCCGCAAGGGACAGACGTCCATTACTCACTTGATGAACTTTTCACTCCCGCCGCGTCCGCAGTATCAACCACCACCTCGTAATGTCAGGCGCTATACATCCTGGGGAGCAGGTACGGTCGACAAAGCGCGATATGTTCACGCGAACTATCGATTTATCGTGATGCCGAACCAGAGCTTCCATGCTCAAGCCTCCAATGCTGACGTCCACCTCGACTGGGCTTCGGTTTTACAAGTATTGGTGTCTGCTCAAACCCAGGCTGCCAGCTGTCCGATATGTCTCTGTACTCCAGTGGCGCCTCGCATGGCACGCTGCGGTCACATTTTCTGTCTCCCATGTTTGATTCGATACATGCACGCGTCTGACGACGAGAACCCGGTCCCGGAGAAACGACACCGTTGGAAGAAGTGTCCTATCTGCTGGGATTCAATTTATAGCTCAGAGACTCGGCCTGTTCGCTGGTTCCGTGGCCAAGAAGGAGACTTGCCTGTTGAGGGCGGAGATGTCGTTTTAAGGCTGGTGAAGCGAGAGTCTGGCAGCACGCTAGCTTTGCCTCGTGATGGATCTGAAGCGCTCGGCCCGGGCGAAGATGTCCCGTGGTACCACGTGGCAGAGGTTGCTGACTACGCTCGAATTATGAAGGGCGGCGAAGACTACATGAGCGCTCAGTATGATACCGAGATCGAGCAACTCCGCCAACAGGAAGTTGAAGATGAGCTTTTGTTCGGTGATGAAAATACGTGGACTCGGAAAGCTATAAATGCTATCGCCGATGCCAAAGAAAAATTGAAGGGGATTGGCAATCCACCTGAGGTGCGACCTGTTAAGGAACGCGCTGCCGCGACAGTGCCTGCTGCTAGCCCTTCTGCGCCATCTATGACGCAATCGGCCGTCTCAGATGAAGCAGAAAACCTTACTCGGGCGTTAAATGGGGTTCAGATCGACTCGGAGCCAAGCACTAAACCCAAAGACAAAGCCCGCGGCAAGCAACCACAGGCTTCGTCTGCGTCAGATCACCCTTACCATTTCTATCAAGCATTACCTCAGTTTTATCTCTCGTCTTTGGATATTCGTATCCTGAAGGCTGCATTTGAGGAATATTCTCTCTTCCCTGCGACCATCCTTCCCCGAGTTGAGCACATCTCAACGGGGCATATTGTCGACGATGAACTACGCAAACGAGTGAAATATCTCGGCCATCTTCCCCAAGGTTGTGAAGTCAACTTCCTGGAATGCGACTGGAGAGACGTGGTTGTTCCTGAGGTGCTGGACCGGTTCCGCTCCGAAACCGATCGACGGCGGAAGCGCAATCGGGAGAAGGAGGCACGGGAAGAGAAAGATCGCATTCGTGCTGAGAAGGAGGAAGACGATAAACGGTGGGCAGCTGCTCGACGCAAGCGGCCCAGTATTGGTGCCGCTAGCTCTAGCGAGGCTCCATTCAATGCTTGTGATTTCCAACCTCTTCCCAGCAATGTTGAACCGGAGTTCGATGCGGGCACCTCATCCGCGTCACCGCCGCGCTCTACTTCTGGCTTTGGGGCTTTGGCGTCCCCCTCCGCCAGCCCCCCAGGCAACCGGACCGTGTGGGGTACCACGGTAGTAGGTTCCCTGTCGCCCAGTCTCGAAGCTACCGCCAGTGATGGGTGGCGACAGGGATGGGAAGATGAGCTGTTTGCTCAACAGGAGTCGGAGCTACTCGCACAAACCTCATTGGCACCTCCTGAACAGGGCTCTGCCAGCAGCAAGAAAAAGAAGAAGAACAAACAAAAGATCACGCTGATGGCGACCAACAGCCAGCGGGGAGCATAGAAGTTGAGCATTCAATCTTTTGATACCGCCTGATCAGACGAAGGAGAGCATCTTTTTGGAGTTTTGCTTTTTTTTTTTTTTTCCCTCACCTTCAACCCTATACAGATAAATGCTCAAGTGTCCACTTGCCCTTGTTCGTGACTTGTTGAATTATTGTTGAGATAATGTGATGCATTCAATGTTCGAACTCTTTTAGAACTATGTGACGAGAATCAACATACATACATTCCTGAGGTCATTATTACGTTCAGTGAGCACTTGGATGTAAAATGCTAGATTAAATACCCCAAAGGAGAGATACTGAAGAATTTGGCACCTATCCAGGTCTATAGAGACCAGTGTAGATTTCCCTATTCCAGGTAAAGGGTTCTAAGGCCTCTTGGGGAGCTATGCACCGAGGTCATCTCTTCCCGGACTACTGCATACCTATGCCCTCCGGGCCCTCACGCCGGAACGGTACCTAAAATACTGAAAGTGACCCCGGCCGCTATAGACTTATGTCCAATTTTGGCATCTGTTGCTCCTACGTGTACACATAGGCGCCCCCCTCTTCACTGAATATCTAATCTTTATTATATTTGCGCTGAATCATGCATGGAACACAGGCATATCATCAGCCTTGGCCTCTATATCCACATCCTCCACAAACTCGAACCCGAGAGCCCGCCAATTCAACTCCTTCCTCCAATGCAAGCCATAGTAAGCCCTGTCATTTTCAGAGCTACCCTCGGTCTCGGTCTCGGACTCAGCCTCCTCAGCAACAGGGCCCACAGCCGGCTCTGAGGCAAGCCCACCACTCTCCAACCTTCCATTTCGAGGGAAAACAACAGCTCTGAAGCGCGAAAGAAGCAGACCCATCGAGCAGCAAAGGCAGGGCTCATGCGAAAGATATACATCCAGATCAGTACAAAGATAGCCGCCCTGCGCACGGGTGCGAATTCGCGGCGTTTCAGGCGCAGGGAGCGAGTGATCAACCGAAGGCGGCGCAGGAAGAGGAACATGAAGATCAGATTGCGAAGGCGGGACAACATCAGACTCCGAAATGGGCTCTTCGTGCTTCCTCTTCAACGAAGGCGAAAGAGGTACCAGCGAAGGATTATGACGATATAAAAAGTGTGATTCGAGCGCGCTCAGCTTTGCCAACTCGGGCGTGCCTGTCTGGCCATCACGATCATTTTCTCGACGCCAGCGCGCAATGAGTTCCACTGCACGCATCAGGGCATGCAGTTCGGGCCCGCCTTCGAGATCGGCGTTATACGTTTTGCTGGCGGGGTTTGGTGTGATGTTTGGATGCAACTGTGCTTGGGATGGAGCACCGCCTTCTGGACGGGAGTATCGCGCATCGCCGGCAACGGCTAGGACGGCCTCGTCCCATGTTGCATCCTCGTCTCCGCTTAGCTCGGGGACGATCGCTGGGTCGACGATTACTGCGCCGATGCCACGGCCTAGGCCTGATTGTTCGGCTTCTTGGGCTACTTTCTGTGCAAGAGAAAGATAGTAGCCTGCGTGTGGGTCAATGGATTCTTGTGCGCGGGTGAGGGTCTGAGGAGGTGGTGCGACGAAAGAGCGTGGTGCGGCTGGGTTGAAGACGACCGGCCAGAGGGTTTTGGTCCATTTTTCAGCTTGGGTCGCGTTAAAGGGAGGGCAGAGAGGTATTTGTATAGGGTGAAGGTGGATTGTTTGCAGAGTGGGCTCGTCTGATGCGCTATCTGTTGTGTTATTGGGTGTAGTAGGTGCCGAGGTTGGTGCAAATGGTGCGAGTATAGTCTTGAGTTTCTCGAGATCGGGAAGGGGTGGCGAGATGAGTACGAAGAGTGTTTGCCCTGGGGGTGCCGGTGATCTCTGAGCCTCAATTGCGTCTCTCAAAGGTTCGGGGAGCATTTCTCTTTTAGCGAAACGGCGGAGGTGGGATAGTGGGAGGGTTGGGTCCTTGGGAAATGCCGAGTCAAGAGCCCTGAGATTGTTAGTCTCATTGCTCAGATGCCCTCACATTGAATAGACCTAGAGCATACTTGATCACTTTGGATGCTGCCTTGACATTGACCTCTGCGACAAACGCATCGGCTAGTTCTTGGTCAGTCTTGGGATCAGATGCCAATGGGGCAGGCCGTACCGTAGTCTTCCACTGGTCGAGTCTCTTGGACTGTGCGAATAGGAACTACTTGCCCACTGAGGGGCTCGAGGCCTTTGAGAGCCTGTTCAATGTCCATTTTGAAGGCTCGGAATAATCTCATGCGCCCAGGGCATGTGTCAGTCGCAGATCCTGTTGTCGGGGGAATAAAGGCTGGCAGTCTGAAATTCCAGAGCCAGGAGATTGGTTGACCAAGAGAAACTATATGCGCAAGCACCAGAGGTCTCTGTTCGTTCGACAAAAAAAAGACCGAGCTATACAAAGTTGGATAGATTCTGTGCAAACAGCGCAAACATCCCACCAACGCTAAACTAGATCGGGTAGGCAAAGTAGAGGAGCATCCCGAGGTCGGCCTTAACGGACATTCCACATACAAGTACTTGGTTACTTGGTTACTGCATTAGTTCCGAGGAACCCCAGATGATGTCCCAAAGGCCCACTGAGTATGACCGAAGCACTCTTGAGCGGTGTCCCTGTCATCAAACCGATTGCTTGGAAACCACAAGGGATGCCATCAAAACAGATGTCTACAGTGAATCTCGGGTCTTTTGATCTAAAGTGCATATTCGTATTTTGGATGTTTCTAAACAAACATTCGAGACATGGGGAATTGGATCATAGAATTCACATCCGGGTAGACATCAAACGCCGAAATCATTGGAGAGAAGAAAGAAAGATCGCTGGAAGCAAGGAGAGCATCGATCGAGCCTTGAGTGATGTGGAGATAGATCCCTGTTCTATAGCGCCATGCCATCTGATGCGTATGATCCTCGATATTAAAACAAGAAGAAGTGATTTCACAACTCCAAAAATGCAAGTGGTATGTATTAAATCCCGCCAGTGACGCGAATGACCGAAGCATTCACTCTATGAACTCGAGACCGGCCCGAGTTGGCTAGGACACGGGTTGTGCCCGAGTTGCTCAATGGGTGCGGTCAGGATGCTGGCGCCATGCCTGTTGGCCCAGTCATCGAGTCGCCATTCGCGCAGGGGCGTTCGATTTCAAACCCGTCGCATCGATCGACGAGGCTCTGGTAGTAGTCCACAAGCACTTCTGGTTGTGGCACGATGCGCCATTCGACCTTGAACAGGAATTCCAGTTCGAGCATGGCGAGTTCGGTCATACCGATTCCACCGACTCGAGCATACGTCTTGTTGGTCCAGAAGCTGTCACTAAGTCCCTTGCTGGCGACGGTGGCGCTGGCGATCAGGAATCGATGGATGGTCAGACTGGAGACGGTGAAGGCGGGGTAGAGGGCGCATAGCCGGTCAATATAATAGACCATACTGAGGAGGATGGGCGGCGAGAGGGTGGCGTGGGTGGTCAACCGCTGCAGGTAATCTTGCACGGAGATTCGGGGCGGGGAGCGGGAGTGGAAACGGGTCAGGCGGCCTTGATGCAGAGGGATCTTGTCGTTGAATCGGATCAGCTCCATGAGCATGCTGGAGATCAGCACCACCATGTCACGGGGCTCTGCTAGTTCATACTCCGCGGGCAAGATCTTGACGTCCGGTTTGGAGGGGCGCAGGCGCTTGGACTGCGACCGCTCCAAATCCTGACCATCGTAATCCGCCGGGGTCGCATCCGCGGAATGATGGTCGCTCTGGCTGTTACGCTTGTTGGAGACCGTTGGGGCGGGCATCGGAGGGGTTGCAGTCGGAGGGACAGAATTGGCGGAGTGCGAGGCCAAGGCCGAAGGGACCTTTCGGTCAGATGCAGATGCACGTCTCAAGGTTTCAGGGGAGGGATCGACGGTATGCCGGTTCAAGGCCGACCGGAGTTCTTCAACCATACGTGAGGATCGAGGGCTATTGAACTGTGGAGCAGAATTCTCATAATGATGCGACCCCGTGGAAGGAAGTGGGGAGCGCAAAGCGGCTTGGGAGGGCGAGGGCGAGGACGCCAGCATGATTTGGGTTAAGAATGTTCAGGGAATCCGAGCATTCACAGTGCAAGGTATGACCACGTGGGCGCACAGTCGAGCTGACGCTTGAGATGGTGCACGGTCGGCCTCATCCTCAGAGGCTCAAAAACGGCTTGAGGCGTAGGAAGTCTCGAAAGGCTTTCTGTAAATGGAGGAGGGGGTGTTGTCTTGGAAAGAAAGAGGAGAAAGGGGCGAGACCATTGAAAATCTTGATTGCTTTGAGGTAATAACTTGTCAGTGGCTGCAGCCATGACCATACCATGACCATACCATCGTATTAACTACTTTTCGGTGCCCAGCGAAAATCTATTAAATACGGTATTGGGGCAGTACCGGAAATATGCCTTCTACAGTACGGAGTATATCTTCATTATTTATATCTAGTACTCGGGATGAGATATCTAAACGACATAACTAGGGACTCGATAATCCATACATATGTGCCTACATCCATGTACTGGACATGCAACCTCCATCAGCCCTATATGCGATGTACATCGGTGACTAGTGGCAGGACTGGATGCACTACGCCCCAAAGGTACTTTGAGGTACTCGGCCAATTACCTAATAGCGCTACTCCAAGTGGACTCAGAAGTATCTACTCCGTACTCCGTACTCCGTCACAACTATATCCTAATTACATACATGTACTTCCTAGTCCTACAATATCTAATTATATACTTTTGAAGCTATAGTCTGGATACGGTTCTGAATAGAGAGTGAAAAGCCACATGGAAATAAGCAATACATTGTAGGCCGGCGAACTAGTACGACATAGTTAGTCTGTACCTTGCAGCCCAAAGAAAGTGGTCTGGAGAGACAAGTCAGGTGCCGCCCTAGCCGATGCCGCTGGGCAAAGGCGGTGAACAAAGGCAGAACCAAAGTGCGGAGTACTGGGACCTCCGGTCTTACACTTCCGGAACAAATTCCGACCTCATTATCAAAAATCTAAATAAGCTCCGACCTGGCTCATCTCGGTTGAAAATCACATCCCCAACCGGTTTCTGGATCTCGTGGAAAGTCTGACGCGGGAGGGCGTGGTCGCCGGACGATGAGGCGAGCCGCCGCACCACCGATTCTGCTGCAACTACACAGCGCCGAATCGGTCCCATCGCAGATCATAGCTCTGCGGAGCTTGAAAAATGAGCTGATTGGACATGACCAGCGAAAGGAAGCTTATATCGCCGAGGGCATCATTCCAGCTCTGGCACAGGTGCTGACCTCCAGATGGCCCGGAACGCAGGCGCTCGATGTGTTGGCATCGCAAGACCCTACCACTCACATTGCTGAAAACCGGGAGGCTTGTCTGCAAGCTACTTTGATCGTCGGAAGCTTAGCACAGGGTAGGTGCCGATGCCCAGATAGATAAATTGAATGCAAAGACCATGGACTGACAGGCTAGACAGGCGGTCCAACGTTCCTCACTCCACTGTTCGCCAGCAACATCCTACCGACCCTGCTATCGATATTATCCTCACCAGACTGTCCTGAAGAGTTCTGCCTTCCTATCCTCCGACTCCTCAATACCATCGCAGACCGACTGCCGCTACAGAGTCAAGAACAATGGCCTCGGGATACCCATCTTGCGGACCTTGTATTCACTTCTGCGAACATCGGCTTCCTGAGACGAACTCTCTCGCAAGATTACCAATCTATGCGCAAACAGGCTGCCATCGAGTTAACGGCTGCTTTGATAGGCAAGCTTTGCCTGGAGGAAACCCACAAAACAGCGCTGGCAGAATCCGGGGTGCTGGACGCCCTCGCACTTAAGATTGCATCTTTTGTAGTGGCAAAAGGATTTGTACTGCCTGGTGCAGAGGAACGCTTGCAAGAGCCGGGCTCACTGGAAGATATACCCCTTCCAGCGCCATCATCTGCCCAGCTCGCACCGATCTTGCGCGCTGTTGCCGTCATCATTGAGCAATCAAAATGGAGAGCTGAGCATTTCCTGTCATCCCCGGGCATTGTGACGGTGTTCCCCAGACAAGTCCCGGGGTTTGCACCCTCTGACATCAGAAAAGCTCCCTGGGGGTCCACATATCTGTCAGGCTCCGCAGTTCCCCGGCATCTGGCCACTAACCCCATGGAGCAATTGTTGCCATCAGTGCCTCTGGCAAACTCCAAGTCTACACCAAATTCGGCAAGTTTTCCACCTCTCGGTCATGGAGGAGCCCAACGCCGGCCCAGTCATTCATTCCCTCCGCCCTTTTCGCTGGCCGAAACGTCCGCCCCAGAAGACGACGAGAACATGATTGTCCCATGGCTTCTCTGCATTCTCCGCTCCGAGCAAGGCGTGGTAACTTTGATGGCAGCGCGACTTGTCACAGTCCTCTTTCGGTTGGGACTGGCGAAGAAACATCGCGTTCCAATGTTCAGCTATCTGTTAATCCCAATTTTGATTCGAATGCTCGACAAGGACTTCCGTCTGGCAGATGAAGATGCTGCGAATTACGATGGTCTCATCTCGCCCACTCAGCGCTTAAAGGAGGAAGCACCTGCCGTGCTGGCCAACTTGGTCATGGATGATCAGGACCTGCAGAGACATGCGGTGGAAGGAAATGCACTCAAGCGACTATCACAGCTTCTCAAAGAGACTTACAACCCGGTCACCGAGAGCTCTCGCCCAATGTGGCACGCGGAGGACGCGCCGGCACGAGACATTGAAAGTCTTTCCCCAGAGTGCCGACTTGGGCCTTCTGGCTACTCCCCAACTCTATGTCACGTTATGCGGTATCGAGAGAACATTCTCAAGGCCCTCGCGGCGCTCGTTCCATTCAAAGACGAGTACCGCAAGGCTATTTGCGAGCATGGCGTGGTTCCTTATATCATCGATGCGCTCAAACCAAGACCCAGTGATGCACTGGCTGACGCTTCGATGCCCAGAAATACTGCCGAGGATGGAAATCCAATCCCCACCATTTTGGCTGCTTGCGGCACCGCTCGGATGTTGACAAGATCGGTGAGCGTGTTGAGAACGAGTCTCATTGATGCTGGTGTCGCTGAGCCCCTGTTCACTCTTCTTCGTCATTCCGACACGGAGGTACAGATTGCAGCAACAGCAGCTATCTGTAACTTAGCTTTGGACTTCAGCCCTATGAAAGAGGTATGTCAATCTCCGACGCTCGTTAAATGTGTTTCTGCTAACAAGAATTGTCTAGGCTATCATCTCTGCTAATATTATTCCCATTCTTTGCGAGCATGCTCACTCCACCAACACCAAGCTGCAAATTGAATCATTATGGGCGCTGAAACATATGGTCTACGATACAGCCAACGACATAAGAATGAACATTGTTCAAACGCTGGGTCCCCAATGGATCATGCAGGTCATTTCCCGAGACCCAGTTCGTGCAGCGAGCAGACTTGGGCCGGAAGAAGAATTGGACGTCAGCGGAATTGCTATGGGTCGATCCAACTCCGCTGGGGAACAGGTCGATATACTCAATCCAATGGAAGATGCGGCTCAATGGGACGAGGACTTGAAGATGACTGACACCATGCCTCCATCCAAAATGAGCCTGGACATGTTTCTTCCTGATGCACGACGGCGCCGCAAGCTTGTCTTGGACGGAACGTTGGCGCAGACTACACAATCACGACAAGATGACATCGCCGTGCAGGAACAGACCTATGACCTTCTCCGCAACATGATCTGTGGCAGGGACGCGCCCGAAATGATTGAATATCTTTTCCGAGAACTCGATCAAGACGAGTTCCTGGATACAATCGCCGAGACGTTACGGCCACGAACCATTCAACTTCCTCACCGGCGCGAATCGACTGCCCCGCTCCACACACCGAACGAGATCATCGCTGCCGCCGCGGCTCTTATCATTCACATGGCAGCGGGCCACCCGCGTCACCGCCGTCTCATTGCATTCCACCACGAACTATTACAATCGCTGGGCAATTACTTCAACCACTCACACAAGGAGATCAGATTGACTTGCGTTTGGGTGGTCATCAATCTCATTTATGAGGAGGACCAAAATGATCGCGAAGGATGTCGCGAGCGAGCAGTCCGTTTGCGCTCGCTGGGCTTTGCGGACAAATTGCTCAGCCTTGAAGATGATTCGGAGTTGGATACCAAGGAGCGTACCAAGACGGCTTTGCATTTACTAAACAAATTGTCACCTGCATGATATCACGCACGGAATGGAACGGAGTTCGTCCAGCTTGGGTACGGGGTTTCAATTGTATTCAATTTAAGATTTAGCATGAAAATAGTTGGGTTGTCGCATTGCCCAGGTGTATGTAGCTTTCGAAGGTCAATCTGAGGCTTATCGGCGATAAGAGCTTCATCAGTGGAGAAATACGTCATAGGTGATATCAGATGAATCCAGTGTTCAGTTCTTCTCATCTCCTACACTTCTACTCACCTTTTCTCTCTCGCAACGTATCATATCTCTTCTTAACCATGCCTGCAGTACCAGAACCAATCCTCCAAGCCCTCTCCCTCCCCTCCTCAAAAGCCAGCCTCTCTACTTCAGGCCTAGGCTCCGGCTTCACAAACACAGGAACAATCAATGCTCAAATCTCCGACTCAAATGGCCCTCAAGAACGCCAATACTTTGTCAAAACGTCATCTAACGGCACAGCCGCTGCAGAAATGTTCGAGGGTGAATCGGAGTCTCTAAACGCAATCGCGGCTTCTGTCCCAGGCTTCTGCCCAAAAGCACTAGCCCACGGCGCCTTGGACCAGAAAACACATTTCCTAGCCACCGAGTACCTCAATCTGGGCATTCGGGGAAAGTCCACAGGCAGCGAGACACTTGCACAGCGCTTGGGCAAACTGCATACCACGCCTGCACCCCCGGACCCAGAAACAGGCCGTGTGCGATTCGGGTTTCCAGTACCGACGTTCTGCGGCGATACGAGACAACCGAACCGGTTCTGTGACAGCTGGGCTGAGTTTTATGCCAATGAGCGCCTTTTGACAGTTCTGGCTACGTCCGAAGAGCGAAATGGCCGCGATAAGGGGTTACGGGAGGCTGTTGAGAAAACGGCTGGCGTGGTTGTGCCTCGGTTACTTGGAGACGAGCATCTGGGGTATAAGGACGGCGTTGGAAAAGGTATTGTTCCAGTCGTTATCCATGGGGATTTATGGAGTGGGAATGCAGACCGGGGACGAATTGTTGGGGAAGAGTCTGGGGATGTGGTCTACGATCCTTCGGCTTGTTATGGACATAGTGAGTTTGAGCTGGGCATTATGAATATGTTTGGTGGATTTGGAGGGAAGTTCTTCGAGGAGTACCACGCTATTGTACCGAAGACGGAGCCTGTGGCGGAGTACAAGGATCGGGTTGAGTTATACGAGCTGTGAGTATTCCGAAATGTGATGCTGGATCTCTGCTAACACGGTTAGATACCACCATTTGAACCACCATGCAATCTTCGGTGGTGGATATCGCTCGGGTGCGATGGCCATCATGGATGGTTTAATTCGAAAGTATGGAAGTGAAGTATGGAAGTGAATAAAGTAGCCGAATCAGAAGGCTGTGTTCGCAGTAGGATCTGAGAATAAAAATACATGGTTATCCAAAATATAAAAATACATAGCTACTATACATGTAATTGTTACAATCTGCGGCCTCGGGGGGATTATCAACCGAGAGTACCCCGAAGACGCTGCCGCTGTTAGCTTTCACCTGCGAAAGCCGCATCAATACTCTTCAAGCTCCATCTCCTCGACCCAGTCTTCGACATGGGTGCAGGCCTCCTGGGGGCGACGCTTATACCGCAAGAGAAAGCCTTGCACATCTGCAATGCTGAAACGCTTCTCTGGAAGAAGTTCCGCAAAGGACAGAGCCAGCTCAGTCAACTTCGCCAATTCCAGTTTGTGTTCCCCCTCGGAGGATTGGGGGTTCTGGTACACCTCGCTATACATGCTCAAGAAGAGATCTCGCAGTTCTTCTCGAGATGGAAGCTCAAATCTGACATGGAGGTCCACACGACCCGGTCGAATCAGTGCGCGATCCAGTTCCTGCGGTGCGTTGGTGGTCATGATTAAGATTCGGCCTTCTTGGGACGAGACGCCGTCGATTGCATTGAGAAGGCCGGACAGAGAGACGGAAGTGTTTGTCTTTGCTGATCTCTGGATGAGATCTTCACCAGGCACAATGTTCTCTCTGTTTAGGCCCGCAGCATCGACATCTTCCAATAGCACTACACAACGTGTTGGCACCTCGGAGAACAGCCGTGAAAACTGCGATTCTGTCATTGCTGGGTCCAGCAAGCTCAAAACGTAGATATCAAGACCAAACACGCCCGCGATCGCAGATGCCAGGCTTGTCTTGCCCGTACCTGGAGGCCCAGAGAACAGATACCCGCGTCGGTATGGAATGCCGTGATTGGCGTACCATTGTCGTGTATGGGGATGGAGGTACTCGTTGATATCCCGCAGTATGGTTTGCTTTTTCTGTTTATCAAGGATCACAGTGGACATATCTCTGGATAATCTTGAAGCGACCGAGCTCCAACGGATGACATCCTGGGCATAGGAGGTAGTGCGGTAGATACTGATATTAGAAACGGACACTTTACGGCCGTATGCACGAACTTCGTCGAGGAATTTTTTGATCGGAGAAAGAGAGACACTGAGACATTGCAGTTTCAAAGGGGGATTCGCATCCAATTGGGGAGGGCCGTAGCATCCGGGACCACTTGCTGCGTGGCTGAACAGCATCCACGTCCGCTGAAATCGAAACAGACGCGAGCCATGGAAAGGCTTCAGCTCTAAGAAGGAGTTGTCTTCGACCTCTCGGTAGCTGACCAGCCTATCGGGATCCAATTGCATTGGGCATCGCAAAGGTTTGTCGTCGGAATTATTATTTGTTTGGGCCAGGACGGACAGGAAGTTGCGACCTCGAAAGGCATGATCATTCATCCAGCGGACGACATCCGTATATAGCGGATCTTCGGCCCTCACGTGTACAGTTGATAAACAAATGTTTTCGGCATAGCTGTACAAGACATTTGCGGCGGAGCGGAGTGAAGTGATCAGCCCAACCACTACCAGTCCGGAATTCACAAAGACCAGAGGGTCGAGATTGATCGTCTTGCGGACCAATTCCACGAGGGTGGAGAGAACACCAGGGCGAGTCGACATGAACCTTCCTTCTTATCGCCATTTTGCCCAGGAAAAGTCACTCTTCACCGCCTTGACTCCTTGATTGGTAGTTTATTTCCTTTTTGGGACTAATCTAGTCACGTGTAGATAAGCATCATCAAAGATCAGCCCTGGCGACGGACACTTCACTACTGTACTCCGTACGGAGTACGTTTTGTTGTCTTATTGTTTCAGCAGAAGCAGATTTTGGCACTCAGAATGGCAGAAGACCTCGCTCAACATCCAATGTCTATCTTTTCATTTATGTCTCAGAGCCACAGTTTCTAATTCCTGTACTGTACTAACGAAAATGTCCATATTTCTAGAACGACCTTGAAAGAGCCGAAAAGGACTCCACCAACCAAACCTCGGCATATCATCATAAATTTCCTCATCGGGCAAGATACCACTATCATATTACCCAATTGGGAATAACGCGCCGAGACGCGGGTAGATCGGTAGTTGAGCCACCCGCCGTTGGCCAACCTTGGAACATTTCGAGCATCCCTCTCGGCATCAGATGAGTATTGCAGTTTTGACAAGTGGACGTTGGAAGTCCCTGCTGATCACGGTTCATGACCCCAGTACCTGACTAGAGCCCCATCGGTCCTAATGCACCGATCAGCGTTGCAACATTGCGTTAGTCGCTGTACAATAGTCGATTGTCTATAAAAACCACCACACATAGACCTAGACTTCCTCGAGCTGTATTTCCCTTCTTGTATTGCCGTGCATTTTTCCTACTCTCTCCACTTTCGAGTGGATACTGCGTTGATTGCTAATACTATATCCACAGATTGCACGCAACGGTGTAAAGGCCTCATATGAAACTGATAAGTTGCAAATCAAATCGCTCGGATATACTTCCGGACTGTGGGTGGCCACTGATTGAACCAATCAGGATACCTTCTAGAAGCAGAAGGCACTTCCATCAATGCTGATAGCTCCACCATGGAAGCTCGGCCTACGTGTCGGCTCTCACCCAGCCATTATCTCTGCAATCTATTCATAGGCCCAAGTGGAACAGTACCTGGTGCATTAATCCCCGTTATACCACCAAAGCCGTGCATAGCAATCTATATCCGACAATGAAGGGTACGTATTACTGCGTACTATGCATTACTGGATCTGTGATCCATTGCATCCGATCTGGACCCGGTGCACATATTGCCCCCTTTGCACAATATGCTACGAGCCATAGTACGGAGTATGTATATATACAAGTTTCCCCCTCCCCCCATGTATGCTAGTATAAAATAATTTGTCCTTTTTGACCCCTCTCCACTCTCCCATCTTCCCATGATGGAACAACCTCACGATCCCGAGGATCCCTCGCCGTTCGAGTCCCACTACCAATACAAAAGCGAGGACGACCAAGATGAAAGTCACAATGGAACGCCAGTACAAAGGATCAGCACCCAAGATTTCACCAGCGTGGAAACCCTTCATGCACCCCAGGCCAACATCCGCGGATCTGTCAGTGCCGAAACCCTACATGCCAATACCGACACCCCACAGCCCAAAAAGACCCCGGAATGGAGCATGACACCACAGGTGATCCGCAATGCAGAACGTGATGCCGCTGCTGGATTTAAGAAACGCGAACTAGGTGTGACTTGGAAGGATCTGACTGTTGAGGTCCTTGCTGCGGAGGCTGCCGTGAACGAAAACATGATTTCACAATTCAACGTCCCCCAATTAATCAAGGATTTCCGCCGGAAGCCACCTGTCAAGCCAATTCTGTCCGATAGCCATGGATGTGTCAAGCCTGGTGAGATGCTACTTGTATTGGGTCGTCCTGGCTCGGGATGTACCACCCTTCTCAAGATGCTCTCCAACCGCCGTGAGGGATATCACTCAGTGTCAGGGGATGTTCGATTTGGAAACATGACTGCCAAGGAAGCTGGCAAGTACCATGGCCAGATTGTCATGAATACCGAGGAGGAATTGTTCTACCCTCGTTTGACTGTTGGTCAGACTATGGACTTCGCCACAAGAATGAAGGTCCCCTTCCATCTTCCAGATGGTGCTCAGAATAAGGCCGATTACACAGCAGAAACAAAACAGTTCCTTCTCGAATCTATGGGCATTGCTCATACCGCCGACACCAAAGTCGGTAATGAATTTGTCCGCGGTGTGTCTGGTGGTGAGCGGAAGCGAGTGTCCATCATTGAGTGTCTCGCGACCCGAGGATCGATTTACTCCTGGGACAACAGTACTCGTGGACTCGATGCTAGTACTGCGTTGGAGTGGGCAAAGGCCCTGCGTGCCATGACCGACGTTCTCGGCCTTTCTACTATTGTCACGTTATACCAGGCTGGAAATGGTATTTATAACCTCTTTGACAAAGTCCTCGTCCTCGACGAGGGTAAGCAAATTTACTATGGCCCTGCCGCGGCGGCTAAGCCGTTCATGGAGGATTTGGGCTTTGTGTACACGGATGGTGCAAACGTTGGTAAGTTATTATATTCACTCAAAGGCATTTCACGAAGCTAACACGGAAGATATAGGTGACTTCCTTACTGGCTTGACCGTCCCCACAGAGCGGCAAATCAAGCCTGGCTTTGAGCACAAGTTCCCCCGAAATGCCGATGCGATCCTTGCAGAGTACCAAAAGTCTAGCACTTACCAACAGATGGTGGCTGCATATGATTACCCCGATACCGAGACAAGTCGTGATCGCACAGAGGCCTTCAAGGAATCTGTCGCATGGGAGAAATCCAAGCATCTTCCTCGAGGAAGTAGCCTGACCACCAGTTTTTGGGCCCAGGTTATCGCTTGTACTCAACGACAATATCAAATCTTGTGGGGTGAGAAGTCCACCTTCTTGATCAAGCAGGTTCTATCCTGTGTGGCAGCCTTGATCGCTGGATCTTGCTTTTATGACTCGCCAGACACCTCGCAGGGTCTCTTTACCAAGGGAGGTGCTGTCTTCTTCTCTTTGTTGTACAACTGTATCGTGGCGATGTCTGAAGTCACCGAATCATTCAAGGGCCGTCCGGTCTTGATCAAGCACAAGGGCTTCGCGATGTATCACCCGTCTGCTTTCTGTCTTGCGCAGATTACAGCCGATTTCCCAGTCTTGTTGTTCCAGTGTACAATCTTCTCGGTCGTGATCTACTGGATGTCCGGATTGAAACACACCGCCGCTGCCTTCTTCACATTCTGGATCATCTTGTTCACGACAACCTTGGTAAGTCGATCACTCCTAACAAGAGTTACTCGCAAGCTCATTCCTTCGTTTCCAGTGTATCACCGCATTGTTCAGATTCATCGGAGCCGCCTTCAGCACCTTTGAAGCCGCCTCTAAGATTTCAGGAACGGCAGTGAAGGGCATTGTCATGTATGCTGGTTACATGATCCCCAAACCCAAGATGAAGAACTGGTTCCTCGAGCTATACTACACAAACCCATTCGCCTATGCCTTCCAAGCCGCCATGTCCAATGAGTTCACAGACCGTATCATCCCCTGCGTGGGCAACAACCTCATCCCAAGCGGTGCCGGCTACGAAGATGTGGGAGCTGCCAACAGAGCATGTGCCGGTGTCGGTGGTGCTCTGCCAGGTGCTGACTACGTGACTGGTGATCAGTATCTCGGATCTCTCCACTACAAAGCCACCCAATTGTGGCGAAACTTCGGAGTTGTCTGGGGCTGGTGGGGATTCTTCGCTGTGCTGACAGTCATCTGCACTACATACTGGAAGTCTGGTGCTGGTTCTGGTGCCGCTCTTCTGATTCCTCGTGAGAAGCTCAAGAGCCATCAACTTGTCAAATCCGACGAAGAGGCACAGAATCGGGAGAAGACGGTTGCCCGCGAGACCACCGATGGCCCCGTTGAAGTTGACGATGATAACCTCTCCCGGAACACCTCGATCTTCACCTGGAGAAACCTCACTTACACCGTCAAGACACCTACTGGTGACCGTGTGCTCTTGGATAACATTAACGGATGGGTCAAGCCAGGCATGCTCGGTGCTCTGATGGGATCTTCCGGAGCAGGAAAGACAACACTTCTTGATGTGCTTGCCCAGCGCAAGACGGATGGTACCATCAAGGGATCTATCATGGTCGATGGCCGTCCTCTTCCGGTATCTTTCCAAAGAATGGCTGGTTACTGTGAGCAGCTGGATGTTCATGAGCCTTATGCGACCGTGAGAGAAGCACTGGAATTCTCTGCTCTTTTGCGTCAGTCTCGCAGTACCCCTCGAGCTGAGAAGTTGAAGTATGTGGACACCATCATCGATCTACTCGAGCTCCACGATTTGGCCGATACCTTGATTGGCGGAGTCGGTAATGGGCTAAGTGTTGAGCAAAGAAAACGTGTGACAATTGGTGTTGAGCTGGTGTCCAAGCCCAGTATTTTGATCTTCTTGGATGAGCCTACATCTGGTTTGGATGGACAATCCGCATATAACACCGTCCGTTTTCTTCGCAAGCTGGCCGACGTTGGCCAAGCGATCCTGGTAAGTCGCCCTCTGATATTGCTATTACTTTCAATTGTGTATGTAGTACTGACCACTCTTCTTTCAGGTCACTATTCATCAGCCCTCGGCCCAACTTTTCGCTCAGTTCGACACCCTCCTTCTGCTTGCCAAGGGTGGAAAGACAGTCTATTTCGGAGACATCGGTGACAATGCGGCCACCGTCAAACAGTACTTTGGCCAATATGGAGCTCAATGTCCTACCGATGCAAATGCAGCTGAGTTCATGATCGACGTGGTTACTGGCGGTATCGAGTCTGTCAAGGACAAGGACTGGCATCAGATCTGGCTCGACTCGCCTGAACAAACTCGCATGATCACTGAACTGGATACCATGATTTCCGATGCTGCCGCGAAGCCGCCTGGAACTGTGGACGACGGGTTTGAATTCTCCATGCCGCTCTGGGAGCAGACCAAGATCGTCACTCATCGCATGAATGTTGCCCTTTTTCGCAACACCAACTATGTCAACAACAAGTTCTCGCTCCACATCATCTCAGCCCTACTCAACGGTTTCTCATTCTGGCGCCCCGGTCCAAGTGTAGCCGCGTTGAATCTGAAAATGTTCACGATCTTCAACTTCGTCTTCGTCGCCCCCGGTGTCATTAACCAGCTCCAGCCTCTCTTCATCCAGCGCCGTGATATCTACGACGCTCGCGAAAAGAAGTCCAAGATGTACTCCTGGGTTGCCTTCGTCACCGGTCTAATCGTATCTGAATTCCCTTACCTCTGCATCTGTGCCGTTCTCTACTTCGCCTGCTGGTACTGGCCCGTCTGGCGTCTGCCCCACGACTCCGATCGATCTGGAGCCACCTTCTTCATTATGCTGATCTACGAGCTGATCTACACCGGTATTGGCCAATTCATCGCCGCCTATTCGCCCAACCCGACCTTTGCCGCCCTTGTGAACCCCCTCATCATCAGTATCCTTGTGCTCTTCTGCGGCGTCTTCGTTCCATACGAGCAGCTCAATGTGTTCTGGCGATTCTGGATGTACTACCTCAACCCCTTCAACTACGTTGTCTCTGGTATGTTGACCTTTGGTCTCTGGGATGCCAAGGTAACCTGCAACGAAGGTGAATTTGCCTTCTTCGACCCGACCAACGGTACCTGCGCCCAATACCTGTCTGACTATATCGCCGGTGATGGCTGGAGAATCAACCTTCTTAACCCGGATGCGACTTCGGCTTGCAAGGTCTGCCCCTATCGCAATGGCAGTGACTTCCTCTCTACTCTCCACATCAATCACTACTATGTTGGATGGAGAGATGCGGGTATCTCGGTGATCTTCGCTATCAGTGGATATGCCTTGGTGTTTGGCTTGATGAAGCTGAGAACCAAGGCTTCCAAGAAGGCGGAGTAAACATTGGAAGCTTTTGCTTCTCTTTTGCTTTACTTGAGATATTTGGGTCTCGTTTTGTTGAATCCTCTTCCTGGTCAACCCATTTTCCTTCTTTATACATTTCTCTTGTCCATTCTTTATTTACCATCCTTTGATGGCTCAGGACACTTTGACCTAGACTTGCATTTATTTCCCTTTCATTCTCTTTTTTTTTTTGCATTTTTCTTTTCTTCCGCTCATTTTTCTTTTTCTTTTTCTTCTTTTTCTTTTTTCTTGTGTTTCACATCGTGTCATTGCCGGCGTTTTGACAGAGGTCACACTTAAACTTCATAGATTTATAGATTTAGAGATAGATACACTTCATTTAAATTTAGACATACGCAATTCACATTTACACCACAACAATTGACGGTCAATCGGCTGTCGTGAGTAGCTACCTTAGACGCCAGTTTAAGCTCCCTACCGCCTAACAGTCAACCTGACTGCAAAGGTTCCTATGGGATAGGCGGTCATGCAGTTGGTTTTAGCTCTTTAGCGCATGTATCTGCACTGGCTACGACTCACGGTACCTACAGTGATTGGTCGCAATCGTCATCCTCAATCCTGAAAAAGAAGGCATGCGGCTAGCCAGGTTGACACGACTGGTGGGCTTTCTCAACACGATCGGCCATTGACTGAGAGCTGGACCGTAGCTAGACGGATCAACTACCCGGTCGAGACCGAAGATCTACTTCAAACTCTAATCTACTCATCTGGGTAGAGAGCTTACCCGAGGAATTAGTTGTCTAAAATGAATCATCATTTTTTCTTGTACTATGGACACCTTCGATCTAGAGAAAAAGACCCCGATCGTTGCTCCACATTTTACATAATCCAGTTTGAGCAATATAGATGTATCTGACCCTAAGATCACGGGATAATAAGTGCCCGAGAGTATTTCCATGACTTTGTATCTAATCTTTGAAATTAATCATGAATGCTCTTTGTTTTCTTACTTTTCTCATTGCACTGAGCCTATTCGCCGTCATTCTCCGCCTTTGCATACGCATTCATCTGTGTAGCTTGGGGTTAGACGATGCTCTTATCTGCCTCGCTTTTGTAAGTTCCACAGCATTCGAGAAACCATATATAAATCATGCGAAAATTCATTCTTAACATTTATTCAGGCAATGAGCTGTGTTATTTACTCTTGTGGCATACTAGGTTTGTTGTGCATAATATCAAGTAGGGTGAAAAAGAAAAAGAAAAAAAAGGCTAACAGTCGCAAAGCTGAACTACAGTCCAGAAGAAACACATCTCGGATGCCAAATGACTTTTTTGTATATTGCAAGAACTCCTATATATTTCTTACAATAACTAATAACTGGTTGATGACAGGCACTTTGGCTCTCGAATCCATTTTGTCAGTCAACACTAATTATATGCAAACTCTCCCTTCTGGCTCTTTACCAGCGGGTATTTACTAGGCGTTACGTCAGACGTTCTGTCTATTCTATTGCCATCATTCTCACACTCTGTGGTGTTTGGATACTCTTCAGCTCCATTTTCTTTTGCAACCCAGTGAACTATTTCTGGGCTCATGGTCCGACTGCAAAATCGCATTGCCTACCATGGACGACCTTATGGACCCTTAATGGATCTATTCAGATCATCAGCTACTTGGCCATTCTGATTATCCCTATGGTAGTTCTGCCTCGCTTGAGCTTGGCGAAAGGTCAAGAGATTGGATTACTGAGTTTGTTCGGCTTGAACCTGGTGTAGGTTGCAATTATACCTTTCCTACCTGCCAGCCACATTGGCTCTTTTTCCATTTGCTGACACTTTCATAATCCTACAGTCTAGCAGTTTCAGGGAAGTATTGTCAATCAATAGGACACATTGTCAACGAGTGGCTACAGCACTTTCAGAGAAGCACACTTCATAGCTGTGGTAAGATGATTACACTGACATTTCATTCATTCTACTCCAATTCTCAATCATTGACAGCCAGGATCTTAATAAGCAGAGAGCCGCATGGCTTGAAACAACGTAAACGGGGGCCAAGTTATGTGTCATGAGGGGTTTCCCCCTTGTCTCATCTTCTTTTCTCCTTTTGACTCTCTTTTTTCACTTTTGTCCACTCTTTACTTGATACTGGCATTGAATTTGCATCTGCATCTGCATCTGCATCTGCATCTGCATTCTTTTGTTTTGGCGTGGATTTAGCCCAGTTCGGTATTCATTGATCTCCCCGCTTTTGGCGCTTCGAAGCTCCAACATGCAAAACATGACCAGGCGCTTTGGTCGCATAACCACCAAGTCATCGGCCAACGACAGCCAGATCGCTGTCCTGTTAAAAGACTTTGACGATGCCGATATGCTGCTCGGAAAGGTAGGCCGCAATGTCCCCGACGCGCGTTCGGTCACCCGTGGACACTGATAACACCCGATTAGATTGTGGAATCCACTCAAGCCTGGCGCGATGCCTGGATCTCCATTGCGACGTATCAAAGTCGAATGATTGACGAATTTGACGGCCTGTACGGTCCTATCATCGGCTCCTCCGAAACCCCTTCCAACCACCAAGCCGTGGAAACAGACGCCGTTCGACTGAGTCGGACAAACCGACTACGCAAGGAATATGATGAGCTTCGCACCGATCTGGTTGAGGAGCTCGGCGCCGTGGATGCGCGCATGACGCAGCCGGCTGCGCGAGCCAAGGAGTCCCTGATGCCGATGAAGAAGACTATAAAGAAGCGACATGACAAGAAGGTAGGGACTGTGTCCGTGCAAATTGGGCTCTGCGATAGGTGCTAACGAATCGCTGCAGACGGACTTTGAAATCTCCCAAAGCCGTGTGGACAGTCTCATGAAAAAGCCAAAGCGCTCTGAGCGCGAGAATGCTAGTCTGGCCAAGGCCGAAGCAGAGCTTGCGAGTACCAAAGAGGTTTGTTCCCCAGTCTGAGCGATGTGCAGATGCCCTCGGTCTAATCACATCTCAGTTATACCAAGCTGCCGACGCTGATTTACGAGAGCGATTGCCGACATTAGTCGCATTGATCTTCTCTTTAACGCCTTATATTCTTGAAGCGCAGGTGGAAATCCAAAACCGCATGCTCGCTCATTACTACACGGTCCTGCACACCTTCTGCGACGAAGAAGGATTTCCGTCTCCCCCACCAGACATGGAGCAGATAGTCCTCGACTTCGAGTTCGCCTTTAACCCCGTGCGAACCGAAATTGACGGCTTTGGCTGTCTGACCCAGGGCAAAGCGATGCGCCGTGCCTCCGAGCAGCAGGAGAACAAGAAGCGGCCCTCCATCGGCGGGCGCACGGCCAGCAATGCTTCATCCATTTCCCTCCCCAGCTCCCTACGCCGAGGATCCCAGACCCCAGCCTCCTCCAGTCATACCCCAGTCGCATGTGTCCCTGAGTATCCCCCATCACCGCCGTTGTCCACGATGAGCCGCAAAAACAGCGCCATTCCCGTGGGCAACACCGCCGTTTCCCCACCCGCGTCCAGCGGTGGAGACTATTTTAATCCACCAATGATGTCATCTCAGCCCACTCCCCAGCCCGCTGGCCTGATGTCCTTTTCCCCCGCTGGCCCCAAGATCGACCATTTCCAGTCTGCCGTCTCCTCTCGGGGTGGCACCCCCTTTGACCCCGTCGCTGCTGCCGTTAAGAAGAAGCCCCCACCCCCGCCACCTGCGGCGCGTGCGGTCTTTGTTACCGCCTTGTATGACTTTGACGGTCAGGGGTCGGGGGATCTGGTCTTCAGAGAGGGAGACCGTATCCGCGTGGTGCAGAAGACTGACAGTACCGATGACTGGTGGCAAGGCGAGTTGAGAGGTGTGAAGGGACCTTTTCCTGCGAATTATGTTGAGTAATGGGATATTTCCGATATCAGGACTATGTTGGTTTTAACGATTAATGAAAAGTTGGTTTGAATTAGTGCAAGAGAATTATTAGACAGAACTATGTTATATTGGACAGAGCATTCTGTGTTATCAAAGACATACTCGCACACCCTGGATGGGACTTGTTCGTATCTCAACTACAACAAGAGCAGGGCCTTCTCTCTTTTTTGCTGTCGTTTTTGCTGTCTTTTACCTAGTTTGATTCACCAACAAATCACGCGCAACTCATAATAGAGGCTTATACAGTTCTCATACTGACATCTATGTCTATAACTGGAAGACAACGAGTTTGTTATCTCTTCGCACCGTGGGGGGTTCATTTAGACCCGCAACGCAACTCAATCGGGTAAGTCCATGCGTAGATTATCTTCCAGATTTATTTGAAGTACGGAATGAAGACCGAGTATTAAAGAAAGCACGATACGAATTCTTGAAACCCCCCTCTTCCTCTTCACAAAACACCAACAAAATGCCCATCTCAGCAGAACTAGCCACCTCCATCGCGGACGCCGTCGCCGCCGGATTCGACGACCAACTCGCCTACACCCAACAACTAATCCGAACCGGCGGCCAGCGCGGCGAAGAACATGCCGTGCAAGACCTAGTCTACAACCGCTTCTCATCCCACGGCTACAACCCCATCCGACTAGAAATGGACCCAGACCTCCTCTCCCAACACGAAGGCGCAGGTCGAATCAGCGCCGAGCACTCCAAAGCCCCAATCGTAATCGGAGTCCACGAGCCACGATCTCAAAGCGCCGTGGGAAAAAGCCTAATTCTAAACGCGCATATCGACATCGTCCCCACCGGCCCCGTGGACCTCTGGACGCGCGATCCCTACAGCGGCGACATCGAAGGCGATAAGCTGTATGGACGGGGTGGGGCGGATATGCGGGCTGGGAGTGCGGCGAATCTATATGCGCTGGATGCGCTGCGACGGGTGGGGGTTCAGCCGGCGTCGAAGGTGATTTTGGAGTCTGTGGTTGAGGAGGAGTCGACGGGGAATGGGACGTTGATGACGCATTTGAAAGGGTATCGGGCGGATGCGGTGATTATTCCTGAGCCGATGGATGAGAAGTTGGTTAGGGCGAATGTGGGTGTTTTGTGGTTTCAGGTTGAGGTGAAGGGGATTCCGGTGCATGTGCGGGATATGGGGACGGGGACGAATGCGATTGATGCTTGTTGGAGGGTTGTTGGGGGGTTGAGGGAGTTGGAGAAGGAGTGGAATGAGAAGAAGATTGGGAGATTGCATTTTGAGAATGAGAATCATCCTCTGAGTATGTTGCTTGTGTTCTTGTGTTCTGTTCATTGGAGAGCTGCTGGCTGACCAGGGGTGTTTCGCAGATTTGAACGTTGCGAAGATCAACGCTGGAGACTGGGCGTCGTCGGTTCCAGCCTGGTGTCGGATTGATTGTCGCATTGCTATCTTCCCTGGCGTCAGCGCGAAGTCGGCGGCAGAGGAGATTGAAGCTAAGGTGGACGAGGTTGCGCGCAACGATGCCTTCCTCAGTAAGAACATGCCTACGGTGACATGGAACGGGTTCTTTTCGGAGGGATATGTCCTGGAACCTGATAGCGAGGCTGAGAAGACTCTCCAGTGGGCTCACCAGCAGGCCACTGGCGCTGAGCTGCAATCGTTCATGACCGCCGCGTACCTCGATACTCGGATCCATTCCCTGTACGACAAGATTCCGGCTCTCTGCTACGGTCCAATCAGCAGCAATATCCATGGCTTCGACGAGTGGGTGAGTATTAGCAGTTTGAAAAGAATCACGACTGCAATTGCACTGTATGTAGCAGAGTGGTGCGGAGTCGAAGCGATTGAATGATCAAGCGTCGCTATGAGATAATGAAGAAACACGTTGAATCGGGAATTCGGAATTGGTATATTGTTTAAAGAAAAGCCCTCAGGGCGCGCCGGCGGCAGTACAACCAATAAATTCATCATCGACATAAACAGACCCGAGTCAAAGGGCGACTAGAAACGTACGTCGTAGTATTATGATTAATTCAAAGGTTTGAACATTTGAAGATAGAAAGTAAATAATATATAGAGACGGGTATGTTCAGCACGAAAAGAAACGTAAATGTGTACAGTAGCTGAAGACAACTGAACGATACCAACTGTCGTCAAATCGTTCTGTCGCTAATCAGTCTGTCAACGATAACAAGATCGTCACTTAGAACTGCATAGCAGCAGCAATGAGGGCACCGAAGACGACAGCGAAGCCGGACATGGTGGCGCGGCCAGCGGCGTTGTAAACGGGGCTGGAGCTGGGGGAGTTGGCGCTAGCACCGGAGGGAGAAGAGGGGGAGGAAGGGGAGGAGCCACCGGCGGGGCCGGAGGGAGCGGCAGTGCCGGAAGCGGAGGGCATAGCGGGGATGGAGGAGCTAGCGGGGGAGGTGGGCTTCACGTGGCGCATGGAGGCGGTCTTGGAGCCGGAGCAAGCAGCGTTGCAGACAGTGACGGTCTTGTAGTAAGTGGCAGTGCTGACGGACATGGCGCCGGAGGGCTGGCCAGCGGGCTGGCTGGGCTGAGTGGGGACCCATCCGTGGGTGGCGGAGCTGGTGACGGCGGGAGCGGTCCAGGCGGGGGTGGAGGCACCCTTGGAAGGCTCAACAGGGGACTCGCCGGTGGGCTGAGCGGGGACGGACATAGTCTCGCTGGAGCTGGGGCCGGAACCGTTGGGGCCACCGGGGATGACAGTGGAGTGGACAGTCTCGGAGGTCTCGGTGTCACAGGGGGTGGAGCTGGAAGCGGGAGCAGACCAGGCAGGGGTGGAAGAGACAACGGGGGTGGAGGCACCCTCGGAAGGCTCAACGGGGGACTCGCCAGTGGGAGTGGGCTTGGCAGGGACGGAGACGGTCTGGGATCCAGAGTGGCCGGGGATCACAGTGGAGTGGACAATGTCGGAGGTCTCAGTGTCACAGGGAGTGGAGGACTCAACGGGGGACTCGCCAGTGGGGGTAGGCTTGACGGGAACAGTGACGGAGGCAGAGCCAGAGTGACCGGGGATGACGGTAGAGTGGACAACCTCGGAGGTCTCGGTGTCACAAGGAGTGGAGGACTCAACGGGGGACACACCGGTGGGGGTGGGCACAGCGGGGACAGTGATGGAGCCGGAGCCAGAGTGACCGGGGATCACAGTGGAGTGGACAACATCGGAGGTCTCGGTGTCACAAGGAGTGGAAGACTCAACGGGGGAGACATCAGTGGGGGTAGGGGTGGCGGGGACGGTGATGGAACCAGAGCCAGAGTGACCGGGGATGACAGTGGAGTGAACAATGTCGGAGGTCTCGGTGTCACAGGGGGTAGAGCTGGAGGCAGGGGCAGAGGTGGTAGAGGTGGTAGATCCCTGGTTGCACTCAGCCTCACCGAGGACGGAGAGACACAGGTTGATGGGGATGTTGATCAGACCACTGCCGGAGCTAGACTGCTGGTTGCAGTGAGCCTCACCGAGGACAGGGAGGCAGACGTTGATGGGGACGTTGATGAGGGACTCGCTGTCGGAGCCGCTGCCGGAGGAAGAAGAAGCACCGGAGGCCTGGTCACACTTAGCCTTGCCGAGAGCACCGACACAGGCGTTGACAGGGACGTTGATGAGACCGTTGGAGGCGGTGGACTCCTTCTGCTTGCAGTCAGCCTCGCCGAGGACGGCGGCGCAAAGACCAACGGGGATGTTGATCAGGGACTGGCTGTCGGAGTCGTCACCGGAGTCGGAGGAAGAGGAACCACCAGCGACCTGGTCACACTTGGCCTTACCGAGGGCATCGACACAAGCGTTCACGGGAACGTTGATGAGACCGTTGGCATCACCGCTCTTCTGCTTGCACTCGGCCTCACCGAGGACAGCAGCACAGAGGTTGACGGGGATGTTGATCAGAGACTGGCCACGACGGGCAACAGCCTTCTGGTCACACTCGGCCTCACCGAGAGCAGCGACACAAAGATCGAGGGGAACGCTGATGAGGCTGTCGGAGCTACGGGCAGCGAGCTGGTTGCACTCGGCCTCACCGAGGACAGCAGCGCACAGGTTGATGGGGATGTTGACAAGAGACTCGCTGCGGCGGGCGACAGCGAGCTGCTTGCACTCAGCCTCGCCGAGGGCAGCAACACAAGCGTTAAGAGGAACGCTGATGAGGCTGTCCAGACCGCGGGAGGCGTGCTGCTTGCACTCAGCCTCACCGAGGACGGCGGCACAGGCGTTGACCGGCAGGTTGATCAGTTCAGTGGCCTGGACGCCGGCGGAGGCCGCGAGGGCCACCAGGGAAGCGACAACAGATTGCTTCATCTTTTCCCAATATAAGGAATTAAAGAAAGGACGCTGAATAAAACAGCTAAAAAGAGTGACAGTTCAAAGAACTAAAGGGAATGAATGAAGCAATCAGAAGAGATGGAGAAAGAAAGGAAAGCACGGGGCGAGCGACTTATACTTAACCGAGTGCATTACGACCAACACGGCTCTTGTCTTACGAATAGGGGATCCCTTCGTCGATCAACACCTCAAGCAGGTCGCCAAGCAACGAAAAGGTCAGGGAAACCCGCCAGGGCAAGAGTGTGCCTGCGTGAGACCAGGCCAGTCCATTTCTCGAGCTTCCGGGATTCCGATTGGTGTGCCCCTGTCGCTCGTGGGGGAGAGGTTGACATGTTCGGTTACCGTCGTGGACGGCGGTGCTGGTGGCCAAACCCTAAGAGTTGTGTATATCTCCACTCCGAGGCCGCGAGGATCCGCCCTGCTCCGCTAGGGGGTGGACATTGCATATGATTGCTCAAGTTTGTGGTCTGTTCGGTGCTAGTCTCTTGAAGAAGACCCATTTGGCGTCTCTCTAGCTTCAATTGGCCCCACAGAAATCTGGAGAATCTCTTTAGTTCTCGTGATATCGCGCGGTTCAGGGGTCTTTCCTTCAAAACCGGTTGCAATATTTGTAGAACTGCAAGCCCTAAGTGCATCCTACCTGTCAATTGCAATTTCCATTGTGCATTAGTTTCTTCAAACTTGATTTCCAATCATTGTGTGGTAATTATTCTCCAGAAACGTAATTAGAAATAAATCAGACATGCATAAATAGTCGAGAGTTGCAGTTGCAGTCACCTCGGCAGCCTTGGCATCCCCGTTTTTCAGGCCAAAGTGCATATGTAAGCAATGTACTACGATCCCCCATATTCCAGTAAACTTTGAGATATTGACCTCAAGTGATCCATCATTCTCACTAGAACCTCTTACCATGGGTTTTTACCGCCACTGATTCCTTAGTGAGAGCCCCTTTGGCCTCCTTACACACGCCACAAAGCCACTTATCCGATGGTCCCGTTGCGATCTTGTTATGACTCCACCCCGCTCAGCTGCAAGTGGACCGCACAGGAATATCCCAATAACAAGTGGATTCGGCAGCCCAATGCCTCTCTGTTCGTGCCCACTTACTCTGGACTCTTGTCGAAATTGGAATTGTCGATCGCTGTATAACTTCCATAAATAACATCACGCGTAGGGCCATGTGTGGTCCCGATAAGCGACAACAGTTGCGGAGTACGGTGTACAAAATACCCAGATGTCTCGGGGGTGAACAAAGCAGTCCTAGTCTCTTATTCCCTGCGGATGGGACTAGCAAATACGGAGTACTCATTTTCCAAGCGCTTGGGTCTTGCTGCCTTGAGAGATTGGGAGATTGGGGCGTCATCTCATCCCTGTTCTTTGTCGGGCTTTTGCAGGCATCCGACAGCCGAGTTCCCCTTTTTGTCGCTTTTCTATTTCACAGGCATATTTGACAGCCTGGAATCAATATTTGACTCTACATTGTACATATACTCCGTACAAGTACTTGTACCCACATCATGGTAGAATTTTGCAAAAGTATTCGGACAAGTTCTCCGTGTTGACTCCGTACTCCGTACTCCGTGCCAAACAACTAGCCGTAAAAAGGGGCCAAAGGGGCCATCCACTGAACGCTATTTTACCCGCCTCTGCTTTGTTCAAAATTGGTCTCTGCCGAGAAAGCAAGGTCCTGGATTGCTTAAATTAGCTGTCTTAATCCGCGATACCGAAATTGCAGGGATTCGGCCCAAAAGTCCAACTTTGCTTTGTTGACGGCTTTCGGCTCCAGCCGTGTTTGTTTACACCATGCGACCGCAAAACAAAATAAACATCCCCCAAACAAAATATATCGATCGTAAATCTTCGTACGGAGTAGTGGGGTTCTGGCGGGGGTTTGCGATTGATGAAGTGGCGCGCACTCAAAATTAGTTAAGGTTGAACTAACTCGTTTTAAGTGGTGTTTGAGGTACTATAGCCAATATATTTGATACATCGGGACACCACCAGTTCGTGTCTCTAGTCTTAATTTGATGTTTCGATGCGACTCACTAATAATGTTAAACCTTGGAGTATTCCGACTTTGTTGAGCAAGATATATAGTGGAGATGCGGAATTGCAGAGCTTACCTTTGTAGAACCCTATCTCAAATATTCCCAATTCATGGTGTTTTAAAGGCTTAACATGAGAACATAAGTCAAACAGAACTTTTGTAATTCAATTAGCCACTCTAGTAATCTCTATCTGGTGTTCCAGGCTCGAATTGGTTGACAGACGTGGAATAACTGCACTGTTGTATAACCCGTGGACCTTGGAAGGTTTTTGGCAGCACCCGTGGGTTTGGCCCGTGTTGAAACCCTCAAGTCATATACAAAGCAACCTTGGAAGCATCGTCATAACAACTTTCTCTCGAAAGCACTTTTTTCTTGCAGTTGAAGGAATCAACAATAATTAATTCAGTGATCACGGCTTAGCCAAGACTTTTGGCTCCTCCGAAAAGATTTTGGCGAATCATATTTATCTTTATTTCTCAATTACATTCAGTACACTTTAATCATCAGTACTCTGTAAAGATTTCTGTGTTCACGGTTTAGCCAAGACTTCCTTTACTCGACTAACCACAATTACTCGACGATTAGTTGGAGAGACAGCCAAAAAGACAGCTCAAAAGACAGCTCAAAAGACAGCTCAAAAGACAGTTCAAAAGAGGTCCTGAAGGTGGTGATAGCTCCCGAGGTCTCTTCGGTCGTCTTTTTGGCCGCGCGTGAGCGCGGCACTCACACTTGTCTCTACTATCGCTGAGTGCTGATTCACTGGTTCCAAGGTTTCAACCTTGGTCCTCGGGAAGGGGTTCCAAGGTCGCCTACTGATATACATTGTTTGCCTCGATTTATCGCGAGAGAACGTTAGATTTGAATTGTTAAAATGGAAATCTTGAAGACGAGATTGGTTTATTCGATTTGGGAGTTATGTGCATAGATGCGCTTGTACAATCCACCATGTTCTATGGCCCAGAACTAGCACGAATGTCCACCATTGCGCATAAATGACCTCGGGTATTCCGAAGAAACCCAGATGTGCCACTCAGCCGACGTACTTGATAGCGACGCTGTCCTTTGTGACAGAGGAGGAAGTCAAGATCTCGCTTGGTCCTTGTTGCATATCGAGTGTAGTTGCACCAGACGGCCCGACACTTCTGCCATCCGTGGTGTTTGCCTGTGCACCGGAGAAGATGACGATTCCGAAATCGACGAAAGGAACCAACAAGAAGCTATCCTCCAAGTAATCCTCGACGATCCATTCGGCATACGACCTGCAGAGGGAGCCTCGCGTATTCTCACCGGCAAACTCGTGAGCTGTAACTTTGCCATTTGTAAGGTTCTCAACAACTGCAGTGCCAGTCGTAGGGGTGGTGGTGTTGACTGTGAGTTTCACGATATCGCCAACCACGAGCGAGAGGTCGTCCATGTTATGACGATGATCCCAATCGGACCATACATTGTAGCTGACTTTGGTGCCATTGAGGCAGAAGGAAACACCGGCCTGTAGGCCTCCACCGGGGCAGCCGAGGCCATCAAGACCAATCCACGCGGAGGCACAGTATTGCCAATTGGGCCTGGCATCGAGGGGGAGTTTGATTCGGGGGATCGTGAACTCAGCAGTGACGGCATTGTATCCGGACCCGTTGAGGTAGGCACCGGCCCAGTTCACTTCGTAGAAGTCGACAGCTCTGGCGTTTAGACTTGGGAGGCGGCGTGTTTGGGTCTGCGAATTGAGGTGATCACTCTGCTTGGGGGAGGCAAGAGCTTCGGTAAGGGCCTGACCTCCTGAGACCAGGGGACTGGCGAGGGTAGATGCCTGGAGCATCGAAATGAGGAAAATGGTAATCAAGAACTTCATGGTGAAGACTGAAGAGATGGTAGTTGATGGAAAGAGAATGGGTGTGAAGAGAAGAAGAAAAGAAAGAGGAGGTCTTTATACTTGGTGAGGTGGTGGCTGCACCATCACCATCACAGGGAAATGGAGGGAGGATGTGAGTTCTACGAGTTTGAGAACCCAACTTCACTTGAGCTTCATTCCATTCTTGCAAAGCTCAACTCACTGCCAAAGCTTTAATGCACGAGATTATAGGGACAAGCCTCAGTGCCACGCTCACGCGCGGCCAAAAAGACGACGATAGTCACTTGTAAATAGGTGTAGTTATGTATTAGCTCAATCTCATATTTCAATTGGTAAAGAAACAGAACTATCATCAACTTTGGGATCTTTTTTTAATTGTCATTCTAACTATCTTTCTAACTACTCCATATTCTGTATCTTTTGAACTGTCTTTTGAACTGTCTTTTGAACTGTCTTTTGAACTGTCTTTTGAACTGTCTTTTGAACTGTCTTTTGAACTGTCTTTTGAACTGTCTTTTGAACTGTCTTTTGAACTGTCTTTTAAACTATCTCTCTGGCTGTCCATTCAAAGTTCCAACTAATTGTACATACAGTTAACATTCGATTAGTCGAACCTTCGATTCAAGCCAAGCCGTGAAACATGATTGGTCGAGGGAGCTAAGCCGTGAACAGAGAATCATACTTAGGGGATTCAGAGAAGAGACATGGCCATAACATGGCGGTCTTTGCAGTCACTTTTCCAGTAGGTAGCATTCCCGTTCCTATCCCGAAACTTCCTCGGTATGGACTGTTGATGAGGATCAATTCCACAGGAGGCTCACGATGTGTAAATATACCCTTTTCGGCCTAGCGCCTCTTCAAACCCGCTGACAGGTCACATGATTTCAAAGCCCAGTCCACGTGTGGTCAGGTGATCTGTGGCAGTTGGGCGGAAATGATCTGCCGACAGTTTGCATTCGATGCAAACTGATGTATAGTCCCAACATCCTCCCGACCTGTTGGGGAGACAAGGCACTGAAAAATAGACAGGACAGAATGTCGAATTAACGCAAAGTTCAAACCAGACGATCAATTTACAGCTAGAGATGCTAGGCCAGGACCGGCATAATCGCACTGATCGACCATTGTCTAAGTAATCGCCAAGGAAAATCATGGGGAAAGCGGGGAAATCGATCTCTCCTCGGTTCTGATTTATGCCTCATTTCTTCCCCCATTGACCCATTGACCCGAGAGAGCAACAACTTGTGGACGGAGGTATTCTTCATTCGCGCCTGCACGGCTGAGAGACAATGGGGCCGAAGGCTTGCGACCACTGCAGTCAAGAAAAATGCACCGATGAGTCGTGTGCCAGATGTAGTCGTCTCAAATCCTTCTGTCCGACATCTCGCCGTGATAAGCGCATAAAGCACCGCCTGGCTATCCAGGCCTCCTCCTCTGGGGGGAGACCAGCTTGTAACATGCAGTCCGAACAACGACGGAGCTCGGACTCCAGTGACAGCTATGCTTCGTCCCTCAGTCAACGCTCAGACTCACAATCCCTACACAATGCCACCGAGCAGACATTGACACCGGAGAGTACCAGTTCCATGGTGCTTTCCCCTGAGAGGCCGCTTGCCTCTCCTACCACCTTGCAAACCACATCGGATGCCTTGCGCACTGTTATGAATGTCGAACAATTCTCAGTCATACATTTACCGTTTATGCTGGGATCTAGCTTTATTCCCGATTCCCAAAAGACTATATATGTCATCTTGCGTTTATCGGCCCCCACCCTGACTGAGGGGTATCTGGCGTTTCTCGGATTGATGACAACATATCAAAAGTCCCTAGTCCTGCGGCGGAGCGAACCCGACATGGTCAAGGCTGCGAAAGGCCTACAGCGTCTGCGTGGTATCAAGATCCAACATGACTACGACGCAGCGTGTGCTCTTTTCCTCGGCCAGACGATGTACGTCTTCAACGTCTTGACGGCTCCGTATTCGAATACGGCCCACACCATTGTTCGCAGTGCGCTCATGTCAACAAAGAGATGGCTGCCCCGGTTGATTGAAGCACCGATCATGGACACAATAACCATGTCTCCAATCATCATTGACACTGTCGAATGCATCTTCCATCGTGAGATTCCAATAATTCGCCTCTACCCCCAACGTCGCATTATCGTTGATCGATATGTGGGACTCTGTGCTACTCTTCTATCGCACTTTTATGACATATGCGAGTGCAGTCATGCCTTGAAGACTACCACATTTGAGTCCGGGTCTGAAGAACTTTCCGCCATCTGGGAACGACTCGATGACATTGAAGATGATATAAGGCGGTGGAGAGCACAAACACCGCCACAATTGTTCGAAAAGTATGGAAAACATGCCGTTTTGGCAATGGTCACGCAAGCGAATGTATATCGTTTAGCGGGGTTGCTGGTCATCCACCGCTTGCGATATCCACTGGGTGTCGAAGATGAGCAGGCACAAAAGTTTGCAAATAATATATTTGCTGAGCTGGCATTCTTTGCAAAATCAGCTTCCAAGGAAGCGAGCGCGTTACCAGTAGTTTTCCCTTTGACCGTGGCTATGTTTGAGGTCGAGGGACCTGGAGAGGATCTGCTTGACCGTCTGGCCTCTTTTACCGTTCAGAGTGTCAGTGCAACACGACTTCAAGACTTCGTGAGGATTGTCAGGCATTCTAAACTTTCTCACTTCAAGGGCGTTTGGTTTGACTTGGTTGACACGCATCTTCACGTTGCGGCGCCACCATAGCTACAGCGCCCGGGTACCTTTTGCTATAACGGAGGATGGAAGAGATTTGTACAGTACCAATTTTCTTTGCTTTGTATTTTATGGAGAGAATTCTGATAATCCTTTTTTTCGAGACCAAAAACCGTTTTCTTCATTTGTTTCAAGGTGATGATGCTCCTTGAAACTTTCGGTCTACTGACCTCAGGGTCTCTCCCAAATGAAGCAGGTCCCATCTAATCATAATACTTTGCAACCACACCCCCAATGATGGGCTGATCGCCGACTTCGCTCCGTGCCGGACCTTTGTCCACACCCTTAGCTACTCGAGCTTTCACCCACTCCCCAGCAGTGATTCCCACCGCACTGTTATCCGTCGTCTGATCATACCCTAACCGATGCAGCACGTCACTCTCAATCGGCCGCAACTCCAGGTCATCTTCCGGCCGAACAAAGTACAAAACACCCAACCGATCAACACCTCTCTGATCAGGCGGAGGCGCAACCACACGATGTATGCTACTTTTGAGGAACCCATTTGTAAGGAACTGAAGTGAATCTGCAAGATTGACTGTGATGCTCCCGGGATACGGCTTGACCCATTTCCAGTCGCCTTCAGGAGTGCGAACCTGCAATGCAGCCACCGGCTGACGGAATAATAAAGTCAAGCTACCGAAGTCGGTATGGCCTTTCGACCAGATTCCTGTTGATTTCTCGTTCTCTTCTTCGGTGCGGCGGTGGTACTTCATGTACCGGAGATGACAATCGCTTTTTTCTTCGTAGCGATGTACTTTGAGAAAGTAGTCTTCGGGTAACTCCAGGATTATGGCGAATAGAACGAGAAGCTTGCGCACAATTTCGTCGTGGATGTGACGTGCGAAGCCTTCGATGATTGGACGGTTGTTGTTCACAATCTCGGGCTGGGGCCGCTCGAAGGCAGGGATGAACTTTGGGATGTTGAAGATTTCGGTTTTGTCAAAGACACCTGGACTGATTTCCTGTATCTGGTATTAGAGGTGATCATCCTGGACTACCGTTGGGTCGGCCTCGGGACTTACTCGAAGACCCATTGGTTTGTAGCCATTATAGCCACCTTTTTCAAGCTCGGCACGATACTTGAGCTTCTCTTCTATGGGTAGTTTGAAAAGTTCCTTTCCAATTGAAAACTGGCGGTCGACATCCTCTTGTGATAGGCCGAAGTTGATGATGTAAAAGAAACCTGTGAATGGTGAATACTGGAAGTGTAGATAATTCTGACGGGGTCTTTGAGTACTAACCTATTTTTTGGATCGCTTCGAACAGTTGTTTCGCTAACAGACTCTTGCCTCCAGGTTGGTCAAACTGGGAAAGATCCAAGGTAGCGAGGTCTGCCCAGTCCACTACATAAGGGTTTAGTGACTCTTCTATCTCGTAGCCAATTGTCCAGCATACTCACAGTCATATTTTGTCTCGGGGACTTGGTCATAAGTTGGGATATCCGACCCTGTGGGGATTGAGGCTGGGGTCGCGATCGGAGCAACCATATTGGAATATCAAGGTATGAATTGGTGAGTAAAAGCTTTCTAACAAAGTTGTCTATCTCCTGTGAATCAATGGGAGTCGACTGCAAGATCCGAGGGTTTTATCGGCTTTCAATAATCGCAGGATTTCGGCAATTGGTTGTAGAAATCCATTCCAATCGGGTATTTTCTGTTTTTCGTCTGAACTCTGAGCAATGTCCGAGAAGCTGAGTTAGAAATTGATGTTGGATGTGAGTAGGAGCTTAGGTGGATACCGAGGTTGGATGTCACCACGATATCCTCCGTTGGCGTGATCGACCTCCCCGCAAATATATTTAGACGCCACATCGGAATCTGCCCGGGATAATTGTGGAATTCAAGACTCTCTTCACATAGTCATAAATAAGGTGATGATTTTAACATAGTTGGTTACTGGATATACCCACCAATGTGGCACAAAAGTTCTAGCGTGAAATACATAGTACGGAGTAGATGCATATGACATCTGGGGGCTCGAAAATAGCCACCCAACTGTCCTGTTAGCTTCTAAGCTACAACAGTTAGAATATTCAATAATGCTGAGTAGTTGAGAACATCTTGTGTATGTATTTGCCACACATTATCGCTGCAGAGATCAGCCTTCCAGATTTGCAATAGCAGTGAAGGATGATACAATGATAACTGAAATGGTGTTTGGCAGTCTGGCCCTAGCTCCTGTCATATCCTTTCGGGGGGTTTCCGAGCACCTCGAGTTCAAAAAGACTTTAATCTATCTAGCATTGCTTGGATATAGTAGCCCATATTTTCACCCGTCACACCAAGACTTCGTTCTATTGAGAGCGATCTTCAAAAATGGCAGACAAGGAGAACGAGGTGACATCCAAGGATTTGGGAAGGACCACGGCTACCGATATTACTGCCCCCAGTGAAAGCGACGCCAATCATGAACTCCATTTTGCCAGACGAGGCGAAGCTCTTGCGGATGCCTCGTCAAGTCAGGAGAGTATCGATGGATATGATCCTGAATTGATGAATGGAAGAACACTTCTCACAGCGGCAGAAGAGAAGAAGCTATTACGCAAGATTGACTGGAGATTGATGACTCTCTGCTCGTTGATCTTCATGTTCAAAAACTTGGACAGCAATAATGTCTGTATCCCTTACTCACCAGTTGGTGGTACATTATTGACATCGACAGACATCCAACGCTCGGATCATGAACAAGGGGACGGATCAGAATATCATGACACAGCTTGGGATCACTTCAAATGAGTATAATCTAGTGACAGTACTTTACTATGTGAGTTGAATCCAATTTTGCTGGGCTATCATTGCTGCTGGCTAACGATATTGCGTTAGATTCCTTACATTGTGTTGGAAGCGCCCTCCAATTTGCTGCTCAAGAAGTGCTCTCCTTCAAAATGGCAGGCAAGAATCATGCTCAGCTGGGGTATTGCTCTGATGTGTAACGCCGCTGTGAAGAACAAGGGTGGTCTATATACCACACGGTTCTTATTGGGTGTGGTATGTTGATTCGACAGACTTCCTGTCCTGTTACCAACTTGCATACGCATTGCCAGGTACATAATTTCTAAAGAACTACAGGACTGACATAGTAACAGGCTGAGGCTGGACAATTTCCGGGTGTCATTCTCCAAATGACTTACTGGTATCGACCGGACGAGATGTCCTTGCGACTACTGTACTTTTGTGAGTCGAACATCCTCAACCTTATTGGTTATTCCCCCACATGGAAGTATACTCACCAGTGGCTATTAGATATTTGCGGGAATGTCTCGGGTATCTTTGGAGGCTTGCTTGCATATGCCTTTGATACTGTCTCTGGCGCAGCAGGACTTTCTGGGTGGCAATGGTAACCATCTCGGAACGAGCTTGCATCTTGACCGTTTACTAACAGTGACACAGGCTATTCTTAACCGAGGGAATCGCAACCGTCCTTTTCAGCGCGGTGATTTGGTTCCTCCTCCCGGACTGTAAGTTATCTGAGCAAAGCTACTCTTCTAATCTGCAACCAGCATCTAATATGTGACTCTGTACCAGTTCCCGAAACCGCCACATGGTTGACCGAAAAAGAAAAGAAGTTCATCCAAGCTCGACTTCCATCCAACGCACCTCGTGCCAATGAGAAAGACTTCAAGTTCCGCGAGATCGTTGAATCTCTCAAGGATGTGAGACTGTGGCTATTCACGTTGATCTGGGCCACCTTCACTGTTGGAACAGATGGAGTCACATTCTACCAGTCCACTGTGATTGCCGATCTCGGTTACACGTAAGTTATTTCTCATCCAAATGCGAAGACATGCTCGACTCAAGGGAGATTGCTAACAACTCCTCAGGAGCATTGCCGCAGCCCAACTCCTCAACATCCCTATCACGGTTTGTGGCCTTCTCTTCATTGCCATTACGGGGATCTTCGCAGACCGGAGTCGGATCCCACGACCAGTGTATCCGCTTTCATTCCTGGTCGTCATATTGGTCTGCTACGGTGTTTTCATTGCCTATCCAGGCCCCGGTGCGGTTTTCGCCGTGACGCTGATCGGAAATGCTCTCAAAGCAGGATGGTATCCTGTCATGTGGTATGGCATTCTGCCCTTGCCTCTCTCGTCGCATAGAACTAACGTGGCTATAGGCCGTGGCGCGTCCAAACCACCTCCCGCGCAACAGGTTCTGCCTTCTCGATCGGGTTCGTCAACAGCTACGGTCAAATTGGAGGTGCTATCGGTCCACAAATGTTTAGGAGCAAGTATGCTCCACACTACACAGTTCCATTTGCTGCAGCCATGGCTCTTGTTGGTGTTTGTGGCATTTTGACTCTTATTACGTGGAGGGTTACTCGGGAGACTGAGCGTGATACTAGGCGACTGAAGCTTGCCAAACTTGCCGCAGAGAAAAAGGGCGAGACAATTTTGGAGGACGTTGTCGACAAAGACTTGAAGAGACATTGAGGCTGCGGAGTAGATAGATGAGAGACATTTGTGCACTAGAGTATGAATTGCGTTTGACACATAGTTTAATTTGCAGGCAACTTACTCCGTAATTAGGTCCCTAAATATTTCGCGATTGTCTCCATTGCAAAATGTCAAAACTTACATGTTCTCCAATTCCCCCGCAACTTCAAAAAAGGTCCGGCGATGCGCACGTAACCGACGCTAGCAAAACCCTCCGAAGTACGCATGTGACCTTTTATTCCTTGCAGTGAGTGAAGAACTTCTGACACACTCGTCTTTGCTTACATAGCTCCAAAAATGTCTCTATCCTCAGCCAGAGCTTCAAGCGACCCCTACTTCGACCTAGGAACGTTCGGTCGCAAGATTAGCACCAATTCCCAGGAAGCGCAAAGATGGTTCGATAGAGCACTTGTCTGGACATACTGCTTCAATCACGATGAAGCGATCAGCTGTTACAAGCAGGCGATCGCACACGACGAGGCCTGCGCCATGGCTTACTGGGGGATCTCCTTCTGCTCCGGTTCCAATTACAACAAGACCTGGGCATTATTTGACGAGCGAGATCGCATCAGCGCAATTAAACAGTGCTACATATACTCACAGGAATCTTTGAAGCGGGCGCAGAACGCTTCGCCCTGGGAACAGGCGCTCATCCAAGCCCACGCAATACGATACCCCGACGACAACCCCGGGCGAGATCTCGGAGGATGCAGCAGGGCATATGCCGATTCCATGAGAGACGTGTATACAGAGTTCGGTCGCGACGATTTTGACATCATTACCCTCTTCGCTGACGCGTTAATGAATTGTGCGCCGAGGAAACTATACGACGCATCGACCGGCCTACCGATAGCATCATCGCCCGTCTTCGAAGTAAAAGCCCTCCTTGAACAAGCCTTGAAAATGCCAGGGATCGAACGACACCCAGGTCCCGCGCATATGTACATCCACCTGATGGAAATGTCGGCGACTCCCGAGCTCGCGTTGCCGGCGGCAGAGATGATTCGAGAGATCTTCCCCGACACGGGACATACTTTCCATATGCCGGCGCATATTGACGTGCTCGTGGGCGACTACCGTCGGGCTGTGGAATACAATTACAAAGCGACGGTCGCGGACGATAAATACTTTCAACATAACGGCGGTTTGACCTTCTACAGTTACTATCGCCTACACGACTACCATTCCCTCATCTACGCCGCCATGCTCGGCGGCATGTCCAAAGCCGCACTCTCAGCGACAGATCGCATGGAGGCAACGATTACAGAAGAGATTCTCCGAGTGGAAACGCCGGCGCTCGCGAACTGGATGGAATTCTTCAAGGCCGTCCGAGTCCACGTGCTGATTCGATTCGGAATGTGGGATGAAATTATAAAACTCGAACAACCGGAAGATAAAGAGCTTTACTGTGTCACGAACGTCATGCGACACTATGGAAAGGGTGTCGCATATGCAGCGACATCCCGACTTGAGGAAGCAGATAAAGAGCGCGAGCTATTCAAATCCGCATCTCGACTCGTCCCTCCAACCCGGCTGGACTTCCCGAATAAAATCACCGACATTCTCAAAGTTGCGTCTGCAATGCTGGATGGCGAGATAGAGTATCGTCGCGGCGATTACGAGACTGCTTTCAAGAGACTGGCGGATGCAGTGGCGCTCGAGGACGAGTTGCCCTTTGCAGAGCCGTGGGGATGGATGCTCCCTGCGCGACATGCATATGCGGCGCTTTCATTGGAGCAGGGTCGGGTTGAAACAGGCTGCGCAGGCTTATGCTGAGGACCTGGGACTTTATCATACACCCAAGCGTGCGCATCAACATCCGAATAATGTGTGGGCGCTTCATGGTTATAATGAGTGTCTGGAGCTTTTGGGTCGTCATGGGGAGGCGAACATCATCAAAAAGCAGCTTTCTTTGGCTCTTGTGGGGGCAGATGTTGATATCACTTCGTCTTGCTTCTGCAGGCTTGGGAATATCCCCTCGTGTTGTGCAAAGCCTTTGTTGAATGGGACTCACAGCGTGAAGGCATAATCCTATAGCCTGGTAGATCAAGATATTAGATCAGCTAGCAATTCAGGCTTACCACATAAGCTTCCTTTTGGCCGTGATCTATGGATTCACTTTCCAACGATATGATAGCCCACGTTGGAGACATCTGATTGGTTTCATGATTAACATAGGAATGTACTAAACACAGAAATCAGCTCGCTAGCTTCGACTCATCTCGCTTCTGTCTGCTCTTGGATTCCATTCTAATATAACAATTTGGAAATCGGGTATCATACAACGGCGGAGGCAACTTGATCCACCATTTGCCGAACCTCATCCACGATCCGGAAGCAGGGAATCAATTTTCGAGCCACAGCGTTCTGTGGGCAAAGATCAAGCGGATCATGATCGGCACCAATTTCCTTCCTTCGACAATCCCCTTCATGGTCAGGACATCTTTCGTGTCCCACAATATGGCGATTCCGCTGCCGCAGCGCAAAGCTCTTCCCTACCGCCGACAGCCGCTCGGCGTCAGCTTGAAGGCCGTGTATGATAAGATCACGAAATTTGTCGCCACTAATCTGCAGATTCAGATCGGACGGTATACCAATGCCAGAGTCAAGATAGACCGATTGACTTTCGTTCCTGCCGTCGAGCTCGGTGCAATGTTTCTTCAACCACCGTAGGTACTTCTGATAGCTAGAGGTTATCTCAAACATCAAATGTCCAATGAGTAGTACATTTTGAACCGTGACTCGGGGTGGTTTCGACACGTCGTAGCAAATCGGACATGCGAGTATCCTCTCTGTCAACGCAACCCCCGTCCGAAGCGTGGGAATGACATCGTGCGACATGGTCGCTCGACTGAGATTGCGAACTATGCTGGAGACCTCCTCGTCACAGTTACACGATTGTGCAAATGACAGAGGAGAAGCGTATGCATCCAAGGCAATTTGCGGAACCTCGGTCTCTGGTAAGGAGCTCTGCTGGGAGATCTGCCATGTCTCCAGAGGCGCGGAGCAGATATCGCCATTCCCCAGCATTTCCCAATGGGAGGAGTCGAATCCGCAATTGCCGGACATTCCACATGGTATTGAGTCGAAGTCACCGGTGCCCATCAACATGTTGACGGTCTCTTGGGGGCTAAATGTGGCATCCGGTAATCCGGGCGAGATGTGCGAGCTTGATGAATCGGAACCTGTCCGATCTCTCGGTAGCTCACATTCTTCTCGTGGTCGCTTTCTGGGCCTTCCGGGGGCGCCTTCATCTTTGAATCTACATGCCATCGAGAGACCCCGGCAGCGGGAGCACCCACTCTTTTCCCCTGAGCACCTGAGCTTCCGAGCCCCTGTCTGTTGTTAGCTTGGTTAATAGACTCTCGAGGGGATGATCATACGGCAGGCTTCGCAGGACTTGCGTTTTCGTGTGGGAATCATTCTGTGGTGGTTGAAGATCGAAGACCGGCCGGGGATGGATTGGCGATGTCTCCGTCATCGCTCCCTAAAATGGCGAGCTTTTGGAGCGGGGTTGCTGTCGGAACCCCTTTGAGCATCTCCCATTGCCTATTTCTACATTTGTCTGCTTTGGGGGTTATTTCTGGTTCTTCGTTGAGAGAAGAGGTATTGTTTCTGCGATGTCCACTCTGAAACCCCCGCAATTCACTCTCGAGTCGTTGTTAACTCCACACTGGCTCCATCTCAAGACTCAACATGAGAAGTCCGAAACTACCACTCATCTTTGATTGAACAGGGGAATATAGGAAGAATCTCAAATACTTCAATCCCCTCAAGCTCTGGAATATTCACTTTCGCCATTGCGGGTCAATCTCGCCCAAAATCATCCGAGTCCGACGGGCTGAAACTATCCGCAACTGCATTTGTCTTCATTTCACCAAATCCATTGACTGTCTCTCTCCCTCTCTCTCTCGACTTGATATTAAATCCTGGGCCAAAATATACTCTGATCGGTCTACAAAGCAATGGCTCAATCAATAACAGCGCGCGAATTGCGCAAATATTGGACGAATCAGCAAGAAATCGCTCTTCTCGACGTGCGCGAAGAAGGACCCTACTCCGAGTCCCATCCGCTATGGGCTCTAAGTGTTCCGGTGTCAGAAATTGAAGTCAAATTACCTCCATTAGTCCCCAGACTATCCGCTCCTATAGTCGTGTACGACGACGGTGAGAACTATGTCGATCGCGCCGCGACCAAAGTCCTCTCTCTGGGGTACCGTAATGTCTTCATCTTGGAAGGCGGACTTTCCGCCTACTCTCTCATGGGAGAAGTCTACCGCGACGTCAACGTTCCATCCAAAGCATTCGGCGAGCTAGTCGAATCCATCAACCATACCCCATCACTGTCCGCACGAGAAGTCAAAAATGTTCTGGAAATTGATAGTAACGTCGTTGTGCTCGATGCGAGAAGATTCACAGAATACAATACGATGAGTATTCCCAAGGGTCGCAGCTGTCCAGGCGGAGAACTGTTGTATCGCGTCTTCGAGGCTGCGCCCTCTCCCGAGACCACGGTCATTGTCAATTGCGCTGGTCGCACGCGGAGTATCGTTGGCACGCAATCTTTGATTAATTCTGGCATCCCTAATAGGGTGGTTGCACTTCGCAACGGGACGATCGGGTGGACATTGGAGGGTCTGGATTTGGAAACTAAAAAGACAGAGCGAGTTCCCGCGCCGTCGGCTGATGCATCGCAAAAGGCGCGACGGTATGCTGAATCATGGGCTTCACATGTCGGGGTCTCTATTATCGATGATACTCAGCTCCTTCGTTTTACCGAAGAATCCCAAGACCGGACTCTGTACTTGCTGGATGTGAGAGATCCAGATGAGTATGCCGCTAGCCATCCGGCTGGGTTCTCCAATGCCCCTGGCGGGCAATTGGTTCAAGCCACCGATGAGTGGGTTGGTGTCCGAGGTGCTCGCATCGTTCTTTACGACACGGATGGTGTTCGTGCGCGTATGACTGCGAGTTGGCTCGTGCAGCTTGGATGGGAGGTGCACATTTTTGACACGCGCTCCATAGTACCAGACAGTCTCAAAGCGCCTGCAGGTCCGCAGTGGCATCCCCCTCAAACCGGGGCTATCACGCTTGACAGTCTCCAAGCTCTCGGGGGAGCCACTGTGATTGATCTCGCCCGCAGCCCAGCCTATCGCAAAGGCCACATCCCTGGGGCGTGGTTTGCTTCTGGACCCGAACTTGCCAGAGACTTGAAGTCTACCATCGGTGACAGCCCGATCGTGTTGACTTCACCAGATGGCGAAATCGCTGCTATCAATCTTGAAGAAGCGCGGAAAGCAACCTCGCGGAAGGTATTCTATTTGGCGGGCGGTACTGCAGCGTGGGTAGCCGCAGGCCTACCCCTCGAGACCGAGTCTCATCAGCTCTCGGAGCCAATTGATGTGTACAAAAGACCATACGAGGGAACAAGCAACGCACGCAAGGACATGCAGGGCTATCTTGACTGGGAGTACGGTCTTGTCGCTCAGCTGGCAAACGATGGGGTTTCTGGCTTCCACGTTGTTAGAGATCGTGGGATTGCTAGCAGCTAGACACTTGGGTGCTACTTTTTCTGGGACGTTATTCCAACCAAGGGGTTCAAAGTCTTTTGGTCGTTGGCTCTCACTATCCTGTAGGTAAACTCGAGTTCTAGTCAATCTCGCTACCGCGATGTCAATCTAAAACTCATTGTCTCGCTGCATTTCTGAGTTTACTGCATATTTGACGCTGCTACTGAGATTGAACAATGGGCTATTCCACACAACAAACAATTAAGTGCAAAGGCCACAGAGCACACCACAAAGCTGCCCTTGTAATCAAATCATTTCTTGCCCTGGTAGCTGATATTTCCATTCCTGTCCTTCACATAACCATTCTCTTTGGTAATCCCATTGGATCCATATGTCAAGGACGAAGCCTGCACCTGAGGAGTCGACATTTCACGTTGGTTCTGGCGTGCTCGATCCTCATTCACCAAGGCTTGTTTCATGCCTTGTGATTGCTAATCCGTGACATCATTAGCTTCTGAGCTGAGGTATCAACATCGTCCGTTGCTCGCTTACGATCTTTCCATACTGGTGCGTATGGTATGCCAGTTGAGCATTCTGCACTCCACCCATGGGATTGGGGAAGCCTCCACTGGCACCTGCTGCTGCGCCTGCAATACCGACGCCCTCGCTGGCTTTCTCGTAGGTCTTGTAGGGGTTTGGCATGTTGAACTCGGGATATGTGTCTGATCAACAAAGCAGTGATAGATGGAAACGAATCCAGTGGCGATCGGTGGTCTTTTGTATCTTTCGCCCTTCTGGGCCGGCTAGTGCGCCCGGGTGATTGTCTATGACTCTATACTTTGGTGGCATCCAATCACTCGAAATCGGCTGTCAACTGCACGCCACGACCATGGCCGGAGTGGCTCACAAGGCACACCAAGCATGCATGTTTCCAAACTGGGCTGGCTTAAATATGACCGCCAAGGATACAAGGCAGAACAGCTTCACGCGTTGTGGGGCTGTGAGTGCCTAGATGCTGACGGGCTGGTTTACCCAGGTAACGAAGACATGTACGGATCAAGAGGTCGGGTAGAGAGCACAGAGTAGACGGCACTGTGTCAGCATTGAAGGATCCGATGAAACTAAGCCAAGGAAATAGAAGCAAAAAAACAAGAGCAAAAAAGAAATCTCTCCCTCGGGGAATCGAACCCCGGTCTCCCGCGCTTATCGGTGTTAATGACAAGCGGAAATCATCACCACTAGACCAAGGAAGATGAGATGGCTGAGTTACTGCTCGGCCACTTGGCTGGTTGATGTAAGTTTCGAGCACTAAAGGAATTATGAAGGATGTCTGACCTCAACAAACCTAGTATTCGATCTGGGTATGAGCAACCATTAACCATATCAATCCTAGACCTTTTCTGTATAATTAACATAGAAACAAAGTAATGTTCCAATATTCCAGGCTGTCTGTTAACTTAATATATACACTCGCACAGCCAAGCACCGAAAAAATGGAAATTTTTATTTCTTCCACCCGATATATAAACGGCCAACAATAACCCACAGACACTTCATTCGACAGTTCCTGCAAACCGGCGGCAAAATTGCAGCTTGGAGATTTTCATTCAGGCGAGAGCTTGTACAATGGAGTTCCCATAATGCGAACTCATTACAAATTTGAAAGTGAACAATAAAAATGCATTGGTTGACTGGAGTATCCATGGATACCGAAATCCGACAAGGCTGGAACACAGGCCGGGGACACGCCAATCCGCACCTTCTTCCAACCCCGACCCAGCCACCACATACTCCTCGGAAAAAATACAAATGAAGCAATAAAACACCATACAATACATAAGTCCAACACCCCGAACTGTGCCTACGTTCAGAGAAAAGCCCCCGTGGAGTTCTTTTCCCCATTGGATTCGCCCATCTGTCGCCGACGACTGTCCAGAAACAGATCCACCATGCGCTTGCTGGAGATTGTCGAATGGACATCCTGCAGCTGATGATAGCTCTCCATCATTTCATTGTACTCTTCTTGCTGTCTCAGGTTCTCGTCATGTGCATGGAAGTCTCGCTGGGTGCGCATTGAGCGGAATTGATTGGTTCGACCTCGCCCTTCTTGCGAGAGAGGTGCACGCCGGGCCGAATAGCGACGCTGTTGTTCCTCGGTCAAAGAGCGCCTGGCGCCCATTCGCTTGGGAGTTGGGGACTCTGGCAGTTGCATGTTTCCAGAGCGGAGTCGAATTGGCGACAAACCTTGAGGTGGAATGAAATGGACAGGCTTCGATGATATGTTCTCACCCAACTGGACAACACTGTCTTTGACAGGATCAACCGACAATTTCTGCATCGAATTGTCCGACTTTTTGGGCTGCAAGGGTAAGATAGGCTGGATACCAGAGACCTGGCGGAAGGGACGAGAGAAATTGCTCTGTGATGGAAGTCTGACTTGAACAGCTGTGCCACGCGCCATCGTCTCATCGCTTTCGGAAATACCTGATTTAATGGGAGGAGGAGGGGTGGTCATAACAAGGGTGGCGTCTGCTGCCATGTTGGCCAGGTCTTCATCCTCCGCCTGGAATTGTGCATTCTCTCTGACATGCTCTCTCGTGGGACCCGCCTGCTCAATTTTGTCAACCTGCGAGCTTATCCACTGCTGCCAGTCCCCGCTTGCATTTGCCCGAAGCCTGGAAGACAATTCACGAGCAGCACGTTTGGGTGAAGTATAGACTGTTCGCTGCGGTGCAAAGATGGTCGCAGTGCCTGGCTCGTCATACAATCCTGTGTCAATGATGTCGGTAGTGTCAGCTTTGACTGGGGTGTTTCCACCAGTAGTTCGGGAATAAATGCTTGGTGAGATAACATCCCGCTTTGAACCGTACCGGGCAACGATCACACTGTTGCCGTCATCAGAATGCTCACCCGCGACAAATGCCGACCGGTTCTGCGCAGTTGCAAAAGAGCCAGGCGAGCTGGACTCGTTACTTGGTATATGACGAAGAGTTTGCCTTTGTGCATTGGGTGATTGTGCATGGGGTGAAAAGGCATTTGAAACATGTTCTGGAATGGCACGATGCTTGGCGACACTGCCAAAGACTACTCCCTCGTTGGGGTCGGGAAGCGGACGACCCATCTGTGCCATCAGTGCATAGTATAGATCCTGACTATCAACAATCCCAATGGGATGTGGGCTTGGTCTGAGATCCGAAGGAGCCTGCTCACTATCGTTCCTCACTGGTGTGAATGGCATACGCTGGTTAGAGATTCCATCCTCTCTGATCATGGAGAGCGACTGACGATGGCCGGGCTTTCGAGTTGTGACAGTGTTCGCGATCGTGGAATCTGCCCAGCTGGTAACGCGCGACTTTGAAGTGCAAAGACTATCATGACTAGGAGACCGTGTCATATCCCGGAAAGAATTAGAGGTGTCGCAATACTCAGCTGCTGAGCCATTTGGATTGAGCGGAGCAGGTATATCCACATCCTCTGGACCGCTATGCAATGTTGGTCGCTGCTCCGTAGCCTTTGAGAACCCAAACACCCTCTTCAGCCTGTTCTTGATAGAGTTTGAGAATGACCGAGATGTAGAGCGGGCTCGTCCACTGGCGCTCTCGACAAGAGGAGAGATACCATCGCTTGTGGCACGGAAGGACTTGCGGAATGGCCTATGCTCCTTCTTACGCCTCAGCAAGAAAGAAGAGCGGCGATTCCGAATCGCTGGGTCGCAAGGCTCTTGCGTAAACTGGTTTCGTGCCAGCTCAACGGCCGCATCGTGTGCGTTCATGTTGATTCCCGACTGTGATTTGTACTGCCCTCGAATGAAGGACATTGATGGTCTCATCGTCCGCGGAAGCTGAAAACCAGGGCTACGTTCGGGATCGAGGGGATCTCCAGAGGGAAGAGGTGGAACCCCATACGGGGTCTGGGAGGTCCGCGGTCTGGTCGAGAACATGGACTTTGCCTTGCGCAATCGCCGGTAGGAGGAAGGAACAGAGCTATCTCGTCCATCAAGCCCGTTGAACTCCGTGATTGGAGGAAGAGCGGCTGGATCATCAGGTCGACTGCTCGCGAGAGAAGCCTTTGCGGTCACTATTGAAACGCAGGGCGCCGAGAACACAGAAGAATCTTCGATGTGGATGGATGCATCGGTTTCGGTGTGTCGAAGGCTTGAACCGGGACGCCGACGCGGGACGGCAACACTGGACGGCCCCCTAGCAGATCGTAAGATGCTCTAGACTCTTGTGACGATCGCTGACTCGACTGCATGGCTCTTGATGCAGCAGCTGCGGCATGCTGCATGGCGACATCCGAGGTTACATTGGTTGGGTTTGCTCGTCGCTTTTGCATCGAACGGGTGGACATGGAGCGTCTCAGGCCATGTCGGGTATTGGATGTAGAGGAAAACATGTTTGAAAAAGGCTGCACAATATATTCCTATACAAGTAACTCGATGGAGAGGAATGTGTAGACGGGAGAATCGAGATGGGGTGGTTGCTTCTGTTTAGTCAATTTAGTCGACATCCATCTACGGAAGGCGGCTCCCTGCATTTCCCTCGTTGCTTCCATTTTCCCAACTTCACAAACCTCCTTCACATCATGTCAACTTCAACATCTCCCGAGGTCAACTATTGGAGATCTGCATATTTTAGCGTCCAAATTGGGGGTTTGGGGGCTAAGCTTTGACTGGCGCTAAACTGGCGAATGTGAGTCATGCCAAGATCACACAGCCTCGTGTCGTGACTCAGGAACAGCACGAGCTGAACAATTTCTGCAAGTTAAATAAGGCGGATGAGCAAGAATGCTCAGTGCAAAAGGTATCGACTGAGAAACGAGATGGCTCAACCTAGTCCAGCACGATCAGGTCATGTCTACCTGAACGGACGGACACTGGAAGGAGGTGGACAACTAGTCCGCATTGCCATCGGACTGTCTGCTTTGACCGGACGTCCAGTCAGCATTGACAATATTCGTGGAAACCGAAAAGGGAAGAAAGGGCTGAAGAGGTCCCATGTCGCGGCAGTGCAGCTACTGGCTGAGATCAGTGGCAGCAAGATATCCGGAGGCGAAGTTGACTCTCAGGTCTTGAATTTCTTTCCTCAATCACCGAGATCACGGAATGGTCCCCTGGTCGATCGTTCTCAAGTGACTGTGAAGTCCAAATACGACATCGAACTCACAACGGCTGGCTCCATCTGCCTCATCTTCCAAGCCCTCTACCCTTACCTGCTTCACATTGGGTCGCAAGCCTCCGCCCCGTTCATCCAAGTCAAGATGACTGGAGGAACCAACACCTCAAAGTCACCATCGTTCGACTATCTCTCTCAAGTTATTCTGCCTAACTTCGAGAAGCTAGGGCTTCCTCCAGTGTCCGTCGCGCTTGAAAGGCGTGGGTGGTCATCTGGGCCGTACCCCCTTGGAATAATTGTATTCTATATCCAATCACTGGGGTCGAGATATCCATCGATTAACTGGAATGATTTCTCGAAAGATGGAGATGAAGAGAGGAGCGCATACCCAAGCAAATTTCCAAAAATTGACCTGATGGCACACGAACCTGGCAAGATCACGCAAATTGATCTTACAGACTTAGCACCAGATTACAAAACGATATACTCTGATGTTATTGTTGAAGAAGAAGAAACCCTGCTGGAGTACATCGAGCAAACCACCAGACAAGAGCTGCGTCGTGCAATGAACAAGGTCAATCCATCGGTATTCAGAGCGCCACGAAAGTCCTCGCACCATGAGGACTCTTTGAATGGTGACACTGAGCCAAAATCCCCAGTTCCCATCCGGGTTCATACCTCAGAGCGCACATGGCATGAAAGTCACGTATACATCCTTCTCGTCGCGCATACCTCTTCCGGATTCCGAATTGGACATGAAGTTCTCAGTTCTCTGGGAAACAAAAGACCCACAAAGCCAAAAACGAAAGGGAGGGACAAGCAGCGCCCCGCCAACGATGATTGGCGGCGCAAGTTGAAGAGTGATCTGTTCAACGGAGCCACCGAATTGATCAAGCGCTGCGTGGAAGGTTTCATCCAGGAAATCTCAAACGGAATCTCGGTCGACGAAACAGACAAAGAAAAGCCTTTTGCGAGAAAGGCCTGTCTAGACCAGCACATGAGAGACCAGATTGTTGTTTTTGAGGCTCTTGGCGAAGCCTGTCACGCCGGGACAATCTCCGAAGCAGCCGACGGCACGCCTCGAGAAGACGGTCGAGACTGGACGTTGCACACGCGGACGGCACAGTGGGTATGTCGGCAATTTTTAGGAGACCAAAGCATAAGCAGTGTTTGATCAATATGATGCAAACTCAAAAATGAGCTTACTGCCTGAAAAAAAAAATTCAAAAATGGCATGAGCCTCCCACTGCTCGGGCCCAATTCAGAGATGCTGTCCTTGAGCTCGGATGTAAATGCATCGATTCAGTCAGATTCATCAGTGCGAAACTGGATTCGAACATCACCACGCCCCACCCATTTCCGAGTGGACGGTAGGTGCAATCTACGTCGCAGAAATTCTCCGTCAAGTGCCGGCGTCCATAGCAATGACCTTCGGAGCCTCATGAAAACCCGAGATTACAGGATCTCTGCCCCAGACCCAGAGCGGCTGTCCGATCAAGGGGGCCGGACTTGCCGCCCAGGCCGTTTCGCGCTTATAATTCGCCCCGGTCCAGACCGATCAATAAATGAGAAACGAGCGCCGTCGATCTGATCTGCTACGTCTCCAGTTTGACGTTTCTGTGTCAGATCGGGGGGACATAACGGTTATCGAACGTTCATAGGATGTCAGGGATATTAAGTGTTCGCGTTTGGAATAAACACCCATCATATCCACAGCGGCTGTTCGGCGTAATCTAGCTCTAGTATTGGGTTCGGATATACTGGTACCGTACTCGGTACTCCGTATATCGACAGCTTCCAATCTCTAATTTCAAAGGTTCCGTGTGAAATTTCCCACCTGTTTCGGATTCAATCGTCTGATGCAAGGCTTCCCGTACTACTGCACAACATATTGCCACAATGTCGGGAATTAAGCGAGGGCGAGAATACGAACGGCGTTTAATATGCAGATATAGGACCTACACTCACAAGTAGGAGAAAACCTCCGATCTCCTTCCTACTTTGGTACCTATACCCAAGATAGTTAAATCGAGTCATCGACACTAGACTCCATGGTACGGACTTGTAAAACGACCATACCCGAAAAAACGAATACGAAAGACCCTACGGAGTACAAGTACAAGGCCGTGTGTGTTACGGAGTACCTGGATGATTCACGCAACGGCCGCCACGGGCAACTTTGATCAGTAATGGACAAATGGGAAACCCTCGAAAGAAGCTAGAGCATCGTTCTCACGGGCACAAGACATTAGGTGGATCGCGGCCGTGCTAAATTCCCCACAGTTTCTACCCTGAAACAGCGAACGAACGATCCGGTATGTGGCTGAGCGCGGAAAATTACCCAAATACCGAGTAAACAGGGAAAAGAAAGGGCGAAAAAAAGGGGGTGAAGGGGAAATTGGAGCGAAAGGAGCAATAGTGCAGAAGCCCAATAGAATCGACTAGAAACACTATAGACACTAACTAGAACGCTTTAGCTTCCATTGGGCTTTGTTTTACATTCACTGGATCCGATTTCTGACAGTCGAATCCCACGTTAGTCTGTGGAGAAGTCCGGCTTTTGTGACTTTTTTTGGTGTTTTTTTCTCTCTTCTTCTCTTGCTAACTCCATATGGACTTACGGACTTGTTTTTCTCGGATTCTTTTGTTTTTTTTTTTTTTTTTGGCTCAGGCAGCCATTATTCCCATTTCTTCGGACAAGGACCTATTGTAATCCGATAGTCTCAGATGTGGACAAAGCACTGATGTCCATAGTGGATAGAAGCTATCTGTTTATGAGACAGGTGATCGACATGGTCAAGTTTTTTTTTTTCCGCATGAAGTTCCCCCTTTTTTTCCCCTTCCCATAGTACCCTCGGATAGTAGTCCGGAGTGACATACGCCCTCTAACCACGTTCCAAGGTTGAGCATCGTATGGCCTGAAAGATTAATTCTCCGAGGTCTAGTTCAGTCTAGATCTCGCATACCACATGACCATCACAGTCTGCAGTTGTATGTAGGGAAAAATTAGGAAAAAATACAAAAATTAAGAATTAAAAATCAAGATCAATAAAAATTTAAAGGCTAGTGTGATCTGAGCCCAACAACATTCGATCCAATCCCAATAGCGGAAATGCACATTGTATGTTTGTGTGCGCCCAACAGGATTGCCTCAGTATGGCATGAGCTATCAACAGCCGAAAAAAAAAGAACCCATAGATGAACGGTGACACCGACCCTCTCACGAATGTTTTTGCCTAACCCGTGTACAACACAGCCCACTCAACGGCCACTCAACAGTCAGCGAAAGACCATACTACCTTGTCAGGAAGGGCGCAGATCCACCGAATTGAGTGTGACTGGGATCTAGCTACAATGAGTCAAGGATGGTGCAGGAAAGCACAGATATGCGGCACGACCAGAATGAACTTTGAAAAAAAAAGACCCGTGAGGCGTCTGCGAAAGCGGAAAATGGATCGATGTGTCGCGAAGAGAGTTGCCGGCATGAGATGGGCGGGGCTGTGTGCACGTTTGTTTCTAAACTTGGGGTTTTTTTGGTTTTGGGGCCAGAGGATGGATTTGTTTCAGCGTGAGATCTTGCGGCTGAAGTATGTAGGAACTATGTCATGGAGAACCTAAGGTTGGAAACAGGGGTCTTTGCGAGGGCCGAAAAAAAGTTCACAGCCCCGCGGAGGGCCCAGAAGGCCCCAAGAATATAACAAGGTTTGGTAGTCAAACGGGTGTCTTGGATTAAAGATGGATAATCGGGGACTCGGCGCCGACAAGGCTGAGTCAAGAAGCCAATACGGAGTAGTCCGAGAGGGAATCGAAATGGAAGTACGAGGGAAACATAAAAAGTAATAGCATAATAATATCATTGTGAATAAGGTATATAGCACTAGGGGGATCATATGGTAAATAAACGCAAGAAGGGACGAAGGGGGGTATGGCATCACAGTACAAAAGAAAAACACAGAATTGCACATCAGAGTCAACGAGCCACGTGAAAGATCAGGGCATAAAAACCAGAATCAAAAGCAAAAAGTCAGAGCACACGTATGCGCAAGGAACAAATGAAGGGGTCACCGATTGACCAGCCTAATCCATCAGCGCCACTGCCCTCCAGTGGCAGATCCATGTCCGTAGGTATCCATGCAAAAAGTAAATGCGATCTATCATGCAAAACAAAACAGCCCCATTCTCAGACCAGGTCCGGACAGCGAGCGGGGCAAAAAAATAAAGAAAGAAAGAAAGAGAAAGAGAAAGAGTAGACGGAGAGATCCACGGTCATTTCGAGATTCTCCGAATAAAAGAAAAACGTCAAGAACGTCGTACGTCACACGTCGGCCCAGCGAACGCAGACCGTCCAAGTGGAGATCAAAGAGGCGAAGATTCCAGAATGAGAAAAGCGAGCGAGAGGCGAATGACGGACGACAAAGAAACTCCCGGCGATGCAGATGAGAGAGAGTTGGAGCGGCAAAAAGGCAACAAAGAAGCCGGAACCAGAGAAAACCCAACGTAGCCGATGCGAGTCCCCGTCCCAGCCGGCAGGACGAGAAATATCGAAGAGCTGGGGAGGGGGTTACTCCGGAGCGTTCCGAAAGGGACGGCTCATTACAGCTGCTCAGGCTTGATTATGGATTCACCAAAGAGCTCTGAAGGCAGTGCGCGCTTGTATTCGCGCGGTTGGGCGAACGGCGACGCAAATGCTGGACGGCGCAAGTTCAGGGACTGGAAGATGTTAGTGTTGGGGGATCTCGGAGGGTTTGGGACGATCTATAGCCCACGTCTCGGAGTATAGAACATACCACACAGTCGGAGCACTTGGCTCCTTGTCTGTTGACGCGACCACGGCATCCACGGGGGTAGTTGGCGCAAGAGTACATGATGTCAAGATGGGAGGTAATATGTAGAGAAAGAGGAGTGAGAAAAAGAGGGAGTTGAAGTCAAGACTTTAAACGGAGAATAAGGACCAAGGCCTAGATTTGGTACAACACGATGACGTCGGTAAGTTCGGAGTCAAGCCACCAGGGAAAGTTGAAGAAAAAGAGGGGAGACGCTGACGGTTTATATCAGAGGCTCAAAAAGATGGCTTAGACAAGTAAAACAACCCAACTGTAGCAAAATAGGAGGATTAGAATTTTTAGGGTTCCATTTTCTTACCGTTTGCTGGGGTTGGTTTTTATTTTTTTATTTTTTTATTATTTTTTTGGTATTAGTATTATATCGTTTTACTATTTATTTTCTTTTCTTTTATTATTATTTCTCTTCTCTTCGGTTTTTATTGACGTATTAAGCCGAGATTATGATGAGATGAGATAGAATCTTCTTGTCTTATATTACATTTTCATTATTTCCTTTAATCTCTCTCTGACTTCTTTGATCGGGCACACTAGGACGGGACACTGATGACACTATACTATAGGTAAATACTGTAATACCGTCCCCTGTCATGCCCTGTTCGGATGTCATACTGCAGAGATCGGTCGATCCTCATCCCTTTGACCCGGAGATGCGGACTTATGATCGACTCAAATGCTGGTCGTCCTTACAGCAAGTGGGCCAATACCAGACCCGGCGCAAAGAGAAGAACAAAAAAAAAAAAAAAAAAAAACAAAAAACAACAAAAACAACAGGAACAGCCAACGGTCCCATGCATCCGGATCGCATGGCTGGTCTCTTATAATTGCAGGGCTAGGTGGAGCAGAGCATCTGACTTGCGAAACAATCAGGTCTAGTAATTGTTAAGCCTCAGATTGAGTGAACCTGAATTTGGACGGGTAAGATTCTGTAACATGGTATCTGCTGTTTCACATAGAGAGTGGGTCTGAAATTGTTCTTTTCGTTCTGGAAAACACCCCAACCTTGGAACTCAGGGGATTTTCTCGATTGTCCTTTTCCGGCCTGTTTGTTTCTCCTGATCAGCCCTGTCATGGTGTTCTAAGGTTCTCCTATACCCCGTCCTCTCCTATACTCTATACTCAAGTGGATGATGCGATTACGAGTGATCATCTACCAAACTATACCGTCAATTGAAAAGGGGATATGAATGAGTATATTATACTATATTATACTCCCTCCTACTCTACTTGATATCCAAAAATACACGGAACCGAAGCACACCGCCCAAACACCCGTCCCGCTTTCCCTTGGCAACTTCGTAAGCACCGTCGTACAGTGCTGGCGCGGTGAGAACGCAGACGTGGCCATGGACTTTAAAGCTCTTGGGTCACTTGACTCTCAGAGTCTAGAAGACAATGATCTGGTTTCTATGCACGGGTCCAAGTGGACACAGAGCGGGAACAAACGGAGACTGAAGATGACAGCCAGTGACAGCCACAGGCACCGCGAGAGCGACAGCAAAAGCACAGATGGAAGAAACATGCAGGCTACAGTCTCAATAGAAAAACCTTGATCAGGGAACAAGCGATCATCGGAGGTTATGAGAAAGGGAGGGGTGACCTCATCCACGACGCCATTCTCACTTGCAGAATGCAGCCAGACTGTTCCGGATCACCTCGGCTCATGTGACCTGACAGGACTGCCTGGTTTAGGTTGCTGCTAAGAGGCCGACAGCCGGGGATTATCTGATGAGACAGCGTCACAGGGTCATTCATTCCATGGAGCTCATTTTTTTTTTAAAAAAAAGGAAAGGAAAAAAGAAAACAAACAGACAAACAAACCAAAAAAGACAAGAAGCAAGAATGCTATAACAGACCTAGTCAGGCAAGAGGGAAGAGAGATTTCTCAAACAGCATTGCAGAAGAATCTTGCAAAAACACCTAGCACCTACGGAGTCCACAAAAATCGGAGGTTCCCCGCTCCCTCAAATCTCCAGCATCGATCGCAGAATGAACCAGGCACCGAAGATACCCAACACCGAAGCCAGCAACAACCCGTTTCCTTCTCTAGTCAGTCCCAAATACGCAACAGCACCGACAACCACCTCCCGCCGACGCGCTGCGTCTCGCTTCCCCTTCCAGTCCGGATCAATGGCGAACGGAGCCACAGCTCGCAGCCCGAGCGCGGGGTCGTGATCACCAGTCAGCGGCACCGACGCAGACAGCGCAACCGGACGATGATCTGACTGTGCAAAGAGTGGCAGTGCATTATATGCGAGCGGTTGGACCTTGCCCGCCTCACCGACCTGCGGCGGTGAGTCCAAAAACAAGATTCGATCGCACCAACTGGGCCATCGGTGATTCGACCATTTCCACTCCGTCCTCTCGCCCAAAGCGGCAGCCTTGCGCGCTGCGTTGGAGTACTTGTATGTAGGAGGGAAGTCGATCGGCGCTTCGGAGAGACCGTGGAAGGTCCGTCCGGAACTCATCTCGCGGATCAGTTGGTCGTGCTTGAAGAGGTGGGAATAGTGGGTGGGATCGTCTAGCTCTGCGTTGCGACGCGGGAATTGGACAATTTCCCCGATCGTAGGCCCGATGTTCGACGTGCGATAGTTCAGATCTCCCGCGAAGAAGATGTACGCATTTGGCGCGAACAGGTCTTGTTGACTGCCCTCCGAGTGGGCTGAAGCCGTATCGTCGAGGAGGCGTGATCGCTCATTCACCTCCGATCCTGACGTCTCAGGCGTGAATACCAGTCGCTCAACAATGCTCTTCCAGTCCAGGTTCCGTTGCTCGTACGAGTCCTCCATCGGGGCGAGATGCGCCGCGACGAAAGTCAGATCGATCGTCTTGGCTGGATGTCCTTCAACCACATATCCAAGACGGGCACCCACTGCGCCCTTGTTCCCCATTTCAGCGACCCCGACCCCGACATGGGCGGTGTCTTTCCAGGCAACCTTCTCGAGGGTCTCATGGCGAGCAAACAGCATCAACCCAGTCATACCCGTATGGTCGGTAAGGAAGTTCACGTAGTCGTCATTCCATTTCTGTGCACAGGCCTTGTGCACCGTTCGGCGAAACTCAGTAAAGTAGGGTGCGAGATACGATCCGCCGAGGAATGAATAGGCAATCGGGGCGATCTCCTGTAATGAGAGGGCGATTATGTCCGGCGCGGGGCTCCCCGCGGGGAGAGCGTCGAAGAAGTGCGTTGCGAATACATCGGGATCGACGAATTCCCTCGCACAGTTAAAGGTCAGCACATAGATACCCAGGGCACTCATACTGAGATACTGTCCAAGGTGAAGAGGGACGAGTGAGCAAAAAAGAGGTGACGTCAGAGCCCCGACCGCCTACTGCAGATCGCAAGAGGTAAACAACTCAGCGTCTCTGGCAGAATGAGCTCATTCTTTTAATCTTTGGGTACTCGGACTCGGGCACCCCAAGGACATTCCCAACACTCATCACGAATAAAAAAGAGAAAAAAAATCGAGGATCCAAATTGCCAGACAAAAAGACAAAAAGTAAGTGCATCATCCGTGAATCGAACACGGGCCTCGTCGATGGCAACGACGAATTCTACCACTAGACCAATGATGCTGGAGAAACAGTCAACGTTGAATGCCAATTGGCTGCTTGTATTGAGAGCCGCCCATTTGTGCTAATCGAGGCAAAGCACATTCTACAAGAGAACAACAACATTTCATCTTCCTGTACTTCAAAGCTTCCCTCGAAGCTCCACTTCGCCCTCCAGCTCAACCAACAATATCCCTTCCGCAACATCTTCCTCCTCTTCCTCCATCTCGTAGACCCACTTGACCTTCCCACTACGAGGACTGCGCACCTCAAGTTCCATCTTCATCTGCTTGACAAACGCCAACACTTGATCCTGGACCACTTCGTCTCCACTGGAGACTAGCACCTCAATCAGTCTGCCCGAGAGAGGGAGAACGATATGATGTGGGTTCCGGGGGTCACCTCGCCGATGCGATGAAACCAGCGCCGAGGCCGCAGTCGTGGTCGTCTCCAATTGCATGCGATAGGGCATCGCAGTCCGAGAAGCCGGCGTGGTGTATTCAATCTCCGCTGTAAGCGAATTCGGGAACTCGTTTCGTAGAACCCGTGAGAGGGAGAGATGGTGGGCGACTTTCGCGGTCTCTGGGGTGTCCTTCGATAGGGGCTCCAGTGTGATGGACCAAGCATCGCCTTTCCGGAATAGCAGATTGGATGCCGGAAGTGTGGTCTGATGTGCGGTATTTGAGCTGAGCGAGTTCTTCGGCGTCGGGATATTGCTTGATATTTGTTTGCCTTGCTGAAGGATCGTGTCAAGGTTGAGTCCAAGCCATTGTGTGTCGACCTGGCCGGACATGAAGTCAGGATGGGCAACAATTGCTCTGAGAAGGTTGATATTGGTGGTCACGCCCTGTATCTGGGAGTCTGCTAGCACGCGTTGAGCCTTGCGAACCGTTGCCTCCCAGCTAGATGCGGTCACGATGATCTTGGCGAGTAGATTGTCAAAGTTGGACCCCACGACTAGTGGAGAGCCGGGGTCAACGTTGGTGTCTACTCGAATCCCGTGACCACTTGGGACACTGAATCCAGTCACTTTGCCAACGCTTAGAGCGAATGCATTTTCTGGGTCCTCGGCGCAGAGTCTGAGTTGAATCGAAAAAGCGTTTGGAGCTGGTTGATCTGGGCTCACTGCAGCGTCCAGACCTAACTCTGCCAGCGTCCATCCCTGGGCGAGGAGAAGCTGTGTTTGGACAAGATCTACCCCACTGATGGCCTCCGTGATAGTATGCTCAACCTGAAGACGGGCATTTACCTCGAGAAAGTAGAACTCCTGCCGCTGCTCACTGACCAAGAACTCAAATGTTCCAAGCGAGTGATAGCGAACCTCGCCAGCCATCCGAAGCGCAGCCTCGATCACCTTTCCAACCAAAGCTCGCTCCATAAGAGCCGGCGCACACTCAACAACCTTTTGAAACCGCCGCTGGGCACTGCAATCTCTCTCCCAAAGATGCCGTACCCGCCCCGTCCTATCACCAACAATCTGCACTTCAACATGATGGAAGCCATCCACCGCCGCCTTCTCCACAAAGACAGACCTAGAAGGCGACTCACCAATCGCCCTCTGAATATTATTCACCAATTCCGATTCCTCTCGCACAAGACGAATACCCCTCCCACCCCCTCCATCAACCGCCTTGACCATAACCGGGAGTCCAATCTTCTCGGCGAACGCACGCGCTTCGTCCACATCACCGGTAGCTTCAAGCATAAAGTCCAATGTAGGAACCCCGCATTTCTGAGCCAACTGCTTTGCTTGCAGTTTATCGCCGGTTCGAGCAAGATTTTCCCATCCAGGCCCGATTACAATTGCGCCGGCTTCGTGGAACATCCGATATGCGAAGTCGGCGCTCTCGCTCAGAAATCCATACCCTGGATGCACGGCGTCGATGGAGTGTTTCTTTGCTAGATTTACCAGGTATGATATGTCGAGATATGTGGAGGCCGAGGGGATTTCAATTGCATGTTGCGGTCGGCCCAGATCGCAGTGCGATCGGTCGTCTGACGTGTAAAGAGCGAATAGCTCAATTGGGGTGGGCAATTCTCTTGCTGCATGAAGAATGCGGACAGCGATTTCGCCCCTGTTAATTTATTAGGTTGGATCAATATTACGAAGATGTTTGGGCACGACTGACCTGTTCGCGACCAGCAGCCGCTTGAAGGGTGAGTGTGGGGATGACGACATGCTTAGATCCAGGGGGTTTTCAATGTTCAGTTGATCTTGGCGCAACAATTCAGATTATGTATGAGGTGGATGGGATATTTCTTTAAAAAAACACACCAGCCCTTTATTGAACTGTTTTTGATTTGTACAAGCCAGGGCGACCTCGGCCCTCGGAGGTACTAAACACCCCCTCAGCGGACAGCCGTCCTTAACAATCTCCAATTCGGCGCAAACAACGACGATACAGAACTACAAAATTCTCAATCAAAACATGGCCAAAGATAACGAACATGCCAAAGACCAGGCCACCAATCGGTTAAATCAGGTTTCTGGTCACATATCATCCAAACCGCCCAAAACCAAATCAACTTTACCCGCCGACCACTCAGACGTGCTAGACCAGATAGCAACACTTCGCAACATTGCCGCAACCCCCAACCCCAAGCAAAGAGGCTACATCCGACAAAAGCAAGCCGGAAAACTCTGGGTCCGGGAACGCATCGATCAATTGCTCGACGCAGGATCATTCCAAGAAATAGGCTCTGTGTCCGGAACAGTAACATGGCAAAAGACCGCGCCCAGACGCGAAAAGCCGGTATCTTTCATACCCAGCAATAATGTCCAAGGTGCAGGAATGTTGCGCGGGAGAAAAGTGCTTCTAACGGCGGACGATTTCAGTATTCGATCTGGTCATGCTGATGGATCGAGTCATGGGAAGACGGTCTACGTTGAGAAACTTGCTATTGCACTGCGCGTGCCGGTGATCAAGCTTGTTGATGGCAGTTCTGGTGGTGGGAGTGTCACGACTATCAAGAAAGAGGGATGGAGTTATCTTCCCCATGTAGCGTCGTTTCCATACGTGGTTCAGCAGTTGAACATGGGGATACCGAATCTGGGAGCCGTGGTTGGGCCAGCAGTATGTTTATCTCATTTGAAAGATGAGCCGTGCTAATGATTTATAGATTGGGCTTGGTGCCGCTCGAGCCGTATCGTGCCATTTCTCCGTCATGGCGGCTGATATCGGTGCATTATTCAATGCGGGACCCAAGGTCGTTGAGGGCGCGACCTTTGAAGAAGATCTTGGGTTTCAAGATCTGGGTGGTCCCATGGTTCATTGCACAAATGGCACTATTGATAACTTGGCAGCGAATGAGGCCGAATGTTATGAGCAGCTGCGCGTTGTTCTGAGTTATTTGCCTAATTCTGGGAGTGAGGCACCACCGGTGATACCTTGCAACGACCCCGAAGACCGTGAGGATGTTGCTTTGCGGAGTGTTATCCCGCGACGACAAGCGCGCATGTATAATGCGCTCTCGATCATTACCTCCGTGGTTGATAGAGAGTCCTGGTTTGAGATCGGAGGTCTCTGGGGTCGCACTGCCATTGGCGGGTTGGCAAGGTTAGGTGGTCGACCTGTTGGTGTGATCTCGTTGAACTGTGAAGTGAATGGAGGGGCATTGGATGCAGCGGGCAGTCAAAAATTGACCAGGTTGCTGAAGCTGTGCGATGTGATGAACCTGCCTATTCTCCAATTTTTGGACGTCCGTAAGTGAAACCCTGCTCATTTCTGATTTCTTTTTCTGAAAGCTGCTGACATGGTATGTAAAGCGGGATATGCTATCGGCACAGTGGCTGAACGAACGGCAACCATGCGCTGGGGCGTCGAGCTTGCAAAAGCTTACTTCAGTACCACTGTACCTGTCTTTAATGTGGTGACCCGGCGTGTGTTTGGTGTAGCTGGCGGTGTCATGCTGGGATGTCGAGATCCGGTCATGCAGGTCGCTTGGCCCTCTGGCCAATGGGGATCGCTGCCTCTAGATGGCGGCATTGAGGTGGGACATCGGCATGAGCTACGTGAGGCTGAGAAGATCGGCCAGAAACAGGAGCTCTACCAGGAGTTGGAAGAGGAGTATCAACGACTGATGAATCCTGTTCGAACGGCTAATGCATTCGGGATCGAGGAGATCATTGATCCCAAAGATACCAGAAGTGCTTGCTGTGCCTGGGCGTCCCATGTTTATGATTTCCTGATGAAAGAGAGACTCGCGGATAGAGCTTGTGGAAAGCTGCAGCCTTCTTTTGCTTGATCCTGGATGATAAGTTGTGAAGGGTGGCCTTGAACATCCCCGAACTGAAGGATGGTCGAAGAGCGAATTGTCGAATAGTCCACAAACCCTGCCATGTATCTTATCCCCAATTTTATGAACAACCTGAATCAAGTCACTCTCCACCAACTGCCAGCTGAAACTCATCTCCACTTTTTAACTCTCCATCCTTTTTCTTTACGCAATAAAGAGGGTTATGTAATCATCTTCGCGGGGCCGGCACCGGAAGTCAAAGTAGCTATCAAATACCAAAATCCCCCACCTCACCACCCCAATCCCAATCCCAACCAAAATGGCAAATGTCCAAATCCTCGATGGAGGCCTAGGAACCTCCCTAGGCGATCTCTATAACATACAATTCTCCTCTTCAACCACCCCCCTCTGGGCCTCACACATGCTCGTCAGCGACCCATCAACACTAGAAGCATGCCAAACCGACTTTGGGCGCGCAGGAGTAGACATTCTCCTAACAGCGACCTACCAAGTCTCGCCCGAGGGATTCAAGCGAACCCAAACCACCGAGTATCCCAATGGGATTCCGCAATCTGCTATCGCGCCATACCTGCGCACAGCGGTTGACGTTGCATGCCGCGCCAAAGTGCGCGAGAGCGCCAGTGTAGCACTCAGTCTAGGGCCGTACGGAGCTTGTATGATCCCCGGGCAAGAGTACAGTGGAGCATATGATTCGGAGCATGATTCCGAGGAGAGCTTGTATGCTTGGCACCTGCAGAGATTGAGGATGTTTGTGGATGCGGGAGTGGTGGGGCAATTGAAGTATGTGGCTTTTGAGACTTTGCCGAGACTTGACGAGGTTAGGGCTGTTAGAAGGGCGATGAAGGATTCAGGGATTCAGGTTCCGTTTTGGATTGCCTGTGTGTTTCCCCGGGATGATGAATTGTTACCGGATGGAAGCGAGGTTGGGGAGGTTGTGCAGGCTATGCTTGGATCTGAAGGTGGTCCTGTGCCGTGGGGGATTGGGATCAATTGTACCAAGATGCATAAGCTTTCTGGGCTTGTGGATTCGTTTGGACAGTCTGTGAAGGAGATTGCGGGTGATGCGCCGAGTTTGGTGCTTTATCCTGATGGGACGAATGGGGAGGTTTATAATACTACGACGCAAGTTTGGGAGAAGCCAAGTGAGCTGAATGATAACGTGAGTGACGTGAGTACTTGTTGTCTTCTATTTTGCCCTGGAAGCGGTTTTGCTGACTTGAGATATAGCGACCTTGGGAAGTTCAGCTGGCTCAGGTGGTCAATGAATCATACGACAAGGGCCATTTCAAGTCGTTCCTTGTTGGTGGGTGCTGCAAGGCTTCTCATCAGGATATCAAGAAGCTTGGCGAGCAATTTAAGACTACTTAATCACAACGAGAGAGAGAGAGAGAGAGAGAGAGAGAGAGAGAAATAGGAAGGGAGCTTGAAGTGTGACACCGAAGACGGTGGATGAGGGAATATGTGTTGAATTAATTGTACATCGCTCATGTTGAAAAAACGCCAATAAGGCATGCAAGATATTATACTTCATGAAGTCATCTAGAAAAGCCAATCATAAAATCTTTTCCAAAAGCCAGTACGCGGAGTTTCATCTCGCGTGATCTCTCCATCTTGGAGACGACCTGACCATAGATCGATGTTGGCAGCACGTTCATACTGTTGACATATTAGCGAGTCTGGCAGGTATAAGATGAGAGTTGTGACTGAGACTAACCTTGGTGCGATAGAAAAGCTTCCAGCAAATGATAGGGACAATGAAGATAGGGATACCGATATACGAAGCGACGAAGTTTGACGTATTCCAGTTACCCTTCAAAAAGACAGGGAAACCAGCAACCAATGTGATGATTGTGGAGCCAATGAAACCAAACCAGGCGGCATAAGGTTGAAAAGGTGCCTTCCATGGGAGGGTGTCACGGCTGACGTTCTGCTTCTTCATCGCCGCATAGAAGCGAATGTAGCAGAAGCAGAGAGTTGCCCAAGCAATCAGTCCAGCGACGGTACTGAGGTTAAGAAGCCACGTGAATGCCTGGGAAGCACCACCGGAGCCAAGACTCAGGTATGCGAGAGGCCCAAAAAGCCAGGACGTGATGACAGCCACGTATGGCACACCCTTCTTATCCACACGCCCGAAGAATTGAGGAAGCTGACGGTCGGTGGTCATGGCGACGATCATGCGCGATCCGACCCAGCAGTATGAGTTACCGGCGGACCAAGCTGCAATGAGGATACACGCGTTCACGATAGAAGGCAAGGCTTTGATACCAGCGTTGGAGATGGCAATGACGAAAGGCGAGCTGTTTGCGTTGTCATCGCCGGAGACAAGACCCGCAGATCTGGGGTCTACAATGATACCGATGAGAAGTGCACCGAGGATGTAGAAAAAGGCAATGCGGTAAGTCACTCGGCGAGCGGCTTTCGGAATGGCGCGGTGTGGATCAACCGATTCAGATGCAGTGATGACAACTGTCTCGACACCGATGAAACTGAAAGAGGCGTTGACGAAGGACGACAAGAAGCCGAAGAAGTGTCCTGCGGGGCCAGTGACACCATTGTAGTTGGTCCACGGACCGGGGTTGTTCCAATAGCGGAATCCGATAGCATCGCCCTTCGGACCACCGCCTGCAGTGATCACAAGAGAGACAACAACGAGGCCGAGGAAGCAGAGAACCTTCACGCCACCTCCAAACACTTCACTTTCACCATAGAATCTCACACTCATCAAATTGATCCATAAAATCAGAACCAATCCAACTGTGATGACTACCGCAGGTGTTATATCCGTCCAATATGAAACAATGACCGCCGCCGCCGAAACCTCAGACGCGATCGCGATCGTATAGCAATATCCGTATGAGATAGCAAGCGAGAATCCAACAGATGGGTCGATAAACCGTGTCGCCCAGTGCGGGAAGGAACCGGCGGTCGGGAAGAGCGTCGCCAGCTCAGCAATACTTTGCATAACAGCCCACAGAATAGAACCAACAACGATATAGGCGAGGAGCAAGCCAGCCGGTCCAGCCTTGGCATAGGCCGATCCTGTTCCCACGAACAGACCGGTTCCAATACCACTGCAGAAACCGATCATGGTGACATGGTAATTGCGCAGACGTCGCTGCAAAGGCGCGCGACCGCCTACGCCCAGCTCGAATTCGGATTTCGGGTCGACATCGTATGAGAAGTCTGCGTCGGGCGCGGGAGCGACTTTCTCGTCCTTGAAGTCGGACTTGTCCATCTCGATGGCCATGATCGAGTCCCCAGTGCTGAGAGGAATGAACACCAGGTCGGGGGAGTGCGCGCTTTTTCTTCATATTTTTTTTGGCTTGAAATCTTATTTCAGATTAAGCACGACATCGGCCATCCGTCTTCGCGCACCGGTTTGTGCTCCACCGCGGGGAGGCTCATTGGATTGTGTGCCTCCGGGACTCGGCCTCTCCACTTTTTTTCGGGCCCCGGGGGCGATTGACTAACTTTTTCTCCCATGCTCGCCATCACCAGCAAATGGGTGCTGAGAGTGTGTTTCATCTGGTTGCATGTTCCCCGTGGGTACACGTACGCGATTGGAATGTGGACGGATGTGGAAGGCGTCCAGATGCCTGCAGAAGGCACGTGATGTGAGAGGCTCTGGGGAACTTCAAATGTTGCAGCCTAATTTTGGAGGCGTCGATTCTGCCTGAGGTGTCCCGCTTCGAACCGTGCCGTCGCAGATCTCCATGACTTTAAATTACTGCCATCTTTTCTCCGAAGCTCGCACATGAATTATTCTGATAATGCCTTGGTGAAAGCTTCACTCTATCAGAACCCCTTCGAGAGTCGAATGAGATATGCAAATCTGGCTATAACACTCACTCCTATTGAGCCAACGCTATTCTCTTGCAAAGAAAGAGAACGATGCCGGTCGCGGCCGAGGCCAAGCCCGGGAAGGCACCTGGAATGTTGCCACGCCCGACAGAACAAATCGATGCACTGGAACCATCGGATAGCCGGCAGGTTTGAATGGGTAGTCGGCCCAGTGGAGCTGGAGATGAAGGCAAATTAGTCAGATCTTACCATTGGCCATTAAAGCAATGGGAACCTCAAAATTCACAAATCCTAGTTCATGACTTTGCCCAATACATAAATTTGTGGAATACTGCACATCAAGATTGGTGTGTATCGAGAGTCGAGCTTGGCATCAGATCTCCATTCTCACATCCCACGGTGGCGACTTCATCTTTCAACCCCGCACGGCAGACCCTACCCTCAGCCCTGGAGTAAAGATGCCCTGCTCATGGTGCTTTTCTTTCAGACGACACCGATCAGTGAGCTATATAAAATCGAGAAAGAAGTGACCGTGTACTAAGAGTCGCATAGCCATCACCCTTGCCCTTGCCTCCACCAACGCCTGAGAGCGAAAATCATGGGTTCAAAGTGCTATACCAGGGCAAAGGACCCGTTGAAGTGGAGTATGTACTCAAGCTGTCTACGTGATATGACTTTGAATCTAAACCGTGGTGTAGCATCGTTGCCGTACATGGGTTGAATGGGCATCGAGAACGATCCTGGACCGCAGCAAACGGTACAAATTGGCTCCGCGACTTGCTGCCAAAAGATATGCCCAGCATTCGGGTGGCCTCATGGGGCTGGAGTTTACCAATCGCAGAGAAGTCATCTGAAAGAACTTCACAACAGGCAATATCCGAAAAGCTGATCCACGACTTGTGGGAGCTAAGATCGTCGACAAACGTATGTGGTCTTCGCAGTGGACGGCCCTTTGGAGGATCTAACAGATATATTACAGACAATCCACCGTCCGATTATTTTCATCGCACATAGTGCGGGAGGTCCAATAGTCAAGAGTGTAAGTGCATTGTCATTCGCCGCATCCCCCCCGGCTGGATTACCGCTGACACCCCCCAGGCTCTGGTATACTCCAAATCGGCACCCACAGGCCCCACTCAAGACCTACACAGTATCAAAGGCTCAACACGCGGGGCGATTTTCCTAGGATCCACCGAGCTAGGCTCAAGACTTGCAGGGTTAGAGAATTACCTGACTAGCGCGCAAGGCTCCGACCAGGAGTCGAGTGAAGTATACCAAGAAGCGCTGTGGCTGGTGAACACTTTGCACCGGTACAATGTTATCAGTGATGGTATCTGGACGTTATCCGTTCACGAAAGACCTGGGTCCTCAAGTTCGGAGACCAAATGGGACGAGGTTTGATTATCGTTACCCCGATGCCATTTGCTTTTGCTAACCTTGGGACACTTGTAGGGCAACTGCTCACACATTTTTTCCAGAGCTGGCCACGATGATATGATCAAGTTCGAAAGGTTCACCGAGGAGGGTTATTTACAGATCAAAGAGCATTTAATGTTCGTTGATCTGAATACAGAATTTGGTGCCTAAAGGGTGAGGCCACATTACTGCCTGAGGCCAAATGCAACACCGTGCACATCTGACGTAGTTCATGAACATACTACATTTAGTCCCTATTTACCTACAGTTACCAGGACACAACGACAAAGATGAATGATTTTTCCAATTCTTCAATGGGTCTGTATGTACGGAGTAAATTGCACTCCGTACGGAGTATTCCATAGTGAGATCGTACAGTACGGAATAGGCCAAAAACTCTTGGCAACCGAGGTCCAATACAATAAATCACCAACTAGCAGACCCCCTTTCCCCATAACTCCCAATCCGGCCAGGGCTTCGATAGTGTGCCTGGAACCAGACTGTTCCAATCCAAACTTTACAATAAAGTTACCTAACGGCCTGCAATTTCGATCAATTTCTGTGTTTTAGCCCAGAGAATTTTCAATGCCAAGGCCAGAGATGGTGCTAGCATAAGGCGGAGGTGACTTTGTGCAGGCTTTAATGCGCCGATCTCCAAAGCAATAGGGAAAGCCCACATGGTGATCAGCCAACGGGTTAAGACATTTGCTTCTTAAGGATCGGGATAAACGAATCAAATACTGGCATCACGCCGATCCTTTCTGCCCGTCAGAAACTTACCCGCGTCACCTCTCCCCTCATTCCGTTTCCGAGGGTTCTCCCTTTAAGCTCTATCTCGAATTCCTTTCTCTGCATGCTTCATGCACACACATCATGACTGAGCAAACCCGGTCTGCGTCTCCTGCCGGGTCTGCGCCCGCAAAGCCCAAAGGCAGGAAATTGCCTGCGTGGCTCGACCACTTCAATGCCCGCGACCTCAAGGTGCTCTTCCGCTGTGCGCTGGCGGCTTGGGTCGCCTCGCTGTTGATTTTTATCACCCCGTCCCTGACCACAATCGGTACAGCGACGTTTTTCGCAACGTGAGTGATTAGACTCAAGTAGACGCTGTCGACCACATCCACTAATCCCCTTCAGTCTGGTGTTGTTCATGGTCCCTCCGACCGGCATTGTATTTATCTTCTTGCTGGGATCTCTGACTCTCATCCTGGGCATGGCCCTTGGTTGGGCCTGGGGTGTCATTGCTATGAAAGCGGCGCAGGCTGCTCGGCCAGCCATCGAAACCCAGGCGAGACTTCAATTGCTTGGCCAGACGGCTTATGCTACCGCAAATGCCACCGGGGAGAGCCTTGCGGCTGTTCAACAGGTGCTAGTCTATTCAGGCTTCATGCTGGATGCCCGCGTGACAGCTGTCTACTATTGTTTGATCGCTGTGTTCATCTATCTGGTGGTGAGTATCTCTGGATTTCGGCCTCGGGGTAGAGAGTGAAGGGTTGAGCACAGATCTAACTTATTTCCAGTCTCGTCTGCGGGCGAAGAACCCTAAAATGATCTTGCTACAGATTTTCGCCATCATTATTGTCGATGTTACGCTGACTATTGGCCCGTTGCTCCCGTCATTCAACGGGACGATCGCCAAGGTTCTGGTTGAGCCGGCGGCCATTGGTATTGGTCTTGGACTGGTTGCCCACTTTATCTTCTTCCCTCGATCTACTTCTCATGTTGTCCTTGATGGGATGCAAGGGCTTGTGTGTTTGCTGAAAGGCCCCCTGGATGCCACGGAGACCAGCCTTCTGAAAGGTGATGACCTTGTTCTCGCAGAGCTAAACGCGATCAAGGTGAAGTGCATCGCGACGTACAAGAGCATTGAGCCGGCAATGGGATTCTTACCATTGGACTTTTCGGTAGGTTGGTGGGGAGCCGACGACGTGAAAAGCTTGAAGCAACCCATGCGCCAGGCATTGATGACTAGTCTGTCCTTGTTGGAAGTCCATATCGCCCGTATTGGAGGACATGCAAAGCTGGAGAAGCTCCATCAACTTACTCTCGATCACGACTCTGATACCGAGTCGCAAGATACCGGAAAGGAAAAGAATCGCCCGCGCGAGGTAGGCATGCGTCAATTGATTCAAAGCGTGAACCTCGTCCAAGCGCTCCGAAGCCCGGAACATGAATCCCTTCGGTCGGAAACTGTCAATGCACTTCAATTCTCCAGCAAGGATCTTCTTCCAGCATGCCAGCAAGCCACGGAATTGGTTGCCGAGTGCATTGGCACTGTGAATAAAAGATGGTTCGGTCGTGCATCCAAAGAACACCTGAACGAGCTGCATGAGCGTGCTCAGTCTGCGCTGCAGAACCTCCAATCGCTGCGCCAATCATTCGCTACAGAAACCACCGAGCGCCTCATTTCAACCCATGCTGAAATATTCGACGAGAAGGGTATGCTCAAGTCGCTTGACGAGTCTTCGGTGCATAGAGTCAGAGGCATCACTATCGGAATGATCTATGAGGAGCAACTTCTCGGCGTTGCAGACGGATGGGAGCGTGTACTAGGACAACTTGTCGTTCTGTTAAAAGAACGTCAGAAAATTCGCCTGTGGCTACCAAAGGGTCTGCGGTACGCGGTCAACTGGGTTCGTCGCAAGAACGCCGTGGCACCTATCCCAGCAGCCTCAAACCCAATTGTGGACCCGGACGTTGCAGAAGCCCAGTCCAAAGCCGCCCAGCAGCATCTTCGCATCAGCAGAGGTTATCGTGTGAACCGTCGCAGTGGATTGGGTAAGGCAATCATTGGGTCTTACCATTGGTTCATCAACACTGATGGTTTGTATGCCTTGCGAATGGTTATTGTTACCATTGCACTCGCTATTCCTGCGGCCATTCCCCATACCGCGGGTTTCTATTATCGAGAGAAGGGCCTCTGGGCCCTGATCATGGGACAAACGACCTTGGTCATCTACATGGCAGACTTCACATTCTCGCTCTTATGCCGAGCTATCGGTACGATCATTGGTGGTATTCTGGGGCTTCTTGCGTGGTACATTGGCTCAGGACACGGTGAAGGCAATCCATACGGTCTCGCCGCCATCATGGCAGTTGTGATTATCATTCTTATGTGGGGACGTATCTTCGCCCCCGTCGCCTTGCTCCAGGCCATGATGATGGCTGGTGCGACATGCATTCTGGTCATCGGATACAGCTACGACGACACGTAAGTTCACTTGTTCTCGCGCCAGGCTCTATGCTAACTAACAGCGTTTAGGCATATTCCGGCGTACGGAAACCCAGGCTGGGGCTACGCCGTCTTCTGGCGACGACTCGTGCTCGTCCTGATCGGATCCGCAGCCGCACTCATCGTCCAACTGTTCCCTCGCCCCCCCTCCGCTTCGCGCCACATCTGCAAATCTCTTTCCAACGTCATCCGCTCATTGTCTGATCACTACGCTCTCCTTCTGTCCTGCTGGGGCCAAGGGCGCGAGGAAGGTCTTGCCGCCGAACAAATAGCTCTCGACCTTGCCGAATCCCTCACTGGATTAGATGGACCAATTGCACTCCTTCGGTTTGAGTTCTCCAGCTCGCCCTTTGACAGCGAACGTTTGGGCCAGGTTAAATCACTCTGCCAAGAGCTGAACCAGAACCTCGCTCGTCTGCTATATCTATCTGCTTCCCTCCCAGAGCATCTTCAAAGCCGACTCGCGCGCCAAGCGGGTCTCCTGGACCACCGCAATATCGGCGATGTCATGGCTGTCCTCGGAATAGTGGAGCAATCGCTTAAGACAGGAGATGCTCTCCCCGAAGTCCTTCCCACACCTCTGCTCAAGCGCTGTCATGACTTCTGGCTTTCGCGCCAGGTGGAAATCACCCTCAGCACCGACTTGATCCGTGACGAAAACTACCGCCGGTTCTGCGTCGCTGTCAGCGCTTACCTCAAGTTCCTGGCCGCCGTGGATGACCTGGTACTCGTCATGAAGGGTACCTTGGGCGAATCGCATATTGTCAATCGAGATCTGGTGTATGACCAGAATGTATAAAGCCCATGTATATAATAACTATAGTATTCGCCGTTGAGAACCGGTTTCGGCAAAATGCTCAAAAAGATGTGTCATAGAAAAGCGAATCCCCTCACATTCCCCGCACGCCCCCTTTTCTCCAATTTTTGATTTTCTCCAATTTTCAAGCCCATATTTTTTGGGATGGAAATTGCTTCTAATCTTCTAGATACCCGTTGAAACCTAATCTTTTGTTACGCGATGTCTTCACGTCTCGCCCGTCTGCCTCGGTGGGTCAGCCACTGGCTTGGCTATCGCCCCGAGGCTCCTAAGCCACTACCAGCATACCAAGTCGCCTTATGGTCTTTTATTATAGCGTTCTGCGGCCTGTCCGTTCTCCAAGCAATCTTCAATTACTCAGATTATTTCAAAGAACGAAATGTGCCGGGAATAGTGGCATCTTACGTGAGTGGCCAAAAAAAAAAACCATCAAAATTGACCAATGACTCATAAATGGAAACAGGGTGCATCCGCCGTCCTCGTGTTCGGAGCAATTGAAAGCCCTCTGGCCCAACCGCGTGCCCTTGTCTTCGGTCACTTCTTCAGTGCTCTGATTGGTGTTTGCATCACCAAGCTCTTTAGCCTGATGCCGGAAGCCCGCTTTGAGTCTCTCCGTTGGTTGGCGGCTTCGCTGTCGACGGCTATTGCTATTGTCGTTATGCAGCTGACGGGCACGACGCATCCTCCTGCTGGTGCTACGGCCTTGCTGCCTGCTACGAACCAGGAGATCTGGGAGTTGTCTTGGTACTACTTGCCGATTGTCCTATTGTCATCGGCTATGCTTCTGGTTTGTGCGCTGCTGCTGAATAATGTGCATCGTCGCTATCCTGCCTTCTGGATTGCTCCGAACCCTCCGAAGCCTGCGCCTGCTCCCGTTGAGAAGAAGGAAGAGGAAGAGAGTACCAAGAGCCCTGTTTGATTGGGGCTGCAATGCATCGTGCATGTATAATCAAAAAAGATACTATAATTTGGGCTGTATATACACTTTCCAAGGTGACCCGAGATATTCCGTTAATATACTATTTGCATTGATCAGGAGCGCACGGTACCTCATTCGAGCGGAAAATAGTGGCTGAGCATCAATTCCGAAATTCGACTATGTGCGATATCCGATGAAACACCAGATGTATGTACGACAGCGCGACCACGGTCCAGATCTACACATGTATCCAACCGTATCGATGCAGGATCTGCATCTCGTTGATGATACATATCTGACCATCTTCTTGATTCCGAGGATCCAGAGCTCTCCAGCGATCAATCTGGCCTCGAATCATCTCCCCCTTGAGCCAAGAAATGTCACTCAAGCGACGGAGTCGATTAGTCCATATTCCCTGCAATATCCTCCAAGCCGAAACCCAATTCATGGTTGGATGAACCGCAGCGTAAGCAGCGCCATTGTATCCGACCCTGACCAGTGGATTGAGGTAGACGCCCTTTTGGATGGATAATGGATTATCTGCATGGATGAGACAACACTCAGAACCCTCGAGATGGAGCTGTGCGAGTGAGTCTGGGATACCGCGGAATCGAAGCGGTGGGCTGGAAAGGAATGGTTTCGCCGGCATTGCAACTGGAAGGGGTCAGCGATTGTGTTATTTGGAGGAAATATGCTTGTACCCATGCCGTTCCAACAGCTTGTCACTGGTACTGGCTTCATATGCTTCATCGCATCTCGAGATCGCTTGGAGCCAAAGTAGGGCCATGACTGCATGATGGCTTCATGTCCTTTACTGTCCCGCAGAGCAAAGGTATCATAATAGTGAGGAGGCTTGGAAAAGTCCAAGGAACAAGCAGCTCCGTATTGACCTTTGTTAGTATCCAGAAGCTCAATGACATCGCTCGGCTATTGCGACAATCGGAGCATGATCAGCATATTCCCATGAAGCCCAGCCATCAGTAATTCACCCAACTCACAGTAAACACAACATCGTTCAGAAACAAGATCTTATCAAAAGTAATCCCCTTCCGCGCAAGGTCCTGCAACGGCAACAGACTCAAATTCCGTATCCTCGCCAGATACGGTATTCGCCTAAGTTGCGTATTGCCTTTAGGAGTTTGAATCCAGCCCTCGCCTCTAGCCGGCGCAGCAATTTCATCCTGATGCGTAACAGGCGAGAGAGTGACATTCCGCGGGACACCCAATTTGTCAAGCTCCCAGTCCAACTCTCTCAATGCACCTTTTGTATTGTCATAACTCCCACTTTCGTATATGCTGACGAAAACATTATCCGGCCCAAGCTCTGAGACTAGATGTAGAAGAGCCTTGTTCCAGTGACTGCGCAGTACAAGCTCGTTATTCCAATTCACGCTTGCGATGTAGATCCGTTCTGTGTTTCGGGATGCGCGCGGGCTGCGGGATTCTGCTTCGCATATTCGTCCCTGGATCAAGTGGAGCTCAATCAGACTCCAGCTGATGAGTATTAAGATCAAAGCTCGGGAGAGACGGTATCGGAATCCTCTTCTGGTGGAAAGAAGCGACATGGGTGTGGGCGTGGGAGGCGGTAGTTCGGGTTGCGGAGGGCTGGGTCCGATGCGATCTTTCTGACATGATCTCGAGGACGAATGAGATGGAGGTTTGTGAAATGTTCAATGAAGGGAGGGGAGAATCAAGGGGTGGTATAAACACGAGGCTGCTCGCTGGGCGACATTCCGAAGAAGGGATGCTAGAGATCAATACTGTCTTAGACATGTTGCGTGAAAATCAATGAGCTCGGTGATTTAAGAACAGAGAATGAAATTGAGAGATTTCAATTGAGAATCGCGCAAAGATTACTGCAAGTTGGTATACTATGCAGTGGAAATATTATACAAGGGATGGATCAGGTATCAAAGAGAACACCAAGTCTCCATCACGCCAACAAATTCAACAGAGCAGTCATAGCAAATGCCGCTCCAACAAGTCTCTTAAAACCTGAGTGACACCGAGACCCCACACCGGTCTGAGTAGCATCTGAACTTGAAGTAGTGCTAACACCCTCAACCCACGGCTGACCAGGCAGCGTATCCGAGCTTTCCTCGATTTCCGCCGCAGTAAGAAGCTCATTTTCAAGCAAAGCGCAGTCTATCCGATCATCGCTCTTGGAAATACTATTGGTCACGGAAATCGGAAGATCAAACACAGTGTAGTAATCCGTGTCATTCCAGCGGAAAGCTTGGTGCATCGAGATATTGTATGCGCCGCGCGCTGAATCCTTCGAGCCCGATCCATCGCCGACGAGGCATTCGGGCCAGATCCAGTTCACATGTTTGACGGTGGATGATGGCTCCAGATCCAGAACTGGGTAGGCATAGCTGGTGTTTGAGGCGGGCTTTGTCCCGTTGGAGATGGTGAAATTGTGCGATTGAGACTCGGAGGTCAAGAATAGGGTTATGCTGTGGAATTGGGTGGATGACTCAGATTGGCTTGGTGGCCATGGAAGTTTTCCATTTCCTGAGACGTCGATCGCGACTTGGAGGTTATCTGAGGGTTTGGTTAGTATATGTTGGGTGAAGTGAAGTATAAAGGCCCACTCGCCTCCTCCCAGTGGGGTGTTGGGTTGCGGTGCGTCAACAATCGCTAATCCCGGCGTGTAGACTTGCCCGTTGACGATAGTAAAATTGACCATTTTGAAATAATTATGTTTTGAAAGACGAGGTGCGCGACCAATTTCGTTTTATTGCAGTGCGCTAAGGGTCTCATCTCCGAAGGGTCCGCTGCTGTTACTAGCGCCTTGGAGTTAATCTATTTTCTTTCGCAACCAATTGGTTTCTTTCCCTCAAAATTATTGAGGTACTTTCGAATCCTTTTGCAGAGTATAGCATTATCGGTTGAAATATTTCATTTGAAATATAAGATATCCCTGGTGATAGGCCATGCCTATGGACATACATGAACAGCAGGTATGCTCCCAGGGTTTGCAGTATAAGCCCTCGTTTTCCAACCTTCTATGCCTCCTCCGTAATGAATGGAATTAAAAGCTATGAATAATTTGGTATTGTACATTGCTAGCCTAATGGGGCCACCGAGAATCTACTCAATTACCATGGAAGGATGGGATGTCTCACGAGATAGAGAGGATTCTTGATATTCACGAGTCAGAGAGCCTCTAAGAGCGCTTTTTTCCAAACTTCGGAAATTGCATTGTCCTGTGTTTTCTGAGGTCAATACGCCCCAAAGACTCTTCGTCTCCGACCTTGTCACGTTTGAATAACATTTTCAATTGTTGTTCAATCGTATCTTCCAACTATTGACGAATTAGTCAGTTCAGAAGATGGGGATACCGCCGAATGGGAACCAAGGGCAACCAATAGGGGTCTCAAGCTACTCACGCCCTTTTTAGTCTTGAACAGTATCCATATGGCCAAAGTCAAGATGATAGTGCCTGCAGCAAATGGGATATATAGCCACCAAGATGGGTTCGATGCGAGAATATCGATATTCATCCCGAAAAGACTCTATAGCTGCTATTAGCCACGCTCGCCATGCGAACATCATAGTGTGCAAATTCTCTGGGTGGGGCTCTTACTGCAATGAACATGAGTGGCAGGAAAATAAACTGCTCAAAAGTTAGTAATTGAGAGACTGTGGGTGGATTAAGGCCTACAGTGATCCAACTGAGACGCTTCATGCTTCTGTTCATGGTAGTGGACTTCTGTGCCTCTGCGATCGAGGTAAGGTTGAATTCCTGCATCGATTTAGTGACCTCGAACATGATGGATTGGGCGATTGGGCGCACCAGTTGAATTAGCTCCTGAGAAATAAGATCCAGAGATAATAACCTCTCTTCCACCATTTTCTCCGTATCTTCTATCTCATCCACAAAAAGCCGTTTTTTCGAATCCCGAGAGGGTCTGGTAGGCGTCGACATCAACCGAGGGGCAGGGGCTCTCAAGCCCAATTGTCTCCATCGTAGGAAAAATCTCTCATGGAATGATCGAAGAATTGACATCTGGTTAGAAAATAGAAATTTGAATTCATTCCATGTTTGGGCATCTCTCAGATGGTCATTAATCAAGTTTGTGTTCCTTCCATTGGAGCGGAATGTTTCGCCTCGCTAATTGAAGATCAGTAATGCAGGTCAAATGGGTATTTGGATCTCATACCATCTGCGAAAGATGCTTTTCTGCCGACTGAAAAATCTGGCTCCACTCATCTGCTAGCTGCTTGATGTAGGGTATCAAAATCTCGTCATCATCTGGTAGTTCTGGAATTTTGCAATCTTCAAACGTCGTGAAAACGACTTTGCATTCAAGCTTTACTTCGGGGGACGTAAGTGAGGATGGCGGGTGAACCTTTTCCGGCTTGACCAAAATCCAAACCATGGCATGGTTCTTTGGTTTGATTTTCAAAGATGTAGCAGCTGAAAGGGTGGCTATCTGGTGTATTTCGCAAGAGGGTAGGATCACACGGCATTCGAGAAAACCTTGAGTCATCAGTATGACGGATTTTGGTTTGAGTAAGGATATCTTTCACTGACATTGAGAGCGAGAAGGCTGGCTCAGAGCCACTGCACTCGGAAATTGATTGAGCTGCACTTTCCAGTTCCAGTGGTCTTTTTTCTCGTCATATCTAGCTCTGATGATCAATTTGTCGGGCTGTTTCATCAATGCCTTACGCCACCATCGCAAATAGAATCCATTGGAAGAGTGATTAAGGAGCCTGTCGTTTCGAAGAAGACTGTAAGGGTGAGCACATATTCCAAATGATCAGTATGCCAAAGGTCTTACACGAGTGCTCTCTGAAATGAAGCGGTTGCAACACACTTATCATCCTGTGCTGATACACTTGAGATGGAGCGGTAATCCAAGGGATATGAAGCTGTATGGAAATACTTTATCAATTCCAGACTATTCATCATTTGTACTGAAGGTAAGTCTGGCCCGTTCAGAGCTAGAAAGATGTTATCTTTCCGATTAGAACCTTCAGCTTGTCTCCAATTGGTCGCCTTGATGGTTTGGTCGACTGTTCCATCTCTCGCAACACGAGGGAAGATTTGACTCATCATCCTGAAATTTTTCAGTTGAGAGGCGCGCTGGAATGCAGTGGTGTTGTTGAAATCCGGAATATGCACATTAGCATCATGGTCGACGAGCCATTCTGCAGCCTCCAAAAAGTCATTCTCAACAGCACGATGTAATGGGGTACATCCGTCGAAGTCTGCTTTATCAATAGCAGAGTTGAGAATATTTTCCCAAGTGTTTCCCTCTTTGGTTTTGAGAGCTCTATCCAACGAATTCTTGAGACTTTGGAAAGACTCCGGGTAATGTATGGCAATACAGAGTGGCGTTTGCTTAAAAGCATCCGTATGGCCTATAAAAGTGTGTGCGCCGGCCTCAAGAAGTAGATCGAGCGTGCTCACATCTTGGCAAACCACGGCAATATGTAGCAATGATGCGCCCTGATCATCAGTCGCGCAAAGGCTAACATTTGCACCTCGCTCAAGCAGCAATTTCACACTTCTATTCCGCCCCAAAGATACTGCAGCTTGAAGCGCAGAGCCATGAAGACCACCTTGAGCGTTGACATCTGCACCCCGGTCAAGGAATAGCTTGATTAGGTCCAAATTCTCACAATTTGCACATGCTGCGGCTTGAAGGGCAGAGCCGTATCGACCACCTCTAGCATCCACATGTGCCCCTTGACCAAGAAGTAAGTTGACAACATCTAAGGTCCCAGAAGATGTGTATGCAGCAGCCTGGAGAGGGTTTCCAAATTCTCCACCCTGGTCATTGACATCCGCTCCCCAGTCCAGGATGAGCCTGATCATACGTAAGGCATCCTGATTATCTGAGCATGCGGCGGCGGCTTGAAGAGCATTTCCGTATAGGCCGCCTTGGCTGTTGACATCCGCACCTTTTTCAAGAAGTAGCTGCACAGTATCGAATGAGCCTCTGTTTGCTGAATGCTGAAGAGCACTTGTGCATTGATCTTTCACAATGATTCCGGCGTCAACAAGAAGCTTCACGAAAATGAATGAGTTGTGGTGTTTGAGTGCTGCACTTGAAAGATAAAGGCCGCCGGAGTCGTTGACATTGGCCCCCGCTCAATGAGTAAAGTGGCAATGTCCAAGCTTTCATTCAGAATTGCAGCATGAAGGGGGGTTGTATATCTCCCGCCGGCTTTGTTCACATCGGCCCCACTATCAAGAAGTATTCTAACCGCCTCTAGCTTCCTAGAGCCCACCGCGGCTAGAAGGGGAGTATAATATTCATCAACGGGAGCGTCCACACAAGCCCCCCCGAGAAAGAAGTAGCCGAATGGCATCTGGTTTCCCACTAGAAGCTGCAGCCGCAAGAGCGGTCCCAGATTCAGCCCATCGGGCGTCTACGTCTGCCCCGTTGTCCAGAAGCAACTTGACAACATCGAGGGCTCCTTTCGTTGCTGCAGCCCGGAGGGCGTTACCGCCAGGGGCATTCACATCAGCGCCACTAGAGAGAAGCAGCCTGACGGCGTCTAAATCCCCGCGGGATGCTGCCGCGTCCAGAGCAGCACCGCCAATGGCTTTTAGATCGGCCCCGGAGTCAATCAGCAGTGTTATAGCATCCAAGTTGCCACTGAGAGCTGCAGCCTCCAGAGCAGTTCTGAAGTCACCGCCGGGGGCATTTACATCCGCTCCATGATCAAGTAACAGCTTGATAGGCTCTAATCTTCTGCGGGATGCTGCCGCAGAGAGCGCATTTCCATGTATACCGCCAAGTGCATTCACATCTACCCCCTGGCTAAGGAGCGTTTTCATGGTACTCAAATCACCATGTAATGCGGCATGTGTAAGAGGACTCAGTTGTCCCTCCACGGGTTCCCCGAACACATCGAGAGCCATGTTGGGTAGCAAGTGCAGCAGATGATCACCCTCTAAAAAGGGAAATTGAATCTATGTGTCATGAAAGACTATGTTAGAGCTGCCAATGGTCGAGGGCTCTTCTAGTGTAGTCAAGATAAGGGACTCACCGTGCTTGACCAAACCCCTAGCGCTAAGCTAGATTTCCGCACTGAAAAACACGACAAAAGCAAGTCCAGTGTATGTAAAATGAGTGTCTTGACGCGGTTTCGGGTGGGTCAGGCCTGTAACCCATAGAACATGAAAACATGCATAACTTTCAAGGGGAAGAGGCAGAGGGTCCGGAGGAGCTTACTTGACACTCCGAAAATGAAGTGAGACTCATGGCTTCAGCTCTTCATTGACCGAGTGAGGCGCGCGGCTTGTGGTGTTTGCTCTTGTGGACACGAGCAGGCTGCTCCGCCAATCATTTTAACCATAAAAGGGAAGTCTTGTCCTGAAAGAGTCTAGAGTGCATGCACCTGTATCCGTGTGCAGGGGGCCAAATACGGAGTCTTTGACCAATCGACATTTGAGGCGGTGAAGCAGAAAGCAATCGATACTATTCAGGAGTCTTGGGGGCTGTGTGCATCGCCCCATTCTCCAGGCCAATTGAAATCTCACACCATGATGCCGGATCATTTGATATCAGGGGAGTCATCCTGCAATCACTCCAAGTAACTCTTCAGCTCTAAATTTTTTTAGTCCTCCATCATCTCCACTCTTTTGACTGGAAACTGTTTGAAAAAAAAATGCAAAGATCAATATTAACGCTCCCTACCAGAACTTGGCAGACTCGATCTTTTCAAGATACAAACAGCTCCCAATGATGGCTACAAAAAATGGAATATGATCTAAATTTCAATCCTAATGGACAGCAACAAAAATGACATAGGGCATGCCACTTCTCCAACCCCCGCACTTTCGGCATCCACTTTGCCGGGGCAATGTCGATCATCCCGAGGTCGATTTAAACACTCTTACAACCCCCACGATGGATGAATGGATTTGCGAAGTATGCTGCTCGACATTCAGCCGACCAGAACATCTCAAGCGTCACTCCTTGTCTCGTACGTATCAAATTCTCCCAGCAAAAACCGATCATTGACACCGAGCAGATGAAAATACTAGGCCGCATGTCTGCGGACCATGCGGAACTAGGTTCAATCGAAGGTGCGCACTGGACCAAAATCGATTTTAGAACAAATCAGCTTATATACTCATATCAAAAACCAGGGACTCACTGCGTCGCCATGAACGGACTTGCAAGCTTCGTAATGCAACTGAAGAATTCGCTGACAATGAGTTCTACCACGATGCCGATGAAGAAAATGAGCCAAAGCGGCGATGCTATTCAATACACACAGAGGATATCACCTCGATTCTTGCTAGTGGGCCTATGGATGTCTCAGGAGGTCCAACCCTCCCTTTGGGATCAATACTCGGGCAAGAAGATTTGAGTGCAGATCATCATCCACAAATAACCGATGTGAATGAGGGTAACCTGACGCTATGTGAGACCAATGATGGGTCATTATCAGACTCATTTCCCAACCCTGATCAGTTTTGGTTACAAGAAATGCCATCACCGCTCGACTTCTCTACTCTGGATCTATTGTTTTCCTCTCAAATAGATTCCGACACCATCAAAGCCGAGAAACTAGAACACTTGGCATACTTCACCAGCTCCAGGGGGATGTCCACCTTTGCCGACCGGGAAACATTTCAAAAGAATCAAAGGCTAGTCGCCGAGGACTATAAGAACAGACAGGAAGACACGGGAACGACTCTTGAAACCGATCCTTTGTCCATCAAAGCACTGGAACTGGTTGAAAGCTTACGAGATATCATGACAAACAAGCAAAACAGCGACGTGATCACAATTGAATGGTCGTCAGCGACACAGACTCAGTGCCAGGGGTTCTTCTCACCTATCAACATCAATCGTTTTCTGGAATACTTCTGGGCTCTTTGGTATCCGAACTGTCCAATCATCCACAAGCCCCTATTCAATCCGAACAACGCATCACCTGCCCTGCTGTGCGTAATGCTACTTGTAGGGGCTTGTCTGTCGCCTACCAAAAACGATGCTCAAAGGGCTAGAAAATGGCTCGACAGCGCAGAGGAACTCATTTTCAGAAATGAATGTTTTCGAACTACCAAGACGCCTTCGGGAGCAACGCATAACAAGGAATGGCTGCAAGGAATCCAGGCAGGGTATCTTATCTGCTCTCTCCAGAAGCGAGAGGGTCCCGGGGCGACACAAGCGCGGATCCGACGATATCGTCATGCATCGATGGTGACAGTGAGTTGATCAGCTCTCTGAGAAAAACTTCATTCAACTTTGGCGCTGACTTCAAATGTGCAGCTGGCAAGGCAAATGGGGATGGCAACGGCATCACACAAGAGTTTGGAGACCAACTGCGACCCGCAAACTTGGTGGCGGCAATTCGCTGAAGAAGAAGAGTTGATTAGGTAGGATTTTCGGCTGGACTTAAAATGCCGAGCTCGTTTTAACAATGACAGGACTGTCACCTTTGTCTTTCTCATCGATGCTGCGCTTGTCATTTTCCATAACTCACCACCGCGTGTGGTAGTGTCCGAATTGAAGATGAACGTTGCCTGTCCCGAGGCGTGCTTTCAAGCCGAGTCTGCAGCGGAGTGTCAACTGCATCTCGAAGAATGGAAAAAGACCCGATTTTGGAAAAACGGACTATTGATAGTCTCCGTCGTGCGGCAGATATGCCAAAATGATTTTGAAGATGAGCTAGCGCGAGAGTTTTCCCAACTCGGCACGTTGAATCTTTTCACGATCGTTCAAGGTAAGTGAGCCGGATTCTCTCCTCTCTACAAGCGGTAACATTTGACCAGCCATTCACTCTTTGATGTTTCACCTTGAAAACTCGCTCGTCTTTGAAGCGACCATGGCACCGGTGCACACAGGCCTTGAGAATTGGAGGCGCATTTGGGACAAGCGTATACCAGAAGACTTGGATAACCCACAGACGCCAGGTACATTGTGGAAACAAGTGGGATTCCTTCGACAGGCTGCGGAATTCTGGCATCTGGCGCGTATCAAAGCGACGAAGATTACAAGTTCGGGTCAAGATGACGAGGGAACACAGTTGTCTCCGCGTTACGACCATACTGATATGGGTGAAGTCAACGGATTGATTAAGGAGTATCGGCGGATGACTCTTGGAATGACTTGAGCATGTCGGAAGCTGGACCAGAGGCAAATGAAAGGCAAATTTCATATACAAGGAAGTTATACTGCTATGATAGCATTCAATTTACCACCCAACAGAAAGGAAGATACACCAGACCGTCCGTTGACTTCGCCGACCGATGGAATTTCCTCGTCTCGAATCGGCTCCCAGTAGCCGCCGGTGTCTGAAAATCACACTTTCACCTCGGATTCCATATACTCTTCACGTTCGAGAAGCACGGCGTTGTACCCGAACTTCGAAATCCAAAGGTTTCACAAACCACATATTCTCCGTGCGCCATGTTTTCCGCAAAGGCACGAAGTCAAATTCTTGAACGAGCCGAGGAATCACCTTGGACATCTCGAGGATAGAGATGTGTTTACCAATGCAAGTTCGTGAGCCGAGACCGAACTGTTTAGAAATTTCATCAGTATCCGCCACAGCCCAAAAACAATGTATGAAGTACTTACCGGCATATACATCTGGTTCATCTCTTTCAGCTTCTCAGGCTGACTTTCAGCCTCGATCCATCTCTCTGGTCGGAAGATCTTCGCATCGGGGAATATATCCTCATCATAGTGTGCAACCCACGTGTTGACACCAACGACAGTTCCCTCCGACATGAACCGTCCTTGAATCTCAGCTCCACCCTCGGGAACCACCCTCCACATAGGAAGTCCAGTAGCGGGGTGCATTCGCAGTGCCTCTTTCATGACGGCTTGGAAGTAGGGCATTTCCTGCGTTTCATTGAAAGTCGGAGACGGACTGCACCGGCCTTGAGCCGTAAACTCATCCAGCTCCTCGCGTAGTTTCTGTAGGGTCTCGGGGTAACTCAACAGATGCCACATGATTGCCGAGAGACTGATAGCTGTTGTATCAGAGCCAGCTGCGACATTCGTGTTGGCCATGATGAAGATGTGAAGATCGGTTATTTTCTCGGGGTCTTTGTCCCGTACCAGCATCAGCTTCTCCACGAAGTTTTGGGTCGTCTTTTCAGATTGAGTCTCGACATCAGATTTCTTCTTCTTCTCCTGAAGTGCGATCTTTTCTTGCACGAATTTGCGAATGTACGCTCGACCTCCAGCACCGAATAAATTGAGCTTGGCGAGGATTCCGGACAATCGTGGATGCCATTGCGGGTATACGCCGATGAGAGTACTGTAGCTGAGAATTTCTTGCACAGCGGCGATAGCACCATCAATATCATGACCTTGGTCCAGGAATCCTACTTCGGTTAGCGTGCCTACAGATGAACAGAGAAAGATCAGAAGGGCTCCTTACCGAAGCGTTCTCCAAATGTGATGTTCCCGATCACATCGAAGGCATAGCACTGGAACCAATGACCAAAATTGAGGATCTTCCCAGTCCCCGCAAATTCATTGAGACGATCCACAAACAAGTCAGCGCAGTGATCGACGAATGGTTCATAGTGCACCAATGAGCTCATGGAGTACACGCTGGTGAACCGTTTTCTGGTATCAGCTGAACCGAGCTTCGTTAGTATACAATATCAGCCAAGGGAGATGGAGGCGAACAGTGTCTCTTGATATCCCGATCGGCGAAGATGGACCAATGGCCGGCGGGCTTCCATGCATCGTACCACGCAGACTTGGCAAACTTAGAGCCCGGCCCGTAGATCATTTTCACCGAGGCGGCATCGTTGATGCTGAAATGATTGGGGCCGATTTGAACGATCGGACCATGTTCTTGATGCAGGCGGATGTTTTCATGCTCAAAACGGCCACCGCGGAGGTGCTGGAAGTACCACAGGTGGCTGATGCGGGCCCAAAACGGTCCTGGGGTAGATCTTGAGGCTATGAGGGATTTGGAGATTCGGATAATGTGGTATAAAAGGAACACAATGGGAAGAAGGGCGATGATATACATGATTGGAGACAGATACGCTTCTATTCTATCCTCCCAAGGTCTTTTTATAAGTGCGACGGGGTGTATCGCGGTAAGATCCGCCCCCACCCCCGCCGCACTGCGCATTGGACTCGGTGGGCTCCAGTAATCGACCACTTCTGATTGGTCTGTCGTAAATGCTATGCTAGCAGGTTTCGAATAGGGTGAGTCCAGACATTACTTCATTACTACCCGGCTGGAATGGCAAAAGGCAAAAGGCAACAGGCAAAATGTATCAGGTATCAGACATTAAAAAGAACCGTAGCTCCAAAAAAAAAAAAATATAACACAAGAAAAATAGCGAGAACATTCGCCCTCGGTCACTTGAACCGCTGGAATCACCGCTTGTCACCCCAGAGTCCAACAATACCAATCGAAAGTGCAATGCCGGACAACCAAGCCCGCACACGGTGCAGCTTGCGCTCCCGCTCCATCTCACGCTGCACAGTCTCTCCATTGACATCATTCTCAGACTCCACAACCACCAAATCCTCATCCTTCTTAGCCTCCGTCAGAGAGAAGTGCGACACATCCCGGATGACGGCGGATACCCAGTTCTTGAAGCCGAGATGACGGTTGAACCAAAAGTCCACACCGTGTGCGCTGACAGTAGAGAATGCCCACAGCCAGACCATGTAGGGGTGACGGCGACGAGGGGAGGACAAACACCAGGCGAAGCAGAAGCAGGAGTTGGTCAGGAAGGAGAGGCGGAGGGCATATCGGCGACTCAAGCGCTTGACCTCGTTGAGGGAGCGGGCTGCTGAGGTCGCTGTTGGGAGGAGTTGGAGGGCGGGGATCGTGATTGATGAGGTTGAGTAGGAGAGGCCCTGTAGATTCACATTCACATCAGTACTCCGTACGCTGGTGGATGTCGCATTGGAGATGGGGTTGGATGTACCGTAAGCAGACCGAGGGAGACGGTGCCGACGAACTTGCTGACGCTGATGGGGCAGGCCATGATGACGGTTGAATGGCGGAGTCGATGATCGATGACAAGTGCAGCTTTGGAGAAGCGCGAGATCTTTACGAAGAGATGAAAAAAGGCGTCTCGGGCAATTTCCAAGATTGTTTTCGCGGTGACGTCGATAAGCCAATCAGCGCGCGTATCTTGGGACTCACGAACAAAGGAACAAAGTGGTTAATGGGGGGTTCAAGTAGTATATTAGACAAAATATGAATAGTTCAGAGGCTTCAACAAGAGAAGTTAGCTACTTTTCGAGTTCTTTTAGTTGGGTTGTGTAGATTTGGCGTACTATACTGCAAAAATCATACCACACAGCTTATCCTAAGACCATACAAAGATATACTTCACCTTCATAGCCATCTTGACGAATGACAAAAAGACCAGTGTCTGACATCGCCGATCAGGAATAAGCAAGTTGTGTACACAAAAGTCCGTAATCAAAGCAGCCGAGGTCCAGATGTGGGGAAAATGCCGAACGGCCATTTAAACCTCCCTGGATTTCTCCAACTTCCCCCCCACTACATTCCACAATCCTGTTCATCATGCCACTACCAAAGAACGAATATCTCAGCGACTCCTGGAAGGATGGCATCTTCGGTGAGTCCCCAGCCCCGGTCAAAGCCTGGCCGAATCCCGGCCGAATCCCGGTCACGCTAATGCAAGGCAGCAAACAAGGTGGTCTTCTGCACTGGCGGCGCCGGAACCATCTGCAGCGCCCAAGTCCGCGCGCTCGTTCACCTAGGGGCCAACGCATGTATCATCGGTCGCAACGTCGAGAAGACCGAGCGCGTTGCGCAGGACATCGCGACTGCTCGGCCCGGCGCCAAGGTGCTTGGCATCGGATCCGTGGATGTGCGCAAGCTCGAGACTCTGCAGCAGGCTGTGGAGCGCTGCGTGAAAGAACTGGGCGCAATTGATTTCGTCATGTAGGGATCTCTCATCGCTAGATGCTGGATGACATGCTAATCTTGCAGTGCGGGCGCGGCGGGTAACTTCCTGGCCTCAATTGAGCAGCTCTCCGCCAATGCCTTCAAGTCCGTGATGGATATCGATATCCTGGGCTCGTACAACACCCTCAAGGCGACTTTGCCGTACTTGAAAGAGTCTGGCAAGAAGCACAAGATGGACTCGAAGTCTCGTGAGTGGATACGTGGCCACTTGCTAGGCTTGACTAACTGTTGCTGTAGTTCAGTCGTCGCCCCTTGGAACTGGCGGTAGAATCATCTTCGTCAGTGCTACCATTCACTACCGTGGTATGCCTTTCCAGACCCACGTGTCGGTCGCCAAGGCTGGTATCGACGCTTTGTCGCACAGTGTTGCGCTCGAATATGGCCCTCGCGGCATGACCTCCAACATCATCGCACCGGGTCCTATTGCACAGACAGAGGTGAGTAAATGAACTCATCAATACAGAGTTAAACTGACCATATATCCAGGGCTTTGAGCGCCTCCTGCCATCGGATGCTCTGGAGGCCTATATCAAGGGCCAGCCTCTTGGTCGCTTGGGCCACGTTCGTGATATTGCCGATGCCACTGTGTACCTGTTCTCGGACACCGGTAGCTACGTATCCGGCCAGACCCTTGTTGGTAAGTTCGCAGCTCGATCGAAGTGTCTCGTTCGTTACTAACGCGTTTCCAGTTGATGGTGCAAACTGGCGCATGTCGGCGGGCGGCGCGTCCAGTGGGAAATTGTCATACCCCGACTTCTTGCTCTCGGGAGACGATGTGCCTAATGTGACCGGCAAGAAGAAGTCGAAGCTTTGAGCTGGGTGTTCGATGCCGAGCTTGGATATTTTGATCGCCACGTCTCGCTAGGTTGTATCACTATAGTCGCGTTAGATACTAATAGACTGGACATGAAATGCACATATGATACCTGGACCGCACCGCGTACCACTGGCAGACTGAGCATGTTGGTAATGAACGCTTTCTGGTCCTGAGTTGAACTGGGAAAGTAGTTTCACCACGTTCTCCAGCTAACTAGCCACAACCTCTCAAGGATGCCCCGGTCTTCTCCGCTCTCGGCCTCATTGTGTTTTCTTTGATTTCTCTTCCTCTTTCTCACCACCTTTCGTTTGATCTCCTCTTGTCTTACAGATACACATACCACCAGGCCCCACCCGCCATCCAGAAACCATGGAGAACGCCCATGCTGTACTGTCAATTGTCGAAATCCTCGAGAATATCCTCTGCCATGTCGACCAAAAGACCCTCCTTATATCCGGCCAACGTGTCTGCCGCCACTGGCACGATGTAATCGCCACGTCTCCTCCCATCCAGAAACACCTCTTCTTCCGTCCCGATGTGCATCGCAAAAACAAGGAATTGAACCCGATGTTGAACTCAATCTTCCCACACTGGTTCAGAGCCAAGTATCCCGACTGGTTCAAGGCTTATCTCGACATGTATGGTTTGCCGCACCATGAGATCGTCGATCGTGTCCACATGCCTGCGCCTATTGATCGGGGCCCGCGCCGGAAGATTCCCATCCGACTGGATGACCCTGATTTTCCCACACGCTGGTTCAGAATCCCCCCAATGCCATCATTTTGGGATCCCATCCTGCAAGTCGAGAATGCCAGCTGGCGTCGGATGTTGGTACAGCAACCACCGGTCACTGAGTTGGTGACCTACTCATTGCCTGAGGCACCTATCTGGCAACAACAAGGAATCGACGGGCCGTATTGGGGAGTTGGCGAATATCCACCGGGACAGCCAGATACATCGAACGGGGTTCTGATTTCGCATCTTGTGGAATGTAACAGGAACGGTGCGAAGGACTCCTACTGGCCCGAATGGATCACCATGCCGAAGGTTCTGTGGGACAGCGAAGATCATCATGTTCCAGAAGGATTTTGTTGGATTGATCTCGAGGCAGAGCATAGAATCATGCTTCAAGATGCACTGGCGAAGTATGGGATGATTGTGGTGAAGGTGAGGCCTTCGTCTCACTACAAGAGGACATACTGGTCTGCTGAATTCGGACGATACAGAGCAACGTATTACGGGTAGATAGTTTCAGCAATTAAAATAGAGGCCTTGGATCATAATTGCCATTTCAAGTATCTTTCCCGTCAGGATCAAGTAAGGTTCCGAGTAGCGTGTCTCAGCTCTATAAGCGTCACTCTGACCAATTAGCAAGCATGCATCAAGCATAAAGTCGCAGTTTGATTCTACTAAAAGATGGTTTCTTTTGACAACGCGGGTTTGTGTCCTGCAGCAGTCTGTATGGCCCTTCCGGAACTGACTGCAAATAGATATCCTTGAATTATCAAAACTGTTTCGACGGAAAACCAAGCCCGAGGCGCTCTTTGCATCATGTCCCATTTTCAGACCAACAAGCCGCGCCGTCTCATCATAGTAGCCTTGTTTGTTGATTCGATTCACCCCGTCTTCTCTCCGGTCTCTTTATTTGGATGCTGGTTATAGGCCGTCGGGTTATCGCGCTTCGGGATCTGCTTCACGTCAATCTTGAAGCGACATAAACCCTCTGCGGAGAGCGACCTCGAGATGGCCCTGGTGAAATTCCCGTGTGCTCATCTCCCCAGACAGGAACAACAGGGTAGGCTGTACTCTGTCAGTGGGGTGACTGAGCTCGGTCAGTCTGTATGATGGATTTGATGATGCTGTACCTACTGTCAATCCATCCACTGATTAATTTGCCAATACCACAGCCTTGGAGGTTAGTAGCATTCGGTAGCGTTCAATCTCGCAACAAATTACAACTTTCCAGGGTCCGTACCAGTGATCGGGATTTTGGTAACCTTGGAAGTAATTCGCCCTTCCACCCGGCGGGTTGGATTGAGGCGCCTAGCTGGGCGCCCAGATATCTTTTGTTGGATCTCCCAATAGATTCAAAAGCCTAAAATGTCAGGTATCTAGTGATCTTCATTCATTTTCAACATTTTTTATTGGTATTCCTTGCTGTTAAAAACCTTGGAGCCTTGAAAGCAGCTGCCGCCCGAAATTTTCATTCCATGCCTGTCTCACCCTATATATATCTCCCGATCAACCTTGGGGCGTCCACAAAATCAAGAGCGACACCCAAATTTGGACGACAATGAATCTTCCAAACTGGCTCCAAAGCTTGATTTTCATGAGACGAAAATTGATTTCTCCCAACTGTAGGGATGAACTTCCAGATTTGTCCCCACACCCCACAGCCCCACACAAACGGCCCCACAGAACAGATGTTTAGGTTCCGGCGGATCAAAAGCTTGTTTTGACCGACCCACCCGGGACCCATTGTGCGTTCCATGTTCCATGCTCGGTTCTGGAACCCCCAGTGCTTGTAACAGACCAACTGGTTGTCCCCGTAGAATAGGTCTGCTAGTGTTGTGCGTCCACGGGAGCTAGATTTCTCGGTCGGGGCTCGGTGTCTCGTTTACCTGTGGATAGGAGGTGTCAGCGTCAGCGTCAGTATTCTTAGTCTTCCATGCTTGGCCCAGGATACTCAGCGTAGGGGAAATCCAACGCTCAATTGACCTAAGGATAGGCGCAATGGACCCAAAAGAATCCACCCCATGTGTACGACGTTCAGCAATCGGCGATTGGTGTTCGGATGACACCTGCGATCCGTAGGCTCTGGAGTGTGCGGTAAGTCGTCTGAACTTGAGCTGCCGCAAGGAGTTGTAGAAACGTAAGCTCAAGTTTGCTTGGAAGTAGGAATAAATCCGCAACGCGACTTTCGATGCCCACAAGCACCACTGCCAAAAGTCCCACCCTTTCCCGTGCCACTGTAACCGGCATCGCATCCCTAGTATGGGCGAAAATTCGCTGTTCATCTCGACCCCACACGCTACTCGCAAGGCACACACAGCGACCAAACCGTTGATGACGCCACAAGCTCAAGCTGTGCTCATGTGTGCGCCAATGCCCAATCACTATCCCTCTTCTCCGTAGCCCTTGTGTAACCTTTTAACCAAGTCGTATTATCGTCAGAAGTAGGAGGGAGTAGTGGATGAGCCGATCGCGGCCGCGATACCCTAGAGTCAGGTCTGGTAGAAGCCGGTAAAGCAAGCCCCATCCGCACAGCGGTGTCAGCCCGGTGCTTCATCCCCAGATGATTGTAGCCCGTCTCTCGCAGCCATAGTAGCCATTGGAACAGGGCTTTGCGATGTGTCTGCGCCGTCTCCGATGGTGATCCGGCTCGGCAGCCGTGAGGTCGGCCCAGCACCGAGCCCCCCAGGAAGCGACTTCTGTAGCCGCTGAATGCAGATCCCAATAGAGGTCAACGTATTGACTGAGATACTCACGCGGTTTGTGCCCAGTAGATCTGTACCGCCGCCGTGGTCGCTGCGCGGTGATGCGTCCACCGGTGATTGTGCTGCAACTGAGACACGGCCGCAAAGCCCATCGCTAGGCTCCTGATGCTTCAGACTACTGGATTACATGCTAGACATCGTGTCTCAACTGAGTGACAGGCCTTCTCAAGGGTTTACAGCTTGGGATCACGGTCGGGCGCTGCATCCACCACGATGCGACCTTTCAATCCCGCGTCAACGCTACCACAACCTCAATCATGCGTTTCTGGGGTCTATGAGCCTACTAGGATACTCTACTATAGTCGAAATCATCATTTCAGCACGGACCAGGCGATTTCTCCACATCTTGGCACTGTGGGCGCACAGGCCTTGCGGCTCGGCCACGGCCCGCCGCAGCCAGTTCCACCACAACCTCGATTTACTAGGTACCTCGAACAACAAATCTTCTCGGGTTGATTTCTCACGCAATTTGAGTCTAATTGCTACGCAATTTGGGATGTATATACTACTGCAGCTGCTAAATAGTTTTATTTAAAAAGATCCATGGGTTTCTCTATCAAAAAAAGCGGAGATCAAAGCTATAAGAGAACAATGTCTTTGTACCCCCGACCCCCAGATCTCACGAACACAAAGAGGGCAGGCACCCCATTGTGCCTTTCGACCAATGGGAGCTCTCCATTTCTGAGCTTCCACTAGCTCTTCTCCTCGACAGTATAAATTCCCCCACAACTTCTTTCTTCTCTTCTCTTCTTCTTCCTCTCCTCACCATTCTTGACTTTTCGTAAGCGCTTAGCCACTGCACACTGTATGTTCCACCACACTAGTTCCTCGACACTAGAATCATAATGTTGTGTCATACATTCATCTGACTGACTCTCTTCCACAGTGCAACCGTCCCGTCTCCCGACGCTCACCAAGTTTCTGCTCTCGCTTTTTTTGCCCTTGCCATTTCTTCCGCCGCTCCCCTGCTTCGTGTAAGTCCTCCTTCCACCTCATCTCATCCCATCCCACCTCATCCCATCCCACCTCATCAATTCATTGGTCCATACTTTCAACTGTCTTTTCTGGAGTCTTTTTTTCTGACCTGTTTTGAACAGCTTGTTCGTCCTCTCCCCGACGTCAAGACCTCTTTTCTTTCTTTCTCCCACGTCTAGAAAGACGTGCCGGTACGTTCAGCTGTCTTTTCAATTGTCTTTTCAGGTCGTTTTCCTAACGTTTTCCTCTGCAGCCAGCATCCCCTCCCGACTTTCGGTGCTTTTTGTGGCCCGATTTCCTGACCTACTCCTTGCCGTGAGTTGACCCATCTTTGCAAAGGTGCTTTGGTACAAGTGCTAATACATTGACCAGTCGTGAAACTTTATCCCTGTAGATACGACGGTTGTAGCATTGACAATGTCGAAGCTCCCTCGCAACTCTGGGATCCCCTTCATCGTGGCCGGATCCAGTCCGATGGCTGCGCCGCCCGGTTCCAACCGTCCAATCCCATTCAACATGGCTGGTTCCGGACGGTCGGCGGCCGTTCAGCATCCGACTGGGGTCAATCCTCCCTCCCTCGTGTCACCATCCGCCGCCTCAAACAACCAGGCAGGTGCCACGACCCGTACTCAGGGCCCCCCGCACGGGACTACACCCCTGACGAGCCCCGCCACAGCTCACTCTCAATCGTACGGCCAGGCCACAGGCCGTACCTCTTTTCAACAAACCCCCAACGAGGACCTCCCCATGGACATGGACTCAAATGACGCTCCCTCAAATGACCGGCGTATGGATACCCAGATCCGCGCCCACAATGGTCAAGTAGGGACATTTGCTGGACCCAGCCATGCCTCGTCAACCCCATCTCAGTCCGCGGCTCAACCAAAGTTTGGCGTTCCTTCGATGGGTCCCCCCCCTCGCCTGAACGCGGAGTCTCTTCAATCTCTCGGTTCGACCCCGTCTGCTCGTCAAAAGGTGGACACGTGGGCCACCGGGTTCTCCGCCGAGATGGCCTTCGCCAAGAGGGACGCTGATACCGTGATGCGTGGAACATCCCTTCCACCTCCAAACTCCGAAGCCCCAGGAATGGAGGAATGGACAGTAATGGATACCAACGATGAGATGGGGAGTATTGGGGCCCCTACAACGGAAGCAACCCCCGACTACACCGGCCCAAACCAAGTATCACACATCGATGGTTTGGACGCGATAACAAACACCCTGTCAAATTTAGGCTTGAATGAGGACGACCAAGACGAGAACCGCATCATGATCAACAAGGTCCCACTTCGACTGACCTTGGAGTTGCGCGTTAGAAAGTCTCGTCCCACCACAGGTAGGTTGCTCTCTAAGGCGTCGGGATGGGTCACCAAACCTCCTAAGAGAGTAGCCAACCGACAGATCTTGCGGGGGGAAATCCGGGGAAGAGGCAGCTTCGAGTCCGCCAGCTCCTTGTGAGCCCGCTCAAGCCCCTCTTCTTTCGGAGGACCTCAGGGAAGAGCCAGCTGCAACTGAGCATCTTCCAGGCCCGGATAGCCAGACTTCTCGTGAGTCACATCCAGGCATGCAAGCGTCTGTTTCAGAGGAATCTGAGGAGGAAGCAGTCCTGAGCCCGCCAGCTCCTTGTGAGCCAGCTCAGCGTACGGCAACCTTCGAAGAGGAAGTGCCTTCCAAAGCAGAAGTGAGCGCGCCTGCAGTCACCAAGCCGGCTCCATCTGCGGGAGAACCCACTGATTCTGAAGTGGTGGAGGAAGTGCTTGTGAGTGAGAAGTCATCTCAGAGTGAGGGCTTGCCCAAACCTGTGTTTGATATCAACCTTGCCGAGCGCTACCTGTCCGATGTTGCGGAGGTCCTGGAGAAGCTTGCACATTCTGTGCCACTCCAGGCCGAGGATGCAACCATTCCAGTCCCCGTGCCAACTGAGGAAGTCTCGGACGTAGCTCCTAGTGAGCCAGTTCGAAAGGAATCAGACCTGGCAGAGTCATCGCAGACTGAGGAAGTTCTTAGTGTGCCCGGGTCCTACCCGGCGACTTTGGAGGAATCAGTTCTGCCTTGGCTTCGGGAAGCTTTACCAGCTGATGAGAGTGCGTCCGCTGATTCTAAGCCGACTCCCACTGGTGAAGTGAAGGGTGAAGTGAAGTCCGCGATTGAGGAGGAAAAGGAGCAGCCCACCCTCAAGGTCTGGCCCCCGCACAGTGGTCCAGCTGACCCATGGGATTTCGATCCTGTGAACCTGGCCCGTGTTGAGCGGAAAAGACGGGGTTTGCCCTCTCGCCTCAATCAATTGCTGGATAGGCATCCAACCAATCCAGCGGCTTACGCGGACTTCTGCGTGTCCGATGAGCAGGGTAGCGAAAGTGCACCCTGTCTCCCGTCGTCCTTTTCCGAAGAACATTCCCGTGCGGGGGAAGTGAAGGGAAAGGAAGCCATAAGTGCTCAAGTCTTCGAGGAGATCGCAGCGGAACAGCGGTCGTCACTGGAAGGATCAATGGAGGCACAACCCACCGGCTTCGGCCAACGTTCGGGTTCGTCTCCACCGCCCAGCCCCAGTTCCCCTGCTTTCGACCAGTATGACTTGCTAAGCATGGAGGCTAGTGTGAAGGAGTTGGAGGAATCTGTAGAGTCCACCTACTTGGACCAGGATGGTGCAGAAGAACTGCGGTCGTCACTGGATGGATCAATGAAGACACGGCCCTCTGGCTCCGGCCGTCGTCCGGGCCTGTCTTCACCTACCAGCCCCGCGGTGAATGCCCTGACTGGACCCCGAGTACGATGCATGGGTCCAGAGGATCTCTTGGAGGAACGAGTAGAGACCGCCCACTCGACTCAGAACGCTGCAAAGGGACCACGGTCGTCACCGGAGGGATCAATGGAGGCACAGCCCACCGGCTCCGGCCATCGTCCGGGCTTGTCTCCACCCACCGGCCCCGTGGTGAACGCGGCTACTGTTTTCGAGATGCCAGGCACGGAATCGAAAGTCCTCGGCTGGTTAGATGTTGGACTTCGGGTGATGGTCATGACGTACTTGGCATTGGTCATCCTTCTCCAGACCTTCGTATTGCTCGGAGGTCACCTGGAAACCTTTGCCTCCGTCTTCCACGGACCGGACCACATCTTGTCGGAGCTGCGTGCAGGCCATGACAACCAAAATTCGCTCATGGATTGGTTGGTCTATGTGGTAGTGCGTTGGCTTGCTGGCGACCGGATGACGCCTGGTTAATAGCAAGGTTGTTAGAACGAGGAGGGACGAATGAGCCGCCTCGACGATCACTTTCACGACAAGGCAGTAAGTTGGCAGGTCCCGATGACTGCCTTCTTCCACTGCAACTTCACATCAGTTGCCCAAGGAGGGACGAATGAGCCGCCTTGGAGACAACCACTTTTCACGACAAGGCAGTAAGTTAGCGGGTTCCGATGACTGCTTTCTTCCACTGCAACTTCAAAATCAATCCGACAAGGCAGCAAGTTGGTAGGTCCCGATGACTGCCTTCTTCCACTGCAACCTCAAAATCAATTCGACAATGGCAGCAAGCTGGCGGGTCCCGATGACCGTCACTGCATCTGCCTCAGTTGATCTTGTTGTTTGATTATTGTGTGATTATTGTGATGTCTTTTTTTTCTTTTTTTTCGTCAATTTCCACCCTTCGGGGTTTGTATGAGTCTCTATATACACCAGCATGGTATACGCGAACCGTCGCATGAAGAAGATATATACCTTTCGCCGCTGGCCGTTGACTCGCAATGGCGTCCTCGAGAGAGGGTTGCGCCCAGAAACACGATTGACACTGACGCCGGGTGCTGGGATGAGAACAACACATTCACAACTTTGCGGGCTGGCCAGGCTTTGGGGACAAATCAATTCTGCGTCTTCGCTTCGACGCCTTGCCTGCCAGCCTGCCATCTTCTCATCCCAGCACCCCGGCAACACCATTTGAGAGTTACGTTCGATGAGAGAGACCGCGCTGGGTACTGAGATGGGGACACTCACAACTTTTTGCGGGCTGGCAAGGCTTCTGGGGAGAATCAATTCTGCGTCTTCACTTCTATCCTTGACGCTTTGCCTGCCAGTCCGCTTTGTTCCCATCCCAGTACCCCGGCGCCACATCAACGACCATCGACAACTTTCATGGAGACACCTCACGCTGGGTGCTGAGATGAGGACACATGGGGATTCTGCGGGCTGGCCAGGCATTTGGGGATAAATAAAATCTGCGTCTTCACCTTCATTCTTGACGCATTTGCCTGCCAGCCTGCCCTCGTGCCTTGTCCTCATCTCAGTACCCCGGCGTCACTTCGACGACCATCGTCGACTTTCATGGAGACACCTCATGCTGGGTGCTGAGATGAGGACACACGGGGACACTTTGCGGGCTGGCCAGGTATCTGGGGATAAATAAAATCTGCGTCTTCACCTTCATTCTTGACGCCTTGCCTGCCAGCCTGCCTTGTCCTCATCTCAGTACCCCGGCGTCGCATTGACGATCGTCGTCAAACTGCACGAAAACCCACGCTGGGTGCTGGGATGGATGATTTCAATTCACAACATGTTTGCAGGCTGGCCAGGCTTCTGGGGAGAAACAAATCTGCGTCTTTACTTTCATTGTTGACGCTTTTGCCTGCCAGCTTGCAACATTTCCATCTCAGCACCCCAGCATCACATCAACGAGGATCCTTGACCTTTACTTGACCTTCATGGGAAAACCCATACTGGGTGCTCCATGCTGGGTGCTGGGATGGATGAATCCAGTTTACAACATGTTTGCAGGCTGGCCAGGCTTCTGGGGAGAAACAAATCTGCGTCTTTACTTCCATTGTTGACGCTTTTGCCTGCCAGCTTGCAACATTCCCCATCTCAGCACCCCAGCGTCAGTTCAAGGATTCTCGTTGAGAACCCTGGATGAAGATGCAATACATTCCCAGGGCTGGCCACACTGCTTCGCGCAGGAAATTCACAATTTCCACTTGTCACTTGGCTGGCCAGCCCTGCATCTTCATCCATCAGGCACATATTCGAGTGTCCAATGATTCTCGAATTTGCCTGGGTGCTGGAGCAACAAAACCGAAACCAAAACCTCACATATGACAGGCTGGCCGGTCATTTCCACAACAAGCAACCACACTTGAACCACAACATCGGCTGGCCAGCCTGCTCATCTTGCTCCAGCACCCATTGATCTTCCATTCTGAGGAGTTTCCTTACTGGAGACAACAAAAATCGACTGACCTCCATTCATCAATTTTACCCTTGTTGGGTGCCGAGACACAATTCATGACAATCTACTGCAATCGACAGGCTGGCTTGCCCTTTCCCATGGAAAGGATCATCGAACCAAGTCAAGAACAACCACAGCTGCCAACTTCTGGCCAGCCAGCCTGCTCACATTGTCTCGGCACCCAACAAAACTCCATTCTGGAGGAGCTCCTCACTGGATATCACAACAAAAAAACTGAACTTCATTGATCAGCTTTCACCCTCGTCGGGTGCCGGGACACAACCCATGACAACCACAATCGACAGGCTGGCTTGCCCTTCCTCGTTGAAAGGATCATCGAACCAAGTCAAGAACAACCACAACTGCCAACCTTTGGCCAGCCAGCCTGCTCGAGTTGTCTCGGTACCCGACGACATTCCACTCTGGAGATAGCAACCTTGGAAATCCAGCTGGATTTCATTCACCGGCTTTCACCCCCCGTTGGGTGCTGGGACACAACACCACATTCAACAATTGACAGGCTGGCTTGCCCTTTCTCATTGAAAGGATCATCGAACCAAGTCAAGAACAACCACAACTGCCAACTTCTGGCCAGCCAGCCTGTTCAATTCGTCCTAGCACCTGACGGCAATTTCCATCTGGAGTGGTCCAAAATCGGCTGAACAACATTCATCAGCCAGACGATACCCTCGTGTTGGGTGCTGGGACACACCACCATGTCCCCATACAACAATTGACAGGCTGGCTTGCCCTTTCTCATTGAAAGGATGAACAACCACAACTGCCAACTTCTGGCCGGCCAGCCTGCTCAATTTGTCCCAGCACCCAGCACTTCACAATTCACGAGGGAGTGGTTCGTTGAACCACATTATTATCGTCCAAATCCCTTTTTTTTCGGTTTATGGGTACCCTGTTGGGTGCTGGGATGAGCTTCGATCCCCTCGACTTGACAGGCTGGTCTGGCATTTCCTTCAACACAGCGTCATCACTTTCCCCAGGACGTTTTGGCCGGCCAGCCTTGTCCATTCTCATCCCAGCACCTGGCAACTATCGACACTCGGTTCTACAATTTCAGCATTTAGTTTAGATTCATTGATGATACGACAACACTCCACATTTCTCCGGACATGGGTTTGGCGCGCAGCCGACACACACACAAAAAAAAAAACAACCCACATGGCTGATGTCCACGTTCTATGCATACGACAACGCTAATTCAGCGGTTGACCAAACCCAGTCCGGAGAACAGGGATGGATCCTCCTATACAGCGGTCCACAGCAACTCTTGCAACGACAAAACAACAAAAGAAAAAAAAAAAAAAACAGGCGTCAAAAAAAGACGTCGACTCGCAAGAACAATGCTCTTTGTATGATTGACAGACATACAACCGCCAGTATAGGAGGATCTCCCAAAAACAAAAAAAGAAAAAAAGAAAAAGACGAACAAAGACACATCAGTCAGCAGGGTTTCCACCAATCAGCAACGGCGCCGCGCAGGAGCTGGCGTCACCTACTCCACTTCCCGCCGAAAGAAGGTTAGACTTATCTCACTGCCTCGCCCCTCAAGATAATCATCCATCTCCATCTTCATCTTGGGGCATCTCAGGCCATTTTCCACTTCAACTCTACCTTCACAATGTTCCTGCGCTCTATCCTACTGGGTGCGGCTGCGCTCAGCAGCACCCGCGCCATGCTGGTGGACCCCGTTACCGAGTCCAACATCGATGGGTTCGAGATCATCAACCCCATGGAGCTCGATGAATTCAACCATGCGTCCTTCGACCTGCCATGCGCTGAATGTCCTTTCCGCGAATCCAAGGACCCTGCTGACTCGACACAAGGCTCACAACCCTCACTGGTAAGTTTGAGGTGTATCCATTGCATGCCGGTTCGTTGCTAATCTGACCTAGACACTGGACTTCCTCGTGGACAACGATCGCCTACTGGCCAACGGCCGCCAAATTTTCCCACCGGCTCCTCCCACTCCCATCCTTGCCGTTCAACAAAACGAAGATGGCAAGCACTCTGACCCTGTGCCCGTCGGCTACGCGCTGGAAATCATGCCTGTGCCTCACAACCCGCACGACCAGCCTGGCTACGACTTGATTGATCTCCGCTTCACCGTTCTCGATGTGGAGAATCGCCCTGTTCCCGTTGACACCGTCGCCATCAGCTTCATCCAGACACCCACCGGCGAAATCTTCATTGGCCGCGCTGGAATTGAAAAGACCACTCCGGTCGACAACCACACTTCCTGGAGAGACTGCCAAGGCAAAACCAAATGCCTCCAGGAACTGCTGATGGCTCGCATTCGAGGCCTCCTCGCCTCTGCAAAGAACCGCGTCATGGGAATGGCCAAACCTGGCCGCAAGGGTTGCCACGGCAAGCACAAGGGCATCCAGCCTGGTCCTCATGGACACCACGAAGAAAGCCTTGACAACATGCCTTTCCCCCTCCACCTCCACCATTTGGGGAAGGCTTCGAGGCTGAGGAATTTGGCCCTGGTGGGCCCCACGGCCATCCACATGGCTTCTCTGGCCACGGCCCTCGACCCCACCACCACCACGGACACCACGGTGCTTTCGCTCGCACATTCTCTCGAGTTGTGCACTTCATCGTTGTCCCCGCCATCCTGGGTGTTCTGGCCGGCCTTACCGCCAGCGCCGTCGGCATGCTGGTTGGCCAGGCCGTCGTTTTCCTCTGGCAACGCTACCGTGGTACCCAACCCGCGGAACACAAAGCCGCCTGGGAACAGGGCGAGGCCTGCGAAAAGCAGGGCCTGATGGTCGAGTCCCGCTACTCTGAGGAAGTCCTCCCTGAATACACTGAACCCTGTGAGCCCAGGGCGTCTGTCGATAAGAACTAAAACATTATCTACATGGACTCGTCATCCATTGCACACTTTGACGAGAATCGTCACTGACAACACAAAAAAAAAAAAAAAAAAAAAAAAAAAAATTGCTGGTGAAGAAGAAGAAGATCAGAAAACACACACAAACCCCCTTTTACCCATTTGTTGCAATTTCCAGATTCCAGATGTCATCTTTCCCGCCAAGGTCTCTTGTCTCTTGACATCCGATCTATGCCTCCACCCCCGTCAGACTGGTCGACTCTCATTTCTCGCCATTGGAATTGGAAACCCAAGTCCTTGGCCTCTGTCGATCCAGAAGAAAAAATAAAGCACACCAAAAAAAAAGAGAGAGAAAAACTTCCGGAGGATCAAAAAGATCCATCTGTGCAGTGCTATCTTCTGGAGACCAGTCTGACGTGGAAAGATTCTCTGGATATCTCCCATGAGCCCCTTTGCCCCATTGATTCCTGATTTCACATGCCATCTTTCCCGGCCAAGGTCTTTTGTCTGTTGACATGCGATCTATGCCTCTACCCCCGTCAGACAGGCGACTGTCCTCTCAACCGCCATTGGAATTGGAAACCCAAGTCCTTGGCGTCTGTCATTCCAGAAGAAAAAATAAAGCACACCGAAAAAAGAAAAAAAAAAAAAAAAAAAAAAAAAAAACGGGCTCCCGGAGGATCAAAAAGATCTATCTGTGCAGTGCTATCTTCTGGAAACCAGTCTGACGTTGAAAGATTCTGTGAATCAGCCCCATGAGACCCTTTCTACGGAGTGGGCTCATATTACATTCCTTTCTTCATGGCCAATCTCCTTTTCAAGGAATTGGACCATGCATTTCAAGTTCCACTTGACAATGATTTTCAATTTCTTGTTTTCCTGTTTTCCTGTTTCTGAGCATGCCCTGGAGGATTTTGCATGACAGGTGCCTGATGGGGTTTATTTCATTACTTTTGTTGTTCTTGCTATTTGTCTCTTGTGTTCAGAGCTGGCCCTGTCATTTTGTCTTGTATTTTGTCTTGTACTTGTTTTATTCCCATGTCCATTTTGTCGAGCGTCTTTTTGTTGGTTTAGTCTCATCAATCCATTATTCCAAATCCCGCTTCTTGGTAGACTGTAGACTGTAGTATGTAGTATAACGAGCATCAACAACTCTCATTGTAGAATGTAGAATAGTATACAGGATATAGACTTGATAACGTAAGAATTTTACTGTAGAAGGCTGGGTTTGGCTCCTTGAATGTTACTCGTAAGGCCTGTAGAATGAGTGCCATAAGCCTGCCAATAGTTAATGACATTGAAGCATCTAAGTATCTCCTGCAAAGACGTTGAACTCCGAGTGCCAAGCTCTCTTTAAGGCTGACGGCAGTCACGTGCAGGTCGAAGGCCGTGACGATGCCCCCTCTTATCAAACAACAACACACTCGATCCTCTCGTTCTGCAGGCCTAGTCCTCGGCCAATGATCTGATGTGTACGATGCTCCTGAGTCTTGAACTACAACTCCGCACGGGCTTCTTTTCATACTCCTAGCCCGGTTCCGCCGCAATCAGGTTCCCCAGCTCTAGCTCCGGTCCCGACATCATCGGTTATCAGTTCCAGGAACACTCCCACCGAACGCGCCACCATACACATTCCCACCATGATACCGTGGTCATCTTTCGTCCAGAAGGCTCAGAGCCTGATTGACCCGGCGAACTTCAACATCCCCACTCTTTCTTCCTCCGACGACAATCCCTCCAAGGCATCACTGTTCCGCCAACAGTTCCGCCTCCCTGATTCCCAGAACCCTCTCCAAGAGATAACCGCGGACCTTGTCCTTCCGCTCCCCAACTCACCTGCAAACCAAGCGGATGGCTCCCGCAAAGCCGACCGCGCGGGGAATACATATACCGGGCGGCTTCACCTAAGTGAGCGATTCATCTGCTTTTCAACCCAACCGACCAGTTTCGTTCCATCCGCGACAGCCAGCGCGTCAACCACATGGACCGGCCAGACGCATGGGACTGGGCCATCGGGAAATGGATTCATTCTCCCGTTATCGAGCATCAGGCGCGTGGAGCGTCTCCATAGCGCTAGCCATGTATTCTCCCTGGCGCTTACGACGTGGAACGGCCTTTTAAACAAGCAACAAGAAGCCAATCTGGCCCCTCAGCGCCTCATTTTACAGCTTGTCGGTAGCAGACAAGCTTGCGAGCGATTCTGCGACACCCTCAAGAAAGGCCTGCGGGAAGGAATGAAGGAGGTGGAAAACCTTCGGACTGTGGTCGCTGATTGTTATTCGGAATATTTGCTCTCAGGCGCAAAGGGGAAGGGACTGGAAGGGATTGAAGGTGACGGGCGTCAACCCCCTGATGCGGGCCTCGGTCTCATATTCCGCTATCCCGGTGATGCACGAAAGCTTCGTGATCGCAGCAAGATGAGACTTTGGGGCGAATATTTCAGAGGTGTGTGCGGTCAAAATGTCCGATTTTATGCGAGGCTATCAACTAACACGCGAAAGAAAATGGTCGCAATGCTACTCTAGTCCGTCAACCAACTTTCCACAAGCTGATTAGGGTTGGTTTACCCAATCGGCTGCGAGGAGAGATCTGGGAACTCACATCTGGCTCCTTGTTTCTCCGTCTAAGAGCTCCCCAGTTGTATCAACAGACATTGGCCAAATTCGAGGGGCAAGAGTCTCTGGCTATTGATGAGATTGAAAAGGATTTGAACCGCAGTCTACCGGAGTACCCTGGGTTCCAGAGCGAGGAGGGCATTGGGCGCCTTCGACGAGTCCTCACTGCGTACAGTTGGATTGACCCTGAGATCGGCTACTGTCAGGCTATGAACATCGTGGTTGCCGCATTGTTAATGTAAATTCGCCCCGGATGACACATGCTGGTCAAGGATGATTGCTAACTTTATTAGATATATGTCGGAGGCCCAGGCCTTCTCTATTCTTTCCGTTCTATGTGACCGCCTTTTACCTGGCTACTATTCGACGACAATGTACGGCACCCTGCTTGATCAGAAGGTGTTCGAGTCGTTGGTCGAAAGGACAATGCCAGTTCTTTGGGAACATCTCACCAAATCGGACGTACAACTTTCAGTTGTTTCATTGCCCTGGTTCCTTTCCCTCTACATCAACTCCATGCCACTCGTCTTTGCTTTCCGTGTTCTGGACGTTTTCTTCTTGGAAGGCCCTAAAGTGCTTTTCCAGGTTGGTCTTGCCATTCTCCGAGTCAACGGCGAAGAACTTCTGGAGACCTCAGACGACGGGTCTTTCATCTCTGTTTTGAAGTCATACTTCTCACGATTAGACGAATCTGCCCACCCAAGATCAGAAAACCCCAAGCTGCGAGCTATCACCAGGTTCCAAGAATTGATGGTTGTAGCTTTCAAGGAATTCTCGGGCATCACACACAGCACTATCACCGAAACACGTGAAAAGCACAAGGGTGCCGTGCTGGAGAATATCGAAACTTTCGCAAAGCGCACTTCGATCCGCAACCTTGGACCCGAAAGTAAGCGCCTGAGCGTGGATGATCTGGGCACCATCTACGACCGGTTCTATGAGACTTTATACCAATGGCAGCAGCACCAGAGAGTTCTCGAGGAAGAGAAGAGACGCCAAGAGAGGAAAAAGTCTGAGCGTCTTTCTATTCTCGCGCCTCCTGCGGATAGACAGGTTGGCCGCGTCGGTCTTGGACCAAGTCCCACGCACATGGACTACGATGCGTTCAGGGAATTCCTAGCTGCCACATCCAAATGGGCAGTTGCTGATTCTCCTGGGCCCTCCAGGAAAGGATCGGCAGGTCAATCCGCACTGTGGGCAAACCGCCGACAGCCAGCTGATCATGAATTTATGCAACGTCTTTACCGCAAGTGGGCTACCGATCCCGAGGAAGGACTCAATCTCCAAAGTGTGGTGAATGGCTTGGCTCGACTCAAGGGCTCACCTGACATCATGAACAACATCAATTACTTCTTCGACCTATACGATGACAACGGGAATGGCCAAGTTGACCGCGAAGGGATTCTCAAAATTTCCGAGGCACTCTTGTTCCTCTCCAGGCGAGGATTTGAGGGCACAATCACGGCCACCCCATCTGTGGAGAACTTGAATGCCCCTGCAGATCGCGATCATGGCGAGAACTCACTCACGACAGATGAGAAGTTCTTGGGCAGTGTCAGTGCATTCATTCGCCGCTGCTTCGAATATGCCGACCCTAGCCACCCTGAGAACCTGAAGTCTGCGAAGCCCGATGCCACCGAGGAGGCAACCGCGCAGCTAGACGCATTCGCCATTGGCGATGATGAGGAAGAAGATCTCATTGATGTCGAAGGAGACTCGAAGCCCACAGAATCGACATCAAACCAAGCACCCCAGTCCAAATCAAACACCCACGACGACAACCCCTCCACATCCGAGTCTGCAAACCCAGCCTTGGACCCCAACAACCCTCTCCACATCACACTCCCTACTTTCCGCATGGTCGTCCTAGCCGACGAACTCCTCGAACAATTCTTCGAATCATACTTCCCCCAATCCTTCCACCTCTCCGACCACCCCCACCCAGCAGCTCTAGCCGCCTCATCAACAATGTCCTCAAACCTCACCACCTTCTCCAACATTGGCAGCATCCGCTCCAGCTCAACAGCCTCAGCCCCCGTAGCCGGCGCCTCAGGCGGTATCGTGCCACCAGGAAAAGGACTCCGCGGCGTCCTCGACAACATCGTCACCGACGGAATCCGCATGGCCGCCGAAGTCAAGAAGCGAATGGACGAGGCACAGCGCGATCTCGAGCGCAACGCCCTCGGCAACCATCGCGACGAGGACGAGGACGAAGATGACGAAGACGATTACCCACGCCGTGAATCAAACGTCATGGCAGGCGGTATCTCCAGCTGGGGCGCTGGCGCTTACAGTGCTGATACGGAGCGTCGGAGCGTCGTCCGAGACGCTGATCGTGATCTCCTCGAAGGCGCCGAGGTCCTCGATGGCGGCAAGGAAGAGAGAACCTCACTCCTGGATGGAAAGGATGTTACCGAGAATCCCTCTCGTAAGGCTTCGGCCTCAAAGCCTACGGACCGTGAAGGTGATGTTATCAGCAAGGTTGTGGAATTCGAATCATGAGAACCCGGGCCATGTCTCCAGCCAGGAGTTTCATATATGGTTTGCCATCTTTGTTTTTTTAAATAATCCCTGAGGATTGTCATCAACTTGTATTACAAATGGTAGGATGTTTCACCTCCTGTTTTGCATACCTGTTTGGATTTCATACAGTTTCTAGATAGTCCTACAGAGAACCAGCTTTCATGAAAATGCGCACTACATACCAAACCAGGTAAACAACCTGCCTTGGATTGCGATGTTTGAAACGTAGAAACTTCGTGTGTATTGACATATGCCACCACCTTAAATCGTAAAACAAGAGGCCATTGCTCATGGAAAGGGATGACTCGGTGAATCTCCAATTTCGGATGCAATGTTTTCTATGTACAGCATCATGATCAAGCAGGACTAGCCTGCCCAAAAAGATGAAAGCTATCATCATCATCATCAAAAATCGACTAGAAGCGGTAGGGTATGAGGTGACGATGAAGCAGAAGAGGGAGGTAAAAAGGGTATAAAGTAAACAGGCGTGAGATCCAGAACATGAGAAGTCCATAGATGTGCAAAAAAAAAGAAAAAAAAAAAAAAAGAACAAGTGTTGAGAGGAAGAGATGGGCAGAAGATAAAAGGCATGAAACGGAAGAGCAACCAGAAGTAGAACATTCAGTCCTTCTGGCCCTCATTCTCAACCAATTCCAAAACAAGCTGGCTACGCTCGTACTCCGGGTGCTGCATGCAGATCTTGACGGTATTGCCCGTCGGACCAGAGAAGCCATTACTGGCACCAGAGAAGCCACTCGTAAGACCTGAGCCACCGGTATTGGCCTGGGCATTGCCGTACAGCGAGCCGGGCATTTTACTTCCGTCATCAATGCAAACGACGTTGTGGCCAGGGATGACCTGGCGCAGACGACCGTTCATTGCGTTGCGAACTTCGACGAAGTCGTCGTTGAAGAGAATCAGGAATTTGCCATATAGACAAGCTGTGTGCGCGCTACCCACGAACTCCATGACGACGCTGCGAGAGACGTCGCCGTGCTTGTTGACGTAGACTGCGCATTGCTGGTAGGCGACCAAGAACTCGCTTTCGGAGATGCGGAACATTCCGAGGGGTTTGAGGCCGGTGATGCGGTTCGCGATGCTTTGCAGGGTGTCTTGTGCGTCGGATTCGTTTGCGCTGAAGTCGGGGACGGACCAGGAATGCTTCTTGTCGAGAGTGAGGACTTCAATTCCTTTTTGGGTTGAGATTGCGAGAGAAGAATGGAACATGTTGATGCGGTAGGTTTCTGCAGGGATGTAGAAATCGTCATATTCACGGAAGAACTCCGTTTGGGAGCGTTTGAAGAGACGTGTTTTGTTGGATGATGACTTTTGGAGGACTGGCTCGAGGACCTGCAACAGTGAGGATTTGGTTCGGTCCAGATTGTGGAGCAGCTTACCTTGAATGTGGAAGAAAGTCCGTCACGTTTTTTGTATAGAACCAAATACCTATCTTTTAGGCGTCCAGCGGCAAAGAAGCCCACTTCACGATTGCCAGACAGCTTCTGGGGAGCACGGCGGGCAGAATCTTGAGAGGATTGAGAGCCACTTCCATTGGCAGGACAGACAACGTCAAGGTGATAAGCGATCAAGGATCTATCAGCGATCAAAAGAAGAAGGTTGAAATCCTCAAAGACGGCAAGCTGGGTGACTCGCATGATGGGAATAGCTCTGTACCAACCCCGGGGGTTGCTAAGCTCTGACATGTACACTCCATACTCTGTTCCAATGGCACACATCATGCGGCCAGCAGGCTGCTGGAAAACTGTGGCGCAGTTGACTCCAGTCCTACAAACCGGGGGTGGACGAGGACCAGACGCTTCGTACCGCTTCTCAACTTCCTTGATTGCGCGGTGCAGCGGCGTACCCTTAATGGTGACACTCTTGGAGCCAGGTGTGTGATCAGAGTACGCAAATGCAGTATCTGCGAGAACGCGCAGTCGGAAGGGCTCCGCATTCTGCGAGAAAAGAGCAGCGGCATGCTTCGTCTTCGCTTCGATGATCTTTTGGCACCATTCCATGCGATTTTGAGCCGAGAAAGCATAGAGGGTGTAGGTTCCGGTTTTGCCCAAATGCTTGATCCTGAAGGGATACAGTATCTTATCGTCCCGCGAGTTGTCAATGGCAGCGTTTCCAACAGAAGCACCGGATCCAGTATGTGTCAAAGGACTGACAGTACCAGCTTGCGAGGGTGTCACGGTTGAAACACCACGGACAGATGACTTGACCACGGGGTCATCATCTGTGCTTTCCAGTCCCAACAGATCCATGGGAATAGGCAACTTGGACACATCGTATCTCTCGTACTTGACGGCCCGGTCTCGCATTGTGAATGTTTTGGCAAGCACCAAGTAGTGATCAAACAAGATGGCGTGTGTCTCGACGAGGAATCGGGTGCGTGTTCCAGGACGCTGCAGCTCACCTCGGTGAATGATTTGTCGACCCAAGTGTTCAAGGTTGAGTTCAACCTCCTTCTTCATATCAGGTCTCAGCTGTAGCTTAGCAGCCAGCTCCATCAGATCAGCCTTCTTATTCATCTCTCCCACCTTGTTGTCACATTCCAACGCGACAACCTTGATCTCTTCGATGGCCTGTGCAACATTGGTCTTTTCTTCTGAGTCCTTGACCATGTTCTTGTGAACCGTCGCCAGCAAAAGCGTGTATCGCTGAATTCTTGTGATCGGAGCCTTAAGGAAAGTATCCCAACTTAGTCGGCTGGACATCTTGTGCTCCCGCGCCTGGTTGAGGAATTGCTTGAAATGCGGGTTGCGCTCCGACTCTTTGCGAACAAGATAGTTGGCGGTAGGGAAGGTTGCAGCGTAGTCAATGTACACATTCTTCGCCTTCCGAATCCATTCTCTGAAGATGTCACTGAATCCAGTGATGAATGGACCCTGTTCTTTCTGGCGGTACTTGAGCTGCGCCAGCAGGAAATCCTCATTGACCTTTTTCACAGCGTCGACCTTGCCAAACACATCCATCAGGAATTTGGGCAGGCGTTTCGCTGGGATAATCGGAGGGTTCATTCCAGCCAGTTGGTCGCGATAAAGTTCCCGGAGCACATCGAGTTGCCCAATATAAGAATCTTCCGTGGTGACGATCTCATGCAAATTGTTCTGGCGATCAATCTCCTTTTTCGGATGAGACTCCCATAACTCTTTGGGCACCTTGTAGAAAGTCACCCAGTCCTCAATTTTCTTCTGCGGTGCCATCATCTGCGCCTTGAGGTTGACCTTCTTCAAGGTTCGCATGCAATGATGGGAGTAGCATCGGCCAAAGCTGTCGGTGTCTTCAATATGCATCTCTTGCAAATGCAGCTTAGCGGAGTAACATCCCGTTCCAGTGATCTGGAACAAAACGCCCGAGAGAGTTCCAGAACCAAATTTGACCCATTCTTCTTCTTTGACGAGGGCGCCCTCCTCAAGCATGCCGCTGACCACGCGGGCTGCCAACGTTTCTGCATCCGCAATGTTCATGGTAGGAACTTTGTGAGTGAACAATGCAACTATAGCATCAGCAATGGCTTGCTCTCTGAGATCTGTTTCGTCCTCGCTCAAATCTCGAATCCAGGACAGCAGGGAACTCAGAGCCCACGGCTCGCTGCATTTCTTGAATTGCTCAGACGAGAGTTTCGCAGGGTGGAACTTCTTGCGCCGGCTAGCCGGGATACTTGGCAGATCCAAGGTGACAGCTGCTGCCGCCGCCGGGTCTATAAGAGGTAGATCCTTCTGTTTGAGTTTCAAAAGGAGCTCCTGTTGCTGCTGTCTATATCTGAGGCGGTCCGCGTCGGTCTTTGACCTGATAGGCGCATCAGCACGAGGCCCAATAGGGGTCGACAAGGATGACGACCGCGGCACTTGGGAGGGGCTCAGCAACACATCCCCGTAAGGATCAGTGTTCGGCTGCAAGGAGGGGTTGCTATACTGTGAATAAGTCTCCTGGTCATCCTCCTGGTGGTGGGTGTATGTGCCGGCGGGCATCAGGTGAGATACAAGATCAGCATTACCAGCAGGATCAACGGGTGCTGGTGGCAATGGGCGCATCCCTGGGTGGAAGAAGAGGTCTTCGTGTGCAGCCCGGTGAGGGCTCTCGTCGTCAGATAGATCTCCTGAGTGGGGCTGGTTGTATGGCGTCTCTCCTTCGTCGCCATAATCAAAGCTCATCCGTCGAGAATAGGCGTCAGGCGCGGAAAGTCCGCCTGTACCACCAGCGTCTACCCTGGCATCGGGCGGCAAATGATGAAGTCGGTTTGCATATTCATATGCGATGGCTGGGTGTTCGTATTCGTCAAAGTAATCTCCGCGCTCGTCGGGAGACACATTGGAGCTTCTGAATGAGCCAGATGTACCTGCAAACCTGGTTCCCGCTGCAGGATCAGCATAGTCTTCATGGCCATACACTGGTTCGTCGCCGTAGTGAAGATTTGCCTGATAGCCTCCCTCATACAGCGCGAGATCATGAGCGATGAAATCGCTATCGCCATGAGAACCAGGATTGGGTGAGTTCTCTCTTGGCGAAATGTTGGATCCGCGGGAGAGTACTGAAGCATTAGTCCCACTTCGCATCCGCCCTTCAGTGCGCTGCCGCTGAAGCTCTTGCTCACGAGCATCCCGGGCTTCGTCTTCCTTCAGCATAGCCAGCCCAAATGCAATTTCAGCATCATTGTCGTCACTGTGGGCGCCGTAATTCACATAATGACCCGTCCCTGTATCCATGCTTCCGTTGGTATGAGTGTGCTGCTCATCGGGAGACAAGCGCACGCGCGAAGCGGAGCTAGCGTGAGATGCTCTGGAACTGTGGCGCCGGGCGAAATTCTGGGTGTTTAGTGCTGCGATCTCATCCTGTCTCATCACGTCGTCGTATGCCATAGGAGCATCTGTCGGCAATTCATGGCCGTTCGTAGCCATTTCCTCAACCGGTGGACCTGGTAGCGGTCGCGATTGCGGGTGTCGGGTCAATGTGTCCGTACGTCTTGGCGGCAGGATTGGTAGTTCTGACTGTCCTGGGGGGCTCGGTAGAGATCGCCCTGGCCCTGCGTGAGAAACACTTGGCTGCCTGGAATACAGGCCATTGGTTTGGGTCTGGTGGACTGGCGGTGTCGGAGGCTGTTCTTCGTACGAACTGCTGGAAACTCCCGAGTTGTATTGGGGGGAAGGCAAATCATATGCCGCCCCTTGTGAGTTATTGTAATACGAGCGCGACGAGGGCGGGGGCATGTGGGCCGTGCTTGGAGAATTCGAAGGGATATAGGAGGGGAGGGGTTCGGTGACATGGGTTGGTACGCAGCCGGGCGTACTCCATACGGGTGATCGGGGCCCCTCGGTGGTGGAAGAGGTGGTGGCTGAGAGAAGCCATAGGAGGATGGAGTTGGTGGTGTCTGGCCGTAACTGGAAGCTGCACTCTGCCTTCGTGCGAGGACTGGAGAGCTCATGCCTGAGACCGTTGTGGATTGGTAGGCTGCCGGGTTGTATGGTTGGTGGCCGGAGGTTGGAGCTGCGTAAGTCGTATGGTTGGAGCTATTATACGTCGAGTTGTAGGAGAGGACTGGCTGCGACTGGGTGTGCGGGAGGCCGTACTGCTGAGGGTTGTAGGCGGGCTGGGCTGTTCCTCCTGAATACTGGTGTTGGTACGATACGGAGGAGGCGTGCGAGGAGGCTCTGGTGGGCGACATGCGCGACATTGCGTCTGTGTGTGAATATCGTGAATCGCGGTCCTCATCGAAATTCCCGTGCGCAACGTTGTAGTCCCCTGTTCCAGCGCCCCCATAGCTTCCACCCTGTGTCGAGTACTGTCCTGGTTGCTGCGCGTTTCCTCCGGTCGCTCTCAAATTCTGGGTGTGGGCAGGGTTGAAGAACCCAGAGTCATCTCCAGCATTGTAACTGGGCATCCGACGAGGTAAGTGCTGATCTGGCACGGGATTACCCTGGGAGGCATAACTCTCATAGCGGCCGGAGGGAGGTTGGCTGGACGGCGGAGGGTTCGCGTGTTGGGCATAGTATGCCTGGCCATTTGGATACTGTGCCATGGCTGCGGAGAGAAATCCAGTGTTGACTCAAGGTGTGCGCCCACTGGACAGAGAGTGGTTTGCGAGACCCAATTTCGAGGGGTGAAGTGTCGAATCGAATGAGGGGCCACGCGGGCCGGTGACACGCTACCGAAAAGGTCCTCTGGGCATGTCCCCGCTGAACAAAACGTTGTAAATGGGAGAATGTGGAGGTGGACGGAGTAGAAAGGAGTTGGAGAGGAAGTTGGGATCAGCTCCATCCCACGCTAGTCGAGGTACCAGGGACTTGTTTCCCGCCTATTCCCCACCGCCAAGGCTAAGTACCTCTACTTTCTCGTGTCTACCTGATCGTATTTTATGCTTATCCTGCTGGGATCTTGCACTTAAACCCTTCCTGCACTTCGAACACTCTCTTGGCCATCCTCCACTGGATAATTCTCCGATGTTTACCGTTGGCACTTGAGGGGATCTATCACTCCTTCAGAGCCTTTCAACCCAGATGTCTTCCAATCCCAAAATATCCTTCTCTGCCCCTCTGAGGGCTTGGACCGATTGCCCGATTTGTCATTTGGAGGCTGAGGCTGAGGCTGAGGCTAAGTGGCTCCACAGCCATTGCATCCACAACTACATATGCACTGCTAATTGTCTTATTCCTTTATTTACTTAAACAATTCTCTTCTAATGCAGAAGAGGAATTCATTCCACATGGGTTGATGTTCATTCTGTGTTATATTCTCGGGCTCATCGGCTAATAAACGCCATATCTAGCCGCTATTACGCCAGATCAGGAGGCTGATATAGACCCTTAAGCGCGAAAGGTAGAGGTTGGCTCACTCTTGTTACAAAGCTGGTATCTCCAACGATGCAACAAACATTAAATGCATTAACCCTATGTATATCCCTGAAAAGAGAAAGGCTCCGACTCAAACCACTCCAGAGAGAGTTGACTATTAAATAATTGCCACATCATTTCCTCGTCACGATAACTCTCCTCGGGAGTCTGCAACTGCTGAGAATTAAGGTTGCCAGATTCTCCAAATGGCGACTCTGTTGAATAAGTAGGATCCTGTGACATCAATTGGTCTCGCATCGCCAGCTGGTCCCGAATTGGCAATTGATCCCCTGTCAGCCACTGGCCCCGTCGCGTGGCCATGGCCGGATATAAAGAAGCCAGTTTGGCCTGTGGACCCAAGCGCTCTTTGGCTTGGACCAAGGGCATGCAGAGACTCTGTAAAGTGTCGAGAAGTTTGAGCAACTTAGCGATATATGGACTAGCTGTGAATTGGGACAAGCTGTGTGTGATATCCTGAATAAGATTATAATCGTCCATGTCCAGCTCGCCGATGATGTTGCAGAATAGAACGAAGAATGGACTCAGGGGATATAGAAGAACGGTCCTGCATGGAGACATATTAGACATGCACAGCAGATAAATACAGAAAGCAACCGACGTACCATGTCAAAAATGAGGGATATGGATCAACAAAACCCGGCGTGTGCTCCAGGTTCTTCTGAAGATGATGGAGGGCTTTGAGAGATTTGCGGGAATAGGAGACACATTCCTTGTGCGTCAACGGAGAAAAGGCATATTTCAAGCGTGACCGAAGAACGTCCACTAAGATGGCGTAGTAACAGAAATCGCCCGCGATCCAGTCACTAGAGACAAGATCAGGCGCTGAAGTTCGAGACTTGAAACGAAGTCAGCCAAAAGAAGACAATATTCGAGAAAGCCATCCAACTTACAGACTCCAGTCTCGAGTGTATGATCTCCATCCGTTCTTGTAGTCGGGAATGATTCTGAAGTATCTGGCGAGTATCACCCGCCTTTCCACAGTCCAAAAGCTCACCTTGGATCTGTGCTAGGTCCAACAAGATGCGGATCAGAGGAATATGTGGCAGGGATTGATCAGCTGTTATTAGATGTGTTGGTGAGATGCGAGGCTGAGGCAATGACAGAGGTCGATAAAGGAGTGTGCTGAGAGTCCGATCAAGATAAAAGCACCAGTATACAACGCTATGAATTTCCTCGTCTAGCTCCGAGTTTCCTAGTGGATTGCGAACTTCGTGATAATCCAAAGCGACAATGAGACGAGCGGCGTAGGAGTTGAGAATCCAGGACTGGCTCATGTTGCCGAGATATTGCATGAACAATGCCTATGCGTTCATCAGCCAAAAGTCGCTCGCAAACACAGTATCAAAGACATACCGCAGATATCAGAGACTGTATAAAAGGCAGAGTCGGAGCATTCAAAAAGTTGAGACTATTAAGAGCTCGGAAAGCAGAAACTTCATACAATTTCTTCGACCTGAGAAATTGCTCGTTCATGCGTGGGTCCTTATACGCTCTCGGTTTCTGGAATAGGTGAAAGATGGCTTTCACATAGACACAGACACAATACTGATAAAAGACCTGCCCATGGTCCTTATCCCGGTCACTGAGAACAGTCGAGGCCATCTTCTCCAAAGTTTTGTCCGAAATGTGATCTGGCCATTTTATGGAACTTGACCGTCCGGTTCCAGTGGCCGTGGTCGGTTCTTGGATCGAGTTAGCTCATTCCTGCAGATCGGGTGATGTTCGGTTTTCTTAGTACCTGGGAGTAGCATGTAAAATAGCTCTGGAGACGGAGCAATAGAAGCATTCTCATCAAGCAGATCTCCACCGCACACGCCTAACGAGGGTGAACTTTTGTCGGATATGCCGCGCCCCTGCGCCATGACATCCACAAATTGCAATGCGGATCTGAGGATTGACTGACGTTCGCGGTCCATTCGTTCATTTCCGTTCAATTCTCCTTGTATGACGGCTCGGGCTTGTTCCGCATGGTGGGTGGTTGATCCGATGGCACAGATCTCGAGGGGAGACTGAGGGGAGCTTTTTGGACAGGAGATCTGATCCAGTCTCCTTTTTTCGAGTAGTTTTCTCCACGTGAAGCTGAAGTGTTGGACGGACTTGAATGTTCATATCCCCTAGTTATGATGTCAATCGATGAGCGCAGGTGGAAAAGTTGAAAGGCATCTCGCATACTCTGAAACTGTTCTTTCCAAGCTCAAGACCCGTTCTCCCAGGGCAGAAATCCTGTCGAGGCCGTTAAAAACGAACACCATTTTGATCAGCAAATACATACATTGATGACGCTTGAGGACGACATCTTTGAACCCTGATACGACTGCACTCTACACCAGCATCGACACAGTTTGCACAATTGAGCTGCCGGTCGCAGCGCACCTTTTAAAATGTGATTAGCCTAATGAATCAACTTGCAACCACATTTGGTACCTTTCTGGAGTGGCACAGGTCACACTAAGAAACCATTAGCTATGCAGATACAACTTCCAAGATTGACTTACAGCTCGCAACGCGTCGTCACTCATTTGTATTCAAGGCTAGGGTGTTTGCAGGATAGTTCGTGGCCCCCATCCAATCCATAATCTGATCGACTCTTCATAGACATAGAAAAAAAAGCAAAAAAAAAAAAAAAAAAGGCCCTGTAGATCGCTCGGTGCTTGCGGAGGCTGCGGAGTCTGTGATGTCAAGCGCCGACAGCCGCTCACTAAGCGGCTTGAGGCTCCACCATTTGCCTATTTGGGTCGGAGCCGACCGGATTGGGCGTCAATTTTCCGATCTGGATCTAATTAGATAGCCTAAGCATCTCAACAGATTATAAATTATTTTGGACCTATTCCCAAGGTCCTGAGTACAGTGGTACTCTGCAATGGCAGTTACAAAAGTCCTTAGCCTGATCCCCGCCAGCGGACTACTGGCGGTGGGAACATTCTTTTATACGACGCGTCAAATTGAGGCTATTGAGCTCTCTCCCGAAGATCCGATCTTTAAATCCAAACATCACCAAAAATACAATCCCAACAACAATCCTACCGTGAATGACCTGCATATCCGAAAGGTTCCGTTCTCACAGATAGACCCTGCATACCTGGAGAACCCCGAGCGTCTCATTGAACGATTCAGCGGAGGGGTCTGGGCGGGTTCCGGTACGTCACTTGACTCCACGATCCATTGATCGAATACGGAGAACGGAGTACGGAATATTAAATCAACTCAAACAGCATTCGCCATCCAACGAACCCTCGGATCTGACAGACAGCCCCCACAACTCTGGAACCCCGCCGAGCTTCTCCAATCAAGCTACCAGCCTGGGACAATAATAACCGACGAGTTCCTCGTGCTGAGAAAGTCCAACGATTCGATCCTTATCCGCGGCGGAGATAAGGTGTCAAAAGCCGAGCTCCGACCGATGGACGGGTTGATTGAATTGAGCGTGCGCTTGGAGCCTGAAGAGGGTCATGTGGAGTTTGGATTCAAATCGCTGTTTTTCCAAGGCCTGGGTAAATCCGATCGGCCTCCAATGCCTGGTTTCGTCGTATGGCTTCATGAACAGTATGCGAAGGCTTTGCTGGAGTCCGGAGTGCGACATGTACTTCGGGATTAGAGGCAGAAGCCGCCATATCCCGCTTCCATGAAGGAGAGGGGCATCATGTATGGGACAAATGATTGCAGTTGTATAATAAGTAGGAAAGTGTATATTATTATTGAAGTTCTGGGATTCGAAAGTTGAATAGATAGCGAAATTTAGGATTGACACTCCACCGTCACCTTGGAACAATGAAAATCAAATATAAAAAACATCCAGCCCAAATAGCGATGGGGTATATAGCGATAACAATAACTCCGAGCTCAACGCGCGACAAAAAGGGTATACAAGTCGTGAAAACGTAAGATATCACACTCTGAGAGCAGCTCGGCAGTGGTAGCCATATCACCTCCGAGATTCGGGATTCATATAATTCGTGCGAGCTTCCGAATAGATATTTCGGGAAGAATGAGGTGACCGGGTAAGATAATGGTGTATAGCTGCATCGAGATGGCACAGTGAAGAAGGCCCTCATTTTCCATCGTAGATTTGATCAGGCGTAAGCGAGAACTCGCCCTTCTTGATCTCTTTCGCATTGACATGGTCCGGCTTCACAAACCGGGCAGTCAAAGCGAAGCGCAGTTTGTTTTCGGGGATCACAGAGTGCTATTTCTGTTAGTCTCGAGGTCCAACATAATCACGGGTACAACCAACCTCGTAGTACTTCTGCAAGTTCTCACCATGCATAACAACCAAGTCACCGTGGTGAAGTTCCATCTTGATAGTAGTGGGAGCTTCCTTCCCCTTATGGCCTTTGAAGAGAGCACGTCGAGAATCGTCATAATCCTCCTGCGAGATTTCACCAGCGTCAAACTCCTCTTTGAGCTCACGGCGCTCGGCTTCAAACTTGCAGTCTTTCAAAACAGGGTCATTTTGAAGCAGATTTCCGACAGCATTGGACTCGACTCTTCGAGTTGCACCGTTGAAATACTTGTACTTCATGCGAACAAGCATAGTTGCTTTCGCGCCGAGGGAAAAAGTGGCGATGCTTGGGCCCAATGAGGACTCGCCATCATCATGAAACTTTGACAGTTAGGCAATGATTACATTCCTTATGAAGGATTGGACTTACCCCGATCTTCATTTCTTCAAAGTAACCGAGGGTGAGTAGCTCGTTTGGAGGGAGGTATGTTCCTCCGGATGACATGACCGCCTTTTCGGTAGCCCATGACAGACGACCCAAAGTACGAAGCATGGCCTCGGGGGCTTCGTCAAAACCCTTGGAGTCAACGGACACCACGTATTTGTATGGCATTCCGTAGTTGACGGCGAAATGAGAAGTAAGTGTACCGGCAACCAGACTAGATTGAATTCGGAACCGCTTAAGGCCGAGATCGCCACGTTGTAGGTTGACGAATAGGTCATCCGGACCATTCTTGCGGCTATTGATTGTGCGGTTGGATACAAAGTGGGTGATGGAGCCAACACCCTCGAGGTTGTAGGTCAGCTTTCGGTAAGGGAAGAAAGAGATGTCGTCGATTTCTGGAATGCTGAACTTCTGATCAAACAATATGGCGCGCTTGATTGGGGCGAGCTCAAAATGGTCAAGCACAACACGCAGTGAGACAGGTGTCATATTCATGAACTTTTGGAACGGACAGCTTTCTTGGCCGAGGACCGAGTCATCATCGCATTTCCAGCCTTGCCAGAAGGTGCGTCGAATGCATTTGAAGCACATCGGGCAGACGATCCCTTTCCACGCAATGCGAGATGTGCTGACGTCTGTTGCGTTTTCATCCAGCGTGGACAGGAGATCTGGAACTAGGCTGTAGGATGGCTGGACTGCTGGGTCTGGAGGACTTCTGAAGTTCAAGAAATCAGAGTGAAAAGTGAGTTCGACTGGAGGTGAATCATTTTCGATTCTCCAGAAGTCGACACAGCTGGGATCGAGACACATCCATCCTTCGTTGTAGATGCGCGGGCTTTCAGTGGAGCAGCTTTGGCACATGATACTCTCCAGCTTGGTCTCAATGTTTCGCTGCTGAAGGGGCAAAGGAAGGGGAGAATCCTTGGCAGCCCACCAACTCTTTTCTGCGAGATTCAGCTTTTCAAAGCGTACTTTCACGCAATGCTTTTGACCGAGTTTCTCAAACCATACATTGGTCACGCGAAACCAGTCCATGATGTTGTATCGATGTGGAAGCCTGCGGTTGAGAACCTTGTTGTTGCTCCCTATGATAAAGGTGAGTAGTAGCTTTTTGACTTGTCCATTTGTACGTACCAATCACCAGACCGACTGCAAGCTTTGATTCTTGGCTACCGATGATACTTTGGACCAGTGCAGTGCCAGGATCTTGGTTCTTTTCGAGTACAAGGTTGCCCTCGGAATCCTTGGTGCAACATCCACCGCTGACTGAATCAGCACCGATGCCACACTCATGAGACAGCTTCAGGTAAATAGGACTCACATTCGGGTGACAATGATCTCCTCGTCAATATAAGAGCGAGTACCACCATCGGCGTCAATCAGAAAACCATAGCAGAATCCTTCGCTATGATACATGGCTCCTTGGGTACAGCGGAACCAAGGGATTGCATCACAGAGTTGCTGTCGGCCCTAGAGACGCATTTTGCTCTGAGTTCAATTCAGAACGTACCAATTACCTTGGGACATACCTCTGACCAGGCTGGGGGAGCCCCACAGACCTGTTCAATGGGATTTTCGGATTCCACCAGTTTCAGGCCCTTGGGTGAGACTAAATGATGTCAGATTGCGTACAACGTAGCGACTAGGTCTGATCAATACCTTTGATGAGTGCTTGTTCCTTCTTTGTCTTGCTGATGCGACCTGCGCGCACTGGTCTGTCAGTTGCCTTACGGCGGTTGGCAGTAGTGCGCGGTGACATGTCTGATTAGCAAGTGCGCACGTAAGCTGTCATAAAGTCAGTTAGTATTTGACACGAATGGTTTGACCAGAGTTGTTTCTATTCGCAAGTCTTGGCAAGTTAGACTATCACTCACAGCCTTGGAGACTCAGCGGCACTAGATGAGGCCAATTGGCAGTTTCTTCCACCCAACGAATGTTTTCAGAATCAGATAGGTCTTGAATGATGGTAATGAAGATGGAAGCGATGATCGACAGTCTCACTAGATGAAAGCGACACTGGCATTGGATGAAAGCTGAAGTGGGTCTGAACCTCGGGAATATATTTTGCCAAAGCGGCGTCGAGGTCGGATTTTACCGACAGTATAATCTATGCCACGCCTGAGGGGATTACAAGGTTATCAGCCAAAGGAGTGGATTGTATAAGACCTTAGACATCTAGTCTCGGTAAAGGCTCCACGGGAGGCTCTTCATAAACGCTTTGGGAGGAGGACACCCTCCTGTGGGGTGTAGGGAAGTTGCATGATTTGTTTCGGTGATACTTCGTGCTGACAAAGCACAACATTTTGCCTAATTCTGTATGACTGACCGCTTTCTCAAATGGCCACTGCCTTTTGCTCCAAGCTTGGAAGAATGTCCAGGTTCTCAGGTGAATGTGTGCTCTAAGGTTGTAGTAACTCCCTCTATATTCATCCTCATTAATTCTGTGGACCTTTATTATCCTCGCTAAAGAGTACGGTCACTGGCTTCTGTCTAGTATGTCAAGATCTAGGCTTTTGCCGCTTATGTTGATCTTGCCGCTTATGCTGACATCACTGCTCATGCCGACCAACCTTGAAACTGCATCTACCGAAGCCACCGCGTAGCCCGCACACGCCGAGCTCACCGAATTATTACGATCTAGAAATCTGACTCCTGCCGTATCTCCGCTTGATGGATTACAGCTCCCCCCCAAAAAAAAAAAAAAAAAAAGCCCAAATATTACTGAGTGGTGTTGATCAGTTCATGTCCTCTATCTACTCATTGACATGGTGCAGTAAATAAACATGATTAGTTTCGCGACTTGTGCAGCCAATTGTCTCGATGCGGAATTTCCTATAAGACTAATGTCTTCAACACATGCTCGTATCTATAGATACACCCAAAAGGCCCTTCCGTAAGAGCCCATTTCACAGCACTAGAAAAGAGATAGCATTAGCTGCAGGTCAAAGGTGAATTGTAACAAGGACTGCGAACCCAGTTGGAAGATGCTTGTTGCGGTAGAAGTACTGGCTGAAGGCAGTCGACAATGGTTTAAAGATATCAACAGCAAGCTCGGTCCCAGACCCCGATCGGAAGTGGATTTTAAACACACGCTCCAAGCGTGAAACCGGGGATCTCAGCAACGCTCAGCGGTGCTGTACGATATAGATCACACTCTGTTCCAACATAGAGCCATGCTTGACACTTTTCCAAACTGCCACACCATTTCATACAATCAGCGGCGGTTTGAACCTCATAGCTGAAGCCGAAAGCGGCACCGCTAAAGAATCCCATTGTTGAATTATGCACAGATTGGTAGCATTCAGATGAAGCTTGCGCTCCGCTGAGAGCCAGCGCAGTGGCCAAGAAGACTGAGGCGTAGATAGAAGGCATTGTGTTATTGATCAGAAAATAAAAATAAAGTAGGTGACTTGGCGTATGGACAGTATTTATGCATAAGAAAATTCACCTTTCCACTCTTTATGTCCCCATTTTTGGCCTACCGGCAGACTACTAAAACTATATCTCCACCTGTGTTAGTACAATTTTGGAACTTTGGAACCTTGAACTCTTGGGAAATTTGCTGTCTTTTTTCCTGTCTTTTTTCATGTTGCCTTTTAGAAAAGCCATACCCTATAAGACGGCTGATATCAATCGAGGTCTAGTCTTGCTGGTGGGAACTGGCATGCTGTACGGAACACGAGAATTAATTCCTCACAAGCTTTCTTACAAGCTTCTTTACACCCTTGTTTCCACCTTCGGTAGCAATACCAAAACCACCATGTAGACATGAGGCTTTGGTGTAGAAAAGGAAATGTGAGACATAAGCTAGTATTCCGACACTACCGCAGATATCTACATTAGTGGGGCTAGATTAACCCGGATGCGAGTCTTAGCGTGAACACAATAGTACAATTATGAGTTTTAGTGGACCCTATCTCATTTCGCATAAGCCCTGGTCATTATTTAGTAGGTCTTGGCAGTGCGCCAGGCCACAAATGTTATGTTTTTCGCATCAGGACGGCACTTGAAGTCTGGGTACCATTGTGATTTTCACAGCTGTTATGACCACCAAAATAGATTTGAGACTGGGGTGTGTGTATACACCGAGAGCTGTAGAGAAAGAGACGTTCTAGCAGCATGGCAATCTCCGAGGGCGTGACTTTGCCTCAATGTTACACTACAGGTGTCTCGGTTGTAATTAGTCTGACTAGTATAAAGAGATGTGACTAACGATGCTTTTGACTATGCCTTACATAGAAGGAAAGCCGTGAAAATCTCCTGGATTGCAATGTCGATATCTGGTAGAGGGGTACAATTCGGGTTACCTAGCTGAAGCCCGAGGGAGGGACCCTGTAACCCTGTAAGGACATAGTTAGCCCCTTTGTTTTCACATGGACATGAGTGTAATATGATTCCAATATAGTGATATTCATTCTTTTCGGTTGAGTTCGAAAATCTTACTTAACCTGCCCGTGAAGCGTGAAAGTCCTCGTCGGATACTTTGTTCATCCCGGTTATCCAGGAGTCCAGGGCCACGCAATCAATCCGATTGGCTGCAAGAGTATATTAAGTCTCCGAAGCAACTGTCTTTACCGATGACAGTGGAAACCACGGTAGATCTTCTCTATACTTTCAAGCCAGTCATGAGTACCTACAATACACTGTAACAATATACTACAACTAAGCTTCAGCTTCTCCATGATTAACATGTGTTTCTTGATTCTAAGATTAACGCAATGAGATGATTCTCCGATAATATCTCTACATGGACCTGTGGGTATCTCGAATATTGTTCAGGGGTGATGGAAGACACTCAGACTTCTGGTACTGGTATACTCGTCGAGTGACGAAAAGATTGCAGTGTTGTGGCCTCGCCCAGCATCTTGCTGCATGGAAAGACAGGTAGAGAAACTCGGATGAGGAAGTGGCGGTTGCTGGTAACAGTTAGGTAGAGCTTACTGAAGGAGCCTTCAGTATATGAAATGACACCGCAGATCTCCTCATCAAAGGAGAGTGAGTCTATTGCAATACACAATTTTGATGGCTTCTAGCCTCGGTTCTTGGGTCCAACCCACCTGGAATTCCAATGCATTTTTATCCCATACGAGTTCTTTACGTTGCTGCATTGATTCTACCAGGATCCAGCCTATAGGTATAATATTGGATCGGGGTCCGAAGGTGACGACAGACTACTCCAATAAAAGAAGCAAGTGATTACCAATAAAGTAGGCTGAGACTGTGAAAGTAAAATTGGACTAAAAGAGGGAGAGGAGGGATGGGATAGAGAGACAAAAAGAAGGGGGAGAGAGCGAGAGGGGAGAGAGGTACAGAGAGAGAGAGGCAGAGAGAGAGGCAGAGAGAGAGGCAGAGAGAGAGGCAGAGAGAGAGGCAGAGAGAGAGGCAGAGAGATAGGTAGAGAGAGGGGGAGATAGTGAGAGGGAGACGGAGAAAAGGGAGATGGAGAAGAAGGAGAAGGAGAGAAGGGAGAAGACGGGGAGAGAGGAGGGAGAGAGAGGAGAGAGCTAGCTAGCCTGGATGGCCACCTAAACTTCCATCGGCGGCCACAGATATCACCAGAGTAATTCGCGACCTCGGGGATTGATTTGAAAAGCAAAGCACAAAATGAACAGGGATGGGGCTCAAACGTGAAGCAATGTAATCAACCTTGGAAAGCCTCACCCCATGATTTTGTATATACTCTCTACTAATAAAAACAAGTCCAATCAACTGTTCAGCCTGTTAGACTCTTGCCTTCTCAAAATTCACCACTAAAAAAGTTGTTTGAAACTTGTCTCGAATTGGACAAAGACTGCTGCCAACACAAACTGTCAGCCAGTGAGCCAAGAAGCATATACAAGGCACATCAAGATACGACCCTTGGAATGCTGGAATGCTAAGTAAACATAGCCTTGAGGTGGCCCCGGAGGTCAATTTATGGCTCAGTGATCTTCGGAGACACATCGTTGACTGCTTCAGAAATGACACCAATGGTTTCAATACCGGGGAAGCTCCCCTTGTCGATTGATGATTTAGTAGATTTTCAATATTTGCAAAGATGGGAACTAACCTGTTCACCAAAAAAACCTGTGATTTTTGTTCCTGGTGCTATCTTGAATTCGCTTAAAGGGGTTATCATAGTAGGTACACCCCCGCTCCATCCGGGTTGTAGTTTGTAGCGTAGAGATCTCCCGCGATTCGTGGTGATCTAACAGGGTTAGACTCTGCGTTTCAATGAGCGAAGAAATATTCACCAAAAGCGAATAGAGTCGATCTCTTTCATATAACTCATCCGCTGGCTGTCTCAGAGGGCGCTTGATGCTCGTGAAAACCTTTTCAATATATTCTCCTCCACGACCGTCGATAGAGAGTCGCAAGCTTTTGGACAGAGGTACACAATCATAGTTACCAAACTCGACACTCTTGATCGGGCGCTCATCTTGGCAATAGTGAAACTCGATACTGGCTAGGCCATTGCGCATCATTCTGTTCAGTCGGATTTCTGTGAGGTGCTGCAGATCAGCCCCTTTGAAACCTCCGAATGAAACCCAACCGAACGCTCGAAACCCAGAAAACCTTGACCGAAGGGTCGGGGTCATTTTATACAGGTGTAAATCTAAACTTGGTACAGATGGATACCATAGTGAGGTTGAACGTTGTAAGCTTTGGGGGCTCGCCAGAAGTTTCACTGGCGGCCCGGCCGCAGCAAAGCTGACAACTTTGTATCCCTAATTCAATTTTGAGTCAGACATCTTTTGAGAAAGGTCTTCGAGACGAGAGCACTACGACTTACATCGACACCGACTTCCACAGCTTCAATGGATTCAAATCTCGCTAAGCGCTCTGTGACTGGGGTGTCGAGAGGAAATCCGATCCACTGGGAAGCGATACCTTTATCCATGACTTTCAAGCCCTTGAGGCCCTTGGGCGCCATTGCCAAGAGGAATCCAGTCAGCCGTGAGACTTTGACAAAACTCTCATTGCCCTTTGATCTGTAGCCCAACCTCACAATGTCGCCTTTTGCAGACATGAAACTTATTCCGGTGATGAACCCAGTTTCACCAGCGTTTACAAGCGAGGTCCCGATTTGAACGACGTCTGGTGGGACCAGGGCTAGATTCCTTTTGTGAATCCGGCATTCATCGCGCACTTCATCTGTCTCAATCAGACCAGTCACCGTCGCCCATTGAGATTGGTGCGCTTTCAATGTCACTTTAGAAATGCTTGAAGTATCATCATGTTGTAACAACAACAATTGACACAAGTTTTGAAGGAGTGGCCAGATTCGTCGTCGATTTCCAAGCCCGGGCAGACACTGCCGGAAACTGGTGCTTCGGTACAATTGAAGCCAGTTCTGAGGCATCTTGCAGTTTCTAGCTTCAAAGAAAAAGTCTCGCTCGCCCCCGGGGTCGAATCTAGAAGCCCAGAAGGTCTGGCTACCCAGAAGAGGGAGAAATGCGCTTGACACGCATCGAAGACTGAGGGCGTCTTGCGTTGGTAGACAAACTGCTAGCGTCTCCCGTAGCTCCCAGGAAAGCCCCCAAAAGCAGTCTCTCAATGGCATTTTTCTGATCACCTGATGCGATGTAAAAGGATTCGACAGCAATTCTGGACCGGGGTTTTGAACATTGAACGGATCAGCCTTAGCCTGCGTTCTCGTGAAGTACTCAATAGACGGGGCCTCCGAGACTTGATACCACGGAGCCCACTTGTTCCAAGTTTCATACAGGTCATTGTAAGAATGGTCCCAGGATACATTACCTGACTCTTCGGTCAGGGCCAAGGACTCGCATATCGCTACCAATCGGTCCAAAGGGACATTTTTGGGGTCGAAGAATCGACAGAGAAGTTTCCAGCAAGACTCGTGGACAAGGAACTTGTGAACTCTTTCGTGTTGAGGTTGATCCATATCGGGGATAGTCGCATCTAGTTCTGGCACCCGGTTATCGTCATCCCATCGCTTGAGCGGGTCGGCTGGAGCGTGGTAGAAACGGGAATTCCGGGGGGCTCTTCCTACCCCAGTCATGAAGTTACCCTTTAGGGTAGAGTAAACTGTATCAATTAGATCTAGAGCCAAAGGTGCATCGATGGCTCATACTTATTCGGAATTCTGACCACCAGCCCGATTCAACGAAAGCGATCGAAACCGGACATCCGCAGATCATACAGCCACAAATGTCCACCTCCATTGTGGGGGTTGGGATGAGTGATCGAGATAGATGGAGATTGAGAAGCATATTCAAAGCTAGAGTAGAGATGTGGAAAAGACGTAAGTATTGCCGATCGACTCGGCCATCCCTCAAAACTTTGATTCGGTATTTATGGAATTTCCAAGGTTGGTAGTTATTGCGGCTAGGGCTGGGATTTGTAGCGAATGAGAATCCGAACCATCTCGTCGTCACCCTGGAACCTTGGAATCTACCTCGGGAGTGGTCCAAGATCCGAGTGTCAAACCAACCATGACAGGTAGGATCATATGAGAACTATCTCCAAGGCTCTCTTCTCCTTGTTTTGATGGCACTCAACGGGCTAGGAAAGGAAGAAGGGAAAGGAAGAGAGAGAGAGTAAGCATATGAGGCTACCTTCCTCCCAACCTCATATCATGTCATATGCTCGTCATATCATCGGCTATCGCTCGATTCCAGCCAGTTCCTCAAGCAACCTCTACTTCCCAAAGCAGTAATCAATCTATTTATTACAATCATTGATCTACAGTAAGAACTAAACCTGAACAAATGTGTCACCACCTGGCTCAGTCGAAAAATTAGAAAGCTTTTACTTTATTTCTATGATCTCTCTCTTGCATGTCCTTATTTACTTGCTTGCTTTGCTATGTTTGCTTACTTCCCTTTGCTATTTACATGTGCTTGCTGCTCTATGGCTTCCTGCTTCTTCTTCTTTCCTTCTTCATCTTTAGTTTCTTCATTACCAACAGATAACTGTTTCCATCATCATCACAATGAGCCATTTGACCAAATGTTACTTACAATCTACTACTGACTTTCTATTATCGTTTTCAATGCCATTGTTACTCCGTACGGAGTACTCTGTGCTGTCCTTTTTTACTAGTATCTTCTTTTGACTCCCCTTAGTTTCTCCACACCGCCCTGGCAATAACAAATATCCTGTTGTCTGATTGGCCTGAAGGAATACAATTGATCTAAGGTCCATGGTGAAATGTGAGGTAGACTATTGAGGCTGATGGCCAGGATGTGATAGATCTTCAGACTAGTGCATGTAGATTTGACTCAGGGGCAAAGATTGTACTGTGACGTGTCGACAAGGCTGTACAATTGCCGTGTTCCAGTACAGTTCGGCAGTGATCTGCACGCCAAGACCACTTTAAATTTGGATGAGCAATCGACTCCATTTCATTAGGCTACTAATTGGTGGAAGTGGGCTAAAGAGCCTGAAGATACGAGGTGTACAGACTCAAATGGTGGAATATCCATTGCAGAGTATAAGTAAAGGTGAGAAGTATACTCTGTACTCCGTACTGTAGCCCTAATAAGCATGAGGAGTGCTGTCAAAGTTAGACTAACTACACTTAAACCTAATAACCTGCATACATTGACATCTTCGAAAATGCACAGTATAAAAATATCCATAGACATACGAGCAACTGCCGTTGATATGAGTAATATGAGACCCAAGAGAGACCTCAATATTCAGTCTGGGGTCGGTGTCGCGGTGTCGCGGTATAAGTACCCTCGGATATGCTGCGGCCGAGGCAACTTTTCCCCGCGGTATAACCTCCGCAATGGATCTCCGATGATTCGCGAAACCGCCGGGTACCAACTTCGGCTCGAACCGAACAGCCAAGGGATTGAATATGTGCCGTAGGCTGTATTAGGACACGTATGAATATAAAAACGAAGCGGTCCGAACACGATCAGGGGGAGTTCGCAAGGTTTACCGAGATCCCCGCACGTCTCCACGTCTCATTTTAAACTCCTCGGCCGCTCTTTTTTTTTTTCTGGACATTTCACATTTCACAGCTCATATTCTCCTGTTCACTTTTGCATATCCTTTACACATACTACGCTGGCTTTAAGACAAGGTAAAACAAGTCTCCGACATCCAACTAGCAACCGCTAATCGCATCCTCACAGCCAACAGACCTACCCCTGTACATCCGTGACCTGTGAATTTCCCCCGTGACGTCAGATTGCGACTGCACAATGGTGTTCCTACCTGCCCAATCCGCCGGCGTATTGCCGCCTATCCCAGACAACATCCCAATCAGCGAGTTCATGCTCAATGAGAAGTACGGTCGAGTGGCACACGCCGACTCCCGGGATCCATACACATGCGGTTTCACCGGTAAATCATACTCATCGCGCGAGGTAGTGAGCCGCGTCGACCACATTGCGCGCGGTCTCTCGAAAGAGTTCGGCTGGGCTCCGAACCAAGGCTCCGAATGGGACAAGACCCTGGCGGTCTTCACTTTGAATACTGTAGGTGGATTTTGAACCGAGTTTCAAGCAAGCGCATGCTGACTCCTACAGATTGACTCTCTGCCCTTGTTCTGGGCTGTCCACAGACTTGGCGGTGTCTTGTCGCCTGCTAATGCATCATACTCCGCTGACGAATTGACACACCAACTGCGTGATTCCAAAGCAAAGGCTTTGGTCACTTGTCTCCCACTCCTGTCTATCTCATTGGAGGCCGCTGCCAAGGCTGGTCTTCCCAAGAGCAGAATCTACCTGCTCGACGTTCCCGAGCAGATCCTCGGGGGCGCTAAGGCCCCGGCTGAATTTAAGACTGTCGACCAGCTCCACGATGCGGGTAAGTCTCTGCCCGCACTGGAGGAGCTGCGATGGAGCGCGGGCGAGGGAGCCCGTCGCACAGCATTTTTGTGCTACTCCAGTGGGACGTCGGGTCTGCCTGTAAGTACCATCCGATGTTTGGCTTGGATTGATACTGACAAAATGTACAGAAAGGAGTCATGATCTCTCACCGTAACGTCATTGCCAACACTCTCCAGATCAAGACACACGAAGACAGCTACCGCACAAACTCTGGAACGAGACCCCCTAGCAAAGAGGTCTCCTTGGGTCTTCTTCCCCAGAGCCACATCTATGCTCTGGTGGTCATTTGCCATTCCGGCGCATACCGCGGTGATCAGACCATCGTTCTTCCCAAGTTCGAATTGCAATCCTACCTCAAAGCCATCGCACACTTCAAGATCAGCTGTCTTTTCTTGGTAAGCCGGCTCCAACCCCCAAAAAGAAGAAAGCTAACAGACCCAGGTGCCCCCAATTATCATCCACATGCTGAGCAGCCACAAAGTATGCTCTCAATTTGATCTCAGCTCTGTGAAGACATTGTTCACAGGAGCCGCACCCCTCGGTGTGGAGACCGCCAACGACTTCTTGAAGCTCTACCCCAACGTTGGCATCCGACAGGGATACGGTACGCATCTCCCAATCATCGAGACCGAGCCAGTACTGACATCCCCCAGGCCTCACAGAAACATGCACAGTCGTAAGCTCAACACACCCCAACGACATCTTCCTCGGGTCCTCCGGTGCCCTCGTACCCGGCTTCGAAGCCCGAATCATGACACCCGAGAACGAAGAAATCACCAAGTACGACACACCGGGTGAACTGGTCGTCCGCGGTCCCAGTGTTGTCCTGGGCTACCTGAACAACGACAAAGCAACCAAGGAGACCTTCGAAGACGGGTGGATGCGCACGGGTGACGAGGCTGTGATCCGCTTGAGCCCGAAGGGCATCGAGCACGTTTTCATCGTTGACCGGATAAAGGAGCTGATCAAGGTCAAGGTACGTGACTCTCTTGCATCGATGAAATACCTTCTTTTTGAGGATTCAAAGCTAACTCCTCTCAGGGTCTACAAGTCGCACCAGCCGAGCTGGAAGCTCACCTCTTAGCACACCCCACTGTCTCAGATGTCGCTGTCATCGCTATTCCCGATGATCGCGCCGGAGAACTCCCCAAGGCCATTGTTGTGAAGGCTCCTGGTGCAGGATCAGACGATGAAGTATCGAAGATTCTCACTAAGCATGTTGAGGACCACAAGGCTCGCCACAAGTGGTTGAAGGGTGGCATCAGATTTGTAGATGCCATTCCCAAGAGCCCTAGTGGAAAGATTCTTCGTCGTCTGATTCGGGACCAGGAGAAGGAGGCGCGCAGGAAGGCTGGCGCCAAGCTCTAAATTGGTGCTGGAATGTATGTGTATGTTTTTGTCGGTGTTTAGGATAGATCCATGTTTGATCGAATAATTCCCCATAGCGACACGCTTTGCCGCTGTATTTTCGGAAATTGACTCTCAGATTCTGCTGCGCTCGCTGTGCTAGGGTAAGATTTGAGATATAGTGAATTTTGCAGGTATGAACACGCTGTAGCGCATTAGATCACAAAGTGCTCGGAGCTTGCGCCGTTATAGACTGAGACCAACAATCAACAACGCAATGTCGGCGTCACGGGGAAAGGCGGTCTATCAGGCGGTCTGCACGGGGAATTAATCTGCCGCGGGGTGTGGATTTCTAAGCGGGGAGGTTAGAAAAAAAAGATCTGCCACTTTGAGCTAATCCAAGTCAATTCTCATATTCTTGGGATATTACCTTTGATCAAACTTCTGATCTTTGCATATAATCCATATAATCAAAATGTCTTCGAACGACCCCCACCACGAGGAGCAGGATGAATATCTGCAGGCTGACGATGCCGAGGAGGTCTTCGACCGTGATGAGGATCAGGATATGGACGTCGATGGAGAATATAACGACGAAAACATGACCATTGAGGATGAGATTACATTCCAGAACGACTCGGCCGCACACTTCGACTCTCACACCGACTCTGTGTTCTGTGTTGCGCAGCACCCCGTTCACAACCAGATTGTCCTCACTGGCTCTGGAGACGACTCTGGATATATCTTTGACTCAACTCCCGCACCTCGCCCCGTGCTTCCTTCCAGCTTTGAGACGACCCCTCAGCCACGCGAGCGTGAAGCTCTGACCCCTCTTGCCAAGCTCGACGGACACACTGACACCGTCAACGCGGTGACTTTCACCGAACCCGCTGGTGAATATGCCATCACGGCTGGTCTGGATGGCAAGCTGCGTGCCTACCGCGACACCACCCCCCAGAAGACGGGACTTGCCTGGGAATTCTTTGGCGAGGCTCAGGAAGTGGAGGAAATCAACTGGATTGCGGTTTGTCCTTACCAGAAGGGCAGCGAGGAGCACAAGAACGTCATCGCCATCGGTGCCAACGACGGCAGCGCGTGGGTTTTCCGTATTGATCACACCGACCCATCCAACCCCATCTCTATCATCCAAACTTTCTTCTCGCACACCGAATCATGCACCGCAGGTGCCTGGACACCCGATGGAAACCTGCTCGCCACTGTCTCCGAAGATGGAAGCTTCTTCGTCTACGATGTCTTCGGAGCTGCCGCCGCCGCCGGTATCGAGTACTCCCCCGGTACCAATGCCATCCTTAGCTTGAACGCCGAGGACCAGCGTTTCGCCGTCATTGGTGGTCTTTACACCATTGCCATCTCCCCCAGCGGAGGTATCGCCGCAGTCGGTGGTGCCGAGGGCAACATCCGTGTCGTTGGTCTTCCCCGAATCACTGCCTCTGGCCCTTCAGCAAAGGGCAAGGGAGCAGCCCCCAAGTCCGCCGGTGCCACCGCAGCAGGCACCATCATGGCCTCTCTGCAAACCCAAACCGACAATGTCGAATCTCTGTCTTTCTCCCAGGCCCCATTCACCCTTCTGGCTGCTAGTTCCGTCGATGGCTCCATTGTGATGTACGATGCTGCTCACCGGTTCGCGGTCCGCAGACACATCCAGGAAGCCCACGATGGAGCCCCCGTTGTCAAGGTTGAGTTCCTTCCCAGCCACCGCCAGGCCGGTGCCTCTGTCTCTGGACCCCTTGCTTCCGCCTCTGCGGCTCAAAATAACCGCTCCTGGATGCTCACATCTGTCGGCCTTGATGGTGTGGTCCGACGCTGGGATGCGCGCGGTGGTACTACCGCTGCTGCTCAGGGTTTGATGCAGGAGTGGAAGGGACACATGGGTCTTACTGAGAATGAGGATGGTGAACAATCTGGTGGTATCATGGGCTTTGTGCAGAACTTCGATGGAAAGCGTATTGTTACTGCTGGCGACGATGGCATCTCCTTGGTGTTTGAGGAGTAACTTTGCAAAATACATAGAGGCGTCCCTTAGTTGGACTTCATGTCGATAATGATATTACGTGTTTATACAATGTCAGTCAGAAAGACTGCAGTTTACTTATGCCACTCTTCTTCGTTGTCTGTTGTTACTTTGCAAATTGTTAGCTGCCGAGGCGTGTGCATCTAATGTCTATGCCACCAGTTGTCCGACGCCTTCCACAAGGACAGGGCTGGTTTCTAGTTTAGTGACGGTACTTGAGAATCAGCCATCAGAACTTGACAAGAACATCCATGGATGTACCAGGCAGTGATTGATGAGAGCTAGAATATCAATTCCATGAAACAGTAAAGAGATATCTCGTTGTGATAGTGGAACAAAAGCTATGTACATTCGACAAATCAAACCCAAAGCGCCATCTGGAAGCCATGCTCCTCATAAGCCATGAGAAGCTGCATTTCCGCCTAGACACAACGGAAGCACCTGAGATCGGAACATCAGATACTTTCATCCAAAGCGCAACTGCGATTCTCGCGGAGGCGAGTCGACTCTTGGTCGCCTGGGGTATACGTCCTCCACTCGATAATCGGCCGGTCGGCGGCATTCTCCATTGGTCTCCAGAGACAAGTTTAGTGGTGGCCGTCGCCGTGGTGAGCGTCACCGTGGTGGTCGTCCTTCAGGAAGAAGTGCTCGTATGTGCAGTAACCGGCGAAAGCGACAGTCGCGATACCGAAGCCGGGGAAGAGGCCCTTGAAGCGGTTGAAGCGGCTGAAGGGGCCGTAGTAGCGCCAGGCCTCACTGTGAATAGATTAGTATTCAGGTTATACTGATGTGAAAATCCCACTCAATTGACGTACTTGCGAGCCCATGGGTCCCGCTTAGCCCAGCTGGAAGATGGGGAGGCTGCGGCCTTGAATTGGGCGATATCGAAGCCGGTGGGGTTGCGGGCGGGCATTGTGAGGGATGTGTATGTGAAAGTGACAGGAAGAGCGAAGCAAGAAAGATATCAAGGGCTGTGACAGTATTCCCTTAGTCCGCAATCATCCAAGTTGACTTGAGAGGAGCCGAAGATGAGGAAAAGAGGTGTGCTTGGCAATCTACCCGCGCTAACCGCATACGGAAGCCCTTGAGCTCTCCCGCCTTGGACTTCGAGGGACGAAACTGTCACTTCATCAATGCGCATCCAGACACAATGCCACCTCCCGTCGGCAGATATGGGCCATCTGGTCTAGGTGCCCCTTACAATATACAACAATCTCACATTCAGTCTCACCCTCACGCTCAGTCTGCAAACACACTACCTCCCCCTTCGCTTGGTCATCCCGGCTTCGCGGGCAACCCAAATACCAACATCAACCCGTTCACACTTTCCGGCGCTGGCATTGCAAATGGTATGTCTGTCGCTGGATTCCCAGGCGCGGGTGCCGATGGTGGTGGTACCGGACTAGCCAGCCACGCCGCACAGATGGGGTTCGCGCGCGGTGCGCAAATGCAACAGGCACAACTACACCAAGGCCACGACGGTCGGTTAGCACTCGAAGCTAAAGGAGGTGCAGTCAAGTCTAGAATCAGAGATGTCTGGAAGCACAATCTGGCTCATGAGATGGCGGTGTTGCGTCAGCTGGTCGACAAGTACCCATATATCAGCATGGTGAGAACCATCCGCGTGGGAAATCCGTACCAAACGGGTTCCCGTTGGACTTGAATGGTCTGTTTGCTAACTAAATTTTAGGATACCGAATTCCCTGGAATTGTCGCACGACCGATCGGATCATTCTCAAACAAAGCCGATTACCATTACCAGACCCTGCGATGCAATGTCGACCTTCTGAAGATGATCCAACTGGGAATCACCCTGTTCAACGACGAAGGAGAGGTTCCACCAGCGTCGGGTGGTGATGGGAACGGACAGGCATACGGCGTGCCCGCTCCTTGTACGTGGCAATTCAACTTCCGGTTCTCACTGGAGGGCGATATGTACGCCCAGGAGTCAACAGCCATGCTCGCCAAGTCCGGAATCGACTTTGCCAACCATGAGAAGAACGGTATCGACCCCTTTGAGTTCGGTGCTCTATTGATCAGCTCTGGGCTGGTCCTGCTCGATGACGTCCACTGGGTTTCGTTCCACTCCGGATACGACTTCGGCTATCTGATGAAGATCATGCTCTGCTCCCAACTTCCCGAAAATGAGGAGGAGTTCCACAAACTTCTGACCATCTTCTTCCCGTCACTCTACGACATCAAATACCTCATGAAGCACGCCGGCCGCAACCAGGCTGTCAACGGCTCGCCTCTTACCCCTGCAGCAGCAGCGATTCTCACCAGTCTGGGACAGAAATCCGGCTTGCAAGATATCGCCGATGAGCTTGGCGTCAAGCGTGTTGGAATCGCTCACCAGGCCGGGTCCGACTCCCTCGTGACAGGCGAGATCTACTGGAAGACCCGCCAACTCATCTTTGGCGGCGCCATCGACGACAGCAAGTACTCCGGCCAGATCTGGGGTCTCAATGGACAGATGCCCGCAATGGCCTACAACATGGCCCAGCAAACGCCGAACCTCAACGGTGCCACCATCTACCCGGGAACCCCTAGCACCCCCAATACCGGGTCCCACGGAACCGGCGCCCACACTCCCCAGCACCACGGAGCGAGCTATCAAGCCGTGACGCCGGGGGCCTATCAAATGGGCCGCGCATAGGCCGAAGCCCTTGGGGGTTTAGGCTGATACGATATGATGTATGTACATAGGCACGAAAATATCGTGTTCTTTTTCCTTCGATCTTCGGCATTGTCTTCACGCCGGCTGGGCATTGACTTGATCTTTGCTGCGGCTTTCGTGTCTGGACGACGGTGTTGGGCAGGAAGGTGCCTGGCGTTTGATATGGTTGATATTTTTTCTTAGTCCATTTCCGAGGCGTTGACAGGCTCTATCACGGCCTTGTGCCTTTCGTTCTTGTCACATAGGTCGGTTTTCTTTCGTGTAGCTAGATCGGCCTGTATCCTATGTAAAGGAAATTTGGTTTCTCTCCCATTTTTGGTTTCGGATTGGGCAATTCGTTATAATTGTAGGCTTTGCAGCAGTGTATAGTGCCAAGCACCAGGTACTTCGGCCGGAGAAGTACTAGAAACAACCTTGACCGCTAGTCACAGACCTGCATACCCGGGACCTTAAATAGGATGGGTACTCCGCTCTGTGTGAAGTTGCAACTTAGACATTACTTTGACCATGGGCTCCATTATTGGAGACATACAATCCCAGGTATGTGGAAAGTTGCTCTGGACCCCCTCGAATTATCTCTCATGAACTGATTGATAGGTGCTTTACTTCAACGCGGTCCCTATTCGAGCAGAATCCGTTCAGAGAATAAGCCCAAAGCGCCAAGTGTATCGCTTCGTCTTAGATCCATGCCAGGAACTACACGGCCTTCCGACAGTTGTGATAGTCAAGGGGATGAAAGAAGGCTGGCACGATGAATTCGAAGAAGAGAAAAAAAAACTACGAAAGATTCAAAAGCCTACAAGGATCAGTTATTCCCGTGTTCTTCGGCGAAGGGACATTCAACGACGGTCCCATTATCATCCTTTCCGAGGTGGTGGGGAAAACACTCTACGAACTTTCCTTTAGCAAGGCTGCTATATCGCTGGACGAGCTTCGAGTTCGACTGGAGAATGCTCTAGAGTCAATACATTTGCTTGGTGCAGAGTATTTGGACCAGCAATTGAGCAACTTCATTCTCTGCGACACGGGTGAAATTATGATTGTTGATTTCGAGCAAATTGATTTTCCACCTGATCTTGAAGTCTTTAGGCAAAGTGTTAATTATGGGGGTGTGGGCACTCTCTTATATCTTTTCAATGTTACGAGAGAGAATAATAGTCGCTTGGCCCATGACAACTTTTTGCCTGTGGGGGACCGTACGTCTTGAGTGGTTAGCTAATTGAACTCTTCCAAGGGTTTTACGCAGTCTTTTTTTTCGCATCCTTTCTCTTATCTTCTTTCTACTACCTTTTCTTTCTAAGTCACGTTAAAACTGTGGGTACTTAGAAGACATTGTATAGTTACGAAATGAGAGTATAGCTAGAATATATCAATCTATACGGAGCAACTACAAGTCAGATATCTTGGCTGGTGGGAATAGCTTCACTTTCACCGAATTCCGCTTATGTAGATTGTTTGATATAGAACGGGCGAAAACAGTAGAAATCGCGCTCCTAATCCCAACCGTTTTCCGACCCTTAGGCACCATACACCCTCGTACGATGTACCTCTTTATTTAAGAGACGAGGACATACCCACGTCACATGGTTGAAGCTAGATGTGTGCGATGGCAGTCGACAGTGAATGGATGTTACTATGGAAGCGAAAATTCATCACTGACAACGAGCCGTAGCTTGTGATCGGTCTCACATTATAGCTAGACTTCCAAGGTTTGAGCACGATGCATTAAGCCCCTATAATGACCTTGGAGAAAGTGGTGGCTTCTGGGCTTGCACCTCACGTCATGTTAATGCTCCAATGAACCTTTGAAACACACTGATCCTAGTCCCTCGGCGCTCACTGAGTATAAGGGCGGAAACTCAAAGCCAAAAACTTGCTGGGAAAAACTGGTACCTCGGTCACTACAAGTAATATCCATACTTCATCTCTCTGTTAGGGCGTTTCTGTCTTGGATGCCACCACTTTTATAGATGCACTCAGGGTAAGGCTCCCTGAGCAGACATAAGTCCCAGAAATCCAGGCGCATATAGTGACCTATTTTGTTCTATCAAGGAATTCATCAGTGATGGCTCATAGACGCTGAACGGTCACTGACTACTGCCCAGGTGAACGCCTTCTTTCCCGATGAGAGGGACCTTCCAAGGTTGTCATTGTTACATAGTTGGAGAATTGCGTATTTTGCTAGTTGGACCATACATCGTCGCACTGGTAGACTTTTGTCATATTCATGAATTTCAGGGTTCTCAATCTTTGGATGTAAGAAAGATTCCAAGGTTGACACGTTCCCATGTCATCATAGACAAAGCACATCCATGGATGGTTGCCGTCCCTGTTTAGGCAAAGTGAGGCCGTTGGGATGATCGAACCTAGTTCCTGGATTTTATGTTGAGACATTTTCTCACCCCAAACGTTCTAACTAGCATCATTCCATCCCTATCACTGTCGTTGTTGCCTCAAACCTGCCAGATCACGATCAGTTTACCTGCTTTGAACAGACGCTTGTTTCTTCACTTAAACTTTCTCTCAATCTTCGAAGGCTGAAAATCCCCAAAATGCAGTCACTCCCTGGCAGTTTCCCGCCAGACATACCTTCAATGTTGGAAAGAATTGGCCAGCCCTCTGCGACCCCCAATATGAATACGTTAGCCGGTCTCCCGGTTGAGCTATTATTATTGATCACCGACTTGCTCCCTATGGATGATTTGATCTGCATATCACTTTGCAGTCGCCGACTCTTCATCATAAACAACCCTCGATACCCTTCTACCCGGCCGTCAAAAGAGATGAAATTGCCTATCTTGCGCCGGCTGGAACGAGATCTACCAAACTATTTCATCTGCTACAAATGTTTCATTCTTCACAGATTTGACGGCTCGAAGACTTCTGGTATATCTGGTCCCATAGTTCATTTTACTTGTCCTCTGCGGTGCCTCAGATCTTTGAAATGGGCGCCCGAACATATTATCTCCCTCGGAGAATGGCTCCCCCCCAGTCAACATGTTCCACAAATTCTGTTTCCTACATGTCCAGCTTGCCATGCGGAGATTCTATCTAGGAGACCAAGTTGGAATTAGCACTGAAGCGTTATAATATACGCAAGTCCGGGTTCACCCCGAAAATTCAACGCGGCCTGATATCACCTCTCTCTTCTCGATCGACGCAGCAATCTGTCCAGATCGACCAGGGCTTTGTTTAAGAGCGCAGCAAATGGTGGTTGCTCATCGCGGCAGATGGGATCTACTACTCCCGAAAGACAAGAAGAAATCTATCAAAGACATTCCCGATGTGGTATGCCATTGCCAGCTCATTCCGATTTGGCAAAAACCCGAAATGGTGAAGCCGGTAGTGTTGGGCTATCAGCTCGGAGAAAGAAATCCCTGTTCCACTTTTATATGCGATAAATGCAATACAGATCTCCGCATTGAGATCTGTGAATTTGGTTCTCAGTTGGCCCTCGTCGTCACAACGTGGATCAATCTTGGCCCTGGCTTGACACCCGATGACCCACAATGGAAAATCCGTACTCGTCAAGGTCGGTCTATGACGCTTTGTCCGAAATATCGTACCTCCAGTCCGCGGGTCTCTTTTGAGAATGCGTCAACTCTGTCGTTGGAGGCATTGCTGTCAAAAAACCTTTCTTATCTCAAGGACAAGCGATACAGGGAGATTATGCGTCCAATCCTTCAACCTTTCCAAAGACCAAGGCTCTGGTACTTACCAAGCGAAACCAACCAAGAGATCTATCGAGGCCAGGATTATGAAATGGCCTCCTTTCGCACGTATGATATCGAGATCTTCCTCGTTTGCTTCCTTTGTTTGAGTTGCTTTTTGATTATACTTCCTGCTGCATATAATTTGCATACTTTCTTGATACCATGCCCATGCCCCATATGCGGAACCGAGATTCGCAATATTCCAGTGGTACTGCAAGTTTTTCGATTGCTCGCTTCCATGTCTCTTCATGTTTCTCTTGCTTCTGTATATTTGGTCACTTTCTTGCTGCCGGACGAATGGGCCACCCTAAGCGCTGAAACCGATCCATGCGAAATGAGGGTGGATCTGCATGCTTCCATCGCTATATCTTTGATCTCTGCTTACTATCTTATCATTGCTTTGGTCCCCGCATTGAACCTTTTTCCTTGTGATCTGGATGCCCTCTTTGCGCATTATATTAGGACACGATGTTATGTGAAATAAGGGGAGAAAGGAAGGAGAGAAAGGAAGGAGAGAAACGAGGGGGAAAGATAGAGAAAGGATGAAAGAGGAAAGAAGATAGAGAGAAGCTCACTCAATCCCACAATATCTACTGCGTTTCAGCCTGATCAATCTGCAACCATAGGCTCCAATAAGATGACCAGTCAAGATTTGATGTTAACGGCCGGCGTGAGTCAGCTTCTTTTGCTCTTGCCTACTCCAAGTGCTCCTTCCCGTCGTAAAAGATTTCCAAAAGTATTCACCTGACTCTTCACTTCGACTTCATTCCGACTTCAGTCAAGATTCCTATTCGTGACAACTGTTTTGAGATGTCATCTTCTTTCACTCTTTCCTATGTCCACTTGAAGAACGCTTTTCTGCTGAGAGACCCGAGTAAGATCTACATCTCCTTTACCTTCGACTTGACTCTGAGTCCGTCTCCAGCCAGCCGCTAGTCAAAAAACTGTCTTCTTTCGGTCCATTCTCAACACAGTTTGCATCCACTGTGATATTCGTTGCCACAACAGCATTTTCTATTTATACACCATGGTCATGCAGCTCTGTTGCCAGATCACTAAGTCGTTTGGCTTATACATCGCGCAAACTTGACTGTTGAAACTTGTTCCTCGCTGTGGAATTTGCATTTCTTGTGGGTCACACCTACATCCTACATGCCTTGATACGGCGCCTTCCTGTGCGGCTAGATGCTAATCATACATAGTTGCCTTTTAAATATCTTGTGCGGACCACGAAAGCACGGAATGGAAGTGCAGGTGGAAGATAACGCTTGAGACGTTCCTTCTCTCGGCCGGTTCTTGGGAATCTCCATCAGCTATGTAAGGTATGATATAGGTCCCAAGCCGGAAAACTATTCTCATATAGTAACAATGGAGAATCTAGTGCTGGCAAAACGAGCTGCATCTGGCGCAGAGCCGCCTGCTCCACACTGGAGTGTTATCATCAGCGTGGTAACGGTGATGGTGAGCGTCCACACAATTTGGAACCAACAAGCGACCCACAATCTCAATCAGGCCGAATGATTAGAGAAGAAAGGGCTTGAGCCGAAAGCCATCAAAACCCACTATACCGAGGAAGACGTGGACGATTTGCTAGAAGACCTACGGCAGGAAATGGTCTCGCTCAAAGAGGAGACCGGAGCTAACAAAAAACACATTTCTGAACTGGCGCGCCAGGTCACTGCCATACAAAATGTCGTGCTCGACGAGAGCTCAGTGCAAAACACTGAGTTGAAGACATGGCAGCCCACTTAGGTGCCTGTACAATCATCAAAGGCCACGCATCGACACCAATCTCTCACAGGCAGATCACAACCCGGTTCCGGCATATGTCATCAATCGATCCACTATGAGCGCAGTACTGTCTTTCGACCAACGAAGCTTTAACATTGAAAGTTCGTAAAGCCGCTGGGATGCTCCTTCTCACATTATTCGGAAAAGAAGGGTTCACGTTATCACTGGGCGGACTCCAACCTAGGGACGGCCATCGGGTACTTATGTGTATTAATGACGATTGAGCTTGAATCAGAACTCACCGTGAAAGGAACACGTGAAGTCATATCTAAATTTTAAGAAAGCAGTATACCAAGATAATTCACAACAAAAAGCTCGTACTATGATTTTGCCCTATTGCTATTTCTAAGGCTTGTCTTTTTGGTCCTTATATCTTTTAACATCCTTTCTACTGTCTGTTTTACTATCGATTTTGTCATCTGCTTTACTATTCCTTACATATACACAGATTAGAGAGCTAGACATAGGGATCCGTCAGACGATATGCAGACAAGCATTTGATTGCCGTTTTGGGACTGTGATGGGTAGACTAATCCCAATCGGGGCATTGGATCCGGCCTCCGCAAATGGGCTTTTATCTAATCGGATCGAAGTACGGAGTATAGTCATCCTCTCTCTGCATGAACATCGCCTATTAAAGAGCCTGCAGACCCAGACACAGATGTTTCTATTCTCTACTTATCCCAAAACTTGAGTCGACTTGGTGTTTTTGAACCATCTAATACATCAACTTCAACATGGTTCTCGACAGACTACAGCAATTGACCCATCAGGTCAGTGCAACTGCACCACCACCTCATCCGCTGGATCCTCTCTCTACTTCAGAGATTGATAGTGCTGTGAGCATCATTCGCAAAGAGCATGGGTCACTCAACTTCAATGCTGTCACACTGTATGAGCCTCGCAAGGCTCAGATGATGGCCTGGGTGGCGGACCCTGAGCATGCCCCGCGCCCTGTTCGAGCTGCCGATGTGGTAGCCATCTCAGCAGATGGCAAAGTTTACGACGGTGTGGTGGATCTGGATCAAAAGAAGATCACTCAGTGGCAACACACGCCGAATGTCCAGCCTCTGATTACCATGGAGGACCTGCAGGAGGTTGAACATGTTGTTCGCAAAGATCCCAAGGTCATCGAGCAGTGCGGGATTATTGGAATCCCAAAGGAAGACATGTACAAGGTCTACTGTGACCGTGAGTTGCCACATTGACTTATCCAAAGACCAAGACTGATATATATTATCTAGCATGGACCATTGGATATGACGAGCGCTTTGGAACTGGGGTTCGCCTCCAGCAAGCTCTCATGTACTACCGCCCTCACCCTGATGACTCTCAATATACGTATCCCTTGGACTTCTGTCCCATCTTCAATGCCGAGACCAAGCAGATCATTCACATTGACGTCCCACCTGTGAGAAGACCACTCAGCAAGGCCGCACCAAACAACTACCACCCTGCCGCAATTGAGCAAGAAGGTGGTTTCCGCACAGATATCAAGCCTATTCACATCACGCAGCCCGAAGGTGTCTCTTTCGAAGTCAAGGGTAGAACGATCGAGTGGCAGAATTGGAACGTTCACGTGGGCTTCAACTATAAGGAAGGAATAGTCCTCAATAACATCACATTCAACGACAAAGGTAACGTCCGACCTGTCTTCTGGCGTTTGTCATTGGCAGAGATGGTCGTTCCGTACGGCAATCCCGAACACCCTCACCAGCGCAAGCACGCATTCGACCTGGGCGAGTACGGCGGTGGATACATGACCAACAGTCTCGCACTGGGATGTGACTGCAAGGGTGCAATTCACTACATGGACGCAGCCTTCGTCAACCGAGCTGGTGCAAGCACTATCATCAAGAACGCAATCTGCATCCACGAAGAAGACGCCGGAATTCTGTTCAAGCACACCGATTTCCGTGACGAGTCAACGGTCGTCACTCGTGGCCGCAAACTCATCATCTCGCACATCTTCACTGCAGCAAACTACGAGTACTGCGTCTACTGGATCTTCCACCAGGATGGTACCGTTCAACTCGAGATCAAGTTGACTGGTATCCTCAACACATACTCCCTCAACCCAGGCGAGGACACCAAGGGCTGGGGCACAGAGGTCTACCCCGGTGTCAACGCACACAACCACCAACACCTCTTCTGTTTGCGCGTTGATCCCAACATCGACGGACCAAACAACACCATCTTCCAGGTCGATGCTGTTCAGGGACCCGGCGAGGTCGGTAGTCCCGAGAACAAATACGGTAATGCCTTCTATGCAAAGAAGACCAAGTTCTCGACCCCCCTCGAAGCTATGTCCGACTACGATGGATCCACCAGCCGAACATGGGAAATGGCAAACACCAACAAGCTCAACCCATACAGCAAGAAGCCCGTATGCTACAAGCTCGTCAGTCGCGAAGTACCCCCTCTCCTCCCCAAGGCAGGCGGATTAGTCTGGAACCGAGCTGGATTCGCTCGCCACGCCGTTCACGTCACGAACTGTAAGTCCCATATCCATTCTCATTCATTCATATCACTAACAAGCATAGATGACGACGATCAAATCCACCCCGCTGGCCGCCACGTCCCTCAAACATCCGGCGAGCCTTCTGCCGGTCTTCCAGCGTGGATCGAAGCCGCAGGCCCCAATGCCTCAATTGATAACACTGATGTTGTTCTGTGGCACACTTTCGGTCTTACTCACTTCCCTGCTCCGGAAGATTACCCAATCATGCCAGCTGAGCCGATGACGCTACTTCTTCGTCCTCGTCATTTCTTCACTCGCAATCCTGTGCTGGATGTTCCTCCTAGCTTTGCTCGTACGCCGACGCAGGTGGCGGCTGGGTCGGGATCTTGTGGGTGCAAGAAGAATGATGGATCTAGTGTTCTGGTTTAGTCATGGTGTGGCATTCAAATACTTTGTTCGTATAGCATATAGCGCGTTGGGGTGGTTTGACTTAATTGATTTCTTCTTTTCAAGACCGAATAGCTACAGGTCTTCCCAGGCTGAGACCCGGCATCCTAAGTTACCCAACCCAATTCTGACCCTTGGACGCTGTTCACCCCCCACCCCCGTAGCGGGGCGCCTCGGCTTGTTTCATTTCGGCTTTAGTGCTAAGCACCGAAAGAACGGGACAATGTCAGCAACCTGCATTAGCGTGCACTAAGGTTCAATCCCCACATTCGAAGCCAGTCTTTTTTGACGGTATCTATGGATTGGGGAAAGGTAAAAGCGATATGATAAGGAGCTACTCCGTACTCCATCAAACTTGGCAGTTCAAATTTGGGGTCACCGTGATAGTTGGGGTCGGTTTCGGAGATTAGCGCATTAAGCACCTTTTCGTATTCGCCGATGCATAACTATTTCCAGAGGCTTGCTCAATAGTATCGGAATTACTGTGAAAGGTAGAGCATTCTTATGAAAGGATTTGCATTCTCAATAATATTGTGTAGTATTCAGGCATGTTTTAATGTTTATCCTGCCGAATATTTTGGTTCTGAGTTTAATATGGTCCGGCCATTGAGTAGCAAGTCTCGATATTTCTGTATAACCTTTCAACTGGAAGGTCCACCCAGTTGGGGCAGCTCCGAGGCTTATCATGCAGGCAAACGCCAAGAAGGTTGATTCTGAAGGACGAAATCATATACCCTAGGAAAGATAGAGAATCAAGATATGACCACAGGTATCAGCCAATGCATCTCACGTAAAATCGGGGTACTGTGATTAGTGAAGATCTAATCAGGATGCTTCGGCATGAATTGGGGAGATTGGATAGATTCTGAAATGAATATATGAGGAAGCTTACGGCTCTGCAATCAAGATTTAGAGTGCAGTGCAGTTTCTTCGTGCAAGATGGGCAAATCTCTTCGAAGACCAGGGTTGTTCCTGAACTTTCTCGCTACGGCATGCATTGGCCTGTTTGCAGCACCGGTGGCATCAAAGTCTGCACACGGTAGGGTCACGGAGCTGAACGGTATACCGTTCTATGTTAGTGATGTTGCAGTGTCTCAGATACTGGATCTGCCAGTCTCTCTTTCGAAGGACCTGGGCGAAAGTGATGTTGACGTATTTCCGTTGACTATCATCTCAAGCGATACTTCTGTTTTCACTGGCAAGGAATTGAACCAAACAATCACTGAGTTCGTGCGCAAAGATGATGTCTTTTCTCCATCATTTCTTGAAGGTTAGTCTTTACCGTCTAGGAGATGATGACGAGGTACTCATACTCCAACAGTGACTTATGTCTCCTACAATGGGGAGAGTGGCAATCCTTCAATTGAGAAGGATTTGGCTCATCTCCAAAGGAAAGGGAAGAAGGACGCAAGGCTTCTTGTCTCGCCAGAGTACTCCTCCTCCCACCATGCGGGTGCAGCGACAGCACGCCTAACCCAGAATATTCCCAATGGTCCTTACTTTGCTTCCACAAAGACAGGTAAGATTTTCAAAGCCTATCGGCTTTACGAAGATACCAACTTGGCCTTCCTCGAGCCGGCCATCAGTGATGAAGAAGGGGAAATAAAGCGACTTATGGCTACATCGGAGGTAGGATTGTTGAGAAGTCTTGGGAAACTGGCAAAGACGCTGACACAAAACAGAGTGTGCTTGGTCGCAGCATAGCCGTGCCTTCAAGACTGTACTCTACTCCAACTCCTCAGAAGCCTCTGGCTGGCGTAGGTTCTCAAACGTATTCAGGTTTTGATATCTACTGATAGCAAATGATAGTTGCGTCTCGGTGTCAAAGACATTTATCATGTCAAGGGCATCGCAACCAGTGGTGGAAACCGAGCTTATTACTCGCTTTATGGTGCCCAAAACGCCACTGGAAGTGCCATCCAAAGACTTATCGACCAAGGTGCTGTGTTTGTCGGAAAGATGGGTACCGTTCAATTTGCCAACGGAGATGAACCAACCGCCGACTGGGTTGACTTCCATTGTCCATTCAATGCCCGGGTGAGCAACAAAGCCCCTGTTCCCGATTTATATTACCACATCTAATACATGAGGCTCCAGGGAGATGGCTACCTTGACCCCAGTGGCTCATCAACTGGCCCAGGAGCCGGTATGGGTGCATACGAGTGGCTAGACATCGCCGTTGGAAGCGATACCGGTGGCTCGATGCGCGGTCCGGCAGGGGCGAACGGTCTCTTCGGTAATCGTCCGACAGTCGGAGCTGTTGATCTGGACCATGTTATTCCTCTCTGCTCTGGACTCGATACAGCGGGTGTTTTTGCTCGCAGTGCAGAGTTGTGGTCTCGGGTTGCCCATGCGTGGTATCAAGACTTTGACGTTTACCACTCCTACCCTAAAACTATTTGGTATCCTGAAGCATCTTTTACGCCAGAGGCAATCAATAATAGTCATGCGTCGGCGCTAATTGAGAAGTTTGTGGCTGATGTCGAGGTCTTCTTGGGAACTACCCGCACAAGAGTGGACTTGGATACTCAGTGGAACGCAACTCGACCTGCAAATGTTACCACAACCTTGGAAGACATGCTTCACTATGTGAGTCCAGAGAGTTTCATTGAAAAGGATTTATTTCGTGGCCCGGGACTGATGATCGAAAATATTTAGACATATGGAACGCTCATCACGGTCTATCAGTGGCTCAATCTAGGTCGATCCTTCTTCAAGGATTACTCTGAAGCTCACGACGGCCGGACACCTTATATAAATCCGAACCCCCTTCTGCGGTGGCATCTGGGTCAGCAGTCTGGATCGTCCGGATTCGATGAGGCCTGGCACAACAAGACAATCTTCCACGATTGGTGGAATGCAGCTGAGGGATTGGGAGCTCCTGACAATGAGACGTGCTCTAAAGCAATCTATGTCTATCCCAATAGTGTTGGATCGATCAGATACCGTGATCAATACACAAGGTGAGCCAAAATTGACCTTTTCGATGCTTTTTCGAATACTAACCAAAGATATTAGCGGCCCACTTGCCCCGTACTGGGGGATGAGCGATAGCAACATCGCTGTGTTCGCAGGTGTCCCGGATCTGGTTGTTCCTAGTATGTGATCATATTGCAACTGCTGAAGATCGAGATTTTATAAAACGATGCTAACACCTTTTTGCTTTCCAGTCGGTGAAGTCCCCTATAACAGCACGAAAAGCGGAAAGGTTGAATACACACCAGTCACGATGAGTTTGGTTGCCGCCCGAGGCTGTGATCTGATGGTTGCGAATATGGTCAAGGACATGGAGGCTCGTGGGATCTTGAGGCCAGTGGCAACTGGACCTAAGCTCTATCCTTGAAGGGATTGATGAGGTATGCAGAATTGAAGAGCATTCATGACAAGATAGACCTCGGCATCAGGGTCACCTGCACATAGATTTACATTATTCAAGCGTTCCATATTCCGCAAAGGTGAGGTCAAAAACTATTTACGCCATGTAGCAATCAGGTATCAAATGCGGAGTACCAACCTACCTACCAACCCAACAGCCGCAGTCAAACTTTTTTAAGGTTGAATCAATTAGGGTTATTCCACACAACTTCAGAAACAATACATCAACTGACTACGTAAATGGCCGGCTGTCTTGCATGTTTCTTTCAGTGACAAAATAGTTTGAACCCTTTTTCCGACATCTGGTGTCTTTCATTAAAATGTTTCGAATCATATCGTCGGGTTTCTTGTCTGGACTGCAGGCTCAAGGCGGGAACCACAACCCGTGGACATCCAATGTTGATGAACAAACCTTGGAACCTCCAGAGCCTAGGACTTCGAGGTTCCCGTTGATCGATATCCACAAGTCCATTAAGCTTTAAATGTCTTTGTTCCCACATTAACAAAAGCAAGACAAGAACAGCAAAGAAACCCAACTCCAATAAGAAATGCATTCGACACCTGGGCATACCAATAGACAAGAATGAATGAACCAATTGAAACAAACGCCTCAAGAACTCAAGAGGAAGGGAATCATATACACAAAAAAAAAGCAATAAACTCAAAAGCCCACAGCTCAAGCCTTCAAACTCCTCAACAAAACCTTCTCAACTTCCTCCAACAACCCAAACAACTCCTTACCCCCTCACTCTCCTTCCCCTCAATATCAAGCCCCTTATGCAAAAACTTCCTACTCTCCTCATACCTCCCCATCTCCGCCAAACTCTTCGCAATCCTCCACCAAGCCTTAACATTCCCCACCGGCTTCGAATCCACACTAGCCTTAGCATCAACCAATCCCTCCGGCCAAGCCTGCTGAGCCATATAAGCCTGCGCCCGATTCCCATACAGACCCGCCAGTTCCTCACGGGCAACAGCAACAGGCTCCCAGCCAGGTCGCGCAAGACCCATATCGATAGCGTAGGTGTAGAGCTTGATAGCCTCGTCGTAGTTTGACTTGCGGTAAGCGGCGTTTGCGCTATCGCGCAGCTTGCTGATTTGGGCGCTGCGCTTGGGGTTTAGGGGGAGGGGCGCTGGGGGGATGTTTGGTGGGTCGAGGGAGATTAGGTTGCGGTGGAGGGCGTTTAGTTCTTCGAGTTCGGTTGTTAGGAGGGCTTTTTGGTTTGGGGTTGTGCTGCTTTGGAGGGAGAGGGCCTTTGAGGCTGGATCCATGTGGATTGGGTATTGGTTGTAGATGTCGATTTCGCTGGCCATTTTGGATTGGACTTTGGATCGGGGTTGAGGTTGGTGGTTGGTGGGGATGCTGGGGGAGGTTAGAATTGGTTCTGTGAGGTTGTGATGATCGGTGGTGTGTATGAGGTGATCCTTACTTGTTCTTCAGGTTGGTTTCTTTGGTATGTTTGAAGAAGCAATTGGAGAGTGTCAGAAGGCAAGCTGTCCAGAAACCCGATAGTAGGAGCGGTGGCAGAAAACGGCTTATCTGGATTTGGAGAAAACTAAACAATCAGAGCTTGCTTCTACTTGCGATGACTACACTACTTTTGATAAAACATGCTAGGCTTTGTTGAAGATGATTGGACACTTTTACATACAGATCTATGTTTCCTTACAAGCCAAACAGACATACAGTCATAAACCCAGAGCCCTTGGGCCCCAGAACATGGAAAAGAGCGTAAGCCCAGCACTGATGCGCCCAACACCGCTCCATGGTCAAATCCACGCAAAAATAATCAGAACAAGACAAGACATCTGCTATTCACAGCTCCACCAAGACCCCTCTAGCTAGGCCGTCTTCCATAGCCACCCGCGACAGACGACCCCCCAAAGCCAGAAGGCGCAGTGTACTCGGACGGAGTGTATTCCACATTCGCGAACTGGTCTGAGGGACCGGGGTTGTAGTGCTGGCCATGCGCACCACCATATCCGGTGCTATTGTAGTCGTGGAGCATGCCACCAGGCGCAGGGGCAGTGGGATCGTAGGCGCCTTGCACAGCGGACCGGCCGTGCGCATTACCCAGATCGTCGACCTCGCTCTGCTGTAGAAGGGCGTAGTCTTCATCCTGGTCGCCGCGAGAGGAAGCGCCCATGCCGCCGCGACCTGAGCGGAAGTCATCTTCGTCTTCCTCGAAGTCGTGCGCCGGGTTTGAGGAGAAGGCTGCTTTGCTTTGCGCGGCGAAGGTGGGGTCGGAGACGGCGTCGGGAAGAGTTCCTGTGCGACGGAAGTGCGCCACGTTGCGGAAGGACATGAATGTGGTGATGGCGAAGAGGATGCTGTGTTGGGGTCAGCGGTGATCTGTGTGAGTAAGATAGGGTTAGGGATTTGAAACGTACAAGATGAAGACACCGATGATAGTGGTCGCTTCGCTGAGCTTGCACTTGGCTGCGCTTCCATAGTGCCAGTTATCGCATCCGGTCTTGGTGTCACTATCGGAGGCTCTTTTGGTGGTCTTGGAGTCCGAGTCGGACTTGGAATCAGATTTGGTATCGGCACCCAGTGATTTTCCCTGAGCGACGTAAGATGCGAGACAGATCCACGCGCTGGCCCAGAGAATGGTGTAGAGGGCGTCAACACTAGCAAAGGCGTAGACATTTCCGAAGCGACGGGCTCGTGGCCACATCGGCACTGCGACTAGGTAGACCAGGCCGGGGATACTCAACCAACACTGAAATTCGGGTTAGCCAGACTCACGGGTTTCCCAACTTCTCTCGCGCATCACTTACCAATCCCCAGTACCATCCTGTGCGGCCGTCAATGCCGCCACTCTTCGTCCAAATCGCGATGGTCAAAGCCCACGCGATAAAAATAATGAAGCCTTGTACAAAATGCAGAATATTTTTGGTGCGGCCGAGGCCACCTGATGGCCGCGGCATCTGAAACTTCATGGTGCTGCAAGGGTGTCGCAACCCTAGATGTGTCGCCCGGAGGGGTAGTTGTATGAGTGCTGACTTATGAAGTCATGCGAGGGCACCGAGCAGCCGTGAGATCTGATCGGGTCAATCGGGTCAGACCGAGCAGTGTTTTGTTTTGGTTATGGCCGGTAATGGGTTGCGGCTCACACTGTCCGGGGGAGGAGGCGATGGGGTGTCTGCTGAAGAGTGAAATTGAAGCTGAGAATGAAAGGCGAGAATGAGTAGTCAGTGTTTCCAAAGTTCTCCGGGGGTACGTAGACTCTCCCGCTGATCGCCCAGGCGACAGCGCTATTTTGGGAACTCCGCCACAGCCTTGGCATTTTGATTACTTTCGACTCTGCCACAATGTCTTTGTGTTATACTATTTACGAACTACGTTTCGCATATTGGATAAGCCTTGCAATCACTCTATCATATCCAAAAATAACATAAAAATAAAGGTAAATGTGTTAGCTTCAGTCATACAGTATTTCTCTTTTTGTTCTCAAAAGACCCAGACCTTGTCAAAACCAACTGGCGAGGCTATTTTTTAACGAAGGCCCAGTGGTTTAGTGGTATAATACCCGCTTCGGATACCGAAGCTCATCCAGAGATGGTAACATCTCCCATATGCGGGTGGTCCCGGGTTCGACTCCCGGCTGGGCCCCGCTCCCTAACATTGGGTGTTTTTGCTCTTTCCACAAAATGTTTTTGCCCTTTTTGCTTCCCACCTGGCATCTAGCTGCTTGCTATACGCCATATGATGATAGAGAATCAATGGGAATTGTCGTGGACATACATGTGCAAAGAGTGCAGCCCCAGAGGGAGTGAGATGCTGGCAATTGTTATTACCATCGGCCTTTCCAGTCGCCAAAAAGGCTTACTTCATGTGTCTGGTGCAAACCTTGGAAGTAGATGAACGTTTCAACGTGGAACACTCGCAGTGGAAGGTTTTTCTCAACGGGCAAAGAATCTGTGGAGGGAAAGGAACAAACAAGAGGTAGCAAGCAAGACATGGAAAGTATCGAAAACCATGGGGTCGTTAGGTCATGGTGCCTCCAGGGCTAGGTTGAAAGAGGCTAAAATACTCATTGTTCTTCCACGACCAGGAGAATCCAGTTCATAAGGTCAAGTGTCCATATGGGCCGTGGATACCAGGGTGAGCAGAATTGTAGCTCTATCGTTTCAGGGATTGTAAGCCAGGACAACTAACGGAACTCAGACCTGGCATTTTATACCTACGCTATACAGCTCTAGTGCTTTGGAACTCTAGAAGCTTTGGTGTCTTTCCTGCTACATCTTTCTTTCGAAATCTTTTCATCATGCCAGCTGCATCAAATGATCTCTCTCTCTTGTCATATGCACATCTCTGTCTGTAGGCTTCTTGTTTCCCTCTTACTTCTTTGTTTATTGCTATTTACTTGCTACTTACTTATGCTTCCACTTGCTTCTTTTCTCTTGCTATCTATTCTTGCTCTTGCTCCATAGCTCTTCTTCCTTCTTCTTCTCCTTCCTTCCTGAAACTTTGCTAGCCTCTACAGTGCCCAGGTGGGTTTGAGGTCATTGGCATTCTGTGTGCCAAGCGGTGGTCTACTTTCTCCAGGACCTATCCGACGGTCTGATCAATGACAGTCCGGTCTCTGCTCTGTGGGAATTTGTGCCTTGAACATTTTGCAACACTTGGGTGGCAGTCTCACTGAGTGAAATCTGCAACAGTATGCCTACAGCTTTGGGCCAGACATACTGGGTCTATGGTCGGTAGGACTCTCGGTTTGGGAGATTTTTGTCATACATGTGTGCTTGGATCGGAATGCTCGCTCAACATTCACTCCATGGTTATTGTTGTGCTCGTGGGAACATCCATGGAGTCATCACGCGAAGTAATTGGTGCCATGACCCCCTGGGGCCTCGAACTCTTCCACGCGATGAAACCCAGTCGAATTCAAGCGGCTCCAGGATTTCCCTACAGATAAACCGCTGCCCCTTGGTGATCAGCCACAGGCCAGTGAGCCTTCGATACAATGGATAAGTTTATCACTTCCCGGGCGATCACTCATACTGAAGATACTTATGTACCAAGCAAGCGATCGGGGTATGGCCCTCTCATAAATCGCGAGGGAGTCTCGCAGTATCAAGATAGTGAAGAACTATCAGTCAATTCTCTCATGCAGAGCTATCCTATCCTTAGGCCCAAGCATAAGTCTCGTGGTTCCCGAGGTCATGGTCATGTTCATCAACTCATCATCGTAGAGACCGTAATCATCATCCCTTCAGCCCAGCCTCCCGCGTCTGCTTCACCAAAATCCAAACCTCCCGCAAAGGGCGGTAAATATGAACTTCCCACCACCAAGGCAGGGGATCAAGGAGCGAGAACAGTGGGTCTTTCCAGAACAATAGGCGCACCAACTCCGATTCCACGACTTCCAGCAGAGTGAGTACAAAATGCAGGAACGAAAATTGCAGAAATGCAGCGGGAAGAATAGCCGGTCGTGCAAACGATTTTCTCGGTGCCGAACACATCGTTGCTGTGATGTCGGCTGTCTCGACAGGGTTCGAGGGAAACACAGAAAGATAGCCGGCAATGGGACATGGAACATCATGTAACAGGTTTTCAATGACCCTTGCACCAGAAGTACATCCAGCAATGTAGATGGTGTGTCGAACAGAATGCGCATCAAACTCTTCATCGATCATCAATCTAACTGTCAAATGACCAGTCGACCGAACACCCAATTTGCCCGCCAGACTCTGCATCAGCGTGTGGATAGCGGCACTCAGAGCCTGGTCCAAGCGTGAAGTTCCCCACGAGGCATCGGCATCTGATAACCGGACTTTGATCGCTTGAATCTGTCCGCGAACGATGAGAAGATCGGCAAATACCTCTCCCAGCCTCGACTGCTGTTGCAGGATCCACGGTCTCTCCTGCGTGATCTGGATCTCACTGACACAAGCATAGGTATTGCTCAAAGTGCGTCGCGGGAGTAGTAAAGCCCGATCATTAGCGGTGGGCGTGGCACGCGAAATCCGATAAGACTTTGACGGTGAGCGATGTAGAATCTTGTGCACGGAATCGCGCGACTGAACCCTGTGATACTCCAGCACGGGAAGGCCTCTCTCCACGATGTATTTGGTAAAAGACTCCGAGCTCGCGAAACAGACCGCCAGATCCTCGTCGAAAGTAATGCATTTACAACTCGTTCGACTCTCCACCATTTGCCGAGCCGTTGCGTCTTCGATCGATGACGCCTTAGGCGAGCACGGGATCCACATGTCTACTTTTTCGCGATTGATGACATCCAACAAGCGGGAGATGTAATGATCTTTCGGAATGCGGTAGAAAGTAACCAGCGCTTTCGACATACTTCCTCCAGACCGAATGGGCAAGTCTAGATCAGTGACATCGGCACCGACGACGCGGTGCCCTTCTGCGGCCCAAGCTCTCGCCAGACTCAAACCGTACGTGGTGCCGATGCCTGTGATGAGGATTGTTTTGGGGTAGAAGCGCACATTGCGTTTTGGGCGGCGTCGATTGAGACGCAGGTATGCTAGCGATGCGGCTAGGATGAGGATGGTATTGTCGAGGAATATGAGGGTGAATGAGAGTGCTATGCGGAGGAGATGCCATGCGTGCGACCATTTCGGGACTTTGGATTGGGCCATTGTGAGCCTGATGATACGGAGTACCGTGGCTACGGCCCGGTGAAATTCGCGAGAGACATGGGAAGTGGTGAAAACAAGAGAGAGAATGGAATGTAAGGTGGCTGGTGAGGGGGAGGCTTGGCCTGCAGATCTAGTTCGGTGTAACGCGATCACACGTTCTTTTTAGATGATGTCAGCTACCTTGGACGGTATGATATTCTTTTTAAAAGAGGTAAATAAAGACAGTAAAAAAGACTGGGAAAAGACATCAGAAAAGATAGCAAAGTCTCCAAGGTGCTACAGTAGCAATGAGCAAAAGTCCAAAGGGCACAATGGGCACTAGCTACTCCCGCCTAGTCCTTGACTTCTATTGACAATGGTTCTGTAGTACGAAGTAGATGTAGTAGATGTAGATCTGAGCTTATTCAGATCGCTAGTTCTAGTCTTATGAACATGCCAAGTTAAAAGGTTAATGCCGAGCCAAGGGATCAGGTTTCCGTTCACTGCACTCGGTGCTAATTGCCTTATTAGCCCTTCCAAGGCTGTCTCCGAGGAATATCTATAGAGTCATCTCGTATTCCAAATGACAAAGAGACCTATCATCAACTTCGGGTCCTCTTTTTTCCTGTCTTTCTTACTGGCCTTCCAACAATTTACTACCTAGTATTACTTTCTTTCTTTACTTCCTTTCTTTAGTTGGGGGTAATATCCGACTTCCGCGTGATCACTCAAAAGTCACGTTCCCAATGACTCCCTGTTCAGTAGTTATCCCCGAGCCGAAGTATACATAAAGCCGACCTGAGCCCCGACAACCTTATAGCCGGCATCATTCTTCATTCTCCTAGAATATCTGGTTTCAAACACAAACCGACTGAATATAATGTCTTCAGATCTTTCGGTATGCGCACAAGCTCATCTCCAACCAAAAACCCCCAACTAATACCGAGCAGCGCGAACCAGGCAGAGAGCTCAAGCTCCTGCACTTCATCTATGAACAGCCCAATCTCGACGAGATCCGCGGCCACCCGCAAAAAGTCATCGATCTCATCCACGAGTTCGAAAAGACCTACCACTTCATGAACGTAGGCGCCCCAAAAGGCAAGATCGTCACCGATTTGATCGACGAGCTCAAGCCCAAGACGATGATCGAACTCGGCTGCTACGTGGGCTACTCCGCCATCCTCTTCGGCGATGCCGTGCGCCGAAACGGCGGCGAGCGCTACCTCAGTCTCGAACTTAATCCGGAGTTCGCAGCCATCGCCAACATGCTAGTCGAGCTGGCGGGACTGCGTGACTTCGTCCGTATCATTGTCGGTCGAAGTGATGTCTCGCTGCACAAGCTGCTTACTTCGGGCGAGGTGGCGAAGGTGGAACTGCTCTTTATTGATCATTACAAACCGGCGTATACGACGGATGTCAAACTCTGCGAGCATCTCGGGGCTATTGGGCCTGGCTCGGTCCTTGCGGCGGATAATGTGCTGTATCCCGGAAACCCGCCGTATCTGGAATATGTGCGTAGTTCCGTGGAACGGAAGCGAGAGGTGGCACGGGCTGGACCTTCCACGGGGTATGACACGAATGGGATCCTGGAGCGTGCGGTGCAGTCTTTTGTGGGGAAGGATGATGTGCCCGCGTTCGCCTCTGTCGGGAATCCGAATTTAGTGTATGAGAGTCGCTTGTGTCAGCCTGAGGGATTGCAGGTGAGTTGGTCCAGGAACATTTTTCCGGTGTGTGCTAACCACTGCTAGGACGCCATTGAAGTCACCAGATGTGTGGGGGTCCAGTAGATGTAGATGGGCAGCACTGGCCGACTGGAGTATAGATGCAGATCCTGCAAGTTTGATTTATAATGAAGCCATTGCAAAGTATTGCAAGTCCAGGCATAGAGTGTTCCGGGTAAATAGTAGTAGAGTCGAACATTGCCACTTCGGGAACCCGACGGCAATTGGAAACCCCACCTCACACGGTTCCGGAGACGGTTCCGGCGTCATCCCGTCGCCAGGACCTTCCTTTGCCCCGCCAAACGACTTCCGGGGCTGTATATAATATATCCCCCATTCTCTCTGCAGAATCAATCAAATAACATATTCTCACTCTATCATGGCTTCCAAGACCTATAATGTCGGCGTGGTGGGCTACGGCTTCAGCGCGAAGATCTTCCACATCCCCTTCGTGAAGGAGGTCCCCGAGCTCAAGCTCTACGCGGTGGTCCAGCGTACCCCCAAGGCGGACGATGACGCCGAGAAGGATCACCCCGGCGTGAAGTCCTTCCGCACGACAGAGGAGATGGTGCAGGACTCCGCCATTGACGTCGTGATCATCACTACTGCCCCAGACTCCCATTTCGCCCTCTCCAAGCTGGCCCTGGAGGCAGGCAAGCACGGTGAGTTCCTCCAAGGACCTTGACTCGAGCAATTGAAGACTAACATGCAACAGTCGTCTGCGAAAAGCCCTTCACCCCAACCACCCAAGAAGCCGACGAGCTCGTCGCGATCGCTAAGAAGAACAACAAGCAGCTCGCCGTGTTCCAGAGTATGTTCTCAATCACCATGTCAACCCACCTATACTAATACATACCCAACAGACCGCCGCTGGGACGCCGATTTCGTCACCCTCTCCAAACTCATCAAGAACGGCTCGCTCGGCCGCATCTCCGAGTTCGAAACACACTTCGACCGCCACCGCCCCGAGGAGCCCGCAGCCGACGCCCACGCCTGGAAGAACAAGGTCATCCCCGGCGGCTCCGCCATCTATGACCTCGGCGCCCACCTTCTCGACCAAGCCGTGCACGTCCTCGGTCTCCCCGCGCGCATCACCGGCTTCATCGGCTCTGCCCGCGCCGTCAACTCCTCCTCCTACGAGGATGCCTTCACCGTCCTACTCCACTACGCCAACGGCACCATGGTCACCGCCAAGGCGACCGTGGTCAGCCCCGAGGATGAGCAGCTGCGCTTCTGGGTGCGCGGTGAGAAGGGCAGCTTCAAGAAGGTATGTGATTGCAAATCCTCGTGCCTGATTCCACCAATACTGACATGACTAGTTCCACCTGGATATTCAGGAAGATCAGCTTAAGGCTGGCATCATGCCCCAGGACAAGGGCTATGGTCGTGAGCCTAGCGAGCGCTACGGTACCCTGACTACCATCAAGGATGGCAAGCCTGTCAAGGAAGTTGTGCCTACTGTTGAGCCCCCTACTTACACTGAGTACTACCGCAAGTTGGTGCGTGCGCTCGGTGGTGAGGGTGAGCTTCCTGCGAGCGGCGCGGAGGCTCGTGAGGTTATTCGATTGATTGAGCTCGCTCGCGAGAGCTCCCGCACTGGCCGGACATTGGATGTTTAAGAAGGATGTAATGATTACTGAGACGAAAAATTGAAGATATGATATATGATGTATGACATATATGAAAGAGGTGTGCCCTATTACTCCGTAGAATAGATGAAGTAGCATGGAGTACGTAGCCGCCAAAGCACCGCAGCCAACGCAAGGTACCATGACGCCATGCCAAGCCGCTAGACCCAAAGAGGTATTTCTGTTACCAAATGCAAACCCTCCGTCGACAGCTGAGTGGAAGACAACCACAAAAGACTGGAGTGCTGAAAGAAGACCATGTGCCGTGAGACCCGCGGAGAAGCACAGATCTTGCGTGTACAACCGCCCAAATGAGGTATTGATCTAAGTACGTCCACAGGGCTGAAGATCCAAAACCTGTATCCCTAAATGTCTTTCCATGCCAGTCAACCCTGAGAGAGCCATCCTCACAGCGTGCCCTGCAAAGCAATGGCTCTGTCTCAGCCTTCGACCTGGAATGTCGACATCGACCATTACCTGAACCGCTTGGTCCCCGCACCGCGATGGCATCTCATCCCCAGACCCATCGCCCACATGCTCGGGCACCGAGACAGAGACCCGAAACCACTCGGTAATATCCTAGTCGCCTGCTGGTCGTTAGTAGGAGCGTTCTGTGGTGTCGCATTAGTAGCCTCCGTGTCGAAACGAGTGCCCTCTTTCGAGGCACGAGATGCACCGGCCATTATTGGCAGTTTTGTAAGTCACTAGTCATCATCCCCAGCCTGCCCGATATTCAAATTCAAGAACCAGAACCTAACTCGCGCAGGGAGCAGCAGCGGTAATAGAATTCTGCGCTATTGACTCGCCATTCGCGCAGCCGCGCAACGCTCTCCTCAGCCAGGTCATAGCATGTGCCATCGGCGTAGGGATATCCAAGCTATTCGCCCTGAACCCTGCCGCAGAGGCATACACGGAACTGGGCGGTGCGCTGGCGTGCGCGCTCACGACGGCCGTCATGCTTTTAACGAACACTGTGCATCCGCCGGCCGGAGCGACTGCGCTGTTAGCAGTGACGAATGCGCAGACGGCGGCGCTGGGCTGGTTTCTGTTTCCGGTTATGGTGTTGGGGGTGGTGCTGATGCTGGCGGCGGCTGTGGTGGTTAATAATATACAGCGGAGGTATCCGTTGTATTGGTGGACTTCGAGGCCGCTTTCGCAGTTCAGGGAGGATTTGGAGAGGAGTCGGAAGGAGAGTGTGCCGAGTCATTATGAGGATATTTTGACGGATGGGGTGAGGAGGTTGGTTGTTGAGAGGGGGGGATGTGTATGTTCCTGATGGGATTTCGCTTTCTTCTGAGGAGAGGGAGGTGTTGAAGAGGATTAGTGAGAGGATTTAGGAGGGCACTTGTGCATATATGCTGTCCCCTGAATCGAAGCACCGAGGTCCAACTATTCTGGCAGATCCAATGTCCCGGTGCATTCACCGGGTCCTTTTCTGCTCGTATTCTTTTGTTCCTTCTGCATATCCCGGTGTCTGGATCATACGCTCAAGATTGACTGGAAGACCTATCAGCCTCAACCGTATCTGGCAAGTCTTGGCTCTCCATTTTAGGGCTTCTTTCGCTTCTTTCGCCGTTCTTCACCCACTTTTGACTCTGAGTGACGATGGATCTGTGGCCAACTTTGGAACACTGAGGAATGATCAACTTAATTTATTGGGTCGAAATGCAGTGACCTTACTACAATCAGGTAGGCTCGAAGGGTCAATTTAGTCGTGGCCCTCGTGGGCTTGGACCGGTAAAGGGCTGGTGCTTGCTCGGTCTCTTGCAGCTTCTTCTGTTTCTTATGCAAACTTGGAATTGAACTTCATCAGCCCCATCCACGAAGCCCTGGAGGCTCTTGTTGGACGTCTGTTCTCACACAAGGCAACCTGCTTTGAGTACTATGCACCCTGCGCCATCATTTGATGAGGAACAACTAGCCTGAATTTCTCATAGTTGCAGAGGATGGGTGTCTTATCAAGTATGCACTTGACCTCGAGAGCAAGTCAAGCTGACCTGTTTATGTCTAGTTTGGACTGATGTGCCTCATCGCTGGTCAATATATAAATGTTTGCAATGTTTGCATGTGTTAGTAATGTCGACGATACCACACGTGCGCAGAGAAAACCGTAATAAAACTCAAAGTTACCGAACAAAGTACATAAAGTAGTGAGCCCAGCAAGATGAAGTGTACGGGACTGTAAACTCAACTTCCATGGCTCCATGAAGGCAAAAATACTTTGAATATACTTCGACTCCAAGTCCCTTTTGGGGTTACGCTCACCTCCGAGGTGGCGTTGAGCCCATTTTGCAATTCAAACCCAGATGACTAATGCTGCAAACCATGCAAACATGACCTCTGTTCAGGTGCGGTGACGTCTGTCCCAATCAGCATTCGTCCTGCCAAACCCACCGCAGTTGAATTTTTTTTTTTTTGTTCGTTAAATATCCAGGTCGTCGAGATCAAATATCTCAACTTCAGAAAACAACATACACCTATATAGGAGTTGGCCTATCTTCCATCTCTTTCTGCCTCTGACGTCGACACAATTCTATCGATAAGGGCATAACACTCCACTGCTTCGCGCCCCTCCATTTTTCCGCCCCGCCAGGCGATCCACTCAGCCTTTTTGCATTTCTCTTCAATCTCTTTTTTGCTGCCTCACTTTCCTTCCTCCCCTCCCCTCCTTTCTGGACTCTTCATCCAGTTTTCTTATTTTCTTATTTTTCTTTATACCCTCACATCGCAACCATGGTTTCCGCCTCGAAGGCTGCCCGCCTGGCCAAGCGTGCCGAGGAGAAGAAGCCCAAGAAGACCACCGAGGTCGAACTCGATGCCCACGGAAAGCCCATCGTCGAGGATGCCCCTGCCACCAAGGATCAGGGTGCCGTCGACAAGCTCACTGCTCAGATGGATAAGCACGGTCTGTCCGATCGTGTCACCACCGGTGTGCTGTCCTCTCTGCCTGCCTCTCGCGACGTTAAGATCACATCCACCTCCCTCGTGTTCCACGGAAAGGTCCTGGTCACCGACTCTACCCTCGAGTTGACCTTCGGTCGCCGCTACGGTCTCCTCGGTGAGAACGGTTGCGGAAAGTCCACTATCCTCAAGTCCATTGCCGCCCGTGAATTCCCCGTTCCCGAGCACGTCGATATCTACCTTCTCAACGAGGGTGCTCCTCCCACTGATGACGGTGCCCTTGACTGGGTTGTCCGCGAGGCCGAGCGCCAGTTGGAGGGTATGGAGAAGAAGGCTGAAGAGGTTCTCGAAGAGGAGGGCCCTGACTCCCCTATCCTCGAAGACCTGTATGACGTACGTGCTTGATTCTTTTTCTCTTAACCCCATCTTTCTGATATCTTTCGATGTCTTCGATCTCAATTTTGGAAACATGATTTGCTAACTACTCGACAGCGTATGGACAAGATGGATCCCTCCACTTTCCACGTTCGTGCCTCTCTCATTCTGACCGGTCTCGGTTTCAACAAGACCACCATCAACAAGAAGACCAAGGATATGTCCGGTGGATGGCGTATGCGTGTTGCCCTTGCCAAGGCTCTCTTCGTCAAGCCCTCTTTGCTCTTGCTTGATGACCCCACTGCTCACTTGGATCTCGAGGCCTGTGTGTGGCTTGAGGAGTACCTCAAGAAGTGGGACCGTACCCTGATCCTGGTCTCTCACTCCATGGATTTCCTCAACGGTGTCTGTACCAACATGCTGGACATGCGTGGCCAGAAGCTCCTCTACTACGGTGGTAACTACGACTCTTACCACAAGACCCGTAGCGAGCAGGAAACCAACCAGATGAAGGCCTACACCAAGCAGCAAGAAGAAATCCAGCACATTAAGAAGTTCATCGCTTCCGCTGGTACCTACGCTAACTTGGTGCGTCAAGCCAAGTCTCGCCAGAAGATTCTCGACAAGATGGAGGCCGATGGTTTCATCCAGCCCGTCCTTGCCGACCGTGTCTTCACCTTCCGTTTCGCCGATGTCGACAAGCTCCCTCCCCCAGTTCTGTCCTTCGACGACGTCTCCTTCTCCTACTCCGGTAACTGGGACGACACTCTCTACGAGCACCTCGACCTCGGTGTCGACATGGACTCCCGTACCGCCCTCGTCGGCCCCAACGGTGTCGGCAAGTCTACCCTGCTCCGTCTCATGACCGGCAAGCTGAGCCCCATCGGCGGTCGTGTCTCCCGTCACACTCACTTGAAGCTCGGTGTCTACTCCCAGCACTCCGCTGAGCAGCTCGACCTCACCAAGTCTTCTCTCGAGTTCGTCCGTGACCGCTTCCCCGAGAAGTCCCAGGACTACCAGTACTGGCGCCAGCAGCTCGGCCGCTACGGTCTGTCCGGTGAGGGCCAAACTGCCCTCATGGGTACCCTTTCCGAGGGTCAGAAGTCTCGTATCGTCTTCGCTCTGCTCGCCATCGAGTCCCCCAACATGATCTTGCTGGACGAGCCTACCAACGGTCTCGATATCCCCACCATTGACTCCCTGGCCGATGCCATCAACGCCTACTCCGGTGGTGTTGTTGTCGTCTCTCACGATTTCCGTCTTCTGGACAAGATCGCTAAGGACATCATGGTGTGTGAGGACAAGACTATCCGCCGCTGGGACGGCTCCATCGGAGACTACAAGAACTACCTCCGTAACAAGATGCTGTCTGCCGGTGCCGTCTAAGTTCTTCTTTTTACACTGTTTTCTTGTTTCCTTTTTTTACATGACGACGAAATGCTAGACGAGAACTGAAGGAATACAAATGCCCATCGAGGCACTAAAAGTTTGGTTCCCGAATGGGACGTTCCAAAAAAGTTCCTTGGGTTGGGATGGGTTTCATTTTTCATTTTTTTAGATCGTTTGTCCTTTCTCTCGCATTTGCTGGGAGACTTGGGCTTCTGCGTGTTGCTGTCATGATCATTACCCTCGATTGGGGCAGACTCGATCAGTCTGTTCTTTGCTTTTTCTATCTTCTCGCGCATCCTAGATAGAGTATTTAGTTCTGAGATGAATATATGGGATGCCAGTACGTTTCTATACTTTCTCCAATGTATTGCCAATAAATAGTCCACGGGTAACCAAATATGCGGCCTTCCAAGGTTGTTCATATCTACTCCGTACCTATCTCTCCATAACAAAGGTCCCATGAAGACCTCTAATTTTGGAACCCGGAAGACATTACCTATCAATAGAATTACCCGAGAGACAAAGACCAACAATGCCCACGAAAGATCCATTGTCACCCCACGAACAAAGTAATAGTCGCCCAGTCGATAGCCTTTGTTCAAGTCAGCGAAGATAAATAGCAGCCACAGACTCACCCAAACCACCCTCATACTCATACTCATCTGATCCTCTAACACGAACAACAACCTCAATCCAAACCAGGTAAGTTCCCCAAACCGCAAAATGGCAAACAACATGACCATGGACGGCCACCGCGCCGTCCCACACGATTTCAAGCGCGTCTATTCCCAAACATGCGAGAACTTCGCGCACAAACTAGAAACCCAAGTATTCGCAGTTTTAGAAACGAAACCAAACACAGATTTCAAACCCGTTGAAGACCGCATTGCTGAACTCGGTGATAAAGCTCTTGAGATTGGGTTCCTGGCTAATGCGGGTGAAATGTCTATTCGGGATCATCCGAAGGTGAAGTTGAAATGGGGCAATTTGTCTGTTCAGGAGATCTGTAGGAAGATCAAGGATGAGTTGCATGATATTCGGGAACAGTTTCATCATACTGATAGGAAGGCTTCTGCGGAACGGTTGGCTGCTCTTGCGATGGTTTTGCCGTTTTAGAGGATTTGGGATGAGGTGGGAGCTAGTACCTCAGTTGATGGAGTTTTCGCTACAATGATCTGTTGTTTTTGATATAGAGAGAGCAATGAATTGATTTAGGGAAGAGATAAACATCCTCGGTGAGAATATGCGATTCACGTCGTAGTATAGTTTGTAAGATTTTACTCGTTCCTCTATGCGAAGGAGATTTGTGAGTACATCCTAGTAGATCCCAAGATGCTATCTTCGCCTCACACGAAGAACAAGTATAGCGTGGGTTGACAGTGAAATACATTGTCAGGTATTTTGGTGATTTCAACTCAGCAAAGTGGCACGATTTTGGAAGAGTGGATATCAAAGTATGACAAATATTCGGATTCGAAAGCTGCAAGACCATCATGGCTTGGTCCGTTGTACTAGCTCTGGACCGAAAACATCATTGCTCTGTCGGGCCATCTGCTCCTGTTCCAATTTTCGCTTTTCAGCCAGACGCTCAGATTCACTCTCCGAGGTCACAGCCCCAGAATCGGTCTGGGTGGCAGCCACCTGAGCGGACTCGCGTTTCAAATTGACTTTCTCCGGGTTCTGGCAATGATATAGCTTCTTCGCAATGCGCTTTAGACTCTTCATCTGGGCTGGATCTGAAGAGAGGGGCGTGTAGGCCTGGAGGAGGGCGGAACATTCAGTTAGCACGCGGTGCAGCTTCGAGCGAATCTCGTATAGTGGATTCACAAGGCCGTTCTCGTCTGTTTCGGGTGTAGGGATGGTGGCTGTGACAGGGCCACCGAGTTTCACGTCGAGGAGGAACTCGGCCAATGGGCGATCGGCGATCAAGAAAGCAGATAGCCAGATCTGAGATGGCGTATACAGAAAGTAGGCATCTGTCATTTGAGCCGCGGTTTTCAGCAAGTCGCGCGTTTTGCCGTGGGCCACGGCGATTCGATCTGACATCGACTTCGATGGAGTAGGGGGAGGCGCAATGGACAGCAGCCCTTGTTGGAGATCTTCGGCGGTTTCGTGCGGCAGATGAGGAGCCGGTTGACCCTGGCCATCTGCGATTGCTTGCAGTTCCATTACACCACCTTCAAGTCCACGGAATGGATGTCGTATGTCGAAGGTGAATCGGAGACCTTGCATGAGCAAGAATTCAGGTGCAATGACGTCCTCGGGTGATGTTTCACCAGGGATGCCATCAGCAAATTGCCGGAGAGACATGTAATAGTTTTCAGTCTTGGTTGCGACAAAGAGCGCACACGCCATGATCGACTTCGGGTGATATGTCATGGGGGAATTAGTTAGGTAGAAGCGTCTAAGATATTGGATCGCCGTTGCCTATGTGCGCAGCGCGCAAAATAGTTAGCTGTGATGCTCCATGCTTTTTGGGCTCGATAATAGGGAGACAGCTCCCTACAACCCCAAGTGGACGTTCACGTACTCGGGCCATGGTGGGCATCGGTGGTTTATATGTTTCGCCCAACTCCAATGTCTTCTCGCAGTAATACCGCACGAGCACAAGCTCCTCCTCTGGTGTTAAGCATTCGATTTCTTTTTCATCTTTGCTTTTCCCGTCCACATCACTCGCCGGTTGTGGTGTTCCAGCGGCGGAGGAGGCGGCCGACGGCTGAGTTTCGCGAGACCTGCGCAAGGCGGCACGCACGCGCTCAGAGGCAACGGCATTGGTTGTCGCCCGGAGAGACTGCAGTGAAGGTTCGGTGTATGACCACAGTCGGTACTGAGATGAGGAGCGGTAGATATCGTCTTCGATCATTGTGTCGGTGGAGGTGTTTGATGCTCAAAGGCGAGAGCCTCGGTTGCGGTGGGCCGTGGGCAGGCAAGGAGAGGCTGGTGAGCGGTTGCGTATTGTAAGTATAGCCCGGCCTTATCGGATCAAGTCCCAGTGATGTCAAACTAATCCAGAGATGACTTGAATGCAGGCGAGAAGTACGCGAGAAGTTGAAGCTCGGTTCTTATCGATAAGCCCGAGCATCCACCTGCCCAGGTGGGCATCCCCTTTAGCCTTCACTCTGCAATGACAAGCTGACTGGCTAAACTATTCAAATTTACAAGGGAAGCATGCAATGAGACTAGGTATACGTTAGGCTCATGAGTGTATAGAGCATTAGGAACAACCTGGATAGCTTTTGTTCTGGTCAAATTCACCTTCATACCTTTATCAAGTCTTGTGAACAATAAACAAAATGGGCAATCGTTCATCTTTAGCTGTATATAGTCCTGACAAGTTCACGACATGAGAGTATCGCGTTCGTAACTTTGGAAAGATCAGAAATAGCCACAGTGTGCCTTTGATTGAGGTAGGGCCAGAACCTTCCAAGGTTGGCAAAAGATCCATCCTATGCTCATCGAGGACATGATCAATGAACCATGGATTCATAAGGCACAGTTTGGCCATCGTGGAGTCGTGAGCCTTGGGAGCTATATGAATGCTATGTATATATGAATTGGAGAGATATGTAAAGTAAACAACCCCCATGCTTTGTCCACCCAATGCAATATGTCGGTTACATCATGATTTCTTTCCCTTGAACTCCGTACATCGTGAGTTATACATTATCACTCGCCCAGAAGACGGGCAGTAATGTCACCCATCTTCCCTTCATCCAGCTGATAGTCATAACCTCCATTGCGTTCGGCACCGACAAATCGGAAGGCAGCCACAACACGTTCAACATCAAAGCCCATGCTGCCAAAACGATCAATCAAATCCTTGTTGTATCCATCATATCTAGGGTGTATCAGCAATTATATATCATGGGACTGCATGTACATAAAATACTCACTTTGCCAGGTTGTCTTCACCACCGGGTTTGATCTCATCCACGCTGTACCCACTACCATTATCATCGCTCATGGGGGCACCAGCATAGATAACAGCCCAGTCACGCGCAACTCGTTCAAACTCCTTGGGAGTTTTGAGGAGCATGTTCGCCACTTCAGCATCTTGAGGATCCTTTGGCTCAGGTGTGCTGAGCAAAGACTGCAATGAAAGTAGAGCTGATTTTATCGTCAAGACTGGTGACCAAGCACTCGACAGTGTATCGAGACAAATTGCACCCTAGAGTAGCTATCAGCAATGGTCCTATTTGTGAAAAGAAGTATTGCACCAGGAGACTCACTGTTTGGCTGCTAACATTGGGATGCCACACTTTGGTCTCAAACTTCATTGTAGGCGGGCGGAAAGGGTAGTCGGTAGGAATTTTGATGTCGATACTGTATGTACCGCCTTCATAAGGCGTGCCTGGAGGTCCTGGGAATGATCCTCTCAGGTGTGTTACGTCGTCATTGTTGTAGAAAGGCTCGGCTTTGATCTGAGAATGCGAGTCGGCATGAATGTCGGCAATCTCTTTGCCAATGCGACGTGTGCGGTTACTAGCCATGGTGTTTGAGGAAATGAGCACAGGAAGAATGTTCTTGATCGAGGCTTGTGTGTGGGGTATGGGAATAGTAGATCTCTTCCTCTCCTGTCAAAGTCTGGACGAGAGCGTTGTTGCTAGAACGAAGTAGGCTTCGAGGGTAGGGCCGTCAACATGAACTAAAGTGAAATTATTTGTGTCAGATACTATCTATCAATTGAATATGAAGATATGATGGGCAGGATATCGGGCGAATCTTGAGCAAAGCAAAGCGTAACAGAAAACTAGACATTGGTCTTACCTATGGAGGGGAACTATGAAGGCCAATAGCGTGAACTATGGACCGATCAAGCTTGGTAATAGACCTTAAAAAACTTAAGGTCGCGCACTGGGCCTCAAGACTCGACAATGATGGGTCAACTTCAACCGGCGAAGTGAATTTGGAGTATCAGCGTGATCAGTTGAGCCTCGAATGCGAGATCCAAAGTGCCGAGCAAGGCGCTAAGGTATCAAACATGACGCAGTTGTCGCCTGAGGCGGAAAGTATCACGTGAGGGAACAACAGCTTCCAGCTCGAGCAACGAACCCCGGCGATACCACCACTTCTGCATTGACAATCCATCCTTTTCCAGCCGCGTTGAACATCATTTCCCGTTCACTAAAGCTCGGGATCTAATTATTTCTATTGAATCCGCTTTTGAAACCCGGTATTCTGATCGTCTCCCTCTGGGTGGCTGACAAACATGGTGAGTGCCTCAACCTTTGACCCTTGGATCATCTCGAATCAGCAGGATGCTGACTTTCAATGTAGGGTCAACAGCAGTCTAACATGGGCGGCGGCCCTGGTGGAGATGGACGTGATGACAAGGACAAGAAGGTACGTCGTATTTCATTTGGTTTGTTGCAAACCCAGCGCTGACGCCCTTCATCAGAAGGACAAGCCTAGATACGAGCCTCCCCCACCACCTACCACCCGTATCGGAAAGAAGAAGCGCAAGGCGGCCGGCCCCAGCACTGCCTCCAAGCTTCCGGATATCTACCCTACATCGCGATGCAAACTACGATACCTTCGCATGCAGCGGGTGCATGATCACCTACTGCTAGAAGAGGAGTATGTCGAGAATATGGAGCGCATGCGCAAGGCCAAGGCTCAGGCTACTCAGGATCCTGCTAGCCGGGCAGGTGATCTGGATGTAACGGACCGGAACGCTGACGAGCGGAGTCGAGTCGATGACATGCGCGGCAGCCCGATGGGTGTCGGAAATCTGGAGGAGTTGATCGATGATGACCACGCTATTGTGTCCAGCGCGACCGGGCCTGAGTACTACGTCTCAATCATGTCCTTCGTCGACAAAGACCTTCTCGAGCCGGGTGCCAGTATCCTCTTGCACCACAAGTCAGTATCCGTGGTCGGTGTATTGACTGAGGAATCCGACCCCCTTGTCTCTGTCATGAAGCTAGACAAGGCACCAACTGAATCATATGCCGACATTGGTGGTCTGGAACAGCAGATCCAGGAGGTACGGGAATCCGTGGAACTTCCCTTGCTCCACCCCGAGCTGTATGAGGAGATGGGTATCAAGCCCCCCAAAGGTGTCATTCTTTACGGTGCCCCCGGTACCGGAAAGACGCTGCTTGCCAAGGCGGTTGCCAATCAAACCAGTGCCACTTTCCTTCGCATCGTTGGTAGTGAACTGATTCAGAAGTACCTTGGTGACGGTCCCCGTTTGGTGCGCCAGATTTTCTCTGTCGCCGCTGAGCACGCTCCATCTATCGTCTTCATTGATGAGATTGATGCCATTGGTACTAAGCGTTACGAGTCACAATCTGGCGGTGAGCGAGAAATCCAGCGCACGATGCTGGAGCTTCTCAACCAGCTGGATGGATTCGATGACCGTGGTGATGTCAAGGTCATCATGGCCACTAACAAGATTGAGACGCTGGATCCGGCTTTGATCCGACCTGGTCGTATCGATCGTAAGATTCTCTTCGAGAACCCAGACCGTAAGTGATGCCCCACGATCTTCAGTCGGAGATACCCTACTAACGCCATCTTACTTTAGAAAACACCAAGAAGAAGATCTTCACCCTGCACACCTCTAAGATGTCTCTTGGCGATGATGTTGATCTGGAGGAGTTCATTAACCAGAAGGATGATCTATCTGGTGCCGATATCCGCGCCATCTGTACCGAGGCTGGTCTCATGGCTCTCAGAGAGCGCCGTATGCGGGTGCAGATGGATGACTTCCGGGCTGCTCGTGAGCGCATTATGAAGACTAAGCAGGACGGAGGACCTGTCGAGGGTCTGTACCTGTAAGCGCCGGGAGTTACCTGATGGAGGAAAGGTGTTCCGGGCTTCTTGCGGTGTCAACCCATAGATATGTCCTTTTGTATTGTAATAATTGAGTGACGAGTGAAATTACAAGCGCTCTTTGCCCAGCCAATCTTGTTCAGTTCTTTGCTTCTAATAAATGTAGTCAATGTTAGCGGAGCCTACAGAGTAATACTTGGACGTTCGCCAGAGCAGTGGAGCGTTGGAGTCGGGCTCGGCTTATCGGGGATGCTGCAAACATGACAAACAAGCTCATGACCAGATCGAAGCCTGCATCTGTCGCAAACTTCACCACGCATATAACCATGGATGATTTTGACGAAGACGCGTTCAACAAGTTCTTCCCATCGAGCTTCGGCAAGCAGGCCAAGTCGATCGATGTTGATACTCAGATTGACCGCTCCAAGCGTGTCCAGGTCTCAGCGCCGAAGCCCGACGAAAAAGAACTAAGCACATCCGCAGCTTCTGCGCCATCCAAAGACCGCGATGATGAGAAAAAGGGCAGCGACGAAGACAGTGATGACGACTCTGATGATTCCGACGATGACGAGGACGAGTTCCCCGTATCGCATGAGCTTGTTCTCAAAAGTCATGAGCGTGCCGTGACCACCATGACCGTGGACCCCTCGGGCGCACGACTAATCACAGGTTCCAGTGACTGCAATTTGAAATTGCATGACTTTGCTTCCATGACACCATCTACACTTCGCGCCTTCAAGACAGTCGATCCCTCAGCTAGGAACACATCCGCGGCCCAGGATACCCACCCCGTCAATTTTGTCGCATTTTGTCCACTCGCGCCGAGCTACGTTCTAGTTGTACCCGCGTCGTCCCAGCCTCGGATCCTCAGCCGTGACGGTGAAACACTTACAGAGTTTGCGAAGGGTGATCCATACTTGCGTGATCTACACCTCACCAAGGGACATATCTCCGAGGTCACATGTGGTGCCTGGAGTCCCTCCGACGAGAACCTCTGTGCAACCGGTGGCTCTGATGGCACAATTAGAATCTGGGATGCTAATGTCGGCCGCAAACAGAATGAGGTGATTGTACACAAATCGCGAGCGGCTGGGTCCGCTGGTCGGACCAAAATCACCGCTGTTGCATGGAGCTCGCCCAAACAAGGTGGCCCTGATATCCTGGTTGGCGCTGGTCTTGATGGCAGTCTAGCGATGTGGAGTGGGAACGGACCCTACACCAGGCCCAGCGGAGAAATCCGCGATGCTCATGTCAAGGATACCTGGACCAGCGGACTCGATATCAGTTCCGATGGAAGGCTCGTTGTCAGCAGAGGCGGTGACGATACAATTAAGCTATGGGATACTAGGAAGTTCAAGACTCCCATAACGACTGTTACGCATCCTTCGACCTCGGCACGCTTCCCAACATCCAACATCAAATTCTCTCCCTCATCAGCCAATGTGATCACAGGCTCTGAAACTGGTCACTTACACATCCTCAATCCCGCAACACTGAGACCAGAGCTGGTCACTCCAGTGACACCGGGATCCCCTCTCATCACTGTTCAATGGCATGAGAAACTCAACCAAATTCTGACTGGTTCCGCCAACGGCGAGACCCATGTCCTTTACAACCCTACCATGTCCACGAAGGGCGCAGCGACAGTCATGTCCAAGGCACCCAAGGCTCGCCACCTTGATGAGATTAGCCTTACCACAGACACAGCCGAGGCCATGTCTGGTGATTCAATCGTTGTCGGCTCCAACGGAGTCCCACACTACAGTTCCTCAACTTGGTCTGCCCGTCACCCCGAAGTTGGCCTTACAGCATCGGGTCGCTCTCGGGATCCTCGACGCCCGCATCAGCCAGCGGCGACCCCATTCGGCAAGACTAACCCAGATGACAAGCACATTCGCGAGAGTCTTCCTCTCAGTGCTGCGCTGCATGAGGATCCACGTGAAGCGCTGTTGAAATATGCCGAACAGGCAGAAAAGAACCCCTTATATACCCAAGCATACAGAGAGACACAGCCGAAAGCCATTTATGCAGAGCTGAGTGACGAGGAAGAGAAAGGACCTGAAAAGAAGAGAGCTAGGCGGTGATTGAGCGTGTCCCGTTCATTAATGGGTGAATGTAAAACTACCTAGGGCCAGTTTCGAAATCAAACAAGATACTGCAGGTGTCTATAAGAAGATTCCCGTGCTATTTCACAATAACTTCTAAGCATGAAGCATGCCTCCTTGATTCCTGGAATAGCCCCCTCTTTTGCTGCTCCATGACGTTCAAGGAGCCCGACGATCTCCAACTGCCGGGGCCAATGACGAACATAGACGCAGCCCGAGAGCTTTGACCTTGCGTAATGCCCTTTGTATTCGTAAGTGAGATGTGAAATGTAGGCTCCGACATAAAAGTAGTAAAGAACCCTAAGTCCGGCCCCGTTTAGCGCTGACATATCAAGCGGTCTCCGCGTCTCCGCGCATTGCCGCCTACCCAACCCTGAACGATCACTCACTCCCGCAGTAACTCTTGCGCCCTGGTAATTTCAGACCAGAATGCAGCCTGCGACCTAAGATCAGATGCTGCTTGAGATCACATCTGCGGGCTCGTTCTAGTCGGCCGACACAGCCGGTGAGCTGCGGTGTATAGGGGCTTTGAAAGCTTCGGAAGCGCATCCGCAGCATTTGGATACTCGCGCAACATTTCGACCATGGATTCTCCGCAAGCAAAGCTGGCAGCCAGCCTGTTTCCCTCCCTGCTCAATACCGTCGCCTCTCCGTCCAATGCAGCTTCTTCGATCCACCAAATATTTGCCGTACCGTCAAACTCCACGCTTCACACCCCCGATGGGAACACGGAAGATGATATGCACCAGTGGTCATCCCTAATCGGCATCATCACAGCCTTGTGCGGCAACGTCCTCATCTCCTTGGCTTTGAATATTCAACGTTACGCCCACATTCGGATCGCACGGGAGTTCGAGCAGGACAAGAGCCGGGTCGCGGAGAATGGAAATAACGGTACGCGTGGGGAGCAGAGAGGACGATCCCCGGGGCAGTACCGTGACTCCGAGGACGAGTTGGAGCCTTATCGCGATGATGATAACGCCGAAGGGCGAAACAGTAACTCGAGCTCGCGGGGCAGCGATTATAGCTTCGAGAGCAAGGATGGGACCGACGGGCGCAAGTCTTATCTCAAATCGCCGTACTGGTGGGTTGGCATTGTGCTCATGGTTGTGGGTGAAATGGGCAATTTCATGGCCTATGGCTTTGCTCCCGCCTCGATCGTCTCGCCATTGGGAGTTGTGGCTCTGATCTCGAATTGTATCATTGCGCCATGCTTGCTCAAGGAACAGTTCCGTAAGCGCGACCTTTGGGGCGTGCTTGTCTCTGTCGCCGGTGCTGTCGTCGTGGTTCTCAGCGCCAAGTCGTCGGAAGAGCAAATCGGACCTCATGAGATTTGGGTCATGATCACGCGTTGGGAGTTTGAGCTTTATCTTGGCTTGACAGTCTCACTAATTTGCGGTCTCATGTGGGCGAGTCACAGATATGGCTCGCAATCAATTTTGATTGACGTTGGACTTGTTGCCTTGTTTGGTGAGTTGTTGTATCCCACGTCGAGTTTGATATCAACTCTGTTGCTAATCACGTTGATAAAGGTGGATACACGGCGCTTTCTACGAAGGGTGTCTCGTCTCTCCTGTCTGGTACACTATGGCACGTTATCACGTTCCCGGTGACATATCTTCTTGTTTTCGTCCTAATATTCAGCGCTTTGATGCAAATCCGTTACATCAACCGTGCCCTGCAACGGTTCGATTCAACCCAGGTTATCCCCACACAGTTTGTGCTTTTCACACTTGCTGTGATTATTGGAAGCGCGGTGCTTTACCGTGACTTCGAGTCAATAACCGCTGAACGTGCCACGAAGTTCATCGGTGGCTGTCTTTTGACCTTCCTTGGTGTCTACTTCATCACAAGCGGCAGAGTCCGTGGCGACGATGAATCTTCCTTCTCAGATGACGAAGAAGGATCAATTGGTCTTTCAAATGGAGAAAGATACCGCGATGGGATTGATCTATCTCCACCCGGCCATCATATACCCAAAGCTTCACATGTCTCCCCACAAGGTCATTTCGACACAGCTCGATCTCCGCCAGGGTCTCTATTGAGCCGAGGCATTGAAGGGGTCGATGATGATCAATCTACTCCTAAAGGTGCTCTTTCCGCAGCCCCATCTTCGCCTCGTGGATCCTTGACCGCAGAGTCTCCTACGTCTGGACCGTCATTCGACTTCACTTCGCCCCTACGACCTCCATCGCGAATGTCGAATCCGTGGGCAGACATTCGCCCGCAGGATGTTCGAACTCAATCCGATGACCAGATTTTCCGCCCTTCAACCCCAACAGAACAAAGCGACACCACCCAATCCACTGTTCTCTTGCGATTCCCACCTCCACCTGGCATTGAACAAACGCCAGGATCCAACACCGATGCCGGGTTTGTACGACGCGCTTCTACTCCAACCTTGTTGACTCAAGCCAACCCACGGGGACAGACCGATACTGTCCTTGAAACACCTACACGGCGAGCCTTACGAAACTCCATATCGCATCGCTTCTCCCCCGGGCCTCTCCTTCCTACCCTGTCTGGTGGCTTCACTGCTGTTGTTGCCGACTCGATCCGACGCGGTGACGGTAGCCCACTCAAAGACCGCACGAGGCGCAGATTAGGGCGCCGACGTCAGGTTGACGGTGTCTTTGTCGACCAACCCACCACTGCCGATGGCAATGACCCCGAAACATCGCTCTCACTTGCTACTGCTCGTCTTCAGTCTGCTACCGACCTAGCTGATGCTCCGGCTGAAGGAGGTCGCTCCACACCCGGCCTCGCCACTGAAACCTACGCCTCGCCAACTGCCAAGTCAAACGAGGATGGGACCAGACTACGTAGCTTCAGTGACTCTTGGAGTGGTGGCCTTGCATGGCTTGGTGGTGCCCTCCGCAAACCCCAAGACCAGACCGCCGAGAGTGCTGCAGTCACAGCAACGCCAACGCCAGAAAGTGAGACACCACCTGGTCCAAGCGACTCTACGACCGGCCCTGACACCACAACTGAAGCTCAGCGGTAATTGATGCTCCGGATCTCCCGGGGCTTGGGCACAAGCGCAGTATGTGCAAGTGGCTGGGTCACTCTACATCTACTTCATTATCTTTTCCTCCAGTACTATACTTTTCTTGTAATTGGCATTGCATTCATAGGTACATGTTGGGCATTTGTTGTATTTTTCTCGTTGTTTCTGCATTGTACACATGGGGGCTTAGCGTTAGTATCTCATCTCTTTTTCTTTTAGCCTCCTATTTGTACAATGTATTTATTTTGGCAATTTCAAAGATCGATTTTGATTATCCTACGCAGGTCTGTAGCGATCAAGGTCAATTTCGATATTTCAGGTACCGTTCCAAGGCTCCGGCCTGAGGTCCCCCGGAAGAGGACATGTACGGCGGCCCCGGAAGATAATATTTAGGGGTAACGACCCCTAACGGGCCCTACAAATAGCTGTACATAGTGACTATTGTAGCCCTGGAAAACCTTGGAAAGACACCTAGAAGGATACTCAAAAGGAAAATCCAAGAGGATATCCAAGGGTATACTCCGTAGGCTTAATACAAAATAGAAAATTACTGACCCTGACCGCTATAGACCTGCTAATTACCCTCGCCCTGCTGGCATGATGTATCCCCGCCGGATGGAACGTGAAGCCCTAATAGGTGGAAAAAGCTGCCAACAAACATAGCAATTCACGGTGATTTACCCCTCCAGGCCTGACTGCGCATTACCACTGTGAATTTATCCGGCAGGCACCCCTCTGTACCCCTCTCTAATCTATCACCAGCGTGGAGGCGGGGATGCTCCGTCTCATGACGGTGCTAGCTCGACTCTAACAGCGCCAAGCAGCGCACTACTGCAGCCCCTTGTACAAATCGATCCCTTCTAGTACCACAGACGGCTTCAATTCCGATGTATGGTACGTGAGCTAAGAGCTCTCGTCAATTTCATGCAATGAACCCCAATGAATGCGGTTGTTTGTTCGCAAAACGTGACTGGCATTGGTCCGATTTTGCTTGGCTCCACTGAGCAAGGGACTGGGGTTGCATGATTATATGCCATGCGAGTCCCCAGATAACATGGGTTCTGATTTTCTCCCCCACAATCCTAGAGCTCAGTATAGCGGCTTCTGTCCTGGTTCGGAGAGGTTCTTTTCGTCGACATGGTGGCTAATCTGCTTTCCAATGGGCTGTTGCTCGTGCAGCTCTTCGCTGCGCTGGCTATGGGGAAGTCGCCGTCCTCGCCTCTTTACAAAGATGCTAGTGCTCCAGTGGAGAAGAGGGTCAAGGATTTGTTGGGCCGGATGACTATCGAGGATAAGATGGGTCAATTGATCCAAGGTGCGTGGCATCTGGACCTCTACAAAATATCTACGAGACACTGACGACGAACTTTTGTGCTTTGGTATAGGTGATGTCACAAACTGGATGAATTCAACAACCGGAGAGTTCAATTACACCGGTTTGGTGGCAAATATGGAAATGAAGGCGGGAATGTTTTATGGTATGGAAGCCTACTGGAATGAAGCTTGGAATTGGGGGAAATGCTGACGGATTTCAGTTGGATACCCTGTTGCTTGGGATTGGATTTCTGATAATATCAAAAGAGGTCAAGATTATCTGCTTCAGAACACTACCTTGGGAATCCCTGCTATTGTGCAGACTGAAGGTATGCGCATATGAGGAACATTATATTGGCTATGCTAACGAGTATGCCATTCGGCAGGTATCCATGGATTTTTGATTGGCAATGCTACCATCTTCAATTCGCCTATCGCATATGGATGCTCTTGGAACACAGATGTGAGTCTACCATCGAACATATATGAATATCAAGAGAACTAAGCTAACGTGGCGAAAATAGCTCATTGAGAAGATGGCAGAGATCATCGGACAAGAAGCCAAAGCACTTGGCGTCAGTCAACTCTTTGCTCCCGTTGTTGATCTTGCCCGAGAGCCTCGATTCGGTCGTGTGAGTTTCATTTCCTTACTGCAATACGACTGATCAAGCTAACAGAACCTCAAAGGTCGAGGAAACATTCTCTGAGGACCCATATCTCTCTGGGGAGATTGGCTACAGCTACGTCAAAGGTGTACAAAGCAAGAATGTCTCGTCCATGGTTAAGCATTTCGCCGGCTTCAGTGCCCCGGAGCAAGGCATCAATACCGGTCCAGTTCACGGTGGAGAGCGAGAGCTCCGTACAACGTACGTATCTCGTCCCAGGATATTGAAATCCAATCTAACAATTGCATAGATGGCTTCCTCCATTCAAGCGTGCCATCATCGATGCAGGTGCTTGGTCTATCATGGCTGCCTACCACTCGTAAGTGAAGCCCGTCTAAGCTTTATCAGTGTCTAAAGTGTCTATAGATATGATGGAATCCCTGCAGTCTCCGACTACCACACTCTAACCGAGATTCTGAGAGAGGAATGGGGCTACGAGTACTTTGTCATGACCGACGCAGGTGGCAGTGACCGAATTTGCAGCTATTTCAAATTGTGCGAGAGCAAACCTATTGACATGGAGTCCGTCACCACGCAAATTCTGACTGCAGGAACTGATGTTGAAATGGGTGGTGGTTCATTGTGAGTCAAGACTAAGCCCCGGCTCCTTCGCCTTTCAAACCGATTAACGATGATATAGCAATTTTCAGAAAATTCCCGAGCTTGTCAAGTCCGGTAAGTTAGATATCGCGGTTGTCGATACTGCAGTGTCCAGATTGCTCCGGGCCAAGTTCGAGATGGGTCTCTTTGAGAACCCTTACCCTGCTGCTCCAGAGAACCAGTGGAACAAGCTCATCCACAGCACAGAAGCTGTGGAACTTGCAAGAGAGCTGGATAAGGAATCGATTGTATTGCTCGAGAACCACAATGAGACTTTGCCTCTCAAAAAGTCGGGAAACATTGCAGTCATCGGTCCCATGGCTCATGGGTTCATGAACGTACGTTACCGGATCGTGCTTCCCTTACTCTCTGTACATTGAGGTCCCTGACAAAGTGCAGTACGGCGACTATGTCGTGTACAAGAGCCAGTACCGAGGCGTCACACCTCTGGATGGAATCAAAGCAGCAGTGGGCGACAAAGCCCAAATTCACTATGCCCAGGGATGCGAGAGATGGAGTAACGACCAATCCGGCTTCGATGCCGCAATTGAAGCAGCCAAGAAATCAGACGTTGCCGTCGTAGTCGTCGGAACATGGTCTCGAGACCAAGGCGAGCTCTGGCAAGGCCTGAATGCAACGTGAGAAACATTTGAAGATATATCTCAATTTATAAAGATGTGAAACTGACAATACCAAGGACCGGTGAACACGTCGACGTGAACGATCTATCCCTCGTCGGTGCCCAAGCCCCTCTCATCAAAGCCATTGCAGACACAGGTGTCCCGACAATCGTCGTCCTATCCAGCGGCAAACCGATCACAGATACATGGATCGCAAACTCCACTTCAGCACTAGTCCAGCAATTCTACCCCTCCGAGCAAGGCGGGAACGCGCTTGCCGATGTCCTCTTCGGCGACTACAACCCCTCTGGTAAACTATCAGTTAGTTTCCCACGATACGTAGGCGACCTGCCTATCTTCTACGACTATTTGAACTCAGGGCGCTCAATCGGGGACTCTGGACAAGAGTTCGACAATGGCACTCTTGTCTTTGGACACCAGTATGTTCTCGGAAACCCGACTCCGTGGTACCCCTTCGGATATGGCAAGAGTTATTCGAAATTCAAGTATGGTGCTGTGAAGGTGGACAAGAAGACTGTTTCGGCTTCTGATAGTACGGTTACTGTTACCGTTGACGTGACCAATACCCATGCCACCCGTGAGGGAACAGAGGTTGTGCAGGTTTATGTTAAGGATGAGATTGCTTCGGTGGTAGTACCGAATCGGGAGCTGAAGGGCTTTGAGAAGGTTGTTATTCCTGCTGGGAAGACGAAGACTGTGAAAATTCCGGTCAAGATTGAGAATCTTGGGGTTTGGAATACGAGTATGAAGTATGTTGTTGAGCCAGGGAGGTTCACAGTTCTTGTGGGGAGTAGCTCGGAGGATATTCGTGGGAACGCGACTTTCACAGTGCGGTAAGAAGGCGGGATTCCAGGGCTTGTGTTGAAATGTGCATGATGTGGCAATCAAGGGACGTTTGATCATTCAATGAGCACCGAGGTTGAAAGGCGCATAAATATGGCAGGAGATCGATCGAGAGGCTGCCTAACGCTTAACAGGAGTCTTCTTGCTGCATGATAACAAATGACACGAGAACCTTTGGAATAAAAGAATGTGAATTCTCCAGGGCTATATGGTAAAGCATTGTGAGTGTGAATTGAGGCTCAGAGACTGGCTGGCTAAGTAATGGGATATCTAAAATGGAAATCAAAAGCTGCTTCAAACTAAACGCCAACCCCGGTCTTGGGAAACCTACGAGTCATAACTATGCTGAACCATCGCCAATTCGAGAGGCTGGCTGGCTCAAAGCAGGGCTTGGTGGAACCGGAGACGCTGGTACTTCAGCCTGTGTACTGGCACCGCCAGGTTGATTGCTCTGGTTATCACGACCTTCGGCCCGTCGAGTCTTAGCTCCCTCCTTCAACTTTTCCCAGCGATCACGGTACCGGCCCAGAATATTCTTGAGCTTTTCATTCTCGTGAGAAGCACTTTCGAGTTTCTGCTCACCGCGTCGAATCTGATCCTCGAGTTCTTTGACCCGAGCTTCGTGGTCAATCGCTGGAGGCGCAGTCATCGTAGCCACCGGGGAAGTATTAGCAGAGATACCCTGTAGATAATCAGGGATTTGAGATCCATTGTTCTGGTGATGCATCATTCGAATCGACTGCTGTAGAGCCATGGATGAGGATTGAGCATTCACTTCCCACATGTGTAATCGAGTCGAGAGGTTGTCCGTCAAGCTCTTCAAAGCTTCGTTCTCCATCTGCATTTCTTCCAAGGTCTTTGGGTTGTGCAGTGTAGTAAGCTTGTCTGTATTCGCACGACGACCCGTCCACGTACGTGAACCATTTGCACTGTGGCGCATTTCAGGCGAGGAAGGGGTTTCTCTGGCATCCACGAAATCTTCATCTCCTTCTTCAAGGCTGTTTTTGAGGGCCTGCTTGTCGGAGCGTGAGAGAATACCAGCGTAGGACATGGTCCCACCCGTGGTTGGGACTACGTAGAAAGACTCCGCCGGGTTCCCAGGTCCCGTCCCAGAGCCGTTCTGAACGGACCGTAACGCCGCCCGAGAAAACAGCTTGGTGATGTCTGGCTCAGCTGTGGTCATCGATCGGTCCAGAGTAGCGTGGTCGCGATCTAATTTGACCTCTGCTGAGGACTTGCGGCTCTGTTCTCGCGTGGGGTCTGTCAGGCCTACTTGAAATCCTGCAAATGCAAGAGGCCCAGAGACCTTGGATACGAGACCGCCGAAGGCCGAGTAGAATCGATTAAATGCATCGTCCGAGGCAGCGGCGTCTTTGGATGCTGCAGACTCAACCGCGCTTGGGGCGATCTGCTGAGTTGTGACCTCGGTGGAACTCGGCGTAGGAGGAGACCATGGCTGTCTGGCCGTTGACACGCGGCTTTGACGAATTCTCTTCGGTCCATCGTCCGGTCTGCTTTCGCTAGTCCTGGCCCGCGGGCGATCGGTCATCTTTGCCGCAGCATGGTGTGAGGAAATCGTGGGTGAGACTGGAGATCCACGGCGGGGATGGGCTGGGATGCCACGAGCCGAGGCCAGATTGCTGGCGATGGAAGATGTGTCTCGACTTGGAATTCGGGCGTTGCCGGCTAATCTTGGAGGTAGATGCGCATCTTGGGCTGAAGCTGCGCTCTTTGTATTTCCGGCATCGGCTGCCACGGGCTGGTTCGCTAGAGTTGAAGGGGAGGTTTCACTTGGTATAGCTGCAGGGTGTTCATGTTGGAATCTGAGGATTTCGGCCAGCTTCTTGTGGTGTGTCTCCAGCAGGCGTAATGTTCGCAGGGCCTTCGGGAATACGTCAGCATACGGAGTAACCTTGGAAGGTGGGGGGCGGTAGAAAGTAGGAATCTAGCAGATTTAGATCTAGATCTAGACTCACCTCTTGATCGGAACTCTGTGTGGCAGCTGTTGCAAACTCACCAGCTGCTAGATCATGTTCCTCACTGGCTGCGACTGGGTTGGCTTTGCGGGTTTCGAGGACTGCGTTCCTCGCATGGGTGTGGGCCTAATTACGCGGTCAGATCACGAACATGATCGAGGGAAAATGGACTTACCAAAGACAGAGGAGCAACTTCCATGGTGAACAGATCCGCCTTGAATCAAGAGGCAATATGCATTGATCAGTGGGGTTGGGAGGAGAATGCGGAGGGGAAGTGCCAGGAAGTAGGAAATGCAGATGAAGTAAGAAACAGCAAGACCAAAGATATGAGAGATCTCACAGCACTGGTAATTAGCCAGTATTCCGCATTTTACAGAGAGTCTCCATACAATAAACAGCTAAATAACCTTGAAGCTGCATTCAGCAAATGTCACTGTGGAGATGCGGAGAACAGCTTGTATACTACCTTGCGATGCTAGAGAGCCATGAACAATGCAGATTCACTACTTTCCCTACTAGAACACTCATGTAATTCTCTACCAAAAGATAAAAATAGTCGAATTCAATTTAATTAAAAAATAAAAAAAACATTTAGCAGCAAAAAAGGTAGCAGATCACTACTTGGCAGGTTCCTGACTAAGGAGCCTCCAGGGGATCGGTTTAGTTCTGGAACGTCGTCGATGGAAACTTGACACTTCGACTCCTCCCAAAGTACTCCGTACTCCCTATTCCTCACTTTACTCCTTTCTTCAATGCCCCTTGACACTGTACTACCCATGCTTTGGGCTTGAGTCTGTCTTGGCACTCCAGCCATTCCGGTTCCCAGTTCCCAGTTCCCAGCCTTAGCCTTACATTCCTTAAACCATGGCCGACTCCTCTTCCTCAAGCCTGAAAGAAAACAGGTCCCGGCGCTCCTGGACAATTTCTGCCGAATCAAGCGCCATGGAGAGTAACGGCCGATCCTCCCCCGATTCCACCGAACGACCGAAGACACAGGGTGGAGAAGTAGATTCCAGGGCTGGTCCCAGTGGTTTCTCCAAGCTCCTCGAGGCGCGTCGGAGGCGCAAGAAGAATAAAAAACAGAAACCGGCCGATGAGCCGGCAGTCCCCAGTGTGGTCTTGGAAGACGGTCTCCACGAAAGCCGATCCAACGAGTCTCGGGATGGGACCTCCGCAGCCACCTCCTCTGTCGCGGGGAGCTCTGGACAAGCGGAAGGTGAGGTCATCAATCTCTTGACGGACGACTCCGAGCCAGATCGGTAAGTGAAATCCCTCTCCGCAGCCTCGATGCTTGGAAATATCTCTCATCCGGTGGATTTTTTTTTCTAATAGGACCCCGCCGCTCACGTCGCATAACTCCCATACCGGGTTCTACACCACCTCCTCGCCATTGATTAAGACAGCCTCGGTCGACGCCGCGCATTTGGACGAATCGCAAGGTGATACGGAGTCAGCGGTCAGCGGACCGAGCATGACTAGCTCGGGGTCGAACCCAAGCGATCGAAAATCTAGGCGTCCAACACAGTCGAGCTTGGCGTTGGATGTCCCCGACGACTCCTCGAGCAAGAAACGTAGTCCATCACCCGGACGACGCTTCAAAGACGCATTTACCTCCGAGAAGAAAGCCCCGATCGAGGACCCGGAGACCGAATCCACCAAGTCCGGGGCCAACAAGAGCCGAAGTTTGTTTGGAGGCAGTCGACGGAGCAGTCTTTCATCCAAGCGTGCCCAGGCAGCCGCCGAGGAAATTCCTCCTCTTCCTGCACCGATTCGGACGGATCTGACGGAAAACAAACCTCGTTCGCTCCAAGCGAGCCCGATGCCGAACACCCCGCCCCATACCGCCATTCCTGCACCAGCGACCACCGTAACACCCCCAACCCCAACTGAGTTCAATCCCCTCAACCCGCAGATTTTGTCCAACAATGTGACCGACTCGCCTGAATCCATTCAATCGAGAAATTCCATATCCGACGGAGTGACCACTGTGAGCCCCTCCGGGAACATGATCTCTCATCGGCGAGTACGGTCGGCCTCCGCAGCTCACGGTCCAAGTAAATTGTCGAACTCGGTCTCCGCTTTAACACCCCTGGATGAAAAGTCCAGCGGGACGAAGAACTCAAGCCCGAACCAGCAGAATGGATTCTTCTCCTCTGTTTTTTCTGTGGCACAAAATGCGGCCTCTTCATTGAGCAACAGCCTCAACGCGCAGCAAAAGAACCGCCCCACATCTCAACCTATCGCTGCCGAGCCTGATAAATCTAGTTCTGACTCCACGGAAGATGCTGAACAATTATCAGAGCATGGTAGCAAGAGCGGGGAAGGAACGCAGGCTGCGGTGGAAACCCTCGGAGCAGGTGATTTGGACTTCAGCCACCTGGATATCAATGTACGACCAGGAGAATCAATCACCACTCCGGATGGTGTCATCATCACAAAGCCAGTGAACCCAACTGATAAACGCAAAAGCACCAATGTCTCCCGGAGAGATGAGGAAGCTGCCAAGCTTGAAGACAAGCGCGCTGCGCGTGCTGTCCAGGCTGCATACGAGAGACCCGACAAGTCGGGAAGACCGTCAGAGCTTTCTTTAGTCGGCGCTCCTGCGGATGATGTTTTGGAGGTTCAGTCGACGACTTCCCTTCCGAAAGACGGTCCTCTCCTGGGCGACCAAACCCCGCCGACTGGTAGTGTCATTGATGGTGACCTGAGTGGAGGCCTCAACCGCAGTGGCAGCGTGCGTAGCAGACTCGCACGGCGCCACCGTGGTTCCTCCGGGGCCACGAATTCGACCATTGGAGCTATTGGCATTAATGCCATCGGCCTCGGTGCACCTGGTGTCAATGCCAGTGCGCCTCGTTTGACTGGTTTCGCTGTCGCAAGCAAAAAGCGCAACAGAGACTTCCACCAGTTGTTCCGGAGTGTGCCTGAAGATGATTACCTGATTGAAGACTATAGCTGTGCCCTGCAACGTGAGATCATTCTTGCTGGTCGGATCTACATCTCAGAAGGACATGTTTGTTTCTCCAGTAACATTTTGGGATGGGTAACCACTCTAGTCATCAGCTTTGACGAAGTCGTTGCTGTTGAAAAGGAGAACACTGCTATGGTGTTCCCTAACGCTATTGCTATTCAGACTCTTCATGCCCGTCACACCTTCCGCAGTCTGTTGAGTCGCGAGTCCACGTATGACCTCATGGTCAACATTTGGAAAATCAATCACCCCACCATCAAAAGCTCAGTTAATGGCACCCGTGTGGCTGAAGGAACCGGCGACAAGACAGAAAAGGTTGGGGAAGAAGAAAGCGAATCAGAAAGCGACGCGTCTGACGAAGACGAGATCTACGATGAAGACGAGGAAGAGGATCATGCCGAGAGCTTGTTCGATGGTCCTGCCAGCGCTAACGCTAGCTCAACATCTTTGCCGGTGAGAGCAGGCTTAAGTCGCAAGGCGTCGAGTCTTTCTGCAAATGCAGCGACCCCCGCAACCGGAACCAACGGCAATGGTGATAAGAAGAACGGTGACAAAGGTGCTTCCAAGGATGCACCTCCTGATTTCCCTGGCCCCGTCACGCATGCGCCCACCGAATACGTCGATCCTAATGGTCAGTATGAAAAGGTCATCAAGGATGAAATTATTCCAGCGCCACTTGGAAAAGTCTACTCTTTGGTCTTTGGTCCCGCTTCGGGCGAGTTTATGACAAAGTTCCTCGTCGACAACCAAAAGTCTGGAGAATTACAGTTCGAGTCAACAGCAAAGGGCCTTGCCACAGAAAGCCCTGTGAGGAAATATTCTTACATCAAACCTCTCTACGGCTCAATTGGTCCAAAGCAGACCAAGTGTATTAGTACCGAGAATTTGGATTTCTTGGACCTCGAAAAGGCCGTCCTGGTTACATTGAGCACGCAGACGCCTGATGTGCCCAGTGGAAATGTCTTTGCTTGCAAGACCAAGTACCTCTTCACATGGGCCCCTAATAACCAGACTCGTTTCCTCATGACTTGCACTATTGAATGGACAGGCAAGAGTTGGTTGAAGGGTCCCATTGAGAAAGGTGCAATTGATGGACAAGGCACGTTCGGAAACGAGCTCGTCAAAGCTCTGCAGGCCGCCGTCGTTCCCCGAGGACGAGCCACCGCAGCCCGAGGCAAAGGTCGACGCAAGAAGGGTGATCCCGCAGGACGGGAATCTACCACTGCCGCATCATCGAAGGTTGCCACTGACTCCACCGCCGGGAAGGGTGATTCATGGGGCTTGTTCGAGCCTGTCCGCCCTATTCTGGAACCGTTCACCAGTATCCTCAGTCCACTATGGAGCGGAAACGTTGCACTTCTGCTGATCGGTATCCTTCTGTACATGGCCTTCTTCCGATCCCCGTCATCGTCTTCTCTTGCACACCAGGGCGGTTGCGCTGGTCACGGCTTACCACAAAGACTGGCCGCCTATGAGGAAATGTGGCGACGCGAAGAGACAGAACTCTGGAACTGGATCGAGGATCGCGTTGGCATGGACGGAATGGTCTTCCCGAATGCCTACCGCTCCCCAGAGCCCCATCCCAGCCGTCGGTCATCTGGCAGTAGTGCGGCCAATGAGCGGGAGTTGGCTTCTCGTCTCCGCGAGGAGAAGGTCTCGGATCGTGAAATGGACCATGCCATACGAACCACCCGTCAACGCCTCGATGTCCTCGAGGAAATGATGAGCAAGCGCAAGGTTCAGTGGGATGCCGATGAACCGGTCAAGTCTGAACTATGACGGCATTCCCCTTTGATCCCATGTTTCCTCTCGATCCCGACACTCATCCGACAGTATCAAAATTCTTAACCAAAATTTCCTTCTGCTTTCACATATCTTCACACAATATCTTGGGAACGGACAAGCAGTGCTTTCCTTCTCCCTCCTTCCCTCCCTATTGACATTCACTTGGATATCCACACTCACACTCTCTTGTCTGTTTCAATACAGTTTTCTTTGCATGTATATGAGCGCCAACTATCTTGTCCATACCGATCTCTGTCGGTTTCAATCTGTATTTTTGTTCGAGCGTGCTGATTTGAGATTCTTTCTTACAAGGATGGCTCTGAACCATCCTGTGATCACAGCATTGCATGATTCATCTTGCTGTTCGCTGTAAATATCTCACCAATGCCACGTGATCATAGACCTGAAGTACATGCCCTAACAGAAACTGGCTTTGACCCTCTACTCCGTACTCCGCCCGGAAAGTTTGTGTAGTTCGATATTGCACAGTGAGCTCATATCATATTGAATTTTTGATCCTTAGGTAAAGATTCACCACATTTCAAATTCACCAGACCCAAACCATGGTCCATGTAGAATGCCCTCAGCGAGGCTGTCTAGCATCAATTCTTCTCCAGTTGCGGTATGAGACCTCCTGTCCACCGAATGAGCCCGAGCTGCCCCCGGGGCCACCTCCCTGACCTCCGCCGCCGCCATGCTGTTGGACAGTATCAAATCCGCCACCAGTGTCAGTATCACGGAAATCACGAGTCTCGCTGATCAAGAGTCTGCAATAGTAGTTGAAGAGCCGGGCGTCAATCTCACGGTCCATGCCCTCGACCTCCGCACGAATGAAAGTGATCCGCAAGAATTCCCCCTGCATTTCATTCAGAAGTCGACCCAACGCCATACCAGCAGGATCCTCTTCTTCTTCAATCTTAAGTCTGTTGTACTGATTCTGGAAAGCCATGATGAAGTCCGCCGCTTTGCCGAAGTCACTTCGTTTCAAGTTGTGCCACTTCTGCAGCTCCCGCTCAATGTACAAGCGGTGGTTTTCCGAATTGACCATTCTGATCGTCTGGTAAACGGTGTCTGCACGAACCACCTCAGTCGTCTGTGCTTTGACGTGGCTTTGGATTGTATCGTCGACTTGATTCAGTAGCCAGCGGGCCACGGTGGGGGTCCAGAATCTCCACTTGATGTACTGTTCGTCGGATTCATGGGGTCTTGGAAGTTCCAGATTGATGAGTCCGTCCAGTCCGAGTGGTCGTAGGACACCCAGGACCTCATTGCGCCAGACTGTTGTGCTGGAGCGAGGTGAGAGCTTCGTGATTTTCAGAAAGCTTGCATTGACTTCGTTGGGTAGGTAGGAGGCTTGATTCAGGCGGCTCTGAGATTGAGGTGGGTGGTTGGATTGCCCATGAGGACTCATGTTGGCGCTCATGGTATCTGAATGTAGGATGAGGTGGTGTTTAGTTACGGCTTTGCTTGGATGAATGTTATTGAAGTCTCCTGTGCAAGTTGAAACGCTCCTCTTACCAATGACCCGCCAAGAGCACTGATCTTCCGGGCAGACAAATCTGTCAGCACAGAGAATGAAATGCTAAAGGGGAAGGGAGTGAATGCCATAAAGAAACAAACTCGATTGCCGTGGGTTGCGGGAAATTAGGAGTGGTCACATATGGCAGGTACAGAATTTGCACTAATCACTGTGCTGATTATGTCGTCAACCCTGTGATATCTCTACTTCAAGACCAAGATCTTACAAGAATCGCTGACTCGCTCGTATCAAAAAACACCGATCAAATGACAGGCCGGGTAGGCAAGAGAATATACGGCAGCATGATGATGGGTTCTGGGTCTAACTCATACTATACTCAAGGGCTATGCAATTCCATCTCTCCAGGGCTTGATGCAGCTCACGCAGATCAATTCATGAACCACTTGTCTGAGTCCACCTGTCAAAGCTGTATGTACAAGGAACTTTGGATCTGAAGATGACAACAGTCATAGTCACTGTCGGTGAAAGGACTCTATGTTCAGATAGGCACTGGTCTCAGCTCGCACCGGAGACATTCTGATTTGGAGTTTGAGGTTTCGCTGACGAAGTATGTAGAAAGAAGTGAGGTCGTCCCAATTTTTAGGGTAACGGAGCTCACGTGCACCTCATTCCACGGTGACCCTGGGTCACATAAGAATCGGCAGGGATTAGATAATGGCCAGGATGATTGCTCTCAAGCTGCGGAAATTGAAAACTTGCAATCATGGGAATCTCTTCTAACCTTGGAATGCATTCAAGCACGATCATCGTGCCCAGTTGATACGTATCGACCTGCTCATACTTGTTCCAAAGTTCACGCTTTACGACATGACAGCTGGGACCAACTACGAGTGAATTCATGTCTTTCATAAGTTATTTTCTTGATGGGTATATATGTGACGAGAATAAGGAATATTGCTGCTCAAGCGCTGATGCTCCCAGATGAATCCTTGTCCTTCTTGGGAAGAGTAGCTGCTTTGTTCTTCGAGACCGAAGTCTTCCAAGCCTTTGCTCCTGAATTGAAGAACTCATCAATCTGCTCCAGGGTCAATTGAGCAGTCTCAGGCACAAGCAGAAACGCCAATCCCGCAACCACGACTGTGACACCTGCATAAAAATAGCCAACATTGGCGCCCATATCTCCGTGATTCGCACTCAGCATATACGGTGTCCAGAAACTTGCAGCAAATGAGAAGATCCCGTAGAAAACCGTTGTGTTTGCTTGTCCAAAGGTTCGAAGTGAGACACTGTGCATCTCAACAGAGCTTAGATTTGCAGTTGGTGCAATAGTCGCACCAAAGACAAAAGCCCAGATACTCAGCAGCACAACAATGGCTAGCTGTGAAGAGTTGCTGGCTCCGACAATGGAGCTCACGGAGGAAAGTACCAACATGCAAACAGCCATGAGACTGTAGCCTATTAGAATCGACAGTCTTCTTCCGCCGTATTCAACAACGAAGGGACCAGCCAGGGCCCCAACGAGAATGCACAGGCCGATGACACAATTTATGAGATAAGGATCGCTGATGCCGACCCCCTTCAAAAACAGAGCAGCATATGGCGCCACGAATTGAATACCAGTGACGGCCATTCCGGCCAAGATCAGAGCTGATGTCAGAGTGCGGCGGATATGCTTCTTGCGATAGATGTCAAACACCGAAACTTTCTTCTTCCCCGCTCGCTCGCTCGCAAGATGAACGCGAATGTCTTCGACCTGGGCGCTCACGGCGAGTGAATCTGGACTCTGACTATACAGCACTCCGAAAGCCTTCCTTGCCTCCTCTTCTCGCCCATGACCCATAAGCCAGCGAGGAGATTCGGGCAGCATCACGATCCCAGCACCGAGGATAAGTCCCAATGGAATCTGGCTGAGAATCGGCGTCTTCCACTGCCAATCATTGGTCGATTCGAGACGAGCAGATCCAGCACAGACTGCCGCCGAGGCAACATTTCCCATTGCAAGTCCAACATTATACAGCCCCAGAGACAGGCCGCGCTTGCTTGGTACAATGCATTCAGACCCATATGTAGCGCCGGCCGCTAATAGATGACCAATTCCCACGGCACCAATGCAGCGACACACCATGTAGCGAAGGAAACTGCCAGTCGTTCCGAGCATTCCAGCGGCACCTATGATAGCCAATCCACATCCGATTTGGATTGCGCCCCTGCGTCCGCAGTGTTGACCAGTTACGCCTGCAACTCCGCCGCCAAGGGCGACAAACAGGAAGTTCAGGCTGATAAGCGATTCTTGCAATGGTGTGAGCGTGCAGTGCTCGATATTAGCATATGTAGCCGGGTCTAGGACCTGTTCACAGCTTCCGAATGCTCGCTTGTATGATGGCATGATGAGCACGATTCCTGCATAGCCGGTGTCGAAGTTCGAGATCCATGCGGCGAATGAGACCCACAACGAGAGTCGTAACATCATCCCGGTTGTACTGGGGCCATCTTGTTGTGAGGTTTGTCGTTTTTTGGGCCACGACAGCAATTTATGAATGCTGTAGTTGGGTATTGACTCGGTTTCCGGACCGTGACCCATGTTGGAGTGTCGGAAGGGGTTTGGCAAAGTTGATGATCTTCAAGCGGCTCGTCTCTCGTTTCAAGAAGAAGATCACTGGCATGAGGGGTATATATGCTGCTTGGAGAATCTTGGTGGGTAGAAGCTAGGTCGTCTGGATCCCGCATACCTGGGCTGTGCGATACGTATGTGTACCTTATCATGAAGAATGCTGTAAGGAAACCGGCGAATATGGATGGAGGATGCTTATCTAGTGGTCAGTCATCAAGGGGCTTTACTGTAATTATATCAGCCACTTGCTTCATTTTAAAACACGGACTCTGCACATGAAAATGCCTAGTTGAACACTTTCGATGAGCCAATCGACTCTCGACCCGGTGATCCTCATGTTGATCGAAACCTCCACTAATCGCACCGTATTTGACATTTTTGCGTTGGCGAAGAATTCCCTGCGTGTAAACAATTCAAGCGAAGAACTTGTTTGAAGTCAAGTGGAGACTTGTGGACATTCTTGGTTCAAACATTGGCTCTTGTCTGCTCAGGTGGCCAAGTATATCTGCAACCTTTGTGACAGATGAAAAAGACCCTGCACTCGTGAGCTTGCTGTAAGACACCCGTGCGTCCTCGGGCACGTGGCATGTTTCAAAGGGCTCGCAGATTGCGTGGATCCCCTACGGAGCTTAATTCTTAAATTCGAGGATTGGGTTGGGCCCGGCGGATCATTCCCGAATGACTCTCTTTGGGTCCACAAGTTGGTATGTGAGTAAAGACCCATTTTCCTTCAAGTCGTTGTTATATAGATCCACAATCCGTCCGGACTTGAACACAAGAGGCAAGGTACATGATGACCCAAGGCATCAAACGCCACTCCATGCATCGGAAGTATGCATGAACCTTGGAAGTGGGACTCAGGTGAAAGGACCGAGAGTGGAGGAGTAGAGAATGCTCCAATCTAATAACCTCCAAGGTTGCTACCGACCTGGGGAGTCTTGTTTTTTTGCTCACACAGGACACATCCATGAATGACTTCACACCAGAGCCTGTATAGGTAGACATCTGTAATCATCCATCTGCATTTTTGGAACATTTTGCGGGCAGTTCTATTCCTATGAGACTTCCGACAAATTATGACCTCGGGAGTGCCTTGAGTAGGCTTCCCTCTGCCAGATAATTGGTGTTCCACCTGGGCAATGTCAAACACACCCGACTAATCAAATCGAAGTGAGACATAAACAACCTCGTATCACTCCAGATTACATCGAATGTCGTGATCAAGTGGCTTGAGTCAGGGCATAGTCTGAGACCACGTGACCATCCTAATCACAACAACGATCCACAACCCTCCGTGTCGAAAAGCAATCATGGAGCTCAAGACTATTCTCATTCTCACCGCAATCTACATAGGTGAGTGACAGCACCGGAGCTCTGCACTTGCGCCCAAGCCAAACAAGAGCGTCCGCGACGGAAAGCAGAACCACGAGCCTAACCCCTCACCAGCTGTCCGCATCTTCTTGAAGTCGCGCCAATCGAGCTCAACCCCCATCATGTCGCACGGAAAAGTCCAAGATATTGACAAGTAAGCCTTGGTCAAATCCGTGTCCACTCATCCAGATTCTAACCAGACCCAACAGCCAAGTCATCTTCAAAGCCCTCGTCTCCTCCGGTCCCGTCGTCGTCGACTTCTATGCGACTTGGTGTGGTCCTTGCAAGGCCGTTGCCCCCGTTGTTGGCAAGCTGAGCGAGCAGCATGAGAATGTACGTTTCCTCCAGGTGGACGTGGATAAGCTGCAAAGTGTTGCGCGGGAACTAAGCGTGAATGCCATGCCCACCTTTGTGCTGTTCAAGGATGGTCAGGAAGCGGGCCGTGTTGTTGGCGGCGACATGAAGAAGCTGGAGGCTGAGATCCAAAAGATCTCGGCATAGTCGACACATCCAGGTCAATCTGAGAACTAGATCATGAGATACGCACTACTGCATGCACATTAGCTGTCTCGGTGTGATCACGTTCCTCCGAGAATAATGATGAATGACGAATGGAATTCCGGACAGAAATGTCTCAGATCAATACCTTGATACCCCAACATGATATAATTGCCGGTTGGGCTTCCAAGGCTGCTGGCAGGACTATGCCTGTGCAGTGTATATGCGTTTTGGCCTAATGGAGTGGGTAGGTAAATCTGTATCAAGATGTACTAACCATGCTGCACGAGGCACGGAAAATAGCGTCTGATTGGTACATCATACCCGAGGATTATTTATGCAAAGACATGCGTCTGTGCTGTACTCCGTACTCCGTACGGAGTACCATGGCGAGCATACCCACGCGATTGTGATAGATCTGCATTTCGAGTCCGGCCTTAGAGTTATCCCACCTCTTCGAAATTTTATGGACAGATTCCAGGAAATATGCGCAAAGGTGTCCGATAACTGTATTTATTTATTTACTACCCTTTCTAGCTTTGGGTATCCTTGCGGATCTTATTCTTCCAGCCCTTGTTCCCGAAGATATCCCGAGGCTAACCATAAGCAGACCTAACGGCTAGCGAGGCCCGTTTATGTGGATTGCGCAGGTGCGTGTGAAGAAACTTGTACGGAGTAGAAGGGAGTAAGACAAGAGCAGTGTTAAGCAGTTCTCTCCCTCGCCTGCTATTGGGATACAGAGGATATTGTATTAGCATCATGCCCTTTCAAACATAATAGGGTGCTGCTTCGCGCTTCAATCGGCCCTCTCACTATTTAAACTGAATGTCAATTAAACTAAACATCACCGTCCACGGGTGAACTACAACAGAACCAATAAATATTGTGACCTAAGCATCATCTGATCTCGAGGCTGTTTACCCCCTAATCGCCTTCTGTACTCTTACACATTTAGCCGGCAATTCACCCCTGTCAAGGCCCCGGTACCGTAAACCGCCCATGAAAGACTTGATCAGTCCGTTTGTTGCGGACTTAACGGAAATACGGCAGTGTTTCAAGGTCAATCCCTGTTCAGTAGGGCATCAAATTCCTATAAGTGCTCCGAACGGAGTATACAGCCCCAATAAAGTGGACCCTAACTGGCTCTCCACACCCCAGATTGATAACCGGAAGCCACCCCGTGCGCGTAAAAACCTTGCTCTAGAACGATCTTCAGCGCAAATTCTAACATTGGATGAAGAGTCATCACGAGTCATGTTTTCCGCTTTAACTTGTTTGGGTGTCCGCCTGCTTGGCAGCATCAAATCTGGTCACTCCACCGCGGAATAGCCCGTCTCTGGCCACCCATCCCCACCTTTTGTTTGATTCTCGGGGGATTCTTTGGCTCCCTGCAGCGTTTGCAGTAAGTACATCGGTGTGTCGGTGTTCCGACTATATACGAGCACGCTAACACCGCCATTTGATTTCCGAAACAAAAAAAAAAAGGTTTTAGCGAGCTTGCCTAGGTGGAGCCGAGTGGGCACTAAGTAGACATGTTCACGCCTCACGATGCTACCAGACTTAAGCCAAGGATCGTCTCTTGGCTTATATTTTTTTTTCTCTTCCTCGTCGAATTTGATTTCTTCTTTTTACATATTCTCAGCAAGGGAGTCGGAATCCAATCTGCTCTTTATTGTATGCAATTGGCTCACTATTTGTCTACCACTCGTGCGGGGAGTATCAAAGCGCCAGTGTACATCTATTTCCAAGGTCGCGACTTCGGAGCCCTCCCGCACTTGACATCGTCAACCAAACATGGACCAGCCAGGTGAGAAGAAGACGGCTGAGTCCAGCAAGTCCATGGACACACTGGACTCTTTGAATTACGGAAAGCAGCTTGAGGAGGTCCGCATTTCCAATACGCAGCACAACGCAGGACAAACGGGCGTGGACGTCACAGCGGCGGAAAAAGAATTCTCGGAATTAAACCGCCAGTTCTCTAGCATCTCACACCAAGCCCATAGACTGTCTACTCAAGCATCTCGCGTGTCAAAAAATGGAGCGACCACACACGATATCGAGAAGGCAGAGGGATCGACTCAGTCGGACGATTCGTGGGACTTGGAGACAACCCTTCGTGGTGATCGTGTTGCGGCAGAAGAAGCTGGGATCAAAGACAAGCACATTGGTAAGTTGACCGTCAATCTGAAACGAATAGTCATCTAAAGTTATCCGCAGGTGTGATTTGGGACAATCTCTCAGTCCGAGGCATGGGAGGTGTCAAAACATTCATCAAGACTTTCCCAGATGCAATTGTCGATTTCCTCAACGTCCCCGGGACAATCATGGATATTTTTGGATGGGGAAAGAAAGGCGAAGAATTCAAAATCCTTGAAGGCTTCCGAGGCCTGACACGTCCGGGAGAGATGGTATTGGTACTTGGACGCCCTGGGTCGGGTTGCACGACTTTCCTCAAAGCAATCGCGAATCAACGTTTTGGATATACTGGTGTGGATGGCGAGGTACTTTATGGTCCCTTTGAAGCGGATGCGTTTGCGAAGCGATTCCGAGGCGAAGCGGTCTACAACCAAGAGGATGATGTCCACCAGCCTACACTTACCGTGAAGCAAACCCTTGGGTTTGCGCTCGATACGAAGACGCCTCGGAAACGTCCGCTTGGGGTTTCAAAATCCGAGTTCAAGGAGAAAGTGACCGACTTGCTTTTGAAAATGTTCAACATTGAACACACGGCTAATACCGTGATTGGTAACCAGTTTATTCGCGGTGTCTCTGGAGGTATGCAGCTTAAAATCCTTTGATTTTTTGAAGTCATGGGAAAAGGAAAGCTAAGAAAGACAGGTGAACGACGTCGAGTTTCCATTGCCGAGATGATGATCACATCTGCCACTGTCCTGGCCTGGGACAACAGCACACGAGGTCTTGATGCTTCTACTGCTCTCGATTTTGCCAAATCGCTAAGGATCTTGACCAACATCTACAAGACCACTACATTTGTGTCTTTGTACCAAGCATCTGAGAACATCTACAAGCAGTTTGACAAAGTCCTTGTCATTGATCAAGGTCGTCAAGTGTTCTTCGGCCCTGCTTCCGAAGCACGAGGATACTTTGAAGGCCTCGGATATCGTGAAAAGCCTCGCCAGACTACCCCAGACTATCTGACAGGCTGCACTGATCCATTCGAGAGAGAATTCAAAGATGGAGAAAGTGCCGAAAGCGTTCCATCCACACCACAGACATTAGTCGAAGCCTTCGACAAATCTATTTTCAGCGAGAGATTGGACCGGGAAATGAAGTCCTATCGGGCCCAGATTCAAGGAGAGAAGCAGATCTACGATGATTTCGAGCTGGCCAACAAGGAAGCCAAGCGCAAGTTCACTTCACAATCTTCCGTTTACTCTATTCCCTTCCATCTGCAGATTTGGGCCTTGATGCAGCGCCAATTCCTCCTAAAGTGGCAGGACAAGTTTGCTCTGACGGTCTCCTGGGTTACCTCTGTTGGTATTGCCATCATTTTGGGAACCGTCTGGCTCAATCAACCCAAGACGAGCGCCGGAGCCTTCACGCGTGGAGGTCTTCTTTTCATCAGTCTACTGTTCAATGGTTTCCAAGCGTTTTCTGAGCTGGCCTCGACCATGCTAGGTCGCTCGGTTGTCAACAAGCACCGGGCTTTTACATTCTACCGACCAAGTGCGTTGTTCATCGCACAGATCATCATCGATACTCTATTCGCCGTTGCACGAATCTTGGTGTTCAGCATCATCGTGTATTTCATGTGCGGACTGGTTCTTGATGCCGGTGCATTCTTCATTTTCGTTCTTATTATTCTCGAGGGCTATGTGACAATGACCGTATTCTTCCGTACTGTTGGATGTCTCTGCCCCGATTTTGACTACGCTATCAAATTTGCATCCGTCATCATCACGTTCTTTGTGTTGACCTCTGGATATCTTATCCAATGGTCCGGTGCTCAGGTTTGGCTACGATGGATCTTCTACATCAACCCCTTTGGTCTTGGCTTTGCCTCTTTGATGGTCAATGAGTTTAGACATCTGACTCTCACATGCACCAAAGACTCGCTTGTACCTACTGGTCCCGGCTACGGAGACATCGCCAACCAGGCGTGTACTCTGGCAGGTGGTGAGCCTGGATCGGCGATCATCCCTGGTTCCAGCTATCTTGCCGACACGTTCAGCTACTTTGGCGGAGATCTGTGGCGGAATTTCGGCATTATGATTGCTTTGATTGTTGGATTCCTCGCATCAAATCTTTATTTCGGAGAAACACTGTCATTCGGTGCAGGCGGCAAGACTATCACTTTCTTCCAAAAGGAGAACGACGAGCGCAAGAAGCTCAACGAAGCACTGATGGAGAAAAAAGATCGCAGACAGAAAAAGACTCTCGACGCCAAGGAAGAGTCAAACTTGAGCATTACCTCCAAGTCTGTTTTCACATGGGAAGATGTTTCTTACGAAGTGCCGGTTCCGTCTGGCACTCGACGCCTCTTGAACTCGGTATACGGTTATGTTCAGCCCGGAAAGCTTACTGCGCTGATGGGAGCATCTGGTGCAGGCAAGACGACCCTGCTGGATGTTTTAGCTGCGCGAAAGAACATTGGCGTTGTCACCGGCGATATCTTGGTAGACGGAAAGCCACCGGGTACTTCATTCCAGCGAGGAACGTCCTACGCCGAGCAATTGGATGTCCATGAAGACATGCAGACAGTGCGCGAAGCTTTGCGTTTCTCTGCAGATCTTCGCCAACCATTCGATACACCTCAGTCGGAAAAGCATGCCTACGTGGAGGAGATCCTGAGTCTTTTGGAGCTGGAAAACTTGGCAGATGCAATTATTGGCACTCCAGAGACTGGTCTCTCAGTCGAGGAGAGGAAACGGGTGACTATTGGAGTTGAGCTTGCAGCAAAGCCTGAGCTTCTTCTATTCTTGGATGAGCCTACTTCCGGTTTGGACAGTCAATCCGCCTGGAATATTGTGCGTTTCCTGCGAAAGCTCGCAGCTTCGGGCCAAGCTATTCTTTGCACTATTCATCAGCCGAATTCTGCTCTCTTTGAAAACTTTGATCGACTCTTGCTCCTCCAACGAGGCGGCGAATGCATCTACTGTGGTGATATTGGGACCGATTCCGAGATTCTTCTTGACTACTTCCGCCGTAATGGAGCTGACTGTCCCCTGGATGCAAACCCAGCTGAGTGGATGCTTGACGCCATTGGTGCCGGCCAGACACGCCGCATTGGAGATCGTGATTGGGGTGATATCTGGCGTGACTCCCCCGAACTGGACCAGGTCAAAGAAGAGATCAGACAAATCAAAGCAGCTAGATCCCAGGCTGTTCAAGAGGACACCAACGAGAACAAGGTGGAGCGCGAATATGCTTCCCCTCTCTGGCATCAGATCAAGGTTGTCGGTCGACGAACCAACCTATCTTTCTGGCGTTCAAGGAACTATGGCTTCACCAGGCTTTACACTCATGTTGTCATTGCCATCATCACCGGTCTTGTATTCTTGAATCTCGACGACTCCCGCTCTTCACTGCAGTACCGTATCTTCGTTATTTTCAACGTCACTGTTCTCCCAGCAATCATCCTCCAGATGGTCCAGCCACGCTATGACATGGCCCGACTCATCTTCTACCGCGAATCAGCCTCAAAGACATACAGCCAGTTTGCCTTTGCTCTGTCAATGGTTATCGCCGAGGCTCCATACAGTCTCCTATGTGCAGTCTGCTTCTTCCTCCCGCTTTACTACATTCCAGGATTCCAAAGTGAATCCAGTCGGGCCGGTTACCAATTCCTAATCATTCTCATCACCGAGATGTTCTCCGTCACGCTAGGCCAAATGATCTCAGCATTGACGCCGAACAGTTTCATAGCATCCCAACTCAACCCCCCAATCGTCATTATTTTCTCACTGTTCTGCGGTGTCGCAATTCCAAAGCCTCAAATGCCAGGGTTCTGGCGCGCCTGGTTATACCAGCTCGATCCGTTCACCCGCTTGATTGGCGGAATGGTCGTGACGGAGCTCGAGGGTCGGGATGTTGTCTGTGCGGAGTCTGAACTAAATCTGTTCAACGCCCCATCCAACCTCACCTGCGGTGAATACATGAAACCGTTCTTTGAAGCTGGTGGAAATGGATATATCGTCAATAATGCTACACAGACTTGCAAGTACTGTGCCTACAAGGTTGGAGAACAATTCTATGCTGCTTTCAGCATGTCTTTCGATAACAGGTGGCGGGATCTGGGTATATTCGCTGCTTTCATTGGTTCTAACCTGATCATTCTTTTCTTGGCTGTAAGTCGTGGTCTTGGACATTTTTTATTGCTGATTTGTTGTACTGACCTTTCTATAGTCGCGCTACTTGAACTTCAACCGACGTTAGATGATTGCGTTGCCGTTCCAAACTACAAGGTTAGAAGAAGGGGATATCCAGGTCTCAGCAAAATGGTGTGCAGCTTAGTCTAAATTTTAATAGGAGGGGAATCTTAGTATCAGAATGCAATAGTGTTGAACAAGAGGCTTCCAAGCTTGAATTCAAATCTCCCGCACTCATTTCCTACCAGCACCTGGCCAAAGCAAATTCGACTCGCATGGATGATGTGGGCAGAACTCAAAGTGGTTGATTACTATGAGGGTTAGTGGAAAGTAGAACCCCCTTTTAGTAATAACAGCAAACCTGACCTAGTTATTGGTACTCCGTATAACCCTCGGTCTGTCAATTGCTCGGCTATTCGAAAGCATCAAACCCAGTTCGCATTGTCAATGGACATAGCGGCGAACTTGCCGAACCTTCGGACTTCCACCGACCTCAACAGACAATCCTGAGCATTAACAGGCAGATATGGCCCAATCAAAGATTTTGTTTCTATCAGCCATTGCTGACTTCGAAAGTCAAAATGCGCGCCGGGGCAAGTCCGAAGACACGCATCGTCAGCCAAGCCCCCGCTTCCCCATGTTTTGACCAGCCGATCAGCGGACGATACGACCCGGGGAAGCCTCTCTGGGTCTTCCCCGCAGATTCTCCTGAGGTTAAGATTCGAGTCTCGCGGGGAAGTTGGAGCTTTGATAAAGTTTGGAGATGCGAATGAAGGGGTGTTGGATTCCAGAATTGCTTTGTTAGACGTCTCCCACCTTTTTTTCCTTTCCTCTTTTGTCTAAGCCTTAACCTTGGAACCTATCTATATATCTCTGCAGCTAATTCCACTTTTTCTTCTTTTACCTGAATGTTTGATCTAATTGACTCCACCAACCTCCACTATGGATACCCCGGGCCCAAGGTCTGACTCGAAGACCAACATCGATGTTCCTACCATCAGCCATGATGACCATCATGAACATGCAAATTTCAAGACTGCTAAAAATGCAGATGGCGACACTGCGATGGCATTGTTTGATGATCCGGACGAGCTTCATGAAGAAGTCGATCCGGCCGAGGCAAGGAAGCTATTGTGGAAGATCGACTTCATGATTCTTCCTTATCTCGCCGTTTGTTATGCTTTCTTTTATATTGACAAGGTCAGATTTGCGGTGCTTTCCCTTATGTATCTCTCATACAGCTAACGTGTTATATATATTTTCCACCCAATAGACAACTCTAAGCTATGCAGCTATCTTTGGTATCCGCGAAGACCTCGACCTGCACGGAACTCGGTATAGTTGGCTGAGCAGCATTTTCTACTTCGGATTCTTAATCTGGGCATTCCCAACCAACTTCTTGATGCAACGACTTCCGATTGGTAAGAGTTAATTTGAAGACTGCTTTCTGGGATGTGAGTCTGACAAACTTCTCAGGGAAATACTTGGGGGTTAATATCTTCATGTGGTATGTGGAATTCAACCTCAATTCCGAGAGCGTACAAAAAGAATTTTAACCAGGTGCAAAGGGGTGTTTTCCTTATGATCCAAGCAGCCTGCAACAGCTTCGAGACCCTCGCGGTGCTTCGAGCCCTGGGCGGCGCGGCCGAAGCCTGCGCCGACCCTGCTTTCATGCTCATTACGAGTATGTGGTACACGCGCCGCGAGCAGCCTGTAAGACTGGGACTTTGGTATACAGCGAATGGACTGGGTATAGCTCTAGGTGGTCTGTTGGGCTATGGAATTGGCCAGATTAAGGGTGCCCTCCCATCTTGGAGATACGAGTTTATTGTGATGTAAGTCTGTGGGGAAAACCTTCGATTCGATCACTGCCTAACATTTTTCAGTGGTGCTTTGTGTGCAGCTTGGGGTATTGTGATGTTCATCTTCCTCCCTGATTCACCTGTCACAGCAAAGGGTCTTAGCAAGAGAGAGCGCCGAATGGCTGTCGAGCGTCTACGTGAAAACCAGACCGGTGTGGAGAACAAGAACCTCAAGCCCTACCAGATTCTAGAGGCTTTTATGGACTACAAGCTCTACATGTTCTTTATCCTGGGTCTTGTTTGTAAGTATATTTTGGGCCCAAAGTGATATTCTACCCACTCACCTTTGCGTAGGTAATATCCCCAACGGTGGCATTTCAAATTTTGGAACTATCATCATTAAAGGCTTTGGGTACTCAACCTTGGTGACCACTCTCATGCAGGTAAGATCCATTTGCTTGTCACAATGCATCGAACGCCCTAGAGTTAACATTGTGCACCAAAATCAGATCCCCTATGGGTTTATCATTGCCATTTCAATTCTGGCCTGTGTCTTCTTGAATGACCGCTTTGAGAACCGACGTTGTGTCTTCATCTTGATATTCTTGCTGCCCAACCTTGCTGGTGCCTTTGGCCTCCGCTTCGTTCCAGTCCAGCATAGCGTAGGCCGGTTGATCTGCTACTATCTCACAGGACCGTACAACGCTGCATTTGTGCTTGTGTTGAGTATGCAGATCGCAAACACAGCTGGTAGGTGGAATAAGAACCCTGTCTTCGAAAAAACATTATAACCTCAAATTAATTGGGCGCACTAACGTTGAATAGGGCATACCAAAAAGGTAGTCACCAATGCCGTCCTATTCTTAGGCTACTGCACTGGAAACATCGCCGGACCTTTCTTCTATAAAACAGATCAATCGTGCGTTGACCCGAGCAGAAATCCTCTTTCGTCTGACATTGAATTTGACTAACTGAAATCATAGTCCTACATACGAGCTAGGAATCTGGTCGATGATCGTTTCTCACTTGATCGAGGCTGTTCTGATCAGTACTCTTGGTCTCTTGCTACGCTGGGAGAACAAGAAGCGTGATCGTATCCAGTCTCAGATGGAAGGTGGTCTCGAGGGAAGAGATCTGGATTCCACCGCATTCTTGGACCTGACGGACCGAGAAAATTTGAAGTATGTATTCTACATCTACAGATGTGATCCCCTTCTCCGTACTGTTGCTCGTATCAAGTATCTAACAGCACACCAGCTTTCGGTATATTTACTAAGAGTCCAATACATCATCACATTGTATCTAGGAATTTGACAATAAACAATTTCAAAGGAGCTTTCCGAGGTCTTCTTCTCTGCTCTATTCATTTTATTAGCTCGTTTATCTTTCTTTATAATTTTTCTTTCCACATTTCTCTCGACACCAAATCTCTCTCTGCCCACTCTAACCTCATGGGACCCCTTTCTTTTTCACCATTTCCATCTCCCACTTTCGTATTTCCCCTATCTCATCTCTTTTGTATTTCTCGATTGTTCAAACCTCAATGCCCATGAGAATAGTTCTCGCAGCTCCAGAGTATCTCTTTTGGGAAAATTAGACCCAACCTGCTATTTCCAAGATTTGCTACGTCCACGGGTCATGTTGTGAACCCTGGAGAGTGAAGAGAGCCTTGGAAGTGATGCATCGAATGAGTCTTAACCTTGAAAGATTGCTTGATATTGCTGGCAATACCTTTTTTGGGGGAATGAGTAGGACAGAAGCAAGTTCCAATACCACATAGGCCTTATGGTCGCACACAGCGTCACGGGACAGCAAGTACAAGTCACACGAAGAAGGAATGCACAAACAGCAAATGAGGAAGCCCTTAGCAGACTTTACAATAAGACCCTTTCAAGATTTTGGCCAGGGTTGGAGGCAATGTCCTGTGACATACAATTTCGAAAAGCTTCAATTCCCCAGAGCTAAGACTCCAAGCCCAGAGAAACATGGATTCACCAAATGAAGCCGTGTTTCGTCGAGCCTATGCACATGATGATACCAGGCTGGAGAACGAGGCTGAGTCTATACTCCTGGTGAGTCAAGAAGAGCCCCTGGAAATGCCAGAGGACGCTTGCTGACCTTCCAGCAGGACGGTCGGCAGCTGTTCCTTGAGAAAGACGACTATTTCAGTAACCACATGGTTTGCAATACAGCACCGGCGGTCTTGATATACGCAGATCAGGGGAGAGGCTTTATTGACTCGCGAGACGTACATGGGAAGATCGACACTTTGGAAGTTGGGCCAGATACAGGCAATGGGCGGCGGATTCTGATTTTGGATGAAGGACGGGATATATTCGTGCATCAAGATGTGCAAATGAGACGGTTCCTGGAGGTCTGGAAAGACAGACTACATGCCTTGTCTCAGGGTTGAATACACACGTCCAACAACCTTGAAACCCAGATGCATTGTCGAGTATCAACTGTGGTTGCGAGTCTCGAAATGTTGGAACAGAAGAAAGAGAAAAAAGACACGTCTGGAACTATATCATTGATATTTAATCGCCTGAGCAGTAATAATTTCCCAAATTCAGCAAATTGCGGTCGTTTTGATCTCAACAAACCATGAGAACCTGCCGTGCGCGAGGTCCAGATTTCAGGCGCTAGATAACCCATGTCGCCCATTCTCGGCGGCGATTGTAATTGGCAAAGAAGCTAGCCCCTATTCGAGGTTGATTCCACATGGACCGGAAATCGAGATGTTCCGATGCTCACCCATGCGCCACTTGGGGCCTCCGCGAAGGCTTTGAAAGGTACACAATGTCGACAGTAACAAGACTAGGAAAACTGCAGTATTTCCAGAAGACAAGGGCTAAAAGAAGAGCTCCAGGGTGTATTTAGTGTCGCAAGTTATAAACACAGATGAGGTACAGAATGATAGATAGTAATACAGCCACACGTATGCAAACGGGTGTCGCGCCGGACGCCCTTTAACTTAATCAACGTCGTCGGTTGCCACCGCCCAAGAAGGCTTTCTTCTGGCGAACATAGTTGGCGACGATGTTCTCCACGCTGCGGCGGTCGTGCTTGCGGTCTCTCATGAAGTACAATCTGGCGCGTCTGCGCTTCTTCTCGGAGCGCTGGACGATCTCCACACTGTTGACGTTGGGGCTAAAGACCTTGACGGACATCTCGACGGCAACACGGGTAAGCTCGTTGCGCAGGAGGAAAGAGGTCTCAATTCCGCGCAGCTTGATGCTGAGAACAACTCCGTTGAATGGGTCGCCGTTCTTGAAGGTCACGCGGACGATGTCGCCGGGCTTGACACTGCGCGGGTTGCGTCGGTAGTCGAACATGGCTTTGCGGTCACCCTTGGGGTCGAGGACTGCTAATTGAGATTCGGTGACCGCTGCGATGGGATCTTTGCATGCTTTGCGGGTGGAGGGGGAGCAGGGTAGATTTTGATAGGTTGACGCTCTATTGAGAAATTGGTGGTTAGTAAAGGCGAGATCAAGCATTGAATTGACTTCAAAATACTCACCAGGGTCAGGACGGAAACGAGGAGGGATCTGGGAAAGGAATTGGGGAGGCATGTCCGAGGGAAGAGGCACTCTCTCGGGCCTCTTGGAATAGGCCGTTGAGATAAATCGGCGGTTGATCATGGGTTGAAGAGGCTCGGACGCCCTCATCAAGGACCGTAAGCAGCCCAATGGGCGCATTGCTGGTAGAGCCGCCATGATGGTGATGAAGATGTCAAGTCGAGGTCGGAGTCGAGTTTTGGCTGCGGACCGGCAGAATTTCCGCCAAGCCTCCCGGGGCTCTCCAGACAACGCGATTATTTTTTTCCCCAATTCGAGCGATCTTCAAGTCTTGATTCCATTGCATCTTTAACGGGACAACGTGGTTTCTTCATCCGGCATTGCTTGACGTCTTCATCGCCGTTTATACCTAATATTCTATCCGTCACAATGGCCCAAACAGCCATGAGCAGGCTCTTCCTCCAGAGCTCGGTGCGCCAATCTATCCTGAGACCCGCGCAGGTCCGCAACTATGGTTCGAACGCAGGTATGATATACTCCAGGATCTTGCGACATCAAATTCTGACCAAACGCCGGTATAGTCATCCCGAGTTTCACCTCAACACCCTCAACCGAACTCAATGCCGCTCTCCAACGATTCCGCGAGGAGGTTTTCATTCCCTACGGACTTCCCGTGCGCCAGCAGAAGAGCGTGTTCAAGCCGAAATACGCTAAGCAGTTGGAGCATGAGCCCGTTGTCGTGAAGATCAGCGAGACCGAAGAATACACCCTGACCCCTAAGAAGCGCCACGAACTCCCCTCAAAGAAGGAGGCCATGGAGGTTCTCCACATGATGGTCTCTACCGGAGAGTTCGGCAACCTCCCGGCCTTCCTGGCTGGACTTAAGATGTCTGGATACGCCGTCAGCTCCAACCGATGGGAGTACATCATCCGCAAGGCCAGCTATGCGGGTAAGCTTTCCATCATCGCCGAAGTCGCCCGACGCGGTCCCGCCACTGGCCTTTCCCTTGCCGACAAGAACATCGCTCGCGTTCTTTTCTTCGAGCTTCACCAGACTGCCTCGCGCGCAAGCTTCGAGGGCGAGCAGACCGCCCAGGCTCTCAAGCTGGCCGAGGACTTCGCTTTCATGATGAACCAGGAGTTCCACTCCACCAAGGATGTCACTACCGACCCCAAGTGCCAGCCTTTCGTCATTGGAACTCTTTTGGAACTTGCTTGTGCCAAGAGCATGGATAAGAATGCGCCAAGCGAGAAGGAGCTCGCCCCCTCCGCCAAAATCGGTTTCCGTATTCGTGACTATGCCAAGAAGCTGGATGCCAGCTGGTCCCTTCTCAACCAGGATGTCGAGGCAAGCACTCTCCCCGAGCTGGTTGTCAGTATCCAGGAGAACCTTGCCGTCTACAATGGTTTGCTCCTGGCCCCACAGACCCGCAAGGCCGCCGAGGAGTCCAAGACCTTCGAGTCCCGTGCCCTCAAGCTCCAAAAGACCCTGATTCCTCAATTGCAGCGAGTCAAGAACAGCCAGCTTACTAGTGACCTCGTGTCTCAGCAACTTCTGAGGAAGGCACCTCAGGCCAAGGCTGAGGCTAAGGTTGAAGCTTAATCAAGCCTGCATAATTTTGTTTCTCGGAGTCTTGACTGAGCCTTCTGGCATGTATATTAGTACAATATTCTTTAGATATTTTGGAGCAGGCCGCTGTGTGTCACAAAATGGTTTTCTTGTTTATTTCCTCGTCTTAAACCACTAATTGCTATTGACGTATACACATGACAGGCCTCTGTGCGATAATTATTACTTGGAAACAGGAGTACGGAGTAGTGATGGGGATGCGAGTATATTTGCTCATGAAAATTTGCCGAAAAGGTAGGAGATGCACAGTCGTCATCAAAATCTAAATCGCTAAGAGCAATGTTTGGAAGAAGTCGCCTATGAACACAGCTCCAGAGTATTGTCTTTGCTGAGGCGGGCTCGGCCTGGCAGAGTCGTGGTACCCCCAACAACAGCGGGACCGGAAACGCTGAGCTAAAAGCGAAGATGTGAGTACAAATTCATTAAAAAAGTAAGTGTGTTATGACATACCTGTCCTTGCTCGACGCCGTCGGGAGAGCCTTCAGGAACGTTGATCAAATTGAACTCAGTGCTGCTCAGTGGAGCGCCAAAGTGACTGGGCCCGGTAAGGGTCCTGTAATCAAATGCATTGGTCTGCGCAATGGCACCGGCAACACCAGGGCCAGTTAAAGCATACACGACACGAGCTCCAGTGAAGATTCTGAGTTCGGTCAATTGCTCAGAGGTCAGGTGGGCCTCTGGGTTACCATCGATGCGGTGGGAGATACAAAGCAGACGGAGGTTTTCAAGCGAAAGCTCTGCAGTAGGACCGATACGAGCCAACTGACTGAAGAAGTTGCGAGTCGGCATGTTACCCGACTCCAGGGTTCGCGCCTGGACCCAGCGTCCAATCGATGAGATGAGACCGGTGTGCGGACGCATAATTTGATCATGATATTCGGATATGGTTTGCGATGAGGCAACGATGACAGTGGTGGAAACACCGGCTGTAGCCAAAGCAAAGTCGACATTCTCGCCAGCAACCGAGTTGAGGGCAATGGAAGCATTGGAGAACAATGCTGCCATAGTGGTGAGAAGCGGGTATGATCGTGAGAGAGAGTCAATGGAGAGAACAAGGTCGGACGAAGTGAAACGCTGAGTGCGAGGAAGCGTGGAAATGAGTGCTCCAATGGCAGAGACGAAGTTCTGATCGATTATTAGTATATATGGGCATGTTAATCCTGGGTAGCTCTTACCTCTGGCTTGAAGTCGATGAATTGACCGGATTGGGAAGAAGATGGCCAGACGGTGTTGACAGCAGGGGTCTCTGTCTTGGGATCATATTCAGGGACGTCGTAGCTAGCAAGATCCTTGAATTCTTCGACCAATTCATGCCAGACGGCAACCTTCAAGGTACCCTCGACGTTCTCTGGGACTCCATTCCAATCCATGTGTCGGTTGCCATACTTAGCAACCCAGAGAACAAGTGAGAGCTGCGTGGTATCCTTGGTCACAGCGGCAAGGTCCATTGATCCAGCTTCAGCGATCAGAACATCAGCTTCGGCGTGCTTCAAATGCGCTGACAGGATATCTGCTGGAAGATTGTGGGGGATGAGGACAGTTTTGTATCCGTAGAAAGCGCCGGCTGTGGTACCACGTTAGCTTAGAAATCTCCTATAGTTCTTTTCGTGTACTGACCAAATATAGCAGCCAACAGTTCAATAGAGTCAGTGAGGCAAACAGCGACGGTCTTGACACCAGCGTTTTGAAGATGGTGACCGATGACGTTGATTTCTTGGGTGACTTGGCCCAGAGAGTGTTCGATGGCCTTTTTACCTAGCACAGTGTAGATCTTGCCCTGCTTTCCGGACATTGTGCCATCTTGGTTCAACGCGCCACGAACAGCTGTCTTCCAGACATCCCGTAGGTCTCCACGTCGACCGCCAGTCCATTTCGGGGCACCGGGGTCTTTGACATTCAACCCAAACCGAAGCGGTAGCCCGTGTGGGGTTTCCAAACACCTGTAGACAGCAGATTCACCTGGCTGGCGGATGGGCGCGGCAGTTGATTGACGGGCGAGTAGAAATGGATGGACATCTGGGTCCTGAGATGAGGCAACCGAGTATACAGCAAAGACAAGAACAATTCCGGCAAACAAGGTGGTGTAGACGTTCCAGTCAGCCAGAACATCAGCCACCAGGTTGTCCAGCTTTGCTACTATGGAAGTGTCAGCCATTTTGAGGACGCTGGACTGAATGTGAAGAAGTGTCAACAATCAGCTTCACGATGACGTTGAGGGGTAGGCTAATGAGCTCCGCTGATTGGCCGACGGACCGCCGCCCAATCCAAGGTCACGTGCAGCAATATCACCAGAAGATTAGCATTGCCCCTGCCTTTGACTCCCTCGAGCTTTGAGATGGAAAGCCAGTAGTCCCTCACTATGCGAACTTACTAACCACCGATACACCAGCCTCCCCAGTTCCTCCCAGGTAAGTCGAGAAACTTCGTTCACACCAGTAAGTCGAGTCTCCATGAAAAACACCGAGCAATATCTGATCAACATAGTCCGCCTCACTCTACACTCGCCTGACGGGTTCCACCAATTGAATTCGACGATCAATTACAACAATGTCGCTCCCTTCGACTCCCAAAGCTACCCCTCCCATGGCACCCGCTTCAGAGGGACCTCAGACCCCTGGCAGGTGGAGGCACCCTCAACTGGATGAGATTGTCAAACGCCAAAATGCCGCTACATTCGACGAGAAGAACGTGAGAAAGTTGGTCTGGAATGGATCAGCTCTGGTCATGACCTGGATCTTCGGCAGTGCCCTCAAGTCATAGTGAGTGAGCCAGCGCTCCTGATGCGCGTCGCGTGCTAACCGTGACTTTTTAGCTCGCGTCACATCTTCCATAACAACCACGTCTATAACGAGATCTCCTTGCTCCTCTTCCAGCTGTTCTTTGTTTTGAACATCGGCACCGCGCTCTACCCCCTCTTCCGGGCCAAGGACGACCTTTCGGACATTCCCCTCACCCCGACACAACGTTCTCTACTGGGCCTGGATCCTGCTGCGACCCAGCCTGCTACTCCAGGGACGACGTTTGTTACCCCACCCAGATACCGCCTCTCCACCTCCCGCAAAGCCAGCCCGGCCAGCAGACAAGGCTCACCCATGTCCTCTGCGAATACCAGCCTTTCCGAGCGACGGCCCTCCGTTGGTACACCCTTCTCGCCTGTCTCAAGTCCTCTGTTGTACAAGGCTGTATCCAATGGCGGCAATGGAAATAGGGAATCTGTGCAACGCCAGAGCTTCGGGTCCCAAAGCTTTGGATCGACGTCTCCCCTCGCTCGCAGCAACTCATTTGGAGAATCGACCTTGAGCATGGGCAGTCTGGGGCCAGCAACACCGTCACCTCTTGCTGGTAAGCGCACAAGTCTCGGAGTCAAGAACAAGTGGTTGTATGAGAGGAGCCGCAGATTGTCGGCCAGCGGAGGTGCCATGTGAATTATTTGTATGGGATCGGTTATTGGATAATTCGAGTAGGCGTAGAGGTCATGGGCATGGTTATGGTGTCATAGCGATTCATTCATCTTCAATGTATTAAAGTATACCAATTCAAAGCCTATCATTTTTCTTTCATCCTGTGGCCTCTTTGAAGTATAGATTACCTGTGTCAGGTCGAACCGGTTGTACCGTGTAAGATAGAAAAGATATGATAATAAAGGGGATAGTTGCTCATGCGAGGGACTTTTCAAAAGCAACAACCTTGGAAAATTACTTGTTAAAAGCCAAGAGGTGGCCGTACGGAGTATAAATTGTGAAGTCGGTAGGAAACTATCCCCGTGTTCAGGCCAAGATCCCGCGCCCGCACGATTAACCGCTTCCAGAACCCGGCAAACATACAGGCAGCAGGCGTTATCGACTCACCACATTGCCCTTAGTTGTGAACTTGTTGCATGAAGCTCACAGTGGCGTGATTAGCTCGTGAGATCCGCCATGGGGGCTTCAGAGTCCAAGCTTGTCTTCAAACAGGGCATCTTCCGCCTCTCCGAACAGGAGATCCCCGCAGACGACCCCTACTGGACCAGAGTATGTGATATTGGCAATTCTAGGACCGCGATCCTATTTGAATGGCCTGGAGACTGACTGCTGCATTAGTTTTGGGAGCTCCCTGAATCCACCGAAGATGTATTCAGCCTGTTTACACCAGCTGACATCCGACGAACTCGCGATCATGCCTTACCCAATTTCCAAACCCTCATACTCGCAGTGACTTCGCGGCTCACCGTATTAAAAAATCACCCTTCGTTCCCCGACCCTGACCTGGCCCCCCGAGCGCGATGTTCTCAACTGCATCCGCATCCTCACCCGTCTACTCCCCTATGTTTACGAAGCGGAGCACCTGGAGGGATGGGAAGAGAACTTCTTCTGGGCGCGTCGGCGGAGGATGGCCCGACGAGCCCAAATCTCCGGAGAGGTTCTTTTCGACGAAGCACAACCTGAGGACCAGGAGGGGGAGCCGTCACCACGCTCCGACGATTACGAGGATGTCAAGCCTTTGGCCGAGGAACTCATAGACACCTTGATTGACCTGCTCTTCTTCGCCGATTTCACAATCCCTCGGCTTCCGACTGCTAAGAGTAAGGTCTCGTATTCGATCTGGCAGAGCGGTGTTGGCTGCAACACAGCTATGGGAAGCAGCAAAGCATATGAAAGCAACCGATGCGAGATCCTGCGACTTTTGCTCACGCTGACTGGAAAGGCTATGTATTTACCTTCAAGTAAGTTTATTCATGCTCTGGCACATATTCTCACAGGACATGCTGACCGGGACAGACACATTACCCGTTCAAGGCGTCCAGGCCATCACATACATCACGACGTGCCAGGATAAACAGGTCGTTTTGACTGTTCTCTGCTCCCTACTCAATACGGTATGTAATATCTCATCACACAATTAAAGGCTTTACTCACACCGCAACAGGCAATGAAGTACAATCCCGCGTCGTGGAGGGTCCCATACGACCATGTGGTCTGGAAAGATCCCAAGCAGATACTGGTCATCTATTGCGTGCAACTTCTCCTGGTTCTCTTGATGTACCCTATTCCAGAGGACGGTCGTGGAACACCGCCTAAGAATTATTATCGACATTACTTTGGCAGGTTACATAGACCCCAGGACTTCCAATTCATCGTGGATGGCATGACCAGGATCTTGAATCAACCGGTAACTATCGATTTCGAAACCAATGGCTTATATATGCTAACTCGCTGAAACAGATGCAAGCTACAAACTCTTATCTTCCCGGAAGCCAAAAATCGGTGAAATGGGCACCCGAGATGCTGGTGCTTTTCTGGGAGACGTTGCAATGCAACAAGCGCTTCCGTTCTTTCATAATAGATTCCAACCGCTCTCATGACTTCCTCGTTCTGTGTGTCTTTTATGCGACAGAATATAAATCAGATCCTTCCAAGCAAGGCATCGTGCGAATGTGCATATTCATTCTTCAAACGATGAGTGCGGAACCCACCTTCAGCAAGAGCTTGAACAACCCGTTCGAGGCACAAGACACCCTACCACAGTCCATTCGGTTGCCCAAATTTCGAGGATCCTATGGTGACTTTTTGATCATGGTATGTCCTCGTTCTCACCTGCAGCCTGAGGAAAAGCCAAATACTAACCACGGCAGTCTATCCACACTTTGATCACAACAAGCAAAGGAAATCTGGATACAGTGTACCCCGCTCTCTTGATCATTCTGAGCAACATCGCCCCATACATCGAGCATACGTCTGCAGGCGCGTGTTCTAAGGTCATTCAACTCTTCTCCGCCATGTCTGCTCCCAGCTTCTTGTTGGCAAACGAAACAAATCACACCCTTCTCGCTTCGCTGCTTGACTTCATCAACATCGTCATCGAGCACAAATTTACTGGTAAGTCTACTAGCCATCACTTTCATCGAATCAACCTCACAATTCTCAGAAAACCCGTACCTTGTATACGCTATCTTGAAGTACAGGCAACGCTTCGAGGCTGTGCGAGCTTTCACCCTCGAAAGTGGCCAGCAGGAAATCGAGCGCCAGAACGAAAGGAAGAAAGCCGGAAGTTCTTCTGAGACAGCTACTAGTCCGACACTCTCCCAGTCAGAAGATGATCTGCATAGTCAGTCCCGATCATCATTGGGTCGGATTCCTGAGGAGAACAGTCCATTTGCCATCGGCGATGATGATTCCGATGATGAGCAGGACATGGATGGACCGCAAACACCATCTCAGTCTTCACCATCAGCCCAGACCTCAAGAAGACCCTCTATTGCTTCTACCATCGACGAGAATGGTACATCGATGGTTCGCGGCATGTCTGAAAAGGCACGCGGAAAGAAACCAGCCGGTCATCCTCCATTCTCTCGGCAGAACAGCATGACCAGTCAAACAAGCATGACCGCTTTCTTCACTCCCTCTGCGAGTGGTTTCACACCAACTGTGCCTTGGGTAAGTTCCCACGTCAACTTTGCTACTGATTTCCACTTGGACTTGACATTAACAACCATCTGCAGCTTGAGTCCTGGTTACCCGAGCTTCCTCTGCATTCGATTCTAACCATCATCTCGGCCATCGCACCGCACATCCCCGATGCAGCCCTTCAAAGCTCAACCAGCTCAGAAGCTCGAACGCTCATTCATAATCTCCCCTCCTTCGCCGACGAGCCGGAAGTGAAGAGCATCATATCAGAGCCAACGCCTGTCCGCATCCAGTCATTCGAATGGTCCGCGCTCTCCATGGGCTGGTATGAATCCCTGTTATGGGGCTTTATCTTCTCCAGCGAGATGGTAGTCGGATCCGCCGCCGGCGCAACACCAGGAACCGTTGGTGTCTGGAACGGCACGGCGATCAAGCTCTTCCGGGTGCAGGAAGCGGCTGCCCTGGGCCCAACGTTACTTGCGCCCAAGGGTGCAGTCGATGCCGTTGGTAGCAATCTGGTTCAGAGAATCGGAAACCTCAGTTTGAGGGGCCGAGACTCGACTTCTCAGGAGGCCGGTGCCCCTTCACCGACTGTGAGGGAGGTTTAGGATCTCAAATGACGTACATAGCATTCTTTTCCATGACCCTCTTTTCTTCAACAATCACGCCCTTGGTCCTCCATATACCTGCGGTGCTGGGTTCGTGATTGTGCATGTTTTCTTAGCAGCTTATTAGCCGTTTTTTCAAATACCATACGCTATCATATTTATCAACATCGGGACGTCTTTTTAACAGTCTTTTCAACAGTCTTTTCAACAGTCTTTTTGGCTGACCTTCCAATGTTCAAATTGATTGTCGAGTCATCATGATTGGTCGAGAAAAGGGATTCTTGGCTAAGCTGTGAACAGATAATTAGGGATTGGGGATTAGCAGTGTCTTGCCCAGGCGTACGGAGTAGACTATGGAATTTCGTGGTTTTAAAAAGATCCTCAAAAATATTGAATAAGTGGTGGCGCTGAAATTGGTATACAGGTGTTGATTGATGCTTCATACTCGGAGTCAGGTTGTTTGAGTGTACTCGACTCCTGTGGCGTCGCCATTCCTATGCAATTGCCTCCCTTGAACACGTGCACGGCAATCCGCTCCGATCGCAATGAGTCTTCCACTTAGCAACCACAGCACAATTGAGCTCGGTCTGTTTTCGTGGGCATCTTCTCCCTTCTATGCGCTTGTGCTTCATGTTGTTTTCCCGGGCTGCCGTAGCTTTCCTTGCGGGGCCAGCCCCAGCCTTCGGGGCCATCACCACTAGCCTACAGAGCATCCTCAAGAACACCCACGGCAGCAAGGATTATGGATATCCAACTGATTTAACTAGGGATATCTTACCTGTGAGTGTTTTTCAAAAAATTACTGCTGCTGCTATTTAGGTAGTGTTTTTGTTTCAAGCGCCTCTAACCCTGTTTCCATGGATGTAGATCCCCGTTCATTCCCATAAGTAAGACTACGTCACCTCATTCATCGACTTACCATTGACTCCGTGAAGTGATTACTGGAGAGACGAGCCGTTCTATACTGGTCCGTCGATTCCCCCCTGTTGATCACAGGGTGTCCTAACATCTTTCCAGCCCTGTCGCATGGCTGCACATCTACCGAAGCAGATGTCTGGCTTTACAACGACACTCTATATGTATGTCAACTATGCTGGCTATATGTGGCTAATGCATTGGATTTCTTACTGACCAGACAAGGTCGGACATGATCACTCCGCTCTCATGGCCTCGAGAACGCTGGAGTCCTTGTACATCAACCCAATCTTAGATGTTCTAGAGCGGCAGAACCCAGAAAGTCCGTTCGTAAATAAACCGACTAAAAAGTGAGCACTCGATTCAAACCTCGACATGACAGCATTGCTGATCGCTTTTTCATACAGCGGTGTTTGGGACACCGACACTGAACAAACATTGTATTTCTTCATTGACGTGAAAACATCCGGGCCCGAGACTTTCAAGGCTGTGATCGCTGCCCTAGAACCCTTTCGAAAGAAGGGCTATCTTACCACCCTGAAGAACGGCAAGACCATTACCAACGGACCAGTCACTGTCATTGGCACAGGGGGAACACCTCTGGACCTAGTAGCACCCGTCAAAGACCGTGATTACTTCTTTGACGCCCCGCTCGCCAATCTCACGGATCCCGCATATGCCGACATTACTAGAACTGTGTCGCCTGTGGCATCAACAGATTTCCAAAAGACAGTCGGCAAGATCACCAGGGATACAGACCCTATCCTGACAGATGCCCAGCTCCAGGCTCTGCGTGATCAAATATCTACGGCAAATGAGCGGGGCATCGGAGCCAGATATTGGAATACCCCGTACTTCCCGATTCGAGCCCGAAACCTAGTATGGAGGACTCTCTTACGGGAAGGTGTCATTTTACTCAACGCCGATGATCTCGATGCCGTCACATCTCTCTTTTGAGTGGTATCAGGTCTTACAAACGTTGTCATAATTCTAGGGCTTGCACATGGTGTATATAGCACTCAGGTTCGCATTGAATTCAATTCCTGCTCTGCTAAAAAAAGTACCCCCTTGCGTCAATGTGATCTTGCGCTTTCCTTAATGCTCCGTCATTCTCTCCTTCCAGACCCATCGGACTCTGCTGATATTGGATAAATTGACGTATTGGGCTGGAGTTTGTCACCGTTCTCTCATCCTCGCATCTCGAATCTCGAGTCGAGCATCTTGCTTATGCACTCCGCAGACAATTACGGCATTTGTGGCAAGAAATCCTGCCATCGATGTGTCTGATGCTCTTGCTGGCGCACCGTTCATCTTCAGATCGCAGGTGCTGAGGACATTTGATGAATTCACCGCCGCTGGAGTGGCCGCAGAGGTACCTGATTTGCACCTGAGTGCAGAATTCCAGGGTGCTGGGGTCAGGCACTGTGGTGGATTGGTCAATGACATCTTCATGCAGGCACAGTTACACAGATGATAGTAGGTGCTGACGTACGTGGGAGATCTTCTGGCAATGGCACTTTCGGCTGCTGCTTGGATAGTGGCTTGGATGCCATTTTGGGACGCAGGTTTGGAAGGGTGGCTTGAGTGATCTGGAATCTGGATATTCTCTTGTCTTGTCAGCGATTGGTAGAAGCAGTGTGAATGGTGAGGCTACTTCTTTGGATGAGTAGAGTGTATTTGCTGGGCAAATGTGTCACTGAGAAAGGTGTAGAGTCTGGAAGGAAATGGAGGAATGAGAAAGATGGTCAAGGTTGGACGAAATGGCAAGAGCCAGCTGTGCGCTGCACCTGCTACATCTGTCAAGTTTATGGAATCACTTTGCTTGCTTTGGTCATCTCAATCCGCGGATATATGCAGCACATCTTGATCTTTTGGCTTTACGCCGGGCACGTATTATACTCTCTGGAGGGTTGCGATGGTACTTTGCTATACCTCCGAAATACGGAGTCACTTACTTGTGGAGGGTATCTAGGTATCAATCTAGATATCCAGAGCTGATCAAGATATGAATATAGACTTATAAATCTACATCACCGCTCAGAAGTATTCCAATCTTGAAGCCCTGGAGGTTGCGATACTTGTATGTTTCGGCTTTGGTCACTATTAGATATTTCCAACGAGCTTTTGTTATTACATCTGTTGGTACAATAATCAAGTTTACTTCCAAGATTGAGGGCATTTGAAATCAATAATTCAAGTATGTGTTTACTCACTACTACAGGTGATTTTGTCTGAAATCTTGGCACGGTGATATAGATCTCAAAGAACTTTGCAGGTTCTTTGTACCACATTTGTCAATATAAGATCTCTCACTAACTTTATTGATTATTCTGAACTCATCTACCAAACTCAACAATCAATTTCAATGTAATATCAAAATATACCAACACACAGCGTTGAGATCTCATCCTGCGGTCAGATCATCTCGTTCCTGGCACGTGACCTGTGATTTTCCTGCGACACTCCGCAGGGATTTGGGCTCCTCTCACCACCATTTCCACGACTCTCATTGGACGAACAAGAATATGGAGGATCTGGCAGATCTCTTGGCCAAAGTGCTCCCCACTGGGGTTGAGATCACCCTTCGTCATGTATCCTCAACACCAACTCCATCCGATGCTCTCTTCGCAGCTGCGCCAGGCCAGCCTGCCGAGCCGACCTTTTGCGAGAATCATTTCCTCTCGGCGTCAATTGACTCCAAGGATGAAGAGACTATTATTTTCGGTATGGAGGTCATGGTCTATAACACGGCCCACTTGACCACCATCTTCGTCTCCAAGGCTGACTCGACCGGCTTCCTGCATCTACTCCAATTGCCACGCAAAGTCTCCATTCTTCGACTGATTTCCAACACTTTCCTCTCCTTTTTGGCCCGGGCTCGTCAACGGCCCGGCGTGCGTCTCGTCGTCTCGCTGTTTGCCCGTGCTCAGGACCAATACCTGTTCCCCGGTAGCATTGAAAATGCCGAGAAGCACGTTCTAGACGATAGAGGTCTGATCAAATGGTGGTGTCGCGCTGTCGACCCTATTCTCCGTGAGCACGAACCCGAGTCTGCGCTCCAGGAAACGAAAGCATCAGACCAAACCATTGAAGCGTCCAAAGCTTCGGCTACGGCCTACTTGATCGTCCCTAGCTGCGATCGCTTTGAGACGCGCAATTTCTTTCCATCTTCGGCCAAGGCCGACCCGCAGGATCGCCCGCGATGGCTCAATAGCTACCCACTGAAACAATTGTACCACGATCCATCGGCTCCCCCGCGCTGCTTGGTACCTCGTTTCCCGGATGATCCCAAGACTCGTTTCCTCGTCGACCTGGACGACGAGCTCCCTGAAGTCGAGGAAGGCAAGCCTGCTTTACCAGATGCAGGACGCTGGCGCAGTGTTAAATCCCTCGATCAATTCTGGGAGATGATGTCTTTCCGCCAAGAATGTTCGGCTGGTCGTCTGGTTGGGTTTTTGTGGCTGGTCATCAATCCTCCCGGTCTGATGAACTCAACATCAATGGAAAGCCAAAAGCGCGTCTCTCCTGAAAAGGACGTCCTCTTACATGCACAAGATTGCAACCCTCCTGTCACAGAGGACACGGGGAAGCTTTCTGGTACTTCCGAAGCAAAGGAAGAACCGGCACAGGCAGCAGCGATTCCCATAGCCCCGCCGACGTCTTCCGAAGTCCCCCAGAACGAGGAAGTAATCAATCCCTTCGATTGGCCGGAAGTCGGACGTGGCAACGTCGTGCTCAGCGAGGCAGACTATAAAAAGATGATGGACACCGTTCTAGACAACTTCTATGACGAAAATGAGATTGTGGCTAGCACTAAAGCCTACGTTGAACAAGTTGCAGGTCTCGCAGACCAACTGACATGGGGCAAGAAGGTCGTCGGTATCAACACAGAGTCCAGTGCCGTTCAGTCCACAGATGCTACCAGTGCCAACAACATCATTGATCTGGGACTGATCCGCAAGCGAAAGAAGTCGTTGGGCGAGGCAGCTGCAATTATTGAAAGCCAAGAGACGAGCGGGTCGTTTGACACTCCTACCCCTGCGTCGGCTTCAATCCCAGAATCGGGATCGGCTGTCAATGTCCTCAGCGCTGGCTTAGTCCGGAAGAAGAAGAAAACATGATTGATGTGGTCCTTGGAGTATTTCGGCTTACGGGTGGGTCTCGGAGTTAGGAAACGGTCCTTTTTTTTAGTTGATATTTGAATATACACGGATACGAGCAAAAATTAGCCCCAATTGAACCGCTTGCGTGTTCTACCTTGCCATCTTAACAGGGTCATGGATCTATAGCTCGGCTGGCACCCCTTGCTCTGCGGGTTGGGATATTGTAGACTCGAACATGAATAGACCTCCAAAGTAGAATAGAGCATCCCCAAAACCATCAACTTCAAAACAACTTCCGTTTACCCCCTACGAATAAATATCAAAATCCAAAATTAACAGCAGTGAAGCGCCAAGACCGAAGTATACAGGGACACGCTGCGCGGGTGGGCCACCGCCGAAATGAAACCCACCCGCAGCATCCGCTTACTTCTCAGCGTTTTCTTCTCTACAATGTTCCTGCATATGTCGAGTTCCTCTCAAGTCCCATGCTGAATTCCATGCCCTTCCTCTCTGGGCTCAGTGATGGCACTCTACCCGTCACGGCGGGGTGGATTGCCCTGATCTGGTACGCATTCATTCTGGCAGTTTGCGCCTTGGGCTATTTCCAGATGTACGATCCCCCAATGCCTCTGCAATTATAAGTTGTGCTGACTCCCTCCAGATGGAATTATTTCCTCAGCCAACCGCTCAAATCCCCACTAGCGAACGCCGCCGACGCACCACACGTCACCGCCATTCGGCCCGTCAAAGGCCTCGAGCCACACCTGTACGACTGCCTCGCCGCAACCTTCAGACAGGACTACCCGCACGACAAACTCACCATCTGCCTCTGTGTCTCGGCTCGCGATGATCCCGCCCACCCCACGCTCCGCAAACTCATCGCTGATTTCCCCGATGTCGACGCGCGCATTCTCATCGAAGAAGAGGATCCGCTCCTACAAGACGACAATGCGTACAGTCTCGGTCCGAATCCCAAGATCCGGAATATGAGCCGCGCTTACCGTGAAGCGAAAGGCGATATCGTCTGGATCATCGATTGCAATGTCTGGGTCGGAAAGGGCGTGTGTGCCCGCATGGTGGACAGACTATGCGGAACCGGTGCCACGCCAGGCAAAAAATACAAATTCGTGCACCATCTGCCTGTGGCCGTTGATGTGACGGGAGAAAATAATATGCGGGCAGAGCGGCAGGCACTCCTGGACGCCAGTCAAGCCGCGGGCGAAGCTGCGATGCCTTCTGTTCGTCCGGAAGATGGGCCTGCGGCGATGGTTTCTGCGGGAGGCGGTCGTCTGGAAGAGCTGTTTCTGTCGTCTGCGCATGCAAAGATGTATACTGCTATCAATACGGTTCTTGTTGCGCCCTGCATTGTGGGGAAGTCCAACATGTTCCGTCGATCACATCTCGACTATCTCACTAGTTCTCCGGCTGCACAGCATGAAACTCGGCATCCTGGCATTGACTTCTTCTCTGATAATATCTGCGAAGATCATCTGATCGGTGATCTACTTTGGAAAAAGCAGGTGCGGGAGGAGAAAGAACTACGGGAGCGATGGGGGAAACATGCAATGGTTTTCGGCGATTTGGCTATTCAGCCTGTCGCCAATATGAGTGTGCCTGCATACATTGCCCGTCGGGTTCGATGGCTGCGTGTCCGCAAGTTCACCGTTCTCCTCGCTACGCTCGTCGAGCCAGGTACCGAGTCCCTGTTGTGTACTCTATACGGTGCTTTCGGTGTCACGACTGCATTGGCCCCGCATTTGGAGAAGAAGGGCATCCAATATGCCTCGCACCTGGGATCGTGGACCGCTTTTCTTGTGCTATTTGCCTTGGGCATGATCTTCTGGATCTTGGTTGACTGGACTTTGTATATCAAGCTGCATTCCGCAAGATGCATCGAAGTAGATGATGACACGCCGTCTTTCGCACGTCCACAGCGATACCGGTCTCAAACAACACGACGCCCGTTCAAACAGTGGTTCGCCGCCTGGCTCGGCCGTGAACTCCTCGCTCTGCCAATCTGGGTTAGGGCCGTATACGGCGGCGTAACAGTCGTCTGGCGAGACCGACGTTTCAAAGTTGGCTTCGATGCCAAAGTCCGTGAAATCGATCCAGCTACCCCACCCACCGCAGCTTCATCAACCGGAGTGGCAGGCAAGGTCCGCAGTGATTGATGTGTAGATGTGAATAAACGATTACAATGTATACTAGACCAGCATTCAAACCCAGTCTCAAGCGACACAACGTGTAAAAAAGATATCAAAATGCATTACTATTGACAAGAACCAAAACATCGACGAGAAAAGAAGTCATCGCATCCATGCGTCCCAGCCCGTACCCCGGGGCCTTTTGCTCAGCGTACCTAAGCAGATTTCGCCTCGCCCTCAGTAGCTCCCTTCTCCAAACTCGAAGCAACATCCGAGTTCAGAAGCCACTCAACAACTTGTCTGCCTGCAGACATTTCCCCAGCGTCCTCGGTCTTCTCACCCTCACCCTCACCCTCACCAACAGTCATCTCAATCTCCTGGTCCTGGGTCTGGTCCTGGTTCTCCTCGCCCTCGCCGTTATCCTCAACAGCAGCCCAAGCCGTACGCTCAGCAAGGAAGACAGCATCGTGACCAGCATCATTCTTGACATCGAGATCCGCACCAGCTTCAACAAGCGCCTTCACACATTCCAAGTGCGTGTTCAGCGCAGCCCAGTGCAGAGCCGTGTTACCAGAGTTATTGCGGTGGTTGATGAAAGCAGCGCGCTGAGATGCCTCAGCAGAAGAGAGCTTTTGAAGAAGAGTAGTGAGGATTTCTACGCCGCTTAGTTAGTATTCCACGTTCCCGAAAGCGAAGAACAGAAAAGAATATTGAACATAGGCCAAGAGACGCATGTCAATTGGTCTTGTCTGAGATCACATACCGGCATTTCCGTTAGCGGCGGGGAAGTGCAGGACACAAGAGCCGGAGCCGCCTTCGCTCTCGTCGGCGAGGTCAATGGCGGATGCGACGATCTGGGATTCGTTGCAGTTGTGTTGGCTGGCGAGGGCGGCGATGTCGGCGTTCAGAGCCTCGAGATCGCCTGCTCGTGCATCATAGATCAGATCATCGACTGCTTCGGCGGACAGTGCGATTGGCACAGAAGGCTTAGATGTGGACATGATGTGTGAATGGGTATATGATTTTTTTTTGGTGGGGTTGTTTTTGATATCCCACTTTATTTGTCTGATGCGGGGTGTTAGTGATATTCATGTATAAAGTTGAAAATCGGCAATTCAGGGGAGTAAAGAAGCATTTGCACGAGCATGATGGGAGTACATTCAACTCGATTCAAGTCTTGAAGCTGCAAATACCCTCGAGGTATATCCGGAGATCTTTGGGTTGATAAGAGCCCTGTCTCGTGAAACTTGTTTCACGAGGGTTATTTGTGGCCCAGGGCGGTTGATGCCCTGATTTAATTCAAATTGCAAGACTGTATTCACTCTTACCTTCAGCTTTTTAGTTTATTGCTTTCTGGAAGAGATTGATACAGCCGGAAGATGAAGCGGTTCGCCGCAAAAAAAAAAGTCAAGTCATGTGATGATAGTGCTATCAGTAACTCTGTCCGATCTACAACGGAATTATACCAAGCCTGGAAAACTTAGGACAGCAGAACGAAAATTCCTTTCTCAAGTCGTTGCCCCTATTGATACATAATAATTGTACAAATGGCTTTGGTCGAAAGCAAAGTCCAACGGACAGAATCTGTCGCTATCCATGAGGAAAAGCAAAGGGCAAAATGCAAAGACAGAAACACAAAAACAAGCTCAAACGCCTCAGAACCCACTGCCTGTGGGATGGTATCACAAAGCTCCAAATTCAAATGCGAGGGGCGTCAAATCAACCCCAGAAAATGCAACAAGGCAGATATCTAGTCCCGCAACCAAGCCCGGCGCTTCTCCTCTTTCTTCTCGCGCCGCTTTTCCTTGAACTGCTTTAGCTCAGCTTTGGTCAGCTTGCGAGAGCTACGCTCAGCGCGCAAGCTACGTCCGTCATGACTGTTGGCCGCGGCGTCGACGTCGAAGAAAGCATTCATCTGGCGCCGGGACTTGTTTTCATCATTGTGATTCTCGGGGTTGATATCGGCAGCTTGCCATCTACCAGTGAAGCGATTGAAGGTACCAGTAGCGCCGTAGGCAGCAGTGGGGTCGACGGCTCCGGCATTGGACTGCTCGGACTGCTCTTCGTATTGGCGCGCATAGTCGGCAGTGGGGTCGTAGTCGCCATGGATAGCCGGGTTGTAGCCACCGATGACAGGCTCTTTCTTCGGAGCTGGCTTGGATTGGGGCTCGGTGCCAGGTGCGGCGGGGGTCTCCGGGACACGAGGGTTCTCCCATTGCGAGGCTCCGGTCAGGCGGTTGTAAAAGTAGTAAGCTTGCATATTTGGTTCCCACACAGGTTCCCATCCATCGTCTTCAGGCTTGTTGGTTGGCGGGACCTCGTTGGGAAGAGGTGGAGGGACCTCATCGGGGAGAGGTGGAGGAACCTCGTCGGGTAAAGGTGGCGCAGATGAATCATCATGTTCGGGCTCGACCGACTCTGGTAATTCCGCGCTAGACTTGGATTTCTCAGATGCATTGGCATCGGTGCTTGGTTCTTCCGCCTGAGCTTTCTCGTCTTGAATGTCATGTTTCTCTTCAACGTCAACGTGCGCTGGTGCTGGCACGGACGAGTCACCTGGGGGCTCAGACGTAGCAGATTTGACGGGATCGGGCGATTCGGACATCTTGGTTTGATCGCTTGATTTGGGTGCACGGTCAACGAAGAGAGTAAAGATGGTTGCAAAGGTCGCACTCTGGTCGCGCCATTTTGCCATCTGAGATGCGCGAGATCTTGATTTACCGCCTGCCTGACTGGGCATTTAACGCTAATTGGTGGCTGCGATGCGCTATACCCAAGATGGTTAGCGTGGATTTTATACTTCAAAAGCTTCGATCACCAACTTTTGCACACCTCGCCCTCACCTCTACCTTTCATACTGGCAATATATTCTTTCACAACCTACCCTATCACAAGTCACCTAGGAACTATCAGTTGAACAAGAAGTATTGTAGACCGTTGAACCAGAAGGCTCTCATGAACCTTATATACTCTGCTTTTTGACATGATGCGCAGACTAAACAAAGCTCACCATCAAGCTCCAGGGCTGTGCTGTAGACAAATCTGTTTGCATACAAATCAATAGAAGGCATTGAAATTTTGGCAGTCTTTTACACCAATCCCAGGAGGGCCATAAAAGAAGGACGTGCCACGGATTCATGGCCTTAATCAACAGTACATCTCTGTTGCTTCTTTGGACTCATTTAACACAATATTTGGTCTTTGTTTGTCGTATACTGCTTTTGTAAAAGCGTGCATGGTATCTTCTAGGGAAAATCTGGCTAATATAATGATTACAGTGATCAAGATATCATTCTTTTGTGTGTTGAATTCTTGTAAGCTGTGGCTCTATCTGTCCTTGACAGAATCCTGGGGACTTCCGAGGTTGGTCCTGTTGGCAAACATAGCCTTTAAATTAAGTCGGCCTCATAGTTAATATGAGAACTTTTGAATAATCTGTTCTTCACAAAACAAAAATCATGAATTTCGTTGTGGCTCAAATTTTAGAATGTGTAGTTTGGAGGCAAGGGATTGGAATTTGAAGCCTTGATCCTGGTTGGTGCTCGGAATCTACCGAATCACTAGCCCCCGAACCAACATACTGGGTTATCAGAACCGAGGGTATTTTCTTTAATATAGCCCGCCACAGGAAAGGGGCAATAGAGCGGGTAAAGCCTCCAAATGCAATTTTGTATCGGTCGAGTCGGGACAGAGTACAATGCTGAACGACACCGCCAACCTTGGAACAATCCTGGATCCCAAGAGTTATTCTCATAGCACATACACACCCGGGCAGATGAATTTCCTTTGTTTAGTATTTTGATGAGAATTCTTAGTCTTGTGTTTGGGAGGGTTTGGTTTAAGTCATCAGCCTCAATTCCTCTGGTTGCATTCTCTGTTGGAATACACACAAGATGACGACTCCACCTGGGTGAAAATGCCGTGATATTGAGGTCTACACAGAAACCAAGATTGCAAGACTATCGGCTATTTGTCCCGGAGCCTGATGCGTCCCTGATTGATCTGAACTTTAAAATTCCACATTCCTGGATTCCTCGCATTCGCTCTATTCTAATTAGGTGCAAAGGCTTGATTCTTCGAAACAGCTAGATTTATGGTAAAATTATCCAATATTACTATAGCTCATGTGTTTTGCAGACATTCCTGGGGGGTAGTGAGGAAATTACCATGTCCATGTCACCTAGTCCTGCTATTAAAAGGCCAAGGCCCATCGGCATGAATCTGTATTCGCCAACCAATTCAGTCGACAACTACCGCCATTCGCCTTCTCGCCACTCATTTGTGCCCTCTATTTTTCACTACTATCTTTTAATCTAATATTCATTCATTATCTGCTTGTATAGGCTGTCCCCTCGTTTCAAGTTCAATTGGCTTGGTGATATCCTAAAATGAAGGGATTCACTTTGATCTCAGTGTTTGGTGCTGCTGCACTTGCTCATCCAACCGGCCTGGTAAGTGCATCTTTCGCGTGGCCCATAATTGGAATACGTCCTAACGAGGGATGCTATAGTGGTGGGGCACGGATGTCTGCTACACCAGTCCAGACAAGGTTGATAATCAGTGCTCCCCTGCCCAGCAGGTTGGATTCGACTGGTCTCAGCTTGGAAATGGTGATAACTGGAGCTTCGACGGTTTCAACTTTGTCGGATTCAGTGCCAAAGATGGCTGCGCCAGCTCTGATGTAAGTTGAATTAGCAATTGCCTCATCAACAACTATGTCTGACCTATAATTAGGGCTCTTGCATCGGTGGCCAACTTAGCCGTGAGGATGGCTACACACTCGAAGTGAACACCGCAGACACTCCGTTCTCTATTCGCAAGTTCCACCTTTCAACTTCTCGTGATACGGATGTCCTCATCACATACGAGATGCCCAAGGGACGTCCCTGTCGTCAGGTTGCTTTCAGCTCTCGCCAGGGAACTGATGTGCACAACGATCAGTGCGGCGGCGCAACTGCGGTCAAGTTCCAGCTCCCCGAGGAAAGCAAGTTTGGTGAATGCACACTGGACATTCACTCAATCAACTTCGACTGCTCAGCTGGAGAGGAACACACTGAACACCCCACTAGCAGCATTACTCCGTCTGAGCCTGAGCCTACCCCCATTCCCGAGCATGAACACGAGCACACGTCGGTTGTGGAAGTTTCCTCGCCCTCTCCATCGGTGCATGTGCACCACCCCACGTCAATCTGGGAGGCTTCTTCGCCCTCTCTGTCGGTTCAGGAATATGAACACACTTCGACCTGGGAGGCTCCCTCGCCCTCTCCGTCGGTGCATGAGCATCAACACACATCGGTCTGGGAGGTTTCCTCTCCGTCTCCCCCAGAGCATGAGCATCATCAGCCAACTACTACCATTGATCCAGTCGTGTCTGTCCCTAGCCAAACTCACTCGGTGGTAACCGTGTGGACAACTACAGAGGTCACAGTCACCAAATGCGGACCCACAGTTACTGACTGCCCTGCTCATTCTACTGTTGTTGTTACCTCTACTCGCTCTGTATCAACCACAACCTGTCCTTCTGGATCCACAGAGCCCAATGCTGGTCATTCACTCCCCACGATCCTTCCCTCGAGCTCAACCTCAACCAGCTGGATCACTGCTGCAACTACTGTCTCCACTACCCCCAACATTCCCACACCTGCTCCATGCCCAGAGCTGGTTCCCAAGTGCATGAACACATGGCTGTCAATTCCCAAATGCGACTCCAACAGTGATGCCGCTTGCTTCTGTCCTTCTTCGGAGTTCACGGACAAGGTCAAGTCCTGCATTCATGCCTGGGGTAACTCCAAGCAGGAGATTGATTCCGGACTTTCTTACTTCGCTGGAATTTGCGCTCCATACGTGCCCAAGAACCCTACTATCATTGACATCGTGCCGTCCCAAAGCCCTCCTGACTCCCATGTCACGGCCACTGCATCTGAGCCTGTCGAGACTCCCTGTACCACCCTCACTTGGTCCTCTCACACCGTGACTGTTCCGCAGGTTGGATTCAACACAGTCACTGGTAGCTCCACGACTTCTGTGGGTCTGGTCGTTGGTACTCCTGCAAGTGCCCAGGTCACTTCGCCTTCTCACACTGGTCACTCCAAGAAGCCTTCGGCGACAAGTACCCCGTGCTCTACTCACACTTCTACTCTGATTACCACCGTTTTGCCGAGGCCCCCTACTTCTACAAAGCCTGGTTCTGAGCCCACGGAAACTGTTGTTCACGCTAACGCTGGAGCGAAGCCCTACGTCGGTTATCTTTGGGCCTTCGGGTCTGCTGCTCTATTGTTTGCTCTGATTTAGGAAGCTGGATGAGTTTTTCTTGTAATTTCTCCACAACTCTTGTTTTATTAGGCTCAAGTGACAGATTTTCTCCTTTACATTGGTGATCATCCTCCTATCTCATTATCGTAGTAGCCTATAGGCTATTAGATCCGGAAACGTGACTATCTTGCAGAATCGTCCCCATCATCGTCAAGTTGGCAAATCTATTGCTTCGTTGAAAAGGAACCATGCCGCTGACTTCTTCGTGTGGATACATTAGACAAAAATTATCTCTTGTCGCAGTGGCTTCTGACATCTGGTGTCGTGATGGATGAAATCCCGATTAACAACTCCAGCCCTGGAGGTGTGTGAAATAGTTGAATAGCCAACAGTATGATTCTGAACTATATTCAAAGCGTAACTCAACAATGGATCTAGAAGATCAAAGATTCTACTATTAAGGCCGTTCTTCTGTGGTTTCTGGGCATATCACAGCCCTGGAGGCGACAATATGTATGCAAAATTACGCTTCACATGCTGTGTTCACTTCTTGAATTACCCCATACTCAAGCCCTCCTGCCTTCCCTCCTATGCGCATACCCAGAGATGCAACAGACATTGAAGACACATTTCATACAAGTTGAAGGTAATGCATTTTCACAATCAAATCTCAACTTTCACATTTTCTGTCAGCAATTTTCCTACTTCTGAAGTAATAGCGCAAGACAAAAGAGATGTTGTTTCATTTGGATGCAGAAGATGTATGCTCGTATTTGCTTGGACACTGGAGGAAGGGGGAGTGTGCAGGGGATGCCGCGCCTCATGGCCCCCATGGGACCCTCACACTGCAACCCAAGAGGACAATGTTTTGGGAATACTCTGAAGGGCAACTGATCTGCGTAGGGTGCAAACACGCTTAAACATTCCAAGGCTACTTGAACTTCCCTTTTGGGTGTGCTACTTGCGATGGTAGATTTTCAGTGTTGAATTGCACAGTTGATCTCGAGAAACTTTTTTATTTCTTGAGATCATACTGAGGTATTCCAAGGTTGAAGAAATTGATACCTGGGCAGGACAGTGGGTATTTTTATTGAGGTTGTTAGGTACAATTTAACATATTGTTGGGGAGTGGACAACGGTCTACAGTGGATATATATCCACAAATTTAGCACGGTAAGAACCACCTACAACTCGTAGCCTCAAGCTCACGCAATAGATATCATGAGAACTTAATCACAAGATTATCATGACAATAGTCGAGCCAGGAATTGTTTATTTCACCAGAGCAATTCGTTCAAAGTGTTGAAGTATCTGGGTCGATGCACCACCTGGGCGCAACTAAGTTTAGGTACAGCCATAGAAGAAAGCGATGATGCTGAATGACCCTCGGGAACAGCGGTCAATGGTAGAAATGAATTATCTGAATCTAGTCACCAAATTGGAAAGCCTCTCCTTCCATAGACACCAAAGGATTTATGTGCTCATCCTGCCAATCACCACAATCGCCAACCAAGACAATGAACAACTCCAACGTACATCGAACTTTATTGCATAATGCAGATACACGGTAGGTAAGATCAGGAAGTTATCTTGAATGAGTTATCAAGTCGAATATGCCTAAGCCAATGTGACCATGTTCAGGCAAAAACGGTCGGACTGAGACCGCAACATCTGATCTAGATCAAGTGACGACCCAAAGAATCTCTGACTCACCGAAATCCTGCTCATAAGATTGGGATTTGCATGTAAAGAATTACCTGAGATTGCGACCATTCGCAAATGTTCGACGCTTGGTCTAGCAATGCGAAATCAGACTGTAGGCGAGTAAGTACACTACGGATACTACCTCCACGCAAAGGGATATTGGATTGCTTGGCTACACCGTGAGGACCTTGATTTTTTTGCAAAGAATATACGGTGTAGGAACAGCGCAGGCAGAAAGTCCTCGGGCTCTGTTTGGGGTTGCCAGGGGCCATAAGACTCAATCACCGACGCCTTATTGTTCCAACGAATAATCCGTAGTCACCTCCCAATCGGTGAACTCACCGTTACGTTCATTGTGTTTACCGTTACGGTGCTTAATTCCTCGCAGAAAATACAGACCCCGAAACAATGCAGGGCGTGACTTGACTTCCCCCTACGTGCGGGCTCGGCTAGTGCCCGGGGGTGTAGGCGCCCTTGCAGATGACCTGGATGTTAGAGACAACCCACCACTAAGGGGTAACCCGAGCGTCCCCTAGCCACTACCAGGTGCTTGCCATGAATAAACTATGCGTAGCATACCTTAGCTCCCGGAGTGCAGTTGATCAAATCAGAATGGTCAAGGGGAGCAGCCCCTGTGTGGCTGGGAGATTTGAAGTGTTCAGGAACTGGGGGATAGGACCCACTTGGCGACGAGCTTAAGCTTACTCTTGTTTTGAACGTTACGTAGGGTGAATGCTCGTGCGTACGGTATTTGCGATGTTTAGACCGCTGGCAGTCAATCTTCTTGCTGCAATTCACGGACAATGGATCAACAGACATGAAATTGGATTAATTGTGGACACTGAGTTAGCCTGGACCCTATGTGAACAGGTGAGCCAGGGCACAGGAATGCCAGGGCAACAAAGTCGCGTGAAGCTAGAGACTGGGATGGGGTAGATCCATACCAGGAGGCTCCGCAGGGGTCACTTCCTGGCCCACAAGCCCTACAGAGTGGAGCGATCTTCCTGCTTGCTTCCTGTACTAACATTCCTGATACGGTGAGACTAGCTCTCAGGAACAATCTTGCCCTGGGAAGTATGGAGGCAGGCAGAGCTCACAGACCTCCCTCCAAATCTATAAAGATGAGGTCGTTTACCGTCGAATAATTCTTTCTTCATCCACATCAAACACTCTCTTTCAAGCCTTCCTTCCTCAGTCTTTCAAAGTCTTCTTCCGAGTTTTCTCTCGTTCAAATCCAAATCCACACAATGCAGTTCACTCTCTCCGCTGTTGTCCTCGGCCTTGCCGCCACTGTCGCTGCCCTTCCTCCTTCCGCCGGCGCTGGCAACGGTGTCGCCAACAAGGGTAACACCAACGTCAAGTTCCCTGTTCCCGACAACCTCACTGTCAAGCAGGCTCAGGCCAAGTGTGGTGACCAGGCTCAGCTCTCTTGCTGCAACAAGGCCACCTACGCCGGTGACACCACCGATGTCAACTCTGGCATGCTCGGCGGCACCCTCAGCAACCTGATCGGCTCCGGCTCCGGTGCTGACGGTCTCGGTCTCTTCGACCAGTGCTCCAAGCTCGATCTCCAGATCCCCATCATCGGTATCCCCATCCAGGACATCGTCAACCAGAAGTGCAAGCAGAACATCGCCTGCTGCCAGAACTCTCCTTCCAGCGCCGTGAGTATCAATCCAATCGACTATCACTACATCCAGCTAACCCATGCAACAGAACTCCGACCTCGTCGGCCTTGGCCTCCCCTGTGTTGCCCTCGGCTCCATCATCTAAGCGCGCTCCTTTGCTCTCTCGCTTTATGCAAGAAGCACTGGTCATCATGCCAACCCTCGCGGGCTTGCTCCCGCCGGGTTCGACATGAGCGACGATGTGGACCGTTATGAATCTCGGGTACGAAGGATAGGCTTTTGGCTTTTGTTTGATTAGTTAGATTCCTGTTGCTACTATCTCGTGTATCATTAACTGCCTGTGTGGCCCTCGGAGAAAGAAGACTGATTTACGTATTTTGATATATTGGCATTACGCCATCCGTTTCTTGTTTATTGGCTGAGGCTTTTTAGTTGTGATACTTTCGCAGCTACCAATTTAATAGATTCGTTTGCCATTACCTTCCATTCACTATAAAGGAGCAATCTTAGCTCAATTACTTCGCTCTCAGCATCTCTTCAAAGCAGACAATGGTCTTCGTTAAATCGGTCCTCCATGGAGTTCAAGTCTTTCCCTCAGCATTGAGTCCCGTAGTTCAAATTCTCCATTCTCGTACCCTTCCACTATTAACACTAGCTGGTTAAGCCCACCTCTGTTTGCTGGACCGTAGTGTACCTCTATTTCACTTGGAACACATTCTGGAGCCACTCTACTTGGAAATCCAACATTCGTTGTCGCCTACTCAATGTGTCAGGTCGTCAACTCATGAACAGAACGCAATCAATTTCATGTCATTAGGTACCAGACGCTCAGTCCACCATCATATCCAACAAATGCCCATCATTATGCACAGATCCCCTCACAATTCAACACAACCAAGTTCATGACCAAGGCGTTCTAAAACTTCCCTTATTACTTTTCTTCCGATTTTGCAAATGTACCTCCAACAACTTCTCATTCTTCATATCCACCAACGCCTCCTCATCCCCCACCCCAGCCGAATCCAACCACTTAGGCGATGAACTACTCGTCTTCAACGAAAGTGACGAACGAGGAATATTCAATCCACAATGCCTCTTCCAAAGCGTCTTCATAGATCGTTTCTCCTTCTTCGGTTCCTCCACAGCCGTTATCGAAGAACAATCCGAGCTCTTATAATACCCATTCTTAATACTCGTGCTTTGATCCCGCCAGTCACCAGTCTGCATGGGCCCTTGTAGTGATTTTGGTGTCTCGAATGGCGCTTCGCACATGTCTAGTTTGAAGACTGGGTATTCTGGGTTTGAAAAGGCTCCTGCGGATCGATCGCCTGGTGATACAGGTGTTTTGTCGAATAGAGTGTGCATGTTCATGTTTATGTTGGTTTGGAGATGGAGTTTCTTTGGACGGTCTGATGAGAGGGTTTCGTGAAATGAATGACGGACGATTGTGGTTGTTGATTCGACGCTTGGGCGTGTCAGACATGTTGTTTCGGTGGGTTTGATGAGGTCGTTTGAGTCCTCGTCTTCGAGCTTGGAGCTTGAGATGGAAAGTCTTTTGGAGAGGCGGTTATTGCGCATGCGATGCGTCATGGTTGAAATGATACCCATTTTGGCAGGATTGGATGGAATTAGGGCTGTGTTGTTGTGTAAGGCTTTGTGGGGGATTGAAAGCTTGAAATAGAGCTTGGTATAAAATTATCGGTGGCTGGATGTTTTGAGATAATTCAGGCTGCTTTGGATGCGATAAGGACTGGATTAGGCCGCATTCGAATATGGATTGCAGTCTGGTCTGATCAGGTATGTCAATCTTGGTCTTCAACGGGGTATTGCTGGCTTGACTGTGCTACTGGGAGGAAAAGACCGCGCGTATACGGTCTATCTTTAACTCAAGCTATTCTTGATTCTTCTACTTACCCCTCATCTTCATGGCGGTCAATTGTACAGACCGAAGCGTCACCAGCATGGAAGTATAAGTCGGTGGTAAGGGTGACGCCCAGAGCCAATGGGAGGTAGTGGATAATCTGTATGCGAAAGCGGCCGTAGCACGCGGTACGCCATCCCCCGAAAATCATTTAAAGCTACAGGTGAAACAGGTCCAATCGTTCAGACTGGAAGGGAGCTTGTCTAGGAATTCCCTGGTCTGGACTCGTATGCAAGGATCTGCATCCCTCTACAATATCGAACTTCAATATCAAGTAGTCCTTTGCATCTGTTCCCAATATCTAATTTCATGGGCCGCGAGGCCACGGCCGAATTAGCCGAGTTCGAGCTCCAATCCCACTCGGATCATTATTGTTCGCGGTTGGGAGTCGGAATTTGGAAGATCTGCATGCTTTGGCGATCACTCCCACGGACCTGTTGCAGGAATGCCAGCCATCGACCAAGCCCCTTGGACGAAAGTGGAACCTTAGGTGAATATCTTTTACAGACGCATTGAGGTTATGCAAATGAAATCACAGTGCATGATGGTATTGGGCGAAAGCCTCACTCATTATATACGGACCGGTCAAAACAGGAATACCTAAAGATCTATCAAATCTTGCCAAGCAACAAGGGAATTGTACGCTTATTCTAATGAACATGCTCAAAGCTTGCTGGCAGGAGCATCGGTGTACAGAGACTTGGTCCGGCTCATAGTCTCCACAGCTTCCTTCTCGATGCGAGTCAACAAATCAGCGCAAGTGGGGATATCATGGATCAAGCCAATCACTTGGCCAGCGGTCCAGACCTGTGCGCAGCGTTAGCACATGTTATCAAAGCCTCTAGAGAAAGATCAACTTACGCCGTAATCAGCATCACCATTGATGAAGACCTGACGACCCCGCTTGCCGCTCACATAGGGGCCAATCTCACTAAATTCCCCAGTAGTGCTCTCTTTCTCAATCTTCAGAGCATCTTGAGTGACCTTGTTAGCAAACAAACGAGAAGTGTTCTTCCAGCGACGGAGCACAAGAGCCGTATCGGTTTCTTGCGCCTTGACAATGGTCTCTTTGATGTTGTTGTGAATGGGAGCCTCAACAGTGCTCATGAAACGAGTACCCATGTTGATACCCTCGGCGCCGAGCGCCAGGGCAGCAGCGAGACCCTGCCCATCAGCGAATCCACCCGAGGCAATGAAGGGGACGCCGAGCTCTTGGCGAGCACGGCTGAGAAGGATGAAGTTGGTAATGTCGTGCTCACCGACGTGGCCGGCGCACTCGAAGCCATCGATGGAGAGGAAGTCAACGCCCAGCTTGACGGCGGACTTGGCATGGCGGATCGTTGTGCACTTGTGCAAGATGATGATGCCGGCCTTCTTTAACTGTGTGATGACAGGGCCTGGGTTGTTGCCGGCTGTCTCGACGATCTTGATACCTTCATCAATGATCACTTGGGCGTAGGCGGCGTAGTCGGGTGGGACGATGGCGGGGAGGAGGGTCAGGTTGACTCCGAAGGGGTACTTGGTCATAGTGCGGCATCTCTGGATTTCTTTGCGGAGGTCTTCGGGAGTAGGTTGAGTGAGCGCGGTGAGCTGGAGGAGGTTAATTTTGGCAAGTGCTGAGAGGGTTGCGGTAGACTTACGATTCCGAGTCCACCTGCGTTGCTGACAGCCGAGGCCAGCTCAGCGTATCCAACCCATTGCATACCACCCTGAACGACAGGGACTAGATAGACCGTTAGACGCAGTGTATATTATGAGGGCCTGGGGTTTTGCGCACTTCGAATGCCGAGCTTTCGGGTCAAGGCTGTGTTGAAAGGCATATTGTGAATCAGTGAGGGTCGAGGGTTCTAAGATAGTTGTGTAGTTAGCAACTGGAGAGCACCTCGTGGGAGACCTACTCACAGATATTGTATGGTTCGTAGAAAGCAGAAACCGGTGAAAGCGACGGGGTATTAAACCACCGTCTAAGCCGCGGACTTGTGGGGAAAGGCCCGAGATGCCGAGGCACGGTAGGATTACACCGATGCTAACCTTAAGATTTATGCAATGAATAATCAAGATATTCAAGTGATGCAGGTTATAATGATATATACTCAATATTCACATAGTTTAAAATCAAATACAGGATACTCCGTACTTCCCATGTTGATATTCGAGAACATGTGCAATGGAGCGCAGAGCAGGTGAACCCATCACATACAATGCACATGTGACAGGAACCGGTGATTTTGGCCCGACTTGGCCTGTCCGAAAGCACCTGGAGTGTATCAAGGACTTAAGGGTCTAATGAGACAAAATACGTCTTTATATGATTTCTAGCATTGAGGGCAAATGTGATAATCCATCAAATTGAATTGATTAAACATGATATGTAGTATGTAACCCTGAATATGAAACTCATTCCCCTCATTGACAGAGTGGAACGAGCGATTAACGACGGGAGTCTCTCTAAGAGCCTCTATATCCCTCGGCGTCCACGACAGAAAGCCGCAGTCAGTGAGGGAAAGCTAGACACGACGACATCATCCCAGAGAGGTAGACGACGTGAGCGGAGACTCTTGGAGAAAAGAGAAAAGAAGGGGAAGCGTCCGGGAAGAAGTGGGAAAAGACATTAGGCGAGAGAGTCACATGACCCTAGCGTGTGTGGGAAGAATGATACTCCGGCTGCTAATAGGCGGGATGTGATTGGCCAGCACCACGACGACTTGCCGGGTGTCTGAATGACTAAGGAGTACCCGAGGTCGTCCGTGATTCCGGTCATTCGCGAAGGACTTGCGAATTATCTCGATCAGACACTCTCTACTCACCTCACAATGAACTCCCAGAAGATTGCCCAGCAGTCGCTGCGACGGCGTATGTCTTGCAATTCCCCTGCTCTATCGAATATGTCATCTAACAGATTCCCCGGATTCCAGTTGCCGTCCAGCAGCCTTTCGCCATGCGGTCCACCATGATGCGCTCCCCCGTTGCTATTGCCCTCGGACAGAACATCCAGAAGAGGTCAGTGTCTCAATTTCACGAGCACAGTCACAATTACCCATATCCTGCACCCCCGCGTCCCTCAGCACCCCCGCGAAACCGACGTCATGCACAATCGCCAGAAGTAAAGCCGTGTTAACGAAAGATTTCCCCATATAGACAAGTGACTTCATCCCCCAACACCCCGGATCACAGCCAGATCCTCGTCCAGCAGCGTCTTCGTCGCCCCGTCGCTCCCCACCTTAGCATCTACAAGCCCCAGATTACCTGGATCGGCAGTTCCCTGCACCGTATCACCGGTTTCGCTCTCTCCGGCTCCCTCTACCTCTGGGCCACTGCCTACCTTGCCTCCCCCGCCTTCGGATGGCACCTTGAGTCGGCCTCCATGATTGCTTCTTTCGGTGCTCTTCCCGTCGCCGCCAAGGTCATCTTCAAGTCCATTCTCGCCCTTCCTTTCACCTACCACTCTATGAACGGTCTCCGTCACTTGCTCTGGGATACCGGCCGTGGTCTGACCAACCCTGCCATCATCAAGACCGGCTGGGCTGTTGTTGGTCTCAGCGTGGCCAGCGCCCTCGGTCTTGCTTTGATTTAAATGTTTCCATACCTCATACCTCCAAGTTTCTTTATGTGTTATTAAAGTGATTTTTTTTTTTTCCAAATATATACGAATCAGGTCTATTGGCGCAAGCTTAAATGGAGTGGGTTCCTTTTTCTGTTTGAAATGCTTGTTCAACCTCCCTTTGAAACTTGTCTGTAGTGAGGTCGGATCGAGTGCCCGCAATGGTTCTACAAGGGTGTTCGGATTCCGGGGTAGCAGCCGTCATGCCACCCAGAATTACCCCGTCTCTTGCTCAGGCCGATCTGCGATCTCTAAAGCTTACGCGTTGCGCAGATATGGTACTTGAATCAATGGTCACGTTGCATTGCATCGTCGAACTAGCATATTGCCAAGCTGGTGAATATATGAGAAGGCACGATAGTTATAACCCTCCAATCAAGCCCAATAACCCCCTGAAGCCAGATACAATGTCTCAATAACATCTGTCCAGTCATTTTGATCCCAGAAGATGCTCATCAGCACACCCTTTCGCTAGCCCTGTCGGTATCGCAGTGATGGGAATTGCGCAACATTAAGGATTTTCGGATTCCCATCAATGCAAACATCCATGGTAAGGACCGTGTCTCAGTACCCTGGAGTATGATCTGCAAAGAGATGCGGGTTAGTGACTGCTAAGTATCACAAGCATCCTTGGGATCTAGATCTAGATCTAGATCGTTAGATTGAGGGGAGTGTCACCAACCTATTATCCTATTCCCCATCAACGCCAAAGAAAACGAAAATCATTCAATCGCCATCTAGGCAGGACTTGGAGGCGGGTTGGGTGGGAAAGGCCGTGGTGAAGGAGGATCTTGCACAGAGTGATCACTAGCCGGGATGCCTCCGGCAAAGGTGTATGTTCGAAGTGGCGGTAATAGAATAGCCTGAGGGGTACAAATAGACAAAGTTTTGGGAGCAGCCATTTCGAAGTCTTTTTTTTTCTTTCGCAAAAGGATTAAGCGAATATAGTGGACAGAACACTGATGAGAACAAAGGCCGACGAAGTATAGATATCAGACGAGATACAGCCGTAGAGGAGTTTTCTGATCTGAATGAAAACCAGAGTCTAGGACAGGTCCAACTCATCTATTTAAGTTCCCCAGGCCCCGAGCAGCTGGTAAAGGTCGCGCCATCAACAAGTTGTACACCGCCACCTGTTGAGCATCCCAATCAAGGACCCAGACAGCAAAAGCTATTTGGCGAAGACCATAGCCGTTGCTATCCATTGACCTTCCAAGGTTGGGGACGGCTATCCGTGAAGATCTGGCAATATCTCGGCTTGTCTGCAAGGGCCCGATGAAAGACTTGATGTATAAACCGTTAGACGTACCCGTCCGCTGCCGTAAGACTACTGGGTTTTTTTTCTCATTTACGTGCCGGAAACAGGCATCGGCCGGGAAATAAGAGGGAAAAGACCACTTAGCACACACCTGGGCAGCTCCAGGGCTGGGCATTTGTTAAGAAAAAGTCTGTAGGTCTACGGGTAGAATGCTTGTAGACGGCTGTCGATCCGTTTCTTCCTGGACCACTCTTGAAGAAGGTAGATTACAGTGGAGTTTCACCAGCGGTCTGAGCCATCGGGACATTGCAGCTTGAATACATGGGTTTCACTGAATTTGTTCTAGATGGCTGGCCGTTCGCTACTCATCTGTTGAGCTTTGTGGACTTGTTTTGGTTGAACATCCGTGTCTGGTTCTCTAAATATATACGTCCTAATCTAGGAATACCTACCCGATGCCCAGGTGGGGAACTTCCAAGGTTTGATTTCCAAGGTTGTTTGCTGATGTTGAATCGTATGATCTATTATCATTGACAGGGTAATGAGTCCAGTTGAGATGTATACTTGCCACAATGACCATTGTAGCCTGCAAGCCGTAAGAAGAATATGCAAGCTGTCGAAGCTTCCAACGGCTGGAAGAGGCAAGATGAGAAAAAAGGACGCCAACGTAGAGCACAGGTAAACAAGACCAAATAGCAATAAACGTGGATGACCGTCCTCCCTCTGGTGAGTACACAGTCTCTTGCCTAATCCAGGGGACAAGCTCGGGGTACTCTGATACTCCGTACAGCTAAACCGTTATCCTGCAGTCCACGGATATTAAAGGTTGCTCAAGCCAACCACTCGCGCTGCAGCCGAGCCTTACCGCTGCACAAAGCCGCAGCAAGAAGTCTCAAATTACCGCCCCGTGCTACTCGCTAGCTACTGGCTAATAGTGGCCGTTCTGCACATGCGGGTCTGGCGGAACGGCTGTGTCCCGAGAAGATTACCGAATCTTCTCTTGAACGGGTCTTGACCATCTGGATCTCTTTCATGTGTTTCTCCGCAGCGGAAGAAGTCCCGTGTCCCTGATGGTTGGGCCGTGCTCAGGGTCTGTTGCGCTGCTCACTACATGGGCGTGTCGTCCAGTCCTGATGCTGGATAATGTTACGTGGCAGGATTCCTGGCCTATAGGATAGGCAGGTAAAGAGCACAAATTTCCTGTTGGCTCAGGTGTTGACATTTTCTTCCAGAGAAGGATGCTGCTAGATGGGGTGGGAGGATCGGAACCGACGCCTTTGTATTCCTCATATATCCACGTCGATCCCCGAGTTTCTTGATGAGATCATGCAGGTGGAAAGCAGTCATAGCCAATGGCTTTTCGTTTGAGCCGGGGTAAAACATTCATGGATTGGGTCAGTGCATTTCATATTATCATAGTGGACCTTATAGTTTAGTTTCAACGGGGATCGAGAGGCCTGGATCCGATATTCCACGTCAGAATACTGTCCTCAAGGGGAAATTGACCAAAAGCATCTTCTGACCGCTACAGGTGATTATACAGAAATGTCTGTTGATATGAAGGGGTCCGTTTCAATGCACGGAGTAGGGTACATTGGCTCATGGCGAAGTCGGAGGTTGGTGTCTCACTTCTCCTATTGTCACAAAGCTGCTTAGCTGTGAGAAGATTCCACAGCAGGTATACGAAGTAGTCACATTGTACCCGATGCATCGAAATCAAGCATTCAAGCTAGCATGCCACGCAGCTGTGGTTAAGTCCCGGTCGCTCCCGGTCCAGTAATTGCTTATTTGTGTATCAAACCGCCAAGATAGAGGTGGGTAAAATTATAGACTCGGGCCATGGGAAGACCTAGAACATTGAATTGTTGCAATTACCAGTCCAGAGGCGATAGTAGACCAAAAGCAAGTGAATGTTGGAGAGCGTCAACAATGGCATACTAAGGCCGGTGGTGGCAGAATCACACCGCCGAGGCCGAATTCTTTGCTTTTCCGTTCAATCACCTCCGAATGGACTTGTAGACCACCGACGCAATGGCTTTGAACCTTTCTTCCCGAGCGGCCAGGACTGCCTGCGCTGCATCCAAGATTGCTGCTCGCCCAATCGCGACTGTGATTCCTTCCCGCACCTACGCCACCTCCCCCGAGGAGAACCAGCACGACAAGCCCCGATGGTCCTACACTCCGTCGCAGGCCAAGGCACCCTTCAGTCTCCACCTCCACTCCAAGCGCCCTGCCTTCCACGTCAACTCCGACCCCGTCCTCCTTGACCGGTTCTACATCCGCTTGTTCGGCAATGGCGGCGACCAAGTTCTTTCGGAAGAGACCAAGTGGCTGGCCGTGACGCACAAGAGCTTCGACCAGGGACGCCGGGGATATAACGATCGATTGGCCTTTTTGGGAAAGCGCATTGTGCAACTGCAGGCCTCTTTGGCTCTTGCGCAGAATGTTCCTGCCGCCGCGCAGGGAACATCCCCAGCCGAGAAAGACGAATTCGGTCGCGTGCCTTTCACCCACGCCGCTCTGGATGGATTGAACAACCTCTCTTCCGAGACCAAGAAGGTTCTCACCGAGCGCGCCAAGCTCGCAGAGCTCGCAGAAAAGTACGACTTGCAGAAGGTTGTCCGATGGAGCCCCAAACGGGTATGTTATGTTCCAAGTGTCGTGTTGTGTATTCCACGCTAATGTCTATTCTCCATACAGCCCGACGACCTCCGTGCATCAGGCATTGAACTTGTCCTTGCCAACACTCTCTACGCTGTCATCGGCGCTGTTTCCCTGGAGAAGGGAGGCTTGGTTGCTAACCAGATCGCTCGCGAGCGGATACTGGATCCCCTGGGCATCAAGTCTGTTTCTTAGGGACTGCGACTCGAGGTATCATTCTCGGAGCATTTGCAGGGCGTTATACTGTTTGATATTTCCATCTGTGGCAGGTTGGCCTGGACGCTAGGAACCTCTACAATTTGTACATGTATTTTTAAAACCGACTTGTCTTCCTATATTCACTATTTCTGCTCATACAGCCAAATACCACTTGGATTTCTAAAGATCAAGAGAGCCAGTAAATTGAATTGAGATGTGATTGCATTGTAGTTAAAATAAATGCTAATTGGTATAGATGGATGTATGGTCCCTCTGACACCGCCTAAGTAACAGTGGAAGTACTCAGCCAGTTCTTATGGGACCCTCTCGAAAGATCGTAGTCTCCGCGCCACTGTATCGCAAGGTAGTAATCAAAACACTACAGAACCCTGACAGAATGCCAGAGTCACTGTAGAAAATCACAAGGACTTTGTACTGCCTTGAACTGTCTATTGGGAGCGTTGGAGAAAAGAAAAAAAGAAGAAGAGAAAAAAAATTCCGCCGCGCTTTTATGGGCCTTTTATACGCTAGTCCCCATTGGGATTGGCGTCTATCTCCGGCCTTGGACATGCGGGCATCACCAACAATCATCAGAGCGACTTCTCGATTTCCTTCATCGGTGGTGTTTCTGTTCTCACAACTCGTTATCAGCGATGCTGCAGTAAGCGCACAAGCTGGCTTTGTCGTTCCTTTCTTCCTGCTCCCTCCTGAGACCAGATCACCCTATCGCTTTGCCCCCCGTGCACCTATTTACCCCCATTGACACGTCATGGCGTCCGCACTCTTCTTCCTCGACCTGAAGGGCAAGGTAAGCTAGTGATGACAAGACGACGAATGGCGATATGATCTCATGCTCGATCAATCGCCAATGCGTCAAGGAGACTAGCCTCCGCTAATCATCTATAGACCCTCTTGGCCCGCAACTATCGCGGAGACATTCCCATGTCCGCGGTCGAGAATTTCCCCATCCTCCTGAGTGACGCCGAAGAAGAAAGCTCCGCAGTGCCTCCCTGTTTCTCCCACGAGGGAATCAACGTGCGTCCCACCCGGCATTGAGCCTTGGCCACTGCTCCTGAGTCCCTCCTTTTTGTGCGCACCTACTGACACAGCTGTGTCTGCGTCTAGTACCTTTATATCCGCCACAGCAACCTCTATATTCTCGCATTGACCAAGCGAAACACAAATGCTACCGAAATCTTACTCTTCCTCCACAAGTTGGTGGAGGTCTTCACCGAATATTTCAAGGTGCTGGAGGAGGAGAGTATCCGGGATAACTTTGTCGTCATTTACGAATTGCTTGACGAAATGATGGACTTTGGATACCCGCAGACAACAGAGACTAAGATTCTCCAAGAGTGAGCATTGTTTGGGCTACCTTGCAGGGTGGAAACATGACTGACACGCTCGGACCAGATACATCACCCAAGAATCACACAAGCTGGATGTGCAAGCTCGACCACCCATCGCCGTCACAAACGCCGTCTCTTGGCGTAGCGAGGGGATACGCTACCGCAAGAATGAGGTCTTCCTGGATGTGGTTGAGTCCCTCAACCTGCTGGTCTCAGCGAACGGAAACGTCCTCCGCTCGGAGATTCTAGGTGCCGTGAAGATGAAGTGTTACCTCAGCGGTATGCCGGAATTGCGATTGGGATTGAACGACAAGGCCATGTTCGAGACCACCGGCCGTGCCACACGCGGCAAGTCGGTCGAAATGGAAGACGTGAAGTTCCACCAGTGTGTGCGACTTTCCCGCTTTGAAAATGACCGAACGATCAGCTTCATCCCCCAGATGGTGAATTCGAGCTCATGAGTTACCGACTGAACACACAAGTCAAGCCCTTGATCTGGGTAGAGTGTGTGGTCGAATCACACTCGGGATCCCGAGTCGAATATATGCTCAAGGTAAGATTCGCAGCGAGGACCTAGGTTCTTAAACATGTTCTAATATTTTCCCCCAGGCCAAAGCCCAGTTCAAGCGCCGCAGCACAGCCAACAACGTCGAGATTCTCGTCCCGGTCCCCGAGGATGCAGACTCCCCGCGCTTCCGCACTAATATCGGTACCGTGCACTACGCCCCCGAAAAGTCAGCTATTATCTGGAAGATCAAGCAATTCGGCGGTGGCAAGGAGTTCCTCATGCGAGCAGAGCTGGGTCTGCCTTCAGTCAAGGGCGACGACGAGCGCGGCGGTGGTATGACGGGTGGATTCGGAGGTAGCATGGGTGGTGCTGGAAGCATTGGAAAATCGAAGAGGCCCATCAACGTCAAGTTCGAAATTCCCTATTTCACGACCAGTGGTATCCAAGTGCGGTACTTGAAGATCACTGAACCCAAGGTACTTCTCTCTCCTCGGCTCCATTACGTTGAATCCTCACTGACATCTTCCAGCTGCAATACCCATCCCTGCCCTGGGTGAGATACATCACACAGTCCGGTGACATTGCCATGCGTATGCCGGATGTGCAATGAAAAGTCTCGCCGAATTGATTTTGTACAGCCTTTGTTATCTTTTGCCCCCCTTTCATGCTTCCTTGAGGCCGGCCGGTCCGATAGATAATCAATTTCTTCATTTTTCACATCTGTGCTTTCTACTAGGTAGCGTCGATGGTATAGACGGCTGGAACAACAGGCTGCGTCAGTATACTATCCCGCCCGGACTTAACCGATAATTGACGAAACACTTGATTCTTGAATTGTTGAGTTCTTTTGAATTGAATGCACGCAGCCCAGCCCTCGGCATGAGCGGACCAAATATTTACCCTGTTCGCTTGGTTCCCAAGTGCAACGAGTAAGTCGGAGATTCTACGATGAACGAAAACACCGCCAAAGTCCACCGAAAAGACCTTGGATAGCGAGAAAGAAAAGACAAAATAACTGGATTGGGGATTTCGTGTACTGACATTGTTACCCTGTGCGGCGATGTGCACAGTCTAACCATAACTCAGCCGCAACCTTGGTCTTCGCACTCGCAGACCCGTATGAACATGGAAACCATGATGCTCTTCCTGCACTCTCAAGCCACCATTGCTGAATCCGTCTGCCCAGAGATGGTTCAGAGTTTTGGTTTGATAAGACAGCACTGCCTGATCGATTGGTGTTGGAATGGAGCATAACACGATCGCTTGGAATTGGGTAAGTCGAGTGAAAAATCTTGGAATCACTGCATCTCTTCTTCTCACCTCTTTGTTCCCCCAGAAAGGCCATGCCAAAAGCGACAACACTTGGTTGACACATGACAGATGAAATTCAAAATAAGCTTGCGTTGGCTTCACCCGAAGGCTACTGGTCAACAACACCGCGTAGAGGTCCAAGCTTGTGGTTGTTGGGGCCAGGTCATGAAGAGCTGGATGAGGCACCCCGTTCGTGCTTTTTTTGACCTTCCAGTCCGGCTTTTCAGGGCCCCAAGATCTGAAAGTTCGCCCAACCCATCACAGGCGACGGCGTAATTCGTGGTCAGCAATGCCACTCTGTGTTTAGGCACTCAGTCAGTGCATCATCGTTCAGTCCGGCTTTTCAGGGCCCAGGAGCTGATCGACCGCCTTTTGCTATACGACAGGCACGGCCTATTTGACACTAGGATAGGCATCCCGTTCTTGCTTCTCCAACGTTCAGTTCGGCTTTTGAGGGCCAAGGTCTGATCGTTCACCTAACACGCGTTGAGGCGGCGGCGTTCGTGGAAAGCATAGCCACTCCAGAGTTAAGGCACCCCGTTGTTCCATAAGTATCGTTCTGTCCGGCTTTTCAGGGCCCAGGAGCTGACGAACGCGCTCTGTCGTTCAAGGAGGCGTGGTTCGTGGACAAGGCCACTCGGATTTAGACACCCCTCAGTGTTGTTCGCCGTTCAATTCGACCCGTTGATAGGTACGACGAGGTTCGTGGATAGCAAGACCACTCCAGGTTTATGCACCCTGTGCGTGCCTCGTGGATAGCAATACCACATCGGATTTAAGCACCCCGTCCGTGCGTGACCACCGTTCAACTTAACCCATTGACAAGTTCGGCGATTCTGGAGTGACCACTCCGGGTTTATGCACCCCTACGTGCCCCTGCCCCCCGACAGGTGTTTACCGTTCAACTAGACCCAGTTGATGGGTGACCCAGCTGATAGGTCCGGCAAGTTTCGCGGTAAATACCACTCAGGTTTAAGCACCCTGTGCGTGCCCCTCGTCCCACAATGTCCCTCGTCCCACAGTTGCCGTTCAACTAGACCCAGTTGATGGGCGACCTAGTCTATCCCAGTTGATGGGTCCGGCAGGTTCGTGGTAAATACCACTTCAGGTTTAAGCACCCTGTGCGTGCCCCTCGTCCCACAGTTTTCCCTCGTCCCACAATCGCCGTTCAACAAAACCCGTTGACAGGTCCGGCGAGGTTCGTGGATAGCAAGACCACTTGATCGAGTTTAGGCACTTCGTTGGTGCATTGTCCCTCAGTCCGGCTCTTCAGGGCCCAAGATCTGACCATGTTCCTTGCAGCCCATACATCAAAGGCGCAGTGTGGTTCATGGAAAGAAAGGCCATGTGGGGTTAAGCATCCCGTCAGTGCTTCATATGGGTGGATGTTTCTTCCTCTTCCATGTGTGTCTGCAGTGACAGGGGAGGAAGGCTCCGCAGAGTCAGCTCGGGGAGAGCAGTGCAAGGGGAGCTGTCTGATGTGGATATTTGATGAAGCTTGATGAAGGAAGGAAGAATCGATGGGTGTGATGGACTCAACTGGTGCTGTGATAGTTGTGGCTGGGGAATGGAAGGAGAGTTGGGGATGGAGAAGGGCAAGGAGACAAAGAAAGGGAAGGGGATGGAAGATGGAGAGAGGAAGAGAAGAGGAAGATGGAAAGGAAGATGAAGGAGGGAAAGGAAGATGAAGGAGGGAAAGTAGACGGAGAAAGGAAAGAGGGCAAAAGAGGAAAGAGATGTAGAAGGGAAAAAGATTAAGCGGGGACAGGAAACGAAGAAGGGAAAGAGGATGGAGGAAGAAGATGAAGAAGGGAAGAGTGTCGGAGCAGAAGTCGACCTTTATATAGGCTTGTATGTTTGTATGTTTGTATGGAAGGAGCCACATGACGGACATCTCCAACGCTTTCCAAAGGACTTCGTCTTTTCCCTCAGGCTACACTCCAGTCATATATGGCTGTACACTACGGCAGGGTATAGGCCCATTGGAAGTGATGGATTTTGACAGAGTCCAATCACCTAGGCATCCTGTTGCTATCTCAACCCGGGATTCTACCACTTGACGTATGGATTCATTCGACCACATACCGATGTTGCATGTTGCATATGCTGATTACTAGAAACCTCCAAACATCCCTGCAATGACACCAGGACCTGAGTGAAGAAGAACGCCAAGAACCGCGTTTATCTTTCGCGCGCTTATCTTTCCATGCCGTCTGTTTAGATCTAGATCTATCAAGCCCTGGAGGGGATCATCAAAGGCGTTCCTCCGTCAGTACTTAAACAATGATCCAAGTAGCATAATTCTCAGCATTTATAAGAGGAAACATCATCTCTAGCCAGCTAGCCTGCAACCAACAAATTCACTTCTCACTATGTATGAATTCGACCCCAGATCCGCCAAAGTCGACGACGTTGTCAAAGCCCTCATCCAGTCTGGCGGAGTGATCCTTCGCGGCTTCTGGGTGCCGAAATCCTTGATCAAATCGAGAATGATGTGCGACCATTTATCAACGCAGACAAGCCCTGGAAGGGAGACTTTTTCCCACCAGAGACCCGCCGCGTCTGTGGTCTGGGTGGGAAATCTCATGCGTTCATGGAGAACATTGTAGGGGACGCATTGTACCAGGGCGTATGCAACAGTCTGTTAACCTCGACCCATCACTCCTACTACGACCAGAAGCGTGAGGAGTCCACCTCGCACCCGCAACTCAACAATACCATTGTCTTTTCTATCGGTCCCGGCGCGAGGAACCAAGAGCTTCATCGTGACGACATGGTTCATCACAACCGGCTTCCTGCCATCACAGCCGATGAGTACCAACCTGGCCGTGATACCGGAATCGGGTTCTTTGTGGCAGGCAAGAAGACTACCAAACAGAACGGTGCAACTCGCTTCATTCCCGGGAGTCATCTCTGGGCCACCGAGACTCCACCAGCCGAGGACCAGGCCGTCTACGCTGAGCTGAGCCCCGGTGATGCATTCATGATGTTGAGTAGCTGTTACCACGGGGGTAGCGCCAACAAGACCGACGACGAGGAAAGACTGGTATACAGCTGCTTTATGACCAAAGGATACCTTCGTCAGGTAAGTCGCCTGGTTATTTCACAGTGTGATGAAATGCAAACAGAAGGCTGATGTAGATTTTGTTTAATGAGGATGTAGGAAGAGAACCAATATCTGGCCGTTCCACTCGAGAAAGTCCGCGAATACCCTTTGGAAATGCAGCGGCTGATCGGATACCAGGTCAGCCAGCCGTTCTTGGGCTGGCTGGATCTCGATGATCCTCGGAAAGCACTCATGGGGGATGGATGGGAAAACAACCGTGGTGATCTGTACTAGTAAAGGGACAGTTGAATTGTGCTGACCCGCGAAAGACAGGTAGTCCTCGATGGGAAGTGACCAGGGATTGATGGTTAATTTTTCAAATATTTCTTCACACAGTTTCGTTGGCAGACAATATGACACTGAAGAACTTTGGAATGCATCAATTTCTAAAAATCCTAGAAATTATTTTTACGCAAATGTAAAGAAGTAACCATTCCTCTTCATTGCCGATTGAATTGACAGGATGGATTCAACCGGGGCTTCTTCGGCTTCCCAAAGAGTATCAAGCAGATGAAGTGATTGCCGAAAAATTTCGAACTTGTACTGAGCCGCCAGAAGCTCCATATAGAATCTTATCGTAGATTTGCATGAATATAGTCGAGTGAGAGATCCAAGCATAGTGATCGGCCAGCATAATGTCGTTGTCACGCTAGAGGAGAACGGGAGGGCCTGTAGAAGGGTAGAAACGGAAGCAACATGGCACTGCAGCGAAGCTTTGTCCGCATCTATCTGCAGCAAAGCAGTGAGTGCGAGTTGATATATCTTGCCAGCAATCGCGCAGTCCGAGTCTGATGAGGAAGTGGGCTCCCATTTCCGCACGGAATCGAGGAGAATATCTCTTTCGAGACTTGTAGCACAGGAAATGCAGCCATTGACTACCTGCTCCTGGGGGATCTTTTGGGCGATCAGGGTCGCACGAGGATCAATGCGAAGAGTTCATGGGAGCATCCAAAAAGTACTCCAGTTCTCGATGCACTTATATCGAGTAATTCATCACAAATCTCATTGAACAGTGGAATTGAAAAATCGTTCAACTTTGTATCGCAGATCACTGAAAGTGCCGAAATGTAAGAATACCACTCAAGAATAAATGTTCGCAGGTAGAGATCATTTCGATCGGTTAAGGCCATAGCTTTGGCTAAGAGTAGCTGCTCTGTAGCTCTGATGTGATGAAACAAGTTGCCCTGCGTATCGCCACCGATGACCTACTCGATTTCCTTCTTGTTAGCTTCTTCAAAGAAAAAGAAAGTGTAGTAGAAAACATGAATATCACCTCTATGAAGCAGAAGATCAGAGTACATATCGACAAAGAATATGCCAGATCGTCTTCAGACATCACAAACTTCGTGACACCATATTTCAACGAGCGTAGAGCCTGGGCTTGGTGTTCCCATATAGTGAGGTCGTAGCAATGTGATCCTTTCTGTAATAAATGGACCCCGCTCAACGTCAGAAGAGCCTGAAGAACCATATCTGACTGCAATGCGACCGGAACCAACACATCCACAAATGGATTAGGCCCTTGCGACTTGACAGAGCCGGGCGCTTCAGAGCAGACTGCAGGCTGCTCGGTGGTCCAGAAAGACATACAGCTGATGCAGCCACCGGAAATTGCATTGGTGCTTTGGATTTTGTCAGAGCTGCATCTGTACTTGATTGCTGAGTTTGATTCTGCGTAGATTGAGGCGTCGGAGGCGATTCCTTCTCACCTGGGGTCACTTCAACTCCCAGACTCTGCGACTGCCAGGAACACAGCAGAAAGTTGCGCTGGCAGCCTCGACATACTGGCTTTGTGAGATCACATCTTTTACGGCGGCGTTTGCAAGAAAGACAGCCCGGGCTCGATCGCATGGCGAGTGCTTGTTGCTGGAAGTTGTTGAAGGAGACAACCTTGGAATCTGCGTTCCGTGACTATTCCTAATCTGAGCATGTTCCCCGCCAGTAATCCGTACTTATCTGTGTTAGCCAGAAGTGTGGCGGTTGATGCCAATAAACGCATGTATTTGAAAATACAATCCAGCGGCCGATTACTTGTGCTCTAGAGGCTAGGTACTCACACGATCCGTATCGCACTCTGTACCCTGCACAAAGTACGGACTAGTACTCCGTATAGCACAAAGCACAGCAAGCGATTCGGGGGAACTGAGTGGCCCGCGGCCGAATTCAGAAGCGGATCAGTGGAGACCCGCAATGAGCTGTCAAAAGATAGTTAAAAGCCAAAGTACAAATCTGATATCAGAAGGATCAGCGGCCTGTATGCCATCTGTCGGTCCAGTGGCATTGGGCACCTGAGCACTTGCTCTCATTCAACCTGGGGTCTGAGTGGACATACATATCAAAGCTGGGAGGACGACCTAAGTTATGCGATTATCGAGCAGACCGCGAGGCACGGGGTACCAGTATACAAATAGATTCTTTGGCGTTTTCAGCTCGCATGTACTCGAATTCAGTGCTCGGAAGTTAACCCACTGCACATGTACTCCGTAGCGAGCCCGACAGAAAAAGCAAAGAAAAAGCAAAGAAAAGATAATTCCACAAAACAGGGTATCTCAATTCTCAGAAAAAGGATTCAGAAAAATGGAAAAAGAAAAGATCAACAAATATGCATTGAAAACACGCCTCGGCGCCATTTGTCATAAACCAAGAAATCATGAAAGGGGGTCCCAACTCTCCGATACACACACTTACTTACACGGCTCCGTTCGTCCCGTTGGAATCGTCTAAAGATTCCGGCGGGGGAAGCGGGAACCCATCACCGCCACCACCTGCCGCGGCTTTTGAGAAGCCCTCGCGGGCGAGCATCGTGTTCAACACGGCGCAGTTGTATGATGCCTCGCCAGGAGGCACGACCAGGAAAATATACGTGTTATCCGTGAATCGACCGAGGAAGATATTGAACTGCGGTGTTTTGGTGTGCATGACAACAAAGCCAGCAGAAGCAGGGGTGGTGAGAGTATTGCGGGCGGCACAATGCTTGAAAGCCTTCATGATATTCGAAAGACGTTCATGGCGATCGTAGATAGGGTTTAATTCGCCGACCTCGGATGTCACAGAAGTGACTGTGAGGAATGTCGAGCGCTCAAAGAGAATGACTTCCTCTGCGTTGATCTTCTTGGCGAATGCACTTAGGAACCGTTCTATGACAACCAGGTTCGGAATGAGTTTGTGAACGATGCCTGCCCAGGCTTTGTAAAGCGATTGGTCCCAGATACTGGAGGCGAATGTGTCGACTTGGAACCCGGATGATCGGCTGCGGATGACGGCGGAGCGCTCTTCGTAAATGCGTTGGCGGTGCTCGGCTTGGATCAGATCCATTTTATGGACGAGACAGAAGACGTAGGCGTTTGGACTGAATTCGCGGAGCGCTTCAATTATGGCGTGATATGTGTCGAGGTCGCGGTCGACTTCGCGGGATTCGATATCAAAGACGTAGATCATGACTGCGACGTCTGAGAAGATGTTACCTCGCTGGGAAGCAAGGTAGGTTTCCATGAATGCATCTTGTCTGAACGCATATCGGTCAGCGGGCTGATCTTCAGATAACTTTACGTATAAAACTCACCCTCCGCAATCCCACAGGTTCAATGTGAGGTTGCCCATGAACTTGACGTGGCTGTGCTCTACGTCAATTGTAGCGCCGAGGCGCCGTACATCCTTGGCGACATAGTTGCTGAAGATGATTGAGCGCATGGACGACTTTCCCGATCCACTCTTGCCCATCAAGAGCACCTTTCTCTTCTTTTTTCGAGCGTCCATCATGTCGATGCTTGCCTGGGGACGCCGTTAAGCTCAAATGCCCCGCTCTTGCGGGGACAGCTCGGGTGGATCTGTGTGAGGCAATTCAATGTTTCCCCAAGCTGGGAAGATAATTGGAGTTCAATTGGTGGTGTGGAGGTTCACAGGGACATTCTTCTGTCTGGGAAATGGGATTGAAGATGGGAAAGATAAGAAGGAAGAAGCTCCAGCCTCTAATTGCGGAGAAGGCAGCACGTGATGTAGACCACGTGATTGGAGTCAAACATCAAACCAGCTTTGATGACCAGGCGTGATCAAGTGAACGAAGAACCTCATCAAAATCAGTCTCTCTAAGACCCTCTTCCTTTGTACACTATCAATCCCAGTCATATAGATTGGGCGCTAGTGTATAGCTACCTATCTCCCAAAAGCCAGAGCTTTCGGAGGGTAACGGGAGATGACGTGGGTCTCCATAATAGTATTGGAATATCAGGGACGATCATCAATAAAGCTCTTGTTTTTGAGACATTGGGAAATATATGTACAGCCCGGAAGCTCAAAATAATCATTCATTCGTCCGAAAAAAAAAAAAAAAAAACAAAAACAAAAACACCGAATGGTATAGCATTACAGTAGGGTATTAGAAGACAGTGCCGTCAGATCGTATCATGATGGGAGGTTCCTTGGTGTTTGGTCGTGAGACTTCTGCGATTTCGCGACCACCCTGTGAATTGTTAGATCATACCCTTTGATGAATAAACAAGTGTTGCTCACCTTCCAAGTTCCTGCCTCGAGCATTTGTGCAAGAGAAAGTTGTTCCTCGGACCCGCTGAGTCCCAATTGAGAGTTGACCTCTTCTAAGAGCTCATCCAAGAATCCAACGGTGACTGCGCGCCATTCCACAATCACATCGTCGTCCGCGGAGAACAACGGAGCCACCTCGACATTCGGTTGACCCTTAATCCGCGCATTCTCCTTATAGGCGTCAATTCCGCGCTGCATATCGTCTGCCTTGAGACACAAAAGTCCTAAATCGATCAGGAGACCGCCGTTCCGGTACTCCGGAAGTCCGGTCAAAAGATCGCTGCCGGCGAAGTGAATGCTCATCAATTTAGACATTGGGACCATGATCGAGTAGCAGAGCCATTGCGTGAGCTTGTGGAATGGGACGATGCTTTCCCACTGCTGCGCAGGCGGAGAATTGGGAAGATCCGAGCATTTCCACGCGTCTCCAATAGGAACACCGTCAATCTGAGTTCGCGAAGGTGGCCAGATCGGAGAGAAACCATCCATTAGCACAGACCACAAAGTCGTGATCGGCACAATCGGAACGGAAGAAGCGAGTGTTGAGGGGTGACCAAGGAGATAATCTAAACACCGGTCAGCCGCGTTTCACATAGGGAACATCGCGAAACTCGCGGAAAAAAACCCACCTAGCATATTTCCCGGTCTAGCGTCCACGCCGAAGAAATCTTGATTGTTCAGCGCCTCCGAAAGCCGCACCAAGAGCCCCGCGCGCCCTTCGATCCCCGCCAGGGGATTCTGCTCCGAATGTTGCATCCCTTTAGCCAGGACATCGGTCGTAATTTTTTTCAACCCCGCCCCATCAACCTGACAAGGCTCCGTCGGATCACTACTGAACAGACCAGATTTGAACATTTCCAAACTCGCCACGGCCAGACCCTCACTCCGTGAAAAGACCTTGCCGGACTCCTTGGATCGATACGACCACTTATTCCCGGCGCCCGCGTCAAGTAACACCGAAACCACAAAGAGATCGATCAAACGGCGAGTGCGCTCCTGCGCATCAATGCGACTGGGCCAGGACTGCAGAAGTTGATTTACACGGGGTCTGCCACCGATATCGAAATGCTGCCAGCGGCCATGAGGCGGAATGTCCCCGTAATCCGGGGCGTAATCTCTCTGCCAGGGTCAGTTAGGGCGCATTGCGGCGGAATCACATGGTCGCGCACCTTAATGATTGAAACGACGTAGGAAGCGGTAGCTTCGAACTTGCTCATGTCGACATCGAAGTGGTTGAGGGTGTTCGCTTTGGCTTTGTTTAGAATTATGGTGGATCGTTCGCGCACGGCATGGATGCTTCGTAGATATGCGGCGGGGTCTAATGCGGGATCTGGTGGTCTTGCGATGGGTAGTTCAGGGATTGAGGCTGGTGGACCACTGCCTTTGTACCCTGGTGATCGCAGGGATGTATTTGATGTTCGTGCGCTATTGACGGAGACGAAGGATTCATTCTCGTCTCGTTCGGACGTTTTCGAATTGCGCTTGAAGAGCCCCATTTTGGAGGTGTGATTAGGGGGGAAATTATTAAAAGGGAGAAGAAAGAACAAAAGCGAAGACTTGACTACCTAGACGATACAGATGGTTTTATTTTTTTAAGGCGGGGCTCGACCTAAACTCCTTTAATCCATTTTAATCTCTAAAGAGAGAGAGTCTGGAGCCCTTTTTAGTTCACAATATTATTATTATGATTATTGAGATTATTTGGATTATTTGGATTCAGGGCAAAAAGGGCACTCGGGAGAAAGGTACCGGTAGAACTAAATCCACAATGAGTACTTTAGCTTATAGAGGGGTACGGAGTGCTGGGCTATGATTTGCCCCTAACAATGGCGTCGCGTGTATCCGACAGTAAACAATAGACAGGGCCGACTGCCGGAAGGAGCCATTGTGCCCCGCTGAGGAAGTGAAAGTGGAAATGGAACTGAAAGAGTAAAAGGACCTAGCTGACCCATCCAATGACATGAACAATAAAGACCAATGCAAAGACCAAAAAATAGGGGGAAACAAAAACCAAAAAAGCCAGAAAAAAAAAGAAAAAAAAAGCAAAAGATCACAAATGCAAGACTTCCGGGCCGCAGGGTGGTACGTGTATAGATCGCTAGCTCGGATATCGATCAGACCTTCCCTTATTAGGGAGGCTAGCCAAGTAGGAGCCAAGCGCATTTCCAACAGTTCTGGCCATGAAAGAGCACGGACTGGCGTACCGTTCAAGAAAATGCACCCGAATCCACTTTTTAGCGACGTCAATCTGTCCCGAGTCCTTTTCGCGTAGATCGAGTTTTCTGGTCTGGAAAGTCTCGGTGAGCATCCGTCTTCATTATTTGGTTCATAGAAGAGCTAAAAGCTAAGGGGAGAGACGACCCGAATTGAACCCAAAATCTTCAAAAAATCCCGCAGGGAAATTGTATACAGACCCTGACTCGTGGAGTCTCACATGTAGTAAAAACTCCGATCGAGGGTGTAGCGCTACAACAGAACAGCTGGGACTTGGAACCTCTCTGACCCGGTTTGATTCGAGACCTATCAGCTTGAATGGGCAGGTGGCTCACAGGCTCTCTCTCACATGTCATACTAGGAACTACAGCATGCAGATGCATCTATCAAGCTCAGAGTCCGCGGTTTCAGGTGGTCCTCTACGGAGTACTAATGGAGCCCCCCCTAACCACTGACTATGGGCCCCTCTTTCGGAATTAGGGGATATCCGTTCTAGACTCGATTCGGAGTGCCAAACCTACGGGTGGACTGTGCAGGGAATTTAAACCTCCGAAAGGATCCAAAACATGACGTTGGACTCCTGCGCTCTAATCGTTCTCTCATCTCCGGCCCGTTGATCCTTATACTCTGTACGGCAAAGCACGGGCCCAACTCGTTTCACATTAAGTCGATTGGTATAAATTAGAGACTGCCGAATACATCTCGACGTGCACCGGTCCTCGCACCCGTAACCCCGTAACTGGGTCCTTAGGTAAAACTCGGCCATCCCAAGGTTTTCCTTGCCGGCTCATCTTTCTCCGCTGAGTTGTCAAAAAAAGCGGAGAACTGAATTTTTTTCCCTTGTTCTTTTCTTTCTTTTTCTGACTTTTCTTTTTGTTTTTTCCCGAAACAGTTGGAATTGACTTTTCGTGGGGACGGAGCGCTCCGCTCATATTGGTCGGCTTTCTGGCCCTTGAGAAGCTGTTAGTGTCTAGGCGTGCAGATGGAGTAGGGGATATGCACTGTGACAGCAGTGCATATACTCCGTACTGTATAAGAACTACTGCATCATGCTGACCCATCCACTAAGGCCCATAGTATAACCTTGGACATACACTCCGTACATAGTAGAAACCAAAATATCTGCGAAGGCTATTATGATAAGTAGGATTGTGTTGTGCACAAATTAGAGCCCCGTAGATTCGTATAGCATGGACCATGATCGTCAATAGTCCAGACTCTAGTCAAGGTGAATCCGTGGACACGTCTGACAGAACTATCCTCAAAGTCTGCCCCACTCGCAAAAGGTCGTGTGGATGTGCTACTTTAGGAAATCTCGTACCCTGGCGTCTAACTTCATTAGCTTGCCCCTCAACCGTGAAGCTTTTCTGAGCGAGATTGCACAGGACAATTGGACTACGTGGACAATCGAAGCCGGGATCGTCACTAGGCAAGAGGCGGCATACAGGTCTCACCATTTCCATACTGCGCCCGCATGGAGGGGGCATGGGGGTCAGGCTGACCATCTCCGCGACCAATCCCAGGGTCGAAGGCTGATAAACGCCCTCCTCACGCCGTACCGCGCTCCAAGTTTGCGGTAGATCCTCGGATCATTGGTTCTATAAGAGTTAGAAAGCAATTAGCTTCGAATACTCTGCATCCCATAGGTCAGGTTTTGGCCGATTAGGGCCAGGGGCGGATGATCACTTCGGCTACTGAACCGCGCACACACGTTCGATCTAGCTTTTTGCCGCAGGGAGGGGCTGTGGCATTGTGGGGTGTGGGCGAGGGGAGTATGGCGGCCTCCGTGCGCCTGTCATCAAGGTGGGATTAAAAGGTGGTCCCCAGGAGCACGTACACAGCATACTCCGTAGAGTATCCACGATTGTGGAACAAATGAGAAGAGAGAGAGCTGAGAGTAATTGGGTAACCTGGATATTCTCAATTCGAATCTATCTGTGACTACGTCATTAGTAAAGTGTGCCTTGGTTGCACGTTTGCAATGAGAGCAAATGAGATGTGGAAGCTCGTTGGCATAAGTGAGATAGCTGAAAATGAGCAAAATGAAGCTACGAAGTCGTTGACGGCCAAGGCAGCTGAAGCTATCCTCGCGTTACGCCGATGACATAATCACCGTGGTCTGGATTCCCCACATGCAGGGGGCAACGGTCTTCCGCATTGCAATTAAGAGCAAACGGACAATTGTCCTGGATAGTGACTTGAGGTATCTTTGAAACCCTGCAAGCTGGTGAGATTATGGAAACTTCAAATCAATCCCCCGGCTCCTAATCCTCATTCGATCCCGCCAGACGTCACGTCGCCTTGCGCACCCTCATCATGGACGACCTCAACGGGCTGAGTTGGTCGGATTCCAACAAACCAAATAAGCCTCCACCCATGAGCTCTGGATATCTATTTCCAACAATGCCGTCGAATGGCGGCTCCGGCAGGTCGACCCCGTTGTCTACCACCTCGAACCGCTCCAGCTCGCCCGCGAAACCTGCCACGTCAACCGGTGATAGCTTCGCAAACCTGGTGTCATTCAACTCGTCCGCCGGCAACAAGAACCTATCGCTGATGGAGCAGCAAAAGCGACTGGAGGAAGAGAAGGCAAAGAAGGAAGCTGCCAATCGCAATCAGTTCGAGTCGCAATACGGAGGCCAGAATAACCAGTTCTGGGACAACATTGAGCAGGGCCGAACGCAGAGCCCCGCCAGTATTCCTCCCCCTCGATCAGCACCACCCGCGGACGACGACGACGATATCCTAGGCGCATTCAACGCTGATGCGCCAGTGGATGCCTCGACCCATTTCCCTGTTCCCGCTTCGGCCAGAGCCTCGCCCGCAATCACCACCAATAGTCGTCCTGGGCCTCCAAGCGGTGGGATATCAATGCAGGACAACACAGGAGGCTTGGACGCGTTTGATGATGATGACCCATTCGGGTTGAACGAGCTGAAGTCGAAACCCGCTCCCGCTCCTGTTCCAGCCGCGCAACAAGCCGATGATGACGATTTCCTTGGTCTGTTAGGCAAGCCGGTGTCGGAGATCCCTCGTCAGCAACCGAGCCCTAAACCTGCATCTATCGTATCCTCTGATCATGGCCGTGACCAAGACGCTTCACCTATGCCGTCCAACGAAGTTGATCGCGCGATTGCAGAACTCGTGGACATGGGATTCCCCGCTGATAAATCGCGCACAGCTTTGAAAACCACACAATCGGGGACCGACGTGCAAGGTGCTGTTGGGTGGCTTCTCACCCAGGCTCATGCCGAATCTCATCAGAAGTCCCAGGGACGCGGCAGTGCCCCGCCCACGGATCGGAGTGGAAGAAATGATAGTCGGAATCGTGATAGGCCCTCCTGGATGAGGGAAGAAAGAAACGGTTCTCATTCGCGCGGCGACAGACGGAGCCCGGCCTCGGCGGAGAAAGATCCTGCACAGATGGCTGCGCAGTTTGGTACTAGCTTCTTAAAACAGGCCAATTCATTGTGGAAGACTGGTAGCAAGAAGTTCCAGCAAGCAGTGAATGAGTTCAATACTGAACATGATCCAAATCAACCTCGATGGATGAAGGAAGGTGTCCCTCAGAATGATGACCCACCCCAACAACCTCAGCGCCCTGGTCGTCGCGAGCAGCCAGCTCAATCTCAGGCCCAGCAAGACTTCACAAACGAAGCCATGCTTCTTGAGTCGGGCGATGGCCGCCCTCGCAAACCTACTCGGCCTCGAGAGAGCCAGCAAGCCGACCCTAGACTGCAGGCCAGAGATCAGCAATCCCCTGGCCCTGCTCAACCAAAGCAGCAAGGGAACTTCCTTGAGCGTCCATCTCGACCCAGCTCTCAAGATCCGAGATCTCGTGTCTCTCGTTTTGCCGCAGAGGAACAGCAAGCGCAAGCCTATGTGAGTCCCGCGAGACGCAAACGGCCTCAGGCTCCAGCCCCTGCCCCTGCCCCTGAACCTGCAGTCGACCTGTTCGATTCCCCCGCCCCTACAGCCAGTCGGCCCAAGCCATCGACTCCTGCACAGACCGCTACCCCCCAAGCGCGCTCAGCCTCCATCCCCGTGCGTCCCAAGGCGCCAACCCGCTCCATCCCGCCTGTGTCTCAACAGGCACTCCAATCAACACATCGCCACCGCGGGAAAGCCGCGGAGTCATACAAGCGGGGTGACTATGCGGAGGCACACCAGAGCTTCTCAACAGCTCTCGGTATGCTTCCAGAAAAGCACCCCATCACCATCATCATCCGCAGCAACCGTGCCATGACAGCGCTGAAGATCGGCGAGCCCAAGTCCGCCGTCGAGGACGCCGACATCATCCTCACATTCATCGGACCATCAAAGGGTGAGTCAGAAGTGATCGATCTCAGCAACGGGGAACCTCCCAAACCTATGAAAGACTTCTATGGCAAGGCCCTCATGCGCAAAGCCGAAGCCCTAGAACAACTCGAGCGCTGGAATGATGCTGCCCAAGCATGGAAGGACGCCGTCGAGTCCGGCCATGGTGGAAGCACTAGTATCCAGGGTCGCAACCGCTGTGAAAAGGCCGCCGGTACCAGCAAACCTCAACAGCCTGCCCCTCGAAAGCGCCCCAGTCCTGCCCCCAAAGCCTCTGTCAAAGCCTCTGCCCTGTCAGATCTCACCCCTACCTCGGCATCAGGCTCAGACTTCGAGTCTGTGAGCCGGTTACGGCAAGCCAACCAGGCCGCAGAACGCGCCGACGAAGAGAAATTTGCTCTTTCAGAGAGCGTGGATGCCAGAATCGCTACCTGGCGCAACGGCAAGCAAGATAATCTGCGTGCGCTTCTCGGTAGTCTGGATTCCGTCCTGTGGCCCGAGGCTGGATGGAAGAAGATCGGCCTGGCGGAACTTGTGCTGCCGAACAAGGTTAAGATTCAGTACATGAAGGGGATTGGCAAGGTACATCCCGATAAGGTAAGTTATATCTGCTCATACCTGGTTACGTTCAGTCACTGACTCATCTAGATTTCCACGACTGCTACGACTGAACAGCGCATGATTGCCGGTTCTGTATTTGGAACCTTGAACGAAGCTTGGGATAAGTTCAGGGTGGAGAACAATCTCTAATTGCTTTTTTTTTTGTCGATACCATCTGTTTTTTTGTCTCTTAGCTTGCATACCATTACACTATCTAGAAGGCCATAGCATCTTCTTGGGAATCATGAGCGGCTTTTCTGCTATGACAACTATTGCATGTCGTCTGGGTACATGTCACCTGGGCATCTTTTATTCCAATTTCCTCCAACATTGAACTTCCACTCCGTGTCTCACCTCTTGCCTTTAAGGTGATAAAAGGATTCGTGCTCCAACGCCTTTTCAGGAGTGACTTGGTTTCGAGAAATGTCGCGTATGCCTTCGACCCTCTTTTCGCGTTATGTTCATCGAGTTGTCGAAGTGTGCGAGTTCAATACCCCTCATGATCAGAGAGGTTAAGCGAGTCCGAAACAAACTCCGAGCAGAGGTCGAATCCCCCCCCGTTCAGGCCCTCTCCACCCGCTCATCTCTCTAGTCCACCTAATCATACCAAGTCCGTGAACCTCGTAGCAGGGTTAATCAAAAGCCCATATAAATCACGCATTCTAAATTCTCCACTTTCATCACCATCAGAAATCGGTATTGGCTTCGACTCATTCGAAAGACGACTCGTAAAGCCAAGCCACAAGAATACCCCAGCAATCCTTGCAGCTTTGATAACTTGGATCGTTTCATCGTCCACTCCAGTCTCTTGCCTGAACGTGCTCCAGAATAGTTCATCCAAAAGACGATAATCATCATACTTGGACCAACCATGTTTCAAGTGGATTTTACTTATCAAACGATCATGAGCATAGATATTTATGCCGAATGGAGCAATTTCGGATTCGGCCCAACCAATTACGTCGAGTAGATTGCAAGAGTTTTCGTCTACTAGCATGTTGAAGGAGCTGAAATCATTGTGCGGTAGTACCATTGGAAGTGAAAAGATGGCTGGTAACGAGTTGAGAGACTTTTTGATCAATGGATCGAATCGAATTGGGAGAGAAGTGAGTAACGAGTTCAGGTCTCGTTCGTATTGGTGGGTTAGGCTCTCGCGGTATGTTTGATCAATATCTTGAGGACCTTTCCAAGATAGAGCAAAGAACCTATATGATAGGATCTATGATTAGCAATTTTGTATAGCCCCATCTTGTCACAGACCGACACTAGGTAGGAGGTGTCGGTCTGGTGTCAGTCTACGACGAGACAGGTATAATATGGAAATAAATCACATACTTCGCATTGTCAGCTACAAGATTCTGGCGCCAGCAAGAAAACTCGCTCGAGTTTTCAAGGACATCGCTGTTATGGGCTAGGATAAAATCCAGGTGAGATACACCTGCCATTCGATTCATAACATATATGTAAAGCGGTTCTTTGCTCTCATGGTCTTCCCCAATTTGTCCCTTGAAGGAGACCTGTGGTGTCAAAGTACCGTAAATAGCGTTGACAAGGTCCATAATTTCCATGTTCAAGGCTAGCGACTTCAGACGATACTGCACGACTGATTCGGCGTTGGGACCAGCATAGATAGTGTAGCTACAGACGCCTTGCACGTTTACTGGAGTGATATTGCCACCAAGATGCTCACTTGCATAGTTGTCACAAGCTGAGCGAGTTGTTGTAGTCTTCTCGAAGAATGCAACGATTTCTTGTTCGACTTCGTAATTCATATTGCTGGTAGCCGTGGTTTTGCATTCGAAATGTTTGAAAATAGAGCAGATTCAGTAAAAGTAGAAGGAAGTCAACTCAACAAAGAACAAGAATGATGAGAGGAGCCTTGGAGCCCTGGAGGAGCGGTGTGCTGACAAACAGGGGCTAATCCACTAACCAGGTGCCGGTTTGCCAATCCAGGTCTTATGCATGCGACAGCTATACAAGCCACTGTCAGAAGTAGGAGTTTCTATGAGCTGTGTTACGAGCCAATCGACTTCCACAGATCCGGGTGAATAACTCGCACGAGGATCGAGCGAGTTGTCACTTATGTGATCTCTCTGATTCTTCCTTGGGCTGGCCCGGCTGGGCAAACAACGGGGACCTGATGAAGCCCAGATGTAACCCGTGGGCCCCGGAGCCCCGGGGCCGGAGCCGACGGGTCTGCTGACAAAGAGCCAACCCAGCCCCTGGACCCCTGGACCTTTGGGCTTTCACAGGTTTGGATCCCATATTGTCACCCGTACCCTTTCGAAGATGGAGGGCCAGCCCGCGGACTTTTTTCAAACTCTCAATGCGTGCCTTATGCGTAATCCAAATAATATGAAGAGGAAGAGTCAACTTCAATCCTACTTTGCTGGCCACCACGAGTTTCAAGGGCAATACCGTGAGCCTTCTTCGTCCCCAGACGTGCCCGATACTTCCAACTTGCCGTCCTCGGCCCCACATTTGTGCCCTGAGAAACATCGCCTTGATAATGCCAATGGTCATATTGAAACCACAAGAACAGAGCCTGATGAGAAATGTATCTCAACTGGCGAATTGCGCAGCCCCGCTTTCAAGAGACGACATCAGCTCTCGACAGAGAAAATGAACCGAGATAGTATGTTTGCCAAACTACAGCCATTATTTTCAAATATTCCAAGTTAATCCATGGATATTTTAAGCTAACTTATCAGAAAAATCTACTCAACTGAAGCCCTTGTCAACATGTTTCTCTGACGAAGAAATCAGCCAAGTGCCTTTACTTACGCAACCTCCGAGTGAGCCCTACACACATCCCAAGGACGCAGAATATATGCTTGGATCGAACGACACTTCAAAATTGTACTGGCGAGGCCGTCGCTGCTTAAGAAACACGCCTGCACACCAAAGACGGATCAAATAATGCATTTGTGCAAAGTGGCAGACTGAATCAAACCATAGGATAGATATACAGTCATCTACTAAGATGCAAACCCCGCTCAAAGTCAGGCAAGCACCACTTAACCATCGATTCAGACTCTAATACCTCTTCAGCGGTAGGTCGATCTTCAGGTCGGAAAGCGAACATTCGCCGCATCAAATCTAGAATTGCATCAGTTTCATCCTTCCCATACTCACCCAATTGACCCAGTCGTCTGTATTTCTGAATACTCTCCTCAAAAGCCTGCTCGATAGGTGGCCACACGTAGCGACCCTCTACTGGACGACCATCCACATCAAAGAATTCACCTCGTTCTTTCCACTGTTTCCACCAATGTTGGGGCACAGGGCCCAGTATATCAATTTGCTGGGAAGCTAATTCATCCGCAGAAGAATATTCACTGCTGAAAATAGCCTTCATACCAATGATTTCCCAGATAGATGTAGCAAGACTCCAAATGTCGGCTGAGAATGAAAGGGGAGCTTCTGGCTGGAACAGCGCTTCGGGTGGCCGGGCCGCTAGTGGCGTATGGCAATTCTTGCCATTGCGGGGGTTGGAGGTTGGGTTGAAGGATTCGCCAAAATCGCTCAGAAGCACACGAGCATCATTGAGAGTGAATTCTTCCGCCTCTTTCCCAAGGAAAAGCGGGACAACTGCCCTGGCTGGGATGTTGGGAGGAAGCGGCTTTCCATCTCGTTGTGTGATTTGAACGGTATCAGGCTCACCGTGCGTTTTGTAAAATTGTTCAACTGACAGCTGATCTAACGAAGATGGCAATTTGACGAGAATATTTCGAATATGTAAATCTGATTAGTACGGATTCATGTTAGCAAGGGGGATTTGGCTTGCGAATTTTGGGGATGCGGCGACAAACCTCCATGAACATAACCCTGTTTATGTGTATATGCAATGGCCAGAGTGAGGTGATAAGATAAAGCACGAGTCACTTCAAGGGGAAAAGGTGGCTGAAAGAGACATCTTTGAGATTGCATTGTGCAGGAGTCATGGCATAGCATTTATGTGTTCCGTTGGGGCCACTGATTTCAAATTCGTCAAGAGGGAAAGGTATCGCGTCGCGGCCTGCATGCGCACAAGACGGGTCATGGTGCTGGGCAAGTGCCCGGAGGATGCTTGTCTCGTGGGGAGACGCATCGGCAATGCCGACTTTGACAGCAACGTAGCGTTTGGCGAAAATGTCACGGGCAAGCCAAACAGTCGAATAACCCCCATAACCTAGTTTATCGACAATTTGATATCGATCGTGTAGTACATCATCGATCATGATAGGGTGATACCCCCCTGGTTTATATTTTTCCAGTGTCTCTGCACCATTGATGAAATTATACTCGAAGCGACGTTCCTTGGGGGCGTCCTTGCATGGCAAAATTGTGAGCGAGGAATCGTATAACCTGGCCGAACGATATATCGGAGACGCGTGAAAATGCGAGACGTTGGTTGAGATGTAACTTGGCTTCCAGTACCAAGGCTTAATTCTGAAAGCCCTCTGAGAGCAATGCATCATGGCCAATGGTGTGACTGCCTTTCAGCGTCAAACATATCAATGATAGACAATGAGCAGGTTTTAGCTCCCAGGATACATAGTCCAAGGTCCAAATTTGAGCCAGGGGTTGATGACTGTGATATATTTCCTTCCTATAAGAAGGCGGTGTATTTCTTCTCAGACGGTTCGATCTAATATGGAAACAGATCAGAGGAAAGTAGTCTCTCTGTATAAAGCCATGGAAGAAGGAAGAGAGAGGGATGGGGAGAGAAGAGAGACAAGCAGGCAGTATCATGTTGGTCGTTCGGTTGTCAGGTGATCTAGTTGACAGGCCTGATCTCTCGCTCTCTCTTCTCTTCTTTCCCCCGTCTGATTTCGGGTTTACAGTCTGAATCCACTGCCTTGCAAGATTTTCTTGCTTCATGGTAGATCAGCCTGCCATCATATCACCCGACTCCCAATTGCTCTAAAATTGGGGAAAACGGGTTGGTGCACTGACGGTAAATGGAGGTTATGTACTCCGTACTGCGCAGTACACAGCCCGTTTGCAAAAGCGACTATATTTCAAACCAACGTCAATATAGACGACTTGTCTTATTCTGCTCCATATCTTCCAAGGTTACCAAAAGATGATGGTCGAATACGGAGTACAAGTGGCTGAGCTCACACCCGGGCCGATCCAGTCTTGTGGGGGAAAGCAAGTCGCCAATCATTTTCGTCTCTTATATGCGCCAATCTTTGGGCGCAGAGCAGATCATTGAGCTGAACCTCAGCCCCGCCTTATTAAAACTTGACTTCACCATTGGACTTTCCGCTCGTGACTTGAGTTACTATCGACGAAATTCTCTAATCCAGCAAATATCGGCCTGAAGCGATATATCACCCACTTGGGTTGAACAGTGATGGTTGATATAGAAGTCGAAGCAATCATTTGAAAATGCTGGGAGATTTCTTTCGAAATCTTGCCGAGATCGTCATCAATTCCGAGAGAGCTTTCTTGTGTACCTTGCTGGTATGCTGTGGCTGTTTCCTTCTGTTCAGAGTCAACATCTTGTTCAAGTGGACACCCCGGGCTCGTTCACTTGAAAGAGGACAGCAGAGCGAGGCAAAAGAGACTGTTGAATCATTGCCTCCCCAGGATCAATCCGCTGTCGAAGAGGTCCAAGATCTCAGCGAAACGAAATCTCAGACTTCCATTCATCCTCCACGCGCTGGGTATCCCATACAAATTTTGCACGAGGAAAATGATGCGACTGTTGAGTATGGCAAATTCATTGATCTACCAAGTCTCCTCTAATCCATCATGTAGCATTGTCGCTGTCCATGGCCTAGGCGCAAACCCTGACTATGCATGGACCTGGCTTCCAAAGAACAACCCACCAGGCGAGCCAGGATACCCCACCAGCCATCTTAATTGGTTGCAAGATCTGCTACCTACCTGTCTATCAGCAGACAGCATCTCGTCCCGGATCATGACCTTCAATTATCATTCAAGATGGATACTAAATGCCCCGCGACAAAGGCTCTCGAATATCTCGGACGTGCTGTTGGATAGCTTGGTTGAAAAACGAGCATCGGTGAGTCTTCCTCCTTCACTGAAATTTTGATCAAGTACCAATCAAGCTCACCCGGCTAGAATCCCCATAGGCCGTTGATCTTCATTGGCCATAGTTTTGGAGGCAATCTGATTGAACAGGTACGCTGCCATCAAATCCTTCTCTTTTTCGACAAGGTTAACACATGAAAGGCCATTGTATTTTCTTCCTTGGACAAATTGAATCGTAAAGATATAGCCCAATCGACTGTTGGGGTGGTTTTCCTGGGGACGCCGCATCGCGGGAGCAGCTTTGCAGCGTGGGGACGTCTGATCGCGTCTCTTGCGCCGCGTCACTTGCTCCCCGAGAGAAGGACCTTGGCTTTCCTGGAAGAACAATCGGATATTTTGACGGATTGTCTGCAAAACTTTTCCCGCTGGCTGCTAACCGAATCGGTGCCTGTGGTATGCTGCTTCGAGCAGCTTGTGACGAGTTACTCAAAGCGACTTGGCGCTCTGGGGAACTTGGTACCTTCATTTCAGGAGTTGGTAAGTATGATACAGTCTGGCATTATCCAGAAATCATCTCATAATTTCTTTGTTGCTAGGTTGTGCCCGAGACCAGTGCCTGTATTGACGGTCATCACAAGATCTCTCTTTACACGGACCATTTCAAGATCAATAAGTTCTACGGACTAGACGACCCTTCTTTCAAGCTTGTTTACCCCGAAATACGAAGAATGGCCCAAAACGCCGAGAAGACGCTCGCCTGTCGCCGAAAGCCGAGAACCCTTCCCACAGACGAAGCCAGCACATCTGGGCGTCTTCGAAAATGTCTTCGAGCGATGAGGGTTCCTAATCCACGCGGAATCCTGTCTGAGATTCAGACTCAAAAGGAGGATAGACTTGGAAGCACCTGCGAGTGGATTCTGAAAGACGATCGATTTTCTTCTTGGGCGGCAGCAAACAAATCACGACTGCTCCGTCTTGTTGGGCCTCCTGGCATAGGGAAGACAATGGTGGCCACTTTTCTCGCCGAGACCATTCAACAAAAGGTCGAGAAGACTTCAGACAAAATGTTTGCCTACTTTTTCTTTGATAATAAAGGGGAGGAGAGACGAAGAACCCCGACCGCAATGCTCCGGAGCCTCATCTGGCAATTACTTCTGCAAAATGAGAGCCTATTTCGCCACGTTGAGCCAGACTTCGAGAGACACGAGAAACGCTTTCGTTTTGAAGACCTATTCGAAAGATTTTCGACAATGTGGCTCATTTTCCAAGATATACTCCAGGATGAGCAAGTTGGCGAGGTGTTCATCCTTATCGACGCCTTGGATGAGTGCGATAAAACGACTCGCAAAGCGCTGCTAAAAGGAATAAAAAATCTCTTTGATACTTCATCGAAAGGACCAGGGAGGTTCAAGTTCCTCATAACTCATCGATCAGAGATCAGCGACATTGAAAGAAATTTGTCAAGCTCGGGCACTGCTTTCAGAGTCAACTCTACTGACATTGACAAGGATCTCAAAAGCTACATCGATTTCAAGACCGAAGAACTCGCAAACCTGAAGGAGATCCCCAAAGATTTGAAAGAACGGATCAGGAATGCTCTGATAACTGATTCTGATGGTACGTTCCTATGGGTTTCTTTAATGACGGCGGAGCTTGGCCGGGACAGCGTCCTGATGCATCGGCTCGAAGAAAGTTTCAACTATCTCCCTTCTAAGCTCGATGAAATCTACGTCTCAATTTTGGATCAAATACCATTTGAACTGCAAGATGTCGCCCAGTTCATCCTCCACTCAATGGTCGCTGCTCGACGCCCATTCACGAAGATGGAGATAATGACTGCATTTGCTGCCTCTCTTCTCGCCGGTTCCAACTCACCCATACCATTGAAGGATGATATACAAGTCTACCAAGATATCTTGTCGACGTGTAGCTCCATCATCATAATACAAAAAGGAGAGGATGAAGGCAGCGAGACCCTTCGATTTTGCCACCAATCTGTGAAAGACTTTTTACTTAGCGCCACATCTCAGGCCAAACAGCAGTGGTTCAACACAACCCCCGGACATGCCAATCTCGTTGTTTTTCAAGCATGTTGGAGGTATTTCAGTGCAGAGGAGTCCAAGCTTGCGCATTTGATCATTCATCAGTCTTCAAGTGATAACGGCATATACCAAATTGAGCCCAAAGGTTTCCAGTCGCAGACCTCAACGTACTCCTTCTTGAGATATGGAACAGATTGGTGGCAGTTGCACGCCGTGCTCAGTTACCCTGCCGTGTTGCGGGAGTTGGAGATCGACGTTAAGCAAACACCACCACTGCGCGACGTCTGGGCTTTGCGCGAGGCCCAAGAGGGCCAAGCCTCGGTATTGGGTTTCTTGATTGACAATGGTGTTGACACCGAGAGAAGCGACAATGATGGCATGACCCTGCTCTCACTAGCCGCTTCTCACGGCAACGTTGCTGTAGTCGAGCTACTCTTATCGACGGACAGGGTCAATGTCAATTCAAAGAATGAAACTGATCAGACCCCTCTATCCTTTGCGGCCATGAACGGGCATGCTAGTGTAGTCGAGCTGCTCCTAGCGACGGGGAAAGTCGACATCGATCCAAAAGACCTATGGGGCGAGACTCCTTTCTTCAATGCTGTTGGTGAGGGGCATAGGGCCATAGTCGAGATCTTACTCGCAACAGAAAAAGTCGATCTTAATATCAAAGATCGAGATGGTCGATCTGCTCTATCATATGCCGCTTTGGGCGGACATATCGATGTGATCAAGCTGTTATTTTCGACAAGGATATTTGATGTCAATTCAAAGGATCCAACGGGAAACACAATCCTATCATACACCATTGCAGCAAGGCGTCTTGGTCTATTCAAGGAATTGCTAGCAATGAACAAAGTCGATGTCGATTCAGCAGATCACGATGGTCTTACTCCTCTATCACTTGCCATTTCTGGTAGCCAAGTTGCCATGGCTGAACTACTTCTAGCGACAGGTAAGGTCGATGTTGATTCAAAAGCCCAGGATGGTCGGACTCCTCTACTTTGTGCCGCTTCCAGTGATCAATTGGATATGACCAAGCTGCTCCTAGCGACAGGAAAGGTCGATGTCAACCCACAAGACCGATCTGGTTCAACCCCTCTATCACACGCCGCTTTTGGTGGGAGTGATATTATGATTGAGATGCTACTCGCAACGGGTAAGGCCAATCTCACAGTCGAGAATTATTTCAATCATACGCCTTTGACATTGGCCGCAACAGGAGGATGTTTGTCTACGTTGAAGCTACTGCTAGCAGCTGGGAAGTACAACATCAATTCACAAAACCGGATTGGTCGGACGATCTTATCCTACGCTGCCCTGACAAACAGAGCACATACTTTCAGCTTTCTTCTTTCCCGTGGGGCTTCAGATACCCCAGATAGCGTTGGTCGAAACCCTTTAATGTTTGCTGCCTTGAGAGGAGCGCACCACATTGTTAGCCTATATCTTACTCGAAATCTCTCAGCCCTTGACGAAGAAGATCACTATGGCTCAAATGCGCTTTCGCTTGCTATACGACATGACGAAATGGCAGTTGCTAGGCTGTTACTTGATACCGGGCGATTTTCATTGGACTCTGAAGATCGCTTTGGGCGGAGTTTGCTTTGGTGGGCTCGGATTTCCAGGTCCATTGAGATTGAGCATTTGCTCCTGGACGCAGCAGAGAAAATTGGTCTTTCTCTTTGCCTCCCCGACGGCCATGCTATTGCTGCTTACATGAAATCTGTAGCAAGTTCGAGGTTCAACGCAGTGTGCACCGTGTGTACCCTGATCCTCTGCTCCTGGTCTAGAGGCTATCACATTTGTGAAATTTGTATTGACGGAAAGTTTTCTATATGTCAGTATTGCTACGACATTGGAGGGCGATGTCTTGATGACGACCACGAATTGATTTGGATGAATGCGGAAATGCTCCGAAATCAACGGAACCAAAGATGCAAAGGCGGCCCAGGTGATCGTTGGTATTGAGTGATTCATTTTGGTTTTATCATCGAGAGAACTTTACTCCCCGGAAGCTTTCTGATCTCCACGTCATGAATTCTTACAAGATTGCTCAAGTGTGGGGGCTCAGCCTGAAGTTTCAACATCAGCATCCAGAATCTTCAATCTCGAAGAAGATGCTGTTGATCATCTTTGTACATATGTTGGAAATCGCTATTCGGGAAGTCAATTCCTCGCGAGAATCTGGAATATCTCCTAATTCGGCTCTCTCGCAAATTGCAAACTGGATCTACATCTGTTGGTTTGAAGCGAACCTTGGAAGATACTCCTGCACCGGGAAGCGCATCGATTCTTGAAAGCCACCAGAACTGGCAATAGTTTGGCGTAGAGGTTTCGCGTGAGCCCGTTCTTTTTTGGGCTCTATCAATTGCCCAGGTACTCAGGTAAATGTTGATAAAATGAATGTTGTCAGATAATCAAGATAATGTATGATTTCATCATATCACTAACATACATTATAGACTCGACAGTCAAGAAATGCGTCAGATTAACGTACTCGGCATGTTCGTTCAAAGATGACATTGACCAGCTTATACGAGGCCACCCACCAACCTAGACACCTTCGGCTCGCGGTTTCTGGTGCTCTTTTGAAACAGGCAAGAATTTGGTATGAGAGCCCTTCGACACCAAAGGGCCTACTTCACCATCGATAACTTTGGAAATCTTGATGGTAGTAAAAGCCATGGTCTTGCCGACTCGATCCGCAACAGCAGAGATATCCAAGGTTTCGCCAACGGTAGCAGTTGAAAGATATGTGACGTGAATATCAACGCTAGCGCCGGTCTTTTCAAACCCATGGGTTGCGATGGACATGCCGCCTGCCCAATCGATGATTGCAGCGGAAACAGCTCCGTGAATTGTGCCCCGGGAATTGACATGATCAGCCGTGAGCTTGAGTCGGGCTTGGAATTGTCCACGGGTAGCGCTTATAATCTCAACATTGGCGAGGACAAGACGGTAAATTGCACTGTCGTCCTTGACGCGCTCCCATACTCCACGGACGTGCTCCAACTCGGAGGTTGCGCTCATTGTGATGCGGGGTGGCTGATAAGTCTGGCGAAGGAGAATTGAGGAGAAGTGCTCCGTGAATTATGCAAAGCAAGTAGACCAATGGAGCTCTCAACAAAATGTTGCAGGACGCGTTCAGATTGGCGGGGGATTTGTGCGGTTAAGACCCGACGCCGATACCCGCGGAGTGTGGGCCGTCTATCGGGACGCATCCGAACAGCGCGGAGGATTTCTCACGGAATAGAACTACTAACGAGACATCTAACAGCTAGGGTATATTGTTTTTAGATGCCAATGTACCGAATGGTGCTATGAGATAATCAATATACTTCCCAGATCATTGAACACAACTTCTTCGGTTCCGGTCCAGTTTTGTAGCGACTGGCCCTCTTCACACAGCCTTCCCCAGCCTTCCAGACTAGCCCTGGGGCAACAAAGCTTGAATAGTATGAGCCCTTCGGATGATTGGCGTCTTCGTGTGCCAATTAAAGATAATACCAGCTAGTAAAGTAGTGGTCTAGCACTCGGTCCTTGGATTAAGTGATAGAATGTTCTGCTTGAACTCTGCAATTATTATCGAGTATGTGGGTTCCAAGCCATACTGTTGGACTCGCCATCATATTCGTGGATTAGCGCAAAAGTAGCCAATTATATCAATGCGCGTCTGCGGTCTATACTGAAAACATTAGACGGATAGCATCCGAGATCGAGGCGGGATATTCCGTCGGCATTGAGCTTGCAATCCTGCATGGTTTTGCGCATCGGTAAGGAATGAAGGTAGTCTGCTATATCCTCAAATCTGCAAGCAAAGAATCATTGGATGTGTATCCTCTCAGATCCATAGACCATAGAGTGAGTATATTGAGTACAGAGTAGCAGTGATGTCAAAGGTCAGAATGTGGGGATCGATCCGCGGATCCATGTGGGCGGTGTGTGCGGGTTGGGCGGTGTATTCAGCGACGATTGCAGAAAAAGGGGGGAGTCAACAACATCACCCTTCACAATGGAGGAGTCAGGCACCTTTAGTTCGTCCTTCACGGCGAAACAGCCTTTTCCGCCTCTGCTAGCTGAAGACATTGCACCGGACGAGCATGAGAGCTATGAAGACGACGTGACCTCCCCCGGCTATGAAGAGATCGAGGTGGAGGACGACGCAGACTTTCAGTCGCATTACTCGCTAGAACATCAATCTTTTTCAGACTCCGACTCCGATGACTCGGCCGATGAAATTGGTCGCAATCATCCATTCCGCCAATCCTCCAGCTCCCTCCACGGCCCCAATGCATTCGCGCCTCCATTCTACAACCGTCCGCCTACGCCGTTACCGCCCTCCCCTTCTTTGACCTCGCTTCTCAGACCACCCTTTTCAACTACGACGTCACGTCCGACAACTCCAGACAGTTCGGATGTAGAAACACCCAATGATACCGAGGCGGCGGTCGCCAAGTCCGCACGTCGCGCAACCACCGTCCCGCGCGCCAGCCCGAAAGTACCTACATATGAGTACTATGGGTTTGTCTTGTACTTAGCTTCGTCATTGGCATTCCGTAAGTCGCACCAAACACTGCTGACAAGACATATCGTCGTATTTGGGCACATGCTAACAACTCGGAATATAGTATTCTATCTCCTGTGGTCCTACCTTCCATCCCCGTTCCTTCACCAGCTCGGTATCTACTACTACCCAAACCGGTGGTGGTCACTAGCCATCCCCGCATGGCTTGTCATGCTTCTGATCTACATATACGTTGCGCTTGCGACATACAATACGGGCTATCTCACGCTACCCATGCACAGCATCGAGAACATCGTTGACGAGGTAGCCAATGTATCCGTGATTGATGGAAAGGCGCGACGAAGACCTGGCGGTGCGACGAAAATGAAACCTGGCGCGACATCCTACCAAATTATGGGCCCTCAGAACCGCAAAGTCAATTGGCGGGAGATCTGGAGCGAAGGAACCGATGCGGTCATGGACGTGCCAGTTGGAGGTGTATGTGAGGTGTTATATGGTCAGGATAGAGATGAGGACTTCGATGAACTCACTACAGACCTATAGTGTTTAATATAATGAAATTCACGTGAACTTTGAAGTTCATTCTATCTCCGCACCTTTTACGCCGAGCGCGTTTAATCCGTGGACCCATGACGTAGGCTCACGTGATGCGGCAGATCGGGGTCTGGCCGCCTTACGACAATCTTTCTAGATCTATCAATCTGAGCAAGGGCAGGTCATACCACTCTCTCTCTTCCGTACCAAGCTGTGAAAATGACGGAGAACCGCCCTTCAACACCCCCTCCGCAGGCCAAGGCCTCTGGATCAGGCCAACTTCCTCGAGGCCCAATAACCCCAGAACAAAAGCGGAGAATAGTAAGCCTTCTTGCGATAGTACAAGCCGCATAAGATCCTCGCAAACTGACTGCCTCAAACAGGAGCTCAGTCGCATGAAAGCCAAGGCTCTCCGAGAACAACATGAAGCCAAACTAGCTCAAGCCGCTTCAAATGCACCTCAACCTGCAACAGGTGCCAAGCGCTCATTCGCCTCGATGGCATCCAATCAACCTGCCAATGTGCGCGATGCATCTGCCCAGAAACCCCTAGATTCGATCCAGCCGGCGCGTAATTTTACCAAATTCGTGGACTATGATTTCAGCAAGATGACTGATACGAAGGGTGGATTCCTGACACAAGAGGATGATCCCTTCAACAAACAACTACATGTGACGGATGATAAGGGACCACAAAAGCCGGCGAATATGACGCAAAAGGAATGGGAACGCCATCAGATATTAGAAAAGCTCAAGCGGAACCGAGAAGGGCCGTATGAGCCCGGGTTGAGTGTTCTGGATGACAAAAGGAAACAAAAGAAATGTCGCGAATGCGCCAGTCTTGAAATTGACTGGAAATGGGACGAGGAGTTGAAGTGTAGCATCTGTCATGCATGCAAGGATAAGTTTCCCGAGAAATACAGTCTATTGACCAAGACAGAAGCGAAAGAGGATTATCTTCTTACGGATCGTGAGTCCTTGTATCGCGGGTCGATGGAATTGAAATGATCGCTGACTGCCTTGATAACAGCTGAACTCCGCGACGAAGATTTACTTCCACGTCTCGAGAAACCAAATCCTCACAAGTCTACATGGAACAGCATGATGCTGTATCTCCGATATCAAATTGAGGAATACGCATTCTCAGACAAGAAATGGGGCTCGACAGAAGCGCTGGACGCGGAGTTCGAGAAGCGAGAGACTGATAAGAAGCGACGGCGAGAGGAGAAGTTCAAGACTAAACTGCAAGACTTGAAGAAGCGCACGCGGGTCGAAGCATACCGGCGTAATCGGCAAGGTGGCTCTGGCGGAGACTTTGGTGATGATCTTGCCTTTAGGCGAAAACATGTTCATGAATGGGGCCGGCCTGTTGATAATGCAGAGACTGGGATTCCTGTCAAGACTTGCGTGACGTGTGGAATGGAGGTGGAAGAACTTGAGTTTTAGTCAAGTTAGACGGTTGAAATGTGTTATAGCACGAACGTACGAGCTCACGAATGGGTTTATTTGCATAAGTGAAATATATTACCTGCAGGACACAGTGTGCCACCATCCAGCTCCTTGCTTGTCTACAAGGCTAACACGTACGGAGTACTTCGTATACTTATCACTGATACCTAGGTATCATCCTGAAGATCCTTGGTCGCTAAAGCAGAATGGCATTCATAGTCACGTATATACAGCATTTTATCCAGAAAAACAAACTTCAACTCCCGAGATCAGCTCAACCCCAGATCAGTACAAGGGCATATTCACCGAATTGACATAGTCAACATTATGTTCAACCGACTCAATCCGATCAGTACATGTACCAAAGACCCTATCCCAGATCCTCGTCTGCTTCCCATAGTTATGGCTCTTCTTCCAGCCCTTCCGATGATGCAAATCATGATCCTCAATAACAAGTTCCCCATCAAACCAACGCAAAAACCAACTCAAAGTCGAAGGCGGCGTAGCATGAAGTCGCAGCCCACTGTGTCCAGCCAGTTCAGCAAACACCACATACTGATGACAGATCCACCATTCGTAAAAGCCCATCGGCAACCCCATAAACCGCATTGAGAAATACGTCATCAGAGGGATGCCGAGGATATCGAAGAACTCCTGCTCGGAGTCTGCGTAGAGGGTGAGGAGTGGATTCGGATGCTTGGTGAGGTGGTGGGTGCGGTGGAATTTCCATAGTCCGTCGAAATCGTGCATTAGTCGATGATACCAGTAGAACCAAAAGTCGAGGATGATGCCGTATAGGCCGACTTCGAGGGGTAACCAGAGGAAACTCATGGTTGACGGTGTTTGACTTTTCTGATAGGTGAGGAAGACGAGGAACATAGGGCGGAAAGTCGAGGTTGACATTAATGAACGGACGACCTTTGCGACGCCGACGTCCGGGACGCCGTCACGGGCGTGCTTGTCGCCATCCAAGAAGCCGAATTGGTGACCCAGTCGGCGGAGAACGTGCAACTCATGGATGGCGATGGCTTTGAAACCAATCGCGTACAGGAAAAAGGCACCCCAGGCGCTGATGTTGTGGCCGGTGGCCATCACGTAGGCCTGATGAATGAGAATGGGGATGACTGCATGGCTGAGGACCCAGCGGTGCATCGACCAGTCTGGGACATATGGAATCGGCTCTTCCTTTGGGTGAATTGGGATATTTGTGTCTAGATGCTCGGGGTGGATGCCCAGTAGCTCATAGAACCAGTGGAATAAAGTCCAATCTGAGCGGGCTTGTCGCCGCCATGTGGACTTCATTGAGTCTTTAGGGTTTCGTTCGGCCATCTTCAAGCAGGAACAAGGGTTTTGCTCACACGCCCCATTTTTACGGGGGTGGGTGGGTTTTTAATTGTAAGTGTCGATCACTCCCTAGTCGTTCGGCGCCTGGCGCCGACTGGTGCATGTGAAGAAACCCACTTCACACTCTCCGCAAAAATGAGCCTCGGACATCGTATAGGGTAACAGTCTGGTCGATCTTGGTTTTCTCAACCGTTGTTGTCCCACTAAGATGTCATGCCCTGATATCAAGTTGAGGGAAGAAACCTAAACTTGGAACTGATTACGGAGTACATCCAGTCCTATTCTCCGTACTGACCTCGGGAGGTGGGGAAATGACTACGCGGGGTGATTCAACGGTGCCTTGCAGTAATTAGATTTAATGACACGCCTTTGCTCTTTTTCTGTAATTAATGGTAAAAGCCCTGTGGTCCACAAGACATGAACTGACGCAGCACTCTGTACTCCGTACCAGTAAGAAGACTGCACGGAATATTTTGTTGTACTTTGTGAAACTTGATCGACTCCCCTGCATTATTTTGAGGCTATCTGGGTGATGTTTCGTATGCACTCCGTACTCCGTAGACAGCTTAACGTTATACGTACACGTGCGTATGAAGTAAGGGGTATTCTCGACTTATGCGGGCTCCGTTGAGCCCCACACGTACTTTGTATAGATCGCCCTGTCTCGTACATACATTTAGGATCTGAAACCACAAAGGTCTTTTGCTTTTGATGAATGTTTTTAGTGACAACTTGGACTGTTGGTCTCAAGATGTGTGTACCTCTCTAGGGCTGTTGCAGTGAACCAGTCTTGCTTTCATCGAAGATCCTACGAGTAGTGACAACCCTGGAGCTTATGACAGCCAATTGTCAGGAAAAGAGCACTCTGTACTCCGTATACATGCATTGTTACAATAGGGTATACGAACCTCAAATTTTGAACTCAATCATCGCAAGAGATCTCCTGGGTTTGTTACTTTCGAGATAGTAAATAGTGACCACCATTGTACGGAGTATCTTACGAAGGAATTTCTTATCAGCGTGAGCCCTAAGTACCCCAGGATGGAAGACTGTAGAATACTCTTATATGAAAATGCCTGGGTTATAGTATGGAGCAACTGTTCCGCTAATTGTTTCCTATGGTACGGAGTAGATGTACGTCTAAGGATCTTCCAAGCAATCAAGTCAAAAGCGCAACGTCGGATGTTGGGCAGACATATCCTCAACACTCCTTAATGGGTATTTACAAGGCTGTTAATGCACATGCTGCTGGTCTGAAGTATAAAAAACACAGGCAGCCATATTCATGGATATTCAAAAAAAACCGAAAAGTTTGGAGACATAAGGTCACAATATTACCTCGGTATCATGTTCGCTATCTGTGCAAGTCATGCCTCGACTCTCTTCCACCCTTTTATCCTGCCGTCTTTTCTATATGCTTTATGCGGCGGCATTTTGAGGCTCATCGACAGACAACTGGTTGACCTTGACCGCCACATTATCTACAGCCTTTTCATCATCGGCCTTTTTCTCGGCATCGACCGGCGCGGCATCGCCCGTCTTCTCTGCCTCAGCCTCAGCCTCAGTAGCAGCAGGCGCAGCCTCAGACTCGACCTTCGGGGCCTGTGTCTGGGTCTGGGTCTGGGTCTGGGGCACAGGAATAACTTCCCTCCGCTCCTTCCCATCAACAGTACCAAGAACCTGCAAGTGATCACCCTCAAACAGCACAGGTCCCTTCAGAATCTCCTTCCTCGTCTGGCCCTCCGCCAGCGGCTGCTCGATACCCTGCAGCAGCTCACGACTAGGATCATCCAAATTAGGCATATCGCCCCATTTCCACTCAAGCTCACCACCATACTGCTTAGGAATACTAGACGGTTCCATAAACGAAGTCAAAGTAGGCTCCACCTCCGCAGCAGACAGAATGAAGATCTTAGACGTGGTTCCGGGGTCGAACCAGCGCTTAATCCAGCTCCACACAGTAGGGAAGAATGACGGGGCTCCGATAATCTATCACAACATTAGTTTTCCAATTCTCCATCTCCATCTCATTCCGAGTCGGAAAGGAAATCACTCACAAAGATCCGATCCAGCGTCTCGGGGTAATGCGCCGTAGCCAACACACTAGCATCTTGCATATGGCTCTTCAAATTCCAGAACTGCTTCAGTCCCACACCATTGACATCTACAATATTGGTCGAGGTCACGATAGGCGTTTCGGGGTTCGGGCGCGGGAGCGCGGAGCAAAGCGGCATCACGAACCGGAGGAGGTTCTCGTACAATGCGAAGAGGTTGAGGAGACGCGCAGGCACGGTAGACGACTTGTGCGTTTCAGGTGTGCCGGTCGTCATGGTTGAGTTGTATGCGGCGACGGCTTTGTTATCCAGGTGGCGGATCTCGAAGACGTAGACGGGGATTCCGCGGCGATCGCGACGACCTGTCCATTGCGGGTACTGAACGGGTTGAATTTTAGTATTGAGATGTCGAGTATATATAAGAAGATATATGAAAAGGAAAAAGGGAAAGGGAAAGAACATACCATGCGTCTAGCAGCCTCGTACGAGTCAACGCCAATATTCTCATACAGAGCCTCGATGGAATTGTCCTTGCGCCAATCCTCTGTATCCTTGAACTGAGCCCAGGCACCCTCAACATCGAACTTGCGGGCTCGTAGGAACCGTCTGTAACATAAGCAGTCAGCAAATGTACTATATCCTGCACCTGTTTCGGTCTAGGGTGTAGGGTAAGGTCTAGAACGCCACATACAGCATAGTAGCGTCTTCATGGCTGGGAGGGTTGTCGCCGGCGGGCGTGTAGTACTTGCGCTCAGCGCATAGCGTCTTGAACTCTTGTAGGCTCTTCTCCTGCTCTGGAGTGAGGTGGTGCAAGTGACCGGCGAGCCATGCGGTGCCGGAGGCCTGGGAGGCGGAAGCGGACGGATCGTTCTTGGAGGAATCGGTGCGCGTGAGATCTGGCTCGGAGGCCTGCGCGGCTTTGTTACCCCAGAACATAGTGGGACCTCACGTATGGAGTACTCCGAGAATTAATTTGGGGATTTGGTGAGGGAGATCGACTAGATCGATGGGGGTGGAGGGTACTGCGTAGGAGGCGGTGAAATAAATCTGACTGGGGATCGGCACTCGGCTTTGTGATCTATACAATTTACAGCCAGGGGAGATATTGGAAGAGATGCTATTGAAATGGGTGTCTTTTCTACGGAATACTCAGGAGACTATATAGAGAACAGTGTGTAGTACCTCACTTACACTACATTCGGGCCCTGCAGATCCATCGAGGGGAAAAGCTAATCGGCAGGGATCAACCAGGGAAGCCCTAAGAACGGACCAGGTGAAACTAGCTCTAGAGCTATAGAGAACTTTGAAACTATTCAAGAGAACTACATTATCCTCTCTCTCTCTACATGACAATTCAACAAGATAACAAAGCAAAACATTCAATACATTTCCGGCTTAAAGTGGCACGGATGCTAATTTGGAAGGACAAACCCCAAGACCAATATCTGTACAGATCGCCCTAGATCACGTAGATCACAAACAAAAGATCCAAAAAAAAAAAGAAAATACAAGTATTTAGTCCTCGGTGAGATCACCGTATTCCCAAATACCACGACGCTCAGCCTTAGCCTCATCCTCCAGCGTGCGGAGGTTAGACAAGGTGTCGACGGAGGCGCGTTCCCAGTTCTTCAGCTTGCGCGGCACCATAGCCAAGCCCTCGCTGATGACATCGGCGTTAATGCTGTTATCCAAGTTCTTGGAGACGGAGGGATCCAGCAGAGTGACGTGGAGGGTGCCATCAGAGTCGACGTGGTCGACGTTAGCGACGAGCTGGCGGTCGAAGGTCTGGTCGCCAATGAAGCCAATGGCGTCCTCAAGGTAGTCCTCGGAAGTGGGGAACTGCATGAGGGAGAGAACGGCGTCAACGGCCTGGGGACGCAGAGTCTGGGAGGAGAACTGAGGCTGAGTGAGAGGGCGGAGCTTGGACCAGGGGATGGACTCGGAGTTGCCGAAGTCAATGTAGACGACTTCGGCGGTCTCCTTCTCGCGGTCGTTGCGGCGGACCTTGGCGCGGTACCAGTTGCTGTCTTCGGAGAACTGGGCGGCGACCCAGTCGCCGGCCTTGGGGGCACCGGAGAGAGGGGTGTCGTTGGCCTTGTTGAGGTGGAAAGAACGGAAGGCACTCATCAGCTCGGTGAGAGCACTGGTGCCAGTGCCGATCTGCTGCAGCTTGAGCTTGGCAGAGGTAGGGTCCACGTAGGTGACCATGACGTCGCGGTAGTCCTTGCGGCGCTGTGTGGGAGCGGCATCGCTCTCGGTGCCGGTGCCGTTGCCATTGGCGTTGGCAGCCTCGGCTTCTTCGGCCTCAGCAGCCTCCTTGGCGGGGTCGTAGTCGTGCCAGAGACCCTTGCGGGCATCCTTGGCCTGCTGTTCCGCGGCATAGTACTCGGTGGCATGACCGGACTGCTCGGCGGAGTATGCGTGGACTGTGGCCAGACCCTCCTCGAGAAGAACCTTGGTGAAGTTCTCCTTGTTGATATAAAGACTTCCAATGAAACCACCGACCTTGTCGATGGTCTCGACGTCAATCTCGACGTCACGCTGCAAGCAGCGGCGGTTGGCCAGATCATGGGCTTCCTGGCCGAAGGGCTCACCGGCGTCGCTGGGTCCGCGTGCCGAGCGAGGAGCACGGATACCGGAAAGAACAAGCGTGAGCTTGGCGTTGTCACGGGGGACGAGAATGGTGAAACGAGAGCCAGACTTGACAAAGTCGACAACGGCCGGCACGCGCTTCTGGCGCTGCAGCATACCGAGTTCAAGCTTGGCCTTTTGAACGGTCTCGGAGTAGTCTACCACCTGCTTGGCCTTGGGGGGCTTGGGAGACCACATTCCACGGCCTTCCTTTTGGGCATCGGCCTCGGCGGCGAGCAGGGCATCGTAGTCAGGGGATCGGTCGGCATCATCCATGCGGTGGCGGATCACGGACGAGTATCCAGCCTGCACGAGGGCAACGGCCACATTGGTGTTGCCTTGGACAACGGTAGCAACCTCACGCTCCTCGTAGCCCTCGTTAGCGGGCTTCTTGCCGTTCACGGTGACCATGACATGCTTGGCGATGACGCGCTTGCGAAGGTACTCCTTAGCCTCCGCAGCGAAGGGAGCCTGCTTGGGGTCCGAAGGCTTAGGTTGGCGGATGCTGGCAAGGCTGATCTTCTTCTCTTGACCGGCCTTGTTCCGGATGAATAGAGTATCGGCGTTTTGAACACGAGAGACAACGTAGTCAACAGCAGCGGCGCCCGCAGTCGTGGCTCCACTGTGGTTCACCCACAATCCCTTGCGGTCTGCCTTGGCAGAGAGTTCGGCCCGGCGAAGGAGAGCCATGTCGGGGCCCAGGAGAGTAGAGTGGTGATCCTGGCAACGAGCCAAACCAGCCTCCAGGAGGAAGCGAGAGATATTTCCATTGGGGTGCAAGAGAGTGGCCACCATCTGACCCTGCGGGGTCACACCGACCAGAGACACCTTCACCTTGCGCTGCAAAAGTCGTTCCTCGACAAACTGCTGTGCCTCATCGCCGAACGGCTCCGCAGCCGTCTCCTTGCCCTCAGCCGTGCGCTTCGCAGAAGGTGCGCGGACACCAGCAATCGCAATGACGGTCTGCACATGCTCCTTAGGCTGAAGCAGCAAGCGCAGAACAATACGATCACCGTTCAGAACCTTCTCAATAATACCCTCCAACTGCTTGCCCTGGTTTTGGCGGACCAATTCCCGAGCACCGGTCAGCTCGTAGCTGTTTTCAATCTGACCATCGTCACCGCTGGCCCAGACTCCCTTTCCTTCCTCTTGGGCGAGAGATTCGAGTGCACGCAGGCGGGCCAGGAGCCCAGCAGTCTCCTCCGATTCATCCCCGCGCTTTCCTGCCTCTTCACGCACGCGAGTCCAGCCTTCCTGGACACTGAGATCGGGCAACGAAGCATCAAATCCAGGGAGCTTGATAATACCGTAGTCGCGCTTGGCACCGGTAGGGATGGTGTAGATGACATGGAACTCGACAACCTTGCCGACAAGGAGCTCACGGAGGAATTCACGGGATTGGAAAGCGTACAACTATCAATGGCGGGTTAGGTTAGTTACGATTCTTGTTCTTTTCGCCCCCCAGCGAGTAGCCACGCTTTCAAGGCCACCCCCATAGAAAACAGCCAGCATGTAAACCGAAAGGCCAACTGTTGCCCAGTGCGGCAAACACATGGGTTCTGAGAGCGCCGCTTCTCAGGCAATTTCACAAATGCAAATTCACACATACCTCATCACCCTCCCTCCTTAACCTGGGAGCAGAGACATAGGCCAAACTCAAGATGCGCTCTTGTGACGGATTGGTGACATGCGACAGTACAACCGTGTCGCCGGACAGGACGGACTTGACCCGGGCTTCAAAAGGCATTTTGGATGCTTCTATCACCACAATGACAATTGAAGTTCAAACCAAAAGGGGGAACTGGAAAAAGGAGAAGTGAACAACTAAGAGATTACTCCGGACGCTAACTTAGGGGACAGGTGTTTAGACTTGTGGGGGAGCGGGCGGTCAGCCGATCGAAGCTTCCAAAAGGGCCGATGCTCATTTGAGAGCTCTCTTCGACTTCGTCGATCTACGGAGTATCCATCCACGGATATACATGTGTTTCTTCCACGGTTTGGCCTACAATTCGATATGAGGTCCATCAGCCCTGGAGACAAGCTACTATGATGGAGATTCTCTCCACCCATCCTCTACTTAGGCTACAGCCCACAACCTACAAGCCCACCTCGGCACAACAGATCCAAACACAAGTGTCAAAGAAGGCATTCATTCGTGTATCCTAACCCGAAAATGTCCTAAACTTTTCCATTGGGATATCAAGACCGTCAATTTCGTGAGGTACGCACTTAAGCGGCAAGACCAATGACACCTAGACACCAATTAGCATTCAACCACACCAAAGCACGTCAGCATCAACTCCAACTTACCGCAAGCGGGGCGAGTGCCAGCGTTACCAGTCTTCTTAGACTCGGGGTGACCACCCTTGCCAAGGTCATCGGTACCGGAGTGAACGACCAGAGTGCGCTAGAAATCAATTAGCAACTGACACGGGAGGCAGGATTGTCGAAACGGAATTGAGAGATCACTTACGCCGAGAACGGACTCGGAGCCAATCAGCTTGACCAAGCTGTCCTCCTTGGAGCCGACGGCGTTACCCTCAGCATCAGTCTTGAAGTTGCCAAGATCACCGACGTGACGGTCCTCATCGGAAGGAGCACCGTGGTTCTTGCCGAAGGGGTTGACTAGAGGTGATCAACACGCTGTTCTGATTTCATGCTTTGTGTGGGTGAATTTTCGGAGTCTTACAGTGGGGACCAGCGGAGGTGCAACCATTGGTGTTGTCACCGAACTGGTGAACGTGGAAGGCACGCTCAGCGTTGGCGTCGTTGCCGGAGATGTTCCAGCTGATAGTGGTGGGAGCGGACTCGGAAGCCTGCTCGAAGGTGACGGTACCGGCGACCTTGGCGTCACCACGGAGGACAGCAACTGCAGAGAAGATGGGTCATTACGTTGTTCCAGAAGGTTGAAGGTTTAAGGTTGATCAAGGTTGATGGAAGGGGACCCGTGAGCTCGGCTTCAGCAACCCCAGATCCAGCATATTCAGCAGATCCAGCAGAATCCAACAAATCAATCACCAGATCAGTGGAGAAGAGTATGCAGTCTGCACGCCGATAGGTCCGGAATTGAGAGAAGATCACAAGGTGCTCAAATGTGCTCATCGGCTCCAAGGTCCCCGAGCTCGGGAGGGGGAGCTTATTTTGACGAGCAGGGGTAGAGTATAGCTATCTCACTTCTCACACATACCAGCTTTGACCATTTTGATAGATTTGAATGATTCGAATTGAAGATTGGAATGAGATTGAGGGGAGGAAAGAGGAGAAGAGGGAGGAAGCTAATAAGCGGATGTTGACGTGACTGCTAACTGTATTCACTACTGTTCCACTGCTCGACGTGAAAGAAGTACTGGATACCTTTCCCTCCCATAATAAACAACCCACACTGGCTGGTACCGAGTACTTCGCACCACACCCTACCCCCACCTTCCCAAGCGGGCGAACCGGAACATTAGGCAATGACATAATGGAGCTAGTATTGATCGTCTGGTACCAATACGAGCTACCAGCGCCTTTATCGTTGCCTGATCTTGTACCAGTACAAAATCCAACCGTTCAATACCTAGGTACCCTCAACTCTTCGGAGTATGTATATCCGTAACGGCGTCTTGAATTTACTCCGAACGATATCCCAGACGCAGAATACAATTGTACTGTCGCACATGGGCTCTTACAAGGTACATTATCTGATCGCCGATCCTATAGGCAATTGAAATATGACCGGAGGCGTAACCTCGGGTAGTATGGCACTGGAAATCGGCATTCCAAAGCAGAGGGAGGTGCAGGTGCACACAGCATGGGAAAAACCCTGGACTGCGGGGTCTGTGAATAAGCCGGCCCGCCTGGCCCGGAGCTGACCAACGCTGATCCCCTCCTATCCTCATACTGTTAGTAAGGCGTTGTTACTGTTGACTGTTGGCTTTTTATCTCTTTCCAGGTTCTGACAGGGACCGGAGACCCTGAGGAAATTGTCCGATGTACTCCGTGTCTGTGTTAGATTTGTATGGGGTCGTACTCTGTACATGGTAGACATCCATGGATATTGGTCCTATGAAACCCAGAAAGAATTGCTTATCCATAGATTCAATTTATAAGATAGATTTTACAAGATAGAACCAATCAAAAAGAATAAGAGTGTGCAGAACAAGTTCATCAATTCGTATCTACCGATTCCAATTTTAGGGGGGATCGCCAATTTACCAAAAAATTAAAAACACATAATTACCGTCCAATCTAAGCCTGGATCTTCTGAGCAAGGAGCTGCTTGAGGGTAACGGCATCAGCAGCGAACTTGGAGATACCCTCACGGAGCTTCTCAACACCCATAGCCTCCTCGTTGAAGTCGAAACGGAAGTCAGCCTCGTTGTTAAGGTACTCGCGCTTCTTGATCTCGAGGTTGGTAGCGTTGGCAGCGTTGAGCTTCTGGGGCACAGCCTCGGTGGAGTTGTACAGGTCCTCGAGGAGGTTGGGGGAGATGGTCAGGTAGTCGCAACCAGCGAGCTCGGTGATCTCGCCGACGTTACGGAAGGAGGCACCCATGACGATGGTCTTGTAGCCGAACTTCTTGTAGTAGTTGTAGATGTCCTGGACGGACTGGACACCGGGGTCCTCCTGGGGGGGTGTAGTCGCGCTTGTGGGCGGCCTTGAACCAGTCGAGGATACGGCCGACGAAGGGGGAGATCAGGTAGGCGCCGGCCTCGGCGGCGGCGATGGCCTGGACCAGGGAGAACATCAGGGTCAGGTTGCAGTTGATGTCGTACTTGGACTGGAGGATGTGGGCGGCCTTGATGCCCTCGTAGGTGGAGGCGATCTTGATCAGGACGCGGTCCTTGGAGATACCGTTCTGCTTGTAGAGCTGGATGCGGAGTTAGTTTGATCGATTCGGAGGGGTCTCGTTTGACCAGGATGCAAACTTACCTCGATGATCTCAAGGGCCTTCTTGACGGAACCCTCGGTGTCGAAGGACAGCTTGGCGTCGACCTCGGTGGAGACCTTGCCGGGGATAATGTTGAGGATCTCCTTTCCGAACTGGACGAGGAGACGGTCGAGGGTGGCCTCAACCTGCTCGTCGAGGGTCTTGCCGTTCTGCTTACCGTAGGCAACGGCAGTGTCGATGAGAGCAGCGTACTCGGGCTTCTTGGAAGCGGCGAGAATCAGGGAGGGGTTGGTGGTGGCATCCTGGGGCTTGTACTTGCCAATGGCTGTTTTAATTAGTATCACTGCTTCAGTATGAAAAGGGGGGTTTTATTGTAAAACATACTGGCGAAGTCACCTAAACGTGCACGGTTAGCTCAAATTCCCAGAGGAGTGATGTAATAATTCCAAGCTTACCAGAGTCGCAGACGACGACGGTGCCAGTGGCCTTGAGCTGTTCGAGAGAGGAAGACATTGTGTATGAGATTGGGAGATTGTTAAGGATGAAGAAGAAAGATGGAGGAAGTGGCGGCAAGCGCAGTATTTAGAAGCTCGCCGAAGGAGGGGTGGTGTCATGACCCAGAACCAGATCAATTGCCGGGTACTTCAGTTTAGTATGGTGGCCACATACTTAACGGAAGTATCTTTCCCGTGCCCCGAATTCAAGGTGGGATGGTGGGGCAAATGACGCGCTTGCATGAACGCAGTTGTTTCTTTTTCGTCTGTGAGGTACCATTTGCTGATCGATATTGGAGATTCTCTATGCCAATGGTATGCCAATGGCTCTGATTCTATCCTGATTCCTTCCCTCCACTCGCAATACACACTTCAATTCTCAATATGACTTCATGTTCAATCATCCTATACAAACCAAATGCCGGCGCAGAGTGCTCCGACTCCCCCAACCGGAGGATGGTCGACCGGCCAACGGCCCACTACTGCAGCGGCTATATGCTCACCGGGACTCGGATAAATGCCGCAGAGATTCTCATGATACTCCGTACAAGTGTACCTATTTCCGATGTGATTTCGCTATGCTTAGTGAGGCAATTGCCCAAACAGGTAATGACAACCGCCACTGTCTAGACTTTTCGCTTCTCAAAATGAAAAGATTGACGTGATTAAAAAAACAAAAAAAAGAGAACAGTTCATCGACGTTGGATGCAGTTCCACTCATACTGTGGTGGTGTTAGTGTCGACAATAGAAAGGGAGATATACATTGGGCAACTCACCACTCGGCCCGCCTCATCCCCCGTATAAACCACGTGGGGAAGGGCCAGCATACAGCTAATGCCCGCACTAATGTTAGCGCCGGTGTCACGATTACTGTCCGTATGATGTAACTGTCGGATCAATTCCAGCTCGAATCGACCGCCCCGAATATTCTTGCTCCACACATTGACGACACCACGAGTGTGACCAGTTAAGACCAGTTCGCGTTCGAGCCATTCGTTCTGGACTCCTTCGTAGAAAACACAGGACAAGACACGATCATCACTGGACTCGGAAACCGGCTGATCGACGAGAACAACTCCATTGAGAGTGTAGAGAGACAAGCGATTGCCCCGGCAGACCATGATGTCTCCAGAGATGTCGTTAATGCGAGCACACTAGAATGTTGTCAGTAAAGTAGTCTAGCTAGTCCAAGGTTAAGATAGTACTTACATCCACCGCACCTTCAGCGGGAAGAGCCCGCACGAAGGAACGTCGGTTGAGATCCCACAGCATGATCTGACCGTCGCTGGAGGCAGATAACATGGCACTGAAGGAACGAGACACTGCAAGCACCGACACGGGCGACCGGTGACCAAAGAGAGAGCCGATGGGTTGCAAATCAACCGACTTGGTAGTCGCAGTCACAGTCCACAGGGAGATGGTACAGTCAGTGCCACAGGTAACAAGGGTGCGAGAGTCCGCAAAGGTGGCAGAAGATAGCTGGCCAACGTGAAGGTGTTCAAAGTGACCCAAAAGCTTGCGAGTATCGGCAGTGTAAAAGCGAACACTGCCATCGAAGAATCCCCATTCCATGTAGTATTCATAGGTGGGTGGGACATTGAGCCTGAGGGCTGCAGTGCACAACAGACGATCTTGTTTCATGGACAGTGTAGCCACACGCTCCTCAATATTTAGTAGAGACAAGGGCATTTGTGTCAGTGATTCAGCGAGGGTGTCAAGCCGGGGCACGCGATGCTTTTGATCTTCCCTAGGGGCGTGAGTCCGTTGGAATATCTGATGAGGAGTTTGTCCGAAGTTGTGAATGATACCAATGGTGGCCAACCGTTCCATTGGGTCATCGATAGCGTCCAAGTCTTTAGCGCCCTTGTAAGACAAATGGTGGAAAACGTTGACAGACTCAACCGCTGCATCACCCTTTTGTTTGCTACCGAAAACCAGATCGATCCAGTGGTGCAGGTTCTCAGATACGTAAGGGCTCTCGAGTGCCTCGCGGTGCTTGGCGATGAAGATCTTGGGGTCTCCTTTGGCCCACGGAGGTAGCTCAACCGAGTCGATGGCCGTGGTCATATTTTGAAGAAGACCAAAGTCGTACTTGTTGGAGTTCGTTAAGAACTCTGGGAGGTAGAAGAACTCAGGGATCAACTCTCGAACGTCCGTCATGCTTCCCTTGGACGCCGATTCCCATGCCTTGCGGATGGAATAGAAGAGACGATCGGCATGGTCAAAGGATCCGCCTTGGAGAAGGAGGTAGGACTTGACAAACGGTTGCAGGCGGATCAGATAAGAGCATACAATCATGGCAGAGGAGTAGTGAGTTCCGTAGTGGAAAGGCGGCGAATTATCATCGCCCATCTCGGCGAAAGCATTGTAACGCTCCCGGAATCCCGCTTCTCGCTCCAGGGTCTGACATCCCATGGGTTTCGACAAGTCTCGGAACGTAGCTGGGTTGGTGAGGTCGAGCTCTTCACTAGTGTAGTCTGCCAGAACCCATGGGAACACCGGGTATTGAGTCAAGTCATTGAATGTGCGTCCAGCAAAGGTGTTGATCAGCATGAGATAGTGGAAGTTCGAAATTTCACCCTTGACCCATTTCCGCGTTGCTGGGTTTGAGGGCAAATGACCAAAGACACTAGCAAATTTAGAACCCAGGGACTGCGGCGCATCATCCTGGCTGCGAAGAGTTTCAAACCGCCAGATATCCTCTGGGCGCGAGTGTCCAGTACTTCCAGTGACCTGCGGTGCCCTGACACCCAGCTGGTTGCACAAATCGTCTCTTGCTCGAGTTGACATCAAAGTCAACAAGTAGCTCGTGCCATCCGTGAAGAATATTTCCAGCGCAACATCGCGGAACAAAAAGCGGCGCTTAGAGACGCTGACCAGATCGGACCATTTCCAGCTTCTAGTCTCGTGTTCTTGCGAGCGTCGATCGTTGGACTCCCGACCTGCGATCATGCGCACGTAGGGATCTCGCTCCTCGTTGGGGGCTTGCCAGACATTCACAATTTCACCATCTGCTCTCTGGAAGAAATTGTCAAGTATGTAGATGCAGTCTTTGCCGAGGATCAAAATGCCTTCTACTGCCTCTAAGCCAATGATTCGAGACAAATTGCAGACGCTTTGTACTTGATCGCCACGCTGGAGAGATCGCATCACCTTGCGATTCCTGTCTTCATAATCTTCCAGCTCGATCTTGGGATCATCGATCAACTCAAAGTTATCCTCTATGAGACTGCGATTGTCGGTGTCACCATTCGGCGAAACACCCTCCACATTCTCGGATTCCGAATTGAGAGGATGGGGAGTTGATAAGCCCTCACCCTCCGAAAGCGCACGTACTCGGGTATCCAATTTTATTGCAGGAGGTTCCGATGCTTTGCGCTTAGGTTGGTAGTCTTGTCGGTCTCCAGATTCATCCGGAACAAGACGCAATCGCATGCGACTACGACCCTCGGTTTGGTCGAGCCACCATCTCCTCTCTTTGTCTTCAGACAAAAGGCCACCCGGTCGTCGCAAGTCAAGTAACAGGTCCGAGAAGGCCGACCACATGAAAGTTGAGCTATCATGCAGATCTTGTAGGAATCTCTGAGACTTCAAGAACTCGGATGCTGCAATGTTTGAAATCCAATGGGGTAGAGTGGCGTCATGCTTTCGGGTCATGTCTTCGTCGAATTTCTCAATTTGAGCCCATTGCTTGAGTTTATCTTTGCGCTTTGAGACTCGAGATTTGACGGATTCTTCGCAGCTGACATTTTCCTCGTGAACGAAATTATCCCATGAGCGAGAAAAGGAACCAAAGAACAAAGCATCAAGGTCTTCACGCTGTTCATCGATCCATATCAAGAAAGCTTCATCCTCCATTCCTGAGAGTGCGTCAAAGCCGTCTGCAAGTCGACGCTGGAGGGTAACGGAACCGTGCCCGAGAAGAGCTGTTATCTCATCCGGCGCCTGCACCAGAATGACTCTCCATAAGCGGGCAGCAGCGGAGCGAACTTCTCCATCTGTGCTGATCAGCTTAGTGTACAGTAGATAGCAAAGAAGATGGAGATGCTTTGACTGAGTTTCGGCTGCCGCAAGGACAACCACTTGCCAATAGTTTAACCGATTAAGCAGGGGGACTGTTGCAGAGTCATCTGCCTCGGATAGCTGGAGTAGGACCGTCTTATACAGCGTTGAGCGAATAGTCGTTACTGCCGGTCCACACAGACGAATGCTTTTCAGCTGGGAGATGTCAGGGCGCTGAAGATACTCCAGCAGAGTGCCTGTGAATTCCATAGTGGACTGCCCTCCATTTATGAACCACCCCTCATAGACGGCCTCCGTCAGATGTATGGCGAGGCGTCCCAGATTGGTCAATACACGAGGCTCGTGCAAGAGACCTGGTCGGACAAGAGGCAGGTCTTGTAGCGTTGAAAGTAAGTAGCCGAACACCCAAGAGTTGAAATACGCTTGGTGTTCTAGGAATCCAGGCGGCGTCTTGAGGTAGAGGCCAAGCCCTGTGAAGTCCTTGCGCTCCAAAAGCTGATCTTGGAAGATATCAAGAATTAGCTCCAACAAAGCTTTGACAAGAGGGTGATCCGTGACAGCTTTGCTTGCGGTGAATGTGGGATTCGTGAATCGTCGGATGCGTGCAGAAGACTGTTGGGGCTTTGATTTATCGGAAGAAATCAAGATAAAGGAAGACCCTCGGCGCAAAGAGCTAGTGCTATCATGAAGAACTTCCGGGCAATCAACCGTTGTTGTTTGCACAGCCGCAGGGTTGCCTGTCGCAGGAGTTCCTGTCGTGCTCGAGCGCGGGCGCAGAACCAAGTTGCTGTCATCGAAGCTAAGCCCACTGTGTCGGAAGTTCAATTCGGTGTTGGGGCTGACGGTATCTGCACCCACGACGACGGGATAAAGCACGGCAAGGATTTCTTGCACGTAAGTAGAGTGTGCAGTGAACTCTTGGAACACCGGAGACTTGCGACGTATTTGTGCGAGAAATTGAACGATTGAAGTGAGAAGCGTAAAGCCATGAATGCGTTGGTCCGAAGCATCTACCAAAGTTAGTTGGATGTTACGTAGGGGTGTTCATGGTAACAGATCATACCGGAAAGCTTCAGTGAGTCCATACGAGGCTTTTCACAGGTGGAAGCTTGTTCTTGAAGCGAAAGATGGCTGTCGCCATCTGTCTGGGTCGACATGATTATGTTGCGTGCTCCGCTTTTCAACATATTCGTGATGACAGGCAGCATATCAGGGAAGACAACCTTCGCATCGCCTTTCTCCAGGAAAATGTGAATCAATGCAGCCGAATCCAAGGGTTTGGTGAGATCGAGCGAGGCGTGATCCACGCCAAAAAGAATACCGAAACAGATCGGCCACAGAGCCGGGATGTTCCACCATCTCTTAAGATGATGCTCTAGGAGAATATATCCACCGCTCTTCTCTGCAAATTTCTTGCTGTATCCACTGCCATGGACGACAACTAAGCGTGCTAGTATCTTTGTCGCAAGCAGCGCAATCTCCGGCTCATCTTCGCACATGAGGTAAAGAAGCCACTACGAATAGAATTAGCAGTGGTTTCATCAAGGAAATCGGTCCAACTCACCTTGCTGGTCACGGCTTTGGCAAACTTCCGCAGGGGGACAGAGTCATGTGGATTACACAACACTGAGCAGTACAGCCGCAACATCTCAATGCCCAGGGTGACACTGGAAATGTATTTGCTTTCTGATTTCGCCGACGAGGGTCGCGACGAAGGCGACAAGTATCGGAAACTCTTCTTTTTCTGCAGGCTGGTCGGGGCTTTTGGTTTGTGAAGGACATATGTAATTGATAGTGCCAGAGAGCGCAACAAATCGGGAGACGGACTGCTCTCCATCAACGACCGGAATGCTGACAGGCAAGGTTGGAGAGATTCTTTGGTTATTTCTCCACTCTTCAAAGTTTCCAACAACTTTTTGTTCACGCCTAGTACAGTCAGTTTCGTCAATCAAGCAACAAAGAATTGCGTGGGAACACGCGGAAAGACTTACGCATGCGGCCCAGCCGCCTGGCGTTAAAACGGCGGAAATTGCTATCAGAAGAGAAAGTGCAGAACTGTGAGTAGTACAACTCGAGGACCTGTGATTCACTGAGTCGCCAGACATCCATATCGACTAGCAAAACACGGTAGGCGAGCGGATTGGTGATGATGGAGCGATTGGGACGTTCGAAATCGTAGCCAACAAATGCAAGAGTCAAACGCAGCAGATCGAGGGTCAGAGCAAACAGCTCTTTGGGATCGGAGCTGACAGCAGGAATTTTGCTCGGCGCAGCGGAATTGCCAATGTGGAAACCAAGCTTCTCCCTCAGCAGGGCCGCGAGAATACCATATCCGTTTTCTCTTTCCATTGCCTCACTGTTTCTCCAATTATCCTGCACAGATTCGTAGAGAGCGCTGACAGCCATCCGGGTGCTTTCAACGGTGCTTGCCGCCTTGACCAAGCTCAAATGTACCGCAGCACACCCGCCGATGCACCAACTGGCGTCATCTAATGCTCTGGGAACAGCCACGACAGGATCGCCTGTCAAGATGCCGACTCCTTGGGGCTGAGTGAGGCCGTCATTGATTGCTGGGGTGCCACCATTCACCGCGACAGCATTCCCGCCTGCCTTCGTCAACTGCTGCAAGCTTTTGGCTGCTTGTCGCGAAAGGCATTTGATCAACTGCGACTCATCAATGTTGTTACTGTCGTCATCATCGAGAACGGCAACGGGCGATACATTGATCAGGATAGAGCTCTCTCGGACCAAAGTGCTGGCTCTTCTCCGAATGGCAGTGACAATGTCGGAGGCCTCTTCCTTGCCTGGATGGAGGTGTTCGTTCCGTAGATTGAGGGTTGCAGATGCCTTGTATGTTTGGAAGGAGCCTAAACAATCTTGGAAATTTCCATAATATCGAGGCCCAAGGTTGTAGAATACGGCTACCATGTCATCACTGTAAGCCTCGTCGAAGAGCATTCCATTGACGAGTGACCATCGAGAAGTAGAAACCCCTTTCCCAAGACGCATTGCCAGGTCCTGGGGCGTTCCAAAGAATGCCTGGATCCGAGGAGGTTTGCTGGGGTGATGGCTAGTAGGAACTGAAGGGTATTCGATCTTAAGCTGTTCGACGAATTCGCCATCTATGAACAAAGATGCCCGAGACGAAGACATGGGCCTCGGTCTTTTGTGAACAATACATATGTGATACCAACGATTTGGCTCGAATTTAGCGGCCTTGAATCGAACACTGGGCCGAGCACCTCGAATCGAAGTTTGGAGGATGAAGTGTCGCGTATCCCTTTCCAGGTATGCAAGAATAAAACAAGTCTGGCTCGCATCAAATGCACCAAAAATAGTAGTATGCGTATTGGGATCAAATTCGTCAAATCGAGCCCAGGCTGCCAAAGTATAACCCGAGGACACGATGGGAGGGAATGGCCGGCCAAGGGTTGCAAACTCGACCGAGCAGAATCCATGTCTGGACATATCGAACTGTATTGATGGAGGCTCCTTGGAAGATTTGAGAGCAGACAGCAGAACCTTTAACACCTGTGGATTTTCATGTGCGCCACGATACAGCGCAACAGCATCTTCCAAGCTACTCATACCCTGCACGCTGAGAGATTGGGCGAGAGTTTGGTAAATTGTCTTCTCGCTCTCGGAGCGCACGCCATCAAACAAGAGTGGAAGGATAGAGGTGAGCATCTCGGTAGCATGTAATGCTACAACGTTCCTCCGAGACTGTGAAGCCAACTGGCACAGACAAGCTGGTAGGGCCAGCCTTAGGACGGTATACCCGGCTGAAAAAGACGAGTGCATCAACCACACCCGAAGAAATGGGCCGAGTAGTTCTGGTACCTCCACCGTTTCGGCTGAGCCAATGCAGCGATCCACGGCATCTTGCACGTCTTTTGATGATGCGGAGTCTTTATCATCCGCGAATTTTGTACCGACTGTGACGAAAATCCCCGCCACTGTCTCCTGGCATAGGGCTGCGGCAAATATTGCGCCGTAAAGATGTTGTGCGTCGCTCTCAATCGTGTCTATCTTCTTGACCAACGAAGTCAGAGTCCGCTCCAGTGCAGCAATACCTCCTCCGGCGATCTTGCGGGCAAAGTATCGCTTGTTGCCAAAATGATCCTTCAAGCCTTCTGCCAGAACACCCAGCACATCTTTAAATATGCTCAACAGACCCTTCCGGTCTTCCTTGGATAGCTCGGGGTGATAGAGCTCGGCAATTCGGTCTGCAAACGAGAGCAATGTCTGAAAGCCCTGCAGATAACGGAATGCATCTTTGGCGGTGCGAGGCCGTGCATCATCAATAAAGGTATGGCGGAGGCGGAGAAGAGGCTCGGTAGTGGATAGAACCTGGGGAAGAGTAATCGCGGCGCCCGCGCCGAGGTTCTTCAGCTGGTCAATGGTGGGAGCTAGCTCTTCGGCCAATCGTTCGGTCGATCCCGAGGGGGAGGGAGGGTGGAGGGGAGCCGGCGGAGCCATAGCCAAATCTTAACCAGATCTCCGTATGACCATTAATGAAGTTCCGATGCGGTCTGCATATGTGACCAAGTTAGCGCCAAGGGGAAGGCGGTTAGGAGGATTTCCAAGGCAGCTTTCGTCATCGGACGCCCATGTCAAATGTTCAGCCACTTCTGTAATTGGCAGCCTCACGCCCCGAGAGGGGAAGGGCCGGAGCCTAGATGACTAAGATGGGCTGGGCGGGTATCGCCGTACGGTAATTTACGGAGCTTTCCTTCTCGCAGCTGACAGCTTTTGACGTGATAACCGCCATAAATGCGATAAATGCACCGAGAACAGCTGGGATAGTCGGCTCGGCATGTGAAGAACAGAATGTTGAGGCAATTGACATGTTCCATTCATACTACGACACTGATATATCATGTTCAGACGGCTGAAATGCCCAAACTGATTTTGTAATTACTGAAACCGCCCATGTACTTATGCTTAGTGAGGTGTCTGTAACATGGCCATAGCTTCAATAGTCCCCCAATGCAAGGGGATCCTCAAAGGACCTTGGACTCTCTCATAGGTGAATGCCACGATATTTATATATCATGATCCTCCAGTCGTGGCTTGCATAGCGGTAACGGTGTGTATAACGCTGATAGGCGGATCTGGAAGCTGATAAGCGCGATAAAGGCAGTGAGCAATGCAGTGTGGAGAAGCTGGAGACCAGTCACTGTGCCATTATCCTATGAGGTGACTTTCTCCGCAGATTAGGTGGCAGTGTACCCAATAATGGCGAGCCATGGAAGATCAAGGGAGGCGGTCTTAGAATTGAGTCACCCGGTCATAAGCACGCGACTTCGGAGGGCGAATTGCCTTGGAAAGCCTGAATGGGCCGTGCGAGGGGGGTGAAACTGCCAGGTACCCGGGGGGTGCACCTTGCCTCAGGGCGTGTTGTACTTCACAGCCGAAAAACTGTAGAAAGTCAGAAAACAAAAACAAAAATAATAACATGCTGATATTGTCATGGTGGTTAACCTTGTAGATAGGATGTCCTATCTCCCGAGACCATTTCTCCACACCTGGCAGAGTGACTGGGAGTGTAGATCGGATACCCCATTTCTATGGGTCACCCGTCGCCTTATGTAATCCCGATGCTTGCATCATCGATCCCCCCCCGACTCCTAGATAAAGACGAGCTTCTCCTCATTCTCCCCTTCTCCTCTTTCAAGCTTATCCTTCAACCCATCCTTTACACACCTACGAACCTTATCATTTACATCTCTTCTGTTGTGTTAATACCCTTTGCCCAGCATGAAAGGCTTCCTTAGCCTCACACTGCTCCCGTTGCTGGCATCGGCCTCACCTATGGTGGTGGGCTCCATCCACAATGAGGCCGCTCCTATCCTCTCATCGATGAACTCACAAGAAATCCCTGACTCCTATATCGTGGTATTCAAGAAGCACATCGATCAGAGCTCCGCCTCAGACCACCACAGCTGGGTGCAGGACATCCACACCGCCCAGAACGGTCGGATGGAGCTGAAGAAGCGTTCGCTGTTCGGTTTCGACTTTGAGGCCTTCACGGGTGTCAAGCACACTTTCCACGTCGGTGGACAACTCATGGGATATGCTGGTCACTTCCACGAGGATGTCATCGAGCAGGTCCGCCGTCATCCTGATGTGAGTAGTCCCACCATTTCCCCTCACGGGCCATCCCGAGGTCGGCGGCTAATGAAACCTTTCTTCATCACAGGTCGAGTACATTGAGAAGGACTCTGAGGTCCGCACCATGAGCGAGGGTACCGTTGAGAAGAACGCCCCCTGGGGTCTTGCCCGTATCTCTCACCGTGACACCCTCTCCTTCGGTAACTTCAACAAGTACCTCTACGCTGAAGAGGGTGGTGAGGGTGTTGATGCCTACGTGATTGATACCGGTACCAACACCGAGCACGTTGACTTCGAGGGTCGTGCCAGTTGGGGCCAGACCATCCCCCAGGGTGATGCCGATGAGGATGGAAACGGTCACGGAACTCACTGCTCTGGTACCATTGCCGGCAAGAAGTACGGTGTTGCCAAGAAGGCCAACGTCTACGCTGTCAAGGTCCTCCGCTCCAACGGCTCCGGCACCATGTCTGATGTCGTCAAGGGTGTTGAGTGGGCTGCCGAGGCTCACATCAAGAAGGCCAAGAAGGGTGACAAGAAGTTCAAGGGTAGCGTTGCCAACATGTCTCTTGGCGGCGGTAGCTCTCGTACTCTCGATCTCGCTGTCAACGCCGCCGTTGACGCCGGACTTCACTTCGCTGTCGCTGCTGGTAACGACAACGCTGATGCTTGCAACTACTCCCCCGCTGCTGCCGAGAAGGCCGTCACTGTTGGCGCCTCTACTCTCGCTGATGAGCGTGCCTACTTCTCCAACTACGGAAAGTGCACTGACATCTTCGCTCCCGGTCTGAACATTCTGTCCACCTGGACCGGCAGCAAGTACGCCACCAACACCATCTCCGGAACCTCCATGGCTTCCCCCACATTGCCGGTCTCTTGGCTTACTACGTCTCCCTGGCCCCTGCCAAGGACTCTGCCTTTGCCGTTGCTGAGGTCACCCCCAAGCAGCTCAAGGCCGCCATCATCGCCATCGCTACCGAGGGTACCCTTACTGACATTCCCTCCGACACCCCCAACGTAAGTTTCTACCTTTCCCCACATTGATAAAGCTCCCCCGCTAACTTCTTCATAGCTCCTCGCCTGGAACGGTGGTGGTTCCTCCAACTACTCCGACATCGTCGCCGGCGGTGGCTACAAGGTCGGCAGCAGCGTCGAGGACGCTGTCAAGGACCGCGTCGGCAGCATCATTGAGGATGCCGAGAAGGCCTTCCACAAGGAGCTCGGTGCCATCTACAGCGAGATCAAGGATGCTGTTTCCGCATAGATTAGATACTGCTAGGGTCTTGTCAGCGACGAACCCAGCTCTGGGCATATGGATGAATGGTTAACACAGGCGCACTTCTCATTTCTTGGTTTTTCGTTTTCGGTCTTTTCGGTTCTCCAGAACCAGCGGGTCTACCCCAATACTACCTACCTATAAACAGATTGATTGTTGCTATAATGAACTTTGCTCTTGAATGCCGTAGTTGTATATCGTCCTACGTACCCGACCAGCCATCAACATGGTTCATCTTATCTTCTGAGCTGCACCTTTCCACATTCACGATATAATGGATAGATTGAATTTAACATCACTTTCACCATACGTTCTCTCCTGGCCTCTTGTTTCGGCTTGCAGTAGCCATTTGGTGTCCTTTGCTTGGCTACGATCGAGCAGTTTTCCTCCCCAGGTCAAGCATAGATGAACACGGGTATCAGCAAAAACCACCCTCATAGATCATAAACAGGTTGCCATGTTATGGACCAGTAGCCCACTTGATGCAATATATACAAACTGAGAATGGAATCACAACACATCCTTAATTCGACGCACGTCATCTTCACCCGCCAAATTCCAACACCATCGACTTATACCGTCAATTTTCTCCTGCCCCAGTACTCCAACGCACTGATCCACGAATTTAAGCGTCAATTGCTCATCCGTCATCGGCCTCTCCAAACTCCCCACAGCATGATCAACATGCTTCTCAATATCACACCTCCCCTTGACCTTTACAACAATATGACACTCATCAGCCCGCAAGCTCTCATCAGCCACAGCCTCAAACCGATCCCTCAACCGCACAACCTTCTCATCAACAACAACACAATCCTCGTACTCCGCCGGCGTAGCCTTCCCAAATAACAAACCAACAGCACCACCATGATAAACACTAAACTTAGCCTCCAACCCATCCTTCGGCCTCGTCTTCCCCGTCAATTCAAGCACAAGAGGATGAACCCTAACAACAACACCCTCAACATCCCAAACCTCAACCCCAACCCTCCCCAACTCCCCATTCAACCAAACACACCCATCAATAACAGGATGAACCACAATCCCACAAGGAAAAGGCTTAAAAGCATTCCTAACAATCTCCCATCTAACCCCCAACCCCCAATCTCCTCCACCAACCGATGTCCACCCCCAACAACATTCCCCCACCCCCTCTTAGCCTCGAGCACCCCCTCCGAACCCTCAAACCCACCCCGCGCAAGCAAAGCCGCAACAAGCCCATTCTGCGCCGCCCGCCCAGGATGAAACGATTTACCATGCGACCCAAACATAACCCTCAACCCCGTAACCTGCGTCGCCGCAAGTCCAATCGCATGCGCCATACACTCAACATCAACTCTCAAGATCTTAGATACAGCCACAGCAGCACCAATCGATCCAGTCGTCGACGTGATATGCCAGCCGACATCATAATGAGCTGGCCAAACGGCCAATCCGATTTTACATTCTGCTTCGATGCCGGCGACTAGCGCGGTGAGGAATTCTGCGCCTGAGACTTGGTAGGGTAGCGTCTCGGTTATGGCGAGGAGGGCGGAGGCGACGGGGCCGGTTGGGTGGATTATTGTGTCGAGGTGGGTGTCGTCGTAGTCGTGGACGTGGGAGGCTATGCCGTTGAAGAGGGCTGCGTGTTGGGCGTCGGTTGAGGTTGAGGTTCCGGGGAGGGATGAGGTTGCGGGGCCTGAGAGGGGGAGAAGGGCTTTCAGGGCGATTGTTGTGGCTGCGTGGTTGCTGCCGCCGATTGTGCAGCCGATGTAGTTGTAGAAGCTGCGGAGGGCGGCGTGGGTTACTTCTGTGGGGAGGGTGGTTAGGGAGACGGCCCAGGTGGCTAGATCTTTGGTGGCCATTTTTGGTAATTGGTTGTGGAAGGGTGTAGTTGGGTATATCGTGAGCGCTTTGAGGCTGTGAATGAGTGGGATTTATGCTGTTTGGGATCTGATACTAACGAAGCTTTGCCAAGACCTTTAGGTTGGACCAATTGCGATCAAGTACGTCCCCAGTCATAACCTTGGAACTTGGTCCTCGGGCTCCATGGATATCTTGCGTTCACGTTGGGTCGTTAAATAAAGTTGTCTGCTTTCTATTTACTTACTGCGATTGCCATCGCGAACGCAGCGCTATGGTGTTTTTCAATATCAATCTCGCTTTCCCTGGAGCGTTCTTCGGTAGCCTTTCATGAATAGTTGTGGTAAAGTAGCAGTCATTACCAACAAACCAATCTATAACACTAACACACGAGATGCAATAACTCACCGAGTCTACAGCAAAACAGACAACTAAAGGAAGGCCAGAAGAGAAGACCATACGGAGTACGGAGTGTCATAGTTGACCTTGTAGCAGGAGACCCTATCTAGAGGTACCTAAGACCAGCCTGCTTGATATGTAGAATTATCAAGCAGCCGTTCGATAATTTAGTAAGGCACAAACTCAATCGAGTCAATATAAACTGCGAAAAAGTGATCTTGCTATTGGCATTGATTGCAATTTGATTTCTTTGTAGGCGGGTACCGGGGCGGGGACAGTGGAGTCCACTTTCTCTTAGTGGCTTTCGGGGAGTATAGGGCTGAATTCAGAAAGGCGATTTGGCTTGGCTAAATAAAATGTAAAAGGTCTAAGAGATGCAAAAAAATCGAAAAAAAAGCAAACCCCCGATGTGATGCTGAGATATCCCCGCTGAACGCCTTGTAAAATGTGCGCCGAGAATGCTGTGACCTAAAGAGCCCCGGAGGGCTTGGAATGTGGAGGGTTTCCCCCAAGGAGATGGCGAGGTGAGACGGCCTCAGGCCTTTGCCTGGCTCGTTCGTGGTTCCTCAGCCGACTCATCATCCGACTCATCCTCCATATCCATGTCGCTACCGCTGGACTGCTCCATGTCAAGATCGTCTTCAGAATCACTGCCTCCGAAGACATCGCTGTCGACATCGCTATCAGCCCAGAAATCATGATCTTCCTTCTCGGTAGGATCGGTCACCGCGGTTGTCTCGTGGGTCGGCATCTCAAAGCCTGCGGGGATATCCTGTTTCGAGGCTTCCACGTCGGCTTTGACGAGCTGCCGGTATATGCTCGGTTCGTTGCGCAGCAAGACGGCGGCGTCGACGTTGGCTGGTGAAGAGGGCTCGGCGTCGTCTAGGAGAGAGAGAATCGAGATCAAGACGGACTCCACTCGCTGGGCAGGTGACCAGCGCTCGGAAGCTAACTCTCCGGACATTTCATCGTCACCGGGTGCGTGGAGGATGGAGATGCATAGTTTGCCATCTGGGTAGATGTTGGGGTGGTGGAGGGGTTTCAGGAAGCGGAATTCTGTAAGTGTTTCCCCGAATTAGTTGCGTCAGAGAGAGGGGGTCGAGGGGGAGACGTACTGGGTGGGGCGTAAGGGTAATTTGAGGGGAACTTCATGGAGGCTTTGAAGTACCCGCCATAGTACAGGGAGTCCGGGTTGATGACCACCAAAGCGATGTCCCAGTTGAAGATGTCGTCATTGTGTAACTGGGAGCACGTCAGATCAGGGTCAAAGGTCAAAGAGAAAGTTGTCAATAGACATGCAAGCGCCATTCAAAGCCGAATGTTCTCACGGGGTTGAGGCTCTGTTCTCTCAATGGGGGAACTTACCTCGGCATGCACCCACTTCTCTTTCAGCAGGCCCTTAAATTCATTCATCAAGATTCGTTCAGCCATGATGTGGTGACCTTGCAGGCTCAGAAGGTAGCGGAGAGGAAAGTAGAGTGGGTTTATCGGAAGGCCGCAGGAACTGAGCCACTTAGCCACAAAAATCAGTGGCGACTCTGACTAAACACTTTGCCCTCTGCACACTCTCAGACTATCTCTTTGTTTCTATGTTGTATTTTCTTTCATATCACTTCTCGACTCGAGTAAAGAAAAAAAGGAAGTCATAAGGAGATATTCGATAAGACGTTTTCTCGCAGTGGGGAACTATACCCCGATAAGCAAAAGATCGGCCTGCAGGTCATGAAACCTCCGTTACGACGTAATAGTCGGGCTCCTAATGGGGTCACTACTACGGGGACCCCCTATGAATTAGAATACTATTGTTTTAGAATGCAAAAGAATAGAAAATTTTAGATAGCGTGTGGTACCTCGCTCCACTACTAAAACTTGGTGGCGGCCCATGTCACTCGGACGTCCGTCCACCGCCGGTTTTGGAATCTCGCCTCTGTTTGCATTTTCTCTCCCCGCCCGGAACTCTCGACTCTCAGGCCATAGGGTATTATTTCTCGATAGCTCTACCCATCAGCCACCGGCTCCGCTCTCTTTTCCCCATTTTGCGATGCCAGCCTTGCCCGACAACCTCAAATCTTGCTAATACAGGGTACTCATCCCCGGTCGCATTGTCATTTATTCCTATCGCCAGCCTTGTGAGCTGTGCGCGCCCACCCAGAGCTTCCGGTATCTGAACTACCAGAGCTTTGCGACCCGTCATGTTGCCACAATGTCAAGGTCCGGTCTGGGCCATTGACGACTTGTCTCGTTGCTTTCAACGCAAGTGAGTTTTGCCATGGTCCTCATCCGGGACCAGGATCCCATGTTCCAGCTTCCGCTAACTCGGTACCTAGTGTGCTCCAAGTGATACTTCCCCTCACGGTATGCGGCGCTTCGCTGCTGCTGATCCTCCTTCGTCTCGCCCATCGTTATGCGCTCACCCGGAAAGGTGTCGCCTACAAGGTTCTGCCAACCAATGATTCGGAGGAGTCCAATACCGCGGAAAATGAATCCGATGCTATGCTGTCTCAGGCCGCCCAGAACGAACAATCTCAGGTTGAGGTCGATCGCCCGCGCGGAGAAATCGCCGTTGTACTACTCGAAATCGCCGCTTTGATTGGCCAGGTCGCGGTCTCCATTGCGATTTTGTCGACTGGCGTCTGGGGTCGACATGGAACGCTTCCCGCGATCGCCGGTCTGGTCTCATGGGGTTATATACTTTTCTTGGTGCTGGTTCGGTTCCTTCTGTCGACGATGGATCTGTTCTCGGCGCCGAGATTGTGGAATCATACCGCCAGTCTGTACGGTCTTCAGTGGCTGTTCAACGTGATGATTTTCCGATCTGCCATCATTCACCCGCTCTCTCAGCGTGCCTTGATTTTTAGCAGCGTTCAGTTCGCGCTCAGCACAGTCCTGCTGATGGTCGCTCTTACTACGCGCCGGGGTAACAAGCCGGTGTTGGTGGAACGCGAAGGCAAATTGGAGCCCCCGACACACCCGATGGCCAGCCTGTTATCTCTGGCGACATTCTCCTGGCTGGATCCCTTGGTCATGAAGGGCTATCGTCAACCGCTTGAGCTGCAGGATGTTTGGAATTTGACTCCCTCTCAGAAGGCTGCCAATGTCCTGACGGACTTCCGTAAGCGCCAGATGAAGGGATCCCTGGCATGGAAGCTTATCCGTTACTTCATGGGAACGATCCTCAAGCAGGGTGCTTGGACTGTCTTTGCCAATCTGTTTGTGTTCATGCCCAGTCTTCTCCTGAAGGCTATCCTGGAGTATGTCGAAGACCCTCGTTCGACTACCCCCAATGCTGCGTGGCTATTTGCCATTCTGCTCTTCTGCTGTGCCACCGTACAGGGTGTTGCAGATGGACAATCGCTGTATATTGGTCGCAAGATGGGTGTGAAAATCCGTGCGATCATTATTGGTGAAATCTATGCCAAGGCCCTGCGCCGTAAGGCGGGTGCTTCAGTGGAAGCTGCCAAGAAGGCTGTCGATGACTCCGTCTTGCCCAAGGATGCGCAGAAGAAGAAGAAAGGACTGTTTTCTTTCGGTCGTAAGAAGAAGGCGGCAAATGCCAACGACACCGAGACCGCAACAAAGCCCGATTCCAAGGAAGAGGATACCACACAAGCCAACGTCGGTACTATCATCAACTTGATGGCCATCGATTCTTTCAAGGTTAGCGAAGTGGGTGCCTATCTTCACTTCCTGTGGGCCAGTGTGCCTGTGCAACTGATCATGGCCATTACTCTGCTTTACCACATTATGGGCTTCAGCTCATTCGCCGGTATTGCGCTCATGGCACTTATGTTGCCTATCAACCTTTTCATCGCCCGTCAGTTCAACAAGGTACAAAACCAAATCCTCAAAGGCACCGATGCGCGCATCCACGCCACCAATGAAGTTCTCCAGAACATCCGCATCATCAAGTACTTCGCTTGGGAGCAGCGCTTCCAGGATATCGTCAATGAGAAGCGCAAGACTGAGCTCAAGGCCCTGCGAAACAGATACATCTTGTGGTCCTCTGCCGCAACTGTTTGGTACGGCACCCCCATTCTGATCACGTTCATGTCATTCTTCCTGTATACCGTGGTCGAGAAGAAGCAGTTGACGCCTTCCATTGCCTTCCCTGCTCTTTCCATGTTCTCCCTGCTCCGTGTTCCCTTGGACCAGCTCGCGGACATGGTTGCTCACGTGCAGGAATGCAAGGTCTCTCTCGACCGTGTGGACAAGTACCTGAACGAGGAAGAGACCGGAAAATACGATCAACTGCGCGACAGCACAACTGCTGGAACCCCAGCCAAGATTGGTCTTGAAAAAGCCACTCTCTCCTGGAGTAACTCAAAGTCTCAGGCTAAGGACACCGTGTCTGATGCTGAGTTGGACGCTTTCCGTCTGATCAATGTTGATGTTGAATTCCTTGTTGGAAAATTGAACATCATTGCTGGACCCACTGGATCTGGCAAGACCTCTTTGCTCATGGCTCTTCTCGGAGAGATGCAGCTCATCGAGGGTCGGGTTCATCTCCCCGGTGGAATGTCCAACAGGGCCGATCTCCCTGTGGACCCCGAAACTGGCTTGGTTGATAGCATTGCCTACTGTGCCCAGGAAGCATGGCTGGTCAATGATACCGTGAAGGAAAACATCATCTTCGCCTCGCCCTACGACGAGCGTCGCTACCGCGCAGTGCTCAAGGCATGTGCCCTCGAACGGGACCTTGCCATTCTGGATGCCGGTGACCAGACTCTGGTTGGAGAGAAGGGTATCAGTCTGTCAGGTGGTCAGAAGCAGAGAATCTCTCTTGCTCGCGCCATCTACAGCAGTGGTCGCCATCTCCTGCTCGATGACTGTCTCTCTGCTGTTGACTCCCACACTGCTAAGCACATCTTCCGCCAAGCTCTTACTGGTCCTTTGATGCTCAACCGTACCTGTATTCTTGTCACTCACAATGTCGCCTTGACTGTTCCCCAGTCAGACCATGTGGTGATTTTGGATAACGGCAAGATCTCCGCCCAGGGCCGTCCTAACGATGTCGCCGCTACTGGTGCTTTGGGAGACGAATTCCTCAAGTCCCGTCCTGTCTCCCGTGCCAGCTCCCGCGGTCTGTCTCGTGTGCCTTCCGACCACGAAGCACCGGATGAAGATCTCAACGGCACTGCCAACGGAAAAGACCAGGAAGAAAAGGCCAAGCTCCAGGAATCCAAGGCTACTGGTAGTATCAAGTGGACCACTGTCAGCATGTACCTTCGCGCTATGGGACCATGGTACTACTGGATCGGAGCTGTCTTGGTGTTCTGCTTGCAGCAACTCGGCTCGGTCTCTACCAACATCTGGATCAGACAATGGGCCAATTCCTACCACACCTCCAAGGCTGGCACTGAAGACGCCGGTCAGTATGCGGCTGCTGCTCATCTCAAGCCCCCCGACTTTCAATGTCGGAAGTGTTGGTCGCGTGAGCAGCTGGAGCTTGCCCCAGCTTGGTGCGAGCTCCACTGCCGAGGGCTCTGGTGAAGTTAATGTAGGTTATTACTTGGGCGTATATGCGCTTCTTGGATTCCTTTACATTGCTATCTCTCTCTCCCGTGAAGCTGTCCTTTTCTGGGGCTCACTTCACGCCTCTTGGAAGATTCATGACCGTCTCCTCAAGGCTGTCATGCATGCCAAGTTCCGATTCTTCGATTCCACGCCCCTTGGTCAGCTCATGAACCGGTTCTCCAAGGATGTCGAATCGGTGGATCAGGAGGTTGCCCCTGTGGCCATTGGTATGCTTCACAGTCTGGCGTCTGTCATTATGATCGTCATTCTGATCTCTTGGATCACCCCGGGCTTTTTGATCGCTGGTGTGTTCATCACACTCGTGTACACTGCTCTTGGTGCCGTCTACCTGAACTCCTCTCGCGATCTCAAGCGACTGGAATCTGTCCAGCGCAGTCCTCTCTACCAGCAGTTCGGTGAGACCCTGAACGGAATCGTCACTATCCGTGCTTACGGTGATGGACCTCGCTTCATGGTGGATAACCACCAACGCATCAATGCTTACAACCGTCCTCACATCTACCTCTGGGCCAGCAACCGCTGGCTCGCCCTGCGTGTTGACTGGACAGGTGCATTGGTCTCATTCTTCGCCGCCACCTTCGTACTTCTCAACGTCGGAACCATCGACGCAGGTGCAGCAGGTCTCTCTCTAACCTACGCCGTCACCTTCACCGAAAACGTCCTGTGGCTCGTGCGCCTTTACTCCGAAGTCCAGCAGAACATGAACTCCGTCGAGCGAGTCAGGGAATATCTCGAGGTCGACCAGGAAGCCGCATCCGTCATTGAAGGGTCCCGTCCCCCAGCGAACTGGCCCAGCCAAGGCGCCGTCGACTTCAACAGCTACTCCACCCGCTACAGACCCGATCTGGACCCCGTTCTCAAGGAGGTTTCCTTCTCCGTCAAGGCCGGCGAAAAGGTCGGCATCGTGGGTCGCACCGGCGCCGGCAAGAGTTCTCTTGCCCTCGCCCTCTTCCGAGGTCTCGAGGCAGAGAAGGGTCAAATCCTAATTGACGGTGTTGACATCGGCGCAATTGGCTTGCGCGACCTGCGCGAGGCAATCACCATCGTTCCTCAAGACCCAACCCTCTTCACCGGAACCCTCCGCAGCAACTTAGACCCCTTCGGTCTATTCAGCGACGAACAAATCTTCACAGCCCTCCGCCGCGTCCACCTCATCGGATCCAGCACCTCGGGCACCGCAACCCCCACAACGCCCAGCACCCTCACAGCAACCGAGAGCAACGCCAACGCCAACGGCAGCGCTGTAACAGTCATCGACAACAAAAACATCTTCCACAACCTCGACAGTCTCGTCTCAGAATCAGGCTCAAACCTCTCACAAGGTCAACGCCAACTCCTCTGTCTCGCCCGAGCCCTCCTCAAAAACCCACGCGTTCTCATGATGGACGAAGCCACCGCCTCAATCGACTACGCCACCGATGCCAAAATCCAAGAAACGCTCCGCGAGCTCCACAGCAGTACCATCATCACCATCGCCCATCGTCTGCAGACTATCATCGATTACGATAAGGTTCTGGTCCTTGACCACGGCCGCGTTATCGAGTTCGATCATCCTTGGACTCTCATTAACAAGGATGATGGCACTTTCCGCAGTATGTGTGATAACAGTGGTAATATGGAGGTTTTGCTTGATGGGGCGAAACGGGCTTGGACGCAGAAGAGACTTGTTGATGACTCTTGAGCTTTGTTTGGGTTCTAGGGGTTTTTTAATCTTTTCTTTTTCTTTTTTCTCGTTTGTTGGTTTACTATATAGAATCTTCATCTTCGTACATAACCATTGTTTTGCCTCTGTTTATTACTTTTTTGCGCCTTGCTTTTGCGGGCTTGTCAAAAGGAGAGATATCAATGTAATCATTATTTATTTCATGGGTTGTTCTGAGGTCTTGAGCTTTGAGTCTTGTAGAATCTCCAGGGCTTGAAACTATTGTAAACTAATGTAACCTTAGAAGAGCGAGGTATATTTCCAGCCGTACCCACTTGCGGTCTACTCCGTACCTAGGTAGCTCTAGCTTATTTCAGTGAGGCCCGAGGCCCCGGGGAATTGTTGATAAGAGAGAAAATAAGAAGTAAAAGGAGATTTTCATTATTTCGTAGGTGCAATTCCGAAGAATGCACCGAGAATCATACAGATAGGTATTCTTCTGTTCTGAACTAGCTAAACCCTGCATGACGAGCTGGCCACGCAAGTCTGCCACCAAAGATATGTCATTAATGCATTTTCCATCGCGATAACACGTTGGCGGCCAGCACCCGAAGTAATAACGCACGGAGCACCTCCCAAGGTCCCCCCAGCCCCAACGGGCTATTTCAGGTCTTTTTGCCGACTGATTTGATTGCTCGGTATAGTCAAGGTGTGTATGGATTTTCCGACAGGGATCGCTTTCAGTCATTTCGGTATCAGGGTATCAAGGGTATTTCCGAATCAGAGATGTGAGCCGACAAGATTTTAATAAAGCACCGATAAGGACTTCAAGTGCGCCATCAAGCCATTAATCAACCGAGGAGCTTCAGTTTCAGTTTCAGTCCCAATTCGGATTCGGATTCGGATTCGGGTTGATAGGCGGAAGGGTATAGAGCATATTCACGGGGGCCCACTCGTAAAGAATCCGTCGAATCCGTCGCCTGACCATTCTTTCAATTGAAATCGGTCACAGACGCAGTTGAAAAAAGAAAAGTGGAGTAATTCAAGATAAAAATCATGAGATCATGCGCAGAATCACGTCTTCGAGCGAACCCCGCGCAGAATCGTGAACATGCAGACCAGCGCCGACGCAATGAAAAAGAAGCTGAATGGCGGCCATAGATCAGGCACCTTCTCCCATCGGTACGTGATAATTGCACGACCTGCCGACTTAGGCGATGTCTGAGGACTCGGGTGCATCGGCTCGGGGATCGGCGGTTCCGCATCCGGTGAGTTGTGCAGCTTTTGCGTCTGCGTCTGCGTCTGCTTCTGCTTCAGCGAGAATTGAGTGCTTTGTGCAGTCGCAGAGACGAAGCCCGCCTCGCGTAATGATTGTTCTTTCAAAACGGCTTCGAGTTCATCTTCGTCGGGGAGTGTCTCTGGGTAGTAGTAGCGCTTATCGTGTTGGGGCGGAGTGGTGGATGGCGTAGATAAGGCATCGTTGGGCATTGGTGGAGAGATCGGGAGCTGAGGCAGCTCGTGCGCGATGGTAGGTAGGTTCTTGATGGGACTTGCGACTGCGATTTCTTGGAATGCGCAGAGCGCGAGGACAGCTAGGTGAAGCAGTTGTAGCATGATAGCGGATGCACGCGGGTGGGGATTGATAAGATCGGCGCGGTTTTGCAGGACTCGACGATCACCTTTATAGCTGGCGCAGAGTGGGAGGACAAAGAAAACCTAAGTAATCACACCCATGGGACGCATGGGAGAGAGAATATAAAGAAAAGAAGCCAAGGTGAAAGAGAAAAACGGATCCGGAGATTCGGACTGGCCACGGAAACGGCCGTATTCGTACTCCGTACCTCCGCTGCATAAGACGCATAAGCGCTCTAGACTGTCTCCACTCTTCAGTCTACAGTAGCGCAATACTTTATTCTCTGACTCTCCGGATTATTTTGACATGAAATAGATCAATATGTAAATATATTATTTTAGGCCACGAGTATCACAATTCAACTGTTATCCGCGCAGGAAAACGCCGACGAAATATCCCCATCCCTATAAGCCTTATTAATTTGTACAACAACCCCGTATGTTCCACCAACCGCCATAAACAGTCCAAGCAGAACCAAGAAAACATGAAACGCATATAAGGAGACTCGGACCGCATTACCCCGCCAATAATCTCGGTGGCTATATATCCACAACCACCCAGGCAGACTGATAGCCAACGGCGCAAAACACAAGCTCCCAACCAGCGCCAGAACATAATTGAAAATCGGAATTGCCTCAGCTAACACGAAGGAAATAGCCGCTGTGCCCACCGTACATGATAACCATGTTCCCCAGTGAACGGCCGTGTTGGCCTGCAGATGGCGGGAATTGCGCAAGATCCGCACAAAGAGATACTTGGCTGCGACGTGGACGTAAAGACAGCCACTAATGATCAGACCGGGGAGTGCGATACCATACGCAACGCGTTTGACAGTTTCGCCAGCGCTTCCAAGCGACGGTGAGGCAATCCACTTGCCGCACCAGGCATAGATGACCAAGCTAAAGGTAAGATATGAGGCTGTTACGAGGCTCATACTGAGGTAGACGGCTTTGGGGTAATCCTTTGGCTTGCGCATCTCTGAGATCACGGGGAGGAAGGCAGAGGTCGCGGCGCTGGAGACGAAGATAGTGGCCGAGGCCGTGATTCCCGTTGTGAAGTCCGGGTTTCCGATGACTCGGTAGCCGAAGTCGAAGTCGCCTGTCTGGGGAGCTGCGGCTGGTCGGTCACGAACGGTCACGCCGATGCTGGGAGAATTAGTCTTGATCGCGAGGATTGCGGGGAGGAACGTACACGATGATGAATACGGCGATGTAGACGCTGCCGAAGCCGAGCCAGGTGAGCCAGCCGATGTGGGAGAATTTGCGGACGCTGGCACACATGGCTATGATGATTGTTCCGATGAAGGAGAACCATACTGTGCATATGGAGTGGAGAGAGAGGGCGTTGAACGCCGTTGACACGCCGATGATCCCCGATGCAGCGACGATCACGTAGCTGATGGTGAATAAGGCGCCGACGAGCTCTTTCACAATAGGACCGCCGACGACCTGTGCCATATCTGCGATCGAGTGGCAGCCTGGATAGGCATTGCGGAAATTACCTTGCACCAGGGCACAGTAGGTGTTCAGTAGACTCCATCCCACAACAGTGATGGCACCTGGGAAGGCACCTAGCTGGTACATCAATGAAGGGATGGAGAGCACGCCCGTGGCGAAAATGACTACGGACGTGTTAATATCAATATGAATGAGATGATGCGGGGAAACGGACTCTTGAGAAAGATCACGGATGCGCGAATCCAGGAGACAGTTCGAAAGTCGACTTGGCCATCTCCTCGCTTGAAGACTTCGAACTTATCTTCCACTTCGGCCTGAGCTGTGTCGATATCGACATGGGGCTCGTCTGTGTAAGGGGCCTCTTTGATCTCGTCGGCTGCCATAGTGGAAATATACAACGGGGGCAGTCGAATAACTCTGACAGGTCGAGTTGGAGACGGAGCCAGGAATATATAGGCGTCACGACTTATCGCGCATCAGTTTTGGTTTGGGCATTGGCAGGCGATCGTCAATTGGTACTTTTGCACTGTAATGCTTCATGCGATAAGGGAGTGGTCCACTGGCAATCCACTTTTCCCCACGAAATTAGAGATAATCTGACAGAATGGAGGAGGTTGGTTGATTTGGAGTCACTGCCGGGTGAGTTGGGGTATTTCTGCTGGGTCAATGGGAGTACCTAGATCAATCCTGAGACCGTAAAACTGCTTGGCTTCCGGGCTGAGACTTGGGTGATATCAGTTGGGGTAGGTGTGTATTTGGGGTAGACGATATACTTATTGTTTGTTAAATCTTGAATATCGCGATACGATGACTTGTGGCATTTGGTAGGAGAAGTGGAGAGAAGAAAACATATCCCGAGAGATACACGAATTGGTCTTCTCGGCGACAATCTCAAGATCCATGGATCTCAATCAACGGAGTCAACCGAGTCAACAGCCATGCCAATCAAGCGTCGAACTTGCCAAACTAGGGGCTCGGTACTTCGTAGATGACGTGCAGCAAAGCCTCAGCGTGAGCTCCAAGGGTTTGAAGGTGGTAATTGGGGTAACACTCCATCACTCGCTGTGACTCCAATTCAATTTTCTGAGCGCTTGTAGTGCAAGCAACACCTAGACACGAAAGGGGTTAGATGGCGACCAGACCCCGGCCAAGCTAAGGAGCCCTATGGATATTGTCGCTCTAATCTCCATGGGTAGAAGCGTACATTGGTACTATAGATCTGAGGGCATTCCAATAATTCGAACATTGTAGCAATTTATTTCTCTTGTTACTTCCAAAAACGACGCACATTTACTTCTCCAGCATAGCACCGGCCTTCGCAGGCATTAAAGCTCCTGGGGGAGGAGCGTTCTTCTTCTTGAACTCATCGCAAACCTGTTCCATGGTCACAAACTCCACACCCTCGTGTTTCTTGAAATGTTCAATGAGTCTAGAATTCGTGAGCTAGAGATCCATAAGAAATTCAACATTGCTAGATCATACCTTTCATGCATGAGAAGCACATGGGGTCGTCCCGAAACATCCGGGTGAATCGTGATGGGGAAGATAAACTCGTCGTACTCTCTGTAGAAGTAGTCGAAGTGGTCGCGCCAGATATCTTCCACGTCCCGCGGGTTGACAAAGCCATGACTGTTGGGTGCGCTCTTGATGAACATCATCGGAGGAAGATCATCAATGTACCAATTTGAAGGGATCTCCACCAACCCAGTCTGCGGACCATGTTCAAGAGGCTTCATCCACTCCTCTGCCTTCTTCTTGTAGTCGATGTTGGTCCAGGTGTCGCCCGTTCGCAAATAATAGGCCTGACAGTCCTCGTGGCTCATACTGTGGTCGTATTCGATGCCATAATCGAGGAGAAGCTGGGCTCCTTCCTGACTGGTCTCCCACCTGTACATGCGCTGTCAGCGTAGTTCTTGGGGAGTCACCCGCTCGCATTCGCCTACCAAGGTGCTACGCTTCCTCGAGGAGGTTTTCCCGCGAACTCTGTCAGCATCCGATATGTCTTGTCGAGAACATCTCGCTGCTGCTCAATTGACATGTCGGTAGGGTTCTCGTGGGAGTATCCGTGCAGACCGATCTCGTGGCCTGCATCCCGGACTGCCGCCATATCCTCGGGGAAGGTCTCGAGGGAGTGGCCTGGGATGAACCATGTTGATTTGATGTCGTATTTCTTGAACAGCTTCAGCACTCGCCGGGTTCCAACTGTTCCCGCCCAGTATCCTATGAGGTCGTTAGAGTGGGATCCAGGTCATCACCGGGTTCACCACCGGACCTACCTCTGCTAATGTCGTTTGTCGAATCCTCTCCACCATATGAGCCTAGCCAGCCAGCGACAGCATCAACATCGACGCCGTAGGTAATGAGAACTCGCTTGGGTGCCATTGTGTATAATTTGCCGAATCAAAGCGGAAGAGGAATGGCTTTTGTATGCGGGGAAAGATAAGCCCCCTCTTCGCCGATCTGCGCAATTGACCACCCTCATACTTCTCCGAGTCCTATTCTTCGCTGATAACCGATCCCATTCCATTTCTCATCCTCCAAACTAATTGTTATCGTGTTTGGCAAGTTGCTTCTCCACCGTGTTGGGGTCACTTCAGTTGGGGTAATCATCGCCTCGTCTCGGCGACGAGACCCATTTTAACGCACTCCCCAAAAGACAGCGGGGACTATTGATGGAGAAGGACAAAAAAAAAAAGAACCAAAAAATAATAAAAACTGGACATGAGTCTCTTTCATAAATCCAAGTCTCCTCAGTCAATAACAGACAAGTTGTAGAGTTGCGCAAACATGTCGGTCCTTTTCACCAGCATTTCCGAGTGGGTACCGATACATCATCTCCAAGATAACGACGCTCACATTCCTACAGGAGCAACCCCGTTAAACCGGGCGACGCGGAAACCCTCCTAAAGCCACTCGGTCTATCCATCGATCCAGCTGAAGCGCAAGACTTCCACACCTTGCTTGCAGCCGTCCACGACTGCGCCGAAGGGGTAGCCGCCTTACCAGACTACCAACCAGTCCCCGACCAGACCAAGTATCCCCGCGAAAATGTCCGTCGGCCAGGCGTCGACGAGCAAGCTTTTGGACAAGCCTGGGCACACCGGTTTCTGATTCGGGGTAATGCCCAGGGCGGCCCACTGGCAGGCAAATCTGTCAGTTTGAAAGATGTAATTGCGGTCGCAGGTGTGCCGCAGCTCCTGGGAAGCGATATCATTCCCTCCTGGACTCCGAAGACGGACGCTACGGTTGTGACTCGGCTTTTGGAGGCTGGTGCGGATATCGTGGGAACTTCAACGTGTGAGAACCTTTGCCACTCGACTTCTTCGTATACGAGTGCCCAGGGCACGGTCGAGAACCCCCATGCGGTGGGATACTCGGCTGGTGGGAGTACCTCTGGAGGGGCTGCGCTGGTCGCGGCTGGAATGGTTGATATTACTATTGGAGGTGACCAGGGCGGCAGTATTCGAGTCCCGGCTTCACTATGCGGATGTAAGTTGCTGCTCTACGTCAATAGTAGGATAACGTGGCTAATTGATGTCAGGCGTTGGACTGAAGCCCACACACGGGCGGGTCCCCTTCACTGGAATTGCCAGTGGAGACGCAATGAATGATCACGCAGGACCACTTACTCGAACAACACTGGAAGCTGCCACATGTCTAGACATCATCAGTGGTTATGATGGAATCGACGATAAGGCTCTCGGTAGCTCGAAGCCAGGCTCTACCAGCTTTGGACTCGCACTCCAGAAGAATCCAGACAACCTAGACGGACTCAAGGTCGGCATCTTGGTGGAAGGCTTCCAGCACAGTGCTGTGGACCCCGCTGTCAGGGGAACTGTATTGGCTGCCGTGCAGAAGTTCAAAGATCTGGGCGCAACCATTGAAGAAGTCTCACTTCCCGACCACCTACAGGGGCCAGCGATCTGGACGATCCAACAACGTATCGCTGGAGCGCAGACATTGCTCGGCCAGAACACCGGGCGAAGAGGTCTTTACATGACTGAAATGGAAGGCGCACGTCTCCCGTGGACTGATGATGGCTTCCAGCGCGCCTTCCCGTCGACAAAGAACGTCATCATCAACGGCCTTTATCTCATGAAGCAGTTCCCTGATCTCTATGGAAAGACCGCCAACTTTGGCCGCTACTTGTCAGATAAGTACCAAGAACTTTTTGAAAAGTACGATGTATTGGTGATGCCTACAACCCCGGTTGTTGCGCCTCGTCATGGCAAGCGGGAACTGCCCCTGGACTCGCTCAAGCCCAGTATGGGTCTGACGATTAACACTGCTATCTTTAATGTGACGGGTCATCCGGCACTGTCTATTCCCGTTGGGTTCGCGCCGGCTAAGGATGATAATGAGGTTATGCTTCCGGTAGGAATGCAGATTGTCGGCGGATTGTGGCAAGAGGAGAAAGTGTTGCGGGCTGGTCATGTGTGGGAGAGTCATTACGATTGGAGGAAGATGCAGTACTCTACGGATAAGAACTAGAACACATCTTGAGTTAAATAGCGGTTGATAGATAGATGGGCTACTTAGAGATATAGCGAATCGGTTGCATATTGTGGCATCCGCCCTCACAGGGGGTCATTTTAACGAATGATTAAATTATTCAGACAGTAATATATCCACCGTCCACCACCATTGCATGGCCTTGTACAAAAGATGCCCGAGTCGAACATAAGAACAGAATAGCATCAGCCACCTCTGCCGGTTGACCCATCCTTTTCATCGGCGCAGTATTCACAGCTGGCATGATAGCCGCTCGAACCTCGGGCTTCTCCATCACCAATGGAGTTTCAATAACACCAGGACACACACAATTGACTCTAATATTGTCTTGTGAGTAATCAATGGCATCAGCCCGCGTCAATCCGATAACGGCAGACTTCGATCCGCAATATGTAGCTAAAGCATTATCAGTCATAGGTTTTAGCAATCAGGATTGATTCATTACTCACGGGCACCCGGGCGACTGACAATCCCTAACTGACTGGCAACATTCACAATAGCACCGCGCTGGGGCGGTCTAGAGGGATCATGACTCGGGAGACCATCCTGAGCGGCCATCTGTCTAAGCTCTGCGCGCGACGAGAGCCAACAGCCTCGATAATTGATGGTATTCACGCGGTCGAATTCTTCAAGGGTGGTTTCTGCCGATCGCAAGGATTTGCCGATGACTCCTGCGCAGTTCACGGCATAGTCAACTCGACCGAATGATTTGACTGTTTCTTCAATAAATGAGTCTGCGAAGTGGTCGTCTGCGATATTGCCAGCTTGGATGTGAAGTTGGATGTTAGGGTGGGTTGACCGAATAGCATCTGCGGTCTGTTGGAGAGAATCCTCATTCACATCTGTGATCGCGATTCGTTCACACCCAGCTTCAGCAAAGGCCTTTGCAGTTGCAGCGCCGATTCCTTGGGAGATGATTAGTTTGCGATAGGGCGGGTATAGCGGGTAGTTATAGGGCCGAGGCTTACCTGTGCCGCCAGCACCGGTGATGACCGCAACGCCTGGAAACATATTGAGATACAGATTGAATATATACAGACAGGATGTATATCAAGATATAAACAGAGAGTAGATGTATACGGAGTTGACAGAGAGTAGTAAGAATATAAAAAGAATCCAAAGTGATGTACTCCACCGAAGACAAGCCCCACCGTTATCTTATCGAGTTGGAGCAGTTGGAGTCATCACCTCCCACCCACTTGGGCTCAGCTCTCCAAACCAGTTCTCCATCGTCCCAATGCCGTCTCCATCACCCCCAAAGGCTCGGGGAGCAAGAGCACGCATCTGTGTACATTGTGGTCGGAGCTTCCGTCGTACAGAGCATTTGGAGCGACACATTCGAACCCGTAAGCAATTGCCGAGCATTACCGAGCTAGTGATGCTAACCCGGTAACCCGCCCAGACACAAAGGAGAAGCCATTCATTTGCTTCTGTGGGGCAGCTTTTACTAGGAGGGATCTACTAAAGCGTCACACACGCATCTCACATCAAGATGGCATGACCTCGCCCAGTGCGCCGCCCGAGCCAACGCCAAAGTCCGATTTCCACCCTGCACCCCATCCTGCAGCTATCCCCGCGCAATATGACACCCCTAGACCGACTGTCCCCCTTGCAGGACCCTCTGCTGTACACCAATGGGCTAGTCACCCGAACCCGCCATATTTAGATCAGAGCCACTCTGCCGGCATGCTGCCGGCTGCCGCTGCAGCGCCCCCTAATCCCAGCATGGAGCCTCATTCGGCTTTGGTGCCGGACGCGGATATGCTCCAAGCCGCCCAGCTGCTGCTTCCCGGTGACTATCGGGCGACAGGTGCGTTTTCCCGATGTATTGCCAAGGCTATTTGCAGGCCCCTACAAGTACAGAGTACAATGCTCAGGTCTTGGCAACAGCTGCTGGTTTGCACGAATCGAACCGTAGTGCTGTCGCTTTTGATGCCACGTATCTGACACTGAATTAGCGCAACCATTGCCGTATTTACCAGAGGATCTGAACCATTTTCAAGAATTCACCCATTTTTTGGATTCTATTGGCTTGCCTGGGGAGTGGCTCCCCAGCGAGGGAGAAACCTCTCAAACCCACGAGGTGGGTCTGGAAGATGTGCATGACCAAAACCGGCCAGTTCAAGAGCAGCAGCAAGACCGACGCGTAAGGAGCGGAGAAGGGTCTAGGGGCGACTCGCCATTTAGATCCTGGCTGCCGTCCGTGCCGAGGGGAGATCAAAGTCTGGGGAATCTTTCTGATTCTGGTATGTAGATATTTCCACCGCTGTGAACTGCTAAATCCGCTAACAACAGCCCAGAGCCTCCGCAAAATGCAAAGAGAACATCGCGGTTCAATGTCACCGAAGATCAAAGATTTCGGCTGGCGGCATCTCTTGAAGAGTTCCGCAATGTGATACCAGACTTTGTGCTGCCTTCACGTCATACTCTGACTCGGTATCTCACATCGTACTTTGAGGGCTTCCATCCGCATCTTCCCTTCATGCATATGCCGACATTTCACATGAACGAACGTGCGCCTGAGGTGGTTCTTGCCATAATGACAATCGGAGCTCAGTATCGATTTGAACATCGTAATGCGCAGAGGATTTTCCAAGTCTCCAAGGCAGTCCTCTTCGAGCGCATGTCCAGAGAACCACGTGTGCCGGTCAAGTCTGCGTACAGTGCAGTGTCTCAAGTCCCACTAGGGATCTCTCCGTATTCCAACTTCGGGGATCAATCCCTTACAGAACCTCAGGTAGCAGCGGAAAGAAACGTTGCATGGAAACAGATCGAGATCACTAGATGTCTTCTCATCCTCATGGGGTACTCCACATGGGAGAATTCAAGACTGGTGCAAGAAGCATTTCATATTCAAGGCCTGTTGGTGCGACAACTCCGGGAGGGTGGGTTGACTGAAGATACCAATCGCTCTGATCCCCGCGCTCCTCTCGATTGGCATGAATGGGCAGACCAGGAATCAAATCGACGGACAAAACTGATTGCATTCTGTTTCATCCATGTCCACAGCATTGCATACAATGCCTACCCATCCTTACGCAGTAATGAAATACACCTGCGTCTCCCCTGTTCCACTATGGAATGGTCTGCCAACACTGCCGCAGAATGGGAAGCTGCTCAGCGGGAGAGGGGTCCCCAGCAGCTGTTCTTCCAGGACGCGTTGACCCTCCTCTTGCAAAAGTCTCGATCGGCGGTGCCGCTGAATCCCATACCGGCTCCTCTGGGAAATTACATTCTTTTGCATGGACTTTTGCAAAGAATTCACCTCGTCAGCGAGCTATCGTTACCGAATGGAAACCACTCCACCAGTCTTCCCACAGAAGAGCTCAACAAATTAGAGTAGGCCCCTCAGCAAACCTAAACTACAAATTCCATTCTGACATCAAAACGCAGACGAGCTCTCCGCTCTTGGACTTCGGTCTGGCAACAGGCCCCAGAATCCAGTCTCGACCCGCACAATGCAAATGGTCCAATACCTTTTACCTCCAGCGCATTCCTAGGTCTAGCATATGTCCGCCTTTCGCTAAACCTGGGCCCGCACCGTCGTCTCGAGACCCGTGACCCGACTATTATAGCCTCTGCACTTCGTCGCTCGCCCCGCCCAGAACGAAGCTACCGCCTCATTCCTGCTCTTATATACGCTGCTCACGCACTGAGCATACCAGTTCGTCTTGGCATTGATCATATCGCTCGCAGTCAAGCTTTCTTTTGGAGTGTGCGGCATTCACTCGCCAGTATCGAGTGTGCAGTACTTCTGAGCAAATGGTTGTTTACATTAGCAGAGGCAGGACCAGATCAGTCACTAAGTGGTATGTAAACATATATGGTATTTAGCAGAGGAATCAGGCCAGAGCTGACATTATTGGCACAGAAAACGAGACTCGTATCCTGCGCTGGACGCGGTGCATCATTGAAGAAGCATACTCATCTATTGATACAGAGGAAGGCGAGGCTCCAGCTGATCTGGAACCCGCTTCGCTAGGCCTCGCTGTCCTCAAGCTGTGGGCTAGGCTTTTTGGAACAAATACCCAATGGCCGTTTATAAATGTTCTTGGACAAAGCTTGGAGCAATACATAACCATGATCCGATGATGATATTTTGTTTTGGGGTTTAGAACCATGTACATCCATGGATATTCTGGCGAGAGCATTTATTTGTGACCACCTCATCGTCTTTGATGGCCTTTTTTTTGGCATTGCTCATTTGATAATGGCCCTTCAGGGCTTGCCGATCGGAGTCTATACCATATATTCAAATATACACCTAACAATGCACACCTTGCTTCTCCTGGTTATCGTTATGAATCTCCAACTTTGCAAGGTTATAAAGTTGATTGCCTGCCCGGGTGTTGAGCCCGGCGCCTGGTTACAGACCCATGTGCCAAAAATGGACACACAATGGGAGAGAATCGGGTATCCAAGCTGGGGGCAAAGGGAAAGAATGGGTTGATCCTCTGAACTAGGATCAACTGCCCAGGTGCCTACTAGGTACTGCGTAAATAGCGAAATAGCAGCTGATGATCTAATAATAGCGTTAAAGATACTCCGCAATGCATTAAAACGAAGGCACTCAGGCACCTGGGCGTTTTAGGTGTCTAGTCGTCACTAGAGAATAGATGAGACCTCCAGGGCTTTACTAGGCGCTCAGATATTTCTGTTCGTCTGAAATTAGCAGTGAAGTAGATACGGCGAATAAGAGTTTAGCTGCGCGATAGGCTACATCATCACTGAGACTAATCCAAAGACCAGTGATGGGGGGAGGGGGGGCAGAGCCTCGTGCTTTTCACATTATCAACGAGTGTTTGGGGTATGTGCTCAGTACTGTAGATCTGTTCATTGGGTTGGGCCCCGAATCCTAGGCATATGGCCCCACCATAAATGGGCTGCAGGCCCTATTACCAAAACTCAACCCAACCCGAGAAGAGAGCCGTTTTATTCTACCAAATCAGAAAACTTTTTATGCTCAAAATATGCCCGCGACGTCACTGTATCAGACGTGTTTGAATGTGGGGAAGTCCATAGTCCATACTGTGGACGAAAGCGGGTGACTATTCATTTAACCAGCTTTAGCCGCTGGCCCAGCCCATGTGGAATGACGGAAAGTGCTTCGCGGAAACAGTGTATTGAACGGAATGGGCGGGTAAACTTGAACAGGGGGTGTCTAATGCGGTCGGAATAGCACATAGAGCATCATCGGAGCAGACAGTCGCTAGTAATATGCTAGGTTCTTCGATTTATTACCCAGGACCAATGAACCCAGCGCTTCATGTTCAAGTTCGTCCGTTGGAAATAACAATACTTCAATCATTTCCAAGGTTGCTTGGAATTGACGAGTTGTAAGTTGATCCACTCGTGAAAGCGTTTAGAGATATCTATCACCAAAGACTACTAGTTGGCGTTCATACCCGATTTGGGACGGGCGCTAAAGTGATCAATAAAAAGAATCCTATGTACGGAGTACTATGATTCATAACTAAGCACAAGCAAATACCTAGGTAGCAACAGCCCTCCTTACCCACCTGGGCATACGGTACCGCGCGCGTCAGCCTTGAAGTGTGTTTCAGTTCATCCAGTTTCTACTTTTATGGCGTTAAAAGCTGTAAAGCAAAATGCCTGTTCGTCTATAGAAACAGCGTCTGTTTCCTCATTCAAAAAGTAGACATCGAGAATCAAGCAACTAGATTCCAGATTCCAGACCTGAAAACAGAATCTTACCCTCCATCAAGATGCCAACCAAAGTTTCTATCCTTATCTTCGTTGGTGATCCTCTCGATTACACAAAATATCGCCATACAGCTCTCTTTTTTGAGTTTCCCAGTGGATCTACATGTGCAATGCACATCGAGGGAGGACCTGGGTTCTTCGAGTTCCAGCCAATGGACAATTACCAGCCCGACCAAAGTCGTAGGCTCGCCGAAAGAGTCATGGTAGCGGAACTTCATGATTCAATCAGTGAGATCTCGATCAAAGGGGTTGTTTCAAGGACCCCAGTGAAGAATGGACGTGGAGACGTGGATTGGAACTGCCAAAATTGGGTGGGGGACGCTCTCACCCGGATGGTGAATAATGGACTTTTGAATGCGTCTCAACGAGCATCAGCCATTGACAAAATGACTGATGCGTGCTTGGAAGCCGGAGATGAGTAAGGCTGCTCTGCATGCGTACCGCAAATCCTCACATTGCTAGTAAGTAGCGGATGATCAGTATAACCATAGGAAGACTTTCATTGCTTACATATCAATGGGTAAGCTCTAGTTAGGTGGCACTTCTATATGACCAAACAACACCGGGAGTACTTTTTACTTCCAACCTTGGAAGGTCTCTGCGAGGAGTGAAGGGGGAAATTTACTATTTGTATATAAACGTTCCGAAGTTGCTGTTGGTGTTCGAGAGTATATTCATGACTTCTTGCTTGATTGACCTTTATCATGACCTTGCGCTTGTCTGACCTCGGGAATTCATGATATCCATAGTAGCCTTAGAGTTGTGTCCGCTAGTGGCGTAAGAGACGAGATAGGAAAGACATGCCGATATATTCCCTCTCATACCGAGGGGGAAGAATGAGTGACTGATATTCTGGCCAGTCGGGCATCGGCTTCACTTGTCGAAGCGCCTGGATATGCTCCCAGTATTCCGGATACCAACCAGCATATTCCCAGTCAAGGATAGCCGTGACCCGACCCCCTTCGACAAGAATGTTACGCGGGGCGAAATCGGCATGAGTAAAAACAATCTCATGGTTCTCCATGAGCGCAAACTTGGCGTAGTGTCGCAGTATATCTGGGGCTGATTTCACGATGTCTCCTAGGATAAACTCGTTGAATTGTTGCTCAGAATCAAAAGGGCCGCCTTCGATTGATGCGATTTGTCCAATCACAGCTTTGCCACGATCGATGGCTCCGATATAGTCACCCTTCAACTCGCGAAGTTGATCCATATAGCCTTTGAGCTCCGAAGCAATAGAAAGTTTCTGGTCGGGGTTTAAGGTCTCCCATGCATCATCCAGTCGCTGGCCAGGCATATAGTCCATCACGATAGCCACGATTTTGTCATCTTCCCAATGGACATCATGAACTTTAGGCACAGGGATTTTCGTTTTTGCTGCAATAAAACGAAGTGTTGAGGCTTCGTGGGGACGGATTCTGCCCGATTTCACGACGAGATTGTTGCCGACTCGAACAACCGTTCGATTGCCCAACGAATGAAGTGTCGTTTTTTCTTCATCATTCGTAGAAGTCATTTTCCATGAATTATATTGGTGTCTTCTGCGGAAGATCAAAAATTTGCAAAGTGAACAGATCACTCAGGTGTAAACACCAAATTAACCGCTGAACGAGGAGAATGTGATGTCAGACCGGAAGGGGAAAACCCCGATGCGGGAAAAGTATTATCCGACAATGCGTATGTTTCTTATTTATCTACTTCCTGTCTCTGAACAGCCATCTACTTCCTTGATTTCACAATACGGAATTGAGCTACGGTATAGTTGGCTTACTAAGAATATCATTGTGGATTGGATTGGGCATGGGATTCATTTCATTTTTTTGTTATTTGGGGGATAACATTAGGACGGGAAATTATCAATTATTCTCATGTTCTCTCTTCGGATCAATCTCAGTTGGGCAAATGCATACCGGCCTAGTCATAGCTAAGCAAGAGATCATCTTCACCCAGAGCCGAGGGATCAGCATTAGTGGGCTTGGGGGCAACAGGCTTGGGGGCAACGGGCTTAGACGCAGCGGGCTTGGGGGGAGCAACGGGCTTAGACGCAACGGGCTTAGACGCAATGGGCTTGGGGCGAAGTGGAAGAGGCACAGGGGGCATGGGGGGAAGTGGCTTGAATGTAACTGGCTTGGACGCAACGGACTTGGGAGAAGCGACGGACTTCAGGGGAGATGGCCTGGAAGCAACAACTGGCCTGGAAGCAACAACTGGCCTGGAAGCAACAACTGGCCTGGAAGCAACAACTGGCCTGGAAGCAACAACTGGCCTGGAAGCAACAACTGGCCTGGAAGCAACAACTGGCCTGGAAGCAACAACTGGCCTGGAAGCAACAACTGGCCTGGAAGCAACAACTGGCCTGGAAGCAACAACTGGCCTGGAAGCAACAACTGGCCTGGAAGCAACAACTGGCCTGGAAGCAACAACTGGCCTGGAAGCAACAACTGGCCTGGAAGCAACAACTGGCCTGGAAGCAACAACTGGCCTGGAAGCAACAACTGGCCTGGAAGCAACAACTGGCCTGGAAGCAACAACTGGCCTGGAAGCAACAACTGGCCTGGAAGCAACAACTGGCCTGGAAGCAACAACTGGCCTGGAAGCAACAACTGGCCTGGAAGCAACTGTCCTGGAAGCAAAAGCAACTGACCTGTACGGAACTTTCCTGGGAGCAATCAGCGGGGGAGCAGCGGGCCTGGGAGCAGGAGGCCCTGCGTTTGGGTGGGGGTGGCGGTATTGCGGCGGAACATAAAGCCCAGCCCGCCGGAGGTCATCTGCTATGACACCACCCTGCGCAAAGTCTTTCCAAGCGCGAACAGCCTGCTTCTCCTTATCGCGTTGCGACATACCAAATCCCTGGTTCGGGCGGCCCGTAGGCTGTGCGTTTGCAGCCCGAGGGCTCGCCTGGGCATTCGCGGCGGCAGAGTCTCTGGCAACCTTGTTGCGGCCGCGAATGGCTTCCTGCTCTCGGTTCCTCTGTGGAAGAGTAGGTTCTTGTTTCGGGGGGGCCAGTGCGCTGCGATGCTGGAACAGCAGGACGCGCCTGGTCATCCTTGATGGCACTGGACCCGGTAACCTCTTCCACCTTCTGAGCGAGCTCGGCTTGGTGCCTCTCGAGGAGTTGAGATAGGTTCTCCTCACGAGGACGACGAGCTAGGTCCTCCGCCTGAGGGCGACGAGGACGGGCAGTACGAGACCGACCTCGAGGTGGGGAATCGGGCGATGTCTTGCTTTCATCTCCGCTGTCGGATGAGTCTTTCTGGGTATTTCCGAAACTGTAGAACGGTCCGACGTGCCCATAAGGAACGACCTTGTTCTCACAGTCACAGATGTGTTCGTGTGGAGGCGAGCAAAGATGAGTGCAGAGAATCTCGCACTTCGGACACACATAATCGCAGGGTTCATCGCAGGAGACCCAATCGTGCTCACCACTAAAAAATGGTCAGCTCAGTACGTGATATTGCAATAGTCCTATGTGTATAGCTCACCCGTGGCAGTAGTCAAGGCATGGATGGTTGCATGGCAGTCTGCCCCCGCAACGCTCCGAGCACCCAACATCAATCACGTCCCAATCTTCTGGTGCTGTTTAGAAAAGCAGGTCGGTCAATTGTGCTTCTTTTATCGAGTATCTCAACCACTTACCTTTGATCAATGTTTGCTTTCTGTGCTGGTAGCAATACAAAGACAGAGCGGTCCCGAATCGGCGCATCCCATCTTTGGACATCTCCGAGACGACCTCAGCCCAGAAATCACTTTTCGGAACGAGGTTTCTAGCGTTACCAAAGATAAACAATCCATCTCTTGCCCGGGACAAGGCAACGGCAGACCTGTTGAGATCATCAAGAAAGCCAATCTCGTGTCTCAAATTGCTCCGAACGAGAGAGAGTATGACGATACGGTTCTCTTCTCCCTGGTATGAGTCCACTGTTGCAATTTCCACGAAAGGGATAAAAAGGTTGGAGCCCTGTCGTTTGAGCTTGCTGATCAGCTTTCGCTGGCCTTGATAAAAAGTCAGGATAGTAATTTGGTCGGCCGGAACCCCGTTCTTCAGAAAATGACCAAGAAGTCCGATCACCATTGCGGCTTCAAACCAATTCGTATAGGATGAAGCAGAGTCCTTTCTCTCAGGTTCGCTGTGTTGTAAGAAATAAGACCGAGTAGTTCCCATGCCGGGGATCAAAGCTCTGTGGTTAACAGATGGATGATCTTGCAGGTCCTCGTAAACAGGAGCCACGAGCCGGCTGATTTCTTTGATCATTCGTCGCTGGACTCCGAGCCTGCTGAACTTCATGCCGTTCATGACCAGCCGCTCAAACATAGAGACGTCGAGATTGAAGGGCCACTTGGTCAGCTCATTAACGGCGCAGTTGCCTCTCAACTGTTGGTGGTCACCGATCAGAATGAGCTGCTGGATGGTTGGCAGACAGGCAACTGCAACCGGTGCTTCAATGACGCTGGCGGCTTCCTCAATGAGTATCACGCGAGGGTTCACGCTTGCAAGTGCACCTCGGTACTTGCTCAATCCGGTGGTTGTCATCCCGATGACATTTGCCCTTCGCAGAATGGGGAAATCTCGCTCACACCTGCTAATCTGGGCGGTCTTCGCGCAGTCTTCATATTCTTCCTGCAGACCGACAAGTTTCTTCCCAAGAATTGAGACTAGTCTTTTGCGAAGAGCATCATAGACGAAACCGCGGTGTCGCTTGGGAATGCTCCAGAGATCATCTGTTGCAAGATAAGACAGGAGCTTGGCATTTTGGACCTGGGTTTGAGTATGCGTAGCGCAGAATCCTGGCGTGAATTTTATTGCTATGCCTTTGATAGTGAACCAGTCTGCTTCGCCTTCCTCGTTCTCAAGTTGATGTTCTTTGAGTTCTTCGTCTTCGGAGTCTTGGCTAGCGTCAGGCTCAAATTCCTCCACGTAAGGATATTGAAACTCTGTCACTGAATCTCCAAGCCAGGCATGGAAGAGTTCGTCGTCAGACATAGCAGTCGTGCTCGACGTGGCGCTGGTACTGGTATCGCCCTGCACCCAACCGACGGCGCCGCTACGAAGGGACTTCAGTTGTTCCTCCGTCAGGAGTCCATACCGGACCAGAATATTTGGAAGCAGCGGCTTATCCGAGTTGTTCATCACTTTCAGAGGCTCGAGGATAGATTCGATTTTTCTCGAAAGAGCCATGTGCTGCTTTGTGGCCGGCTGCATCATCCCACCGTAGACCTTGATAGCGTTGCCGTTGGTCCAGATCTCAAAGATAGTGTGCTGGCGAACCTCATTCTCGGTGCTTCGCGAGCCCAGTCGAACATAGCTCTTTTCGAAGGCGCCAACCTGCTTCAAGATCTGATCAAGTGCATGATTCGTCTGCGCAGCAATCAAGATTGGTGGATCTTTAGGGCATTTGTTTGCCAGCAGAAGTCGCAGGGCCGTGAGCGAGGTAAAGGTCTTGCCCGTTCCGGGCGGACCCTGGGTGATGGAAATTTCCTGAGTGACCATGTCCCTCATAGCTAGCCATTGAGTTGCATCGAGCTGTCCCATTGGCATGGCCGGCCAATCATCAATGACATTGTGAACGGGATTCTGACGTTGGGGACCAGTCAGTTCAGGCAACGACTCAAAGCTCATCACAGGCTGCGCTTGAATGTATGCAGGAACCCCGATGTTGGTGTTTAAACTACAGATCCTTTCGCTGAGCGGAAATCTGAGCAAACCGTTAGTCTGAAATGCAAGGCCAATATCGGACCAATAGTACTTACTTCTCTGTGGCAAGCTTCTGCAAGGCCGTCATTGTATGCTTAGTTGCCTCAAAATAGCCAAGTGAAGATTGGATCATGAGCCATGGTTTCTGAGGATCCAGGTCGAGATTGTCGAAAGATCTCACAAAGAGGTCAACTTCGGGGGGATTTTTCGTAACGTTCTCCAGCGGTCGGGATGCCACTGTTACAACGAGACATTTGGTCCGAAAGTTGTCACCCACTGGCGACATGGCAACAATTGTTCCAGGTCGAAGGCGGGTCGAAGAGGCCCAGTCAATGCTATCGAGGGCACAGCGAGTGGAAAATCGAACGTGAATCGCCAAGCCCGAGCGAGTAACAGTGACTCCAGTAATGTAGACCTATACAATTCATGAGTTGAGTCTTTTATTGAATCATGGCAGGATTGGCTGATGGACTTACGTTGTCATAGACATGGCAGTCTTTGGCATTGTCCGCAGCAAACGGGTTCTCTCGAAGTACAGACACAGCATCTCGAATCGGACCAACTGCCTCCTCCCTGAGCAGCTTGTAGTGGGCCTCGAGATACTGGTCCTTGCTTTCCCAGGGACCCTCAATGTTATTGATCGGCAGCGGGACCCCATCGTCAGACGTATCAGCCCCGAGGATCTCATCCGCGGAGGGGATTTCCGGCCGAAGCTGCCATTCCGATCGATTGCCGATTCCCGATGGTTCGAAGTACTTGCGGACCTCAAGGTTTACAGGTTCCTCGCCCTGGGCCTTGTTCCGAGATGGCTGCCAAGTAGATCCCATAGTGCGTGTGCTAAACCAAGCGATGTGCGTGTCGAGAAGAGAGTGCGTGTCGCGAAGTGAGCAGTGCGTGGAGAAAGGAAGAAAGAGCAAAGGTGGGGCCTTTGAGCGTGGAATTTGAGGAAGTGCGTGCAGCAGCGTGCGTGGTAATAAAACCAAGACCTTCCCCCCCACTCTCCCGAGGTCAGCCCTAGATATTTTGAGGGAAATTTCCTCCCTCAAAACCCCAAAATACATGGTGCGAACACTATACAAATACAAAAATCTATATGTATAACACTATATGGGATGGATTTAAATTTCAAAATCTTGCGTTCCATGCAGCCCAGTGACCCTGAGGGCTTAGGATCGATGTCTAACAGGATGTGGGTTTAATGCAGACTATAACACAAGAGGAAGTTTGGAACTACTCCGTATTGATAGAAAATATCACAGTACAGGTAGGAAGTTTGCAATGTTAAATTATTCTCTCTAGGAATTGAGCTCAATGCCTGTATTGAATGAACCAACCCTTTTTTTCACCCATGGGCCATCACAACCTTTCTAGCCCAAAAGTATTCCACGTAGGCACATGCGTTCGGGAGATGCTTCTTTCCCCCAAATGAGCTGTTCCTCTCATGACTGTTGTGATAATTGACAATCATCCAAGCTCCCGTGGAGAAGAGAGACGGAGGCGGGAGTACCAAGGCGCGTTCTCATTGGCCCGGAGCAAAAGCATTGACCATTGGCTTTCGTCGCAAGCCGCTCAACCTCCGCAATTCAGCGTCACCCTTTGGTAGGCCTTGATCTGCATACTTCAGCGGTTCCCGTGCGAGAATTCCGAATCGAACCAGGAGCGATCAATTGGCTCGCAATTTTGGATTCCCAAGTCCAATTGTGAACGGCACCCATCGGTGAGCGACGATCGCGAACAAAGCCACCAACGAGAGCCATGGCTTCATTAGAGGAAGAGGAAGACCGTGACATGGGAGGTAGGTGAACGACCCGTTCCGAGAGCTAGGCGGATTTGTCTGGGACTTGACTAACCGCCCACAAACGTTCAGGTTCTCAAGATGGAAGCTCCGATAATGAAAATGAGAACGACATGGATGACACAATGCGCGATGCCGAAGACGGAGACGGCGACAATGATCAGGATCAGGATGGGGATGGGGATCAAGACGCGGATAGCCCGTCGAATGCGAGCCAGGGATCGGAAGGCGCTGGGATGCAGCACAACACAAATGGTAGCGGCGAGAATACCGTGTTTGAACCGTTCTCGATCTACCATCCCAGTGTGCGCTCCGAATGTCTCACGGCTCGGACGTATGATATCGTCCCAACTACCGCCGCGCCACATGCGACCTCCATCAACGCGATTACAGCGACGGCCGATATGCGATGGGTTTTCACTGGTGGCTCGGATGGATTCGTGCGCAAATTCAATTGGGCAGAGTCAATAAACAGCAAACTCATGTTGACTGTCGCCCAGAGACATCCCTTCGTGGATAGCGTGGTCAAGGCGGGTGTGCTGATGACGTATTGGGAAAACATGGATGCGAACCACTTGTCACCGGTGTATTCACTCGCTTGTCAAAGCGAGGGCTTGTGGCTGCTCTCTGGCCTAGAGTCTGGCACCATTCGGTTACAAACGCTGCGCCACGACGAAGGGAAGGAAATTGTGGCACTTCAACAACACACTTCTGCGGTCTCCACGCTGAATCTCACATCCGATGAGACTTCATTGCTATCTGGAAGTTGGGACAAGCGTGTCTTTGACTGGGATTTGAACACCGGGCAGGCAAGACGTGCGTTTGGCGGCAGCGCTGGACAGATATCAGCTGTGCAGATCCGACCAGAGTCTAGCTTGCCCGTGCCCAAGGACACCACTGAGTTCCCCCAGACCAATGGCACGTATGCATCAAATTATGCCGCGCCTGGCACAGAAAACTTCAACTTCGCCGACACCAATCACGATGCAGAAGGCGCGGGGCAGACAGAGAATCCGCAGGCGGGTTCTCCCACAGATTCACTATTTGGTGGAGCGGACTCATTGTTTGGCGATGCCGACGGCGGGGCTGCCGATGGCGGCGAACCATCGGGTGGCGTATTTGGAGTCGACGAAGACGATGAATTTGGCCGGGCCGTGGCAAACGGTGCTATGGCAGATGCAGATGCGCCAGGGGAGATTGACGACGAAGTGCCTGCGCCACCGATTGCTGCGCATGTTCAAAATACAGAAGATACCCAACCTCCCGCTCAGACCGATGCGCCAGATGAGAAGATGGAAGGGGCAGACTTCGACACAGCCAATAACATAGACCAGCCCATGGTTAATGGGATTCCTAAAGCAGAAGATCTCGAAACTCAACAACCTCCAGATCCGGAGTTCTCGCAAGATAACTCACAAGAGCAGGGCCATGCGGCTGACAACACTTTCTTGGCTGCCTCCATTGATGGAACAATTCGTGTATGGGACCGCAGACAGCCTGATCCGATTGCGCGCATTAGCCCGCAAAACACTCCACCATGGTGTATGAACGCGTGCTGGTCTCCGGATGGTAACTATATCTATGCTGGACGACGAAACGGCACTGTCGAAGAGTTCAGTCTTCATAAAGGGCTCCGGAATGCCGAGCGGACGTTCAAGTTCCCACAAGGCAGTGGGCCAGTAACAGCACTCAAGGCCATGCCTAATGGACGACATCTTGTGTGGTAAGTGATAACATGAGCTGGGTAAGCAGTGCGATCAAACCCATGCTAACGGCTTGCCATCACAGTGCTTCCCACGACATTCTCCGGTTGTACGATCTCCAAAACGAACAAAATGATAACTCCCGCCACTCGTCTGTTCCCTTCTTAATCATTCCTGGCCACCGGACTGGAACCATTTCTCAGTTATTTGTCGATAATGCATGCCGCTACATGATTTCGACGAGCGGAAACCGAGGCTGGGAAGGAAACACAACCGAGGTCTTTTTAGGCTACGAAATCGGCGTACCTCAATAATGCGGCTCACGCCATGTTACAACACCACCGATTACGAGGAAACATAATGCACGAATATAATGACCCGCAATCTCAAAGCTCACTTTCAAGACTATAGTGTAAATACATCTTGGGAACTGAAAGCAAGTCAAAAGTCGAAATTATGTGATCAGAAATGTAAGGAACGCCAGCGCCGAACCCATCCAGGTTTCAGGTATCAAATGATGCATCGGAAAGTCATTGTTCATCATGAATGATCTCATCAAGGTCTAACCCCTCGCAAACTTCTGCTTGCTGAGACCGCCAACTGCCAAAGTAGGGGTTTCCAGCCCACTTTACACGCCCATCGCGGTCGCTTTCGAAATACACATAGCCCGGCTCATTGCCACTGGCCTTGGACAGCTCAGCCCCTCGAGGTCCAGCCACGAGGCCACCAAATCCAGGCAACATGATATTCGGAATGTGTGTTCTCGCTTCCACGTTCCCACCCTCTATGTTATTCACCGTGATCAGATACGCAGGTGGAAGGTCTGGATCACGGTTTGCACGAAGCGGCATAGGAATCCAAGCCTCGTTATTGTAGGATTCCAGGCGATTCTTATCGTGCCGGAGGGGCAGGGGGCGAGATAATAGCATATCGTCCAGCTTGCCCGTGTCGACTAGTAGGCCTGGTGTTTGAACATATAACACGCCATCATATTGCATGAATTGGATTTGGGCTAGCCGGAGTAGCTTGCTGTTGGTAGTTGTGTGTCCTGCGGCTGTGGCTGCTGACATGTCGATAGGAAGTAGCCAGATATTGTACTTGGCACTTGCGGCGCGTAGAATTGACAGGGCTTGTGTTGTTGACTTTCCCAGCTTCTGTGCAGACATGCGGTCCCATTGCTCCGGGTAAACAAACAGACGGTCCTGAACGGCAGATCCGTTGGTGGACAGTTGTTTGAAGAACAAAATAGCTGAGCATATATCTGAGGGATCTGGTTCAGACAACAGCTGAAGATAGGCGTAATTTCCCGAGCCGGGGTGGTAAGGTTGAGTTCCATAAGTATGATCGGCGGCCCCATGATCTGATAGACCCCGTTTCTGCTGGAATGCGGGGTCTAAAGCATATCTCGCTTTCTGGGCAGCTTCTTGGGGCTTCAAGGCATGCTGAATGTTCTTCACGGATTGCTGCTGTAAGACATACCCGGAAATGAACAGCAACGTGGTAAATATGCAGATCACTCCCATCGACACAATGGTCGAAACCGTGGAGGACGTTAGAAGGACCATGACCGCAAGGAATTCTGCATGAAGTGAGCAGTGGAAATAATAGACAAGATTAAAATATCAGACATGCATTGGCCCCCCCCTGGCGATGACCGAAGTGACGATGTTCTGTTTCATGACATCAACTTGTTTACGGGGTTGTCCGCGCGACTATCGATAAGGAAAGTCTTGGCATCAGACTTCGCTTTTCACTTTCTTTCCTTCTTGGCACTCCACCTCCGCTTACATCCAAAATGGCAGCTCATCGCGCCGACGAAAGCTCATTCCTCGACAATCGTGGCTACAAGGGCCCATTGATCCGTGGCGTCAACCCAGCCACCCTCTTCGAAAAAGCCGTGCGCGACCGCATCACCGACTCATACTACTGGAAAGAACAATGCTTCGGTCTGAACGCGGCCACCCTCTGTGATCGCGCAGTCGAGCTGAGCTGCATCGGTGGTACATACGGTATCTCTGAGAAGCCGACCCCGTTCCTCTGTCTCGCTTTCAAGCTGCTCCAGCTCGGACCGGATCGCAATGTCATTCTCGAATTACTCAATTACACCGACCCCGGCAGTGGCGAGGAGGGAGAAGACCCGGAAGACAGTGTTGTGAAGGATCGCGGTGACTTTAAGTACTTGCGTGCTCTGGCTGCGTTCTATGTACGCTTGACTTTCGATGCCGTCGATGTCTACAAGACGCTTGAACCGCTTCTCCTCGATTACCGCAAATTGAAACGACGTGTGCGCGACACTTTTACACTCACCTACGTGGATCAATTCGTCGATGATCTCCTCACAAAGGACCGTGTGTGTGGTACCAGTCTGTGGAAACTTCCGCCACGATCACAGCTGGAGGACTTGGACATGCTGGATGAGCGCATCAGCCCCCTCGCTGACGAGCTGGAGGAGTTGGACCGCGAGAACGATGAAAATTCCGACCGAAGCCGGGAAAACAGCGATGCGGGCTCTCCATCGAGGGACGAGGAACCCAAGAGGACCGAAAGTGATGATTGAGCTCTACACGAGCATCGCCGATCACCTCCATTGTTCTATAATTGACCGTTCTCGCTGTCATCCACGTCTAGAAGCGCCGTCCGAGCGAAATATACCAGTTCGCTTTCTGAGCTGGTGCAACCTTTTGGAACACCCCCTCTGAGGGATTTCGAGTCTGACATTTCTCTTGGAAAAGATTACTCGAAGTCACCGCTCAGCAACCACATTCGAGTCACTGAAACAGGGTCTCTGGAAAGCCCAGACATCCATTCACTGGCATGGGCTCATTCCCCCATAACCCACGTGGCTTTTAAAACACGAACAGAGCAATCTGCTGGCAAACATCCCGAACCGGAATCACCTCACGCAATTGAGGAATTGATTTAGTACTCAAGTGCAGAAAGATACATTGAATATAGGACTTATCAACATTAAAACCCTTGCTGGCGATGCCACTTCTCCCGCCAGCCCTTGAACCATGGACTATCATCTAGAGTAGCGACCTCCCAGTCCTCTGGGACCAGCCCAGTCTCCCTCTGCTCTTTGGCCCATAGCTTCAAGTTCGGGAGGATAACATGCTGTACATGCCAAACCCCTTTATACTCCATCAAATTCCTTTTTCCTTCCGTAACGACCTTCATCACCAACTCCGGGACTCCAGGTTCGTCGCGGAATTCTTCCAAGGGGGTGAAAAGGGCCTTGAAGTTGAAGACCACCGCTCCGGATAGAGGCAAACGTCTCAATGTCTGCCAGTCGACTCGCAAATGGCATTCATCGAGAGTCAAGTCACTTCTTTGGGACAATCTGGCCCGCTCATGAGGATCACCCGGAGGCATGTACAAGGGCTGCCCTACTTCCAGGCCCCATGAGCCTCGCTGAATCGGCTTTTCAGTCGGCATCTTTGTGAAGAACCTGGATGATCCTCTGCGTCAATACAGAAATACAAAACCATCTCAAGCCATGAACAACATACCGATCCATGGAGAATTGCATTTTCTCCTTGTAGTCGGGAATCGGCTCATGAATCTCATGCAGCTGCTTTCCCACCTTGGACGCAACGTTCCATCCCATCGCCGAGCATATCACTGCTGCTCGCAGGAAATATTGTCCTGTGGTTTCGTCGCGAAGCATAATCGCGAAATCTTCTGGGACATTGTCCAAAAGTACCTCGAGAGGAGGCTTAGCCGTGACATCTTGCTCGGTGCCGAGAATTCTGTTTTGCAAGATTCGTTTGTCCACGAGTGTAAAATACTGAGGATATCGAGCGCAGACAAATTGCAAGACCATCTCCATGAGCTCTTTGCAGGCTAATTCAGAGCCAGGCATCGCGTCAAGTACCTGTTTTCCATTCTTAGCGTATAGTTCTTTGCGCTGGGCGATGCGGCTCGTGTATGTGTTTTCTAGCTCGATCCACCAATCTGTCTCGAGTTTTGTAAGGGCTGGGAAGAGAATCAGTTATAACTAGATTTGTGATCCAAGTTTCGAATACGTCGACCTACACATGGTCTGATGGTACGCCCATCGGAAGGGACGATATGGCCGAGGTAGTGCCTTGGCGATATCAAACTCGGGATATGGGCTGGGGAGTGGAACTCCAGAAAGAGTCGCGTAGTCAGGGAACTCTGCTAAACCTTCAATTTCCTTCACCGAGAATCCCATCGGCGTATACTTGTCGCTGAGGCTGGTCCTGTAGTCGGCGCTCATGGGCAAGAGGTTTCGGCGTACTTGATCTTCGCTCACATCGCGCCAGAGTGCTGCTGCGCATCCGAAATCCTTGAGTGCTTGTCTGCGTTGGGGCGGGAGAATGCTAGCATGATTAGATGAGGAGGCTGAACTAGTTGCTGGCTTTTTGTCTGGGGAGAAAGAGCGTGGGGGCGTTCGGGCAGTTGAAAGTTTTCGACCGCGAGGCGTGAGGATGGGAAGAATCGGTATGCTGAATATTTGAGCGAGGGTAATAAGTATACCAGTGCCGGCTATGACTATTGATCCGATGACCCAAAGAGATCCTATAGATGGGAGGAGATCCATGGTCCTCAGGCGCGATGGGCAAGGCGAGCTGCAAGATCCAGACAATAGTCTGAACTTTGGTGATTTAGTTGCGCTGGGCTGTTTCTGTGACTTGAATGATTTACATGAAGGAGGGAAATGCAAGGTATATAAGTACTATGAGGTCAAATTGCGCGCAAGGTATGATATCAATGCACTTGGATGATCCGGAGTCCTGGAGAGCGGGGGCGAGTGCTGTGGTCGCATATGGATTCAAAATTAGATGTAACACGCATCGCATAGCTTCTTTGGTCGCATGGCAAGATTAGTCCTTCCGACTTGGGACGGGAAGTACTAATAGTTACTGATCCGTGGCGACGTCAGAGATCAGTGACCAGTCAGTGCATTTGTGGTTATTTTCCTTATCTAACCTGGAATATCCATGGATATCACTGTGCCTACGAAGATCACGAGCCTCAAGACCTTTGCTTTTTTATCATTGTCTGATTTGTTGGTAAATTGAACGTGTTCACACATCTAGTCCCGAAGTCTTCACTGAACATGCTCTGCCTGTGTGTAAACTTCCCAGGGCGTGATTATGCTGACACTTCGATTTCAAATTTATTACAATGACGCATCTCAACCCCAGACAAAGTTTAGTTGGACATTGCAAGTCACGCAGAGTCAGATAAGGACTGGGAAGAAGTATACAGAAGTGGAAGCAGTTGACTTACCGAAAAGGGTAAAACTATCCCCAGGCTTGGCGGCAGATGGCCATGACCAACCACAGGGAGTTTGGATAATTTGGAACAAGAGGAGATATAACTCAAGCATTTAGGTTCTTCTGATACTGTACGGAGTACTGGGTTTCAAATTCCTGCGTTGCTCAGCAGTACTAAAGGGTTTGGGTGATGGCTGGGTGGATTAGCGTGGCTCTTGTTGAGCTACTATCTTTTGAGGCATCGAAAATCCTGCATGATGCCAATACTTTCTCTGTGGCATGTAGCTTATATCTTTTGAGAGCAAAAGAATAAAATCAAGTCTCTCAGGGGCGGGAAAGAGAAAGGAAGGAAGCCTCGAGCAGAGATATGTCCACTCAGCTAAGCCCAGGAGATGGTAGGGCAATTGACACATGTAGACCGGAGATAAATGAGAGGATCGCTCTCAGCAAGGCAAGCTATTCAAAAGGCCACCTGAGCCTGTCGAGCATCGTGAAATGCCAAGCAACCGGTTCCGCAAAGCAAGGGTATCTCTTTTCCGCATTGACAGCATGGAAATCACGCCAAACATCCTTGAGTGTGAACTTTCCCGACGACATGAATTCATAGAACCGCCAGAAGACTTGGGTTCCATTGATCTTGAGTCTGCCATCGTAACCCTCCTCGTCGGGACTCAGGGAAGACCAGTTGGGGTCGATTGCCCAAAACCAACCAGAAAATTCCTCTGTGCCGTGGCGAACGAATTGTCGAGATTCACTTGTCAACAAGAAGAACACATTCTTCAAAATGCCAGCTTTCAGAGCACCCCCCTCACGATGATCAATAAAGTCCCTATCTCTGACGTTAGCATTTTCCTAATACCTTGGGCGGAAGAAGCACTTACTGTCGGAAATAGCTGATATCATTCTCATCCGTATCAAATGGAATGAAGTGTCCCACTTTAGACTCAAGGACCTCTTGTTCCCCTTCTAAATACGTACGCATTGCAAGCATGCCATTTAAGTCGTCCACAAAGGCACTCCACCCGGCTGTCTCTTTGTGATGATAGAACACATAGCCCCAGGTCTTATCATCCCCTTGGTCGATAATATTCTGTATCCACTGGGGCGGCGTGCCATATGGCCTTTCCCTGTTTTTGAACATTTCCCTTATTTCGGCGTGTGCTGTCTTTTGTATCTGGCGAGCGACACCCTCCACATTGCGAATGGCTTGTAGCTCCGTCGGTGTCAGTATTGAATCTTCTGCTTCTTTTTTCTTGTGTATAAGATCGGGGATCTTGCGCAGCCAAGCGAATCGACTACCCCTGTTCAGAACTGCTATGATGCGAAAATGGTGCTCGATGAGACAGCATTCCGGGTATGTCAAAGTCAACGGAGCTGTGGCTGCTTTTTGGAATAGGTCGTCAACTGATAGTCCGAGATATTTGAGTGCTTTGGCTTCCATCTCCGCGCGAGGCGGCCATTCCATCAGTTGATGCTTCTCATCGATTGAGATTTCCGCTGGAGATTGGATCGCTCTATCCCAGAGGGGCTCTAATTGAGCAAACTCCTCCAGATTAAGGGGCCTATCTTTATCATGAGTGAAGGGGAAATAAAGATCTGACATCCTGAGTTGAAATCTGAGTTGCGCGCTAGGTAAATATTACATTTTGGGAAGTCTGTCTTCAAGAAACATAAATTTAGTGTCTTGGCATCCCCTTCGAATGCACTCAACAGTAATCGTCAACTGGCATACGTTTTGAGAAAGCCCAGGGGAATTCCTGCATCCTTCGTACAGCAAAAACTTCAAGCTAATAGCCTACATTCACTTTGTTCGCCATTCAAAGGTTTACTGTTTATTCGGGGAAATGCCACAAGCAGATGTTTGATGAAAAGTCCACTTGGGCAAGCAAACGCCAAAAAAGGCTTAGAGTATAGGAGCAAATCAAATGGCGACATACGAGTCAAGTATTCTAGAATTTCGGTGTCGTAGTACATTTCATGGAGGGTTTTGTAGTTTCAACAATGGCGATTTAGTACCGCGCAATGAACACAAACCTATAACCAGGAGCTAATAGTCAAGTAAAATTACCAAGCAGAGGCGAGTTTGCTCAGTCTGATGGCTCTGATCAGAGACGCGGGCAAGGTTTTGTGCCGATTAATGACGCAGTTCTGGGACTCTTCAGCTTTAGCGCGCTAATGCAGTCATTGCACCGCCATCTTGAACAAGAATAGAATGAAATGTAGACCCCGGTGATCACAAGTCGCTTGCGCCCCGCGCCCCGCGGCCCCCTCAAATCGAACACCAACCTCTCCTACGTCTCTAGTGTCATTGCCTCTTCTCCAGTCTCTTTTTAGACATTCAGGCCTCTGAAGTCGGTCGGTGTTGGAATGAAACACTGAAATGATATGAGTACCATATATGCAACATGGCAAGCATTCATCATGGCTCTATCTTGGAAAATGCCCTCTTTCTATGTCAGGGACACTCCAATTTCCAACCGAAGAATCCAGCTCGTGAGACTTTGTTGACGGTGCTAGATCAAGGTAATAAATATTCGTGTCTGAGATGATTCCAGTGTTGACACTAATGCAGCATAGATAACCATGATTTTGAGCGTCGCTTGCAGTCCGAAGCGCCATCAAGCCTAGACGCAGCCGGTAATATCAGTGTAATGTATGTGAATATAACCGTTGCGGCAGTGCGTCAAGCTAATTGAGCCCAGACTATTGAGCGAGCAAGGTCCATTTCCAGGAGGCCACCGAGAAATCCAAAATCTGCTACAGATTTTCTGGGACGTTTACTTGGAGGATTTCGCCATTTTGTCTTCCCCATTGCTCTCTAGCTATCACGGCCGATGTATCGAGATCAATGAAAGCCCATTCCTCGGTAAGCTCTCTAAAGCTCTCTCAAAAATTTCATATCCACTGACAATCCCGCTGAAATCTGCTACAACATTAGCGAGAATTTATCATATTCGGCCAACGATACTAGTCCTTTGGACAGTAGCTCCAGTGTCAACTCTACTGGACCAGCCGACGTGAAGCTCCACCATCAATACGAATCAATATATTTCCGCTACAATTTTCTGACAGGGCATACCCTCTACATTCTGCCAAAATCAAAGCCCGATTTACGCGATCTCATTCAAGCAATCGGCGACAGATTCGAAGGATCCTCTCCAGATCTTCTATCGGCTGAAAAGCTGGATATTGGGGAGAAAAGTCAGCCTCTGCACCCTCTAACACTACACTCAGTGGTAATGCTCTATGTGCTCTCATCCAGAAACACCGAACTGAATAATCTGGTGAAATGGCTACTGTGGATTGAGACTCAACTTCACCAAGGCTCAATCTTCGAAGTCACGGGCTCGGATCGCTTCTCAAGATACATACAGCTACTCCACAATATGTCACGAAAACTGATAACCTTAGAGCACAATAATCAGCGTGACGCATCAAATATCGGCCATCTGCTCCGAGATCACGAGCGGCTTGGAAGATTAGCCGACCTCCACGGTACATACCTCGACCGAACAACGCATCAGAGAGTATGTGACGATCTACTCATGCTCCACGACTTGTGCGACGACCGTCATCGCCGAATTCTGAATTTGCAAAGAAGAACCAGTAACTTCGTTACGCTTCTGTACCATCTCATTACTGGTCATGACAGCACGATCAATCTGCAGATTGCCACAGAAAGTGCCAAGATTGCGCAAGATGCGCGAAAAGACAGCATGTCGATGAAGATTATTGCAGGAATGACAATGCTCTATCTTCCTGCGACCTTTGTCTGTAGTCTCTTTGGGACGAATCTGATCGTTTTGGATACCCCGAATGATCAGAGTGAGCCCGTGTTTATGGTCTCTCGCCTCTGGTGGCTCTATCCAGCGTTCGCAGTTCCTTTAACCGTTTTCACGATGGCTGGATTTATTTTGTGGCGACGCTTTCGGGAACAGAAGCCTGGAAAAGGGCGAGTGGATTAGACATTTGTTATTGGTAGATGTCTGTCAGCCAGGGTTTCCAGCTTAAGCGCAGGTGTATGTCTTGTTACAAAAGCGGGAAAATGGAAATGAAGCTTTCGATATATCCCCCAGAGCCTGGGTAGCGATTTCTCCATTCAAGGGCGTCTATTCTCGTCTCCGGTTTGCCACTTACCTTTCTAGACAATCCGTGGATGGAACTGCAATAGTGAAATGCCGCGAGGCATCCGCGCGGGAGTCTAGCGTGGGAGTTCTGTATCACAGGGTATCGCCGTTTTTGGAAGAAATTAGATGATGATCGCTGGTGAAGGCATAAAACGTCTGAATATTTACACATGTACATGGGCTTTCCCAGTGAGATTTTGAAGTGGCCATTGGAGCCACTCCTCCCACTGTGCCCCAAGATACTGGCTGATCGAGGTGACCACATACTCACCGCCGTCACCAAATATCCACAGATGATTGTGGGTATCAACGAGAGCACCATAGTAAGCAAAGATAACCAAGGCTTCACATCTTCGCTCTGCCAGTAAGTCAATATATTCCCGGGGAAGAAGCACAGACCATGCAGCCAGGACATCTAAGCTGTGTTTTCCGGGAGCACGCTCTTCTACCAAGGTCATCATTGATTGTACAGCTTGCACGGCCTGCGTATACACCTTGAAGATAGAATCATCCAAGTCAAGGCCTCTGATTCGGTCTAATAGACCCTGGCATACTGGACCCAAAGTGGAGTCCAGAGCGGGAATCCTTTCCCCAAGCTCCAGAATTGGCTTCAGACTGCTTTGTTGCAAGAGATGCCATCTTCCCTGACCTGCTACCGTGCGAACCCCATAATGTAGGATGACATACTGCACAAATCGATCAAGAAAGTTTTCGAAATTGTCATCGCGGAATACCAAGGTCTCGCACAACTTATGCAGTCCCAGAATGCCGGCAAAGAGAAAAATTGGGATGGTGTTTTCATCAGTGATATGCGATGATAATGCATTGAAAGAGCTCAATGCATAGTTCTGCAACTGGGTAGAATGATGTTGGTAAAACTTTTGCTTCTCCGGTTTGACGATGCTGAGATGAAGAGCGCTGAGAGATAACAACTCGTTCATGAGATACGGTGCGTTCAGGCCATGGTGTAGAATGTCGGGAAATGAGACGGTGGCGAGAGCAGCATCCACGCTGTTGAAAATATTCATTCTTTCTGAGCAGACGTTATGAACAAATTCAACATGAAGCATGTTCACGGCAGCATCTTCTGGAGATATGACAGGCTCAGGCACAGACCTAGGAGGCAGAGCTCCAGGCGTTGATACGGTAGAGGGTGATGCGGTCGTTGCTTCACGACTTGCACTGCGGGAGCCCTCCACGACAGAGTAAGGCTCGGCAAACTCGCAGTGACGTTGAGAGCTGACACAGTTGGAACATATAGGTCTTTTTTCATCGCACTAGGTAATATTAGAGGCTGCATATATAAGCCAATTCCAAGACGGACCTTCATGTGGCGGCGCTTGCATTCAATGCAGCCGTTCCGTGATTTTTTATGGGTTCTTCGGGCCATTTTGCCACGCGTTATGAGAATGGGGTCTGCTAGGGCGTCGGGAGTCTCGGTAAAGATCAGCGAATGTGACTGGTTTATTCCAAACCCTTCAGGGCCCAAATTGTGTAGCCTGGACCTCGGAAGATTCGAGAGCGATGGGACTAGCGGCGAGTGAAGATCGGAGAGTTGAGATGCGGTGGAATACGCGTATGCACGGACCATGTACCCACTTCCGAATTAAGGTTGCTCCGCAAATCTATACGCGTATATCTTTATCTCACTCTAATTATACCCTTGGAAACAATCTCTTCTCCGCAGAGCCTGCCCGTTTAGCAGTGGGACCGGCATATATAAACATGGACCTGCAATTTTCAATCAAGGGTCTCACAGAGCACAATCACATCGCCATACTCCAACGCTTTCGAAGACCACTCCACTCCACGTCTGGTCACAATTGAGATCGACGATTCAACATGCCAGAATTGATGGCCTTTAGAGGCAACTATTATTTGTGGAAATATGTACCCTCTCTACCGGCTGCAGTCATATTTCTTGTACTATTCTTTCTCGCCACTTTATTACATTTCTGGAAACTCTATCGCACCAAAGCCTGGTTCTGTTGGGCATTCGCTCTTGGAGGTCTTTGTATGTACAAAATTCCGTGACAAGCTTTTGCCAACTACTGACATGATATCCGTGCAAAGTCGAAGTGGTTGGATATATTGGACGGATCGCTGCATACAACAGCACGGACTCAGTAATAGTCTACGCCATTCAAAACGTCTTCCTCCTCCTCGGACCCACACTGTTCGCAGCGTCTGTTTATATGGCTCTCGGGCGTATTATCCGCAGTGTCCACGCTGAAAAGCACTCGCTTATCCGGATAAATTGGCTCACCAAGACCTTTGTTGCGGGGGATGTTGTATCTTTCCTTGTCCAAGGTAGTGCATCAGGTCTGATGGCCACGGGGAATAATGCGACAATGGGTACAAACATTGTGATTGCCGGTCTGGCCATTCAGGTCATCATGTTCGGTCTTTTCATTATCACTTCCATCGTGTTTGAGGTTCGCATGCGTCGTTCCCCCACGGCCGAGTCTTTCGACGAACAAATTAACTGGATGAGTCGATTACGCACGTTGTATGCCGTGAGTGCGCTCATCTTGATCCGAAGTATCTTCCGTGTTGTGGAGTACGCAGCTGGGAGTGACGGGTACCCACTTACTCATGAGTGGATGCTGTATGTGTTTGACTCGGTCTTGATGTTTGCTTCAATGCTTATTTGGGGTATTTGGCACCCGGGCACACTACAGAGAAATATTAAGTCAGAGAGAGATATGGTGACGACTCTGACAGAAGAGCCGGAATTAAAGGCATAGAGAGCTGTCTCTCGCTCTTTTGAATTGCAGATAATCTTCTTCTTCAGATGCGCACGAGTGACTGGATAATCTAGTTGGAAAAGCAGTGCCATCTTTTCCTCGTACTGCTAAATGAAATTTCCTTATCCGGACGAACATGGACTTCAAATCAACTACTTTGGCTGTTCAATTATATTTATCCATTAAGATAGTTTCGTTGCCTAGTCTGCAATCACATTATAGCGGCGAAGCTCAAGCCGCCTTCGAATCGACCTCGACGTGATCAGTCATCACTTGCTTCTCGGCCTTGAGATCCTCCAAGTTCTCAACCCCAGCAAGACCAAGGCTCTCGTTAATGCGGGTCATACGGAGACGGTCAGCTTCGGCAATGCTGTTGGCCGAGCCACCGAAGAAAATATCCAATTCTTCAAGTGTTTTATCTTTGGTCTCGGGGGCGAACTTCCAAATAAAGAAGCCTCCCATGGCGCTGAAAATAGCGAAGAAGATGTAAGTACCATACTTCATGGAGTCGAGCATATCCTTGGTGGTAAGTCCAATGACAAAGTTGAACATCCAGTTGGTAGAGGCAACGATCGACACACCGCGGGAGCGCTGACTGTTGGGGAAGATCTCTTGAGCCAACACCCAAGTAACAGGACCTATTTCCAGATTAGCACGAGGCACTTTTGCACATGGTTTGGTAGTAGCTTACCCCAAGAGTAGGCAAAGTTGACAGCAAAGAGCCAGATGAAAGCAATAGCAACCCAGCCCTGGGGCTTGGCCAATCCTTCATTGAGATTCCACTGGTCCTCGTATATGCCCTCAACGATGGCCACCACAATATGACAGAGGAACATTCCAGCAGCACCAACCATGAGGAAGGTCTTGCGCCCGAACTTGTCAAGATATAGCACCGAAGGGAGTGTGAAGATGATCTGCAGAATTCCGGTCACACCTGTGGCGAGGAGGGTTTGCTTCGTGGAGGAGAAACCGAACTAAGAAGAGACAATTTGTTAGCCATCGGATTCAAAATCCCCGAGACTGCAGTTTGCATAAGGTCACTCACCGAAGAGAAGATTTGTGGGGCGTAGTAAAGCACCGCGTTGATACCAGTGAACTGTTGGAAGATCATCATACCACATCCCAGAGTCAAACGCTTGATCATGTTGGGAGCAAAGAGAGCTTTCCAGGGAGCAAGCGCACCGCCCGCACCAACAACTTCACGTTCAGTTTCTTCATCAAACATGACGGCGGCCTTGATCTCCAGGTACTCTGCCCGGACAAGAGGATCATTCTCAGGCAGACGACGGAGCTTGGAAATGACAGCCTTGGCCTCATCGTCACGGTGCTTCATCATCAACCAACGTGGGGAGAAGGGGAAGAAAAAGAGACCGAAGAACAAAATCCAGGCTGGGATGATCTGCAAAGCCAAGGGAAGTCTCCATGCGATAGTCTTCTGACCCAGACACGTGTGGCCGTGATTTTGAGCGGCGTTGAATGTTCCATCCGCCAGGTATGCGTTGGAGATACCCTCTGGGTTGCAGTTGACTCCACCAATGAACTGCATACCATAGTCGAGCCAGAAAGCAATGGCTGTTCCGACAGTGATGGACAGTTGCTGCAGAGAAACGAGGGATCCACGCAGCTCTGGCGGAGCGATTTCTGCTTGATACAGTGGAATAACCATACTGAACATACCGATGCCGACACCACCAATGATACGGCCAGCAAAGAAGTATGCAGGTGTCTGGGCTCCGGCTTGGAGACCAGTGCCCAAGGTAAAGATGATAACGGCAGTCATCATGGCATACTTGCGCGAGATGCGATCAGCCAAGACACCGTTGATCAGAGCACCAGCCCAGGCACCCAGCTCAAGGGCCGAAACAAGCCAACCCTGGAGAGTGGAATTCTGAAACGTGGGGAAGTGGTTCTCGAAGTTCTCCATGACGAGAACAGGACTCATCACACCCTGGTCGTATCCATACATGATGCAGCCCAGCGAGGCGAACAGACATGTGAAGAACACATAGGGATTGGAAACAAATCCTTTGATTCCATGAGGCTTCTCCGCATTGGTGCGGGCAACCACTGACTGACTGACTGCCATCTTAGAGACAGAATTTAGAGACAAGAGATCAGAGATGGACTAACTGACCAAGAACTAGGGGCTCAAAAGATCGGGCGGACGAGACGATTATATACTCATTTTCGGCTTTTTTTTTTCTGTCTAATTTTTCTCATTTGTCTTTCTATTTCTTCCCTTATTCGCATTCTAGGGCTAGCGCTCCTGTGCGGCTTTTCCCCGGAGCTAGTGACCAAACACGCATCCAGAACCGAAGTAACCCCATAAGCAGAACCCTGGATATCGAGATGCCATATGTCGCAGAGAGGGGCTAAGAGCACGCTAGATTCAAAAGTGACGGCTAGGCCGACAGTCGGCAATGACATGATCCGGACGGTGAGTCTTCATATAAAACTGGGAAGCTAAAGAGCGCCACAAACCAAAAGAAGCATCAGCACTCAAGCTTTGGTGTTTACTGGGCGTCTTGGTACCGAGAACTCTCTAGGAACAAGCCTCTAGGCCCGAGAGCGCCACTACTTGGCAATGCGTTGTCGTGATTCGTAATTGAAGTGTCAGCGTAGTATCTCCCCTCCTTTTCTAACACTGGTTATCTCCGTGATGTATGAGAAGATCTAGCGCTGACCACTTGGACATCTAGGATGAATTCAGTCGCTTGCAGTGTGGCTTCTCTCTATACCCGATGCTGTAACCGATGTCGGTCGTCCATGGCAAACTATGGGCTAACAATCACTATACTTGTATAGCAAGGGTGTGTATAAGTCTCTCGGAGAGGAAATCGAATTTTTCTCATCACATGGTGTCTACTTTTATCCCCGTGGGGCATTGAGGCGCTTAGATCCACACTAGACGAATATTTTACGCTCAATAATCTTACGATATTTTCCTCCTTTCTTTTTAAATCCGTTGTGGATACATAGAAGCCAGAGCATGAAACATTCCCATCACTAGAAAAGACATTGGACCGGCTAATGTTCGGCTCAGTTAATTTCCTTAGGGGGTTTCCCCGTCAGCCCTTCTCAATTCGAATTAGTGCGGTTTTGGCTCCCAAGATTCCGGGGCTAGAAAAGTATGGAGTGCCCAATCCCCGCGCCACCATGCCTACTTCTCCCGGGAACTTCCACGGATTGGCCCAGCTTCAACTCAGTCGGCTTACGGCCCCAGTGGAAGAAAGAAAAAAATGTGCCGCTATAACCCTCCTGTCCGGAATCGATTTCGGCTTTTCTTGGCTCGGGATTGGTTGTCAAATGTCGGAGAGCCGACATGCGGCTTGGACGCGTGGCCGGTAAATATTTTCCCACGGGGTTCACGCTGCTCGAGAACATCCCCTCTTTTCACTTTGCCTGTTACAGACGCTCGGTGAGGTGTGAGATTCCGGGGAATAAAATCCGGGGACTGTCAATGCCCTGTGCAGATTTTATTCGTCAAGTCAGAATAGCAAGTTCCGCTCTCCTTTTCAAAAGACCCTAGGCTTCCGGCTCTTCCGGTCATCGCATACGATCAGGATCTGTGCGGACTGAAAAGGCCCCATACTCGCTTCCTTGGTGGCCAGTGTTAGGTAGAAAACTCGGGTCTAGCCGAATTTGCACTGACGCATCTCCACTTTTTAATGGCTTCACTTCTACTCCGTACTCATATTACAGAGTGCACGACTGCTCCTTCATAGAAATGGGTGTTGGCCAAACAATTTAACTTGACAGTAACCTCAACACAGATGTAGTGTGGTATCTTCGAAGCTTTCAAGGTTTGACATATCAAACTGGAAGTGAAATGTTGCAGTTTGGATCTCTGTACTATCTAGGTTACACCTCTGCTAGACGGTATAAACGGCAGATGGAAAGTTTGCGGTATGGATACAAAACAAACTTCAGGTACTTTGGAATAACTCAATACAAGATCTAGTAGTTCGAGGTGCCCACAAGTGATAACCATGAGAATTCTACGGACTAAGTATGAGACATCGTCAACCTTGAAATCTGCCGTTTTGGCCTAAATACTCTTGAGCTCAAATATAGCATCTAGTGTGGTTTTCACATCATGCCAATGTTCATTGAGTGGCCTAAGATGATTGAATGGCAAACAACCCTCTTTGAAGGCGCATCATGCAGCCGTCGTGGATTTTCTTTTCTATTTTGATCTTGAAGTTTGGTTCAGCGTGTCGTGTTGGATCAAGCCATGACACCATGTCAGATAAAGCTAACAGACAGCAGTTTGAGACCACGAATTAGCCCATTGTCTTGTTTTGCATTTTCTGTTATGTCAACCCTTTGCTCGTGCTCGACACTTTGGGTTCCCAATGTTGATAATATTCAAACTAAGTCTGCTCAAAATTATATTCAGTATTTCGCTTCTTGAATTCACATTCCGAGATGAACATCTTTTTCTGCGATTTCATTTGCCTCTTATAAATTTTCATTGGCCTCTGCTGATATTGCTATACCAGCCACGGGCCATATCATTTTCGGCGCCCGTCGGTGCCCGGTTTGTCAGGCTCCCGGCAGGCTGATAGACGTAGATCTAGAGAGCTTCTATCTCTCTCTGCTTCTCTCCTTCATTTCTCTCCTTTCCCTCCTTCCTCTCGTCTCCCACAATACCTGCCTCATCGTACTCTACTATGGCTCCGTCAACCATGCATTCGGCATGGATCCGCCTATGCTGCAACTAAAATGGGCGTAGCCAAGCATCGTCATGAGACCTACATTGACTGATCATACCTAGATCTCCCTTTGTCGGTGGAAGTATACACTTTTGATACCTGTTGGCCACGGCAGCTATTTTACCCCGGGGTTCAACGAAAATTTGTGAGAATAATCCTTATTGAGGGAAACAGAAAAAGCTTTTGATTCGGATGCCCTCAGCTTTTTTTTCACCTTGAGATTGGCCACTCTGCGGTGATATGCAAGTCGGAATTAATCTTTTGGGCTGAGGAGAGTAAGTCCGAGACAACCCCGTGACGATACTTACAAGTCCGGTAATTTACTTTACGCCTCCTTCCCGAAAGCTGATTGTATTACAGTTACAACAACCCTCAGTGAGGAGAGCAGAAGGGTTGCAATCATTTCTTCCGTTGTCACGTTCCTGGGATATGGAAGGAAAAGGTCGTTTTCCCATGATCGCCCTTCTTACTTTGAGCTCACTTGGCTTTCGTTGCCCTGCGTCATGTCCACTCCAGACCGCCGGCGCAACAGGTCTCTGGCCTCGTGCGAACCTTGTCGAAAAGGCAAGATTCGGTGTGACCATCAAAAGCCTATATGCGGCTCCTGCAGCCGCCGTCAGGCACAATCGGAATGCTGGTATCACCCTGCGCCGCTGACGAAACAACCACCTCGAGTCATCAGAGCCTCAGGTGTTTCTCGAAGACAACGAAAGGCCTTCACAGGGAACAGATCTCTACCCTGATACACATTGTCTCCTGGTTAGAAAACCTACCACTGATCGAAAGGTTACTGAATAGGTATTTCGCCTCTATCCACAATCTTCTTTTAGCAAAACCTGTCGTTCTCCAAACCGTGGCGTCTTTGCGGGAATTTCTCGCTGCTTCTGGATATATTCAAGAGGAAACGGAGCAGCAAATTGTCATTCGAGATATTCAACAACTAGCTGCGCACGTTTTCCGTACTTCTTTGTCAGAGATCCACCATGAGTCTGCGGGCCTTCTGCGCAGAGTTCAGCGGCGAGAACCTTCGAGTGGAGACTCTAGGGTTCCTGTATACCGTTGCAGCTCGTGCGTCGATCTGTGATACCCAAGCAATGCCAGAATCGAAAAACTTCATGCAGGAAATGAGTTGGTATAGCAACGCATCGCTTCATTTGGCTCGCGAGATAGCCCCACAGACATCCGACATGATCATATGGCTGGCATTGGACAATCTACAACTAATCACAATGCTGGAGGGTGATGCGAGTAAGCGGTATGGCATTAATTAATGGGTATCACTGCTAATATTTCCAGGCATGAGTGTTCGACGGCGCATAGGAGGCTTGGCAAAAGATATCTTCGCATTGGGTCTGAACCGTGAGGCGACATATTCGTCGGAATCAATACCATTCTTCCTGGCAGAGTGCCGCAGGAAAACTTTCAGTGCCGCGTATTATCTGGACAAGTTGATTGCGATATTTTTCAATCAACCACCGCGCATATCAATTCGACATTCAGACTGCAAGCCTCCTCTTGATTTATCAGATGAGCAGATCTTCGGTCTTTCATTTGATGACCCAGCGATGGAATCTATTGTCGACCACGACGGCTGGAACAGAAATGGAGGCTTCAGATCTACAACGTGGGCACGTGTACGCTACACTTTTGCGCAGTTTCGGGAACATCTTGTTGAGTATCAACTGTCGTCAAGTTCCGCAAATGAAGCTGAGCTCAGGTATGCACACCCTTCAACTTGGATCAACGTCAGCTCAAATGTGAATGAGGGATTTGTCTCAGCGCTGTCATCAAGCGTGGAACTCATTGCCCCAGCATCTTCAGTATCGCAAAGATTGTTGGTCATCTGTCCTCCCTGCACATGTATCTCTGATGCTATGCAAGGTCTACCTTCCATTCTTACATACGAATTTCCTCATTTGTCAGAAACTTGGAAACGGGGCTCCATCTAGCCAATCAGAGCTTCTTGCCATTGCACTCGAGATGTTAGAAGTTGTCGTGCAAGTGGCGAGCGCACGCAGCAGACCAAGTCTTCTGATGCGTGATCTACCCGGACTCGTAAGCAACAGCCTTCGCCCTACCACCGACAATATTAGCTGACCATTTTCAGATGTTAACCTACGGCGTTTCATGTGCTACTACATTGTTAAGTGCTTTGATGGATTCTGTCCAAAAACCGACTGGCCACCTGCCACCTGGGATCAAAGCGTTCACGCTGATTCGAGATCTATCCGTATTTATATCCCATCTGGAAAATCTTTCTGGGTCACAACAATGCAACCAAGCCCTATGTGAAGAAGCTGCAAAATCTCTCTCGAGCCAGCTGGATCGAGTACTGGATAGTCTCTCCTCCGCATCAGAGGATCTGGCGCTTACTACGCCGCTATCAATGGGGTTTGCAACATCGGAATATTCGCATATCAGCCATGTCGATGCTGAGGAGCCCAGTTCCTTTCAAATTGGAAATGCGGAATCATTTGACTGGGCTACTTGGATCATTCATGCTGATTTGGAGATTGTGGGCTGCGATTGATTGGTTCAATAAAACATGATGGTACGTTCAGAATGTTGATTATTTTGGCTAGATAATTGCAGTGTGCCCAGCTGAGCACGTTGATAATGTTCACACCTAGTAATTCTGATTTACCACATACCAGGCTCAAGGGTGTACCTCCACTCTGATTTTAGCCTGCATGAAGGATTTCAACAGCATGGATGTAGAAAGAGAATCTCTTTTCTGATAATCTTTGTTGCTTGGAACCAAGGAAAGCAGAGCCGCCGACAATGCTCATTGTCATGAAATCCAATGATTGGTATTTCACGGGTTTCCGGATCTGTTCAAGGGTTCCAAGGTTCGATCCAAACATGGTCCATTGTGAAGGCATCAAAGGCGGCTCGGCAGTGCGCTTAGTTGGTATCATGTCAAAAAAGGAAGACATCAATGAACCCTTGTTATCTTTGGTCTTTGTCCTCCGACACAATTGACTTGATTCTCACTATATAAGCAGCATTTCTTCGAGTCATCAGTAGATCTGTTATCCACCACTCGAATATTTGACATCTCTTCACCTCTAACTTAACACACTGCTATCATATACGGATTCTACTATACCTGAAAGCCCAAAACACTTTCAGACACATATCCAGATCGGAATCCAGCACATATCAACATGTCAACCCCATCAGACTGGGATCGCATCCACCCAATCTACGGCGTCCCCGTAGCAGCCGAACAATCCACCTCCCAACCCTCGATCATTTGCCGCGTAATTCGCGAGGGTCAGTATACCGAAGGAGCCCAAGTCCCCGTCTCCACATGGATCAACACTGACTACTTTCTCTGGACCCTATGCGCAGGTCTAGCCGCCTCCGAAACAGACGAACAATGGACCCTCGAATTCGAAACAAAGTACCAAGACTGCTGGAAGGAGATCCAAGCCCGAGTTCGGGAAGTTGGCGGCTCATACAGGTTTGGGCTGCGGATCCCAGCCCCTCCTGTCTTCGAGGTTGAGATCACGCCTGCAAAGGAGGTTTCTCCATCTTTCAAGATCTGTGCGGAGGGCCGTCCGACCCATCTCGCGCCCCCGATGACTGGTCTGCCTCGGGATGGCGTTTGGGCTTTCTGGAAGTATCTTGCTGAGCAGAAGGGGACTCTTCCTACCTATAAGGTCTTCATGTGGGCTCCGGCTTCTTCGTTCTCTCCGAATGTGAACCCTGCTGCGCCAATTGCTACTTCTGCGTCCGGCTCTGTTCCTCCTTACTCGCGTTGATTGATAGGTATGGTTAATACTCTGACTGATCTTGGTCTGCATGGAAGCCACAAGACCTGAAGAGTTGGGTCCGAAGATACCACATTTGTGAAAGTGAAAGAGCGATGCTGTGAGTGCTGCCTTCCCTCAAGATTATGTTGCTCTATTATGACGCTTTTCTATAGAATAGGTCTGGTCTTGCCACTGGATTTGTTATCGCTGAGACATAGAATGCCACTTTCGTATACAGCACGTTATCCAAATGTAGATCCAATACTGACATCGTTTTAGAACAAGCTAAAATCATTGAAGCAGCCTCATAGCTATTTTGGCCTTTGGGCTAGATTGAAGAATAATAACTAGCCTACAGCGCATGGCCCAGGAGGCTTGGCGATATTTGAACCCAATGTATCTCCAAGGTTCGAGTACGGAGTATTCTTTGTTCTCTAGCTGACTATTTTAAGCAACCCGCAGATGATCGTACTTTGGAAACACGGGAACGAAGTACGGAGTACGGAGTATGAGCCAAGAAAACAATCGATGAAGGGATATGAAAGAAAGCACCTGGGCACATGTACGGAGTAGACACAGTCATTCTTCCCAGGTGGTTCCAAAGGCAATACATGAAGCCCTCGCGTGACGAACCCTCGCAGAATAAGATATGATTCAGATGTTTTCAGAGCTCACAATACATACATACAATCTGGCCCTATGACATGTTGTTCCAAAGTTATCAAAAAGCTGAGGTGGCCTATCTGAGACAAACTCCAATGACCAAGGCAGCAGAAAGCCCCTAGAGTATGTACAAGCTTGGAAGTACCTCCAGCTAAGCCCTTTCTCACCCCTGCTTACGATGTACTAGCAAGATACGATGTCTCACTCAAACCAGATACAATACCTTGTACATGAAAACTCCGAACCTTGCGATAAGATCCTGTATATATGACTATACAATTACAGTAGCACTAAAGTCAAGTTCAGTGAGGTCATTTCCAAAGCTATTCTCATAGAAGCAATCTAAAAACAGCGCAGGAGACGTATCCCCTCAAATCCAAGCGATAGCAAGGCGCACAATTAAGATGTAGCTAAGAAAAAAAAAAAGAAGACCAAGAAAAAAGAACCGGTTTATTACATGGGGGAAAACTCGGGACCAAATAGAGCTAAGAAGCAAACTCGAGTAAGATGTGACAAGAACGAAAAAAAGGAAAGGGAAAAGGTTGGGATACGACCTGAGACGGTGGCCGAGCAAAATCAGCACTGAGATACACTGCTGACATGTGACTGACCACATGGGTTCTTAGCATTGTATGGTGGGTGCTCGTTTTGAGGCCATTCGGGGAGAGTTAAACATTTCAATTCACGGCTTGGGGCTCATATTGGTTTTTTTTTCTGTATCCTTATTGTAGGCTGCGGACGCAGATGTTCCATAATTGTACTCTGGCGGAGTTCAGGGTTTCATGTACTACCCGTTTCAATCCGCCATGCGTAGACAGGATAGGATGGGATGATGAGCGACAAGTGGGTATCATAACAAGACTGTTTTTGAGAGTCGGCGCGATATTAATGAATTGGAGCCGGGGTGGTGTAGGGAACGCTGGTCGGTTGCACTTTAGGTTCGCTCGTGGCCGTTTAATCGGGGTTGGTGAGCTGGATATTTGTCATTAAAGTCATTCAGTGCATCAAGTGATGAGTTGGCTGTTACATACCCGAAGAACAGGGCGCGAGTAGTCTTCGTTATCTTGGAGTGAGACACTGCTATCACGAGGACCGTTGGGGTAGAGAACCGTGTTGGTTTTCATACGGTTATCGGTGAAGGTGGTGCCCGAGCGAGTCGGGACAGGACCACCCTCACCCTGTGGGAAGAAGCCGCGCATGAAGCTCGATCCCCGGCTAGTGCGGTTGTCAGTCATATCCTGGCTGGGAATTGGGCTGACGGAGCGAGCGCGCTTGCGGTAGAAGAAGATCAGGAAGACCAGAGCTCCAACCAAGGCGAGACCACCCAGAACACCAATGACGATTCCGGCGATTGAGCCTCCACTCAGTTTCGAACTGTCCGCTTCGCTGGTATTGGCTGAAGCATTGTCGGCGCCGGCGGTGGCACTGGAGCCTGCGACGGTGATTGTCTTCACTTCACCACCGGAATTGGTCTCGACGGCCACGCTGGCAGAGGTGTCGGATGTTTCGGATTTCGATGGGGTCGACGTCTAGAAAATCAAGTTAGACATCTGTCGATCTATCGCGTTGATGTAGCTGGAAATACAGTTTTGGAAGCCGAAGTCGCAAAATCCGAGGCAGTCACAGTGACAGTCTCGGGTTCAGCGCTTGTTGTCTCCTAACTCAGGATTAAACCAACTTGTCAAGGCAAGAGGAGCACGGCCGATGCTCTGGGGTTTGGGAGGGGTCTGTTGGAAGAAGGGAAAAAAAACAAGCGAGGGGAGAATGGAACCATAAGAGAGGATGTGCTTACCGAGCTAGACGTGGAAGATGTAGTCGACGAACTTGTTGAACCGCCAGCTGTGCTGGTGACATCGTTGCCGGAGACGGCTACGTAGGCATAAACTGCCTTGGAGGCACTTCCACAGCTGTCTGAGGGATAACCCGGGCACCCAGTATCACAATCAGATGTGTCGTCGGCCAGAGAGCTCTTCGCGGGAGCGACATTGGTGCACCAGCACCGTTTCCCTTGAAGCACACCTAAGGCGTAGTTTTTGCATGTTGTCTGACACGCTCCATTGGACTGAAATGTGTCGGTCACTAACGAAGAAGAAAAGATATCAGCGAGGTGTCCTGTCTGCGGTTCATTTACATCACTCACCTGCTGAAAAGGACGATCCAGTGTTGACTGAGGCACAGTAGGCGAGGGTAGACGCGGCCGATGCGAATGGCTGGGCCAGCAGAGCAAAAACCGAGACTGCCACCGAGGCCTTCATGATGGGTGTGCCGAACCAGCAGCGGGCAGCCCGACCACTATTTCCTCGGAGAATGTATTATCGTCTGGGGAGGGGGGTTTCCCTCGGGTCTTTGTGATGGTGTCGACGTTCGCAACGAAAGGATAGGCGAGAGGACTGTGGGCCGACCGTGATTGTCGATCTTTGGAATCCGAGCTCGATAGAGGATTCGATATCTCTAGACGGAGAGATTGTCGACCCCCAAGTTGTAAACGGAATGGCTGGTCGATTGTCAGAGAACTCGCATGGTCCGATGGAAAGCAATCTCTGGAGCTGCCCAGATGAATGAAAGTAGCAAGGTGGGAGGAAGAGGAGAAGGGGGAGTATGAGAGCATCCCGACATACCCGCCTCGGTGGGTACCGATATCTGACGGTTTTGTATTGAGGTTGATGTAAGATACCGGTATGAGTAATTGCTGTGGTTTAGAGTAAATCTACATAGTACATACTCCGTAGTACTTCGTATGATATGTCCAGAGTCTAAAATTAAACAAATACAAAAGCAAGATAGTAATTAATCTACTCAGTATACTCCGTACTCCATGCTCTTTAATGAGTATAGAAACAGATCACTGTACGAGCAAGTACGGAGTAGGGTGATTGCGAAAAAAAAAGAGGACTATTGACTTTTTTCCTAATTAAATCGGAGCTCAGTTCCAAGGTTCCATGGAAATGCCCCAGGGGAACATTCCACCCTTCATACTCTGCTCTTTTTTTATCTTTTCCTCGCTATCGCTAACCTGCTATTCAAATGTTATATTTCCTTCTTTCTAATATCATGGATCGCCATGCATTAAACACCGTAGTGCAAGCCCAACAGCCGACATACGTAATTGAGTGGATATCCGACGCATCAACTGTACCAATTACAGCGTGCACTAGAACTTTCTTCGACTGGAAAACGTTGCCAATGGACACGCACTACGAATTCAATATCGGCTAAGTGTCTACTGGAAGTGCCAGACTCGGGTACACCAAGCCTATCCCAGTATATACTCGTAATGATCCTTTTTGGGGTCTAGACGTCGATCATTATTGCCTGGAACACTTCCTACAGATACATACGAGTACTCCGTACAAGTACTCTTCCTTCATACAGCCTGGACTTGTACGAGTGTTTCGACCTGTGCGATACTCCGTACAGATTGCTGTTTTCCCCTTTTCTTGTTTCTTGTTTTGTGCCTGTTATCGACCAATAATGAGTCCTCGATCGTCTCCACTCCGGAGTTTGGCTCCGATCAGGTTGATCGAATGGGCTCGCGTCATTTGTTTATCGCTTTCTGACTAGGTGTTAGGTGCGATCTAGTCCGTAGGCATCCAGGCGGATTTCTAACTGGTAATTAGCTACTACGGGAACTTCCAAGTTCGGACCTAATTACTTGGTGACTTAGGGTTATGGCTCGTGCTGTATACACTTGTACAAGTATTCCCAATCTAAAATATCCGGAGTACATGGCCCTTGAAGAAGTACTAAAAAAAAAAGTACGTGGCTGTGGCTGTGCCGGAAACCGCACTAAGCAATAAACAATAACTCCCCCCCAAACAATATGTAGTAAAAATGGAAGAACTCTAGCCCAACGATGCAGACATTAATCTGGCTGAGACAAACCCACAATTAACGCGGGTGGCGACAGACACGCCAGTAACACCGCTACACTCGCTTCTCCCGCCGTTCCATGGATAGCGACGCGGTTAGGGTTACAGTCAAAGTAAACAACACGCACTCCAGTCCGTTACTCCGTACAGCAGTTCAAGCCGAGTGGTGGATTTCGTGAGATCATCCAGTCGAACCCAGGTAATTATTGTACCTGGTGGCTTGCAGGTGGCGCTGGACTCTGAAACAGACCTACAGTGATGATCATTACATCCACACAGGTCAGATCGAAACTTTACATGTATCATTACGAGTACATGGTCGAGGCCCGATTATTACTCCGTACTATGCCCAGGTTTCCTACGGAGTACCCTTGAACTCCAAAGATGTTCGGAATTCTTGAAAATCCCGCCCTGAACAGAATCCAGAATTGTAGGAATTGAAGTCTAGACCGGGGAAAACCCACCTCATCCCTAGGCGCACGCAACTTGGCGTCATCGCCCACTGCGTAAAAAGTATGCATTGAGCGTTAACCTTGGAATGAACGAGCCAGAGCCAGAGCCAGATTGCTCCTGTTCCAAGCTACCGGGCCTGTCCCTGGCTATCACCCCGCGGTCGATCCGTTTCAAGCCCATGCAACAGAGACTGATCGTCGATGCGTCGGTAGCCTTGATCTCCTGCTCTGTACCAGGCTGAGCCTAGTTCTTACCGGCGTTGGCCATGGATCGCTCAGGATTTTCGGTGTTCGGAACGCTCCGCCCAGCCAGCCTGGGCTTGCTGTTGGAGAGATACGTGGCTCCAGCTCATTGTTTCGTGGGCCTGGCTTTGCCACAGCTTGGGGATGAGCAACGTACTCTGAAGTCGCAGACGACTCAGAACGGGTAGGACTGAGTACGCGGCGGCAGGAAGCGTTCACGGCATTTATCGTGTGTGGAGTGACTGCCCTTCCGATGAATGGGCGACGAAACTCTCGTGCCTGGCACAATGGTTCGCTCCTGCTTTCCACAAACTGTGCAGGCGTTGATTGCGTTCAATGCACCTTCCAAGAGTGGAAACACCTTTCATACTTCATCCGATCCTTGAAAAGGTGCTCATAGACGATCGTTCAATTCGTTTATACCTAGGCTGGTACGTACTGGAACTCCGAGTATCATAATCTCATGGCTCATGGCTAATAATATGTGGTGATCAGTAGGATAGATTCCCATCACCGTCGATCGTACATCCATTCCCGGTCCCTCATTTCCTGCATGCGTTTCTCCATCATTCGTGCTCGTGGGGGCGGGTGCATGGGCGGGTGCATGGGCATAGGCATAGGCATAGGAGGGACACTCATTCTAGGTGGTCTCATACGAGGAGGAGGGGGCGGGAGAGATGATCTTTCTCGCTGGATATCGCGGATGCGTCTGCGACGAGCACTTCGAATCTCATCGGAGAGTTCGACGAGTTCGTCTATATCGTCCTGTTTCGTAGAAGTTAGGCTGGATTTTAGACAAGAAAACGAAGTGAGTGGAGGCACAGGTGAATTCGTACCGATGTCAGGTAAGAGAAGATGTAGTAGCAGCTTCTTGTTTCTTCGTACTCATAGCCCATCTGCTCAATGGCTTCTTTCACGACCAATTTCTTCGTGATTTCGGTCCACCGGTCATCGCGTGGGTTTTTAGAGTCTGTTACTTGTTGTGCGATTCGTCCCATCTCTACTGGATCTCCTGCCTGTCGTGGTTCGACTTCGATGACGTTCAGGGCTCCGGTCATTTCAATTGCTTCGGCTTTGGTCAGAGCATGTACCACAGACCAGTCATCCGTGCTCTTTGGGGCTCGATGTACTGTTCGAGCGCTCTCGAATTCTGCCTCCTTCATGTCAGGCATGGGTGGCATCGGCGGCATCGGCGGCATTGGATAGGCGTGGTATGATGATTCACTCTCGCTGTCAATTACCTTGGGCCGAGCGTGGTGCTTTGATCGAGGCTTATCCCATGGGTTCTTGAAGTCGGGGACAGATTCACTGGTGGGTGAGATTGAATCTTCGGGGGCGAGAGATTCGTCGCTATCACGACGTGTGAGGACCATGTCTTCTTCGGACGATCGCCCGCCTCGCGTTCTACTAGTAAATATGTAAGCATGGTGTGCAGCCATTGAGAGCTGTACACTTACCGAGTGGGTATGTCAATCTTATTGGGACTGCCTCTCAGCGGCCGCAGTTCTGGTGTAGGTACGCGAGGAGGTCGAATTTCTTCATAGCCTGGAGGCCTCTCAGTTCTCGACTCTTGTTCAAATAGGGACAAAGTTTCTTACCGCGTTCAATATCTCTGGGATGGGCGTACACATCCCGAGTAATCGGAGGTGCATGTATTGGCTCCACGGGGGAGAAGGTGGTGATGGCGGGACCATATCCTTCGTCTTCCTGATGCGCACCTCTTCATCTACAACAATATTTCGTGGGCGCATATTGGAGTCGGACTGCGATTGGACGCTTAGCTCCTCGTCGAAGGAAGGATCCATCTTACGCTCCCGGCGAAGACCTCTCATCTCACGGTCAGGTTCTTCAATGGGTGGACTTCGTCGTCGCTCGCGTCTTTCACGCATGACGATCTCCTCTTCTCTAGGATCAATTGGGCGGGGTGCTTTGCCCTTCCTCCTAATGCTCACATCTTCCTCCTCAAAGTCGTCTTCTGAAGGATCAATTGGAATCCGATGTCGGTCAGGAAGCACATCATCGGGAATAACTTCCTCGACTTCCACCCTGCGAGCAGGCGGGGGCCCTGGTCTCGGCCGGCGATACCTTTCCTCCTCAAATCCACGCGTTCTCTCATGTGATCGCATGTCGCGCTCGCTGTCCCAGCCGCGACGTAAAGGGCCCTCGCCTTCTCTTCGCCGTATGAGGAGTTCTTCGTCCTCAATCCCGGCCTCCGGTCGACGTCTTCTTCCGTGCTGGCGTGGTTCTTCGACAAAGTCTTCCTCGGGCTCTCGCTCCGGACGTCGTCTCCGATGTCGCCTTTCTCTCTCATACAGCAGGTCGTCTTCTGATCTGCGCTCGGGATGACGTGCGCTTCCTCTGCGTATTTCCTTCTCTTCGACAAGAAGATCATCCTCCGACCTTCGTTCGGGGTGACGTCTGCTTCCTCGGCGAATCTCTCTTTCTTCGAAGGCGACATCGTCTTCTTCCACGCCCCGATGACGGCGCCTACTCCGACGGCTTTCGCGCTCTAACGGTTCCGGCTCTTCGAACTCTGGCACTGAGCGACGCGGTCTCTCTCCGCCCCGCTCTCTTTCATCAATAATATCCTCCTCAGACCTCTTCCGTGGGCGCCGTCTGCTTTCTCTCGGTCTATCCTCTTCATCAAAAAGATCTTGCTCGATTTCGCGTTCCGGACGAGGTCTTCTTTCCATATGTCTCGTTCTTTCATCGACAATTAAGTCCTCTTCCAGATCTCGCGGATGCCGACGACTCCCCCGACGACTTTCCCTTTCCTCAAAAACAAGATCCTCATCGTCCACCTCTCGAGCGCGGGGTCTGCGCCGCGATCTCGGCGGCCGTCCATACCCTTCCTCGCGACCGAGAGGCACAGGCCGCTCGGGCGATTCCATTTCTACCTCCTCCCTTGAACGCGTAAAGACCATATCTTCTCGCTCGGGGGGCCGTTCAAGGCTTTCTTCCATAAACTCCCTTCTCGGCCGCTCGCGAAACCCCATACGCTCCATATCATCGACCAAAGGTTCCGACTTCCGACGCCGATATTCGACATCTCTAGACTCGTAGTCGCGGGCGCGCGGCCGATATGGATCTCGTTCGCGCTCCACGTCGTATATTTCCTCTTCGTAGTAATCGCGAGGCGGGCCCGGGCGGCGGGGCATCTTGACACCGGCGGGGTCTCACCGCATTGAAGTCCAGAGCGAGGTCTCGTAGTTGAACTTGTAAGGAGAATCCGGAATGGATGGACAGGGCGTTCTTGGGACCTGGTTGAGAGTAGAATCCGAACGAGGCGCTCGGGTGAGGTAAGGCAGCAATAAGATCGCGAAGCGCTTTGGTGGGGCTTGCAGGAGAGAAAAGCAGTGGCTCTGTGTGGAGCCAGCGGACAACGATGTTTCTCCAGGGCTATGCTGTGTGCTATACGAGGTTCTGAGGACACAAAGGAAGATGGGCTGTGAGTTGGACCAGAATCAAAGTGATCGACCCCGCCGGCCCGCTGATGTCACTCGGATGGTCTTGTTCATGATGTACACCCCCTTGGTCCTCTGTTTGGATGAATACATGTATAGACAGTTTCAGTTTCAGTCTTGGGGTTATAGCTATAAGGTAGTAGAAATCCTTGGTTGAGATCTTCAAAATTGCCTCTTTAGGCCTGTGTTCCACTGGGACCTGCCGTGCTGAGCCATGGATATACATCTATGACCATAGAGCAAAGTGAACTCATTCTCTATCCTCATACTCCGAAATGCTGTTGATTGTCCTCCTTTCTATGTTTTAAGAAGTCCTCTCATCTTTGGGATATATGTTAAGCCAGAGATGGATAAATGCAGTCAGCGTAGATTTGTACAAACCCCGCTTCTCTCTGCCTCTACACTACAGCTCTACACACCTTATTTATCAAGTACCTTAAAATGCAAATATCAGGTCTGATCCATGAAGTCCATACTCTATTAACAATTGACACATGTATATCGCACATGAGATACCACACGTGGACGCTGTAATCCCTCGTGCCCAAGTACTTTGGGTAGGCTGAAACCCCCTTGAGATCGACCTTGGAGGAATCAGAGCTACTGGGACTAAGGTATCCAGGTGACTAAGTACCTCAAACACACTCTCATGTGCGGAGTAGCCCATATTGAGTCACCCGCTGATGATAGCCCTGGACATTCCGGTCGATCCCTTCACGCCCTGAAGACCGGTGGACTCCGATGCTTCCCCCGCGCTAGGGGCTGATCCTATCCAGTCAATCATACTCGTGGACTTTGAGTGCTTATCTTTATGAAACGTTTAGTTCTGCAACGGTAAGCGTCGGTCAACATTGCATGGTTCTGAACCAACCGACTCTTCATGAGTATCCATCTTTTGGTACTATATAAACATACCATCGCCTAAAGCATCACACCCAATTAGCTAGCCACCCACACAGCTCTGGTCACAAAGGATACACTCAGTCATTTCTTCTTCCATCAAGACACAGAAACCGCTAGCAATGGTTGCCTTTTCCAAAATCGCGATCGCCTCCGGGTTCGCCCATGGCGCCCACGCATGGGGCGTACTAGGTCATGCGACAGTGGCATACGTCGCCCAGCACTATCTATCAGAAAGCACAGCATCATGGTATGTCCTCATCACAGCCCGGGTGTATAGCATACGCCTTCCCATTTACGACCGATCACTAACAAACCCCAGGGCCAAAGAGGTCCTAGATGATTCCTCCAGTTCATACCTCGCCAACATCGCCTCATGGGCCGACGAGTACCGCCTCACCAGCGCAGGCAAATGGTCCGCACCTCTCCACTACATCGACGCCGAAGACAACCCACCAACAACCTGCAACGTAGACTACGCCCGCGACTGCGGCGACTCAGGATGCTCCGTATCCGCAATCGCAAATTACACACAACGCGTAGGCGACGCCCGACTCACAGCCAACAACACAGCCGAAGCGCTGAAATTCCTCGTTCATTTCCTAGGCGATATCACGCAACCCCTGCATGACGAGGCGTACGAAGTTGGCGGAAATGGAATCGACGTTACTTTCAACGGGTACAGTGACAACCTGCACTCGGATTGGGATACGTATATGCCCGAGATGCTGGTTGGCGGTGACTCGCTAGCGGATGCGCAGTCGTGGGCTGATTTGTTGGTTGAAGAGATTGAAGATGGTGACTATAAGGCTGAAGCTGCGAGTTGGATTAAAGGTGATACGATCGGTGATGCGGTTTCGTCGGCTACGCGGTGGGCGGCGGATGGGAATGCGCTGGTGTGTACTGTTGTTATGCCTGGGGGAGCGTCGGCGCTTCAGACGGGGGATCTGTATCCGACGTATTACAATTCGGCGATTGGGACTATTGAGTTGCAGATTGCGAAGGGGGGTTATCGGTTGGCGAATTGGCTTAATTTGATTTACAGTACTAGGATTGCGAAGAGGGATCTTGAACGGTTTGTGGAGGTGAGTCGGAATGAGGCACCTGAGTTGGAGCTTCGTGGGCGCAATTTCCTTCCTGAGTCTCGTCCGCTGAGTCGGGCGAAAATGGCTAGAGAGGCGATGGAGGGTTCTTGCTGTAGTTCGGAGAAGCGAGGACATGTGCACTGATTCTGTCATGGGCAATATTTCGCTGTTTATTTACCATCCTGGAAGTGATGAATGAACATCTTGAGAGTTGAATTGAATTAGTTTCCATGAAGCGTTGTAGTACAAGTACTTTCAAGACTCGCTCACATTTCCTAAACGATCTTTCTCGAGGTTTATGACGCATCTGTATGACTGAGAACCGATCGGATTCTCAAAAATGGTTTCCAACTGCGTAACTCCGTTTATCTCATTGGGTATATCAAAGTTAAGAGACAAGATAAAAAACACATCATAAGAGTACACAAAACACCAAAAAGGCATTATACGTGAGCGCGCAAGGCTTGTCATTCATTGAAAGGCAAGTCGCATTTGCCCTTTCTCGGGTTTGCCCCTGCCACCACCACCACCTCGGCCGCCTCTTCCACGAGGCGTTGTGCCTCGAGAGCTGCTCTTCGGGGGTGGCACCGGCTGGGAGGCTCTCGACTCTTCGCGATCTTGATTGGCAAGGTCTTTGGCAAAGTGCCAGTCATCGTGTTCCTCTTTTTCATGTTGGGGTACCGATGTGGAGCATCGCGGGCATGTGTACTGAGGAATCTGGAATTCTTCCGAGACTATTTCATGAGGGACTCGAAGGCGTTCTTCGGTCTCTCCGCCAGTTTCTTCGGGAGGATTACTAAAGAATTGTTGAATCCGACCTCCGTCCAGTTTCTTCTTCTTGCCCGCTGGAGGAGTGTCATTCGAGACATTTTCAATACTGCGAGTTCTCGCAACATGGCTAAGAGCTTTTGCCTGGTCACCTCGGACGAGAAAGCCTTCTATGGCCTTATTTTTGCTCACGCCATCTTCAAAGCTCGATACGCTTAATGATAGATTAGAGCATGGCCATGCCTGGCCGTCAACTACCACTTGGCGAAGCAGGGTTTTAGCCAGGTCGTATAACAACTCCTCATCAATGGCATTGGATCCGGGAATTGGGATCTGGCGAGAACGCGACTGGACAGTCCGATGATGCAGCGTGATCACTCTCGGGCGGCGTCTATTCTCAAGTACGCCGTCCTCCACAAGCCGGCCATAGATATCAGCTGCGAAGATCCGAAGCCATTTATCAGCTTGGTCGAGCGAGTTGATACTTGGTCTGAACGATTTGGCAGATAACATGGACTTGATCTGAGTACGGGGATTGACCTCGCTGCGATCATCTCCACGGATGATACCGTAGAGCCACGATGCCGTGTGGTCATCCAGCTTGGCTCGTAGCTGTTCGAGGGGCACATTGAGCAGCTCGCTGACTTTTTCAGTCCCGAAGGAGCTTGTGATTTGGTCACCAAGTTTTCCACCGAGCATGCGGATTTGAGTGAATTTGTATCCACCCAGGAAGTTCTGCACCGCGCGATTCCGTACAACGGTCTGCAGATTGGGTTTGTTACATGAACTTCCCAGCTTCGCGATCATTTTGTTCCGACCAAGACCCGCAGAACAGGTGTAGCTCAGCTTGTCCCAGACCGCATTTCGCACCGACCGGACAATTTCAGACCCTATCAACATTACAACGTCATCCCAATCTGGGTCATCTTCCTCCGTCTCATGCTGATCAAGATCCACCAGACAATCGGTATCCCACTGCAATGCGGTGCTCGGGGGTACGGGCAATTCGGCATCACGATTGTCGTCCTGTGTGCCCGGCTGTAGCTCTGGGTATCTCCGAAGAAGCGCTCTATAGACCAAGGGCGACAAATCAATGAAAACCTCATCAATACTAGCTTTCTCCAGCCCAGCAGCAACGTCTTGTGTCGGTCGCTTAGTCTCATCTTCCGCATCCTCGCCCCATTTCGCAAGAGCCTCTTTCATCGTCTGCAGGATCTTTCGCGACTGTGCTCGGTACGGATCCAGGGACACCTTGTCCGTGCTGATACTTCGGAAAGAATCATCTCTGTATGCCCATCGACCCCCTTCTCCCTCTCTGAATGTTGCAACGTGCTGTAGGACCAAGTCCGGGCACATTTTCCTCGCCTCGGCCACGCTGATCAATCGACTGACCCCGAACGGGCGCGCGGCATAGTTGATGGCGATCAGTGAATCCCATTGGCGTACTGCTAGAGGGACTTCTCGGGGCGTTCCTAAGCGGACCATCTCGCATTGTGCGTAAAAGGCATCGAGGTCGATATGCGCGACCACGCGCAAAGGTGTCGCTGTGGATCCATGTCGCAACCCTTGCAATTGTCGATAGGTGAAGCGGGAGACTTTCACGGGGTCGGATGGGTCGGTGGCGGACATTGCGAGTGCATTATGCCGGTACCAATCTTTCTCTGTTCAGCGTGGTACCTTCCGAGGTTTGAGGTCGTCACGGTTCGATGCCTGGGACAGAGCTCCGATTGGGACTAGCGCGTGCACGTGCCATCTTTGAGCCTCAGGCTCGTGTTTGTTTGTGTTTGTTTTCAACGAAGTCCGAATGTTTCCTTTTTTTTGAGTCTTTTCTTTTCTTTTTTTCTGGTCTCTATTTCTATTTCTGTATGAGTCAGATGTTAGCAAGACGGCTACATCTCCCTCCGTTTGATCCGGACTGGGCGTTATTCTGTATATTTGCTATCACTATAGACCAAGGATCTTCCACCGGACTCTCGGTTAGGGACTGCTTAATTTTCTTCATTGCAACGTGAAATCGAGCTGCAGAACTTTCCTGGACCACACGAGTCTCGAACACGGAAAGGACAGAGAAGCGAAACAAAGTGATCTCCGATCTGTACGATCCTGCTGACAGAGCCGGGCTGTGAGTGGACAGGAGGCTCGGAGGCTTCGCGCAGGTGCCCAAAGCCACGCATTACTGCCCAACGACTGGCGAGTGGGCATCGGCAGCCAGCTTCCCAAGTGGCAAGTTCGCAGCTCGCCACCGGTTCTTTCTTTCAACGTATTGACACTGTGATTGGCATGGCTCCCTTGAAAACGGTCGCAGAGAAGGGTGGGTGAGTGATCAATCACAACCAACCCGAGTGAACCTGAGTTGCCCCATCGACGCAGCCATTTTGGAGCACATGAACATCTGGTGCTCTGATGATCTCATGGTCCTCTTGACCGCTGAAGATGATTCCCAACGGTGGAGACTTGTAGAGTTTGAATATTAATTCGGTCCAGGGGCACAGACTGAGGAGCAATCCATGCTGGTCGAATGATGGGGGATCGGCTCTTTTGCAGTTATTTTCCGCCACTCGAAGTTAGTGCTCTTAGTGCTCTTAGTGCTTTCACTGCTACGGAGTACGAAGTACTACAGACTAACAGCTGTCTTCATCTTTGCGCAATACGAACTAGTCTAGAATCGCGGGGGTTGACCGGAGTGGTGTGTTGACTCAGATTCCAGTATAGAGTCAGAGAGACGTGTACGAGAATAAGCAAGTAATAATCAGAGGACCTCAAGGCGGCTACAGACAGGGTCACACATTGACCTAATCCTCATTTGAACGTGCATGCTTTTCGCCTTGATCTCAGTGGGGAGTCGTGGCACCAGCCCAAGACGGCCCAACCGCGCCTTTAGCCCACTTTAGTTCCTCTCTTTCTGTCTTCCCCCCCTCTTCCTCTTCTCTTTCTTTCCTCTCGACTTCCTTCTTCCCTCCCCCTTTCCATTCACCTCTGGCTCGGCCATCTCTCCCTAAACACCTCTTAGCGTCGCGTTGGGCTTTTTGAATCCCAACCTCTTTGCACCTCAACTCTCGGGATCTCTCAATTTTGTCACGAATACCCAGGATAATTGCCGGACACGGATTTCTTCCCAGGACTACCCGGACTTTTCCCAAGGACTTTTTTTGATATTGCCGACCAGGATCAATCTTTATCTGGCCGCTTTCCAAGGATCATATCTCGTTTTTCCGTTTGCCCTGGAAATCGAGAAACTCAAGTCGTGATTGTTGGCTTGGAAGAAAAAAACCCTTCGCCTGATAGAAATTGTACTACAATATAACGGACTCACCACCCATCAACTCTACCGGATCTCTCAAATCTACCACTCCGGAATTTCCCTCTTTTCTGGACCCTTGGACCCGAGGACTATAAACCTATAACCGGAAAAAAATCCCATTTCCATCCCTCGGACATTATGACAGGCCGTTATGAGGCACGCCCGGAGCGTCAAAATGAATATTTCATCCCTGGTGACGGAATCAGTCGCGAAGTCATTCAAGCAGATATCTGTCGCTACCTTGGAAACGATGCTCTCGTGAGACCAGGCAACCACAATGTTCGTCCTTCTACTTTCGTCAACACGATAACCCAGGACCCTTTGACTGACCAACAACAGGGCCGTCCAGGTTTCTTCATCCGTGCCTATCGGAATCTCACATCTGTAAGTTGCGGAGATTCGACGCCGAGCGGGAAATGTGTATAGTTGGGATTCTAACCACACTTCGGATATAGGAAATGATTGCTGATCTAAAGGCCGACTCCGCCCGTTGGGAGGCGGACGTCTCACGCCGGGCTGACCTAGGCTACCCGCGAGGCAGTTACATACAGGACATGAACGTGTCTCATGCCCCTAACCAACCCCCAGCGAGCTATCCCGCTTCTACCATGCATGAGGTTCGCCAATCACAAGGCCCATCTCCCACGCCGTTCACTGCAGCCCCTGCTCAGTCCTACATGGAGTCCTATTCCCAGCCCCAACAGAGCTCATACAGTGGACCCCAAAATCCTTCCTACAACACATCCCCTTACACTTCAACTCACTCGCCATACGCTTCAGGTACAGCTCCGTACCCTCCACCCCAGGTTACCTACTCTGGTTCCAACCAGCCGGTCGTGACCGCTGTGGACATGCCCCACTCCTACACGTACGCCCCCACGGGCTACGGTGGTTACGACAATGGCCGAAGCAATGCTCCCCGATACCCGGGGCCTGGATATGATGCCGATCAGGATTACTCTCCCGTAACCTCCGGGATGGCCTATCCTACAACCACTGCCCCGGATCCCCGGATAGGAATGGAGCCCAGATACACCCCAGAATATGAGCGCAGGCCGCAAGCAACCAGAAATGACCCGCACCGTCGGCGATAAACAAAAAAAGTCAAAACAAAAAAAAACCAAAAACAAAAAACAATCATCACCGAAGTGATGCCTTTCCTGCTCCCATGGTTTCTTTCCTTGTCCATCCTATCCACGTTGGGGGCTTAACCTGATACATTCTCCCTGGAATATCCCCATTATGCTTCTGGGAGTAATCTTGATTCTACGAATTTTTCCAGGACCATCTCAACACACATCTCTCTCTCTCTCTCTCTCGGTCGCTGTCTCAGAAAATCTCCTTTGCATCCAGTCCAGGAAACCCCAAGCTTTTCCAGAGATATCTCACATTCCGCTTCATTGTTTCGGCCAAGGGGAATATCCACCTCCCGCCGGACACATCCATCCATCCATCCCACTTATCCTCTGGACTTCCACTGGAAATAAACCCACCCGCTTCTCCATAAGAAGCTTGGAACTTCCCGTGGAACTCCGTCTTTGCTTTTGCTCCCTACTCCATTTTATGCAACTGTTCAGCCAGGAGCAGGAGTGACATGTCTTGTTTGATTTTGCGAAAAGGTGGCCCGGACTTGAGCGTTTTTCTCTGTTTCTTCCTGGTCTCGCGGATTCCGGGAAATACTCACCCACAATAATGCGATTTCTTGTCGTTTCCCGGTGTACAGGATTTGTGTGTTTTAGCAATTCTCCCTTTTTTGTTCTTTCCATTGGAAGGAGGCGGAGTCATGACGTTCTACTTTTTTTTTTCTTTTTCATTTATCACTTGGTTTGCGAAGAGCGTCATTCTTCGATAAACTAAGGCTGGTGAGCTACATGTAGATATGAGCATTTACGGAGTTGGTCCGTTTTCTGTGATGTTTCACTGTGCGAGATCGTGGAGTCCACGACCTTAATGAGCCTGATTTATGATTATTCTTGGCTTGAAATGAATCCAGATATCCATCAAAGAACTTTCTTCTCTTTCATTTTGACTGACGTATTTTTTTGAATTTGTCTTTAGCTACTGAGGGGAAATCTTGCTCTGTGTGCAACTTTGCTGCGTTGCAGGCCCATTCATCCCCAGCACAATCAACCATTGATTAATTTGACTCAAGCCAATCAAGCATACTGGAAGCGACACATTTTTACAGATCGTGGATTGCGCCCAGGTGTCTACCTTCCATGTTTTAATTGACACTCATAGACTACGAGCGCATGAGCTTGCAGACATATTCCACTTTGCATCTATGGATTCCTACAGCATAAACCAGAGGAGATCTTGAGCATATACGCGTTTCATAATATCCGCTGGGCAGAACTCAGACAATGACTTCTATACATGATACTTTGGCACTTCTTTCTGTTTCCCGATCAATGATTGTGAAACATCCGATTAGGATCTTGGGACATAAGGAAAGCGACATGATGTCAGATTGATTTGCACAAAACATAGTACATACACTGTAGCGCAGCCTCGATAGCCGAAGTATGCGCAGCAAATATTGGTATCAAAGCAGTTGAAAGGACAGGAGAGCATGCCCGAGAACAATCTTTTGGGTTTCCCACACTGATGCGATGGGGACTTATTCGTCATTCCACCATGGGCAGTGGCGGGCAATATATCTCCTGCCAATGGCTAATTCATTTTCTCCAAGCTCGAAAAAAGATAACGCGGCATTCTATGAAGTTCAATTACTCCATTTTCTCGTAATCAAATGCCGTTTATTGGTCTTCGTAGCCCTGGGGGATCACACGCGGACCCTGCGGGACTGTACAAATTGAGAAAAGTGGTCAGTTTTTTTGTTTCAACGTCGACTCAACAAAGCATTGAAGCCATGATAATGGAGGATTGGGGTCATACTGGGATATGTCAGAGGAACAGGCTCGGGGTCGACATCACCAAGCGCGTGGCGGATGGGAGGAATAGTGGCCAGGAAGACGGGGCCAGACAAGCCGAGGAGACAGGCACCCATGTAAGCTGGTCTTTCGTGCGCAGCCCAGCGGAGGTAGCGGAAGGGAGTGGACCAGAACTGAGGGTTGGACATGATTGCGAGAGGTCGTTGACCACCGGTCGGGGATTATGACGGGTTGAGAAAGAGGTCGAAATCTGATCAATTAAGATCTGCTGTATAGACGCACACCAATGCAGCGATGCGCAGGTCTGCTAGTTGGTTGTTGAGTGGTAGGGGCGAGAGCGAAGAGCAAAATTGCAGCCGTGGGGAAGAAGTGAAGTTGAAGTTCGGAGATGCGGACCTAGCGCACTCGGGTCTTGGCACTCGCCCATTAACACGTCGCCCTTTCTGGCTATCTATACACCTCTGACTTCCACGCCTCAACTTTCCTTATTCCTTTCCTCATTTTGAATTGAACCCGTTCTGCTGTGCGGAATCTGTTCAAGATGCGGTGGTGCCTTGCGTTGCTAGTCTGCTGCTTCTTGGCTGCGGTAAATGCGCTGAGTAGCTCCGGCAGCCGTTTGCTGGCGGTTCTCGAAGACACAGACCAGAAAGACCTATACTCTACACTGTGGGCTGATCTTGAAGGTAATTGCAATCGCACTATAATAGAGCTCATATGCTGATACTCAGATACCAGCCCGCGGATACGATGTTTCGATTGAGTCCCCCAAAAGTGACGAGCTTGCTCTGTTCAAGCACGGCGAAAGAGCTTACGACCACCTCCTGATCCTTCCCCCCAAGTCCAAAGGTGAGGAGTAATGACCCAATTGGTGCGGTAGCAAGTTAATTGACTGAATGGTACAGGTCTTGGTCCCTCTTTGACTCCTAAGCACATCGTCGATTTCATGAACAAGGATGGCAACATTCTCCTCGCCCTCTCCGGAAAAGCGTCCACATCCAGTGCCGTCAGCTCCCTTCTCCTCGAGCTCGACATTCACCTCGCCAATGACCGCTCCGCTGTCGTCGTCGACCACTTCAACTACGATACCCTCTCGGCCGCTGAGAAGCACGACGTCCTAGTCCTCCAGCGCCCTGGACCCCTCCGTCCTGATGTGAAGGCATTCTTCGACGGCGAAGGTGTTCTCGCCCTCCCCCGTGTCGCTCCCCAGACTCTGGGTGGTGAGAGCGCTCTCCTCGCCCCGATTCTTTCGGCCCCCGCTACCGCCTACAGCTATAACCCCAAGGAGGGCATGCCCGCACCAGAGGACATCTTGGCCACCGGATCGCAGCTGAACATCGTGTCTGCTATGCAAGCACGCAACTCAGCCCGCTTCACCGTTCTCGGCTCTGTGGAATCCCTCGAGGATAAGTGGTTCTCGGCCTCTGTCAAGACCCCCAGCGGCACCGAGTCCCCCACCGTGAACCGCGAGTTCGCCAAGCAATTGACTGCTTGGGCTTTCAAGGAAACTGGTGTTTTGAAGGTTGACAAGGTCGAGCACCGCTTGGCTACCGAGGGCGCAGAGCTCAACCCCTCCATCTACCGAATTCAGAACGAGACCGTATGTTGATAAATACTGCTATGGCCATTCACAAGCTAATCCCATTTTCTCCATATACAGGTCTACAACATCGAGGTCTCAGAATATGTCTACGACAAGTGGGTGCCATTCGAGGTTCCCGGCAATGACGAGCTCCAACTCGAGTTCACTATGCTCTCGCCCTTCCACCGTCTGGCCCTGAAGCCTGTCGGCCGCACTGATACCAGCACCATCTTCGGTGCTCAGTTTGTGACTCCCGATCAGCACGGTATCTTCTCTTTCCGTGTTAACTATAAGCGACCTTTCTTCACCGCTATCGAGGAGAAGCACGAGGTCACCGTCCGCCACTTCGCCCACGACGAATATCCTCGTAGTTGGGTTATCACTGGCGGTTGGGTCTGGATTGCTGGTCTTTGGTCGGTGATTGGAGGATTCTTGGCGTTTGTGGTTGTCTGGCTTTACTCTGCGCCTGTCACAGACAAGCTTAAGAAGACTCAGTAGATTTATATCTACCTTATATGCACTGTACTGTTTGTCTATGAAGTTTCTTGCATGAACCCATTTCCAAATCAACAAATACATGATCATACATATGAGTTGAGTTTTGCTGATAGTTGTGGGCCTGGTTGTGTGAGATCATGTGGGCAATCCACAGCTGTGGCCCCTCCCTGTCTTCTAATTTGGGAGGCTTTCGCAGAGAATGTATTGTCTCCGTAATGTAGTTGATCCGCACTAACGGTGATGACGGGGAAGTTCCTGGGGGCTGCGAAGTGCACGCAAAGGCGTACGTGAGTTGTCGTCCTCTTTGGGAAGTCACCTGTCGCCAGGTATAAATACCTCTCCCCTTCTCTTCTATCCTTCTCTTCTTCTTTCCTTCTCCTACATCTCATCTGGCTTGGGCCTATCCCTTCCAGTTGGGTCACAGACGTCTGGCTTTGGATCCTTGGGCCCACGGGGTACACAGTCACTGTGGTCACCATCAAATACTATAATCTCGTGCGAGTCGGCGGGCAGGTGAAGTAGTAGGGAGCAATCCCGAAGCGCATTACTGATCCTGTGTAGCTACCCACGAGATACATTTGTAGCGTGATTGTTCGCTTTGTGACATTGGAGCTTCACATGCCGGGTATCTTGTAGGCATATCAATCCCATGCTCCTTGATTCTTACTTTTTATACGCGAGTGATTCTTGTAAAACGGCCTTGAAGCATTCCACTGGGATGCACTAGACCTCGGGGGCTTTGCGCGCCCCAGGCCTGCTCAAGTGAGATGAAACCACATGCACCACAGCCACCTGGGCAGTGTTCTTGGGACGATGCCCACAATCTGCATGGACATGTTGTAAGACCGGGGACTGACTGTCTGCATCTGTACCACTGGCACGCCGACAAAGCACTGTGACCTTGTGTCTCAGATATTCCTTCACTTGCGAACTGACCACTCAGCGTAGTGAGTATACTTGATTGTCTTAGGGCTACGCGGGAAAAACCATTGTAGAATAGTAAAACATAGTATCGATTGCGGATATCAACGACCACAGTCGACCTTAGAAGAAACGAGTATGTGAGGGGAAATGTATGGTTCAAGTGTAACCGAACTCCGGGCCATGCCAGCATGTAATCAACCAATTCAAATATCCTTACAGGCCACGGGTCTTCTCGGGGTCCATTTGGACCTCGTCACCATTGAGTTCCTTGACAGTCTGGTATGCAGGCCCTCCGGCGTAGAGCTGACCACCCGAAGCGTTGCCGGACTGTCCGCCTTCCACTTCCTGGGATAACGCGATGGGCTGATTACCGCGGAAACGTTTGCGCATGTCGATCATGCCGCGCCTGTGCCGAAGAGAGTTCCAATATTAGTCAACATGATCTCGCGCCCCTCCGGTATTCATTGTTCCCCAACACTCGGTCTCGACTCACTTGCACTCGCTGAATCCTTTCCGCAGCTGCTGACATCTCATGGGTAACTCCTCGGCGAGAGGAGAACTGAGGCACTCACGGGGCGTGTGACGCTGGACCATGATACAATCCGATTCCTGAAGACATTGGGCCAATGCCTTTCCTAGACATTTGGAACTTATGATCAGCATGTGCTTGAAGGGTTGCGACACGGGTCCAGGTGCCTCCTGAGCGTGATGGGCTTTGGAACAGCGGGATCACGGGAATTGAGACAACGTACGAATATCATTGCATGAGCTCGGCATGTTGTCGCTGTCTTGTGGACGAATGCGCAACCTCACGCAGGAACAGACGTGGAACGGGCAAATTTGGGTTGTCGGTAATCTCGACGATGATTGGTTGTTGGGCCTAGACCCCGGATGAGATAAGCAACTTTCACATGCGGCCCTGAGCAATGACGTCGTGACCCTTTCATCTCTTTGATCCTCGACTCTTTGCGCTCGACTCTTATTGTTGCAAAGACCTTTCAGTCGGACATATGCATATCATCCATCATGTCGCGCGTTCCATTCATTGGCAGATTGTTCTGGTAAGAGCTTCGACTCCTCATAGAAGAAGCCGCAACTGATCGTGTTGATAGGTTTGAGTACCTGGCTTTATTCGGCTCATTGATACTGGTACTGCTTGAAACGATTATACATCTGATAACATGGTGCCTCCGTGAGTATATTCAAATACCCCTGTTGCCATAGGAGACTACAGAAGCGAGACTAACCCCTAGCCAGCGAGCCCTATAATCAGGTTCTGCTACGAGCAGTCCAAAGCGCTCTTTAATCTGCTGATCCCAACGGAGTCTCGTCAGAGGCGCACGAAAGAAGAGGTTTTTGCCAATGCCATCGCAGATGCATCGGATTTCACCGAAATATGCGCCCTTTTTGGTTACCAAGCCGAGGAGCACATTGTACAAACAAATGACGGCTATCTTCTTGGGCTACATCGACTTGCATATCGAAAGGGGGAAGAACACGTTCGTGTCAATCAAAGCCCCGGCGGTATCCAAAAGAAAGTGGTATATCTTCACCATGGGCTTCTCATGTCCAGTGAAGTTTGGGTGGCCTTGACAGACGAGCAAAGATGTCTTCCCTTCCAACTGGTGGAAAAGGGATACGACGTATGGCTAGGAAACAACCGTGGAAACAAGTACTCGAAGAAATCCATCAAGCATTCACCGGGCTCGAATGAGTTCTGGGATTTCTCGATCGATCAATTCGCCTTCTCGGATATCCCAAACAGCATCGAGTACATCCTCGAGGTCACAGAGCAGCCATCGCTATCATACATTGGATTCTCACAAGGAACAGCTCAGGCATTTGCTACGCTGGCTATTCACCCGCTGCTAAACAGGAAGATCGATGTCTTTGTGGCACTCGCACCTGCTATGGCCCCTTCAGGTCTACGCAATCGCATTGTCGATTCCCTCATGAAAGCATCTCCTGACTTCTTGTTCTTGCTCTTTGGTCGTCGCAGCATTCTGTCATCAACGACCATGTGGCAGACGATACTCTATCCACCAATTTTCGTGCGAATCATCGATACAGCTCTCCGTGCTTTGTTCAACTGGAAGTGTCGCAACATCAAGCGTACACAGAAGCTAGCTGCGTATATGCATCTATACTCGTTCACCAGCACCAAGTCTGTCGTGCATTGGTTCCAAATCATTCGCCACAAAAACTTCCAGTTCTACGACGATGAAGTCTACGCTCCATTTAGCATTGCTGCCAGCGAGCGCTTCTACAAACCCGTCAAGTACCCGACCCGCAATATCAAAACTCCCATCGTACTGCTCTACGGCGACAGCGACAGTCTTGTCGATATCGGAGTGATGCTGAAGGGTCTGCCACATACTACAGTCGCGCAAGCAATCCCTACATACGAGCATCTAGACTTCTTGTGGGCCTCTGATGTCGACCGCCAAGTCTTCGGTTACGTTTTCGATGCGCTCGAGATCTATAGTCGTGGCAGCCCCGGCGCTATCAGCACAACATCGGGTTCCCCTAGCAAGCATGTGAAGGGGTTCTTGACTGACGCGCGCGCTTCCAACACTTCAGCCTCACGCAAAAACCACGTCGTAAACGGTGTGCACGGGGCTACTGTGTAAACCCCGCCTACGCGCCGTGGGAGTACCTGCATACTAAGCACGTTGGACTGCGTGTCGCCCATTTAGGTATTCGTCAGGCGTCAAGTGGTCTCATTGCCTTCTGTAAATAGCGAAATAGCGACTTCATGTGTGCATGCTATAATCCTACAAGCCATATACTCGAGATGCATACTTAGTTCGGCCAGCTTGGACATATGTTTCCACTTAGATCTCCCATCCCCGCACAGTTAGTTTCTTGCCGTGAACATGTGGATCAGCCAACGCGTTGTTTCATCGTTGCTCTCAGGTGGATGTTACTTTTTGTTTGTGTATGAATTTTACGGAGTAGAACACTGTTGTTTCAAAGCAAAATAAGAAATACCGTCTAAAAGACAAGTAGCACACTCAAACACTAGCTAGACACAAGCACATTACACCAGTGCTGGACACTGAGCTAAACCATCGATTTTGCTAGCCGCTTGCTCCGACGTCTCGCATCCACCCAGTTCCCATGCATTCCCAACTCCCAGGTACTTGTTGACCTAACGGCTTGAGTCCCGGAGCTTGAAGCATCCGAGTCAAGTGAGGCCTCCGACCTGGTTCTCTTCAAGTTCCTCCGTTTAGGTGTCTCCGGATCGAGGTCGGTGTCGGCATCGGTGTCGGCCAGCCACCTCTGAAGGGCATCCTCTCTGCGTCTCTCAGCTTGGCGGAGAGAATCTGTGGGTTTGGGCCTAGGATCTCGCTGGGTCGGCTTCATCTCGACCGGTTCTTCGTGCTTCCATCTCATTCCAGGAAGTATGCCCCATTTCTCATTCCAGATTGTTCTTTCGACCCAGGTCTTTTTGACGTTTTCGTAAGCTATGGTATTGACATTTGGAGTGGTAAGAGCCAGGGTAGCTTCATCTGGATGGTCGATTTGAAATCTTTCACGCTCCTTCGAGACTTGATGTTGATGCATGAATTGATAGAAGGGCCGAGATGGTTCGTAATTCTTTTTCTGTTCAACCGATCGCTCAGTGTCTTCTAAGCTTGTGTCAACGTCCGATTGAATCAGCTCTAGCTTCGGTTCCTGCAACTCAGAGACTGTGTCTGGCTTGGACACTGTATCAGGGGTTGCTCTGGACTCTGATTTGGTGTCCGACGACCCTTCGTGCATCCATCTCATCCCAGGAAGTATACCCCAATGCTCCTCCCAGATTGCTTTTTCAATCCATAGCTTTTTGACGTTCTCATAAGCCGTGGTATTAATATCTGGGGCGGTAAGTGCCAGGGTTGCTTCATCCGGACGGTCGGTTTGGAATCTTTCACGTTCGTTTGATAATTGGTGTATGAACGGATAAAAAGGCTCAAACAAACTGTAGTTTTGTCTCTGTTCATCCAGTTGCTGAATGTCTGGTTGTCCATTTGGGTGTTCATACGATTTCTCCGGCCAATTCCACCAAGAATCCATGACAAATGAGTATCCTTTCACGGGTACCTTGTCCTCTGACTTTTCGTGCATCCATTTGTGTTCATAAAACGGCCACCATCCTTCCATCCAGATTCCTTGACCTTTCCAATCATCATGGATCATGCACCGAGCAAGAAGGCGAGCATTGATTCTCGCGTTGATGCCGAAACGCGGTTTACGCAGGATATAATCTTCCATGTCGGCTACCTGATCCAGCCATTGTGGATAGGGGCGTGAAGGGTCTGAGTCTACCCGTTCAATCGGACAGGGGCGCTCTTTGATTACCGTTGAAGCTCTCCAAGTTGAATCATGTGCAGTTGATGGTGGTGAAAATCTGTCGATATGTTCACAGTCGTGTTTTGTTTGGGGGTGGTCCACGGAAGCTGGTTCCGCAGAAACCGATCTAGCGAAAAATCCTTCCCACCCAGACATATTGAGAGAAATATTTTTGGCAACGATACAGCATCAATCGTACCAGAATGGGTTCAATAAGTAGTCGAACCAAGAGTGCTTCCAACGCAGTCCTAGGATGATGTCAACGGCTAGCCCTGGAGGATAATACTAACATGGCCCTAGAAGATGGATGCCAACGCGGTTACGTGCAAACCTCCCATAGCCAATAGATAACCACATATAACTTGAGCTTGCCAGTATATATTATAGCCAATCAAATGGAGAGGTTCTATCAAAGCGCCTAAGGTCAAGGATATTGGGCGAGGCGCTTGAACAAACTTCCTCAGGGTGACAAGCAGACCGTGTACTTGCTCACTCGAGTCATGTGTCTCGTTTCTATTTGAGGCTGCCCAGGTGATCACTTGAGTAATCCTGACACCCAACTTGGAATCATTCCATGACTGGGCTTGGAGGTACATTCTCCTCACCTGTTTCGACTGACGCCTACTTCATCTAACGAAAGGCTATAAGTTCTAAACACAAATACACCGGCCCCAATGGTCCCGTGTAAGACTTCGGGCTGGTCTTGCTTACTTCAAACTAGAAGCTCGATCTGTTAAGCGCTTGCTCCTGCGTATATGAGAATTTTGATTCTCTTGGCCGTGCACAGCCATCAGACTGGCGTTTTTCGTATCCTCGGCCAGATTATTAGGTATGTTCGACCGATATTTCCTAGTTATCCTGCGTTTTGGTGCTCTTTGCTCCATGTCATCAGTGGTCGATTTCCTTTTGCGAGGTCCTTGAACACGTCTTGGGGCCTTGGATTGTGCATTGGCTGGGAGGATGTGTTCCCTTTCGGCACGAAGTGTATATTCTTCATCAACAGAAGAGAACCGTCGTAGGTTAGCGGGAGACATGCGTTCTGCGTCAGCAGGAACAGAGTCTCGGCCCAGACCGACAAGGCCAGGATCACACTGCCGGGGGACATCATCGGTAAGTTTTTCCGGCTCTGGCGCCGGAGCATTTTTAGGCATTTCGAAAGGTTGTTCGTGTTTCCATTTCATCCCAGGTATTGTGCCCCACTTTTCGTTCCACATCCCAAAGGTCTTCCAGTGATTTTTGACTATCTCATAGGCTATGCTGTTGATATCTGCATTGTCGAAGGTCATGGTGGGCTCGTTCGGGTCTTCACGTAAGAGTCGTTCACGCTCTTTGGATAATTGGTGGATGAATTGGTGGAACGGACGAGAAGAATCGCGATTATGCTTCTGTTTATCCGTTTTCTCGGTGGCTTCTTGTGATCCAATGCCATGATATGACCCAGCCGACTTTTGCTCCGCGCTCTCAAAACCAGAGGCGATATTGGTATTGGGTGCTGGAACAGTGTCTCCTTCGGATTCAGAGGCAGAGCTAGGTGCCTCCTCGTGCATCCATCGATCCTCTGGCATTTGATTCGGTTTGCTGCCCCATTTCTGGTTCCAAATTCCTTGCGCTTTCCATTCCTCCCTGACCATATCATTGGCAAGTTCCTCACAACCTTGACTCTCGTGAGGTGAAGCTTCTAGCCCGTGCAATACAATTTTGGTCTGACGCTCAAATTGTCGACCGGGGATTGAGCTTTTCCAGGCTGTCATCGCATTCAATCTCGCGAGATTTCCGTTTCGCCGCCCAAGCTTTTTTGCGATGTCTGCTTCTCCAAGCACTGTATCTCCCGAATCATCCGACAAGAGTACATCGTCTTTGTCAAACCGCGTCCGGTCACGTTCAAGTCGCGCAGGGTTGTTCGCAAAGGCACTAAGTTTATCGCCGAGAGTATGTAGCTGGTGTCCGACGTTCAACTCGTCTGGGGAGGATCTATTTCCGATCGTTTTTCTCATGACTGACAGATGGTTTACCACGATAAGATCACAAGCAGAGTTCCGAGAGACAGTAAGTAGATGAGATAGGGGGAAGGGGAATGTCAAGGATGGCGGCCCCGTCTGACGTGGGCGCTAACATGCGGCATTAGCGTGTGAATGCTTAGGTGGCTGCTCAACCGACCACTCATGTTTCTGCTATAGCCGTCGATGGCCGAGGTCTTTCAGCTAACCTCCATGTCATTTGCTTCTTTCGATGTATGAATTAATCTGTATTATTTGTGTTTCTTGAAACCGAGAATATCCAAGGCTCCTGGGGTGCGGCGGTTAGGTGCAAGTTTGGTAACAATATGTTGAACAGCTAGGGCTATTTGAATGATCGCCTTGAAACCCTGAACACATCACCTCTACCTAATTATTCAGGATGTCTCTGCCTCAAGAATCCGATTTCCCCTTTATCTTCTCCCTTTTAGCTCTCAACGACCGAGCAGAAGATGTCGTCAACCACCCTTCGAACAAGCGGCTTGCGTGGACGAATAAGGATGGCACAACCCTACTCGGCATCGAGTTTAACCCGATATTGACGCCTCTAAAGCGTCGGTCTACTATTGCAATACTCGGGCGGACAGGGAGTTCCGACATCGTCATCGAAGGGGACGAATTCTCCAAGATCCATTGCTCGTTCGAAGTTCACCGGGATACCAACATAATCATGCTTCATGACCGATCGCAGGCCGAAAGCACAGACTTCTTCGGTGAGGATAGCATACCAATTGACGAAAATGACGATCACAAAATTCGCAAAGGTGGCGAGCGCAAAGTGGCCGTCCATCCGACATTGAACACGTCCCTGATGATAGGCAATGTGGAGTAAACCTTACTGATGTTCAAAATGATCTGGCATTGTAATATCGAGCAAATGACGAAACAACTCCAAGATCGAGATAGGATGGAAATCGACGAGGATCCCCAAGAAGCTTGGACACAGGTCATACCGGACATTGAGAGATTGCCGGACACAGTTCTGCCATCTCGATCTCTGACCAGGGTTCATACTCCTGGTCCTCAGGTTGAAGAGTCGATACGATACAGTATCTTGGGTGGTAGCATTGGATCTGGGAGGTTCGGAAAGGTATACAAGGCTGTGAATGTCGACACAGGGGATCTTTTTGCCGTCAAGGTCATAAAGCTACCTGAACAAGCTTCATTGGGCGAAAGGTATTGGACTGCTTTCCGACCTGAGGTGAAACAAGAGATCGAAATTCTTTCTTCCTCGAATCACGTTAGTATCAAGCCCTTTCATATTTTCCACGCCTCACTGACATTTCCGAAGCCGCACATAGTCGAATATATCAACCACCAAGAGTATAAGAATGGAACCTCTAATGCAGATATATTCATGGCCCTAAAGGACGGTGATCTTGCCTCACTGCTTCTTCGTGGTTATGTGCAATCGCCATTCGACATTGCCGACAGCGTCTTGAACCACATGCTTAAAGCATTGAAATTCCTCGCAGATAAGAAAATTGTTCATCGAGATGTGAAGCCAGAGAATATCCTGTTTACTTCATTGCCGAATGGAGAATACCACTTCCAGCTCTGTGATTTCGGTCTATGCAGCCGCATGAATCGTGCTCGGACCTTCGTTGGGACCCCGTGGTACAGGGCCCCCGAGGTGATGGGAAAAGGGATTCAGTCGACTAAGATGGATATCTGGTCCCTTTTTATGACCATGGCATGGTCATTGGATGTTAATGGTTTCCGCCAAGCTTTGCGAAACTCGCAGGGTTCTGAAATGCCCAATGGTATCATCCAGTCCACGCGAGAGGATCCAATTCTTGAACCCATTAGAGAAATGGCGGAGTTTGATCCAAAAAGGCGTGCTTCCGCGGCACAGATGTTGAAAACATGGCGGGGTGGGGGCAAAGTTAGCGGGGTCAGTGAAGTCTTACCAACCCTCCCCAACAACACTCGACCTAGGGGCGCGACCGACTCACTACCAGGAACCATTCGCGGGATCATCCCACAATCATGTCCGATTGAAGCAGTGGGAGCACGAAGACCGCTGGATAATCAACTGAGAGGAACATCAGGAAGCGGGGTGCGCAAGGCAAGAACCACACGTTCTAGTTCTCAAACCTATGTCCGTGATCTAAAAAGGCTTCGAAATCCTGGAGTTCTGAATCTTTAGCTGAGAAGTCACGGCCTTTCGTCAAAGGTTGTCGTGGATCAATTCCCATGAGCAAAATCATTTCATTGTCAGAGTTTATCAAATGTACCCCAGATTGTCACCTGAGATTTTAGTTTCGAATTGCAGTTTTTGTTTTCTTTCTTTTCTCGAGTGCATATACCCGTACAAAGACACTCTGCTCGTATGAATCCTGTGTTAATGGCACGACTGCAGTATATCCGCGAGACGAAGGGAGGAAGGGGAGAGAGAAAGAGAGACTTCTGAGCCCTACGATCGATCACCAAAATATTGATGACACACGTACCAAGATGGACTCACATCACTCCCCAGGGCTGAGCGTCGAGGCTGTTTATCATACCTAATGTGTTTCTACTTGGGCTGTCCACAGAGACTTGGTTCACGGGAGTGTGAAGTATTTCTGATAGATTCGTGCATGATGAGGATATTGACTATCGAGTAAAATACAGAATCGATCTTATTGTAAGGAGCTGGAATGATCCCACGGAGATGGACTAAATGCTGTATGCAGAATCTCATAAAGAACTTATTTTCATGATCTTCAGCTATAATTTTCATCATATTTAACATGTGTATTGGATCGGAAGAGCTTCCAACTCTTCGAGAAATGGCAGCGATCAATCCAAACGAGCGCGCCACCGCAGCGCAGATTCTATTCCGGCGCCAGAATGGGAAAGGTCTTACAACTCCCCGGGACCAATTTTGGCCGCTGCCTGACTTGATGTCTGTTGATGCCATGGACTGCACATGACGAGGCTGAGAAACGAACCTGGGCGACTCGAATTCAGGTCATAAAGTAACGAGTCGAGGATTTGCGAAGGCCCAAAGTTCATTTTAAATTGCCCGCCGGGTCACTTCTTCGAGCTCTGCGTGCCGGTCAACACAGAAGTTCCAACATACGTTTTTCCCCCCCTCTCTTTCTTTCTTTCTTTCCTTTTCTTTGTGTCAATACTCCGTATGTGTACTCAAGATTGTCAGTTTAGTCATGATTTTTTTTTTTCAGATTTTTTTTCTTTTCTTTCTCAAGTGCGCAAACTCATACTGGGCACCAATTCTCATTCGAAGGCCCGGCTAAAAAACCCATGCGTACGGAGTACGATAGGGCGAGATACTCGGTAAGCAGGACCTTCCAGGGTTGGGCGCCCTAGCAAAGCGACGGATCGGGCAGGTCACGACCGTGGCCTAGACCTCGCACCAGCAGGGCAGTCATCACATCCTCGTACAAGGCAGATCTGGGCAGTGACCACGTTGTATCGTTTGTGGACTCGAGAGCGGGGCAGTGGCTTGGCGGGAGGCACCCGATCCTTCTTTAAAGTGTTGACAATGAGTGGTACCAGAATGCAATGTGAGATGCCCAGGTGTAATTGCCACAATGCGCGCTTGGCACGATAATTTCCGGCAGAGTTTTCTAGAAGTTCAGCAAGAATGTTGCCTAAACCCACCGAAGTGGCGGTAAAAAAAACAGCGCATGGCCCTGTACGGAGTACCGAAGTGCGCTGTACCTGACTAGGCGAGCATAAACGGTAAAAGCAAGTGTGTTAATTTCCTCGTATCCACAGTGACCAAGGCCCGTTGAACGGTTCATTAGCTGGGCACAGTGATGATCTATTCTGTTTATTAACCAGTTTCGCCCTAACAAATAAGCTTAGATTTGTTGGAATGCTTGGCCCAGGGATGAAAGGTGTCAAGACGACAGCCCGGTAGTTATATACGCACGGAGGATGATATTCAGGGGTATCAAAGTAATAGTACGGGTGACAGCGCGAGGGGGTGCGCAATTCTTTCCAAGGTTGTCGTAAGCCTGTAAGAACCGACGAATAGGGCGCAGTTCGTGAAAAACTCTTTGTCCGAAGGTCCGTCTGAGTTTTGATTCGATCTAGACCGACTCCACCGAACTGTACGTAATAAAAAAATAAAGATTCAAAGAATCGAACTCGAAACCGAACCAGAACACAAACGAGCGGGAGATTAAAAGAAGTGAGATGCGTTTGGTTCGGGGCTCAGGTACGGCTCAGGTCTCAGGTACCCATGGGCCATCGTCAACAAGTCCATTCGGGTTGGTTGAATCAAAGTTCGGTCCCTGACGCTGACGACGGTTCAGCCAATAGGATCAACGGAAGTGGAGTCAGGCACATGGCCCCAATCTAGATTTTCTGGTATCGAACCGTATCGAAAGGTATCCATCGGGTATCGCTGCGTATCGACCGTAATATGAGCCCTCTCTCGCTCTGCCCCCAAATAAAACGGCGCTATGCCCTCGCCCGCGCTCTTTTTCCCTTTTGACATCACGATCAATCATACACTCTTTTTGGATATCTTCCAATTTCATTAAGGCTGAGCCTTAATTGACCACTCTCTTTAACAGTCTGTAGATCAGACTCAAAGACACACACTCTCTCTCCAAGGACTTTTGTCCCCTCAACACTCTCATTCATCGGATCATCTACGTTTCAAGCCTTCAAAATGCGCTTCAACGTCATCGGCCTCTCGGCCCTTCTGGCAGCTACTGCCACTGCTCTCCCCGTCGCCATTCCCGACGTCCAAACCGTCCAGGATATTGTCTGGGAGACCGTCTATGAGACCGTCTGGCAAACCGCCACCCCGACCAGCGAGGCCATCTCCGCGCCCACCGCTCCCCTCGCTGTCGAGAACTTCGCCGTTCCTTCTAGCACCGAGACTTCCTCGAGTGTTCCCACTGTCGCCCCGACTTCCACCGCCGTCCCTACCACTAGCGTGCCCACCCTGAGCATTCCCAGCACAACCAGCGCTCCCACCGTTGTGCCCACCCCCACCAATGCCCCCGTCTCCAGCGCTCCCGCCAGCACCAGCACTCTGAGCCCCAGCACCGTCTCCTCCGCCCCCAGCGCCACCGGCTCTGGCCTCAACATCCGCAACAACATGGACGAGACCGTTTACCTGTGGGTTGTCACCGAGACCCAGGGTGAGATGCAGACCCTCGCTTCCGGTGAGAGCTTCGACGGCCACACCTGGTTGACCAACTCCAACGGCGGTGGTATCTCCATCAAGATTTCCACCAGTGAGCTGTGTGACAGCGTCCTCCAGTTCGAGTACACCCAGTCCGGTGATGTCCTGTACTGGGATCTGTCTTCCATCAACCTCCTCAAGACCTCCTCTTTCATCACCGCCGGATTCGGTGTCACCATTAGCGACAGCTCTTGCACTGATGCCACCTGTGCTGCTGGCGATGCCAACTGCATCGAGTCTTACCAGCACCCCGATGATGTCAACACCCTGGCTTGTGGTATCAACAACGCCTACACACTCACTCTCGGTTAAGACTTGAACCATTTCTTCTTATTTACGTTTTCTTTTCTTTTCTTTTCGTTGGATATCCACTTGGTCAGGAGATTGTGGGAGTTTTTATGTTGAACAAATTGCGAAATACAAATTTCACACTTGCACAAATTGGTTTTTTTTTTTTTTTTTTGATAGATTTTAGAAGAATGATTAAATGAACGGTCGATTGGCAATAAAGCAATAAACAATCCACTAGTACTCTTACTTCCATTCTTCGTATGAGGCTCTGTGCTGTTCCGTGGGTTTCCACTGAGCCTTCCGCCTCAACAATTCAACCTTATTCGAAGTCAAGCGTACTGACCGTAGACCCATCTTGATTGTAAAAATACATGGCAAGATTCTCGAAGAAATGTCCTCTGAGGACTTCAAGTAGTTTACAGATTCCGCCTTGCTCGGTAACACAACCGAAGCTCGGTCCAACCTCAAATTAAGTTACACGGTCTCTCACAATCCAAAGGATTCACACACGATGTCCAACGTCCATCGTCCACCGTCCAACGTCCACCTTAGTACACGGGCACCTTGAAAGCGGGGAAAGTGTAAGTCCAGCTCTCAATGGAAGCCTTATCATTGACACAATCAAAGGTGCTGTTGCTCTTCCAGAGAGGACGAGTAGGCCACTGGCAAAGCATCTGAGTCTCGCCCTCGTAGGCACCAGAAGAGACGGTAGCATTGAGACGCGAAGGCTGAGCACCATTCTCAACCCAGTTGATCATAGTCTGCATGTTGTCCTCTGGGTACGGGCCAGGCTGGAGGGTGTTGGTTCCACAGTGCGCCGCGCCAGGGATCAGATAGAATTGGTACCACTCAGCCAACTTCTTAAGACTCTCCTCCGAAGACAGGTGGGGGTACATGATGGAGCGCACGGATTGCCAGTAGTGCACAGAGGAAGGAGCTGGGATACTGGGGTCGGACTCTCCATGGTAGTGCAAAAGCTTACCACCGGAGGATTGGAAGGTGGTCAGGTCGGGCAGAGTGGTCTGCAGACTGTCCATGTAGCGCACCATACCGGTGGTCATCCAGTCGACCAGGGTGTCGTAGGTGACGTTGTTCAGGTCGGAGAGGTTGTCGAGGTCCAGGAGCTGCACGAACTTGGTAACGTACTCACCGCCGGTGGAGGGGATGTCGAGCTCCCACTTGCGGGTGTCGTTGTTCCATTGAGTGTCGCCGTCGCTGAGCTCGGAGCCGATTTGCCACGAGAGGTAGGCGCGCTCGCCCTTGGAGTTGTGCAGGCCGTCGTAGATGGCTTGGGCAACCTTGACACCCTTGGCGGTGACTCGGCCGTTCTGAGCGGGCTGGTAGGAAGTGCTGCTTCCTTCGGCGCGCTTGCTGAAGCCGAAGCCGAGGGAGGTGCTTGTCTCTGCGTCGCAGTGGTATTTCTCGCCAATGATGGAGGTCAAGTTGAAGTGCAGCTTGCAAAGATCAGTACGGGAGATGACACCGTCAGTGCGGCCATCGAGAGGATCGCAGGCAGCAATAGTGGCGTTGACGATCTTGGCCAGCTCGCAGGGTGGTGGGTAGTAGTCCATGGTCTGCTCGACGGTAGCGGGGAAGACGTGGTGAACTTGCTGCTGAGCGAAGCGGAAGGCGGGCGCACCAGTGATCGCACCGTCATACTCGTCACCGTAGCGCTGAATCTGGCTCATACCCTCGCGACCACCATCGGAGCAGCCCTCGTAGTAGGTGTAGACCTTGGCGGAAGAAGACATGCCGTAGAAGCCACGAGTGAGGACCTTTCCGATCTTGGTCATCTCACCCAAAGCCTGGAATCCAAACATGTAGGTAGCATCCCAGTTGATAGTTCCGTTTCCGTATAGGACGACATCGTCGTAGCTGTTATCAAAGGCATCATAGCCGGCACTGGTGGCACCGCCGACAGCACCGTACTCGAGACCGCCGGTTGCGTCGCTGGACAAGGAGAAACCGCCACCACCGGCAACGTAGAAGCGCTTCTTGAAGTCAGATGGCTTGGGGAAGGCATACTTGATGACAACAGAGTCTCCCTTGCCAGTGTGCTCGTAGGTAACAGTCACGTTACAGTAGGTGTAGGTCTCGGTGCTTCCCATTCCAGCACTGGCGTTGTATACGGCGGCGGCAGTCACGGCGGAGGGAATCATGTCAATTCCCAGAAGGGTTCCGTTGGATGGAAGGGCAGATCGCACGTTGGAAACCGTACAGACATCAGCGAGCGAAGCAGCGCTCGCTGAAGCTGCCAGGGCAAGAGATGCACCCTGGTAGAGACGCATGCTGGATCGATCCAAAAATGAATGAAACTATATGTAAATAGGATAAACGAGTGTCAAGAAGGAATTGAGTATTAAGAAGAAGGCTCAGTCCAAAGAGACGGAGGGATACTTATAGTACTGAACAACATAGTCGTCCCCAGCTGGTGATTGAGGCGCAGATCCGTAACAGACCATGACTATTGAAAGGACCAGTCGTCGTCATCAAGGACGACGTTGACATGGAAAGAACGAAACGACGGAATATTCCAAGCGTTCGAGTGGATATGAGCCTGAAGAAGCTTGAAGACCAATAATTGGTGAATTTGATAGTGGCCGGGTAAATCTTACTCCCTATAGTTTCACCGAGTAAAAGATCTACGCGGCTAACCCTAACTTGACTTGCTCAGGTCCAATATATTTTTAACTCAATTCTCGCCCGAGATGAACTCTTGCAAATGTTTCCATGACTTACGCTTGCCATCTGAGCACAGGTCTACCAAGTTGAGGTCTTCCGACACCCTGAACGCTTCACACCCGTGGACACCTCTTCTGCTTAGTCAAGCAGGTTGGAATCCACGGGTCTACATATACATACTTGATCCTGGCTACTCCGGTAAATTTTCGGAAGATTTAGATTGGTCAAATGCCAAGGCAAAATCCACATTGCCGCAGTTTCGTACGAAGTACCCCTTTCCGCTTTGAGGGCAGAGCCATGCAATGACCCACCATTACATGGAACTAAAACCCTGCGCATTATCAGATCTAGCTGAAGACACCGCTATCCCTGCCGCTGTGGAGATTTCTCATGCAGAAGCTTGTTGGTCTCTGGAATTAGTCTCAGTAAATAATGTATCTATAGGGCTTCGGCCTCGAGCTCGGGCGGATCAAGACATTGGCAAAGCAGCCGAGAGGAAAGAATAAGAGATCTTGAGACCCCTAAATGAAGTGATTGCCAGTCATTATAACTGATGAATAAGTTTGGACAGGCAGTGAGTGATCTTTTCAGCAGAGAGCGCTGCTGTTCAGTAACTTGTTCGAGCATGCCTAATGATAAGCAATCTCTATGTGGTGCTGATTGTCTATCTGACCTCCGGAAAAAAAAGCCATGCAGTTGTCCGATCTAGTTAGCTTAGACTTCAAATTAGTCAATATCCATCTTTTCCGCATCAGGATTGTGCTTTAGAGGAAACCCGGGTACTTCAGTAGCGAGCCACCAGATTGAACTAGGAGCGCACCCTAGCAAAAGAACAAATCATATCATTTATGGGGCGTGAAATAAATAAGCTATGAATGCAGTCAACTCAGCTCTCTTCCTTCCAGGGCTGTGCGTGGCCTATCCATGGATTTTGAGACCGGAGCAAGCTCGAATGCTACCAATAGTTATTTCAAGAATTGCCAACTTTTCCATGGGCCTGCGAGCAAGCTTCGAGAAGAATTATATGCAGCCCAACATGGAATGAAAGGGCTGTAGCTTACATGGAACTCTGCTATTGACCACCTGGGCAGAAGGAGAAAAAGCACCCGTGGACTGCAATCCAAAAGCCGTGTCTTGCTCATTTCACTATGACCCTGGAAGAATGAGTCCACTCCGGAATATACAATCAAGTAATTTCCACCAGCTGCAGCCTGATTCTGTGGAGTCCGAACTAAATATTTAGGCTCATTTTTACTTCTGACCACTAGCTTTGATTGCGCGTCGTGGACTGCAGCTGGCAGGTGCTCGTTCAAGGGTGGGCTCTCCACCTGGCCCGGCCCTACCAACGCACTTCACTCTGCCAAGTTTGCCGTCCATTCATCATAGTCAAGGATTGTTAATGTTTATCTCAAACACTTGTGTTGGTAGCAAATCTCATACGTGTGTGCCTTCCGAGTGGCGAGACTTTTCGAAGCAAACTTCCACCCGAAAGAACAGCGAGACCAAGTCATGTTTCTCCCGAGGTCTCTTAGGCTCCGAATATACAGCAATCTAATTCTTCAATCAAGTCCAACGCTCCTTGGACTTTTTCCCAATCCCCCGAATTGTCCCCAGAGCTACCTTGCGCATCGGCATAAGCGTTCCGCGTTACAATTGTTGACGACATATTGTCGTATTTCCCTACAAGATTCGGCACTGAATCCAAAATCCACCATTTTGCAGCAGTTACTGAATCGTCAGCTTTCAACGAGATGAACATCCATCTTTTGCTAGCCCCGTTCCCTCAAACAAAATCTCGCTCTTTCATACACACACCATGGGTCCACCGACCGCGAAGCAAGTTGACCTATTCTCCGGCGTGAGAGTATTCTACCGCGAGCAGGGCAACACAGTTAATGCACCCACAATACTTCTTCTCCATGGATTTCCATCTTCATCTCATCAGTTTCGAAATCTGATGCCCCTTCTCGCAACCCAGTACCGCGTTATCGCCCCAGACCTACCAGGCTTTGGTTTCACCGAAGCCCCGACTATGGCGCACCCGTGGGTCTCAGACTCGCGCTTCAACGACCAGACGCCATCCAAGCCATCATCACGCAGAATGGGAATGCATATCTGGAAGGCTTCGGAACTGTATGGGAGCCTATCAAAGACTTTTGGGTCAGTGATATTTCTCTTGGAGACAGAAGGAAGATTGAAGATTCAATGCTCACCTTTGACGCAATCAAATTCCAGTATGAAAACGGCGAACCTGATGTCAGTCGGGTTCCACTGGAAGCATACTTCTTTGACCATGCCCTGCTGCAACGGCCTAGGATCAAAGAGGTTCAAATTGATCTTATTTGGGACTACCAGAATAATCTGCCTTTCTACGGCAAGTTTCAGCAATACTTTCAAAAATCACAAGTTCCATTGTTTGCAATATGGGGCAAGAATGATGTCTATTTCATTCCACCCGGTGCGAAGGCATTCAAGAGAGATCTCCCCAATGCTGAAATCAAATTGATTGACGCGGGTCATTTTGCGGTTGAAAGTCACACGGAATTGATTGCTCAAGATATTCTCACATTCTTGGGCGAGAAGAATCTTTGGGAACTTGACGTAGGGATGGGAGTCATGTAAATTTTTCATCATTTTATATCGCGGTTCCCGAGGTCCCACCTGGGAAAGATTGAGACTTGAGCTTACATCAAGAGAGCGAACCCTGGGGGTGACCGTCACTACCCATGGACCTAGACAAGAATAAACCTTCGGAAAAAGTGATAATTCGGTCGACGTACATTCCTCAAACGGCAAAGTTGCCCAAGGATTTTATTTTGATACCATAAACTACGCCATCTGACTAGGCCATATAAGCGCCGCCCGAAACCTGCCAGGTCTGCCCAGTCAACCACTGTGACTCGGGGCTAGCAATCAAAGAAGCCACCCCAGCGACGTCCTCAACTTCTCCAGGTCTTCCGAGTGGAGACCATTTGCTCAAAGCCTCGTCAATTTGCTGTGGACTCATCTTGTCACCACCAGGGATATACTTGGCTGACATCTCAGCGTACATGTCAGTCTTGACACCACCTGCGGCAATGCAATTAACTGTGATTTTGCGAGACCCAAAGTCGACAGCAAGACACTTTGTCATGCCCTGCACAGCTGCCTTAGAAGCAGCGTATACGGCATGGCGAGGGACGCCCTATCCACAATGTCAGCATGCGCCCTCCAGGGCTGTCTGGACGATCTGAAACAACCCACCTTGACGGCTGAAATCGACGAGGTTAACATGACTCGGCCATAGTCTTCCATGAAGCGATAAGCCTGCTGCGCGACAAAGTACTGCCCTTTGACATTGACGGCAAAGACAGCATCGATGTCGCTACCCTTGACCTCCGAGATATCTCCGAAATGCTCGATCCCCGAGTTACTGACAACGATATCGAGGCGACCAAACTCGCGGTGTGCAGTCTCAAACATAGACTTCACTTCGTCTTCTTGTGATACATCTGCTTGAAGTGCGATGGCTTTGACGCCCAAGGCCCGGATTTGTCCAGCCACAGCCTCGGCGGCTGACGCACTGGAGACATAGTTGAGGACGATATCGGCACCACGTTGGGCAAATTTTAAGGCAATGGCAGCCCCGATTCCGCGGCTGGATCCTGTGACTGTTTTGATCTTTTAGTGTGTGGGGACATATAGATGAATGGGGCAAGCTAGTACTTAGGGCGACTTTGCCAGCGAGATCTTTGTTCGTGGACATTTTAGGCTCGCGGAAGTTGTGAAATCGCTGGCGGGGTAGTTGAGGGTGAAGTATCACTTTTGGCAACCTTCGGTGTGGGCGAGTTGCAAAGATCGGTGAACAGCTGCACAGTGCATGTACATCGTCGCGTACGGTAGGCTTGAGCGGCTGAGCACTGCATGTTGATCAACTGACCTTTGTCCTGTTACATAAGTGCTTCTCAGAGAGCTCGGGAGGTTTGCGTGGGATGAGAAAATCTCAATTATTTATTGCTGACAATCTAGTTGAACATGGTCATTCCATTAACGCCAAAATAATAACAAGAAATTCACAGTGACTCGCGAATGAAAGAAGCAAGCTTCGGTGCAAACTCCCCCTCATCATAGTGAAATGGTTAGCTCCATGCGCCCGCTCAATACGGGGCGAAGAACCCGGGAAGAGCGTCCCCCAGCCGTTGTCGGAAAAGTCAGTCCGGGCTTCTGTAAGGAATTTCATCCCTTCCGTGTCCTCGGGACAAGAAGGTGGCCGCGGAATATCCGCACCATCCATCACGCTATCACAAGCCCAGATCATCGACACACGCGGGACTTGTCCGTCAACTTGTAGCAGTGGAGATGCGTGGTACTCGTGTAAAGTGTCAATGGTGGCATTGAAGTGTGGAACTAGCCATTCCGGCGCCTTTGCCGTCTTTCCGGCACCTTGACCTCCGAAAAGATGCACCTTGTTGCAATAGTCATAGAAATGTTGAGGGAGACGGTCCAGACCTCGGGGCACAGGGCTGTCAATCAGAACCAGGCTAGCAACGGTTTCATGAAGCTCCTCCATCATCATCTGGGTAGCACGGTAGGCCAGAATCCCGCCCGCCGACCATCCTCCGAAGTGGTATGGGCCGTTGGGCTGACGCCGACGAACCTCAACAACGTAGCTTTTGATCAGATCATCGACTGTGCAGTCGAAGAGATGAGGTTGTCGGTGGTATGGAGAGTTGAGGCCTATGACACAGACACTCCCGTCAACGCGAGGAATCCCTGCATAGGATGTGGCTGATCCAGCACCGTCGGGGAAGAGGAAAAGAGTCTTTTCCGCCTTGGAAGGACTTCCCTGCAGCACAACTGAGGTAGTCTCTGGCACAGGAAGCCTTGTGGACTTCATATCATTGTCTTCTTCTGGAATGAAGAAGCCAGATGTCTCAGAGGATGGAGTCGCATTGTTGCCGTCGACTGAGCTTGGCGCCGAAGTGGTATCGTCGCTGCTGGGCTGATCTCCTAGGAACAGGACCTTAATTTCGCCCACGGTCGGATAATCAGTGAAGATGGATTCAAGTGCAATATCCATCTCTAACTCCTCGGAGAATCGGCTGACGATTACCAATGATAGCAACGAGTCAATCCCCATATCAGCGAATATACAGTCGTCGGTTAACTCAGAAATGCTGATACCGCTTTCTTCGGAGATAATAGAAAGCGCGGTTGTCCAGCTAGAAGGGCTGGACGCGACCACAGCCTGTGGAATAGGAATAGCCATGGCAGCAATGGGGGCTACCACAGGCAGGACATGGACTTGTGGTGAATTGGTGCTCTCATGTTGCCCGAGGAATGACTTCAGCTCAGCCACGGTCGGATAGGTTATGAAGAATCCTTCAACGGGCACATCAACAGGCAACTCTTCGCGGAATCGACTGGTTATGACGAGAGAAAGGAGAGAATCAAGCCCCATGTCCGCAAAGACACAAGCGTCTTCCAGCTCCGCGAGCGCCACCCCACTTTCCTCTGAAATGATCTGCAACGCAGAAGCCACAATAGAGGATGAGCTGCTTTGCAATACAGGTACCTGTGCGGGTGTTTGCGGCAATGCTTTCACAACAGGCTTCAAAGACACTGGAGCTGATGCAATTGGTGCTGCTGCTGACGGCTTGGGCGCCTGCTTTGCAGAACGCACAAGAGCTTGTTTTGCCGAGGATATAAGGGCTTTGTCGCCGCTTTCCATTGAAAGAACATACCTCAGCACATGTCGAGGGACTCCTTGGGACTGCAGAAAGTCAGCAAAAATTGCGCACAACCCCGGAAGAAAGAGACGGGAAGACTTACTACTAAGCCTCGGTAGCTCGCGACGACCTTATCCCCATCTAGGATGATCATATCGCCTTCAAACATGCGACTCTCTCCTTCCACCATCTGCACAAAAGTACTATAGTGTGCATCTGGCCGCAAAGGCTCATATAGCTGCAGACCCTTCCATCCATGATTGACGAAAACCTCCTTGTCAAGATCGGCATCATCATTGCAGTTCATCACAAAGCCACTAGACTGAGCCAAGCCATCGAGGTAGGATGGGTGGGTGTGGAATTTACCAGGGGCTTGTACCTCAGAGAAGCAGACTTTGGCGGATGCTTCGAGTGTTTTACTATCGATGAGCACTTCCTCGATTGTGCGGTAGTCCTGGTGGAATTCAGCCAGGGGGCGAATCATTTTGTAAACCATGGCCCGGTTGAAGCGCTGAGTAGTTCCAGGTTCCAGGCCAACACGCATGTCGCGCATCCGCTTCTGGACAGCTGTTCTCTCTGCTTCAAGCGCAGCCCGACGACTAGGGCTTGAAAGCAGGATGGTGCAATGCGAGTGCTCTATTGTGGGCTCTCCCTTTGACTGTAGCAAAGTAAGTATGTAGCCCGGGATGAATGAAGATCGAAAGCACTTACATCGAGGGATAGGAATCGACACATGGCGCTGCCAGCCTCCCAGTCAACGGTGACAGAGGCACGCAAAAGATGTGTGCCACTGGACTTTGCGATGAGAGCCTTGTTGATAGTCATATCTGCTATTTCGACCACAGATTCGACGTCTTTGACTTGGTGACGGTCGCGTAGATAGTTGCCAACTGTCAATGCAATATCCGCGTATACAGACTGGTAAATATTAGCATCAGAAGGAGGGCTGGATTTGGGGAGTTGAGTAAAAGGCAACCTACCGGCGTACAAAGAGGAATTCCGTCTACATTGTGGCCTTGCACAATTGGACTCAAATCCTCACGACATAGGTCACATTCCACCACGATCGAGTCTTTGCTTTCCTCGACGACCCTGTGGACAGTGGTGGAGTCATCCAAGCGAGCAGACTGAATGATTGGCGGATCTCCCTTTCGCAATGACCAGTCATTCACGTACTGGATCCAGTAATTCTTCAGATTCCAGTTGTATGCTGGGAGGCGGAGCACCTGCTGTGCCGCTGGGAAAGACCGGTGATACTCATGCCAAGCAATATCCAATCCGGCTCTATAGAGGCTTGACATTGCCTCACCCAGACTCTCCCAGTCATCGCGACCTCGCTGCAAGGTGGGTGACGCGTTTGTTTGAGTTGTCTTTGAGCAGGCCTTGATCAGGCCCGAGACAACTCCGTGGGGGCCGACCTCGAGGTATTGGGTCCGATCAGTCACGATGCCGGCAGTTCGTGCAGATTGAATCGCCTGGTGGAAGTTAACTGTCTCACGACAGTGGCGCTGGAGGTATTCCGGTCCGAATGTTCCATCCGCCTGCACAACATCTCCCATCAGTGGCGACAAGACAGGAATGGAAGGAGTGTTGAACACAATCGGCTGAGCTGCTTGAACAAGATCTTCCAAGATCGGTTGTACTTGAGCAGAATGGTAAGCGTACGAGACAGGAATTGTCTTTGATCGCACTCCTGACTGCGACAGGGTTTGCTGGAGGCTCTCAATCAGATCATTGGGCCCGGCCAAAACTGTCTCTTCGGGCGCATTGATGCATGCTATCTCATATTCCAGACCAGCCAGAGCGGACTGGATGGTTTCAACAGAAGCACGTACCACTAGCATGCTGTGGGTATGCAAGGTACAATGCTCTTCGAGTAGTTGCGCGCGCTTGCCTACCAGGAAGACGGTGTCGGCGTCTGATAGAACACCGGCTACATTCAAAGCAGCATACTCGCCCAGACTATGACCGACCACCGCATCAGGGACAACTCCGAAAGATGCCCATAGCCGAGCCAAGGCAATCTGAAGACAAACGCTCGCTAGCTGCGCCGTCATTGGCGAGAACCTCTTGAGGTTGGAATCGGAATCATCCTCGATGAATGGCAGGAAGCTGTCAAAGCCTAAGGATTGGGCCATGCGGTCGAGGAGTTGCAAACTAGCACGGAATGGTGGCAGCGATGTGTACAACTGTCGCGCCATTCCCACGAATTGGCTTCCCTGTCCGGTAAACGCCATGACGACCTTGGGCGCTACAGGAGGTCGGTTGGCTCCATCGCCGCGTGACAGAGCAGATCTCAGCTGCTGTTGAACATCTGTGAGATTGGAGCCCTGCACAATCACACGGTGCGGGTGATGCATGCGTCGGGCTGTTGTCGTGTATGCCAGATGCGACAAGGAAATGCCCTCTCCGGCATCTTCAATATAACTCAACAGCGACTTTACATTGGCCTCGAGAGAGGAAGCACATTTCGCTGAGATGGCCAAGAGGTGGCGAGTTCGGGGATCCTTCGCCTCATCATTGCTTGGCACCTGTGGTGCGTCTTCCAATAGCAGTGCTGTGTTACCGCCAGCAGCACTGAAGTTGTTCAAAAGCACGCGGCGAGGCTCTCCATGTTGGGATGTCCAAGGTATTGCCGTCTTCGCAATGCGAACATTGCGATCATCCAAATCGGTCGGGAACTTACGATTGATCCGAGTTTTGATGCCACAGTGAGGGGCGATGGCATTGTGCTCCATCATCAGCATGACCTTGATCAAACTCGATACCCCGGAGGCAGCCTCTCCGTGACCAATGTTGGCTTTGGCTGAACCCAGATACAGCGGCTGATCCTCAGTGCGATAGGGTACAGATGGTGGAGCCAAAGTGGTTAAGACGGAGTTCATTTCCCCAGCGTCCCCGGCCTGTGTTCCAGTTCCATGCATTTCAGCATAGCTAACGCTGTATGGTGAAACCCCGGCAGTGCGAAGCAGACCGTGGATAAGTTCCTGTTGCGCGCCGGAGTGAGGACGAGTTATAGACTCGGCTTCAGCGGAGTGGTTGGTGGATGCACTCAAGATAACTCCACAAATTGGATCGCGATCGGCCAGGGCGTCGTCAAGGCGTTTCAGGATGACGGTTCCAACACCTTCACCTCGGCAGTAGCCATCAGCGGTGTCATCAAACGTCTTGCAGTTACCTGTCCGAGATAAGAAGTGACCCCGGTCCAGTCCAGCTGTGAAGTCGGGGTTTGTGAGTACGTTAGTACCACCAGCAATGGCTGTGTCGACTTCACCACGCCACAGAGCGTTACAAGCAAGATGTATCGCCGCGAGACTAGAAGAACATGCTGTATCTACCGCATAGCTGGGGCCACTGAATTTGAAGCAGTAATTCAGACGACCAGGAATGAATGCCCGATTTCCACCGGGGATGAAGTAAGTATCGATGTTCTGTGCGGTGTTTGTTTCCATCCAGTCGTTGGATGTGACACCATACCAAACACCCACTCGATCCTTAGCCGTAGAAGGGGTCGCATTTGGCACCATACCGGCACGCTCCATTGCCTCGTACGCCGTCATAAGGGCAATGCGCTGCGCTGGGTCCACTTGGGGTGCCTCACGGGGCGAGAGATTGAAGAATCGAGCATCAAATGCCGCTGGATTCTGCAACCAGCATCCAAACGGTGTGGCACTTGTATTCTTCCTCGCCTGTCCTGGCTCAGCGACATGGGTCTGTGCATCCCAATGTAAGGCAGGCACAACTTCGTGCACGTCGAGGCCACGGATGAGGAGATCCCAAAACTCCTCATTGCACTCAGCGTGAGGGTATCGACCGGAATATCCGATGATAGCAATCTTGGACGAATCGGCTTGGCCCGAGGATGATTTTGGCACATCAGAACTTGGAGAAGGCTGATGTCTAGTGAGACTGGTAGCAGATTCGATTGCCTCAGCCAGGCGAGAGCCCGCGGTGCTTCCGAATGCCTGGACGTGGAATTGCGGTGCATCAGACGCATCAGACGCAGGGAGAGCCGCAATCATTCCATTTACTAGGCTTTGCCAACGCATTGTCTCCAAGAGAATCTGGGCCAAAGCTGATTCGAATCTGGAACGTACGGTTGCCCCCTGAACAGGACGGCCACTCGTACTAGAAATGAATGAGATATCGGCAGAGGGCTCTGCATTTCCAGCAGGGAACAAGCCTTCCAGGATAACATCAGAGTCGCTTTGAGTGAAGAGGGAAGCTGAGTGATATGGAGCAAAGATGGGGATGGTCCGTGGAGAAAGAGTAGCAAATTCAGTAGACTCTTGCAGACTCTTCAGACTGGTTGGTGGTCCACTGATGGTTACAGCATGTGGCAGATATGCACTGATATATGGCCGAGCATGTAGAGGTAGATGCTTATTATTGTCAGTGCTGAGCAAATATACTCGCACAGTAGTCTGATTTCAAGTCACTCACCTGTGTTTCTGTGAACCGATCAATTCGATGCAAAATGTCATCCGGTGATCGAGTAGCGACTACTAGAGACCATGATTCCGTGGTAGATTGATCAATGGCTCGTCCGACTTGCGAAACGTGCAAGCCCGTCCGGAACGCTACTTGGATGGTCTGTGTGCCTAAGTCTGGCAGCTGAGAGACCATCTGACAGCAACTCACGGCGGCGGCAGACAAAGAGCCTAGACAAAGACCACCGATGATAGTGTTTGAAGGGTTGATGTAAGTACTGGCGGTGCTCTGGGCTCTGCGAGCATAGCAAGGTTAGAATGAGGGTTGCGAGTGTGAACATTAGTGTTAACGGGGGCACTTGCTGGATGAACTGGGCCAGCTGGTTGATGCAAGTCAGAGCGCTATCAATGGCAGGATAAGCCTTCTGTTGCCGGATCCTCCAATCCAAAACACTGGCCACTGTGGGGAAATAGGGGTATTGTTGGCGGTCCTGGAGTGGCAGGAAGGCAATCTCTGTTCGCAGCCCTCGGACGGCATTCTGAAGGAAGCTTTCTAGGAGGGTTGCTCGATTGGGAGTGAGTAGAGGTCGTAGCGAGCCGAAGTCTTCGGTTTGATCGCCAAACAAGATGATTTGTTGAACGCGTGCCATAGTGGTATCTGGAATCCAAGGTCTCAAGAAATCAAATGGCACATTACATTGTCTTTTCATGGGCATCAGTGTACCCTTTTTAAATGGCAGGTCTCGATCACATACAGCCATGTGCCCGCGGGAGCCAATGTCCCGAGACGCATGCAAGCCATGCACGCCATGCAAACCAATCTCGATTCGTGCTTAGACCCGATCGGGTCAGCAGAGATAAGCGTCGGGGTACTATCAAGCTGCGAGACACATTGCAGATGACAGGGGAAGATCGGGTCAGACTCAATCACTCGGAGTTGCGAGGCTTTGACCGAGCCACCTTGAAGCGAACCCCGGTCTCGCTCCGAGCTTCACCAAATGATATCTTTTGAAAAGAGAGCGTTGCCTGTGGGCAATTTTTGTCTGCAACAATGATTTCTCATCTGTATGGTTTTGTGGCTCGAGTCATGTCTCCCTTGATCACCAACGGTTCACCATCTCCAGTCTCCCAAGAGGGCTCGGAAGGGGATGGCACAGAGCCTGCTGCCAAGACAGATCTTCTGAACGAGCTAGCGAGTTCCATCTCAAGCAATGCTCGGCTCGTGAGCACCTATTTGCACTCTGAGTCTCATACCATCCCGTCTTTCGACCGTGATGCTGCATCTACAGCAGTACCTGCCTCGGCTCCAGGCGAAATTAAGGCGGCACGTGAGGCACTACTAGACGCATCAATGCAGATGTTTCAACTGGCATCCGGTCCTAGCGAGTATCTGCCAAACCTGGCGGTGCATGTGCGTTGGTCCTGGATAGAAAAATGACCATTGCGTGTCAGCTGCATGACTGACCATGTTATCATAGTATCAATATCTGTCGTGTCTGCACTGGTTGATTCATTTCGGCATCTTTGCTCGAATCCCCCTTGAAGGGTCAATCTCTTATGCCTCCCTAGCGGCCGACGCAAGTGTTCCGGAACGAACATTGAAGACAGTGGCCCGTATGGCAATGACAAGCCACGTCTTGAAGGAGCCTCAGTCTGGAAGCGTTGCACACTCGGCAACATCGGCACAATTTGTGACTAACCCGAGCATGAATGACTGGGCGGAATTCATGTGTCAAGCATCAGTGCCGGCCGCTTTGAATCTTGTGTCTGCCACAGAAAAATGGCCCACTAGTCAAGCTCGCACGGAGACGGCCTACAATGTTGCCTTCGACACGGAGTTACCATTTTTCGATCACCTGGCAACGCTGCCTGATCGGACCCGACAGTTTGCGGGTTACATGAAAAACGTGACCAGTAGCGAGGGAACCAAGCTGGACCATCTGCTGAGCGGGTTTGACTGGTCGGGACTGGGCTCGGCGCGAATTGTGGATGTAAGCTCCCTTCGTCGGGCAATGAGATACACCTCGGCGCTGAAACTGATAAATTAATAGGTTGGGGGCTCAACAGGAAACGCGGGCATCGCGCTCGCGAACTCTTTCCCGAAACTCGACGTTACAGTCCAGGATCTGAGTGAGAATACCGCCGAGGGGGCCGCCACTCTGAGCCCCGACCTGGCGTCGCGCGTCCATTTCCAGGCCCACGATTTCTTCCAGCCACAGCCGATCATCGGTGCTGACATCTATCTGCTGCGTATGATCTTGCATGATTGGGCCACACCAGATGCCGTGCGTATTCTACAGCAGCTCGTTCCGGCGCTGCGTCGGGGGTCGCGTATTGTTATCATGGACTCGGTCCTGCCGCGTGCGGGGTCCATGGCTCCGACGAAGGAACGCCTCCTTCGCGTTCGTGATTTGACGATGCTGCAGGTTTTCAATAGCTGTGAAAGAGATCTAGATGATTGGAATCAGGTGTTGAATCTCGCAGATCAGCGTCTACGGGTAGTCGATGTTACCCAGCCTCGGGGGAGTGTCATGGCTCTCCTGACTATTGACCTTGTCGAGTGATTCAGTTAGTGAGGAGTAACTGAGTTCTCTTTGTTTCCACAATTCCAGTATATTTGAATCTTCCATCATGACACTTGTAACTGCCAAAACTCAGTAATGGTAATCGTGGAGAGACTGTGGTACGGAGTAGTATCTAGCGGCGACCGTGGAGGATTTGAGTAATGAGTAGATTTGGGTAACTGAGACTGAGAGTCAAGAAAAGCCAGGAAAAGGCACAGGTGTCCCTCGAGTATTATGCATCTTTCCAAATTAATTGGATAATGTGCAGGACACGCTGAGGCATGTTGACGCAAAAATTTGAAGGCTATGGGGGACGCGAAAATTCGGCCTGAGGCCAAAAGTGCTGCCTGATTTTAACGCGTCTTCAACGACTTTGGTTGCGTTGACGATCCTTGACATTACCAAAATTCAGAACACGTAGAATCGCGAGGACATGTTCATTCCCCGCCTCACTAATGACTGTCTCTAGACCAATTCCTTGACCACCGGATGCACCCATTCTTCGCCTCGACTCATCCCCTTCACTAGCAATTCCGCAATCCGCTGCGAAGTCTCCCTCCCGCGAGGTATATCATGCCCTCCTCCATGGTCCCACAGTGGCGCTTCATCACACAAAGCATGTAGCTGCACAGCAGCTGGGAAACGCGGATCCTTCGACCCACAGATGTGCACAGTGGGAATGCGAATGCGCATGTCGTCCGGCTTGCACGTCAAGTCAAGCCCAAAGACGTCGGATTTGTTGATATAATGCTGCCGTTGTGCAGCGTGTATGACGGGTAATGTCCCGGGTGCTGGAGCCCATCGATCGATACCTACACCTTGACCAGCGGCATTGTTCCTGATCAACCAGCTTGTATCGGTGTTCTTGGACAGGAGAAGACGACTGGTCTCCTCGTCCCATTGACTTGCTTGCGATGATATGGGTAGACCGAGGTCTTCGAGTACAGGCAAAGGCACGCCACCGCAGATGAAGACGGCTAGTCGGAAGGGCGGCGGCATATCCGGGTGCATGCGCTCGTGGTAGAGCAAATAACTGGCGATGAGGCTGCAGCCCTGCGAGAAGCAGAGCACTCCATTATATGGGCCATCACGGTCTAGCTTTGCTTGGAGCTCCTTGTGGGCCTCCCGAATGGCGGGAACTGATTTTCCTTGCCAAAAGGTATAGTATGGCGGGGAGTAGAAAGGCGCCACATCCGGCGCGGGATCAGACTCAAATGGCCCATCAACGAACTCGAATGTGGTATCTGCGGAAAGAGATTGAAGTTTCAGACGAAACGACGCTGGAATTGTTAGCCTTGACAGCACCCTGCGGGCACTTACTCACCGGTTTGCGATTTGAAGATGTGGGCGCTGGTCCCGCGACCATGAAGGCAAAGAAAGCGCATACTGCGTGATCAAGCAATAGATACTACATGGATCTATGATTCTAACATGAAGCCAATCATATAATTCCAGCCATGTCGGTCAAAAGCTCGGGGCTGATATCAATAAGCTTTACAAGATACAGTCAAAGCCCTATCTATGCTGACCCGATGAAACATCGGGGATGTACCATGCAGGAAGTTTGGGGTCTCATTCGTCTAATAAGTCTGTTATTTCCAGGAAATCACTAAACCCGATGGAAGTCCTGCCCGTGCATAATCGGGCCCATCTTCTCTATCATCAAAGTCCTTGCCTTGGCTTTGTATACCAAAGCGCTCGGCACTCGCCAGCCCCCGAGCTCCCCGACACCCCCCTCTCTTCCTACCGCAACAAATTGCGTGAGCGAAACTTTCTGCTGGTATGTCCTTGTGCGCCGACCGAACACCGACTCCCACCAAGATTGCGTCTGGTAAGATGCATCGGGATTCATCGCAAGTTCGTCGTCCCGAAGACTATCAGCGAGGGGTCTGACAGGTTCGATGGCATCGAAAAAGCTTCCATTGGTGAAATTGGTCACTGATCCGAGAGCGTACACCCCGACTGTATCATTCACACGGAGACTAGACTGATCGGTCTTGACGTAGCCCTTTGCATCGAGCCACCCGGGAGGCAAGAAAGCACTATTCGGTGCACTGCCTGTCGCGTCGATGTAGACGTCGACTGTCTGGGTGGACTGATCGCTCAGCGTTATGTCCCAGGATTGACCCCTCTCGCGCTGGATGGCCGATGTGACCCGAACCCCGTGCCTGACTCCGACCCCCAATTGACTCAGCATACGTTCAGCGGTGGCAGAGGTTCCCGGGCTGGCATGCGAAAGTAGACGGCTGCCTCCCGATAGCAAGGTGATGGACCTTTCGGCGCCGGATCGGTCATTGCTCGTCGCTCCGAGCTCTCCCGCAGTCTCAACGCCTGTCGGACCTCCACCTGCAACTAGGATCGATTGAGCATCGCGCAAGCGAGTCTGCATCTGTCCAAGCTCAAATTGGGTCTTGGTGTGGGGCCCCGATAGGGAGAACAAGGGACTGTGAGAGGCTGTCCCTGTAGCAACGACAAGGAAATCGTATCCAATCGCGGTGGTCTCATTTGTCTTCGGCAATCGAGTATGAAGGATCCGTTCCTTCTCGTCTAGGCTAGTTGCTTCTGCCTGAAGGAAAGTGAATTGCGATGCGTGGTATTCTTGGAATCCGTCTGCAATGGCAACGAAGGGCTCGGCTGTGCTTTGATTGGCTTCCACCAGAGCTCGTGGTGCCGCTACTTTCCAGTAGAAATGAGATGACGGCGAAACCAGTGTAAGGCTGTACTGTAGCCCGAGACGCTCGGTCAAGGTTGGCAGGGTGTGTCGTAACAGATAATGTGCCAGAGATATTCCAGCAACTCCTCCTCCCACAACGACAATTCTTCGAGGCGCAGGCTCTGCCATGACAAATTGGGTTCGATGTCTTTCGTTTCTTTTCGTAAATGAGGTTTGATAATCTTCTATGGAAATCTGTCTGCATGGAGCCTTAAGTAAATCATCATCCGACACAACTACGAGACAGGCACGAACCCCGATTTCCGATGAATATGCCCGATAGCCCGAGACAGCTCATGTCCTCGAGTCGAGAAAATTGGAAAAATAATCAAGTTGCAATTTGACTCTCGTGATATCTACCCATTCTCCAAAAGTACATCCCAGAACAAACCCAGCCCGCTACTGCCACTTCTTCGTCTGGTTCTTGACACGCAACTCCTCGTTGACTTTCAAGATAGCCTCCTCTGCTCCATCCCATTGTTTGCGCTTTCCCTCAAACAACCGATAGTGGAACGGTAAGAGTAGGCCATCCATGAGCACATTGCAGAGTGGGCGATTAGTTAGCCAGAACCACCACCCTTGCATTCCGTATCCGAGATTCTCCCTCATGCCGAGTCCCGCAGTCTCTTCGACCCAATCTAGCCAGTCCGCCCCCTTGACAAGGCCAGGTGTAACAGCACCCTTGGTCGCAAGCTCAGCAAGCCACTGATGTTGCTTGTCCACTGCCTCAATCATTTCTTCACGTGGTGGAAGGGGTGAGCGTCCTGACCAAACCTGACCTAGTGCCATTGACGCTAGATCGAACATCAAGAATGCTGGGTTCATGAAAGAAAGGTTACCCATAAATGCTAGTGAGTCCGGGTGCTCGAGTGAGAGTAGGTTTTGGTATAGCCGGGGAATCTTGCGTCCGTTCGCGCTGCGTAACTTGGAATCATGGTAGACTGTGGGATCGCTCTTCCCCAGAATTGAGTAGTCAACCGTGTATCCGGTACACCATATGATAGCGTCAACTTCAGCAGTCGAGCCGTCAGTAAACTCAACTCGCTTAGCATCGACGATCTGTTGGATAGGAGTCTTAGAGGTGATTTGTTCACGGGTGAGAAGATCAACCAGGTAATCGCTAATGATGGGACGGGCCTGGTTGACCGATGGCGCTGGATCGAATCCCCATTCTGGTTTGAGATCGTACAGTCTGTCTCGAAGACCAAGAATGACCTTGTTCATAAGCTTGGTCCAAATACCCGGGGCGTAGCGGGATAATTGCTCGAGAAAAACTCCCTTTCGATAGGTTCGGATGTGATCCACGGGCTTGTTGTCAACCCACCGGGGGAGCTATATGAAATGGTTAGGCTTTGAAGGGGAATTTTGAGAGAAATTTCTCAGTGAGCTTATAACTTACCACAATGCTACCGTTTCTGTGAGACAAATAGACCTTGTCGGCTGTTCCTGCCAGTTCGCACGCGATATCTGCCGCAGTATTTCCAAAGCCAACAACCAACACTCGTTTCCCGGCCCAGTCCCCCGGTCTTTTTTTGTTAGCAACCATGTTCATGCCGCAGTCATCTAGACAGAAGAACATACCTCTTGAACGCGATAGAATGCACCGCTTCTCCTCCGAACAAGTCAAGTCCCGGAACAGATGGGATGTTGGGGATTTGATCCGGTCCCATTGAGTAGACCACCTTGTCGAAAGAACGAACTACCCGCGACTCCCCAGCTGTGGATGTTTCAACTTCCCAGAGGTTTGTATCTGGGTTCCACTCGGCACGGTGTACTGTCGTGTTTAGCTGGGCGCGTGGTAAGATGCCAAAATGCTTTGCATATGACACTAGATAACGATGCATATCTGCCGCTGGTGGGAAGTCTGGCGTCTCTGTCACATTGTTAATAAGGCCTTCTCCCCGACATTTCCATGTAGCAATATTCGACTTACCATCTGGAAATGGGAAATCTGTAAAGCAACCCTAATATATATGATCAGCTGATAGCTCGGCAATAATTGATTCTGCAAGGTACGTACTCTATGCTTTGAGCCATTTGCCACAGTACCTAATATGGCATTATTTAGGATCAAGATCGTAGGCACTTAACATGAATTCTCAGTGAAAGGCTTACTGCGCAGAACCGAAATCGCATCCTTTTGCTCATTGTAATTCCATAAACCACCCACATATGGATGTTTATCGAATCCCACGACGTTGAATCCTACTTCCAGTAGGTTCTTCATAGCCACTAGTCCCAAGGCGCCTTTGCGTAGACAAAGCCGATAGTTAGATGAAAGTCTCGATGGGTCCACATCTCCCTCAACAACGTACCTAGCCCAATGACAGCCACTGAAGGGGCTTTGTCGCCCATTAAATTCTGGTCTGCCATACTGAGAGTGTGAATACCAAATCAGACAGCTTGAATCCGCTAGAAATGGGGGAAAAAAGAAAGCTTTCACACAGGTTGGGTGGGACCAAGAGCCTAAAAATCAAATTACTACCGGACCAATATCATTATCCACGGGGCTCTTTACATCCTCATCCAACCCGACGATAAGCTTGAGAGACTTGATTATCACCGATCAATGGTCTGACATGGTGGACTCCGGGCATCATCGTGGGGATAAGATCGGCCCTCGGGGGTCGGGCTGCATTTCGGGTGGGGGCTGTTCGGGGCCGAAAATAGGTCCGACTGGCACCAGGGCCGAACTGACCATTCACCTGAGGTCTGTCAACGTGATGACAAAGTCCCCGCATCTAACTATCACCGGATCCGTGGAATTAATCTGAGGCCCTGGCTTTGTCAGCGGGTGTCATTTCCGCCGACTTCTGAGGTTAGTGATATTCCTAACACACTAGTTTAACGTGTGCATCAAGTTGTCCCGGTCTTGGATGCTTTTTTATTTAGATGGCATCGCGTTGGAATTCTAAGAATACAGTAAATTTAGAAGATTGTAATCCGTAATGATGAGTTGTCTGATATAACAGAGACAATAAATTGTTTTCTTCATTATTGATATCATTCTAAAGAAGCCATGTACTGTTACCCAGTCGACTTGATGGTCTCAAGGAACCCGATCATCTTCTTCAACACTGAGTTCCAGACTTTCGAGTATCGATATGATTCGATCATTTCCATCTCATTGTGATCCATAGCCTCTTCTATACTCCCAGGGTCATCGAGATTTTCCTGCGGGAGAGGAAGGTATATTCCCGGTCTCGGGGCCGGTTGACCAGGTATCAATCCCTTCTGCTGGGGCGCATACTCAGGTGGAACCTCTGGCCATGCATCAACGCCATCCAGTAATGCAACCGCCATTCCTCCTGCCAAATGTGTTTCGATATGACAGTGAAACAGCCAAGGGCCAGGATTGATAGAATGATACCGTAGCACAAGCCAGGACGGTCCATCGAAGGAGGTAACGAAAGTATCGCGGTAGTTTGGGGTCTCAAGATTGAAGCGGTGCGGCTCAGCAGCAATCGCTTCGTCAACAGTGGTGTAGTTCCAAATACCCTCACCCGCCCCGACCTGCCACATCTTTCCTGTGTGCTTGTGCATCATATGCGGGAATTCCTGGGGCTGTCCCGGTTGCGAGCCAACCTGGACAACGAGATCAACCCACGACCCATTGCGGGTCCGGACGATGAGACCATCGTCAAGTGCGTCTGGCTGACTGATATTGTAGAGGAGAGGCGAGTATGCACTGCGGTCCTCTTGCCACATTCCACCACCGCTGAGCGTGTACTGCCAGGGGCTCATCCATCGGTGGGTATGGAGGACAAAATGCTCATCTGAGTGGGCTGCCGGCTTGAGAGGAGGAAACGGTGGGAGGTGTTCGCGATTGAGTGTGACGACAGCCGTGGTATTTTGGCCCCCATAATTAATCACGCCATGACCTTCAGAGAGTGTGCCCGGGCTGCCTGCGTAACGCAACGTGGCAAACGAGGAGATGATTTGTGTCAACCCACTATCCGCTATGCGTATCGTGTAGTCTTTGGGCTCCTTGTTCAGTTGTATCATGACCGCGTATCGCTCGCCTGCGTACATCTTGACCGTATCAACTTTTTGTGGCTCGATGCGGTGCCCATCCACTTCGTAGACCCACATAGGATGCTCATCAATCGAGAAGATGGTTGTTTTGAAGGTTGCTGCTCCTATAAAATTCAGACTTGCCCATTTTGATTTCGCATCCACGTGAATTGTCTCTGAATCGCCTGTGGCAGGCACGCAGCCCTTTTGAAGGTGTAGTGGAATCGTCTCCGGTTTTCCCTCACTGAGATATAGACCTTCTGTGGATTTCATGAAGGGAAAACAACTTGGGAAGATTAGCGCATTGACGAAGAGAAGCAGATACATTGACTTACCCCTTGTCGTTGACGTGGTTTGGGTACAGCGCCCATTTCATGTAGGTACTGGTGTGGTTGACCAGATAATCTTCACCCGGGCAGTAAATGCTACCCTTGCCATTGATCAAAATACTATCGACGCAGCTGTTCCAATCATTAGCTTTCAAGACTATATCGGGGTTTGGGTAGATGTTACAATATTGCAAATCCGGATGCCTCTTCGGCCTCCATGTAATTCCAAGATTTGAAATGCGTCCAATCTGACACGAGTACTGGATTGGGGTCGCTGGCCGCCTTGGCCATTGCCCCAATATCCGTATTGTCATTGGATATTAGGCTCCATGGGGCGGGCGTGTTGGGTTTCGGTCCATACGAACTTCAGCGAAGGAATGGGGCGGTTTGTTTCAAAATACGCACCGGATAAAGATTCCGCCATACAATCCATCCAATAGGGTCGTTCTTGAATGAGCATGGTACCTGCAATTCTTAGTACTGGAAACCAGTGAGATCAACTTTTTGGATATGTTACCAATGGGTACCACTGGGACTGGCTTTGAAACGATAGATGAAAATCTCATCAGGCTCGATGGGCAACTGGGTTGCGCCAGGCGCGCCATCCGACCAAGGCGTCCCTTGCATCCTGAAAGATCAGTCGAAGATCTTGAGTTTTGCAATGAAAACTCACATCAGTCCATGCCAGTGTATGCTCGAATTGAATGGCATCCGGTTGTGAACTATGACCTAGGGTTTGCACATTTTAATAAAGTCCATAGAGTTGGTCGTTATTTGATTCACCTCAATGTCGTCGTCCTCGTCCCAAGTAAAATGAGGACCGGGAAAATCATCATTCATCTTAATCATCTCTCTGACATGGCCATTTGGAGCTCCCAGATCCCATGTTAATGTGATTTCTTCCCGGACAAGCTTGGCCACGATAACACCGGGCAGCAAGAAGGCGCACAACGCCCTCCAAATACCCCGAGTCATGATGATCGATTGCGCCGAATGGAATTTAGTCGAATAGAGAAATGTCTTTGGATATGATATGGGCTTATACTATCCACAACCATACAGTTGCCGGAACCCCGACGTTCGGATGGAGATCGGGAGCCCCCAACAACCCCGAGTAAGCCCCGATCGCAATACACCTAATAGTATACCGACAGATAAACAAAACAAGATGCCGAGTAGATCTGAATTATCACCAAAAAAATACCATGAAGCCATTTGCTAAGCGGGTCATTTTTCAGGCATCGCGAGTGACCCTCGTTGTAGTCACCGTCTCTCTGGCTGTCCAAACATACCTGGCGGGATGGAAGAAGCCACAACCTGTGGCAGTTCACCCACCACCCGAGATCCATGAGACAGAGACACCCTCCCCTCAAACACTCTGGACCCAAATACAGCATAATGAAAATTTGACCAGATTTGCCAAGTTAGTGGGGGAATTTGAGGACATCGTCGGAGGTCTGCAAGCACCTCCGGCCCAGCTCACTGTCTATGCACCGACCAACGAAGCCTTCGAATTGGAAGACTTCCCCTACGACCTTCCATGGTTCTATTGGAAGTTCCTCGTTGGCTACCACATGGGCAAAGGAGCCGTCTCTTCCCAGGCACTGCATAGCCAAAACACAGTCTCCTCATTCGTCAACGCCGACATCTTCTTCAAAAACCAGCAACGCATCAGCGTGCAGAACAATCCCGACAGTGTGAGTTTCAACTTCCGCGCCAAACTGCTTGCCTCGTACCCCGCCCAAAATGGCCACCTCCACCTCGTGGATCGCCTGCTCATGCTGCCCGACTCAACCGCCGACGTCCTACGATCTACCACAGCATTCGGGACTTTCCGCCAGGGACTGATCCACACCGGTCTGGCGGAAATCATCAACGATACCTCGACACACACCGCACAGACGGTATTTGCTCCCTCCGACGTTGCATTTCGCAAACTTGGCCCCAAGGTCAATGCCTTTTTGTTTGGCCCCGGCGGACGCGCATACCTAAAGGCCTTGCTTGCATATCACATTGTCTCGAACGAGACGTTGTTTTCGGACGTCCATTTTCCGACAAATAATGGAAAGCAGGTTGTTCTCGACCTGCAGTCAACTTCCAATCAAATCTCACTTCCGACCCTGGCTCAGGGGCATAATATCTTGGCAAGCTCCATTCGGCAGACGAGTGATGATCGGCGAACGATCTTAATTAATGACGAGTGGACGGTGAGCCGACCAGATATCGTCGTCATGGATGGGGTGGTCCATGAAATGGACGCTGTTATATTGCCCCCGATCTTGGAGGAGAGTCAGTTGGAGAAGGATGGTAATTGGTGGTCTATCGTGTCTCGGTCTTTGAATATTCGCGGGGAAATTACTGTGGGGGAGCTGATGGAGCGGCTGCAGCCGTTGATTGACAGTGAAACATAATGACTGTGGTCGCCTTACAAATTAGCCTTCTATATCCGGAGTACGGGGTATCAGTATTATCCCTGAACCTAAATGAAAATGCAACCCCGGTGTCTCACTCTGTACTCCGTATATCAAGGAATGTCGGACAATCCATCCGGGTTGATAGTGGCAGTGGTGTTATTCCCGCCAATCCGCAAGTCTTCGATGAAATGCCCCAGAGGGCCCTCGGCACTAGATTCCGTCCCAAAGATGCACGATGTGCACGTAGACCCCATACCGGGTGAGTCACTGCTCTATGCCTTTTACTCCGTACTCCGTATTGCTTGCATGAACACTCCGCAGTTTCGGTGAACAAATGGAAGACCGGGACCCACTTTGCCATGCATTTCTCACGTGGCGGGCTTCGGGGCCGCTCTAGCCGGTATTACATAATCGAAAATTTATGCAGGTCGCCGGGGCACGAGGGCCGGACTCCGGAAGAACAACCTTTTTTTTTTTTTCTTTTCTTTTTTTGATTTTTTAGCTCATTCGCCTCCCGTCTCGCCACCCGCTTACCATGAGGTTCTTTGTAAGGCAACAATATTGAATCTCTCATTGAGCTGGTCTCTGTTAGTTTCATTAGCTATGAAAGATCACTAGGACTTGTACGGAGTAGGCGATATCTGGCCATCCACTATATAGAAGTAAAAAAGAAGGAGAATGTAGTAATCTGGTGGTTTTTATTTTGACAAAGTATTTGCCGGCCTGGAAAAAAAACATTGTGAACCACGCGTTGACAAGGCCGCCGACCTTGGATGGGGTGAGCCAACGGCGATTAGTCTCCGATATTTGGTTTTGACCTCCGATAAAGGAGATCTTGCCCCATACTGAGTCAACTTTGTTTGCCGATGTGGGGTTTCGGATCGTTTTTTTTCTTCTGGCTCCTGTCTTTAAAATCTAAATGTTGCTCCATTTTTTCTTTTCTATTTACTTCTTCTCTCTACATTGATCCTTCCCTAGAGCCATCTTCAACCTGGCTCGTCCTTCAGCCACAATGGCTACCTCTTTCAACAACACATCTAACCAGGATGATGTGACAAAAACATCTAAGCATGATTACGAGGACAATGTGATGGGATCAGATGGCGAGAAATTGGGGGAAGTAAATGAGACGGAACGACAGATTGAAGAGCATGGAATCAAGAAATTCAGCCGCTTAGGTTGGAAGCGACTCACTATTGTGCTCATTGCTGAAGCGGTCGCTTTGGGTACTCTCTCGATTCCCTCGACGTTTGCCACCCTCGGTATGGTCGCTGGTGTCATTATGTGCGTTGGAGTCGGACTCCTCGCCATCTACACGAGTTACATCGTCGGTCGTGTGAAAGTGTTAAATCCTCACATCACCAATTTCCCCGATGCCGCCTACCTCATGTTCAGCAAACTCGGCTGCGGGCGCTTTGGCTACGAGCTGGTTACTGTCATGCTGGGTCTCTTGCTGGTCTTCCTAGGAGCATCGCACTGTCTCACGGGCACAATCGCCTTTGAGACCATCACCGAAAGCAATACATGCTCGATTGTGTTTGCTGTTGTTTCCGCTATCATTCTTTTCCTTCTGGCTATCCCACCTAGCTTCACTGAGGTCGCGATTCTCGGTTACGTCGACTTTGCTTCAATCCTGATCGCAGTCGGAATCACTATCATCGGCACGGGTGTCGAATCAACAAGATCTGACCACGGTCTCAGCAACGTCAACTGGTCTGCCTGGCCCAAGGAGAATATCACCTTTTCCGAGGCGTTCATCGCTGGCACGAATATCGTCTTCGCTTACACTATCACACTCTGCCAAATCTCGTTTATGGACGAGATGCATACCCCCACCGATTATATGAAATCCATCTGGACATTAGGATCTATTGAGATCGTTGTGTACACCTTGACCGGTGCATTGGTGTACGCTTTTGTCGGTCAAGATGTTCAAAGTCCAGCGCTCTTGTCTGCAGGCCACTTCTTGAGTCGTCTGGTCTTCGGAATTGCCCTACCCGTCATCTTCATCAGCGGTTCGATCAACATCGTTGTGTTTGGGCGTATGGTCCACGGGCGTATTTTCAAGAACTCATACATCCGTTTCATTAATACACCCGCCGGCTGGATCACATGGTTGGCAATCATCCTCGTTACCGTGATCGTTGCCTTCATCATTGCCGAGGTCATCCCATTCTTCAATGACCTGCTGTCGATCATGTGTGCCCTCTTTGTCTCTGGCTTCACTTTCTACTTCCCCGCCATGATGTGGTTCTTGCTGTTGCGAGAGGGAAAGATCACCACGCCAAAGAACATTGCTTTGGCAATCCTGAACGGTTTCATCTTTTTGCTCGGTATTCTGATCCTGGTGGCTGGTACCTATACCTCCGTTCAAGACATTGTGAGTGCAATCGCGACTTTCCTCATCACCTTCAACAGTCTGCTAACAGATAATCTCAGATCGACCAATATCGCTCTGGAACAGTTTCAGGTGTTTTTTCTTGCAGTTCATAATAATACCCCCACAACCATTGCATCTCGGAGCACGGTCTCGCATTACATCCGGTGAAGGTGGATCAATTAATGTACCATATTTGTAAATAGCAGTTGAATTTCCAGCCACTACATTCCCGGTGTTTATATTATTTCAAAACTTTGAGTCAACACAGTAGTACGCTATGCACAAATACATGTCCATTTGATTCCATGACCACGTGGACAGGCCTGGGAGGGAAAATATGTAGTCAAAACCTTGAAAGCCGTGGTTATATCGCATCGCTGTAGCAGCCTCGGAACATGACAAACCCCAACCCAAAGGGACATCCAAATTTAATACAGGAATGGAATCATCTTCCATCTCGTTCTTTGCTTGAACTGATCCCAGTCTTGTCCATACTACATTAAGTCAGTACACTATACATTGAACTAGTCCAATGGAAAGGAAATCGGATGAAACATACCCTCTTCTCGCAATAAGCATCCAACGCGGGGATACCTCTTCTCCGGAATTCAGCCAACAGCCACAGTAGCGTAAGTCCGCCCCAGCACCAACCGGAAGCCGCAAGCCCAGCAGCAGCTTTCCAGATAGTATACCCACCATAGTTGATATGGCGTGCAATGCGGAAGAGTCCGCCCGTGTAGACCTTGCCCTTCCCCTTGCCACTAGGGTCCTTTTTGAAAGATCTGCGCTGGAGTTCCGAAACAGTCTCCACGGTAATGCCCAATGTGAAGATTGCACATGCGGCAGAGAGAATTGGATGCCAGCCGGTGCTTTGATCGGGTACATAGGACTTTGTTGCTGATGTCGCGGCGGCGCAGAACATGAGCGAGTTCACGGTTGTCGAGAAGGCCTTGAACACTCCCACCAGGAGAGCGGTTGCAATGGGCATTCTGGCTTCGGATACATAGGTCAAGTAGAAAATGCCCTTCAGACTGCCGAGTAGTGACATGCCTAGCAGGGTCAAACGCCAGGGTGAGAGGCCCAGTGCTACTGGGGCGGCTTCGAGTGGTAAGGGTGTGCCACCGAGTAGGCCTAGGACTGGCGTCGCTAGTGATGCAGCGCCGGGTAGAAGGATTCCATACTGTAGTACTGGGTCGAGAATGCGGAGTGCGATGAAAATGGATGTCCCGAGAGGCGATGGACCCTTGTCGTTGCGGTCGCCATGGAGAGCTCCTTTTCTGTCCCCGGGGGCAGACTTCTTCTCAGATTGCGACATAGCTTTAAAGGAGAAAGCTATACGAATCGAAATATCGATTGATCATACATGTACCTACTCGTTGTGCTTCTGTATATGTAACGATGGCCTCGGCGCTACAACGTCCCCGAGCTGGCCCCGAGTCCCCGAGCCCCAGCTCAAGCGCCGAACACCGAGCCAGATTTGACCCCACCTCCGGTCCACCTCTCGGTCGGGCCCGTGGGCGTTGATCACATCACGCAGATCGCGGGTCATCTTTCGAAGCTGAGGTGAGAATGATTACGAATACAGGCAGGCAGCTCTCGAGTATACGGCCTGGCCCAATTTGGAGTAATCTTTCAAAATGGAAATTGAGCTTCTATTGGGGGTTTCAGGGTTGTACCTCTGACTCTAGAAGCTTGATGAAAGCAGTGCACATCTAAGCACTCTACTCCGTCCTGCTGAACAGTAACAACCAAAACACAAATCTGGTCCTGCCCCGTGAAGTACCGTAGAAGCCGGTGAAACGTCATATCAAGTCGTCATAAAGGAAGAAAGCATGGGGAAGCGCCAAACCAGACCAAAACCAAATACTCTAGTTCAAATTCTCTCGCGCCGTCATAGCCACAGCCTTCATCTGATGTCGTAGATAAGCCTCCAGCGCCATATGCAACCCCTTCTCATCATCTTCGCCAAATCCCCCCTTCTGGCGACAATAACTGTGATTGAACGCCCTCAAGACCTCTTTCACTTTATCGATTTCCGCCAGAATCAATTGCGCAACCATGCGCCGCGTCTGACCCGGTTCAAGCGTGTAGGCCCCAACATTAATCGATGGGATAGACACCCACTCGTGGAACGACCTAGACAAGCCATTCACCACGCTGCTGTCCGCATGAGATCTGCGCGACCCTCCAATGCTACCCCTGCTCCTGTCACTACCGTTGCTACTCTCACTGCTGTCTATATCGCGGTTTGGGCAAGCAGCACTGCGATCCAGACTAGCTTGGTACCAGGAGAGAACCCGCGTGCACGAGGTCGTCACTAGGAAGATAAGGTCTATCTTGGCTGTGCAGGGGCAGCCCAGAATTGTGAGGAGATCTTCCAGGGATGAATGGCTGTCTTTGAGAATATCGTCGAAGCTGCGCGCTGTGCCATTATTGACATGGGTAGTTGATTGGGTATCGTAGTCTAGGCGTCCGAGGGATGGACACGATGCTACTGGCACGTCCAGTCGCTGAATGGCGGACATGGCCAGTTGGGAGCATTGATGTGGGGTCTGGTGGGGCGGGACCGACCAAAACGGCTGTTTGTCGGTGTCCGGGGGAAGAAGCCAGGGGAAACCTGTATCCAGATTGCTGTCGATCTGTGGTTGATTGGGTGTTTGCATCGGTGATGGATCGAGGACGCAGGACATCTCGTCGTGGGAGAGTGGTCTGCTATCGAAGGGCTCGAGTAGCTCGCTCCACTTCATTGGGCTCATTGTATCTGGTCCGAATATAGATTCGTCCGGGAATGGCTCGTCATTCGATTCGGGCATCGAATTGGCCTTGGCCATGTCGATGGATGGGACTTCGGGCGCAGGCTGTGGGTGTAGTGTATCATTTCCTCTTTGAGTATTGGTATTCGGATCTCTTGAGATCGCGGTCCGAACGGAAGGAGAGGTCGCTGGCGGAGTTGGCGGAGGCCGCTTTCGGGACCGTTGGGAGGGACTGTAGACGCATGGTACGCCTTGGTACAGGCAACGTTGGCATGAAGGTTGATCCTTGCTGCAGCGGACTTTGGACTTCGCGCAATTGTTACAGCTGGCACGAATTATTTCCAGTCGGACAGGGGAAGTCATGGTCAACGTTTAACACATTAAAGAATCTAGAAGTATAGAGATTTAGGAATCTAGGAATATAGCCCAGGAACCTGAGATAAAAAGCTAAGCACACCAAGAAAATGCCCAGTTGCTTGGCCCCATGGCCCCCAAAATGTAGCGCTGAGGTAAGGTGGCTTGGGGTTACTTTGTTACTTTGGGGGCCTACTCCGTATTGAGTCCCTACATCACCGTGAATGTCGAGGGATTGCAACTAAACCTCTTTCGGCAAATAAAGGCAGCCCGTATAGACTAAGGTTTCTTAACCCGCAAAATCCACCAATCAGAGGACGGCACCTATACGAATCTCCTTGGCTTGCAGTGTAACCTGATCGACCCGTCCCGTCTGACTGGCTGAGACGATCCACATCGGGCTTGCAATCATACTTATATCTCACTTGCAGTTGCCTGCACTCTGCATTCTGCAACTATCTCCAACACTCTTTATACGATCGGCTAATAAAGCGTAATCAGCGGACCCGAGACGATGGTTATGCATGATACTACTTGTTATCTTTCGTTGCTTTTCATTTTATTCTATTCGACTCCGTACTCGAGTATTGTTTTGATCTTAATTCTTCTACTTTTCTACTATCACAAAATGATTGTGGAAAAAAGAATGCATAGATTGAAATTGTAATCTAACCAAAACAATCTGGTCCAAAGCTTTAAGGGAAGCGGAAGATACCCTCGGGGTCCACCGAGGCCTTCAGCGCTTGTAGCCGGTCCCAGTTCGGGCCAAAACTATCGCGGGGGTCCTCGTCTTTCCCCATGAAACTCACGTATACGGGATTTAGCGCGTGGCGTGTAGCATTCAGCTCTTTCATAAGGCCATCGACCCAAGCCTGGGCCTCTCCCATACGCTCCATTTCGTCGCAGGCGTTAATGTGGAACAAAACATGGGGTTCGCGCGTGGCGAACGAAGAATCGGGGTTCGGTCGGATACTCTTACCGTGACCAATGTGTGCAATGACGTTATATTGGCGACCATCGGGGATGGCCTCGGAGTACTTTTGTAGCAGTGCAATGGTCTCGGGGTCGAATCGCGGGACTGCAGAGCTTCGAGTGCTCACGTTCACTGGTTCATCCACCACTCTAGATGTGATACCTTGGAACGCCTTGAAGGTGGCTGTTTGAGGGGAAGGTCAGCAATCGAGACCCTTGAAGTCAATGATAACGAACGGTATGCCCGATAATGATACTTACTTTCCCCAACAGTATCCACCTGGATGGCACCTAGCCCCCTCACGGCGTCAAGCCACTTTCGCCCCTCATCAAGGGTCTCCGAATCGGGCCAAGCAAAGATCAGACTCATGCCGACCCCCCATTTTGTCTTCATGAAGCCCATCTGCAGACACATGGCGTCCGGGATTCCCTTATCCAGCATGTCTTGCAGACCCGAGAGGACCTTATCGCTCTCGTCCCACTGGTATGCGATAAAGCCGGCCAAGATGACGGGCATCGGATAAACACGAACAGTCACGTCGACGATTACGCCGAAACTACCGCCGGCGCCTCGCACGCCCCAGAGAAGCTCCGACCCAGCATTTGCTTCGACGACCGAGCCATCGGCGAGTATCAAAGTTGCAGAGAGGATGTTGTCGACTCCCAACCCCACGTAGTCGTTGAACGGGCCGTACCCGCCCCACACGGCCCATCCCGTCCATCCGACATTGCCCGCCGTTCCGTTCGCCGTGCAGAGTCCGTGGGTGTCAAGAAAGCCGACGAGATTCTGCGAGGTCACGCCACCACCGAAGCGGATGGACTGGCGATCACTTGACAGGGTCTGGTGGTCCAGCTCACGCATGTCGATGCTAATGCTGTCGGCGGTGCAGCCTCGTCCGTAGACATCGTGACCACCGCAGCGAATGCCCAGAGGTACTGGGGGACTGGCGGATCGAGCGGCACGCACAATAATCTGAACCTGCTCGATGGTTGTAGGGCGGCAGATAGCGAGTGGCTGGGCCGTGATGAGTTTGTTGTACATGCCACGGAGAACCTCATAGTTAGGCGAGGAGCGGGTGTAGACTTTCAGCGTGCTGTCTGCAGCCCGAATACTGTCGACCACAGGAGGTGCACCCTTGACGTCAACGGCAGGGTCGAATGGAACCGACTCATGGCGGTACTCGGTAGGAGCAGTGAACAAGGCAGTTTGAGTCATCTTTAGTGGTCTCTATTGAAACTGATGGATTTGTGTAGGCCATAATAACTGGTCAAAGTAGGGTTATATGTACACGTAAAGTGCGGAAGTCAGATCGGGCTCGGGGATGGTTATAATAGCCCGCAAATGCTCCCAAACACATGCCCGAGCCCCTACATCAGACCACCTCAGGAGAATCGATGGCCCGAGTCCCACCAAGTCCTCCCATTCGCCACACTACTTAGCCCATTCATTGAACGCTACAACTATCAAACATAATCGTCATCAGAAAAAGTCCACGTGCTCGTGTATCAGATTCTGCCAGCACTCCCAATCAATCTGCGACAGATCCAGAGCCGACGGCTCCAAGTTTTCCAAAAACGGCAGAGCGCCATCTGACTCCCCGGGATTCCAGCTCCCCGGTCCCGGGAGAAGCATAAGCGGACCCCCTGACGGCGCTGGCGTCGGCGACGGGGCCCGAGAGTCTCCCCGGATGGCACGGAGCCGCACGACAGCTTGAGGCTCGACGGGCTGAGAAAGAATCGGGCCTCGTCTCGCCCACGCCATTCGCATATCCCATGCCCGCAGCGTAAGTGTACCCAGCGCAAAGAAGAGTGTGTTTGTCTTTGAGGCCGTGATCAGGTCGGCGTGATCGTGGTACGCCTGATCAACTTTCGCCCATGCCTGATCTACTCGCTCTCCTTCACGTCGGGTTGACAGTTCCGTCACTACGAGGATGAATGCTTCGAATGGGAAGCTCATTCCGACATGCCAGAGATACGGCTCAAGATCGCGGCTCGCATAGGTTAGGTTGTCGTATGTGAGTACCTGAAGGCCGAGAGAAAATAACCGGTCCCTGTCGTCCGGTGAGAGGTCGGTACATCGGCGAGGATGTCGGGTTGCCAGGCGCATCTGACACACTGATGATCGGGCAAGATACAAAGCTAACTGGTGGAATGGGATAGACGGGTCGCAATCCTTCAAGTAAGAGTCCTCAAGTCGGCTCTCAAGGGTATCGATCGCGAGCTCTTCGGCAATCAATCTCTGTGCCATGGTACTAGCCACGGACTGGTGCTCCATGGCGGTCAGTTTACGCATACAGTCGCCGATCTCGAATCGAATCTCGCAAAACAACATCTCCGTAGTTCCGGGACGGTCACGGGGAAGCTCCTGCATGGAAGGTGACAGGTCGCTGTCGCTCACATTGCATGGGCGCTCGGTGTCCCAAAAATGATACGAGTAGGCGTCCACGGCAACGCCGCAGAGCTGTGCGGCCCGACTGTCCATGAGCAGAATCTGCCACCATAGTCGGCGGCGCATTTCGCGCTCAAAGACCGGTAGTAATGCGAGGCTGCGTTCACGGTGAAGGCCCATCACTCGAGCTATCCGACTTGCAGTCCCGGTCAGAAGCCACCTTGTCTGCACCTCATATCGCTGTCGTGTCGCTAGCTGGATATTTAATTAGTATCGGTTGTCAAAGCTGGTCATTCGACTGGGCGTACATACCAGGTAGAGAGTTAATGCTTGTAGTATCAGAATATTAGTTGATCGCAGAAAATTGGCATTTATTAATGCCTGCTCAGCGGCACGCGAGAATCTTGCCATTAAATCGGCGCGCGATGCCCCTAGAATTCGACGGCTTGACTCGTCATTCATTGAAGCCACCGCACATAGGTGCATACTAAATAGCAACGCTTCCATGGGTCGAGAGACATGGTTCAAGTCAGATGCAGCTTCGAGGATCAGTTGTTGGGTAGATGGGGCGTGGAGGAGCTTCACGATGGGATTCACATTGTTCAAGAATATTTGCCATAGTTGAAACACTTGTGGCGTTTCGGGATGAAGCGAGCGTACGCCCTTTGGACAGGAAGGTCGTAGTAAGAGAGACCCCCCGTCGGCGTGTTGCACAGATTCATTTTCGCTTTCATCCGCTACGCTGCTGCAGCTATCAAGTTCATTGGTCAGGCCTTGCCAGAGAGGGCTGGATGACAGAAGCCAAGAAGATCAGTGAATGTAACAAGAAATGCATATTTAAGCCCGGTATCTTACTTTTCCACATAGCGAGATTGTGCTGTTTCTTTCACTACATGGCCTTCTGGAGCAGGCCAAGCTGAATTGGTAAGACGAAGAGAAGAAAACTTCGTGTCAGGCTCACCTCGGCCACCGAGGGAGATTCCGTGAGCCTGTACTGCTCGTTCACAGAGCTCCAGTCGCCGTGCCAGAGGATCTATGACTCTAGAGACTCCGAACTCTCGGTTCTTCCGCCCCTGTGATTTGGATCCAGTGCGTCGGACGCACTCCTGTCCATTCCGTAGACATGTTGAGCAGGGTCGGTGGCCATCGCATCGCACTTTTCGCTGTTGGCAAAAGACACATGAGTGACCCCGGGTGACTCGAGAGCCTGGAGATAGCATGATGTCAAGTTCGCCACAAGCAATGCATCAAACTGCTAGTACAGACTAGAAAATAGGACCGAGGGGCTATTAGCTATTTGTCACTCCAGGGATGTAGACCTTGCCAAGGTCCGAGACTCGATTTTGGTCGAACGCGTAGGAAATCGAGTGACAGTAATTCAATCAAAAGTGCATAAGATAAGGTACTCTCTATGTATTGGTCGCTGTATTGCAACTGTAATTCTACCCAAATCGGAAGTCCGAGAAAAGCAAAAAGGCGCTAGAGTGTGACTCGGACGCTCGGCGCTACGGTCCCGTCGGTCCCATGTTTTCTTTGTGACGTTCGGCGCCGAACCCCTTCGGTCACCAGGATTGCTGTCACATCCTATTATTTAAATAAATACTCCTTTTCCTGAGTCTGAATAGTCTCCTAAACCCATCGCAAGATAATTCCTTGGATCAATAACCACTCTCGATCATGGCTCACTCGATAGAAGAGCAAAGACTCGACCAGTCCGACAATGCGTCGTTCAACCACGAGAAGCCCTCGGAGGTCACAGAAGACGAAAGTCACTTCCCAACCGGAACCCGGTTGCTGGTCATTATCATTTCCATTCTCTTTGCTATGTTCCTAGTTGCACTTGTAAGTATCCTTCATCAATCCCCCATCAAATCCAATCCTAACATCCCCAGGATCGCACCATCATCGCAACAGCAGTACCCCGAATCGCCAACCAATTCAATGCCCTCGACGACATCAGCTGGTACGCCAGCGCATACCTACTAACCAGCTGCGCAACCCAATTATCCTGGGGCAAAGTCTACACATTCTACTCGACCAAAACCGTCTTCCTAGCCGCAATCCTCATCTTCGAGGTCGGCTCTGCCCTTTGCGGCGGCGCCCCTACCTCCGACGCCTTCATCGTCGGCCGTGCAATCGCAGGCGTGGGTTCCGCTGGTATCTTCGCCGGCGCAACAGTCATCATCGCCCAGATTGTTCCTCTGGCTAAACGACCCATCTATGTCGGTCTCATGGGCTCAACCTTCGGATTCTCTTCCATCATTGGACCACTCATGGGCGGCGCTTTCACTGATAATGTGACATGGCGCTGGTGTTTCTACATTAACCTGCCCATCGGCGGCTTCACTATGATTGTTTTGTTCTTCTTCTTGAATGTCCCGCACACGGCCCAGTCGTGCTCTTGGAAACGTCATATCCTCCGTCTGGACCCCCTCGGCAGCGTCATTTTCCTTCCCTCGGTCATCTGCTTCTTGCTTGCTTTGCAGTGGGGAGGAACCACTTACCCCTGGGGTAATGGGCGGATCATCGCACTATTTGTGATCTCAGGCATTCTCATGATCGCCTTCGTCGCTGTACAGATCTGGCTCAAGAAGGACGCTACTGTGCCCCCGCACATCTTCAATCAGCGCAGCATTATCAGCGGTGTTATTTTCGCCATGTGTGTTGGTGGTGGTCTGATCTCCATGCTTTATACCCTTCCATTGTGGTTCCAGGGTGTGCGCGGCACCTCAGCTGTGAAATCTGGTATTGACACTATTCCCATGGTGCTTGCTCTTGTCGTTGGAGCCATTACTTCTGGTGGAATCATCACTGCGACTGGATACTATGTTCCATGGATGTTCGTGGCAACTGTATTGATGTCGACTGGTGCAGGACTTATGACGACCTTCAAGATGGATACCAACCATGCTGCCTGGATTGGATACCAGGTGCTATTTGGTATTGGTATTGGTACTGGATTGCAGCAGCCCTCGTTGGCGGCTCAGACGGTTCTTCCCATGGAAGAGGTTGCCATTGGTGTCTCGCTTATGTTCTTTGCTCAGTCTCTGGGTGGTGCGGTCTTTATCGCTGTTGCTCAGTCGTTGTTCCAGAACTACCTTGGTGCTGAACTGCCTGGTATCTCGGGCATCGACACGGCTAAGGTTTTGCAGGCTGGTGCGACGGGCCTTAAAGATGCGGTTCCTGCTGATAAGCTGTCTTCGGTGTTGATTGTGTACAATGATGGTCTTCATCGGTCGTTCATTGTTGCTGTGGCGGTGTCTTGTCTGATGATCATCCCCGCGTTGACGATGGAATGGAGAACTATCAAGAAGGACAATGTGTCTGTCCCAGCTGCTTGAGCTGAGATTCGCAGACTAAGAAAGGGAAGGGGTGTTGGATTGTACTACCATTATTTAGATCATCTCCTCAGCGCAGAATTGGTGCCTTTGCTTGTATAGGCTTTCAAAATATCACTATTACTTTAATATGGACACTGCGCGGGGCGTTTTGGCTTCATGCTTCTCTAGATTGGGCTAGATTATTCCCAAATCGTCAATCCTGTAAGTAAAACTTCGGCTATCATCAGAGTCGATTGAGCCAAAGCATGCGAACACGTCATACGTGGTTCCTTGTCAGGTCTTTCTGACCATACCATGTCTGTCAATCATGCCCAGGTGACTTCGCCTGTTCATTCGTAAACCAGGATCGTAAAGAACAATTTGAACCTACCAGAAGAAAGCTAAATTAAATGGACTTGCATGGATCAATTCAAAATTTTCCTATTTCGCAGTACATACTCATCACATACAGGGGTGGTCTTGCACATATTGGAAATTGAGCAAGCAGTCAAGACATCGCACCCAGGAACCTTGGGAAATTCAATCGCTCTCAGAAAAGAAAAAGTACAGCGCCAACCCCCTGAAACCCAATCCGAATCTCAAAAAAACAAAACAATTCATGTTGAAAACGCCTATCCTAGATGGCACAGAGGTGGGGGGTGGGAAACAAAAGCAGTATTTTCGGATTACACATGACAAGAAAGGGGCACAAGCGGCTCAAGTTAAAGAAAATTCGCATGAGCGGAAAGGAAGCGTGGAATTGATTAACTTCTCAAATCGCACGATGCTGTTGGGGGAATTCATTAGTCGAAACCGAAATCGGCTCCGCTGCCGGTGCTCGGGCTGTCCCGGTTGGGGTTGTTGAAGGTGAGCTTCAGCTTGGGTTGACCGGTCAAGGGGGTGTCGGCACCTGAGGCGAACTCAGTTGAGGCATCGCCGGCTGTGGACTGCTCTTCAAAGCCACCGAGTTCGGGGTGGGGCTCGGTCAGTCTGCGAAGCTCTGACAGGCACTTGTTCTGCGAGGTTGTTAGTATGGAAGTCTCAGGCAATAGGATAATGGGGATTGAACTCACTTCGATATCATTGGCATCCTGGAAAAGGACACTGCCATCTTCGTTATAAGTGCGGGCATTCTGGCAAAGCAGGTGGATGTCGTCACGGAACGACTTCACATTCTGATAATCGGAACGCTTGATCTTCTTTTGAATGTTGTCTATGGCGATGGGGTTCTGGATGATCATGTAGTAATCGGGGTAGTAGGAGCGTGGCGGAGGCTTCATGAAGGGGTCGATGATGGCGCGGACCATGGGACCCTCCTCGCTATCAGATCCCTCGGGAGGAACTTCGACTTCCATGTCAATCAACGATTGAATGGTGGTTTCGAGAATGCGATTCAAGTTGGCACGGTCGGTTGGGTTGAGGGTATCGGGCACCTTAGGCTGACGACCTCTCTTGCGCTTGGGCTGCGGAGTCTCTTCCATAACTTCTTCCGCCTTGCGCTTGGGAGGAGGACCACGACGGCGCTTTTGCTTTTGTGGAGTTTCGTCATCATCGATGATGGAAGGCTCTGGCTCTGGAGAAGACTCATCGCCATCCCGACCGTTCTTGTTGGACTTGCGGCGTTCGACACGAGCTTCCTTGCGTGCAATGGCCTCTTCGATGGTGTCATCATCAGCATCGACTGCCATCAACCATTGCTCTTCGGTAAGACCGTCATCGTATTTGGTGATCTTGCGCTCACGAGCACCGCGGCCAGTAACCTCGACCTCGATTTCTTCGGTGACAGGGTTGTCCTCTTGCATGTAGATATCAGGAAGCTCCTGCTCGCACATGAGTCGAGGGTAGCGGTGACCAGGACCATATTGATCTGTAGCCAGTCGCTGCCTGTCGACCTCCTGGAAGATAGGAATTTCCTCTTCGGAACGGGCCATAATTTCGTTCATTTCGTCGTCGTCCATTTCGTCGTCATCGCCGATGTTCTCTGCTGCCTCCGCGGTATCCAGGAGAGTTCTCAGAAGTGCATCTCGTTCCTCGTTTGTGGACTTGTTGTCGAACTTTCCGGCTTGAATAACCTTGCCATCCATGTCCAACTTGAATTGGGCACGCTCGAGAATCTTCTCCTCAACTGAGTTGGAACTGATCAAACGAAGAATACGGACCTCGTTCTTCTGTCCGATACGATGGGCACGATCCTGCGCTTGCAAATCTTGGTGAGGGTTCCAGTCAGAGTCGTAGATGATGACAGTATCTGCAGTCTGCAAGTTCAGACCGAGACCACCAGCACGGGTGGAGAGCAAGAAACAGAAGTACTCAGAGCCAGGTTCGTTGAACTGTCTCAACAGGTCCGATCGGTCATCAGACTTGGTAGAACCATCGAGACGCAGATACTTCAACCCTCGCAGACGGAGGAAATCCTCCATGATGTTCATGATCTGGGTCATCTGGAAGAACATCAAGACTCTGTGGCCGGTAGCGCGGAACTTGGGGAGGATTCGATCGAGAAGCTCGAACTTTCCAGCTGTTCGCCACAGAAGGTCGTTAGACATGCGAGTGGGGTTCATCTGGTCTTCAACAGGCTCGAAGACGAAAGGATGGTTGCACAGCTTTCGCAGCTGCATAAGCATGTTGCTGAGACCACGCATACCAGTCTTTCCACCCTTGCCGTCGCTGACAGCCATCTTGTTGTGGGTGACAAGTTGCTTGTACAGCTTGGCTTGCAAGGCAGAGAATCGACACTTGATGACACGCTCCTGCTTGTCGGGAAGATCCTTCTCGACATCCTTCTTCAGACGACGGAGCAGGAAGGGACGAAGAACCTTGTGGAGACGACGAATGACAAGCAGCTGCTCTTCTTCGCTCAAGTCCATGCGATCCTGACCACCGGTGTTGGCGAATGGCGTATTAAACCATTCATCGAACGACTTCACGGATTTGAAGATGTTGGGAAGAACGAAGTTGAGAAGAGCCCAAAGCTCAGGGAGGTTGTTTTGCAAGGGAGTGCCAGTCAGAATGATTCGATAGCGAGTGGTGTAGTATGTTGAGAGGGTGCTGCTAAGCTTGGATTGAGCGTTCTTCATGCGGTGACCTTCGTCAACAATCATGTGGGTCCACTTGATCTTGCTCAGAATGGGACGATCCTTGATGATGTACTCATAGGTGGTGAGGAGGACCTGGAATTGACCCCAGCGAATTTGCTGTTGTTGCTGCTTTCGGGCGTTGGGAGGACCCTTGTACACAACCTTGGCCACATCAGGCGCCCACTTCTCGAATTCGTTGTTCCAGTTAGTGAGCGTGGAGAGTGGAACAATGACCAAGAAGGGTCCATTGTTCTTCTTCTTCTCGATGATGTGGGTAATCAAACTGATAGTCTGAATTGTCTTTCCGAGACCCATCTCGTCGGCCAAGATACCGTTCAGGTTGTTGTTGTACAGGGAAATCATCCATTGCAAACCCTTGATCTGGTACTCCTTGAGAGTACCGCCCTTGAGCATAGTGGGTTGTGTGGTGACCTCCTCTTGGATACGATGAGCAACAGCATAGTAGTCGACCTTCTTCTTTCCATTGGCAGCGGTGTCGTCATCTTCGTTCTCGCTATCGGCAAGCTCTTGATCTGACTCGTCATCAGGAACGGCCTCGTCACCGTAACGGTTGGCCAAGCTACGTTGCTGCTCCTTGACAGAGGCAGCAAGTTGCTTCAAGAAGTTATCAGTCTGCTTGAGCAAGTGAGAGATACGAGAATCCTTGGCTTGTCCGAGAAGCTTGAGATAAGTCTCCTCATCGTTGGCCTTCAAAGCCTGGAGACGCTGCTTAGCAGTTCGTTCCACGCGCTTCTGCTCTTCGCGCTCCATGTGCTGGTGGTGAGAGATCATCATGCGACCGAGCTTCTGAGAGCGGGCGCGTTGTTGTCCAGAGGCGTTAGCGAGATCCACGCTGTGGTTGAGGATAGCCTGGATCTGATCGAATTGCTTCTTCTTCTCGCGCGATTCGCGGGCATCACGCTGTTGCTTCTCGAGCTTCTCGGTGATGCGGGCCTCGCGCAGAGACTGCTTCTTCATGCGACGATGGCTGGATCGGTTGGCGGTCATTCCGAGGTTGCTATAGTGGAACATCTCATTCTGGTGTTGCTTGCGGTACTGTCGCTGTTTCTGAAGGAGATGCAAAGACTTCCACTCAATCAAGGCCTTCAGCTTCAGCGAATCATCGTATGTGGGTGTGTCGCTCTTGCTGGTGTCCCACGAGCCGAGGTTGGCAGGTAGCTGAGCAAGCTCTGCTTTGCGGGCGGCGATTTTGTTGTACACTGAGACCTCACGATCCTCCCGAATCTGCTCCCAGTCGATACCAGGAGGCAGAAGGGCTGGAATGCGCACCCGATTGGCGCGTTTGGCGTGATCTGTGTAGCTGATGTTGCTGGACAGCGAGTCGTACGGCGAGGTGAAGTTCTCGTACCATTCCCGAGTCATCACTGGAGAGTCGACATTTTCCGGTGCCTGGCTACCCGGGCCATCATTCGTAGCTTCGATCACTCTTTCGGCGCTGGCAACGGTTTCTGTGGGAGTAGGCGTTTGAACCTTCTTGTGGAACAGTTGCTCCTGGACGCGTGGTGGGATGGCAAGGTTTTTGGACAACATCTTGAAAGCCAAAATCTGATTTCGCAAGGTGGCCAATTGCTCTGGTGAGAAGTAACCTCCTGATCCAGGCGCATTCTTGTTGGCCTGTACCGATCCTGCGGGGGCATTAGGGGTGTTCGCTGAGGAGGCCGAGGCCGTTCGGGCTGTTGGAAAACAGGTTAGTTCCGAGGATTTGGTTGGACTGGGTTGATTGGTGGGAGGACAGCCGGCAGCTGTCGTCAAGTCATTGAGGGAAGGCTCACCATGCGCACCATTGGCAGCGATAGCATCAGCATTAATGTTACCGTTGGTCTGCTGTGGAGGGCGATGTTGTTGCCCTTGCTGTTGCTGTTGTTGAGCCATGCGCTGCTGCTTGGAGAAAGCCTGCTGGCGTTGGATCATCGACAGGAGTTGATGAGCTTTTTGGAACTCCGGGTCATCGGCGCGGACGCCTTGCTCTTGCATCTGCTTGTATTTCTGCGACGAGGTTAGACCCAACGACTCAATCAGGAAGGGAGTGTAGTGTGATGGAATTGATGATTCCAATGGGGAAGTGGGCTGGAGATATGGGAGGGGAGGGGGAATATGATAGACTTACCTGCACTACCTCTTGGACATTTTGCTGTGTCAAGTTTGGCGGCAAGGTCACATTGCCAGGCACCATATTGGGCGCCGGGTGGAGGGAAGCCATGGTGACAACGTGAGGTTCTTTAATTCATGAGCAAGCAGGGTTGCTTGGGGGGTGGGGAGTTGGAGATGGACGCGAGGTTGGAAAGTCACGGTCTCCACCTGGAGTCAATTGCTTGATTGCGCGAGTCGAGAAAAGGGGGTTGTCGCGGTCGTAAAGGATAGGCGACAGCGGCGCGAGTCTGATGGAGGGTAATGCGACTAAAATGGGAACTGTACGAGATGCTTGGCGATAGAAAATGTGATGTTTGGAGTTCGTGGTCGGAGCTTCGGGGCGAATGCGATGGAATTACGGGTACTTTCAGGGACAAGGGAGTCAAAGAAAGCGAGTAAAGTGACGGGTTTCCCTTGGAGGGGAGGGGGTAAGAACGGATGGAGTGACGACGCGTTGGGAGGGCGCGTTCAAAAAGTGGATGGGAAATGGGGACGGAGTTGCGCGACAGGCTCGGGGAAATCTGTGGGTGCTCAGAGGCAAAGGACCAACACGGATGGAGGAGTTTTCGAACGGTCACGTGGTGTGCTGACTCAGACCCTGTGCTGGGATTTCCGGACTGCGCGGAGACCCTGCGTACCTCTGGTACTGCTTGCTGGCCGGTTTAGGGAAAAGGTAAAGAGAGGATCAACTGGATATCAAGTAGACTCAGTGAAGTGCGAGTGATCTTAGAATTGGATACTGGATATTGGATATGGATATGGCAATGGAAAGATCTTCGTGACAATACACCGTATTTATGTCCATCGTACTATCATTACATCCATCGTGAACCCGCCATTCTTATTCTTTCCTAGTATACTCCTAAAGCCCTTTCAATAGTTATTCTTGTTGCCTTTGTTGGTGACAAGCCTATTCTAAGGGCTCCATTGTACCACAATTAGATTCACGAAATTCAAAGGAACATGTATCTGCTTCTTGTCATAGATCTATCCTAATACATTGTTCACACTATTGACACGGAATGTTCAGATACCCGGATCCACCCTGTCAACGAGAACTCTAACTATGCCCAGGTGTTCTGGTGCAGATCTAGCAGGCACATTGATGTTCGAAGTTGAGTCTTGATAGACATTGATTGCTGCATATCTCTAGGGCTCATCGTAAGGAGTAACCTTGAAACCCCTGGGCAGATCGATAGCTGTCTCCTCCAAATTTAGCAGCCCTGCCTATCTTGTTGCCTCTGTACAGTCCTGAGGTCTTCCCAGTCTTGTTTTGCGTAGTTATCTACTATGTCTTTGATCTACTATCAAGCTAGTGCATTCCATGGTTCTGCATTGGGACTATTAATAAAAAAAATCCTCCATTCTCTTTTGGGTAATCAATGAACCATTGCCAGATCAGAACTATCAAGTACGAAAAGGAACGAACAACTTTCTCGGTCAAGTGAGGACCAACGACCAATTGATAGAGATAAGAACTATCCCAGCCGAACTCTCCCAAACTCCAAACCCCAGGCTCAATATCAACGAAAAGACGCATGCTGCAAGACCTCTAAAGCCTCAAGCATTGGGTGCAGCGAGCAAGGTCCGCTTCATGGGCGGGGGAGGGGGAGGCGGCTTCTTCGCACGCGAAGGCGGAGGTGGAGGCGGAGCCTTCTTCAACCCAAGAGTATTCATATTCGATGTACTGGGCTTTCGAGACGCCACGCTACCATGAGAAGTAGCCGGTGAGATGGACCTGCCCAGCATTCGCTCAGGGCTAGAACGACCATAGGAGCTGACTTCTTCCGAGTCGGCGTAGGGATCCGCAGAGATACGACCGCTGCCAACCTGGGTGCTGCTACGACGGCCGTAGCCGCCCATGTTCTCGCTAGCGGTACGCTGCTGGATCCACTGCGCTGCCACGGGGCTTTGATCCTGTCGTAGTTGGGTGGGGCCTTCAAATGTAGAGACCCGGCTCAGGATCGGACGGACATTGGTCTCTCGCGGGGGAGAGTCGGCGAATGGCGTCGCGATAGTCTTGTTTGATCGGATAGGAGGACGAGTCTCTGTGGCATTTATGATCTCTTCCTGCAGTGGGTCATATCGGTCGAGATATGAGTGGGCAGTGTTGGAACGAGCCCGGGTAGGACGACGGCCGGGGGCTTGTCCCTGACTAGACCTAATTGAATGTTAGCGCTGACTCGGCATGCAACCTGGAACGAAGATGCCTACCCGACCCACTCGCTCTTGAGCTGCAGGAGCGCCTCGCGGGACCGTTCGTGGTACTCGAGTTGAGCGTCCAGGAACGCACCCATGTCCGCTACGTTGTCGACTTCGGCGTCTTTGACGTCTTGCATGCGACGGAGCACGTCATCGTTAGCTTCCTCGTACTTGACTTTCTGGGAACGGAGCTCCTCCTCGACGCGGAAGTCCTCTTTCTTGGCTTTTTCCATCTTTGAGAGGGAGGTATCGTATGCGAGCCGGCGGCTGTCGAGCTTCTTGCGAGCTTGCTGCAGAGGAGATCAACTAGGAGTTCTCTTGTATGCTGCGGGGTTCACATACCTGGTAATCCTTCATCTGGGTGAGGGATCTCTCGAGGGATTCGAGCCAGCTCGAAGTCGCCTGTGTAATGTAACTTTCTTGGATACGTGCGATGCGCTCTTCCGTGCGTCCAAACACTGATGAGGGTTAATTACTTTGCTTCCTTGTATTGACATTCCTCTTTTCGGAACTCACTCATGAGACATTGCCCGTATTCCGAGTTCCCATCAAAGTCCTCCCCGTGGGCCACCATGCTGCTTCCCAAGTGGGCTATCGGGAGGGTCTTTTCCTTATCGTCCCCCTCATTCCGCTTGGAGATCGCCTTGACGTAGGAAGTCATGGACTTGTGAATGCGATCAACGCCTGAGTCAAGTTAGCATGATTTCCCCAGATCCAGCGGGGGGTATGTTGTCTCGCACCTTCATGTCGTACGCCCATCTCCGTCTCCATGGCCTTGAAATTATCGGACTGGCAGGTCTTGGCCTCTCCACCCATCCGCTCGCCGGCCCATTGTTTGAGCCGACCGATCCTCTTGTTCATGTGCATGTTGTCAAGCGAAGGAAAATAATAAGTGGAAATCGAGACCAGCGATTGTGAGAGAAAGGGAAAGGACAGGAAGGTGGGAGAGGGAGGTTGGTAGATTAAATGGGATGGCACGCCATTATGATTAAATCGAATTAGAATCTGGACCGCCACTGGGGTTTCTGGGGCCCAATGCGGGTTTTGGTCTTTTTCAATTGCAATGCATGCAGTTGTCGATCAATGGATCAATGGGATTTACATGTACTACGCAGTACTCTGTACACAGTACTCAATAAACTTGGAATAATGTACCTCGTAGATGACAATGTGATCTCAGACCTGGAGTACAGAGCACAGGTCTTTTTCCATTGTCTTTGTTGACCTCCGAATAGGGAGCAGCTCAGAATAGACTGAGACTGAGACAAAGTTGTGACACGCGTTAGTGGGTCGGTGGAGAACCAGCAAGACTTCCATTGGAAGAGTCGAGAACTCGAATCAGATTGCTATAATTAACTGTAAATTGCCCTGACACATCTCGCCACTGGAACTCCTTGTCTTCCAAGAATGCATATGTACAGGTACTCCGTACACAGGTACGTACCTCGGTTTGTGTCTGTCTAAATCAGATTGAAAGAGTTTCGACTCTGTTTCAGGTCATGGATCTTCCGTCTACGGTGGAGTTGCATCGCCGCAATGCCCAACGCCAATCACCGTCGATGTAGCCCGGAATTGATCAAAACCCACCGTACTCGTATCTACGGAGTACTCTATCTGGTAAATTGCCAGTTAAATCCCATCAGAGCTCCAGACCCTTCTCCATACCCCCCATTCACCAAAACCGTGCGCAAGGAAAACCCATCAATCAGAAGGCAGAAGAATACGCGGATCAATCGACCCTTCAGGCACCCAAATTTGACTCTCAAGCGCAAGCAAGGCATCAAAATCATTCCAGCCATCCAAGCACTCCAACTCGCCCCCTTTCCCCCCAGCCCCGTCTAGTAAATCTAGAGTCCCACCGTTCGCATGCCCAGAACCAGATGGTGGTAATTGCAGGACCTCCACATCCCCTGTATCTGTACCTGGCGATTCAATCGAACACAGGTTACTCTGCCCCAGACTGCCTATGTACTGACCGGGCGTGACGCCGACATGCTTCTTGAAGACACGATGGAAATGACTGGGTGTCAGACCAGCTTGCGTTGCCAAAACACCTAGGGTTGGTTTCAGCCCTGCTGCCAAACTGTTCCGGATGCTCTCGCAGGCTCGTTCGACTACGGCGAGTTGGGGGTTGCTTTGAGCCGCCGTGCCCGAATGCGGTCGGCAGCGCTTACAGGCTCGGAACCCTGCTTTCTCGGCTTGCGTCGGGGTATCGTAGAATTGGACGTTCGCACGGCGCGCTAATCGTGCTGGGCAGGATGGGCGACAGTATATTTTGGTGGTGAGGACGGCGTAGACGAAGGTGTTCACGGTGGCATCGCGGGTGGTGATGGCTTGCCACCGCTCTGTGTTGGAGGGGCGGCTGCGCTCAGCCGTGGGATTTGTTGGGTTTGGGACCGTGTGGGCATGTTGTGAGAATACGATGGCTCTCGTTGAATGAGAGTATTGTTAAAACTGCGGAACATCAAGATCAGGGACCAAACTTCAGATCGCAAGCGGCGAGTCTTCGATCATTCTGGTGATTGTTCTCAAACTGACCAATCAGCGTCCTGGACACTCAACCCTCCAGGGTTATCTTGAAAATATGTTTGGTTTATTATTGGTTTGTATGCCAAAATCATAAGGTCTCATCTTTCTTGCTTCCAAAAATGAACGATTGAAAGCTTTTCCAGCGTTGATTCCAATGCTGTGGCTGCATTACTCGTACCAAAATATATTGCCACTCGACTGCGTACTCTCCAAATACATCATTCGCGTAGTGACAGAACAGTTGGACTAATAACCATCAGCCTGATTTGCTCAATTCTTCATGATTACTCATTAATCACCAGGACTCAGGAGTCTCAAAGTGTTGGCTGGAATATCAACCTGGGCATAGGTAGCCCCGAAGAGAGTAAAAGTGAGAATACTAAGCGCCAGCCCAAGAGCTTGGTTTTGAAACCTCCAGCACCTGAGACAACACCCAGCTGGAAGAGCCTCTGAGCTTTTGTAAATTACAAGGTTGATACCACCTGGGAATCCATAAGATTCCCGAGGTCAAATTCACATGGATCACCCCAGACCTCCGGAGTCGAGATCTAGGCATGAAGTTTACGACTAGTTCAGATAGCTAACTATCACTCGGGCAACTAGACAATTATCTAGCCTTTTCCAACCACACACAGACATAAAACGTACAATATACAGTCTGGCGGCGTTGTATTTGTCTATGAAGAACATCGGGAGGCCTGTCCAGGTTCACGGGTGCACATTGTGAGCCCTGGAGCCCGGATAGGTTGAAATGAAAACACTTTCAGGACAGTCTACGCCGCACCTCTGCATGGGGTTATATCTGGACCCGTGGGAACCTTGGATAGTCTGCCTCAAAGTAAGATAAGATGGTTATGAGGCGCCGAGAGGGGTTTGTGTGGAGTGATAGTACGGAGTACCAAACACAGGGCATTATCACAAATGGCGGGAGACACCCCACCTGTAGACGTCGAGTCCAAACTGATGTGGGACAATCAATGGGTCTGGGACTACGGGGTATGCTAGGTTACCTTGTGCCTTGGGGGTCGAGACTAAGACGCAGTAATATCCACTGATGTGCATTTCAGCGGACACCAGCATACTCTCGGGGAGGTCGACGCAACTACAATATCTACGGATGATGAAGGGGACGGAGTGAAAATTTAAAGGTGTATCATTCCACAGCCCCGAGGGCTTTTTGATTTTCCGTTCTGCCTGTTTAGAGGCCGTCCCCAGACCCCATTCATCACCCTTTGATTCGCTCGACAATAGAAAGGATGGTGACCACAGCCTTAATTCGCTAAGCGCGTATGAGACGCTCATCTGCAGTCGCCTAGGTACATTTGTCTCATAGCAGAAATCCGTTTTCAACCCGTCACAAGAATAACTCCAAGAAAAAGCAGACTTAATCCTTGGTCTTCTGGGTACCGCGGAGCAGACCAGTTCTGCGGGCGGCAATGAGACCGGCCTTTTGACCCTGGGTGGCGTAGCGGGAGATGGTCGAGGCCTTACCGATGTGCTGGTGGTTACCACCACCGTGAGGCTGTAAAGAAAATTGTCAGAGATTGTGGTCCTGTGGTGAAACGCTGCTGCGTGTCCGCGGAAACTTACGTGATCGACGGGGTTCATGGCAACACCACGAGTCTTGGGCCAAGAGTTGCGCTTGACAGCGAATTTGTGCTTGGCACGACCGGCCTTGAGCAAAGGCTTGTCGGTACGGCCACCACCGGCGACGATACCAACCATACCGCGGGCGGTGTTCTTGATGACCTTCTTGGCACCGGAGGGGAGCTTGACACGGGTCTTGCCATCCTCGGGGTTGTGGCCAATGATGGTAACGTAGTTACCGGAGGTACGGCCAAGCGCACCACGGTCACCGGACTTCTCCTCGACGTTGGTGACAACGGTACCCTCGGGCATGGAGCCAAGGGGCAGGACGTTGCCGACGGTGAGAGCGGCGTTCTTACCGGCGTAGATGAACTGGCCGGTGTACATGCCCTCGTTGGCGATGAAGGTCTCGGTGATCATCTTGTACTTGTAAGGGTGGCGGAACTGGACCTTGGCGAGGGGAGCACCACGGCCGGCATCGTGGACGATCTCCTTGACGACACCACGGGTGTATCCGTGAGCCTCAGCGTAGTCGAGAGTCCGGAATTGGGCAGGGGCCTTGTTCAAACGGGTGTTGGCCGCTGTAAAGTAGAAAAAAATTCGAGATCAGTACTCCGTCCTCTGCAAGTCTTGTGTGTGTGTGTTTCCAGAATTGTTCCTCCTCATCTGCTTTCCGGGGGTGCGCAATTGTGAAATTTGGTGCTGGGATGATTTTGCGATCGCACTCACTGAAAATGGAGCCACGGCCCTTCCTCTGGTTGCGGATGACACGACCCATGGCGACTGTCTAGACGGGGTATCTATGTTAGTATGAAAGTCGGACAAAAAGTCGTGGGAAGTGGTAAGTCGTACCTCGAAGTGAAGATAGGCTTGTCGTTGACGAGTTGAGAAATCATCGGACCTTCCCAGGTTGTGTGCTTTAGGGCGCGGTCGCTAACCTAACCCAATTGGGCTTAGCTCATGGTCGCTTACTCGAATTGCGGAACTATGAAGTGTGAGTATTTACTCTTTTCTACCAGTTGTTGCAATAATATCTGCAATATTTGTGATTCAAATAATTTGGAACTATCCTCCGAAGAGACACAATGTACAAAAATACAAAAATATCGGCGTTGTAGTCGATGAAGCAATGGACTTGAGTCAAGCCCTGTAGATTTTTGGAGAGGGCCTGCTGTGTCAGCAGGCACGTGACCAATCAACTGCCAAGACTGCATCATCGCTTGTTATCATGTCTCATTCGGACCTCAGAGCTATCACAGCAAGTATCTGTCATTTCAAGCCTGTTACATTTCTGGGGTAACATCAAGTGACAGAAATCACTCTCAACACCATGCACACATCTCTTTCTCAAAGTATCAAGACACCAAAGAAGTGCTCATTACAGCTAGCAAAGCTGGTGAAGGTCTATGAACCACTGTACAGAGTATACAACTGGTCATAGAAGTCATCTTCATTCATATGCGCCTATTTCAAACTGACATAGCAGCATCTGGTCAAGCTGCTTGTTGAAACACTACCAAGGAAGGACTCCAATAGTGTATCTTTACTATATGCTTCCTTTTATCATAGTTGTATCCTAAGTCCTCCATCTATACTACCTGCAGCCCTTTAAGCCATTGCGTTTAATAATCATCCTCAAGGGGACTGTAATATGCTGCAATCAAACAGATTGTATAGAAATAGAGCGGTTGTGTAGTAGCCATTTATAATCGCCCTGCGGGCGCAAGCTCGGTGCAGACAGCGGGTCGAATGCGCGCGATCACTTCCTCCTCTGACATCTACTCCCGACACCTTCAACATGCCTTCGGACTCTGAACTTTCATCATTATCGTCGGCACCCCCGACAGACGATGAAGCTACCATGGCGACCGAAAAGCCATCAGGCATCGCAAAATACTTCAAGAAGGAGTCTGAGACGCCGCCGCCGAAGCGGGAGCCGTCACCACCGCATGAATACGTCTTCGCCGATAACCCTGATATCGCAGTGAGTCTGCTTCCCCAGAGACGGATCTCAATTGATGTCTGAGAGGCGAGATTTAATATGACGCGTCTAATCCGCGAGAGGACACGCTTGCTAAGCTATCGCAATCTAGTTCATCGTCATGTTCCGCGCGCGTTTCCATGAAGTCTTCCCCCGAACAGTGCCAAACTACGGACCACAGGATATCGAGAAGGTGGAAGAATCTCCCCCGGAGGAAGGAATTGAAAGACTTCTATGCGCATTACTTGGACTTGTTCTGAATCGCAAGAAGGAAGTTGAGTATGGTCGCCACCCGTTGATTGATGCCGTGGCGGAGCTCCTCGCGAACGCGCTTTTGCCCCGCCCGTACTTGTCGAATGGATGACTGACAGGAAATATTGATTTATAGGCGAAATCACTTCACGCGCCCCCTCGAAGAAGCAATTAATACACACCAGTCGCAATGGCCCAGAGAATGGCAGGGCAAGAACCCCCTTCACGGGGGTCGCAGCTTCGCGACCATGTCCCCTGTAGAACGTGTATGCTCGAAACCTACCACAACATCTAAAATCACAATTCTAATATGTTACACCACAGCTGCAACTATTGAAAGCTTTGATACTTTGGTCACTTTCATCTTCCGAAGCTGTCGCGGCAAAGATCAAGGAATCCTACAAACAAGCGCGCCATGATGACGACCTCAACCAGCCTTTATCTGTTCAACCCTGGGGACGGGATAGCTTGAAACGTCGGTATTGGCTCATTGAAGGCCAAGACGATACGAACTTCCGACTTTACCGTGAAAGCAACCCAGTTCTCAAACACAACACGTGGTGGAGTATCGCAGGTAGTATTCCTGAGTTGGAAGCAGTCGCAGAAAAGCTCGAAGGTGAGAAAGGAATAAATTCCAAAAAGCTTAGCGAGAAGATCCGTCTCTCCATTCCCAGATTTGAGGCGTCAGAAGAGGTAAGTCCGCGCCCAAAGGGCTCAGAAGAACCGTGCTTACAGACCCCCAGAAGCGTAGACGTCGTGACTACCGTCTCGCCCGCAAAGCGGCCTTCACTCGCCCGGATCCTGGCTTTTCCATGTATGAGGGTCGTACACGTGGAAAGAAACTCAAGTATACATATTCAGAAGACGAGGGCATTTTCTCCGAGGACGAGCCCTTCACTCGTCGTTCCAACCGAAATGCTGCACCTGCAGAGGTTTCAGCGGAGTCTAGGCGACCTCGGTTTACAGCAAGTGGGAGACAGATTCGCTCCCGTGCGGGGGGCCTGTATGGAGAGGCTCTCTTGTATGGGCAACGCGATGGCGCTGATGATGATGAATTTGACGAGGAGGAGGAGGTTAGCAGACCGCAGAGGACGCGGACTTCAATCCACCCAAATGGATATTCTGGATACGATGCTGAAGATCTGGAAGACGCATCAGAAGCTCACTCGAGCGCGAATGACAGTGGCAATGAATGGCGCGGTGTGGATGATGATTTGGAGAATGAATTTGAAGGCGATGACGAGGATAATGAAGCCAGCGGGGAGGAGTCGGATGAAAACCAAGAGCCAGAAAGTCTTGTCGTGCAGCTTCGATACGGCAAGGGAGATGCGTCGGGGAAACCTGAAGTTCAGATCGACAAACCGCCCCCCGTCGAGGACGTCGAGATGAAAGACGTGGAAGGGACTGTTACCGCGGCACCAGCACCAGCACCAGCACCAGCACCAGCACCGTCGACGACACTCCCTCACCACATCAACTCGACCGTGGGACAACAGACCCCGGCACCTGTCCATGGATTCCCCGCTGTGCCGATACCTCAGGTGCCTACCCAACCTACGCCGACTGTGACAGCACCATCTGCTGTTTCCGATCCTAAGCCGCAAGGATTTGTCCCACAAGATCAGATGACCACTGCTCCTTTGCCAACTCCTCAAGTACCTCTGGATGCCAGCATCGGAACACCAAAGGACAATCCAGTGGAGCCCAACGGAGCGACTCGACCCTAATTATTGCAGAGGGTTGAGACTTTGGGTTGCTTTGGACTTTCCAAACGAATTGCCCCGTTTCTGGTAAGGGTAGGAGTGGGACTTTTACAATTGATGATCCTTAAACATGGCTCAATAGGCCAGTTGTTTTGAGGCCCATATGTGTTTGCTTCAGAGTTGTCAGGTTCGCCTGGCTGTGGTGACTTAAGACAGTGTTAGAGTTGCGTTTCGAGTAATGTGTCTAAGCTGCCCAAATAACAGATTGTGTCACCATGTATAAACGATTGTATTGCAACACCAGAATATGGCGATCTAGCAACAGCCCAATATAGGATACCTGTCATTTCAGGAGCTCTGTATCGGAAGGGTCCTTGAAAGGATGTTGTATTCTATCACATAATCACCAAAGCCTAGTTTACAAAATGACCAATGTCACGCCTCTTAATGCATCATGGGGTATCATCGTTTGTGGACTGGGTATCTAAAAAGAGAAATCCTGGCACCACCGGCTCACATTACTGTACACTCCCGATCCAATTTCTTGCCCTTCTCCTTGGACTTTTCCTTGGATTTGCCCTTGTGCTTCTCGCGTGTTCGACCCCTTCCACGCTTCTCCTTGGTCTCAAAAGCAGCCGGACCTAGCTTCATGTCATCCACAGTATCATCAATTTCCAGCGTATACTCGTTCTCGTCACCTTCCTCGGGGAAATCATCGGTGGTGATCTTGTCCCGACTCAGTCGTTCAGCAAAGCGAGACAGGGTGGCGCTCAGTCTATTTTCGCCTGTTTGACTGCCAGCACGGCTGCCAGCGCGACTTCCAGGGTTGCTTCTGGCTGAGCGAGATCCCCGACGAGAGTAAGATGTTCCCTTGGAGTCTTCCTCTTCCATGGGTGCGAGTCTAGGTGACGAGGATGGGATGGAACGTGGCTGGAGACTCGCTGCTCGGTTGCTGCTTTCCGAAAATGCCACACTGGATCGTCTTGCGGGATTAGTTGGTGGCTGAGAATTGGTGTCGGATGGTCCTGTGACTTCAACGCTTGGTCGATCAGAAGCTTCGTCCACAGAGAAATCCATCTGATCCCCCAGGGTGCTGCCATCCGAAGCTCGGGAAGAGGGTGCATTGTTGTGGAGATTGGTCACTGATGGATCTTCGTTGATAGGAAGGATTTGGTAGAACAGAAGATACGGAGATTCTGTCTTCAAGGCCTGATCGATGTCGACCAGAGTCACACGCTCTTCTGCAAGATCATCGAAGCGCATCCAGTGTTTCGAGGTTCCTGAAGGATCAGAAATGGTAGGTGACCCGGCGTTTGGGCTGGTACCCCGAACAAGGGAAATGTAATGTCCCGAGTCAACGGAATTTCCTCTGTGACACACCAAAGCCTGCAAAGAAAGCTTGAAACTCCCATAGATAGGCGCATCTGCATCCAAGTTGTCATCTTGGATGAAGTGTGGTAGACCGATCTCAGTCGGTATGTCAATGTGGGTGTTGAGTCTGACAGCCCTCCCATCTGGCAAGAAAGAGTAGCGCTTGAGACACATTCCCAAAATCGGTCGTTTGGTGGAAAAGTGGGCCGCCACTTGCGCGTCGTTCGTGGGCGTGTTATCAGTGTACCAGGCTGCAATCAGATTAGTTGGGTAGTGACAAAAGATTGCAATGGGACATTTAACATACGAATCAAACTGAAAAACTGCCATGCGGGCATCATCACCTCCTTTTTATAAGCACCACGCTTCGTCTGGCTGTCCGGGCTGGAATTTTTCTCAGTAGACGTATCATCTATGTTTGTATCATCGCTTGAATTAGAGTCAGGGAAGAATCGCTCCCTAACAATACTCTGTCGTCTTGCGGGATCTCGCGTCGCCTTGAGAGACTCGGAAAACTCGTCGAAAGACGCCCATGGGCTCACGCTTTCGACTGGGGGCGTATTTGTTTGAGCAGGAGACAAAGTGGGGGTGGTCTCGATCTCTATTGCCTCGACATGCGAGGTTGATCCTTTTGAGATGGAAAGTGAATCCATTGATCTCACCGAAGCAGTGGTATTTCGTCGCTCCATGTGCCGCTTGACCTCAATCATGTTGTTGAAGTAAGCTTCTAAGCAGTCCTCTAGGGTAAGGGATTGGCCGTCAGTTGGTTCGGGTGGTATGGCAACTTCGAGAAGCCGTTCGTTGATGAACTTGTGATCATCACTGGCATCCTCTTTTCCAGTGTGGTAGATGTCCATCTTCAGCGTTAAGAGTGGTAGTTCGAGTTTTTCGGTAATAAATGTAAACGCTTCTGATGCATCTTGTTGGCGCAGTCTAGCTGCATCTTCCCAGCCACATTCCGCCAACGCATCTTGTAGATGTTTGGTCTGTGATCATATCAGTACCATCTCAATATCTGATGAACACTCGGCATGTTACTGACCATGTCTGTCGTGATAAGCTTTCCAGATCGTAGTAGGTTGACCCATAATCTGAGAAGAATCGCGAGTTTCCGGCGAGGCTCATCGTTGAAGGATTTGTATAAAATAGCCTCGAAGCAGTCGAGGCGAGAGAACATAGCGAACAACAACGCATCCAAATAGCATGTGACACCTGAGCGGTTCTCCGCCCCCAGAAGCTTGGTATTGGGTGTGTAGGTCCTGATGATGCCTTCAATAGAGTCCTCCAGCAGCAAGAGCAGGCTGAATGCCTTCTCTGTATCCCCTTGTGTAGCTTTCAATGCATAGCTGATATGTTCTTCTTGTAGAGCTGTTATACCGAGTTGCTTGATACGTTGAACGAGAGCTTTGACCTTGATGCGGATTAGTGAGATGCAAGCCGACCGCAATGCGCCCAAGACGTACCTTCTTCTCATGGTCCTGATTATCTTCTGATGTTGTTTCCGATTTGAAGAAGCTTTGGAATAGCGGTCTTGAGAGAATATGCGAGGCCTAAACGCAAGAGACAATCGTCAATGGAAGCTCTTGTATGCTGCTGCTGCTGCGTCAAGGGAATGAGCTGTACGCACCTCCTCTTTACTCTGTTTGCTTAACTTATGGTGTCGATCGCGACGAGTCAGGAATCGGTGTATACCACTCATCTTGACGAGCAGAAGCAACGACGCTGAAGAGCAAGCTTCCTAGGCTGAGAGTAAAAACCCCAAGGTTGTAGGCAACATGCGGGGGGATCAGAAGACCGGTAGACTAGCTGGGAGCTGAGTCAAGGCTGCAAGATTTCTATGCGCATTTGAAACACATCAGGAGCGAAGTTCTTCTGACAAGGACACGCGTTTGAAGGGACCGAGCGAATCGACAGATGATTTAATCAAGATCGATGAACATCACAGGTGATCTGCGGGGCAGGCCGGAGACCGACACCTAAGGCATAATTTGTACATGCCTCAGGCGCCACTCCTTGCCCTAACTCTCGTAGTATTCTGAGCAAGCCGTTAAAGTAGATCGGCATGATCTCAAAGTGACATTTTCAGGTCCGTCCAGAATATTCAGTTAAGCTGCATAGGCTTAAAGCTGGATTTCGGACGAGCAGGCGTCTCTTCTGTGCAAAGAATGCGTTGACCCAGGCCACTGCCCTCTTTTACTGGAATAAAATTGGAATACTGAGAGACAAATCTTGATCAGCATATAGCTCTCAAAGCAAAGAAAGTCACAAAGAGCTCATAAGAAGCTAGGTCAGTTAACATTCCATGGTGGATGTATGATTACTAGCAGCCTTGTTTATCAGGCTGAAATAACTACCAAGTCCACGTGACCCGTTCCGCGCGAACTTTTTGGCAGGGCTCGGGATCACCACGAATTCATCAACACCACATTATCCTCATAATGGCTGCCAGAGAGCCATCCAGGTACCTCACAAGGGCATTGCCCCGGGCCTCAGTCCCTTCAATCCGTCCCCAGGGCTTTTTGTCGCGCCGCAATGTCTCCGATGAAGCCCCGGCGAGACGTCTGTCGGACCACCTGACCGATCTGGAATCGGCATCCTCTCTGTCAACACCCGTGACAGCCAGTGCCGCAGGCTCATTTGACCCTCTTGCACGAGCAGCCGCTCGCAAGAACAAGCTCCCCCGAGGCCGGTAAGAACACCTCCCATTCAGCCATGCGCAACGGGCCTCCCCAATCGACCTCGAAATCACGAACTACACGCTAACCCACACCCTGCTCTCCAGATACCAATTCCGTTCCCCCAAGTATGATCGCGGTCCTCTCCACCCTCACCAACCGCCACCCGAATCCCACCCCTCCTCCCGGTTGTTCGTTCCAGGCCCCTTCTCCGCCCCCGTGCCGAGCAAAGCTATGAAACCACCATCGCCCCCGACATCATGACCCTGTGCTACGTCCACACTCCCCCAGGCTTCACACCTCCTCCCAAAGCGCCCCGTCTTCGCGAGTGGGACGACAGCTCACCCTACCACAAGAACCGTGTTCTCCGCGGTCCTCGTGGCGGTGATGTCCTGCGTCTGCTCCGCAAGCCCATTAAGTTCAACAACATCCCCGAACTCGAGCGCATCACTGTTCACAGTTATGTAAAAGAATGCTGCCGCTGAGAACTCTACTTGGTTGCACGTTGCTGGTATCGCCATTCAGGCGATTTCCAATGTCCGCGTCGAGACTTCCAAGTCTAAGTCCAGCGTTGCTACTTGGGGTATTCACGCCGGCCGTGACACTGTTGCTGTCAAGGCTGATTTGGCTGGTGAGAACATGTACCACTTCCTCGGTAAGCTGGTCGATGTCGTCTTGCCCCGTATCAAGGATTGGGAGGGTGTCAAGGGTTCCTCTGGTGATAGCAGTGGTAACATCACTTTCGGTCTGGTGCCCGAGAGCGTCGCTCTGTTCCCAGAGATCGAAATCAACTATGACATGTAAGTCTTTTCTGTCTCATATCATTGGCCTCTATCGGGTTTACGGTGCTAACGTGGTCTATAGGTACCCCCCTAAGATGATTCCCGGATGCCACATCACTCTCCACACCAGCGCCAAGACTGACAAGGATGCTCGTCTGCTCTTGAGCGCTTTGGGCTTGCCTTTCTACGGCAAGATTGTCAACTAAAAAGAGGAATTCTCCCCGAGGACGCCCTTTGGTCTTTTTATTATATCTCCGCTTGGATGGTTTTGTAATATCCAGCATGTAACTTTAGAGACGGCCTGCGTGCAAGGTCATTGTGATTATTTGGAATCGTGTACTATTTTCTATCTCAAATTCAGTCTACCATTTACAGCGAACAAAACCAAACAGAGAAAGAATATCTTCTAGAGAAATAAAACCACAAGACCTCGCTCAATTGAGTTGCTGCAGAAAAAGGGCACGTGCCCGAGATGGTATCCAGGACGAAAAAAGAGTCACCATCATACGTAAAGTCATGTCACAGGCGCGTGTATCGAAATACACAAGGCCAGAAAGATAGCAAGAAAACAGCCCGCCAATTATGCAATGGGAGTAGACAAGAAGTTGCACTTGAGCAATTCATCGGCTGTGGGCCGCTGCTCGTAGTCCAAGTGGAAGGTCATGTCAAGGAAGTCCTTAGCCTCCTGGCTTACGTGCTCCGGAGCAGGGGGGGCGAGCCTTGTTACTTCCAATGGCGAAGATAGCCTGCAGCTGACTGCAATCTGGGAAGGGGTGAGCACCGATGAACATTTCGACGACGAGACAGCCCAGACTCCAGATATCGGCTTTCTTGGTGTGGGCGGTTTGTCGGACGACTTCGGGGGCCATCCAGTATACACTGCCCTGGAGGGAGGTTCTGTGGATGTGGCCACCGCCGCTGCCACTAGCTCGGGCACCGAGAAGGTGGGATGCCTCGACGCGCTTTGAAATACCGAAATCGGAGATCTTGACACCACCCTTGTTGTCGACGAGGATGTTGGCACCCTTGATGTCACGGTGGATGATGTCTTGGCTGTGGAGGTATGATAGACCAGCCAAGATTTGGCGAACAAAGTTCTTGACAAGAGGTTCTTGGAAGGTGTTGTATTGCTTCAACATTGTGGCAATTGAACCTCCGGGAACGTACTCCAGGAAAATGTTCAGGTACTGGTCGTCTGCGACTGTGCCAAGGTATTGCACGATGTTTGGATGAGACATTCCTTGCAACAGCTCAATCTCATGCTTTAAAGCATTGACCATAAGATTCTTGCGCTGGTCGAATTCTGTACCCTTGGTAGCTGATGGAATTTCAACCTGCTTGACAGCCATGAGTTCTCCGGTGATGGCGTGGAGAGCCAAGAAGACGCTTCCGAAGGATCCCTCGCCGATCAAAGATCCCTTCATCCAATTCTTAGGGGCAAAGTTGTTTCCGGCCAAGAAGTCAACAAGGCCATCGTCCTCCTCTTCGCCGTCCTCGGCCACGATGAGACTCATCCTGTTATTGTATGAACTGACATCTGTAGGGCCACCACTGAGACTCTCGAAGCTCTGGCGGATGGGGGTTGGTTCATCAGCTTCATCGGAATTACTTTCGAATGAGATGTATGACTGGCGGTTGGGTTCAATTGGCGACTCCTCCTGAAGCGGTTGAAGGGTGCTAGATGCAATAGAATCCCGATAAGAAGCTTGCGGTAGATTGAATTTAGACACCGAGACGGGACGCGGTGCTCGTACTGCCTGTGCATGTCCCGGGCCTTGAAGCCATTGATCGGCGATACTGGGAATGGGAGGTAGTTGGGGTAAGGGTGGTAATGGGGGTGCATCTTTCATGCTCGATGCAACACTGTAGTTGCTCACGACGCTCATTCGACTAGCAGCGCGACTGAGGCGTTGTGATCTGCGCATGGTCTTTTCGATATTTTCGCGTTCATGACTGGGGAAGAATGATTGGAGTTCGTGGATAATCATCTCACTAGGAGGTCTTTGTCCGAAGAATGAACGAAGCTTCGCCACTGGGTTTCGTTCGTCATTAGGTCCCCGTTGTTCTTCAAGACTTGAGTTGGATGGGCGATGTCGGGGGCCCAGGGGAGAGTGTGGTTGTTTGATATTTTGCCAAGATTCGCCGGTAAGTTGCTGGATCTTGTGTTTCTGGCGTTGGTTGGAGTTGTTCATAGCGTGCTGATGTGTGGCCTGGCTTTCATCATATGCCAGTTGCGAAGCACGACGGAGCTCATCTTGGTCTGGCTCACCCGCGTGAGTCTTTCGAAGGATTAAACGGCCGCGCTCGGACCGATTTTGACTCTCGCAGATATCCATCAGCTCATTCTCGGCAAGCTTGCGGCAATTTGACAAGTCCGGATCAAGCCCATCTAGCACATAGAAACAATAGTTTCGGTACTGGTGTTCTGGAAGTTGTAGTTTCTTCAACACGCATAGAATGACTTCGTCTGGTGTGGCGCAATTTCGGATATCCAAGACCTTGGTTTGACCACCCGTGTAGATGACCCGAATGACGGGTGAATTTGACGGCAGAGGTCCCATCGTGAGACCATCCAGACTGGGGTTTCGAGGATGAGAGCTCCCCCTGTTTTCGTTGGGAGTCCCGGGGTTTCGACCGGAACTTGAACCGCCTGATGATGGATGGTTGTAGTCTTTGCGCCATGGCCCTCTTTCGTCGCCAGCAGGTGGTGACCCAGGTAGATAACCATCATCAGCCAGCTGAGATGTGCGTCGGTAGGGTAGGCGGGAATGGGAGTAGCGGGAGGAGTTGGAGAGGGCTGTGGCTTCGAGGGCAGCTAGGGTATTCTGTACCAAACGTTAGCCCAAGCAGTGACAAGCCACCTCTCTGTTCAGCTTACCATGTTTTTCTGTCGCGAGGTCGTTCCGGACTTGTTTCTGAGTTGCTTGATGGCGACGAAGATGCGCACTCGATCGCCCACCTTCTTGATACCCAACTCCTGTAAGATCTTTTGATCGCATTCGAGCAGGTTGTCTCCGTTGAAATTGTTGGCTGCAAACTGTTAGTGTGTCTCCGTCTTTCTCCATCCTGATAACCCAACGTACATCTGAATAGCGACTCATATTGCCCACACTTGATGCTGTGAAGCCAGGCCGCTACTTTCTTCTCATCCCATGCCCTATCGAACGTCAGAATTGCCATTTGGGTACCTCATTCGATCATCAAAAAATCGCCTACCGGATCGATGCAAGATCATCTTGTCCCTCTGACAGATCAGATTTGGTGGGGCTGGCGAATGCCATTCCTTCCTGGGCTCTGGTAGCCGTCGCCGGTCTCTGTGCAGTATTGTGGTATGCGGTCGGTGTCTGCGAGGGTGCACCCGGTGCAGAATATTGCTTGGGTGCCAACATGGTGAAGAGGGGTCAAGTGAAGGAATTGGGTGTCGTGCGCCGGTCGCTCGCGATAAGAATCTCACGTCCCTTACCTCCGCCCGAGCGGGTATGGGGTTCCTTCAGGTTCAAAGAATCCACGAATCCACAGGAAAATGCGACGGAGGTCAGCACATAATCCCGGTTCCCTGTCAAACGGTCAGTCGCAATTGAATTCTGAGTCTCGCTAGACCCCGCGAGGTGTCGCGAATCCGCCGTAACGGGCAGGACAAGACAAGACAAGACAAGAATGCATATTGAGGATCACTGACCAGGATAGAGCAGAAGAATCTCCAGGCGAGATCAAAATGAGCAGTTTACCGTCTGAGCTTTTTTTTTGGGGCGAGATCGGGCGGGCCAGATTAGTGTCGTTTCGATCGACAAGATACCTCCCCACTTGTAGTAAGAGCTCTGGAGAAGTCTGGAGAGATGGAAGAATAGAAAGGTGTCAGAGCTCCGAAGGTCTGAAACTGTCAGGAAGTTTGGGAACTGTTGGAATGTTGGAAACCCGTGGAGTCTCTGACTAAGGTACTCCGTACCAAAGGTGCCTTGACTTTTCCCTCGTTTCCCTCCGTTTCAAGGGGGGATGTTCCCCACGCGTTTATATGCCCCCTTGAATATGATATATGCGATATCTCTACGGGGTACGGAGTATATCATTTGCTAATAATTACGCTCCGTTAAAAATATCCTTGGTTTCATCGGATATAAATACACCTGCACCTCCGACAACACTAATGGTGTTGGTCTCTGGTACGTAGTTCTGCGCCGAGTGGAACATGTGTATCCACAGATGAGACAGCGGCTCTGAGAAGTGAAACTGGAGGTCTAAAACTGACTCAATGAGGATCGATCCGTATGCACTACAACTCGCTAGTGGGATGCTATTGAACTCAATCGCGCTGACTTGGTATATTATACCCGAGCTACGGAGTATACTTGTCGTATGTGCAGTCATTGGCACATAATTCTGATTATTTCACGACAAACTACTGTCATCTTGACCAGTCCTTCTAGTCCGAAGTAAAAGAAACAAAAGACTTCGTTGCCTTCTTTGGTTTCCAAGGTTCCAAGCTTATCCCCGAGTGGTGGAGATATGCAGCCTTTTTGACCTCCGAGCCCTAACAACAGTCTTAACAGTCCCGACCTCGGGAGGTCTTGACGGATTGTTAGATTTGACTAGATACCTTGTCTCCGGGGTTCGAGGCGGGGGTTTTCGAATGTCTTTGAACATCCCTTGACGTTGTTCCCCTAGTGCCTTAGAGTAATACGAGCACGAAGGCTGTTTATGCACTATATATCCTCACAGACTGCAATCAATAGATCACATTTGGAGTGTTTCTTTGTCGAGCTTCCCACTCTCCACACCTGCATATTGCCATTGTCAGCCATGCAACTGACTATGCATCAGCTGTCACCCCAATTCTCTGCAGAAGTACGAAATACAGAGGATGGATAGTCGATGAAGGGAATGTTTACGGGAGAGTATAGGGCCACGTGACCGTCCCCTCACCCCCCACGGTCGAATTTCCCCGCTCAAACAGCCGCCCTCAGATTCTTCCCCTCTCTACTGCGCTCCAAACCAACCCCCCAAAACCCTCATGATGGAGGAAGAAAAATCCAAATCTAAGAAGAAAGCGGCCACTCACCGCAAGTCCCTGTCGTGTGAATATTGCAGTCGATCTTTCGCTCGCTTAGAGCATCTCCAACGCCATCTCCGCACACGTTGAGTAACCCCCTCTTTCCCCGGCTGGAATTATTTAAACTAATGTAGGACAGATACCAAGGAGAAACCCTTCTCATGTGACATCTGCTCCAAATCCTTCGCCCGAAGGTAGGCTTCTCCGTGCGCTTATTGCCAATGCCAATCGCTCATATCATTTTTACAGTGATCTTCTAGTGCGACATGAACGATTAGTCCACCCTGCCGAGAGTGCTGCCAGTCGAGAGCATCGAACTCAAGACACCGAACCCAAGCATGAAATACCCATCCAGTCCAATCTCGTTCATCCGCCCCGCCATGAGTCGCGCATGTTAGAGCTTGCAGACGCCATCCCAGTACACACTCAAATACCTCCACCTCCTCCACCCGAAGTTGTTCACACCCCATCAATTATCGACGCACCCCATTTTAATCCCTCATGGGGCTACGATCTGAACCTGTTATCCCATGCCGCAAGCCATGTCGCCTTAGAAGGCCAACAGGAAAGCTTAGAGTCTATGAGAAAGCCCTCACATACCTCTGCTCCGATCTCCCAATCGATCCCTCAAGTCCCAGAAAGAGCCATCGCGGATAGTTATGGTGTAGAGCCTTCCATACTCGATCTTGCCGATCTTGGAGATCCTGTACAGGATTTTACCGTTTTCCTTGAGAGTGTGGGTCTATCATCCGATTGGGACTCGGGCGTTTTCTCGTCGGTCGAGGAGCCTATGCTACCACCAGGCATGGGAATAGATGCAAAGTCTAATCGTGACACATTACATACCAGACTCGGGGGAGATTTGATGAACGACTCACGGGGACCTGCGGACGACCAGCCATCTTTTTCGAACTTCGGATCTCGCCTCCCATCATTACAGCCAGAATCTCACGAAATGGACGATCGTATTGGCCTTGCCGATGATAGCACGCGGCCTGCGTGGGATATCTCTAATTCAGACCGCCAGGCATTCATCATGAAACTGGAGGAATTCTCTTATGTTCTTCCAAAAGGGTTCGTTCCACCATCACGTCATGCCCTATCTCGGTTCTTTGCCGGGTATATCAATGGATTGAATGAGCATCTGCCATTCATACACGTGTCGACTCTCTCTGTCGCCAAGTGCTCCCCGGAGCTCACGTTAGCGTTGGCAGCTGCAGGGTCGCACTATCGTTTCGAAAACAGCAGGGGAATCGATCTATTCCATGCTGCCAAGTCAATCTTACTGGAGCGCCTCCGTCGAAGAGACAGCAAGCAAGTTCCACAGCCGTCATGGAACTATATCTCCCCACCCTCTGGATTCCACAACTCTCGTGGTTCGTCGATGATGTCTAACACGGCAAGCAGCCCATACCAGCACCATCAGCAGATGTCGAACGCCCCAGTGAGTGCGTCAATATATACTCCAGATGATTCAGATGCGCACATGGAGGTGATTCGAACATTTTTACTGTTGACCGTGTTCGCCTCGTGGGAACGACACCCAGAACTGCTACGGGAGATTCTCTCGCTTCAAAGCACCTTGGCAAGGCTTGTTCGTGAGCATGGCTTGTCCGAGCCACCTCCCACACCAGAGCCCATTTCCTGGGAAGAGTGGGTGCGGAGGGAAGGCAACAGACGTACCAAGCTCATTGTGTACTGCTTCTTCAACCTCCATTCGATCATGTATAACATTCCCCCACTAATTCCGAATGGGGAGTTGAAGTTGAATATGCCATGCGCTCATGATCTTTGGAAGTCAAGCAATGCCCCCAGTGGCGCCGTGTTAATCGCAGCCGTCAAGGGTCAGATGTGCCGTTCCAAGAGGCATTTGCCAGGCTCTTCATGAAATCATCAATATCGCTCCCTTCAGCACCGATATCCCCTCTTGGGAATTATATCCTTATCCACGCGATCATACAGCAGATTTTCTTCGCCCGACAGCTCTGTCTATCTGCGCCTCATATGCAGGGTACCAGCCTCAGACACGAAGACCTGAACGTGCTGGATGGTTCTCTGAACGCATGGAAGGCCCTGTGGAAACGAACTCCCGAATCTAGCATTGATCCCCAGAACCCTGCGGGTCCAATCGCATTTACCTCTACCGCTCTGTTAGGGCTCGCTTACATCCGACTTCACGTCGACCTGGGCCCCCTGCCGCCACCTCATCACACAAGACCCGGTTCAAATCGCAACTGCTCTGACCGAGTCACCCCCAATCGCTCGCAGCCCGCGACTGATAATGGCATTACTGCACTCAGCCCACGCTCTATCTATCCCAGTACGACTTGGAATTGATTTCGTGGCCCGAACACATTCGTTCTTTTGGAGTATCCAGCATTCCCTATGCAGCTTGGAATGCGCTTTCCTTCTGAGTCGCTGGCTCCTTTCTATTCCTGCCACGCATTCAGACCAGAGACTGTCAGAGCATGAGCGGAAATTACTCTTGTGGATCAAGAGCATGATGGATGAAACCGAGATGGCTGTAGATCCACCTGGCGCACCGGATATGGATTTCATGGCTAATCCATACAAGGTGCGCCAGCTGAGTGTTGCTATCGTTCGTGTGTGGGCGCGAACTTTCAAGGGCAATACCAGCTGGGCGATTGTTGACCTGGTCGGTTCGAGTTTAGATGCTTATGCTGATATGCTCGAATGCTGAGCATGCTTCTTTGACTGCAAAGTCAGCTGTGCTGGGTATGCATTCAATTTTATCTTGATGCGTGCTCTCTCACTTTACGGCGAATATGTTCTTTGCAACTCTCGCCGGAGAAAAGTATTGATGACCACCCCGAAATAGCCATCTGAATGATGCTATTTACTATGATTTTTCTTTTCTTTCTGGATGATGATTCAGGAGTTTTTTTTTGGTATGGGTGATTGGGATGTTGGGGTATCTTTTCAGGATTCTCTGTGCGATGTTTTTCTTCTTTCCAATCTGTATGTATTATGACTTTGTCACTTGCTTAGTGCTGTCTATACCCTGTCGGTGTTTAATGAAGACAATGCCACGTTTCTGCCCTGACTCCAGGGCTGGGTTGGTTTTCATTTCTTCATTCAGACTTCCACGGTTCCATTCATGGATGACCGACATATATAATTTCATGCCGTACTCAGTATGTCTAACGGCTAGACACGTTGCCACGGTTTCTCACGACGCTGGTGGGCACGAATTTTAGAGCCGACATGGATTTTTCTAGCTCGTCAATATCCATTTCACCAGATGTCTTCTCTTCAGTCAATACGGCTGTTGGTGGGTTCGACTGAGAAGCTGAGCTCCGGCGACGCAGTCTGCCCTCCAGGGCAGATGACATTGAGACGCGCCGTCTGTGACTGTTCATAGGTCGTAACATAGAGGTTTGCTTGTCGATCCCATCGTTCACGATGAAAAAATTGTAGTTCTGTTCATTTTGTCAGCTTCGCGCGAATCGACATTGACATTGAATCCATACCCTTGGGAACATGTGCTTGTCAATTAAATGCATACGACGTTTCTGAGGGGTTGAGCATTTCCGCTCACAGTCCTCAATGAAGCACCCAAACTATTCATCAGATAAGTCTCAGGTTAACTAGTTTGACAAAGTCGTTCTGAACTTACGGTTTTCTCTCCACGGGCTCGCCGAGCAGCAATCAGCGGGTCATGGTTTTCCTCAATGTGTATATTGAGTAGATGGCTTCCTGGGAAGTTCTTGCTGCATTCAGAACAACGATTCACATGATTCTGAAGGTAATGAACCTCGTAATTTTCGTAGGAAGTGAATGAGAGAGTCTCGCGGTGAGGCGGTAAGGAGCAATGCATCACTTCAGGAAGGTCCTTGGTGTTTGTGACCACGTGCTTCGTGCGCTCAGTTGAGATATCAGCAGTGCTTCCCTCGGTTGGAGATGAAGAGATCGACTCTTTTGAAGGAGACGAGGATGTCGAGTGACCTCGAGGACGTTTAGACATGCTGATCCAATTCGCCTTGCATATGAGAATGATAGGTCGATTTGGCGAGGGGTTATATGGTGGAGACCAAGAAATATGAAAAGACGGTCTATGACAGGCTTGTCATTGATCAGTGCATTTTGTCCTCAGATTGCCTTCATTGCAAAATCAAAGAGGATCGACAATCATAGTAGTTGTGTAGTTGTAGATGGAGAGATGCAAGAGCACGTAATCAGCATACGGATATAATACCTCCCGCCTTGGCGCCACCAACCAGAACATCCGGGGCCGCATTTATGCATTTTCCATTCGACTCACAGCTCATCTTCATGTCTCCATTCTGATGGCTCGTTTACTGCCCACCTTCAAAGCCATAGCCATTTGACCGGCGAGGTTCTCGGGATTCCCCGAGCCAACTCACTAATGGCGCCCTTTAACGATGCCTGGAAGTCAGTACTTCTTTCCCCTCGATTTTCGGCCGTATCGCGAAACTTCAACTAACCAGTCGTGTTCCATAGGAAAGCAGTAGAAGCTGAGAAGGGTCTCTTGCAATGCTTCGCACAGGAACGTCGCACCTTCGATGAATTCGAACATTACATTGCCGAGTCAGTCGCCTTGAAAGCCCCGCGCGCACACTCAGGCTGACACCTGTGCATATAGATTCCGGACATCATGCCAAAACGCACTACTTTTCGACTTCAATGCTGCCCGTGAGGCCGGCGTGGAGAGTCGTCTATGGGATGCGCATTTGAAAGTGAACAATCGGTTCCGCAAGCAGCTCATTCGCGTGAGTCCTCCAGAGTGTCCCTTGGTTGAGATGATGTAACTAATCATATATATAACCAAATAGTTTCGCGAAGAGCACGGCAAAAAGAAACCAGTCGAACGACGGAAACTCGAACGTCATTACCTCGATTTTATCAAGTCCAGTCAGCGGTTCTACCGGGGATACATCCAGCACCTATCGTCACGTTTCGGAGGGATTGTTGAGTTGGAGAGGGTTGCGCGCAAGTTCAATTTCGAAAGTACGACAGAGTTTCGCGCTTGAATTTGGGATTCCCGATATACTGACCAGACAATGTATCCAGACTTAGCCGGCCAACCTCCCATCAAGCCCTCCAACGACCTGCGCATACTCATCCTTCAGTCATGTCACTCGACCCTTATTCGACTGGGAGATCTTTCCCGCTACCGTGAATCGGAACTTGTCAGCAAAGATAGGAACTGGGGCCCTGCCATTGGCTATTACGATCTGGCATCTGTGATCAACCCTGCATCGGGTGCATCCCAAAACCAGCTTGCAATCATAGCACTGGCTGATGGAAACCATCTTCGCGCCACGTATCACCTCTACAGAGCGCTTTCAGCTCAGGAACCCCACCCTACTGCCAAGGGCAATCTAGAGATTGAACTCCGAAAAATCATGAGTGCCTGGGCCAAAAGGGAATTGATTCGCCCCGAAGACGCCGGCATCCCTGGGAGAGCATTGACTCCCTGGTTCCTCTATCTCCATGCCAAATGTTACAAGGGAACCGACTTCCCAGAGCATGACGAGTTAGAGAGCGAGGTTCTCAGTCAACTAGCGGTCGAAATCAGAGAACGATCTCTTGAAGGCACACTCCAGAAGTTTTGTCTCATAAACATTGCGGCTGAGGATTTCGCCAAGGTCCGCTCCGCTGGTATGAATCGAAGGACTTTTTATTGCTTGCGCACATGCTAACCTATCCACCAGAGGAGTCTGTATCTGATGCTTGCATCTTCTTCCAGCGAATCAATGTGAAAACCTTCTTCACCTTGTTGCAAATACTTCTGGTTGAGCTGGAACGAACCGCCTCTTTCGAGGATTCAAGCAAAGATACCCTACCCAGTCCAGACAAAGTTTCTGTGGTCGCGCGTCGGATCCTGCCTGCACTTCGTCATTACAGTTCTTGGCTGCTTACAAACAGTCAGTCTTTGGTTGACCAGAAAGAAGAAAAGGATTCGTCGCTCTCGATCCAGATCAAAGAGTTCTGGAAGATCTATGCTGGCACTCTAAGCTTACTCGCTTCCTCCTTTGATGTGGTCAGCCTTCCCGAGGTTGATTATTTACTCGAGGAAGATGAAGAAAGTCTCGGTTTTGCGCCGTTGGACCAAGATGCCACCTCTCGCCGATACGTTGGAGGGGGTGCTCAACCAAAGCCTCGCATGCATGATCTCGGGGTAGAGAGAAGCCACCCTAATATGGAAATGCTCTACCGAATTCGCGAATTCGTGATCGATGGCCTCGATCTCGTTGTGAGAAATGTATGTGAACTCACATGAACCTTGAACATCTAAGCTAACACAGCGCAGAAAATTCCAGTGGCTCTGGTGGACAGTGAAGACAAGAAAACCTTTATCTATCAGGAGGAAGACCTGCCATCGCAATTTTTCTCTAGTCCTCATGACCGAAGCAATCCTCTTTCTGCTGGAAACATCGAGCGCGAGGATATTCCACAGGCCCCTCAACATACGAACTCTGTCGCCGAAGCCCAAAGCCTATTTGGTGGCTCACAGTCTGCATCGGCATCCATGTCCGCAAACATGCACCAAATTGTCGAGGGTGTTGAGCGACTTGTCGATTCGGACACATATGAAAACCCCTCTGATGACCAATATGCTTTCTTGAGTCCGGTTGGGGAGATATTGACCCCCACGCGTGTCTCGCCGAACTCAAACTCATATCCTTTCGGAGAACCGAACTCGCCGCCCCTTGGTAATCACATCGCTCCTCCGCCTGGGCTCGGACCTCCCATTGCAAATGGAGCCGACCTTCTTCGATCGTCCTCGTCACAATCATACAACCCGAGACCTGCAATCCCCAGCATTCCTAGTATCTGGAATTTAGGGAGAGACAATGCTTCTCCACGAACCCCTCCCGGTCTTGGCCCCCAAGCACAAGTTGGTCAGCAAGCTCCGCTGCAACCCATGACTGCTGGAACCGGCATGTCCTCTGAACGGTTGCCGGCTCAAGATCAACTTGCACATGAGATGATGCTTCGACAGCACCTCATCGCTCAGAGCCAATTCTCAAATTCGGTGGACGTAGGCTCGATGCCCACGCCGTGGACATCGTCTCCTGCGCAATCTCGCCCTACCGGGAATGGCTGGGACAATGGGCGATCGACCTTTGGTGCTTTTGAGATCCCAGGCCAAGTACCCTCCAGTAGCATGGGACACCCGTCTTGGGCAAACGAAGCTTTCCTCGCCAGTAGCCTTGCCAGCGGAACCCCCTACGGCTCTGGCATCGGAGGGCGGAAGTCTGTGACTCAACTTGGTGCTATCGGCCAAACGCCACCCTGTGGCCAAGGGGGCTGATTTGAACATCCAGAGCGCAAGCTCTCGATGTCTATTTTGAGTTCTTTTGACGGTGCATAAGCATACAACACTCCTGGCTGGGTAAACTTCCTAACCTGACTACAAATAGGCTCCCAGATTTCCATACTGGCCTGTGCTTTACTTGTATTTCGGGGTTCGTCGCCTGTGATTTTCGATGCGATCTGCGTCAAATCTACACACATCTGCTCCTCACTCCCATGCACACTTGCAGTGACCATTCGCGATTGTCACACAGCTAGTCCGTTCACGAATGGGCTATTCTACCCTACATCCGGGTTGAGAACTTCAGTCTTGTAGTGAGATCGAGCTGGACTTTCCCAATGCTGAATCCACCCAAGCTCTTGCTATTCTGAACGGACATGCGCGTTCAACACGCGACATGATTCAATTGAGGAAATAACAAAGGCGATTTCGTCTGTCTTTGGAGGAGACGCTAGTTTCATTTTGCTTCCTGGATTATCTTTCTTTCGTGCAAATTGGCCACATCCCCCGTTTCTTGTCCTTGCTTTTAGTTGTGTTTGATCTTTGCGGTCGAGGGGACCGTACCAAATCAGGGTACGGTTAGGGTTGCCCCCGATTTAAGTTTTGCTTTTGATCATTGAAGCAAGTTCACAACTCTTGTGATACTCTCGTGTTGGTTAGATTTTTGAATATCATCTACCTGCCTTGTATGTTCTCCAATGCGTACCTATGGGCTGGATGTCTTCGTCCTCATTGTCTAGATTACTTGCCGCTACTTGGTAAGTAGCCACACCTAGCGAACGCAGCGACATGTTCGGCCTTCGCCGATTTGTAAAAAGTAGAGAGTTACTTGGAAGTAATTGTTCTTCATTTCATTCAATTATTGAGACAGTACGTTGAAGTCATCATTGTTGGAGAAAAGGAAAGATGGGGTATAGAGGGTTGAATCATCTGAGTCATGTAGTGCTCACCCGTTGTTAGAACTGGATTATGGCACGAAATCTTCCAATCTCATGTTGGAAGATGTGTTGAAGGTAGTTGAGTAGTCTATGCTTTTTTGGTAGTCTACATTTTGCTCGTTTAAGAACGAGAGTAGGTTTGCTTGGGGGAGGGGAAGCTGTAAGATGGCACGCGTTAGTGAATTGAAGGTATCGGAGTTCGGACAATGGAAAACTCACGAAGGTCCAAGTTCCTGGATGCTCTTGCTGGCGAGCCACTGACCCATGTCAATGCTGTCGTCAAGGGACTTTCCGGAGACGATACCGGCGCAGAAACCACCAGCGAAGGCGTCACTAGAGAACAAAAGGTTAATACATAGGACGATGGGATCACGTTCAAGATCACTTACCCGGCACCGTTGGTGTCGTTGATGGCGTCCTTGGAGATCTCGTGGACGTTGAACTCCTTGACATCGACAGCGCCGGAGGCAGAGCCGGTGGCGACAATGGTAGGGAGAGTGCCCTGGGTGACAATGGCAACACGGGGGCGCTGAGTGTTCTTCTTGGGGAGCTGAGCGAGCTTCTTGGCAATCTCGGTGATGTCCTCGGTGCCCCACTCGTGGCTCTGAGCGTAGGCAATGGCCTCGGTCTCGTTGCAGAAAGTGTAGTCGGTGTAGGGGAGAACGCTGTCCAGCTGCTCCTTGAAGAACTGGGGGATGAAGGGAGCAGAAAGAGACAGCATGAAGATCTGGTCAAACAATTGATTAGAATGGAACCCAGGGTAACATGCTTCATGACAATGCGTATCATACCTTGTTCTTGGCCGCAGCCTCCTCACCAAGAGCGAGGATGGCGGGAACACAGACAGTCAGGTGGTATCCACCGACGTAGTAGACCTGGGCCTTCTCAACCAGAGACCAGATCTCGGGCTGCTTGAGGTGGTCGAGCTTGTACTCGTTGGCAGCAGCAAGGTGGGTGCACATGCTGCGGTTGTGACCAGTGATGACAACACCACACTTACCAGTGGGCACAGCTTCATCAACACGGTACTCGGTGTGGACACCGGCCTCCTCACAGGTCTGCTTGAGGATGTCACCGTACTTGTCCTTACCGATACAGCCGATGTAGACGACAGACTGCTCGGGGAGCAGGTACTAAAAGCCACCATTGTCAGTAATGTCATCGAAAATAGAGATAAAGCGATGGAAAAGCATACCTGAGCACCGCGAGCAGTGTTCTGGGCGGCACCACCGGGGATCAGCTTAGCGTCCCGGGAGAGAAGGTCCTCGTAGATACCCATGTGCTTCTCCTCGGCGAGGATAGCATCGTTATCCTTGAGGCCGTACTTCTCGAGAAGGGCGGCATCGCTAAAAGCAATTAGTATGACCATTGATATTGATTATTTTAGGTGCACTCATACCCACGAGCCTGGATGTCTAGATTGTATGTCAGAATTGGATCTTAAGTATCATCAGGAGGATTAAATACCGAGGAGGGGGTTCTCCAGACAGAGAAGAGGGTAACCTTGAGCAGCAGCCATTGTGAAATGATAATAGTAATTGGATAGGGGGAGTGAAAAGGTGGGAGAAGGTGGGAGGATTATATGGAGGGGTTGGCAGAAAAGAGCGGACTGCAAGGTATCTCCACCGGCTACGGCCGATGCGTCTCCGACCTTGACGAAGCTTGGATTCTGTATAACACAATCTACGCAAGATGGCCGGCCACGCTATGGAGATTCCCGAGATTATTCAATCTGCGAGCATCAACCACAACCCTGATCCAGCTCACGACATCAATCCATCCACGGCAGCCTCAGAAAAACATCCCGTTGAGGTAGACTCCGACGCCGAAACAAGCAGCATCACCTCCGACATCCTTGATCCAAGTCGAGTCATCCACCCTGTTCGCAGACGTCAAAACCTACCTCCTCTTCCGGATCTACGCTTCGAACAAAGTTACCTGGCCAGTATTAAGGATGCCGAAAGCTGGGGGCGAGTGGCGTGGATCACTACCAGAGATCAGGTATGTATGGACTTGGCGCTGAGTATCGCGCGCAAGCAAACAAGTGGACCATGTTTCAAGGGAACCCTGGGCTAAACATGTCAATTATCTTAATAGGTGCTCCTTCCTCTGATTCAAGGGACTCTATGGACGCTCGCGCTCTCAGGCTGGCGGTTCTGGAACCGCAATGCCTCGGTCAGTGGTCACACTCTCGGCAGCAGGGTTCGGAGATGGTGGTATGAAGTCAACAATTGGCGTTTGCCGGCAATGCCATCTGTCAGAGATCCGCAACTCGCGACACAACTTGAAGATGTGAGCAGAGAACCCTAGATCATTGATTTTCTCCCGTCTGATCTTGAACCAGAACTAGAGCGACTGACGGTCGAGGAGTTCCTACAGTTTTACACAGCCCAATTCTCCAACGCAGGCTCTGATTAGTACAAGTGTCTGCGCTGGATGCGATATCTCGGTATCTTGATCCAGCAATCCAGCAGGCGCTGGTTTCTGTGCAGTACATTTGATTGCTTGCATCATCGGCGTTATTTGCGTGTTTACAGGCGTCCGCCCTTATCGATTCCCATTTGCATTCCATAATTCCTCAACTCAAGCAGATAGTGCAATTACCACTACCCATTCTCCACGCAACGTTGATAAATCTTGCGCCATGTTGTATGCATGGGCCTCGCTGAGGTTCTTCCGAAGGTTCAATCCAGATCAACCTGGTTCTTCCATGAAGAAACAATCCAGAATAGCCCGCTGGCTCTGGGACACCGAGGGAGTGTATGCTGACCACCCGACTTTACAAACAGGCATGTATCAGAAGACTCTTGTTTTTATATGTAGATTATTTCCAAGACTACCTAGGTATATTGTCATTGTATCATATGGTCACTAGAGAGGGAAAGTAAAATTGTCCTTGTGTAGAACAATCAGATATTCCGTAGGAGTTGTCATATTGGCTGGCCTCAGGTGTCGAGACGCCAGGACCTCCGCATTAGTCGGAAGCCCAAGAGCTTCAGGTCCGTCCTACAATCATCTCGCGGAGACTCTCAACCTGCCCCGATTTTTGTGCGATCGGAATGACATAGCGCCCCTACAGCTAGCGCACCATGGCGCTGGAAGCATCCAGCAGTTATGTTGCTCCGAGCAACTTAATGGAGCAATCGAGCTCTTCCCTCCCAATGTTTGACGTTGAACAGGTGCAGTTGGCTTTCTCGGTCGCCGCGGACTTTGTTGCAGCACAGGTCGCCAATAATGTCCTTGTGCTGGCATTGTCGACGAACCGCATTCTCAGAATTGATCTTGACTCCCCAGAAGATGTCGAAGGTAGGCTTCCGAACCTCCCCCCGCAGCAAATGCCAGCCACCGCGACTTGACCTAACGGGGCATATGAATAGACATCGATCTCCCAAAGAAATCCTCCGAAGTTGGAGTCATCAGACGCATGTTCCTCGATCCCTCGGCGTCTCATCTTATCATTACCACAACCCTGGGCGAAAACTACTATCTCCATGCGCAGTCACCAGCGCGACAACCCAAGCTATTGTCCCGTTTAAAGAACGTTTCAATTGAAAGCATTGCTTGGAACCCTTCTTTGCCTACCGCCTCCACTCGCGAGATTCTTATCGGCGCCACCGATGGAAACGTCTACGAAACCTACATTGACCCATCCAGTTACCGACTGGAAAAGTACCATGCGCCGGTCTTTCAGGTCCCCGGTGCTTCTCCGGTAGTTGGAATCTCCGTGGAACCGGTGTTATCTCGGCCCGATCAGAAAAGGGTGCTTGTAGCGACATACGGCAAGCTGTTGCAATTCATTGGCCGAGCAGCAGTTTCAAAGCATGGGGGTGGTGGCTCTGTGTACTCTGAGCTATTCCAGCGCGAGACCCCGTCAATTCACGAATTGCAACAGCCGTCTGAATCTGCGCCATCCTCACTGGTGGTGTCTCCCCCAACTTCGGGAGGCTCTCAGGTAGACGGGTCTACCCCCAAGGAGTTTGCGTGGCTCAGCTCCGAGGGAATCTACCATGGACAGCTCGCAACAGAGTCTCCATTCAAGACTGCAAGTCTGCTTCCGCGCTCGGTGTTTCCGCCGTCAGAATCACCACGCGGCGGCCGCAAACTGATACAGGACCCTATCTCTGCAATGACGCTTTCGCAGTGGCACATCTTGGCTCTTGTCGGAGGCAAGGTGGTTGCTGTCAACCGTCTTAGCCAAGAGATTGTTCATAATCAATCAGTGTTGGAACCAGGTCAGAGCGCCCTGGGACTGCTAACTGATCTAACCAAGAACACATATTGGCTTTTCACAAGTCAGGCCATCTATGAGGTTGTAGCAGGTGAGGAAGACCGGGATATTTGGAAGATCTTCTTGAAAGAGCAGAATTTTGATGATGCTCTTGAATATGCCCGAGGCGCTTCCCAACGAGATGCTGTGATGACTGCATGGGGTGACTCATTGGCAAGCAAAGGTCATTTTGTTGAGGCAGCCAAGGTATGGGGCAAGAGCAGCAAAGGCTTCGAGGAAGTCTGCCTTACGATGATCGACAATAAAGAGCATGATGCGCTGCGAAATTACCTCCTCTCCCAGCTGGCAACATACAAGAAGGCGTCCCTAATGCAGAGAATAATGGTCGCAAGCTGGCTTGTGGAATTATTCATGTCCAAGTTGAACTCTCTTGACGACAATATTGCTACCAAAGCCGAGCTTGCGGGGAGCACAAGTACCGGAGAAATCAAGGACCAGCTTGGTGATATCAGAGCTGACTTCCAAGACTTTGTCAACAGCCACAAAGCGGACTTGGACAAGAAGACAGTATATGATATCATCAGTAGTCACGGGCGTGAGGAAGAGCTGCTGTTCTTTGCAACTGCCACAAGTGATCACAACTATGTTCTGTCATATTGGATCCAACGTGAAAAATGGCTGGAAGCTTTGAAGGTCCTACAGCGGCAAAGCGATCCTGATGTGTTCTACAAGTACAGCAGCGTACTCATGACACACAAGCCTACCGATCTAGTCGATATCTTGATGCGGCAGACAAACTTGGATCCTGAACGCCTCATACCCGCGTTGCTGAACTATAACAAATCTGCCAGCGTCTCTTCACTCAGCCAGAATCAAGCCGTTCGGTATCTCAACTTCATAATTGTCAACCATCCCAATCCAGCAGCAGCAGTCCACAATACCCTTATCTCCATACATGCCTTCAGCCCCTCAACGTCCGAGGCCGGGCTTCTCACTTATCTCCAATCGCAACCTGCCTCGCCTCCTCCATACGATGCGGACTTTGCGCTGAGACTTTGCATTCAAAATCAAAGAGTTCAGTCCTGCATCCACATCTACAGCACGATGGGCCAATACCTACAAGCTGTAGCGCTAGCGTTAGAGCATAACGACATTGATCTTGCAGCAATTGTTGCGGACCGCCCAGAAGGCAATGACAAGCTTCGCAAGAAGCTTTGGCTTCTCGTCGCGGAGAAGAAGATCCGCCAACCAGGCACTGGCATCAAAGACGCCATTGAGTTCCTGCGTCGCTGTGAGCTCCTCCGTATCGAGGATTTGATTCCCTTCTTTCCTGATTTCGTTGTTATCGATGACTTCAAGGATGAGATCTGCACTGCTTTGGAAGACTACTCGCGCCACATTGATGCTCTCCGCCAAGAGATGGATAATTCTGCTCTGACAGCTCGTCAAATCCGCGGCGAGATCTCTGGCCTTGACACACGTTACGCCATTGTTGAACCAGGTGAAAAGTGCTGGATATGCTCATTGCCGGTTCTCAGCCGTCAATTCTTCGTATTCCCCTGTCAGCATGCTTTCCACAGCGACTGTCTGGGTAGAGAAGTTTTGGATGGTGCTGGCGGTAAGAAAAAGTACATCCGGGATCTACAGGCACAACTCAGCAATGGTGATATCCCTTCATCGCGCCGAGAGGATATTGTGAAGGAGCTAGATGGATTGGTCGCTGAAGCTTGGTTTGTGACCCTCTGTTTGAGTTATTATTATATTATTTGAAATGCTAACCTTTTTGCGACAGCATTCTCTGTGGTGACCATGCCATCAAGCAAATTGACAAGCCTTTCATCACCGAGTCGGAAACTGCCGAGGATTGGGCTCTTTGATACACATCTAACTATACATAATTTGAGATTGCGACGTCGGCCCAAATCAAGGCAAAGCTTCTTGTCTTTTCTTTACGCGTGACGAATAGACAACATTAGTTTCAAGCTACATTTGCTACTTTCTTGTGTTTTTCAATCTTCTCATTTAGCAATACCCTTGTCCTGAGCGAATGCTGCTTGACGTTGGATCCTCGTGTACAGGAATGAATCAATCCAATGACTGGCTCCTCTAGAGCGAGGAGGCTAGTTTGACGTAGCATAATGCGACATTTCCGAGTGGGGTGAAGCCTGAATCCTAAGTCTAGCGAGATCTCTTCTTTGACAGCCTTGTCCAAAATTGCGTTGCTATGAAGCATATCTCGCGTAGTACGGCTATAGCCTTGAAAGATAATTGAGATCATGGCCCATTTTCAAGGTTGTGAGTTTCCTGTTACGAGATGGTCGGCATGATGAAATATTATTTGTCTTGTCCTAAATGCACCGAAAGCAGTCAAAGAATAAGGAAATACCCGCGTTCTCCAACTCCATCCGCATATAAAAAATTTCCCTAAAGCAAATGGGAATCTAATGCCCAAATTGAGCCCGTATATGAACCATCTATCATCATTTCTCCGGCCATAAGGAGCGCAACAAGTCGAGGTCCTGCGCAACAGCCGGGCTGTGCGGTGCACAATCCTGTAAGAAACCCAGCATTTCCTCATTCCAACGTTCCCAACCGTCTGGCAAAGTCTCACGAACTCGCTGACTTGGTGAGTGGGCTATGCAATAAAAGAGTAGGACTTGACCGAAAAACCTATCACCGCGTCAGAATGATCAGTCCATGGTCGCGTAAACCGCACATAAGTGCTCTGTTATTTCGCTGGAGAGGGAATCAAATCAAACTCACTGTGAACAAAATGCAAATCTAATTGGAATACAACTTTTCATTTTCCTGAAAATTCCTTGCGTGACCGGCCACCCCATGGCGTTTTGAAGACCACTTCTGACCTGTACGAAGTCTTCGTCTGTTAGGAGATGTGGAATGCGAAGCGCTTTGTAAAGATATGGCCGGCCAATGTGGAAGCGCGCGATCAGGTAGCGACCCTGGAGCATGGCATCTGTGACTGCCGTTCCGGGCGAGAGGGGTCGATTCTGGTCCGTTCTGGGTCTTGGGGAAGAAATTTGGGCTGGAGATGCCACAGATGTAGAAGGAGAAGGGTGCATGGAGGGAGTCCCCGGAGTTGGATGAGATGAGGCGAGGTGAGCGGAGTAAGGGGAGTGGTTGAACTGGATTGACTTGGGGAGATTTGTGCGCCACTGTTCTAATTGATGGTGAAGTTCGGTATTTACGGCTGGAAGGGGGAAAGTTCCTGAGTCGGCTGGTTTGGAGGGCTGGTGTTAGAGGTGATACTCCATCGTTGGGTTTCTGGTTGAATCACTTACAGTAGAAGTATAGGGAGTGGCGGATCCGTGTCAGGATAATGCGATGGGCCACTTGGGCTAGGAAATGGTATTGGAAGTATGAGTCGTCAACTCCGCTCGATGAGATGAATCGATTGGAGGCGTAACTTGTCGTTTCGAAGCCGATGAATTTGGGTATTGGGACTTGCTCCTCTAGGCGGGAGAGACCACTTGAAGGTAGGTGGAGCTCTTGTACCAAGATGGTCTCGTTCATGAGACAGTTCCAATATACGCGAGATTTCATGTCGCCTTCCCATTCATCGAAGTTCACTTTATGGCTAGATTCAAGTTAGTATAATATGCAGTTTTGAGGGACTCAAGTCTGCACTTACTTGGTCAACATTGACAGACAGCAAGTGGCTGCGCGGTGGATCATCGCCCAGGAGTCCATCGGACGCGGGATTTGGTTGTAATATACGCTGCAGAATCGTCAGTTGGGCCGAACCAAGACATCTCATCGGAGGCAAAGCAAGTACTTACGAGGAAAGAAGATAAAATTGACAACTTTGAAGGTCGTTGTCGCACATCAAGAAGCCAATACGCCTCCGAGCCTCGTTGAAGAACCGTAGTCCGGGCTGCTCTTCGTATACAACGTTGATCCAGTCTGGGGGCTCAAATCGATGGCCCTGTGTACCTGCTAGCGGGTAATTCCCTTCTTGGTAGGCGAGGACAGCAAGACAGCCCAGTGCCAGCACGTTGAGAACCAGGCATGTCTCCAGGTTATACCCAAAGCCACTTTCAATGGCCGTCCCAAGGGTGAAGGAAAAGAAAAATCCCCTGTCCATGATGGGTGTGAAGGGGTTGAACACGTTGAAAAACGCATCCGCTAGACCCCTGATCATCGCAAGCGGGAGAACCTCTAACCAGTGATCTCCTGCTTGTAATGGGAATGGGCTGGTGAACATAGGTAGCGGATCTCGCGCAGATTCCAGCTCAATCACATAATTCTTTCCAAGTATTTGATATACGGCCAATAAGTGCTGCGGGAGGATCTTTCGGGCACCAGGCCACTCAATGACACCATGTTGGCTGAAGGAGATGGAGACCCGACCAACAGAGTCCGGTTTAGTTTGACTCTCTTCGGTCTCGAAGTCGTCTGCATCTCCAGCGGCTGCAGGCGTAAAGTTGTCCCCAGCCGTGGGCAACATTGACACGAGCTGACTGCCCTCATCAGCCAAGGCAGGCAGCGTGTGTGTCTGTGCTTCATTCGCGGGTGTATGAATTTGACTCCGAAGAGACTGGAGATCACCCAAAATGGACGATGGTATATTCTCCAATTTTGTCTCTAGGCGATGGAGAGTGCTCATGATCATAGTGAGCGACTGATCGCGTCTGCATGATATGAGCAACTGGAACGCGAAGCACGTCAAATTACTCACTTTGATGATTTGCGTTCATTATACACGCATTCAAGCCCGAGTGACTTGCACAGTCCACACCGGGGCCGGGATTCGTCGCATCTCGTCTTCTTCAGTCGACACGTCTCACATGCCTGTGCGGAGCGCGTCAGCGAAGTCCGAGATAATTCGTTGTGTATTTTTGAACTGAATGGATTTGGGATTGGAAACACTTACAACTGTGGCAATAAAGTTCCTCGGCTTCTTCGATTGTCCGGATGACTGGCCGTGCTCGTCGCCCGGAGAGAGGATGTCCTGGATCGGCAGGCCATTATCGTGGTCGGGCGACCGATGTGCCCCTGCTATGGACTCCTCGAAAGACCGCTTGCTCATTTTGCATCATCGAGAGCCTTCTACCGCGACATTGTCGACCCTCTTGAGGTGTTTGATATTGGCTCGTTTTTTTATCGGGTGGAACGCTGACCGTCGAGCCAATCAGAGCCAATCAGCGGTCGTGGTATGAATCATCGCATCGCGACTTCAATTACATGAGTTTCCATAAGTCTGTCAAATATGGAGTTTACTGCGTTCTTATTCGGGTGTCAATTGCAAATTGAATGAGAATTATTGGGGAGAATTGAGGAGCCGGTCGTATATTTGCTGGGTCATATCCAGGGGATGCAATGTTGTTCCTGAACAACATCATACATGTATCAGCAAACGGCTCCGGGCACCATACTTTAATGCTTGCGTCCAGACTGTCTTCTGTCTTTGAATAGGGAAGATTACTTTAAGAATTAGAACAGAAAACATGGCTAACATCCATGGATATTCATGGAACATCTGGGTAGTCCAGAAGTGCGTGTATGGGTATCATACCATAAACCTCTCGGAATATATTTTCAATCCTCAATATTCCCGAGGTCTGAAAAAACAAAGCGAATCGTCAACCCCATTGCTATTCACATGGAGAAGTACTTTCTTCCACTAGACCAACAAAATGTACTGAACTCCCATTGATTTCCAATTCGACAGAATAGCTTGCGAGCCCGCCAATTGCCAACACGACCAAGAACTCAATGACAACTCCAAGACTCCAATACATTTGCCACCAAACTCATGTACTGAGCCAACTGCAGACAAACCGAAAGTCTAGACGCAAGCGGAGCCCACTTAGTCATATTCTAAAAGTGAAGGACCTCAGTCGTACTGTAAATAGAAGCAAAGCCATTTGGCGCCGAGGTCCCCACCGCATTACTCATTGTTTCAAACGTCCCGGGTCTCAACGTCACTGCCGAAAACATGAGGTATCATTTTGATTACAGAAAGTCGCATGTGTATTGATGATTAATTGGGATTGTAACTAAAACCCACTTTGGCTGGACTGGGGGATGCCAATGCCGCCAGGGTCGGATGACGTCGATAGCTCCGGGAATGCGGCATGGGTGCCTGGGTGAAAAAAGGCCGACGGCGAGATCCGCTAGGTTATGCACGAAGATCATAGCTTCTTCATAATATAGAAATGACACGCAACGAGGGTCTTAAATAGCCGATTGATGGCATGGGGTACTGAGCACAGAGTACGGAGTACGGAGTAATGAAGGCTTACATGTTTGCCTGGGCTTGTGTTACGTGTCAGCAGAGATAAGGGTCCAACGGCGATATCGATATTATCCTTGCTCAATTCCGGATTCGCATGTTAATTAGCTATGTGCAAGACTATACAGGTAGGACATGACAACATATGCGATAGGAGTACTCCGTACAAGTGTACAATTAAGCGCTACGCTTGCGATCTGCAAAGATGGCCCGTCCCGGCACGGCCTTATAGGCGGAGTGCAAGTGACAGTCAGCTGAAACAACCAGGATAGCATGATGTTATGCTTCGAAAGTACTGCGCGTCCACGGGAATACATTATAGTAAGGGACTTGTCCCGCCATTATGCCCAAACACCAACGTGACCGTAGACAAGTAGACAAGTACGGAGTACTCCGTAGGGCTATTCCGTATTTATTGAGGAGATTCAAATAGCCACAAAGCTACATTAAGAAGCCCGTACAGAGAACTCCGTCTTAGTGACGGACTGGCTACGAACATGACATTATGTGGAAGCCAGATGGCGTGGATTGGCCAATTCCCAAGTAATGCCTCGGAAGGCACAGCCCTGGCTGGTAGCACATTGTACTCACAAGGCAAAAATTGAGGGGTATTCATGTTGACTGAGCAACGGGTAGAAGAACTTGACCTATCCATAATCCAGTCAATCCCTTCGATACATCAGAAGACAGAAAAGGCCTCAGGCAATAACAAAGCCCTTGCATGGATCTTAAAAAACTTGAATGTTTGTTTTTCTTTCCTGCAGCGGCGTGGGGTCACACGGAGAAAAAAAAAAGACACACAGGAGGCTGGGGTCGTGCCGTACAGTGGGCGATGCAAATGCATGTTGTTGGTGTCCTGGATATGTGCAGTCGCACAGGCAAATGCAGTGCAACTCCCTATCATGCAGTGAGTGCATCATGTTCCAAGGTTTACCTGAGAATCACTTAAAACGCTCACTGTAGGTCAAATCATGTTTATTGGAAACCAGGGGAGCGTTTCGCTCCGATCGTGCATGGTGAAGCCGTTAGGAGTACAACTTGCGGTCTAACGAATAATGGCTCAAATGTTCAGCTCTAAACTGTAATTATGATGTATTATGAGCACTTGGGTAAATGATATATCTTTTCTCGCATACAGCGCCAACTGAGTATTCAATACAGAGTACGGAGCACGGAGTACTCCATACAAGACAGAATCAATAAACGGGAGGAGTGCGTAGATCAGTTGAGACCAAAATCCGGGGGAGTGGCTCCAGCGGCTTAGCTTCAGGAAAAAGGAAAGATAATCAAAAGAATGATCTCATCTCCCCCAAATATTGGAGACATTGCGAAGGATTAAGAATTAGGACTATCACCGTAGGAGACCAAATGAAACCAAGAATGCCGGAAATGGAATGATCAGTGCGGGGTATACTCAACTCCTATCTGAAGATAGGCAGTTTAGGGCCCACGGTTCGTATCTCTGGCTGTTTACTCCGTCTTATCATTCGGAGGCCGCTTCCATTGGAGTCCTGTAGTCTCCGAGTTTCGTCATGATAACGATATACCTAGGTAGCGATAGAGCATCTCATTTTCATATCATATCGTATCATATTGGGAATTGCGCCCGTGGATTGTAGTACATACGTGATGACTCCTGGTATCAGATTGATCATCTCATATTACATATGTTGTTGTCATAGGATAGTCATCTCACACGGAGTATGGCCGACACGTTTCAGTCCATATTGCAGACGATATGATATGATACCCTTGGATAGGAATAACACTTGACAATGATGAAATACCACTACAAGTGTACAATGGGTTCACTCTAGACTCGTCAGACTCCATTACCTAGATTGGAATTTCATTGACGTTATACCCGGCACGAAGAGTGCATGAATAAGAATGAGATTACGAATCATATAGTTGCAATGGCCGATGGAGGGGGAGATCTCTGAACCGTGCGATTGCGTATCGCTCAGTAACTCTCCTTCCCCTCAGAATTGGGGCTGCTCAAGGTTCAGGATGTCCCAATAGGAATGCCAAATTTGTATGGGACGTCGCGTGATGCAGAGGTTGCCGAAGACCGAAGTCGTGCCACATAATCCACCCAACTTTATCGTGAGCTCGGGTACTTTTGAGTATGCTCGGAAAAGGGTACCTAATTCTTCCCTCGCAAGGTTTGGCCTTGCAGCCTGCATGAAGCGGTCTAAACTGATTTAAGACTAGGTCTGGACAGGGTGTCCCCTTCACCGCTTGACGCTGCGTGGGTGTCTAAAGCATTGTGGTTGGGATGACAGCTGTGATGCTCCACTGAGTCTAAGACTGATATCTCCGTGTATGTACGGAGTACATGTATACGTGTACGTACAAAGTAACTATAGAGGGATGCGATGTGCTCCCCCGTACTCCATACTTTCTCGGGACAGATGAAATTAAACCTTTAGGTAATGTACTAATTTACCCAAGAATCGATAGTCTCCTGATTATACACAACCCCGCAAACCCATGATAATTATGGGTCAGAGTCTCTCGCAATCCCGCGCGGCAAAGAATAACGTTAATGCAGTGTACGTGTAGGGGGTTAGTCCAGGTTAGATCCACGACGCATCAAAAGATGAAAGCATCCAAAAGGTACCTGAGCAACAAACAGAACGGAAAAAGACCTGCAGTGTCCGGGGAAGCCAATAAGAAGAAATCACGCCATGCTCCAACCAACTCGTCATGCAGCCTCGAAATAGTGGCCAGACGCGCAATCCTCATTGGCTACTCTCCCCCAAATCGATGCGCAATCCCACGCATCGGGTCTAGCGCGCCACCTTGATCCGCCCTCGGCCGCCAGGGAAACGAAGACTGTCCAGCCCCTGCTGATGTCGTCTGTGACTGGATTGTTCTTTTTGCGGATTCAGGATTGCCTGAACCAGTTCCATTAGTTGAGATAGACTCTGGGATGGTCTGCAAACTGAAAATTGGAGGGAGAATAGACTCTCAACCAGAGTGGACGGTGATTCGCAAATGATAGGAAGTGGTTGCGTTATCATAGTTTGGCGTGATTCCATATCTCCAGAGACAATAGCAACAGAATCACGTAGTGACGCCTTCCAAGGGTACGAGGAATGCCTGGAAGGTTCATGAAACGGGCAGATCAAGGTGGTTGAGGTGGTCAATACCGGTATCCATTACCATACGTGACCATTCACCCAGGAGACGGAAACGGGCGGAGGACCTCGGGCGCCCATAGAGATTGAGTAGGCAGTGCAGATCACACGGAGAGGAGGCCCACGAGGGAAGACCGGTTTCTTACCGTATGAGACCGTATGGCCAATCACTTTGCCTCTCCAATTCCCCTCACGCCTTTTACAACGTCTCTCTCTCCCTGGCTCCTTCTCCTTATACCATCAACCTCATTTCCTATTCTCTTCTTTCGCTTCCCCTACCCCCTTCTCGCTATCATCTCGTCCTCCCGCTTTCCTCACTTCTATCATCACTTCTTCGTCAGTTTGCTTCTGCTTCCCAGCGGTTTCATCGACTTCTTTCAACTGCCCGGAATCGTTATCGTGTCTTCTTGCCATCCAACCTTAAGACATCAACAACACCGTCGTTAGTTCCGTCACTCTGACCAGTTCGTCGATTCGATCCTAATCAACGTCCTGCGATAGAAGCATCTCCTCCTTTCCGCCAGCTTCGACCCTCCTCCCCCCTTTTCCTTGGTCTTTTCGGATCCACTCTTAGGCTCCGGTGACTCACCTACAACTTGTGAAAAGGGTCTCCTCTCCCCCTGAATCGGTTTTGCAATTGCACAGAATCTATTCGAACATCGTCCATTCAATTCTTGCGAAGACTGTCTTCCTGTCTTGGACAACCCTATACGTGCTTCTCGCCAAGCCTCGTTGTGAAAGCGTCTCGGGAGTTCCACACCCACGGGGCAACCTGGCATCGAGTACCTCTGCTTTTCCGTCCTAGGAATAGCAGGTGCTCTACCGGATCCCTTCACCCCACTCGACTTCTTTACAACTTCAACTGGCCTTCAATGACTCACTAATTTCAATTATCTTCAACTTTGAGTCACGGCCCTCGACCTTGGACCCGGTGTTCACAGGATCGCTTTTCTCCTATACATCTTTGCTTTTCAATTACGATCTCACGCAGCGCTTTATCTCGACTCTCTTCGATCCGGTATCAGGCCGACTTTCAACCCTTTTTTTCTGTCCATCTTTTGACACATTCGTGTCGTCCATCCTTGGGTCTCCTTCCCGTTTAACAACAAAAAACGACATACAAATGAGCACATAACGGTCTTTCAACCTTTCCTTAGCGTCAACAAATCCCTCTCGGATTCACTCGGCTGCGCCATTGCGCCCCATCATTCTCTCAGCTTTTCATCTGTTCATCACCATTTCACCAGTACATTTTTGTTATATGACATCCGAGCTCGCAGCCAAGTGTCTGTTCGTCTCATCCTGACCGAACCTCCTCATTTTTCTCTTCGCCTGTCCCACCCCTCTTAGGGACTTCAAGCCTGATACTTCTCTTCATTGTCCCTTTTTTTAATCTTGCCTAGCCTGGTTGCTGTTTGTCTATCACATTTCGACGCGTTCTTGACACACAAGTGTTCTTTTGAGCGGTTCATAGATTTGTCTTCACCTCATCTCTGGAGCATTACCTCATCTCGCCTCTTTTCATCCCAACTCTTTGCATTTATCAAGTCAACATGTCGACCATGGATTGCTTGAAGAACAACTTCGTCAAGGGTCAGCTGCTGGACGGCCGATTCCGAACCTTGGCTCCTCTGAACCATGGGTCTTTCGGAATGGTGTTCCTTGCCACTGATACCAAGACTGGCGAAGAAGTTGCTATCAAATGTCTGCTCAAGGGCGCTCAATCCCAGCAAGACCGGTTTGAAGAGCTTGAGTGCCACCGGCGCTTTGGCTTCCACCCGAACCTGGTCAACCTGATCCACACCTTTGACACTGAGAATCACACATACCTCGTTTTGGAATACTGTGCCAACGGTGATCTTTACGAAGCCATTCGTCTTGACCGTGGTCCCTTGGAGACAGAGCATGTCCGTGATTTCATGTTGCAGCTCGTCAGCGCCGTGGACTTCATGCATGCCAATGGCCTGTACCACCGTGACATCAAGCCGGAGAATATCTTCCTCACACAAGATGGTTCCATGAAGCTTGGCGACTTTGGCCTGGCTACCCAGGACTCGTGGTGCCACGAGGCCTGCGTTGGTAGCGACCGCTACATGGCCCCCGAACAATACGATCCCACTTCTACGGGATACTCTCCTGCCAAGGCTGATATCTGGTCGGTGGGTATCTGTTTGCTGAACATTCTGTTCGCACGAAACCCATTCACCACTCCCACCGAGTCCGACAAGATCTTTGCCGACTATGTGCTTGACCGTCAATCCCTGTTTGACATCTTCCCCAACATGTCTCAGGACACATACGAAATTTTGACTTATGCTATGGCCATTGACCCATCCAAGCGTTCTCTGCTAGATGTTCGTGACTGTATCCTTCGTGCGGTGTCCTTCACAACCGACGACGAGTCTCTTGACGAATTCTGCACCGAGGATCGTGAGGTGGTCGCTGCCAGCGCCAACCGCGAGCCTCTCCGCACTCCTTCGCTCCAGAGTCCTCATGTCAACCAAGGGGATTCCTTCCCCTGGGCCAAGGCACTTCACTCCAGTCCCCCTCAGGCTATCCGTCAACTGTCCGCTATTCCGGATAACGAGAGTTACACCGAGGATCTTTTCCCGGCTTCCGAAGCCGCAGGTACATCTTGGTTCTCAACTCGCATGGAGACGCCTTCCATGGCTTCCGTTATGGACTCTACCCTGAGCGAATCTTTCCGCTCGCTTCATCTTCGCAAGCGTGAGGCTCCGTTCCTCCCTCGCTCCGACCCGGTGGCCATCACTGGATCGCTTCCCTCACACGCAACCAAGCCCCTTCCGTCTCTGTCGATGGTCTTTGGTAACAACAAAGGCGCTGACAAGATCTCCAAGAGCTGGTGCGACATGTGGGACGAAGAAGAATCCGAGAACGAAGATCTCGCTATGGTCCAACGACGGGAGCAGAACTCTCGTTGCTGGAGTCACGAAAGCCAGGGCAATGCAGTCAACGGAACGCGCGAGCCGGACTCCGCTTCCACTCAACTCCGCTCTCAACATGCAGTCGAGACTGACGACTTCGAAATTCACCACATGTCTCTCGGCGAGGAAAGTGACTCTAGTACCTCTAGCAGCACCCCTCGCCCCTTGGGCCACTCGCCACCCGAGCCGTCCAGCGCTGATAAATGGTCTGTCCTTGGTGATGTCCGCCGAAAGTACAAGGCCGAGGATGAGCCTCGCAAGTACAAGACGCGCAAATCCCGGGAGGTATTTGGTCCCAAGACCGTTGCTGCCAACGCGCGACGTCATGATTGGGGCCGAGGCACCTCGGGATACCATCAGACTAAGTCCAAGCCTGTATCACCCCTGGACGCTCGTCGTCGCCAATTGCTCGAACAACAAGACTGGCGCAGTCATGTTCCCACCCCACGCTTCACTCCTACTTACGATGGAAGCGTAGACGATGACCTCGATCTCGTCGGCGGATGGCACGAGACTCACTTCTAAGCTCTCGATTCTTATTGCTTCGCCTTTCACCACATTCAAAACTCCCCTTTGGTCAACTCTTCACGTGTTTCGATTCAGTTGGAAAAAAAAGTTCAAAAATTTCCACGATACGATAAACTAATCCTCCACTTTCATGTCTTTTTCGTTTCTTTGTTTTCGGATCGAGTGTTTCGCCACTCCCAGTCATTATCATCCCTTTTCCATGCTCCTGCATGGGCCCCCTCCGGTCGCCAAACTGTTTTTGTTTTTTCTTTCTTGTATCATATCAGACCAGGGGTTGGGACATTGGCTGGGACGCGAAACACGACAAAAAAACCACAAAAGGTTAGAAGGCTGGGTGGGAATGCGTTGATGAATGTTCTATTTGGGGGTTGTTCTTATAGTTTCCGCCGAGAATGGTGGAATGGTGTTTGCAAATGGACTCGAGTGTCTTGGTCGGTGATTTAATCGCGGCCGTTTCTCTTTGATTACTGTACCTAGTATTACTTTTACCAACAGCTCTTAAGGAGAAATTGATCACATCCGTGAATGATTATGAGTTTCAAGATGTAGTCAAATTTGGAGATAGTACTTGTAGAGAGTAGAGATAGTAGATCCCTAGAGCTACCTGAAGAAAGATTACAAATGCTTTCCACAACTTTCACGTAAATCTAAATCTCTCGAATGCAACGTTATCTTTTTCGAGAATTCATTCACTGCAGAGCCCTTAGCTTGTACAAAAGTATTGACTAACACGTAGGGTTTTAACTCATGCATACATGCGATGTACCATGTAGGTACCAAAAAAAGGCGGTAAGAGACTTCAACGGTTGAGATATGCCGAGATGCCACGGATCCACTCTCTCCTCTTCCACCCGCGGACGATACCGCCATTTGACGATATCGCTATTGGAAGCTGCAAAGCCTACTGCTTTAGCTCCCTCCCTTCAGACTTGTGCAAATTTTCAGACCTATAGAGTGCTTCCAGCCCGCTCCCAGCCACCATGCGCGTAGCATGCGACACGGCCTCATAGTTTGGATACTCACCGACTCCTCTTCTGTCGACCTCTCGCCTTAGCCACAGGGAGCGTTGCTACATTTGAAGCTTGGCACACAGAAACTAAGAGAAATCGGAAACGCTCAGGATCCCTCTCATCCCAACGCACACACAACATGTTGACCGCGGGCCGGTCACCATCACCCTGGACATACCGTACCTCGATCCTGCTCGCCCTATGCACGAGCGTAATTTCCCACACGTCCGTCCCGCCGTCCTCAACTGCCGTACACACCGCGACTCAGACTCCCACATCAGCCCCAGCGAATATATGTCCTGCGAAGAGTAGTCGGGAGGCAGAGGCGGAGCTGTTTAATTTACCGCCATGTCTGGAGACGCGCTGGGGTCCAGGTCATGATTTACACATCGCCTCGGCATTAGGGCCAACTACAGCTACCGGTGACTCAGAAGTTCGTCCGTCTGCTTCAAGCGACGCGATAGAAGGGACGGCGAGCAATACACCCGATCATAATGCAGATCTGGACCACGATGCAGACTCCCTGCTTGACGGCGCTAGTTTCCTTTCATTCGAAGATTGGAAGAAACAGAATCTAGCTAAGGTCGGACAATCTGCGGAGAATGTTGGTGGTAGACGGCCTGTGGTATCTGGCAAAGACGATCGCCGACAGCCAACGGGCATCAATAATGCGCTAGACTCTTTGGGTGATGATGCGGAGATCGAGTTGGATTTCGGTGGGTTCGGAGCTGAAACGCCCGAGGCTAGCCCGACTGCTTGGGGTACGCATATCCCGTCGCGGTCAGGAGAGAACGCGGATGGGAGAGGGAATGGGGATGTCGCTGCTCGTGGCGTGTCTCAGCGTGGTGCTTCGCGCCGCAAGGATGCTGGAACTACTTGCAAAGAGCGATTTAATTATGCTTCCTTTGATTGTGCGGCGACGGTGCTGAAGACGAATCCGGAGTGCAAGGGCTCGTCTTCTGTTCTGATTGAGAACAAGGATAGTTATATGCTGAATGAGTGTCGGGCTCAGAACAAGTTTCTTATCATGGAGCTTTGTGATGATATCTTGGTTGACACGGTTGTTCTCGCCAACTATGAGTTCTTCAGCTCCATCTTCCATACTTTTCGAGTCAGTGTTTCTGATCGGTATCCAGCGAAACCTGATCAGTGGAAGCAACTTGGGGTCTATGAGGCACGGAACACTCGCGAGGTACAAGCCTTTGCGGTTGAGAACTCGCTTATTTGGGCTCGATACCTGCGCATTGAGTTTTTGACGCACTATGGACATGAGTTCTTCTGTCCTATTAGTCTGATTCGTGTGCATGGTACCACTATGTTGGAAGAGTACAAGAATGACGAAAGCTCTGACCGTGCTGAGATTGAGGAGTTGGATGTCAGTGAAGCCAATCAGGTTCCAGGGTATTTGGAGCCTAAACCTGCCGAGATACCTGTTGAAAAGGTCATCCCTCCAGCGGAGATTGGCCCAAAAGTTGGAGAAGTCTGCCCAAATCCTCCGTCGGAGCCTGTGTTGTCTTTCGTTGAACTCTTCAGGCCGGAAATGTGTAGCATTAATGACGGGCCCCCTATTGTCACTCCATCGACCCCAGGAACTACTGCTCAGACCCATCTACCGCCAAAGAACCACTCGAGTGCGGTACCGGGGGCCAGTGCTTCTGTGACCAAGACAGGAGGGCCACCTCTTCCCTCCAAGTCTGCGGATGAAGCCCGGAAGTCCGGGGACACTCCCAAAGGCGCTGTGACTATACCGGATGCCTCGGCCATACCTTCAGAGCCCACCCAGCATAATTCCACTGCGGAGCCCATTGGGAAATCCACCCAAATCGTGAAAGAGGAGCACTACAATCCTCCGCCAGAGTCTACCCGACCCACAAACACCCAACCACCATCCTCTAATCCTACCACCCAGGAATCCTTCTTCAAATCTGTGCACAAACGCCTCCAGATGCTCGAGTCCAACTCGACCCTGTCACTTCTCTACATTGAAGAACAGTCTCGTATTTTGCGCGACGCGTTCAACAAAGTTGAAAAGCGGCAATTAACCAAGACTTCCACTTTTCTTGAGAACCTTAATATCACCATACTCAACGAATTGAGAGAATTCCGCGAGCAGTACGACCATGTCTGGAAATCCGTTGCTCTGGAGTTTGAGCACCAGCGTATGCAGTACCACGGGGAAGTCCACTCCCTGAGCGCACAGCTAGGCGTCCTCGCCGACGAGCTAGTGTTCCAAAAACGAGTGACCGTGATCCAAAGCATCATGGTCCTTTGCTGCTTTGCGGTAGTCCTGTTTTCTCGAGGGTCAGTCAGCAACTACATGGAATTCCCGGGCGTCCAAAGAATGGTCGCTCGGTCCTACAGCCTGCGATCCTCATCTCCTATTTTCGCCTCGGCTTCCCCGTCCGCGAGTCCAGGATCCACACGGCCTACCTCCTCCTACCGACAGAACGCGGGCCATCGCCGGAACCTCTCCGATTCCTCAGACCAAGCTAGCCCTGATAGCCCGACGGCGGCTTATGCACCGCCCACTCCCACTTCATCATCTCCACGGGAAACAGAACCCGAAGAGCTTGTCAAGGCTGAGCAGGAACAGCTTCCGTCCCCCGAGTCTATGTCTGTGCCCACTTTGCTTCTCCCACAACCCCGTCCACACAGTACCCCTCCTGTGATGAACGGACACCCCGTCGACCTGGATACCGACCCCGACTTTGATACCCCCGTTGAAGACAGTCCGCGGTCACATGAGTCATGATGTGACTCAGATTTGCCTTTCACCCTTAATTCCCCTGTAATGTCTGTGAACTTGTGTCTTGCATTCTGATATTGGCGCTTCTTGCATCTGTATGTACACTGTAATACTACTGGGCGGATGAGTATATGAATGAATGTCTACTACATATGAAATTTGAGTATATTATACATACAGTAGCACATTCTGAGTTAAAAGGCTCAACAAAAGCAAGATCTAGTTCATACCCCATGGGACTATCAGATACCCAACTAGGAATGCCCTGTTGTGTGTGGCGTCATACAAATCATGTCTTGTTGCCGGGCCAACAATCGAATTCCCATTTTTCCCACACGTTTTTCCTCTTATCCGATCACTGACATGATCTTTTGTTTTCTAAGCTCGATCTCTCCTTCTGATTCTTGATTCACATCTTCAAAGCCAAAGATCAAACATCCAAAATCAAACATAAACCACAAACAAATCACAATGGACGCAACAACACAAGCCCAGCCTCTGGCCGACCGCTCCACCAACACCCACTTGGGCACCGACAAGACCGACCTCAAGGGCTCAGACATCTCATCGATGGAGTACCACCGTCAAGTCCTGCAGGACAAAGTTGCAGGCGAGGAGTGAGTCTTCCCAGATTCAGACATCCCCAAACACGCCCCCTTGGGACGCACACTAACGCACAATCAGACAACCAACCTCCTACGTCTCCCCCTCAGATGATATCATGAGTCCCTGCACAAAGAAACTGAGCGACATCAAGGGCAAGCGTTTCAAGAAGTACGTTATATATCAAACCCTTCCCCCGGTCATACATCATACCTTCGGCTATGAGTTTCCCCTCATACGAGATGCCTCGGTGTACCTGAACCGGACATGCTAACGTATCCAACACAGTGCCGGCAAACCCCAGTCCCTCTTTGCTAAACTCGGCAAGAAGAGCTACGAGCAATCATCGGCCGAACAGGGTCGTGAGTAAACCGTCTGATCTTTTTTTGATTCTATTCTCGCGGGAAATTTGCCCGTTTCTTTCTTTCTTCTTTTGTTGGATATCGGATGTGAGTTGCAGACTCTGGTCGTCTTTTTTCTTTCACTTTCATCTCGTTTACTCTGCGCCGGTCGCTGGGTCGGATGCATTGAGGAGAGAGCGATTTGACATCGTGGATTGACTGCGAGTCTGGAGCTGCCGATTTGTTATTTTGTTTTATTCTTTGATGACCCGCGATGTCTTTGTTCATGTTTATGGGGGGTTCGGGACTAGGGATTGTAATTGGGTTACTGGATCTCTTGGAGCACATTGGATCAATGCAATCTTTGCACTTTGCACTTTGCATTGTATTTCTTATTATTCTTCTTTTGTTTTGTAGAACTCGTCTTTGGACCGAGTTACCGAGCGCCCTACGCGTCGGTGTCTCGACACAGAACCTACTATATGGTTGTTGAAGAGAGTTTTATTTAATTTCCCAGATATAGGAGCCATTGCATATATCTTTCTTCTCTGTTTTCAGTCATATCATCTCGCTGAAGGCGTACAAAGCGAGAATTGTTGAGATTGCTGGGCCGAGGCAAAATCCGACGCTCTCGGCTTCTCCACACTCAGCTCTCCTTCTCCGCAATCCTCGGCCATGGCCTGACTTCTTATAACTTCTTGCTTGTCGTTATATCCTCCGGGCTCTTTCCCATCCCATTCTAATTCCTTAAAACATCATGTCTGCCTCTTCTCGCATCCCACCTATCGCACAGCCGTTCGTCAGCGAACATGCAAAGCGGACCCTCGACCTGGTACGCACCTCGCAATACCCTCCGACCCCCACGCATTTTCCCACCGATCGCTATGTTTTGAGATAATCGCTCAATGCTAACAATTTTCAGGTCGAGGAGTTCGTTGAGAAGGATTGTATTCCTGCCGACGCAGTGTTCCAGGCTCAGCTTGGTGAAGGCGAGCAGCGATGGAAGACCAACCCCGCCGTCCTGGAATCACTCAAGGTGAAGGCCAAGAAGCTCGGCTTGTGGAACATGTTCCTGCCCAAGAACCACTTCACTCAGGGAGCTGGGTTCTCAAATCTCGAGTACGGCTTGATGGCCGAGCTGCTCGGCAAGAGCAAGGTCGCCTCAGAGGTTCGTAATTCGCCTACAACCCGCTTCGTGCTGGGCGCATCGCTCGATCATGTCGAATTTCTTGAAGAGACACATCGCTAACAGCCATGTGCTCCAGGCTACCAACAACGCCGCCCCGGATACTGGTAACATGGAAGTGTTTGCCAAGTACGGCAATGACGCACAGAAGAAGCAGTGGCTGGAACCCCTGCTCGAGGGCAAGATCCGCTCTGCCTTCCTAATGACCGAGCCCGAAGTTGCCTCCAGTGACGCCACCAACATCGAGCTAGACATCCGCCGCGAAGGCAACGAATACGTCCTGAACGGTTCCGTACGTCTTCCCCATCCCCCCCCATCGAACACCTCACAACACAGATAGAAATCTAACCTAACATGCCGAACAGAAATGGTGGTCCTCCGGTGCCGGTGACCCCCGCTGCGCCATCTACCTAGTCATGGGCAAGACCGATGCCAAGAACCCAGACACCTACAAGCAGCAATCCGTCGTCCTAGTTCCCGCCGGTCTCCCCGGCATCACCGTGCACCGCATGCTAACAGTATACGGATACGACGACGCCCCTCACGGCCACGGCCACATCTCATTCAAGAACGTTCGCGTCCCAATCTCAAACATCGTCCTCGGCGAAGGCCGCGGATTCGAAATTATCCAAGGCCGTCTTGGCCCCGGCCGAATCCACCACGCGATGCGCGCGATCGGCGCAGCCGAGCGCGCCCTCGAGTGGCTCATCGCCCGCGTCAACGACGAGCGCAAGAAGACCTTCGGTCAAGCTCTTGTTGCCCACGGTGTTATCCTGGAGTGGATTGCGAAGTCGCGTATCGAGGTCGATGCTGCCCGCTTCGTTGTCCTCAACGCTGCTATCAAGATCGATCAGGGTAATGCGAAGAGTGCGCTGAAGGAGATTGCGCAGGCCAAGGTGTTGGTGCCGCAGACTGCGTTGGCGATTATTGATCGTGCGGTTCAGGCTTATGGTGCTGCGGGTGTTTGTCAGGATACGCCGCTTGCGTATATGTGGGCTGGTATTCGGACTTTGAGGATTGCTGATGGTCCTGATGAGGTTCACTTGCAGCAGTTGGGTAAGCGGGAGAATAAGACTCGTAAGGATGCTGTTATTGCGAAGTTGAACTGGCAGTGTGAGGAGGCGGATCGTTTGCTTTCTGCTTCTGGGTTTAAGCCTAAGAGCCATCTGTGAGGGGTTGGAGCTCTGGTGAGATATTGTTCATATACAAGTAGTAGTTTGCTGCTTTGGTTGGCTAAATAAGATTCACACAACTACAACTGTCCTGCTTTCAACGTCTATACTTTTCCAAGGTTGATTTACGTTGGATTACATCCGTGGATGATGCGAAGGATATCTGGCTATAGCAGACCACAAGAGCGTCTACTAGGTATCAAGTTGCGACCACAACGATGGTGTAGAGAAAGATAGAATCAAGTGAATGAATGACTGGTATAGATCGTTATTCAACTCGTCAAACCCCCAACGCCAAAAAAGGTGACCTCAACAAAATGATGAACAGAAAGTTTCAATCCCGACATAAAATGCATTCCCATATGTAGGACCATATATCATTCATCCACCCAAGATCCAATGAACCCAAGAATGAGACTTCAAGCAGAGGAAGATGTGATCTTCCCACGGCCGAGCGCAACCACAATGCAACAAAAGAAAGAGAAACATGAAAAAACACTTTTTGTCGCCTTCTCTTCACCAGTCGTCCTCTTCGGGGTTGTTGCGCTTGCCCTTCGCCCGACGCTTGTTACCCTTGAAGTGCTTCTTGGAGTTTCCACCCTTGACCTCAGAGACATCAACGCCGCGTTCCAGAGCAATCATCATACGCTCTTTGCGACCCGTAGGCGCTTTGCGCATCTCCTGGCCTTGCTGAGTGTGTTTGGCCTGGAAGGGGAGAGTCATGCGACCAGCAGAAGGGCCAGTTTCTGAGCCGAAGAAGCCGGTGTCAAGGTTGCGGGAGGTGAGACCAAGCTCGGGCTCCACGGCAGTTTGATTAGGAGCTGACAGGTCCTCTGAAACAAGATCTTCCTTGAGTTCCTGGGGACCAGCAGGCTTCCCGATCTTTGCCTGGGCGATCTGGTTCCGGCGTCTTTCGGGGAGATGGGCGATGTCGTAGAGCTCTTCGTTGAACTCGGCACTGTCGTATGGTGTCTCGTCATCGGCGACGGGGGGAGGGTTGACCCAGAGGAGCTTTCCGTTGACGTAGTCTTTCAACACGTAACGGGCTGCGCGGGACTCGTCGGGTTGACCCAGACCTTGGGTGGAGAAACCGCGGGCGCGGGCGTAGGCGCGGAGAATCTCGCTGGCGGTTGGGACTCCGGTGCCACCTTCTTCGGTGGGGCGCATTCTGAGCTTGACACCGTACACTTGCTCGAAGAAGTGCTTGGGGATACGCTTGGCGACGATACCGGCGGGACCGGTGAACTCGCGCTGCTGGTCGATGGGCAGCACACCGTTGACAACGAGCTCGGCCTTAGTGGTGGCGAAGTTGGGGAACACGAGACCGGGACAATCGCAAAGCATGATCTCCGGGGAGAGGTACAAAGTTTGGAAATGCTTGGTCTTACCGGGGGTGGCAGAGACGGAGACCTTCTTGGCACCGAGGAGGGCGTTGATGGTACTGGACTTACCCACGTTAGGGTATCCAACCAGACCGATGGTGGTCTTCTGCTTGGGCTGTTCGCCGTCCTCTGCAGTCTGAGGGAGAGTTTCTGGGGAATTGGCCATGAAAAGCTCCTCGAGCTCTTCAGTGTCCAAGATATGAGGTCCGAGGGAGCGCTCGGGGTCAGCAAGCTTGGCCATCTCAGCTTCCACTGTGTCCTCCTTCTTATATCCATCATCCTCGTCGTCATTCACATTGATCTTCTGGGCAGACTTGGCCAGCTCAGAATCGGGATTACCCTCTTGCTCTTCCAACAGGGCAAGGGCCTCGTTCTTCTCCTTGGCGAGGTGAGCTGAGAAGAAACGGAAATTGATGTTATGCTTCTCGAAGTAGGTAGCCCAGGCCTGTCTCTGCTTCAGAGACAGCATATCAGCCTTGTTGACCAGCAGCAAGTTCTTCTTGCGCGAGTCGATCTGCTTGACATAATTTTCCAAATCTTCTGAGCGGAACTGCAACGGGTTTCGCGCGTCGACAATCTGAACGACAAGATCAGATCGCTCAATGACACGCCACAACTGGCGCCAGACCTCCAAGTTGCGCTCGAAGGGTGTCATGAGCAGATCGTGGTTCTCAATCAGCTCAGCCAGGCCTCGTCTCCAGTCCAACAGACTGGCCCTCTCCATCTGCTCAAGTTCATTGCGGGTTGTGTTTGAGTCCCACTTGGGTCGGCGGGGAACAGTCAGGCGATCCTTGTTCTGTTGGTGCTTCTTATAAGCCTTCCTCTCGTCGTTGGCGGAGAGGAGGAAGGGGTTCTTCTGATCGGAGTGGATGATCTTGACGTTGTTGATTTTTTCAGCGGTAAAGTCAGTACCGGCCAATTCGGCGGTGCTCAGGAATTCATCGAGCGCGGCTTGCTCAGTAATACTGCGCATCTTGACCCATGATGCCTCCTTGGCCTCGTTGGTGACGTAGGTCTCGCCATTTATGCCTGTGCGCTGAATGGCGTTGTTGTGAGAGGCCTTCTTCTGTGAGGATGCTTTGCCCTTTCCGAACCGATCGTTCATGAGACTGGCACCCAGCCCCACGGAGTTTTTGGATTTAGCCAGAACCATGATGGCAGTGACGTTTTGATCCGAATGTAAATGTTGGAAAAAAATGAAGTCAAGAGCACAACCCCACCTGAAAAAGGGAATTTTGGATTATTCAGACGGATAAGATAACGCTGACTCAGCCCCCTCTATCGGCCATTTGTTGCTTTTTTTTTCTTCTTCTTCTCTTCTTATTTATATAGAACTTGTTTATATGTCTATATATCTTACCTGGCTAATGAAAGTGTGTCAAAAAAAAAGAAAGACCATTGGAAAGAATTTAGAGATACATCATCATAGTGCAGCTGGAAGTGATACATGGGTTTTGATCTATAGAACTAAAGCGGGCCTGCTTAACGAGCCCAATGATATACTAGTACGGAGTACTATGTGCCCAAGTCTCCAAGCGAAGATGCACAATGAGTCAAATTGAAATCCCACCTAGATTGAAATTTGCAAACAGGATCCAGCCAAGTACTCCATAAAACACGCATAACGTCGGATCACTAGATTATAAACGCTTTAAGGACCCCCGGAGAACGAGGGGCGATAAGCACACACGTGACCATATCAATCCCACTTTTTTCTTTTTTTTCCATGCGCAACTTGTTTCTTGACCAACCTAAAGATGCCGCCCAAACAGTGGATGTATGTGCAAGAAACGAGACATGATTGTGCTGTAGCTGACCTTTTTCCAGTGACAAGAAGAACGCGAGCAAGTTCCAGCTCTTTCACCGATCGCAAAATGATCCGTTGATCCACGACGACAACGCGGAGGACCGTTTCCTATACCAGGTCGGCGGACCTGCTCCTGCGCCTGCGCCTGCGTCCTCTACCACTTCGAGGACCTCGAAAAAGCCTCTACCCAATCTTTCCGATCTCCAGTCCGAATATGGCGGCAAGGCTCGCCAGAATGAGGGTGAGGCTGCCACCCACGGTGTCTACTTCGACGACTCTAGCTACGATTACATGCAGCATCTTCGCGATCTGGGCACCGGTACGGGAGACGCCTACTTTGTTGAGGCTAAGGGAGAAAAGACCAAGGGCAGAGCTGGCCGAGGCATGAAGCTAGAGGATGCGCTGCGACAGGTCTCGCTGGTCGACAAAGATACCTACACTCAGAGCTCCTCCGGTGCGCCCAGTCTCTACGGGTCGCAGTATGGCGATATGCGATCTACTGTTTCATCCTATGCCCGCAAGCCCACCTACCAGGATCAGCAGAATGTCCCAGACGCAATTTCCGGTTTCAAGCCAGACATGGACCCTCGTTTACGAGAGGCTCTTGAGGCTTTGGAAGACGAGGCTTACGTGGAGGATGATGGTGAAGATGACATTTTCGGCCAATTGACATCCAATGCAGAGGAAATGGACGAAGGCGACTGGGAGGATTCCCTCTTTGACCACGATGAGGAGGATGATGGATGGGAGTCAGATGCCACCGAAAAAGCGCCTGTGCAGCCCCACAGCACAGATATCCAACACCAAGTGCCTGAAGAACCGTCAGAAGGCCCTGTACAACCGCCCTTGGAGCCTGGCGAGATGCCTGCACCTGACGAGCCTGCGCCCGACATGCAGCCCACTGACCAAGGGTGGATGAGCGAATTCGCCAAGTTCAAGAAGGACGCCAAAGCTGGCAACGCTCCTTCACGCGCTCCTCCCACTATTGCAGCATCCCAAACAATGGCATCGACCGTCTTCACTGCAGGCGGTACCCCCATTCGCCGCAAGAAGCGCAAGGGTGCTTTGACCAACCCCTCCGCGTACTCAATGAGCTCCTCCGCTTTGGCTCGTACCGAGGGTCATCGCCTTCTTGATGACCGTTTCGACAAGGTTGAGCAACTGTACGCGCTCGACGAAGAAGACGAGTACGATGACAGCATGTCTATGGTCAGTGGGATGACCGGTGCAACCGGCATGACTGGCATGTCCATGGCATCATCCCAGGCACCAAGCTTGGTTGATGGCAATGGCGAGGCAGTTCACAGCCGCAGCAACTTCAACAATGTCATGGATGACTTCTTGTCCAGCTGGGACCCCAATACCAGTGCCCAAGCGAAGCGCAACGGTGCCAAGAACAAGCGTGGCAGGAACGGTAACGAGGCTATTGGAATCAGAATGCTCGACGAGGTGCGATCTGGTCTTGGACCGGCTCGTTTCAATGACCGGAAGGGCAAGGCTGCCGGAAGAGCCTAGATGAAGGTATCTACTGCATATGAGACGACGCTCATTGGGAATAAGATCCCAGTCATGACATGGCGTTTGGATTTTTTTCTTTCTTTCTTTTCTATTTACATTTCCTTGTTATTTTCGGCATTCCCGTGCGTTAGGGTTGATATCTCTTGATGGCTAGACCAAAAGTTATGTTTATGTCTTCATGTCTTATATTCCAAGGTTGCGTTCTTACTCTCCACGGACGAGTATATTTTCTACAGTCGCCCACGAATTCACCCGCAATGCATTTGTATCTTCCAACTCAGCACTCCCTGCCGTATCGTAAAGTACGGCCAGGATCCCCTCTGCACGTGCAGCTTGGACGTCGCGAACTTGGTTGTCACCAAAGTAAATGATATCTTTCGTAGCAATGTTGTACTTCTTCAACACAGCGCCGAACAATCCATCCAATTTAGACCTGCCGATCTCGTTCGTCGTTACGAGAACATCGATGTAAGGATGTATGCCAAGTTCGTGTATAGTCCACTCCTGGGCATCTGCCGGGCCCTCAGTGATTACAGTGACCTTTTTTCCTTGTTGGTGGAGTGTCTGTAGCAGCTGCAAGGCACCGTCCTTGAGTGTCAAATTTGCCCGTAAAGAGTCACGGTATACATCTAACAGAGTCTCGAGAAGAACGGTATCAGTGATCCCGTGTGTCTGTAGGAGACGGTCGAAACGTTCCCATCGGTACTCTGTGGAGGTTCTGCCGTCTGTGAAGGCATTGGCGGTTGCGTTGCGCAGGATGACTTGGTATGAATCTTTCAGAGTATCAATGCTGAGATGATTGTGTGCAGTGTGAATAGTTTGAAAAACGTGGTCTGAGGCCGAGGCCGATGCTCGCCGGAACTCGTGGAGGGTGTCGTCTAGATCAAAGCCAAACCAAGGTTTGGAGAAGAGGTCTTGAGAGGACATATTTATGTCCAGCACGTCACCCCGCTTGTTCATATGAACGTGAAAATAAACATCAAACGCCAACCATGCGAAGGTAGAGATCCGCGAAGCCACCAATGTATGAGTCAAGTGCCTAAGTGGAGACGGTCGATGGTGTGATAACCTCAGAAATGAACGAATGTAGATATGGATGTTGCAGTATATTACAAATTCACTATTATGTCAAAAGAAATGTACAGCTCTAGAAAGCACCGCCGACCTTCTCCACGATCCACATGGAAAGCCTCACGTTCCAAGTCACACGACGCTCAGTCCGCCTGAGGTCATCCCTTGAGACAGGACTAGCGTCTTTCTGCAGACGCTCTGTCTCCTCACCAAGCTTGCGCTTGAGCTCTTCATCAGTGGTCACAACCAGCGCACCAGCCTCGAGATCTAAGCTGTAGCTACGCTTGGTGTAGTTGCTACTACCGACGAAAGTGAGACTGGGGTGTTGCTCGTTAGGCAACGTAACCCAAAGACCTTTTGCGTGGTAGGTCCACCCGCCCGGCGTGCCGACCGTTCCCTTGCGCCATTCTTTGAGCTGAATGAAATCAGAAGCTTTCGCCTTGGCAACACGGTCGAGGAATCGAGCTGACAGGTGTGTGTATGCGGCTGGTAGCATCCCCGAAATTCCGGATGAGCCGTAGAATCCATTGGCCCATGGCGAAGCCGTGAGAACTGTGCCCTGAGTGGTGGTAGGCGTGTTCGAGGCAGTAGTTGTGCTTGAGATTAGGAGGGAGGAGAGGACGGGGTGGATATTAAAGTATCCTGCTGTGAAAAGCCAACGCGCTCCGGCAAATGCCGATGAGCTAGATAGAAGGCCCAGCACGGTTGACACGGCGGGGAAATCGGTGGATGTATCGTTAGGTTGCAGAAGGGAGGTAAATTGTGATACAGGGTATACATATGTCCGACTTTCTTCGGATGCAATTGCAGGTTTATTGTCGGTGGACCGGACGATCGGGGTCAGATAGGTCGAGGAATGTTTGATGAAGTCTTTGGGGCAGTCGAGGGGAGACGGAGCCTTGTTTGCGGCAGGCCAGTTCAACACATATTTGGACTTGTCCTGAGGGTCTGGGAGCACCTGGAAGCTCAGGTTGCAGATCGCATGGTGGATTGTAGAGTAGTAATCGGCAAGAGCCTTCACGCTGAACACATGATATCGGTCCAGTCGGTGGGTGAAGTATTCTTCGGACAAATTTGCGCTGAGAACATGTTAGCATCCTTGTTCAAACCAAGATTCGATCAACATCGTACCCCGACAGAATGATTTCGTCGTCAATGCCATACAGCTTCATGTGTTGCAAGCCCCAGCCTTCATTTATCCGACGAGGAATCCATTTCTTCTTCCAGCCAGTCAAGTTGGGTGTATGGAACATCCGAATCTCAACACGTTCCGGTCCATACTCTGCCACCAACGAGCAGAGAAGCGACGCACATGAAGGATTAGGGGTTTCTCGTGTGCCGCGAAGAGCGTCCGTCAGAATCGAGACCTTGAGATCCGGGTTGTTACGAAGACCATCGCTTATGGCTTCCACAAGATCATGCTCTGTCTTGCCGATGTATAAAGTGGAGAGGTAAACGCGCCGCCGGGCATTGCGGATTTTATCCTGCACAAATTGACGTTAGGTCTAGCAAGTGATGAGAAGGATAGTCCAAGATACCTTCAATGTGGAATAGAAATTGGCTGGAGTATCAATGATATGAATCTGAGACGCTGGCACCTCGAACCGAGGCGCAATGCGATCTAGCTCCGCGGTGATTCCTGCTAGAGGTGAAGGGGCAGATGCAGCAGTTGTAGCCCCGGTACCGGTATGCGCAGAGAAGTTTCGGGCGCACAGTCTCCGACGTGCGACCGGGCGCCTCGAGCAACGAAGTGCTTGACCTCCAATTCGACCAAACATGTCTGAATAAACCGGAGACTCGAAGGATTTCTGAATCGGGAAATCCCATGTTGGGTGCAAACAGTGCAAACACACCGCCCTTCTGCAACCTCAAATCACCAATCTCTCGCATCCCATTCGCTCCACATTATACCAGCAAAGATGTCGACCATTGTGAGGACGCTGCGCAACCTTCGCCGGGTCGGCTTCAAGGTCAGTCTCTCCTCGATATTGCTCTCACACAGACTCGGTCACTAACTCCCCACAGGATGCCGCCCACCAGATGCAGGTATGACCGCACACGCTTCCCCCGGATGACCAGGCCAATTGGATAGGATTGGGGCTAACAAAGGTTCCTTCGCTGTGATATAGAACATTGGTATGTTGTTATCAAGCTGGGATATGCGCGGCAGCTGATTGACAATTCATCGCAGGTGATACCAAGGCCGGAACTCTGATCGGTACTGATCGCTTCGGAAACAAGTACTTCGAGAACATGACCGAGGAATTGCCCCGTAAGGAATCCATCCGACTCATCCTATTTTGAACTGGAACATAGAGCTCTAATATCGTCTGCCCGCTCAGTCCGAACACGATGGGTCGACTACAAGGAGGCCGAATACGACGCATCTCACATTGAGCCCGGCTGGTAAGCTCTTTGCCTGAGACACAGACGGGAATATTTCTCAAGGGATATGGAACTAATTGTATACAGGCACGCCTGGATCTCCTACCTCGTCGATGCGCCCCCATATGCCGACAAGATCATGCAGACCGGCGTCCGTCCCTGGGAGCTGGCCGAGCACCGCGCCAACCCAACCCTCAGCCGCGCTGCTTTCAAAACATACTCGACGTACGTGTGCCGATGAATTGGAATCTGCTGTGATCTCGCGCTAACTCATTCCATACAGTACCCGGCCCAAGATCTCTGCTTGGACTCCCACCGCTGCTCCCCGCTAGACTTATTTGCAGTAGCAGTCAATTCAAGTTTCGTTCTGTTCAACCAAACTGAACCTCTAGTCGCTCCATGAAGCGCTTGTTTGAAGGTCTTGGGAAATGTATATAAAGACGTCTTACCGGTAGTTGCTTCCAAGGTTATTTTTTTATGAAGAAAGTCTGTTTTCAAAAATGCGCTTGAAACGTTGTGATATTAGGCTAATCCACATGACAAAACCGAGGTATCTCATTTGTTAAACATCCAAAAAAGACATGCGTTGCCAGGAGGGGGAAATGAAGTAGATACAAGAAGATAGTGACACCCAAAATTTTGATGACCATCACAGAACATAAACACCCGAACCAATGTTCGACCAGTGACGGATTGGTCGTCGATCCTCCAATTCAATACACCACCACAGCACCTGCTTGAGCTTTTCAATCTGCTCGCCAGCCTCGTAAGCCCTCGATAGCGCATACCAAGCCTCAGAACTGTCCCAAGAACTACCAAGTTTTGTCAGGGCCGAGAGAAGACCATAGGCACGATCGCGGGCCGCGAGACGGTGGAGCTGCTTGGGCTCAATATCCTGTGCGGACGAAGGTTCTTCAGCGGGGTCTGCGTTTTCTGTCTCCCGTGATACCTTCAGGTCATCAGTGGAGATAGCCTTGGCAGACTTGGGCTTGGGGGTTTCTGCCAGCAGCGACAAACGCGAGGTGTTGAGATCAACGTCCGCGTTTGAGGGCTCAAGTGTGAGCGTCTCGTCCCAGATGTCTAGGAGAAGATTCGCGAGCCCGATCGTAGCAATCGGGTGATCTTGGTAACGCAGCAGCGCGTCCTCAAAGTGCCTGATAGCATGGTGAGGGTTTGATATGGCCTGGCACAAAAGGCCCTTTTCCGCAAAGACATCAGCCCACAGCTCTTCGGAGCTCTTGGACGCGCCCCAGCCGCGCTTGCTAAAGGACCGAGCGGAGGATTCGTTGGACGCAACAAGCGCCTCAACTCGCGCTACTTGTTTCGAGGCTTCTTCACAAGCCTCGCGGGAATCATCGAACATAGAAGCACGGCGATAAAGTCCAGCAATAACAAGCCAGATCTTGACAAGCAAGCCCAAGGCTTGCTTCTGGGATTGAACCAAAGAGAACTTTGTAACGGCGTTTGTAGGAGAGTCAAAGCGCTGGGAATTTGTTTGACGGACATCTAGTAGCGCCAGTGGTTCTTTCCTGGTATCGAAGGGCTGTGGGATGGGTGGTAATGGATGCGGACTCCTGACAGGTTGAACTGCATAGTCCGGAGTCGAATTTCCAGAGACTGCGATGCCAACCATCTCTGCAGATGTCTCAATTCCATTAGGGAGCGGGGGCTCCTCGACGCGTGGTTTCTCGCCCCTATGGAGACTCGAGCTTCGCTTCTTCTTTAGCCGTTTGGAGTCCGCTCTTTGAATTGTGCATTGCTTTCCGTGGCGACTTAGAGGATCTTCGTCTGTTACTTGGATCGCTGGGGCATCCGAGGCGTGGGCAGGGGGAATAGGTGGTGTGGGTGGAATGAAGGAGTCGAACCCGTTAGGCTGGCTGATACTTCGATCCGGTAATTGGGACATTCTTCGACCGAAGATACTGCTGCGGATGCTCTTAGCTGTCCCAGCAGAACTTTTTGGTGGCACGAGATTGTCACTTCTGGCTTTGTTCTGCCCGGTCTCAAGGTTGAGGTCCTGGAAAAGGGTTCCAAATAAGCCCAGCAACTGTGTGCTGTGGTTGACAGCAGCTTCGGGGCCTTCCAAAAGCTCAATGAACGCGAGTTGTGTGATGCGGGTTTGGACAATGCGTTCTTTCTCCCGCCCTTGCAATCGACTGACAACCGGGCGTTGGCTGGAATTATGTGAATGTCTGGATGACCGTCGATCCCGACTGCCCTTTGAGAATATCTCTCGGGGGAACTGTTCAAACGCAGCTTCACACGAACGGCCAGCAATTTCAAATTCTTGCTTCGCACTCAGCAATAGTGCAAGCAAATGCCAAAGAGAAACGAGGTCTCGTTCTTTCGAAAGATCATCGGAAACCGCTGTAGGTGAGCCGCTTGGGGTCAAAGCCGATTTGATATAGTCGATGGCAGTGTCCAATTCTCTGTTTTCGGCCAAGACGAGGCCGAGTGTATAAAGAGAAGCATAGCTCGTGCTGCATCCGTGTTCCGGCGCGAGACTTTTCTCAAGATAGTCAATTGCCTCGGATCTAATCTCATCGCGAGCTTCATTAACGGGAGTCCAGTTTGCCCAGCATGCAAGACCAACACCGATGGCGCGATAAGACGAAGCCAGCACCGTAGGGGGGATAATCGGCGAAATAAAAGAGCTACTTCCGTTGACATGACCATTTGCAACAGATGGGTCATGTTTCTCAGTATACTCTTTTATCATGTCAGTGAGGTCTCGAGCTTTCTCGGCCTCCTCAAAGGAGCCCAGGCAACTTAATAAAGTCACGCCTTCAGAGAGCGTCTGCAATAAAGTTTCATCCTTCTCCAGTTCACCATACTCGGCTGACTTCTCGGCCCTCTCTTTGGCAGCAGTGACAATCTCAATATATGAATCGAGCGCCTTCAATGCAAGATCAAATTCGGCCAAGGCGGAATGGACATGGAACAGACGCCGGAGTACCAAGTGGGAATGGTAGGTCTTTGTCGCTGCGCGATATAAAATCTGAAATCGACAGATTTAGCATGTTGAAATCCATTAGTATTGGTTTTGGTGCTCACCTCCAATACATTGCGGCCAATAGCATTCTGCCCTCCTTCGCCAAGGTCTGAATCTTGCCATTCAGGGCCACACATGATTTCCCAATTGCTGATTACTTGCTCGATCCACTCTTCGACTTGCAAGTTGTGTGAATCAGCTGTAGGGAATTTGGTCTCACGAAGAAAACTGCCTTCGCAGATGGTCTCTACGCGACGTAATTCATTTGCCTGCTGAGGGCGTTGCGGTCCGTCGTTAGGGCCGGTGTATGGGAGCCCCGTTTGAAGAACAGTTGTGAGGAATGCATAGTAAGCGGTCCAAATGGATGTTCGAGAGGCCGGTGTGGAGTCATCCACATTAGATGGCGCAGGAGTTCCTTGTTTCACAGAAGGATGAGCCGCCCAGGATCGAAGTAATTGCAAAGCAATGTCCACATGTGAGGGATCCGAGCGGATTGGATCCCTGCCCGCTTCCTCACTAGCCAAAAGAGCACCTTTGCCCAGCAGAGATTCCGACCAACTGAGGAATTGAGGGGTAGTGATTGAGGATAGCTTGCCGCCACTAAGCCACGGAATTAGAGATGAAAATGTCCGCAGCGTATCGTCGATATTCGTAACGGCGGACTGTGCATTGGCTGAGGATATGTCAGTAACAGCACGGGAGTAATACCATCAGTAAACAAACCCTTGATGTAGCAACCCTTCACCAAACAGACTTCGGTCCAGGGAGTCGGCTCCTCACCACCACCCGCCAAGCTATCAACTGTCGCAGCAAAGTCTCTGGGTAGACGCGCTGCCGCCAGCCCGGGTTCATTCAACACCCAGTGGATCCATCCCAGGCAGACCTGCGCTTGTAATAATTCTTGGGGCGATCCGTCGCTGTTCTCGATTGTCATCAACAAAGCAGGGATGAGTTCGACGAGGCTAGGCGTCAATGAGGCATCACCGGTGGACACTTGTCGAAGGTGTGCAATCACTCGCGATTCGGCCGTTGCGGTCTGTATCATGCCTAGATTGGAACAGCTCAGTTAGGATGAGATCAACAAACGAGGGGTCAAACCTACAAGTTTTTTGCGGTGCATGCTTTGTAACTTTTCTGATCAATTCGGGCACCTCGTCCCAGTTCCCTAGGCTCCGCGCCTGGTCCAAGGCTGCGCCGTAGCGCTGCCCCTTCTCGGCATTACCTCCCTGCACGTGTCAACAATAAATACTGGGTGGTAATGAGGACTCGATATCGAATACCGAGTGGACGGGGAAGCCCTGGAGGCCAGAATAGCACTTACAGGCATAATTTAGGAGGTTCGTGAATTGGAGAAGAGAGGAAGACAATCAAGCTTCCAACATTCTGAGGCCGATGATCGTCTACCTCGCAGGGGTGGAGAGCGGATTACGTACGTGACGGTAATTTAACACCGAGGCTTCACATGGTCCAAGCTTTTTGGCAGAAAAAAAAGTTGCGGAGATACTTTCGTTTTTTTTCTTGTTGTTGCTTCATTCCCCTTTCATTGCCAGGCGCATTTTTGAGCTTGGGTCACCTTTCCCGTCATGACTTCGGCTACTTTGCGCGCGATCACGCATCGCTTAACAACGACCCCCGTGGAGCAATTGCCCTCCAAAGCCTCCTTGCTTGCGACTTCATTGAACGATTGCGCCGCCCTCCTCTCGGCCCCGCAAGCTCAGAAATCTGGAAAGTCCGATAACGAAAATGCTGTTCAAATCCATAAGTTGAAGACTAGATTGGCTAGTCTGCTGCAGGATCGCAGTATCGAGGGAAGATGGACAGCTGTGGTTTTGGTCAAAGCTGCGGTCGAAGCTGGTCAATGGGAGATCTTACGTGGATATGAGCCCATCGTTCGCAGTTTGATTGGAATTCTAGCGGTACGAATGAATTTGCAATTCCGATGTTTCAATATTCGGTTGTCTAACTTTCCCTAGAAACCCGATCCCATCTCCACGAGAAAGATGTGTATCATTACTCTCACTCGGATCTTCCACCTCACATACCAGTACCCAACGCTTGTCCGAGAGATTACGACCCCTCAACTTCCAGGATTTATCACTGCCGCTCTGAACTTGGTTTCCACCGCGACCAAGACCTCTTCGGGCTCAACCCGCAAGTCGAAGCCTAACACCCCGTTCATGGAGATCGTTTTGCACGCCTTGCTGGAATTGATCCCTAGACATATCACAATCTTCCGACCATTCAGCTCCCAGCTTCGATCTCTTCTCCAGGAGGTGATTGGATCCTCATCAGTGTATTTCCCGAGTCAAGTCGTTCAAGCCGCGGAGCAATTGCTTGTCTCTCTTCACAAGTGTGCACCGAAGGACCAGGCGACTACTGGGTGGAAAGACGATTGCAAATCAACGATTCTTGCAATTCATCAAACGACTGACAATGTATACCGGGCCGTGGTGGAACAATGGGAGTCAGTTGATGGGAACTTGACTCACGCACGACCAAACTGTAGCCAAGAAATAAGCAGTGAGGGTCCGGATAGTCTTGGACTGCCAGCGTGGCAGGGACTGCACGCAGGTGTGGATAGACTTGTCGCGCTTCTAGAGATTCTGTCTGGGTTCCTATCGACCCCATCTGCTGCTGCCGTTGCTCTCCCCTTGGGCGCTATCCTTGATGTGACCTCTAGGCTTACAGCTGTGACCGTTCCCTTGAACGGCGAACCATCCCAATCCGGCATCCAGTTCAACAAGGAAATCAGCCGCGATGAGCGGGAGGGACTTTGGATGGAACTTCCTCGGATCCACATCGCCTGTATGGGTTTGCTTTCTAACGTCGTTGGTGTATTGGGAACCAGCGCCACTTCGGTCACACAGACCGTTCTGGAACAGGCAGTCTGGACCTTCAAGGGCGAGAACTTCAACACTGACCTTCGTTCTGCCGTCTACGGTTTACTTCGTTCCCTGGTGCCCTTGAACGGACCTGCAATGGCGAAAGAAAGTGTGGTCTCTTTGACCAACGTTGTGCGTTCTTGTTGTCACGATCTTCTCCCCCCGGTTGAAAGTTCAAACCAAGCAGCAAACCCTGGCTCCGATCCCAAGGCAAAGCCAAAGGGTGGCTATGGGGCAAACAACGCGGATGCTTTCTTGAACATCGAGTTGCAGAAGTCTCGTCAAACCCAAGTGTCTTCTCCGCTTTTGGATCTGCAACAGAATGCATCCGGTCTTTTGCAGGCAATCCTGGTTTCAATCCCCGCCGAGCTTGTTCCGCCATCCGTCAGAGCTGAAATCGACCGCACCATCATCCTGACAACCGATAAAGAGCCTATGCTCGCAAGTGTTTTGAACCCGGTGCCCGCGGCAAAGGGCCGCGGCGCAGGCTCCAGTATCATCCCATTCCTGGTCCGGCCTTACGCCGACCAGATGGAAGTGGAGGCTCTGGTCCGCCCTAGAATGCCTGTCTTGATGACCGCCCCGGAGCTTGATGCCTACATTGATGAAGACGAGGAGGAAGTGGAAGATGAAGAAATGGTCGATGATGCATACAAGGCTGCCCCCAAAACCGCCGATTTCTTGAAGCAGCCCGTCTCAATGCCCATTCATGTGCCACAGGCGGAACAGCCCAAGGCCGCAGACCCAGTTCCCACCTTCCAGAAGAGAACATACACCGAGGAGTCCACGACGCAGGAACCGGCACCCAAGAAACAGGATGTTCAGGACAAGAAAACACGTTTCGAGGAGCTTGTTCCAACCGCCTCCACACCACAGCCATTCTCTCAACCCGCTCCTTCAATCACTCAATCGGAGGCCCCTAAGGTGTCTGCCCCTGTCTCCACGACTTCTACCACTGTGACCACGCAGGTCACAGAGGAAGAAGAGGATGACAGTGGTGATGAAATGCCCACCCTCAACGTCGACTCTGATACCGACGAAGAGGATGACGATGTTACGATGGACGGTTAACTGTAAATATATGTGTCCGATTGTTCATTATATAATATCCCTTTGAACCCATGACGGTGACAAGGAACTCAAAAAGATTATGATTTATTCATCCATGCCATTCATCTCACAAAACCCGTATACCACTTCCCCAATATGTACCATCACTCCAATATCGGAACCAGGGTTCTCTCCAACACCACCAACCTTCACCTTGCATTCCGAATCCAAGACCACGCAATGGACTAAATGGGACAGGCTCCATTAGCCACAGGCCTCCTCTCGCAAAGTCATCTGCAATGAGACAGCCCGAAGCCATCAACCAGCAAAAGACAATCGAAAAATTTGCCGTCCGTCTCACCCATCTGGGTGTACCGTCAAGGGGCAGTCTTGGGAGAACACCAGTCTTGAACACCTGCTCCGCCAGTATTGCAACGCCCTGCAAAGCGAAGAACAAAAACGGCCCAGATACCGGACGTGTAGTCGCAAGCTGAGTGCGGCTTCCGCAAGCATGGATGAGACCGCTGATGCAGAAAGCCACCGTCACGTACACAAAGCGTCTGAAATTCAACCGAGAAGTCAGGCTGGTAGGTAAAAAGGATAGAATCCATCGTGCTGTATTCACAAACCCATTTCGAAACAGCTGGTGCCACCATTTGCCCCAACAGCCCGCCAGTCCATTATCAAGGACAGGTTGGATGAAAGGTCCGAATGTGTCAGAATACAACCACGAAGTTCCCAGCGGAGCAGCAGTGAGGCCCCGGGCTGCATTGGGGAATGCGAGAGACAGCCCGAGGAAGAATATTGCGTTCAATGGGGTAACAAATTCAAGGGCAACATAGACACTTCCAGCGCTGTATAGGCAGCGACAGAGCTGGGCTAGAACAGGGTGAATCTCCAGCCCTGGGAAGTAGAAAAATGGAAATGGTGGAGGCGAAACTGAATAAGATGGAGCAATGCCACGGAAATATGGGTCTGGCATCAGTATAATGACTTTCAGGACATCCAAAATGAGATATGAGATGAAAAATCTGCGAAATGCAGCCCGGACTCGCTCTTTAGCAGTTGGGAACGTAGAGTCTTCTTGTGCTTTGATATTCTCCGTGAACCCCGAATGCAACTGGACATGAATTGATCGAGGCAATGGGCCTAAATGAGGAGCTCGCCAATTCCACTCCGGTCCTCTAAGATTGAAAAACAATCCAGCACACCACTCCAGACGATGCGAGAACTTGGCAGGGTAAGACTGCCAGACAAATGCATCACTTTCAAGTCGTTTGGATGATGAATCATTCGAAGCAGGATTGTTGTTCTGGTCAAGTTGCAAATCCTGGAGTTGCCCGCTAGAAGGCTTTCTTTCGATACGCTTGTGATCACGCTCAAGATCCGTGAAAATAAACAACGTGGCAGTCCATATCAGCCACCATGCGGTCATAAGCCCGAGCATGTAACCATTTCCTCCAACGACCGCGCGACGGTTTTGAAAGATTTCTATGGCAATGCCCACACAGACAGCAAAAAGCACTTTCCGAATATGATGGCCGCCGCTGCTGCGTGGAATGGCAAGGCCTATCATGGGCAAAACATGAATTATGACCACATGGTAGAGAAACATGGGCTTATAGACACCCTGGTCGATCAAGATATCTAGCTCGCTCTCATAGCTCTTGGCAAGATCCCTGTAGGAGCCATAGCGGGGATCGGCCATGTGGGACGCCACTGCCTCGGTGGTGCGCTAAAACCAGGGTGCGGGTTATTCGAAAATTAACGCTTGGCACAGACCAAATTCGGCCCAAATGCGGTCCCTAAATGCGGTTCGGGAATAATGCAAGATGTAGAATGAAGAATGAACAGTATCTGTGGCACAACGACGTAGCCAACGTGAGAATGTCACAAATCAGGATATACGTGGTCACGTGGTCTTTTATTTACACCTCAGGCCGCAATTTTAATTTTTATCTTTCACATCTATGTGAACAGGGTCAATTGCCTATCTCATTTTTTTGAAGTGATCCATTATCTGGAAAGTCTGTGGATCTGTGGCTTGTCCAAGGGTCCCGAGGTCAGATATGAAAATTATGGGGCAGCGGAGCATCTCCGGAGTGCGGTATCTAATGCTCGGAGGAGCTCCCCTGTAAATATTGCGGGGATCACCATGACCGGCAACTAGAGATAGCTCCAAAATCGATCCATAAGCCATTGTCAGCGAGAAAATTAGTATTGAAAACTACGCTGTAAAAAACTTCATTCCAAATTGTCACACAATTTACAGATTTGTGTTTGGAAGTCAAGCTTTAACAATGTCACTGAACGATATTCAAGGTCGCTTATCCCTAATTACAGGCGCATCGGGAGGGTGAGCTACCCCTTTGCTCTTATACTTCAATATGTGAATACAAAACAGCTAACGGTCATCGTTATCTTCCAGCATAGGTGCAGCTTGCGCGCACCAGCTCGCACAGCATGGAGTTCATCTCGCCCTGACCTACTCAACCAACTTAACATCGATGAAGGAAATTGTTGCCGACATTCAGTCTAAAAACGCCGATCTAAACCTCCGTATCTCCATACACCAAGTTGATGTCGGATCTGCTGATCAGATCGAGGCCATGTTCCAAGAAATTGATGCTAAACACGGCCACCGACCAGACATACTTGTTTCAAATGCTGGATACGGCAAGCGCATCCCCGATGTGTCAGATATCTCCCTTGAAGAGTTTGATTTTACTATGAATATCAACTTAAGAGCTTCATTCATCTTGGTAAAGGGCGTTGTGGAGCACATGAAAGCTCAGAAATGGGGGCGCATCATCTTCATGTCCTCGATCGCTGCTCAGGGTGGTGGCATCAATGGTTGTCGTAAGTTCATCCCTGTTCCACACTGATTTTCTTTTAGGAAAAGGGAATAAACAAATCACGAACGTATCCTCTGACCAAGTTTCTTCTTTCAGATTATGCAGCGTCAAAGGGTGGTCTTTCGGGTATGATGAAGAATCTCTCCACCCGCCTCGCCGAGTATAACATTAGTGTCAACGATGTGGCACCGGCTATGATTGGCGATACCGGCATGCTTTCCTCTGCGGCAGCATTCCCTGAAGTGGCGGCCAGCGTTCCACTCAAGCGTCTGGGAACGCCTGAAGAGACGGCAAATGTTGTGACTATGTTAGCGAAAACTGGTTACATGACTGGTCAAAGTCTCTTATTGGCGGGAGGACTCAAATAAGAATTTACACTTTGTATTTTATGTCGGGTTTTCTTGCCAATTCCAAGTCCATTTGTTTTGTAAACAGCAAGCCTACTCCGTAGGGATTGCATTTTCGAGTTAGTCTTGCCAGGGGTTTAGCGTCCCAGTTGTTCTGTTTTGTAATGTGTCAGAGTGTTCGACGTCTTAGTTATAATTCACAGCATACTTCCAACATTCTGTTACGGATCACTGCCACCTTTCAAGTTAAGGAAAAGTATCTTTGAGATTATCCCGAGGTCTCTCAGGAATTTTGCATGACCCACAAGGCCGAATTACGGAGTACAGTACGGAGTATGTGCGGGAACATGGCGATCACAGCTCCACAAAGCCATCCGCGATAAATACATATCACCTTATGTTCGTTTGAGAAATTCGAGGAAGGTAGCTGGATATATCTTGTACCAAGGTCTTCCACACACTTGTAGCTTTCTGTTGGGGTTTAAGGGTACTAACTTACTCCAGACGGACAGCCTGATTGGATTGTGTTTGACTGGTTTGCTTTGATCATGTCATGTGACAGTCGGACCCGTGGACTCCCCTTTTAGAGCCTCCTGCTGCAAATACTCAAAGGAGTCACAGCACTTCTCAAAATGCTGTCGCAGCTATGGAAATATTGTGCGAATGTTCATTCAGCTATCAGATCTCTTCTTTACGGCTCTTTTGGCTTCATCCATCGCCTAGTGCCTCCTTTCATAAAGGATTATTTGTCCACACGTGAAGAGCCTCACAATCTTGAGCGGTGCGGAGGCCCTCTATCAGAGAATGATTCTCCAACTATCGCGAAGAACCACGTTTTGAGGTTGGATGAAAGGGATGAAGTTGTCTTTCCCAGCATAAACCCAGATCTTGTCCCCTATGAGCCTTTCAACGAAACATTGGGTCAAGGCTCAACCTCATTAATAGCAAGAATAAAACCGGGTGTCGTCATCAAATATCCCAGGTTCTCGTGGTGGCATTCTGAGGCAGCCGATTCACACGCTCTTATAAAGGATATCAAGCGTGGTTTCGAGGTTGAAGAGCGACTTTTGGATATCTTAGGGGCACACCCTAGAATAATACGGTATGTCAGCCAGAGCCAAGCGGTTCCCTCTGTTAATTTTTTATTCGACTACAGCTATCTTGGTATCTCAGAGGAGCCTCGTGGATTACTCTTCGAAGAAGCTAGTGATGGCAATTTACAAATTTACATCGACCAGCATCATGATGCTATCGATCTATGTCTTCAAAAAAAGTGGTGTCGGCAGGCAGCAGAAGCCGTTCACTATATTCACCAAAAGGGTGTCATTCATTCCGACCTACGGCCAGAGAACTTTTTATTACACTCCGACTCCAAGGGCAAGCTCGATCTTCTACTCTGCGACTTTGGTGGATCAATGAGTGGTGAAATTGACGGTGGACATCTTCCAGATTCAGGGTTTTTTAACCCATGTAAGCCATGGGTGTCAACAGAGGCTGTAGACATCTTCAGCCTGGGGTCGGTTTTTTACACGATAATGACCGGCCATTGGCCCTACAAGTCTCCTGGGCCATTCAATTCCATGGCAGAGAAAGAAGACTACGATGAATTGGTAGACACGCTCTTTGCTTCTCAAAAGTATCCTCCGGTCGATAGTATACATGGTGGTACCGTGATACAAGGATGTTGGACTGAAAGATACTACGATGTAGGGGCACTCATTCGAGATCAAAATTTGTCAGATAGGTAGGAGCTATTCCATACAGACATAGACAGGCTCATACAGCACTCTGAACATAAGTACATTCATGTCCGATCATTCTGCTTCATTCTGCAAGTCCAGACCAGAACAATGATTCAACTTCGCAGCCCTCAGCTAACAAAACAGTCTTGTCATAATTCTCTGGATCCCACCCAAATTTAGGTCGAATTTTATGGGTTTCTGCAACCGTGGGTTCCGCATTTTCCTTTCACACGGGTTGAGCCCAGCGAGTTTTCCTTGCGACCTGGGCAAGCGGAGGTGCCGATCTTGGAACAAGGCTGGAAGTTGACATCTTCCTTGATCCTATCGCCGCACTGGTAGATCTTGATGGTAACATTCACGGTGCACATGCTGAAATCGACATAAGTAAGTTGACGAGATGTACGTTTGTGGTCAAGACGTACCTGACAGAGTAAAAGTCTTGGACTTTATTTGTTTCTCAACTGGAAGTTGCTTGAGGGTGATTTTCTTTTGGAGGGAGATTTCGGTGTTCGATCTTGTTGAAGGGAAATAGTCGGGGGGGGGTTCATTTTATAGACAGTCTTGGGGGCCTCGGCGGTTGTAAACTCTTCACTATCCAACAGTTGCGCCTGACAATCACCAAAGCCAATAGCATGCATGTTGTAAGCCCTTTTTCCAACTAATACTGCAAGGCAGACATCTATCAGTGGTTGTAAATTGCTCACCTTCCAACAGTTGCGCCAACAATCACCAAAACCAACAGTTTGCATGTTGATTACCATGTCATCCACTATTCCAACAAGGCATACATCCATCAGTGTTGGAAAATGAGTGGCGCATGATCATTGCGCTCTGAGAGCGTAGGCAACAACTAGGTTGGCGGCTAGGTTGGTCAAAATGCAGATCCAATCACAGCTCCTCACGATGCCACATCCTCTCTGGTATGACCAAAAAGTGATTTCGAGGAGCCTCCCAGTACCGAATGTCGTTGTTGGAATGAAACTGCTGGATAACTCTGCCATTGGTCATAGACTGCTTTTAGGACACCATTTGCCACGACCCTTGAAATTTATGCCTTGTGTTATTTAATATACAGGGGCTCTAGAGCCACCTGACCGAGTACTTATGTCAGTATCAGGCATGAAAAAAGAGTATCTTCTGTCATACTTCGCGCCTCCCCTGGATGGGTGGTTGGCACGCCTGACTGTCAACTCCAGGGCTGTAGCTGAAGGGGAACCAATTTTGGATGGGATCTTAATCACTAACACAGAAGAGTGAACAACTTGATAAGTTGGACGCTAAGATCAGCAGTAGAGAATGACCATACCAACAATTTCGGGTGGGTCATAGCGGTGTTCCAGGGCAGTGAGTTGCTGGAAATCTAAATTAACAGTCTAAGAGGGAAGAGGTAACTAGCCGTTTTGGGGCCTAGAAGCAGCTGTTTTTAACCAACCCACGGACCTTCCCGGATCCTTCCTCATATTCTACATGTGCGATGTAATTTGCTGCAAGATACGAAAGTTGAATGGCCAATCTGTTCTTTATGCATTCTACACCTTGATGGATGTAAATTGAGAGAGAGAGAGAGAGAGAGAGAGCATATTTTTGAAAACAAAAACACAAATTGTAAAGACTAAATGGAAAGACAAGAGGGAAGAATTCAAAGAACCTAGACACACCACGGGGGCAATGTACTTCGGGTTTTCCACAGGTCCAAAAAGTCCCAAGGTTGGGCTTGAAGAAAAGATTTGATCACACATAGAAAAGCATCATCGAGTTAAAACGCTACATAAATATCCATCTCTCTCACAATCTGTTGAAACCTATAATTCGCAAAGACCGGGGTAATCATAAAAAACAGCACACTCCTGCAACATACATTTCATCGGTTAAACGGGCAAAACAACCTTCACACCCATGTACTCTCGCTGGTGCATAATCTTGCCATCAATAAGGACTTGGTCGGCACCAACACTGTTGCGAACCTGGTCGGTAGGGTCGGTAGCAGTGGCGATCTGAATCTCGCGCCATTGCTTGTTGGTGGGAACCAGCTTTCCTTGAGAAGTGAGGTTCTTGAACTCCTTGTAAACACCTTGCTCCTCGATGCATCCTTCTCGTTGGATAAGAGGTGAAGCTATTGTTCTGTGTTAGTGTAGTTCTTGTAGTTCCAACATCTGGCAGGCTTTTTCACTCACATGTAGCAGGGCCCATGCGTAAATCACCAAGAGAGCTGTTGAACAGCACCAATGAGAGACGCTCCTGATCCAGCTGATCAACAGGGGGCTTGTAGACACGGTGACGAGTAGCCTTGAAGTGACCACCGGAAACAATCTCCAAAGTATCACCAATGTTAATGACAAGAGCACCGGGCTTGTAAGGCACGTAGTACCATTTCTCATCACGGCCCCAGATCTGGAGACATGAGATGGGAACAGAGAACAGAAGTGTAGTCAGACCGAAGTCGGTGTGGCCGTGCATGCGCAGGCCCTTGGAAGCTTCTTGGGTCTTCTTCTGAACGGGACGGAAAAGTGCGTGGCGGAAGTATCCCTCGCCAGTAGGGCTACCGTGGGACTGAACGTTGTCCCAAAGGTAATCATCGGGCAATTCGAGGACGCGAGAGAAGAGTGTGAGGAGACGTCGGTTCACGGACTTCGTCAGGTAGTTGCAGAACTCCTCGATCTCGTCCATGAAGGGGTGCAGGCATGAAGGCACACGGTTGATGTCGCTCCAGTCAGGCTTGTACCAGTTGAACTGCTCGATGCCATCTTCGGGTCCACGGTTACGCTAGATGAGGAAATCATCAGTTTGGCTGTTGCTTGATAGCTTGAAGATATGTCTCCTACCTTGAATCCGAATGGGTGCTTGTACCCGGACCATTCGCCGGTCTCTGGGTTGAAAAGAAGGCGCTCCTTGTCCTCTTCGCTGATGTTGTGGTATAGATATTGGGCGAGGGAGAATTGGCGGTGAAGCTAACAGAGAGTAAAGGTCAGTAAAAATGATTCGTACGATTTTCAGAAGGCTCACTCATACCTGTTCTAGGGAGATTCCGTAGTTCTCAAGGAACAAGAAGCCATCATCACGAATAGCCACCTTGACCTGCTGCACAAGCTTTTCAACAACCGCAGGGTCTTCTGAGTCCATCAAAGAGAGATCAATGGAGCTGAGCTCGGCAAAGTTCTCCTTTTGCTGAGTGACTGGAGGAGGAACCCATGTTGGCACAAAGGGCTTGCCAGCAAGGTCGGCAGATGGAGGGTTGAAGGGGGCTGAGGGTGCCATAGTGTAGTTTGAATGAAGTTCACTGTGATTCTGTGATTGATGCTGAGAGTGATGAGGGTTATCAGATCAAGTCTTATATCCTTTAGACACTATCACGACCAAACTGCCTATCTGTATATCGGATATCCGGGGCAAAGTCATGCTTCTTTCGGTTAGATTGCATGAGCCCATAAATGTGGATGTAAACTTTGCTGCTCTCCATAGTTTCCACCCGGAAGAGAGCTCCTCTTCCTATCGAGATGTCATGCTGATAGTTCGAACAAAGTTCAACCTAAACCATAATCGGAATAAGATTTGCTGGTTGCATTGTGGGGAAAGTCTACCATGAGCGATAGCGGCCACCTGCTTATCTTGCATTTTTGCACCCACGATAAGGGTGTAACTGTGGGGATTTCATAATGGCCGCAATCATCAACTGTTTTCACTCTGCTCCTCCCACTCCTCCCAACTCCTCCCATTCCCGTCGGCCTGGTCTTTCATTCCGATAAGGATCTCTTATCGTACTTCGTGCTCCTCCATGATAATGAACATTACCCCTCTTGATTGGGGTAGCTCCAGATAATTTAAACAAGCCAATACCTGCATCTGGATCACAAACTCATACAATTTCAATTCAATTCTAGACTTTATCCAATCTTCCAAACCTCAATCAAGATGTCTCGCCAACTCATCTCCAGCGAAAAGTTCCCTACCAAGCCTCACAACTGTGAGTTTGCAATCATTGAGCCTTAGCTTTATGAGATCCATACTGATTGTTCGCAGGCCCCGCGGTCAAGGTTCCCGGTCTCGTCTTTTGCGCAGGCCAAACTGCCACAGGAGAGATTAAGCAAGCTACAGTAAGTCACCTCAGTTCTTCAATGCATTGAGTTGAACAATACAAGAGCAACTTGCTAATTTCTCGTGTCTTACGCAGAGGACCGTTCTCCAAAACCTCAAGGAGGTCCTCGAGTTGTCCGGCTCTTCCCTCGAGCAGGTCGTCAAATACAATGTCTACATTTCCGATATGAAGGATTTCGCCGCTATGAACGAGGCCTACATTGATTTCCTTCCTCAACCTATGCCCTCTCGCTCTTGTCTTCAGGCCCTCGCCCCTGGCAACGGCACAGTCATTGAGATTGAATGCATTGCCCAGGTTTAAGAACACGATATCATGAATTACATATAGACAAAAAAATGAAATTTTTACTTTTAATGAGACAAATCTTGCTTCCCTAAATACTCTATACATTGTAGTACTTATCTGCGATACCTAGCGACCACGTGGTGTATGGCTGTAGACGTTTTTATACCGAGGGTGTTATTTGGAAAAATACCTACTATCCAAATACGATGGTACCTAGACCAACATCCATTTGGGCCGAACCCACAATAAGGATAGACAATGGTTTAAACTGAACCACACCTCCTGCTCTCAAGGATTGTGCAAATCCGATCGAGGTACGACGGTAAAAATTCTTATTACACAAGCAAGCCTACTTTCAATCTTGGAGGATACCAGATAACCTTTTCAAGGTTGAAGATTGATTCAAACTCGAAGGCAAGCTACGCGCAGTATGTGAACATGACTATTGCGAGCACCACTCTCCCAGCCAGATCCCATGTATTCCAAGATTAAGATTGGCGGCTATTCTCTCGATAGTGTAATGAAAACCAATGCTTTTTGAAAAGTTCATATGAAATTCTATTAAGGTATTATACGAAATGCTAACAAATTCATGAACGGGCAATCTCGAACTCTGCCATGTACCAATTTTGGATGGCCTTGGTATCACCAGTGATAGCAACGGTATCGTACTTTTCGCGCGCCTCCTTCGCAGCAGAACCATTGTTCACCATACGACCGGCCCACTTGCCATGTTTGCGTGCAGCAGCAATAATCTTACTAACGGCATTCACAAACTCGGGCTCATCACCACGAGCAGGTGTGTATCCAAGCAGAGACTGTGCAAGATCATTGGGTCCAATGAAAACCATATCGACACCCTCCACAGCACAGATTGCATCAACGTTCTCGACACCAGCTCGGGTCTCGATCTGGATCATGGTGATGATGGTCTCGTTGGCGGACTTCATGTACTCGGGGGTTGTGAGGCCGTGGCCGATAGCGGGGAATGCAGAGCCTTGGCCACGCACTCCCTGGGGAGGGAACTTGGAAGAAGCAACGATTTGCTGGGCTTCTTCGGCGTTGTTGATCTGGGGCACCATGATACCGTGGGCACCGGTATCGAGGGCGCGCTTGAGGATATCATGTGCAGGGCCGCGGATGCGGATCACTGGAGAGACACCGAGGGCAGAGATGGCAGCAACGGAGTTGTGCATGGCATCATCGCCAATGTGGCCATGCTCGCAGTCGATGATGATACCGTCGACGCCAGTGAGAGCGACGATTTGGGCTTGGCGAATAGAGGGAATGGCCATGAAGGTCATGAGGGGGTATTCGCCAGCCTTAATTTTGTTAAGGAGCCTCAATCGAGAGTTCTCGATCTTGGTAGTGAGGGCAGTGGTGTAGGGTGCGGTGACGGTCATAGTGGCGGTGGTGTATGAAGGAGGTAGAGAGTAGAGACGGGCAATTGAATCTTATTCTGATAATTTGAGAGATGAATACCAAGAAGAAGTCGATAAGATACTTCTTTAAGTATCGATAGCTTTATCACCCCTCCATTACCCCTCCTCGCCCCTCCTCCAGTGAAGATAGGTAAATTACAAAATGTTGAGCTTGAAGAAGAGCTCCTGCATGGAGTTAGGGCCGGCGGCGTGACTAGTGGCAACTGGACGGAGTGGCTTATCGGGAGAGTTACGAACCATAATAGCGGCCGCTTGGAAATATATCCATTATCGCCTCATATTAATGCCCACAATCGTACTTCTGTCTTTATGGCCGCAAATACCTGGCGTAGCCCTCGGAGGAGAGCTTCGCCTCCCCGCCCTGCACCTCCAGAAACTTCCTATCGCCCTGCGAAGAGCTCCTCCCATGCCTAGCGCATGTACCCCAGATCTCAACCAGAGTATACATCCGGGGTAATTGATTCCAATTGGATGGATAACCATTGGGCGCTTCTGAACCCGCTATCTGTCTACTTATCAACTTATCAATTCGACGAATGACTCCCACCTGACCAATCAATGCCTCGCGATTCTTTGGAAGGAAGTCCTAGTCATTAGTTGACTCGGGTATCCATGATGATACCCGGCTATTCGGACGAGATAACGGTCTGAGCTGAACTATATAGGGAGGGGGAGCTCAGTGTTCAAAAGATCACACAGACTGCAACACTCTTCGTGCAACATCCTTGCAGTCTATTCTTGCTGCTGCACTCTTGGCAAAGCAGGCCTGCTTTCACAATGTCCTTCCCCATGGACGCAAAGAAGAACCCGGACGCGGCGTTGACAGAAGACAATGTCTCGTCTGCTGAAGGGCAAGTCGACACGGCATACAACCGGATGCCTGATTCCCTTCGTGATCTTAGCGATGATGAATTCAAGGCTCTCAACAAGAAGGTCGTCCGCAAGGTCGACCTCTTTGTTCTACCTACCATCGGCATCCTGTACATCTTGAACTACATTGATCGCCAGAACTTGGCTGCGGCCAAGCTTCAGGGCATCATGGAAGACCTGAACATGTCGACTGAGCAGTTTGCCACGGCTGTCTCTATCCTCTTTGTCGGTTATCTTCCATTCCAGATCCCTAGCAACCTCCTCATCACCAAGTTCTCACGGCCGGGCATGTACATCTGCTGCGCCGTGGCAATTTGGGGTTGTATCTCGGCATGCACAGCGGTCGTCAAGACCTATGGTGAACTTCTCGCTGTGCGAGCCATTCTAGGAGCAGCCGAGGCCGTCTTCTTCCCCGGTGCTATCTATTACCTTTCAGCCTGGTACACCAAGACAGAGCTGGGCAAGCGTATAGCCGGTCTGTACATCGCCCAGCAAGTTGGAAATGCCTTTGGCGGTCTTTTCGCTGCAGCCATCCTCCAACTCGATGGACATCACGGTATCCGCGGTTGGCAATGGCTCTTCATCATTGAGGGCTCTGCCACCGTTGGTATCGGTATCATCTGTGCTTGCATCATGCCAGAATTCCCACACAACAGTCGCATCCTCTCACAGATCGAGCGTGACTGCGCAGTCTGGCGTATCGAGTCTGAATCCGGTGCAGCAGAAGGCACAGAAAATGAAAGTGTCATCAAGGGCTTCTTGAAGGCTCTCGCTGACCCCAAGCTCATCCTGCTTATTTTCTGCAATATGATGTCTCAAACTCAAGGCTCCATCGCCAACTACTTCCCTACCCTCGTCGGCTCGCTCAACTTCTCCAGCACCATCAGCTTGCTCCTCACTGCCCCTCCATACATCCTCGCCGGTATCGTCTATTACTTCCTCATGTTCTACTCCGATCGCAAGAACACCGTCTACCCAATCATCCTCATGTGTATCGCCATCTCGATCGTCATGTACATCATTCCAATGGCAACTACCAACATTGGTGCCCGATACTTCTCCATGATGATCCTCCCCTTTGCCTCCGTCGGTCCCCAACTCCTCCTATACAAGACTATCAACCTGCACCTGGCACGTCCTGTCTCCAAGCGTGCAGCAGCCTCTGCTCTGGTCAATGCCATCGGTGGCACATCCAACATCTGGGCTTCATACCTCTACTTCGGAGAGCCACATTTCTATGCTGCGTTCGGCACGTTGATGGGCGCTGCTGTACTGTTTGGAATCACAATTAACGCGTATCGCTGGCTTGTGCTGCGGGAGAACAAGCGTCTGGACTCAGGTGACCCAGCTCAGATTGATTTGGTCAAGAAGGGTGGCGTCACTGAGGAAATGGTCCAGCTCAACTGGCGTTACGAGATGTTCTGATGATTTGTTATTTATTGGAAGTGCTTCCAGGCTTGTCTGTTTATGTATCTCTGGGAACCTGGTTTGCTACACATATTTAATGTTAGTTTTTTATTTATCGAGGCTATATCAAATTTGAACAGTCTTCTTGGATAAAACGTATTGTAATTAATATACATAACATGAACTTCTAAATAGGCATAAATGTGACACCAAGTTTTCATCCCTTAGACAGAGGATTGACAAAACAATACAGAGGGCTCATTACATCATGACGGCCTACGCTCATTTGCACAACTCGTCCAAACAAGACAAAATGAGTTTCCCAAGCTGCTTTTTCTGTCTTCGTTGGAAGACTTTCCTCGCCCATAGCATGGCACCTTCAACATCACCATCTTGGATGCCTATGGTCTCCATCGCACCGGGGGCACCGCCATTTACAAGCTGCCAGGCAATGAGAAAGGCTTTGTATGCATACAAAGCAACCCATGGTGCCTCGGACTCTGGGGCTACCGTCTCATCGAGATACTGTAAGAACCAGTTGACGTGTGGTAGTATAGCCTTAGCAGTGGTCGCATCACACAGATACTGTGAGGGACCAAGATAGGTCGACTGCTTCAGGACAGCATCGATGCTGCCTTCGACGATACCTCCGGTATGAGACGGCGACCACATTTGCAGTTCGAGCATGGCAGTCTGCCATGTCGCTGCGCAGGATATTGCGTGATTTGCTTGATTGCCGGGTGTGTTGGGGCAGATGTAAGGGCCTAGCTCGACAAGAGATGATCGCAGTGCGCCAAATCTCTCCATGCTTAGGATGCCAGTCATGGTAGACCAGCCTGAGACTTCACGGGCGCTAGAAATCAGGAATTGCGCGATGTTTATCGCACCATATGGATCAAACGGTGAGATTGCGGTGATATCGGCATCGGAAGAGAGAAAGCATCGAACGGCATATGTGTACTTGACAGAAGTGCCGGAGTTCCTTGCGACAAGTTGTCTGTGAGCCCATTCAGCAGATGAGGTTGCCTCCCACTGATCTTGTGGACAGGGTAGATTGTGCTTGATTTCGAGGTGCGAGATTGAGCGAGGAATCGACAGGAATTGATACCACAGAGCGTCAATCTGGTGAACTGCGAACAAGGTTCGCTTATGTGATTCGGCTTTGACAAATTCTCGCCACAATGACTCCAAGTCTGCGGTCGCGCCTGTCTCGATTGGTAGCGGCTGTGTCATTCGTCCGGCACGTGCGAGGGAAATCATGTGGGAATGCATCTTCAAGCCCGAGGATGAATTGTCACCACAGAGATACATCATTGCGCATATCTGAAGAAGCAGATATGACTGAACAAAAGTCGTGATCATGGTTGAAGCATCCGGTCTTCCTTCGTCCGAGGCAAGTTGAGCACGGGCTTGATGGAAACATCTTATGGAAAAGCTCTCGCCTGATCCTTCTTGTTCGCCGCATTCCGGATCTTCGCCATGCTGGTAGGCCAGACAAAGAAGACTGAGAACCAAGTGTGGAGGACATTGTGTAGGATCGAATGTTGAGGAATGTAGGAAAGGCAAAAAGTGTGAGACGCGGGAAAAAAATAAATCGCAGCCTCGCGATATCTGAAGAGGGGTTGGCGACCAATCGTCTTGAAGTTGTGGTATATCGTTTGGTGAAAGTCGATCGAGTATGGGGTGACTGAAATTGAAATCACCCAGGTTGGTGTCCAGTGGGTCGTTGGGGGTGGTGACTGAGTGAAGTTGAGGTTGGGGGTGATCGATGGGTTTTAGGAATGAAGTTCCCATAAGCAAATTGCGTTCCAGATCTGCAGCATCCTGTACAATTTGATCAATGAATCTAGCATCATTCAAGCTGGATTGATGCATTGGATCTGTTGGGAGCTGAGTCTTCGTTATCTCCGAGCTCGGACGCCCAGTTGTCGCAAGATTCGTGGTCTCGCCGAGTTGGCCACGATCAAACTGCTGTTGTTGGTACCGCATCGACGAGTTCCATCCCACAGTCTCATTTCCCAGGCCTTGTTCCGGACTTGAATGGGCTGAGTCTGAAGACGGGTTTGCTTCCTGGCTACCAGTAGGCGATATAGCTGTCGGCGATACCGACGAGTGATCGCGGTGTTTTGAGGGTGCTGAACGCTGAGATCTCTTTGTGACTCGGTGCTGCTCTTGCTCTGGATGCTTCCTTTTCATATGTCTGTTGCGCAAGTCCGGACGGGAAAAAGTAGCGTGGCAAAATTCACAAGGGAGCGACGCCTCAGCCTGAGAGCGAGAGTGTAGGGCTGAATGTCGCTTGAGGTTCTCATGGCGAGTAAATCGACTCTGGCAAATGAGACATTGGAATGGCTGGTACGAAGGCATCGCTTTCTGCGAAATCGACATAGCTGAGGGGAAATTTGAACGCTGGAATCGATCAGTCATGGGAACGGACAAAATCCGGGGACATACCCCACGCAAAACGCCGGTCTTCTCCGCACGGAACCTGTCAATGCCCACGGGCCAACTTACTGAGCAAAAGTATGTGCTGAAGGAAGTTCCAAGATAGACTCGAGAAGATCGTATCGGATATTTCTCTACCGCCCTGGAGCTTATCTGCTTTCCACCGGAGCATTAATCAACACGCAGTCGATCGGGAATTAAGAAGCCAGTGGGGCTCGTATGGCCAATGAGAATACAGCGAGTTATCAGCAAGAGGTACAAATCACGTGGGACTAAGCGCGGCCGTCACGTGGTCGTCACGTGAAATTGTGTTCTCCACGCGTTCGAGCGCTAAACTACAATGGGCAAATGTGGCGTAATGGTCGTGGAAGTCCCGAGTATCTCATCTATCATCTCTGATCTACATGTTTTGTTTGCCTTGAGATAAGTAGCCAGCAAGTCAGTGCCAAGCTTTTTTTTAACTCCACTTTGCAGAACAAAAGCTAGGAAAGTGATATACAGGTTTTGGTCTGTTTTTTGGTGCGTGGTAAAAGTAGAAAGATGATCTCTATACAATGCCAGGATGCTAATCAATACAAGAAAAATCAGGGAACCCTTAACATCTTGATTTACTCACCCCGAGTCTAATCATCGGGTAGCGAGGCACATGATCACACGCAAAGCGAATCAGTTCAGACAGAGAGATTGCAACAATCGGCAGTCCGTCTACGGAGTGGAGTCATCAGCGACGATAACAAGTGGTAAAATATCACTGAATATACGGTGAATAGAGTGGCCTCTAGGTATCGGATAATCAGGGCACAATAATTGCTACTGTATGACTTTTGTCGTTCCATTTCCAGGTCTTGTAAAAGGCGTCAATATTTGGCCCGAGGGAAGCGGTCCACACCAGCCATAATGATCGCATCGACATTGCCCATAGACAGGACAGCTAGTGATTTGTAAGTATATGCCTCTTCCGGGGTAGGGGTCCCCAAAACTTACTAGACGTCTTCCATGCTTGTATATACATTTTTGCTATTTAATGAGATTCGGTCTTAAGGATGGCGTTGTATGCAAGATTTCAAATGACTTCAATTGTTTTGAAACTATACTCAAGTCCCTATCTTTGATCATGCCCCGGATGGTTCCAAGGTTGTAGCGGATTGAAAGATTGGAGATAACCGTGCATACCGCGGATCTCGAGGTTAAAGTTCATCCCCTGGCGCTAATCCAATGCATTTAGCGCAAGAGCATAATCCTTCCACACTCTGAGATACTTCCACTTAGAAACAGACTGCCCAAGTGGTAGGTTTATTGTATTACTGAAATGTGACCCATACAGCTCTATAATGTTACGGAGTAATGCGTACGGGGTACGGTCCCTGGGATGTGACGTCATCGGATACACGCTACCCGTGGACCTTTTCCACTTTCTCCACGCCTGTTGCCACAGCCGGGACGGTACGGTACACCACTGTACACCACTGGCTTCCCTTAATGTGACACATAGTGTTTTCATGATCATCCTCGTCGCGTAACTGGAACCCGCTCAATCTCCTCCACTCCCCAACCCCCTTGTACAATGGCACCGAAACGCAAATCTGACGTTGGACCTGGCGCTGCAGAGAATGAGGCCGGCCGTGCCTCTAAGATCAGTCGTACACCTGCATTGAATACAGAAAATACCAGTACCGGCCATAGATTTGGCGAGACGGCCGACTTCATCGCCCTGCCTCCACTTTCACAGTCTTTTGATTTCGATGAAGATGATGAGGGTGCTGCCGATGTGGTCCAAGGCTCCCAAGATGAGTCCGCACTGACGACTTCGGTTCTCTATGGTGTGTAACCTTAAATGGCCTCTTGGCAATGCGGTCTTTGATCTGACAATATTAGGTATTGTATCTACGCAGATTGTGGGAGTTCGCTTCTATCGAGGCCGCGCCAATCCCAATGAGCGCGTCCAAGTTATTCGTGATGCCAATAATCAATATGATCGGAACGCGATCAAGGTTGAAAACGTCATGGGTGCCCAAATTGGCCACATCCCACGGCAAATGGCAGCCAAGCTGGCCTCCTACATGGTACATTCTCTGAATTAATCACCATGGCCCATTTCTGACTCCCCTAGGATGCTCGTGACCTCATTATTGAAGGAACTTTGACCGGTGAAATCGGAAGCTTCTCTTGCCCGGTTGATCTGAAACTCTTCGGAAGCTGTGACCCGGTACAACGGTCTAACCTCAAGACGCGTATGCAAAGTGACAGACTTCCCGTTCGGCAACTGAATGAGCTGGAGCGTGAAGAGCGCACAGCGCAGAAGCAACGCGAGAAAGAGCAGAAAGATGCCGCAAAGAAAGCTCGCGCCATGGCTCTGGGCAAAGCCGCAGGCTGGGAAGCCAATGAAGACTCCGCGTTCTCGAATCTTTCGACTCCCACCGGCCTTGGTCAGGAGAACGCGAACATGGAAGATCTTTTGAACCAAAGTACCACCTTCAATCCTCGAGACATCGGCCAAGCCATCGAGAAGTTTGGTCAGAAGGAAGCTGATTTGATTAAAATGCCGATGGCCGACACCCCCGCTGGTCTCTCGACGCAATTACTTCCCTATCAGCGCCAAGGTCTCGCTTGGATGATCAAGCAAGAATCGCCCAGTTTCCCCGAAATGGGTTGCGAGGATATCGTTCAGCTGTGGAGGCGGCACAACAATGTTTTCTTCAATGTTGCAACCAATTTTGCCACTGCTGACGAGCCAAAACTTGCCAGTGGTGGTATTCTGGCAGATGACATGGGCCTGGGGAAGACGATTCAAATCATCTCTCTCATTCTCGCGAACTCCAAGTCCCTTTCTGGAGAATCTTCCAAGACTACTCTGATCATTGCCCCTGTGGGTGTCATGAGTAACTGGAGAAACCAGATCCACGATCATGCCCGCCCAGAAACCGCGCCGAGTGTGTTGATTTACCACGGCTCGGGCAAGAAAGAAGCTGCCAATCTGGCAAACTATGATGTCGTTGTCACCAGCTATGGCGCTCTGGCTATGGAGTTCAAGCCCGACGCGAAGAAGCCACCAGCCAAAGGCATCTTCTCTCTTCACTGGCGCCGTGTTGTGCTTGACGAAGGCCATACAATCCGTAACCCCAATTCCAAGGGCGCTCTCGCGGCGTGTGGTTTGAGGAGCGACTCTCGTTGGTCACTGACAGGAACACCCATCATCAACACTCTCAAGGATCTCTACTCCCAGATTCGCTTCCTTAAATTCACAGGTGGCTTGGAAGACCTCAAAATGTTCAACAGTGTTCTGATCCGTCCATTGAACACGGGTCAGCCAGAAGCTCGTCTGCTTCTCGAAGCTCTCATGGGTACCATCTGCCTTCGTCGCCGAAAGGACATGCAGTTCATCAACCTGGAGTTACCGGAAATGACATCTCGTGTCATCCGCATCAAGTTCAATGCCCACGAGCAAGAGAAATACAGTGCATTCCAGTATGTATCGAGAGCATTTTGACAGACAATGAGATGTCACTAACAACATGAACAGAAAGGAGGCACAGGGCGCTCTTCTCGACTTTAAGGAGAAGGACGGCAAGACCAAATTCTCACATTTGCTCGAAGTCATTCTTCGTCTCCGCCAGGTCTGCAACCATTGGGCACTTTGCAAGAACCGCATCGATAAACTGATGGGCATGTTGGACCAGCAAAAGGTGGTCCCACTAACCCCCGAGAACGTCCAGGCTCTGCAGGAATTGTTGCAAATTCAAATCGAAAGCCAAGAGCTATGCGCCATCTGCCTCGACAATCTCGACCAGCCCGTGATCACAGCTTGCGCGCACTCATACTGCCGAGGCTGTGTGGAACAAGTCATCGAACGCCAGCACAAGTGTCCCCTCTGCAGAGCAGACATCGCAGACACCAACACCCTTGTCTCCCCAGCCGCCGATCTTGGCGAAGATACCAACGCAGTCGAGGCAGACCCAGACAGCCCCAGCAGCAAAATCGAAACCCTGGTCAAGATCCTGACTGCCCAAGGTCAAGCCCCAGGCACAAAGACCGTCGTCTTCAGTCAATGGACGTCATTCTTAAACCTGATCGAGCCCCAGCTCGAGAGACGCGGAATCAAGTACGCCCGCGTGGACGGTAAGATGAACTCCGTGAAGCGCGACAACTCCATCAATGCATTCTCCAATGACCCCGAATGTACCGTTCTCCTCGCCAGTCTGAGTGTGTGCAGTGTCGGTCTCAACCTCGTGGCAGCGAATCAAGTCATCTTGGCTGACAGCTGGTGGGCGCCGGCTATCGAGGATCAGGCTGTGGATCGGGTTTATCGACTTGGACAGAAGCGGGAGACCACAGTCTGGAGACTTGTTATGGAGGATAGTATTGAGGAGCGGGTGTTGACGATTCAGGAGCGAAAGAGAGCTCTCATGCTTGCTGCGTTCCGGGAGACATCTAAGAAGAAGGCTGAAGATAGAGCTACGCGTGTTGCGGACCTCGAAGCACTATTGCGGTAATCAGCCAGGCTGGGCAGAGTTTTCAATTTATTAGTAGGATGAAAAATCTGAAAATGTAGCATTACTGATTGAAAACAAGTACGAATAGTAGCTCAATGGTCATTTAGAGCCTTTTTTGACTGGTCAAGACAGCCATTTTCCCCTAGATTTACCCACATCCCTTATAGACTGCTTTCAGTCGAATTTCTCCATAGCGAAGAGACATGGCCTAACGGCAGAGTGGATCTTCGAGGGACGAGACCTTCGGGCCCCACTTGACGCCGGCCGGCTGGCCCAATGGCAAGGCGCTTGACTACGAATCAAGAGATTGCAGGTTCGATCCCTGCGTCGGTCACATCTTTTTTGCTCTTTTTGCACATTTACTTTGTTAAAAATCACTAAAAGAACAAATGGTTGGGGATGGTAAAGGTGGATGAAGAAGTTTTTTGCAGTCTTGGCAGCCGTGTGGACGGAATAAGGTTGGCGTTGTCTACCCACGTGATGCGCATTGACAGCGGTGTTGCAAAATGATATCACACGCGCAATATTTATTCGGGATGTACGGAGTAGATGCAGGTGGGGCCACATCCGGGCAGTAGTCTCATCTATGTATATCGTCCAGGTTGTGGCTATCATTTTACACTGACTGTAGGATTTTCAGAATCTGATGTAAGGTTCACCTCAGCTCTTGATTACTATTGAGTGAGTCACAATGTCCAGAGAACGTGGAGCGAACTATATCGTCTTAGCTCGAGAATTTCCCCGAATCTTCCGAATTCTCTTTCTCAGAACCATGATTGCGCCAAATTCACTCAAAATTCCGTTCAAGGCTTCTAGGAAGTTATTGAGGTGGCGTCTTCCACATACCGCAATCTCTTGGGCAGACTTTAGTTCCTTTGAAGAGAAGCCTTGCGGTCGAATTTGAACATAGCCAGCCCATGAAATGAACAGCGAGGTTATAGTCACAAGCAGAAAGATTACCTTCTTCCTTTTGACGCCCGAGAGACGTTTCATCTCGTAATCACCGGCGGCCATCTGGGTGAGTGTCCTCTTGATGAGCCCCTGCAAGGGTGGGCTCTTTCTGTTGTGCTTCTGCTTTGGCGGGTGCTTTTGCTTTTGTGGGTGCTTTTGCTTTGGTGGGTGCTTATTTTTGGAGATTGATGAAGATCCCCGGCGCGGAGGACACCATCTGTTCTTCGCCAAAACACGCGCAAGATTCCGAAGTCGCGCGGCACTGAGACCCGACAAAGCCTTGGCGAGGACCAAGTCTCGGTCACCGGAACCTTGAATTTCCCTCCAGTCCATTCGCGCTGCACGTTGTAAAATGCCGGTGTGCTCGGTGCCTTGATGTTTCCTTCGCAGGTTCTTTCGTGACCGGATCCTCGGGGAGTGACCGAGCTTCAATTCACTTCGCGCGAGGTCTTTGATCGTCTCGTCAAGATTATGGCACTGTTTGAGAGCCTTTGCCACTGAGGTATGTTGACCAATTTGAATTGTGTCGGCAAGCTTCCTCAGACGGCCGATATAGTATTCGCGCTTCACCGATTCTTGCTTGCGTCTGCTGCTTCCTTTTCGCCAGACCTTGAAATCGAGAGGTACGTCCCGAGACAGCTGCTCTTCTTGGTATCGCCTCTTCACGTGCGTGACGTATTTCTTAATCACAGTGCCGACATCCTTCGAGGACAGAAACTTTGTAGTCGGAGGGGGCAGAGTAGCGGCGATCGTTGTGTTAGTGGTTGCATGAAGATTCCTTTCGTTCTCCGATCGAGAGCCGCAGGTATATTCGGATCGGTCATCGCTTTCATCTGAAATGGTAGATGCTTCTGAGCAGGAGGCGGCGTCGGAGTCGGCGTCGTTTTCGTTTGGAGGGTTGCGCTCAAGGATGCCCCGTAAGAAATCGTTGAAAGAACGACCCTTCTTGGAGGGACCATGTGTACTTGAAGTTTCTATCTCCATTAGTCTTGGCCTCTGGGCGGCCTTGACTGGGGTGGGTTTCAAAGCAGGCATGACCAGAGCAAAAGTCTTGCCAATCTTCTGGTGCGGGGAAGATAGTTGGTATCAATAGAATAACCGCTTGGCCTAGAGGGTGACTCAGAGCACTTCCAAATATCCAGTGCAAGTTGTCCGGGCAGAAATTGGGGTTGAAGGAGGATTCAAGTCTGTGGCACCGGATGCTTGAGAAAGGAAGATGCTGCGGCACGGTCCAGGCCACAACCAGAGAGCTTGTGAAGGAAGCTGGCGAGAAAATGAAGTCTGTTATGCCGACCGTAGAGCTAGCATGGTGGGACAGAACAAATGAAGACTCTGGCCGGTATGCCTGTTTCTGGGAGACAATGACGACGGTGTAGGCTATGTTGGGCTTAGAGTCATCCAGGGAGATGCAGAAGATAAGATGAAGTCTTGCACAACAGAACTTGGAGGATTGATAGTATAGAGGTAGGGTGAGCAGAGAGACTGACTCTCATTGTGTAATGATAGTATGTCAATGTGATTCGCCATTCTTGGAGCATGATAACTTCTTCTCCATTTGCTGGAGTTGGGGGGTGGGGGTCGGGTTCGGAAGTAAGAAGCCGAGTAAAGTTGACGTGCGCGGGATAGAAGCCGAAAATTTGCTGATGGAATAAAAAACTTTACAGGAATGAGGGAGAGAATCAAGAGGGAGAAATTATTGGGATATCCACACCTCATGTTCGTAACATCTTAGGGCTCATCCCAAAATGGATATCATTTTATGCCGGCTTTATGTTTTCGGCGGTGAAGGCGATAATGAGGCGGTATGGTGATCACGAATTTCGGCCTCAGGTGTCAACGCGTGCCCCGCCAATGACAAATCCGCGTCCGCGATTCCAGGGACCTTTGGACTTGGAAGTTTATGGAAGACTTGGGAGAATAGTCTCATTCAAAAACCGACACATTTCCAAGCCTCGGGATATTTTGAAGTGGGATACCAATTCCATCGTGGCTACATCATGGCGCAATCAATTTACTCAAACTATCCACCAGAGCTATCTGCCGCTCAACAAAAGTTCCTTGTCACAGCCGTAAAAGACTGGGCTATTCACAATGGCCTGGCTGTTCGCCCTGGGCCAACGGTTGTTCCAGAGGGAGGGAATCCGAATGGAGTGTTGGCGACAAATGCGCCAGTCACTCTGTTCCCTAGTCCATTTCCCAGGACATGCTTCACGGAAGCCACGGCTCTTCAAGAGGTTTACAACAAGCTCTATGCCTCAATTACATGTAATGAAGAATGGCTCGGGGAAATCGTCAAAGGGTAAGATTCCGTCTACAGCGATTGGCAGGTAAATGACTTACAAAAAATCATTAGACTCATCGAGGTTGATGACTTCGTCGCCAACCTGTGGAAGGTTCACTTAGCTGTGCAGAAAGAGGGATATGCCCAGAATCTGGCACTGGGTCTTTACCGGTCCGATTACATGGCTCACGTCTCACCCGCGGGTGACACGGCTCTGAAGCAAGTTGAGTTCAACACCATTTCGTCCTCATTTGGAGGTCTCTCGGCTCTTGTCCGACAAATGCACACTGAGCTCTTGACCTCACCTCCGGGCTCATCGATCAACTACCCATTCCACCCTTTACTTCAGTCTGAGGTTCCTCCAGAGAACACCGCAGTCGAGACCCTCTCTTCCGGTTTAGCTGTGGCCCACAAGGCTTACGGAGCCTCCAAGTCCACCCCTGCCCTCCCTCTTTGTGTGGCATTTGTGGTCCAAGACACGGAACGCAATGTCTTTGACCAACACGCTCTCTCAGAAAATCTGAAGAAGACCCACAACATCCCGGTATTCCGCATTGCTAGCGTGGATATCTTGGATCAAACATTCATTCCCAACGACAACTCATCCCGACCACTGCTCTACCGCCCCCTCACTCGCCTGACTCTATCTTCGAAGTAACGACCGTCTACCTCCGAGCTTACTACTCCCCAGACGAATACACGTCCAGTCGTGATTGGGAGGCACGCACGCACCTCGAGCGCTCTGCGGCCATCAAGTGCCCCACTGTGCTTAACCAGCTGTCCGGCTGCAAAAAGGTGCAGCAGGTTCTGGCCGAGCCGACTGGATTGGATCATCTCACTGGATTCTTGAAGGATATCGACGCAAGTCTCATTGAAAGGGTCCGGGCCACATTTGCGCCGCAATACGATCTCTCGCCGAACAGCAAGGGTCGCGAGCTCGCTCTCAACCCTGAGACGGCCCTGAACCATGTTCTCAAGCCGCAGCGCGAGGGAGGTGGCAACAATGTTTACAAGGCTGATATTCCAGGATTCCTACAATCGCTTCCAGAGTCGGACTGGAAGGGTTGGGTCTTGATGGAGCTTATCAACCCCGCTTCCAATGCCCAGAACGTTGCCCTGCGTAACGACGGTGAAGTCCTTCGTGGGGATGTCATCTCTGAGCTCGGTGTCTATGGTACCATTCTGTGGGAAGACACTGGCAAGATCCTGCATAACAACCACGGCGGTTACCTCCTGAGAACCAAGGGCAAGGAGGTGAACGAGGGCGGCGTCGCCGCCGGATTCTCTAGTCTGGACAGTGTTCTTTTGTTCTAAGCCGGCTGGAATTCATATTAGGCAATAAATAAGCCCATTGCACGAGAATCTAGTTTGCGATTGAGATCTTGCCAGATCTGCACAGATGTACATCCATACTTTGTCTTCGCCCGTCCGTAAATGACCCATGGCCGATCACAACCTCGACCGACTGTGTATCTGATCTCGTTCAAGATCTGCAGGGCCATCATAGATCTGTCGTTCGAGGAGCCTGGTGTTGATCTGCCCAAAAGAAATACTTGTCAATTTTCTGCATCCGAATCTGTGCGTGATGTGTTTGGTATAGAAAAAGATGACATCACTTGACTTACATGCTGTGGTCCCAAATCCCTCACATGCTCAACCCCAAGTAAGCGCATGCACGTTTTTGTCTCTTCGGAGAGGACTATCAATGCTCGTCAGTAAACACTCCTCAAAGGTCCATGGGCATCTCGTCTCATACTTTCTAGTGTCCTCTTCACGCCAGCGACGCCTCCAGCTCCCAGGCCCCAAAGCGCGGCCCTTCCAATCCCGACCCCTCTAGCACCCAGACACAACGCCTTGACCACATCAGTCCCTCTCTTTATGCCACCGTCGACCCACACATCAAGACAGTCGAAGACCTCGGGGCAGTATTTCCTAATCTCAAGCAGAGTATGAACTGCAGGTGGCGCGGTATCCAAAGAACGACCTCCATGGTTGGAGAGAATGATACCCTTGACCTGGTCTCTATACTTGGTTGCAATATAAGCATCTTCGTGAGTTTGAACCCCCTTCAAAACGATCGGCAGCGTTGTATGCTTAGCCAACCACGCCAGAGTCTCGGACCACGTAAGAGTAGGATCCATTCCAACAAACACTTCGTCGTCTGTCAGATTCAACAGCTTCCCAGAATCATTCTCCGAATGTTCATAGCCACCATCTTCCGAGCTAGATGCAGTCATGGAATTGTTGACGTTACCATGGCGCTGATCGTCCTCTCTTTTCCCACTCACAGGAGAATCAAGAGTGAGAGCAATGAACTTGATTGCCTTGAGCTTGTGGATCCGAGCCAGCATCCGCTCACTCTTTGTACGATCTGCTTGTACATATAGCTGCCAGCCGAATACTTGGCCTTCGGTCGCACCTGCAACAATCTGCTCCGGTGTCATCGACGCGACGTTGGAGATGATTTGCATGGCTCCAAAGCTGCGACATGCTTCGGCGATGCCGGCTTCTCCGGCTGGATGGCCCAGGCGGGCCATGGCTGCGGGGGACACATAGATTGGAATGGAAACGGGATTTCCCAGCAGATTTGTGCTCAGGTCGCATCTGGTGCAGTCGACGAAGACCTTTGGTCGTAATTGGATTGAGCGAAATGCCTCTGTGTTAATTCGCTTGCTGATTTTGTCGTCGGATGCGGAGTAGTAATATGCCCATGCCTTCTTGCTCACTGTCTTGGTAGCCAGCTCTTCGATCTCGTCTAAATTGAGCCAATTTTCGACTGGAGGGTTGCCTTTGTCCATTTTGATATTGTTGACCCTGATTCTGGGCAATCTATTGACTGGGCGTGGAAAGCTTGTGGGGTAGGAAAATGAAGAGGACTTTGGAGGTCGTCGTGTTCGGAATCACTTGCCCCTTTGGGATTAATCTGACCCCGCGTTCGCCCACATGGCAAAGGACGACGTCTGACTCGTGTTTTTGAACAGATACCCAGAGGGAGATGAGTAGCCACTCCCATTGTTTTCTCCATATCAGAGGAGTTATGATCGCTGGATATACATACAGGAGAGCAAACTTATGTCGACCGTAAGATGCGAACCTCGATAGTATGAAAAGTCCCCTTGGATTTGATGGTTTCTCTCGTGTTTACGGAGTACCTATACTTGAGCTGACGTGATATTCGATCCTTCATTTTATATATCTTAATTCTTGGAGAACAACGTCTCCCAGCTGTTTGGGAGGTTCTGAATCCCTATTTCAATGACATGCCCAGGTGATGTGCATTTCGTCAAACAGCTGAGAAAGTGCCAACTCTTTTCCGCACTTCAAAGTCAGATGCAATGAGACCAAGAAGGAATTGTGATTGTGATCAATGTAACCCCTGGCGTGGCAATTCTGCATGATCAGACCAATTGGTCTGGATTGAAAGAGAACGACTGCTTGGAATAGCCAATAGGAGGCTTGAAACAAACGACGGCCCACCAAGCTGCCAACCCTAAATCCCGATCCATGGTTACTCTAACGTTCTTTCAAAACTTCAGATCTGGGATTTTCGAGGTCTATATATACTTCTAAGACATATCCCTTGAACTATCGTTCCCGATCTGACCTTAGGAATGCACCAACCTTGAAATTCGGACCTGATCGTCCCAATAGTCGGCGTGGCTGTGTGGCGGTTCTTAAAAATTTTCCGTCCACTAAACCCAAGAGGGACTAGTCCAGCACAAAGCAGCAAGGCCCCTGAACTAAAATTAAACATGCGGACGTGTCCGTCAGATCCACTCTGACGTGCGGTCTAGAGCGTGCTGAAACACCCCTTGTCAAGCCCCCGGGATCTGTTTCACTCCTTCTATTTCATTCCCTTTTTTTTCTTACTACTTTTTTTCTCTTCTCTCTGCAGTCTATATACTCCGTACATTCGCTACTTTTCCTTTCTTGGTTTCTGCTTTTCGATCTAAGGATCTTTGGATCTACGATTGAAAACAAAACTGACCCACTTCGGGCCTCGTTGACCCTCTTTTTCTCTCGTTTCTTTTTCTCCTTCACTTTTGTTCACAATGACCGACGGGCACAGTGCCCCTCCTGCCGATGCACCGGCACCTGCAGCAGCAGCGGCCGACGCTGCTGCTCCTGTTCCCGCTGACGTGCGCTCGCACGCTGTTCACCACGACGCGGCTCAAAACCACCAAAAGGAGCAGGACTCCATTGGCCGTATGACCCCGCGACCGACTTTTTTGGAACATCTCGCCACCTCGAGAGACTCGCAATTCCATCTTGACCGACGGGATTCGAGTGAATTGGACCGATATTTCGTAAGTTCTCGACGTTATGCAGCTGGTTTCGTTGAACACCGCATGCATGCAAATTGAATAAGATTGCTGACAATACTTTCATCCAGCATGGTCCCCGTAATATGGAAAAGCACTCCAAATGGCCCATCATGATGCGGATGCATGGCAGTGTTATGCCGAAGATGATTCTTCCACTTCTGACTGTGGCTGTTTGGTCGACTGCTATCACTATCATTTCGAAGAAGGTTCACAACCGTAAGTCTCCTAATTGGCAGTGTACCAGATTGATAGGGGCTAACTTGATATTTGTGTAGTTGGAATTAACAACATCCTTCTCACCGTGCTGGGTTTCGTGGTGGGTTTGGCTCTGTCGTTCCGCAGCTCGACTGCATATGAGAGGTAAGATGTCACTTCATCCCTTCTTGCTCCACTCAGCATACTAACCCACTTGAAAAGATGGGCCGATGGACGTAAATACTGGGCTCAGCTCATCCAGACCTCCCGCAATCTTTCACGTGTTATCTGGATCAACACTGGCGAAAGAGAAGGAGAGGAAGGCAAAGATGATATCTTGAGGAAACTGTATGTAACCACTCGATTCGACTCATCTCACCTTGAACTCCTCTAACACACCCTGGCCAGATCCGCAATGAACCTCATTCTAGCTTTCGCCGTCGCTCTCAAGCACAAGCTCCGCTTCGAGCCTGATATCGCCTACGAAGATCTTGCCGGTCTGGCTGGACACCTCGACACCTTTGCGCGTGATGCTCATGACCGCATGGTCGTCAACCCACCATCAAAGACCATTTGGAAGTCGGCAGGCGAGTACCTCGGTGTTTCCTTCGCGGAGTCCAATCCTCGCAAATATGTCAAGCGATCCAAGAAGCCCCTGGGTCATCTGCCCCTGGAGATCCTCAGCCACATCTCCGCATACATTGACTCTTGTGTTGCAAACGGTACCATGGTGTCGACTCTCCACCAAGGACAAGCCAGTAAGTTTCCTTAAGATTTCATTTCGGACTTGGAATCTAACCCAGCTAGTCACCATGGTCAGTACACTGAACGAAGTTTTGACGGGTATGGAACGTGTGCTGGACACTCCTTTGCCCACTGCCTACAGCATCGCCATTGCACAGATCTCATGGATCTACATCCTGGTCCTTCCTTTCCAGCTCTACAACGCTCTTGTCTGGATTACTATTCCCGCCTCCATTGGTAAGCATCATGATCATTGAAGCTTGGATATCATATTCTAACAAGATCCCAGTGGCCGCGTACATCATTCTCGGCCTGGCCACAATTGGAAGCGAGATCGAAAACCCCTTCGGTCAAGACGTCAACGATCTCCCTCTTGACAGTTACTGTCGCCAGATCGCTTTGGAGATCGATATCATGACTGCCACTCCCCGCCCGAATGTCGATGACTTCATGGCACGCGCGGATAACCTTGTTCTGTTCCCGCTCAGTCAGTCAGGATACCCTGACTGGAAGGAGCGCAGTCTTGAGGATATTCGCGGGGCGCTCAGGACTAAAGTTGTCGTGGGCCCGTCGACTGCGGGCTCGGATAGCTCTACTCTTGTAGAGAATATCTCTACCAAAAATAGTGGACAGTCTGTATAAATTTGAAGTTCATTTGGCTGTTGATCTTGGAATCGACAGCGTGGGTTGTGTATATGAGAATGGATTGTGCATTTGAACCAGCGGCATTAGATTGTTTGAAAATTACTGAACAGCGAGTGTGTTAAGGCGTTTTTGAAAGAGTTGTAGTGACTCCAAAATTGAACAGATCAAATTTCCTTCCGAATTTTCGAATTGCATGTTCTTTGCTGATTCAAATAGCGCTTTGGCTTGAAGCTCTTGGCTATTGCTCGCTCGCTTGAGAGGTGTGGTGAGGTAGGTAACGTGCGTCTTTGGGCACTTATACAAGTGCCGGAGCTATTGATCCTCCTGGCCTCACTCGCTTGCATTCGGGAAGTCCAAAGACGCGCCGGGGTTATCATTACCACGAGCGACCATCTGCTGGCCAGACCCCAAAATTTGTGAAGACTGGCATGAGCCTCGCATGTAGCGCAATCACGACGTAGACACCCGCGCAGATCGAGCATAGATTGTTTCAGGTGCAGCTCATCCCATATAGCCTGCAGTAATCGTCGTGATGGCATTGCCAGAGACCGATACGATCGCTCAGCAGGTACATTGTCGCGTCAAGACGGTTGTCGTGTCTCGAAATCGGTTCCCGTAGTGTGTGAAGAGTACGTGGTCACAGTCCCAGGACTATTTAGGGAATGAAGAGATCCGCCCCAGACCCCGCAACCAACGCACCCAAGAAATTCCCCTTCGCGCAGATTCTCCACGCGACATCTGCAGACCCGACAGATTTGTTTCCGCCTCCGATCCACGAGCTCACAGCACCTACAACGGCAGCTGCATCTTCGCGTGGGACGCGAATCCAGGCTGAATCGTACTTTTCTGTCGGGGGTGCATTCTCGATCTTCAGGATGTCGATCGGAATAGCTGTTCCTGTCAGACCGAGGAATTGCGACAGCGCGGAGGAGAGGTAGGATCGTGCGGAGAGTGTGTCTAGTGGTTGAACAGGATTGCCGGGCTGGGGAATACTGCAGTTCGAGATTAATGAGTGTCGATTCCGCATTGTGTTTGAGGGGTAGCTTACAGCTTGAGCTTGAAGTAGGTCCAGGGTGGGTTGCGGGAGGTGAAATGAATGTTCTTTGTCTTTGGATCGAGAGCCTTGCGCTTGGTGGAATCCATTGGTGTATTTGTGTCGATATCCATGTTGGTAGTGTCCGTCATTTCGAGTGCGGAGTGTCGCGTTCGGGTGAGGTTTCTCCAAAAAAAAAAAAAAAGATGGGACTGTTGCGTCACGGGATCTCCAACCCGAATTCCCCTATGAACCGCCCAAAAGAAAGTCGAATTCAGTTGTGTAGCTCGGCGTATCACTTTTTGATGGCCTCCTGTAGGACTTGAGTCGCGCGCTGTAAAAATGCGTCTTCGCTGTCGATCTTCAGATCGGCAATGGACAACGTCTTCTCTCGCGACTTCGCACCGCGAATTACGCTCACGCTGGTTTTTGGGACTTTGAAGATCTTGAGGGTAATCAGCATTGGGCATGGAATATTGAGCGAAGAAGAAGAAAGAGAGCAAAAGAAGAAAAAGGGTTGTCCGCTGGCTCTGGTTCCATCATTGAGAACAGAAGATAGCATGAACAGCCACATCCAAACTGACCTCGGCAAGCACTTGCGACACAGCAAGATTAGCTGCCCCGTCGCGGGGGACAGCAGCCACGGCAATGTCGATCTTGTCGCTGCCCACGGCTGTAATACCGCGGCGGGACGCGTTGGCTTTCACATAGCAAGGGATATGAAGGTTGTATGATTTACTAGGAACGGTCCTCGCGATAAGACGCAGGCAGGTTGGCGACATTTCACTACGCCAAGGAAAAATCGTTCAAGTCCAAAGTCATTAATTGTTGGTAACAAGCCACTAGCGAAGAGCAAGTCCAGTGACAATTCAGTCACAGACAGACCGCCCTAAATACCGGGGAAATCCAAGAAATTCACCGATTCCCCAAACCCAAATCCCATCCGAGCAATAGCAACCAAGCAACCAGTGTCTCCCCGATGGGATCAGACCAGTTCCGCGTGAGGTTCGACATCCTCGGCTTTCTCGGTCTTCTCAGACTGAGCCGAAAGCTCAAGCGCCGCGTTGGGTTCGTAGTCCGGTGCAATACGGTACAGCTCTGGACAGACGGCGTCCTTTCGCATGAATATGTACCGCTTGATCCACCAAGGGAGAACCTGGGTAAGCTGGTACTTAGCGTGAGTGCGAGTTGGCACGCCAAAGACATAGTCCAGCTCCTCGAGAGAACGCTGCATGGTCTCGGGCATGAAAAGGAAGATCAAGCAAAAGGCCACGAGGTTCAAGCATGCATAGAAGCCAAATGCACCCTGCGGGGTGAACGCTCGCAGCATGTATGGGAATGTCAGTGATAGCACAGAGGCCCAGAAGTTATTCGTGGCAACGGCCCAGGCCATACCCACTTCTCGGTGGGAGAGAGGAAAAACCTCGGCGGAATATGTGAATGGCACCGGTCCTTCTCCTGGGGAGTAGAATGCATCGAAGAGGTATATGAAGAATGCGATCATTCCAATGTGTGCGTTGCTGCTGCTTGGGATCCAGAAGCAGAAACCGGCTGCTAGAAGTGTCCAGCACATCTGAGGGAATGTGAACAATAAGAGGCCTCGTCTGCCAAAGGTATCGATTGTCCACACAGCGGGCCAGGCGAAGACGAAGTTGATAAGCCCGAATCCAAATGACGCGAGGAGTGCTTCGATGTTGGAGGCACCGGCTAGCTGGAAGATCGTGGAAGAGTAGAACGAGATAATGTTGACTGGAGTACAGTTAGCAAGCTCATCGCATGGCTAGAAACTTATGGGGGAGGGAAAGCCTTGACGAAGATTTGACTGATTGACAACTTACTTCCACACATCTGTTGCGCGATCATTACAATCCCCGAAGCTTGAACAGCACGTCGCAGACGAGGCACCGTAAACAGCTCCACAAATCGAACGAACATGTTATCACTCTTTGAGAAGCCAGACTCCCTGATCATCTTCTTCTCCATCTCTAACTGAGCATGGATGTAATACAAATCTCTGGCGGCCTGTAAAGGTGTGTTTCGCAACTTCAGCAGAGCGGCATATGCCTTCTGATGACTGCGTTTGGTCATCAACCAACGAGGGGACTCCGGGCAAAACCAAATGCCCAGAAGCAACGGCACTGCCGGAATGAATGCAGATCCAAGCTGCAGCCGCCACGAGATGTCACCGGTGTTTGCCACGATCAAATTGGCGCACGTTCCCAAGAATATGCCAAAGGCAGTCCATAGCTGCCATGACATGACTAGTCCACCGCGAATGTTGGTCGGTGCATTTTCTGGTATGGTGGGTGAGACTCTTGAAGCGAGCTTTGGATGGCTTGGACTTACCAGCCGAATACACAGGAACTGTCACTTCCTTGAGACCCATTCCGATCCCAAGAAGGACACGGCACGCAACGAGTTGACCCCAGTGCTGGGTGAGTGCGGAACCGAGAGGCGCAAGAAGACTGAAAATGGCAGCGAGGAAGATTGTGCCACGGCGACCCAGGATGTGATTGAGGGGATCGGAAAGCCAAGCGATGCTATCAACAAATACATGTCAGAATGATACTTGCATGTCCTGCAAACATGATACTCACAGGATACAGATGGTAATGTATGGAGTCGCGTTGATGAACCCCACAATCCATTGATTACGCTTGCAGACCGCTGGGTCGGCGCAACCACTGTTGGGAATACCAAATTGGACATCGAAGGTCAGATTCGCGCCATTCGAACCTATCGAGGATATCAGCAACTGCATGCAAACATAAAGTATGCTCTGGATTCTGACCAGTCTGATCCCAGCCCTGAATAGCTGCCGCGATCGAGTTCAAGATAATGGTGTAGTACAATACAAATGGGTGTTTCCAGCGGTGGGTCTGCTCTTCGTTGATAATACGGCGGTCATCGTCGTCGAGCTCGGCGATGTGCTCGATTCCTGATGGTGATTGAGCGGCGAGGGCACCCTTCTTGAGGAGGGGCAGGATTTCATTCAGGTCATATTCGGCGGCGTAGGCAGTCACATTTGCCATGAGCTGATCGTGGGGGATACCGATGAGGGGGTTCTTGATCCTGCCATGTGTCAGTGATTCAAAGTGCTGGTAGTATTGCACGTTATGGAAAGCTGCAGCCAGGAAGATCCATGGAATGTCTTTGTTGTACACTTACTCGCCAGTGACATTCTCTGTCATTCTATGTTGCAAGTCAGCGCTGGTCAGTTGGATTGTAGGACGCGTGGTTGTGGTGTATTCACATACCCGCCAACGGTGTCACTCAGAGCTGGATGAGACATCTTGATATGAGACTTGGTAACCTAGTTGGATTCGAGAGATGCCCTTGCTATGGGTAAGGGGACGGAGTGAGGATAAAGTAGGACTGGAAAGTCAAGGCAGATAGATGGAGGTGAGATGGGTCAGTAGATGTAGATGGTTGAAACTTCGAGAAAAGTGAAAGCATACAAAGAGGAAATGAAAGCCCTCTGCACATACAGGTCACCAAAGTGACAAATGTAGTACGCCCAGGCGCACACTAAGACACCATGCATGGCAAACCAAAAGCAAAATGTAAATAACAGGACATGATATTGTTTCAAAGCCTCGTTTTATAGTTCCTATCGCCTAGAACAATTGATAACAATCCTGGGAGTTGTGCTGACGTACAGCCATGGGTGACGGTTTCAAGATATTGAACATCAGTAGATTCAACCTTGACAACTTATAACCAACGTGCAAAGGTACAGGAACAAGATGTTAGATGTGCTTTCCCAGAGCCTTTGTACACAAATACGGAGGCTTGGATCGAGGACTTCAGCTCATGCAGTCAGCATGGAAACACAAAACGCGTCCGGGAGATGACTCGAGAAGGTTGCACTACATTAAAAAGGCATATGGAGCAAACTGACCTAGCTTCACGCGAGAATCCCCGCAATGTGTCATATGACCCGCTTACTTGTGGCTGAAGTCTAAGCTCAAACGGTATACTGTTGCTTAGTGGGATTAAGGCGGGCCAAGTAGCTGGGCATTGTGTTTCTTTCAACTGTCATTGATCGAAAGCATACACAAATGTCTTGGCAGTTGATTGTTAGTAATGCTTCATGTCAGCAAAAGTCCCCTAATCCTGCATGTTTGAGTCCAATAAGTTCACCTGGGTGTGTCGAGCCGACGTATAATTCGTGACGGGGACTTTACCCCACATTTTGAGGCTTAGATCGCGTGCGTGACTGGCGCCTTGGAGTAGAGACGCGAGACTCGTGGTCGATAAGTGAGAGGCTCACCACCCCCTCGGGGCCAGCTTGTTACTTTGGATAATTTCCCGTTACCCTTCCAACATCCGAGGCTGTACGGAGTATGTGCACGAGGGCTATAGCACGCTATACTTTGGCACGCCGAAAAGCAGCAATTCATGCCGACCGTCGACTCAAAATGGATTTAAAGTCAATTTAAGTCAAGGTGCATTGATCTTCGCCTCCTCAAAAGCACGCCAAATTTGACTATTAAGAATTGATGTGAGCTAAACAGGCTGAAAATACAGCTCTTAGCTTCGCAGGAAATAACGGTCAAGTTAAGGTTTACCCAAGTCAAGCAAGCTCACATACTACCAAGGGTGAGAACCGGCTCCAACAATTGAGCCCTCGGGCGCCAATCCTAAATTTGAGCTTATTGGTCTGGCAGATCTCCATAGGATCTTCTTCACTAGCACTGATATGTCAAAAACGGCCGTTAAAATGGGATGACATCTCCGAGACTCGAGATTCGATATCGCGGGGTGAGATGGTGCTTTGAGCACGAAGACCGAGACTAAACAGTGCTCACAAGTCCGTATGAAGAAAACAAATGAGCTCGACCTAGCTAGTTGATCCAGGCACCGACCGAGGAATTCACATGAACGCGATCTACATCGTAGACTCCAAAGTCGAACTCAATTACACGCGACCGTATGAGATTTCTGAACTGCGACAATATCAGTTTCAATTTCTGCCCGTCAGTCTCAACCGTTTCATCCGTGTGATTCTGGATCTACCAAGTCTCAATTTTGAGCAGACCGTTGAGATCGAGCAGGGACAGGGATCGCAGACATGCAGGGACTTTCGGGCCTCGAAATCTCGCATCGTTTGATCTGTGCAGGAGATGACTCGTCAAACTAGAGTCAGTCTTCTTTGCAAGGCTGGATTATTGCTCGATGTATGACTCGGCCGGGTCCCGCATCTCTCAGCGATGTGCGTCGAAGTGGGTCGGGTGAACGGAGATCGGCCTGGACGAAACTATCGTGCGGTAAAAGGCCATTAGGAGGATTGATTGCGGGATCTCGGGAGAGCTGAGACCAGGGGTTTGTCGGAGCTTTACTCCGTACATCTTGCTGGGAATAGATTTTATTTTTCCCGCCCTTTGTTGTTCGATCACAGTTGGTTTGGTCGTGTGAGAGCGAAGCGGCAGGTGGATAGTAGGGCTTAGTATGATCAAATGCCGCGAAAGCCCCAAGTGGACCGTGGACTCGAGATCTGGAATTTGGGTGAGTCTGGCTAAACGGAAAAATTAGAGGATTTCCACCCTTTCCACCGGAATTGTCTCTAGTAAATAGTTAAATATTACTATATTTTTACATGTGTCACTGAGATTGATTTTTAAACGCTCAGACTCTTTCAATTCCACTCGTAATCGTGGGGTGACATCGGAGATTATAAGCCTCTCCATATGGTAACATGCAATTAGATCGCAGTAGCCTCGGCATTGCTCTAATTCTCCGGGCGCGGTGGCCAATAGATGCTTTAAACTTTCTGTGCGTCTATTGTACCTGAAGCGAGAGGCTTACAGCTGATTCGCGATTCGTTCTCTCATAGATGCACTGTCTCCGGAAAGAGAACTATGGGGCTCTGGATCTGCCTATCGCCGTGCGTGAATCGCCTCTCCGCACTAATTTTCGGACTTGCTACCATTTTTGGTCTGGCGTGGAGCCCCCGACCAATTTCGATGCTCTGGGACCACGGAATTATGGCTTTGTTGTTCCTGTTCAAAGTTTATAACTCTGGGCTTGGATCTACGTTGGAATTGTCGATTTCAGGTCGAGACTATCTCTCTCTCAGCTCGCTGAAATTCCACTCTTTTTCCCCCTCTATACAACTATGAACTAGTATCCTGTCTTTTCTACCTTTTTTTCTCAATCGCTGGCTCGAAACATGTCTGTGACACTGATCTAAATTATATAACTATCCCCTTCTTGATACCCACATATCCTTGTCTCTTTATTTCCTTGCCTGTCCGCCGCTTGCTTCTTCACTCGGCACACCATGAAGTTGCCACCAGCGGCCATCCTGGCAACCTGGCCAACGCCCAACTATATTGATCCGCCCACTCGTGGCCACGGCGTGTTGGTTGTGAACATTGTATGCCTCGCTCTGGCATTCATAGTCGTCTCCCTGCGGATATATACTCGAATCCGGATCACATGCAGCGCTGGCGTTGACGATGTTCTAATTGTCATCGGCTTGGTATTCGCCATCGCCATGGCTGTTGTAACCTCAATTGCTACCGAGCAATGGGGCATGAATCGTCATATCTGGGACATCCAACTACTGCGACTGGTCACCGTTCAAAAGCTCAACCTCACCTGGCAGATCATGTTCTCATTGGCATCGTGTTTCACCAAAATCTCGCTGCTGTGGTTCTGCCGACGCCTCATTGGCAAGGGTCATTTTGCATTGTATAACTGGGCATTTATTCTTTCGATGGTTTTCGTCGGCCTCTCCAGTGGCTTGTTCACCATCATCAGTATTTTCCAGTGCTCGTGAGTGGCCTGACTCGTGCCGGCCCCCGGGCGTCACTAACGTTTCACATAGACCCGTTCGTGCATACTGGCAAATTAACCCCACAGAGTCATATCACTGTATGAATGATGGGGCCATCGTCTTTTCCGCCAGTGTCATCAACATCTTTACCGATTTCTTGGTCACAACCCTACCCATGCCCCTCATCTGGAGTTTGAAACTCCCCGCTCGTCAACGTCTGGCCGTGATTTCCATCTTTGCACTGGGAGCCGTTGTAAACGTTGCAGGCTCCGTGCGAACCGTGTACGTGTGGAAGAGCATGATGGTTGGCTATGACGCAACCTGGATTGGATGGCCAGTACTGATTGCTGCCGCGGTGGAAATCAGCTTGGGTTTGGTAAATATCATCCCCTCCCTTCAGAGCCCTGGATATTTCTAACAGCACATAGATCTGCTCTTCAGCCCCCGCTCTCCGCCCACTTGTCGCGGCTTTCCTACCTCGTCTCCTCAACTCGACCCGCAACCTCAACTCCTCTTACAATCAACGCAACCCTTCCCACAAACTGTGGTCTTCGACAGGTCGCTCTCGCGCCTCTCGTGTCATCACCGACGAAGCCCAGCCTGGGTACGACAGCGACCGCTTCGAAATCATGCGTACCGTGGAGATGGAAAGTTGGACCGAGTCCCGACTCGCCCACCACAAAGAGATGGGCCACGCTTTCAACGTCAGTACCGATACGAGCCGTGCCATCAGTCCTTCCAGTGTGGATATGAAGAATGGTGTTGTTCACGCATCTCCGACAAGTGCTGCTTCTTCCTTCTCCGGGCCGAGCGATCAACACTACGATTGTGAGATTGGGCGGGCGCGCTAGCGTTGCGTGGCGCCTTTCCTTTCTTTGTATATTTAGCCCTGAGGGGCTCGCGGTTGGATTAGTGTTGCAGGATTGGCACAAAAAGTGACACACCATGTATATTTGCGGCTCAGGCCATCACGATTCCCTAATGAAACAACGAATCTTTTAAATTCAAACAAGCCTCTAGCTGTAGATCTTGGCGGTTTAGTGGGGGTTGGCGCTATCAGGATCGTCATGGGGATCTGACCTGTCCATTCCCAAATTTAATTGAACTGTGGATCATGATCGACATGCTGAATCATGTTTATGGAGGTCTGGGCAATTCCAAATGATCGATCTAAGTTTGAAAATTCCCAAGGATCTCAATTGCGCTGTTGTTTGCATTCTCCAATTACCAGCACCTTGAAGTTCCAAGGTACATATGAGTCCTCCGTAGCCCCTGTTTCTTATTAGGCGCCTGTCAATTGGGGCAGGGGATCGCCATATAGATTAGTCGCGACTAGTGCTGATTGATGCACGTTGAATCACGGTTACTGGCCTGCGTCAAAATATCTACCTGGCGCTTGTAATTTCCGATGTTCATTCATGCTACTCCGTACTATTCTTTTCTACGAGTCAGTTTCTCACGGCTCGATTTGCTTTGCATAAAATGCTATTGAACGCCCGAACGTAACTAAATCTGCAAAGTCCATCAAAGACCTACATACGGAGTATAAGCTACTGCACTATGGATCACGTACCTCAAAGAAATCAAAATTCAGCCAATGCACGACCAACCGCCAAGACAGACACGTCAACCCATCCTCAATCTTTCTTTTGAATCCCCAACCCCGCAAACTTTACTCTCATACTCCAAATGATTGTTTCCTCAAAGTTCGCAGAAATGCCAGACGACGATGGTTGGGCCAAACGTATGAAGTGCTGGTACTGGTACGAAACATGTCCTATATGTCAAGAAACGGTTCAAGTGTACAAACCCCATGATTATCGTCTCTGGATCCGAGTCCCATTGTGCTGGGATGTCATCGAAAAAGATATCATTGGATTCCGCCAAGACGCACGCGGTAGAAAATTGATATGTTTTTCTCACCCAACAGATGAAGAAGAAGTCTGGAATCGAGTCAAGGACAGCTATCCCTTCAGACCTTACATGTTCAGATTTGGAGGTAACTTGGTTCACAAAAAGTGCATTGAGAATGTTCAGGGTGGTCCATCATCATCGTTTGCTCTTTTACTCAACCTTGTTGGGGCTACATTCTTCGCTCCTCCGAGGTCCCACAGCGACGTTACTTGTGACCCGATCTTGCCTCGAGGGTTTACACCCACGCCAGACCCACAAGTTACTCAAAGTCCAAACGGGGTGCCATTTGAAAAGCTACTACGAAATTTGCCAAATGAGATCTGGGATACGATTGAAGGTTATGGGATTGGACGACTGGTCTTCGTCATGAAGCTTAGCTTGCAGATAAGAGATCTGCCACCAATTCCACCCGAGGATCGCAAGCAAGCTTTCTCTGTCGAGAATGTATGGTTGACGGGTGACTTTATGAGAATCTCTGTTATAGAACTTGGTGGAAGGTACTATATTGCGGATATCTCGAACTCTCGAGCCGCCGATGATCAAGCAACTTGTCGGGAAAGACTGACACGACTATCACACTTCAAAATAACGAGTTACGACTTCCCTTTGGCGAAAGGAAATTATCTTGCGGTGAAAAGTGATGGTATCGGCGTTGTCGATATTGCCATTCAACGTCGCCCATCTGGTCCAGAGTGGCTTTTGAACGCAAGCACAAGCCCATTCCTTGCGGAACTATCAGAAGCAAAAGACGTTAATATACGGAGATTGAGACTGATCGTTGATGTGAGTGTCGATTTTTTTTCCGTTCGATATGATACAGATGTACCTAATGCTATGCTTGACAGACTCTGAAGTGCCGTGCAGTCGTTTCACATAGTCGAAAGGGAGCAGAACCATTCTTTAGCGGTGCTCGACCTCCCAGCGATGCATGGGTTGATTCGAGTTTCCTCGCTAGATCCTGGCTGACTAGAAGTGATACTCGCGCTGCTGACACGATGGCATACTTTACCAAAGCAACCTATATCCCATTCAGTGGACTGGCTGGGGGATTATCTCTCTGTGTATTCAATCGTCTTAAATTTGTCGGGTTTGATATCTTCCATCCTCCCATACCTTATCCCTGCTGCAAGCAGATTGAAGTTCATTTCGACCGGACACCTGACCGTGTTAAGATTATCACTTACGATTCTGTTTCTACAGAATTCAAATTTCCACAGGTGAGTCCACCATTCAAGGTTCCATCAAGTCTCACTCTTATTAACTTACTAGTTCTATGTCAACCAAGAATGGCTACCACCTCTGCCGGAAGCTTTTGAGGGGCTCGCTCATGAACTATTGAACGAGACTATCGTGGAGAACGTTCTGGGCCTTTGGCTGGAGGAGACCTTTGAGTGCACCCCATTACATCTTGGAGTCGTTGTGTCTCGAAGGGAAGATCTCAAAAACACTGTTGTTCATGATGTAGCCTGATGCGAGGTACTCTGGGTCATGAATAGTAACGAAGTGCAGTGAAGCCGAACTCTCGTGCATATCTCTTCCTGACTCCATCCCCAGCCGCCCGAACATAGCACCACCACATACAAAAAAAAAGCACACCACCAACCATTAAAATTAATGTCGGATTTTGAAATGTGCAAAAAAGAATGGACTCGCGGGGAATCGAACCCCGGACCACTCCCATGCTAAGGGAGTATTATACCACTAAACCACAAGCCCATTTGATTGGTGGATGGTTCACATAATGGCATCATGACCCTAGTGGTCATCACATATCCACAAAAAATTTTAAACACCTCCACTTCACCCACTATGAATTATAGGCAGAGTTGAGATGCGCAAAAAGATCTGGACTCGCGGGGAATCGAACCCCGGACCACTCCCATGCTAAGGGAGTATTATACCACTAAACCACAAGCCCAGTTGATTGGTTGTGGCTTCACTTTGTGGTTATATGAACGATTGGGCAATGTACGTGGCAAATTGGGGTTACGAGGCGACTTGAGGAGTCAATTGCTTTCAATACTGCTATTGGATCCCAAATTTGGAGGTAAATTAAAACTTGATACATTGGAAATTGCACCGTAGGGCATATCATATAGCTTGTTCATAGTGTTTAATTGACCACATTACTCGGAATGACGATTGATGTTTCTTAGGATCCGGAGTCTATATGACGATATATATCACTTCCACACCCTTCCAATCATGAACAGGTCGCCTGCCCGAATGAAATTCCAAGGGTATTCATAGAAATCTCGAGACATAACGAAGAGCAGAATTATTTCGGAAGCATTAAAATACCCAATGCCTCACCAGAGTCACCACAGAGGTCCAGGTACATTCTATACTTGGTCGTGACGTTCCTGCTAGGTGGAACTACCGCCACGCCCAGGTGCGTGTTGTGGTAGCCTGAAGGATTCCGACGTTGTGCATATACAATGGATTCAAGGGTTATCGTCAAGAGAAAGATCCAAATGACAGGAATGTTGATTTGTTCTACTAGGAATGTACGGAGTAAAAGCAATGGATGTGACAAAGTCTTATCACCAAGACCCAAAGTTGATAAGGATGCCAAGGCATTTTCATGCAGAGGGGATCGACAACACCCCGGGTTTTGTCACCGCGTGACTCAATAAAATGCAAGGTAGAGTCCAAATGGAAACTCTTACCATATCGATTTGACCGAGAATCCACCAGCGTAGACTTTCTCAATTCGTCCAGAGACCCCATCGGATCCTCGGCGTTTCGTCCTCGGAGGGCAGTCCCTGATTGGTCCATTCCGCCGACCGAAAAGCAATCTACGCGGGGGAAGCTCTGAAGCTCCAGGATAAGGCCGATAACAGACTCCCACTGCATCTGCTATAAAGACACCCCGCGCCTTTTTTCTGCTGTCACTTTCCCTTCCATTCCGAACTCTTACTCTACCTTGTAGCCATTGTTCATTGCTCAAGGTCGCTGTCTCCCTCAATTCTGACCGGAATTGCACATTGGACCGCTGTTCACTCCCCACTCCACTCCACACATCTTCTATACTTCACAATGTCCTCGGTCTTCCGTGCCAGCACACGGCTGCGCTCCGCAGCCCGTCTGCCTGCTGCCCGTGCTCTCTCTACCACCGCTGGCCTGCGCGCAGCGGAGAAGCCTTACTTCCCCAATGAGCCCACAGCCCCTTCCGTCTCGGGACCTCTCCCCGGACCTAAGAACCAGGCCGCTACTGCTGAGCTCGATGAGGTGTTCGACGTCCGCAGCTTGAACATGCTGACTGACTTCAACCAGTCCGTTGGAAACTAGTATGGTAGCCTGACCCTGGCCAATTGAATTGACGCTAACCCTACCATAGCATCGCTGATCTCGATGGCAACAAGTTTTTGGATGTGTAAGTGCCTTCATATGACCCAAGCCGCAATCAATATCTCTAACTTCAGCAGCTATGCTCAGATTGCTTCTATTCCCATTGGTTACAACAACCCCCACCTGCTGAAGGCTGCCGGCTCCCCCGAGATGGCCTCTGCTCTGATCAACCGTCCTGCTCTGGGTAACTTCCCCTCCCACGACTGGGCTCACACCCTTAAGACCGGTGTTCTCCGTGCTGCCCCCAAGGGACTGAACCAGGTCTTCACTGCCATGGCTGGCTCAGACGCCAACGAGACTGCCTACAAGGCTGCCTTCATGTACTACCGCCAGCTGCAGCGTGGTGGCCCCGAGGTTGAGTTCACCGAGGAGGAGCTGCTCTCCACCATGAACAACGCCGGCCCTGGATCTCCCCAGCTGTCTATTCTCTCCTTCAAGTCCGCCTTCCACGGTCGTCTCTTCGGTTCTCTGTCCACCACCCGCAGCAAGGCCATCCACAAGCTGGATATCCCCGCTTTCGACTGGCCCCAGGCCACCTTCCCCCAGCTCAAGTACCCTCTCGAGGACAACGTCCAGGAGAACGCCGCTGAGGAGAAGCGCTGCCTCGCCGAGGTTGAGCGTCTCATCAAGGAGTTCCACAACCCCGTTGCCGCCGTCATGGTTGAGCCCATCCAGTCTGAGGGTGGTGACAACCACGCCTCCCCCGCCTTCTTCCAGGGCCTGCGTGATATCACCAAGCGTACCAACGTCCTTTTCATTGTCGACGAAGTGCAGACCGGTGTCGGTGCTACCGGAAAGTTCTGGGCCCACGACCACTGGAACCTGTCTACCCCCCCTGACATGGTCACCTTCTCCAAGAAGGCACAGACTGCCGGTTACTACTTCGGCAACCCTGCCCTGCGCCCCAACAAGCCTTACCGCCAGTTCAACACCTGGATGGGTGACCCTGCCCGTGCCCTGATCTTCCGCGGTATCATCGAGGAGGTCGAGCGTCTCGGCCTCGTCGAGAACACTCGCATCACTGGTGACTACCTCTACAGCGGTCTTGCCCGTCTCGCTGAGAAGTACCCCCAGCACTTCCAGAACCTGCGTGGTAAGAACCAGGGTACCTTCATCGCCTGGGACACCCCCAAGCGTGACCAGCTCGTTGCCAAGGCCAAGTCCTTCGGTATCAACATTGGTGGCAGCGGTGCCTCTGCTGTCCGCCTGCGCCCCATGCTGGTCTTCCAGAAGCACCACGCCGATATCCTGCTCGAGAAGCTCGAGCAGATCATCCAGGCTATCTAAGCCCCGGCATTGTCACTCCTAATCTTATGACTGTCGAAATGGCTCGGGCGTTCTTATTTGGATTTATAAGCGTTTTCTTTTTCTCTTTTTTGGATGTTTCCCCCTGATATGTTTGCTGCCATGAGTTTATGCCATATTTAAAAAAGGCCATGTACATTTCTAGACATCTTGGCAGTGGGTTTATTCCCCAAAACAAAACAATCTTTGCTTACTCCTCTACAAAATGACCTCAAAGACACGTAGAAAGACAAGTAACCAAGAAGAAAGGTAAGAAGATATATCGAACAACCAGCGAAGAACAAGCAAAAAGACGAATAGTAATTTGAGTTTGTCAAAAGCAGTCTCATTCTGCTATGTGAATGCCCTCTGATCCAATAAATGATGTGTAAAAACAGAATATGATGCCTTATACCCGAAACTCCAAACGACCAGCGCAAGGCGAGCCCCTCCCTCGTCCCGCAAGTCTTAATTGAATCAATGAAGTCTGCGCTGTATGGGTATCCGGACCGAGGTAGTATGAGCAAGGGTGGGTTCGCGCGGTGCTAAAAACTAAGTAGAGATGCCTATGCATCTTCCTCGCCAGTGCTTCCGTCTCGTCTGCGGCAGAACGTTGTCAGTATGGTATGAAAAAGACAGCGGCAGAGCGCCGAGCAGGGGTAGACAAGGACGTACGGGACATATTTGATACCGGAGTCTTCTAGACTGTTGATGATGTATTCCGGAAGCTGAAGTGACAGACGTCAGTAAATCTGATTCCAGCAGGATGATAGAGCCCATAGATCCCCAAGGAACCAATTCACTCTATCGGAGCCTCGCCACTCACTGTCCCCGTCACTTTAGTCGCATATGTGCCCGCCACGTAGTTATCCAGTCGCTGCCAGCGGGCAACCCAGCTAGCAGCCGGATCCCGCACGGCAATTAGGCCCTCGAAGACCTGCGAGGTACATTCCTGAATGGCATCGTTGTTTCCGCGGAGTTGAAGGGTGCTTTCGCAGTTCGGGCAGCCTTCACGCATGAATTTCTAGAGCAGCTGTTAGAGCATGTCTCGGGGTGCAGATGGGACGGTAGCGGTTACATTGTGAATTTGTACGACGGAGCAGACCATGCAGGCGCGCAAGGTGCGATGCTGATTCGGAGGAACGTAGAAAGCCATGTGGAGAGAAAGCTGGGGGTGTGAAGAGGTCAAAGAAAGCTATGGGAATTGGCCGTCGAGGCTGGATCGATGCCAAGACCCTCTTCTGCGATCGGGGAAAAAGAACATGACAGAACCAGGAACAAGACCTTTTTTTTCTTTTTTTCCTCACCACGCTTTTTCTTTTCTTTTCGGTCTCTCTCTCGGCCTTTGGATTTGGAGGTGCTCTGTTTCTTTTCAGGGGACCTGATTATCTATTTACCGGTCGAATTCTCCCTTGTTACGCACCGATCATCACTGTCTCGTGCCCCTCGCATTTTCTCTCCGCCCCCGAAATGGCTACCGATCAAGAAGCGGGCGTTGCGCTCAAGGTCCAGGGAAACAAGGCTTTTGGTGAACACGACTGGCCTGCTGCCGTCGCCTTCTATGACCAGGCTATCGAAAAATACGACCAGGACCCTTCCTTCTTCTCCAACCGCGCACAGGTATGTTCCTGACGATCATAGTGGCACATTCCCACTTTGGTGCGCGCTGCTTGAGATCAATATGGCTGACAGCTTCCGTTTCGTTCAAAATATAGGCTCAGATCAAGCTCGAGGCTTTCGGATTCGCTATCGCAGATGCCACCAAGGCGATCGAATTAGACGCCAACTACGTCAAGGTAAATGGATACCCGGACAACCAGAGCGAGGAATCGACAGATGAGGGCAGACCGGCTAGCAGGGAAATCTGCTAACTCGGGATCTATATAGGCATACTGGAGACGTGCTCTGGCCAATGTCGCCATCCTGAGTTACAAGGAAGCCCTGAAGGATTTCAAGGCTGTGCTCAAGCGCGAGCCAGGCAACGCTAATGCAAAGCTGAGAGCCGCCGAGTGCGAGAAGCTCGTGCGTCGCATAGAATTTGAGCGTGCCATTGAGGTCTCGGATCCTCCTTCTGCGTTCGCGGATCTGGATATCGATGCGATCAAGGTTGACGATGATTATGATGGTGTGCGCTTGGGAAATGAGATGACGCAGGAATTCGTCGATGATATGATCCAGCGCTTTAAGGATGGAAAGAAGATCCATCGCAAGTATGTCTTCCAGATCATCAAGGCCGTTAAGGACCTTGTTTACAACGAGCCTACGATGGTGGAAATTGGTGTCGAGTCCGGCAAGAAGTTGACGGTTTGTGGTGATACCCACGGTATGTATTCATCTCACGTTCCGGTGAATGTAATAGCCCACTAATGATTTAGGCCAATACTTCGACTTGCTCGAGATCTTCCGACGAAACGGTGCTCCCTCTGATACCCATGCTTATCTGTTCAACGGTGATTTCGTCGACCGTGGCTCCTGGTCCTGCGAAATTGCTCTGTTGCTCTATGCCTACAAGTGGCTGCGACCCAACGGTCTGTTCCTGAACCGTGGAAACCACGAAACGGATGATATGAATAAGGTCTACGGATTCGAAGGTGAATGCAAGGCCAAGTATAATGAGCGTGTCTTTAAGGTGTTCTCCGAGTCCTTCTCCGCTCTGCCCCTGGCCACCTTGATCGGCGATAAATACCTCGTTCTTCACGGCGGCTTGTTCTCCGATGACAAGATTAAGCTCGATGACATTCGCAAGCTCAACCGTCACAACCAAAGGCAGCCTGGTCAAGCCGGTCTGATGATGGAGATGCTCTGGACAGACCCCCAGGTTGGCCCTGGTCGTGGTCCTAGCAAGCGTGGTGTTGGTCTTCAGTTCGGCCCGGATGTGACCAAGCGTTTCTGTGAAAACAACGGACTGGAAGCTATCATTCGATCCCATGAAGTGCGCATGGGTGGTTATGAGGTTGAACACGATGGTCGCTGTATCACCGTCTTCTCCGCCCCTAGATACTGTGATTCCACAGAAAACAAGGGTGCATACATTAACATTGGCCCCGAACTCAAGCTCAATTATGAAGTGTTCGAGGCCGTGCCGCACCCTGATATCAAGCCAATGGTATGTCCACGGCGTCCTAACCCATTCAATCTTGATCAATAGTCCACTAACTTGTCCCAGGCATACGCTCAAAACTCGCCTCTTTCAGGAATGTGAAGGCATATTGAAATATGAAAGCGCTCGGCGTTGCTAAAGAGAACTAGAATTTGATGTTAATGTATTTACGTGCATGAGTGATGTCTGTAGCTGTGACGCAACTTGTATACTTCTCACCGCTTTTGCCCCGCGGTTTCCCCTCGATTCTGCCGCAGCAACGTTTTGTTCTCGGCCTAGAACGACGCATTCTAAAGACTACAGTAATAATGGAGCTCGATCCCAAGACACGTAAGTGACGAGCATGGCAATTGATATGTCGAGACTGACAAGAACAGCCCAATACTCCACATCCGACAAGTCGAGCTTTGCCTCGATCTCGGCCAACGAGCGCTGGCCTGTCATCCTTGTGAGCCGACACCGGACACCCATTGACCGAACGACCAATTGCTGATGGATCATGTCGAGATTAGACCGGTGCTATCGATGATCTACATCGGACCGTTGTAGGTGTGAATGATAACGAGAAGGCCAATGAGGGTAAGAGCATTATCGCCAACCTGGCGAAGTTGAAGTATGAGCTTCAACATAACCGACAACTTACGTGAGTGGCCTGTGCATGTATGGAGAACTTGAACCAAGTACTGATCCATGATATGACATAGTCCCATCGACGACGACGGACACCCCGATATCGCTTCGTACAACAAGGAGCTAGAGCAGCGAGGAAACCCCCAATGGCACGATGTTGCTTGGCTTTTCGCCGAATGCTACCTCTGTAGGTTGAATATTCACACAAAGCACCCAACAACCTCCAGTACTGACTGGATCCCCAGACCGTCGGGTAGAGTCCCTTTTCGCATTGTCCAAACACTGGAAGGGCTATGACGTTTTCGCCCGCCAGAAGATGAACACATTCAAATCGTCTCGTCCGGCCGTGCTCGAACTTGCCGCGAGATACCGTGATATCGTGACAGAGGCAGAATCAGGCAAAGGAAAAGAGACAAAGTCCGCCGAGGAAATCGAGGCCGCCGAGAGACTTCTCTTCTCCGAGATGTGCGAGATTTGCCTATGGGGAAATGCCACCGATCTATCACTCCTGACCTCTCTCACCTACGAAGATATCCAGAAGCTGCAAGGCTCTCAGGCACGCAAAGATTCACAGAAGAACATCATCGTCAACGACCTCGATGCCGCCTTCGATGCCATGCAAAAGGCTCGACGAGAGAAGAAGGATGGCGAGCGTCGCGTCGACATCGTCCTCGATAACTCCGGATTCGAACTATTTGTCGACCTGATTCTTGGCGGATACCTACTATCTTCCGGACTGGCGACTAGCGTTGTGCTCCACCCGAAACGTCTACCGTGGTTCGTGTCCGATGTTACGCCTAAGGACTTCTCGGATCTGCTCAACAGCATGGTCGACCCGCAAGCATTCTACACAGCTGCCGATGAGTCGGGAAATACCTACCCCTCTCTATCTGAGAAGGAGGTTTCCGATGTCAAGTTCCTCTTCGATCAGTGGAGTGAGTTCCACCAGGACGGTAAACTGATTCTGCGCCCACATGCGTTCTGGACTGAACAGGGTGGCTTCTGGAGGATGCCGCAGGATGCGCCAGAGCTGTTCGAGGATCTGAAGGAGAGTGAGCTTGTGTTGTTCAAGGGTGACTTGAACTACCGCAAGTTGACTAGCGATGTAAGTTTGAACATTTTTTTTTCAATTAGATTCCAAGGTTAAGTTTTGTGCTGACGAAATCCAGGCGGAATGGGATCCTACCACCCCATTCACAGAGGCCATTGGCCCACTTGGTCCGAAATCCGGCATTCGCGTGCTGGCGTTCCGCACCTGCAAGGCTGATGTTGTTGTCGGCCTTCCAGCTGGCGAAGATGAGAAGCTTCGGGCATTGCCTGGTGGCGGTGGCTCAGAGTCTCGTAAATGGGCTTGGAGTGGAAAGTGGGCTGTTGTCTCGCTTTCTGATGGAAAGGCTTAAGCTATGTTGAAATACTGACAGCAGACTTCCCGATCTGTCACTAAATGGGTCTGACAGCATATGGATCATATAGATAGACAAAGGCACGACATGATGAGGACCGAAAGTAGATAGGTCAGCACATAATCTAGAATGTGCCTATGGACATTTAAAGACACATCGAACCGTTTCATGTCACCAGACATTGCTTTTAAACAGCGAGATAAACGTATATACCCGCAACAACAGACCCCACAGTCCCAACACCTGGCTTCGAAATACCAATAGCAGCATTGGTAGCTGAAGCCGAGGCAGAGGCCGAAGATGACCCAGATGTTTCGGAGCTAGACGCCACTCCACTCGTGCTCGTAGCCCCCGATCCCGCCGTAGTCGAGACAGATCCAGTCGTGGTACCCGAGGCAGCAGACTCACTCGCACCACCAGCTGCAGTAGCACTAGGATTGAAAGAAGTAGTAGTAAACGAACAAGAGCGAACGAGATCATTTGCATCTACAGAACAAAATAAATCCTCGTTAGTATTGATCACAAGTGACTCGACTTGATTCCACCCGACGCAATTGGATTAACTAACCATTGTCACTTCCATCCTTGCTATACTTAGTGATACACGCATCGCACATTGGGAGAATAGAAGATGCATTCTTTCCCTTGCAGACACAGCTCAGCTCGGCGTTATCGTCGTCAGAGGTCTTAGCGTCGCATGAGGCTGTTAGACTGACGACGGGCGAACAGACTTCTTTGCATTCTGTGGGTAAGTCATTGGCATCTATGTCGCCTGCGGCGGCGAGGGAGATGAAGAGGGCGAGGGCAGGGTAGGTAAAGCGCATATCGGTAGTAGATTTGAAAGATTGGTTTCGGGCAGATGAAAAGTCAAGTTCTAGCGAGGTGGATTATTTAAAGCTTGACGGAGTCGTGGCGAAGTGCAGGAACTAGTAAATCTTGGAATGCTTGACACATCAATTATGTAAATTGTGCAGGGTCTTATTGCGGGGAATGGGCTGGGGACGCCGCTGAGATCACCCCGGGGGATCGGCAGGGTCCGATCTGTTGGAGGCTATGAGCAGGCCTGATTGGGAAAGTGTTGGGGTGACTGCAGAGGACTCGGATTGAATTTTCTCGGTAGATATAGTAAGAAGAATATCATGAACGCTTCAAAATCCACTCCTTATTTCCATGTCTGAATTCAAGTAACAAAGAACCAATTAACATCACGTATTGTGATTAAAGACTTCATACATTCTCCTTTCCAAGGGCTTTCCGCTGCCTGAGTCGCGATTTCGCTGCTGCGAATCGTTCGGGGGTGAGAGCGTCGCGCTGTTCAGCGGGCGCCGAGTGTCTCTTACCCACTCGTTCGCCGGTGGAAATGGTGTACCCTGGATATCGGGTGCGATGGGGCAAGTCGGAGAGAGAATCCAGGGTGGTTTTGATATGGGGGCGCTCACGATGTGCGGGCTTGTTGCTGAGTCTAGTATCATCGTCCCCAGTGATGTTCAAAGAGCGATAGGAACGCTGGCCATCCCCGAGTCGCCGTCTTGAGAAAGTCCGGTTCAGGGATTTGAGAGCTGAGATGTCCGGGGGCGATGAAGGTGGGACTTGGACCGGGCCCTCAATATGAGTTCCATGGCGTGGCTTGGGCAGGATCTTGTTTAGATAATGTGTGACTTCGTCGTCGTCGGCGGCTACCTCTTGTGCGCTGCGTCTAGTTCCAAGGGTGCCCATAGTGGCGCTTCGCAGAGTAGGCCGCGGCTCGCGGACCTTGGAGCGTGGGCTTGGGCTTGGTGGGGCTTCAATGTCATCAGTGGGCTCTTCCTCTGGTGCGTCATCATCATGATCCTGGCCAGCAAAATCGAATGTCTGGACGCCGGTGTGGTCTTTGCGGGGACTGAGGAATTGCCGTTCAGTAGACGGCAATGCTGGAAAACGTTCACCAGGACCTAGTCTGAGTTTCAGAAGATCGATTTGCTTCTGCATCTGGCGACGCTCTGCGTCACAGGTGTTTCTCAAGTTATCCTCCGATTCACGATGGTCCTGAGAGAGGGTTTTGAGCTTCTCTCTGTACTCCTGGATGCGCAGCTCCAGTTTAGCCTCCCTTTGTTTCAGTCTTGTTTCTTTTTCCTTGCGTCGCCCTTCGTATCGTGACATTTCTTGCTTGACTCGAGCTAACGTTTGCTTGAGAGTGTTGTTTTCCTGTTCCAATGCATGCGCTTTCTTCTCTGAGCTCTGGGCCAGGTTCTGCAGGGTGTTGAGCTCTGATTGCTGACGCTGCATCTCCTCGATCTTAGCATTGGCCTGTTTAAGCTCCTGCTGTGTCTTGTGAAGCTCGTCGGACTGGTCGGTTGGCGGAGACGCTTCTTTCTTTTTCTCTGCAACAGTTGCGGCATCGCTTACAACATCATGCTTCTCCAAAGTGTGGCGCAGAGAAGTGACCTGCTGCTTGTATTGTAAGGCAAGTGCCGTCTGTTTGGTCAGGTCTTGGACCAAACGCTCCTTGTCGCTGGTAGACTCCTGGCCAACCATAGAAGAGGCAAGTCGAGAAACCTGTCTCTCCATCTCCGCAACTTTCTCTTCCTCCTCTTTCAGTTTATCGGCTAGTCGCATGGCCTCAGAATCCTTCTTACGAGCGTAAGACTTGGCAATCGACCGGTAATGGATCAACTTCTTGATCTCGCGGTTGGTCTTAACACGGTAATTGTCGAATTCTGTCTTCCAATATTTACCAGACTCCGAATGCGGGTCTTCTAGGTTCATAGTGATATCTTCGTTGTCGAGAACTTCCATCGTAGAGGTGCTGGGTTTGTCTGTACTTTCATCGGTCTTGGCAGTGTCCGAGTTCTTGGAAGCGTTGTCGCGCGCGTTCATGAGGGTTTGGGTGAGTTTACTGCGTGGCTTCCCACTGCCATCCGAGGATCCAGACATCCACTGGGTACTGATGTTTCCAGAAGGGTTTGGTGGAGTCTTGACAGGCTTACTCGCTGACCCAGGTCGCTTCCCCTCGTTATCGACGACACTTTCACCAAAAGAGACGGTTTTGCGACGCAAGGCAGTTCCAGGTGTCACTAGTATGCTTTTCGTGGGAGAACCCGAGGGGTTAGCAGTCGCGTCGTCGGCTGGCTTCACGTCGGGCTTAAGCTCGGGTGGCGCTAATTTGATCGAATCACTCTTGCTTCGTTGGTGGTCGGATTGTTTTGGTAGGGACGCGTTGTTTTCAGGTTCTTCCTCGGCCCCGGGGGTACCAAAAATCGCGCTCTTGAACGCTCGAATCGCGAAGACATGACCGGGGGTCTCAGGAGGTTCTAGCAATTTGGAATCATCTGCACCACATTAGAACATTCAAGAGCGGCTAAATGAAATGTAAGACAAACCTGGAGCTTGGGCACCTTCGTTCCCCTTCATCCAGTCCAGCATTTTGACGGTGGGGGGAATGGCGAGTTCAAAGAAGCGGTTGTTTATGGTCGCGGAAAAAGCACAGGTGCCGATCACCTCTTATCGATAACGCTATACTCTTGTTGTTGTGTTTTGGTCCAAAGTCCTCTCTGGACCTTTTCAGCTCGGTTGAAAGAAACTTGAGACACTAATTGACTCTGTCTTTTGCTTTGGTTTCTGGTGGTTGAGTGTTGAACACCCCCCTCGCGACCTACATACATTAGGTGCATATGCAACCTGCCATCTACAAGTACACTACCCGCCCATTCGCCTTCGACGACTCCATACGGATGTTGGGGTTCCAACGTAAGTCTACATGGAATACGTCTGATACCAGTATCTTGGCACACATGAGACTGTAATCTCAGATGTTTGCTTGGAGACACCCGTGAACCCGTCTCCTACACCGTACGGAGTGTATTGATTTGTATCTTGAACGTGTCAACAAATCCACAAGGCGACATACATGATTGGTCAAGTCATCGTATTCGTGCCCAGATGGACTTTGGTCACTCATCGGCCTATAAATATGGGGTCGAACTAGTCAATAGGACACTCTCTGCCTGATTTCGATGCCGGCGCAAGCACGTTCTTCCTGCCACGGCCAAATATAGTATAACCATGGAGCAGCAGTGGCAGCAAGGGGGCAATAGCGGGATTCTTGGTGCATGAAGAATCTATCGGAATCCATCAGAATCAGACTGGGGGAGTAACACCCTATATATAACCTCATCTGTGCACCTCCAGGGCTGTTGTACTCCGTACACCGCGGGACGTCCCTTACAGCCAAACCCAAACTTCTCGAACCCTTTTGCCAACAAGTGCAATGCCTTTCTCCCGGTCACTTGGCCTGCGCCTGGCCGCTAGCGCGATTGCCAGTGCGTGCATTGGTGTTGGCATCAACGCCATCCTGCGTCCAGACCATGCCCTCACCTTTTTCGAGTTCCAGCCGACCTCAGCGATCGATAAACCCATAATCGACAGTCTCGTGACGATCTTTGGAATCCGAGATATCTTCATGGGGGTTGCCATTTTGGCAGCTTCGTACTTTGGGACTCATTCCACGCTGGGCTGGATCTTGATTGCCACTGGTGGAGTTGCATTTGCAGACGGATTAGTCTGCTGGAGCCATGGCGGCGGCGAGTGGAATCACTGGGGGTTTGCACCTGTGGTCACGGTGATCGGCGGCTTGTTACTCGAGTGATCACTGGTTACACGTGGAAGGGCAATCCACAGAGGATTCTTGCGGTGACAAGACTTGGAGGGTTTCGGGGATGTGCCTTATGAAACCCGGGTCCACTATTGGGCAGATTGGGATGTACAGTGCTTGAACAACGTACGTTGTACGTTGTATGTACATTTGTATGCACATTGTATGTTCCTGAAGCTGAACATATTAACACGTACATTATTGCAGAGTACCAAATTCCTTGGAAATATCACTTCATGTCTATACGTCTGCTTTACAGTGTAAATAGTGTTCTTCCAAGTGTCTTTGTTGTTCCCGATCTTGGGTTATTACACTTAGAAGAGAACAACATAGATATTTGCAAATAATATACTATCCTAGTACTTTGTACCAAATACCTGCAGTAAGATCAAGCCATAAAGAGGTCTAAATAGTAGAATTAGTATAAAACAAATTGAAGGGACGTCATTGATACTAAGCATCTCCACCTAGTCGAAGGGCGTGATCTGACCGCCTGTTCTAAGAGAACCAAAAAAAAAAGACTGCCCATTTCACCTTCTCGACAACTTTCAAACCCCTACCACCCCTATAATTGACCCTCATGCCGTACAACGCTCAGGGTCGCATGTAGGGCGTCTCGCCACGCCCCGCGATGTCTCCCAAACAGAGGAAGCCATCCCGCCAGAAAAAGCAAACCTCCGATCCCGCGAGCCCCATTCACCCAACCAATTACCGAGAAATCCACCAGACAGAGGTCGAAGCTCTGCGTTCAATCTATGGCGATGACTTTGAAGAAGTCGAGAACAAACGATCTGCTTGGCAGGTAGGGTGCTCCGATCCGTTTCGACCTGTCGTGCCCGCTCACTCGTTTCTAGCAAACCTCCAATGTCACATTCAACCTCCACCTCCGATCCTCCTCAAATCCAGACGTTATCCTGATCCTCCAGGTCGAGCTGCCGGCTACGTATCCCAAAACCATACCAAATTTATCGCCAGGCAACCTCGACGGATTTCGCGATGGAGCACGTTCCAGAATCCAGGACATTTTGCGCAACAAACCAAACACTCTCCTTGGGAGTGAAATGATCTATGAGCTGGCAGTATCCATACAGGATGTGCTGGAAGATGTGGCCCAAGCCCAAGCCCAGGACAAGGACTTGCCCAGCCTGGAAGAAGAGCGCATGGAACAAGAAGCAGCGGCTCTACAACGTGCAGATCTCCAACAACAGGAAGAGCTCCGCCAACAGAAAGCTGCAGCCGTGGAGGAGGAGCGCGCTTTGCAAGAAATGCTCAGAGACAAGATGCGACAGCGGAACAAGGCTCGGATCTTAAGACGAAAGAGTCGCACCGGTGGTGCAGATACAAGTGATACTGACGACCTTGTGGGTAATACCCCTGGAGCCATCTGTTTTGATCCGCCATTGGTGGTCAGTGACACCGATGAGCAGCCACTGGTCTTTCGGGCGGTTCATGGAAAAACCCTGGTACAAAGCAAACCGGGTAAGAAGACATTTACCGTGAGACCGGTGGTCTCTGAGAGCAGATGTCATGTTCCGCTACTTGTTCTCAAGGAGATTTGCTTGACCGAGAAAGGATCTGAAGCATTAGCTTTCCGGGAACAGATGCGCACCAGCGAGGATAAGTTAGAAGCGATCAAGCGGTTGCGGCACTCCAATCTGGTTGAGTTTGTTGGTTTCAAAATCAATCGCCCCATTGGCCACTTCAACTCACCCGATAATGACTGGACTGTCTATGCCCTCCTGGAGCATGCGAACAAAGGATCTCTATCTGAGCTCCTCGATATCGTTGGGACTGTGGCTGTTGACATGCTTCGTGGCTGGATGATCCAACTACTTGAAGCATTGGAATTCTACCACCGGAGTGGATTTGTACATGGTAGTATTCACTGTGGCCGAATCTTTCTCTTCCGGACCCCTTCTGGAGGAACCATCGTCAAGCTTCAATCAAGTGTTGAAGAAGCTTTACCGGATCCTCCTTGTGGGAAGCCTTCTTTGACTGCCTCAAAATCTCCACTTTGGCTTCCTCCAGAGTTGACTCAGGATCATGCCTCTCCATCCATGAAGACGGACGTCTGGGACCTTGGAATTGTTCTCCTTCAGATGGGCTTTGGAAAAGATGTACTTCTTCGATACACCTCTGCCAATCAACTAATGGTTTCCATGGGACTTTCTCCCCCGCTACAGGATCTACTGCGAGAATTCTTCCGCCCAGACCCCAGGAAGCGCCCAACTGCCTTCCAGCTTCAACCGTCAGAGTTTTTCCGCGTTGATGCGCCTCTGAAAATGCGGGAGAGAGCATCTGGCTCTGTGTCATCACACAGACGGCCACGGCTGGACTCCTTTGGAGCCATGCCGGCTTTCTCTCGATACCACCAAGACTTCGATGAAGCAGGTCAACTGGGCCGCGGTGGCTACGGACAAGTAGTGAAGGCTCGGAACAAGCTGGATGGTCGATTGTACGCAGTCAAGAAAATTTCACAAACTTCGGCAGCAGCGTTGAAAGACACGCTTTCCGAAACCATGTTGTTGTCTCGACTCAATCACCCCTACGTCGTCCGATACTACACTGCTTGGCTAGAAGAGGATTTCAATCACATCGAAGAAGAGGCTATGTCCTCCACCGAAGGTGACCCGTTCTCCAGTCAGGATCACCATGGGTTCAGTACAGGTGGTCTTGATTTCATTAGCTCTAGCGGGTATCCCAAAATCGAATTCGCTGGATCAGATAGCGACGACGAGAATGAGGGGACCTTGTCCGACCCTGCCCATCCAGGAACACCAGAGACAAACCGAGCCAATGGAACTACTGGCACCGGAAGCGCAGAAGATGTCGAGTTCAGCCGTGCACGATCTGGTTCATATTCCAGGCCTCTGGTTACCACGCTTTACATCCAGATGGAGTACTGCGAGAAGCATACACTGCGTGATCTGATAAGAAATGGGCTGTGCGATGACACTGAAAGCTCCTGGCGCCTTTTCCGCCAAATCCTCGATGGTCTGAGCCACATTCATAGCCATGGTATTATCCACCGTGACTTGAAGCCTGACAACATCTTTATTGATGTAGCCAACAACCCTCAAATTGGTGATTTTGGCCTTGCCACGAGCGGCCAATTCACAACGGCAGTGCGTTCATCTGCTGCAGCTGATTTTGAAGGTGATTTTACACGCAGTCTGGGAACGACCTACTACGTTGCACCAGAGATGAAGTCAGTTGTCTCGGGGCATTACAACGAAAAAGTTGACATGTTCTCGCTGGGTGTGATCTTCTTCGAAATGTGCCACCCCCTGCCTACCGGCATGGAACGAGATCAGACCCTCAGAGAAATCAGGGAAAAGTCTCATACACTTCCATCCACTTTCCAGCAATCCGATAAAGTGCTCCAGGGGCGGATCATCGAACACTTGCTGAGTCACACACCAAGCGAGCGTCCAACGGCATCTGAGCTTCTGTCCAGCGGCAAGATTCCACTACAAGTCGAAGAAGAGACGTTCCGGAGAGCTATCGTGCATCTACTATCTGATCCAAACTCCCCCGATTATAAGAAGATTCTGTCTGCAATCTTCTCACAATCGCCCAAGAAATTCGAAGACATTGCTTGGGACATCGACTCCCATGCGGTGCCAGCCGTCAACGAGTTGCTCGTCCAGGGTCTCGTCAAAAAGAAACTCACCTCAATTTTCCGAAGGCATGGTGCCGTTGAGTCAACAAGACAAATGCTCTTCCCTCGGTCCCAGCATTATAACAATGGCGCGGTGCGAGTCTTGGATGCTTCAGGCAACCTCCTACAGCTACCTTACGATTTGACGCTCCCCAATGCCCGAGCAATCCCTAGGCAAGATCGCTCACTGGAGAAGACATTCGCTTTTGGTACTGTATACAGGGAATCCACGCATGGCAGTGAGCCACGGACGCACCGCGAAGTTGATTTCGACATTGTTTCTCACAACACTTTGGATCTAGCTCTCAAAGAGGCAGAGGTCATCAAAGTATTGGATGAAATTATCGAGGAGTTCCCGCCTTTGCGATCGACGCCTATGTGTTTCCTCGTCAACCACTCCGATCTCCTCCAGCTGATCATGGAGTTCTGTCGCATCACGCCTTCCCAGATCCCCAAAGCCAAGGAGGTTCTCAGCAAGCTCAACGTTGGGAAATACACCATGCAAAAAATCCGAAGTGAGCTTCGAGCGCCTGCAATTGGTGTTGCTTCGACTTCGCTAGATGATCTTGCCCGATTTGATTTCCGGGGTATGTTATTGTTCTGAACACAGTGGGGATTAAATGTTAATCAATTTTACAGACTCTTCGAAAGAGACGCAGCGGCGACTACAAAGCATAATGGAAGGAACCGAATATGCCGAACGGGTCTCACCAATTTTTGCCCGATTGAATGTGCTCATGACTTATCTGCAGAGCTTTGGCGTGAAACGCAAAGTCTACATCAACCCATTAAGCAGCGTGCATGACAAATTCTATCGTGGCAGTGTGCTGTTCCAATGTGTCTTCGACAGCAAGCGACGGGATGTGTTTGCTGCTGGTGGTAGATACGACCGGCTGATCCAAGAGCATTCGCCCAACGTTCTATCCAACCGTCCTCAAGCACATGCCGTTGGCTTCAACCTTGGTTCAGATCGACTTCGCTCTTCAATGATCGATTATCTCAAGGCAAAGGCTCCGCCGAAGGACACAGAAACAGGCTCCGAGCTATACTGGGCCGCTCGTCGTGTAAGCAGCCCCACATATCTCTTGATGAACAGCTTGCTAATGTACCCAAAGTGCGATGTCCTCGTGGCTAGTTTCGATGCAACAGTTCTCCGCACAACAGGAGTCAAACTAATCGAAGAACTCTGGTCCAACAACATAAGCGCAGAGCTTGCAGTCGACGCCTCGTCTCTCGAAGAGCTCATGGCCAAATACAAAGACTCCAACCACCGATGGATCGTAATCGCCAAACAAGACAGCAAAGAGCGTGGATTCAAAGTTCGCAACCTCATGCGCAAGGAGGAATTCGACATCCGGACCGCCGAGCTCGTAACCTGGCTTCGGTCAGAGGTACAGGCATTGCACCACCGAGAAGGAACCGCCGAGCCTCGACCATCCCGTCAACTAAGCCAGCAAGAAGCCTTGGCATTCCAGGAACGGGCGAACGATGTACGAATTCTCGTTCCACAGCACCGAAGCAAAAAGACAAACAGAAGGAACATTGTCGAGTCAGGTATGCCACCACCACTTTTTCCCCCACCCTATAAGTATCCATACTCACAATCCCAGCACTCGTATCATCCCGCGAAGTAGCAGAAAACGCCCGCAACGGCCCCGTCGCAGCCATCGACACTCGCGACGAAGTCCTCGACGCCATCCGAGACACACGACTCTCAGATGCAGAAAGCTGGCGAACTGTCATCCAGAACGCACCTCTGACCGAGCGCAAATACCTCAGCCAGGTACACGAGCTACTCACCGATCTAGCAATGGAGAATCGCGCAAACGACAGCTCGGAAAGCTATACGAATGCTTTCATCTACAATTATCGAACAGGATCCTGCGTGTACTATGACCTGGGACCCTAGCGGGGAACGAATTATGACTGATTGATTTCAATGGGCGATGAAATGAGGATGAGGGTTAGGTGGGAAAGGAGGTGGATTAGGGACTGGAGTGGACATACTTTAAAAGGTGGCAGCTTTTGTTTTTTTCTCTCTCGCATATTGAGTTCCATAGTTTAGCGAGTGCTTGGGATGTTTGATACCCCAGTGACGAATAACTCCCAATGTCTTTGGAAGTGCGATGTACAGCCCTGGAGGTGATTCGTGGTTTGCGTAGATGTAAAACCTCTCCCCCATAGCTATTAAGTCCTTTAGGCCATGTCTCCAGCACGGTACGGTTCGTCCAACTTGTTCCCCACCTGGGCATGCATGAAACCGGGTCTATAGATATCGTGGTTGCTTGCTATATCTCACAACTAGGTAACTTTCAAAGTCATCTTATCTACGAAGGGAAAGGCACACATTGTTCAAGACGTGAAGGAATAATCAAGTGTCATGTCAGGTATCGCTAGTGTACATTTTAATGAGAGGGTTTGCAAACATTATGAATCTGAAATGCCAGGATAATCAGTCGCTCTCATCGTCACTTCCGTAAGCGACTAGCGGCCCAGCAGCAGCTTTAGGGGCCTGCTGAGTCTTCACCGTCCCATTCAGCCCCCTGAGAGCCGAAAGAGCCGAGCTGGAGAATATAGAATTGCTCTGTGGCTGGTGCTCCTCGACCTGCGCAGGAGCAGATGCATGTGTGGACTCGATCATCAACTGTTGTTCAGGGGCCTCTAGTTGAGCGGCTTGGTTTGCATCCTCCAATTGGCGGGTCCGGGCATGCCACACGTCATCTGGAACATCGTAGCCCTGAAGTCCGAAAGATCCCTCGATCTTCTTTCGCTTTTTGGCCTCGGGGTCCCGGCCTTCGATCTCTGCAACGAATGCTGCGGGGAGTGCTCGTCGAACGGCCTCGGCGGCTTGCTCCTCAAGTCGGCGCGCCTCACGTTTTTGTGCCATTGGGTTCGGGTCTACCGTGGCCCAGCGTACATTGATAATCTCCTGCTGGTTGTTAGCAAGCTGTAAGACTGTCTCGAGAGAGGGATGAAACTGACTTCGTGATCTAAGCTCTGTCTTGCCATTGCCTCCATCGCAAACTGGGCGTTGCCCTCAGTTGAGTATGTGACGAAGCCAACACCGCGACCAGTGAGCACTCGGATTCGGTCGATCTGTCCGAATTCCTGGAAGTGCCTTGAGATAACCTCCTCAATATCATCTACGCAGCCAAGTTAGCTAGAAACATTCTGGGGAAGCCAGTAGAAATCGAAACACAGCCGTCGACTTCGCAAGTGGCGTGCACGGGTAAACTCACCAGTCACATGGCACCGTCCTACATAAAGAGTTCTGTTCACTCTCATGAAACTACCCACACCGCTCATATCCTCTTTGTAGTCCGAGTGTTTCTCACGACCGAACAAGTCGACATTGGGGTTGAACATATCGTGTATTGTGGGCAGTCGGTGGAGGTACTGGCACTGAGGTCCCTGGGTACAGGATCCGCGAGCGAAATGAACGCAGAAATATGACCCGGGTACGCGATCAGCGAGAGTATAACCCGAGTCTCGAGCGATGTTCACGCGGTATGGAGCTGGCTGGCTCAGTCCGTATTTGTCGTCGTCGTTTCCTCCCGCCTTGTTGTACCAGATGTTGTCTAGATTGCGGAGTTAGTCATTGGGTCTTGAGATGGGGTCGGGTTGTAATGCAAGGCCACTCACAGTCTACGCCGGGTTGAGCTGGAGACTCGGTTTTGAGAGTTGATGCGTCGACTTGGATTCGCGCAGGCTTCTTCTTCCGTCTAATCATCTTTGTCTTCTTGACTGGTGCAACCTGCTGATCCTCTTGCGCTGTATTCTCCGGAGCATCATTGGTAGTCGCGACTGTTTGTTCGGTGTCGGCGACCGGCACCGCGGGCTCTGCAACTGATGTGTCGGCCATAGCTGTGAGTATCGAGATTGGCGGCGGCGGCGTTTCCGAAATTAGTAGGCTCGCAGCAACTCGTGTTTGGTGATCAGTATTCCGCGAAAGGGCGCTTGCAATATTTCTTTCAATCCACTAGTAAAAGAGTCTGAAATGACCAGGAGCGCAAGGTTGTCGTAGACGCGGAGCTTTGAGCTTCAGAAAATCGTGAAGTTGAAGCCCCTTACATAAGCGGGTCTTGGCGGGCAGTGCGGGATTTTGATATCGCGGCCTCATTTTGGATCTTGCGTGTGCCGTGACAGCAAGACGATTATTCGCTCATTTCTGGCTGACAAGCCTCATAAATCGGCAAAATGGTGAACATCACTGAGAAGATCAAGGAGTATGTGACTCGAATGACACCTGCCCACTCTCATGTCCCGATTGCTTAATTTTGATTCCACAGGATTGAGGATGAGATGCGGCGGACGCAGAGTAAGTCTTTCAGTTGAAAATCTATGAAAATCTATGCTAACCATGTCCCGCAGAGAACAAGGCCACAGGTATGATGAAGATCAATACTTGAAGAAGTACAAGTGAAGAATCTAACCTTTGAGATAGAATATCATCTGGGTCTTTTGAAAGGGTATTGTCATGTCCACCGCTTCAAAACACACATTGAAACTAACATCATTGCCAGAAAGCTTGCCCGGCTTCGAGCTCAGCTCCTGGAGCCAGTTGGCGGAGCTGGCTCCGGAGGTGGTGCTGGATTCGATGTTAGCAAGAGTGGAGATGCTCGAGTTGCTCTAGTTGGCTTCCCCTCAGTCGGAAAGTCTACGTTCTTGTCCAAGATTACCAAGACCAAGAGTGAAGCCGCAGCCTACTCTTTCACCACACTGACTGCCATTCCCGGTGTGCTTGAGTACGGTGGTGCCGAGATCCAGATTCTTGATTTGCCTGGTATCATCGAGGGTGCGTCCGAGGGCAAGGGTCGTGGTCGTCAGGTCATTTCGGCAGCCAAGGTAAGCTGAGCAGAATTTAACGAAGGCCGAGAGACTAACATATTCTTTAGACAAGTGATTTGATTTTGATGGTTCTGGATGCCACAAAGCGTGCCGAACAGCGAGCTTTGCTTGAGGCGGAACTGGACTCTGTGGGCATTCGTCTGAACAAGGAGCCTCCGTATGTTAAACTGCTGAAGAAGTGTGGGCAATCTGATACTAACAAGCGTGCAGCAATATCTACCTCAAGATCAAGAAGGCAGGCGGCATGAAGATTTCATTTGCGACACCCCCCAAGAGCCTGGATGAAAAGCTTATTTACAACGTGCTCCGTGATTACAAGATCCTTAACTGCGAAGTCCTCGTGCGAGACGAGAACGGTATGATGAGCTTTGATGGGGAATGTGAAACGGCACGCTGACTTGTTATCTAGCTACTATCGACGACTTTATTGATGTTATCATGAAGGACCACCGCAAGTACATCCGCTGGTAAGCTTGACCTCCCACTCAACGATCCTCTAAAAGGCATATACTAACCTCTTCCTAGTCTATACGTATACAACAAGGTTGATAGCATTGGTCTGGAGTTCCTTGACGCCCTTGCCCGCGAGCCTTACACAGCCGTCATGAGTTGTGAGCTTGATCTCGGTGTGCAAGATGTCGTTGAACGTATCTGGAAGGAACTGCGACTTATGCGACTCTACACAAAACGGTAAGAAGTGCTCAAGAGTCAACCCACTCCATGACAATGCTAACAAATTGCGCATCTACAGAAAGGGAGAAGAGCCCAATTTCGATGAGGCGTTGATTGTACGCTCGAACTCGAGTATCGAGGACGTCTGTGATCAGATTCACCGTACGATCAAGGACACTTTCAAATACGCCATGGTGTGGGGAGCAAGTGCGAGACATATCCCTCAGCGCGTGGGACTGTCACACATGGTTGCGGACGAGGATGTGGTATCTATAGTCACTAAGGATAAGGCTTAAGTTTGAGGGCGATGATGAACACGTTGACATGAACATATGACTACCAAAAAGGCTTAGAAACCAAATGCATGATTTTAATGCTAGCATTGAATTTATACTTAGAATATGAACAAGTTACAAAGAAACCGTATCCGAATCGACCCAATCCCAAAAAAAGCACAGTACTCCCAACCAGTTTAAGACATTTAAGCAGCACCGGCGGCGGCAGCAGCAGCGGCGAGCACGTTCTGCTGACCGATGGTGGGCTGAACACCGACACGCTCCTTGGCGAGCAGGTCAACCAGCAGAGGGCTGGGACGGCTGTCACGCTGGGGGTAGAGACCGGCCTGGTTGTTCTTGTACTTGAGAACGCTGTCCAGGTAGATGTCGAAGAGGTAAGAGGAGTCCAGAGGACCGCCCTTGGCCTCAGGGTGGAACTGGGTGCTGAATATGGGGCGAGACTTGTGGATCATACCCTCGTTGCTCTGGTCGTTGAGGTTGACGAAGTAGGGCTTCCAGTCAGAGGGAAGAGTGGAAGCGTCAACAGCGTAACCGTGGTTCTGACTGGTGATGTGGCAGCGACCTGTGCTCAGGTCAAGAGCGGGGATGTTGTGAGCACGGTTTCCGTACTTGAGCTTGATGGTGCTAGCACCGGTGGCCAGAGCGAGGAGCTGGTGACCCAGGCAGATACCGAAGATGGGGACCTGCGAGGTCTCCATAAGACGCTTGAGGTGGTAGACGGTGTCCTGGCAGTGGGTGGGGTCACCGGGGCCGTTGGAGATGAAGACACCATCGAAGTGGTGGGCGACCTTGTGGATGGGGTAGTCGAAGGGAAGGACAGTGACGCTGGAGCCACGGCCAACCAAGCTGCGGAGAATGTTCTCCTTGACACCGCAGTCAATGACGGCAACGTGAGAGTGAGGGTCGGCAGCGGCAACGTGGAAGGGCTGCTTGGTGCTGACCTGACGAACCAAGTGAATTTGCTCGGGGTCAGTGAAGGCCTCATCCTCGTTGGCGTCGTACTCCTCGCCGACAGTGATACGGGCAAGAGAAGAACCTTGCTCACGCAGGTAGGTAACAATGGCACGAGTGTCAACACCAGAGATAGCAGGCACACCCTCACGAGCACACCACTCGCCCAGACTCTGGACGGCAGTCCAGTGACTGTACTGCTCGGCGACATCGGCGACGACGACACCAGCAGCCTGCAGGTTGGGAGACTCGAAGTACTTCAAGAGTCCATTGGGGTCCTTCTCGGCGGAGGGGACACCGTAGTTGCCGATCAGAGGCTGGGTGAAAACCAGAATCTGACCACGGTAGGAGGGATCGGTCAGGGACTCGGGGTAACCGACCAAGGAGGTGGTGAAGACAGCCTCGCCGGAGATGTTGGAGCGGGCACCGAAGGACTTTCCGGAAAACATCGGACCATCACGGATAGTGAAAGTAGCTGGTTCCATAGCCGCACGCTGGCGCACAGTGGCCATGAAACGCACCTGAGCAGGACGCTTCATGGAGGCGAAGGCAGCAGCCCGAGGGGGCATAGCCTTGAAGAGATTGAAGATCATTTTTTTGTATATGGGTAATGTAAACTGTGAGAAAGCGGTGGGCTATTCAGTTGATGTTGGCTTTCCAGAGATGGTCCGAGATGTAGTCCTGGGAGGTAAAGATTGAGGGTGCCAAACACATATGCGCGACTGAAACTTGCAGTCAGGATATGGTAGAGGGAATTGGGGGGGAGGGTTGCTATTTAGCAGAACATGGGGAAGACGTGTTGATTGGGGAAAAAACGGAGGGTGAAGGGAGACTCGCAAGAGGGTTTTTCACCTTTGAGTCAGTGGGCACGTGTTCTTCACCGACTTTGCCTTTTTCAGCCAATCGGAGGCCGTGAAATTCCGCTATCGGCGTCCGAACGGAATTAGGTAATACTCGACTGGCCAACCCGCAATGATATCACGTCTGTCTATCACTTTCTTATCACAGCCAATTTCCATGGGGTCATCGCCTTTTATAATCGGAAAGAAGTACTCCGTCCTCACTCACTCGATCGCCTACTAATGTACTCCGTACTAGTCACGGGTTACACCGCACTATTGTCTCCACTAATGGCACTTAGGGTACTGCACATGGCATTGCAGTAGCCCCCTGCACCTTGGTCTTGCCATTGGCCACTAGGAAGGCCTCAATTATCGGTCCTGTGCATGAGTGCTGTTTGTGCGTTTTTCTCAGATCATCTTCTTTGTAGCAGCTCGGTACGGAGTATGTTTGTATGTGTCACAAATTTCCTCAGAGTAACCGTGTACACCGCACGTACAATGTGAAAACCTGAAGTCGAAGCAACGTTAGCCCAACTCGGTACATTAATCACAAATACCACCGCCGTATAAGAACAAGGTTAAGTTGAACAATTAAATTAACGGTTAACAGATTAGCTTCTAGCTTACGGTCTATCTAGCGCTAAGGAACACTAAACGATGATCCTGACTAATTATCTGCTTGTTGCCCTAGCGGCCAGCCTCTTCCCAGAAGCCTCGGGACGCTTCATCTCATTGCTCGGATCCAGTCAGAGCTTGTTGCAGACAGGATGTGATGGCACTGGCATCGTGGATGGCGGTCACTGCAATGGCACCGGTGTGGTGGACGACCCACTCCCCAAGCACCGAGAAGGCTTTCAGTTCGAGAACCCATCGACCAACTGCAAATACGTGTCTCAGATGCACATCTGGGATTCCTTCAAAGATCTGGAGAAAGACATGAACAAATTGTTTACACTGATTCACAAGGACGTCAAGTTTACCGTGGTCGGCCACCACCCGATCGCCGGCCGCTACCACGATCTGATGCATTTCTACGTCAATGCCCTGCGTCGAGTCAGTGTGTTGTTTTTCGACCACGCAGATCTATTTGAGATCCACCCACAGGCAATCTTCGGCGGATGTAACGCTGAATGGTCGGTGCAGGAGATTCAATTCAAGGGTGTCATGAATTCCGGTGAGCACACGGATATCCTCCGATGCGCGATCTCCCCTGACCCACCACAGGTGACAGATTCGATATCGTCAACGTGTGGTTCACCCGCTGGCACCGGGGCCAGATGGTCGAGATCCGCACTTATATTGACGCGCCTAAGATCATGGAGGCATTGCACAAGAATGAGATCTGGTGGAATGGCACCACCCTGAGGGATAATCTACATTACATGCCTGGTCCGGCAGGTATGCCGGACCTGACAGAGCTTGAAAAGCTGTTGGGTCGTCCAGACGGAAGCAAATACGAGTAAACCGTGGGTGCCATAGTGTACTCTGTACGGAGTACTCCGTACGTAGTTTGTATGAAGCAAATAAACCAAATGAAGAAAGGAGGCTTGGGTCTAAATTTCTTGGCACCAATGATTTGAAAGAAGAAAAAAACTCCCTCAATACTCCGTTCCGTACGGAGTATTCTTCCAAAGGATTGCCTGACGTTCTAACATTTACCTCGCCGGCGCAAAAACCGGCGCAAAAAAAAAGACGTGGTTCCAGAGGGGGTCGAACCCTCGACTTTCACGTTATTAGCATGACACTCTAACCAACTGAGTTATGGAACCATTTGATGTCAGCAACTTTCTTCCGTTGCATTATGGTTCATCCGACATGTGAAGAAGAGCGGGTCAAACACGCCGCATGTTCCCCGCGTTTTCCTCCCAACAATGTCCGAGTCCACACGAAAGCGATCTCGACTCGCGTGCTCATTGTGCCAATCGCGCAAACGGAAATGCTCCGGTGGACAGCCGTGTAGTACGTGCGCCCAAACTGGTGCAGAATGTCAATACAGCGCGCGCAAGAAACGCGCGAGGTCACATAGCTTGTACCGGGCAAGTCTATCGCTCGACGAACGACCTCCAGATGGCTACTCAAATCCAATTACAAACCTCGCTGGTGCCGCGGGCGGCGCTACGTCGCAAGCCTCTCCTCGCCAGTCAGGCAATTCGGGGACTTTTTCTCAATCCATCCAAGCGAATTCGGGAGCGGCCTTTGTTCGCAGGTTGGGGCTGAGAATTGACCCGGCGCATGCGCCGAGATTGCATTTGTTTGCATGGAACGTTGGAGAAAGGCGGTTATCTCCAACGATGCCGTCCTCGTTGGCTTCTGCGCCTGCTACGACCACGCCGCCCGGAGGCATCACCAAACTCATTCCACAGGAGGAGATGCGGCGGCTAGCAACTATATACTTCGAGAAGGTGGACCCGTGCTATGCATTTCTGGATCGCAAGGTGGTGTTTACTCGGATCGCAAAGCGCTGGGAGCTCTTGCAATCCCACACCGACTCTACGGAAAGCCCGTACGATGCCGTTCTATGTGGCGTGGCTGCTTTTGGATATCTATTCTCGCGGCGGGAGATCATACCCCTTGAACTGCATCTGGTTGAGAAAGCGCGAAATCTTCTAGAAAGAAGTGTTCTCACCGCTGAAATGCCATCGGTTGACACAATAGCAGGCTGGGTGTTACGCGCCGCATATCTCCGCATGACAGCCTCACCACATGCAGCATGGATGGCCAGCTGCACACTAATGCATTTGATCGAAGCCGCAGGCTTGCATCTCGAGACCCCAGATCCAGATACGGCAGGTCTCCTGCCCGCCTCGCCCACCGACACACAGGATAGCACCGAAGTACAGAGTGGGGACCGTCCAAGTGATCCCGAAACACGACGTAGACTCTTCGGCATGGCCCGTCATCTGAACACATGGATTTCATTTGACCTAGGCCGGTCTCGCGTAATCCTACACGGCGCCACTACTCTCTCACCCACAGCACCAGCCTCTCGCAACCCCCCGACACAAGCACCAGCCCGAGTGTCCCGTGCCGACCTATTCCATCTCCTCCCGCTCTCCGAAAGCCTAGATCCAACCGGCCCATCTCCTCAAGACCTACCAGAGCTCGAACATGCCCTCACATCCGTCCTCGACCTCATCTACTCCGAGCCATCCCTAATCCTTGTCCAGTGTAATTTAATGCTCTGCATTTACAGACGTCTGCGCGCTCTCAATCCACACGGACCCCTCTCATCCGACCTCCTCGAACGTGTCCTTGCACTCGCCGGCCGCGGCCTCCGCGCAGCACGGGGAATGGTCGCCTCCACGTGCCCCTGGCACCAAGTGGCCAATGTTCCTTTCCAAGTCGTCTGTTCCCTATTAGCAATCGACAATCGAGCAGCTTTAGCACTGCTGACTGACGCAATGCGAACTCTACGTGAAGTTCTTGCTGCTTATGACACATCTTCTATGCGGGAGGCATACTCGACTGCCTATTTGCTCATCGCACTACACCAACGGAGAAAGGAAGATGACACTCGCGCCCTTGCAGAGGTCTTGCGTTTGAATTCGGCAGCGGCAGCACCGGTTCAAGATCTGGATAAGCCGATTGTCGACTCACGGCCCACGGTGGAGGCTTCGGGCCACAATAGGGTACAGGCGCAGGCCCCGGATGAAGTGGCACCGGTTTCTGATACGGAGTTCTCGTGGCTTGGGGATCTCATGATTGATATGCCCAGTCTACAAAACTTTGACTTGGATCAGTTCTTGATGACTGATGTTCCATGGCCGCTGCCTGAAATGGGAATCTAAGTGCCCTGTGCCTTCGTAGAACAAAAAGAGACAGATCAAACAAAACAAAAGCCTCAATTTGACCATAAGCAGTCTGATCTATGGACCAGGATCATTTCGAAATTTAATTTCGGTACTATATGCTAGGATGGTATGCGCATAGGACAGTGACATAATACAGTGGGGCCTATGATGTTATGGATTGCGGGAGCTTCAAAGCTGATCTCGCAACGAACACCCCCAAACAGAGTAAAAATAGACTACTAGACTAATGGAATTGTACCTGCAGAATACCCCAGACTTGATGTTTGAACAAAGAAAGGCGATCCTCGTGTAGAGGGTCGAATGTTCTCGAAGCTTCGATGATCCGACGTCACACGTCACTCACCTGGAGACACCAGTTTTTGATCCCTGGCAGGTTCTAGTTTCAAGCCCTTGACGTTGTGGCCCTTTGCCAATTTATTTCTATTTCTATTTCTCTTCCTTTGACCACCGGACTCTTTGTCCTCAGAAACAACTTATCTTCAAACTCCTCCCGAACTTTCCACCTCATTCGAGAAGTACACCGCACCTTCTCGCCAAACGTCAAGAGAACTACAACTCCTCTAGACGTATAAAGAACTCAGATCCCGTTCAACGCGCACGACCGATTTTGAACGGCCGTTTCTTCTAATTTCCCGCCTCGTCACATCTCTCCTCTACCCCGCATTATGGTAGCGGAAACCAAACTCTACGATGCCTTGAGCGTCAAGCCCGAAGCCACCCAAGATGAAATAAAGAAAGCATACCGCAAGGCTGCCCTCAAGCACCACCCAGACAAGAACAAGGATAACCCTCAATCCGCCGAAAAATTCAAAGGTACGTTTTTTACCCCGCACAATCCACAATCCCGACCCGACTAACAAGCAATTGGCAGATGTCTCACAAGCCTACGAAGTCCTCTCTGACCCCGAAAAACGCAAGGTCTACGACCAGTTCGGACTCGACTATCTGATGCGCGGCGGCCCTGCACCCCCACCACCCGGAAGCGGCAGTGGCGGAGGAACCGGCTTCGACGGCGGCATGCCCGGAGGATTCAACTTTGGCGGCATGCCTAGCGGCGGAAGCCGGAAGTTCCACTTCTCGACCGGTCCTGGCGGCGGCGGTGCCGGCGGGTTCAGCTTCAGTGATGCGGATGATATTTTCCGGAACTTCGCTAAGGGCAGTGGCGGCATGGGCGGTGGTGGTATGGGCGGTGGTATGGGCGGCATAGACGACGACGATTTGCTCTCATCCGTGTTTGGTAGCGGTATGGGTGGAGGCAGTGGCTTCCGCAGCAGTCGCCCGGGTGCTGGATACTCCAAGCCTAAGCGTGCGCCTACGCCTGAGCCTACTATTGTTGAGAAAGACCTGCCTCTTACTTTGGAGGAGATTTACAATGGGACTTCGAAGAAGGTTAAGACGAAGAGCAAGGCCTTTGACCCGATGGGAAAGCGGACTACACAAGAAGTCACGCTTGAAGCCAATATCAAGCCTGGCTTGCGTGCTGGATCGAAGATCAAATACAGAAACATCGGTGATCAGGAAGAAGGGGGACGACAAGATGTGCACTTGATTGTTAAAGAGGTAAGTGATGATTTATATACCCTTACAAATTATTGCGAACTGTTACTGACCGGTTCAATAGATTCCACACCCCACCCTCAAGCGCTCTGGCGACAACCTCGTGACCGAAGTCGAACTCACCCTGAAAGAAGCCCTGACAGGATGGGAGCGAATCATTCGAACCATTGACGGCAAGTCAATTCGCGTCTCTAAGCCTGGTCCAACCCAACCCGGTCACCAGGAACGATACCCCGAAATGGGCATGGTGCTCTCGAAAGACCCTAGCAAGCGTGGCGACCTCCTCATCCAAGTCAACGTCAAGTTCCCCACCAGCTTGACTGCACAACAGAAAGACATTCTGAAGGATGTCCTACCTTGAAATCGTTTCATTGATTTGCATATACCAGGCGTTGGGGTGAGCGTTTTATCTTGTGGAGTAATTGATGACAATGACAATGACACGGCAATTTCATTTTAACATGATGCTTTTTTTGTGTGGGTATCCTTTGAGAACCCAGAAACGTAATGTGCATAGCCCAAAAATACCGCAGTCGATTCAATAGGAAACACATTGTTAGCCGTGAAGTACAAAGTCAAAGACGAAGCTGAGAGTAGACACCCGTGGACGTTGTTTACTAATGAGATAAGCTATCCATGATCTAACCCGATCGAGCGAGTGCGGAGAACCACGACGTTCAACTCCTGCTGTGGACCAAGTCAAGACCAGCTACCTTGGAAACTCACGATGAAACGCAGAATCACATTTATTCAGCGCGAAGATGCCGCATTTGATCCACAGCAAGCTGTGCTGACTGCGTCGTCCCTCTCCGTGCGCGACCTCGACGCCGCGCGGGAGGAACGCATCACCGTGGAGCTAGACCAGCTCTCAGAACAGGTAAAGAATAGCTTCCAAACCCCAGACCAAAGAACGGAGGATTCTGACTCGGGTGCCCTGGTATCGAAATTAGTTGCGCGCTACCCTAGAGAACTCCCATGAGCTCCACCTCCGCTGGGCCTCCGAACGAACATACGACGCTGTCGCGCCTTTCGCGAGCCGAGTTTCGCCAGGGCTGCATGTGCTATATACTCCCTTGAAGGCAAATGAGTCACCGTGAGCTCTATAAATCCAAATCCACCCTTAGGAGGGTGATTGGCTGATGTGTTTGGCAGTGAGGCGTTGTGTACACTGCTCCGCACAGTGGTCGGACCGGACGAGGGAGCTCAATACAAAGATTGTATGAAGCCGGAGGTACGTTGAACCCTGAGACCTTCCTCAGAAGGCATTTGCCGATCGGCATATATGTGTCATGACCGATCTGACCCCGACTGCTATACAGGACTCGTTCATTACACCCCCGCTTCTCTCGACGAGATTCGCTTCTTCGGCCTCGCTACAATACTATACCCAACTATCGAACTTGAACAACCTCGTCGAATATATACAGCAAATTGTCTGCCCAACAGCTAGTTTGGATTGCCAGACCCAAGCTGATGCACTACTCACTGCGGACTCAATCGACATCGACTATGACAGTATCTCACATGCTCTTACGGTGTCAGCGTTCTGGGCCAGCCCGCCGGAAGGCGGCTGGAGAGACGAGGTCGAAAAGCCATCTTCTGCTGCCGACCAGATCGAATTTGGTCTGCTTGGTGCCGAGCCTGGGCTTGAGCCCGAAGATATCAAGATGGGTGGGCTGCTAGCTATTGTTGGCGAGGACAAGAAATTCAGTATGTGAAATTGGCACTGTATACCATATTGACTCGACTAACATCTACAGAACCTACCATGTTCTCATTCCCTTCGCGCCACCAGCCTCTCAGAGAGCCGTCCAGCTACACCGTCTCGTTCACCCCTCCTACGGGCCTGCACCCCGAAATGTCTATAAACATACCTAGATCATCCCTCAAACGACCACCGGCACCCGAAGATGCAGTCTGCGCATTGCACACATACCTCACCCTCCCATCCACCATATTCGGAGACCAGTACCAGCTCGGAACAACAGACCCTCTATTCCTGGAATCCCACAACCACGTAGCCCTCCGTGCTCATGCCGGTGAGATGGACCTCGAAGCACCAGATTGGGTCGTCGAGCGCTGGGGATCGAGTTGGCTTTGGGAGATAGCCACGCCCCAGTCCAACCCAGATGACACAGCAGATGCTTCGAATTGGACAGTCACGATCCCGTTGCACTTGCGGTATCTCCCACCCTCGGAAACAGGATACCGCACTGCGCACGTGCCGTGGCCAGTCGTTTTCTGGGCCTGTCATACTGAAGAAGGAACGAAGATGGGTGTAAACCCATTCGACCGCACGAACCTTGGTTGGGATGGCTTGTTCGGTCCACGGACGATGTTTTATCAGCTTCAGCCGGCGGGAGATAGCTTGATTGAGGACGTCGAAGTGCCGGTTTTGCGTCTGGAGAATGACGGGCTTTTCCAAGGCAAGCATATCGAGCTGGGTACCTGTGTGGTAGTCTCGCTTGGGTTCTTGTGGGTGCTTTGGAAGCTTTTCCGGGTTGCTTGGACGTCTGGGGTAGGGTCAAATGACCAGGCTGGGCGGACTGGAGCTGCTCATGATAAGAAGGATTGAACTTGGTGTCTACTTTATACGGTTATAGCGAAGTATCCCGAGGTCCCGAGGTCTCCAACATTGATTAGCAACGAGAAGCCTCAGTGCCACATTGATAGCCTTTATACCTAACCTGCTCTACGTCTATACCTAAAAACCAATACATAAGACATTCAGCGACTTGCCTTCACCCCAGACTGCTTGACTGCCTTGTCATAGGACCAAAGGCAAAAAGACAAAGAAGCAAAAAAGGATAACAAATTCAGCTGGACATCGGGACTAGGATTCGAACCCAGTACTTCGGGAAGGAAACTGACCCAACAGATGGAGAGGATTGGGCCCTTTGGGGACTAAGCTGGCGCTAAATCAGGACATGCGACACCTCACCCAGCTGGTATTTGTTATGCCTGGGAGCCCTTATTTGGTCTTTTGACTGACATTTCTGACCAGTACTTTTGTTTGTATGCATTACTCTAAGCTAAGGATGTACTCTTGCTGGCTTACCTGAATAAATGGCACATCCATGGATATGCATGGAGCATTACTTATAAATGGTCCATGCATTGTTCTATCTGATCAGAGACGCCCCAGGCCCACTCAGTAGCTTGTCGAGTGTGCAATATCCTTCGCCTGCAGCAAATTCTCCTGCAACCTCTCAATCTTAGCCTGGAAACGATCATAGCAATCCACACCCAGTGGCAAACGAAGCAGATCCGCTTTCCCAGCCCCCATATCTGTACCATCTACAACATCCAGAATCCTCTGAGCACACTTCACAGCATCACCAGGCTGAGCACCCTCATTTGACCTGAACTTCTTCAAGACCTGTTCCAGCGGAGTCCCTGCATAATCCCCATTCATCCCAGCCTCAGGCTCAACTAAAGCTGACCAAAAATTAGTCCGAAGAGATCCCGGCTCGACGACAAGAACCCGAATATTGAACGGCGCCAGCTCTTTCGCTAGACTTTCAGACATGCCTAACATTCCATTAGCAATCCATAACTTATACTAGAGGCGGGCAGGTCATCTTACCTTCAAGTGCAAACTTCGAACCCGCATACATCGCACACGTAGGCAGTCCATCAATACCAGCACTACTGCTAATATTAATAACCGTGCCGGACCTTCTAGCTCGCATAAACGGCAAAGCGCCCTTCAGCACACGAACAGGGCCATAGACATTCGTGTTGAACTGGGAGTGGATTTCCGCTTCGCTCATGTCCTCGATACTACCGAGTAGCGAGTACCCGGCATTGTTGACGACGACATCGACACCGCCGAAGTCGCGGATCGCGCGTTCCACTGCTTCAGTGGTGTCTGGGCTCGTCACGTCGAGCTCGATCCATTTACCTCCGAGAGTTGATATTTGGGGGTTGGCTTCGGCGGCACTGGTGGGGTTGCGGGCCGTGGCGATCACCGAGTGGCCAGCTCGGAGGGCTGCTTCGGCAAGTGCGGCGCCAAGGCCCGATGAGGCTCCAGTGATTAGCCAGGTTTGAGAGGCCATTTTGAGTCTTTGAGTGCTTGGATGAGAATTCCGTTTATGATGGGTGTTGGAGATGTGCTTACATTTGAGCGTTCCGTCTTGTGAGGCGAAGGTCGTGGTAGGGCGTTGGTGCTGCTTCGGAGGTAAATGGGGCGGAGTTTGTGTGCTAACTCCGCTAGGGCCGATATATGGTCAGTTGAGAAAGTCTTGGGGTACACGATACATAGTCATGGTAGTTTCGACGATGTTTGCTATGTCGAGGAAAGTTATGAAAGGAAGCAGGCGTTGACATATGCACAGCCTGCCTGGTGTAAATTACACAATAGCATTTATAGGCCTCAAGCCACCCGTGGACTCGGGGATAGAAAAGCAGCCCGAAATAAAGAGGGAAAAAAAGAGGAAGAGCGAACACCCTGGGACTCAAACAGGACCTGGGGATGCTTCGAGACCTCGGGAACACCTCTATCTCAAAACGGATTCAAGGAAATATGAGCATCACACCGTAAATTCCACAGTACTTGCCACTCCAGGGCTGTTCACCACTGGAATATGCCAGTGGGACATCCTGTGATATGTGCTGTAACAAAATTTATTGCCTTTTCAGACTTCTTCGCGTCATGTAAACGATAACGCTTGACATACCACCTAGGCCTTGCAAATTTATTACTGCCTGGGTCTAATCAACTATTTTCTAACAATCTTTTACTTGCAATCATACTCTTAAGGATAATCTATTCGTTTGATATTGGCGGACATAGTTCCAATCTCGCTTTTGACATTCGAAGATTGATATATTGACATCCATGGTAATGTACACCTGTAGAAGGAGAAAAAGAAAAGAGGACCCCGAGGACCCCGAGCACCCCCAATGAAGCATCAAATCGAGACCTAACTACACTGCTCTCTATCTGACACACATTGAAACACCTAGAACACAGAGACTCTGACTCAAGTGAAGTCCATCGGTATGCCGGACACTGACGTCATCTCGTCCAGCCCTACCCGCTGCCTAATCGGGAAGGTGGTCATCCGAAGTGGGGGTTGGAAAATGCTCTGAGTTCTTGCCATGGCACAAAGTAGGGAGTGAAAGAACAGAGGGCAGGAGGTAGGGACATTCAGTGGTGTTTTTGGGATGTGCTCTGAATTCTCGTCATGCGCACAAAGTAGAGAGGGTAGGGTAGAGAGTAGAAGATAGGGGACAGTCAGTGGTGTATTTGGAGTGTGCTCTGAATTCTCGTCATGCGCACAAAGAAGAAGGGGTAGGGTAGAGAGGAGAAGGTAGGGGTCAGTGTTGGAGTGGTTTCAAGTTTGAATTGTCGAAGGCCGAAGTTGTTGCTGGTGCAATAGGTCGAAAACCGAAGCTGTGTGAGGGTAGAAAGAGCGCTGGGGTACAAAAGAAGGCAGACAACAGGCAGAAAACAAGCAGAAGGTCAAAGAAAGTCAACTGTCTAAAACATATGGGGGAATGAAACGTCTGAATACAAAGGGGGAAGGGGCTGGGAGGTCGAAGAGCTGGGGGAGAGGAGATGGAGAAGGAAAGTGAGATGGGAAAAGTACAGGAATTGGGGGGCCTACTTATGTTCGTCCCCATCAAAGTTCTAAGTCAAATGCCTATAATCAAAAGTAGAAGCGGAGCATGCCGCCGCCTGATATTGACACATTGTCTGTGTTTAGCGATGTTCCAGCAAAAAGTGTGGTGTACCACGGTATAGATAGTCAAGCTTATGGCGCATACCTGGATTTGCATCCTCAGAAGGCACTCGGCGAGAAACCTTGGAAGTATTAAGCTACCAGAGACTAGGGCCCAAAGTCTGTGATATATGAATTGGCCAATGAGGTTCCTTAGATTGCATAAAATACCACGGCCGTTGCCCCAAAGAAGGAGCGGAGGACCAAATGCCCTAATGTGGCGATGCTGGTTGTTACCAAGGGTCATCACACACGTAGACACGGAAGCTCTATCCAGGGTCTCGTAAGAGCTTTAAGTATTAGTCTGGAAAGTCTGATGGACAATCGTATTGATGGTGTTGGAAGAAATCTCGCGGAACTAATTTGGAAATAGCACACGGACATGTCCTCCCCAAGCCATAGGTTGACCGTAAGAAGGATACCCAAAGCCAAAGCAGGTGCAGACGTGGAGCCAACCAATGTTGATATGCAAAAGACAGCTCCATTCAAGGCTAGTAAAGGCAAGCCCGAAGCCATAGTTCTGGCCGAAACTTCGGCGATCACTGTTGGTATGCGAAGAAAGGCAACGGTATCATAGTTTGGACCATACTAATAAGGTATAGCGTCCCAGCTTGGTAGGAATGGTCACTTTGCACTCTGTGGGGGAAGAGGTATGCTATAGCGATGACGTATGGTTAGCAGAGTTCGAGCACCGTAGAGCCTGTTGCACCAGAAGCCACAGCACTCACCGAGTTTGCTTGAGCAGAGTGTCGAGATCATCCACTTGTTGCTCATTAGGCCCCCACGAAGACTTCCCGTAGAGCTCAGGATCAAACAAAGCCAACAGCTGAGGGTCGAGCAGGAGGCACTGTGTGTCGGACAGTATTTGGTGGGTTTTCGGGGGCTGCGCAGCTGCATTGTAATTCGGTTTGATTCCGAGTGGGTTGAGCTTGGGTCGCCGCGGGATACTCAGTAAAGCGAGGCGGAGCAAGTACATCATGGCTCTTGAGGTTGACGAATGCGGTGTCTCGAAACTGTTGTCTGGGAGCAAAATCAGCAACTACCCGAGGGAGCTGTGAGTGGCTTTGAAGGAAGGTGCCACTGTTCTGGATGTGCATACCTTGGAGTATAATGAGTCTTGAGTATGCTTTGAGAGTTCTGAGTTGAGATGAGATGGCAAAGGGAGCGAAGCGAAGTCAAAGGGTCATTCGCAACTTCGTTGGTTGACCCGCCACCACATCGCTTCAACGGCTCGGGCCGTCCCACAAGTCTTAGTCTCACTGCAGAGAGAGACCGTAGGGCTGAGAATAGATATATTATGTCTTCAGAAGATGATTTCTTTCATTTTGCTTCTAGATACTACCGGCATACCCCAGGCCTGAATCAAATGATGTGATCTACGTCTGATGCGCATTCCCGCAACCGAAATAGGTACTTGTATTATGCGCTCTATATGGTAGTACCAAATCCCGCGCTAAACATCTTTGGAAGGTAACATCTATCCTGAAAGTCACTCCGACTTGCCATCGACAACAATGTAGTCCTCGATAACCGCAGTGCCGTTCAATACACTCGCAATCTGATCATCAGTGCAAGTGGCACCAAGTGCAAGAATATAGCAAAGAGGCTCTGGGCTCTCCGGCACCTCATTCTTAATATGCCAGGTAGACGCAGGTCCCTGGGTCTCATAGGAGGCATTACGAGCCGTGTCAATCTTTCCCGTAGCCAAATCACGGTTGAAGAGCGAGCGATAGAAGATCTCGTATGCGGTTTGGGGCTGGTAAGCGGGGACTTCATGCCCAGCCTGGTAAACGCGAGTGAAGGAGAAGTTGCCATGCTGACGGACCTGTCCACCGATATACGAGGAATTCGTATGAAGGGGTGCATATCCAGCAGAGCGGAAAGCATCGGCACTAGAATGGTTCACCAGCAGACTGGCGTCCTCTCCACCAATCCAGTTACAAGCATAGTCGCGGTCGCCGTAGACGAGGGCCACCTTGATGCCGGAATCGAGTACATATGCAAGGTCTTCCAAATATCCGTGCACGTCAGAGCGGGGGTAGTCTCCGACAGAGGAAAAGGCTTCGTAGACGCCGTCGCTCGATTCGGTGAAGTTGAGAGGAACTCCCAGAGCGCCTTGCACCCAGTGCTGGTTCAACCAGCCGAGGAAGTACGAAGGTGGGAATGGATCTGGGTTCTTGTGTGTGATGTCGTAGTAGCCGCGACCGGCAAATTCAACGTATGCGCCTTCAACGCTGTTGGAGCAGAGCTGGTCGGCCTTTTGACAAGCTTTGTTGACGGTCTTGTTGTGGCCGTACATCTGGGGATCACCCTCTGCGGCCAGCGCGCGACAGTTCGTGATCAGATCCTTGCATCCACCCGGGCGGCTCCATGTATCCATGGCATTATCGAAGACTGTTCTGTTAATGGTTTCGATGCCATATGTGTTGTTGTATGCCATAACAGGGTACGTCGGCTCCTGGACGAGCAGATCGATGCAGCCATTGATGATACCCAGAGTGTCGAGGTGGATATAGTGCGACTCTTCCGGGTTATCAATAGAGCCATTCTTGATCTTCTCATTCTGCTCCTGGAAGAAAGCAGTAAAAGATGGCCCATAGCGACCACCGTAAGATTCAGTCCAGATGCTCACTCGCTCATCGTGCGGCTTATAGTGCGGGAATTCGGTAAACCAGGTCTGCGCGAAATGCCACAGCGACCGTGCAGAATTCTGAGTGCTATTTGCCGAGTTTGCCGCTTTTTGGCTGGCCGTCGTGCCGACGTAGAAAGTGTTGTTCTGAGTGGGCACCCCGTGGGTCCACTGCGACAAATTCCAGGCCCCAGAGACCTGATCGAAAGTGCCATTGGTGGGTACGTCATAGCTGAAGCCGACCTGGTTAGGCTGATCGATGTACAGCATGTTGACATAATTGTTCCACGACCAGGGGTTGAGCTCGGTCGAATTGGAATCTTCGTTTACTATACAGGGGCCGTTCTCCTGCATGAGACCAATCATGGAGGAACTCCCTGGGCCTCCGTTCATCCAGATGGATAAAGGGGCATTTTTTGGGTTGTGACGAGCTTCAAAGAACCAGAAGAATGTATTGATCGGATAGTCTTGGTCGACATTTACGTCGGCCAGAGAGCCTGGGGGGAGGTGAACATATCCCGAGTAGGATCTCACCCCGGGCGTTGTTTCGCAAATCCCAGGCTACGTGATAGAATTAGCAGGCGCCTGTATGGCGATCATCACAGGATCAGATCGAACCTCTTTGTATGAGATCTTCACCCCTTTGTGGTGCTTTGAATCCACCACCTTCAATCCCTCGGGTGTGGGCGGGAAGTACTGTGCGGCAGAAGTCCCTACCAAGAGAGGGAGAATCCATTTAGACACCATTATGCAGGAGTTTGGCAAAAACAAGAGGACCCTGGGATGCCGAGGCGGGTTAAATAGAAGTGCCGATCCTAAATGCCAAGAGTTTTCTCCTCTTTTGGAGTCCATCGGGCGTCCGACGGCGTTCACAAGGCGGAGCTTAACTTTCAAAATTGTTTTCATTCAAGAGTTACTATGACACTTCAATATCAAGAAGCCATTCTGAAATTCAATCCTTGCACTTCGAGCTCACGGACCTCCTTGGAATCCTCAAGCTCTCCCAGACGCTCTCCAGCAACGATGGCAATCATTTCATCTTGATGTGAAACAAATACCGTTGAATGACTTGGGCTGGGTCGTAAGCGACGTACTCCCAGTGATAGTATCCCTCAAACTCCCTGTCCTCTTCTCTCCCAGCGCGAGCATCTGGTACCAGGACGTTTTTCAAGTCTGGGTGGATATATCCAGCATCCCGCCATGCCTTGTGAGTGGTTGCGCCGTGGATTTTCTTTGAAACCTTGAGCGAGGTGCCCAGCTCAACCTCACATAGCATGAGAAGGGACTCTTTTGCCGGACTAGCCTTCAAATATCCCGCTGATTTTGTTGACATATCAGCAAAGTAGATGCCTCTGCAGAATGCCTTTCCGCTGGGAGACACAATTCCACTGCCACGTAGGCCCTGGGTCAAGATCCCAGCAAAGCTTGCACAAGACGAGCCATGCCACAACAGTCTGCGATCGCCTGAACGATATTTTTCTGCCTTCTGCCAAGCAGAAAATCGCTCTGCCTCCCCAGGGCGTTCGAGGCGGAAGATACTAAGTACTTTCTGGAGACAATGTCAGAGAGTAGGTAAAAACGTGAGTATGTAACCTCGAAACCTGGTTGTGACCGACCTCAAATTGATGTTGGTGGTGACTACTGGACGAGTTGTGAAGATACTCGCACAGTCCGTTGAATTCCGATGAGGCGCTGTCCACTATTCATTGAGATTAGTCAAGGTCACTTTCACCAAGATATCATAGCCATAGAAGCTCATACCAGGGTCCATCTTCGCCACGTTGAGGGCGCAAGCTACCCGACTGAGGCCCAATGAAGGTGTTGGAAATTGAGTCAAGATCTTGCCGGCGTCGTATATCTTCAGAAACAAATTTAGAGACTCAAGCTCCACCCTGATGGCTTCAATGTTCCTGCTAAGAAATTCCCCTGGGTTTTTGATCCTTTCATGGGAAATTCGTTCCAGTTCAGTTTCCGCAAGCCAGGATATCTTGGATTCATGGAGCTTCATCAGTTTCTCCAGACATGCCAGCCCAACGCGCAAATCCATCTGCTGTGAGGTGCATTTTGACCTGATTTTGTACCCTTTGGTCTTGAGAAAAGCGGCATAGGTTTTCAAATAGTCAGACCGGAAAATCATCTTAATGATATCTTCAACCTGCCCAGGTAATTTGACAATATCATCCCTCATAATGAGTGTCTCTGGGTAAGCCACGTCAAGAAATATCCATTGGCCGTTGAGGGGCACACCATTACGGTTACGCCAGCTCAAACCCGTGAAGTGCATGAAATCTTTGCAAAATCTTTTTTGGCCGCATGAAGAGATTGGTGCTCGCCTGCAATCTGAAAGTAGGGTGCTTCGGTGCTATCACACTTCTGATCGGAGTGTTCCTCGTCTTCATCGTCGGGATGCTCAATATCAGTCACACCAAAACGTCCATCATGATCGTGGTGGTAGATCCAAGGAACAGGGGCACCCTCCGAGTTGTCATGTATGATCTGCATGCGCATAAGTTCTGAGCCTACATCGGCATCCATCTTCACAAGTGTGGCATCCCATGTAAACCCTGACTCGTCCAGCCAAATGGCATGCGACTTATCTGGCGTGGGTAAATTGTTAGCCAAAGTGAAAAACGAATGGCTGCTGAAACACTCACCTTTTCCAGCATAATTTTCGTCTACTAGGTTAACCAGACTTGCACGGTATACTGTTCTGTCATTTTGGGCTTTCTCTGAGGCGGCGTTGGCGATGTCCTTCTTGACTTTTTCGGAGATGGCATTGGCAATGCCTTCCTTGACTTGCTTCAAGGCGGCATTGGCAGCCACTACCTTGGCTTTGTTGGAGACGGCATTGGCAATTTCTTCCTTGGCTTTCTTCACGGCGGTGTCGACAACTTCTTTCTTGAACTTCTTCAAGACGGCGTCGGCGACGCCTTCATGGTCGCCATCATCTTCACGACCGCGCTTCCTTCCTTCACTCTTGGGCTCAGCTGTAGCCCCCTTCTTCCCGCTCTTTTTCAGTAGATAATTCTGGACCTTTGCTGGGACGCGCTTCTTGATGCTATGAAGCAGCCAATCCATACTGACAATTTGACAGCCTTCCTTGTCGGCCAAGGCAACTAAAATAACATAAGAATGTCAGTGCCTATCTACTCGCTCGGAAGAAAAAGACGACTCACCTTTCCTCAAGTTTCTCTCCACGCTACCGGTTGTGGTAACAAGATGAGTGCAGTCTTGGAGGTTCATGTGCACAAATTTGGCGCCGCACGCCTCTACCATGCTCTTGATCTTCTCTAAAAATCAATGGTTATCTCTGGTCCATTCACAGAGGTTGAGGCTTCACTAGTATGGGGGTTCGAAATACCATGCGAGTAGCCAGGAATGTTTCCACTGGCACCGATGACCAAGTCTTTCAGGCCGTCTGCCAGCTTATCAACGGTTTTTTCAGAGGACATCTCTGCTGACTGAAGCCGCCTTCCAAGAAAATCCACAGCCTTTTTCTTCATTGATGCTTCAAGCAGAAAGACAGAGGATGTGGTGCGTGTAGAATCTAATGCAGGATAAGTTTGCGAGGGGCTGTTTGTTCTTTTAAACCCAGGAGGTGATGGTTATACAACAACAGCATTGTTCGACAAACAGAAAAGTTCTGTTTGTGCTTCTGGATCTTTGAAAGATCCAGCAGCCATATCTGAATAGACACATGTATAGGTGGCAGACCTGGCGAGATATACGTTTCGTAGTCGTCACGTATAGCCGAGCCGGAAGCCGGAAGCTTTCTGGATATGAGCCCAGACACTATTTTGCATCAAATACCCCGACACAAGCCAAAAGATAGAGAGAGAAATCGGAGTTCAATTTTGCGCCAAAGACAAAGCAGGTAATCGCTCTCAACCGCAGGGGCGCTTTCCCCCAAACCTCTGGTGTCATTGGCTGAGCAATAAGCCTAATATTATGAAAAAGAAAGATAAAACATATCATGTTCGAAGCCAAACCATCCGCAGAATCGAGCAAGTCAATCGAGGATGATAGAGTCATCTAGTTGCAGAAGAAGTAGTTGAAGGCAACAGGAGAACCAAGCTTCACCTCCTCAGCCCAGCCATCAAGGTTGTACCGCATACGACTCCAGACCGAGAGCTCCTTGCCATCTGCAGGGGCATGGTCTTTAAGATCGAAAGTCTCCGGCTGCTCGTACAAGAAGAAGATGTACCGGTGAGGCGCACTGCCAGGAGGGGGAGCAGGACCGATCCAGTTGGCGACGAAGGGCGCGTCAAACTCGAGCAAGGAAGAGTCGGTGATCTTCGCATCGGACTGGATCCAGTGCAGAATGGGACCCAGAACCCCGAAGGAGGGGAAGGGAGCATCGATGTCGAGGCTCACGATCACATATTTGGTATTGGGCTTTGCGCCGGCGAAGAAGAGCTTCGGGGCTTCTTGGGCGTCTGTGTGTGTTGTGAGTTGAGAGTTGAGATATCAAAACATTGGTCGCTGGATACACATACCTTTGCGAGGGAGACGAGCTCCCGGCTGCACATTCTCGTGCTTGCCGATGGTCATGCCCAGGACTTTGGACACATCTTTCTCAATGAGAGAGAATGCTTCGTTGATATGATTGCCAGACATCTTTGAATAAAGCGAAGTTTCAAGCGAAGCTTTGATGATGTGGTGTCGAAGGGGAAAAGAGAAGGCGTCATGAGGATAAAGTTGCCCAAGGGCGGACTTAACGGATTTAGCAGACCACCTTCCAAAATTCACTCTTCCCTCTCATTTTTTTCTGATCTTCTCTTTAATTCAGGTATTTTCAGAGATTTCTTGAACGTGCTCATTTTTCATTCTTGGTTTGTGCTTGGAGCATTCCTCACTACTGCTCATCATCTAATACAGCTACTCCATCTGCGCCTGACCAACAGAACACACCCGTGGCATTTCAATCCTCAATCAACTTTGTCACCATCGCCTGCACGCGAAGATTGCCTTCATCCGGGTAAGGGGTACCAAAGTCACGCGCAAAGGCAATGTCCTTCTCGGACGTTTCGAAAAGTTCCATATCATAACGACGGACAAATGCTGCCAGTACAAGGAATAGCTCGGCATAGGCCAGACTGTAGAGTCAGGTTAGCTCAGTACGGAGTGGGAGTCTCGGGTGCATACTTCATGCCGACACAAATTCGAGTGCCTTTAGAAAAGTTGACCATATATTTATCCAAGCGCTCTCCCTTCGCCGCTGCCCGCAGCCATCGGTCTGGGTCGAAAGTGTGGGGATCGGGGAAGATCTCAGGGTCCGTAAGAACGAAGTAGTTTGTCTCACTGACAGGGGTCTATGAGGTAGCACTGGTCAGTGTCATTGAGCTTTTGCAAGGCATAAGGCTACTTACTCCAGGAGGAATGGTGTAGCTTTTGTAGACCAACGCCTCAGAGGGCGCGACACGAGCCGATCGGCTCGAGATTCCAGTGGAAACACGCAGTGTCTCCCAAACAAAAGCAGACTAAAATCAATGTATCAGCAATCTAGCTTGAGTCCCTATGCGGAACAAGTAAGAATGTGGCATACCATGTACGGCAACTGCTCAAGCTGACTCCAAGTCGGACGAGAGTCAGGCGTGGACATGACAGTTCGCAACTCTTCCCGAAGCTTAGTCTTGATTGAGTCATTGGTCATGAGTCGGAAAGCAGCAATTGCCAAAGATCGCGCAGTTGTCTCGGTACCACCAATGATCATAGCAAAGCCCTCGTTATTAAGACGGGTTGCTCCGCGCATCTCCTCTGGCATACTGGTGTTAGTAAGTATCTCCATAACAGAGCGATTCTTCAGCTCCGAAGAGTGGCCCTGTAAGAACTTCTTGGTTCGGCCCAAAAGATCTGCCTTCTGGCTTTGCAGAGCGTAGGCGTAAGGGTCGCACTTTTCCAGCACCCACAAAGGAAGTGACTTCATGAGAGTCTGAAGAATAGGGAAGTGGAAGATAGTATGGGCGAATTTGAAGAGCCCGTTGATTCCATCTCGGACGCTTTCATTGAAGTTTTCGTGATCGAGATTCCCACTGTTGAAGCCGTAGACGTACTTGTGAATGACATCGGAGGTCAACCCTGCAAATCCAGCATCGATGTTGACCACTTTATGGGACTCGAACGCCCGCTTGAAGTGGTCATCAAGCTTGTCTATATTTTCATATATCACATGCTCTATATTAGTGACCGCTTGTTTTGAGAAGTGCTTCTGCACCTGCGCGCGGCGTGTTCGATGATCTTCCGGGGAAATGCTAGAGAAGCCGGTGCCTTCCAGATCGAACTGAGCAACTCTTTCGGGGACCTTCTCACGCCTGCGCTGGTTCGAAGCGTAGATTTCATCGTAGTAGCTTGAGTCTTTGATGTGGACCTCGTGTGGGGTAACGCGAATAATGGGTCCTAAACACGGTCTGAGCCCATAGTCCTTCATCTCCCTCAAATAACTGACCATAAACCTCATGGAGGCGCTCCAATTCCCAAATGAACATCCCCCGCTTGATGACATTGAAATAAAATTCATAGGCTCCTGTGATTGCTGCAAGTTTGGGACCTGGAATTTTGCTGAGTGGATGGAAGTATAGCCGATAAATACTTTTGATGGCGATGTAGATCGGCAGTCCACATATCGCCAACAATAATAGACCAGCCATGGTTGGTAGATTCTTGGATTCGGTCTGAAAGGACTAGAACTGGAGTTTGAGGAGTATCCTTTACTTATAGCACCGAGAGGGGGGGATACACATTGACCACTATTTCTGCAGGTTTCACCACCCACCATGAGTCTAAAATCGCTGATTCATACTATGTGGAATGCTCGAGGTCGGATTGGCCAGGCTAATCTCGCTTGAATAATTCAGTCTGTTCTGCGGCGCATCAAGTGAGAGCGTTTTGAGAACAGACTACTTAGCGTATTTTATGTTGCACTTAGCGCCGGATGATTTCCCAGTTTGGCGATAGTCTTCGGCTACTTGCGAATGACAGCGCTGGTCCACCTTCGTAGATACCGCATGGATGGAATAAGAAAATCGCAGCATTCTATTATTGACGAAAGATAGCAAAGGGACAGGGATACCGCTCGATAAGTTTAGCCGAGAGAGTGTCCCCCAATACCACAAATTTCAGCTTTCGAAGCGAGGGCTTTTCCGAAACGGGCTCCAGCATAGTGATTGGCATTCCCCACTAGAAATGCCGAGCTGCATCAACGGCTCAGATGCCCCACACCAAGTCTAGAAGCTTACTCGCGTGCAGATCACTCTATTAGTACAATGGTCTATTGAAGTAGATACTGAGTACGGAATAACCCCGGGGTTGGATACATTGTACACTGAGAGAGATTGTGAGGTAGCAGCTTATATGTCGAGCACCTGGGCATGAGATGCTCATATTGAGATATCACTATTGAGTTGTTGCCGTGGATGTGTTTTCATTTCGCAGATCTCCTTTCGCGTGGGAGTACTTCAATACCTCTTTTTTTTCCTTTTCATTTCTTCATTTCTTTTCATTTCCCTTTTCCTTACTCTCCTTTCATCTCTGCCTCAACATCTCACTTTGTCACTTCGTCGAAGACCAGAAGGTGGTTCACTCATCCTGTCATTATGGCGCAGAGGTAAGAGTATAAATTTGATTCACTAAAGTGAGAGATGGACTAATAAAAATGTATTTCACAGTGTCGCAGGACTGCCTAAAACCTTACCAACCCTCGATACAGGAGACCAGTCCCCCGCATCAGGAGCCTGGTCACGTTATGTGAAGCACCTTCCATAGTCTCTGGCGAAAGAGGGCGATCTTATCAAATCCACTCTCATCAAATTTCTTCTCAATCAGCTCAGCATTCGCGAACCAGTTATCTGTTCGGTGCTAGCTCTGAGCCCCGAGAGGTGGAGCGAGGACATAGGCTCCAACATACACAATGTGGAAGCTGTACTCATTCAGATGGTGGGTCGACAGGTTTCGGTCAAATGCGACTTCTGCCTTGCTGGACGTGGGGTCTTTCCTCTCTGTGTTGTCCTTGAGAGGCCTGGATGCCCTGAATGCTGATATAGTACAAGCCTCAGTGCGGCGCTCACACGCGACCAACGGAGAGGGTCAGGTTGTCATTTCACCTTGGACGGAGCCGGTGTCCACCCTCAATCACGTCGGCAATAACTGGTTCGAAAGGACACTAAGCCTTACCGCCAGCGAAGATCTACGTTAGCCAGACATCAGCGACTGCGCACCTTGTACTCCATGAGAACGCTGATGGCCTCGGGGATTCCTAAACATCTCCGCTGCAGACCTTCTTTTGAATGTTATCTCCTGTACTCTTAGTATGTTTGCTTGCAATACTGATGTCAAAATTTGACGTAGGTTGGAAGACGTGAGTTGGATTAAAAGACGCAAGAAGAACTGTTGTGGTTGCAGAAGAGTGAAGGCCGCACACGCCTGGGGCCCGCAGCACTTGGCGTCTATACCTGCCGGCAGACTTCACTCCCAAATGCAAGAGAGTTCAAGTCCGACCGATCAACTTCTAATTAGCTACTCTAAAGGCACCGCGCTGACTACATGATCTATGGCGAAGGGGAACAAAAACACATCTATCAGAGCATTCAGATAGCATCATCTTGGAGAGCGGAGTCGGTGACTGGCAGATTAGACGTCGCATCAGGCTCCGTGTTCTTGATGGTATGCAGGAGCATGAATGGCAGACACATGCGACCATTGGCAGGTTCATCCTGGATGCGAGTTAGTGCAATATTCGGGCACAAAAGGTATATCCCATATCTCGGCCAACATACCAAACTACCACTTTCATCCCAATACCTCCCAGGCCGGTATTCAGGCTTCAAACGAAATGATCAGCATCTCTATAGAAAGCAGTGAAATGCCCAGACTTACCCTCTCCCCACTGAGATGTCGAGCTGGATTAGGCGGATAACCCGACCATCGCCGAAACAAATCTTCCGCCGTCTGCGTCGCGAACATGAACGAAATGCGATACCAAAGGTAATCGAATTTATGATCCCAATTCCAAATACTATTCGAATCTCCATTGATATTCTCTGGTGCACCGCGATTGAAGATCCTCGACATTTCCGCCGACGTCCATTTCCCATCTACATAAATGGGCTGGGGAACATGCACAGCCTTGAAGCCATGCAAAAGCGTCCAAGACGGAGCCGACATCTCCGATGCAAAAGCCTGTCCTTCGAGCTGCGCATTGTGCATTTCTCTCAAAAGCCGCTTGGAAACGCGCCATTGGGTGATGACCGAGGTGCGACGCGGGATATCCTCATCTAGATTCCAGATCATCCATGGGAATGTCCAGGATGTATTTTTTGGATCGAAGATCGGTAGAAAGGTTATTAGATCCGCTTCTTCACCGACACCCCATTCGAAATGATCGGCTTGAGGTCGTGAGACCGGTGGCGTCGGTCCGGCTGGCGTTATCCCGGAATATTCGAGGGGACCCCAGATACTTTGCTTGCCTTCCATTGATAGCGTTACCATGTTAGAGAAGTCGCTCCAGTCACCGTGGGCGCCGGGGGTGTAGAAATAAGCATTTCGCTCCCAGAGGTATTTTCGCGGTTGTCGTTTGGCGAAGTCGATAGCCTGCTCGAAGAAATGATAGGCGTGTGCGATGATTCGGTTGTCGAATTCTAATTGCCAGTAGTGATCAAACTCCGGATACATCAGGGAGAAGACTTGAGTTGCCTGGAGATGCTGGTAGATTGCACGGTGTTCGTCTAGCTTGGGATACCATCTTTCCAGCAGACGTTCGTTGAAGAGAACAGTCATATTGCGGAATTCGGCAGGCACGATCTTCTGCTTTAGCATTTGAACACCCTCCTCATCGTTCTCGAGATCGATAGGACTGTGCACATCAACCAGGAAGAATACCTGATATTCAGATCCGGAATGCAGAGAAAGCTCCATAATCAACGACCGGAGATACTGCGCATGACTGGGTGTCCATTTCATGCTATCCGATGCGCGAAGAAGAACAGCCGAGCGGGGCTTGTATGACAAGGTTCCTAGCTTCTTGTGCCATTTATCTCGCGAGGCACTTTCCGGGGGTACAGCGAGAGAACATGGCGAGAGTAATGCTGGTCTGGTCGATCGGGGTCGTATCTATCGGCATTTCGCTCATAGCATGACGATTGAAGATAACCCCAGTTGATATTTCCCCAGAAGATCCTAGGAGGTCGTTGGAATCCCGGAACATCCGCATCATTGAACTCGTCTAGTCCGTACGGTCCATAACGCGAGTACCGATCGACGCATACATTATGATCGAGGCCGATCGCTTCATGGGATCCGAACATAGGGAATGGGAAATCTGAATATATGTGAGTTTTACCGCCAAATTGGATATGAAGTAGGGATGAGGAAAACCTTTCTGAGTCCCACGATACACCATCATCATATCCTCGCTGTTGGCGCGATTGATATCTCTACCTCGGGGGCCACGGCAAGGCTGATGATTTCCAGTCCATGTCTTATGCCATTTAAGACTATTGTAGACAGGATAAGGGTCGTATATTGCTGGCTTGGGGTGTTCTTTATCATCGCCCTGAGTGCTTAAGGTGAGGGTGCCCCCTCTGTAGAACCTGTCTTCCCTACAATGATGTCAGATATGAAGTGGACAGAGAATCAAACCACACACGGCACATCATTAAGTGTTCCCTCGCCATCAGGCTCCCGTAGCGCATAGTCCTGGGCTGGTGCGATGTAGGGATGGGGATAGCCCGCAGGATCGACAAAATCCCCCGGATGCAAGATATTGGATTCAATTGGCAAGGAGAGAATTTCCAATGGAGGTATGGCCCCAGGATATGATGGATGAAGTCGATACAGAAAGCAGAAAAGTAGGAAGCAGAGTAGGATAATGGGCCAGAATCCCCGGCGTGAGCGAGACATTGGATCAGTGTCTGGGTGTCGTATCTCATGAACTAGGACCTCCGACCAAAGCGGATAAGAGAAGCTGGCTGAAAAGGTATCGCCGGTTCAATCTTGTGTTGGCTATGTGATGAGCGAAGCTCACGTATTCTAGGTTGGCGTTGGTGACGATGAGAATCGTCATGCGACCCAAATCATCAACCGGCCCTAGAACGATGTATACACCTGGGCAGCTGTGCCAATGAAAACAAACCTTGGAAGATCACAGCTAATTTCCCATAGAGCATTCTCTTTGATCAAAGTTGTAGAAACGGCCGTGGCCAAACGTGTATTGTACTCCATTCCAAGGTTCTCCTCTAGATTTGTACATATGACAGGAAAGAGAGAATAAAAGTAGAGATCTTGTCCATAATACTTAATGTACTTATAGATTTCAACAAAAAGAGTATATAATGCAGCCTTAGAAGGCACAGGGAACATGAAATACCCCGTCAAACCGAACAAAACAAAGAATCCCCCACTCGCTGAAATGCAAAGACGCTAAAATCCATAGTGTGGAAAACAACAAAGAGCCCAATCCGTTTTTAGAGGAATGATTAGAGATAAAAGGTAGGATCCAGAGAAGCATCTCTGACCCTTCAAACAGTCAAAGACGCATAAGAGAGGTATCGTGAAAATGGGTATACGCGGCAAGAGAAAGACAAAGGAACAGCGAAGTGTGAAGAAAACCCAAGCCTTAATCAGCCCTGGCGTGAGGAAGAGTAGTATCAATCTTAGTCCCGCCAGGAGATTCCTCATGCTCTTCACGATCAGCGAGAATATGAGCATATGTCTTATTAGACTTCTGGCCTTCCGGGTGATCAACCTCAGCTTCGAGCTTGGCCTCGATCTTATCGAGAGTCTCTTCGACTTCGGGTGTATCCTTGACATTTGGCGCGAGATTGGGAAGGTTCGGAGTCTTCTCGGGTTGCGGAGATTTCTCGGATACGACGCCCTTGTAGTCTCCCTGTGTGGTTTCCTGCTCGTGGTCTTCGAGGGAGATCGTGTGGTCTTCCCTTTCTGACTCGTCTCCGTTGGCAGAGAGGAATTCTTCCAATACATCGTTTTCATCCTCGTCGACTTCGGGCGTAACAGCAGTGGCGGTCTTGACGTGCTGCACTAATGGAGACGCCTTGAGAGATGCCTCAGTGTGCTCGCCGTGGTCGGTGGTTTCAGTGGCATCGGTGGTGGGCGAGGTGTTTTGGCTGGACTGCGACTGCGGCGTGGGAGAAGTAGATTCGCGACTTGATCCAGAGCCCCAGACGTGTTGCGGGTGACGTGGTGGGAGAGCTGGTGGACCTCGAGCCGGGATCGTGACCAGACGAGCACGAGTGAAGCTCGGCGACATGCGCTTGACCTCAGTATCAGTCTTTTGATACTCCGACTTGGTTGGCGAGCCTGCAATGCTTTCTCTCGGTGTAACCATGGCGTTGGTAACTTCGTGGACCTCGTAATCATCATCATCTTCATCCACTTCGAAATCCTCTTGCTTATCTTCACAAGCGCTAGCATTTGCCCTTCTAATCTCAGCATCATGACCTTCCAACTGACGGACCTTCACCTGCTCTTCCTCGCCACCATGAATCACGACCGCATCCCAGGGCGCAGCGTCGGCTTCTTCGTCCCACGAGCTCATCGGTGGCGACTCCTTAGCGCTGCGCGACGACGCCCGGCTCACTGACGTGGTCTCGGTTAGCGGGGAGTCATCAGTCTGGGTGCCACGGTCGACACTAGCATAACTCTTGGAGCTCTGCACGCTCGCACGCCAGCTATTCCGCGGCGAGCTATCGACACTACGCCGCGAGAACGTGCTATAGATTGGGCTACCCAAGTTTGGGCGGAATTCAAAGATTTCATGATTCGGCCTCACCTTCGTGCCGGCCTCGCGGATGAAAAGTCCCTCCGCCTCCAACGCCTTCACTCCATATGGATCTGGATCGTCGTGCGCCGGCACGCCAAAGGGATGGACGTCTTCGTCGACCACCTCCATATCGCCTGGTGTTTCGCCCGGTGGCGGAACGAGACTTTCGTCAACATCCGAGTCTCCCTGCGCCGCTTTGAGGGTCTGCATGAGGGTTTCGAGTTCGTAAGGCGGGTGTCGGACTTTGCCTGACAGGATCTCATCTACAGACAAGCGCTCCCCGTAGAAGCGTTCGTTCTCGTCAGTACGCTCAATGATAATGGTGCCGTCGACGGCAACACCGGCGTATAGTCCCTTGCTCTTCATATATGTCCAAATCGGCGCCTGGCGCTTGTGAACCTCGGATTCAAGCACGCCGCCAATGCCCACGGGGCCCGCTGCGGCGCTAACCTCGCCGCCAAGCGTGCAGCGGAACTTCTTGAAAGCCTCCAGCGCTTCCGTGGTGTTGATGATCACCACGCAATCGTAAATATCCACACCGGCCAAGAACCCAATTCCCGCCGTGTGTAGCATGATACCGGAAGGCGGACTCCAGGCGCCGGTCTCGGGGAGGCGACCTAGCAAGACGCCACTACCACCCGAGCCACTCACCCAGAGACCGGTTCGCATAGTGGTGAAGATGGCGATTCCCTTAGCGTTGCGAATAACCTTCGAAGGGATTTTCTGAATGACGCGTTGCTTGCCCTTGGGGCGATTGATTTTGCCATTTTCGTCGGTGTCGTTTGTAGACTCGGGGGCGTAGAAACCATCTTTGCAAAAGCTGCGTAGAATGCGCGCCGCTTTATCTGACTCCTTGTCGATTGTCATGGGCCAAAAGGCTTCGGAGCCCAGCTTGTTCGACAGGCGATTGACGGGCCCGCCTAGCTTGTCGACGGTATCCCATGCTTTGTCGAAGCCTTTTTTTGAAATGCTTTTCGTCTTCTCCCACCGAGTTGGAGGCATGGTGAGTTGCCAATATTCTCACAATTGTGTAGTAAGTATAGTAATATTGAAATTGATCGGGTGGCGACAGTGAGCGCGGTGCGCGATCTATACCGGAGACGGCACTGCAAACGGCACTCGAAAACGATCAGGAATGTAAATAACCGAAGGATGCGAAGGAATGCGGGGAGGAATGCAGGAAATCGACTAACAAAAAAAAGGAAAGAAAACAAAAAACAGAAAACAGAGAGACTGGATGAGTTATAAATCGAATTCGGGTCAGGCGGAATAAGACGTTAGTAGCGGTGCCGCTCTTCCATGCGCTCTTCCATGGTTCGCAGAGGGGCGATGTCATCATTCTTTTTTTTTTTTTTTTTTTTTTGAGTCTCTTCTCTGCTTGTTTTCTTTTATATCTGATATATGCAGTTTTATGTACCATATCTGATCCTACCCTCTCGTATAGCTAATAGTCAACAATAGTTCATGATCACATTGCCCATCGACTCCGTACTCCGTACGGAGTACTGCCACAAGCTTATTGTCCAGCCTCTACGATACGTCACAACCTACAAGTCTTCATTCAGTACCTGGACCATCGGCCCGTATGAAACGCGCGTGCGTGAGACCTTGAAAACCAGCGAACCAGAAATCCACCTGGCTACCTAACCAGTCAAACAACCGTGTTAAATTCCCTTAAATACCGATCCCAATCAGAAGAACCCAACAAATCCTAGCAAATCTCTTCGATCTGGGGTGCTTCACCCAAGCCTCAGTGGATCCCCTTGACAGCTCAGGCTGAGCTGATTAATATGAACGAAAGTAAGCCCAGCCCAAGAGTGGACCGTCGGCTCGGGTTACAAATTAACCAAGAAGCATTTGAAACCGAATCGTTGAAATTTTCAACTAAGTTCAGTTCCTGCTTTTTCTTTTAATTGTTCGTGAATATTTGCCTATCGTCTATTTTTCTTCATAGTTGACACGGCAAATGTGATCTGGAAGAGGGCGGGGGGGGCTGATCTCATCATGCATGTCCGCTAATGTATGGGCACTCATGGAGAACGCCGTATGGGTATGGAGTACTTCTGATTGAACGCATCTGCTCCACACTCGATAACCTTGGAATACCGAGTCCAGATCATTCGATACCCGGCGGTTGGGCGACTGACTTACCCTAAATTGAAAGTGTTGCCTCAGGTCCAGCTGAAATATTGAAATATTGAAATATTGCACGACACTTCCGATTGGACGAGAGTTCAATAGACCCTGGACCGGGGTAAAATGTCCATATTTCACATAAACCACGGCAGAGAAATTAACTCCAGCACTCCGTTCTCCGTAGGCGAGATAAGAGTCCAGCGCCCGCTGTGGCGGAGGTGTCGCCCAATGTGTCGCTACGGCATACGAATTAATGACCACACCGAGGGCAACTCGAAATAGTACGGAGGACGGAGGACGGACTGTGGCGTTGAAACCACGCACTGAAGACGTCGGTGATATGGAGGTTTATTTTCATTCATATGGAGCATTTCAGTACCCCGGCATAGAGCGCATGCCCTCGCCACAACGTGGCCAAGAGGAAAATGCGGGGGGGAACTGTGCACGACTCCAGATCTAAGAAGATCAAAAGCGATGGTATAGAAACAAGTACAAATTATCAACTTGTGCGCCTTTACAGCGCACCCAGCTCCTTGAGCTTACCGACAAGGCCATCGACATCCTCGACCTTGCCACCACCCTTGCGTGGTGGGGGCTCTGCAGAACACCATTAGCGCAAGCTCCACCGGAGAAACAAAATAAGATAAATCAAACATACCGGTAACCTTGAGGGTCTTCAATCGCCGCGTATCCTCGACACCGAGATCGGCAAGAGTCTTCTTCTCAAGAGGCTTCTTCTTCGCCTTCATGATGTTAGGCAAGCTCGCGTACCGCGGCTCATTCAACCGCAGATCCGTAGTGATAACCATAGGCAGCTTGGCGCGAAGAGTCTCAACACCACCGTCAACCTCGTGCGTAACCTCAACAGTACCAGCCTCGTCCTTGATCTCAACCTTGCTGGCCTGAGTAGTCTGAGGCCACCCGAGGAGCCCAGCGAGCATCTGACCCGTCTGGCCCTGGTCACCATCAATAGCCTGCTTACCCAGCAGCACGAGGTTCACATTCTGCTCCTTGACGACGGCCTGCAGCATCTTGGCGATGGTCAGCGGCTCGGGGCCACCGTCGCCCTTCTCCGGAACGTCAATGTGGAAGGCTCGATCGGCGCCCATGGCCATGGCGGTGCGGAGGACGTCAGGGCATTTCGGGCCACCGGCGGAGAGAGCGAGGATATCCTCGACCTTGATGGGGCCCTTGCGCTCGCGCAGACGGACGGCCTCTTCGATGGAGAGCTCGTCGAATGGGTTCAGGGAGTGCTTGACGCCGGCGGTCTCGACACCGGTTTGGGCTTTGTTGATGCGGGGCTTGATCTGTTGTTGCGAGATGTCAATTCATTTGTTGCTACTTGTGTTAGGTGGAGTAAGTGTCGTTGCTGTCAGGGTAGCTCCGAGCGACCGCTGGGTCGGAGACGAGGGAGGGAAGAGGGATTGTTTTTTGCATGTTGGACGTACTGCGTAGTCAATGACCCGCTTGACGGGCACCAATATCCGTAGGCCGCTCATTGTGTAGGTGTTGAAGAACAACCAACTGAGTTGGAGGAAGGTTGAGAGAAAGCGTGCGGTGACGGAGTGCCAAGAAATCAAAAACGCCGACGCGGCCCGAGTTTAACCCTCATCGCACCATGTAGCCGCCCCTCTCACTGCGGCCTTTTGCGTCCACAGGGTCAAAAGGCGCTTTCACTCGGACCTCGGGATGTTGTCGGTCTCGATCCCATGATCTTGCTCAGCTATACAGTACCAGCACGGACTTGGTTGAATCACCTCCATAGAGAAAGAGCCTTGAGATTATCTAGACTAGCTCATATCTATCTGCAACTCAAGGACCTTTGCTCCCAAAAAAAAACATGTGCATATTCATATACAGGGATTTCCTATTTAGGCCGCCGCTTTAACGAGGGTGCTCAGGCTCAGGCTCAGGCTCTCAGATATCAGCTCGAGCTCAGAGTCATTGATGAGCCGATAACGGTCTTTAAAGGGGTTGCTATAAGAGTCATTATGATAGTTGTTACTCCTCCGTACTGTAGCAAGTGATATAGTATTGTTCCTTTTTTGGGGTTGAATAAGGCGAGGAATCCAGCGCAGTTTCACCAAAAAGGCAGGACCAAAAGGACACTTCTTTGCTGGAAATATATCACATGATCGAGGTCTTGGCGCGTGATGACATAATATCACAAAATCGGAAAAGTGGTGAAGTTGCCCAGTTTGTCACTAATGTCCAATGTTATGCATCAACTTGAGTCAATTTGGGTGAATTACCCCAGGAGATGACCACGGAGGCTGCTTTTGGATTACAAGGTGTGGAATCAGGCGCCTACCCTCCAGTGGTCCTGCTTCGGGGCTTCCAAAGCTTGAACCTTCGTATATGACCAGGAGTCCAGGACTGCTGCACATTGGGCACTCCAGAGTATTCAAGCAACACAATCTCAATTTTATAAGCTTCACCGATCAACGGGTGTTCTTGTAAGCGATCTCTCAAATCTGTTTACCCGAAGTCAATCTGGTATACCCCGTAGTGGAGCTTTGACGGCCGCAAACACAGGCAGCCACGATCTGCCACCTCAGCACTCGTTTGCTATGGCACGGTGCTATTGGTGTGCAGTGGTGGATCAGTTCTGCAACCCATGCCGAGGCTAGGATAGTTCCTCTGGGTTGTGGGCCCCATTGGCTGACTGGGCCACGGCTGAACAGAAAGGCGGATCGCGATCGTTCCTATGTGGAGATGATATACATATTTTACCACACTAGATGATGAAGGGGAAAATTTATCCGCGAGCTGAATTGTGCTTCCTTCTGAACAATTCATTTCCCCACGCCAAAGGCTCACCCCCGAAGGCACCTCGGGATCATTATGCGCAAGGCGTTGAGCAAGTTCAAGAGCAAGGCTCACTGGGGGCATACTCACGACCAAGAAAAGAACAAAGATGTGCTAGTTCGTCATCAAAATATCCTGCAGTAATACCAAAGGTTAGTATACTAATTTGTTTTGGTTCTGCCAAAGGTACAAACCCCTCCTGCGCCAGCTTCAGCTCCAGCCCCGGCAAAAACAACAGTGCAAGTGTCAGCGCCAGTGCCAGTACCACCCCCAACAACGGAACAGGCTCCTCCGGCCATAGAGTCTGAACATGCGCCCACGCCTGAAAAGTTACCTGCAGCCCCTGTCGAAGAAGCAGTGAACGACCGTGTCATTGCCGACGAAAAGCCCCAACCCGAGCCCATCGCCAGAGATCTTTGGCAGGATGCTCTGGCCCAATTATCCCCCTCCAGTCGGGAGACTTTGAAGAAGATGGGTCTGGACCAGATCAGATCAGTTTCTGCCGACTCCACAATCAAGGATCTGGCAGGTGTTGTGAACGACAGACAAGAAGAGTGCGAAAAGAAGTTCTGGAAAGTCTCCTTCGGCGGCGAAGACATTGTCCTGCGAGACTATACAAGCCGTATCATCGGCTGGTTAGAAAAAGCTGGAGACGTTGCCATTCAGTTTGCACCCACGCAGGCTAGTTTGGCTTGGGATATTGTGAAGAATTTCATGGAGGTGAGTGACCTTGACTCAAGACTATGGTCGAACCTTGCAAGCTTATCGATTTTAGATCCCCGTGGCTGAAGGCGCCCAAATGTGTGCGCTTCTTGGCACCACCGAGAAAGTCGTCCGCATTATCAGTCGCGGACAGGTATATGAGCAAGTCTACCTCTCGCAGACCCCTGGCACATCTCTGGGCGACCATCAGAGGAATCTCGAGTCCGGCTTGTTGAGGATCTATGCCACCGCGCTAGAGCTGTTAGCAGAGTCTGGAAAGCTCTTCTCACAGAATACCGCTAGACGTACTTTGGAGGCCATCATCAATCCTGGCAAGAGTGTTGGAGCCCTTGCAGAAATTGCAGAGCAGGAAGACGACCTTCTTCGCGATGTTCAAGTTTGTGAAACGAAGCGCAGCTCGGATTCTGACAAACGAGTGATTGGAATGCTGGAGACTTTCAACGATCCTATTTTCCGGATTGATAAAGGTGTCAACAAAGTTCTCAAGCACTTGGTTGACTCGACGTATCAAGATACTGGAGTGGATATCGTCTATTCGTTTTGGCAAGCACCACGATACCATCAGAGGCCAGCGAACACCGAACACAGGTGATTGGTTGCTGCAGCACGAGGACTTCCTTTCCTGGGAAACCCAAAAAGCCTCGGCACTCTTCTGGCTCCAAGGATCTGCTGGCACTGGAAAAACATACCTCACATCCAGTGTTGTTGAACGTGTTCGCACTATGCTCAGTGGATCGCTTGAAGTTGAGGGACTTGCGTACTTCTACTGCAACCGCAGCGAGTCACAACGCGGACGGTATGAACATATCCTCCAAAGCTTTGTTCGACAGCTATGCACCCCCGCGCAGAGGCCTGAAAAAATGCAGAGTAAAATCAAGAAAGCCTATGAAGTCGCTCGTGATAGGGGCACTGATTTCCAGCCGGAACAGTGTATGGAGCTCATCCAGGAATGTTTGGATGGATACGGAAGAACGACCCTCATCATTGACGCTATGGATGAATGCGACACACGCTCGCGATCCAAGATACTTAAAGGTCTGAACTCATTCCTGGTCAATTCCAAAAACCCAGTCAAGATCTTCATTTCAAGCCGACCGGATTCCGACATTAGGAACCGTCTCAAGGACAGCCCCACCATCGCTGTCTCCGCCAGCTCCAACCAACGCGATATAAAATTATACCTTGAAACCGAACTTGAAGAAATGGCGAACGACCGAACTTTCCTGAACACAGGTACGGTGAAACAGACCGCGGTTGAAAGGCTGCTCGAACGCTGCCAAGGGATGTTCCAATGGGCGGCTCTGCAAATCAAGCAGCTCATGGAATATCCCTCAAAGCTAAGTTTCATGAAGCGACTCGACGACCTCCCGGAAGGTATACAGGCGGCATATGATGAAGTTTGGGATTACATTGAAACCTTGGATGAGTCCGACAAGACATTCGCCAAGCGAGCCCTGCTATGGACCATGTCCACGCACAAGCCGTTTTCTAGCACCGAGCTCCTTTCGGCCATTCGTATTGACTCAAATGGCGACATGCTCCCGCTGGAGAATCAAATAGACGAACAAGGGCTTCTCTCCCTGTGCAAAAACTTCTTGACCATTGACACTCAATCTGATGTTTGGCGATTTACACATCTGTCAGTTGTCGAGTATCTGGAAACCAAAGAAGGATGGTCCCACCCAAAGGTTCATTACCATGCTGCCAGTGCCTGTCTTTCATATTTCATCAATACTTATGATCGTGACTTTGCTGAGTTGCCCCCTCAAACTTTCGATCTTGACACAGATAAAGCTGTGGAATCAAAAGACATCGTGGATGCAGACAAAGAAGTTGATCCTGCAGATCTGGAGGAATCGGACGACGGCTTTGGCAGATATCATCCCTTCCACATTTACATGAGACAATGCTGGATGCACCATGTCCGTGAAGCCGATGACACAAAGGACAAGAACCTCGCTACTCTCCTGAAGAAATTCCTTGGCTCCCCTGAGGAGAGCTCTTCGCAATACAGAAAGTGGTTCAATGTACTCTACAAGGATGGCTGGTTCTTTTTTAAAACCACACGAGATGCCACCTGGTTCTACGAGACGAGACACTTTGGAAGTGCAAGTGCTGGCGATGTCATCCATGACATCTTTGATGAAAAGTTCGCCATCTTCGGAGTGTGTCGTATGGGACTGGAGAACATCGCGTCTGAGTGGCTAGATGGTGCTAACTTTGACGTCTCTCGAGTGAATACCCGTGGGCACAGTCTGCTAGCCCTTGCTGTCATGGCTGGCTCAGTGCCGATCTGCAAGATGTTGGTTGGAAGTGGTGCAGATGTCAATCAGAGGCTTGAAACAAACAGGAGATTTGGAAGTGCGCTTCGGACCGCGGTATCCCTCAAGAACACCAATGTCGTTGATTACCGCCGACATCAACCTGCTGGTTGAGACAAAAAGTTCCGATCACAGCTCTCCATTGTCAGCCGCAGTCACAGAATGGGACATTGAGATGACTAAACTCCTCCTCCAAAAGGGGAGAGCCGATTTCAACATGGGCTACCCCGAAATCGAAAACTACAATATTCTCGTTAAAGCTTATAGACAAGATTGCAGGATGAGCGGTCTTGGGGAGACTAGTCTTGAGTTTGTCAAACTTATGTTGAAGGCCGGCGCTGATGTTAATACAACATTCGCCTCAGAGACAGAGAACAAAGGTCTGCTCCCTGAACTGATTGCTAGAGGTGACGTGGAGGGGGTGAAGTATCTTCTCGAGGAGACCGAGGATGATATCAAAAAGCGACATGGAGAGGACGGACTCTATCCTATCGAGATCGCAGTTGAAGACTTTAACGGAGAGACTGACCTCGAGGTTCTCCGTCTTTTGTGTGAAGCAGGAGCAGATGTCAATTCTTTCTCGTCCAACGGTAGACATGACAGCGTTCTTGCTGGAGCATGCTCGCCCCATCGTTATTTGGCAATGGACAATGGAAAGGAGAATCCCAAAGCTGTCGCTATTGTTCTGAATGCAGGAGCCGTTGTGGATACACAGCTTACGCATGGTGAATATGGCAGCGCACTTGCAGTGGCAGCAAAAGAATCTCAAGGGACTGAAATTTTGCAATTGTTGCTTGATGCCGGAGCAGACGTGAACATGCCACTGGAAAATGAATCATATGGCAGTGCTATCCTGGCAGCCCAAGAGGACGATTCGGACGACTACGAGAAAGGGATTCTGCAGGCTTTGGTCGACGGTGGTGCAACCAAAACCTCACACCATTCAACCGCAAGATATAGAAGTGCATTGATTGCAGCTTCATGTTTTGGCCAATATCAAGCTGTGGAATACTTGATAAACGCAGGCGTGGCTGTTGAAGATGAGCACTCTGGGGATTACACCACTGCAATTGAAGCCGCTGAAGCACCATTCTCAGAGGCCGACAAGGCTTGCATTGTCAGATTCTGCAAATACAACGAAGCCTCGGCCGAGGCACTTCTCGAAACATGGGGTAAGCAGAAGGGTGATGTCTTTGAACTTCTCAAAGAGGCTATGCCACCACCTGAAGTCATCGAGTATCGAAAATCAAACACTATTACCGGGACTTGCAGGACTTACACGACGGAGGCGGTCACTTGCTACAGCGAGATGCAAACCGCTACGTCCTCGGGAGTACCGTGTTTTAAAATCACTGTTGGACCCAAGCGCTTAAGAAGTGGTAAATACATTGTCTGAATTCTCGGTATAATCTTGGTTCGTCCAAGCTGTTACCTTTACATATCTAGTTGGCATGTCGTGACTCATGAACGCTAGGTGACAAAATCCTATTTCAAGTTTCCTTTTTCTCCTCCTGTTTCGCGTCTGAACAATTCACCACTTTCTGGAATGACTATGTGCCCCGTAGTACTCCATACGAATTTGGTTTCTAGTACGACTGTCAGCCGCCCAACGAATGAAGAATTGTTTCTTTGTGGTTTTTTAATTACTCCATTTCGAACCCTGATAATCATTCACTTCCTTTGTATAGCAAAAAATATTGGAGTTGTGATTTGAGCAGTACAGAACGAGTGTGAGCGGAAATGAATTGCCCCCGAGAGAAACAGGAGAAATTGGCCTCACTTAGTAAAGAATAGAGGCGAACCCCGACTGTTACGGCCAGGGCACAAACTGAAATGCCCAGTGGATGAGACAGAGCTGTCAAGTAAGGAAACACAGGGCATTCATCACAATGAGTCAAGATCAAGGAAAGCTTAGTCTTTGAATTCTCGCTGACTATTCAATGCGCATTAGAGAGTGGCACAATCATAATATTGGCTCTCTGCTCAGTGTTGTGAAATGAGTCGACTTGAAAGATGTGTGTCCAAAATGGAATGTCTTGACTTGCAATGGGAGCTTTGTTCTTCCCTCGTTACATGTGACCCGCGTTTTTCATTCACGCAACTTCATCTCCTTCATCTCCTTCATCACCCCTCTTGACTTTTCAACCTCTCTATTGACACTTCGTCTCGTCTATTGACACTTCGTCTCGTCTGTTGACACTTCGTCTCGTCTGTTGACACTTCGTCTCGTCTGTTGACACTTCGTCTCGTCTGTTGACACTTCGTCTCGTCTGTTCTCTCTTCATCTCCTCTGCTGACTCTTCGTCTCTTCTTTTGACTCTTCGTCTCTTCTATTGATTCTTCTTCGTCCCTTCTGTTGACACTTCATCTCCTCCGTTGACTTTCCATCTCCTCCTTTGACGCTTCATCTCCTCTGCTGGCACTTTGTGTCCTCTGTTGTCTTTTCATCTCACTCATGATCTTTATTTCAAACCACCTCTGCTATTGTCACCATCTGTGGCTGTATGCAGACACGTTTTTCGTCCATCACCCTTGAGCTTCTCCATCCATTCATCACCTTCGAGCTTCTTGAACTCATCCCATACTCCCAAGATCACAACAATCCTATCTCATCTGCCTGGCGACTGTCATCATTCTACATTCAGTCAACATGTTCGAGTGTGGATATTGTGAACTTGAGTTCAAAAGCCAGGAGGATGCAGAGTATCACATGGACCAAAACGAACATTGGTGGGATTGCGATTGGTGCGAGAAGACATTCCGAACTGAGACGGCCGCTAACGCCCATAAGGTGGCCAAGAACCACTTGGACTCTGAGTTTGAGTGCCTGAGATGCGAACGCGAGTTCAATTCCCAAAATGCTCTTGATCAGCATATGAACGCGTTGGGCCACTGGCCTCCTGCCTCCAAGCACAAATGTGAGACGTGCGACGAGGTGTTTGTTGAGAAAAGAACCGCGCGCGAACACATGGACTACTGGGAGCATTGGAAGGGTCCGAGATTTGAATGCCAGACTTGCGATCGAACTTTTAGCTCAGAGCAAGGTGCCGATCAGCACATGGATGATTTAGATCACTGGACGCCAACGGTCAAGTGCGAAACGTGCGATCACATGTTCTTTACTGAGGAGTCTGCGGAACAGCATATGCGGGCTAAGGGGCACCACAAATCGCTCCCTCACAAGAACCAACCTGTGGGTCAAGTCGAGCAGCCTCAAGCTAATAATGGCACGAAGAGCGAAGCCCAACCAGAAGGTCTCAAACAGACCGAAATCATGATAAGGGCGAAGAAAAATATTCAAAGCTCTACTATGATGTCCGAACAAGCTAGTGAGATGTTACAAAAGGCTACAGCAATGATGGAAAAGGCCACAGCCATCATGGAAGAGATCAAAAATCAGACTGCTCGGAGTGCTGATTATAAAGAGAAGAAGAACACTCTCTACCCCCCAGACGATGACAAGGATAGTCGTCAAGGAACTGTTTGCGAGAATACTAGTCAGCCAGACCAGGAGGTGAGTATTTTCGTATCGAATAGAAGTCCAAATCGTTCATTCATGTGCCTATTGACTAATGCTATGGCTCAAACAGTCCATGATGTTTCCATTGAATGGTGAGATGGGGATCCCTTGTCCCTTCTGCGACAAAGAATTGAGACACGAGAGCGCCTTAACCTACCACATTGACATTGGCGCATGTCCCATGGCTGCTGATTGCGTTCGCGAGGCGGTACGCCGCATTATCCACGGACTTGTTCCAGATGATGTCCTCCCAGCACATGAAGTCAAATCTTTGGATATTGATATGAGCAAGGAAAGTTACATCATCCGTGCCCAGAAGTCTGCCCCAAGGAACCTTGAAATTGGGCAATGAAGATGTGAGAGGGAAAGTTGACCGAGGGAAGAAGTGATGCTGCCAATGTTCGATTTTTTATGAGACACATGTGTTCATCACAGATTGTGATAGTTATGTTGAATTCAAGATTTAACTAATCTTTAAAGGGCTGAGCACCTGCTGTGACCTTGAGTTCTGCAGCTCAACACGACCAACAGAAGACTTTTAGAGAGGCTAGATAACAGAGGCCATGATATCTAGGGAAAGGATTAAAGGCGCCTTTTGATGATTCAGCTTTGAGTCACTCCCGAGGTCATAGACATGATGATGAGCACATGAAATATGAGCCTGTCATTGCATCTCCCATAAAGCCTCTTTGGAAGAGGGATGAAGGACTCAATAGTGAGCCAAAATTTCTTAACCAACTTAGTATCCATTTCCTCAACACCATTACTGTTCATGTCTCTTAATGAATATTTAAGAGAAATAAGAATGTCGCTGTAGATAGTTGCGGTAAAAAGAAGATATGAGTTTTAACAGGCCTTAATCACAAGGTGTAGATGTCTAGCGCTGGTTACTAAGCAGCAAACTTCCACAATAGGATGAGCCGAGCAGCCTATAAGTTGGAAATATATTCTCTCTGCTGGGTAATTTACCCCATAATACACCAACCCGACTCTCCAAAGTCTAGCAGCCTCATATCTTGAGTCACTTGAACTGTTCTCACCCTCTCCTAAACTGGTACGGAGAACTTCACTGCACTGACATATATTAAATACATCGTTAACTAGCAAACGAGAACCTTGGAAGGTGCCTGTGGAAATCGATATTCTCCAAAGGGTCCACTGTACCAACTAGCCCGTCGATCAATAGATCAAAGTGTCTGTGCGACAAGGTCTCCCCGGGGCCACCACAGTAGCTGACTCATCTGTTCTACTGCCTGCACAGTCCCTGTGCAATCTAGGAAAGGCAGGAACGTCCATATCGAGGTAAGTATGTTAATCCTCGCCTGACCTGTCTTATTGATTCTAAAGACAATGTGATTCCAGGTTATCTGACCACAGTGCAAAAGTGCAAAAGTTTTAGCTTCTTGCCATCTCTTTGTGCTTAGTCTTGGCTGCCAAGTCATGTGATTCATGGATTGTCCCGTCAATTTACAAGTCAATGAATGATAATGATCCATTGAGATCGCACCAGGGCCCGAAGAAAGAGATGCGTAAGAAGATCTTGCTACCTTGATGTCAATGCGGCATTTTCTCATGGTTGGTAGAGCTACATGTGGTATGTTATGGACTCGATCTATACTTTAGATACTACACAAAATAGAGAGACCATCTTCGGGTTCTGGAGATCTTATGTGATTATTCAAGTTGTCTAATTTTATAGTCAATTTTTTAGTAGTCCTCTGGGGCTTCAATCTTCAACAAAATGCCTCTAGCTTCGCACTCCAGTTCGAGGCTTCTCAGAGCATCCGCAGGCACATCTTCGTCTTCTAAATCAAGGCGCAAAACCAGCTCTTCAAGATTTTCGCAACTGCCCTGGTGGACTAGATCTGATAGCTCTGACATCAACTGTACTTGATCATCAGTAGCCATCAAATCTATGATTTCAAGACGCTTGAGAGACACTGGTAAGATTTCAACCAGCGGCTGTGTGTCCTTCAAATGAGAATGCCGAACCAAGATATCTTCCAAGACAACAAAATCCCTGAATGTGCCAAACGGAGCATCATGGATATCACCATCTTCCAATTGATCTCTATACCATTCACCATAGCAGATGCGGAGAGATTTGAGAGTCGCAGCGGATGGGAGCAACAAAGCGCGATAGAGCGATGCATCAAATTTCTCATTGTCGCATATCTCATATTCATCTGCTTGTACCTCAATCTTGATGGATACACGCTCGAGTTTCGTGCATGTGATAAGCCAATCCACCATACCTCGACACCAGTAGGCCTCGTCGACGATAATTTCACGAACTTGGCTTGAGCGATAGCTCTCATCAAGCATCTGATTCTCATCGTCTCTTCTTTCACCAATGGCAGAACAGTATATTCTACGAACATTAGGAAAATAGAAGAAAGGTGTGAGGAAGCCTGAGTCAATCCATGAGGCCCCCCACGCAACATTTCCTAAAACTTCTTGTAAATTTGGAAATAAGGGAGTTTTGTGAAATGGGTGTTGTCGGATTGCAGCTTTGTGTAAGATAGTCGACATTAACTCGGTGTTCTCGTGTTGGAATTCGATTGTTTGAAGGTGATTCGTCCGAAGGAGTAATAGCCCCAGCCATGCTTCTCCACAGAGATACTCGAATGAAAGATGCTCTTCCCATTCATTCCTCATATCCTCTTCTTCTGGAGTAAACATCTCATTTAGTGCATCCTGGATGAATGATGCGAGATCTGTATCCTCTTTCAATTTATTTATCGCGACCTCATCAAGTTTTTGCTGGTCACAAGCCGACCAGCACATCTCCAGTCGACGAACTTGACTGGCGAGTTCTGGTTGACGCCATAGTCGCATGATAAAGCGAATAAATTCGGCAGACATAGGGTAGGCCGCTGTGATGGAATGGTAAATCATCGGTTGGAAGACATTGTAGAAGCTTCGGCAGCATAGACTCAGCATGTGCAAGGTGCTCTGTGAGTCGGAACTTCTCTGGACGTGCTCGCCGATGAGAACAAGCAGTTCTAGAGGCAAGCGTTCCATAATGAAGAGTGAGGATTTGCAAGGTTTCCCCTCGGACCAAGAGCACCCTGGACACTGTAAGTACTTTTATATATACTGCTCCACAGCGGTCAGCGGGAAAGGTTAGCTTCGTGGATATCTGATCTCAGAAATTCGGAATTTAGGCAGGTGTCTCACTGCGGCAATTTGACTGCAGGCAGAAAATTCCAAGGTTTGGCGGTCTTGGCCAGCTAGTAAGATCAGGTCGCTCGGAGGCGTACTCAATTTTCCTCTGAGAGCAAAAGGCGGCAAGAGATAAGCACCAAAAAGGGATGGGAAAGGTCTCGAGTGGCAGACATTATCCGGTACATATGGGGGGGGGGCTAGAAAGCTTCCAGCGCACACAGGTTGTGTAGCTAAAGACACCATGATGGCCACTAATAGGCACTGTAGCCCTCTCGCCGACGGGTGCCGAGGTTAACCATACAGCCTAACTACTAGATACGAATAAAGTAAGAAAGTCTGTGATAACTCACCCAAGAGCCTTGGAAGAGTCAAGGATAGATGGCATAGTTCCAACGATACTAGAATCCGCTTCGCCTTGTGTCTGTGATATTGCAACTATCGTTTACGTCGGACGTTTCATACAATAAACCCCAAGCACATGCCTCTCACATGCGTTCGACATCTCATTATCTACTTGAAGGCTAATTTAATAACATATGGAGACCCATCACCAAGTCTCTTGTTTATACCGACCAATCTTCTCCATCTTGATAAGATACTCCTCAGCCTGGGCGCGAGTAAACGGCTGCCCAGGCACAGGAGACCCTCCATGCTGGAACGCCTCAATAAGAGCCTCGCGAACAGCCTGAGGCATTTTCCCCGAGGAACCGCAGATATAAACAGACCCCTGCATATCATGAAGCAGACAGAAGAAAAGCGTAAAGTTCTCCCGTACAGTATCCTGAACATAGACCTTACGCTGCTGGTCCCGCGAGAAAGCAGTCAGGACCTGCAGCGGGATGAGTTTAGCAAGCTCAGTCCATTCCTCCTCGAAGAAGAAATCCGATTCGCGATTCCTGCCACCATAGAGGAGAATCGTCGGGCCAACCGGAGGATTGACGCCTGGGTTTTGCTCACGGTAGGCCTGGACCAGAGCCGCCTTTTCCCAAAGCATGGATCTCAATGGCGCAATTCCAGTACCTGGTCCAATGAGCACTGTTGCTGCGGTGAGTTGCTGGACAGAGGAATTGAGGCCACCCGGCTGGAGCTGCACTTGCAAAGTGCTGCCTGGTCGGAGCACTGAGAGATATTTCGTACAAACGCCTTCGCGGATCCGCTTGATCACGGTCTGGTATTTGACAATGGCGATGAGGAGCTCGAATTGTGTTTTGCCGTCTGCTGTTTGCTTGCGCTTGCCGCCGCTGGCGATGCTGAACTGACGGGCACGCATGACGGGAAGTACGGAGATGGCATGCTGCCATGGGATCTTGACTGTGTCGAATTCGTGCAGGATCTCCAGGATACTGCGACGGGGGCGGGTTGTGTAGTCCCATAGTTCGTCTAGGTACTCTGGGTTGGTGAATTCTAGTAAGCGCTCTTTGTGCATTTCATCAGATGTGTAATGTGCAATTGTCGAGAAGAAGGACCTGCGGGGTATTCCTCTGAGATCCAAGTAATCTACCAAGAGGGCGCGTAAGGTGAGGTTGGGATATGAGTCGAGGCTGGGGATGGGTGGAGGAGACGCTGTGTCTCCGGTTGAGACAAGGGAGATGGGTCGATCGGCCTGGTCGTGCCATCCCATCAAGTCGATCAAAACCTGCGCATCGGCTGGAGAGCCTTTTGGTGTAATGGCGATCATGTCTCCAGGGACGTACGAGACCGAATCTGGGACGGTCAATGTCACACGGCGCACATCTTGCCAATGTTTTTTCGGAGTCACCCTTTGGTTTCCTGTCAAGGTTGCTGGCAATGTGTGAGGGATGGGACGAAGATCATGGTCGAGGTTGTGTAGGCCTGGATATTCATCTGAAGGAGCTTCGGGACTGTTTTTGTGTGGCTCTTGGACGGGACCACTGTCTTCTCCTGGCTGCAGTGTCCATTTTGGAGGAAGTTGTTCGTCGTCTGGAATTGGATGTTGTCCGGCAGGGAGCGGGTGTCTGTCGAGTAAGTGCTTTCGGAAATCCGTCATCCATGGTAAAAATGTTCCCTCTAGTCTGCGCACAAAACAGTGTCAGTAAAATCCAATCCTACTGGCGGTGCAGGTAAGATAACTGACCCTTCTGGATGCTGCTGATCAGCTTCACCCGTAGGATAAATTTCATTCGCGCCCAGCTGCAGCAGGCGCTTATAGAGCTTTCTGATCGCCCAATTGAACCTGAGACAGTCAGCCAGAAGATCTCACAAATAGCCAGGCAACACACTTGGGATACGAGCTATCTCCCAGCCCAAAACACGCAAAGTTGACACCGCTCAAGAATGTCGGCGGCAGCTTCTTCAACAAGAGCGACTTCCAGAACAAGCGCGCGTTTGCTGGCAAATCGCCCTGTCCAGTCGTTGACGCGACGAAAAGAGTCAACGTGTAAGATGAAAGTACTTCCTGTGTTCTATCAGGACTGCGCTATGTGTGCACGCACGCGCGTGCTTATGGGATATCGTCATACCGGCTTGCATTGATTCAATTCGGATACATGCGTTGTGAAGCGAAGCCGCTCGGCCAAGGCGCCTAATTCCTCGGCCACTTCCTGGGCATTGCCAGTTTCAGATCCATATAGTACGAGGACTGACTGCTCTAGGCGCCTCGGACTGGCGTCTCCCATCCTGCGAGTTGATGTTGAACTTTTGCTATCGCCCGCACTTGCCCCTCCACCCAAATTATATCTGCTGACGTCATCCCCGAGATCGGCGTTGGAGTATACGGCGGCATTTAGTCTACAGGTGCAGCGGAGAGGGATATACATGTTGATCTTTATATTCATTGCATTGCGGGCAGAAAGGCTGGAATTGAAAGGAAAACTGGGTATCGTGAGTCTGCATTTTACATGTCATCGTCGCCGCCGCCGCCATCTTCATCGCCCATATCATCGTCTCCACCATCGAAGTACTGTTCTGCATTGTAATCACCGCCCATATCATCGTCGTCATCGGAGAAGTCATCGTCCATGGAGTCCTCCGCCTGTTCCTCATCCTCGTCGAGCAACTCGGCTTCCTCCCCGTCTGCCTCGCCCTCCTCCCCCGTCGTCATCATCCCCGCCAGCCTTGCGCTTCGAAGGGCCTGCTTCATCTTCCTCGTCCTCGAAGCCGCGCTTCATACCAGCAGCTGATGTCTGTGCTTGGTAACCATCCAATGAGGCGTCAGGTCGGAAGTTGGGCTGGAGTGTCTGCCATAAGTCGCGGGGGAAGAATTTCAGATCTGTTCATTCCACGTTCCCCGTGTTAATCGCCTGTCGTCATATACCCTTGTACTACCCTCAGCCTCGTGAGCAACTTACAATAGGTCTGTCCGGTGATCTTGGGGAGGGTGCGGCGCTTCCTCTGGTAGCGGCCGGAGTATGTGGGCATGCCGTGGAAAGGATCGAAGTTCGCGCGCGCCGCGCTACCCTTCTTAGCGTTCGAGGAAGAGGCGTCGAGCACGGAGTAGAAGGGGCCATCGTGGAATCTTTCGCGTAGCCCTCGGTAGTAATCCACCTGGGTCTGCTCGGCGGGGCTCAACTTCCGCGCAAAGGGAACGGTGTATTTCTGTTTGTAAGGATAATTAGGCTTTCTGGGTTCCTTTTTTGCCGCGGGCTCTGCAGGATTCTCTGAATTCTCTGGCTTCTCGGGTTCTGCCATGGAGAGGATTGGAGAGAGAGGAGAGAATTGGCTGGTGACCCAGGCCAAGAAGCAAACATACAGGGTACAGAGGGGTAGGAGCTGTGTCGGGCTCACCACCAGGGTCGGCGTCCCAAGTAATTTCCGAGCCAGGGGGCTTCTTTCCCTTTGGTGCCCCGCGACGTGACATCCTTTTTTATATAAGTCAATGCGCTGTGTCAATATGATGTTAGCTGAAGGTGACGATGACTCCGGAAAATTATAATTCTTCACCGCTCACCGGAAACGCACTAGATCTGGCAGAATCTCCCCGCGCTAAGATCAAACGTGCCGATCCCGGAAAAACACTGGGGCATTTGTATAAAACAGACAGAAGCAAAGAAAGGACAAACAAGAATTAGAAAAAAAAAAAGGATAACGAATTTAGCTGGACATCGGGACTAGGATTCGAACCCAGTACTTCGGGAAGGAAACTGACCCAACAGATGGAGAGGATTGGGCCCTTTGGGATTAAGCTGGTGCTAAATCAGGACATGCGACACCTCACCCAGCTGGTATTTATTATGCCAGGGAGCCCTTATTTGGTCTTTTGACTGACACTCCTGACCAGTACTTCCATTTGTATGTATCACTCTTAGCTAGGGATGTACCCTTACTGGCCAACGACCTCGGGCTTAATACAACTAAGCACAATACATCAAGGACCCAGTCGGTAATGTGGAATAAAGAGGTATTGGGTTGCACAAGATACTCTTGTTTGGATAGCGCTCACAGATTCATTGAGTTGATCTCATTCATACATTGGACTCCAAAATTCCTGCTTACCAAAAAAAAAAGAACAGTAGACTTAAAGTCCAGCAGTCAACACTTGAGTGCCGGAACTTTGAACAGGGCCCCATGGACCCTCGTTCACACGCTTTTGCAAGGCGCCAACGATATCATCGAATCCGTCTGGACGTCCATCCGATTCTTGCAGCCGGTTGAGCAACGAGACGAGAACATCATGCTTAGCAGTGGCTACTTTCCAAACAACTCCATGGGCATCAGATGCGCCGCCCCCAACAAAGTCGGCGTATGTCTTGGGAGGTTTGAAAAGATATGGGAGAAGGGTAGTCAAAGCAGGTGGGGTGAGTATTGACCATGCACCCGAAGAAGGCAATAATCCAATATTTGCTGGAGAGACTCGACTCAGCTCCTCCTCGGATGGCAGCTGGAATCGTGACGCGTGGGGGTGAGGGGAGGCTGAGGTCAACGGCTGCCAGTTCGCAGTAGCAATGGCCCGCATCAATGTGTGAGCCGACAAAGCGACGTCTGGCATGACTAGAACCTCGGAAGCGCTGACGACATCGTCCCAAAAATTGGGGTGTTGGTTGAGATATTGAAAGTAAAGAATGCGTGCTGCAGCAGCTTCATGGTCCCAATCAGTTGGTGTCTGGCCAGATGTATTCAGGTCCATTGACTGGGACAAATTGGTTCGCTCTGGTCCGTGGAATATGCGCGCGAGCACATCGAGAACTTGGGCATTTGCAGGATTGGTGGGGATTGCCAGTAGAGGATTGGCGCCGTGTTTGCCTGCTTCTACGAGAAGAGGTCGGGGGAGTGAGGCCAGAATAGCCAGGTCATCCGAAGGGACTCCTTCGCGTGATGAATATTGGAGAGCGGGAATGGCGAGGGATCTGTTGATGCGAGATATAATTCCATCGACTAGCGAATTTGGGCTTCGCAGTAGGTGGTTTGGATAAAGCTCAGCATACCGAGCGACATATGCCACAATTGAACGGGACATATAAATGAGATCCACTGGATCTAGCCGTGACCCATCTAGATAGTCTGTCAACACTTTGGAGTGCACCTTGTGTTCAATCAGGAATTCGAGAGCAGGGGATGCAAAGGTCGAAGTGGACTGCACATGACTTCGAGCGACGAGACCAGGCGCGTCTATCTCCAGCAAGTCACGGTAAAATTGAAGCAGCAAGTTCTGCATCAGGCCATCTTTCTCCTCAACCATCTCATTCGTTGCGAAATGTAGCAGACTGGTGCTTCGGTATTTGGTTTCGATATCCGGAATCTGAGATGTTGAAATGATGTCCCAACGTATCTTTGCGGCCCTCACCAGAAGAACAAATAGCCTTGCCTGAGCTTGGGTACGTTGGTATTTTGATAGGCTAAGGGCTGAATCGGTCTGAAGGCTGCAAATTCTGAAAAACGAGCCATAGACGTCCTTATCGGTAAAGACCCTCCTCCACAAAAGGCCTTGACCTACATGACTTCCTTCCAGAGCATGACCATTGTCTTCATTCTCAAGGTTGGTAGCCGCATCGACCTTCAAAAGTTCCCACAGCGTGTTTGACGCAGCGTCTGCGACTTCTCCTGAGGCGTTCAGCAAAGATGTTTCCACAAGAGCAGCTACTAAAGTCGAGTCTCCGGCGACAATAGCAGCTTCACTGGAGGTCTGTGCAGCTTTAGACAACAGTGAAAGGGCGAGAAGATTGACCGGTGGCGAGGGGGCCTGGAGGCCAGCGAGAAGATTGATAGGCGGCTCAATGGATTGAAGATCAGTGAAGGTGAAGGAGGCAGTTGCCTGGATGGCAAGAGTGGTTATAGGCGTGGGATCCTCTTGTAAGACGGCCAAGAGAGCTGGGATTTGCGATAGTAGGGTGATAGGAACCACTGGATCTGTTGAGTCGGACAGTTGTAGTTTGAGGGTTTCGATAAGAGGGATGTTCAAGGCTGTGGATGGGCTGTCCAGGACTTGAGCCAGATGAGTTTTAACCTCCTCGAAAGTAGAAGGGATCCCCATGACGAGAGAGTGGGATTTGCAGAGAGTGAGCTTTGGGGGAGTAGATATTGAAGGGCGTGGAGAAAGTTGAGAGGGAGGGAGGTAGACGGGAGAGCGAGGGAGGGTGTCGAGAGGGAGACTGTTGAGCTAGAAAGAGAGAGATGTTTCTTGCGAGAAAGTCGTCCACAGTCTTTTCTTCTCTTTCCCCCAAAAAGTCGACAAATTTCACAGAATCAACAGAAGAAGTCCACCTTCTCTGCGGACCGCGGGGAAAGCTCAAAGCACATCGGCCCCACCTGCGATCGCCTGAGGCAGAAGAAGCAAACATGCCAAACATGACCGCATCAATCCGACCAGTCATTGGCCCACGAAGGCCCGTCTACTGGTCGATTGTCTACAATAAGTTTCTCCCTACTCCTTCTCCGCCTCCAGTCATGAATCCTACCCGATCTCTGGTGTCACAGAAGTCATCCGACTCCGGGCTTCACATCCAGCTCCACCCGCTCGTCCTGCTCACCGTCTCCGACCAAATCACTCGACACCTTGCGCGGCAGCACACCGAGCCCGTGCTTGGCGGCCTTCTAGGCCAGCAAAATGGAAGAGAGATAACCCTGGAGCATGCATTCGAATGCCCAGTGACGATCAATGAGCACAATGAAATCATCATGGTCGCATCTTGGTTCGAAGAGCGCTTGCAGCAACGTACGTGGACCTGGACCCCCCCTCACCAGACTAAACAAGAGCTGAACTGATCACTTTACAGTCAAGGATGTGCACAAGAGCCCGGCCCTTGAGCTGGTCGGGTGGTGGGCAATCGCTCCGCCAAGTGGGCCGACAGGCGCCTACCTCCCTCTCCACCAACAGATCCTCCGAGACTACAATGAATCAGCTGTCTTCCTCGGTTTCCACCCACAAGACCAAGCATCGGCCTCGAATGGCGCAAAGCTACCCCTCGGCATTTTCGAGAGTGTCTACGAAGCCGAGACTACCCCCGACGCAAAAGACATGCAGGTTGATGGCGAAGAAGGGAAGCTGAGCATCAAGTTCCGTGAATTACCATACTCAGTGGAGACGGGAGAATCAGAGATGATCGGCATTGACACCATTGTTCAAACGTCTGGCACTGCTTCTCTAAACGCAATCCAAGAACCGACCAAACGCGCACATGCAAAAAAAAGACAAGCAGCGCTCCGAGACCGAGCTCTCTCAGGCGGACGAAGAATGTAAGTCCTCTCTCAAAACATTTGTCATTCTTCAAAGATGCTAACTGGTTTTCTCACAGTGGTTGCAAACCTTACCACCCGCTTGAACGCAGTGCGCACACTCGAGTCCCGCATTTCGCTCATCAAATCATATCTCTCCAGCCTGGCACATGCAGGACTTGGATTACAAGACTCCGAAGATGACAAGCATACCAAGTTGTCCCACCCCATTGTTCGCGATGTGAATTCCCTCCTCTCACACCTATCCATCCTGTCACCAGCGGAGCAAAGCTCTTTTACCACCGAGGTGATCTCCCAAAGCAACGACGTGCAACTGATCTCTTTGCTCGGTCAGCTCGGCGAAAGCGTCAAGAGCATGCGAGAACTCGGCCGCCAAACTGCTATCATACAAGCGAGCAGCAAGGCAGCTAAATCACGTCTGGAATACCGCATTGGTATGCAGATGGGTGGCGAGGACCGCATTCCCGGTTCAATGCCGGGTCCGTACTAATGGGATGAGCTTTGTCCTGTTTTCGCTTCCACGACGATTATGAATTACACTGTCTCAAGCACGCGCTGCCAACGCTTGGGTCTATGCTTCCACTTTTCCTGTTTCATGACTGGAAGATGCTCGTAACGAGATAACGAACTTCGAAATGCAATATTCTAAGGATTCAGATGTTCCCAAACTTCTCAAAGGTGTCTAAATCGTATGTAGACGCTCAGCTGGCGAATCAGAAACAAAAGGGCACATCGTGACCAGCTCTCTAATGTGGTGCTAAAGCGCTACAGTATTCCTTACAAATGTCACGGCTACAGGCTGAAGAGAAAAAAATATCCGCCGAATGAATTTACGAACCTACAAATGGAAGGGCTTTGATATTCGAGGCTTTGTTCAATGGCTGTGCGAAAACGACAAACTCTCTTTGAGAAACATGCACGCCCTTCATTCGACATACGCCCCCGCAAATCGCATCCCGCCCTAACCTCGACTATATAACAATAGCACCTGAGTAAGAAATCCATCCAAGACCCTCTCATCAATCAACCTTAAACAATGGCGACCATACGACCTGCTGTACGTGAAGGTAAGTAGCCAGACCCATCGTCAATAATCATACTCTGAATCAAATATACTCTAGATGTACCTCTTCTACTGAAAATGATGCAAGCAACTGCCTCAGAGCAAAACGTCGCGCAAGCCGTTACAGCAACCGAAGCCGATCTCCTAATTGCGCTTGGCTTTGATCAGCTGCATGCCAATGACGCCGGCAATCCAATTGCTACACATAATGCAAAAGCCTTACTTGTTGAAGCCCCAGAAGGCGAGGTCGCCGGAATGGCTTTCTACTTTACCACGTTTGTTGCGTGGGCTGCGAAGTCCGGGCTCTGCCTTGAGGACCTCTATGTTCTTCCGGAGTATCGTTGCAGAGGATATGCAAGGCTTTTGGTGCAGGGGGTTGCGAAGAAAGCTCAAGAACTTGGTTGCGCGAGGGTTGAATGGCTTTGTTATAAACGGAACGAGCGTGCTTTGAGATTCTACCGTAGTGTCGGTGCGAAGGAGATGGATGCTTTGACGTTTTTGAGGCTTGATGGGGATGCGATGAGTGATTTTGCGAATGAGACTTCCTAGTGTCAATGAATGAGATCCATGGATATCTAGAAGACCACAAAAAGGGTTGCTTGATACACTCACTGTTCGAAAGAAGCGAGGACGGGCAGTGTAAAGGAAATAGTTTTATTCTGAGAATGCAAAAGGCTTATAATCGGCTTGAATTCAAGAAAATGCATGTTGATAGGTTGCTGTGTCAAAGAAGTGGTAATAGTAGTATACAAGAAGTTTAATCCGGCAGTGATGCAAAGCAAGTATGCAAGGGTGAGTAAATGACACCAAGAACAAAATATGCCGATAAGTGAACAGGCGGGTATCCGAATCCACGCAACAAGACATCAATGGAAGAAAACTGAATGCGCAAAAGTCTCAAAGTGCTCGTGGGTAGCGTGAGGTCAGAAAATGTAAAATGATAGCAATGCTTGCAGAGTACTTTCAAAGCGACAAGGCAAAGGCATTTAAAGAGAATCATAGACACAGATCAGGGGTGATGGCTGTCTGGGTACGGGGGCGGAGGTCTGTAGGGATCCGGCATGGGCATGGGCACTTGTTCTCGCAGAGGGCCGTCTGAAGGGTAAGGGTGGACCAGAGGCTCGGAGTGCAAGTTGTCATGGCTGCGAAGCGGGGAATCATCGTAGGAGGAGCTTTGGCCATAGAAACGGGTTTGGGAGTCGTGTACGTTGTCATCAAAGTCGGACGCATACGGAGAGGTGCCAATGAGTGCAATCTCGGGGTTTGGCTGTGGGTGGGCGAGAAGCACTGCGCCCTCTTCGTCCGGGGTATAGCGGCCCGCCCGGCCTCCGGGTACGGCGGTCCCCGCGCCAACATAGGCGGTGCCGTGTTGGGTGAGCTCGCTGCCTTCTTGGGGAGGCTGGAGACCAGTTGTGTCATCTTGAGGCCGGTAGCTGGGGTCCAGCATACGCTGCTTACGACCCACGAATAGCCAGCGAGCACTTCGGCCGATGGCTTTGAAGAGATCGAGTGGGTTCATGGCGTCGATCAGGGCCTTCGCTCCATAGCGTCCGCCCTCGTAGGATATCTTGCCATTTCCGTAGAAATCGGTCACTGCAGATGACTGGCCGTTGAGTCTGTAGGGTCTCCATGCAAAGGCCCACAGATGCAAGATACCAAAGATCGCCATTTCAACATTGATCATCAGCTCTGGAAGACCGGTCTTGAGATCATTGAGTGCGATTTTGTCTGTCGCTTGGATGGCACCTTCGGAGACCAGAAGGTTGATCAAGGTCTAGAGCTTCAAGTCAGAAGACGTCCAATGCGCAAAAGTAGACCAAAACATACCGATTGCCAGAAAGAAAGGAAAATGACAAGCTTGATAGACAGGATCTTCAAAAATGGCTGGTGCTGCTTGATATCTTGACTGGTCTGATGATAGAACTGAATTAAGCAGTACATGGCGATAGTGACGGATACCGATTCAATAACGACAGTCTATCCAGAAGGTATCAGCAAGGCGTTCGGAAACATATGAAACAAGTAGGACCAAGCCAGATCTTACCCAGATATGCGAGAATGCGGGACTAAGGGACTCCTCGCAGTATAGGCCAAATGCCTGAGTGACGACGGCAACGATGGTCATGAGAACGCGCATAACACAGTATTGGAAGACTCCGACCCAAACAATCTATACAGCAATCAGTACGCGAGGACTCCGAATCTGCTCATATCCCTCTCACATTGAACCAGGTCAAGCCGCTGCGCGGGGTGCGCCAAATGCGCTCACCACCGCAACATTTCTGCATCCAGTTCAGCGGCCAAAGCCACTGTTTCGGCTGGATCCCGCGGAAATAATCCTTCTGACTATGCAAATCCGGAGCGATATAGTGACACATGAGGGAGAAGAAGGCGGAGATACAGAAGGCTTCGTAACAGTCACCGAGGACCTCGAAGTAGACGGAATCGTGGTAGAAGAAAATACTGAGCCAGGCGACGAGGGAATAGACGGGTACCATGAACAGAATGCGAATGATACTAGAAGCGATGAACCATGTTAGCGAATGTGTCGCGCGGCGCAGTCGCAGGCGCTCGGTGCCCTGGATTTCTCTCCGAAACTCACTGTCGTTGTTCGATCGGTTTACTGTAATGCGTTGCGTGCTGGACGATCAGCCAGAATGATACGCCGCATGCGATGATTGCGCAAGCGCCGCCCACCAGGAGCGCCAGGAGGTGGAAGGTGATGCCGCCATCCCAAAGATCGACCTCCTCGACTAGTCTCGGGTCAGTCGCGGTCACTCCACATTCTTGGAGGGGACATACTGTTTAGGGTTTCAGTTGTTGAATTGCACACTGGCCAACCCATGTTGGCTGTGAGATGTGAAGGTGAGGAGTCGGTGAGCCTTGGGAGTTTCACTAATTTTCTGTTTATCTTATCCGGATCGACAGGGGAGGGGACGCCACAACAATCGTCGAGCCAAGAACAAAGAAGATAAACGAGTGTGTTGGGCTTATGCAGCCCAGAAGAAAGTGACAGACAGGTTTATTGGACGAGAAATAAAAGAAAATCCCAAGGCTGACGATCCAAAGGCTTGGTCTATTTTTAAGCTTGGCTCACAGCCTTCCATGGCTTGGATGTGGATCAAACGGGTATCGGCCCTTGGCTTTCAGGGACGAAACAATACTACAACAATGCTGACTGGTAGGGCTCAATAGAACAATTCAAAAAATAAAAATAGTTGGCTCTATGCCTTGCATTCAACGTGGCATGAAATTTGAGCATTCACTGCTGGTATTGTACATGGTCAAAGGTCGATTTTCGTCATACTTTAGCGCCAATCTCCACGTCGTCCACCACGACCCCTTCCACGTCCGGCTCCAGGTCGAGAACTAGGTGCCATCTTCTCCGGTCCAATGTCCACGAACTGATCTTCGTTCTCGAATGTAATTCGTCGCATCTCATCGCCGCCACGACGAGGGAATGCGCCCTTTCGGATAAGCTCATCAAACTGGTCCAGGCGCTTGTCGGCAACGGGGCGGGGCACAGGGAGGTAGTATAACTTGGGCTTGGATGTCGTAGATTCAAAGAGTTCATCCAGAGGCTTGAAGCCCTGACCGGGTCTCGGGGCGGGCGCCGGGGGCGGGGGAGAATGACGGCGATTCGTGCGCTCACGATCACTGCGTGGACCGAGAGGGGGAGTGCGGTTGAATCCGGACTCTCTGCGTACGGCAGCGCCAGAGCTTACCTCCGCAAGCGTAGCTGTAGTTCCGTCGTCGGATGTCTCGTATCTCACTTCCCACCGGGTAGCGGGACCAGAACGGGTTTGAGAATCCTCTTCTGTCTGAATCCAATCCTTGACTTTGTCGTCTGGGATGAAATCCGCACGAAGCTGCTTGCGGTTTCGTTCGTTGGGCCACACGGTTCCGTGAAGAGCAGAGCGGACCCGAGAAGCGGCGACCGTACTGGTGAATCGGACGAAACAGTGAGTCTTGATAGAATCGAGGTAGAATTCAATGATGGGGTCGGAGTCAGAGGAAGTTTCGGGGGCAGATGCAAGGGTGGAGAGGTGCTTGCGGAGCGCAGTTGGCTGTAGTGGGCGCATCAAGCCATCGATGTAGAGGGCCGATGTGGCGGCGTGTAGTGCTGGCCCTGCGTCTGCGTCTTGCATAACAATGTCCTGGGAAGGAGAGGGGGGTCTGGGAGGTTCATTGCGGGATGCAAACAACCCGCGGAAACGAGCGTCTTGCTTGCCGGTGGCCTTGGGCGATGGCGCTTGCTGCTCGGCAAGCACATTGTCATTGAGCCTCTCCGATGTGGTATTTTCCGTGGGCTTCTGATCATCGTATCCCTTATCATCTTTCATCAGCACGTGTGGCACTGCTTCCTCCGCGCGAGCCTTCCTGTTGGCGATCTCTTCAAGGGTAGGAGCGGGACTTTGACTTCGGCGCTTCCGTTTGCGTGTATCCTCCAATGCCTCTTCGGTGGGCAGGGGCGTTGACAGCTCGGTATTTACATCGGTGTTTGTACCGGGAGATGGAAGGGCGGATGGTGTTGACTTTTCTTGGGGCTTGACAGAGTCCTCTGTCTTTGTCTTCGGATCTTCAATTTTCGCATCTGCGGGAGAATGGGCAGAAGGGGCCTCCGCAGCCGGAGACTTTTCCTTCTGAGGCGCATTATCCGATGTGGTCGCTTCTCCAATGGGCTTTGTGTCATTCTCGACTCGTTCTGACTCTGCGCTGGTTACCGTGTCGGCGTGTTGCTGGGCTAGGTCCTCTGTTTCGTTCTTCGAGTCAGATGCCGTGTCTGGCACCGGCTCTGGCGCAGAGGGTTCTTCCTTCGGTTCATCGGGCTGCGATTGTTCGGGTTCGGGAACTGGTGCTTGCGAAGTAGCATCTGGGCCAGGTGGCGCTGTTGCGGAAGTCTCTTCCTCTTCGACAGCTGAAGCTGCGGGTTCAGTCTGACCTGTCTGTGAGTCAAGCTCCTCCAGTTTATCAATGAATTGCTGCTTGACGCGGAGACCGGTCTGAGGGACCTCGCGATTTTTGAGCTCTGCCTTCAAGTCGACGACCTTCCAGGCGGAATAATCAACCATTGTGAGAAGCTTTGCGCATCAAATTCTGAATTCTGTGGAGTTAGTAGAAGAAAAGAGAAGAGAGAGAGACGAGAGGAAAGTCAATTGAAATCGATTGCGGCAGAAAAAGTCGCATTGGCAACGAAGGGGACTAAAAACTGGGGACGCGATGCAGCTGCGCGCCGATGATGTAGGGGCTAACCGCATTGGGTCTAGTGTCCCTCAAGCTATCCCGCATCGGTCCAGCCGTCATTTGCTCACTCTATATGACTTCCTATGGACACCAATTACGCACTTCCTACAACCTTAGTAATGAGTGAAATACTTGGATTATCTCATGCCTTCATGTTCTGGAATCAAATCAAATCACGCGAACTATATCACCTTGTCCGGAGCCTGACGTCGTTCAAAGGGCCTTTGAAAGAGACACAACAACGCGCAAACATTCCTTACTCGTCACTTTCAGCTCGAAGTTCTTCGAGGCAACGCTATGCTTTGTACCGTTAACCTTGTATGACTTCACAGCAAACGGCAGTCTGATGGTTCCATGAGTACCCCGGGGCGCGCAAGCTTCAATATCAATTTCATTTGCATCGCTGTTCACTTTCCAGCTTGCAGTGATAGTTCCATGGGGAGTAGGGACTCTTCCCTTTGCCCATGAGACACCGGGGGTAAGTACCCCAGGTTGGAAGTCCCATTCTGCAAAGCCCGGCGCGGTAGATTGAATACCCAAGACGTACTCCGTCAAAGCAAACGTCGGAGCAGCGCCCCAGGGATGCGCATGTGAGGTATAAAATCCCAATCCAGGTCGGCCATCGGGGAATATGTACTCCCAAGATGTACCAGTAGCATATTCGTCATTGGTGATCATTGCAGGCCAGAGCTGAGATAGCAGCGTGGAGATCACAGCACTTGATGATGATGAACGACTAGCGCCTGCGCGAGAATGTTGGAGAACGGCTTCAAGGAGGAACCCGGAAATGAATGGAGAAAGCTCGGCACTGGATTTGGAATTCGAGTTGGTTTTGTAGCCGATGCCATTCTTGAGTGTTGAAAGGGCTGCAATGGCTGACTCGGCCTGGGTGGAATTGGCCACGTTGGCGAGAATTGCCCATGCCGTGCTGGCGATTGAGGTTTGATTGCGAGACGATGTGCTCTCGCTGTATGTTCCAAGCTTGTCGCTCCAGAGCTTTTCGTTGATAGCTGTGCGAACATCCGCGGCAACGGACCTCCAGGACGAAGCGCTGCCAGTCTCTCCAACGTGGTCCGCGACTGTGGCCATTTGATTGAGTGTGTAGACGAACAGAGAAGATGCGGCAGTTCCATTGCCATCCCCCAGGAAGAACGAGCCCGATGCCAGGCCCGAGGAGGTATCAATGAGTGGTATAATGGCCTGAACTCCGACCTTGACTTGAGGCCAGTACTTCTTGAGGAAATCTTTGTTTCCAAAGTTGAGATAGTACCTGGCGAAGGCATTTAAGAATATCATCTGGTAATCTTGGAGGCCAACGGAGTTGTAGATCGAAGTGTACTTGGAGGACTGCCCTAATGCAGGGGACATGGAAAAGTATCCCGCAAATTCCCCAGAGGAGATCTGTCGCTCCATCAGATAGGCGAGGGTGCCATTGATGAAATCTTCTCTGTGTGTGCTTGCAGAGACGACGCGCAAGGTATGGCCAGCGTCTCCAGACCACACTAGCCGGTCGCGTTTAGCCCCATCCAAGCAGACTGAGTGCTTATTTGGCATCACTCCATACTCTTCAAGAATTGATGCATCGGTCATTGGATTCTGGTAGATCACTGTACCATTATGGGCTTGCACTGTGACGTCCTTGACGAGTGCGACTTGGTCTTGATAAGGTCCAAATCCCCAGGTACCGGTAAACCTATCCGCCGAGCCACCCAAGAAATTATAGGTAGGTTGGAGCGCTAAGAATGGGACGTGAGCTACCGAGATATTGTTGATGGAAACATCATAGCCGGTTGGCATGATCTTTGTTGAGACTCGAAGCCACTGTCCCTCTTGCACATTGAATGGAAGCGGGTAGTATGAAGCCGGGCCACCCTCCAAGCTCGTCTGATTGACCAAGTTATATCCGTAAGCCACAGCAAGCTTGTTTGCGGGGACAACAGTGCGGTTGGTGTTGAGGAAGCTCGAGTCTGCATCACTACTTGTGATGACAAAAGAAGGACCGAATCCAAGCATGCCACTCGCAACTCTCCAGCCCGTGCCACCACGAACAATTTTCGTGCTGAAAGACATCGTATAATTGGCATATTCAGGTCCCACTACCGACTGGGCAGACTGTTGGCCCCTGAGAAGAACGCCTTCACCGGTGATCTGCCATGTCGATGGTGCTGCGTCCTTGGCAATACAAGCTTGCTGCACAGTTCGAGGTCCAAGTGCCCAGATGTCGTTATACATGGAATTAGAGCTTTCAAAAGACCCTGGGAGCTCGGAAATAGGAGTTTGGTCGTTTTGGGAGCGAATTCCGACTCCACAAATGCGTACGCTTCCATCTGTGTTAAGAAGTCGTAGAGTCTGCCAGCGCAAGCCTCCCTGAATGAAGTAAGACTGGAACTTTCCGGGCGTGGTGACATTGAATGTCTCCACTCGAAATGTGTTGGACAATCCGTTCGAGAACGTCCAAGGTCCATCACCAGAGGGGCTCTCTAGGCCATTCTTAGCCTCGGTGTATTTGGCTTCAATCTGCACTGGTCCCGACAAGGGATGTACTTGAAACAGTGGAAAACCACCTATCTCATTTCCATAGTCCACAGTGAGAATAGACTGAGACTGCGACAGGGTGAAGCACGAATTCGAGTCATTGTGATCTGAGGTTTGAGACCGAAATGTATACTGTTCCGGATGGACAATGGTACCACTGCTGGTACAGCCACATATCAGTCTGAGCAAAACGAACCCCTGGTCTGTTTTTGATTGGGCGTTACTTACCTTGCACCCGTCGTAGATACGAACCCAATTGAGCAAATAACGAACACCCGGGCGAAGGCATCACGAGAAAACATCATATTGAGAAATTTAACTCGCCTTGATGCGACCAGCTCTGTTCTCCCGCGGCTTGCAGGAAAAGTGATTTGGGTCTGCAGGGCATTTAACGTCATTCTGGGCCCTAGCCTTCAAATTTCCCCACATATTCCGAGCTTGAGGACTCGGCAAACACAACCCCGGAATTCCCGAGCCCTGTTCTGCACGATGTGGAGCGTGTTCTGCGCCCCGTAATATGAGGGGACGTGTCCCATCGACGTGATTTAGCGCCATGGCATGTTCATGGTCATTGTCACTCTCATTTGCAAGTCCCCTTTCGTCTCGCTCAAGTTTCACCCGAATCGGCTTGTGGGGGATTACCTACCCGCCTGGGCATAGAAGACTTCGGATTTTTCTTCTCATCATTTGTAACAGTTCTCGTGTCCGTACATCGTCACTCGGAAAGGAAACATTATGCATGATTCTATGAGTACTCGATCTTGGATCTTCCTAATGGTTTGTTGTTTCTGCTACGGAGTACTCCTGGGGTGCCAAACGCTCTTGATGGCGTGCAGGTAGCCCAGCGGTCAAATACAGTGATTTAACCAAACTCATGTCATAATTCTCTAACATATAGGAGAAGTGCAGCTAGTCCAAGATTCCTTCTGGCAAAAAAGCCACGTAGTCCAGCGGAGCTGGTTCAGTGCCGTCAGGCATACCTACAATCTTCAAACTATCGCCGTGTTTGACTTTCACGCCACGGAATTTGACACGAGTAGCAGAATGTCCATCCAGATAGATTGAAGGCGTGTGGCTGAGGGTTTCCTCACTGTTACCTGTCCACTGGCCGATTTTGCGATCGTTGAGATATACCTTCCACTGAGATTTTCCACCGTACAGATCATAATAATTCACTGCGAGATCGTAGGTCCCCGAAGGGAATTCGATCTTTGTGGAAGCAGTGCCGGCAGTGTTGTTTGACGTTGTGACGATCGCAACGGCACCAGAGGCTGTTTCAAAGGGGTTTACATCGTACGTCTTATAGCCGTCCAGCTTCATGCTTTCGGCTTCGATGCGCCATGGGTGATGACCGACACGTTTGGCATCGTCGGGAATTCCGGACATGTTGAAGTAGAAGTTATTGATGGCATCTCTCCAGACAATTGAATGACCAGCTTGGTAGTCGAGGAAACGTCGGACGTGGTTATATCGCTCAGTATCGATCTTTCCTTCCAGCGATTCCCATTTTTCGAGGAACCCTTGCGCGGTTTCCGCGCCAGTGTAGTGGGAGTCGTAGAAATGTTGAATCACTGTTTTTCCAGAGGTGAGACGATGAGTATAGTTGACATGGTGGAACCATAGAAGAAGTTCCTCGGGTGTGCTCTCGATATTCTCATACATAGCAGCGAGTTCATCTGGATATTGACCAGAGTACCTAGTTCCGTTCGAGACAGTTCGGTCCATCCCGATCGTGGTGTGATCCGCCCGGGTCCATTGGCCCCACCCATTGTTGTCCTGGGATGCCGGGCTAGGGCCGTAATGAGTGTAGATGATATCAGTCAGTGTCTGGATGCCTAGGTTGCCACTGTATTGCTCGTACGCGGGCCAAGAATCCATGGATATGCGAGTCAGTGTATCAAGTACCTTCCGATCGAGTCCAAAAGTCAATCGAATCCAGTCTTGCAATATGTCTTGTGGCTCATCTGCAGGAGTCCAAGCCAGGCGACCGTACGCATACAGGTTTGACATTGACATGTGGCTGCCGAGCCAAGTTGTGTTCGTACCGACGTTAACCACGGCTGCCGATCCACCTAACTTCCGCTTGAAGCGCTTGCCAGCCACAATGTCACTGACAAGAGATGGCTTATGGTCAACCCGGAGATCGAAATCCAGAATCTCTTTCCACAGGGGGGCGACGTAGACCAAATGAGATTGCTGGCCAAGATATTCTTGTGTGACCTGAAGTTCGATGGCCATGCTAGTGTTGTAGAGATTCGCGAACAAGGGTGAGACCGGCTCGCGGACCTGGAAATCGATAGGACCGTATTTGATTTGAATCACCACGTTGTCTTCGAATTCGCCGTCGAGATGCTTGAAAAATTCGACAGCAGCATTTGCACGGTCATCTCTCCAGTTGGTTTCGTTGAGATGGTGGTCATACACAAATGCACGGTACATCACAATCCCTCCATATGGCTGAACTTCTTTGGCGAAAAGATTGGCTGCATCAGACAGGGTTCGATTGTATACTTGGGGGCCGGGTTGCCCTTCGGAATCAGCTTTGACAAGATAGCCAGCCATGTCGGGAACGTGCTTGTAGACCTGAGCCGTGATATTTGACCACCATTGAATGACAGATTCATCGAGTGGATCGAAGGTGCTTAGTCCTCCGAAGGTCTGAGGAGATGCAAAGTTGAGTGACAGACCAACTTGAATGCCATAAGGCCGGAACACATCAGCAACTCGAGCAACCCCATCCAGGTTGGTAGGGCTTAGAATGGTCGCATTCGCATTGACATTGTTGATAACCACGGCGTTGATCTTGACAGATGCTAGAAGACGGGCATATTCAGCCACGCGAGTGAGGTTTTGAACGATTTGGCCGTTCTTGAAGAATATGGAGGGACCACCGTAGCCTCTCTCGATGCTGCCATCCATGTTGTCCCACTGATTGACCCATCGAATCGGTGCCGAAGGATTGGACGCATACGCAACCTCGGAGAAATTGCCCTGAGCAAGCATCGACAAGTACTCGAATGCGCCATATAGAGCACCTCGTTCATTCTGTCCGAGAATCTGCACGTTCTTTCCCTTGGTGCTCAGCCAGAAACCATCTTCCTCGAGCTCGGGTAGGCTGCTCTTAGTACCACAGGCACGGCGATACTGATCAACGGTGCCGACCACGATGGAAGAGGCAGCGTTGCATTTCACATGGCTGATCGGGACATCCCTCTCGTAAATACCTTGGATGCCATTTTGCAGCTCAGTCCCCGCAACAAACACCGGGCTTGCATTGGTCGAATTGAGAGAAACAATAATCGAGGGAAGACTGGATCGGCATTGCTCTGAACATGGCAGTGGGGCATACCTTAGCCAGCCTTTGAGGCCATCTTCAGCAGCTGCAACGCCTAATAAGACAAAGACTCCAAATAACCACATTGTGGGGCAGATTTCCGGGCATATCTCCGAAAACAGGACAGTGTTGGTTCTTTATATTGATTTGACCAAGCGATATCATACCACCAAAAAAGTCCTCGGGGGGCATGCATCTCGGTCTTCAGGCTAAATAAGTTATTAGCAGAGGCATTTTAAATAGGCTATAGTCACAGTCAGAATGGCGAAGAGATGATCATCCTGTTAGGCACTAATTTCCCCGCAAATGCTGCGGAGTCAAGGGGGTTAGACGGGCAAACTCGCTCAGTTCAATAGCCGCTTCGAAGCCGTCATTGACCTATATGCGTGGGCACATTATTCAGTCACAATAACTCAAGTTGCTATCCCAACAATTAGAAACTGAAAGGATACCCTATTCCATCTTTGGATGATTGCACATGTAGGGTTGCTTGTCCAAGGTACGGAGTACCTGAGTATGGCTTCCCGAGGTCTCTAGTTAGCCGCCAATGCTTGGCACGGGTAATCCTCAAGATGAGAACGGGGGCACCGATTTGCGTCTGCAATGCTTTTGGCTATTTGGATAAATAGGCAAACTACAAGGTTTACGACTACCACTTCATTAAGCGAACAACCTTTCGATTGACTCATCCATGACAGATGTGAAGTTGGAAATTTCGTGGATTATCATTATTCGTGGAAGAAGATTTTGTTCAAGAATGGTTCAAGATTTTTATTTTTTTTAACTCGCAACAGAGCGAGACGCTTAAGCGTCACGGCTCAGGATGTCGGAGTCACCGGCATCGAGGATGGCCATGGCGGAGCAGCGGAAGAGCTTACCGCAAGCGGTACCGAGCTCGATCTATAGGGCAAGTTAGTCCAATTCGCTCTCCGGGACGCCATTCAGGTGTTCCCTTCGCTGAGCAACTTCACTCTCCGAAGTGGTAGTTTTGACCACTTCTTCGCTGAGTAGTGGAGCTGACTCCGAGGTGCGGCTGCCAATATTTCAGGCTGCCTACCCGGGGGAAGGGGGATAAAACGTACGTTGTTACCGTTGAAGTGGTGAACGGGGGTCTTGGCGAGCATGGCGTAGTACTCAAGCTCGGACTTGCGCAGGGGAGGGCAGTTTCCGGAGATGAGGACAAGCTTGGCCTTGCCGGAGCGGAGGGTCTTCATGGTGGACTTGGTACCCATGGTGACTGTGAATTGTCAGTAAATTGTGCTTGTGTGCGATTTGAGAATTCGACGTACCCTTTCCAGACTTCATGACAAGCGCAAGGCGCGAGGCGAGAGTGTCACCGGACTTCTTAGTCTTGACCATTTTGAATGATTTGAGGGGTTGGCTCGTAAGAAGATTGATAGGGCGGATGGGGATAGGAAAGAAAACTTCTTGCGATCTGAGAAAATTGAAAAGTGTGGAAACCCACCACGTGACTTTGCCCACTAGCCCTAGTCGCACGTGACGCTGCCACAAAATGGTCCAGTGTCACATGACTCTACCTACCGCCTTGTTCTGCCCGATGACGGTCCGATCATCGCAGTCATTGGCTGCGGGGTGTTGAGTCATGTAAATTTACGGAGCTTAAAGGATATTTCTTTTAACTTCTATCCCTCCTTCTCCAGTCTTGTCCCTTCCTCCAATTTGCATCCTGCATTGTGTTTCTTGTTTAGCTTCAGTCCTTCACCATGACTGGAACTAACAGCGCTTCTACTGCGCCATTGCGTCAGTTATTACCCCTCCTTCTTTTCGGAACCGCTACTAAATCCCGTAGAGCGTGTCGCTTCGCAGCCTGAGAACCCATACGCCCAGCTTATCGAAGATCAATCAATTGCAATTGTTCCTTCCTTCAAGCTCGAGTCCGGTGTCACGCTATCCAATGTCCCAGTCGCATACACTACCCGAGGCACTCTGGCCCCTAACGGAGACAATGTGCTGGTGATCTGCCATGCCCTCAGTGGCAGCGCCGATGTCGCTGACTGGTGGGGTCCCCTCCTCGGCGGTCCGGGTCAGGCATTTGATGTCTCCCGGTTCTTCGTCGTTTGCCTGAACAGTCTTGGTAGCCCTTACGGAAGTGCCAGCGCCGTTACCCACAAGGATAACAACCCTGAAAAGGGCTATTATGGACCTGAGTTCCCCCTAACAACCGTTCGCGATGACGTCAAGTGAGTATTTTCTCCCTCAACACTGAGACCCCTTGACGCCTTTTTCTAACCTTTTCATTAGTATTCACAAGTTGGTCTTGGATGACCTCGGTGTCAAGCAGATTGCCGCAGTGGTCGGAGGTTCCATGGGTGGAGCGCTCACCCTGGAATACGCGTTCTTCGGCAAAGACTATGTGCGCGCCATTGTGCCCATCGCAACTTCAGCGCGTCATTCCGCTTGGTGTATCAGCTGGGGAGAGGCTCAGCGACAGAGCATCTACAGCGACCCGAAATACGACGACGGTTACTATGCATTCGATGACCCTCCCTCTACTGGTCTTGGCGCGGCTCGCATGTCAGCACTTCTCACCTACCGCAGCCGCAACTCCTTCGAGTCTCGCTTTGGTCGTAACGTGCCCGACCCAACCAAGCGCCTGAACATCAATGGCACCGAGAGACAGCCTAGCCCCCCGAACGAGCACTGGGCCATTCATAACGATGGTCACCGCGGTGGATCGCGGTCGGAGAGTCGTCAAGGTTCACCTGCCCCTCAAACCGAATTCATGGATCCTCAGTTCTCTGGCACCAAGACATTCGCGCCTGAGATCGATGAGAAGCCCAAGTTGACCCCATCTGGCCGTCCTCGCCCTCCTACTTATTTCTCGGCGCAGACTTATCTCCGTTACCAGGGCGACAAGTTTGTAAAGAGATTCGATGCCAACTGCTACATCGCCATGACTCGCAAGCTTGACACCCACGATGTATCCCGTCACCGCACCAACCCTGCGACCGCTGAACAGGACACAGTTCTTGAAGCCCTCGGTGGTATTCAACAGCCTGCTCTCGTGCTGGGAATCGAGTCGGACGGTCTGTTCACATTTGCTGAGCAGCAGGAGATCGCCGATGGTATTCCCGACTCCCGCCTGAAGCGCATTGACAGCCCGGAGGGCCACGACGCCTTCCTCCTTCAGTTCGAGCAAGTCAACCGCCACATCCTCGAGTTCTTCCGCGAGGTCCTGCCGGACATCATGGCGAAGCCTGGTGTCGATGGCGCCGAAGCCTTGGCCAGTGTCGCCAAGATCACGAAGAGCAGCACCTTTGGCGAAGCCGAGGTCGAGGACATCACCGCTTGGTAAAGCGGTGATCTCCACACAGTATTTTTAGGCGCAGTATCGTCTGCAGCCGTTCCATGCTCTGGTCTGGGCTCTGGTCCCCGCCCGGGTATCCTTTCAATCATTCTGAAAGAATAATCCCGGTGTTGGGTTCACGCCCGGATGGATGTCATGTCGCACTAGGGGAAGTAGGTTGCTGTTCTTTTTTTCCGTTCCGCCAGTCAGGGAGATGCGCATCCAACTGTCTCTCCCGTCTCTCACTTGGTATAACCCTTGTCTGAGAAGACTGTCAAAGAAGCATCCAACTGCTCTCCATCAGACCCGCCCGTTGGGTCAATTTTTCACCGGGGGGAACCCCCTCCGGGAATGATGGGTCCGTTCAAGGTATAGATAGCCACAGGCTGTCATTGTGGCAATCATGTCACATAAACAAAAATGAAAATATAAAATCAAGGTAGGCCGTGTATATCGGTCAACATCAATGTGTTCCTTGTTCAGCGTAGTCATGGGGTAATATTCCCGAGGTCAGTCACATTCATTTGAGCGTCCGGCTGGTAGATTCCAAGGTTGTCCGATAATATTGAAGACCTCCAGGGCTTTTCAGGGATGCGCTTCTTGTTCAGGCCTTGCAGCCTACAGGGCTTAAGGTGCCCCGTTGTTCAAATCTAGTTAGAGGTCCTGAGGTCATCACCTGGGCATGGAATGCTTGGTATGCAGGAATCTTGGAAATCTATTCATGGATCCTGCTACCCATGTGAGCCATGCAGCCTTACGAGGTGCTCAGCCCTAGAGTCCGGTTTCCATATATATCACATGGACACCTGGGTAGGGCTCTCAACCTTGGAAGTTCCCAGGTTGACCCCACATCGGTCCACTTGGGCATGTGGACGACACTTTGGTATGCTTGGGTGTATCCTGATAACCTTCCAATATTGGATGTATATATTTATTTTGACAGAGTCTCACGGGTTCAGATCCTAAATTTCGAGATATTGTTTGCTCACACCTGTGGACTTGGGTAATCATCCAAAACCTACTTCCAGGGCTACTTTCAACCGGGTCACACCCGTGTACATTTACTCTTGGGTTTCAAGGTTGCCAAAATATATACATAAACCACCTGGGTACTTAAATCCATGCTCAGGTAAATGTCGCCAAAAAAGAGGTACGAATTTACAAGGTTATCAACAATCTTACATCCATGACCATGGATGTCTTCAAGGATCTCACCCTATGAGACGTTGCAAGATTCGTAGTACAATACTGGAGGGCACGCATATACTCACCTGCGCCCGCAGGATTCCAACGTTGAATGATTAGAAGGCACGTGGAATAGTTAAAGTACTTCCAAGGTTCAGGGCTACGATAGCGCCAAAGAAAAAAACAAAGAATAAAAAAATAAACCTCTCAACTTGGAATTGAGAATCACACTTTCTAATTCCGCGCAGCCTCCGGTGGATGACAGGGGGCGCAAGTCGGGCACGATAAGAAGAGACAAACGGCGTCAAATTTCCGAAGTTTGAGTCAAAAATCGAGTCAATTGGTTCCAGAGCCCATAATTAGGTGCGCATGGATCCCATAAAGTAAGCACCTGCAGTGGACGCGAATTGATAGTTTCAAGCCCAGTGACCTCGGAGGTGATTGGAATTGATGAACGTGCATGAATAGTGTCAATTCTGCACCTCCAAGGGTTATGAGTGAATGCTTAGGCTGTAGGTTAAAATGATATTAATTTCCCCCAAATATGTATGGAGTGAGCATGATCGTACTCGTAAGCCCTGGAAGGTATACGGAGTATGAGGAAGTCGGCTAGTTTGTTTCAGCGATAAGACTCGTCCAGATTAATTGTGTGGCGCTAAGGGGCTTGAAGCGACTAGAGTCACAATCTACGTAGTGTTTAGACCCTGAAATGGAACAGAAGAAAAAAAGATGGAACACTACGTAAATTGGAACAAGAATTTGGATGGGCATGTCTCAGCGAAGAGATTTTCAGATCAAAACCCGAAGACCAACAAACCGGGCAGAGTGTCTAAGTGTCTGTTGATCCCGACCGTATTGGGGATTGGTCACTAATTCGGTTTTCAGAGGTGCAGTAGTTCATTGAAAGCGCCGATCTAGCCCTAAATCTGTAAGTTTTGGCCGTTACGCCAGGGCCCAGATCCTCCTTAATCTATAATGACCTTCTATACCCACTTATCTCATACTTAGCTATCTCAGCTATCTTTGAGGCGGTTAGAGGCTGTAACCTGGACGAATAAGCAACTGTCCATTGCTAGAATTATCTTATTTAGATTGACATGTCCCTGACATTCCCCCACACATTCCATCAGTTGTACTGCCAACCCGACACTAAGTCTGACATCAACATACCTCGGGGATTGACTCCGTTGATCGTCAGTTACATCGGAACCAGTCCTTTGCTCGGTGGACTCCCAGGGTATTTGGACCTCGACGACTAAGAATCGAGAAATCAGTGCTGGCCAGTCGCATTGTTTGTCTGGATCTTCCCTCGTGTTCCTTCTTCTCTCCCCTCTCTGCTCTACGCTTGACTGCGTGGATTTTATTGTTTGGATCAATTCACATTGCCTCACACCTTGTGCGACCATCGGCGAATAAATCAAGCTGCTACGTTGGAAAATGGAACACAAGCTATCAGCCAAAGCATCCAAGATGCGCAATCGCTTCACCTTCAGTCGCAGCACCTCACTTCGAACCCGAGCATCGACAGTATCTCGGGAACCAGAAAGCCCTGAAAGTCGACCTCGATCAGCAACAAACCCGGAGTCTCCCACCTACAATCTAATGGAACACAACAATAGCATAAACCCCAGCAAAGGCTACGAATTTACGGACGAGATTGGCTACTTCCGTCCCGCATCACCATTAATTAATCGTCAAGAAATCCACGAAGACGTCGTAGCCGACGTCAAACATGCATGTGCCCTGCTCTCCCACAGCATCGAGCGCGGTATCCCAGCCGGACTGTCTTACCAGAGCACCATACCCAACTGGACAGTACCAAACCTGTCAGGGAAACCCAAATCCAGACCGACAGGAAAACGAAAGCCCGGCAGCCGCAAAGCTGAAAAGCCCACATCACTGGACCATCCTGTGCCTGTCCCACCTATACCCAAACCCATCGAGCATGAGCCCGAAACCACCAAAAAGCACGACTCCGGCGTGGGTATGAACTACGAGTCCCCGAACCAAACAGGAACAGGAAGACCACATGGGAACAGTACCTCAGGCACCGTCTCCTCAGCTCGCTTCTATAACAAACAATCCTCCACAACTTCAGGATCTCCATCAGAACACCGGGCCCGGTCCCGATCCCGAAGCCCTAGTCTGACAGGGAGCATCCAATTAGAGCCACAGCAGCTCTCAATCTCTTCCAGCAATATCCCTTCCCAATACAGTCCCCAAAATTCCCAGTCTGCATCCACAGATCCCACCCTCGACAGTCCCGTCAGCCCCCTCAACGAAGCAGACAAACAACTCCAAGCCCTCGAAACAAAATTAAAATCCAAATCCCAAAATACAAACCAAAACCCAAACCAAAAATCAACCCCCATCTCCCCCTCAGTCCCCAATCTCAGCTCAGCACCCAGAACCTGGCCCAGCGCAGCAAATATCAAAAACCCCCCGACTAAAACCTCCCAAGAAACCAAAGAGAACAAGAAAGCCAAAACATCCAGCCGCTTCTACAGCGGCAGCAACGCCACGACCTCAGCATTTGATTCTCGGGAGTGGCTGACGAAGACATTCTGGGAAGATCGGTACAGCGTATATGGGGAATCGACACTATCGCTTGGAATGAGTGGAACGGCATCGAGGCGTGGATCTGGGACGCCGCGGATGGGGAGTGTTTCTACGACTGAGGAGACGAATTATCCATATGGGACTTGGGCTGCGACGAGGGGGATGTCGTATTCTTCGACTTGTTTGGCGGATGAGTTTAAGCATCAGGAGAATGTTTATTCTTGTGTTGTGCAACCGAGGATGAGTGAGGTGCCGCGGGGACGGAGGGAGAAGGCTTCGTTGTTGTTGAGGAAGTTGGCTGGGTTGAGGATGGGGAGGAGGGAGAGGGAGAGGGAGGTTGAGGTTTGAATTTGGATTTTTGGATTTTTGGATTGGTGGTTATGTTCTTGGATGGGTATAGATAGATGTTTCTTTTCTTTTTCTTTGTATATACCCCATGTTCTCTATTGCATCTTATTTTCATCTGGGTTGGCTTTTTTTCGGGGGAGGGGCAGGCATTACAGGAGCTAGGAGTGGAAGTTTGATTGTCATTAATGAATACCTGAGATTGCACAATACGATTGACTTGAATGTTCAGGATACAAGATGAAAACAACCTTGGAAAGACAAGTAACAAAGTGAGGTAATTATTATGTGGATGCGTAGCTCTATCAACTCAAGACAAACCACCAACACATGAACCAACTGGCCCAGTCCACATATCCCATAAACCTATGTCCAGTTCCGCCCTCGTAAATCTACGAAGCAGAAAAAAATAATACACAAAGGTATATACAAGGCCAGACCCTGTCAAGCCAGACAAAACATTGAAAGCTGGGGGAGTCCTGACTTCTGGAAAAATGAGTCCCCGACCTTCCTCATAGGTGGCCGGAAGTATCATTAGACCAGTCGCCACGACAAGAAGCGGGATGAATAGAGGCAAGATGAATCAAAGGGGGAGGGAAGAGAGAACGATTCCCTAGTACCAGCACCAGCATCAGGATCCGACCCAGCTCGAGCCGGAACCAGGGAACAGGGAACAGGGATCACGGGCGCGAACAGGGGCAGATGGGATATAATAACTCCACATCTATGTGATATGCCTAAGGGAAAAAAAGGAAAACCGGGACAAACCCCCAGATAGCTGTACAAAAAGTGCTAACAACGCTTGAAACTCCAGACCGATATGCGCGAGTCAACTCCGGGGCAAAGAACGAATCAAATAGAAAGTAGAACAAGAGAAATTATTCATGGCTTCTTCTTGACGTGACTATTCCCTGATTCAGAAGGGGGCTCGTCGCCATCGATGATACGCCAGAGACGGCGAGGAGAGAAATTGTTGCCGAACAGGTAAATGCCGACGAACCAGGCTGCCAGGAAATTGGCGAGGTGGTGGAGGAGGTACGCGTACGAGACGCCGTAGATCGCTGAGTAGATGGCGATGGCGAAGAAGATCATCGAGGTGACGTGCTTGAATCTGTGGGGAGATTAGAATGAGATAAGGAGCGAGGTGGAAGTTTACGTACCTGGTTGTGATGCGTGGTATCATTGCACCACTTGTCATGGTCTCGACTAGAATGAGGAATGGCATGATGGATAGAACGTTGTGATGCGATGAGAATGGCATGAACCAATGCACAACGAGATTGTGGGCCCAGACGAGGAGGACAAGCACATTAATAGGCAAAATCCACAGCATCAGGATGAGGATGGAGTGTGCGTAGTTGCCAAAGTTCATATGCGAGGTCGATCTTGTTTCCTTGACATGCCACTGTGCCCTCACGCACGTGGCTAGTTGCACGATGCAGGCCACCATATAGGCGAACTGGTAGGGAATGACGGTAGAAACAAGGACCAGAAGGATCGCAGTGTGAATTATACGACGCCGGGGTGTTGGAGTATTGAAGATCGGAAGATTTCCTCGGTCTTCCCGGCGGATGTAGCCTGACTTGCTATGAGTAGCCCCGTATATCCATGAAAAGATATTCACGAGGACAAGGGCGAGATAGTTGACAAGAACACAGACGCCCACGCTAATGAGCCCAAACACCGGGACAAGGAACCAGAAGAAAGCGTCCTGAGACCCGAGCAATAGATCGTTTTTAGTGAAATCAATGGGAGTCTCGGTCGAGTTCGTCCGCCAGTGAAGTGTTTCGTCAGTCTGAGGCAAGGCCTTGGAAGTAGCCAAGGATGAAGCCAGTAGCGACATGGCCACCAGAAGCAGTGGGAAAGAAGAACGCAACGCCCGGTCAAGACCATCAGTGAATGGGATGAAGTAGCCAGTGTCATCATACACCTGGAACTGCTTGCGAAGAACGAGGGCAACAACAAGCAGCGGGAAGGCAGCGAAAATGGTTCGATAGCGCATCACTAGCTCTCCAAGACTGCTGGCAAGATCGACTTGAAGCGAGATGTCGACCGTCGAGCCGGAGGTTGGGTCAGTCCACAACTGGAAAGATACACCCCCAAGGGCAGCCTGCTCGCTGATCGCCGGTGGCATGAAGGGAGCCATGCCGTGCAAATTTACATTGACTTCATCTACGTTGACGAAGAACTTGGACTCGTGGGGATCAGAGACGGATTGCCGAAGCAATGGAGCGAACAGCTCCTGTTTCTGGGAACCCCGCGTGATCTTCAGGCGATAGTCGAGCAAGCTCGAATGCAAAGCCGGAATCTTCACCTCGGTCAACATCGGGCGATTAGCTGGGAGCCGCATCTTCAGACCGGCACTCAGCAGTCCGCCTAATCCCACCTTGGCACGGATGAGGGAATCCGAGCTGTCCGAAAACTCGGCGACAAGGAATCCCGAAGTCGGCACATTGGCCTTGTCAACGACAGCCACAAATTGATGTTCGGCGAGGCTCTCTAAGTCATATTGAAGGTATGAGAATGGCGCAGTGCGATCGTAAGCATGCTTCGAAGAACGGGTAGAGGCAGGCAAATGGATACTGTCTTCAGTCGCAGTCTTGCAGGCCAAACGAGTCGACCCTACAGTACCACCAGAGAAGTCCAAGTTCAAGGGGAAATTGGTCGAGCGCCCATTGGAGAGTGGGAACACACTGCAGAACAAAACCTCGACGTTGCCGTTCTTGTCCAAGGATTGGTCTGTGAGTAGGGTCAACTTTTTACCTGCCACTCCTGGGGGAGGGATAGGCAAAAGGCGCACGTCTGGACCATGCTGCAAGCCTAGCTCACGCAAGATAAGTCGCTGACCTTGCGCGAGGATGGTGTTCGCATTATCCTCCAGGGTCAAAAGGGTGTTCGCTTCCTTCTGGGGCAATGTCCGCTCGGCCACCGACTCCAAACCAGTCAAATACCACCTTTTGAGCACCCGCATCCGTTCAGCTCGAGGTTTTGTTTGGGTAGGGCGTCTAGCATCCACAATCTCGAACAGAGATTTGATGATTGCCTTGCGGAACTGATCGCACCAGGTGATCGACAGATGGTCCATACCAATCCAAACATCAGGAATAGAGGAGGTGAAGACGGTGAATCCGTGGGTCTCTGGGACGAGAGACGAGATACTCGCATAGTCGGAAGGAACCACGGTGTCTCGCGCACCACCCGCAATCGAGATCAGAGTCACATGCCACAGCGGGTTGTTGTTAGCCCAGGTTTGGGCATATGCGTCGCGCCAATAATCATTGATCTGTTTGTAGGTGTGGACGATATCGGAGTCGAAGGAAACGGGTGGCTTGGCGTGCGGTGCAGACATCGTGATGATGGTGTTGACTGAATTGGCCTGGTAGTTGGCCATGGTCAAAGCAGTCCGGGCCACAATCCCGCCCATAGAGTGACCGATAAGAACGACAGCACTCGGATCTGGTAGCCCAGGGTCTCGGCGTGTGCGTCTGGGGTCATGGTATAATGACAGAATGTATGAGATCGCTTCGTTCACGTATTCGGCCTGGTCCAGCAAAGTCTGCCCGTGGAACGCGGCCATGTCTTCGTTGAAATCGACCATGAAAAAATCCAAGCTCCGTGTGCCGGCCGCATGGCGGCTTTCGTCGTGTCGAACCACATCGTAGTAATGCCGCGAGGCCTCAGCCGCCAGAGACCGTACCTGCCGATAGCTGCCGGCGTTACCGGGGAGGAACAAAACAGGTACGCCGTTCAACTGAAAAACACAAAAGTCAGCAAAAACGAACACAAGGAATCAAACATGCAACCGGGCCGCCTTACCCCAATGTTATCCTGAGTGTAGGGATCCACGCCTTCCTCCCGATAAACAAAGAGGTTATATTTGCTCGCGAAGCGGGTGTGCTCGGTATCGAATTCCAGCATGCGAATGAAAGTCGGACTCATCATTGGTACACCGCACCCATCACCACCAATCTGACGGCCGACAAATGAGCGCACGATGGAGATCAAGACGACGACAGCGACGCATGTCGTCAGTGCGGTCAGAATGGAGCAGGACCAAGGACTGCGCAGGCGAGATTGTCGGGCGCGACGGCCATCGGAGGACGGAGCCTCCATAGGGAGGCGCGGAGAGCCCAATGGCATGGCTTTGGTGTCGTTGGAAGGTTGTGAAGACGGGGTGCGCCACATGCTCGAGTTCCGGGATCGCGGCGTTGCGCTGCCGTCGCGGCGAAGATCGAAGCTGGTGCCGCGGGGAGCTATTTGGGATCGCGAGTTCTCGTCGATGGCATTCGGGCCATCGTCTGTTCGGGAGACCGAGGAATCTTCGTCCTCGACAGGAGAGCCCGATGAGCGTCTGTGCATTGGAGAAGGCGGAGCCGGGACTTCATCCAGCACACGACGAAACCGAGGTTCTTGGCGCAGGGGCTAAAACCTCGCAACAGAACCCTTAACGAGTAAGGAGCGAGGGGAGGAAGGGATATGGTTGAGAATGCGGAAGATCGAGAATGGAAGTTGGAGAAGGAGGTTAAGGCTTGGCAAGAAAAGCGTCCCTCGTTCCCTTCCCCGTCCCTGCAGTCCCTGTATAGTCCCTGAAAGGTCCCTGGTTTTTCCCCTGTTTTTTTTTTTTTGGGGGGGTTTGATGTCAAGTTTAGTCTTTCGATTGACTCTGCGATCCGTTCTATCCACTTTTTCTTGTCTCGCTTTTTTTTCGACGCATTTGGCTGAGGCTTGGCAGATGAAACCTCTTACTACTACTCCGTCAAGATGAACTTGGTGAACTTTACTCTGTAGATTCTCTACACACTGAAAAAGCCATCGGCTTGGCTTAGATATGCTCAGTACAAAATACACACATTTGAGTGGTTGAAACCCCCATATCTCATGAGCTGGGGGCAAATAACAAACTCGACCAACAGATGTTCCTGCAGGACGCGTATGCTGTAAAATCGATATTTATAGCTTTGCCGTGAAATTGTAATACTGGAAACTTAAACTGACAGACAGCTATCACTTCAAGACCAATAGAAATGGCGTGATTGGACCATGTTGATCCGACTTCAATTTCGGAGTATAAAAAGCAATTCAAGGATCTTCCGGTGTTTTGAACAAAACAGCCTTGGAGGTAATAAATAAACTTTTTAATTGTCTGGTGATCTCGGGAGTACTTAAAACAATCCTTTGAATCTCTAGATATTATTGTGAATTGTGATATCAACAAATATAGTTGGATCAATACATGGCGTAGTCGAGATAATCACAACTGGGTATTGTTACTAGATCACACGGAGTATGGAGTACACATATGCCTATTGGCTAGGGACAAAGGTCTTGGACAGGCTGTATTGACGGGATTATCTAGGCAGTCAAAAGTCCTGTATCTATGTGATTTCAATCCCAACTGTATTGAGCGCGTAGAGGTACTTGTGATTTAGGCTAATATCTTATAAGCAATCTCACTGCCTGCTTTCCCCCTCTCTTTACACTCTCCGCAATATGTGAGACCTCGGGACTTACACTTGAATGCAGTAGGTAAGTTTGGTTTGATTCCAATCTTCCTCCTCTCAAAAGAACATGAAGATACACTTCAACCCAAAGACAGGCCTACGTGCCTGGGTGACCGCAATCAATTTCGGACCCTCGTGAAAACAATCTCGATATACCCAAGCGCTATTATATGGCCCCAGCTAACAATTCTCGACTCATCTGCAGCAACCTCTCCTTAAACATTGTCGAGCTCGTGGATGGTAGTAGAATAAACCAGAAATCGCATTTTTCAGGAACTAGCAAGGCATATCTACCACCAATATATCGTTGGTCTACCATGAAAGGCGATATCTCACATGCCCTAACCAACTTCAAATTTCACCAAAGCTATCGTTAGTTGTGGGTATCAGATATCATATTCCGCCATCCATCCCCCTTGCACACCTAAGAAACATGCGAAGCGCGCGCCTTCTCCGCATCATCCCCATATGCCACCTTCGAATCAATACCACGATGAGCAGCGACCTCTTGTAGATCAGCATCATGCTCAGCATCAAAGTTCCGACCCAACCTCTCTGGTCCCGCCAGCGTGATCAAAATAACGTATGCAAACACACAACCCATGAAAATACAAATGACCTTGCCATACTCATACCGGTGCGCAGCCTCCTCAGTCGGAGGCAGCGGGAATCTTTCACCAATGGTGGATTCGATCGTGGAGCTAGCTGAAGATACCAGGTTTCCAAGCTGGTATGCGGTGCCAACGGCAAAGGTACGGATGGAGCCTGGGGACAGCTCCATCAGGTGAATGGGGATCACACCCCATGCACCTTGCACCATGAACTGCTCGAAGTAGGCTGCAGCAATGACGTTCTTGTTTTGGACGAAAGTGTAGGGGTAGAGGAGTGCGCCGCCGACGATGCTAATTACGATGATTGAGAAGCGGCGGCCGAAGATTTGACTTGCCCAGCCGCAGAGTGTGCCACCTGACAAAGCACCTAGATTTGCGACCACCTGTGTAACGGTGACTGCGTTCTTGGAGAAATTGAATTGGTTTTCCAACATTGTTGGGTAGAGATCTTGGGATCCGTGGGACTGGTTTGTATATCAGTATAGTCCCAAATTGCGAGTGAAATGTTTATAGTCAGTTTACATACCATGAAGTTGAACCCGGCCATCAGGAGAACCAAGTAGATGAGAATAAGCCAATGACGCTGAAGTGCGACCTTGCCCTCTGACAAGAACGAGGCTGCGACACCACCGCGCATCTCTTGGCGCGCTTCCTGGCGCCGACGGAACGTTTCGGTCTCGCCTAGGAACAGCCGGAAGATGATAATCAGGACCGGCGGGCAGGCCGCAAACCAGTACAACGGCCGCCAGCCATGTGGAGTTGTGTCCACCAGGGCACGCGCAAAGGCCGTTGCAAGCAGGTATCCAAAAGCATAACCCTGCTGCAAGAGTCCTGAGATGATACCACGTGCTGCGGGAGGACAATCTTCCAACGCTGTGGCAGCCGCATTACCATAGAGACCACCCATGGCGATTCCAAACAAGGCGCGACAGGCCAGGAATTGCTTATAGGTCTGACAGAAACCAGCTCCGAGTTCTAATACGACGAACAGAAGCTGGTTGACGATGAAGGGCCACTTGCGGCCCCATCGATCTGAGGCAATTCCAAAAGTGATGGCGCCTACCGATCGAAGCATCAGTACTAGGGTGATACCCCATGTGATGTCGGTAACGGATTTATCAAAGGCTTTAGCAAGTTGAGATGTTGTCAGAGAGACCGTGAAGAAGTCGAAGGAATCCCACGACCATCCTAGGAAGGCAACCTGGAGTTTGGTTAGCCAAGACATTTGCCGTCAGCCCTATAAGGATCGACATACGGTGAAGTTGAGCCACTGAGTTCGGTTGAGAAGCGTCAGGGCCTTGAAAGGATTTGGCGCAGGGTTCATAGGAGGCACCAGGGAAGTAAAACGCGTGGCGATGTAGCGGCCGATGCTCATATGCTCCTCGACATCGGGCGAGGATGCCACATGTTGAGGCGCTTCGTCCGCCATGGCAGTTTCCAAGGCTCAATAGAATATGCTCGAGGACTGCTTCGGTGTAGGTGTATTTGAGCTCAGCGGGAGGGTAAGAAAGAGTAAGATCTGATGGATCATAAGGGGGCCAGGACAGCTAAATACGGCGGGGGTCCGAATCCGGCACAGAATAAGAAATCATCCGAATGACCCGTCCACCGACGTCTGTGGACGAGACCCCCGCCGACGAACAAGGATGGCTTCCTTTCCATTCGCCGGTCCTCTGTCCGTAGTGTTCCAGTTGCCGATCCCAGCACGCTTTGGGCATAGAGTCTCCCCAGAAAACGTGAGTCCCCGTGGGGTCGCAAATGACCCTTTGAGTTTTTTGGTTCTTTATTTTTCCCAAGACAAAAGTTTGTTTGCAATGCCCTGGTACGGAGTACGGAGTACGATGCGGTGAATCCATGTAAGGAACCCGCCATAATATGAGAGTTAAGACAAAGACGGAAGGCTGGGCGCGACAGCTGAACATTGGTCCGCGCAGACAATTCCAGCCATTTCTGAGCCCTTGCATTTCATATCCCTCACCCATGCAGCTTGCAGTTTTAGCGACTCTCAATACTCCATACTCCGTATCTTGTGGAACATTCAGACTCCAGATCTGCTCCAGACCGTGGGGAATATCCCCGGACCCCACAAAAACCCAAACCCACCACGTCAAGCCTCGGTATGCGAAATATCTCCCTTTGGCTCAGTCAGTAATTGGCCCCCTGAAACGTGGTAAACCCTGACCATGCTATCCATGGATACCACGATGACACGCACCAAAAACCACCTACCACACCTCGGCTGCGCCCATTAAGCTTCATCCCGATACTCGGCGGTCCGGGGTAGAAGCTTGGCGCTTCAATCAAGACTTCCATTTGGCTTTGGTGGCTTAGTGGATTTTCGGACTGTCGCCGACCGTGCAACCAGACCCCGACCGCAAACCCGAAGGCAAGACACGCCGAGCACCTCTCATACGTGGAATCAGTGGGAGCTGATGGTCTCTGCATCGCTAGCAACCAAATGCCCCACAATGCCCCGTAGAGCACCCAGCGCTAAAGCAAAGAACCGAAATTATCTCCGCGGTCCGCGGAGCTAATTCAATGCGTGTGAGATGCAGTTAACTTGCTTGTCCCGCCGCTTGGCGCTCACATTCAACGTATTCCGTAGAAAACGCTGGATTTAAACCTACGACAAGATCCGAAATCCGGCATCGTTCTTGGCGACGGTGCCAATAAATGCCACGCCATTGGCAGAAAAGCTTCTTATGTCTGCCCGAACGCTCGGACGTGCGCGTCATCTGGGCTGAATTTCTGTTTGCTGCGTTGATTTTACTATTGGTCCTCCGTTCAGCCCATATCGCCACTACCGCTGTGAAGTTACCGCTGAACGCTGACGGCCCTTTAGTTTCGGCGTCGAGGACTGGCCGGGATCGGCGTTGGTGGATCTTGGTTTCATTTGCCGGAGGCCTTGGCCTATTGTCGTGCACTGTCCCGATTTCCCCGCGAAGCCTATTTACTCGTGCGGCTGGTTAGTTTCGGGAATTTTGAGGATGCAGGTGGCCGAGAATCTGTTGCTCCTCACGCTTCCAGCGTTTAGGACCAGCAAAGATGTGAGAATGATAATAATCCTCTGTAGACTTTTGGACACCTTGGCCAAGGTGTCTTACAGATAGCAGTGTGAGTGATATCTAGGCAAACCTTGGAATTGGATATACGTGATCTTCACTAAACATTGTAACTTCCCAATCTGTGTGTTGTGTATTCCGCACTTCCGAGGTTTCCGCGGCTACTTTTGTGACCAAAGCATTCTTAATACACATATTTCTACTGAAATCCTAATTCCAAAATGAGTTCGAATTGAAGATAATAATGTCATTAAGAATACATGAACACGTAACACAGACATGATACATCGGGGCTTTGATACCGCTCGACAGCCCCGTGGGGGTTGTTACCAAGTGGATACAGGTCGAGATATCACAAGAAGGGTATACATAACACGAAGCAAAGAGGTGAGAAGGAAACCCGCTAGTCTTTCAAGCCATCAAGCTTCGAGGTCTCGATTTAGTCGCTGTCAGAGCTCGAACTCGAGCTGCTGGAAGAGGAGCCCTTGCGCTTGTGCTTCTTTTCCTTCTTATGCTTCTTGTCTTTCTTGTGCTTCTTGTGTTCCTTACCACTGCAGCGAAGAAGTTAGTCATAAGAACCCCGAGAAATACTCCATGACATATAAGAAAGACTCACAGTTTGTTGGTCGCCATGTTCATACCAACTGCTCCCAGCACAGCACCACCCGCGGTACCGAGCAAACCATGGCTCATCTTGTTACCCATGAAGCCGCCAGCGGCACCACCGAGCAGCGTTGATCCAAGACCCCTATCTCCCTCTTGTCCTGGGGCACCAGGGGGCCCTGCTGATGCTGTGGCGGCGCTCCGCCATAGTATGAAGAGCTCTCGCCGCCTCCCTGGTGTTGCTGTGGGGGATAAGGTGAGTGGCCTCGGTCCTGGGGAGGTTGCCCGTATCCTGGACCGGACTGGTATTGGCCCTGCTGGTACGGGTCATGTCGAGGGGGTTGACCGTATCCGGGACCCTGTTGGCCATAAGGGGGTGCCTGGCCATATTGAGGTTGACCGTAGCCTTGTTGACCCTGCAGATCAGATGTTAGCATCGATCTGTATATTCGATACGAATACGAGACGAGTGTCGGGATTGTGAAGTGACAACTCAACACGAGAAAGACTGACCTCTGGGGGATAGTAGCCCTGCTGGGGTTGAGGAGAGTGGCCCTGAGGAGGGTAGTGGCCTTGGCCCTGCTGATCATAGTAACCGCCGCTGTTACCAGTGTACTGGTTCTGCGGGGGACCTCCGTAATGCGACATGATGAGTGGGTCTGTTGAGTAAGTGCTGTGTATTCTAGGTTGGAGTATGTCTGTTGAGCACAGTTTTAGGAGATTAATAGGGAAAGTGAGATCTGGAGGCTGCGCTGACCATAAATACGGCATCTGCGGGACCCGCGGGGCTGAGCGGGATGAGAGCACCGCCTCATATTTGGCAGTCTTGGATCGACAGCACAGCCCTCCTGTCATTTTAAATTGTGGCTCGGTTCATTCCTCAGCTGTGCAACTGGATATGTCGTCAATGATGACCTGTTTGTGTGAATCGTTTGACTGGTGTTTATCTCCCCTACTCAAGTTGTACGGGCCACCGCTCATGCCCTTCAGAACTTTGGTGTAAGAACCGAAAATAGCTCAAGTCTAGAGCTGTCATGAAAATTGATTTCCATGGGAAAGAAAATATTAAGGTTAACAAACAAGAAACCACTTGGTACCTGGAGGAAATTGGCGATGGAATGAAAGGTAGGGCTTGTCAACATTGCACCATATTGCCACATTTTTAAGTATTGTTTACTAAAAGACTACCTACAAACAGGAACAGAGGTTCATACACCACTCACACTCACACTCACACTCACACTCACACATAGTTGAATGGTTCATCGAAGGCCAATCACCGCCAAGAGTCCCCGCAATCGACTCCCGAGGTCCTGCAAGAAGCCGAAGAGCATTCCCGATTCGGTATAGGATATTTATAGCATTTCCAACGTTTGCTGCAGTTCAAGGTAGCCTTGCGGCTGTGAACTTGCGAGCGATCAGCTCCTGGCTCTATCACGCACGTAATCTGACCAACTGGTCAACCTACCATATCGCTGACTCTATCAAAGGCCACCTTGGTCACTTGTCTGCGTGGCTTTCATGCTCGTCTGCACTGGTTTCAATGAAGTCCTGGAGGTATGAGATTGGATGCTGGTATTGATAAACTAGCGTGAGGATCAGTCTTCACTTGATAGGCCTGTGAGATTTGTTATGGTAATGTACAATTATGTATTATCGTCGCGATCTATGCAACTTGCCTTGAGCTTTTTATGTCTTTTCTTCTCCTTCTCCTTGGGAAGACGCAAAAGGGCTTCTAAATTAACACTACTGTCCAGATCAATCGATAGGGATGGAACCTCCTTTGGTGAATCCCACACGAAGAGCCACTTTTTGGACACGGGGCTCCAGTATGGGCGAGGGATTAAAGAAGAAAGACGTCGCCAATGACGACGCATGAAGCGAGCCGTGATTTTATGTGGCCGCCCATTTGCCCATTCGTCAAAAGTCTCGCCTTTCTCAGGACCTTTTGCGAGAAAATTGAAGAGCGAAGCGTCATGCTCATGCCAGGAGCTAAGCTCTGACTTGCTTGAGCCCAACGCACTTGTGCCTGGGGTTCGCCTTTTGACAGGCTTCCATTGTATGGTCCCCGATATCAATCCATCGAGTTGTTTCACTTCTTGCTCTGGGATTGGCGGCATAAGACGGTGTAAGGTATCATTGTACCATTTCCTGCGAATGTTTCTTCGCCGCACGAGAGCGACTTCTTTCCCCCAAATATTGGTTTTAGGAATTGGCGGGGCGAGGACTTTGACCAAAGGCCTGATACGATTTGCCGTGACCACCGCATTCTGCAGGTGCGCTCGAGCAAGCGTCTCAATAATGACGGGGGGTTTCCACCCGTCCCCATAATCAACCGTTTGGGCGAGATATTCCTTTAAAGAGGCAGTGTCTTTCGGGAGGTGATCGTTCAATAGGTCTGATAGCAGTTCATGACGCCTCTTCCCCGTGCGACCGTATGATTGTAACAGCACTTTGTCGAGGGGCCGTTGAAAACCCTCATTAGCTCGCCGAAGATATGAACAGGTGTGTTTTGCTTCATGTGCCGCATGAGCCATTTGAGGACCAGCCTTCAGACGACGAGCGGAAACAGCACGATATCGCGAGATGACATAGTTGTGCATGTAGGTTCGGGCGACGGGATCAGGTAGGTAGGTGCATTCGCGCAGGGTGGCACGTAGTAATTGACGCCATTGGTTTGGTTGAGAGAAATCACTCATCCAATGTGAATATTGTGATCTGGTCATTGTCAACTTCGCTCCAAAAGGGAAGAAAGAAAAAAAGCGGCCCTAAAACGGAGAAACGCGAAAACCTTGGCGAAATGCGTGTCACGGGAACTCCGACGCGACCTCTTCACTTTACACCCCGCGACTTAATCCTTGAGCCTCGGATCTGACTTAGCTATTTTTGGTTTTTTTCTTTTGGTTCTTCTGATCTGACACATTTTTATCGGGTCAATCTTGGGCCTTGAATGGTATTTGATCTGGCCTGCGGTTTCCCTTCAGAGGGTTAGCCACGCGCCTCCTTGAGCTCGCGTCATTCCAATTGGCATTCGGCATCTGACCCTTGCTACTCACACTATTGGTCTCGTGAATTGTATTGGGAAATACCATGTCATACTCGCAGGGCAGTACAGGGTCCAACGGAATGGCCTACAATATGTTGAATGCTCCGATGAATGCCTCGCAATCCCTCTCGTCCACCCCTCGCGCAACACCGCCTTACCCCAACGGCCTCCCACGAACATCGAGCTTTGGAGGATATGGAGGGTCAAATGACTATGGGTCGGTATCACATCAGGAAGGAAACAAACCACAAATTTATCGAGTGAGTGACCCATCATTTCTATCCCCATAGCATGCCGCTGACCAGTGTCCGACCAGGCCGTTTACTCCGAGATCGCTGTTTATGAGATGGAAGTGAATGGCGTTGCTGTTATGAAACGCAGATCTGACTCTTGGCTCAACGCTACGCAAATCTTGAAAGTGGCCGGTGTTGCTAAAGCCCGACGAACAAAAACGCTCGAGAAAGAAATTGCATCCGGTGAACACGAGAAGGTCCAGGGCGGTTACGGAAAATACCAAGGAACCTGGGTCAATTACCAGCGGGGTGTGGATCTCTGTCGAGAGTACCACGTTGAAGACGCACTTCGGCCGTTGCTGGAGTACGATATTAACCCTGACGGCTCCGGATCTTTCGCCGAAGGAGCCATTGACACACCCACCAAAGAACAAGCCATGGCCGCCCAGCGCAAGCGCCTCTACAACGGCGGGGAGAACAGGAGCTCGTCGCAGCTGCAGCAGGGCACTTTCTTCCAAAACATTTCGCGCACCGCTGCCACCGCCGTGAATGCTCTCAGCAAAGCGCGCTTCGACTCACCTAGCTCCAACAGTCGCCGTCCCAGCATGATCCGCAAACCCTCACAACAAAACAGTAGCCAAGAATCCGGCCACCCCTTTAGCAGCCAGCAGAGCATGTACAGCATGTCCGACAGTGGATTTGGCAGTTTGCAGAACCGACTCCAAACCCACGATGATCATGAAGATCCCGCAGAACCTCCACGCAAGCGCATGCGCTCTACTTCACACCACGGCCCACCCATCGGCCTAAACCGCGAACCCTCTAACCTCTCCATGCACGAGCCGACCCCGACTGAACCTAATGACTCTTTCTACCAAGACATGGACATCCTACCTCCCCCTCTTGACGATGGCTCCAAGCGCGGTGTCGAGTCTTTGGCACCTGCTTCTACCCCCGAACGATTCCAGAAGATGAAATTGATCATGACACTCTTTCTCGATAAGCGGACGAAAGATTTCGCCAACCACCCTGCTCTGGTACAGCTGACAGGGGACGATCTTGAGATCCCTCTGGATGAGTACCGCAACAATGCGCTTCACTGGGCTGCGATGCTTGCACGCATGCCGCTTTTGAATGCGCTGGTAGCTAAAGGTGTGAGCATCTCGCGCGTCAATGGTGCCGGAGAAACAGCTCTTCAGAAGTCTGTCGGCACCCGCAACAATCTTGACTATCGAAGCTTCCCTCGCTTACTGCAGGTCCTTGCTCCAACGATTGATATGGTCGATTACAGTGGACGGACGATTCTGCATCACATCGCCATGATGGCTGCGACTGGTGGCGGTGGTCATGTCTCTGCAAAGCATTATCTGGAGGCTCTTCTCGAATTTATCGTGCGACACGGTGGCATTGTTTCCACTACCAATGGAGACCACGCGACAAACGGCACATCGAATGGTGACGTTATCTCGCTTGGCCGATTCATCTCAGAAATTGTGAATCTGCGCGACGATCAAGGCGACACAGCTCTAAACCTAGCTGGACGCGCACGCTCGGTCCTCGTCCCACAACTATTGGAAGTGGGCGCCGATCCTCACATCCCCAACCACACCGGTCTTCGACCTGCCGATTACGGTGTTGGCGTTGATATGGTTGACGGGAACTCCCAATCCCAGCAAACTGTCAACCGCAACGACACTTTTATTGATCAGCTTGCGAAGACGAAGAAGGAGATTCTCGAGGGTAAGCTCCTTTTTGACTTAACGTTTCTTGTCAAGCTAACATAGAATGCAGCGGCAATGTCTCAAATCAGCGCAATGGTTGAAGAAACATTAGGCGGAATCGACAGAGAGTTGGCGTCAACGTTGACACAGAAGCAGGAAAGCTTTGACCATTGGCATACCAAGATCCGGGAGTCTGCTAAGGCCCGACAGATCGAGCAGAAACAATATGATGACCTCAGACGGAAAGGATCTGAGCGAGTGGAGCTTGATCGGCGTATCAAGAATCTAGAGCGATCTTCCGAGGGCTTGTTGGCTATAGTGAAGAACACGCCAGGACTCGACGCGACTCAAACAGTCGTAGTGGGTGATGCCGATCGAGATTCTGGCGTGGACGTCCCTACATTCGAAACCCTGTTCCCCGAGAATTTCGACCCAGCAGCCGGATTCTCAGAACAGCAAACTGCCTTCCTGGCTACGCTACCAGCAACAGACGAACTCACCCGACAGGCCCAATGCTACAAGGAATTCAACGCAGGGATCCTTGCCGAAGTGGATGGCTTGAAAGCTAAGAACGCAGTTCTCGGCCAGAACTACCGTCGCATGGTGATGGCATGCACGGGCTGGACCGCTGAGAAAGTTGACGAAGCTGCCGAGGGCCTGACACAGTGCGTGAAGGAGCTGAATGATAACCCCGTTCCTGAAGATGAGGCTATTGAGATCTTGATGCGTGATCGTGGGCAGGATTGGTAGTCTGGTTTTGTCTTGTTCTCTGAGCGTTTGGCGGCTTGTTCGGTTGGCGTTGCTCTTGTTTGAATCTTGTACCATACAAATACCCAGGTGGCTTTTCACTTCATGTCCGTTGGTGCATGTCTTGTCATTTATGCGAAGAATACAATTCTTGTACACCCGAGCGTTTTAACTTCCCTCGTATCAACCGTAGGATTTTGTGGTTGGAACTGGAACACAGATCTAAGATTTGAAGTATCGTATCTCAGTTCCATGAGTACCATATCAGCATGAAGCCCCTGGGCATCTGGCGGTTTAAAGCAATTTGGTAACCTTTACTCAAGCTCATGGATAATACTGAATTGTTCATATCCTCCCAGGCGTTTTGCCATTCAATAAAGGAACCCGGATCTTTTTGCCACAAACCCTAGAGTACCGAAGGAAGCAGTGACCCCAGTAAAAACAATCAGGCCGCCAAAAATTGTTCCATATCCCATGCCCGACGGGTTGCCAGCCCATGGCCATTTCGAGTCGATCAAAGCCGAGCTAATGGGTCCACAAGCTATAGAGCCAAGCCCCCGGGAAGCTGTGAAAAGACCCAATACCAATCCCACTGGGGCCGTATCGTCCGCTTTTCTGACTGCCAGAACAATGCCGGGCCAGGTAGCACTAGAACTACCAGCGAAGACGCCGTACAAAAGAGCAAACACACATAGCGGCGGCAGTGAAATTGATAAACCCCATATCACAAAGACCCCAAGTAGAGTGCAGATAGTACTTATAAAGATCACATTCTCAACGCGCCAACGGTCGATGAAATGACCAATGAGTATAAATCCGATTATCGTCCCGGCGTTCAAAGAAGTCAAAGGAGCTGTAGAGCCGAAGCTGCTTCCATTGGCAACTACTCGTGAATAAGTTGGCAGGTAGAGGGAAGGCGCAAAATAACCAAGACTTTGAAGGAAGCTTCCAAGCTGGAAGATAATAAATGGTCGTGAACGGAGGAACTTGAAGCCGAGCTGTTGAGGTCTTGGTGCTTGAGCGGCACCAACTCGAATTCGTGGTTTGACAAAAGGTAGAAACGGGCACACGAGAAGTATCATGCCCACACACCAGGCCCACATGGTGACCTTGAAAGAAAACCGTGAGAGTGCCCAGCGTATCAGGAATGGGAAGATTGTGCCAGCCACACCACTTCCAGCCTTTCAATAATATGTCAGTGAAATCACTTCTCAATAGCGGACACTGGGAAGGTCATACCCAGCATACTCCATATGCAAAACCTTTCTTTTGAACAAACCATTCATCAATAAAGATTAGAACGGGGTAGTATAGCATGCATGCTCCGATGGGATATATGATGCCCTGAGTGACGATAAGTTGCCAAACTTGTGTAGCGAAAGATGATGATAAGAGCCCGACAACGGAAATAGTCAGTCCAGCTAAGTTGCTCATCCGACATAGGTGCGGCCATCGTTGAAGAATGAACAGGCTGATAGGCGATGCAAGATAAAGCACACCCTGGTTAGTCGTCAGCGTTGTGGATCTCTGAGAGCATAGTTTCCAAGGTTTACAGACCATGCAACATGACCCTACAACAGATACGCCGGAGGTGTTGTGAGAAAATGGCTCAGTTGACGTATAGTAGTCTTGTAAGACACCGAATGAAAAGGGGAAACCTATGGTTGTCAGCTAAGATCAAAACCACTGGAGCACAACATACCCCAAACCGCCATTTCTAGAACAAAGGAACCGAGTAAACATAGCCAGGCAGCTTTGCCATGGTCAACCGGGGGCAAAGAGAAGTCCTGGGCCCCAATAAATGCCTCGTTGGGAAGCTCATTCTGCTGAGTGTTTGTGCTGGGAAAACTCAACAGCTCTACACCAGATGATGTAACAATAGGTTGATTAGATTTAGCCGATTGAGAACAAGAACCCAATGTCTCGCCTGGATTGGAATGATCAATTTGCATTGTGATGTAACGAAGTTGAGATGGATTCAACGCAAAAAAACGCGGGGCTTTATGAACATAATGGCGGACTTTTCGAATGAAAAGGTCAGATCTGGGCCCTTTTCTCACTCGTTACAGGCGTTTATGCAGTGTCTTGGCATTGATTGTCCATTCAGCTGTGGAGGATGACCTCGGGAGCGCTGTGCCAAGTGCCAAATAACATCAAGAGTGGTTAAGGAACCCGCCAGATGTAAGTATAGCGGGGCCGATTACTCTGAGTAGTCTCCTAGTCCCTCGGGTTAGTTAGGGCAAGTCGTCGTTATTGGGTCGACGAGTGGGTCCCGATGTACAGGGAAAGGACACCGACACTTTGCAGTGTTTATGAGTGGCTCGTCGTTGGACACCCAGATCTTGAGTTCCAGATATCATCTTTAAGAGAAACCAAGAGCCAGAAAATGGTAACTCGAGCAAGGTAATTTACTATTGACCATGGAAGGTCGGTTTACTCGGCGATGTTGGAAGCGGCGATAGCGGCAGAGGTGAAACCAAAAATCCGGTGGAAGGAAAGCAGAAACCCCGGGAAATGAAAGAGTGCTTGGTATATTGTGGACTTTATGCATGTGGAATGTGATAAAATAATACAGAACGAAGTTTGCAGCTCCAACGGCGAGGTCGGGAGTCTACCTTGGTAGGGAAGTGCCCTCTAGACATGGTCAACGCCGCCTCCAACTCAGAAAGACCAAGTGAGTTCCCAGGAATTTTTTAATTGTCTTCCCTCTTTATTTCTTCTCCAAAACGCAATCTAACAGACCTCTGGCTGAAAGACAACCAAACACGCAAGCTTGCTTACGCCCATTACAAAGAGATCTTCGTGGACATTCGTTCCCTCCTACACCCAGAATCACTTGATTCCCCGCAGAAAGACAACCCCTATATTCCCTTTTGACCGAAGACGACCCTGACAGAGATTCAACTCTGAAGGATTCAAGGATCTTGACGTGCCAGTGGCATTGAGCCATGAGCTCCTTCCCCGAAGAGTGAGTTCCGAGTGAACAAGCGTTACCCTGAAACGTATTTAGGAGCCTGACATACTTTATTGAAAGGTCCAGCTCATCGGAATCTTCCAGGATATCCTCTTTCTCTCTGCAAGAGATGTCAGAGGATGTCGGCCCACACGAAAATCAGATGGAATCGCACAGAGCCACAAAAATTCTTTCCAATCAAGTCCATCGTCTACCACAACTGAAGAAATACTTGCAGGGGGTTTCAAACACTCGTTCAAGCCCCTATATCTACAAGATCGCGCTCATCGTACACTGGAATGGCACTGTGGGAGTAATTAAACACATGTACACAATGCAACGCGTGATGGAGGAATTCGACATTCACTGCGAGCACCATACTCTGTGTGACACTCGAGATGGAGTGCCGGAGTCGAATCTCTTACGTCGAATTGACGAAATTATCAAAGATTGTCAGGACAGAGATGGAAAGTGTCTCGTCGTTTTCTGCTACCTTGGTCATGCAGAGAAAGAGGGCCATCTCAGTCTCACCAGTGATTTATGGGATCAAAAGTTTTTCTGGCCAAGTATCAGAATGGACCTGTTATGTGAGGAGACTCATATGGACAAAATCGATACGTTGGCCATACTTGATTGCTACTACGACGAGTTAGCCTGGATCACCAGGAGCCCACGGAAAGTGCTTGTCATCGCCGCTGGTGGCAATGATAAGAACAGACATACCGAGGAGTCCCACCACCCATCGTTCCCAGAGCGGTTGTACCGAGTGGTACAGAAATTCAAGGGAAAAGGAAGCATCACAACCATAGACCTTTACCACGAGCTCGTACATGATGCTGTTGGAGAGGAGCCAAATAACCATGTTTGCTCCGATACAGTTCCGAGACCCGTGATGATGCAGCACGAGGGCACTAAACCTATAAAACTCGTGTTCAAGGATCTTCACCGGAGTCTGCGATCTACCCCAGAAGAGGGAATCGTTGTCAAGTTGACACTGAAAGGGGATTCCCAGGCAATGAGGCTTCTTAGAGATGCCGTTCGTGAAATTCCAGACAAACTGGACGTGGAAATTACCCATGCTTTTCATACCGGTTAGTACTCCGACGTGCCCCGGGGCATAGGACATGCAAGGTGGGAAATGAGATACTCTCAACACCGCGTGGCATGAAATCTCGCTTTGCAAAGATGGAATCGGATACAAAGAGCACCGGGTCTACCTACTTGAATCATATCTGATGGCCGCGGGGAAAGTGATGATGAGGCTTAGTTGTATCACTAGTGAGTGGGCTTACATTGTGCCAGGGCTAATGAAAGGTTGACATGTAGACCTTGAATGGGTTTATATTTGGTAACCGCCCAGGCGGCTCTCGAGGATGTTAATAAGGCTGGGTCTATGAGGGCGACAAGAGCACTCGTCTATGTGCTGCCCAAAGAATGATCAAAGAAAGCACATGACCTGACATATGTGCCCTTTTCCACACGCCGTCAGGTGACACAACGCCTTCCTGCGTTTAAGGCTGAATATGTCGAATTTAACCGACAGCAATTGACTTCACAGCCTGAAGCCATTTGCATCACCCGCCAAGATATGCATTTAGCCCATTCCCCGCGTTTACTGGTTTTGTTGGCAATGCTGAAATGACGTGGTACAAATAAACCACCTAGTCCCCACAGGAGCCATCACTGTTCTACCAACACCTGTCTCCAAGTAACCGAGAAGCACTGCTAGAGCTCTATTGGAATTATGACTACCGGCTTCCTGCGCGTCAAAGGGGCAACCATCGTCGACGGCGATGAGAATGACATCGTCATGCGAGGAGCTGCCCTCGGGGGATGGATGAAGTACGCTGATACCCAGTAAGAACTGTACAATGGAGAGAAAAACTAACATGGCTTTGTGATATTAGCATGGAGAATTTTATCACCGGTTTCCCAGGACATGAAGCTCAACACCGTGCTGCCATGCGTCGAGTTCTTGGGCCAGAGAAATACGAGTTCTTCTTCGACAGGTGGCTGGAGTACTTTTTTACCGAGGCAGATGCTAAATTCTTCGCGGAGCTTGGTTTGAACTGCCTGCGACTGCCATTTAATTACCGGCACTTTGAAGACGATATGAATCCCAGAGTTCTGAAGGCCTCTGGCTTCAAACATTTGGACCGGGTTATCGACTTGGTAAGTCAAAGAAATGCGCTAGAAGTTAGGGCAGCAGAGCTCTCAACTGACAACACGATTTTCAGTGTGCAGCACAGGGCATATATACTATCCTCGACATGCATGCAGTTCCCGGTGGCCAGAATCCAGACTGGCACTCCGACAACCCTACCGGGTACGCAGCATTTTGGGATTACAAAGATCACCAGGATAGAACGGTTTGGCTCTGGGAGCAGATCGCGATGAGATACAAAAATAATCCCTGGGTTGCTGGGTACAATCCTCTCAATGAGCCGTGCGATCCAGAACATGTGCGGCTGCCTGCTTTCTATACCCGCATCGAAAAGGCGATTCGTGCGATAGATTCCAACCATATACTATGGCTGGACGGAAATACGTTTGCGATGGAATGGAAGGGATTTGACACGGTGCTGCCGAATTGCGTATATGCCATGCACGACTACTCGGTGAGTTTTGCTTTGAATTCCAACGTGATCGTTTGGCTCACCATCCTTAGTCAATGGGCTTTCCAACCGGAGATCGATATAAAGGCACGGCAGATCAGAGGGAACGCTTGGAGCGTGGATACTTGCGCAAAGCACAGTTCATGAGTGAAAACAAGACACCAGTCTGGAACGGAGAATTTGGGCCGGTCTATGCAGACAAAATACTCGATGTTGATGCCGCCACCGTGAACCAGGAGCGGTACAATCTCCTCGGCGAGCAACTACGCATCTACGACAAGTACCATATCAGCTGGTCAATCTGGCTCTACAAAGACATCGGCCTACAGGGTATGGTCTATACAAATCCCGAAAGCAGATGGAACAGAACCCTGAAGCCGTTCCTTGAGAAAAAGAAGGACTTGTGGCTGGACAAGTGGGGCCATCGACCTGCGGCTGATCCTGAAGCTGCACTCAGGCCTTTGGTCGATTGGATTGATAGTGTGAGCCCAACTGCAAAAGACACCTATCCGACTTCTTGGAACACAGAGATGCATGTCATGCGAAATGTTTTCAACACCTTCCTAGCGGCATCGTTCGTGGATGAGTTTGCTAATTTATTCCGGGGCGCCAGCGAGGAAGATCTAGATGAACTTGCCAGAAGCTTCCACTTTGAATCTTGTCTACAACGTGAAGGGTTGAACGAGATTCTCAAGAATCATGCAAGTGTCCTTGGTTAAAGTGGTGGGAAAATTTTGAATTTATTAATCGTCCCGTAATGATCTCATTCGAATAGTCCAATTATTTGCCCTTCAAGAAGTCCTGATAGAAAAAACTATTGCGACTCCAAACCAGTGAGTGGAATTAGAAGGGGATTCTGTTGAGCTCGGTATTGACATTCAGTATGTCGAGAAACGCGGTTAGCTCGGCATAAACTGAATCATCGTCAATCGCGGTACTCACAAGCTCGGCACACGCAGTCAACACGGTAAACGCATCACTTGGAGCACAGGACTGCAAAAGTCGCCAGAAGATAATTATCAAATCGCTGACATCCCGATGGGGTCTTCTACAACGTAGCACACACCGTTGTAAATACTGCTATACCATCGATCCGTGGATGAGATATCAAAAAAAAGAAACCTTGGAAGTAGTGACCGTATTCGGATTGAAAATTGCTGAGCTAAGATCATCATATGTGACATCTAATGCAGAGAACTATGACACTTGTTGATCATGCCGAGTGCTCTATTCTCTCACTTTGCGCCTCCTCCATAACTTCCACATAGCAATCAGCGAATGCCTTATCCCCAAATGCGACCGCAATTTCCTCCAGGGAATGATGCGCTGTCTCCACGTAGTAGAAATGAACAAGTATTGCGGAAGAAAGACAGAATCCCGCAATCACAATATAGAAATAGCCGTGAATACCAGCGAAGGCATCGGGGGACACCATTCCAATGATGAAATTGAACACCCAGTTGCTGAACGTGGCCAAAGCCATACCTTTGCTGCGACCACGGAGTGGGAAGATTTCTGCAGGTAGCAGCCATGGCATGGGTCCCCAGGTAAAGCCATAGAGGATGTTATACAGCATAACAAACGCGTACTGACCGTTTGCTTTGACTTGGATGTCGATGTCGATTTCTGTGAACACGCAGACAATGGCTAGAAGGACTGCCATACCGAGGCCTGTTGAAATAATTTAGTTTGTCAGTTCTTGGAATGTCCAAAGTATTCCCTTTTCCAAAGATGCTGGGACTGACCTCCAAGAATGAGTAAAGGTTTACGTCCCCATCTATCGGCCAACCACCATGTAACAATAGTCGCAGCCGTATAGGGAAGGGCGTTTGCAGCTGTGTATAATAGAGACTTCCGATTGTCGTATCCGGCGGAGGACAGCGTACTCGGAAGGTAGAAGGAGATGATGTTGATACCGTTGATCTGTGCAAACATCTGCACAGTGATTCCAACAATCGTTCGCTTTCGATAGCGGGTGAACATTTCCTGCCAAACTGTTAGAAAGGTCCCAAAATATACCAAAAATATGCTGACTGAGCATCTGGGACAAGAGTCATCTTACCATCCAGCTGGACTTTCCAAGATTGCTCTCATAAATAACCGCCTCGTGGATTTCGAGGAATGTTCGTTGAACGTGATCCGCTTGTGTATCTCCGTTTGAATGTAGGTCTGCGATCGTCTGCAAACTTTCATCCACAAATCCGTTGATCGCCAACCATCGAGGGGTCTCTGGTAGGAAGAAAGACATGGCCAGCAAGACAAAAGAGAGAACGATCTGGATTATGAACGGTCCCTGCCATGAGAGATTCTTGGGGAGAAGGAAGTTGAACCCATAGTCCACCCAGCACGAAAGCATATATCCGGCAATCAAAAAGGTATACTCAATTCCAACCATCAATCCGCGACGGTGGGCCGACGCGATCTCGGTTTGGATAATAGGCACAGTCATGGAAAGGAAGCCGACTCCCACACCCTGGATAGTACGACCCACAATGAATGTGGCAAAGCCAGGTGCAAACATCTGAATGAAAGAGGAGAAGAAGTATATGAAAGCACCAAAACGGACGCATTTCTTTCTGCCAACCATGTCTCCGAGCCTTCCAGCGACGAGAGCTCCGACTGCGGCTGCTGCTTGTAGACATGAGACGGATATACCCGTTATCGAAGGATCGACTCCACTCGTGGAGCCGTCGGCACCTCCATAATTCTTGAAGAAGCGAGCGACAAAGACCTCGTTGACCAGCAAGCCGGACATGATACCTATCGGGTTAGCTACTAGTCTTGTCATCCGCCCGATCGACACTTACCAGAGTTGAAACCGAAGAGGGCATCACCTAAACTGCCAAAAGCACAGGTCGCGTACAGCAAGAGCGCGCCTTTGAAAGGGTATCTAGCTGAAATCTTCTTCGGCTTGATTTTCTTCTCTAGCCAGCTCTGCTGCTCCCCGGACTGTGCAGCCACGGCGAGGGACCGCTCGCGAATTGAGGCATATGGTGTTGCCTCGGTGGATTTAGTGACACTCATAGCGTCGGTGGAAAGCTCATGTACGAGCACAGCTTGTCTCAAAGATAATTGTTCAAGAATGTCTCCTCAGACACCTAAAAGACGTCGGGATTAGGGGTTTATTTCTACCCCAGATCCTGTCCCGTGGGGAAGCGACATTTTCTCCAGGATGTCGGGGAAAAAGACCGTGAGTGGTGTCACGTAATGGGGAAAACCATATCGGGATATGTCCGAATCCCTGGATTTCACATGTCCCGGGGCTGTCATTGGAGGACGGGAGGAAGCTAACGGTTTCAATCCCTAGGTAACCCGACGCCGAGCCGTGAGAATGGACGGTGTTGATCGAATATTTTGCCGGCCATCGTATAGCGCCAGCCCGTTCCTGTTTAGTTTACCCGTGGGCTCTGCCGATTGGTTGCGCTGTGTGGGGTTCAACACGGTTCCGGGACTGTGGGGACTTGATCTCGGTTCCGGTGGCGAATATCACGGTTCCGGGCAGCTAGAAATGTTGACCATCAGCAATCGGATCCGGATTGCGAGGTTTAACGGGAGATCATAGAGTTTGCGTACGGGGAAATGAGCCTGGAAGCTCTCCTGATGTGGTCAGTATCTTCTGCCCATCATCTGTACCATGGTTCTTTGTAGGTCTGCTCGAAATGCTCTATGGATATGTGTCGACGAATGGCTCCCGGAACCGCTGAACATGTTGGATATCCCGGTGAGAACTATGACATTTGCTGTACCCCACGCTCATCGGATGAAGCTCAGAAGGCCCCATTGACCGGGAACCCATGATTGTGACGAATGTGACTGGCTCAATTCGCCTGTGCATGTTAAATATAAAACAAATACAATGTCCCACAAGATTTTAGCAAAACCACACACTCAAACATGACTGTCACAAAGAGCTCACAGGTTAGTATTCATCTGATCCCAAGTCAAAGATATGATCGTATGGTGAATGGCCTCGCTGACAATGAGACCTCCAAGGCCCCTAACGAGGCATTCGTATTGCACCCAGGCGGCACATTCTCCTACGAGGAGCGCAGCAAACCCACAATCCAGACTTCTCGGGATGTCGTAGTCCAAATTATGGCCACGGGCCTCTGTGGCTCAGATGTGAGTCAATGAACCCTCGCAGCGCCTGCCTGTTCATCCATTTCACCCGATAAATCGTGGCTAATGCCTGTTATTGATAGGTACACTACTGGCAACATGGCCGGATAGGTCGATACGTCGTCGAAGACCCAATCATCCTCGGTCACGAATCGACCGGAATTGTGATCGAGAGCGGAAGCGATGTAAAGGGCCTTGCAGTCGGAGACCGTGTCGCTCTGGAGCCAGGTATTGCCTGCAACACCTGCAAGCACTGCAGAGACGGCCGGTACAACCTCTGTCAAGATATGCGCTTTGCCGCAACGCCCCCATACGACGGAACACTTGCCAGATATTACCGCGTCCCTGCGGAATGTTGCTTCAAGCTCCCATCACACATCTCCCTCCGAGACGGCACTCTGATCGAGCCTCTCAGCGTGGCCGTGCACAGCTCTCGACTGGCAGGCAATATGCAAGAGAAATCAGTCATTGTATTCGGAGCTGGACCTGTTGGCTTACTCTGTTGTGCCGTCGCGCGCGCATTCGGTGCATCGAAGGTGGTTGCAGTGGATGTCGTGCCGGCACGATTGAGCTCTGCGGTCAAGTATGGTGCCACACACACATATCAAATGACAAGCGAGACTCCGGAGAAGAATTCAGAAGATCTGCTGGCTGCTACCGGGATAGTCGGTGGTGCTGATATTGCTTTGGACGCGACTGGCGCAGAACCATGCTTGAACTGCGGCATCCTCGCCCTCACGCAAGGCGGGACATTTGTGCAAGTTGGGCTGGGAAAACCAAACCCTTCTCTTCCAGTTGGTCAGATTTGCGACAAAGAGCTCGTCTTCAAGGGAAGCTTCCGGTATGGACCTGGTGACTTCCAATTAGCCATTGCGTTACTGGACTCGCGACGGGTGAAGCTTGATGATCTTGTCACCCACGAGTACCCTTTCACTCAAGCAGAGGAGGCTTTCAAAAATGTGGCTGGACGGGGTGGAATCAAGAGTGTCATATATGGACCGGGTGTGGATGAGGAAGCTGGGAATGTAGCATCATCATAAATATGAATTATTCCAGCTTGCAGAAACACCTCGCCGGTGAATCCGTTTTTCTGGCCTTGAAAACAAGCAAGAACTAGATTTTAGTCCTGCGTGGGGTCAGGCTTAATTTGATATATAGATGTAGTAGGTGAGTATCAAACAGGGGTACATCCATAGCTTAGAGTATTACATACAAACAGAAGCACTGGTCAGAAGTGTCAGTTAAATGACCAAATAAGGGCTCCCAGACATAACAAATACCAGCTGGGTGAGGTGTCGCTTGTCCTGATTTTGCGCCAGCTTAATCCCAAAGGGCCCAATCCTCTCCATCTGTTGGGTCAGTTTCCTTCCCGAAGTACTGGGTTCGAATCCTAGTCCCGATGTCCAGCTGAATTTGTTATCTTTTTGGTTGCTTTCTGTGTTCTCTATTTGTTTGTTGATATACTGCGACCAAGGGTCCACGGGGGTGCCGATGCATGACATATCACCGGAATTGTCCACGGGTAGATAGTTCGGCCCTCGCCAAATCAGGAGACAACAATCCCAACAAGACAAAATATCTCTAAATAGGTAGAGAGACACTATTTCTTCAGAAAAGATTTTTTCACCTGCCAGGGCTATACTATAGCCATAGAGGCGAAGGAAACCTCCAGTCAAGTACAAGCTTGGCAGTTTATTCGACCCACTCCAACTCTAGACCACTGTATCATTACTACCTGGTATATTTATGTATCTTTTCCAGATTTCATCATGAGCCCAGTTTCCTTCAGTCGATATCGGTTCTCACAAATGTGCCATATAATATAACCATTAACAAAGTCCCTCCAAAGCTTCCCAGCAATACCTTTTTCTGTCAATCCAGTATTGACAACATTCATTGTCTCAGCTACTTCCCCGCAAATTTGCTTCAGAATATCATGACCGCTGCAACATGAGGTACGTGCTCTGTTCATGATATTTGTGTTCGTCTCGGTTCCAACCACCGACTCCTTATAGAACGACAGTATATCATTGATGTCGTCAATAATTTCCAGCATACATGCGATAAAAGGAATATAGGTCGGCAAATGGCCACTTTCTTCAGCAAGGTGCTCAGGAAATATAAAATGTGCGTAAACTTCCCCAGCTCCGGTTTTATCACGCACAAATTTGGACGCTCTTTGACCAAATTTTGCTGGAAGATTCAGACCTGCAGCGAGGTTTGATTCGACTGTGTTTCCTAACATGAAATCGACCAAGCCTTTGGTAATGACCCCCGAGGAATATGGACCATAGAATTTTCCGGTTTCGGTAGCGACGAGCTTCAACCACAAAGTGACGACAGAATCATCGCACTTTAAAGTATGGAACCCATTGTAAGCACCAGATGAAACTCTCTGAAGATCAGGGAGAATACTCTCAAGGTCTTGCTCTGCTGTATCGTCCAAGTAAAGAAGAAAAGTGGTGAAGAGCGCAATATATCGCTTCAGCTGGTGACTAGCATTAGGATACCATTTGTCCGCGGCGCTGGTACATGCTGGTAAGAGCCCCCAAATGCGGGTCAGTTGGTCTTCTTGGAGATTCTGGGAAATGATCCATTCTTTAAGCTCCGAGTAAAGCTTTGTATTGAATGATCGAACTGGCTGTTGAAGGTCGAACCCAACATTCCGTAACCAAGTTTGAAGGATTTCCCCTATCTGAGTTTGAATGACTGTCATGTTTCTTTGAATATTCCCCCTGAATAGCAAAAAGTCTTGGAGAGTTTAACAGTAACGAAAACCGCGCTTCAAACTTGAAAAAGTTTGAATCTGTGGATTAGACCGAGAATTAATTTAGAAAGGGGGTGGTACGCAGTCTTATCAACCTTGTTGAATACTTCCAAGGTTACCAATAATGTCTACAAGTTTGGAACACCGACAGTTATGTTACACTGTGTTATCTTGAAAAGGCATATTGACATATCCGAGTTATACACGGCAGCCACACCTCCATTCGCCCACAGGCTTAAAGATCTCAAAAATGTTGCTCAGATGTTACACCACATTGTCTTCACAATGTATACTTATTTTGCCTACTAGGTTCCAAACTCCCAAGTGTTAACAAAAATGTCAGATCAAATCGGAAAATAAGTTTCTTGTTGTCATGGAGACTTCTCACCACATATACCTACCTCTCGATCTCGATCTTACCGTCACCCAATGTACCTTAGTATGGTACACACAGTGAAAACTCTAAGGGAATTGAATAATTGCCGAGTAGTGGATTAAAGAATTCTGTCGGAGTGGCGGCTGCCTGGTTTGTTAGGCTCGTTGCAGGTAGATAGCGCAGATCGAGCTCTCTCTCTCTCTCTCTCTCTCTCCCCCCCTCCCCCTCCTCTCCTCTTTCCACAATAAAATACTCTATCGTACATATCTGCTCCCCTCGATACAAGCTCCGGCAAGAAAAATGATACTACCATATTATTTTGACCCATATGTTTTGACTCCCTTGGACCATTCAACTGCGCCAGTTCATTTTTCGTTCTTCGTTAGCTTTCTTTGCCAAGATCCTGCCTCAGGATTGTCCGTAATGGTAAAGGGTGTCGAACGCTTAACTACATTGCTTCCATTTTTATCTGGCAACCTCGTCCAATCCACCCAGCAAAAAGGCATCAAAAATGTCTTCGAGGTACAACCGCCAGAATCATCGTATTTGAGCCAGCTACCCATACTCAAGATTAAGCACCATCCGTATTATGTTTCGCAAAGCAATGCGAATTTCAACATCCCTGCTTTACGTTCTGATGATCTCTTCACTTCTCATTATATGCCTCTCTCATTTTGTACACCTATCCACGGGCCACAGCCAATTTTACGACTGCAAGCAAATGTCATGACAGATGGGATTGTGCTCTGCCTATCTTTCCATCACTTTGCCGTTGATGGCATTGGACTATCATCCATAATGCAGGCACTTTCTGCGTGCTGCCGCAATCCCGACCAAACGCCTGAAAGACTACTGACCTCTCCTGAATGCGAGGCGCAAGTACGGACAAAGATATTTGAGAGTACAATTGAAGAGCACCTGTCAATTTATAAGGGCTATGGGCCCTACACTTGGAAGGCCGCACCAAGCTCTGATCTTGGGGCCCCGATCAGCCGCCGCTTTTGCCTCGATACTGAAAAGATCAGGAGCTTTCAAGATGCATGCAATGCAACCGTCGTTGCAAGTGATGACCAGGCATCTGTAAGCTTTTCTCGCTCTGAACAAGGTTCTGGCTGGCAGGGTTTTTCCAATAATGAAGTTGTGACTGCTTTGATCTGGCTATGCGGAATGCGTGCACGTTCTCGGGCGACATCCAAAAACCCTGATAAGTCTTTTCCGGATGATCGCCACTCTTCTCTCTCGTTTCTGGTTGATGTTCGGGGAATCCTTGACATTCCAAGTGCATATATGGGCAATGCAGTTGTAAACCCCACAACCACGTACCATTTCCAAGATGAAGAGCTACATGATACCAATATTTACGTCGATGCAAATACTAGTGGATTCAACTCAGACGACATTACTCTTCTAACCAGCCTCGCTCTATCAGTCCAAACAACGGTCCGGTCTGTGAGCCGAAATTACGTCCAGAATGTCATCTCGCAAATCATGGCGAGTGACGATTGGAACCTTCCAGCCAAGCCCGGTGACTTGTCAGTCAGCAGTCTTCGTCGCGCGCGGGTGTATGAGATGGATTTTGGCCCATGCTTGGGTACACCTTGTGACTTCGATGTGCCGGATAACAGAACGGATGGACTTGGCTGGATCATGCCTCCACGTTCTGAGTCTAGTGACCGGCTCATGGGCTACCAGAGTAGGGGATTCTGGGAGGTTCGAATGGCACTCGACCCGGTTGAAATGGAATCATTGAGAAACGACATGCTTTGGAGGGAGATTACTTTGGAGGAACCCAGGTGCTGTAAATTTGATTGATCAACTGAATATGAGCTCTCTTCTGCCTTCGCGTATCTGGTGTGAGTTCGGGAGGGACAAAGAGATTCTTGATGTGTCGTCCTTGTTATGCGTCTCCATTTATTGTTAGTGACATTACTATATTCAAATGGTACTCATGTGTTGAGTCTGTTTCCAGCGAATGGCGTAAATTTTATAATTGTCTTTCGGTTTGGTTCCATGTCATGTCCCACAGCCAATATAGCCCCCCTTCGGTGTTGTCCTGGTAAACCTCTTCTCCCAAGGGACGAGTGAAGCTAGACATAGTCCAGTCGTCGGTTGATTGCCATGGAATCTCATTCTGTATTCCTGGCCTATTTTCATGATATGAGTTCTCCCGACTATCCGAGGGAATGCTAGCACCGAATTCTGTTGGGCCCAAAGCTAAATGTAAGTTTTGAATTAGCATAATCTTCGCGTTAGACAGTAGTTGCGGATTTATTCTTACCATGCTGAACAGATGTCAAACTATCATTGAGTCGGTCAGCCCTGCTCAGATCTGGAAGTCTTTCATTCATAGAGAGATGGCTGCGAGGATCCAAAGCGGCATCTAGTGGCATTCTCAGTGTATCCTCCACTGAGAATGAATTTGGATCTGCCACGGTGTGAAGAGGTATGTGGCTCACTGCTTGGGCATTCGCAGTGATGGGTGCGAGCATGGCAGCCGATTCCCGACGAAGAAGCATCACGACAACATTCTTCAGAACAGCAGTACTCTGTTTTGACAGAGCTGACCGTCTGCCGAGCAAGTCCTGCAGACGAAGTATCCGAGTGATAGTTCGCTTGACCTCCTGAGCGGTATCAGATAAGGGCTCGGAAAGAGCCATGACAGCCAGCACTATTGCAGCGTTGAACAGGTTTATGGCCAGGAAGGCGACGAGGTGGCTATCAGTCGCAAGCTGTGCAAGAGCGGGTAGTTCAGTAATCCTCGATGTCCGTGTCGCTGCTTTCATCCATAACTCGGAGCTAGTGGTTTGACTGCCAAGAGCTGAAGGTTCTGTTTGCACATTCGGCTGGGTCACTGAGGGGGAGGTGGTTGAAGGGTGCATCGGTGTATCCATTTCGCGCTCATTTGGTGATCGCTTGTTTGCGATATAGAGATGATCGACCTGTTTCGCTAACAAGGGGCGATGTAGCACAATGAGAACGTTGTCATAGGTGAGTTGTAAGGAGAGTGATTGTAAAGCATATGCCCTTGAACTTGATGCGCTATTAGGATCAAAATCTTGATCAAGATCCAATATCAAATGACTTGGTAAGCAAGATCTCCACCTTTGGAGATGTTCTGTGATTTTTCCAACAAGGGCAAAATAAGTAGGTCCATTGAGATGTTCAGAAGTCCTCAGAGTCCGTGAGCCAAAGACGGTCTTCAGAGCTGGCGAAGCAATCAAGTAAAGCTGGTTCAGCTCCCGTTGATAAGTTGAATAGCATATGCTGTTGGTTTGTCCTGTGGGCGGGTGAACAAATTTCGGGTTCTCGAGCACGTCTGATGGCATGTTGAGATTGCAATCCTTGTCGTTGATGCCCAAGGGCCGACCGTATGTGATTGATGCAAACCTATCCCATGTGTAAACCGTCCACCAAACTCTTTTCCTTTCTTCGATATCATCAAAACTTCCTCGTGACAGTCCTCGGTGTAGGCCCAAAGATTGTGACATTTTGATAGTCGCGCCTAATAAGGAGAATGAAAGGTTCGGCCGACCATGGTAAACGTGATGGGATCCCAAAAGAATGCAGGTCTGGACGGCTGTCACTGAGGGGGTATCCATCAGCTCCACCAGGTTTGATTCAACAAGCTTCAACAAGTCGCCTCCTAGCATGTTGAAATCTTGGGCTTTTTCAGTTAGATCGCCGCCAGTCTTCTGCGACCTATACCATGAGGCCATTGCAAGTATCATCGAAAGCAGGATGAGAAATGGTCGTTGTGAGGGAGTCGCACAACCATCATTGATGGAAAGGAGGCCGTTTCGAAATTTTGGCTCGTATACCACAAGAGAAAACCAATGCACGGCATCGAAATAATCTTCCAACAGACTGAATACGACATCCATGGGAGGAAAATTGCAGCCTATAATCAGGGATATGGGAATTCGTTGGCCATTCCTCGTCGGGCTTGCACGGAAGTCCTCAGCCGTAGTCTGAAAACCGGGAATAGCGGAGGTAGTCTGTTCGTCGATTGGGTGATCGCCAAGTCCACATATTCTTTGAGCAATACCAATGGCCGATTCTGCTTCGCCGCAATTCAATGATGGTTGTGCATCATGCTCATTGGGGGAAGCTCTGTACTCTCACTTCTGGCGTGCTCAATTGCTGGCCCCGGGTCACGCGAATCTGCATCCCGGCCCGGGACGACCACATCTTGGAATTCTCTATGAGAATGCACAGGAGAGATCTGCAGTCGGTATTGACTCAACCTAGGGTTTCTGGGACCCAGGCGTCTATTGCCACTTGTGAGTATTGAATAATCGACATTCCAAAGTGTGAGGTTGTCAAGGCTTACTTCGGCGCATTCCCTTTTCGTGACCTAACAGGTGTCGTAAGCGGCGAACAATCTACATTCGCTCGGACACAGACGGAGCAAGGTCGAACGGGATCGCACTATTACTCATTCAGCATGCGCTTGGATGTGTAGAAATGTGGAGGCAAAGGGTGTTTTACCCGCGATTTGTGGCGCCGGCATCTTTCGCAGGCACTTCTCACTCTGGTTGGTAACGGAGACCGGACATATGTTTCATCAAGGTTCCCATCCATGACATACAAAGAGCAGCAGTGGTTGCAGAAGCGGGTCTTCTAGCCCTCCAGTCGCCGGAGCAAGTGGATTTCCGAAATGGGGGCCTGAGGCCAAATTTGTGGTGCCTAAGGCTAAAGAGATTAGTCACCCACCAAATATCAGGTTCCAACGCTGACATGTTCGGCTTCGGTACGGAATAGTGCCGAGGCTGTTATTTTCTGCTTTGCCTTTCGGAAATCTTACCAGCTTCTTTTGAAAATTTCCGATACGTTAGCGAGGTGAGCAGAATCAAACCGGATAAACACATTTGTGTTGGCACAGATGTTTGCCTTGTTTGCCAGGCTCCATGCAGGCTAGATAGACGTAGGTGAGAGCTTCCCTCTCTCTCCCTTCTTCTTCTCTTCTCGTCTCCTACGATACATACATTGATGCTACGAATTGCCCATGAGCTTTGCTCGATAACCTGTATCCCGGCGTTCCTCTTGGACTTTGGTCGTAGTCTTTCTATCAGAACAGACGGCGGACACGGTCAGGTTTTATCTCTCCTGCAGTTTATTTCTATTCCAGTTGTTGGAAACTTGGCATTTTTTGGAGGTGGGAGCCCTGGAGTAAGCTGTCGGTGACTCGGAAATTTTGACCTTCCTGCAGGATTCATGTATCGCTGCTCAGTGTCGAAAATGGGACCTGTGGGTAATATGTCAAGGTTTCTACGTAAACCCCGGGAGGTTAACGGAGCTTGGTCTCGGGAATCAGCATCCACATTAGGCGCCGGCTAAGAACCATAGTCTACATTTCATCTCACAATCCAGATGTCTTTGATCAATAGTCTCATTTCTCTCTCGTACTCAACTCCATCAAAGTTCCCTTGATAAATTTGGTGAAGATGTCCAAATTACTTGAAGATGACGAGCCCAAAAGCGCCTCCTGTGACTATGATCAACCTCCCCAATACAATTCTTGCCAGCAAAGACCAGATTTGCTCACCTCCGTCGTCGAGAACGAGATGGCCTATCGCGAAAATACACGAAATTTGACAGAATGGAACAAACATTTGATTGATTGGTCCAATAATGCGCAACAAATGAAGCGTGGTGATGCTCATCGTCACAATAAGAGAAAGTCGCCTGACCCGGACTTAGCAGAATCTGAGCTACGTGAAATGGCTGGTATATTGAGAAAAGTAGAGCAGTCGCTTCAAGAGCGCGCCGATCTCTTGAAGGAGCGATCTAATGAAAACTCTGGGCTTTACACCGCTATGTCAAGTCTCTCCCCAGACGAGTTTGAACGGACATATGCTTCAGTGAAGCGAGACGGGTTTCAACAGGCCAGAACCGGGGTGTTCTCTAACATTGCTTCTATGGAGCGACGCAAAGGCCTCTGGGCAAAGTTGTGGAGCCTCTGTGCTCGCCCTGGACGGAAAAGAGCAGACCTTGAGGTGGATTGGGACGGTATAGGATTGCTGAATTTTATCTCGCGTTGTGGTAGGTTGAATAATCGGTTGGAATGTTTTTGCTCTGTTTATGGGCTTTGTTGCTGTGCATGCTTTGAAATTGAATGATTATCTATCTTCGAATATTTGTTTGATCCATGAGAAGCCACCTGTAGGGACAAAAAAACTGAAAGTTCGGATTACGAGCAAAGGTAAGTCCATACCAAGTGGTCATCATTTCCTTATTGGATACCTAATTCAATTGTGATTATTCAGGCAGAGATTGGTTTCAGGGGCGCGAGATCAAGTCTCTAGATTACAAGGGTGGGAAGACAAAAGTCACAAAACTCCCGAGGTCATACTCAACATCAGTTCATACCTGGGCAGCTCACGATCACATCATTGTGCCATAGCAAATGATGGATTCTATATCTGCGAGGCACCCTCTAAAGTTATCGGGCTCTGCAAATACAGCCCTGGAGTCTCTCTACAGGCTTGTATGTTTCCTCAAGTATTACATTCTGTTATCTGACGAAGTTGACTCTCTTCAAAATGTTGCTCAATACGTCAACACTTTCTCCACCTTGAATTCTTTCCCCTCGCCTTCTGGTAATCTCAGCTCTCGCCTCAAGATCTTCGAGTGAGCAAAGTCTGATTCGATCAAGGTTGGAAATAGAACTTCCGATGCTCACTGCCCTCGGAAGAACGATTTGCCTTTTCGAGTGTGAATAAATCACTAATATCAAAACTCCAACAGCATGAATCAGGCTTCGACTTCTCTGAAATCCATCAAAGTATGCCATTTCGATTTCCAACCAGGCGGCTTCTATGTTGACCAATCACTCTACGGGCGCCTGATCTGGTTTCTCCTTTTTGGCGACGTGTCCCTCGTCAAGAGCTCGATGTTTAGCGGGAGCGCTATTTGCATTCTCTTTCGCTCGAGCATAACAGTCTTTGATCTCGGACTTGGCCCAAATAGCGCGAAAGCTGCGGAATCTTCCAAACCTAATGTTGTATTCTCTTTCGACATCCGATTGCGAGGCTCCATTGTCAAGAAGATCTTCGACAAATGCCCTGCCTTCATCATTCTCTTCTTTGTTGTATGCTATCTTCTTAGGTCCCTGTCGAGCGGTTGTTTTGGGTCTTTCTTCGGGGGAGGAAGAGCGGCTCGCAGCGTCATTGACGTAGTCTTCTCTGTACTTCGACTCTCCACGTTGCTTCTGCTCGGGTCGCTCGCGGGGTCTTTTTGCACCAGAGGGTTCGTGAACGGTTTGATTCCTTTTCTTTTGGATCTTTCTTGGTGGTCTTTTGATCTGGGAGCTTTGTTGTAACTCAGGTTGCGAAAGAGTGTGCTTTAGCTCTTTTTTGACTGCATTGATGTCACCATGCGATGTTTGGTATGAGGCTTTGGGCGCTGAGGCTTCCCCTTGGGTCTGAGAACAACTCAAGATGTTGGAGTCAATTATGGGGTGGCTTGTGATATCACAGTCATCAGAAATTGTGCGGGCGCTGTGATGAACGAGATCATTATTACACTGAGTCAGGACTCCCAGCACTGTCTGCTGATTAGTTCTCATTTCTTTGTACAGATATATCCCAGAAGCCGGACCTCAGGTTACGCTTTTTGGCCTGTTGCATTGGCTCCAAAAGGCATTCCTTCAGGGCGTATTGTGTGCGCTGCTCTCGTTCTGCCTCTGGGTGATCCGGGGGGTGTAAGAGCCGCCCAGAGACCCCACACATGAGCTCCTTGAATTCTTCACGGGTGAGCTGAATTTTGATATCTTTGCAAGTGCAGTAGTAGAGTCCATTATCTTGACGCTTGAAGTGTTGAGGCGTGAGACGTTCCCGCAGGACATCCATCCACGTGAGGGAGGGATGATTGTTAGGATCACAAAGACTCGGGCCTCCTCAGACATGGTGAAGCTATGATAGATGGAATTCAAGAGGGCCTGCGTTTCGAATTCGGACGGTTTCGAGAGTCTCGTGTGGCAAGGGAGCTGTGTACAGAATTTAGAGACTGTGAGTGATGTTGGGCTGATAGGTTATTGAAGAGGAGTGGGAGAGGTCAGAAAGATGAGAAAACAACAATGGGAGTATGGGCCAAGTGGTGCATCAGCAGGATGCCATAGGCAGCTGTCTGATCCACTCACTTCAACTCATTTGCACGCACTCTCCGAATCCCACACCTGCTAGGAATAACAAGCAGAAGCTCAATCGTTATAAACCCCTCTACATCACGCCTAATATAACCATTCAAATGTGCATAAGAATGGAACTTTTTGGTACTCGCTAGCATATTGGCGGTTCTATTTACTGGCCCTAATACGTCGATCGCGTGCCACGACAGGGCACATGAATATCAGCATAGCGATATAGATTGAGGCCACAGATTTCGTGCCATTAAGAATATTTTGAGCTCGGACCGAAGGATACTACCTGTTTTGGTCTGAGTTAATGTGACACCAAGCCTGCTTCAATTTTGACTTCCATTGTTTTCCCGTCATATAATCTACAGCTTTGTGACTTTGAAAGAGCGGAATGGAAAGACATCATTAATCACCATCTCCAGAATCACAAACTGTGACGTGCCTTGGTTGAATTTGGGCTAGCAGCGAAACAGGCGACCAGTTGTAGATGATGCCTTCTGCTTTTTTTCTGGTCATATCGGAAAGAGCCAGCTCTTGCTCGGTGATAAATAGAGACAGGCTCTCTGGGTATGCTCTCTTGATACCATGAAGAATTTCCTGGATGGCCATCAAGTAAGTGTTCGTACACAGCTGCATGAGGTGAGGTTCAAAGCAGCATGAGTCCGCATCGTGAACGGTGAAGCCGTCTTGGTGCAGGCGGTTAGGTAGATCAGATACCCAGCTACAACATCCTAGCTGTTAAACTATATTTTCCAGGACTATCCTCCAATTTCTCTTACATATAATCTATCCCAGCTCTTTCAAATATATGATTCATGCGTTGCTCGAACGCTAACCCCGTGGCGCCTTGAACACGCTGATGGACTAAGTTGGCATCTTCCCATTGCAAGTAACCTCCAGGCTCTGTGAGTAGATTTCCAAGGTTGTCAGCGTGGTAATGCAACCAAATGAACCAGGGGGAAAAAAAAAACACAAAAAGGGGGAGAAAAACATACTGAGCAGATTCTTAACATGGTTGACTAACGACGATGTGTCGCTTTCGCGCAAATTGCTTGCCCACATTCGCAGATGCACAACATCATACTGCCCAGAAAATGCTTCAGGTGGCTCAGAAAGGAAATTTAGTAAGCACAAGGTCACATTCTGGGGCCATAGCTCTTTCAGTGGAAATTGGTCACCGGATATGTCAAATCCGTGAAGCTGAACGGAAGAGGGCACTTGTCTCGCTAGATCTAATATCCAAATCCTCGTTCAATCAGATTTATTTCATTTCACATCAATGAGAAAGTCTGCCACCTACGCCGTTCCCGTTCCAAGATCGGCGATTTTCATGTCTTTGGTTATCGGTATAGCAGGGTGCAATTCATACCCTTTGTGGAGTTTCCACAACAGGTGTTGTGCGTCTAAGCTAGGACGAGTCAATACTGTAGACCTTTTTTCTTAAAGACGGCCAAGGCTCATTGACCTTCAGGTGATTACTGACCGAATAGATCCGGATATATCTCGGCCAAGAACGTACTCAGCTCCATGTGCCATATTCTTCCGAGGCTGTTGCTTTTAGTTGATAGAGATCAAATTTTTCTTCGGCTCTCAGTAAATAAAAATTTACTATAACAGCGTACCTTCCAGCTTTTAGGATCGCTTGGTGGCACAGGTCCAAATGCCAGGTAGTAGGAAAGCAGAAATGTGAGATGAAAAGAAAAAGGGCGGAAGCATGATAAGATGGGCAGGTAGTTGACTCTTCTACCGACCATGCTCTGCTTTGCGTAACCTCCGAGGCATCCTGAATCTCTTGTCTTAGCCAGGGTCCGCACACTAATTTATCACACTCTTGCTGAGTTAGGTCTTGCATGGCTGGAGAAGAAGTAATCTCCTGGGTCCGACACGATCCTTTCATTCTTGATTGTAGGGTGATCTCTACGTACCATGCCAGCAAGGTCTAGATCGTAGATCAAGCGGACCATCAACACAACTGAGAGAGTTGAAACTACTTCTCCCGGAGACAGTGAGTGTAACATGATTATATGGGCCATTCTGCATTGTCTCTTGGATAATCCCTACCAGTCAACTGGGGGTGATCCTTTCGGGTTGTGCAACTTGTCCTTATCGAGACTTGAGGGCCGATGAAAGGTCACTCGAAGTATGAGACGGTAGAGCATGTGATATTTGAAACGCCGAGCATGCTATATTTCTAGCTTGGACAGTGATTTGACCCCAACCCTGACATTTATTCAGTCATCTCGTACGGGAAACAGTGATGCAAAAAGGCTACCAGGGAATGTACGATGGTGCCAGGACCGACGCGATCGGGGTTTTGGATGCAATTTGATTCAGGGACTCCGAAGTCTTTCTTACGGTGCACGAGGACAGGACTTTGATCATTTGTCATGGAGTCGCAAGGTGCCCAGGTAGTTATTCTATAAATAGGCCCACCCCCACCCCGAAAATATCCAAAGCAAACCTTGGAATTCTTCATAAGTATATCAGCAATATCCGATTTATCTTCGTGAAACTTGCATTTACAGCACCAGTCAAGTAGGTGGAATGTCTTATCACGAGATATCAGTCAGCGTTTCAAGACCCGAACAGCGCTTTAAGAATTGTGTCTGAGATACTCAAAAGGTATCAACATGAAGACCATTACGCATAACAACAGGATGATCATTGGTATTTGGGTCTTGGAAGTTACGCATCCTTGATTGTTGATTCAAAGGGAGATACATGTTCTCTCAACACACAATCGAGCAAAACATCATTCCCAATTGACAGTTTCACCATTTCAACAACCGTGAGGGAATTCCTAATTGGTCACGCGGGTGATGGTGACAAAGTGTTCGGTCAGATTGGGTTCAACTATGCCGCATACATTCGAGGACAGTCATTCCACCCCGGCAAATGGCCACTTCTCAGCCTGTTTTCCCCGAGAACGGACGGTACACTTGGTCGAAATTCCATTACCTTGAGGGGGTTGGTGAGAAAGAAGTGAAAGAGTTACGCGAGTTTGTTGAAAATGTCGGTGCTTTGCAAGTTGGGACTTCGCTCGAAATAATTGGAGTCAACACATCCAATGATGCAAGCGAATACGTTAATCTGGTCGAAAACGCATTAGCGGATATAGCCCAAGGGGAGTATACAAAGATCATTCTATCAAGGGCTGTGGAGATTGAGCACAAGATCGATATGCCTGCAACTCTGCTGCTAGGCCGTCAGGGAAACAATCCAGCGAGAAGCTTCTCCCTGAATCAAGGGGGCTATCAAGCCACAGGGTTCAGTCCAGAATTAGTGATGTCCGCGAAGAATCGAAAATTGGTGACTGAGCCATTGGCTGGGACTCGGTCTTGCAAAGGAACAGCAATGGCAGTAGATGCACTGCGAAGAGAACTCAAAGGAGACCCCAAAGAGGTTTTAGAGCATGTACTTTCAGTCCGAGCAACAGTCGAAGAGCTAAGTCAACTTTGTCAGCCGGGAACCGTTGCAATCGAGGATTTCATGTCGGTCAGAAAATGCGGTCCTGTTCAGCATCTCGGTTCACGTGTCACAGGGATTTTAGCAGATGACAAGGATATGTGGAACGCATTTGATGTCTTGTTTCCATCGATCACCGCGTCCGGTATCCCAAAACAAGTAGCCATCAATGCAATACAGCGTCTGGAGGCTCGGCCACGCGAGCTCTATTCCGGGGCGGTCATCATGATAGATGGCCCTGACTCTTTTGAAGCGGCTCTTGTGCTGCGTACTGTGTTTCAACAGCCAGGTCGACAGTGGATCCAAGCTGGAGCAGGCATAATCTCGCAGTCGAGTCCGGAACGAGAGTTCACCGTAACATGTGAGAAGTTGGCAAGTATCGGGCCATTTGTTGTCCCCATTGCAACGGATGGGGATTCATAAATTGATTCGGTCACTGTAAGGGAATTTTGGAACAACACCTTAAGGCACTGATTTGTTGTCTAATTTGGCCCGGGCCGCGGGGCCCTCTGCTTAGATTATTAATGCGGCTTGAATTGGCGTGGCAATACGCTTGGCTCCATCACCGGGACTGACGTAGCTTTAATCACCACGCACCATCGTTATCCACACACTATCGATAAGCAAAAAAATCAAAAAAGATCGCGGGGTTCATCCTCAACTTTAGGCAATTGTCGTTGATGATGGCTGAGTCTTCTGAGTATCCGTCTACGTTGGACAGCGCCTTCAATGGCGCATCGCCCATCAAAGACCGCATCGATCCGATCCGGTTGACGACAAGCAACATTGTCCCAATCTTCAATCTGCCCCTCTCCCAGCAGGTGTTGGGCCATGAGTCAAACGAGTCTCTTGCGCAAGTCGCTAGCGGTGATATCTCCTATACCAACTTTGTCGCAGAGCAAGCTCGCTGCGCTCTCCAGGCAAACGATGATCAATCTACCGAACAAAAGCAATCGCAACTACTGCACCTCGGCCTAGCAGCTCTGTTCGCCTTCCTGCAGTCCAACGTCACCGGACCTCCCCTTGAATTCAACTCAGCTCAGGTCGTGCTCCCCTCCTCCCTCCGAACCGAACGACAAACCCTCAAGGCTGTCCGTGCGAAGATCATCCGCGATCTGTCGGTCGATGGAGAAGCTGCCTACAGGCTCACACCCAACCCGGAGCTGTTTGCCGTCGCCAAGGCCTTACTGGCCGATGCAGCTACAGATGGACCACTATGTGCGAAGACTGCACGCATGCGCGCCAACTTCCTTCATCAGAAGATGCTCTCCGAGGTCACTAGCACTTTGCAAGATGTGATTTACAAGGATGTCGAGATTTTGGACAAGGCTGAATTGAATGCTCATGAGAGAGGACGGTTCTTGTTGGAAAGGGCAATTATCAACACGCACCATGGCTTCGATATTAAGGCTCGCGAAGATATTGACCAGGCGGCGAAGGTACGGAAGTTCGAATTTGCCTTGACCGGTAAGATGGGCAAGCGTACAAAATTCCAAGAACGCGATATCAGTCAACTGGTTGTCCTTGCAAAGAGTGCCGATGAAACAGCACTTTCCAGCGAGCCCTCTGGGCCCAAGAACCTAGACTTGAACGACGACACTCTCCTTGAATCTATCTCTTTCTCGGACTCAAAGCCCGACGAAGAGTCATTGGCGATCCAGGATAAGGTCTCTGCTTCTTTGGAATCAATCGATGCCAACAACCAGCCCATCCTCAACCCAGTGGACTCGGCCCTCTTGTTGGCTCTTGCGTCCGCCATCACAAATACTTCCCCCGAGAACGGTCTTACCCGTGAAGAAACGAACCCTTATGCTACTCGTGTTCTTGATGGTGGCAGTTCCAACTGGCAAATTTATACACAGGCACTTTTGGTTCGCAGTCGTGTAGAGGGTTACCGCTCGCGTACAGTCGAGCGTGCCGTGCTTCAGATGCAGGCTTTGGTGGACCAGGTTATTGCGGATACCGCCACTAGTGATGATGCCGCCCAAACTGAATCAGGCGAGCCTTCGACTTTCCTGCCGCGTCCCGAGCAGTCAGAGTCTGCCCCGGCCGCCGACCGTCTCGAACACATCTGGATCCTGAACTTCTCCACCCGATGGAGCCTCGAGGCTGAGCTTGCCAAGCGCTGGGTCGACCTTGGTGGTCTGCGCACTGCCCTTGAGATCTACGAGCGCCTTCACCTGTGGGCTGAGGCCGCGCTTTGCTACGCTGCCACTGAGCGTGAAGGCAAGGCGAAGATCCTCATCCGCCGCCAGCTCTACCAAGCCACGGGTCCGGATGAGAACGATGAAAATGAGCTGTTTGATGGGCCCGAGCGCTCACCATTGCCAGCAGATGCCCCCCCGTCTGCTTTGTATCTTGGGAGATATCAACAAAGATGAGACCTTTTACGAGCGCGCGTGGGAGGTGTCTGACCAGCGATATGCTCGCGCCCAGCGCTCCCTCGCTCGCCATTACCTCACTTCCACTCCACCTGAGCTTGAGAAGGCCGAGGAGGCGTACAAAAAGAGTCTGCACATCAGCCGACTCAACCACGGCGCGTGGTTCGCTCTTGGATGTGTGCAGCTCGAGCTCCAAAAATGGGAAGCTGCCACTGATACGTTCACCCGCACCGTTCAGCTCGATGACACAGATGGCCAGGCATGGAGTAATTTGGCGGCTGCAATGCTTCGCACATCCGCACCCCAGCCCACTCCCGACACAGTCGATGAAGTCACAGGCGAGACCCCTGCTGATGTAGACCCTCACAAGCGTAAGCGTGAGGCTCTTTCCGCCCTTCAACGCGCCGCTCAGCTCAAGGGTACCGATGCCCGCATCTGGGACAATGTTCTCACTGTGGCTGCATCCATCCCACCCCCGGCGACGCCATTCCGTGACGTCATCACTGCCCAAAAGCGCATTATTGAGCTGATCGGCGCGAAGAGCGGCGAGAAGTGTGTTGATGTTGCCATTTTGGGTATGCTGGTTGATTTCCTCAACACGGCTTTCGATTATGAAAGCCTCCTCATCCCCTCCAATGATGAGTCCGAAGCCCCCGTCGTTCGCACTGGTACAATTCCTGGTCAAATCATCTCGCTGGTTGACAACAACGTGGTGCCGCTCATCACGCACTCAGCAGTGTTGTGGCAGATCGTTGCTCGCGTTGAAGTTTTCCGTGGGCGCCCAAGTAAGGCGTTCGAAGCCCACGAAAAGGCGTGGCGTGCTACTGTTGCAACCAACGCTCAGGGTGCTTTCCAGATGGGTGATGAGAAGCCCTGGCTCGAGGTTGTGCGTGCTACGGAGAAGCTTGTCAGGAATGGCTATGCCAAGTTCGGACCCATGGATCGCGAGGACCAAAAGCTTGAGGGTGACCAAGAAGCTGAGCTTGTTGCGAAGGACTGGCGCTTCAAGGCCAGAAGTGCGGTCCGAGGTATTCTGGGCAAGGGCAAAGACTTCTGGGATGGAAGTGAGGGCTGGGACCGTCTCAAGGATTTGCAGTCTGAGGTTACCGGAAACTAGGAGATAAAACGCTGGATACTATAGATGATCAACGAAGATCGGACTCATTGCATTTTCATGTCAATATTGTGTTTAGCAAATACCAATGCAAGCTGATTTTTCCCTTCACCTTCTGTCCTCTTCTGAATGGACTTATCTCGATTCAAGTTTCCGTTTCACCATTCCACAGAAACTTTCGTATAGAACAGTGTCTGTTCCTTGTGTCCACCGAATGACAGTCTGCACTTTCTTTTCCTCAGAGTTGTCTTTGCTTTTGTCCCCGAGGACCAGGCGTAGATACACGAGTACTCCCAATGCCACCTTATCTGGAATTTCCTTCAACTTGGCTATGTCATCTTCCGCAGCGAGCTTCATTTTGCGCCGGGCCTGTCTTGACCACACATTTTCAGCTGCAAGCCCCGTGCCTGTAGAATCTTTCTCGTCCCAGCGCCAATGCCACGGCAAGGAGATAAGCTCTGTGTTTAACATGCCAGCACACGCGTCAATGGTTACGTCAACCGGAAGGGTGAAATTATACTCAGCAGGGAATGGGAAAAGACTTTTCGGTAAATTGGGGATTCCTCTCGCCACATCCTGAGATCGTAGGTTAGACTTGTGACAAAACAAAAGTTGGATTTCCTCTGGGAAATGGCGCATCCATCGACGTACCGTAGAGGGTCTTCGATCTCCCCAAGACCATGCTACCGCCCATCGCTTTGTCTTGGCACCCTGGTCAAACTCGGTGACGGCGAAATTATGATTACCGTGCTTGATCAATGTTTCCACAAGGACCGACACACTGCTCATCTTGCCTACCATAGAGGTATACCACTGAATGCGGTCACGCAAATGCAAACTTTCGTCAATCATCTTTCTGACGAAATCGACTTCTCCACCACGGGTCACCATCTCCACCTCGGCGCCGGTGCATGCCTTGGCGCAGAGTCAGCACAGATGAAATCGAACAGGGGTGAAGTGTGATTGTGATGCATGAAAAGTGAATAATGGAAGGTTCATTTACCGAGAACGGAGGTCGCTTTTTTTGTTTAGCGGATTCCACTAGCTCATCGCGGGAGGTGTAGAAAGGTGGATTGCACATGGTAAAGTCGAGCCTTGTCAGTGGTCAGAGATAATCTTTGCATGACAGGCATGTTTGAAGGAACACACCTTTCATGTCCGAGCTTCTCAAATGGAAAGAGTGGGCCATCGGAGCTGGACTCTATGATCCGGATCCGTGATTCCAGCCCATTGAGCGCCACGTTCTGCTGGGCCGTACGGATATTGTTCGGGTCAATATCTATCACGACGATCAGTGGATGCTGAGGATTCTGGGCTAGAATGGCATACCAGTGGCAACAAACTTCCAGCCGGGCCGGGTCGAGCAGCCAAGAAGAGGGTAGATCCCGATACATCCCGTTCCACTGTACCTTGTGAGCCAGAGCTAAGAGGAGTGGGACCTGGTAACGTACATGTCGAGGCCGACAACCTCTCGGTCTCGATCATACCCATCATTCAACCCCCCGGCGGTTGAATCTATGAGGTCTTGAATCCAAAGAATGTAGTTGAGCCTATACTGTATGTGAGACACATGCATGCAGGGCTCGAATCGTCAACTTTGACGACGTACCTATTTGGAACCTAATTCCAAGTTAGTTCACATGTAGACGCATATCCAAGGTTGTGAAATTGCATGCATACCGGTGGACACAGTCGATCTTCGGGTATTTTGACTTTGAGGTGAAAGTCCTGTTGCAGCAAGGTTGTAGTGAGTTGCCTGCACGCCAAGTCAGATCCACTTCCTCTCGGGATGTCAGACGCTAGGCTCCGCTGGCTTACCGAACGGCGGCTGGATCGGTAAAGTCCAGCTGGTTGTTTGGTTTCAAGCTAGATGCAATCAGGACTAGAGACTTGGACCATAAGCACAGACAACTTCACGTACTACTTGGCAAAGTCGCGACATTGAAGCGCCAAGGCTCCAAAATCGACATCCTTCTTATACAGGTTTCGGGCGGACTCCATGATAAGAGGTGGGGGCCAGTCAAGTTGTGGATCCCATCAAAAAGTCCGTTATTGTTTTTGGGCTTATCTGATGAAGGAGGATGGTTGATTGTAAAGGGGAAAATCGAACCCGACGGCTAGTTGATACCGCGTCATGTGACTGAACAGACCCTGAAACCATCGTCAACTGCAGGTTATGGACGTGCATCAGTTTGCTCGGAGTCTTGGAAGTCTGTGGTTTATTTGTGTTTTTGTGTTTTTGTGGTGTTTTTACGGGGGTATCCAACCTGATCTGAAACTTACAAATCTCAAAATTACAAAAGTTATAAGACGTAGCCTCGGAAGAATGAAAACAAAAAACCCCATTTCAAAGGATGCCATATTTAGTGTATGTGAAATTTATATGCAGCCGAAGTATCAATAAATAATAGCCCAAAATGTGCAAGAAAGAAGTGAAATCAAAATACATGCGTCGCTTTGCACCTGAAGTCAAACCTGTCATCAAGTCATGAAAGTAATTGGACATCTATGCCCAATCCATTTTTTTTCCACCAAGAGTTCAGAGCCCTCAAACGCTCCATTTCATTTTGCTTGAATTTTATTTCAATGGAATATCAAGCCTTGTTTTCCTTCTTCTGGAACCGCTCGTGGCGCTCAAGGCGCCATCCGTATCCCCACTTCATCTCGACCATCAAGAGAGGTACCATAGCGAGGGTAATACCCGCAAGCAGAAGGAACGTCCATTGAGCAGTGATGGCATCGATGATTGGCTGAGAGGCTGCAACACCTCCGGCACCGATCAAGCATCTCATCAGGTTGTTGACTGCTGTAGCGCTAGCACTTGCACCGGGATACAGATCGATCACGAGGGCACTGTTCATAGTAAAGATAGCGGTAGATCCATAGGCGATGATGAATTGGAGAATGATAGGCACGGCGAGATGGGTACGGAGGGAGAATCCGTAGACAGCGACACAAACGATGAAAATGGCAGTGATCCACCAGGTGTTGCGCATGCGAGCGTACTCGATAGGGAAGTCAGGGTGGGACTTGGAGTTGATGCGAGTATCAATGGGCAGATTGTGCTTTTGACAATATTCGCGTTCGGTGCGCTTGTGGTTGAAGTCCATCAGGTATCCGATGGTGTAGGAGCCGGTCATACAGCCGAAGCCATTTCCAAGGAAGGTCAGGCCGACTTCCAGAGAGTTGAGACCATATTTCTCTTCGAACAAGGCTGATGTAGAAGAGGTAACCATTGACCAAACAGTGTAGACGATACTTCCGTAGAACAAGGTGATGAAGACATCTTTCTCGCCCAAGAAAGTGAGAGGTGCTAGCACAGTCTTCAAGGTGACCTTGGCCTTCTTGCCGGTGGGCTTTGAACTCTCTTCAGCATCTTTCTGGCCGGTCACGTAGTAAATGAATGGCTTGTGGATACCGTTGAGGGGGACAGTGCCATTTCCAGCAATCGGACGAAGCGTCTCTGGGAGGAACACGAGGATAGAGGTGAGACTGATTCCGGACACGATAACCAAGAACCAGAAGATAGATCGGAATCCGAGGTATTGAGACAAAATACCACCGAACACTGGTCCAATACCTTGGCCCAACATGCGTACTGTGAGGGATTAGCTTTGAACCCAAAAGAAAAGGACCATAGTGGATAACTCACCACCACCGAAAATTCCAATCAAACTGCCTCGCTCTGCTGAGGTAGTGATGTCACCAATGACACCCGCACCGATCGAGATAGTTGCGGCACTTCCCGCGGCCTGCAAAGCTCGGAATGCCATGAGCTCTCCATAGTTTGTGGAAACAGCCAGTGCAATGTTAGAAATGATGTATACAGCAAATGTACCAATAAAAATAACACGGCGGCCGAGCACATCCGAGAAAGAGCCCCAGAAGCTGGGAGCAAGGCCTTGGACAATCATGTATACTGTGACAGTCAAAGTGACTAGAGACATGGACACATTGAGCTCCTGTGGCAATGTTAGCTTGAAGCACCCGAAATAGATATTGACTACATAAACTCACTTTAGAAATCTCGGAGAGAGCGGGGAAATAGATGTTGGAAGATAATGGGGAGAAGATGGCAGCGAGAGAGACGATGCAAACCAGTTGCAGCTTGCGAGACCGAGGGAAAACATGGTATGGTGGTGGTGCGGGGGTTTGACTCTCAAGGTTGATTGACTCCGCGGGTGTTGATGGTACAGTAATATCCTTCTCATCGCGGGGTGATAGATTAGGGCTTGAGTCAACTGATTGTGTTGTGACCCTGGGGTCTTTGAGTGTCTCTGTTGAACTGCATTGGGATAAAGTCATGGTGAAGAACTATTATGAATACCAGAACAGCTTCCAAAATACGAATCGATGAAAGTTATAGACAACAAATGTGGAAGTGTGGCTTCATGGATCCAAACGGCTCTGGAGATCTAGAAATGTCCAGAATGGAACTCGAGGGCCCTTTTGTATTCAAATGGAGCACGAAACCCCTATAGCGGCTATCACAGAAAATACAAAATATTAGACGGGCCCATGCATCTGAGAGTCAACTAAACGTGCTCCACAGTGGGTATTACTAGGGGGACCACTACGTCCTCCCCTTGATGATAGAAAGTGGCAAGGATCAGACCCATTTGGGAAAATTCACGTCGCTCAATTCGACACGTACGGGTCACGACCCGTACCTAGACCACTCGGGCGATTCCGGTCTACAATTCCATGAAGCATGTCGACAAATGATCTAAACCTCAGTGTCAAGTGGTTGCGGTTTGGTTGTGTCATCTCCAAGCCACACTCGCTGACGTCTATCCCGGGGAAGAGCATTCTTGAACTCCCCACGAGATATTCGGTGGCTTTTCTGATTACAGATGGACTGTGCTGAGTTCTAGGATTTCTAACTTCTACGTAGGGAAAATGCCATTACCCACTGAAATCCCCCTTGGTCTCCATACACGCGTGTACATTGAGATTGATCTGCACCGCATGTGCTGCACAAGTCCGGTTTCACCCATGATAGATCATCAACGGAGAAAGGCTGTCCGGAGAAAAAGCAATCTGACACTTGATCTAGATCTCTTCTTGTGCACCGGATGTTGTGATTGTCCTCAGGTCCTCAAGTCATCAAGGTCCTGCAGGTCTGCAGAACTTAGGATGCATGATAAGCTGTTGGATAATTGAGCCCAATCAAACTTGCTATACCAAGCCTTGGCGATTGCGAAGAAATAGATGGGGGAAAAGGAAAGCCGGAAAGCCTGAACCCAACGTTGTGTTCCATAGCTTCAAGTCTCCACGTGTCGGACATCCAGAGTGGTTGTTATCTGTCAACAAAATGCCAAGCTTCGTCATTTGCCCTACGTTTGATAGTTCAGCAGGGCAATTGATTGGACAAACAACGCCCTTGACTTACGTAGACATTCTCCTTGGATCTTTATTTTGTATAGGGGATGTTGGTCCTTGCTTCTCCCAGAAACCGATTCACCAATGGGAGACCCGCAAAGGGGGCGGCTGAGTACAGGGCTCAATACCCAATGACGATAGATTGCAATCACAAATAAATGATAACTGAAAGGTAGCTGACCAAACCAGCCATATGCGGGTATGCACAATTCCGGTTCAAAGCAGTTGATAGGTGGATTCGAGACGAAGAATGCGTCCCAAGACTTCCCCTGGGACAAGGTTTGACGCTAGAAAGGAGATGATCGACGAATCGAACGGCTTCTTATGTGCGACTAAGCAATGGTGCCAATCCTCAGTTGTCGATCAACTCCATAGCCCCCTTGTGCACGGCTTTTTGCTTTTTTCATGGCTTGGAGATAGTCTTTTGATCCGGCTCCACTGATGAGCCACGCGCAACCCGCCTAACATTCTTGGTGGATCTGCCAAGAACTCGTCGTCGCCTACGATTGATCGTTCAACTGTTCATCACACACATTGATAGTCGATTTCTGACTTTCGGGGTGTTTTTTCTCTCGGAACTTTGCATCTCTCGGATAAGGCTGGTTAAGGCTGGACAGGGCTGGCTAAGGCTGAATGATTTTCACCCGCGAGATTGGATAGACCTGAATCTCCCTTTCTGGCACTCAATTTTGATGCCCGACGCCAAGACCCTGACTTAGCGAGAGCGGCCCCGAACTCCCTAAGCCCTTTACGCCCGCAATTTGCACCCGCGAGCGCCACCCCGAGAGGGTCTCCGTTCCCCGATTTTCGGGTAACCGACTTTTTTTAGTACGGAGTATAATCCCTTGGGTTGCATTTGTCGAATCGCCCAACATCATACTCCGTAACCCGATCCAAGTCACATCTCCACTTATATCCAGCTGAAAGGCCTAGGCCTCTGCTTCGGGGTAGCATTTCGGCCTGACTACACTGGCCTTCAGGATTTCCGAGTCATATCATACATACATGCAGCATTATAGTACTTCGACCGAGCTAGATACCGAACTACTGCCGGGCTAAAGATCCTAGGCTACAATCTCGACTTCTTGCTTATGTGCAGCATCCGCCGATCAACCATCACAATTTAATCTAAGTACTCCGTACAGGGTAGACGGAGAACGCACTCGTTGTAGTCCGATATGCTCATACCTTGTAGGGTTCTGCTACAGACGGGAGTCTCCTCAGTTGGTAGATCCCGGCCCCACCCAATGGAGTCTTCCAAGTAAGTCCAGAAACAATTAATCTAACTATTCTCTTGCGAATTTCATGTGATTGTGGTCCCTGAAGCTGCATTCGAAGCACTTAGCTCATGTATCGTACATTTTCTCCATGTCTCCATCTGATAAGAGTTTAAAGAATTGTTCTGCTGACGTCAATGGCAACCTCATTTGTTTACTTGCGAACTAATCACATCCCGCCCGTCATCGCATTGCGTCTTTGTCTATTACATGTTGTTATTTTTTGTTTCTCAGACAATTTTCCGAGTATTCCATGTCAGTGATTTGATTTTCGGGGTGTTTTGTGAAACAATAGCTTCCACGTAGATCCCCCTGACAAGCATGACAGCTTTTTCGAAACATAACTTTAATAGTACTTGTGATGGATACACAAAAGACTGGAGAATTCATCAATTTATCTGCCTGTCTGACACCGAGGCTGTGTTTGATCTATTTAGCCTGGCGTCTCAATAACGGAGCGCTTTGGCCAAGAGATTTGCAGATCTGATGTGGCCAGCCCCTGTCTTTCCCGACGGAGCTCCAGCACGAAACAAACCTGGAATTAATCCGTGCACACGCTACTACAAGTAATATGAAGCATTTCAGGCTCGTGAAGAATGAGCCAATTCACATACGCCATAAGTCACTGTCTCAGATAAACCCCTCATCGCTCGTCCAGGCCGCCGATCTTCTCATCTGTAGCGGTAACGTCAGAATGTGATACACTTATGTAGCAACTTTGTGCAAATAGGTTGACTCCACTCTAATGTTTCTGTGCCCAATAGACCCCCAATCATTAGGCTCTGAGTTTAAAACAAGAATGCATCGAATATCGTGAGACACCCACGCGTCCTCTGACCCAGAGCCAAAAGGCAAAATTCAACCCTACAGGGCCATTCGGAACCCCCTGATCGTCGACATGAAGAGCTCACATCTACTCCGTACGTACCACCGATGATCGCGTAGGCATCCCCGTACAAATCACCGTATAAAGCCCAATTGGGCTCTTTGTTGTGGGTACAGCATGGACGGAATGGATTATATGCACTCGAATTCATATTGTACCATGTATCCACGGCAATGCGCGGACTACTTCGTATGAATCGCAACGAATTATACAGCTGCGTTGTGCCAAGTGCTCGTAGTTTGCAACTATGAGAAATCCGATTTTCGGAGACATTGCTTTTGTCCTCGTGCCCGTTCCACTCGTTGACACCGCTTGATAACGATCTTGGTATTCTCTTGGCGTCACAAAAGTGAGGACTTGGCACGATGAGGCTGGTCAAACACCTCGGAGTGTCCGCAGAATGGGTGCGAGAAGATGAAAATAACCTTGGAATTGCGATCGCACCTTGTAAGCTTTCAAGATTGGGTCAATCCTTGTGCAGACCTCGGGAGTCGGATTTCGGGATGTCCCAAAATTCCAGGGTAACTGCGCCGTAAACATGTTTTCGGACTTTTTTTTTTCATTCTAGAGTTTGGGTATATTCTATATTTTCAATGATGGAAGATTCTGGTAAGAAGTGGGAGCATTTGCTTTCATTGGGAGGTTACTTGATATGCACCGTAAACAATCGCCGTCGACTTCGGGGACATCTAGGTATTAGGAGCATCCATGGATTCCAAGCTTTCAACCTCGGTATGTCTGCCCAGGTGGATAAGAATCTCTACCTAGGGCTTTTAGCGAGTCGATTTCCACGAAGCCTTCCAAAGTTCACAGCGACCTAGGATATCATAAGACCTCACGAGCTCAAGACCTCGGACTCGTAGACCTGCCCAGGTGTAGGTAATTAAATATATATACTTTGGGGTGGATTCCAAGATTCCCTATCCTCGGGTTTTTCATTCGGGGTTACTGTGACGATTCCGTTAGATATCGTTGGGTACCAGAGGCCGAGATATATGTACATTCTTGAAAACCCCCACAGAATTTTTATGCAAAGTCCAGAACCTTGGAAAGGTTCCAAATCTGGGTTTCTTTCATCGTCCTGGACCTCGGGAGGTTCTACTTTCATGGTTGGGCAGGTTATCGTAAAATCTTACCCAGAAACAACAAAATTTGATAGCAATCGAGGGCTGAACGTTTTCATGGTTACTGATATTGACATTTACGCATGGATTAAATCAAAGTCTCTCTAAGCATTTTTGGATTGTTTGGCATAGAATATTGAGAAACCTCTAAATGTTTCCCTGATGCCCAGGTGGAAGAGAGTCCGCAAAAGCCTCGACCGACCTGCCCGGGTATTAAATGGAGCAAGCGTATGCCAGTTTTCATCTAATCTTCACCCGCGCCATGATAGCTCGTCATGACGGTAAACGAAGCATGAAATAGCGACATCCATGATGTGCACTTCATATGCACATTGATGGCCTGTTCAATGTGAGCTGACCTGGCTGGACCGAGTGGTGAGAGAAAGAAAGCCGAAAGCCGAATTTTGGGCGATGGCAGCTAAGCCACACATGATTGTGCGAAGGGGCCAGTATGGGTAGATAGTTTGGAGGTTTGTGCCTGATGGTCGAGTGAGATGGGCCAAATGCCACAATCTCTACCAGAGGTATTCGAGAGTGAAGGGTATAAAATATATCATTCTTGATAGATTGACATCCTTAACGCTTTCCACCTCTTGATTTGGGTTTGCCTTTGCCCCTTCCACCGGCCATGCGCCGTCCGGAAGCTTGAACACGCTCAATATCTTGCTTGTTGAGATTGAGTGTGCCACTTGAGAACCTGCCAACAGATGCGCCATTGACACCACGCTCCCTTCGCCCGTTATTGCTCGATTTTGTGACTTTGCTGGGCTTCTCAAGAATGATGCCGTTCTCCTTGGCCTCGCGGCGGCGCTTGTCCTCCTTTGTTGCAGCCTTGGCCTTAATGCCTCGTCTGTGTGCTGTTGGCATTTTGTTTTGCGCATAGAGCGAATCTTTAGCTCCGAGGGATTGCATGCGCAGATCCAAAGCCTTAAGGCGGTTCTTTCCGGTTGGTGCGAGGTCATCGGCAGAGTCGAGGAGGTGGGATTCTGTGAGCAGGCGCTGAAGCGCAAGGTCGTGCTTCAGGTTTATCACGTCGTGGGTATCTTCCTCTTCTTCCTTTTTAGATGTAGGCTCTGGTTGGGCATTGGGTTTATCTGTGGAAGATAGAACCTTTCCGCTCTGTGAAATTCTTCATAAGCAGCTAGACCGATGGAGATACAATCCAACACGTACCTTGAATGCCTTCCAAGTCTTTTTATCCATTCTATCTTCTGGCGCAGCGCGTGCATCTGTGTGCTCCACTACTTCCACTTGGTTGCTTTCGTCGCTGATATCAGACATCTCGTCCCAATCTCCTTCTGATCCAGACGCATCGGAGTTCTCGTCATCGTCATCCTCGTCATCGGAGTTTGAGGTTTTGGCGGCCTTGGCGTTATGTGCTGGTAGATCGAGAGGCTCGAATTGCGCTTCGAACAGTTTGCGGAATACGTCCTGCGCATTGTCCACGGCGGGAGGTGAGTCCTCCTTAGCTTTGGGCTTAGAGACCACAGTGGTCTCCCTCTTTCGTTTCAAAACCATTATGAGATGTGTGATCGACAAGTTCAAAAATGAAGAAAACATGCGCGGCTCGGAGAACTTTTCGAATAAATTCAACGTCACGTGCGATAAGATCAACGATAAGCCCCACGACACTCACAGCAGGGAATCATCTCCTCCAATTCAATTGATTCGACGGAAGATGACTAAATTCAGACCATGCATTGACCTGCACTCAGGTCAGGTCAAGCAGATTGTGGGTGGCACCCTCAGTACGGTGGCTGCAGACTTGAAGACCAACTACGTATCCAAACTGCCGGCCAGTCACTATGCGGGATTATATCAGAAGCACGACCTACGCGGGGGGCACGTCGTGAAGCTTGGACCTGGAAACGAAGAAGCTGCCCAGGAAGCATGCAAAACTTGGCCAGGTGGCTTGCAAGTGGCCGGAGGCATTACCGACAAGAATGCGCAATACTGGATCGACCAAGGCGCCGACAAGGTAGGGTTCTCTCGTTGACTTGATATTTTCCTCGTTTGGATTCTCTCCAAGTGAACATAGTTTTGCTTCTACCAACTACACACAAGAGATATATTCCCCTGCGTTGCGTCATAGCAAGCGTGATGCTAATTATGGAATGTGGGATCTAGGTGATCATCACATCATTCCTCTTTCCGGGAGGCAAGTTCTCCCTCGAGCGTCTCCAATCAGTCCTCTCTTCCTTGAATGGCGACAAGTCTAAGCTTGTGTTGGACTTGAGTTGCCGCAGAAAGGATAACACATGGTTCGTCGCAATGGACCGTTGGCAAACCATCACCGAGATGGAGATCAACCAGGGTAAGCCCTACCCACGAATTGGTTCGTGAGTGCGTGATGCTAACTGATTTCAGAATCAATCTCTCTTCTCGAGCCATACTGTGCTGAGTTCTTGATTCACGCCGCAGATGTAGAGGGCCTCCAACAAGGAGTCGATGAGGAGCTCGTCTCGCGATTGGCTGAGTGGTGTACCATCCCAGTGACCTATGCAGGTGGCGCACGTCATTTGCAGGACTTGGAAAAAGTCCACCTGAGCAGCAAGGGAAAAGTCGACTTGACGATTGGCAGTGCCCTGGACATCTTCGGCGGCTCTGGAGTGACGTTTGATGAGTGCATCAAGTGGAACAAGACGCACTGACGTTAATGACTGAAATATGAAAAAAACACAAGAATTATATAGACACCAAACCAATTTACATACCAATTAAGAACTCCATAAAATAACATTGAACTGTTTATCGAAAAGCGTAGAGTCGCGAACAATAAGAGTTGGGTCTGGGCTTATCCGAAAGCGGCTTAGGGGCAAGTAGAGGTCCGCCCGCCTCCGTATCTCGAGACTTCCAACCTCAGCTGTATCAGTCGATCTCCGTCATACCTCCACGATCTCGCTCCCGTCACTCTTCCCTATCGACTATCCATATCGCAACCATGAAGCCCGTTGTCTCAGCGTTGAACGCCTGGTCATGGTACGTCTCACCCCAGTTCCAATCCAGTCTCGTCATTCCTAACCTCTTGATCGTCGACAGTGTCATTATCTCCCTCTTCGCAATCGTCATCCTCTCAGTTCTCGGCTCGCTATACGGTGTACGTTCCCGCGCCTGATACAATCCCATCAGATCATCGCAAAACCCCATTGTCCAACTCCAGGTCCAGGCCTCGGCCTAGGCATACGTAAGGCCCATGGAGACCAGGCGCTAATGAGAATTTCTTCAATACAGAGTAACAGTCCCTCATTCACCGGCTCAGAAGGCGAACCCGAAGATGGCCCCGCTGTCGCTGCGTCAATTTACACTGCTGTGATCGTTTACGTTGTTCGTCAATCCCCCTCCCGTCACCCGACGGGATCAACCCAACAAAGGAACCAGGCACTGACAGTTCACTCTTTTGTTCACCAGGGTTTCTTCGTCTTCTGCGGTTTGCAAGCCTACCTTCACATGCGAGACAGCAGGGGAGGTGCGATATCCCTGCATTAAGAATACCATGATTTGTTTTCGATCGTTGTTTTGACAACACCACCAACGCCGTCTGTCGATTTTCAGTTTTTTCAGCTTATCTCCCGGGGGACATTGATGGATTTGATACGATGGCCTAGAACTCTTTGGTGGAAAGGGCTTCCGACCTAAGAGTGATTTCGACATCCTGGGCCATATATAATCCATGTCTACACTGCGCAAGCGAATTGGATCTTCCCATACTATGAGCGACTAAGACCAGGGTTTACTTCTAAGGCGTTGCGGGCAGGTTTCCAGCTTTTTTCCCCTGCTAGAACACAAAGATGGCAGACCTGTGAATTGTACATAGATCAATCTCATATTCGTTGTCAGTTCTTTGATATCTCATTTGCCCTTTTGGTACGTTTGAAGAAATATAAACTTGATAACTTTGGTATAGACATTCAATCATTGGTCCATCATCATTCAGAAGAAAAACAGGCTTTTTGAGAGACCACCAACGCCAGCGGATGCAGAACCAGATACTGAGCTCCCGCATTCAGTTTCAGTTTCAGTTTTTGATTTGGAAATTGCAAAAAAATTTACTCCTCGTCTTCCCAAGGATCCAACATCTTGGACATGTAGGGTCCGTCGAGGAAGTATCCAAGACGAGCGTAGTAGCTACGCACACCGACACCAGAGATAACACTGATCTTGCGACTGCCGTGTTCCTCGCGGGCGATGCGCTCCGCCTCCTCCATCAGCAAAGTTCCGAAACCACGGTGCTGGAACTTGCGCGCATCACGCCCGTGAAGTGGAACGGCAGAACCGTAGACGTGGAGCTCGCGAACAATACTCGTTTGCTGGCCAGTGAACTCGGGACGGAAAGTGTGGGTGTCGCTGCACTTGCGCAGACGGAGCAAACCAATAAGAATATCCTGCTTGGGATCTTCGTACGCCAGGAACGTTTCCCAGCCACCGTTGGCTGTGTAGTCGCGGCGGATCAACTCGATTTGGGATGGGCGGATCTTGTTCTTGACTTCGTTGATTCCGACTTCTCGGGTGCGCACATCACGGCAGGTTGTGCCGAAGTCTTTCATGCGTGCCAGAGCGAGTTCACGCAAATTGCCGTTCTCGACACCGGAGGTGACCAGCGGCATGGGAATATCACGCTGGACTCGGTAGATACGGGTCCAAGGGGGAACCAGGGCGAGAATGCGTGCGACAAGATCAATGAGCGCGTTGGGTGTGTAGTTCTTGTAACGACCGGTGCGCCATAGTTCATACAGACCGGTGCCTCGGATGACAAGTGTGGGGTATAGCTTGAGACCGTCGGTACGGAAGTTGGGGTTTTCGAAGTACTCGTGGAACTGGAAGAGGTCTCGCTCCATTCCAACGTTTGGCAGATCGGGCATCATGTGGCTGACGACCTTGAAGCCGGCATCCTTGGCGAGTTTGAAAGTCTCTGCGACTGCTGCGACGGTGTGACCACGGTTGGTGTCTCTCGCGACGTCCTCGTACAGACTTTGAACTCCGATTTCCAGTCGCGTACATCCATAGCGGAGCATGCTGCTCAAGTGGGTGTCCAGACAATAATCGGGTCGCGTTTCAATTGTGATACCCACACACTTCACATTACTCATTTCACCGGCCTGCACGGCCTCATCGACGTTGTCCGTTTGATATCCACTCAGTGCGTTGTGAAGCTGCGAGATAAAGCTGTCTCGGTAGTCCTCCGGGAGGGACATGAATGTTCCACCCATAATAATATATTCCACCTTGTCGACGCTGTGACCAAGAGACTTGATTTGATCCACACGTCCCCGCGCCTGCTCAAACGGATCGTACCGGGCGCGAATCGCTCGCATGGAGGTTGGCTCATAGCCAGTGTAGGATTGGGTTGAGTATTCAAAATCAGAGTCTGGGCCACCAGGGCAGTAGACACAGATGTTACCGGTGTACGCGATGTGAGGGCATCGGTGGGGTTTGCACATAACCGCCACCACAGCGATACCAGATGAGGTTCCTAAGAAACAAACCACATTAGTTCAAGTCCAATAGCTCATTCGATATCCTGTACGTACGGATTGGCTTTGCGATCAGTTTTGGAAGGATGTATTTTTTGTAGTGTTCCGGTACGGCCGCAATGATGGCCGTGAGTGGCGGCTGTGTGGACAAGCAGTGCTTGCTTGAGAAAGTGCCGCGCAACTTGTTGAGGTTCAAATCTTTCCTGGGCTTCGTCGAATCCCTATGCGCCTCATAGTCTTGGATAAGGGCGTTCGCAATATCGGAACAGGCTCGCATGAATCGTTCATTCTCGGGCACGGACTTTGCGTTCTTTTTGGCAGTCCGCTTGGTCTGCTGGGTCATAGTCATAGTAGCCATGGCGAAGAGAGGAGCACCGCCAGGTTCACAGGCTCGTAGTTGTGAAGTTGGAGGAGTGGTGGGGGTCGATTAGATAGAAAAAAAAGTGTTGTCACAGAGGCCTGCAGGCCGAACTCTCTCGGGTCCGCTTAAGTAAAATAATTGTCCCGAGCGAAAACTCCCGGGCGCGCATCCCGAATATCCTTGCTTCACCTTCATCCCCGATTTTCTTTTTCACTTCACCTCACCTCTCCCCTCCACATTTGCAGTCATGCAGGCCTTCCGCCGTAACACCCTCTCGGCCCTTCGCAATGTTGGCGCCACCCAGCGTCGGACTCAGGCCACCTCTGCCTACGCCAGCACCGTGAACAACCTCAAGATCAACAAGGACACCCGTGTTCTGTTCCAGGGTTTCACTGGAAAGCAGGGAACGTGAGTGAATGAACCGCAAGATTGCCGAGCATCTGAAGCGCAGTTGACTGACAGTTGGTCTCTATATAGCTTCCACGCCGAGCAGGCTATCGCCTACGGTAATTCTTGCTTTCGATATCGTCGCGACACCACAGCTCACACATAACAGGCACCAACGTCGTTGGTGGTACCAACCCCAAGAAGGCCGGCTCTACTCACCTTGACCTTCCCGTTTTCGCCAACGTCAGCGACGCCGTGAAGGAGACCGGAGCTACCGCCTCTGCCATCTTCGTTCCGTATGATCCTGCGATACCCGTGAGATGATAGCATAGCAAAACTAACCCGATCTAGCCCCCCTCTGGCTGCCGCCGGTATCGAGGAGGCCATCGCTGCTGAGATGGGTCTCGTTGTTTGGTACGTGGTCAAGCATTGAACTTTTTCTTTTTGCCCCTGCAAAGAGCTTCAAACTGACAGCTGTTTGTTAAATAGTATTACCGAGGGTATTCCCCAGCACGGTACGACTCACCTCGACATCTTGGAGAGCGCAAGTACTGATTGATTTTGTTTAGACATGGTCCGCATCACCGACATCCTCAAGACCCAGAACAAGACCCGCCTCGTCGGCCCCAACTGCCCCGGTATCATCGCTCCCGTAAGTTGATACCAAAAGACACGCGCGCAGCGTTCCAAATCACGTCCGGTGCTCATAAACTACACAGGGTCAATGCAAGATCGGTATCATGCCCGGCTTCATCCACAAGCGCGGTCGTGTCGGTATCGTCTCCCGCTCCGGTACTCTGACCTACGAGGCCGTCAACCAGACCACCCTCGCTGGTCTCGGTCAGTCCCTCGTCGTCGGTATCGGTGGTGACCCCTTCTCCGGCACCAACTTCATCGACTGCCTCAAGATCTTCCTCGAGGACCCCGAGACCGACGGTATCATCATGATCGGTGAGATCGGTGGTTCCGCCGAGGAGGATGCCGCCGAGTTCCTCAAGGCCAACAACATCCACAACAAGCCCGCCGTCTCCTTCATTGCCGGTATCTCCGCTCCCCCGGCCGCCGCATGGGTCACGCCGGTGCCATCGTCAGCGGTGGTAAGGGTGGTGCCGACTCCAAGATCTCCGCTCTGACCGACGCTGGTGTCATCGTCGAGCGCAGCCCTGCTTCCCTCGGAAAGACCCTGCTCGCCGAGTTCGTCAAGCGCGACCTTGTTTAAAATAGTCGTTAATTTCGATGCATCATTTCACCCGTCTTCTCGGATAGGGATGTGAGGTATATCTGCTATTTATACTGTGGGGTTTTATGGGCTGTTCCTTTTTGGCTGCTCCTGTATTCTTTTTCTCCTTTGTGTTAGAGAACCTTGAAGTAATTATGTTCTTGTGACTTTCGCTGTGTACTGTACTGTATGCTGTTGAGTAAATGATACGTTTCTGTCCTGTTCAATTTGCGTGTTTTCTACTCGGATCTTGTGGAAAACTACACATCTCCTGGACTACCTGTGCATTGCACTCAGTAAGTCCGATTTAGAGCTTACACGTGTGGTCTCACAGCGTGTGGAGGAGATCAACATTGAAAGGCTCATAAGCATCATGGCACATCGTCAGGTGTCTGTTTCTGCCCTAGGTTAGGTACCGCTCTTCGCTGCGGATGAATGAGCTAGCTGGCATGGTTTCATCAATGGGTATTAGTCCCTTTGAGTTCCAGCCTGGTGGTATAGACCACAAGATGCTCTAGAGTTGAAATATAATGTAATATCTGAAATTATCTGATCCGGCCTCGGGGCGTGACCCCTGGAACTCTACTCACCTGGAAGCATGCACTGCATTCCAGTACTATATTTGAATTCTGCAATCCTTGGAATTCGAGATCATAGCGTACCATGGTATCGTTGCTTCCAAGGTTACAGTATAATCTCCCATTCTATACTTAAAGATTTGACCCCTGGAGCTGCCCGAGACTCCAGACCACAAATAGCACAAGTGACTTTTTAACCATGGCCCTGGAGATAATAGACATATTTGATAAACTAAAACAGGCCATAGTTGGGTTGAAGCCGATTCTTAAAGTATCGTAAACACGGTTCCAAGCCGACGAGTTCTATACACGCTTGGCCGTCGACCATTTTGGACTCGAAGCCTACCACAAAAGACCAGTCGAAGATTCCTAGCTTTTGTCTTGATTCATCCTCCTTCATATACCTCCCAGGCTTGCTATATACCATTTACATCATGCGCCACGCTCCACTTTGGGTCCTGAGCTATAGGGACAAGCAGAGAGCGCTTCGCCAGCTCCATTCCGCTCTCAAACAGCAAGACGCCAGTCCTGTCTTCGAAACATCATGCAAACACATCGAGCTTCACCCAATGAAGTTCATGACCGGACAAATACTTTACGGCGAGGAGGAAGTCGGACCTATGTTCCCGCATTTCGCGCCGAATCCTCATGTTGCGATCCCAGACTCCCTTGAGGACTGTTTCACAAAGTCAAGGGAAAACAGAAATACGAAGAGCAATAATGGAGATATGATCACACCCAACACCAAACAGCTTTTTGAAAGCTTTGAGAGACGCTCCCGGATTTCCAGGCCTCGCCCTCAACAAGAAAGTCGCTGGTACCCAGCTTCGTAAGTGCAAGAAGCCCCCACAAAGTATAGAGCCCGGGATACTAATAATAAATCTTTATAGAATGTGGGGGAAATATGATTACCTTTTCGACAGCAATGACACACATGGGTTCACTATCGAAAGCGGAGCCACGAGGACAGAAGCTACGGGTTCCAAAACCATGTCAGGTCATCGGCTCGTCGTCATGAAAAGCGACTCTTTACAGCATGAGAGCCACACATCGATTGGTGAACTGGTAGTGTTGGTGAATTGGATGATTGCTGGATTCAAAGATCAGACGAAACCAATGCGGAGCAAGCTTGGTTCCTTATATAACGATCGGTTCAATCACGACTTTCCAGTAAGTGCTGAACTTCCAATATTGTGAAGATCATCAAGATACTAACCGCTATTCAGACCATGGTCATCTCGTTTTTACCTGATTGTCATGTCCGAGTCTTATTCGGGTACTTCGAGCGAAGCATGCTCAAGGTGGCCTACACTAAAGCCATTGATTTCGACACTGACGACTATGATACCAACATGCGAACTCTGCTTCAATGGGCCTGGCCGAAAGTGAGATCCGATACTTCGAAGCCTGTACCTCTCCCAACCATTCTGGAAGAGAACGAGGAAGAGGACAAAAATGATAATTGGGAGCTGGAAATCGAAGACACCGAGCGTGATGAAAAATCTGGAAGTCACTTGGAAACCGAGAAGGAGGAGGAAGCGCGGAAGAGAAAAGGCGTGCAAGAATCAGATTGCAGAAAGTTCAGTCTTCCAAGTTGCAAAAAAATCAAAGTTGAACGAAGTTGAGGGCGATGTACTTCCAAGGTTGCTACCTCATTTTTGGCAGAGGCAGCTACTATCATTTATTGACAAGCGTTGAGATATAAGACCAATTGGCGCTCAGTTTTTCTGTTTTGCACGCATCATGTATTATATGCTATATCAGGATACAAATACACCACCATATTGCAATTTTCCGATCACAGTAGTAGGAAAGAACAAGGCTTTGCGGCTTTTACGCCGCTTGAAGCATGATTAGGATTTGCGGGAACAGAATCATTCTTGTGTTTCCAAACAGGGTTGCTGCATGCTTTGCTTGGTGGCACCAGAGCCTATAGAACCATCATCGTATGTATTCAGCCTAGCCGACCACCCTGCCCAGTGCGTCAACAACAACATGTGTAGCAAGTGCATCAGCGAACTCTCCATCTAGACTAGCAACCGATATCTTGTGGATGGTCTCCGAGTCGATTCCCGCCTTGCCAAACGTAGCAGTCGCATCATCGACAAGTACAATGCGGCCCTTCTCGACATTCAACTCATTCTCGTGAGTTCCGTCTGCTCTCAGACGAACCGGTCCATCAGGATAATGATCCACGACTCCCAAGTTAGCAGCCATCCGCGTCGTAGTCGATACACAGTGATCGGTCGTCAATCCGGCAATGATAAGTTGGCGGAATCCCCTTTCACGTAAATGGGCCTCAAGCCCAGTTCCAATGAAGGAAGAGTTCACGGTCTTCCAGAATACAGGCTCTGACCCATCAGATGAAGGTGTGGCGAACTCTAGGGGTCGAATGCCTCCCTCGGGATGAGAGGGGTGGAAAGGTGAGTTGGGAGAAGTGGAGGAGTGGAAGACGTGGATCACCTCCATTAGAGTGGTGGATGCCGACCTGGCAGCTCGGAAAGTCGAGAGAAGTGCTTGAATGTTTGTTTCATATTGGGGGTTGGACCGTGTATTCCCCCAATGAGCGATCGTAGATGGATTACTGAAACCCCATTGGTTGTCGATTAGGATCAACGCGGTGGGCAGAGATAAGTCCAGTGTCATTTTGCGAATGTAGAGGTTGTAGATATAATTATTTGCAGATTCAGGAGGGTACGGAGAAGTATACGAAGTTTTCTAGTTGTTTTTGCCCGTGACTCACTTTGGAGCGTCCGGCCACGCTCACTAATCCAATTTCCCCGCGAGCCGCTGACACGACGTTTGTGTCCCGACATCCATGTCCTTATATTAATAATCTGAACAGATCTTCCTCGTCGGACCTTAGCCTGTTCAAAGACCCTGGAGGGTCTTCGGGATCTTCGGGATCAGGCCCTCGTCAAACTTCCACAGCTGAGTCTGGAAGTTTGCAGCACAAGCACCACCCGTCCACCATGCACCATGTGGAGCGAGCGCCTGGGAGCTTGTACAGATCCTGGGGAAATCCTACTGCCTTCACTTGCTCCATAGTGACCCGCGCGTGCATAAAACGGTGTGTCACGAAAGCAGCCCAGGGGGCCGGAATAACACGAGGAACGCGGTCTACGGCCAGCATTGATCGACATGGATTTTAGGCGGTGGATGTTACGACCCTGCGGTGTTGGATTGTTTGTCTCAATATTATACGTACATCAGATACTTGGAAATTCGGACTGCAAAACATACGATTTGGGCGTTTTGGCATTCCGTGCAAGCAGGCTTTTTGTTTGAATTTGCATTTGTGTAGCGATCAAGAACTATCTCAAGTGAGATCTTTGTATAATTGATGAAGAGAAATTGTCACAACCATAGCCCTCGAGAGATGAGTAGCTTCAAAGCCAGGGCAGTCATATATGGCGCGGATTATGATGATGATGATGATGATGATGATGATGATTCTGTGAGCCGGATGAAGCTCAATGTAGGCTTGCACGTATGCAAGTTTGAGGAATGAGCATTTAATCTTCGAGCTTCTTAATTCCATCTTCCAAAGAAGGGATTTTGTGTTTCCCAATGCCGAGTCTCTGTCGCCATTTCGTTTCCTCCTTGAGCTTAGCTCTTCGGCGTCGTCGTGGTGCGTAGTTGATAGGAGATTCTCCACCGATGAAAATAAAAGTATCGTAAAGGGTTGCTCCAAAGAAGCAGCCACTGATAGTAGCCACCCAGCCTCCCCAAAACCACCATGCGTCACGTACGGTGAATGTTTGGCCTCCGTATCCAGCCATGAGGGCAACTAGTCGTGGGCCAAAGTCCCGAACGGGGTTCAAGATTCAAAGAAAAGGTTAGATATTGCCGGATAAGAGATAGAACTGACGTACCCTCCTGTGTTGAATCCCAAGCAGATACACAGCACGTAGATGACGAGCCCAATGACAAAGGAATGCATACCCGCGCCAGGCGGTGCATTACTATCATCACCCATGGCGAAGATCACACAGACTAGGATAGCGTCCGCGATGAATTCTGTAAAGAACGCAGTCACAGAACTGACATGACTCAACGGCTCGGTGTAAAACCCAAGGCCAGATGTACCAGCCGACGCGGTCGGGGCAAAAGCAATAATCGAATCACGGTAGATGCAGTAGGCGATTCCTGCCGCAGTCAAGCCACCGAGGACTTGCGCGATGACATAAAAGCAGCATCTCCGCCCAGGAAACCCACGGAAAATCCAAAGCGCAATGGAAATGCCGGGGTTTAGATGGGCACCAGAGACACCACCAGCGAGGTAAATTCCGATCATCGATCCAAGTCCCCAGGACCAATGCTCTGATAGCTTGGTACCGGCATTTGATCCGCCTGTTGAGATAGCAAGAGTTCCAGTGAGGCCAATAAAAATAGCAATTGTTGTCTGACACGATGGTTAGCGAATTATATTCATCGTTTTATAGTGAATACTTACTGCCAGCCATTCGGCAAAGGGTTCTTTCATATAGTTTCGAATCTTGACCCAGTTGTTCAAATATTCTTCTTGCTCTGGCTCACCCAGTTGGTCCTCATGTATTGGACCATTTGTGCAACCGACTTCGCTTTCCATTGGACGCAATAGACCGTCCGGTTGTGTTCCATACACGGCATTATTTTGCGGCAAGCCTTGTTGGGCCGCGGAGGCATATGTGGGAGGATGTTGCGGTATAGAGGTATTATTAGTTTTATTGGTAGCATTTGACCGAGATTTTGAGAGTCCAGGTGTTGTGCCAAGTTCAGGAGCTGGTTCTGCCTCGCCGCGAGGGTTTGTATCATAGGCTTGCTGTTGGGTCTTTTGGTCTCGACGCATTCCCGGCCTTACCACTCGTGGAAGGGGTTTTGCTAATCCCCACACGGGTTTTTCGTTATTTTTGCCGTATCGAGGGTTCATTGATTGGTACTCGGGATCTTGGTAGACAGGACCCTGGGCAGGCTGGTCCGCTGGACCAGGACCGGCAACGGAATGAGACGGTGTTTGCTGCACGCGATTTTGGCTTCCCAACCTTCTTTCTGCGGACGGGTTTGGTGAATTTTGGTTTGCATAGTAAAAGCTTCCAGACACAGTAGGTTGTCGATTCATGGCATTTCTGGGCGAAATTGGGGTTTGAGGCTGCTCCTGTTGAGGCGTTGACTGGCCATTCTGTAGTGCCCCTAGCTGTGGGCGATGGTTTTGTTGTTCTGGTAATTGTGCCGCAAAAGGCTGTGGGGATTGTCGTAATGTGTCCGATGAAGAATCAGAGTTGGGACTCCCATCTCGTTCTTTGATTGGGTGGAGCGAGGACTCCTGGGGTTTCTGAGATTGTTCCCCCATGTTGAACAGCGACACACAAAGTCAAAGTATCAAGATAGTGATAGAGAATAAAAAAGCCCGGGAGTAAGGTGGTTATGTACTCTTTGTCGCTGAACCACCATGCCTGAAAGAATTTGGACTAATCCATCAACTGTCATTGTTAAGCCGGATCCACGCCCGGCCAATTGAGGTCGCTCGAGTCATGATACTGGTGATCGACAGCGGTGATGGCCTGCTTTGCAGAGATTGAGATTCATCTCAGGGAAGAAGTATCCACCGGCTTGACGGCCCGGCCAAACAAGAGTGGGCAACTCTACATTGGCCCTGTTTGTACTGTATACTTCATCTTTGCCACCGGCCCCACCTGCAGCTGTCCTCATTCCGCCAATCAAGTGCCCGGGATCTCGCTCGACAACCCGCCAATCGAATTGATTCTTTGCTTTGGGGAGGTTCGATGGGTTTCCCTTTCTTAAGGAAACCTCGCAGACAGAAGTCGAATGCGCTACCATAGCGCCAGCCGGATGTCTCGCTCTGAGAACTGGAATTTTACACGCTACAACTCCGCCAGGCCGGCTTCGGTGGGAAATTCGAGTCGTTTGAGTGCTTCGTTTTACTCAAACTTGACACTTCATTTCTTCGTCAGGTACGGAGTATTGTGCTACTAATCTAATGCCAGGCGGAATCCATCTTGTGAATTTGAAGCTTGACGTCTTTCGTCACTCCATCGACCGAAACGACACGCGCTTCAGTCGCATCCTCACTCGGGAAAATCTGCGCCGTCAATGAGACTTCACCCTGTCCACCCAGGACCTCAACGCTCGACCAGTCAATAAAGACCTGCAAGTTGACACGGCGGTCTGCGCTTGCTTTCAACGGGGTATGATAAAGGGTTGCGAAGGTCTTGTCAAATGAAACATTTCCTGAGTGTTGTCGGTCCACAAAGACTTCCTTGCTGGTGAAATTGTATCCGACAAGTGTCTCCTGCTGGAAATCGGAAGTCGCGCGCACGGATATCGCAAATGTAGATGCATGTGAATCATCGGAATCGTGGTCGGCGAAGCTTAGATCAATCTTGAACGCCTTTCCCGGGGAGTCGATGGTGGTGGAACCCTCTGGTACAGATTTCCAGGACTGCTTAGAACTGTTGTGGCTTGAAACACTCTTCCAGCCCTCTTGCGGCTGTTGAATGAGCGTAATCTTTCCATCAATTCTCTTCAGAGACAGTTGTCGGGGAACAGACATCGCGCTTCGCCATGGGTCTGTCGGAATGACATTTCCATACTGCCAGTTATTCATCCACGCGATCTGGACGACATCTCCCTCGGGCAGCCCGTTGTAGCTGGCTGCAGCGTAGAAGTCCGGACCCCAGTCCATCCAGTTGGAGGTAGCATTACCCGGGTAAACGCTGTCGGAATCGGCTTTGAACGTGGTTCCATCAAAGTCGCCAATGAAGTATTGTGTGCCTGATCCGACTGTGCCGGGTGGACCACCGGGATTAAGACCCAATACCAGCACCCATTTCTTGTTGGATGGCTCGCCTTTGATGGGGAGCTGGAACAGATTGGGACACTCCCACACTCCACCAACGGCGTTGTAGGGCCCGAACTCACTCACGAAAGACCACTCTTTGAGGTTCTCTGAGCTCCAGATCACAAGCTTATGGACCGACGCGAGCGCCGTGACAGCAATCCACTTCTCAGATTCATGATGCCAAAACACGAAGGGGTCCCGGAAGTTCTGGAACTCGTCTTCATAGCCTGAGGGTGGATTGTGGATAACTGGGTTCTCTGCGTCGTATGTGGTCCAGGTCTCACCCTCATCAAGGCTGTAAGCGATCGACTGGGATTGTTGCTCTGTGCGAACGTGTTTACCACTTGGTAAGTCTTGTTCCATGGGATACTTGATAACGAAATTGTTAGTCTTCACATGCGATACACTTGAAATAAACAGCCTGCGTACCATAGAAGTGTACATGGCGACCAAAGGAGTTTTCCCGTCAACCCCAAAGCCACTGGTGTTATTCACATCTGCGACCGCGCTTCCCGTGAAGTACATCTCGGTGACCTCCTCGGGATATCCGCGAGCAAGCAAAGCAACAGGGCGCTCCTCCCAGTGAGTCAAGTCTTTACTCGTTGCATGACCCCACGACATATTTCCCCAAACAAAGCTGGCAGGGTTATATTGGAAAAAAAGATGGTAAATTCCATCATGGTATAGCAGACCACTGGGATCATTCATCCAGTTCTTGCTCGGTGAGAAATGATATTGGGGACGGAACGGCTCAGCATAGTCCAACGCGGATGCCGTTCCAGCGAGAAGGCCCAGGGCCTTGAGGAGAACTCCCATTGCTGAATTTGTTTTCCTTTTCCTTTTGGTCTGTCTATTCAAATTGTATCTCAGGGAAACCTCACATACTATTTATACCCCAGAGAAATAACTCACCTCGTATTTCATACTTCCCCGGTACCCCACGGGGAATCCACCGGTCTGCCAAACTTCGGGGAAACTATCAAGCCAGGCCCCACATTCTTTCGAGAACAGCAAAACAATCGGCACCACCGGCGCCAAGTCGCTGAAACTCGGCGATAATCTCGGTGTCCAAGACATTTTCTGTCTACTTCGGGCCGTAGTGTGTCCACCCCGCACGAATTCGCGGGGGTGCAGGGACCGTATGATGCTATTGTGGTCCAAAATCGGACTTCGCGGTGGATGAGGTATGATGAAATGAGAGATTTAGATCTTAAGCGAAGACTTTAGTCTGCCCACCTGGGCAGGAGCGAAATTCAATTTGCGGATTTGACATTCAAGGGGCTGGAACATGCATATGTGTAGCGTTACCGAAATGCCTCATTCCCACCGAACCGAATTCGACTCTCTCGGCCTCGGTCACTCCTTGATGTTGGAGGTCACAACTTGACCGTAGTTACTTGGCGCAACACGGTTGCAAGGGACACCGGATGTGTCCTGGCCCACCATGTTCTTGCACTGATAAACTTCGTCCTGCAAGGTGGTCCCCCACATCGGCAATCCGAGCGTGTGATTTACCGACTCCAGCTGCACGTTTTCGAACTTGATACCCGGACACGGGTGTACATCGGAGCAATAGATCGATGCACCGACGTTGTACCTCGTCGTGGCTTTGATATTTGACCATGTTATATCCGAAATGGCCATCTTGGACGTGTTGCAGTATTTGCCATCGGCCTCGGTGTAGATGCACTGTGAGATCTGGATCGGGAGAGCAACGTTTGTCATGTCGAAATTGCGATATGTTACGTTCTTGACTACCCCGCTGCCTCCGCCGCCCGAGTCGCCGTTGAGGTTATCATCGTTTGTTATGCCTTGCCAGGTCTTGATGAACGCGCCTTCCATGCAATTGATACAGGTGACGTCTTCGAATGTGACGTTTTCCACGTAGTCGGGCATATTTGGGTACTGGCCGACAGATCCAATCGTCATGCCGAAGTTGTCGTAGCAAGTGACATTTTTCACATGCAGATTCGTCGTGTTGCCCTTTGCGGCAATGCAGTCATCACCATTTTGCACGACTGCATTCTCCACGAGAAGCATATCGCTGTTCCACGAATCATAGCCATCGGTATTGACCGTTCCCCACTGGTCGTTGCTAGTCGCATTGACATAGAAATTTGTGATAGAGACATTCTGACTGTATGTGACGAAAGTGGCCCAGAACTGTGGTTGTATGATGCGAAGTCCATCGACCAGCAAATTCTTCGATTCAAAGAACGTGATGCTGATAGGGCGACCTGGCTGGTTGCTGTGGTTCTCATTTTGAGTGTACCATGCTTGGCCCTGGCCATTATACCAACCGCCATCAGCGCGGAAGGTGACATTCTCGCCTCCAAACAACCAAGCGGTAGACTGGTTCTGGAAGACGACGTCGTAGGAGTGAGAAAGCCAGTAGGCGATATCGGTTGAGAAACGGAGCTCTCCTTGTAGCAAGACGTCGCAGTTGGCCAGGTTAGTTGTATTCATGACTGACTGAATGTTGAAAACTCCGTTCGTGAAAATGACATCGCCATTCTGGCCGCAGGTCGCGAAGGCCTGGTGAATTGAGGGCGCGTCGTCGACGGACTGGCCGTCGTTTCTCAAGGACTCCGGGTAAAGATAGCAAGTGGCCTTCTGATTGACCATGGTAGTGACCACATATCCGGCAGTTGTGGTGGCCAGTGCTACCAAATGCAGTAACAGCATCGTGGGGGTTGTAAACATGTCGAAAGATCGAAAAAGAGTTCCCTGGTCACACTGTGACAGGCCAAAGTGAAAGCAAAGTGAAATCAGAGATAAACACGAAAGTCCTCTATATCTATCACGCTCGACCCTAATACCGCGCTCTCAACACGATGATCCGGAACTAGTCTGCACCGGAGAGAATTCCTTTATGTCCAGCTGGCCTGACTCTGACCGCTTAAATAGTCGCGTCAAATTAAACACTCGGACTCATGGTCATTTTCGAAATCTGAAATCAGTATAAACAAAGCCGTGTTGTTTCATCCTTCCCCGCATCGGGAAATGGACCAACCCCTTGATCACGAACTCACGTGATGTCCTTGGCGCTATGGGCGCAGATGATCGTTAATTGTTTGGATATGAGGTGTTAGTGGAAAGCAGATGATCGACATGGGTTGATGTGAAGGGTCATACGAGGCTGTGATGCGTAGAGTGGTATCCTCACCAGACCCACTCGCCCCTGCGTCGCGTGGACTCAGGAACCGATGATTGCAGAAGTACTTTGGAGATTAGTAGTAGACTGTCATAATTCGCGACGAATATATGAAAGGTTGTCTTCTCCACGCAAATTCGCATCTATCTGTATCGGTTTCTGTCCAGGCGATCTTGCAATATGGTCTGAAACCCACCTACTGGCACAAGGTAGTATATCGAGCATGGTCCTCCGGCGAAACGAGCGGCGAAACGAGGTTGCTGCCGATCTCGGGTCTCGGCAAAATGCATTCAATAGGAACTTTTCTATAAACTATTTAGGTAAGAGGTAGACAGGAGCCGAAAAATAAGCTCTAGGCTAGCCAAAAGGCACACAATGTCAAACGCCGACAATATTTATGCAGTTTTCTTCGAAGGCTTGGGGAACTTTCGCGTCCGGCGGCGAAGCATCTCCACTCGCTCCTCCATAGTCCAGTTGACTTGGTCGCCAATTGGAATGAGACATTTGGCTAAATACTCGTAGTTCTTGCGAAGCAAGTTGACGGTGATGAAGATATAGTCGACATTGCGGAAGACAAGGGCATCTTCCTTGGCATAGCGGTCCTTCTGCTTGAGGAAAGCGACGGGGTGGTCTCTCCAGTGACGGCGCGGGTTGAGGTGGTGGGATGTGTGGTATCCATCGTTGAAGGAGAATCGGTTACTCTGGGGGTTTGTTAGTGTGACTCCGGCAATTGGAACGGTGGGCCATCTTACCGGGACATCGATCAGGGTGATACTCGAGAGATAGTCCGAGTCAGGGTCGGCTGGGTCGACGAACGCATGTTGTCCCCAGTTGCCGACCATCAAGCCCAAGCGCATTACGGTGAGCGGGAGGATGAAGACAAACGTGGTAGCGCGGGCATTGACATAGTTGTACATCATATAAAGGGCAACATAGTTGCCGATCTCCCAAAAGGCGCACTTGGCGCCGTATTTGAACTGTCCTTTTCTGAAGAAGTATAGTGGGAGCTCGAACCAGATGAAGAACACGAAGCGGCCGACGTAGCACAGAAAGTCTGGGACGCTGTCTCGGTCATAGTACATGGTCGTACTCAAGTCTTCCCCGCCATTGCCTTCCACGTGGTGGTGCTTGATGTGGTGGTAGTAGTACGAGTTCCATGTGTGACCGTGCATCGGGTCCAACAGGTACGGGAAAAGGGTATCAATCAGCCAGAGTTTTGGCGTGAGGACTCCGTTCATGTGGATGTGCTGATGCTTCATCAAGGTGAACGCACCGCAGTAGAACAACTGCATAAGCCAGTGCAGGACACCATGAAGGTAAGAAAAGCGATAATATAATAAAGCACCACTGGGGACGATCGTGGTGAAGTAGAGAATCAGATGTGTTACCATCACCACATCAGTCTGGAAACGCACGACACCTTTGGCCCAGTTGATGTATGGCGTCAGCACATATTTCTGAAAGGACGCGGGGAGCTTGGCCCGCAACAGTGGGGTATCCCAAAACTGCGAGATGGTGGGATCAAATTCCACATGAGAAGGGTCATTCAAATTATGAAGTAACTGAACGGTTTCTTCGGCGCTCAACTTGTCTCCCGAAGGCTTGGCGGCTGTTCCTGCATCGTCAGTTTCCTCCTTAATGCGTATGCAGGGCAGTAATCACCATCTGTACTGGGACTTGGTTGATCGACAATTGCCTCAATCACCAGTTTATCCTGGTATGTCAGCTGGGGATCCGTATATGTGGACGGGTCCATGTTTTCTAGCCAAGGGGGCGAGGGGCCTAGTTTTTGGTCAATCCAATGCCATTCGATCCCGGGCGGGGACGTACCCGCGTCGATGTGTCGATCAAAAGGGCGGGGATTTCTTGTGAATCTGGGGTTGAGCCAGCTTCAGATATCTCTGTGTAAATTCTGGCCAGTGGGATTTTTGAGACAACCTTGGAGTGCGTCAGGGGCCTTACGCGAAGAGATTTCGGGAGCCTTCGAGTGTGGGTCCCGGGAAGGTGAGTTATGTCAAGAGCAAAACAACACTCCAGGGCTTTGTCTTGAGCTTACGTGAAGGCACTCTTTAACTAAATTTCTGTTTTTCAATACAGGAATATCAATGGAGATCTCAAGGTTTTTATATGCATTAAACACAGCGTCCCTGCGGAGTTTAAATAACATTCCGATCTAAATATAGGGGTGGATGCTATACGGGAAGTGCTCCCCCTGAACAAGAAAAGAGTCTGGCCAATTGGATCGTATGCAATTAATGGCCTGATCTGAACTGAGATTTGAACCAGTCATTCATAGGCAACAGCTGTCAGGAAAATGCAGCTACCTTACGCACAACTTTTAGAAGGCTTCCAAATTTTGACCAATTCGGTGCCCATTTTGGGACAAGGCAAGTTTGAGAATATTCCATACCCGGATACATGAGTTTCGAATAAAATAGATCCAGGCCTTAAGAGCTGCCATTGAATCCGCTTCAATGTCAAAATGTCTAAATTTGCTGGTCGATCAAACGAGGTCTCGATTTCTGAGCCAACTGTACCGCGCGAGTTGACCCAAGAGTGCGCCCGGCTCGATCCAGAGCATTGACAAAGAGATCCCCGCCAGTATAACTGGGAGGGATCGAGATCTCAGTCTCAAAGTGACTTTTGGGATATTCCCCCAAATAAAAGTCGTCGCCTTCCGCTCCCTCCCCGACCACCTTCAGAACCCATGTAGAAACTTCCGTAGCTCCATTCCAACTCACATACACCCGATCATCCACCACGGCAATCTCAGGATCGCTCTGAGGCTGAGCAACCCAAGCGCCCTTTGAGATGCGATAGCTGCGGATCTCGCCGCTATTGAACCAAGTCTCCGGCCCCATGTGGACATTACAGAGCAGTGTCCCATTCGAAGAATATTCCGCCCAGTTAGCGTTTGGTCCGAATCCAAGAACAACATTGTCGTTATCTAGAATCTGCATCGATCCGCTGTTATCTGTCAAAGCATGATTCGGACTGGTGTATTCGTGCTCAAGCTCAACAGTCATGTTTTCGGTGTCGAGGAGTAATGTAATTCCACGAGTTGGTCCCGTCACCGGACGACCTGGACAATTTCCATTATCGAAGATCGAGATTCGTTGCCAGCCATCGTGGAATCGGGCATGGTGCTGACCGTTGAAGCCGACCGCGGCGCCCCCGGAAAGATCTTTGAACATGTTGCCTTTACCGCCAAGTTTCCAAATCACGGCGCCGGTTCTTCCATCCACGTAGACGATAGAGCCCATCATTCGACAGGAGATGAGGAAATTGCCAAGCTTATCTTTTTCAATACTGTTGACGTGGAACAGGTCCGGTGCTGTCGTTTCCGTTCTCCCGTCACTGGGCTGGAAGTGGAAGAACTCTTCAAAGGTATAGTGGTCCGAAGCGCGCCACTCGAAAACCACTTCGCCTGTCTTGATATCGATTTCTTGTATACCTGATTCCAAAAGAAATTCGACTCCTTCGGGTGCGTTGAAGGACGTTTCATTAACAGGGACGACGCCATTGAAAACGATCAGAGCCGTTCCGAATGGTGTCAAGGTCAATTCATGCGCGTCAAGATTCCATCCATTTCCAACTCGGATCTGATAGACCTCTTCATAGCGCGTGTTGATCTGATAAAAATATTAGAGATTACTTCATGCGATACCAGCATCAGGCTCACCAAAGCATAGTGTGTCGAGTCCATTGCAAGAGCAACGATATAATATTCACCCCCGAAAGACTGTATATCTCCTGTGACATATCCGGTGTTGTGCCAGACGAGATACCCTTCCGAATCGAGGAGCATGACGCCAGGGATATTGACCTGCTTTCCCCAGTACGGCACCACGGTATAGAGCCCGTCATCCATACACTCTTCGCTTTTGTCATGATAGTTCAAAATTGGCCCAATCGCGCTCGACGAGTGGTATAATTGATGCGGCCATCTGTCGTATGCTCCAATGTCATATGGTCGTGATCGATAGAGTGGAGCGATATCAGCGATTGACCCTGAAGCCAACAGCGCCACCAATGACAAGAAACCTTTGCATCGCATGGTGTGATGAAAGTGAGAAGAGTGCTGACTGTGCGACAAGCGATTAACAGCCGAGCCAGCCGATGTTTCGTTTGGCGGGCTTGGCTCAGTTCATGAAAGGTGCCAAGGGTCCGTTATCTGATCCATCTGATCCGCCCAGATTGGTAATGGCAATGGCGATCTTAACTAGCCGCTTCCGCTGTAGGTCAGATCGGTACATAGTACTCCGTACTTTGTGTATTTACTCATGCTATTGTTGCGATACTATAAAACAAAATGTACAGCAGTTGTGACAGCCCCAGTCAGCGCACCGTCACTGGCCAGTTTCGGTGCAGATACATTGCCCCAATGCCCAAGACGAGACCTACCGCTATCCACCTCAGAATCGTGCGAATCGCATCCGTCATCGCTGCATCCATATGGTGCTGAAACTCGATGGTCGGGTAAGCATTAGGCCAAGGCGTATCGGGGACAGGCTCCTCGAGAAATTCACAAAGCTCTTTCCACCCGCTCTTCCCAGTTTCGAACTCTAACAGTCTATCCTTTGGAATAGCCGCGCGTATCCGGTCATAGTGTTCCAAGTATGCCTTCTTAACAACGGCCTCTTCATAGTTGTTATTGCAAAAGATCTTCCACACAAGCTCAGATTGTCGGAACAAAGGCCCTAGAACCGTCGAGTCCATGTGATGCCAGAAACGGAAGAAGGGGACTCGCATGAATTTGAAGACTGTCGCATTAGCCGATATATACCACGAATCCACATCTCGGGTCGTCAGAATGATTTTGGCATCTGGGTAGGAGCGGCATAGATCTTCCCAGAATATGCATGCCGGAATATCTAGGATGGCATCGTAAGACCCGATCATACGGTCGAATTCCTCGGTATAGTATCGGGACTTTTGACCATCCAGGAAATTGCACTCCATTGCTTCGATCCAGAGATGGAAGTCATGCGGTGGGTTCTTGAAGCATTCTGAACCGTGGTAGGGGTTGTAGCCGAGTTTGCGAAGGGCAATGGTCATGGCTGGGGACAGTCAATGTTGGCCCCATCTTTCATTGGTCGCTCTGCTCACAATTTGTCCCTGTCCTGGCCATACCCATACACAAGACGCGCATCGGCTTGACACGGCTGTTGGGTTCACTATCGATTAATCGTGGCATGATCGAAGGCGAAGATGTTGTAGTGGGTTTTGGAACGATCTCGGGCCTGGGATCTCGTGTCATATATACTGGAGCAAAGGTAGAGCTGGCGTTCCGTGGATGGCAACCCAAACATGATCACCCGGTACGGCTGTCATTTGACCCCCAGTCGGAACGAAGGCTGAAGTCAATTTGGGCGTCGGCTCCAATTTTTCGGTTGATACTTCTCATATCGCGGGAAGGTTGACGTGGACATGCTATTGTTGAAGATCTCAAAGCATTTACCAGCCAGTAGCTCTTGCGAGGCCCTCATGAAACAATTCATATCCACGCGGTTTCACGCCAGGGGGAGTATGATGTCATAGATATCGAACTCATCCCACGGTTAGACCGCGGACGGCAACTTGCCCTTGGATGGATCTGAAACTCATAATTTAACGGGGGCATATCATATCTTGTTTCCAACATGAAACGAGATGTGTCTGGTTGTACTGAGTGCGACCGCCCAATCAAAACCTTGGAAGCCTTTCCGTGCGAAGTACGGAGCACACGCGGCGAAGACGCGCCCGAGAAGTGCGGGAACGCGGGGCTCCCCTAGCGCCCCCGTACCCACTGCTCTGGACATGTATTAACGGTGACGTCCCTCATATCGCGTAGTAGGTGTGCCATTCATGGGTGGATGTTCCTTAGGTTGTCAAAATACAAGTGAAGAAAAAATGAATCGCAAACAGGTCACGTGAAGCCAATACATCTGGATCTCAAAGGCATCAATTTTCCCTGCCTCGTTAACAGAAAATTGATTAACTAATGTTACAATATGTACGTCCAAGGGGACAAGGTTCGGGTAGGCACAATCCCTGGATATACCCATGGACTCCCCTCGTTCACCCTTGACATTGGGCCACAGCTGTGAGGTAATCTGATACCTGATCAGGAAACACCACCTCGATACTCACGACCCGGGGAGTTTATCTGTCGCATTGGGCAGTCAATTGACCTGCTGAGGATTCTTGTGTTTGTATTTCTCCCTTTGCGCTCACTCATACTTAATGTAGCCAACGTTGGGGCCGGATATCCGGTCGGGTCTGAAGAGTCATGACATACATTCAAGGACCAAGCACGCTCACGAGAGATGACGTTGGGGATACGGGAGTTCGGATCTTCCGACATGATACGAGATATGGAGCACATTGCACAACTGATCCGAGTCTCCAGTCTCCATACGGAGCGCATTGTGGGCCAGGGCGATCAGTTCCTTGCCGTGATAATTGCGGGGCTGGGGGTTGCACGAGTAGGGGGGCGGAAAAGTAACATGGCGTGTCCTATTTTCATGTCTCCTGATCCATTTTCCTAATGGAGGAACTATCGAAGGCTGGAGAAGTTATGGAACCTCGCGAGTACCAAAATCTTGGAAGCAGGATCGTTGATGCAGGGAGATGGTGCACATATCTCCGAAATATGACATTGCCGTATGCAGTGGGACTGGTGGGACTTGCTTTATTCTCCTTGATTGGGCAAAGGCAACGAGGACCTTGCCAAAAAAAAAAAAAAAAAAATCATTGAGCTCTTTGCCTTGACTTCTGCTCAGTCACGGAGTACTCCATACCCAACTACAAGTAAATGTGGTCGCTAATTATAGAGTGGCCAACGGAGACGCCTAAACGTTCCGTGAAATCCCTTCCGAAGGCCAACCCTAACCTTGGAAATAGTCTCCCAGTTGTAGCAATTGCTATAGAACTCCTACAGAGTAAAGAACAGCACTCCGTAGAGAGAACTCTGTACAAAACATCACTCGAGAGGATCTTCAAACCCGAAAATGTCTCAGTTCCCCTCTAAGAAATCGCTAGTTTGGCGTAGTTCCTCGCAACCCCATGCCACTAAGGCTTGTTCGAGTAAGATTGTCGCCACCTCCGCACGCCACTGGTGAAGAGACGGTGGTTCACTTGCACTCTCGACATCATCCACTGCATTAGCTTTGTCTAGTGGCCGAAATTTCCTTGGATCGTCCTCACCGCATGAAAGAAAAGGCCCCATAATGCACAATCGCGTTGACTTTCCATTGAATAACAAGGAATCAAAAAGAATTGAAGACTCAACTGAAAATATCGTATGTTGATGTTCTCTCTCCACCGAGAAAATCAACTACTCCGTACTTAAATATTGACTCCCTGCTGTTGAACACCAGCCTTCCCTTTTTTCACGCATAACTCAAATACCCTTCAACTTCCCTCTCAACTCCCGCAACCCGCAACTCAATTGCGCCTCTTCAATTCCAACCTTCAATCTCCATCTTAAATCTTCCATCCTCAACTTCACCTATACCACCCAAAATGAAGTTCCTCGCTCCCCTCCTCATGCTCGCTGCCTCCGCCATCGCCGCGCCCGTTGCCAGCTCCACCAAGAACTTCCACCTCAAGTCCAGCGGTGCCTCAAACCCAGACCACAACGACCTCTACGTCTACGCCTACCACACGGGCGCAGGCCTCAACGACGCCGTCCTCACCAAGGACGTCGAAACCGCCAGCCCCGTCTACCTCAACGGCACCAACGCCCTCTTCGACCTGAAGTCCGACTTCCCATGGGGAGTCGTTGCCACCGGCAACACCAATTACGGCTGTGAGTAACCCAGACCCTTACACAGGTCGCATTTGAATCTGAACTAACGCCTCTCTCACAGCCTGGGAACCCATCTTGATCAACGCAGGCCAAGGCAGCTCCGGATTCTCCGTCAAGGGCAATAACTTCCAGTGGTCGGAAGCCAGCGGCTTCGGTGGATGGCTCGGTATGATCTCCCCGCAAATCTTTTCCTTTCTCCACAGGGCGATCGCTAATATCTCACAGTCTGCGACTGGTACCACAATGCCCCTCAGCTCTTCTACTTGAACCGCTACTATACCCCCACTATTCCCTCCAGCTGCAGCAAGGTCCAGCTGAAGGCCGAATACATCAAATAGACCCGGTCGCGCGGGGTTGGGATACCCGATACTCATTTTTTCACGCCACTTACGATCATTCACACTTAATGTCTACTGTCTACTAGCTAATAGCACTTTTGAGCGATTATGAATTGAAATGCTTTTGAATTGCTGAAACATGCGCTTCCATGCAAAATTTCCGCTGAATATCGGGGGATATCAAATAAAATCATCTTAACAATGCCGGCCTCCGCGTCAATCATAAGTGAGACGTATCTTCATTCGCGCCACGGGTTATCAAGCAACGATCGGTCCGCCGACATTGTCGTAATAGCGCTTATCCATACCAGCCTGCAAGCGAGCCTCTTCATTAAACGGTCCGCGAATTGGTCCCTGAAAGTGCTTCTGCACATTAGACCGGAAGACCTGAACAGGATCCGTCCCTTCCTGCTCGCAGATCCAAGTCAGCCAGCGGTGCCCGGTCGTCACATGCGTGATCTCATCATTGTGAATGACCTCAAGTGACTCAACGCTCTCGCCATCACCCGCTTTACGGAACTTATCAATCGTCCCAGGATTAACGTCCAAGCCGCGCGCCTCGTGAACGAGCGCAATGATGCTGATTCTCGCCCGCAGATCATGCGCCGTCTCAGTGGCTGAGTACCATAGACTGTGATGCACGGGCAGAGAGCCGAAAGCAGCGCCTAGTTCTTCGAGACGCGTGCGGAGGAGCGAGAAATGCTTCGCTTCGTCGCTGGCGACTTTGAGCCAGTCGTGGAAGAAGGCGCGTGGTAATTGCTGGAAGGTGATTTCGGTTTGGAATGTCGCGAAGCGAATGCAGATGTCGATTGCTAGGTCGATGGCCCAGAGTTCGATGTTGGCTAGGGCGTGGAGCATGGCGATTCGGCTCTTTAGAGTTCCGCCTCGTCCGGATCGTGGCATTTGCCCTGGTTTTACGGTTTCCATGTTCTCGCGCGGTGGTTGGTCCGGTGCGGAGACGGTGCCTCTGCCTAATGGCATGGGTGAGTCTGTGCCTTCTCTGGCTGTGAAGATTGAGAATAGGTGCGTTGCGAGCTCGATCTTGTGTTCCGGGTTGGCGGTGTTGAGAACGTGCGCTGCCCAGTCACATAGCGTTGCACTTTCGTCGAGATATCTCGCTGTGCCGGCCTCTTGGTTGAGTGACGTGGTAGCGGGCTTCTCTGAAGGTTTTGGGTTCTTCAGCTTGACTTTTTCGCTGACTGGGTCCACGCTGGCTAGTGAGACTGTGCAGCCTTCTTCAACTGGGAAATCAAGTGCGACGAATTCGCCTCGCACATCGACTGGGAATGTGCATGCCTTGATGCCGACACTTGACTCGCCGGTCTCTACGTTGAAATCGTAGGCGTGCCATGGGCACGATACTACGTAGGCGGAATCCTCGATGTCGACTGAGGAGTCTGCCATGGGGCCGCCGGCATGCGGGCATTCCGCTTCCATGGAGTAATAGGACCAGCCATCGCTTGTCTCATTGGCTTTCAGGCTGGACTGGTCGATTGTCGGCAGGCGGAACAAGACCAGCTTTTTGCCTGTATTTAGTCGAACCACATATCTGGCTTGTGTGAAGTCGGATAGTTTCCCGCAATTGATCCACATTTTGACGATGGAGGGGAGCGGCGAATGAGATGAGGCTTTTCGCAGATTCAAATCGATGGCCACGTGACCCGTTATCTCTTCTTGGCGGCACTAAATGGGAAGTCTTGGCGTCGCTATTTGCGCGGCCTATTTGATCTTCTCCCGAATCCTCCGCAAGATTGCAGGTCTCCGTGTGGGCTGTCACATTACGGAGGAGTTGTTTAACGTGCAGTATTTGCAGATCCAGGTGCTCCATGCAGGTATCCAAGTAAACTAATTAAACGGGCACCTCGTCCGTTCAACTTGAAAAGAACGCAACAAGACAACGGAGAACAAACGGAGAACAAACAAAGAGAGAGAGAGAGAAACAACAATAGGCTACTGCAATTTACTCCGTACATTATTGTTCGGGTCCACGAGTAGCACGAGTACCCCAACCCGCTATTTGTCGCAATTATTGACTATGTCCATCACGCTTCGGCTATGTTGCGACAGGGAGTCTGGGACTCTGGGGTTGCGAAACAAGCGGTGTGGATTTCCTCAAGATAGCAGGAAAACCTGCTGTAGTGTGCCATTTCAGTGTTCAATTACGAGTGCTCACTAATTGAACCCCCTTTATTTAGCAACCGTGGGCGCTTGGAAGCGAATCCGATAATAGGGCCCAATTAAAAGACTTATTGCCGGTAACAGATTGATCTAATTGTGGGCCTCGCTTCTCCTAAATGCCCTTTAATTTTTCTCTAAATGTTTCTCTCCTAATTAATTAAATATTTGAAGAATCCGTTGTTATAAGGGGGGTGCATTCAAAATGGAGTGAGGCTAAAGGCACTGCAACAAAATAATTTGAAAATCTTGCCCGACTCTTTCTACCTGCGACTTTCAACTTTTACCTCTCACCTCTCAACTTTCCACCTTTAAGAAAACAAACACACATGACTACACGTCGCGTTCGAAGTTTTCCTAATTTTTCTCGCTTCTACAAAGCTCCGTACCACAATACCTGTGACCTTGAAACTGTCTCCATCACTCTGCAGACACTAAGCACGCGCCATGCCGTATGTATGACCGCCTCCACGAGTGACGTGAGCTAACCTTGTAACCCAGCTCCACCATGGCTAACCGCCAGCGGTTTATCAACTGGGGAGCATACCGCAAAGGTGTTTTCTCCACGCTGCCGCGTTTCGACGCACTCCCCAACGGCGGCTTTGAATTGGTCCGCTCTTATCAAGCAGTGCTGGACAGAAATGAAACCTTTACCCAGTACTTTTCTGACAAGCACCTGGAGAGCTACGGCATCGAAGCCAGCCTCCGTGAAGAATTTGGTGTTGGTCCTCCCTGCCTGTCTGACCCTGAGAATCCCGCAGACGAAAGTGCCGGCATCATTAGCTGGACCACAATTTTCCGAAGCGGTGATTTCATTGAGCAGCCGGATGGCCGCTACCTCTGCCATGTCCATGGGAAGATCGTTGAGCTCGACGAGAGAATTTATCGAACGATCATGATAAGCCGACGCGCTTTTCCTCCGAGTTCGCAAGCATGGCCGATTCATTCCGATGTGGATCGTGAGCTTGAGCTCAGTATGGCGATTGAAGCTGATGTTGTGAATGAGCTCAATTCGCAAATCAAGTGTCAGTCTCTTCCGTGTGCCAGATTTGTGCTGACCCATGACTTCTTTTGGTCTGAGGCTAATTGTTGATGTAGATGTTGAGCGATTGCATCGCCTTCAGCTCACAATGAAGAAGCGCCGCAGGGGCCTGCAGCGTATTCAAGACCCCGAAACTGTGAAGCTCGAGCCGGAGACGGAAAGTCCGCGGCCACTCAAGGCCATGTTCCCGGTCTCAACTCCTCGACCCGTGACTTCCGGGGAATCTCACACCACGCGTGCTCGATCCTCGTCCGAGAGTTCGGTCTCATCTGGCGGGGACATCCCCAGCGCCGCCGCCGCCGAGGATTCGGCCCAAGCAAACCTGGGCAACACTGCTCTTTCAGGTGTTGGCTACAGTAAGGGGAAGGGCAAATATGCAGCCCCAACCAATTCTGAGCAAAAAGTCATTCATATTCACGATGACACAAGCTCACCCCTGACATCACTTGGCTCGGCGATGGATCCTTCACCATCGTCTCAGTTTTTGCCGGTAAATCAGAGCCAACTGAAGGTGGCTCGCAACCTCTCCACCCCCGGACCATCCACCACCCCAAAGCGATCATTTGACGCTTACTCCCACGGGGACTCTCGTCCTTCGTCCGGCAAAAGACAGAAGAGCGCCGCCCCCTCCTCGGCGAAAGTTGCTGGTCCTTCAAGCCACGGCCAGCAAATGCCGATGTGGAACGTCCGATTCCCAGACTCCCCTCATCAAACCCCATCCTCCGCGAAAAGAACGGCGGAACCTGAGGTGGCGCCACCCGAGAAGCGCCAGAAACAAACGACTCCTGCGCAGAAGAAGTCCGGGACCAGGAAGCCCGAGCAGAAGAAGCGAGAAAGGCATAACTTCACTGACTTCGAGAAAGAACACGGCCCTCCCTGGATCCGAGCTGCGATGAATAGAGGACTTGGTGGAGCCGAACTCCAGAAGGCTTACTTCCAGCACTTCGGCACACACCACCACGCAACCACCCTGAAGGCATTCTTGGACCGAATGGAAGCCAAGGCTAAAGCAAACCCCGCTGCCAGCACCAACCCTAACTCCACCCCTAAGGGCACTACCGAGGCCCCCATTCAACCTACCACTGAGCTCAGTACTAATGCCACAACTGAACTCCCTACTAAGCCCGCCACCAACCTCACTCCTCAACCCAACCCCGGGGAAGGTGGCGGCCCAAGCACGGCACAGAAATTGAAGGTACGCTTCGACCCAGAAGCCCCCAGGAACCCCCCTAGTGACACGATCAGCAGGCGACTTCGGTCGGGTCACCCATGGCCTTACAGGGGCGAATAGACTCACCCACCCAAGGCACCCCAGGGACAAGCCCATCCCTCCAAGGTAATATTACACCATCCTACGTCTCGCCTTACACACAGCTGGGTCCTTCCAAACAAACACCTGTCAAACCCGCTTTAATTCAATCCGATGTCATTCAGTCCGGAAATCGGGCCTCAGACCAACCGAAAGCCTCGCCAATGAAGAACGGTGAGGATATACGCTCAAGCTCGGCTGCGATTGCAAAGTCTCCTATGAAGAATGGACTACCTAAAGTCTAATATCACCTTATCGGCTATGGATCAACTCCTCATCCATGTCCATGTGTACCACCATACTATTTTTTTCAACATGCAGTTCTCTGACTTGAGAGTCATTGAGAAGATACTGCCTTTCTGCTGTCAGCGAAGTTTTACCAAGCGTATGTGTTTTCGAAAGTTTTGTGAGAATGGGCAAGGCCCGATTGCATTTGCGGCAATGTGTACGGAGTACTGTTTTCATACCCACCATGTTTTGATTATTTATCTCAGCTCTGAATCGGTTCAAATCAGCATATATACTTAGCGTTTGCGATTTGATTAACAAGATCCCGAGGTCCTTCAATTTAATTGCGATAATAAGTAAATTGGTTAATACCTAGTGTAGTGGGAAGAGCGCGCTGGCGGTCTGACATCGCAGACAAGACGACGGGGGTGCTCAGTGCTCGACGGGGACCATGGGAGCTAAGCAGGCTCCCAGAACGCCCAAATAGGAAATAGACGCTGTTCTTCAGAGAGGTGTAAGATGCTTGGATTTCTAAACTATGGGATTTCGAGCAAAAACTGCCAGAACTAGCCACAGTGGCGCACCTGGGAGGTGGCGCGGTTTCCCCATTACATTAGGTAGATCCTAAATAAGATAACGCTTGATAGAAGAGAAAGAGATAAAATAGGTAAGAAAAAAGAGAGTAAATATGTTAGATATAGTCTAAAGTAAGACCCCTATGTTAGTGGATTTCTAGAAAACAATCTGGATTTTCAGAAATCCACTAATATAGGATGACATAATAGATTTTCAAAAAACATTTTGGATTTTGAAAATCTACTGATACTATGAGAGCTAAGGAACAGATAGCCACATAATTAATAGATCTCTAAAAAGAAAAAGGATTGCTAGGTAGAAAGTGATGATACAAGGGATCTAGAGATTTGGCTAGCCTAGATGTAACTAGACTTCGGCACAACCCACTCTAACCCGGACCCAACCCAACCCAACCCAACCCAAAATGGGTTTTGGGTCCATTGCTTCGACCCAACGATGGGTTTTGGGTTATAGCTCATAACCCAAAACCCATTGGGTAACCCATTGGGGCCCCAATATAGTGTAAACCAGACAAACAGACTTCTAGCGTATAACTGCATAATTAATGCATTTTTTGCTTGTAATATTGAGTATTTTACTTACAGCGCTCTTCTAGAAAAAATGGAGAATAAATCAAATAATTGAACCAGGATGTATTTCTCTAATATTGCTCAAAATCATCATCTGCCCTGCTCTTACGCTTCCTCCCTGAGGCCCGTCTCTGAGTTGCAGTCTCTGGTAACTCTGGCTCTGTCACCTCTATATCTATATCTATTAAATGAGGAGATGTCTCTCGCAGTCTATTATCTACTCCTTCTTCCTCTTCATTATCACTAATCAGGTCAAGCTCAGCATCCTCTATATATTCATCGTTCTGCTCCTTCGCTGACTCAATCTCAGCTAGTGTAAAGAACTGCTCAAGCTGCTTTGCCTCAGCATCCTTAATATTGAATCTTGTTGCACATAGAAACAACATAAGCTCCTCGATTGTTTCGGACTTCAGACGACCACGGCGGTAGTGACAAACATCCCGAGCAGTATTGAAGAGCCGTTCGACACCAGCACCAGTTGCTGGAATAGAGAGAATATCGCGAGCAAGTAACGCGATCGCAGGGAAACGAGATTGGTTCTCACGCCAGAATTGAAGAGGTTCAATATCAATTAGATCTAGTAGTATAAATATATTAGTATTATCCTATATAGGGAAGAAATAGATCATAAACATACCACTATCGAGATATTGAGTCATCTCATCACCAGCTGGTTTTGCGGATATCTTGTTACTCTTTAGCATCATGTTCAGTCTAGAACTAGATGATGCTATTGTTGGAGTATTAGTCGATCCTTGATTTATTGTAAGGCGCTCTTGATACGGAATCAATAATTCCTGGAATGATTTCCGGTAGGTATCACGCCAGTGAGGCTCCCAATTATCAGATTGAAAGAACTGAAATCTGCTGTCAGGTGCCAGCATTGTCCCAACTGCATAGATATGTCCTTTGAGATTGTCGGTTTGAGAGTAGTACTCATCAAGTTTCAAGCGACCAGCTATGAGTGCTTTGAGCATGTCTGATTTCCATGGAACACGCTTGCGTTTAAGCAGCGCCTCTGCTTCAAAAAAGTGATCAAAGAGGGCATTGTAAATCTTAAAGACAAGATGTGTGGTGACCTCCTTTGTCTTCGAGAGCTCTGTTGTGTAGTCAAAGAATGGCCGAGTGATTTGTAGAAGATAGTCAATTTGACGCCATTCTTGAGTATCAAGCAACATCTCCTCACAGTCATACTCCTCACAGAAGGGCTGGAAGAAACTACGTAGTCTCTTTGCACGACGAAGCATCAAGAAGGTAGAATTCCACCGAGTCCTTACGTCCTGGATTGGAACAAGCTGGGATCCCTTTTCTTGAAGTCGGAGAAAGGCCGCCTGGCGTTGCGGACTTGCATGGATATACACAGCAAGATAACGGACCTTGTTTAAGGTGTATGAGATCCTCTGTGTCTGGTGCTGAGCATTTGCCTTTGCTGCAGATGACTTCTGGTCAGTCCACTTTGTTTCTGCATTCTCATTTAGAGGGATGGCCTTTAAACGATCAAGGAGCTGGTTCAAACAAAGCTGGATAACATGGGCAAGACAGGGTATTCGGATTACTGTCACATCGCTAGAGAGCGCCTGCTGAATAGCCTCAACCATTGTCTTGTTGTTGGTTGCATTATCAGTTGTGACTCCAAATACCCGATCCTGGATCTTGTGCTCAACTAGAGTTTCAAGGAGTACACCACTTAAATTTAAACCGGTATGGGAGCCATAAAGTGGTTTAAATCCAAGTAGAACCTCTTGGTATACCCAGTTACTGTCAACAAAATAGCCAGTGATAGCCATGAACGCCTGGTTATATGGAGAAGTCCAGCAATCTAATGCGATCGAGATTTTTGCGTCGTTGGGTAGTGTTTGGAGGATAGATTTCTGTCGTTCTATGATCATATCACGTAAACGACGACGTATTGTGGTAGCAGAGGGTATCGGAGGGAGAGATGGTGCAGAGCGGGCTAATCGGAATAGCTTGTGAAATGTTGGATGTTCGATGAGGTGGAATGGAAGTCGATTGAGGGTGAGAAATTGGAGAAGATGCTCTTCCCATGCCGATTGTGAAAAAGGAGCCTCTGGTAAGCCGTGATCCTATGTATCCAGGAGTGTTAGGGAAATCGGATAACTAAATAAAGAGGTAAGGAGATACTACTTTTTGAAGGAACTGGGTAATTTCTCCTTTACCTCCCTGTTGAGCTTTGCGACAGCCTGCTGTCTTTAAATGCTTCAACATTGTTGATGTACCATGATAGCCCTTTCCGCTAGGTGATGGAGAATGGGGATGCTCTAGGATCTTTGAGCAGCGCTTACACATCACCTTTGGCGCACCATCTTTGGTATAGGCAACTTGGTCGAAGTTGCTCCATATGTTTGAATTGCGATTTGAATCCCAGGAAATCTTGCTTTTCTGCCCATAGTCGGTTTGTAGCCACCACTCAACCCATTCTTCATATGCCATATTGTCATAAAGCACATATGCCTTTCTCCGATCGGGGCCAACGCGAGTAAGAGAGTGTGGAATTGGTAGAAGGTTGGAGGGCCGAAGGAAGTCAGTATCAATAGCATCAAAAGGCTCAATTGTGAGCTGGCTACCAGATGGGGTTGGAACTCGAGAAGAGGGTATAAGATAGCTAAGGTTATCTGTATCCGCATCGTAAAGAGTAGGTAAAAAGTCAGAATGCTGGCTTTGGGACATTGCGACCGAAAAGGGGAATACTATAGAGGTAAGGGGGAAAGGCAGAGAGAGTATATACTTACAAGAGAAGGGTATATGAACAGTAAACACCTTAGTCCTATAGTAAAGTAGATAGATCAAAAGGTATAAGCTATAATGTTGTTTGATTGGCTATATAAGCTCTATTTAAATGGGTCTAACCCAAGAGAACCCAACAGGACCCAACAGGACCCATCAAAACCCAAGAGAACCCATTCATAACCCATCGAAACCCAAGAGAACCCATTCATAACCCATTAAAACCCAAGAGGACCCATTCATAACCCACTCCCCCAGAAGATCCCTCAAAAATGTTTCATTTACCCTCCCAGAAGAACTTTTCTAACCGCGGTCAGAGATAATAATATATACACCTACACCCCCCTAGAAGGGCTTTTCTGACCGCGGTCAGAAATAATGACATATACACCTACCTCCCAGAAGTGATTTTCTGACCGCGGTCAGAAAATATAATTCGGAGCACATATAATAAGTTAAATATAAGAGAAGAGAAATATAGCTTTAATATAATATCAATTGTATATAAAATCAAATAAGAATAAGATATTTCTATTTACATTCATAGTTATCCTATAATATATACATACTCCCCTCTACCACAAATATATATTTTCAACAGTCCACAGTCAATAAATGCTTAAATTAATAGAACACCACTATACTACGATTAATGTGAATTTTTATCAGTAATCAATATAATACAAAGCCTATTAGCTTCAAATTCAGGGTAATTACATAAATTTTCCAACTTAATATTGTGATAATGTAGCAATATTTGATGAACAAACCAGAACAGCTGTAAAAAACAGTAATTTATTTGAATGACTTAGCATTGTTATGAACGCCAAGACCTATCTTTTATGCAAAAATGGGTTCAAATGGGTTATTATTGGGTTATTGGGTTTAACCCATTGGGTTTTGGGTTGGGTTGGGTTATAGAGGGCGGAACCCAAAACCCAATGGGTTGGGTTTTGGGTCGGAGACTCCGACCCAAAATGGGTTCTGCCGAAGTCTAGATGTAACGCTGGTAGTCCTATAAGATATATGTCCCGTTCTGACATATAGATATACGGGTGTTTTCCATGTGCTCCAAAGTTCCCAAGGTCACATCTAGCCCCGGAGGCATTGGCAACTGGATGTATCGTTGGCATACCGGGGTAAATTGGTGATCCATCAACGCTGTCATCGCGTACATTCATGGATGTCTCAGGCGCCTTTTTTGAGTTCCAAGGTTACTTGTTCGCTCATTGCTTGACCTCTAAATCTCATTGACCTAGTGGCACAGAAAGCAAAGCTGTTTCTGCTTCCAAGGTTCCTGCTTCTTGCTTCATGAAGTAACCTCCGTCGTTAGACTCTTTGAAACTGACCTTGCTTATCATAAGACACATGGAATGAGGGTGAGATAGTTCAAACCTTTCACGTTTTTCATTCCAACCTCTGAACACCTCCAAATCTTGCAAGTTTCGTGACTAGCTGGATGGTTCGCGATAATACAGTGCTAAATATGGCACGGCTGCCTTGTACCCATCAGGTTCTATTAAAATGCCTCTGCCAGCCCTGGAGTACGCAACGATGCTCCTTGTTGGTTTATTCAGACGCGCCACTTTCTATATCCATGGATCTCCAGAGGTCGTTCTTCCAAGATTGATCTCTGCCGTTTTGTGCTTCCCTCCCTCTTCCATACCTAGACATCTCCACACGTCGGAGATGGACGCAATCCCTTCCAAGGTTGGCACACAGCTCGCGCATTTCTGGATGCAAGAATTGCAACCTCGGGCGGAGCCATGTTTGTGTATATGAGCTCATGGTCTTCGAAGGTTGCATGAACCACTTGGGCAATACCTCAAGGGTAGTCGCCAAGGACAATTTCCACTTCTCATCCGTCGGAAGGAATTCACTTTTAATAGTACCAGTATTATTTGAGTCTTTCTATACAGAGCAAATGCGCTTCATCTATACCTATGTTTCCATCGTAGACCTATGTAATGCTTCCAAGATTACCAATGGTGTGAGGCCACCTGGGCACAGGGGACCTCGAACTGTTCCAAGGAGGCAAAAGAATCAGGAATAAGTTACGGGATACCAAAAACGCTTACACACTTGCAATATTGCACATGCCAAGTGATTGATGCCCAGTACTGATTTTTCGCAAGCCACAATTATCTCAACATTCATTTTCCAAACCTCCAGTAATCGCCAGGTCTACGGATGCATGGTTCATCCACGTCCAAACTTATCTCCGGGTCGGTCGCTCTGGGCCAAGCGTGTAGCCTGACGACACGGCGGCCCTATGTTAGGGCTTGTATAGCCCCAGTGTCTATAGTGAAGGCTGCACCGGAGGCCGGATGCCGAAGGTTTGATCAGCGGTGCAAAACCCCCCATCCGTCTATCGACGCCCTAAAACCCTAAAACCCTAAAACCATCAAAGCTGGTGCGCCAGTCCCTGTGCCTTTTTTCACCTCAGAGCTCCACCCTGGTCGAGCAGGCAACCGATAGTTGTTTTCGACTGACTCTGTGCCACCTTCCAGACTTGTTTCTTTTTTTTCTTTCCTTTTTTTTTGGCTGGGATTTGTCGGTAAACATAGCGGAAACCACCGTTGGAGAATTTTGTTGTTTGATTGCGCTTTGGGTGATTGAGGTAAACTAAGCGGGAGCTATCTCCAGGGCTGTAATGTCCAACTTCCGACACATTCACACCTATCGAATCCCAAAAAAATTATGAGGAATTCCTCATCTCTCCTGGAACCCTAGTGTCTTTTACTGAGTACTGAGCCTTCGTAAAGTGACTGCTATGAAGTAGAGGAGTAAGGGTGGGCAAGACTTGGGCAGGGTCGTCGGTGCCAAGGCGCAATTATCCTTGGTAACACCTGGGTTTTGCTCGTTTCTCAGCTTCGAGGGTAATTTTGTGATAGATCTTGAATGACTTGGGGCAAGCAAATAAGATCGTGTTGGGGCTCGGCTCATATCCGAGCCAAGGACATGATCGCAAACAAAGGAGGTTTTTCTTTTCTTTTTATTGGCCGAATTTGTTTGCTACACTAGTTTGGGTCCACAGCTGGACAAAGAACTATAACTGCTAGTAATATTACACCCAGGCTATGTATGTATTGAAAGACTGGGATCGTGATCCAATCATATCTCAACAGGGACTTGGGCTTCGTTGTGTCCCCTGACGCCTCATTGCCCAAAAATTTGGCTCGAGAAAAGGCTTTTACGGAGTACTCGTACTCAACTTGAATTAATGCACTCGGGGTTCTTGAGCAAGAGGAACACAGGGAACCTGTAGAGTTATTTGCACAGAGTAGTTCGCGGTTTGAAAATATGCATAGCCCTCTTTTGGCATCACAAATCGACGGGGAGGGGGGACTGACATTGAGTGTACGGAGTAAGCGCGCGTGGTTGAGCAACAATGAAATCTCAATTTGACCAGCGCGTGCTCCTCTTTTCTTTTCTCACATCACTCCGTACATCAAACATCCATCACAACCAACGTTTTTTTCTAACGCACCTACTGGGCATTGGAATTGAATGTCAAGGTAAAAGTTTCCAAACCCCCCTAATCAAATCCTCGACAGCTAACCTTCCTAGTCTGGCCTTCGAAAAAAAAAAAAAAACCATCTTTCATCGCATAGCTCTGGACCATTCGTCTCGTCATGTCCGACGGACTCTGCGTCCCAGATACTAGGCCCACGCCGAGGATGAGGCCGTTTCGTGATATCCTCGCAGACGATCGCAAAAACCTAGAAGCGATGGAAGAGTACGCAAGTCGGGTGAAGAGAGATGGTCCCTTACAGCCGAAGTCAAGGATCCCATTGCATGGATATCGCGTGAGCCCCCAAGAGGAAGAAGTCTTACAAACGCGTTTCAGCACTCAGTACCCACGGCTACTTGAGCCACTTCGGAACCAGGGTCCGATCACATGGACTCATGTACTGCTCGAATCACTCAAGCGCAGTGATTTCATCGCAAAGGAGAACGGGCTTTACCAATGCCAGGTACAAGGGGCTTCGATACAAGTGACTTCCCAGGATTTGGAAGAGATATTGAATGAGCTTGGGATTTGCCGACGAGTGATTACTGAACCTTACTCTGATGCGGCAGAGAGTGAGACAAGGCAGGAAGTTGCTGGGTGCGTGGCTGCACAAATGGAGTCTCTTCTTAAAAGTAAGTTGGGTCACTGCTTCGTCTCTCCATGCTTGGGTCAAACATGAATACTAAAACAGTCAATAGGATACAACGCGTGCCAGAGCATCCTTGATATTGTCAATGGGCCTTCCAAACCGAAGAATATCGGGGCCAAAGCCCTCCCCACACCCGCTGTGTCTGCAACAGACGATGGACAGAGCTCGCCGGGAGCAGCACAAGAGTCCAGAAACATCAGATCAGCGTGTCTACCACCGAAAACACGAGCACTTCCGGCCTTAGCCTCGGGATTGAGGAAAAGATCAAGGCGAAGTGGAAATGGAGTGGATGTCAGACCGGACACCCACCCAGTTCCCCGCCGAGAGAATGTACCCGAGACCGGTAGTGAAGACTCAAGTTCCGATGATGAGTCCACTGGCGGAGACATTCCGCATGATTTTGGTAGACGAAGGGACACAGCGATTTTAGGATCCTCCAGATCGCGTGTTGGATCTATGGAACATCGAGAAACCCCTAGAGATCCTGGCCACACGAACAGGACGTTTCATCACGAGAAGCCTGCAAAGAAGAGTCGCTTATACTCCTGTCGTGAGATGGATGAAGCCAAACCCTTTCTGATGAAACTCGTTGCAATGGGCTCCACCGAATCGGAAGTCGAGGAGGCCTACATGCGCAAATTTAATGCCATTCGATCCGTTCATAACCTCCTTGAGAAATTTGAATTGGGGCATCTGCAATCCGAATTGGAGGGAAATGCAAAAGTGCGAAACAGAAGAAGATCCGACCTCCAATTATTGCTCCAAGGTTGAGAATGACAGGTAATGGGTAATGGTCGCTAGGTTGAATACTGCTCATCTATTATGATGCTTTGCCCCAATAGTCACAGAACTGAGAGTGTTGCCAAATTATCTTACGCGCGTACACTCGAGTCAATAGCGAGTCATGGTAGACACGTAAATGCGCGGGACAGAGCTCAGGTGACAACTGCTGCGTAGAATTACTTGGAGTATGGTGTAAGATTCTCTAAATATAAGTATGCGAATGAAACTCCGTACTCTCACGCATTCTTTAATGCCCCTGCTTTTAAATCGAAAGCCCTTCTCACCGGTATACGAACACAGTGCTGTATTTCAAAAAAGAAAAGTGCAGGAGGACAAAGAAAACAGACGCCCTAGTCCCACCACGTATCTTTTGGGGTGGCCCCAGAGACTAGTTGCCTTAGCACTCCGTAATACAGTCGTATTTCACAGTGGAAAACCAACCCTGTACTTTGTGGCGCCTATAGGCGTTCATCAACCCCGTCTGCGGGTCGGATCGTGCTAATCCACTATCCATCATCTCACCTCCCCGATTCCTCCCAACATCAACCCCTTCATCTTTGAAAGGTTCAGATATTTTGAACGTGAGCAACTGTAGCTTGTTGGAGAGGTAATATCTACCACTTCCCCACTGGGCGATTTGAACTGACCCTAAAGCCGCTTCCTTGTTAAGCAGACAGACTTCCTCCTAATGGAGTCCTCTGAGAGTCTACGATCCTTCTCTTTGTTATACCGAGATCTAACAAAAGTCATTAATGGCTACCAGGCTTATTCTGACTTGATAATTGACTTGCGGGGGCAAGGTCAGGCTCTGGGACCAACCTTCAAGGACATCGCAGCAAGGCCCGAGCTGGAAAACAAACTTTTGGAACGTTTTGGAAGTTTGGGCCCAACACTAGTTTGCCCAAGAGATGAGATTAACATTTCCTGGCTGGATGTATTACGCGGGGGTCTTGAGGACGATGATTTGAAATATCAAGGAGATGGAACATATTGGTGCAGTCTGCAAGGCGTTTGGATTGTGCTCACTCATGAGCATCGTGATGCAATACTGGATGATGCCGTTCAGCGGCTTATACAGCCTCGGGTGTACTCAACGAAGGAGCTTGAGCTGCGCACACGCTACAGACTTGAAGACATTCTGATAGAGGGGAAAGGCCAAGCCGAAAAACGTGAGCCTCGACCCTCTGAATACTGAGAAGTTCCGTTGAGATAGTTTTATACTCATCAAGAAGCAGTACTCAGTTTGTTAACCAGAGGTGTTGATACTTTGAAACATACCACTCTGATGGATATCGACACCTACTCTCCAATCGACAAAAATGGGGTTGAAGGTGATCACAAAGGGGTCCGTTCACACCTCATCGATACCCCCGAGATAAAACAGGAGACGGGAGGCAGTGTAGAGAGCTGTATACTCATCGATGACGTTGACGATCCGATGCCAAGCGAGACAGTAGACCACACTCTTGTGCCGAATTCTATTAAACGAGGCTATCACCACCTCAACGAATCCCCGGGATCTCTTCAACACAGCGTTCCAGAAGGTCTGGACCCAGACTCCTCTTGCGAAGATGGGAGCGACGATGGAAATCACGCAACAACACAAGGAAGACCAAAACGTGCTCGCTCCTTAGACGCAACTAGCCAGGATCGAAGCAGCCCTGTTCATGAGCCCGGCGCTCGACCTTCCAGTGGTTTATCCTACACCAGGAAGGAGCGTCTTGAGGGAAAGGACTTTATAGAGTTACTACTCAACAGAGGAGCCACCAAAGATGAGCTCCATGCTCTATATGAAGCAGAGTTTGGGAGATATCGGACTTGGGACGCACTTCGGACAGTTCATAAGAATCCTAACATACGACGTCGTTTGACGTTTAATGGCAGCCTGGTTGGAAAAAGCCTGAAAGATTTCCCTGATTTCACCGCCAGAGAGAGATTTGAAGGGAAGTCCTTTGTGGAGTCGCTCCTTGACAGTGCTGCCACCACCAGGCAAGTTGAAAACGCCTACAAGACAGAATTCGGGATCGATCGGCTCTTCTTTCATTTGCAGTATATTCACAATATTCACCATGCCCAAAGACGTGCAGCTCAAAATGGGTCTCTCGAAGAGGGGGTGACCATGGGAGAATGGAGCGAGAGGGAAATTCAATGTGGAAACGGGTTTTTTGAGACGTGGCTTAACCGTGGACTCGTGGCACCGGAAATTGAGAACCTGTGGAGAAATGAGTTTGGGACACGCCGAAAAGCTCCCACTATTGTCCGTCGCTTGGGAGTACTTCATGGAACAAAACGGTTGTCCGAAAACCTACGAGCAAAAACGGTACGTTGTCATCTCCATTCGACTGGTCCACTCAACTTATTATTACATATAGCAATTGCAGGATCGGGAACAACAGGGAGAAGCCTCATGAGGCCGAAGATGTCTTTGTGAGAAGCGACATGAAGCGACATGAAGCGACGAGGGGGATGAAGGAAGGCGAGAAAAAGCCCGATTCAAGATTTCTCAGCTATTTGAAGCATGTCGTACTTTTGAAGACTAGGCTATCGCCGACGGACGAAATACATTATTTCAATTCAAATGCACGCCTGAGATTACTTTGGTAACGCACGCCTAAAATCAGATCGGAACTTTGGAAGTGCAAGCCGCAAACCTCGGGGGCACCTGGCCCCGAGGCATTCTCTGCCCGGGCGCTGGGTGCCCGAACAAGCCCTCTGAGGACACCACGAGAGCCATCTACGGATTTGCTCACCAGATGGAAATCGAGAATATAAAATAAAATAAAATAAACATAGGCTTGGATTTTCTATTCTGAATCATCTGTTGCTTTGGTGTTCAATGTTCCTTCGAAGCTAGATACGAATGTCTGCCGACCAAGGCACAATGTTTGCTTGCACCCAAAACATGTATAGATATTTTCATCCCATGCACACACACCTTCACGCGCGCTCACAATACAGGCCTTTTCTCGTTTCCCGCAGCTCTCCTTCCACACGTCCGATTTGACTGCACCTTGGCTTCTGCGACAACCGTTTCATTTTCCACCGACAGGATAGCTTCAACGTTGTCTCCGGTACCATCACCGTCTCGCATTTGAATGCGACTCATATCATTGAGCACCGCAACTTTGGCTGTACGCGATACCTACTTCCCTGACGACGAAATCTATCCAGAAGATACCCATTCTTGTAAAACATGGAAGACACCACCCCCAACCAAACGAGTCGGCATCAGAGTCCATCAACTTCGGTTTAGGTCGGCGTGATCCCTTCTTCGACGAACTACACAATATCTACGAATCATGCCTCATATTCCGGAATAATCTCCAGCGGGACCAAACTCTGTCATCCTATCTCACCGAGCAGCTCGAAGAAAAGCTTGTTGGTATCTTTGGTGGCCCGCCGAAATGTCTACCCGAGCCCGAGCCGTCTACAGAGACTTCCAACGACGCCCCGACTACAGAACCTCAAGTGATAGACTTGACTGAAGAATGTCCAGCACCTTTTCCAGCACCCCGACCCATCTCCTGGACTGAGATTCTTGACAGGCCATACTCCCTCGAGGACTTCAAGCTCCAGTCGGACTACACTTACCAATACGCCATCAGAGGATCAGTGGTTGAGATATCGCTAGACCAGCACCTCATGATCTCCTTGGGTAGTGTCCAGTTCATGCTTGATGCAGAGGTCTCAGAGGGAGACAAAGAGTGGGAAATGCTCCATGCAACCAGGTCTCACTTTATACGGTACCAGGATGTTATCAGAGATAGTATGCTTCTGCATTCTCGCGTGCGCATCGAGTGACTGACAAATATTTACTGTTTTAGTTCACATCGTGCTGGGTCAGACACTGGATATACTGGAGAAAAGGCTGTGGGAGGATGAGACACGCAGAAGTGAATACTCGACTGAAATGCCAACAACTGATGAGGATGACGAAGAGTGATCAATCCGGAGTGCCGAGAAGATCAGGTGTCTGAGAATACGTCATGATATGAAATGGAACAAGGGACTCGGTTGGGCAGGGAATCAGGGAGATGACTGCATTGAAAAGGACACTTGAATTGGATGCAATTTCTGATTGCCCCAATGGGACACACTCATACTATGGGGCAGGCTGACTTGAGCTTGAGGAGCAAGGACCCCAGTGTTGGAAAATACTGCGTCTAACCTAACCTAGCAATGAAATCCTACGTACGATAAACGAGACGTGCATATGAAATGACGAAGTTGCATTAACTCTAATTACGTGGATATGTAATTCCAGCGAGCACCTTATCAGGTCTCATTAATTCGTTAAGCGTAAGGAAGGGCAGCGCAGTCAAGGAAATGCGCGCGGTATACATCAAATCAAGATCTAGCGCAACCCTCCGATGGTATCCAAAAATGACTTCATGTGATCAAGCTCCTTACAGAGCAAGGGCAACGCCGAGCACACCGACGGCACCGGCAAAGCTCAGGGCAACACCGGTAGGGGCAGCGCCACCGTCAGAGGTGGAAGAGCCAGCGGATCCGGAAGGCGAGCCGGATGCCGAACCGGAGGCGGAGCCAGATGATGAGGCGTCTGAGCCAGTGGGAGAAGCAGAGGAAGAGGTGGTGGTCAACACTGTGGTAGATGCGGTGGTGGTGGAAACACCGCTGGAAGACCCAGTGGCACTAGCCAGGGAGGAGCTGATGCTTCCGCTGACGCTAGTCGCCTCGGCGGAGACGGAGGAGGCCCAGGTAGGGTAGTAGTCTCCGACGGCGGTGGTGACGTACGCCTTCACGCTCTCAGGGAGGCTGCTGTACCATGTAGGCCAGGAGTTTGAGACAAAGCCCTCCTCAACCTGGGACAGGAAGTTGGCGGTGTTGGTAGCCTCGGCCCAGAAGGAGCTGGGGACAGCGGTGGCGAGGACCACGGCGATGGACTGGGGGATGGTGAAGTCGTCGATGTCCTGGTTGGAGTCTGTCTCGGCCGGAGCGGCAATGGCCATGCTGGCGAAGAGCACAGCTGCAAGGGACTTGAACTGCATAGTGGCGGTGTGTGGAGATTGAAGATTGGGGTTTGGAGGAGAGATGGGTATCAAAGTCCGCGTTTGAGGGGAAAGAAGAAATGTGCATATCTGGGGGGAGTGGGCTATGCTTAAATACGCCCCCAACTGCGTGCTCCGACGCCAATGCGCGAACTGCATCATTTTGCAAGGCTGAGGCTCTCCTTCCTCTCGGTCACCCCACCGACGCTAGGTGCGCTGGTTCCACCACGGCCAATGGCGACCTCATCGCCCCCAACGCTGAGTGCCGATCACCGAGAGATGCCCGCGACAATCCACGGATTTTTGGGGACCGCTGATGTTTTCCTTCAGACATTGAGGCCCGTGGAGCGATTAGTCTGATTAAGTCCCACGAATTGCCCTCAAATTCTCCCAACTGCGACGACCGCCGGATCGCACGACGTCGTATGAAGCGTGGAGTACCGTGCCAAGATCGCCCCCAAGCAATGCGCCTCTTTCATTCTGGGCACGCTTCCTTGACCCTGCGCATGACATCACCCGCTCGATCCCCGGAGAGCGACCGACAACTTCCTGGATTTTATCGTTGCTGCCTTCGGGTTCTCTCTCTGGGGTTCGTTTGTATTGGTTCTCCCGGTTGAGGTATCAAATATCGCCATGTTGATGTTCCATACAGTTGACTTGGGTGGCACACGGCCCGCTGCCCCACGTTTCCAATCTCAGAGATCATCCTGAGGCCATGTTGCGTGCTTTTCACCAGACCGCATAAACTTGCCGGGCGAAATACGTACTTCGGTTCTCGGCTTGCGTAATGCACGTCTTGGAAGATGATTCTGACGCAACAAAGTTGAGACCAGAGGCTTGGAGGTGCCTTGTAAGTTTTATGCATAACCGAATATGCACTAAGCTTGCATAAACAGAGGCGTGGTAGATACAGAATACATGGGATTAAACGTCAATAGTCTACTTGGGGTTCGAGGTCATCTTTAAAGTGTCAACCGCGTAGACCTCCGCAAAGCCCATTAGCCCCAGAACCCAGCCCAACCCAACCCATTAGTGGGTTGGGCTTTGGGCTCTAGGCCGGGCCGATAGATGGAATTTTGGGGCCCGAGGGTAGAACCCATGGGTTTTCTATGGGGGCCCAATAGGCCTCAAACACCACCTGGGCAGTGTAAACATATCAAGACTCGATAGTTGTAGGTGTTATTTATATAGATTTTCTGAGTATTTTCAATGATCTAATTTACTCAATTAATACAATCCATGGATCTAGCTGTTTAAAAAATAGGCGACAAGAAATATAAATCAATCAGCATATTTATAAATACCAAGACCAAGTCTATACAAATAATGGGCTGTCATAGGGGCCCATTTACGGGTTTTGCGGAGGTCTACAACTATGTGCTCAGAGGTGTTTTCATCTCCATGCGTCTGTGTCGGCGATAGGGCTCCGCGCTAGGTCATCATCGGCATGCCTGAGGCCCAGACAACACTGTAGTGTCAGCTGTCCAGGGCTGCGATACATCTGCATGAGAAAGGGAGACTCTTGGACGAGGCGATCGTCGATGACATTGATGGAAATATTCCGGAGTCAGAGGAGGTTTGAAGGCCGTCGACGAGTACTTATTGAATATTATGGATGAGCAGGGGAAATCTTTACGTCCCTATATTAGTAGTGAACTGACGGATCGAAGGGTGGACAAAGATGACATGGGGTTGTCACGAATGATCGGGGGTCCAACCGCCAAGACTTCTTGCTGCCGCAAAATTGAGGCACCATTTTGGACCCTTGGATCCAAAATGATCCAGGGTCGATCCACAGCAATCAAGGCACGTGACTAGGGGCTGCTGCCAAATGGAGGCACGTGATTAGGGGGTGTACGGATCACCTGATCACACGGAATAAACCCGTTCCGCATACTTAATTCGGCCTAGTGCCAAGCTGTTTCTGACTGTAATGATGATAAGTGCCAGCGAGCTTTGCCCGAAGCTTCTTTCCATAGTAGATGAACCCCAGGTTGCCCAAAAGAACCAATGTTGATATCAATCCGAACATGACATAGAACCACGAGAGCCCAACACTATCACACCACGGCTGAAGGGCGAATATAAAGATCGTCGAGATCAAGTTCCGGATGAATGTGACACCCACGACAGAGTCGGCGATGATCTAATCAAAACACGCACGTCAGCAATCACATTATCTTCTCTGACCATCGACAAACTCACCTCGGTATATGAATCGGTCAGATATGTCAATGCAGCACTACTGGCAGGGACTGTGCCCAGAGAGCTGACCCCGAGCCCGAAGGCCGGCAGAAGCCAATGTGAGCCATCATTCAATCCGATGCCAAACATGAAAAGGCCAGCTGGGACAAAGGGGGTGAACGCGATGGCAAGCCAGAGTCGCATCTCAGGTTCGAAAATGCCATTGTTTCGCCTGGCGAGAGAGAGCGCGATTGAATCACTCAGGGGTCCGCAGATCACGGCTCCGAGTGTCGTGCCGATGAATGGAGGTATTCCCATCAGTCCGATCTGAGATGCGCCAAAATTGTACGGTGGTAGCGTCATGACTGAGGAAAGCGTTGTCACGGGTACTGTCGTGCAGGCTGTCATGACTCCGTATACCACAGCCATGAAGAAGACGCCTGGAATTTGGAACAAGATCAGGAATGGTTGATAGCAATGCTTTGCTACCTCGGTGAATGAGATCGGGGTGTTGGTCCACAGGGCGAGCTTTTGCCAGTATGTCTTCTCCGGAATGGAACGGTCGATTCGGAAAGGCTCGTTGGGTAGCTGAGCTGCCAGTGTTGCATCAGACTTTTGAGCAGCGGGTGTTTCGATGTCTTCTTTCTTAACTTGTGGACTGAGATCTAGCTTGTCTGCCACGGGCACGCCTTCGATGGCCGAGGCGTCATATATGGTCTCCTCATAGAAGAAAACAAATACAGCCAGCCCTGCGCCAAACAGTATAGCCATCCACCGCCAAACCCACCGCCATCCTTGAGACTGCGTGATGAAACCGCCTGCCAGGGGCGCCAGGGTCACTCCGATCGTCATGAACCAGAAGTATATGGTGTTGGTGAGACCTCGCTGGTGAACGAAATACACATCAGCGACGGTCATCTGTACCAAAACCTCTGCCAATGCTCCAACGATGCAGCTCAACACGTTGACCAACATGAGATCAGCGACCGTCTGCATATTCGCGGACCAAACGCTGATGCCGCACTGGATGGCGGTACTGAACACGTAAATCGGGCGTCGGCCGTATTTGAGGGCGAATGGTACTAGAAAGAGGCCTCCGATACACAGAGATCCACACCCTGCTGCGTAACTGTCGGTCAGCAGAGCATAGCTGAAGCCTAGCTCTAAATTGAGTGGGCCCCATGTCACGGTTGCGACGTCGATTCTTTTTTGGTCAGTGGCTAGCATAGGAGCGACAAAAATTGGGAACCCACAGAGCGAGGACCATCACGACGTAATAAGAGACGAGTGCGAAATTCAGGTTCTTGCGCCATAGCGGCCAATTCTGGAGTTGGATTCCGGGTGAGCTGCTGATCTGGAGGAGGCGCTTAAACAACTCTCACCAGTGGATCATTGGGGTCTGTGGTAGGCTTGGGATGCAGCACGACTTCAGTATTTTCTCCTTGTTCCGACAAATCTGTTTCAATTTCAGCTTTTGTCGTCCCGATGTCTCAATTTTGCTTGTGCCAAGAAAGAGATGACTGAACCTGCCCTACCTTCAATCCTGACAGTTCCAGGGGGCCAGTTTGGATCAATTGGAGACTGGTTGGATGGCATTTCAGTGAGAATAGCCGAGATAAAAAGCAGTACCCTGCGGGGATATCAAAGCAAAGAGGCCTGAGGTGTTGTGGATGGATTGACAGGCCGAGAAACAGCTGGAAACTCTGGGACAAGTCTTCTCAACAATGATATCTGGCGCGCTTTATGTTATAGATATTTGGCTGGCCCGATTGACTTCTGATACGGGATTCGTCTCTTATCAGTCGCATATGGATAGTGGCACTTGACAGCCATTCACATCTGTAGATGTGAGAGGCAAGTTGGCATGCCCCTTGTCTAGAAAGGGAAGTTTGAAGCAACGGCCGATCGCCAAGTCTCCAAAGAGGCGAGCTTATCACTGTTTCCACTCACAATGCGGGGGAAATGTGTTTGACTGATTTAGACAATCTCGGGGTAATGGAGTGAGGTAATTCTCCAGGGCTCCTATCCACGGTGGGCCCAGTAACGCCATTGGCGAGACCTGCGGTCTACTCCCATCCAAGTGCCGGGTGATCTTCCAGACCGGAGATACCCCTTACTCTACACTGTGGCTTCTCCGTGTCTTCAGGAAATTGAACACCGCAATAAGAACAATGGTGGCAACCTCCACACCCAATATGATCAAGTAACACCGAAGATACTGATTGCTGCCTATCTAGCTGTCATAATCACCAATGAGACGATGTCGATTTGGGACAATAAAGCCTCACCTGCTCGCTTATTTCTCGGATACTGTTTCGCAGTCTCAATTCCTACTGCCCCAGAGGGGATCATCTAGCCAATGGCGTCAAATTGCGCCGCCCCGCTGATAGCCCTCGGACTCGACCCGTTTATTCCATCCAATCATCTTCCAATTTATTGGCCGGTTACATGTCCCAGTATCACACCCAGACGTGACTACATCCGTCCTCTTTCGATGTTCTCAAGAGGAAATTTCTAGAGATCTCGGGATCGATAACATTCCGGTCCCCTCGCAACAAGCGATAAATAATCTGGCCTCCCTTGCGCTGAGCTTGATATAGCATCTCGAAATAATGACTTCGGTTTTCAAAAATGGTCGCATCTTCATGCCGCAGGCCTCAACGGGCCATGGCGACGAATTTGCAGACAGCATGGTCATTGAAAATGATAAAATCACATATGTCGGCCCTTTAGATGGACTCTCTGCACCAGAAGATGCCAAGATCATCGACTTGGAAAACCGCACTGTCATCCCAGGCTTTATCGATGCCCATGTGCATATCCTACACTATGGACAGTCTTTACGGAAAGCCGACCTCATCAGCTGCAAGAATCTTGATGAAATTCGGGAGACCATCAAGTCATACGCTGAGGCTCATCCTTCTCTCCCCCCGCATCCTCTGCCGAGGCTGGATTCAGTCAACGACTGACGGAGTGGCTTTGGCTAGTATGCTGGATGGGATCGATCCGCGTCCCATTTTTGTGGGCTCTTTTGATCTCCATTCCATGTGGTGCAGCTCAGCCGCTCTCGATGAGATGAAGGTTCACGACTCACCAGATCTCCCCGGTGGAACCATTCAGCGTGATGAGAATGGAAGAGCTACAGGCCTGCTTGATGAGTCTGCGGTCATGAACCTTGCATGGCCCTACATAGAGAGCGTGACTTCTACGGAAGACAAGCTCAGTGCTTTGGACACTGCAGTCTCCGCATATACCGCGGCTGGCTATACCGGACTAGTGGACATGGCCATGGACGAAGGAACATGGGAGATCCTGAATATCTACCGTCGGGATCATCACATCCCATTCCACATTGGTGCACATTGGCTCGTTCCTTTCTCGACCGATCAAAAGGCAAACTTCAAATACGTTGATCGGGCAATCGAGCTCCATAAGCAATACGATCAACCCGACTTTACCATAGTCGGAATCAAGCTCATCTGTGATGGCGTCGTGGATGGATGTACCGCTGCTCTCCTCCAACCCTACACTGGCAAATCCGATCCCGTCGAGCCAATCTGGCCAGAAGATATGCTCCAGGAGGTCGTCCAGCGCGCCGATCAAGCAGGAATCCAATGCGCTATCCACGCCATCGGCGACAAAGCAGTCCACCAAGCAATCAACGTCCTCTCCCGTGTGGGTACCCCAGGCCGAAGACACAGAATCGAACATTTGGAAATGACAACCTCCGAAGATGCCAAGCGCCTCGGCGAACTCGGCATTACTGCATCCATCCAACCCGTACATTCCGATCCAGCTCTCTTCAAAGCGTGGCCCGGTCTTGTCGGTCACGAGCGCTGCAAACGTGCTTTTGCATATAAAGAGTTCCTGGACGGAGGGGCCCCGATTGCAATTGGTACTGATGCGCCGACTGCGCCGCACATGCCGTTCCCGAATCTTTACAATGCTACGACTCGGCGCTCGGCGCTTGAGATTGAGAGTGAGGATACCGTCAATTCTCATTTCGCGCTTACTCTGGCGCAGGCGGCTACGGCTGCTGCTGCTGGGGCTGCTTATGCTCGTTTTGCGGATGGGTGGACAGGAAGTCTGAAGAAGGGGCTAGATGCGGACTTTTTGGTTGTCGACGTGCAGTGGACGCCGGAGAAACTGCTTGGTGGAAAGGTCTGCCAGACTTGGTATCGAGGTCAGAAGGTCTTTGGGTAATGAACTTTCAACGTGTGATTTGGAGGATTATTACACAGTGGAGCTCGATCGAGCTGTAGAGCTCACATTTGGTCAACAAGGCTTTGGTTTTGCGTTGGCCAGTATACAAGTTCGTACAACAACATCATACTATCAGAAAGAAAAGCTTGGATCGTCCGCCACAATATACTGGCAGGCAAGTTTATGTGCGAGAATAAAATATGACTCCTTGTTCGCAGCGGATCATCACCAATAAGGACAGGACAAGTCAAAAATCTAAGCAAAACACAAATAACGGTTCTCGAGCTCCGCACAAATCTATCAACTGTTCGCAACTGCAACCTGAAAACAAGTGGTAGTTACGCGGGGAAACGAATCAGTAATCGTTCGAGTAACTGTTAGAGCCTCCACCACGGGACGAACTGCCGCCATAGGATGAGGAGGTTCCGCCGTAAGATGTTGATGAATGTCCATGAGAGGATGATGTTCCGCCGTAGGATGGGGATGAGTACGACGGCGAAGAGTAAGATGTCGAAGAGTACGACGGCGATGAATATGATGTCGAAGAATGCGACGGTGAAGAATAGGATGCCGAAGAATAGGATGCCGAAGAATAGGATGGGGAATATGAATGGTGATCGTTCGTACTTGAGTGATGGTCATGCAATGACGACGGATGATATGATGAGAATCCAGATGGCTTAGAGCGGTGGTTGTACGAATGAAGATGATTGAAACCACTAGGCAGACTTCCAACATCGGAGGTATCATCGCGACCGGAGTGCCGCGATGAAGGTTGGTGACTGCTCGAGCCTGCAGTGTGGGATGGTGCACTCGGTGTAGAAACGTCGGTATGATCATCGACGGTCTCATCATGTTGAGAGGAAACATGGGAGGTGGCATCGGAATCGTGACCAGAGTTGGTGGTAGAAGCAGTGCTGTTAATTGGATCCTGATCACGCTCAGTGTGATTTGCATCCTCATCATGATTTTGGTTGTGTGCGTCAGATTCACCGGCAGCTGGAATGTCAATCTCGGCCATTGCAAGTCCAAAGAAACTTTGGAACTGTTGTTCAAGCATCGCTGCAGCATGGGGGTCGATGTTGTTGGTGGAGAGCTCGCCCCCACCACCACCACCACCTCCTCCGAGTTCCTTTCTCTTCATTCGTTGATCTCGAAGAGCCTCGTACTCTATAATCTGCTGCGGTCGGTTTCTTATAGCCCACTCAGCCTGGAAATAGACATAGTATCTGCCAGCCTCAAAATAATGACTGAACGGTTGTGCACGATGAATACCACCAAGTTTGACACGCACCAAGCCAAGCTCTTTGTTCAAAGACATGTCCGACATCGGGCTTAACCACTCAGTCTCGTCACGGAATCTTTTCGATCTAACCATACCAGTTGCCGCTCGGGCAAGGAGGGAAGCAGCAGCGAGTACCTTAAGACGGTTTTCCATCCATTTCCCATCTGAAGACGGATACATTTGAGAATCCCGATGCAAATGCAACTCGATCATTGACCATGAGTCAAATGGAAAAGCCCAAATATGCTTTGCCAGATTGCAATCATTGCATTTGGTATGGTATCTCCCATACGCTTCACTGCAATCCCAGGGAAACAGATCTTGGTTCTTGTAAAGTGGAGCTCCAAAAGCACCCCAGTCGTACCAGTATTCTTGTAGATCGTCGATGATATCTACTTCGTCATGGCGGCCAAAGTGGAACTTGAGGAGATACTCTTCAGTCAGTCCACATGGTACGTCGTACTTTGTGCGCACTCGATTTCTGAGGTAGCCCTCCTGTGGGCAGACGAAGCTCATCAAGTACAATGGAGACGACGATGTCTGGCCTTCCACTCCTCCACCAGTGGTCAGAGAGCCAAAAAGGCTGTTTTCGATGAGATTGTTGCAGAATGTCTGGCAGTTGTTACCTGTGCTACTCCATCGAAGGGAATTCTTTTCGTTGAGAAGCTGGTACACAACGCTCGACAAGTAAATCTTGACTCTGTGTCCCAGTAGATTCTTCAATCTTTCCATGACTGGCTTCAAAGCATCTCTCAGCAACGAGCTTCTGTCTTTCTGAGGCAAGCCCGCATCGTCAAATCGCCGTTGGCTTCCCTCGATCAGAGGTTCGATGATCCTTTTCTGTTGCTCGGCATCTTCGCTACTTGACAAAAGTCCAGTAAAGGGCGCCCCAACAACTTGCTTCATGACAGCTTTGTATCGCTTCCTTGTCTCCACTTCAGGGCGTTGTTCCTCAGGGCGTTGTTTCTGTTCCCAGACATATCTTTCTTCGTCTTCCACTATCGCGAGCCTGTGTTGGTCTCCGATGTTAGGTCGGTCGTGGAAGACTGGGTACTCCCGGAGTGAAATGAGGGCTCCTCCTTTGGTGCTGCAGATGTGAGTGAGCTTGACACTAACCAGTCGCTCCTGTTTACTCACTTCGGAACCCCATTCTCAATCACCAGCGGACCAACACGCAGTGCCATATGCACGTTTCCAAATGGATACTGCTGCGCGTATTGACGGAAGAAAAACGGTATATCACCGTCTGCTTCAGCTTCGCTCGTCACAGCTGGGTTTTCGATCGGATCGGGCTCAGTTTGACTGTGGCGCTCCTCTTCTTCCCTTTCGGTTTCCTTCTTTGGGAAAAGCCTTCGCTTGAAGGACTCGAATTTGGAAGGTGTTTTTTTCAATTTCTCTTGTTCCTCGCGTTCTGCGACCTGTTCTTCGACGACATCTTCGAGCCCATGAAGTTTCGCCAGGGCAATGCTCCTGCCGAGGTCCAGTAGTTTGCATCTCTTGGCCTCCTCATCGGTATGCTTTTCGTCGATCTCCACAGGGAACAGACTGCGTTCCTGTCCATTCTGATCGTCGTGTGGGACAGTCTCACATGCACACATCTCCCTGCTGATCTCTGGCGTTATGACTTCTGGGAGTATGCAGTGCTTGTATACCTTTTTGAAAGATGATCTTCCATGAGGGGATGCTCTGTAACAAGATTCACAGATAGTCTCTGTGCTTTCCCCTTTTTTGACAAACATGCTCCCCCGAATGATACGATGACACTCTGCTTTTTGGCAGTGCAGTGGACCGAATTTGGGTGTGCATTCCTCTTTGCCGGTCATTTCCACTGTTTTATCGTCAATCGATGCGATTCGTTACGGCCAAGATGGGTACTCACTCTGTGGCATAGCAGGTCGAGCCCAGAATCCCCAATCTTCCAGTGGCGGTCGATGTTCAACGAGTTTGTCAATATCGAGGAACCCTATTCATTTAGACAAAGTCAGACTATCGCAGCGGAGCATTTCCTACTTACCAGCTGCCTGCAGTAGCATGCATGCCCGGTTTTGAAGGCCGGATAATCTTGGGATAGAGGCGATGCTCTTCTCAACCTCAATCTTGGTGGCTTCCTCGTTATATGAGTCCCTTTGATCTTGGTTTGCCACTGGAGGGGGTTTCATCGGTTGATATCTGGCTGGGTTGTAGCGCTGGTTTGGGATATTTCTGGCTGCTTCTTCCTCTATCCAGTCCCCTGGTTAACTGTCAGTGTGACTGAGTACTCCCAAGTCAGAAAAGACACAAACCGTATCGCTTAGCAAAAGCCCTCTGCCCACTTCTCACTTGCCCCAGAAAGGTATCATAGCCATGGATGCTTTCATCGGTCTCGTCATCGATCTGAATTCCAGAGTTCTCTTCCCTCTGCCAACTGCGCAGTGTTCGGATGATATTCTCCAGCTCTTCCTCGACGCCAGTCCAATATAGCGTCTCAACTTGCTGGTAAAGATGAGTCGAACCAGGTCCGACCTTTGTCCATGATCCGCTCTTTGAAGAACCACAGTGCCCGAAGCAGGACATTGTGGAAGATTCTTGTTTGTTTATCTGTAAAGTTCAAAAGACTAGGAAACTTGAAGGGGATTAAGCTCAGACATGAGATCAATATTTTTTAAAGGCTGCATCCACACAGGCATATCGCAAACTTCGTTGCCTAACTTGCAACATCTGGTTGAAAAGATGAGGCTGACGCCCGGGTGCAAGGTATGTACAGAGCAAACACTTCTGTCCAATCAAAAGTACGCCTGACAGTCTAGGCAAAACCCCCACCAATCATCACAGATCTCTGGATGAGCTATCTTTTTCAAGCGCGCTATCTAAATGCGCCCGTCGATCCGAGCTGAGCTGGGTTGAGCTGATTCGGGCGGAGCACCGTACCTGAATTGACGCAATCTCAAGATCTTTGTGGTCTTACTTACGGTTCCTCTGTAACATAAGTAATGATCCGCAAAGCAGGCGCAGTAAACCAGTGTCTATAAATGCGGTCAGACTGACAGGGCCGTCAACCCAGGCAAAACACATGATAACAACCCTGTCAGCAATACTTCCCACAATTCCACTGCGGCTTACAACTCGATTCTATCACTTCACAATGGCCCCATCACTCAACAGATTGCTCAAGCTAGCTGGAAGGAACCCAAAGTCGTCTCAATCTGCTTTGAAGGCTTCTGCGGCCCCTCCTTCGTCCGGGTTCACTTTCATCGACAACTCACAAGGTGCATCAGCGGCAGTGGCTGAGCTTTCTAGTGCATTGGGAGATATTTCTGATATCTTCAATCTCGATGGTAATTTTCACTCCGTCTCATTTTACTATCCACTAACTAACACATCCAGAGGAGCTTGAGCCCCAATTGCAACTACTAACCACGCAGCTCGACAACGAGGGGTCGCAATATTCCAACTCCCAGGTTAAGGATGAACAATGTCAACCTTGGTCATGGTAGGTCTTATTGACGCCTTATAATCAATGATAACTTACCTTTCCAGTACCCAACAGAAGGCTCGCTTGATTGCGATAGCCTGGAATTGTGCCGATCACTCATACAGCAAAACATTCAATGACCCTGCGCAAGCAACGCGAGTCTTCGAAAACTGCTTGTTGACTCAAGATTATGTGACTGCGCCGACCAGTGATGGAACTGTCAAAACTGTTGTATTCACTACAGTGTCACCGAAAGACTCCTCAAGCGACGTGGGGCCCATTCTTGTCATTGCCATTCGAGGCAGTGCAAGTAAAGTTGATCATATGGTGAATTCGAACGGGGATCCTCGGGATGTGAGAGGCTTTCTAGTACTGCTCAACCTTTCCCGGTCTCTTCTATGATTGAGCTAACTCTTCAGGACCCATCCCGCTTCCTCGAATCAGGCTCCAAGCGCAGTATCCAAGCCCATTCCGGCTTCTTAGGATGCACTGCAGCTTTGGACTCCATTGTCTCGAGAAGAATACAAAAATACAAGCAGAGCGGGGCGGGTAGCCAAGTTCTGTTTACCGGTCACTCTGCAGGAGGGGCAGTGGCTTCGTTGCTTTTTCTGAGAAGCCTCTCCACCTCCACGGACGACTCCCCATGCTTCTCGTGCATAACATTCGGAGCACCCCCAACAGTCTCCCCTCCCGTCAATCTCGATCATATTTCATCGTCCGGTGGCGGGGTGTGTTTGAATATCATAAATGAGTTTGATCCTGTCACTCGAGCCGACAAGCCATACATACTCAGCCTGGTGAACTTGATCAAAAGGATGTACCACCAACCCCCTATCTCCGATCCATCCATCGATGCACAAGCTCCATGTCTATCTATAGACTCTGAACCAGGGGAGATTTCGTGGCCTCTTCCTCGAGCTGTTCTCTTCCATGTCGGGCCAAGGATTCTACTGCGAAAAAGGCTGGTGGGAGATGAAATTGAGCTTCAGGCAGCAGAGATATCTCAGTCTGAATTTGAGAAGCTACTCTTCTGTGGGGCTGCCGTGCACAAAAGGGTGGATTATGGTGCTAGGGTAGATGCACTAGTTAATGGTCGTTTCAACGGTGCTGAGAGATGGGGTTGATAGAATTGTTGATGTTTATCACTTGGTGTCGAGAGGATGAGACCAGAGATCTATCTGAATGTCATGTATTATGCAAAACCCCAGGAGAGAAAGGGCGAGAGAGGGAGCTTTGGATCTATAACCTTGGACGGAGCCTGACCAATCTGGCAGCGACAGGCTCCAATACTTCCGAGGTTGAAATTCCCATCCTCACCTGGGCAAGTAGGTCCATTACTTTCAATAATTCTCATCTGGTTGCGTCGCAATTACATACATAGATGCTCCCTACAAATTCCTATGCGTCGGTTGTTTCAACGCGGGTCATTATGACATCACACATGGACCGGGGCTCCTTCGCCCACATACGAGCTGGAGAAAATCAAGAGGATGAAGCCCTGTCAGGATTTTCAATTTTACATATTATCGCTGAGTATACACAGTTGTTTCCGATGTCCGAGGATAGTTTCGTCACTTTACAGAATTTCCGGTGCAATTCACAGGGGCGGCTGGTATAGACATCGAACCCGGTCACTCTCCCAGCTGTTCGGGGTGTGCTTGGAGTCCACGATCGGCACTTAAATCAGATAGGAAGCCTCCTGGTACGTGTGTAAGTATATGCACTTAAGCCGATCGGGTAAGCCTACTCTGATCCACTTCCTGGTTCGACCAGTGTTCGGTGTTCTTATGAAGATCATCAAGGGCGTGTTGATGTGCGAGCTCGGAACACATAGCGTGAGGTGATCTAGTCATCCCAGAGCGTTAACAAATTTTCAAATTCAACACAGCACAGAGCTCACACATACGGAGCAACATTTCGGTCCGTCAGCTCCTTGACATCATGCTGTGCTTTTTGTGGCTCGTCCATATGTCCAAGAGAGCTGCGGCGTTTCGCGAAGTTGGGGTCCAGAGGGTTGTGGTCGATAGTTGTGGTAACCATTTTGAAGATGTAGCTCAGAAAATGAATATGGGAATATTCTGGTGAAATAGTAGAATCAATTAAGAAGAGAGGTATGAAGTGGCTGGATTTATGTGACAGCGGATGCGGGGACCGTTTGACCCTTCGCCATGTCATAAGTTGGGCGTGGCAAACTTATGATATAAACACTTAGCTAGCCGCCTATCACAGGCTTTTGGATCCTGTCTCTGAACCAGATCAACGTCAGAACATCTAGATTGGTACACTCACGTTCGGGAACGAACCTTGTTGATAGTTGGCTCTCAAATCCACAGGGGGTACAAGACAAACTATCGATACTACAATGATATGAACTCACTGGGTGTCATATGAGATTAAAATGGCTTTACATTGGTCAGTCTGTTTATCGGACACTACGAATGTTCCAAGATTTTGTTAATGTGTCCGGTAAACTCATCGAGTTTCCAATTTAGCAACCCAGAATACTTCGGCTGGTATAATAAATAATCTATGATATTATGCGGTAATAACAAGTTGTCGGGTACAAGATGCTTCTTTGCGGTCATGACCGGTCAACGCGAAACTGAACGCAGCAGAAAGAAAAGTGCAGTGGAAAAGACATCAGATGATATCAACCAAGCTTCGTCAATCAGCAGCATAGGTCCCAGTAGTGATGAAGCTAATGGATCCGCTTGAAAACAGCTCCCGTCACCGGATATTGAATGCTGACCAGCTTTCCGTCGACCAAATCAAAGATCAACTCATCAAAGGGACCTGCAAAGTCGATATTCATCCATGTAAATTGGTTATCGAACAGGCCACCCTTGCCGCCTTCAACAGCAGCACGAGGCTTCAGCGGGAGATCCGGCAACACCATGCGATGTGCGAGACTCTGAGCACCCTTAACTCTGTACAGCGAAGACAAAGAGGTGGAAATGGAGCTCAACCCAGTCGGGTAAACGCGCGTGTATGGGCTGTCGACATAGCTAGTGCCATTAACCCACATGGATTTCAAACCCAGTCCAGGTCGGCCTTTGTCGAGGGTCAAGGTAAGATTTGTGCTCGGTGTACGCTTGTCTACAAAGGTACCAACAAGGTTGCGCTTGGCATTTTCTGCTGCGGCATGTTCAGCGGCAGGGATGAATGTCTCGCCCACGGCGTTGCGCAGTGGCCAGCGGGCGGGTGTGGCTGTTCCGCCGGCGACCAGGATGGAGAATCCAATGCCTTGGTCTGGTGAAAGTGCGAAGATAGCTGTGTAATCGCCATTTCCGCCGGCCTTGGTGTAGAGGTCTGAAATGCGTGTGCGGTTCGAGCCGGGTGTGACTGGTATCTCAAGGCGCGTTATCTCCCAAGGGGCTCCGACGAGCTCAACTAAGCTACCGGTTCCACTGCGAGGCTTCATCCACTCGGAGGTTGTGGCTTGGGAAAGGATCTCGGAGTTGAGGATTGCAAGGCCCGCGGTGCGAAGGTCTGCATTGTTAGAGTGCATGCCGCCAGTACTGTGTATCGTCAGTATTGTGTCGGTGGGTTATGGAACAGAGGTGTGAGAAAAGAGGGCACTTACGAGGCGACTATCTCGGCGTCCAATCCCCATGATGATGAGTTGTCAATGGTGGAGCGATCAACGACGTTAATATCTGATCCTTTGGGCGCCTTTGTTGACGAGTTCTCCATGCCCAAGGGATCGAACAATATTTCCTGGATTGCTTCTGTGAATGTCTTCCCTGAAATCCGGGCTAGAAGTTGTCCCAGGATAGCAAAGCCGCCGTCGGAGTATACAGCATTTCGCCATGGAGAAATGACGGGGGGGCTTCTCGTCGCGGAAGTACTTGAAAAGGTCTGAGTACGACTGTCAGGTAATGCCCAAGCTAGGTGGAAGGTAAGGATCTTGCTTCACTCACCTTGAGGATCAAACAGACTTGGGTTTTTGGGATCTTGGAACTTTTGCAAGAAGTCTAGTGGGAGTCAATTGTGCACTTTCAAAGTTGATAATCACCTCACATACCTGCAGCGCCCCCGGATCCAGCCTGCTGGGATGCCAATGCCCCGACAGTGATGTCTTCCCAGCGGATTCTTTGTAATGGGTTGCTGGATGAGTTTCCAGCAAGCTCAGGGAGGTGCTTTGTAACTGGGTCGCTGAAGATCTCTATGCCTGCTTTGGCAATGATAGCATAGACAGTGAAAAGCTTTGTGACACTCCCAATACGGGAGACGGTCTTGTCATCAAACACCCCGGTTGTCAAAGCCTTCTTGGCGTCTTCGCCAACGTGTGAATATCTATAGATGGAGCGATTGGTAGCTGCCGAAAAGACATCAATGGAAAATGTCAGGTCTGTCCGGTTAAGCTTGCCGGCTGAGAAGAGATCATCGACGAGACCAGGGAATTTCGTTTTGGCATTTCCGATTGAAGTGGAGTTGGAAGGGTCGAAATTGCTGAGGAATGATGGGCCAAGGAGTGGGACTTCATCCGTTGCGATAATATGGGCGGTTGCCGAAGTAGCTGCGAAGCCTAGCATAGACCCGATTAGGGCCTTTTCCAAAAGCATTGTGGTGTTGGTAAAGGGTGTATCTGGGCTGTGATCGAAACTGATTGCTTTCAACTCTCAAGGAGAATTGGAGCTCTTATAGCTTTGGCCATCAAGGCTGTGAGCTGTGAGCTGTGTGTATGGAACCTTGGAAGCTCAAGATTGCCCAGATGTACAACGCGAAATATACGTAGGCCAAGCAATCAAGGATGCCCTGTACGGATATTTGTGGCGCTATGCGGCAATGTAGCGAGATGCTATAATAAGAGACGTCGATCCATCCATAGGATTGAACTTGGATAAGCACTGGGGTACATAATTCTCATGGCAGGCCAACTTTTCATTTGGTGAGGTTGTGCTTGGCGCAACTTTGTTTTGGCCCCCGAACGCGGGAGCGCAACATGCATCCCAAAGCGGAAGAGGCTGTACACAATTCCGCTGCAGCTCGCACGTCTTGCTCGTATCGGCCCATGCTTTGAGATGTCATCGAGCATACGATCACTGGGCATGTATCTTCCGAGAGTTGGCGTATGAAGATCTTGTCAAGTGCTGGTCTTGGTTCTGCCCGATCCCGATACTCGCAAGGCTGATGCCCGACCGCCCGGATAGTGTTTGGATCCCCCAAGGTTGAATACCTCGCTTACTTCCAACCGCATGAGAGTTCCCACGTTTTCCAGGGAGATCTCACAAACTCTGGGAATCAATTGGACAACTGCCGACTGGCAAGGATGTCTCATTGTTCAAAAGGCGGTCTTGATACTGCCCAAATGGCCGCAACATATATTTAACACCATCTTCGTCAATCCACCACAAATGCTGGGTATAATGTTGAAAAATGCTTCAATCTTGATAGTTTCCAAGTTTGAATATTTCACCTGCAAGGTTTCGCAACATCGATGGATTTGACCCAGCCACATGGGCAGACAAATTACCGGAATGGTGCACTCTGGGCAAATAAGGCCAAAAGAAGCATTGTCTTGGCTTCAAAAGCCGAGCTTTGCTGACCCCACAACAACACGATTATGATCTTCCAAGATTACTAAGTCAAATTGGAACCTTATGGGAAGCGTGGTAGATTATGTATCGATAAAGGGGACTGCTAATCACTGGCACAGCTGGTCGAGACGGTCCAGATCATCACACCGGAGAGTTCAACAAGCGGATTCAACTTGATCTTGGGGAAACAGGACGCACATCATTTCAATGTGGGGTACAGACGTCGGAGATTGTTCAGAGTGCGACATCATAGACCAACCACGTTTTGAGATATCGACCTCAGGGCCCAGACTAGTCCCAATCCGGTTATTGTCTGGAGAACCGGGCCTGAGGTGGAGGATCACTCTCAACATACGGAAAACTTTTCTTCTGACTTCCAAGAGCCTTCATTTTCACACTCCCAGAGCTTTCCTGAAATGTCACTCAAAGCACTGTGTTGTGCCTGCCATCTCAGTGCCGAAAAGTGATATCATAGCTCAACTCTGGTACGCTCGGGACGACTCACGGTGACCTCAGCGAGAACTCCGACATGGTGTTTGCACGTGGTGATGTCTCCGGCCATGACGACCAGACAATAGGTAAAGTGATTCCCGCATATGGCAAAAATCTATATGTTGACAGTATCACAGACCATCTTGATCCGAGCAAGAATGTAACGATTGTCGGCTGGGATGGCCTCGAGGACCCGGGAAACCCATACAATTGGTCCCTGAAGCAGAAATGGATACTCACAGCGCTCGCTGTCTTCACCACTTTCATTACTATGATGAACGGGACGATCATCACTGTAGCCCACGAGGCGATTAATGAGCAGTTCAATATTTCCGATGCCAACTTCCCCCATTCCTACTGGCCCGTCACATCCTGGGCGGTTGGTGGAGCCTGCTTCTCGCTCTTAGTTCTTCCGCTAATGGAAGACTTTGGTGTGCGATGGGTATTCCTAGGCACATATCTCATCTTCCTCTGTTTCGTGGTCCCTCAGGCAGTCGCCCAGAACTTCGCCACGCTCATCGTAACACGATTCTTCGCCGGAGGATGTGTTTCCATCCTGGCGAATACCTCTGCCACCGTCATTGGTAATCTGTGGGACACCGAGAAATCCCGAAATGTCCCAGTCAGTCTGTACATCGTCACCTACCTAGCTGGCAGCAGTATTGGGCCTGTCATTGGCGCTGCCATTTACCAAGCTCTCTCATGGAGGTGGATAGGCTATCTCCAACTGATATGGTATGGGGCCTTCTTCCCGATGTACTTCTTTCTGTTCAAGGAATGTCGCGGAATCGCAATCTTGGGCAAGCGCGCCAAGGCTCTGCGCAAAGAGGGCAAGAATGCTTTCACGCAGCACGAGATAGATACACAAGACCAGTCGATGCTGAAAATTGTAGGCCGCAGCGCCAGCAGGCCGCTCGTCTTATTCTTCACTGAGTCTGTGGTATTCGTATCGACGCTCTGGTCCGCATTCACCGTTGGAACCCTCTACCTCTTCACACAATCGGTCGAGCAAGTTTTCGCAGACCTGTACGGCTGGTCTCCATCCCAAGCCGGCTACGTCCAATCAGCAATCGTCATCGGAGAGTGTCTTGGATGGGTGGCTACCTTGTTCTCAGGGAAGCTGTACTTCGACTCGGCATCTCGCAACACCGAAATTCCCGGCACCCCTATCCCAGAAGCACGATTGTATCTCGCGATAGTGGGTGGAGTCACTGGGATAGCCGGCGGTATGTTCACGTACGCGTGGACCTCGTATTCTTATTTTCCTTGGATCGCGCCAGCCATCGGTCTCGCCATGGTGGGAGCTGGTAGTGTGATCGTGGTTACCGGAATCTCGGACTATGTTGTGGATGCGTATGCCAAGTACGCCGGTAGTGCTATCGGTATCATTGCCACCGGTGAGAACACACTGGCGGCGTTTTTGCCTCTAGCTACAATGAGCATGTACTCCCATCTTGGCCCTCAGTGGGCCAGTACTTTATTAGCGTTCATTGCGTTGGTTCTCTCGTTTGCGCCAATCTTGGTGCTTATCTGGGGCAAGGATATCCGAGCTCGGAGTCCGTTCATGAAGGAAGCGATGGTGGAGAAGAGAAGGAAGAGTATCGACTCTGTTTGACAGCGTCCGAATGGCTACTCACAATACAAAAGTTCAAATTCCCTTGGAATGGCGCAAAGTTTACACAATACTCGCTAATTGCTCTGTGCATGTCAAGTTCGACATATGTATGCTTTTGTTTGAGATGTACACCAAAAGTCAAACCTTCTCGGGGGAGGGCAGGTCCCTTGGCAACTCGGCGATAAAACCTGGAAGACTACGTTTCGGATATTCTAAGCACAGAAGCAAATCGAATACTTGCACGTCATTCTCGACTCCAAAAGCCCCTGCATGAACACGATCATAACAACCGAGTGGATTCGAAACACCCTAAGACTGATCTTTGAAAATAGCACATCGGCATTGTTTACCCGACAACACATCTGAGGGGCAATCAAAATAGTGGAACTCAATTGTACAAACAGTGAAGAATATAGTTTGGATCCAGGGGAACCTTGGAAGTGTGTGAGTGAGCTCTAAAAACAAGCCCCGGAGATATTCCAGATTGCGGTTTAGAACGGGCAGGGCGCCACTAGCTCGAACCAAACTTCCCCCTTTTACGGTTCAACAGACTCCACGTTCTGCAAAACTCCAAAGCTGTCGGGTTAAATGGCTATACCACACAGTAGCTTGGGATTTTCCGGGAGGATCATGCCCCCTTTTACCAAGGTTCAACAGAGTGGCCCCCGAAAAGCGTAATGACAAATACAAACAATGATGCGGCTCACTATACGGAATACGGAGTACTACGAGTAGATTTTAGGAATAATAGCCGAAATAATCCCGATTCCAGGATAGGGGAACACAATGATGGAGCCGACCCTCTTGCTTGATACAGTATGTACTTTGTAGACTGACCGTCGTGCTTCTTTTCCGCATGAGGCTCACTGCAGAAAAGTCAAAAGTCTAGGTAGCAACGGAGCACGGCACTAGAGAGCAACGTCCCCACGTTTCTCGAAACGGCTAACTCAGCGAACTTCTAGATCGTTTCAGGAGGGACGATCAAACGTGCTGGCATCGCAGGATGCCCTGTGCAACGGGTTGATGAGCAGATTCTTTCGCTCCATCAGGACTAGACGGTCGTATCTGTTGAGAATCTGCGCTGATTTTCCAGGAGGTGGGAGACCCTGGTCACAGTTGAAACCTCCAGCGAGAGTCTATATCGCAGAGATTACAAAGTGAGGTTTTGCGAGCAACGTTCAACGCTCGATCGGGTAGGGCTCCGCGACACTAGGTCATTGTTTCTCCATCCACTCTAAGAATACCCTCCTGTTCCTTGTCTTGTTGAATCTGAAGCATGACCGACGGCGTTCTGGGGCGAGCTAGGTGAACTTTATCGCGATCCGTTTGAGGTTTCTGTGTCGGAGATTGAGACATCTTGATACAATGGATCTGACGAAAGCTCAGAATAGCATCATGGTACCATCATCGTGCTTATGGTGGTCAATGCCAGATACGATTTCCGCGGTGCATCTCGGAGGGGTTCGGGTGAAGCTCATGATCTCATCCTCAGGTGAAAAAAACTCTGAGCCGTAGATGAGATCCATACGAGAATGGATACGATAATGACAATCCTCGGCGGAGTCTCCACTTAACACATGATTCAGTTGGGTTATAGCCAATGCCAAGCTTCGGATTTTGCCCTGTCGTCCCAGCCTCTCGCTCGTGGGCACGTTACGGCCGGTACGGAGTACACATGGAGTCTGGACTTTCAGTCAACCTCCGACTTATTGATAAAAGCGAACTTTGGAAAAAGTGGACCGCAAATCAGGTACGGAGCACGAAAATAAGTACGGAATACTTTTGCGTTATACTCCGTACACCGTAGAAACAGAAGGGCACAAATATCGGGTGGCCTTGTTTTTGCGTCGCCATGTGCTGTTAGCGTCGCAGCTGTCACCTGATGTATCCATTCTTTTGGCATCAGATATGTTCCATCTGATGTGTCTATTGTTCAAAGAGATCAGTCGGAAATGCCGGAAGCGAGACGATCTCAAAGCCACAGCCGTTTATACACCGGGCTCGGAGAAAATATCAGGGGGAAAAGAATATCAGAGTGGGACGGTTTCAGTGGCTGCATGTAAGCGCCCACTGCGACTCTGAAACGAGAAGGCGGGTGCTTCAGGTCCCAGCGCCAGTTTGATGAGCCTTGGCTTGGAATCCACTCCCCGTTGGACTCCAAGTCGAATCCCTGTCTAGATGCACTAGGTCCACTAAAAGGGGTAGGTGATATGATTATCACTTGAGCGTTATGCAGTCTGGTCACCAGGCGTTAGACGAATCATGGTAGGAGGAAATGGGGTGAAGAAGCCAGCGAAAACCAGTCGGAGTAAGGGGTTGCTCTTTTTCTTGTCATTGAATAGACAATGCGATTCTATTGAGATGAGTAAAATGTACAAGTGTACGACGTAGAAGCTGAAAGATCTAAATTTGATCCAAAAAGTCAACAATGACCAAAAGTCTCGGGCGATTCCCGGGTCATCCGTTTGGTCTGGTACCTGACGAACAAGAGACACAGTACCGTGGGTAAATTACCACTAAATACCCCAAGTTACCACTCATCTCCCACCATTTCGGCTTAGAACCTCCACTGTGACTAAGGAGATTTCCAAAATAACCAAAATTACGTAAATTACCAAAGTGACATACTAGTCCATGACCGGTCAGGGTCACCTTCGGTCTCTCTCAGGTCAAGGCGCTTCATTCTTATTATTAGACTGACGTTCTTCTTCCCCCTTCTTCTTCACACATCTGACACTTCTTCTTCACTTTCGTTTCCGCTGCGCGCGAATATACCTTGAGGTCTTACCGGCTGGTCCAGTTCAATCTCTTTACAATCTCTCTTTTCTTTCCATAGAGGCTGGTTCCTCTTGTCTCAACCTCGGATTCTTTTATAACTGGCTTTCCGCACTTCTGACTGGTTAAATCCTCGTTCCGATCTTGTGTTCCCGATTCAGCTGGTGAGTGATTGTCTCCCGAGGTCTCGCAGTGTCTCAGGGTCGCAGTGCGCTCTCTTGATTGGGTTCAGCTCGTCTCTTTGTTTGCGCCTGCGTTATCAACCCCGTCGGTTCCCGCTGACCATGGATCTCTCGAAGTTAGTGCGCAAAATATAAACAATGTATCCTCATCATGGTGCCCCCATGGCACCGCCCCAAAAACCGGAAACCTTCATGCTTTCGACCGAGGCACAACAAAGCCTCCCACACGACGCGCAAGTCGCACTCCAACAAGTGGATAATCGTACGTCCTGAGGTTCCCTGCATGCACGTGTGCAATAAATGCGCAACGCAGCGTATTGACTTGAAACCAGTGAAATATTTCTTGCTATCAGCTCCAGTTGATTGGCAACCGGATCAGCTTATCCGGCGCTTCTTGCTTCCCACGGGCGACTATGTCTCTTGTGTTCTCTGGTTGGTCTGATTGTTGGAGGTGTTGGGAGCAACTTGACTGATCATTTCAACAGGAGCAACCTTTTCCACATCTCCGGTACCGATATTGTCCGATGTCTCGCATTCCGATTCCAGGCCTTTGGACGTCCCGTGAAGAACTCGAAGAAGTTTGAGGAGGGCATTTTCTCGGATCTGCGCAACCTCAAGGCCGGCACTGACGCGACACTGGAGGAGCCGAAGAGCGGGTTCCTGGACTTTTTGTACAAGAATAACTGCATTCGAACTCAGAAGAAGCAGAAGGTGTTTTTCTGGTACAGCGTGCCGCACGATCGCCTGTTCCTGGATGCACTGGAGCGCGATCTGAAGCGCGAAAAGATGAACCAGGAAGCCACCACGGTCGCAGTCAGTGAACCGGCCATGTCATTCGAATTTGACTCCTCTCAGTCTCTGTATGAGCAACTGACCAAGTCTCAACAAGCAAACTCCTCATCGTTTGCTGCTCACGCAAGTACGACATATGGTCAGCCCAACTCCCCCGTGGTTCGGACCGTTGACGCAATGCCTCCCCCCGCAGATGGCTCCCCGGCGATTCCTCTGCTTCAGGACGACACTACACACCCCATGTACAGTCACCCGCAAGCAGCGCCCTTGTCGAACAATCTAGTCCAGAGCATCATTAAGCGTGAGCAGGACTATGGCCCTATTCAGTACGATCGCAACGGAATGCCTCTTCCCCGCGCCCACCAGCGCCATTCTTCCATGCCGACCTTCTACGAATACTCCCCCGCGCCATCCTTTGTGTCCTCCCACTACGAGGATTACAGCAACCGCGGTCTCTCGTTCGAGCCCGTCACCCCGCCGCAACACTCAGTAGGAATGGGCGCGGAGCCTGCCTATATCGCCAACGAGGACACTGGACTCTACACCGCGATCCCGGACATTTCAAACGGACCCGCCTACCAACCTATGATGCAGCTCCCGCCTTCGAATTTGGCAGGTGCTCACTACCAGCCTGCGCCTCGGTCTTTTTCGTCTCACCCATATCCGGTCATTGAGGGATCTCCCACATACAAGCAACGCAGGCGCAGGTCCTCGATCCCGCCTAACAGCGGAAACGTCGCCCCCACCGCAGCTCACTCTCATTCCACCACACCGGTACCTCAGCCCATGTCGTATGCTGCTCATCGCCCGAGCGATCTGCGTCGTTCAGTCTCTAGCTCGGTTGCCCCAGTTGCAGAGGGAGACGAGAACCAAGATCTCGCGCGCACTTACCCAAGTGCCATGCTGCCTCGGAAGGATCTCCTTCAAGAGATGTCCCGTCACAGCACACCGCTGCAGAGCCTGGACCAGAGCACTCATCAACACTCTAGCTCTTTGGTGAGCCAGGGCGACGATTTGACAGCGCTTCCCACCAGTGGCGCTCTAGAGACTGCGGTTCAGAACACTTCGGGGCGGTCTGAGCGTTCAGCGCCCGGTCCCACTCGCCGAGCTAGAAGTGCGACAATGATGGAGTTGGGACCCTACCCCCACAAGTCTCACTCCTGCCCAATCCCATCCTGTGGCAGACTTTTCAAGAGATTAGAGCATCTCAAAAGGTACGCTCACTTAATTTCTGCACCCACCCCCTGTGGGGCCGATCTGCACCGTGCGCTGCAAGATCGTTTCGATAGCCGCCGACTAACCTCCTGATTAGACACGTGAGAACACACACCCAAGAACGCCCATACCCTTGCCCATATTGCAGCAAAGCCTTCTCTCGGTCCGACAACCTTGCACAGTAAGTGATAATCTATCTCCGCCCACGTTCACCGTCGAGCGAATACTAATATCAACCAGACACCGTCGGATCCACGAAGCTCAGCAGGATGGCCAGTCCATCGTTCCGCTTGACGACGACCTGGAAAATGATGAAAATGATTATGACTCCTCTAGAGAGGACATGTCCCCACCAGAGCCCGCTCACGCCATGATCAACATGACGAACATGACCACCATGCCGACTCCTATGAGCATGCCATCTTCCATGTCTGGCATGGTAGCCCCACACATGATCGCACCTCAGCTCTTGCAGCAGCACATGTGAGAAGATCTCCGATCACGATGTGTCGACCACATCATGGGCTCTCTTGCTCATGTCCTCACTGCGGGGAAGTCTTCAGTGAAATGTCTGTCTGAATGTCTTTCCATCTCTTTCTAATCGGAGTCTTCGAGGCGCACTCGGGCGTCTCCGTTTCGGGGTTTATATCGCCTCCTGTTTAATGCATATTTTTTCCTTCCATTGTGGGGCTCGCACATACCGCGATATATCGCGGACAGCCCGCTTTGCTTCGTGTTGACATGCTTTTTGGCTTTTTTTGTTTATTTTGGGTTTCTGGGGCTGTGTCTATACACAGTGTATTTTTTTTGTCGGCTGCCCTTGCACAAGTTGGGTTGCTCTGGCAGTCAATCACTACATGCTGCCTGGCGGGTACGGGCACGACTAACGCTACCTACTATCATTTGGATTGATTGGGGAAAAGAAAGGTTCGGGGGTTGCTGCTGATGGATCATCCGGCATTGTCCATGGAGAGCGGCTGGAATGGGGGGATTTATTTTGTACGCCTTTATATCATACTATATAGACAGGGAGATTTGTAACGAACTTGAATTGGAATTTAAAAAACAATCGAAAAGATACCACAAAACCCCTTGGAATAAGCACTTAGAGACGCCTAGAAGACGCTTGAGCAGAGAGTCGGAGCAAAGATGGAGCAACCGGGATACCTTTGAGCGATGGTACAATATCACGTGTCGCTGACGTTGAGCTGGGACCTGCAGCCGTAGCAGATCGCCAATTCGACACACTTGCCCAGGTGGTCAGGCGGCCCTATATCTCGTCAAATATAGAAGTACCCCGTATCTGGCCATTTGTGTGGCCCGCAAGTCGTGAGCGCCTAGTCCCATAACCCCCCAGGACTTCTGACACCTCATTTCCCCACATCCCGAATCAACAACATCATACTCAAAGCAGAAGGGTACAACAATCCGCCTTAACCCACTCTGGAAATCCGAGGCTTGAGTGATCTATAGCTTGATCCAAGGACTTGGCCTTTTGGCTCAGATTCAGGGTCGACCACCAATCCATCTATCATCAGTTTGATGACACTGGACCTAGCGGGTTCCACATCACCGCCCCTTGTTCCCGTCCGTTCTTGACCCTCCGAGTCTCCAATGGGACACACGGCTGACAAGCCTGATCCCATAGCTTCTCACGAGAGATCGCCTCTCATGGCTACCACTCGCACGGAAGATGAGCATGGGCATTCTGTTCGACCTCATTTGGTTACCGAATCGTCTAAAAGCATCTGGTACTTGCTTCTGTTGACTCTTTCTATTGGCGGGTGAGTCAATCTTCTACTCGATGATATTGTGGCTTCTGCCTCCTCCATTCTTTTGTATGGATAAATTTGTTAATGATTGCTTTTTAAAAGACTCCAGATCGTATGGTCCGTTGAACTTTCCAATGGCTCGGTAAGTCTATCCTGGACACCACTATACCTGGTTATCTGCTGCCATCTGTGCTCCCTTTCATCAAATTTCTGTGCTCTTTCTTACATATACATTTACAGCCCTTTCTCTTATCCCTCGGGATGAGCAAATCGCTTCTTGCCTTTGTCTGGATAGCTGGCCCTTTGACCGGCGGTCTGGTGCAGCCTTACATCGGCATCAGAAGCGACAACTGCCGTATGCCATGGGGGAAAAGGAAACCATTCATGGTCGCTGGTAGCGCCGCTACAGTTGTTGCATTGCTAGCACTGGCGTGGGTCAAAGAGATCGTGGGTGGTTTTCTATCGGTCTTCGGGGCTGATCCAGCTTCCGGAGGTGTCAAGGTCTCAATCAATATCGTGGCAACCATTCTCATGTATTGTCTCGATTTTGCCATCAATACGGGTGTGTATCTTTTGCAGACGCCATGGTCACTTAGCTGACAATGTTCCCACAGTGCAAGCTGCTATCAGAGCTTTCATAGTCGACAACTGTCCCGCTCATCAGCAGGAACTGGCAAATGCCTGGGCTAGTCGGATGACAGGCGTTGGCAATATTCTAGGCTACATATTCGGCTATATGGATCTTCCAAGGATTGTCCCGTTCCTAGGTAATACACAGTTCAAGGTTCTCTGTGTGCTCGCTTCGGTTTCGCTCAGTGCAACTATTGGGATCAGCTGTGCATACATCAAAGAACGAGACCCTCAGCTGGACCCGCCTGTGACGGATAAGCTGGGCGTCATTTCCTTCTTCCGGCAGATCATCAAGTCCATTCAGAATCTGCCGACACAAATTGCCCGGGTCTGCCAAGTGCAGATCGCAGCGTGGGTGGGCTGGTTCCCATTCCTGTTCTACTCAACCACCTACATCGGACAGCTCTACGTGAATCCAATCTTTGCGAGCAATCCCCACCTCTCCAAAGAAGAGGTTGATCAGGCCTGGGAAGATGCGACTCGCGTCGGAACATTTGCGCTCCTTATTTATGCGATTATCTCGTTTCTCGCAAATACATTGCTCCCTCTTTTCGTGGTCCCGACTTACGACCCCGTGCCGACAAATATCCCTCACCGGGTAAACATTGACGATGCGTCTGACGACGAAGACCCAGCCGCGAGGCGATTGTCATTCTCTAGCATGCCGACAGGCAATGCATCCGAGCCGCTTCTCGATGGAAACGGAGTGGCACAGGAAACTGAGGGGAAGCCGACTTGGCTCACTCGTCTGCAGATCCCAGGCTTGACGCTTCGCCAAGTTTGGTTCTTCTCTCATCTGCTCTTCGCGCTTTGCATGTTCAGCACTATCTTCATCTATTCACACCAGGCCGGCTCGGCGTTTGTCGGACTGATTGGTATCTCTTGGGCTGTTGCCCTGTGGGCGCCGTTTGCTCTGATTTCGGCCGAGGTGGCTAGAATTGATCCATCTCGACGACACCGTCAGGTGAGCCGAGCTCAAGCTGAGGATCATGATGAGCGCAGCAATCTCACTGGTGAGGATGTTGAGATCGGCCACACTAGAGATACTCACGAGGGTGGGGACGTCGCTCAGGCGGGTATCATTCTCGGTCTGCACAACATGGCAGTGTCTTTGCCCCAAATTCTGTCTAGTCTTGTATGCAGTGCTATATTTAAGGCTGCTCAAAAGCCCCGAGGAGAACCTTGGGATGACAGCGTGGGGTGGGTCTTGAGATTCGGCGGGTGCGCGGCTCTGGTCGCCGCCTGGTTGACGCGGAGGGTTTCCGATGGATCTAGATAGATGTTGAATAGAAGCAGGCTTGAAGAGCTTCTATAGATATCCAAGGGATATATGTGTGGGTCCATCCCATGCAGCTTTAGAGCTTGAATAATCCTTCGATATGGCGAAATGTGACCAGCCCCTTGAACTATTTTGGGCTCGTCAACGTTTCTTGGCAGTTGCGCGGCACTTCAGACGGCTGGTATGTAATCTATCGTATTACGATAACATATATATCTCTTTACCATACATAATCTTCGGAATGAGCGGGGAATCCCGCCAAATCCCGTCATCCAGCCCTGCCAGTCATCGTATTGTATCGTATGGAACCAAACATGGACAGGCTATCTGTCCGATGCGACTTAAACTCCAAAACTCACTAAAATCGCCCTATCACCACTTTCCCAATTCGCCGCTCACCTTTCCATTCGGATTATGTGTGCCTTGTCTTGGCATTTCAACTTCACGCGAGTGAGCTGCCAGTTATCCGCGCTGGTCCTTGATACCTCCTAAGGCGCGCGCCGTAATGGCTACTCAACTGATGAATGATGCCTTGCACGGCCTGCTCCGTGAGTTGACCCTCCGAGGCTATGTGTCTATCAAGCTTCGTGGAACCTAAAAGCTAATGTGTCTATCTGCTGTCTAGGAAGAGCTGCTGAAGACTCTGATCCCGATGGTACGCCTGCCTAAATCACCCCCCTCTCCTCCCGTGTTGTGGCCGCGCATCGTGATAGAAGGCGGATGTTAACAATAATGGCGGATTGCAGATGCTCCAGAAGCCGGGACGAAAGAGATGTCGAGCTCATGGGCATTGTTCATTATGATCATGCTGCTGATGTTCGCGCTCTTCACAAGTTATATCCTGCAGCAGAAGAAGATCCAAGCTGTGCATGAAACCGTTCTATCGATTTTCGCAGGTACGTTGATCTCTCCTGAAAAGGCAGGCATTCTGCATGCTTTTCCAAAAGCTTGGCCATGCCAGCGCGATTGCGCGAATTGGATTGGTGATGCTGACGTTGATCAGGGATGTTCGTTGGTTTGATCATCCGCCTGACACCCAAATCTACCCTTCAGGATAGCGTCGCCTTCGACTACCAATTCTTCTTTAACCTCCTCCTTCCTCCGATTATTCTTGCCTCCGGATACGAGCTTCACCAAGCGAATTTCTTCCGGCACATTGGCACCATCCTTACTTTTGCGTTCGCGGGAACCTTTATTTCCGCAATCGTTCTCGGCCTAGTCTTGTACCTATGGACACGCATCCCGTTGAACGGGCTGAACATTTCCTTCGTCGAAGCTATATCTGTCGGCGCAACTCTCTCCGCCACAGATCCTGTCACCATTTTAGCGATCTTCAACCTTTACAAGGTCGAGCCGAAGCTGTATACCATCATTTTTGGCGAGTCGATTCTCAACGATGCGATTGCTATTGTGCTTTTCGAGACCGCCCAGAAGTATACCGAGAGCGCGGCTGGAACTCTGACGTTCCTCAACTTCTTTGAGGCCGTTGGGCTCTTCTTGCTTGTGTTCTTTGGTAGCATGGTTGTCGGCATGCTTGTGGGAATTGCGACCGCCCTGGGCCTTAAGTATACCCACGTGCGACGCATGCCCAAGATAGAGAGCTGCCTCATCATTTTGATTGCATACGCCAGCTACTTCTTCTCCAACGGTGTGCATTTGTCTGGAATTGTGTCTCTTCTGTTCTGTGGAATCACTCTCAAGCATTATGCATACTACAACATGTCGCGCCGCACCCAGTTGACCACCAAATATTTGTTCCAGGTGATGGCTCAACTGTCGGAGAACTTCATCTTTATCTACCTCGGTTTGGATCTGTTTGTCGAAGCCAACCTCCAATTCAACCCCTTGTTCATCTTGGTGGCCGTCTTCGGCATCTGTTTGGCGCGCTATCTCGCGGTGTTCCCGCTTTCCAAGGCGATCAATTGGTTCATTCGGTATCGCGCTCGTCGTCGTGGTGTGGAGGTCGCTGATGAGCTGCCATTTGCTTACCAAGCCATGCTGTTCTGGGCTGGTCTCCGCGGTGCCGTCGGTGTCGCACTCGCAGCAGGACTAACTGGAGTGAACGCCCCGGCGCTCCGTGCAACAGTCCTCGTGGTCGTGGTGCTGACCGTCATCATCTTCGGTGGAACCACAGCACGTATGCTCGAGATCCTCGGCATTCGAACCGGTGTGGTCGAAGAGCTCGACTCAGATGATGAATTTGACACAGAAGTCACCCACGGAGGTACCTATTACAAGCGCTCCGGTGCAAGCATCGGCTACACCCCAAGACGCACCGACTCGACCATCCCGCTCGACGGTCTCACGACAGACCCCAATGCCTCACGTGCCGGCCTCGGAGAGAGGGCAGACAGCTACTCAAGCGGTAACAACCGCCGTCCAAGCCCCCCGTACACCCACACGCGCATGTACTCCGCCGCCTACAGCAACAAGGACCAGTCCTGGCGCGACCGCCAATCCGCCGCAACGCTCCTCAACGGTGGTTCTGGCCCCAGCGCTGGCGAAGGCAGCGACGACGAGTTCGGTCTCCCTCCTACGGGTAACAATCACAACCACCCCACCCACCCAGACGAGTTCGACATCGACATCGATGGGATTTCCGACGACGATCTTCCCCCAGCAGCAAATGGTGCTTCGCGTCTCCGACGCTCCCCCTCCCAGCCGCCTCGTCCCGCCAGTGTCCCCTCCCCCAGCGCGGCTGCATCAACCAGTGTCTCTCCCTCCCGCCATGCCCCTGGACTCACTGCCCGCGAGGCCCTACGCGATCTTTTCTCGGGCGGCGCTTCGGGTGACCATGCGGCGTGGTTCCGGCAGCTTGACGAGGACTACATCAAGCCTACCTTGCTGTTGGATCAGTCTAACCACAAGGGACCCGGGCCTGGTGCTGTTTAATTGATACCTTGATATGTATATCTAGCGTTTGCTGATTCCTTGAGCATTGCGATATGGGGACTTTTTCTTTTTGCCTTGCTTTGCAATGGTGAGGCTGAATGTGTCTTTTAATGACCCTGTGTAAACGAATTCCAATCCGAATCAACATTTCTTCAATTTGAAATTTTCCCATTTAGTCAATTGTAAGCCTGTAAGCCCTTGAACAGCCCTGGGGTGCTCATCTTTTCAGTTCACGTTCATGTTCCGCTCATTCCGAGGTCTTGGAAACGCCCAGGGCTAAGCATCCGTGTCTCGTTATCGCCCACTAGCAATAGATCTAGCTATCTCCCGCAGGCCATGCGGGGATGGCGTATCTTTTACTCGATTGGTCCTCGAGCCAACATGTCCCGTTTGAAATGGTCCTGCATACTCTCTTTCTCGGGGAAAATGCCGCCAGCTTATATCGCGTACCCCTCAGTTTGGAGATAGCTGAATGGACTCGTTTCGGACTAAGATTCGGGGCTTAGCATTGATCCAAAAGCTTACTCAAAACGCTTATCTCCTCTCAGACTATTATTTAGAGGCCTCGCACTGTCTTCCCAGGTTATTTTTGTTTTGGCTTGTTAGCATTCTTCATGCAAGATTGTACATTCAAATCATTCAACCCTAACAACAGCTTTATCAAACACCATGGAGAAAATCACATCACAAAAAAGCAAGAGACGGGAGTCTATAGCTACAGGTCATGTCTCGCTTCAGGCTGGAGATAATGAACTCCTCGGTATGTACTCCGTAGCTAATGCGACATTACAGAGTCCAATGGCTAATTGAGTTGATAGCGACACTGGGGTATAAACAGGAATTGAGACGGCACTATTCAACCGTACAGATCTTTGCCGTTGCTTTTAGTATCATGGGTCTCTTGCCCTCCATCGCATCCACCTTGTCATTTTCTATGCCCGCTGGCCCGGTGGGAATGGTATGGGTATGGGATCTTTCATCTCGAGGCATTGGCCAAAAATATGGAACTGAAAACTGACTGGCTCTAGGGTATGTTTTGATTCGTCTTTCCACGCCTGATGTACCTGGGCAACTTTTAACATACGGTCAGGGTGGTTGGTTGCAAGTTGCTTCATTTTCATCGTCAGCCTAGCAATGGTGAGAAATCTACATCGATGAGCACTGTCCGTTCACTAACTCCAATGACCGAAGGCCGATATAGCCTCCGCAATGCCAACGGCCGGCGGCCTATACTTCTGGACTCACTACTTCGCCGATGAGAAGTGGAAGAACCCACTGAGCTTCCTAGTTGGCTATAGCAACACAATCGGACTAATCGGCGGAATCTGCTCTATCGACTGTAAGAAACCTTCCCCAAGCCAAACCCTGTCTCCAAAATCTAACACCCGTCCACAAGATGGATTCGCCAACATGCTCCTCTCGATGATATCCCTAGCCAGGGACGGCAACTGGTCCGCCACACGACCAGTCATCTACGGCACATACGTAGCAACCGTCTTCGCACACGGCTTCATCGCCATCTTCTTCGGCCGTATAATGCCCAAGATCCAATCCGTCTGTATTTTCCTCAACATCGCCCTGGTCCTCGCTACCGTCATCGCCTTACCAATCGGTAAAAAGCACAATAGTCCACCCGTCAATCCGGGCTCCTACGTCTTCGGTGATATAGAGAACCTCACTTCCTGGCCCACGGGCTGGGCATTCATGTTAGCGTGGCTGTCACCCATTTGGACAATTGGGGCTTTTGATTCGTGCGTGCATATGAGTGAGGAGGCTACGCATGCGGCGCGCGCGGTGCCGTTGGGGATTATATCTTCTGCTGGGCTTTGTGGGATCTTGGGGTTTGTTTCTTTGGCTGTTATTGCGGCTTCGATGGATACGGATATTGATGGGATTTTGAATTCGAAGTATGGGCAGCCCATGACGCAGGTTGGTTTTTTTTTCGTTGATTTGTTTATGTGTATTTGCTGACAAGGGAGATATACTATGATGCTCTTGGGAAGAATGGTGCGCTTGGCTTCATGGCTGTTGTTATGATTGTCCAGTTCTTTATGGGACTAAGCATTGTAAGTTATTGCAGACGTTCAGCGGGATCTCATTGACGTGTACAAGGTCCTAGCCGCCTCTCGCCAGAGCTGGGCCTTCTCGCGCGATGGCGCCCTTCCATTCTCGTCATTCTTTCGCAAAGTGAGCCAGCGAAGCTTGATGCGGTATCAGCCTGTCCGCATGGTTTGTGGTGTGGTGGTTTTGGCGGCTATCATTGGTCTCCTCTCACTGATCGACAATACTGCTGCCAATGCTCTTTTCTCTCTGGCTGTGGCTGCTAACGATCTCGCTTGGCTAACGCCAATCCTGGCTCGTCTGGTCTGGGGTGGTGATCGGTTTGTGCCAGGTGAGTTCTATACGGGGAAATATCTCAGTAAGCCCATTGGCTGGATTGCGGTTATCTACATGATTTTTGTCATTGTTTTGAGTATGATCCCTACCGAAGGTCCTAATCCGTCAGGTGAGTTATTTCGCCTCTCTCTTCCTCAAGGCTTGATTTTGACGTGCTCTTTGTAGCGGGGAACATGAACTATACCGTTGTTATTAATGGTAGTCTGTGGGTAGGGGCACTGCTTTATTACTATGTGCATGCGAGAAAGACGTTCAAGGGACCGCAGACGACTGTCAGTCCGGAGGCTGAAGGCAAGGCTATGGATAAGGCTGTTCATTGAAGTTTGAACATGAGCCCTGTGTAGTGTGGCCGAGGCTTGCAGATGGCTTTGGCCGGCTTGTTATCCTTTTGAGTGATTTGCTTGGTTTTTACTCATGTGTACTACGTCATCTGTTTAAAGAGCATGTAGATAGTGATACAAAGATGGGATTTGATTTCTCGCTAATGCCCTCATAGGGCTCAGAAACATGTCAAAAAGAAACATTAATACCTCGTCTTGAGCTCCGAATTAGATCACGCCGACTCCTGTCTTGCAAGGGGCAAACATAAGCAATGCATCTATTCTGGGATCTCAAGGACGTAACGACCGGCAATCTTGCCTTGCGCTGTTTAGACCGGTTAGCGTATGATCATATTTGACTGAAAGAAAGGCAACGTACCCATGAGCTCAAACACCTCCGGCAGCTCCTTGAGAGGAACAGTCTTGAAAGGAGCCTTGATCAGCCCGCGAGCATAGAAGTCCACGGCCTCAACGCCATCTTGGCGGTTACCGACGTAGCTGCCCTTGATGTTGATCATCTTGACCACGGTGTCGAAAACCGGAGCTTTGAGCGATGCACCTGCTGGCAAACCGATTGCAACAATGGCACCGCGAGAGCGAGCGTATTCAACAGCCTGCTGGAAGGGCTTCTCGGCGACAGCAAGTAAAAGCACAGCGTGGGCTCCCAAGCCGCCAGGTGTAGCGGCCTTCACGTCCGCAACAAGATCCTTGCTCTGGGTGAAATCGATGTATGCCTAAATCAGTCAGACCATTGATCACGTACCATGCTCATACTGATAAACTTACTTCGGCACCAAGCTGCTCGCACATGGCCCTCTTCTCTTCGCCGCCGTCAATAGCAATAACGCGCAGACCCATGGCCTTGGCATACTGCTGAGCAAGAGAACCCAAGCCACCACCAGCACCAACGATAGCAACCGTCTGACCAGGGCGCGCACCAGACTCCTTGAGACCCTTGTAGACAGTCACACCCGCGCACAGGATAGGCGCAACACCATCGAGAGGCACCTCCTTCGGCAGCTTCGAGACATGAGCAGCCTTGGCGACGGCATACTGCTGGAAGGTTCCGTCAACGGTGTATCCCGACAGCTCGGCCTCGGGACACAGAGGCTCGTCGGCGGTCTTGCAGTATTCACAAGCGAGGCAGGAGCCATTCAACCATTTGATGCCGGCGTGGTCGCCAATCTCGATGCCGTGGGCGAGCTCGCCTTTCGCAACGACGATTCCGGCTCCCTCGTGGCCGCCGATCAGAGGGTAGGGCTTGAGTGGGAGGGGCCAGTCGCCGTTGAGAGCGTGGAGGTCTGTGTGACAGACTCCGGTGTACTTGATTTTGACGAGGACATCGTCGGGTCCGGGCTTGGGGACGGGGATTTGTTTGTAGACGGGTGGTCCGCCTTTCTGCTCGATTACCTGGGCCCACTGGGTATCTGGGATGGTCATGTTGGAAGTTGGAGGGATAATGTAGATGGAGATGGAGATGTGGAAGTGGATGTAGAAGTAGAAATCCGAATTGGTGGGGAAGTTACAAAGTGAAGTGAGAAAAGAAGGATGTCACACAAAGTCAATGGACTTTTTATACTTTGTGGGTATTGCCTGATATCTTTTCCCTGGCATCCCACTCGCGACATCCCATCCCAGCCGGTGTGCCGGAGATGTGGCGGTCATTTCTGATGTCAAGAGAGCTTTCGGCATCGGTCTCGCTCCGGTCGTGTTCCGCGTCCCTTGTTCCTTGTTTGTGACCTAGTTGAGACGGTTTGTACCTCAGGGTATTTCCTCAACGGGCTGCATCTGCATTCCCTGTTGTCCCTATTTGGGGTAACGGACAGCTCCCTCTCAATCTTACTTGCAGATAACATGAACATGCTCATATGTACCCCTCATTTGGGGTCAACGTGTTCATACCCTTGACGTTGTGGACAAAAGTTCGATTGCAAAAGTTGGGAGTGGACGACGTCACCATCCTGTTGGGACACGGTTATCTCCGAGCATCAGACCATACCTGGCTACACTTGAGGCTTTGACTGGAGATGTGTTCAGCCTCGTGTTAAATGCCAATAATCAGATCCAATTGATAGAGTGATTCTATAAGGTCCTCAGATCTACTTCGTATGGATGGGCCACCTTGGGGGAATCGCGGGATTTGATGTCGTTGCCAAGCTTTCAGTCCACAACATGACATATTTGGTCTCCTCCCCCTCTCGCATCAAGATACTTGTGATACAGAGCTCTTGGAAAGGAATCTCAAGCACATACAAGCCCCAGCATAGAACAAAGTGAGAGTCTTAGGGATTTCGTCAACAAAGAGTGTTCGACTAATCGACCTACGGAAGGGATGCCTATCGGATGAAGACTCTCTTGAAGGAGAGCGCGCAATTGTTTTCATCAAGAAAGTCCTGTCGCTCCGACAATCATTTTGAATACGATATGATTTACACCAGCAGGATTGAGACTTGATGCGGTCGCATCACGACCCGCACACGCCGGCAGGCTCCCCGCGCTAAACCGACCGCGACTGATCACTCCACGTTTGCCCAACTACACCAATTCAAAAGATGCGCGTAAAATCATGCCCATAACAGTGAAAGAACTCGAGGAGACGCCTCTCGGCAACACTCTCATTGGCTTAACTGAAAAGACACTTGGCGAGGTGTTCAAATCGGTCTGCGCGAAAAGAAGCCGAGAATCAGCTGCTGCTGGCATTCAGTGCTGATTCAACTGCCAGCCAGGCCACTGGTGCCGAGAAGAGCTCATCTCGAAAGACAACAGTGCCACGATATGCCCTATGTGGCAATTGCAAGGAAGATTTCGACGTTACGGCCAATACAGACAAGAGTTGTCGATCATCCGAGTATGAGCAAAACGATCTACGGTCTATTATACATGCTAATATGATTTATCACAGGCTTCAGTGAGGCCGACCAAGATTCGCATCTCTATGAGGATCTTGACGACTGGATGGAAGCGGATACTGAGGAGAATCGCGAGGAATGGCCTGAGTGTTTCATTTTCCTCTGCTGTGAAGAGAACCTCGGAGATAACCCCCATGGATGCAAGGTTGATTTCCATCGGCGGCCAGAGCCAAGCAACAGGTTCAAGAGGGCGCGAGTGGCATAAGTTAGGGTTCTCCTAGTATCAAGCCTCCGGACATGACATCCATGGTTGTAAACAGGAGCAACCAAAAGACAAGACCTCGGGACCCATTTAGTATGCCGATCTTGAATATATAAGCGATGAACAGCATAGGCTACAAGTAGATTGTAGGGGAGAGACTCAGCATAGAAGTAACCCAGAGACGGCGCAAACATGATTATTTATGGGCCTCGTGTCCACCTAACATCATTCACCCCGCGTTGTTTACCTGCCCCGAACCAACCCACCCATCTGTCAACACCATGCCCACTCCAAATGAAACCAAACATGTATCCAAGGATACACCCCTTGATCGCGCGATTGCTCAATCATCCGACTCCGTGATCCGGGCAACTCTTAAATCCGTCTGCGCGCAAAATGAGGAGGCGCGCAAAATAATCTAAAGCCAGCTCCTGGTGATGCCTACGGACGCCCCAAAAGGCTCAAATCTTCCCAAAACACCAGTGCCTCGCTACGCTATATGTGCTTTCTGCGAGAAAGAGTTCGATGTGACACTCAATACAGAGAAAAGCTGTCAATACCACCCAGGTAAGCAAGTTGTGTGAGGTCTTCACCGGTTTGATCTCGTTATATATCTCAACTAAAACACAATAGCGGAGCCTGAGGGTACTGGCTCAGACCTTGAGGTCGACAATTATGGTGAATTTGAATTGGAGCCTGAGGATCTACAAGAAGATTTTCCGGAATGCTTTACGTTCGAGTGCTGCGGTGGAAATATGAGAGATGATCCTGATGGGTGTGTGGTGGACTTTCATCGTGAGGAAGTTTCTAACAAGCCGACGAAACGGGCGAGGGTGAATTGATTTGAAGTTAGCCATAGCCATAGCCATAGTCATCTGATGAGCCATTACCAGATTGGAACTTTGGAAATTCCAAAAGATATCAGAGGTTACTTCCAGGGCTTTTATGGCATTAGCACGGAGTAGTGTTGGTGTTCGCCTAGATCAGTTCCATGGTTTAAGTGGTTTGTGTGGTTTGTGTGGTTTGCACCGTTTGCACCGTTTGCATGGCTTGGCGTGATGCTTCGAAGATCCCAAAGTTTGGGGAGAGCGGAGAAGTTGGCCTTGGAAGGAAGCTCATAGCTGGATACTTTACTCAGCCCATATAGGTCCAGTTCATTTGCTTTCTGTGATCATGTACACCTGCCCTAACCAATAAGATATATGTCTGCAGTATATCAAATGTAGAGAACACTCTGGTGGACCCTTCCAAGGTTCCAACGAGATAAGGACCTAGAGGAATGAGTAGAGCCGAGATGGCGGAGCTCACCTGGTATTTCTACGTGGCCGGATGTGAGCAGCACGGTGAAACACACAGGAGATCCGGCCTGGGAGTCCGCTTTGGTCTCGTTTGTTAGTCCGAGCTTCAGGTTGGCGTTGAGCTGAATGTAGATTCGCTCGAACTAAGTACGGAGCCCCCAACTCTGTGATTTCCACAGATCCACGTGTCAAATTCGGTGAACCAAGCCAAGCACACGAACGGGGTCAAGAAGAGGAAGATGTATTGGAGGAGTATCAAGGATGAAACACCCCGTAGAGGACATGGCCAGCTCTGTGGTCACTCACCACCCACCGAAGGGACGGGGTGTTCATATAGCGAGATCGGAGGCGAGAGAATAGATTAGAGGAGAGGATGATAGACATCAAAGAAGAGATAATTAAGATAACAGTAAAAGAACATACGTCGCTGGTAGAGTAAAGAGAAAAAGTGAAAAGAAAAAGTAGAAGACAATACACGACGACAATCGGATCGAAGGGCCGCAGAGGCGAAAGGGACGAGAAGAGATGGGATGAGAAGTCACGAAGCAAACCGAAATTCCCCCCCCCAAATGACCCTTTCGCCCATTCCCTCGACTTTATTCATTCCCCAACTGCCCATATTCATCATCATTCTGTCTTTTTTCCTTTATTGTGCAATTTACTTATTGTCAACCTTCTCATCTTCACCTCCCCCTGCATCAGCTCCGCCTAGACCCGCGCATTCTCTTTGGGCTCGGGAACTTCTCCTCTGCATCCTCCCACCACAAACGAATCCATCCTTCCATCAGGTATTTATGTCTCGCTTTCTTCCTTTATCACCCTCATCCATCGCCCTACACCCCGAAACCGATACTGACGTCGCGTCAGGCCGTTGAGCCCCCTTCGTGTCTAGGTCTTGCCCGGAGACTGGAGACTCCCGGTCTCTCCTGCACCAATTCACCTGAGCCAAGCTTGATTCCAATCCTCGACGCGCCCAATCCTCCCCGGGGACCGCGGCCACCATGTCGGGCGCTCCACCGTACAACGGCCAGTCTCCGACGCAACAGCAGCGGTATCCGGCCTACACCTCGCCCAGCAAGAACTCCTATTACCCCAATGAGCAACCTCAGCAGTATCATCAGCATCCACCTCAGACTCCCCCTGCCTTCCCTCCCGTCGCGCGGAGCCCGCACTTTGCGCACGCGTCCCCGATGCCGGGCAGTCTACCGCCGCCCTTGAATGGCGCTGCGCCACACCAATCTCACCCAGACCAGTCGCAATATCCAGGACACCCACCAGCCTCGCAGCTCCCACCACTTGCGCGACCATACTCCAGCTCGGTGATGGCGAGCAACGGCGCCTCACCCTACGCAACGCCGCACGGCCACCCGGCCGGTCACCCAGAGGGTCATGCGCAATCTCCCACCCGGGAATCTCAATCCCCATACCGTATGCGAGGCAACGGCGCTGGATACGGTCCTTCCATGGTGCGGGAGCAAAGACCTACGTCGCCCCAGGAAACGGTACGCACAATCTGCAATATCCCCCACTGGTGCTATGTTTACTGATCAATTGTTCGCCCTACAGAAGCCTGCTCGGGCAGCCGATCCCATGTCTTTCGCCAGTATCCTATCTGGCCCATCGGATGAACAGCCTGCGAGAAAGCCTTCTCCTGCGCCCACCTCATACTCCGTCCACACACCGCATGCTCCTCCCTCCTTTGACCACCGAAATGTAAACCATGGACCTGCGCCTGGAGCGCTGTACCCCAAGTCTGAGCACCGTTTTGCGCACGACAAACGCATGGAAAGCCCCCGAGGCCTACCCGCCACCAATGGGTTCTCTAAACCAGAGGCAGAGTACCACGCCCCAGTTCCTCGGCCACCGCTGCGAAAACCCTTCCCACCTGGCGTCGATCTTGAGCAGGTCAACCGTGCTGCAGCTGAGATCGATCAAGCCGACAAGAGTGATATTGAGGATCCTGCATTCGGTGCTGAATTGGAACGATACAAGCATAAAAGCCACAAGCGGTCGTTGGAGAGTAGTAGAGCAGAGCAGATCCGACGCAAGGTATGTTCGAGACTGGGATTGGGGTTCAAGATCTATACTAACAACAGTTCAGCGCCGCCGAAATGAGTTCCTTGTCGACCTAGGTAGATCCTTCGAACGACAGGTCATCTTAGGCAGCGAACGGTTCAGAACTCTCAATGAAGGTGCTGTTGTCGCTGAAGTCCAGCAAAAGGAGGTTCAGGACGAAAAGGAGCGCAAGAAGGATATGCAACGCAAGCGCCGTCGCGAGAACACCGTGCGCCAAGAGATGCAGAAGAAGCTGGAGGCCGAGCGCAAAGCCGACAAAGCGCAGGAGCCCGGCGAAAGACTTAAATTCTTGCGTGAAGCCGAGCGAGCACAAAAGAAGATCCGCACCACCAAGCGCGCCCTGGAAGGAGGCGATGGCCAAGATGAGCTTGGTGAGGTCACTCCACTCGCTCCCAACCTCGAAGGTGGCACGACAAGCTCGTTCGCAATTGGCAACGACGCTGCACGACGCCGGTCCGGTCGCGCTGGTGGCCCTGTCACTCGTCCCAAGAAGTCCAAGGAGCAGAAGCAGGCCGAAAAGGATATGGCGGAAGCCGCCTGGAATGCTGGGCTCGATGATGACCTCTACCTCACTCCAAGTGGCCGGAGAGACGCTCCTCTCTCCAAGGAGGGTACTCCCATGTCCCAGCTTCACTACGACAGCAAGGGCTACAACCAGATTTACGATCAGATTTGGCGCGATATTGCGCGCAAGGACATTCCCAAGGTTTATCGCATCAAGAGCACATCACTATCCACCCGCCAGGAGAATCTGCGCAAGACAGCGCAGCTCGCCAGCAAGCAATCGCGCAAGTGGCAGGAGCGCACAAATAAAAGCACCAAGGATACACAGGCTCGAGCCAAGCGTGCTATGCGTGAAATGATGACCTTCTGGAAGCGCAACGAGCGCGAGGAACGTGATCTGCGCCGCGTGGCAGAGAAGCAAGAGCTGGAATCCGCCAAGAAGGCAGAGGCCGACCGCGAAGCCAACCGACAAAAGCGCAAGCTGAACTTCTTGATTTCGCAGACTGAGCTGTACTCTCACTTCATCGGGCGCAAGATCAAGACCGACGAGGCACAGGGCGACGCGGCCGTTGCCACCACTGGCGAGACGGTTCAGCCTGGCAAGCCTGATGCGCACACGGTCAATATTCCCGACAGCGTCGCTAATCCCAATGCTAAGACTACTGCGTTCGAGGACCTTGATTTCGACGCGGAGGATGAAACCGCACTGCAGCAGGCCGCTATGGCCAACGCTCAGAATGCCGTGCAGGAAGCCCAGGACCGTGCCCGTGCCTTCAATAACCAAAAAGAGGGAGACAACATGGCTGCGTTTGATGATGGAGAGATGAACTTCCAGAACCCAACCAGTCTGGGTGATATTGAGATTTCTCAGCCTACCATGTTGAATGCCCAGTTGAAGGAATACCAGCTTAAGGGTCTTAATTGGCTTGTTAACTTGTATGAGCAGGGTATCAACGGTATCTTGGCTGATGAGATGGGTCTTGGTAAAACCATCCAGTCTATCTCTGTGATGGCCTACTTGGCTGAGTTCCACAACATCTGGGGTCCCTTCTTGGTTATTGCGCCAGCATCCACCCTTCATAACTGGCAGCAAGAAATCACAAGGTTCGTGCCAAACATCAAGGTCCTGCCTTACTGGGGTAATGCCAAGGATCGTAAGATTCTGCGAAAGTTCTGGGATCGCAAGCACATCACATACAACCGCGACTCCGAGTTCCACGTTCTCGTTACCTCTTACCAGCTTGTCGTTCTGGACGCACAGTACTTCCAGAAGGTCAAGTGGCAGTACATGATTTTGGACGAAGCTCAAGCAATCAAGTCTTCTTCTAGTTCGCGTTGGAAGAACCTGCTCGGCTTCAGTTGTCGCAATCGTCTCTTGTTGACCGGTACTCCGATCCAGAACAACATGCAGGAATTGTGGGCTTTGCTTCACTTTATCATGCCTACTCTGTTCGATTCACATGACGAGTTTAGCGAGTGGTTCTCCAAGGACATTGAATCTCACGCACAGAGTAACACCAAGCTCAATGAAGATCAGCTCAAGCGTTTGCATATGATCCTGAAACCCTTCATGCTGCGTCGTGTCAAGAAGAACGTGCAGCAGGAACTCGGCGACAAGGTTGAGAAGGATATCTTCTGTGACCTGACATACCGTCAACGCGCCCTATACGCGAATCTGCGCAACCGTGTCAGCATCATAGATCTGATCGAGAAGGCCGCCACCGGCGATGACACTGACAGTAGTACACTGATGAACTTGGTTATGCAATTCCGAAAGGTGTGTAACCACCCCGACCTCTTCGAGCGCGCGGAAACCAAGTCGCCTTTCTCCGCTGCGTCTTTCGCCGAAACCGCCTCTTTTGTGCGTGAAGGAAACTTTGTCGATGTCCGCTACTCGACACAAAACTTGATCAGTTATGACCTGCCACGTCTTTTGTGCAGTCCCGAGGGACGTTTGGATCTCCCTGGCTCCAAAAACCCTCGCGCTGGCTTCCAAACGAAGTATCTTTCTCAGCTAATGAACGTGTGGACGCCCGAAAACATTCACAAGAGCGCACGTGACGATGGTGCCTTCTCATTCTTGCGTTTCGTCGATACTTCCCCAGCAGAAGCAAGTGAGATCGCTCGACTTGGTGTGTATGAGCGCGCGGAGCGTCGCCGTAGCAAACCAAACCGACTTTCTGCCTTAAATGTCATCTATGATGAGAGTGATGATTCTAAGAACTCGGTATTGTCACACTCGATGTTGAACATCGTTGATCGTAATGATCGCCAGGCTGTGCGTGACATCGCCGTTGAGGGTCGCATGAAGGATTTGATGACCGTTTCGCGTTCGGCTTCCGAGAGACAGGGTCTCCAGTTGATTGAACCCTGCGCTGCCCCCAAAGCCTCGGCTCCCCCGATTACAATGTCTGCCTCTTGTCAGCAAGCACTGCGAGAATCCAACCGTGACCTGTTCAATGCGTCTGTCCGCCAAGCACTGTCTGGTAACCACACCCGGCAGCTCGAGATGGAGATCCTCGCCAAGAAGCTGGACCCTGCACCCTACTCCCACCCGCCGATGCTTCCTGCGCCCGGCTCACTCAAGGGACGCTACAGCCACATCGAGGTTCCATCGATGCGTCGCTTCGTAACAGACTCCGGCAAGCTGGCCAAGCTGGATGAGCTCTTGCGCCAGCTCAAGCCCGGTGGTCACCGTGTGCTTCTGTACTTCCAGATGACCCGCATGATTGATCTGATGGAAGAGTACCTCACATACAGGAATTACAAGTACTGCCGACTGGACGGAAGCACCAAGCTGGAAGACCGTCGCGACACAGTCTCCGACTTCCAGTCCAACCCAGAAATCTTCGTGTTCCTGCTCTCCACTCGTGCCGGTGGTCTCGGTATCAACTTGACGGCAGCCGACACAGTCATCTTCTACGACTCCGATTGGAACCCCACCATCGATTCGCAAGCTATGGACCGAGCCCATCGTCTAGGTCAAACCCGCCAAGTCACCGTCTACCGTCTCATCACACGCGGAACCATCGAAGAACGAATTCGCAAGCGCGCCTTGCAGAAGGAAGAAGTGCAGCGCGTCGTCATCACAGGTGGCGCCTCTGGTGGAGTCGACTTCAACACTCGCGCCCGCGAGAACCGCACCAAGGACATCGCCCTCTGGCTCGCCGACGACGACGAAGCCGAACTCATCGAGCAAAAGGAGAAAGAAGCCATTGAACGCGGCGAGGCTCTCGGCGCAAAGGGTGGCAAGAAAGCTGCCCAGAAGCGCAAGCGAGATCTCACGCTCGACGACATGTACCATGAAGGTAAGCTTCTTTCCGTCCCCCAATCTCCTTTCAATCCCAATACTAACAAAAACTTACAGGCGAGGGTAACTTTGACGACGCCAGCGCTAAACCTTCCGGCGCCGCGACCCCTGCTGAAGAACCCGTCGAAACCCCCTCGTCAACACCCGCTAAACGTGGCCGTGGCCGCGGTCCCGGTAAAGGAACCTCGAAACGAGCTAAGACTACCAAAGAGCGTCTTCGTCTGATCGACGGTGACGGCGGCCTTGATTAATTACATTTTTTTCTTCTCAACTAATGCAAAAACCCCGGGGGCGTTCATTTCAGCTTTTCTCTCTGCCTTTGCTTTGGCTTTTACTCTCTTCTTTTTCCCTTTCTACTCCGTTGTCTTTACTGGTCTTGCTGTGTTTTTTTCTTTCTCTATGTTTCTTTTCTTTTCCTTTCTCTTGTCTGGCAGATACATGAACTGCTCTGTATTATCATACAAAATCCCCTTGATTCGGTTGATTTTTTTTTTTTCTTCCAAAGAAGACTGATTGTGATGCAAGGATGAAAAGATGTTTCTACGATAGACTTGGTTCTGGCTGTGGTATCGGTCGTGCTGAGTCTGGAGTGATGGTCTGGCGAGTTTCGTTTTCTTCTTTTCTTTTCTTTTCGTTCTACATTGTTCTTTACTTCCATCTCCTTTTGGCTGTTTTGTGCTTTCGATGTTTAAAAAGGCGCAACTTTCAATTTAGTTATGAGTGTCAAATGGATTGATTGATATCATGGCTTCTCAGTTTCCGTGATGCAGCTTTCGATCATATCGTAGTGAGGATTGCAGGTCTTTTGACAGTGTGGATCCTAGGACCTGATTCATGAACGATAGACTACCTCATCCCCATGACTCCATGTCCCAAATGCAGTTGTACAAATCAAGTCGACGATGCTCCGAGCCCGGTATCGACGAAGATATTCGGCGCATTGCGTGGAAGACGTTTCTGCCCAGCCTTTCAGAAAGAGTCTTTGATCGACTCCAGAATGTTGTGGGGGATCCGAGTTGTCACCACTCTGTTCAGTGGTCATCTTTGATATTGGCGATTTCAAGGAATGCATTGTGAAACTATAGAGTTGTAATTGCGCAGACCTAGAATAAAAGATCTTTGGTTAGAATATCCAGTATTAAGAGGGAACAGGGACTCACCCACTGTGTAGTCATGTGTGTATTGTTTTCTTTCAGTCTGTCGGCCAGAAAAGGTCTTCCTCGATTTCAGGCATGCTCATATCGAGTCTTGAATCTCGGATTCCAGATCCCGTAAAGGGTATCGTTATCGACGTAAAAGTTTAACTTTGTATAAAGGTATTTCAGCGATAAAAGATGCCGTTAACGTTCAGTAGGAAGGATTTGGTGGAGTTGTGGAGTTGTTGAAGCAGTGCTAGAGTTGGAAGGGGAATTCAACTAGGTAGGGGAGGTACTCGTTCTTTCTCTCTTACTTTCCAAGGTCTCTCTACTTCCTTCCCAATTGACTGTCTCTATGGTAAAGACTTGATATAATCGACTTGCCATTGGCTTACACACAAGTCCCTAGAAACTACATTCCAGGAGACTGTTCAAAAAGATAGACTTATAGTTCCTAGTTCGGCAATTCCCCAACACCTTCACTCACAGATATCATTTCTCCCTCTATACAGGCCCAACCCCAAACAACGCCTCAGCATTCCCATGGGCAAACTTTTCCAAGTCCTCAGCACTCATCAATCCACTCTTCTTAATCCTCTCAACGAAATCAGCCCCCTTCTTGTTATCCGAGAACGGATAATCAACCGAATAAAGTACCCTCTCAATCTTCGTCGTCCTCAACAAACAAGCCAGAGGCGCAAGACTGAACATCCCACTCGTCGTAATCCAAAAATTACTATCCCAAACCTCCTGAAATCCCCTCCTCAACCCCCACCTCCCAGCAACACCAACCACCCTTTCCATCTGAAACGGCAACATCTCACCCATATGCCCCAACACAATCTTCAGCCCAGGCACCTCATCAAACAACCCACTCGCATAAAGCCTCAAAACATGCACCGCAGTCTCACTATGCCATCCCCACCCAAAAGCACTCATAGCAACAGCAACCTCATCCGCATACCCGCCCTTATAATGCTCCAGCATCTCCGGACTCGCCCAAGACGGATGCAAATATATCGGCACATCCAGCTCAGCCGCTTTCTCAAAAACCACTCTGAATTCGGGCCCATCGTAGAATCGTCCGTTGATGTGGTTGTCCACCAACGCACCTAGGAATCCGTGCTCACGCACGCACCGCTCTAGCTCTGAGGCTGCTGAGCTTGGATCGCCCATTGGTAGGAGGGCGAAGCCGGCGAGGCGTTTGGGGTTTTGCGATATTGCTTGTGCGAGTTGGTTGTTGGTTGAGGTGCAGAGGGCTGGTGGGTAGGTTCCTGGGGCGTGGGAGAGGATTTGGAGGGCGACGTTGCCGCTGTCCATATCTTGGATTCTTTCTGCGGAGAGGCTGGAGAGCTTTTGGGTTATGTGTGCTGGGAAGGAGGCGAATTCATCGTTGGCGTTGCGCACTTCTGAAGAGATGTAGTGCTCTTCTAGGGTTATGAATGGCATGGTTGGGGAGTTTTTCAATTGGGTGCGCGGGTTAGGGTTGTGGGTGGAAGTTGGATATGATGGTTTGAATTATACGGAGTAGATTATACTAACTTGACATGGGGCTCTTTTCTTAAATACCTGTTCTGGTGGGTGTTGGATTAGAAGAAACAGGGTCGGTCATTCACGGTGTTAAGTCCTTGTGGCCGATGTAGCTGAATCTCCTAAGTCCGAGTCTGACATGCGGTCTTTTCTATGCCAATTATAAGCCTTGACTGGGCTCCGCTCGCAGAGTTAGAGAGGGTTATAAGATCCACAGCTTTTGAGTCTCCTGTGGACGAAGATCTATCGAAAGAGCTGTCCGAAGTGTACTCCGTACAATTTGCGGTTTGATGCTTGGCAGCAAATTCCAACGTCGCGAAGCGTTCAATGATTCGACAATAAAGTCAATCAAAGATACCTGATATGCTCCGTATGGAGTAAGGATTTTCTTGGTCACATTGGAGCTAAATCCACGCCGAAGCTGAGTAGCTGAACCCCACAAAGGACTTGCAGGGAGCGTGTATAAGCCGTGCGAGACAACGGTCTTTGTCTTTAGGGCAATGCCTGGGATTCTAGAAGTCCCCATACAAAGGCCGAGATCCCGGGTAAGTAGTAGATCCCGGACTCCACATGTCAAAGACCCTCCGAAGCCCCCTCAAGACCCCCCAAGACCCCCCAAAGTTGAAGTGAAGAAAAACGAGAAGGTGGCGAGTTACGAGGGCCGCGGCACCCGGCAGCCGCTGATTGCCGTTTCGGGAATAGATCCCCGTGCCTGTTCGCCCTTCCAGCCAATCAGAACCCGCTGTATGTAAGCCAATCGATGACTAACATCCCCGCCGGGATCTGTATTGATTTTCTTCTTCCGCACTGGCGTATTTGATCTGTACATTTCCCCTGATCTCGAGGAGAACTTCTGTTTTGCTCATTGTTTTTTACATCCAATTCGCTATGGAGGCTCTCTTGCAGCAGTCCCGTTCTATGTGCCCATTCCTCAAGCGCACATCCCCCACCACTCTCCGCACGCTCTCGACCGCTACTCGTCCCAACTCCAGCCCCGGAGGCGGTACCATGTCCAATTTGCAGGTCATCGCCCGCCGCTGCCCGGTCATGAACAAGGCTCTGGCCGTGCAGAGTGCTCGTCTCAGTGGCACCAAGCGCTTCACCTCGCGCGCCGCCGGAGTCGCCGCATTCCAGCCTATGCGGGCCCCCATCGGCAAGCGGGAACTGCACAGTTCCAACGGCAACCCCGCCAGCCTCGCCTCTGGCGGATACCAAAAGACCGAGCAAGGTAAATTGACTTTGTGAGGCTTGTGCTACGTTCAATTCTAATCCGACTTCAGGAAACCATAACCCCACCAATCCGCTGCGCCCGTCTCCCACCGCTGCCGAGGCCGCCTTCCGCGGTCCCCCCGATGCGCCGACCAACAAGCCGTACAATTACCAGGGCTTTTACGATGCGGAGCTTGAGAAGAAGCACAAGGACAAGTCTTACCGCTATTTCAACAACATCAACCGTCTCGCCAAGGAGTTCCCGCGTGCCCACACTGCGTCTGCCGAAGAGCGTGTGACTGTCTGGTGCTCCAATGACTACCTCGGCATGGGACGCAACCAGCAGGTTTTGGATACCATGCACAAGACATTGGATACCTACGGATCTGGCGCGGGCGGTACCCGTAACATCTCGGGCCACAACCAACACGCTGTCACTTTGGAGAAGACCCTCGCCAAGTTGCATGGCAAGGAGGCTGCATTGGTCTTTAGCTCATGCTTCGTCGCTAATGATGCTACCTTGGCAACCCTGGGCAGCAAACTTCCTGATTGTGTCATCCTCTCGGATAGTCTCAACCATGCCTCCATGATTCAAGGCATCCGTCACTCTGGCGCGAAGAAGATGGTGTTCAAGCACAACGATTTGGAAGACCTCGAAACCAAGCTGGCATCTCTGCCCTTGAGTACCCCAAAGATCATTGCCTTCGAATCCGTGTACAGTATGTGCGGATCGATCGCCCCAATTGAGAAGATCCAGGATCTTGCCGATAAGTACGGTGCCATCACTTTCTTGGACGAAGTGCACGCTGTAGGCATGTACGGCCCGCACGGAGCTGGAGTCGCCGAGCACCTCGACTATGACAAGTGGGCATCGCAGGATACAGCCTCCCCGCAAAACACCAAGGGCACTGTTCAGGACCGCGTCGATATCATCACTGGTACCCTCGGCAAGGCCTACGGCAGTGTCGGTGGCTACATCGCCGGTTCCGCAGCTATGGTTGACACCATCCGCTCACTCGCCCCGGGCTTCATCTTCACCACCTCTCTCCCACCATGCACCATGGCCGGTGCCAACACCGCCATCGAATTCCTCGCCCAGGAACCCCGCGAAAGAACCCTTCAACAGCTCCACACTCGCGCTGTGAAGAAGTCTCTCAAGGACCTGGACATCCCTGTCATCCCCAACCCATCCCACATCGTTCCTCTCCTCGTTGGCTCCGCCGAGCTAGCTAAGAAAGCATCCGATAAGCTCCTCGAAGAGCATGGCATCTACGTCCAGGCAATCAACTACCCCACCGTCCCCCGCGGCGAGGAGCGTCTGCGCATCACCCCGACCCCCGGCCACACCAAGCCTCTCCGCGATCATCTTATCGAGGCCGTGCAGGCCGTCTGGAACGACCTGGGTCTGAAGCGCACCAGCGACTGGCAGAGCGAGGGCGGTTTCGTCGGTGTCGGTGTTGAAGGCGCCGAGGCTGCTAACCTGCCCATCTGGGAGGACTCCCAGCTGGGTCTGCAGGCCGGCGAGACTCTCGATGCTGCTATTGCTCGTGAGTTCGATGCCGCTCCTCAGGCTTCTGCCGCCCCTTAGACTGAGAAGGCTCACTCTACCGTGAACACCCCCGTTGGTGTCGCCGCCTAGAGCTGTGGCTTTAATCTCTCGGTTTTTGGGGTAATCATTCTTCGTTATTCCCGTCCATTCTTTAAATCTTATCTACATACGGTCATATTTGAACATATGCATTCGTTATATTCAATCACAACATAACATTGACTTGTGTATATGTTTCCAATTTGTAGAATTCTCTAAGCATACCTTGTACCGCCATAATTTTGTCCCTTCAGTGTCCAGTGCCGGTGGAGGTTTCATTCAAACCTCCCTTCTCCAGGATATTCACGCCGGTTCACTATCAGCTGGGGCTCTCTTAGATCCCCCTCTCAAACTTCTGGAAGATTTGTTCTCTGGTCATGATTTGGCATGTTATAGCGGATCAGGATTCGAAATATCACCTCAGGTTTCCAAATTCACGTCTATTCTTCACCAAAATTTGCCATATTTGTTATGAACACAACAATCCCAAGAACCTCAACACCCACAATCAATTCGAGATACAGATTTCAGGTTCAGCATACAGGAACCCAGTATAGACCTCGGGAGAAGTCTAATTGGGTCAAGACCTCAAGCATCGTTTTCATGAATAAAAACAAATACACAGGTATACTACTCATTCAGTAGCATCCATGATGAGATATGAGATGTCTTTATAGATTCCTTCAGGAAACTAGGTACACGAGGAGAATTCACAGAAGTCAACTCCAGGAGCATATTCTTCATGCCCCCACTTGGGCAGGAAGAGCAATTCCAAGCCACTACAACCTCATAGATGAGATGCCATCACTCTTCCCATGGCTGATGTTTTCGACAGCGGCATGTTTATATCTTTTACCAGCGACTCCGTAGGTATTGTGTGTATATATCCATGGATGACGAAAGCAGAAAACTTTGGAAATGTTTGGACCAAACCACGATGTCGAGGACCTCGGAAAGCATTATATACATCCCCTTGATCTGAAATGTTTCAAATTCAACACGCAACAAATTTTAAAATCCTCGAAGTTCAGGCCATATATACTACAAATTCTACATTTGGAAATCAAGGAATTCACTCTTGCAAGAAGTGATCATTGAACCAATGCGTAGGGCCCTTACAGCTGGGTATTCTTTTAGGAACGAAGATATAGATCCACGAGAAAACGAGAGTATAGAGAGCTCTCAACCTGCTGAAGCAAGCATCAAGACTCCAAGGTTGCGGAGAAGACGAGAATTGCCAGTAACATGCACGAGTGCTGCCCAGGTGGGCCGCGAGACGACGATACCAACGCTGCTGAGGGGTTCTTTCTTTCTATCTGGACTTTAACAGAGAAACTCAACAAACCATGGAAGAATATGTCCGCACTCCAGGGCTAAGAGATGAAAATATGATATGATCAATTCTTTTAGCTATGTAACATTGTCTCAATGATATAGAAACAGGTGAAAATGACAATTTTAAACCACAAAGCGCCGAATCCCATACAAGTGGCAAGGACAAGAAATCCAAACCAACAGAACCGCTAAATCTATTTGCGACCACCACGGCTAACCTTCGGGAACTCAACGGGGATACGCAGACGAGCAACGCGACGAGCATTCGCCTCAGCCTTTCCGCCCTTAATGTTCCACTTAGCGAACTCTGACTCGCGGGGCTTATCAATGCGACAACCCAGCTCGCGGAAGAATTGGTGGATCGCCGTTGGGTCAAGACGAAGATCGTCACGCAGATCAGAGGGATCCGTAGCCAGCTCGTTGGGGGCATTACCGCCGAGAGAGCTAGATCCACCATCCTTCGCAGGCTGAGGGGGGATATGCAGTGAGAGAGCACAGATAGTGGTTTGCAGGAGGGTGAAGTCGTTCTTGGAGACGTAGCCACCAGTGGGGGCGAAGCGGCGGCGGACAGCGTCGATGACCGACTCTGGCAGGAGATCTGAAGATGCGTCTGCGGATTTGGTGGAAGCGCCGGTTGTGTTTGAGAGGATGCGGCGGAGTTCTTCGCGAGGAGGAAGACGCTTGGAGCCTGGGCCGCCTCCCTTGGCGTTTGCGCCGCCGCTCTTGAGACAGCGGCCGAATTCGATCAGGAGCTGGATGAAGCGCAGGACTTGGAGGTGGGTTGTGTTGTCGGAGAGGACGACCGCACCGACGCGGTTGGAGACGTAGCGGGAGACGGTGGTCACACCGAGACCAGCTTCCACCTGGGCCTTCCAGTCGTCCACACCGTTGAGCTGAGTGAGGGTCGTGTGGCTGCCTGGCACGAGGGTTTCGATGGTGTAGACGTCTGAGGGGTGCGAGGCGGAGAGATCGGGGGTTGGGAGGGGCTTGGCTGCTTGCACTTCGGCTTGCACGGCGAGTTCCTTGGCCCGGCCGGAGGTTGTGTTGGAGGGCATGGAGGAGATGAGAGCTGCGCCGGCTTGGGGCACGGCGCCGGTGGGTGCGTTGGAGAGTTGGGCGTTCTCGGCCATGGATTGCACGGCCTTGCGAGATTGCTTTGTACCGAAGGTGTTGGTGAGTGCTGTGCGCTGGGCACGCATAGTCTGTTGATTGTTAGTTTTCTGCTTGTTGGAGGGAAATTGAGGACCGTCAAATACCATATCTTCTTCATCCGAGTCATCCTCAGCCTTGCGGGTTCTCACTGCTCCTCGCAGAGTCGCCCGTCGGACCTCGACAACCTTCCATGTCTTGCGCTCCGGATCCACAACTGCGACATAGTGCTTTAATTGGGAGTCGGTGTCGTCTCCTGTGCCTTCACGGCCGACAAAGTCCAGCTTGGCATGGTCTGAAGACTGCAGCAGCATCTCTGATGAGACAATGCCCGGGTTTGAGTTCGCCGCAGACTTGGAGGCATTGGCGCGGTTCTTGGTATATGGGTTCCAGGTAAGGTTCTTCGCGCTGAGAAGACCGGGAGTGTTGGCTATCACACACGAGGCCCGTTAGCAATGGATCAGATCTTGCTGGAAAAGCTTTGCACTCACCAATCACTGGGGCCAATTCGCTCTTATCTTCGACAACGGTGGCAGCCAGCGGGGGAAGCGTCTGCAGAGCGGGCTTCTTGCTGGGACGGTCCTTGTCCGTAGAGCGCTTGCGCTTCTGATCTGTTTTACTTGACGGCATTATGGCGTTATAGCTTTGGAATCAACGGCCCTTAGCTTTCGTCGTGAATCGGCTTTAGCGCGGTGAAATAAATTGTCTTTGTCTGGCAGAAAATTTTACGAGCGGAGACCCGCCAGGCGGTGAAGTGATTTGCGCACAAAGAATATTGACGTCTTGTCATTTCGTCACTGATGCGCAGATGGAAGCATACTCCGTACGATATTACAAGTTACAATGTGATAAAAAGTGTGCACTCATCAAGTCATCGATTCATCTGAGTAGCTAAACCAAAGACCTCCGAGCTATTCCATGGATTTTGTTTTGATAAACTCCCGGAAGTAACCTCTCCACTACTTTTGACCAACCCGAGGGAAAGCCGTAAAGCATGAGAATTGACCAGTCACAACAAGCCGTGCTCAAAGACCAAGAATGGTCCTCCAACATCCAGCTAAACACAGGACCTTCTCCGAGTAATGACCATGCCCAACATCAATTCGTAGACGTGAATGAATCCGAGGTGTTGGAAAAAGGGTAGACTGTTTGGTAACAGCGGATTCCGTCGTCCGAGTTGCAATTTCTTCTTGAGGTCGGAAATTTGAAGGACAGGTCACTCGTTGAGTGAGAAGCGTATCGCGAAACGCAAAGGTGACATCGATTTCAGTTATTGTGTTTAGTGTTCAAACATGAGCCCGAGCATGGTGCGCTGAGATGGAAGGGGCGAGTAGTTTATTTGCTGGATGCGATGTTAGTATCATGAACCATTTGATAGCTCAATGGCAGTCGCCAAAGGCGCGCAGGAAGATCGACTTACGATCGTGCTCTCATCTTTCTTCTCTTGCGCTTGAGACGGCGAACGCGCTTCTTTCTCCACTTAGCTCTCATCTTCGTACTGTGTATTGGTTAGCGCATGGTCCCGTGTCATTATAAGCTTCGAGAAAGCTACTCACGATTTCTGCGAGGATGAAGAAAGATAGTAGAAAGAAAGATGAAGTGTGGCGGCCCGAGACGCATTTGAGTGCGCCTGCTCGCTGAGTCATCCTCGCTTAGGGCGGTCACGTGCGGAACATGAAGCCTTCCATCTCCGACCACACATAGCCATGCCAGCTGCCAGCTGGAGATTTTGGGAAATTGGTAGGGCAAGCTTACTGGATTAATTCAATATTGATCTCCACTCATACATCATATTTTCCGGGGCTGCATCCATTGGCGAATTACGTCGTGGTTGAGCTTATCGTCGGTTGATGCTATCACCGCGGTAGCCCTAACATCTCATCTTTCTCTACACACTTACATTTCGACGTTGCAAACTGTGAAAACAGCTGCAAAGATTTTACATGACCTCAGATATAAATTCAACTACGACCTTGCTGTCGCGATGCTAATCCTTGAAGCTGCCAGCATGCATCGTACCTCACATAGCTTGCATACGATGTCACATCGTATCAATTCAATTATTTAGCTATTCCATGTTTTATAATCATGTGCAACATTAATATACATCACAATAATTTATGGACAGTCCAGAAGCTCCGGTCACACTGGAGTGGACGCCATAGGCGTAAACCCGTACCACCCCCAGAATTAGTACTGGTAACGGTACGTCGGCGCCAAGTCACCGAGGTATTCCTCTTCCTCATCCGGGATCGCCGCAGGATCAACAGCTGCACGATCGCGCTTGCGGTTCTCGAACCACAATGAGAGCGCGTAAACCACACACATGGCACCAGAGAAGCACACAAAGGAAAGGCAAATAATGTACCCGGTTCGGTAATCAATGACACCGTTCTTCTCCACGAAGGAATAGGTAGCAATGATACCACCGATGTTACCGAATCCAACCTGCCACGCGGTACCAACACTGCGTCGGTGGTGACCACCTAGGTTCATGGCGAACCAGCATACAATAACAGGCATGGCACTATAGCAACCACTAGTAACCAAGAATAGCGCACCGTATTGAGGTGAAGTTTGGCCGTGAATCGTTAGAAGCATGATGAACCCAGCCACGGCAATAGCCATAGGAATAAGGGTAAAAGCGAGCCGTTGGCGTAGCTTATCAGAACATGTAGCGATGACCATAGAGAATCCGAAAGCTGCAGCCCAAGGGGGAATCGAGTACAGCTGGGTTTTGATGTTATCATAACCATATGTCTTGATGATTGTGGGAGCGAAGTAGGCGTAGCCTGGATACAGTTAGTGATACCAAATCAAGGCCATGGATAGTTGCACATACTGTATGCCGGAACAATCAAACCAAAGTACATAAAGCCTCCAATAAAGACCTTGTCTTGAAGGCAGTCAGTAAAAATAACATACGGTGAACATTGACGCCGACTTACAATCCTTGAAGACACCCAGAACTTCACGTTTTCCCAAACGTACGTGGTGCGCGGCCTTGCCAACGTCCTTGGCCAGCTTAGCGCGCATGAATGTGCGCTCTTCTTCGTTCAGCCACTTGACGTCCTCCGGGAAATCAGCAATGAAGAAGAATAAGATGATAGCGACGACGCTAGTCAGGACACCCTCAATGATGAACACCCAGCGCCAGCCACGGTAGCCCTGCATGCCCTCCATCTTGGCGATTCCACTGGCAAGAAGGCCACCGAAAGCACCGGCCAGAGAAGTAGAGCTGAAGAAGAAGCTGAATCGCTTTTGCGCTTCGGATCGCTTGTACCACATGCCCAATAGGTAGAAACCTGGTGTTGATCAGAAAATGGTCGCAGAGTACTTCGAAGTTTTACTTACAGCCTGGGAACATCCCGGTCTCGAAGACACCCAAGAAAAAGCGAGTGGCCATCAATCCACCCCAATTGTTTACTAGACCTTGGAAGATCATGACCAGACCAAACATGAACATGCAAAATGAGACTATATATCCATCAGCGATTTGTTGCCAGAATCCAAGGCGAGAGGTGAGACTCACGCCAGACATGAGGCTTGAGCTTCTTCAAGAGTACATTTGACGGAATTTCGAAGATGATGTACGGCACGAAGAAAATCGTAAGCGCAGTGTTATATTTTGTTCCTTCCATGATATTCAGATCTTCCTTGAGGCCGAGAATAGCGGCATTCGAAATACTGACTCTGCGAAAGTGACGTCAGCGACGATATAAAAAAAAAGTGCCGCGATCCCATGTTTTTCTTACCGGTCCAAGAATGCAAGGAGGTACATAATGCAAATCGCGGGCAGAATATGCCAGTCGACCTTGGCCATCAACTTGCGCTCGGTCGTTGTCGTGAGGGGAGGCAATTCGTCCATTTGCGAACTAGCCTGGCTCTCGCCCTGATCAATCGGTTCTTTCGTCTCTGCGCGGGGCGAGCAGTTAGTCTATGTGCGACGTGGTGATCCATTGACTCGGTCGTGGAAATGGCTTGTCCACCCAGAAATCCGGGGTAAAGTTGGAAATTGCCGCACTCACCTGAGGCTTCCATGATTATAACAATGCGCTAGCAAAATGCGCGCGAATATGAAGAAGATCGGCAGGGGAGAAGCGTAAGAGAAGAGTCCAAAAATGACTTTCAAAATGCCGGGGCGCGAAGCGCAGATCGCTGACAATTAGGGAGAACAGGGATGGGCTACCCGAGGTCCAATGCTCAATCTCCCAGGTATACAGCACAGGTACACAAGGATTGCGGGAAAGAGGATGATTAGGAGAAGAGATGAGAACAGAAGAACAAGACTGATCAAGAGAAAAATCAAAAGTGCGACCCAAGACTATTGAGTCACCGTAAATCCATGCTATCTCAGCTATAGATCCACTCCGGGGCCCGATCTCGGCGAGTAGTGCGAGCCCGTCTTTTTGTATTCGGCTCTTCAATTCGTGCAGATCGGCAGATGGAGTCACTTGTGTAACGTGATATGCGATGCAATACCTCAATTGAACAGCAATGTAGTCGAATTAATCTGCCTCCGTGCTTTGCTGTTGCGATAAAAACTGTGTACGTGATGCTAAGGACCCTCGGTTCCCCGCAAAAAAAGGAATTTGAAGGGGCGCCGACCGGCCAATAGCCTCGGGGCCGAATGTCCATCAAAGCCTTGGCTGCGGCCTTGGAGCCTGAAGCGTGCGGGGGGTTACATTTGATGCCTTTTGTTTACAAATTATATAGACGGAATACATTTTCTTTTGCTCGTTTCCCACAGACTCGACTGGAACATGATGGCAATCTGACTTTCAGCTGCAAGCTATTGGATGCGTGGACCCAGCACAGACCATGGTTTCTGCAGATCTGAAATCCACCGTGGGTCTGCGCTGCAGATGCGCTCCGCTCCTAACAAATGGTCGCGATGTCGAATCTGAGAAAACTTGCAACACGGAGTACGGAGTACTTCGTATAGTATTCGATATTAAGGCCACATGAGCATGACCCTGTTTAATAATGGAACCTGTGATTGTTGCCATTTTCCCTAAAGCGCAAGTGGTCGACTGCGAAATGCACTCCACTAGAAATCCATGCAGATGCAGATGACGTGAGACAAAACTTCAGGGATTGGAATTGAGCACTTCCATTGATTCCGACGTGTAGCCATGCGTAAAGCTGTCATTATAAAGCCAAATAGCATCGAAAAGAAAAAAAAAAAGATGCGGAGACTGCCCCGTCGGACAATCTACTCCACAGCTATGACCTCCATCTGAATATCCGGTGTATTCATCTTGGAGACCAGCACCGTAGTTCGCGGGGGTGCAAAAGGAAGTTTCCTTTGGTACAAGGCCTCAAACTCTGGCACTCCTTGAGCGCCTTCCGTGAGGTACACCTAAACATCATCAGCACGAAAAGACATGTCACAACATACACACAGCCATACCGTAGTCTTGACAATCCTGTCAAGCGAGGAACCCGCCGCTTTGAGGATCGCCTCTATATTCAAGAAAATCCGCTCGGCAGTAACGGCAGGCGGCCCAATGAAAAAGCCCACGCGGGGCCCAGATGCTATTTGGGCCGCTACATAGATCGTCCCGTTGACTTTAAACGCTTGAGACTGTGATTGGTAAGATCAGGGTTGGGGGCTAGGCTAGATGATCAGGGTTCGCTTACCGAGCGGCTCGGTGCTGAGCAGTCAGCAATGAAAAAAAGTACACAAAGTCTCGGTCAAGGGGCACTTACGCTCAGGGGCTGCTGATGTTCGTATACACTCGATTGGAGGTCGGCGCTGTGGTATACTGTGGTAGTCGGGTGGTGGATGCTCCGGCGGAGGCTCTGGTTCTGAGATGGACTGTGTCATTTTTGAAGGAAAAAGCAAAGTGTTGTCGCGTGTGGTCAATATATTTGTAAATAAAAGGGAAAAGGCTTGTCCCGTGGCAATGGCACCGCCCTTGGGGGATGTGAGGAGAGAACTATGACTGGCCTATCACGGACTTATATAGCCGCACGAGGTGCGATGCTATTTGCGCTTTGGACGGCCCACATTTGACGCACCCCATTGCAAAAGTCATAGCGTCGAGTGCTTTTAAAGCGACCGCTGTGTCTTTGATTATACTGCAAAATTGAGAGTGGGAAAAGTGATGTTTGATAGCTTATGTGAATTAAGGTGGGTGCCAAGAACCCCGAAAGGATCCTATCAAACCTTACTCCGTACATTTTCCGAGCTCAAAACATCAAATGTACCTCTTCAAAAGAATTGATTTTCTTAGGTATGAGCTGTTACTCAAGAGTCTGCGAAAATCTTCGCTACAGTTTCACTTCTCAAGATGAGCGACACTTGTCAAAATTATCCAAGCCGCTGGGTTTTTCTTTTCTTTTCCGGGACGTGCGTCCATAATCTTTCAAGCAGGAAGCACCCAGGTGGTCACAGACCGAGTGGGAACATTGCCACTCCACTGCTGCCCACTGTTAGTAGAGACAGTAACATAGACGTCATTTCCGAACGTGTTTTCAATAACGACCGTCCGCGTCCCATCGGGGTTCAGGGAAGCGACCGACTGCACACCTCCCCCATCAGAATATGTGTAGCTCCCGCTGCCACTTAGAACCACAGCACCCGGCGGCATAAACTTGCTGAATTGTGCCATCATGTAATAAGCTGGGTTGAATGTGTATCCACCATTGGAAATAGTCACCAGGCCACGGCAATTCGCACAGCCGCCGCTCGACAGATGAGGACCGTCTTGGTCATCCGTACCGAGTGTCCAGGCTGTGACACCTGATGCCCAGTTCTGCAATGGCCCCATGGTGAAGTCGGCAGCTTGGTTCCACGATGCTGATGCCGGGGTCCAGCATTCGGTCATGTATTGCTTGATACCTGGGTTGCTTTGGTGGAATGCCGTGAGCACTGTCCAGTCCACGTTGCTTGCGTAGCAGTGCCATGCGACCGAGTCGACGTACTTGCTAGCTCCGTTGACGACGTTTTGTGGATAGGAAGTCACATCTGTGGATGTTAGCGATTGCAATCTTATAGAGATTAGATCACATAGTTACCGGTATTGTGGTCGTAGGCCCAAACCTTGGTATCCAAGCCAGCCTGCGCAAGAGCCGGGCCAATATAGTTCTGAATCAACTGTGCAGACTCATAGTCATAGACGTACATTGTGGGATACCCAGCCTGACTGTTAAGAGGCTCATTCTGAATTGTGATAGCGTCGATATGGGCGCCGAGCTTCGCGTAAGCCTGAATGTACTTCACAAAGTACTGTGCAAAAGCACTGGCATACCCAGTACTACCAGTGCCCCCACTTGTCAAGTAACCGTCATTCAGATTATTGTTATTAGTGGCACCATCGATGACCCCATTCAACTTCATCCACCCAGGAGCACTCCAGGGCGAGCCCAAAGTCTTCAGACTGGACTGAAGTGACTTCATCTTCGCTAGCATGGTAGCCATCGCCGTTCCACGGTCGCCCAAGTTGAATCCAGAAAGGGATGTATCGGCCTTGCCGCCATTGTCATCGTAAGTGTAAGAAGGGTCACCGGACAGATCGGACGCGCCAATCGTATGACGCATGAGAGCGAAATCAGCCCCGGCACCGGTCATCAGCTCATTAAGTAGTTGCTGAAGAGTGGAGCTGGATAAGGTATTGAAAGAGCTGACCGTGGCATCGGTAACCGCGGCTCCAAAACCAACGATGGTCTGCTTGTGGCCGCTGGATGTATCATCGACACTCAACTTCCAGGTCGACTCAGAACCAGGACTGCCACTGCCTTGAACTGGGGCGGCAATAGGGGAAAGCTTGTAATTTCCACCCGAATTTGAGCAGTAAGCTGAGGCAGAAGCTGCTCGCTTCTCGGGGAAGGCGGCTGCCAAGCCTGAGAGTAGGAGAATGGGGAGGGAGGATGTGATCATGCTGTGTGATGTATGGAATCAGATTTGGTCCCTATGAAGAGCTTGAGAATGAATGCCAAATGTTGCCAGCTATGGCTTCGAATTTATAGTCGCCGAGAAAAGACATGGGGGCCGGGGCTTTTGTCAGCCATGCCAGACCATTTCCCTGAAAGATGAGTAGGTGAGTAGATTGAGGGTAGTCAAATGAGGGGAAAGAGCACCAGGTCTGTAAGACTGAGCCTTTTGCAACGATTAGCGAGCGTGATACTACAGTACCACCGACTAGTGGACGCCACTATGCTATCCCAGAGTTTCCGCAGATGGTCCCTGAAGCTTGTTATGATTTAGTTAGAGAGTACAGAGTAGCTTGGCCCCCATTTCTTCGGGATGATTCCCAAATCGACCATAGCTTGTTTCCTAGCTCATTAGCGTCCGCAGTCTCCGCATCCTTCATGGTTCATTATCACCGAAGCTCCGCGGTCAATGGCTTTTTTGGCCCCATCAAGCTGGAACAAGATTTGGTTCTCCAGCACCGAGACTCAAATCTGTTGACGCGCTGGATGAGGACGGGGTTACAAAGAAAAAGCAAATAATAAAGTGCATAAGAGCTTTGGAGCTAACCCTAATTGAGATAAGGTAGCCAAACAAGAAATGGGCAAACGGGTTTGGACATAAGGAGAAGCCTCAAAAGAAACATGAGACAGCATTTGCCGGTGAAGAAGCCTTAGCTCTGATTTCACCACGGACAGCTTGGATCCATGACGGACCACGTAGCCCCGGGATCAGGATACTTAGTAAACGGCCTGAGGTTCTGGGCCCTGATAGGTCAGCCCAGCTGCCCTGCACTGCATGTTGACACATCAGAGATACGATTCGAGGTTGATTATTTGCGAAGAAGCATCTCGAAGGTCGAATAATAACTGGACGGTGGGGTCGCCAGTGGAAAAAAAGTGGACGAGTCGATTGGCGCTGAAAACAAGTCACTTTTTTTTGTTTCGCGTGACGTCACCACAGACAACCCCCGGTCAGTTATTAACCCCTCCATCGTCGGAAATTGTTTCTCCTTCCCATATACCCAATTGAATAATCAACTTGATATTCAATACAAAATGAGCGGCCACACATTCCCCGTCGATCTCAAGCAGTTCAAGCACTTGAAGCTTGACCCCAAGACCCCTCAGCTCTCCGCCCAGCAGAAGAGCGATCTTCTTCACAACATCAATGTCTTCAGAGATGCCCTAGTTGCCTTCACCGCGACAGGTGCCGCTCGCGGTGTCTCTGGACACACTGGTGGTCCCTTCGACACTGCCCCTGAAGTCTGCATTCTCCTTGCCTTCATCAACGCCAACCCCAACAAGTGGGTCGATGCTTTGTACGATGAGGCCGGCCACCGTGTGGCCACTCAATACCTCCTCGCAGCTTTGGATGGCAAGATCGAGCCTGATCACCTGCTGAACTACCGCGCTGCTGACTCCCACCTTCCCGGACACCCCGAGCTTGGCTTCACCCCCGGTGTGAAGTTCAGCTCCGGTCGTCTCGGTCACATGTGGGGCATGGTCAACGGTATCGCTATGGCCAACAAGGACAAGAACGTCATCATGCTCGGATCCGACGGATCCCAGCAGGAGGGTAACGACGCCGAGGCTGCTCGCCTTGCGGTCGCCCAGAAGCTTAACGTTAAGCTGTTCATCGATAACAACGATGTCACTATTGCCGGACACCCCTCAGAGTACCTCAAGGGCTACGAGATTGGTCGCACCCTCGATGGCCACGGTCTGAAGGTTCTCCGTGCCCAGGGAGAGGATGTTGACTCTCTGTTCCCCGCCATGTGCGAGATCATCAACTACGACGGCCCCGCCGCAGTGGTTGTTGACCGTAAGATGGCCCCCGGCATTGAGGGCATTGAGGGCGAGACCCACGCCCACGATGTCATCACTGTTGATATCGCTCGCAAGTACCTCACCAAGCGTGGCTACAGCGAGAAGCAGCTTGCCTTCTACGACCAGATCAAGCCTGGCTCCAACCCCCACACCTACAAGGGTTCCTCCAAGGATAAGGGCGGAAACCGCACCATCTTCGGTGATGCTGTCAATGAGATCCTTGACAAGCTCAGCAAGGAGGAGGCCCAGCGCCGCGTCATGGTCATTGACTCTGACCTTGCTGGCTCCACTGGTCTCAAGGCCATTGGCGCTAAGCACCCCGAGTCCTTCGTTGCATCCGGTGTGATGGAGCGAGGCAACTTCTCCGCTGCCGCTGGATTCGGGTTCGGAAGCAACGGCGAGCGCCAGGGTGTGTTCTCTACCTTCTCCGCTTTCCTGGAAATGTGTATTTCCGAGATCACCATGGCTCGCCTGAACGACTGCACAGTCCTCTCACATTTCTCCCACAGTGGTGTCGATGAGATGGCTGACAACACCTGCCACTTCGGTCTGAACCACTTCTTTGCTGACAACGGCCTCATGGATGCCGCCAGCACCTCACTTTACTTCCCCGCCGACGGTGAACAGATGAAGGCTGTTGTCAACGAGGTCTTCTGGAACAAGGGTCTGCGTTTCATTTTCTCTACCCGCTCCAAGGTCCCCTACATCCTCAAGGAGGGTACCGAGACCAAGCTTTACGGCGACGGCTACAAGTTCGTTCCTGGCAAGGAAGAGATTGTCCGCAAGGGCTCCGCCGGTTACATCGTTTCGTACGGTGACATGCTCTACCGCTCCCTCGACGCTGTCGAGAACCTGCGCGCCGAGGGCCTGGACGTCGGTCTGATCAACAAGCCTACTCTCAACGTTGTCGATGAAGAGACCATCAAGATCTACGGATCCTCACCATTCGTCCTTGTCGTTGAGTCGATCGCCCAGAAGACCGGTCTCGGCTCCCGCCTCGGTACTCACCTCCTCGAGCGCAAGTTCACTCCCAAGTTCAAGTCCATCGGAGCCATCAAGGAGGGCTGCGGTGGTCTGTACGAGCAGGTCAATGCCCAGGGTCTCGGCCCCAGCGATATCATCGCTGCCGTGAAGGAGGTTTCCGGAAAATAAATAAATGCCATTGATATGCAACATAACGAAATTCTCATGAGATAATACAAACTTGATTTTCTTCGCTTCTACAAATCACTTCCATCTCGTATGACAACTAACAAAAGCTTGGACCATAAATCTCTGCTCATCTTTCCCGATTGACCATCGGCAATCAACGGCCCATGCTTCTCGCCAAAATGAGTCTCCACAATTACCCGCCCGCCCTAGATGTGATTGGCCCAGTCTCTCTTAAGGCTGTCTTGGCCGTGGGCGCTAGTCCCAGAAAGGCACTAGAGCTTCAAGCAACAAAGCACGCAATATTGCGAACATATTCGAATAGGCTTAATGCAACACAAAAACGTGGTATGGATATTAGCCAAGAACATGCGAAGAAAACTCTAAGTCTTATATCTTTGGCCTTTTCCACTTTCGCATTGTTCTGGCATTCAAGGTTATTCATTCCAAGGTTCTTGGCTTCCAAGGTTGTAGCTTTCTAGTCAAAGATGGCCACCTCCATATCAGCCTCCGATGCTTCGGCTCAGCCCGAAAAGCGAGTTTGGTATCGCGGAACTCTATTCAATGCCACTGTCATTGGTGCAGTAGGCTTCTTGGCCCCGGGTTTATGGAATGCTATGAACTCCTTGGGCGCAGGCGGTGCCCAGTCACCATTCTTGATCAATGCTGCCAATGCCTTGGTTTTCGGTCTCAGTATGTGGCTGCAAGACTCCAATCTCGGAAGTTTTCTGTACTAACATATGCGATAGTGGGACTTTTATGTCTCTTCGGCGGTCCGATTGCTAACCGCATTGGCTTGAACTGGACCCTGATGCTGGGTGCTGTTGGATACCCCGTGTATTCGTATGTGCGCCTTCCATGCGATGTGATTACCATTCTAACGAGAATTCAGGGCTGCTTTGTATACAAACAACAGATATGTATGCATCTCTGGGAAAATACTCCAATACACGGAACGGGACTGACGTGGTTTTAGGGAAATGTGTGGTTTGTGCTTCTTGGATCAGTATTCTGTGGTCTATCGTGAGTATATTTCATCAGAATTTCAAGACACGGTCACTGATCCCCATGTTAGAGCTGGTCTTTTCTGGGCGTCCGAGGGCGCTGTGGCACTGGGCTACCCTGAGCCTTCTAAGAGAGGTCGCTACATGAAGTAGGTCCCTCTGCCATCAAAACATCCAATGGGATAAACTTACTAACTAAACCAGCATTTGGCTCTGGTTCCGCACAGGTGGTCCATTATTGGGAGGTGCTATCGTTCTTGGACTAAATCAGTACGTCTCATTGAGTGTTCATTTCGCGGGAAATTATTCTGACGTTGTAACAGCTCTGGTGACGCCCACAGCAAGGGAAAAGTGGGATCGCAGACATACCTCATCTTTGTCGCGCTACAATGTCTGGCTGTTCCTATGGCCTATTGGCTCACCCCACCCAACAAGGTCCAACGCAGTGATGGCAGCAAAGTCAAGATTGTTTTGTTGGACTCTTGGCGCGCCGAAATGAAAGAGCTCTGGAAGGTCTGCAAGCGCAAGCAGGTACGTTGAAAATTTATCACACGTGTTCCGATTTTGGGCTAATAAACCCAGGTTCTCTTGCTTTTGCCTGTATTCTGGGCTGCGCTCTTCAATCAGTATAGCGGAAGTAAGAATTGTCTACTATCCTCTTCTCGACACGAGGTGCTAACTTGATTATCAGACTTCAAGACCTATTATTTCGGTGTCCGTGCACGTGCTCTCATGGGATTCGTCAGTATGTTGAAAACTTTTATTGGCGTAGGCGTGAGATTTGATCTAACACTATCGAAGGCTACTTTGCCAGTCTGCTTTCCTCGGCGATCATCAGTAGATTCCTGGACTACCAAGGCATTTCGGTCAAAAACAGAATCAAGTACAGGTATGATTGTCTTCGAAAAGCAGCCATGAGGGATTATGTTGGCTTATTAACAAAACTTTCTAGTTTCTTCTACGTGATTGTGGTGCACATCGTCGCTTGGGTTTACTGCTGGGTCATCCAAACAAAGTACAGCAAGAACCCACCAGTACTAGACTGGGCCGACAAGGGTTTTGTGGAAGGATTCTTCGTTATCCTCCTCTGGGGTAAGTCAACTACCCGATTCCCATCTTTTCGCACGCTAACTTGCCTCGCCCAGAATTCTCTCAGCAGTGCATGTCTAACTTCCTATACTACCTTCTTGCTACCATGACGGATAATATCTCCGAACTCTGTGAGTGACAACGTGAACGACCTGACTCTCGCAGATCACTAACATACACCAGCCCGTCTTACTGGAATTCTGCGCGGCCAAGAGAGTTTCTCGCAAGCCGTATCTTTTGGTCTAAACACCCGCGAGTGGGCAGGCGGAAGAGTACCTCTCGCTGTGAACACAATCCTCCTTGGTGAGTCTCAGTCTCGGTTATGATCTTGCAGCATGCTAACGACTTCAAGTTCTCGCTATCTGGCCGACATGGCTGGTTGTCAGGGATCATAGTCCTATTGAACATTCCAAGGAAGCTGCTGAGTTCCCCCAGGGTCAGGACGAGGAGCAGAACACAGCCGTCATCTCCGAAAAGGAGCCTTATGTTGTTGGAGAAGCTGTCCCAACTAAATGATGCGATGGTCAAAATTCCCTCCAGGGCTTGTGATAAAGAACCTTCAGAGTCCACCTCAAGGTTGCCGCAAATATAATCTTAATTAACAGTTCTTGTTCAACACTATTACTATGAATTTGGTCTGTGCAACCATACACGAGAGCCCTTCAAACACCGTCCTTTCCTTCGTGTTCGCTCTCTTCACGCAGTACGCGCTCTGCTCTACTCTCACTTGCAGGGTCGAAGGAAGCTAGAGGGGAGAAATATGGTTAGCATGGAGAGACATCCCGAGATGACGCCTAGGAGAAATGCATGAATCATGATACTCACGTCTTTCGCCAAACACTGTTGTCCGAATACCACGTCTGGTTCCTGTGTAGGTTCCCGGGATGACCCGATGAAGAGTGCAGCTGATAAGCGCATTCCGAGGTTAGAAAGTATATTCGAACGGAGCCAATGTATAAATACCGATTGTCCCACATCGCGACACTGCCAACCGCCCACTTCCATCGGACGGAGTGATCGTCTGCCGAGTGAATATGATATGCCAAGAAATCGAGAATCTTGTCTAAAAAAAAAAAGTCAGTTGTGAAAGAGAGACCAGAGAGAGCTGCTTACCAGACTCCAGCTTCTTGAGCTCAGCAAACCCAGTCACGAATCCAGGGTTGACATTGAGAGCTTTCAACTTGGTGACGGGGTGAGTTCGGACGGCGGGATGATGGGTATCGATTGGAGGGCGGTTTGGACCAGCTCCCCAAAGATCGATGATGGTATCGTCTGTATAATTGATTAGTGCAGGAATTAGATGCTTCTTTGAAGTTGGCTGACACTGTAATCTTGAGGTATGCACCGCGTGGAGACCATCGAGGAACCTCTTGTAAGCATTGCTCAGGGCGTCGTATAAACCATATTGTGACACCTACCAGGTCAGCATTCATCATATAGCAAGGAATGCGTGGTACTTACCCAGGCGGTGTCACCACCAACTTCAGGGTGCTCCTCCATTCGCAGAAGCGAGTAAGATGGCGCTGCAAGCTGTCAGAATTCCCCTTGCATTTGAAGGTTTTGTACGCACGATTGATCTCGAATGAGGTATCGGCGTGGAAGTCTCCACTTGGCTGTGATAGTTAGCACGGTATACTGAGAAAACAATCAAGATGACACAGATGGTACACCTACCCATGGGGTGTAACTCAAAATTTCTCGGTGATCTTCGCGGCTACCTTGGATGCTCACGAACTTCGGCAAAGTTAATATCGGCCATTACTCTCACCGTGGATGTAAGACTACCTTTTGATCCTGCAATCTGTCAGAAACAATATAGAGGCAGCTTAGGAGCGTCTTTTGTTACCTTTTGAGCCGGATGCCTGTCCAAAATCCCTTCAAGACAAGTTATTTAGCTGTTTCGATTGCAAGAAAAAGAAACCATACCATAGTGCTGAAACAGTTCAACCTGCTTCGCAGTAGTGAGGTCCTGGTCACGAAAGAAAACAACACCACGCTCATTTACAAGCAGCGCTAGTTCATCCAGTTGAGTCTCATTCAACTGGGATAACTGCACACCCTCGAGTACAGTTCCAATTGATTCAGTCAGGTCAGCTCGCTTTGCCACAGTGAACAGCGCTTTTTTCTCTGGATCTGCGAACAATGCTCTGTCTGGAGGCGGGGTAATTGGAGTTCGGAGTGGTTCCGGGGGAACGTGGCTCTTTACTTTCTCGTTGAAATGCGGATGCAGTGTGATCGGGAAACCAGAGTCCGTGGAGATATGCTTGCGAGATTCTAGGTGAGCCATTGTAGCGAGCTTCAAACCTGAGTCGAGGGATGGAATAATGAAGCTGTCATATTGGCATTCTCGGTATTTATCAGCACCATAGCAGAGGCTATTCGTAATCCGTTGACCTCACATTTGGCTTCGATTGCGTCAAAGCTCGGGAGAGTTACTCTGTCTTTCTGACGACCAAGGAATTTCCAAGACGTCCGGAAAGGCTGATAAGGTATTTGAAATTTCCTAGTGACAGTTCTAGCCCCGGAGAGATAGAAAGCCTCCTGGACGAAAGCTCAAATAAATGTGCACGATCTAATATGCGAATCGCGAGGTTGAGGGTGTCCGGGTTTGTTGTTTGTTCCCCCGAGGGACCCCGGAAGTCAGGCGTCAGCGGTGCAGCTTTCGGGGGGTGTTGCCCCACCACACTTCACCAGCCTTTGGAGGGAGAAAGGAGATGCAGTCTACTTGCCGACTGCGGTATCAGTAATAAGGAAAGGGTGTTGAAAGCAATCGCTGCTTTATCAGCTTCTCGTGATTCCAAGGTTGTTGTCATGTCGACCTGCACCACATGGGCTCTTGTCGCATGCTTGTTTGCACGCTTCTTATTTGCTTGTTGCTTCCTTCCATTTGTCTCACTTTCATATCACTTTCATATCACTTTCATATCACTTTCATATCACTTCGCATGCTTCTTGCTTCTTTGCTATAAATTGCTTGCTCGCTCCATGTGTCTTCTTGTTCCTTCTCCTTCCTCCCACATCATTAGCCTCTGGTTAAATTTGATTCTATTCTTGAAGCGTTGCCTGACTCAAAGTGGCTTCTATGTAGTACTAGAGACCCTGTCTATTAGGAGTCACTGTTTCCAATCTCCTTACCTGGAAAAAAGGTCACGCGTTTCGTCCAAGTCAAGGTTGAACAATATGACGAGCAAATTGAAGCGAGCAAAATGGTAAATGAGTAACAGCAAGCGATGTCCCCTGACCATTGACTGGGTTTGGACTCCTCCTCTTCGCTCTCCTTTCTTCCATAACCTTTCTCACTTTGCTCGCTCTCGCCTTTAACATCATCCTTTGCCCTTCAACATGGTAGAAAAAGTTATGCTGACAGTCCCGAAGAGAGTCTTTTCTTGGACGTCCAGCATCTGCCGTGACTTTGCAGGAACACCGTGAGAGATGTGTCGGCAAATTATCGAAACACTCTGTGTATTCGACAGCATCAAAATTCCTTGACGACAAGATTTCCGCTCTCGAAAATAAGAAAGAATACATCAAATGTATCAAAGAGGGCCTTGACGAGATCTGATTGATGAAACATTTCAGCAATGCTACCTTTCGGGCAGAAGTCGTGCCTCTCATCAGAAAATTTCGAAAGACTTCGGATATCCTCATTGTGATCAAGCGGATACGCGATGCAGCGACCAACACAAAAGAACCCCCAAATTATCGTCTTTCCATTGCCAGAAAGGCGATCAACATCCTGAGTGAAGGGAACAACATTGCCCTTCAGGGGGTCAGGGACCAAACTCACTTGATCCCGAAAAAAACCAAAGAAACGAAGCTCTTTGAGGTCGAGATGCTTCAAGAAGACTCTGCCCTCAACGAGTAGAAGATTTACTTCAGAACACGCAACTTACTTCGACTCCAGCATTTGGTCGAATGCGTTCATTTCGGTTTCATGATTGTCTCAATCAACGCCAAGCGAATGAATCGCAGTGATGTGGTTCGACAGATGGAGGCTGGCCAACTCCGCTCTCACCGAGTAGAAAGGTTTGCTTCGAAGTACGGAGCTTCCTTCGGCTCGATCGTTCGTCGAATGCGTTCATTTACGCTTCATGATCGTCTCAACCAACGCCAAGCGAATCAGTCTCGGCGATGGAGTTCGACAAATGGAGGATGGCCGACTGGTGGTGAGCATTTGAAAATGCCTGTGCTTATGAATCTCGCTCGATGTTGCGGATGCGAGATCCACTATGAACTCCTCATTTTCAGCACCTTTTTGAGCTCAGAGTGTGAGGTTCGTGATTTCGAGGCCGGTATGATATTTGGGACCTAGATCCAAGAGACGAGTCCTGACGACATCGACGGGTTGATCATGGGCTTGCAGCAGCTTTGAAACATGTGGGCAAAAGAATCTGGGGACACGGGTCTAATACTGGACAACTTTGGCGTCAATCAATAATGTCAGAATCTGCGAATATTCTTAGGTTGACGTGTTTTCATGCAATTGAGAGAAATGCGTACGCGATGGACGAGCCATCTTTTCCTTCATGATGATAACATGTAGTGCGAACCTATCTAAGGTGATTTGATCGAGGGTGTGATGCTTATAAAACATGTTTGGAGACTGGTTCAGGGCTAGATCTGAGCAATCCACCTGTACACTGCCGGCGGGATATTCTGGTGCACCGGTACGTTGTCACGAACCAAGACGGCAGCGAGTATATCAAGTGAAATCGAGAGTCAAACTTTGAGACAAATCCGTGTGTGTCAACGTGAATTTACCAGAGAGCGATCAACGAGGGCTCTTCGCTTGACGGCGAGTTGGGCCGACCCACTTTTGTCTCCCGCGGGGATTTCCGGCGTGGCTTGCACTCTGCTAACGTCTCCACGTTGCCTCAAAGTCCGAATTGTCGTACTGCTGGAAGCGCGCCGCCCAAGGGACGGTCATTCTAACCTAACCTTACCGCCCGTGCTCTGTGCGACTTCATTCCAGCGGGCTTCAAGCACCTTAACCGAGGGGAACCCGCCGCGGACCTCCAATCTCGCGGACAGCATGGAAAGTGGAGAAGAGCGTCCATACCGCTCACACACGAAGCCAGCATGCCTACCATGCCGGCGCAGAAAGTCACGGTGCAAGATCGAGCCACATACCGAGGCCTGTCTGATGTGTCGTGCCCACGGCACAGATTGCACATTCCCAAATGGGCGCGCAAGGGCCACGCCCCACAAACGGCATTCCGCGGAGACAGCGCCGATAATTCTACCGCCGGCTCTGCGCACCCCTGTGGCTCAGCCATTGACGGGGCTAGTGGCATCGCCACACTTTTCGACTCAGGGCAAGAGCCAAGATACACCGCTGTCGTTAGAGGCGGATGATGATAATCCTCATATACTGGGGCCGGCGGTAACGGGTGATAATCATGTTCTAGCGGATTATCTATCGAATATCTCTGGTGGGCAGGGGATACGTGAGATTCGGCCTGTGGAGCCTGGGAGTTCGTCGTCGCCTGTGATATTTACAAAGGTGCAGAAAAGACCCTTAGGTCTTAATGTGAACTCTAGTCCGGCATTGAAAAATTTGGAAACTATCGAAAAGCTCGTTGAGCCATGGGGAGGCCATTTAATTGAGTTGTGAGTTATCCTCCAATGGGTCCGATGTGAGTTATTACAGAAAACTGACGGGGGAGCAGATATCTGAGGAAGGTCAATCCATGCCTTCCGCTTCTTGATGGGAGCTCATTCAGGGCCCAATATATGAATGCCAGACATCGAATTTCCCCGGCACTCCTCGCCAATCTGTACGCCCAGTCACTCACCTATTGGAAATATGATCCCGTGCTATCTCGGGAGAGATGCCCGGACGCCCGCTTTGTTTGGAACCTTGCGATTGAGGCCTCGTACTCTGAACTACACGCATCGGCTGGTATTTCAACGATCAAATCACTGCTTCTGGATGTCGGGGGGCGCCCGACTACTTCAATGACTGGCAACGGCGTTAGACTCAGCTCGGCTCTCTCATTATGCCATTCTCTGGGATTGAATAGGAATCCGCTTCCGTGGGATATTCCGCAGGCCGAAAAACATCTAAGGATGAAGGTCTGGTGGTCTCTTCTTCTTCATGATCGCTGGTAAGTTTACCCGGAAGCTGTCGAGATGTGGGAGTACCCTGAAATCTAAATATTTCTCAGGTCAAGTCTTACCTATGGGACCCCGCCACACATACGACGTTCTCAGTATGATGTGCCACTGCCGATTCCGGAATACCTATCCGATTGGGAACAAAACAGCGAAGCGAATTCTGTGTTCATCGAATTGATGAACCTCACAGACGTACTTGACCATTGCTTGGAGCATGTGTACAACATTCGTGCTGAAACCCAAGGCCCAGCGAGAAATCTTGAGCTGGATTTGAACAAATGGGTAGACTCGCTAACAGGTGACATTCGCAAGATAATCATCCGCGGCTCCAACCTTGATATCCCTGGTGCCTCCAATCTTCGACTGGCCTATCTGGCGACGAGGTTGTTATTGAGGCGCATAGACCTGGACAGAGAGAGACAAGCGCCCGACGCAAATCCCGAAGAAATGGCTAATCGAACGATGGAAGCTCGCAGGACAGCAGAAGATATTGTGGTTTTAATACAAGAGCTGGGCGAAACGCAACTAGGCGACTTTTGGCTTCCTGTTGCTGCTTTCACATTCTCGTCAACAGTGACGTTTCTTATTCGCTGTGCACTGGAGACCGAGCAGGCATCTGGGCTCGCTCAAAGTGCTTCTTTGAGGATGGCGAGTGACTTTTTGGAATCGCTCAGATCGCATCAGAAGAACTCTGGGTGGGATCTAGCTGACATTTGTCTGGCACAACATTCTGAAGTTATCGAGAAGCTGTTGAATTCAGCACCACCTGGGGAACACCCAGACGCAGATGTAGAGCAGCATTTCATACACGACATGGCTTTTGTGGATGATATGTTTCCCAGCATATGGGATACGCTGCAAAGTATATAAATCAATCAAATCTCGACCGGAATGCCCAGGTGTGAACGAAGTTGTTTCAATCTTGTGAATCCACGGGAATTTCCATCGAGTGCCACGATACTCATGGGTAGTGCGGGTGAAGGGGTCCCCGTGTTCGCCGCGGTTCCGCGGCGAAAGCACAGGCGCCTGCCAAAGTACATCCACCACAAAATGACATGTCACTGGACGATCAAGGAGCGATCAGTGCTACTGTGAAAGATAAGAAACTTTTGAGGCCCACCCGTGGACGCTTTTTATCTCTTTGGATAATAGCCTTGAACACCACATCTTATCATAGCCTAGCCAATATCGTCATTTCCGAACATGGCACCCGGGATCTCCACACCTGGTGAAGCACAAACCACCACCCAAACAAACGACGATAGACCTGTGCTATATGCAAAAGTGAACCAAGATGAGCTTCAGGCTAAGACCTCCAGGTACCTCCTCAATTTTGGAACCAAGTTCAATAAGGACGTGATCTGCGCGAGCAAAGGTCTGTATGTATATACAGCCTCGGGTCATAAGGTTCTTGACTTCACCTCCGGCCAAATGTCATGTCTTCTCGGCCATGGGCACCCAGAGATTGTGAAAACGATCACTGACCACGCGGCCTCGCTTGATCACCTCTTCTCAGGCATGGTTTCACCACCAGTGATCAGTCTCGGCGAACGACTTTGCAATCTGCTCCCAGCCGGCCTCGACAAAGCGTTCTTCCTGTCCACCGGAGGCGAGAGCAACGAAGCCGCCATCAAGATGGCCAAAGTATACACCGGCAAGTTCGAAATCGTCGGACTGGGCGCCAGCTGGCACGGTGTGACAGCACAAGCACTGGGCGCGCAATACCACTTCGGCCGCAAAGGCCAAGGACCATTGATGCCAGGCATGCTGATGCTTCCCCCACCAAACGCATACCGATCAATCTTCCGGCGTCCGGACGGATCTTACGACTGGGAAGCGGAGATGGAGTACGGCTGGCGAATGATCGACATGCAGTCGTGCGGCTCGTTGGCGGCCTGCATTGTGGAATGTATCCAGTCCAGCGCAGGAATGCACGTCCTCCCGCCTGGCTATCTCCGCGCCTTGAAGCGCGAGTGCGAGAAGCGTGACATGCTGTTGATCGTCGATGAAGCTCAGACTGGTGTTGGGCGGTGTGGAGACCTCATGGCCATTGACCACGAGTCGGTTGTCCCCGATATCCTTACGCTAAGCAAGACGCTCGGCAACGGGCTCCCGCTCAGTGCGGTGGTTACAAACGCGGAGATTGAGCGCGTTTGCGCGCAGCGGGACTATTGTTTTTACACGACCCATGTCAATGATCCACTTCCCGCTGCAGTGGGTGACAAAGTGCTTGAAATTGTGGTTCGCGATGGGCTAGTCGCTCACTCCCGTGCGATGGGACAAATATTACACGACAGTCTCAATACTCTCAAAGAAAAGTATGGGTGTATTGGTGATGTTCGTGGACGTGGGCTTATGGCCGGTATCGAGATTGTTGAGGAGCGCGAAACCAAGACCCCTGCGTTGGCGCTGGGTAAGGCTATTGGTGATCGAGCCTATGAATTAGGCTTGTGGGCCAATCTTAGTAGCCATCCCAGCTTCGGGGGTGCCTTTCGCATTGCTCCACCGATCACTATCACCGAGCAGGAGCTGTTGTGTGGCTTAGAAATATTGGAAGAGGCGTTCGCAACGACACCCGGCACGTTGCCAGTGCGGGTTTAATTGGACGGTGTGAAAATTTATTTGCTTTTGCGTGCCATGGAAAATTCAATAGTTTGTAAAAATTTTTCAAATGGCGAAATACAAAAATTTCCGAGATTCCAACACATGGTCTCAGGTCGGGGATAACTAGATCGGGGTGTAAATCGCCGTTAGATTCATATGAGATCATAAAATGTCATATTCAAACTTGGATCAGTCATTCAAACCAATGTGATCTCTGTTTTGTCAAATGTTTCAAACGCGACACTCTCGCATTGAAGAGGGTCCTTGGGTCTAGAATTCGAGATTTTTAATTTGTGACCCGCCGCAATACAAGAAGCTTATTGGTTAAGGTTAAGATTGCGATCAACTCGTTGACCAACCGTGGGCCTATCCGCTTGAGTCCTGAGCGGATCCACGCTATTGAGCCAATCCGGACGCGCATTGGCGTCAGATCTCTGGTTGTGCGCATGGCAACCACGCGGCCAACCAACCGTGCTCAACATACACGGAGTACGCGCTGGCATTATGTGCTTTTCTTCCCGACGTGCTTGACATGCGCGTCCGATAGTAACAGTAGTACAAAAGAGCTAGCAACTGTGACGACCGTGACGAGTGTGACGCAGATCGGGAATTGTCTTAGACAAAACTCAGGAACGAGGGTCTAAAACACGGAAATGGGGACGGGAGGAAGGTTCGTTTCCAAGATAAAAGTTGGAATAGTGCAGTGGAGTGATAGAGTCCAAGATCTCATTTGTAGGATCTCCCCCCGTTGATCCACCTACCATATCGGTTGCTAATTCTGTCGTGGCTTATCAGAAATTTGTTGTGAAATCGAGTCTCTAATCACACAAGCTTTTCAAGGTTCGGCGTTGCCTGCTCCACTAGCCATTAGCCCGGGATTCTTTAATCGGTTAGGTTTTAATATAATCGAGGTCCATCTTTCTGGTCATAGCAACTCTTGACGTCTCTCACCTCCTAACCTGAGTATGCGCTTTGGTCTGTCCGTCACCCAGATCGTGGGCGCAAGCCTTAGTCTCGGCTTCGCCAATGCGCTGGCGCCGCGCACTAAAATCAACGATGCTTACGACTTTGTGATTGTCGGTGGAGGTCAGGCTGGTCTCGTGCTAGGCGCGCGTTTGTCAGCCGAGTCAAATCACACCGTGCTGGTCCTGGAGTCTGGTGGTGATGGTGATGAATACCGTGAGCGCATCGGTATGTGACCTATCAAGAGCGCGTTTGAGGTCCCAACCCTAACTTTCATAAAGACACCCCCGCCGACTCATATTTTGATTCGCTGTGGACAACTCCTTTGAACTGGGATTTCTACACCGTCAAGCAGCCAAATGCCGACGACCGTGAGATCGAGTGGCCGCGTGGCAAGGTGCTCGGAGGTTCGTGTTTCCACGGTAAATTGGCTATGATCAATGAAATTAACACAGTAACACAGGTAGCTCTGCTATCAACGGGTTGTACATGACTCGTCCAGGCAAGGACGAGATCAATGCCTGGCAGACTATGCTCGGCGATATGGATGGCGCCGACAACTGGTCCTGGGACTCTTTCTACGCCGCTCTGAAGAAGAGCGAGACATTCACACCTCCCAGTGACGAAATTGCTAAGCAGGGTGGTATTACTTGGGACTCATCAACCCACGGTACCGACGGCCCTATTCACGCCTCGTATCCTGACTAGTACGCTCAAATCGCCTAGGTGGTCCATGTAACAAGGCTAACTTTGCACAGCACATTCGATCAAGTCGGCGATTGGTCAACATCCCTGCAAAGCATCGGTGTCGACGTTTCCGACAAAATGTATGGCGGTGACGTCTGGGGTGCGGAGGTTTCAACCTCTTGCATCAACCCTTCCAACTGGACACGCTCTTACAGTCGAACTGGTTATCTTGATCCACTTCCTGACCGTACCAACTATGATGTCATGGCCAATGCTCATGTTACTCGGTTGGTTTTTGACAACTCGACCACAACCAACCTGACAGCTAGCGGTGTTGAGTACACTTCCGACAATGGAACGACAAAGTCCACTGTCAGGGTGAACAAGGAAGTGATCATTGCCAGTGGAAGTGTTGGTAGCCCTGCTGTCTTGCTTTACAGTGGTGTCGGCCCGAAGGACGTCCTCTCTGACGCCGGCGTTGACCTTGTCTCCGAGCTTCCTGGTGTCGGACAGCACCTCCAAGATCACATTGTGAGTCTCACTTAAGCCGAGTTCTGATCATACGGCTAATTGAAGCAGAGTGCAACTGTGAAATGGAACACTAGTGTGGACACCGCAGGATCTATCTGGTACCAGAATGGTGCCGATAAGGTAAGTCCCAGACGTAATTCATCTGCAGTGTGGCCTTGCTGATTAGCGCAGACCAAAACAAACTACCTTTCATACATTGATGATGCCATCGCGTATGTGAACTCCACCGGCCTTTTCGGAAGCAAGGTCGATGAGTATAGCAAGAAGTTCCTTGAAAACATGGACAAATACACACCGAACACGACGACCGACGACGGCGTCATCGCTGGATACAAGGCGATCTACAACACAACTGGCTCCGCAATCTTCACCAGCCCCATGGGTCAAGTTGAGCTCCTGTTCATGAACAGTGACGCGAATGGCGACGTTGGAATCAGCGCAGCTCTTCAACACCCCTACAGTCACGGTCGCGTCTATATCAACTCTTCAAACCCAATGGACTACCCCGTCATCGACCCCAACTACTTTGCCAACCCCTCAGGTACGCCCGAAAGCAGTCTTGTGTGGTCCCATTGCTCAACTAACAATTTTCAGATATCGAAATCCTCCTCGAGGGTATTAAGATGGCTCGCAAGATCGGTGAAACCTCTCCCATGAAGGACACACTCACCGCAGAGATCGCACCAGGCTCAACTGTTCAAACCGACGACGAATGGACCCAATGGTTGCGCGAACAATCCAGCACAGAGTTCCACCCCTCCTCATCTTGCGCAATGCTTCCTCAAGACCAGGGTGGCGTTGTTGACGCCAACCTCCGCGTCTACGGTCTTGCAAACGTCCGCGTCGCCGACGCTAGTATTGTTCCCATTGCCCTCTCATCGCACCTGATGGCCTCGACTTACGGTGTTGCCGAACAGGCGAGCAAGATCATTCTCGAATATTACAACCCCTCTTCAAAGACGGACCCTGCCTTCGGTGATTCAAATGTGACTGTGACCTCCAGTACTTCGGCCACTGCGAAGAGTAGCAAGAAGAACAACGCCGCCACGGCCGTTGGAGGGTTGTCGAGTTTGTGGATTTCATGTGCGCTTGTGTCTTTCCATCTTGGCGTCATCTTTAATTTGTTGGCCTAGTGTCACCACCCAGGCATGAAATTTATTTAATCTTATCGATGCCGGTCACTCGCCGGCTTTAGCATTGTTGAAGCACTTACTGATCTTGGATATGATGGTTAGAAGGTTGGGGTAATGACTCAATGATTCAACAATTTAATTCACGTGAACTTAAATAAACTTTTCTACAAGCTCATTTCGAAGCTCAGCAATTCTTGGCTTTGCATCTAGGAAGGTTTCCCAGCGCGAGCATTGTCTTTTGGCTGTCTCGGGCCGGACCTTTGCAAGCCCGGCAGCCATTTCGGCGGTGTTGACATTCTCCGGAAGGAGCTCGGAGCCGACCTAAACCCACATGGCTCCTGTAAAGGCAAGCTTGGCATGTCAAATTTCTCGCTTAAGAGCTCTGGAACGTGCTCGCTCTTTGACCACCCAATAATCTCCGGCTTTGGCTACCCCGGACATGACCCAGTCAAAGGCGGGGAAAATCTGGGGATCCCAACGTGAATCCGGAGTACATGATGCGGACTGGTTGACCACGGTCCTTGGTATCTTGGCAACTTGCCTCTCAAGCTTCCTTTGCTATGATTACCGGCATTTCTCACGCATGGCTAGGACCACAGAAGAACACGACGGACTCTCTTCGTCCGCTGTGCTTATTCACTGGTTATAAAGTCCTTTGCATATGACATGATGTTCGAAGTTCAGCCACATATTTCCGTCTTTTGCTTCGGGTGATAGTATCGCCACTACTCGCTCCTGGTCTTTGATATATGAATCAACTCCCCGTTGAGTTGACAACGCCGAACCATCAACCTCAGGATCATGGCCATCTTTTCAAAGACTAGCAAGGCGCCCTCAGCTCCAGTACTTGACAGCAAGGAGACCGGCAACTCTCATGTCGAAGATGTGGATTCCATCCACGCAGATGAGAAAGTCCAAGGAGATTATTCTGGGGCCACAGCCAAAGTCGATCCTGTCGAAATCAAACTTGTTCGCAAGCTGGACTTCAGGATCATGCCCATCCTATGGGCAATGTACTTCTTGAACTACGTACGCATACCATTTGAATATCTACACATTGGTCTGGCACAGCTAACGTGAATGAAAATAGATCGATCGCAATGCGATTGCCAATGCACGTCTTAATGATCTCGAGGAGGACCTCGGTCTTGTCGGAACACAGTACAATACTTGTATCTCTATCTTGTTTGTCGGGTATGTTGCACCTGCTCCAACGAGAACGGACCGAGCCTGACCCGTGAACAGATACTTGCTGATGCAGATCCCATCCAACATGTTGATGTCTTCCAAGAAGTTCCGCCCATCTTTATACATGAGCGTGTGCATGGGACTTTGGGCTATTGTTTCAGCATGCACGGCTCTTACTAAAAACTACATCGGTCTTCTTATGGTTCGATTCTTCCTAGGAGTCACCGAGGCGCCATTCTACCCAGGCGCATTATTCCTACTATCGGTTTTCTACACGCGCAAGGAGATTGCTCTCCGCATCTCTATCTTGTACACCGGAAACATCGTGGCGACAGCCGTCGCTGGACTAATCGCGGCTGCGACGTTTGAGACATTGGATCATCACATGGGACTGAAAGGCTGGCAGTGGCTGTTCATCATTGAGGGTGCTGTGACCTTCGGTGTTGCAGGCCTTGGTGTCTTCATGCTACCTGATCATCCGCTCACCACACGGTGGCTGACTCCCGAGGAACGCCAACTTGCGCACGATCGCATTGCACGCGATACAGTGAGTAGCGAGGAATCCAAGGGTGTCATGGCTGGATTGAAGCAGGCTATGGCCGACCCTCGCCTCTATCTTTTGGCCTTCATGCAGAACATGCACCTTAGTGCCTGTGGCTTTAATAATTTCTTCCCGACCGTTGTTGGAAGCCTTGGATTCAGCAGTACCGTCACCCTGGTCTTGACGTGTCCTCCTTACGTTTTCTCTGGTATCTGCTGTATCATTGTCGGCATTACTTCTGGGCGGTATAATGAGCGCACGTGGCACATCACTCTTGCAATGGGCGTCGCAGTCATAGGATTCATCATATCCTGTACGACGCTTAACAAGGGCGCAAGATATGTGGCTTGTTTCCTCTTCGCCAGTGGTGCATATGCTGTCAACTCAGTCATTCTAGGTTGGGTGTCTGCCACACTTGGCCAGACGCCAGAAAAGAAAGCTGCCTCGATTGGTTTCATCAACGTTGTGGCGAATGCATCATATATCTATACAGCCTATCTCTACCCGAAGAGCGATGGGCCTCAATATCTGATCGGGATGTCGGCAAACACAGGCTTTGGAATTGCGACTATCGCGAGTGCCTGGGCTTTGAGATGGTGGCTGCAAAGTACCAACCGCAAGATCAGCCGCGGTGCTCTGCAGGGTGCTGGCGATGTTCTTTATGCCTACTGACCAGCAGTATATGAGCTGGAAGCGAATAAGGTGGAAATGAATGTCCACGAAATAAATCAGTTTTTTGTATCGAACTTGGATTAGGCGGCTGTGAGTGGACTTATATTCTTCTTGCAAACACCAAACGTTACCGGAAAGCATTTGCCATGAGTATCTATCACATAAACCAATGCGTAGACATACCTTTGATCTTGGATGTTGTAGGTATGGATAGCCCCGTGTGATAGGCAATCATGCCCGCAGGACGGTCCCAGTGCCCCGGGCCCCAAGGCCCCGCCCGGGCGGAGATCTTCATAACTCAGCAAGTCAATCAGCCCCGGAGCCGCCTCCGACTGCCGGCCCGCGGGGGTGGTGACCACTACCCATATCTCCCACGATGACCAACCCAGTGAAACGACGAAATGGCTCCAAGCATGATAAGACCGGATGCTTGACATGTCGACAGAGGTAGGCGACTTCGAATTCTTGAAGGAACCATGCCCATGACTAATACAAGACACAGGCGCAAGAATCAACCCAGGGCTTCGGACGCGGAATACTAGAGACCTTTATCCGTGAAGGCGCGGTAGTACTTGGAATGGACCTCCAGGCCACCGATGGCCCAGTTGATGCGTTCCCTGAGAGCGTAGCCTATCAGATCAAGGCAAATGTTGCCGAAGAAGATAGTAGGAACAAAGCGGTATGTACCATCGATGGATTACCCACCTATTCTTGCCAGCTTGTTTGATTGCCTTCTTCTGATACTTACTTTTCGCTATAGCTGGAGACGTCTATTTCCAAATTCGGAAAAGCCCCCTCCATTGTCGTCCACAACGCCGGCTGGTCATACCCCAACAAGTCCGGCCTGGATGTAACTGTGGAAGAGTTCGATCGCCTTTTCAACGTCAACGTGAGAAGTATCTACCTTGCATCCAAGGTTCTCATCCCCGAAATGAAGAAGAACGGACCGGGCTCTACCGTTGTGATCTCCAGCGAGAATGCCGTCCGACCAGGCGCCACTCAGACATGGTATAACGCAACAAAAGCAGGTGTCTCCTCGGCGACCAAGTCCATGGCACTGGAATTTGCGAGGGACCAATTGCGATTCAATACTATCTGTCCGACTTCGGGAAACACACCCCTGCTGAACAGATTTGCTGGCATCGCAGATGGCCCCGTTCCTGCTGAAATTATTAAGGCAAAGTGCGAGTCTATTCCCATTGGCCGCTTGGTTGAGCCGTCTGATGTTGCCAATGTTGCCCTTTTCCTGGCGGAGCCTGCAAGTTCAATTATTAGCGGAGTGGAAATTCTGGTTGATGGCGTACGCTGTGTCTAACTAGTGAAGGGTTATTATATGAACAGTGGATATATTTAATCAGTTTCATCCTTCCAAAGACTTTCAAAATGGAAGACTCTCTTCAGTTCAGTTCTTCTCAGGTGATGTTACAGCATGAGGCTTTAATCGTTCGGCGTGAATGGCGTATCTTCGAAGGTGAAATGTCCGAACAGTCAGCGTAAATAGTGGGTCAGTTCTCGGCCGTGCATAATGGAAGCCTCCAATCAAAGAGGGGGTCCTTGGCAGGAGATGTTCCAAGGTGTTTCCCAGGCTGTCTTTGCACCGAAGGGCAGGTCCCGCAGACACTATAAGAATGGATCTACCGACAGTGGATCATGCCCAATTGGAGAGTCAAGAGTCTCCACTGTCTTTGGGACCTGTCCCCACTCTTTGCGTTGTTAGGGCGGCCCGGCGTAATTGGCGTCTTTGCAGTCAACAATTATCAAAGATATGCATTATTATATCCCACCGATTGAGAGGAAGAATATCCTATAAGAAGAACACATCACACCTTCGGAACTATGTTATCTCAGTAAATCATGCCTTCATCGACATTTCAGCAATACTACTTTCCGCAGAAGAATGGCTTTGATAGTCTGACACTTCGTGAAGTTCCAAAGACTCCTCCCAAATATGGGCAAATCCTGATCAGGATCAAGGCAGTCTCATTGAATTGGCGAGATGGTATCATTGCCCTCGGGACATACCCGTTTCCTGGGCCCGACGCCCTTGTACCAGGCAGCGATGGCGCAGGTTTGTGCTTCCCGACCGATATGAAGGCACATTGGCTGACATATACCGAAAGGTGTCATTGAAGAAGTTGGCGAAGGTGTTACAGAATGGCAGCCCGGCGACCGAGTACTTGCAAATTTCACGCAAGATCACCTAGCTGGCAGACTCACTCCGGAAACACTTCTCACTCAACTAGGAGGAGAGACGCAAGGTCTGCTTGGGGAGTTCTTTATCTTCCCGAAGACAGGGGTTGTGAGGATACCCGATTATCTGTCGTTTGAAGAAGCATCATGCCTCCCATGCGCTGCCCTGACTGCATGGAACGCCCTCTATGGCTTGGTGGCCGTGAGGCCTGGCCAAACTGTTCTGTTGCAAGGTACAGGAGGTGTATCGACATTTGGTCTGCAGATCGCCCATGCGGCTGGGGCAACCACAATCGTCACATCTTCGTCCGATCAGAAACTAGAAAGGGCACGACAAATGGGTGCAACTCACACCATCAACTACCGAAAGCAACCAGGTTGGGCCGCAGAGGCAAAGAATATTACCAATGGGCGCGGCGTGGATCATATAATTGAAGTCGGCGGAACTCTGACGCTGCAGGGGTCCTTCGATGCCATTGCGATGCACGGAATCATTCATTGCATTGGGCATATAACAAACCCAGACCCATTGGGCACCGGGAAAGAACTTCGTGGGCCAGACGCCGCCTTTTTGGCGTTAGACCGACTGTGTATACTCCGAGGAGTGGTTGTTGGCTCCCGGGAGCAGTTGCAGGATATGCTGGAATGCTTTGAAACAAAGTCAATCAGACCCATCATCGACAAAACTTTTGAATTTGAAAATGTGAAGGAAGCATATGAGTATCTGTGGGGCTCAACCCACACAGGGAAAGTTGTCGTCCGAGTGGGACAGGCCTGTTGAGTCAAAAATGCAAAAGGGTGATAATTCATTGTATTCGCCTCCTCTTCGATCTTTCCAAGATTTTACTTCTCATTGATATTTGAAGACATAAAGAAAAGTGAAAAGTGGCAAGGGAAGGAAGGGTGGTGGGAAATATCGTTTGCAGCCAGATTTGTTTCAGGGATCTCACTTTTGCTCCTCGTTTTCTATTTGCACCACCACATTTGAATTATAAGCTTTTCAGTATGATGAATGACCCTCTTTCTTATATTCTGTCTATTGATTTTAGAATAGCCCGTGTTAATAGTCCCGAATTCCGCATCATCAAATGTATATCATAGCTCAGTCAACATCATGTCCACAATTCAACTTAACTCAACTTCCGAGTCAGATCGCTGAGTGAGAGGCTCAGGCTTCCTCCAACCTTTTCCCACGAGTAAAGCTGGATGTAATGCTGTAAGGCAGATACAGGCGATGGAAATCATGGCGCCCTCGAGAATCATCAAGGCTATCTCGTCATTCGCCAGACTACTGCTGAATCCACCCTGGAGCTCCGCCACGCGAAACGTGGACCGAATCAAGATTGTCAGAACTGCAGTCGCCAGGCCTGATATAGATATTTTATTAGCAAAGTTCTTCTTGTGGCCGTATGAGTGGCAATATGCATACCGATCAGAAATGATCTCCTTCTCCAGCTCACTTGACGCTTCTCTGAAGTTGCACACTTCCCTCGTACGACGCGGACTCCATATTCAATGACGAGGATACAAAACACAATAATGGACGCGACTTGAAAGACTAAACCAGCGATCATAATGTTGACTCCGGTGTCTTGCAAAGATTGCTCATCGGCAATAGAAGTCACAGCACCGCCAGCAGCCTGTAGTATGAGAGAAATCAAATCACAGGTGACGAATATGTAAACATAAGTTCGCGGCTTTAGTCGTGAATATTCCTCGCCATAAACGGCAATGATACGCCCAAGGCATAGATAGATGCCGGCCGTAAAGAAAGCTGGTGCAATGGTGAGACATATAAGGTACCTTGAAATTGGGCATATTGATTAGTATTGGATCCAGAATAAATTAAAACTCACGAGTTGAAAGCTTACATCAAGAAAGAATTAAAGTCAAATGGGTTGTTGTGTAAGAGTACTCGGCCCAGGTATCCTATCACCTCTAATATCAAACCGGCAACCATGGGAACCATGAAAGTCCAAGCTCGAAACACGATACCTGTGCCAATTTGGCAGACCAGCAGCACTGCGAAAACCGCAATGAAAAAGATATTTCCTGCGAGGTTCGGCTGATATTCGATATACGCAGCACTCAACGGGCACGTTTGCAACGTACAATCATCGGGGTTGTAATCAGACATGGTGACCCGATGGAGAGCAGACTCAAAAATGGTGTTTGAAGATGAGAAAGAGGAGAGCTGTTGTTGAATTGATCACGGTGTAGAGTCTCGGTAGGCACTATTTATTCCCAACCTGTCGTTGTCTCTACTCTGTTATGTGTACGTTTACTTCCACAATCTTGAGGCTGTGTCAGTATTTTTAGGCTCTGGGCTCTAACCCTGGAAGCAACCCCCAAATCCTTTAAGATGAAGACCAATAATCAACATCATTGACTGATCGATACGAAGTGGATGCGATGTATGGAGCAAAGAGTAAGCCGTTGCCTGGGGAGGCTTATGCCAAGACATGCCTTTGTCGGAAGTCCGTGTCCGTGTCCGTACCCGTCCCCGCGTCCTTGTCCTTGTCCTCTTCAACCTTTCCAATCCCTCGTCCTTTCAGAGTACACCCCCACTGTCGCCGCGACTCATACTGCATTCGGACAATGGCGTCTAAGGCGGGACACGTTAAAACGTGTGAAAACTGCGCTCGTGGGAAAATCCGATGCATCCGAGCTCCCGAGTCCCCCATTTGCGATCGGTACGTCTTGTTAGCCATTGGGCGCACAATTACATCACCCTTTCTCGGACTACAAGGGATAAGCGCTTACCACAAGATCTAGATGTCGGCGCCTGGAGAAAGACTGTTATTTTCGGCCCGCTCGAGCCCGCTATAATCCCGCTAAGAAGGGGACGTAAGGCACCCAAATTCCACGACTCGTTGTGTTTAATGCAATGCTGACGCTGAGCCTATCAAAACAGAAGAGTGGAGGCCCTTGAAGCGAAAGTCGATGAGCTTCTGGCACGAGTTGGCAATCAGCCACACGTCACACCGCAGCGGGAGGTTTCTGACCTCCCCTCTGCTGAGCTGGATCCTCATTCCAACCAGGATAAACCCCAAGATGTGATAGATCGCGGGGTTGTGAGCTACGGTGATGCCGTGAAGATACTTGACTCTTTTCGTGATACATTGATGCCATATTTTCCATTCGTCCTCATTCCACCGGAAACAACGCTTGATCAGCTTCGAGCGGAAAAGCCGTTCCTGTTGCTGGCTGTCCTCAAGGTCTGCACATACAAGAATGAACCGGTCCAGAAGGTTTTGGAAGAGACCTTTCAGTCGGCTGTTGCGGATCGAATGATCTTCTCCCATAGTCCATCCATGGACGTCTTACAGGGCCTGCTTGTAGCTTTAGCATGGTAAGTTGAAGCACCACCTTTAGCTAAAGGGATCTCATGTTTATCAAATGATTTCGATCTTGCAGGATACATCACCAAGCTCAGCACTTGAGATTCTCCAGCTATCTTCATCTTGCCTGGAGTGTTGCTGGCGACTTGCGCCTTGACCGGGTCTCTGAGACCCAGTCGTTCTATTCCCGAATGGACTTGAGCAAGATATCACCCGATCATGACAGCAGCAAACAGTCCAAGAATGAGGGAAGACGGGCCTTGGTTGGTTGCTACATGCTATCCTCATGGTGAGTCAATTTCTTTTGCTATTTATCATCATTATGCTGACTGAACGTGGTCGCATAGTCGATCGACGTTGTTCCAAAAGGATCGCATGATGACTCGACTTTCATACGTCGAAAAATCAGCCTTTGAACTACTAGCAAATGCTGAAACTGCCAGCGACCGGTGTCTGATACACTTGGTAAAGCTGCAACAAATATTTGAGCGAATTGACGACGCCGTGGTAACTTCCGCAAGTCCAGTACTAGAGGCCGACATGAATGGGTTTCAATCTGAGATCAACGAATATAAGACAACACTACCCGCGACTTTCTCGGAAAATTGTAAGTGATGAAAGTCAACTAACATGTGTACCTGCGTACGATATTGACTGCTACCGTCACTAGCCCTCCTTCAATTCAATTTGCACACATTACAGCTCTTCCTATGCCAGGCCTGCTTGTTTGATAAGCATGACACAGCGAGTCTAGCCGCTTCAGCAATGCCCCGCTCGAACGCCGATGCTGGACTTCCACCACACCTGCGAAGCGGTGGCCAGTCACTGGACTTAACGCCCTTTCAAGTTGAGCTCCTCACCCGCGGGCTAACTGGGGCCAAGAAATTCTTTGACTATTTTTTCAAATATTCCCCCGAAACTTATGGCACAATCAGTCACACCCAATGGCTGCAGACAGGGTTCAACTTGGTTTTGAGCTGCAAACTTGCCGTGACTGGCGCAAAGTATGCACCGCGAAGTCCACATGTTGGGGCCTTGTGCTCGGCTTTGGATATGCCGCAGATTCTTCGAGGCACATCATTGCGGCTACAGTGGCTCAGCAAAGACAGAGTAAAATCCGACGAGAAGAGCCAGTTCAAACACTTCTACGAGCTTTGGGTTGCGCGTATCCTTGAATGGTTTGAGCAAAAATACCACTTGACTCACTCTGAGGACAAGGCTCCACCACCTGCAGAAGTTGCCTATGGCGAGGCAAGCTCATCTGGGCTCAGGTATTCTTCATCTTTGCAGGATACAACCCTCATGGGTGGAAGCTATGGTGTCGTGCAAGGAAATCAAAGCGATATGCCTGGCTCGTGGCCAGACTTTCTCTGGGATATAAGCACGGAAGATATACTGGGTGGCTACATGGGACTTCTGGACATGCCTGAATCCACGCTACAACACGGTTATGAGATGCAACTCCCATGAAAAAGGGACAACGAAAAGCCCTGAACCAGCGGCCTAATTCTTTTCCGGACCAAGGACATAATCACTCAATATTCCGCTGGCATGATACTAGCCAGTCACTTCACTGTTCAAACAAAAAGTCCCAGACTGACAGGAGCTGACTTCATCTGATCCTCTTGGATCTCGCGGATGAGCTCGCTGTTCGGATAGTCCTCTAGATCCAGATCCACGTATCCGTTCGGAGCCCATTGCTTCCCTGAAACGAAGAACGAATGACCATTCACACTTTCATCGCCAAGAATTCTGAGCAAGCATTGAGACGCATCCTCCGTATGCGCGAATTTGACTCCAACACTCGAGACATGTTTGAAATCGCTTTCCGATAGGATGTTTGTTTTAACGTACCTTCGGAGGTGATCAGTGGCTGAGATTCGAGAGATATGATGGCAATACTTACCAAGGCGAAATGACGTTGACTCGACTGCCGTAGTAGAAGGCAGTTCTTCTCAAGGAGTGCATGATACCTCGCATGGCCCATTTGCTTGCACAATATTGTGGAGCTCTCGGGCAGTCCAAGAAGGCCGCCCCCGATCCAATCAAAACCAAAGATGTATCCTCCTGTTCCGGCACGCTTTGAGTGCCATTTTGTCTGATGAAATGATGCGCGGCAAGCTTGGCGGTGTAGAGTGTGCCTTTTATATTGACGTCAATGACACTCAAATTTGGCTCCTTCGGCTCTTCATGATCTCCAGAATACGAGAAGATATCGTCCGGGCGATGGATGCCGGCATTTGCGACAACATGTGAAATCTTCCCTGTTGGAGAAAAGAGCAATGCTTGTTGAAATAGTCGAACTTGATCGTCCCATTTGGTGATGTCACAGGGGACAAATTTTGCCCTTTGGTATAGGATGTCAGCATCAGCACTTAAAAAGAACGTCACAGCAAAGGTACGTATGGGAAAAGAACTTCAACACAGGGCTTTTACTCACCCTTCAAGCTCTTGCTCTAGCTTGCTTCCACCTATCTGGTCAGAGTCGCCGATGCAAACCTTGACTCTATAGATAGATTATCAGTTCTTGTGACATATTCATCAACCCATAAATCTTCTGCACAACACATACCCTGCAGCAACCAAAGCCCTAACATAGGCTTCTCCTAGGCCATTGGCACCTGTTTTTTTCCATGTTGGTAATTGATCAATCGTAAATCGAACAACACTGTACCTCCTGTAACTATTGCGGTCTTCCCTTTGAGACCCCCCACATTCAAAGGCTTGGTGCAGTCGATGGCTCCAGTATGTAGATATTCGTGCATCTTGCCAAGGTGCCCAGGTGTAGTAAAACGGTGAAGATTTTCGTATGGCCTGACCAGATATGCTCAATCAATCCGAAGTCTTAAAGGACTTCGGGTTTACTTAAATATCTCCGTGGCCCTTAAGTTCTGATGCGAATTGCTTACATCGAGCCGGGGTTCCAACTTGAAGGGCCCACAAAATCTGAAATAAATCGGTGATTGGACAGCCGGTGGAGATTGTCACACTATTATTGGTTAAATTGACAGCCGTCCACGGGATGCTTGGCAGCTAGTCCTAACACGGTTAGTACTAATCAGCATCTTGCATATCCCCATCCAGGGCTATGTAGCAAGTGGAGTGGATGATCAACATGCGTACGTCTTTGTTTTGTAATGGCAGCTCTACTCTTTCAATCAAGCCCCAGCGTGACTTGGGCTGCTTACACTTGGCATGTAGCTCAACAGGTCTGTGTGGTACATAGATTGGCCGGTCGAATGACGAAACATCCACTCTACCTGGACCGTTGCGTGACAAAAGCCGTGGAAAGTCCGTATGCCAAGTGCCAAGATGAGTTGAGAATCGATATCTATCCTGCTGTAGCAAAAGGTTCTACCCCCCTTAAACAAGTATTGGCGTAGACATGAGACTATAAATACAGTCTACCCATACTATTCACAGACCTGAAGTTTAACATTTGACAACCACTTTGTCTGCTGTGATCCCTCGAAGATGGCACTCGTCAATTCAACTTTAATGAATGAGACAATGCGTGCAGTGGTCTGGCAAGGCAATGCGTACAATGTGGCTGTTGTTGACTTGCCAATGCCTACAATTATCAATCAAACTGATGCAATTATTCGCATGTCCCGAGCAGCTATATGTGGCTCAGATCTTCATATTTATCGTGGAACGAATGAGGGCATGCCAGCCCCTTTTGGTCTTGGTCATGAAGGAGTAGGATACGTCTCAAAGATCGGAAGCGGAGTGGGTTCTCTCCAAGTCGGCGATCCTGTTATCGTGCCCTTCACCGTCGACGAAGGACACCTACATACAGATCTCACCTCCTCATTGTATGCCAGCTATGGAAATGGTGGTGATATTGGCGGTACCCAGGGTAAGCGATTTCTATTCCAATTCGCTTCACAGGTTGATCATCAATTAACATGTTGCCAGCTGAATATCTACGAGTTCCCTTCGCCGATGATGGACTGATCCCAATTCCATCCCTTGAACATACGAACTCAACTACAAACGAATCCGTCTCGCTGATCAACGACTATGTCATGCTTTCCGACATCTTCGCTACTGGATGGGCAGCCCTCGATTACGCCGGTTTCCAGCCGGGCGATACTGTAGCGGTCTTTGGTGCCGGACCTGTCGGACTCATGACAGCCTACTCTGCGACATTACGAGGTGCATCAAAGGTCTACAGCGTGGATTATGTTGGTGATCGACTGGACCTTGCAGAATCTATTGGTGCAATCCCGATAAATTTCCAAGACGCCGACCCGGTCGACCAGATTCTAGCACTCGAGCCAGACGGTGTCTCGAGGAGTGTCGATGCAGTTGGCTATGAGCAAGTTAATAGAAACTTGACTGTGCAATCCGACGTTATCATTAACAACATGCTCGCCGTGACATCTGCAGGTGGTGGACTTGGTACGGTTGGAGTGTACAACCCTGAATCGAACAACACGGCCACAGCACCACGCGCTTCCACCGTGCACACCGATGTTCATTTCTCCCTCTCTGATTTCTTCTCTGGTGGGTACAAGTGGGCGGCTGGTCCTTCAGACCCGATTGAGCTCGCTCCAAATCTCGTGCATCTTGTTGCTTCAGGAAAGGCAAGGCCTGGGTTTATTGTGAGTGACGTGATTGACATTGAGGATGCCCCTCAGGCCTATGCAAGATTCGAAAGACATGAAGCAACCAAAGTCATCATTGCCTTTGATTGATGCAAGGCGATTGTTTTCGTTGGGCCTGTCCGGCGCTGGGCCAGGATAAATATTGGGGTGCAAGAATTTTCGAGTTCCCACTCAGATACTTCGCGCATAATATGAAGAAATTCCAAAGAAATTCCACGGGTATAACTCTGTCATCCCATCATGTAACATCCTCGCTTTGGGAAATGGGTCTTGTATACACCATAGCCAACGTTGATTTCCAAGAGAGATGTTTTTCTCCCCTCTGGGCTCTCCATCGATTGGTACTTCTTATCAAATCCTCGCATCCACGAAGCAGAAATCCCCATTTCTTTAAAAAGGCTGGGGTGACCTCCCAATTATCTGGCTCCCAAGAAGGTCCCCATACCAGCATTGTGGCATCGGTATTCCTTGTATCCCAAAACGCCATCAAATCATGACAGAGATCGTCATCGTCAATGAGATCTTGCACGGCGATGAGATTGTCCCGCATATTTGGAAAGGGGAAGAAGTCAAGCCATGGATGATGAGGTATAAGTCGTTGACATTGCGTCGGTCGTAGACTAGGCGGTATTAAGAGTTCAGGTAGTTGGGGTGTAGGCATATTGAAGATCGAAATTGATTCGTCTCGCTGGGTCCATTCCATCGTCATTCCGACGGAGTGGATATTTTCGATGATTGCACGCTGAATATTGAGCTTCGACAAGGATAATAGGTGGTCCGTTGTGGGGGAATTAAGGACATAGCTTTGCAAAGCTAAAGATTCGAACTGGCGCATCATAGAGTGGATTTCGGGCGGAGCAATGCTACACGTGAAGCCAACCGCATCCCGCTCAATCTGAATGGGTGGAGTGGCATTGGATGGAATAGGAATGGCATTCTTTCTTAGCCAGGCTTGATCCTTGTCGGTTTGTTGCTGTTTCTTTCGTAGGCCTTACAAAGTCAGATCAAAGCTATTGTGACCCAATGGGAGAAAAGCTTACGATATGATCGCTGATTCAACCGGTTCTGCAATTTCCTTCGCTGGACACGATCGATTGTGCCAGTCCAATCATCTTTAGGGGCTTGGACACCTTCTTGTTGCGGCATTCGCGTAAGGGCGATCTCATGGTCTTCAGACATGTTGGATGACATGAGTGATTATGAAAAGAGACTGTGGCAAGTCTTTAAAGATGTAGGGTGCTGATGCCAAGGTTAACCTTCATTGGCCGAACCATGGAACGCCAGGGACGCTAATGCAAGATGCTTACATCCGCTAACCCCATGTGGACTAGCGTCCCGAACACCCTGGATCAAAATATCCAAAGTCGTTACTCATACGGAGATCACCCAACGCATTTAGGCAACACAGATTTCTTATAAGATGTTCCGCTCAGATCATGATCTTTAAATAGACTTATATCTTCACCTTACCACCAGATGATAACAGGGCCCCATCCTTGCGTATAACGAAATCCTTGTCCTGCTCCCACCCCATCCACTCTCTGAGTGTTTCTTGGCCCCCATCACCGGGCGCAAGCCCTCCACCAGTCCACCCACCCTGATCCGCCTGAATAGGAGACGCAGGTGTGCTTGCCAAATGGACGATAGGACGCTGCTCATATCCGGCATCTTCAAGCTCCGCCTGCTCAAGAACGGGGGTTGCACAGGCATCGGTGCCATCAAATACAACCTCCCACTCCGTCCGCGTCTTTTCCTTAAAGCGACGCGTGAAGATGTCCCGCAGCTTGGACCAATTTGCACGATCTTCGCGCTTAGGAAGACTTTTCGGATCAAGTGCGAGTCCACGCAGCAACGCCGCGTAGAATTGGGGCTCCAATGCCCCGACCGCAAAATACTTTCCAGAATCCTTGGTCTCGTAGGTATCATAGTAAGGACAGCCACTATCGAGTAAATTTTCACCGCGCGGACCAGCCCACGCGGGGGTCTTTTGCGCCAGCCGAGGGAATGTAGCCAGGTATGCAGAGCCGTCAACCATGTTAGCTTCAACGACCTGACCGCGACCGGTATGGGAACGTGAAATTAGCGCGAGAAGAATGCCTTGGAAGCAGACTGCACCGCCACCTGCGAAGTCCCCTATTATGTTGCCTGGCGCGTACGGCTTTTCCCCCGCACGGCCCAGCATGGACAGAACTCCCGAGACGGCGATGTAGTTGATATCGTGGCCGGCCATGTCCTTGTATTTCCCATCGCGGCGGAAACCTGTCATGCGGGCGACGATGAGGCGCGGGTTGACCTTTTGTAAAACTTCAGTTGGGGAAAGACCGAGGCGCTCGAGGACACCTGGTCGGAACGGGTCGATCAGGACGTCTGTGGCGGTGAGAAGACGGAGGAGCACGTTGCGAGAGCTGGCATCGCGGAGGTCCAGAGTAATTGAGGTTTTATTTCGTGTCAATTGGTCGGCACTCACTGCGGAGGGTCGGTCTACGCGTAGGACCGAGGCACCGTAGTCAGCTAGCAAGAGGCCAGCGAATGGGCCTGTTGAGGTTAGTTAGTGCTGAAGTATTGTGCTCCGTGGGGTACGCACCTGGAGCTAAACCGGCAAGTTCAATTACCTTGATACCCTTCAATGGAGCCATTTTGGTTGTAGCAAGGCAGGTGGAGTTGGGGACAATTTAAAAGATCCGCGACCGAGGTCCTTGGCTATGACGGCTGCGGGGAAGAGCATGTGGGGATCTCACAGCTCGGGAAAATACTGAGTGTAGCTACCACTAAAGCCCTCGCGTAGTTGCAGTAGGTATGGAATTGTTGTTGTTAATTTCATTTGTCTAAGAATCCTTCTCGACGGAAATTCTGGAGTTCATGTGAACAGTCTTCAGGATAACCTTCTAATATAGTAGTTATTTTGAAATGGAAATATAGTAGAATATAGACTTGGAAGGTGGAGGGAATGCAACAGAAGATGAGTTTGACAGAGACATCTGGGAGGATATATCATTAGGAGATTGAAAGATGGATATGGACCGGGCCATTCGTCAATATTTTAGCGAGACGAAAGCCGTGTCGATATTGGCCTGAGTAAATCACAAAAAGAGGCCACAAGGTATAGAATCACGCCATAGGCGATCAGTAAGAGAATATAATAAAACAAGATCGTAAATAAAAATCAGCTCGACCATGACAAGTTCTTGGATCAGCATCATGAGATCAATCGGATTGAATGTACAATGAGATCATGCTGACCAGGCAAGCAAGCTAGCTCAGAGAATCATGAACATGGAGAGAGCGATGGCGAAGATGCCACCGAAAACACCGGTAACAGCCTTTGAGGCAGCACCGGTGTAGACGGGAGAGACACCTTCGTCGGTGCTGCTGGGAGCAACAGGGCTGTTGGTGGCAGCAGTGGCGCCGGTGGTGGCAACTGTGTGAGCAGCGGAGGCCGAGGTGGAGGGGCGGACAGCCAGGGTGGAGGATGGGCGACCGGGACGGAAGCCTCCGATTCCACTGCCAATGGTGACACTGGAGGACGAAGGAGCAACGGGGGCAACGCCGGTCACCGTCACCTGGGGCTTACCGGAGCCAGAGCCGGAACCGTGACCGGAAGATCCAGAGCCAGAGCCGGGGTTGGAGCCGGGGTTGGAGCCAGAGCCAGAGCCAGAGCCAGCACCAGGGGCGGGGGCAGTAGCAGTGGAGATGGGGACAGTGGCAGTAACAGTGCTACCAGATGGACCACACTTAGGGCAGAAAGTGACAGTAGTTGTGTAACCCTCAGGGACCGCAGGAGCGGTGGTCTGCGACACGGCCTCGGTGGTGACCGGGGCAGTGGCAGCGGGCTTGGTGAGGGTCACGGTGGTGGGGGTAGCAGCACAGTGAGTGCAGACAGTCACAGTGGTGGTCCAGCCCTCGGGGATGTCAACTGTGGAAGTGGCCGGGCCAGAGGTAGGGGCGGTCACTTCGGCGGTTCCAGTGGGCGCGGTAATCTGAGCAGTGCCAGTAGCGGTAGCAGTGGCGGGAGAGTTACCGGGGCACCAGGTAGTGGTGATGGTGGTGGTGATTGTAGTGAAACCGGTAGGACAGATATCAGTGTAGGATGTGACAATGATAGTGGTGATGGTACCAGGGGCCAATGAGGAAGGTGAGGCGGTTACGGAGGGGGCAGCAGTAAGAGTGATACCAGATGAGACAGTGACTGAGTTACCGCCGGTGGGCTGAGCACCGCTGGACTGGGCACCAGTAGTCTGAGCACCGCTGGACTGAGCACCGCTGGACTGGGCACCAGTAGTCTGAGCACCGCTGGACTGAGCACCGCTGGACTGAGCACCGCTGGACTGAGCACCGCTGGACTGAGCACCGCTGGACTGGGCACCAGTAGTCTGAGCACCGCTGGACTGAGCACCGCTGGACTGGGCACCAGTAGTCTGAGCACCGCTGGACTGAGCACCGCTGGACTGGGCACCAGTAGTCTGAGCACCGGTGGGCTGAACTGCGGACGGGCTAGTGGTCAGGGGAGTAGAGCTGGGGGCAGGCTTGCCGGTGGTGGAAGGTCGGGGAGCGGGACGTCCGGTGGAGGACTGAGCGATGGAGCTGCTAGGGGAAGCAGAGGAAGATGACTGGTCGGAGGTAGCAGTGTTTGACTCGCAAGGGGTCTCGGAGGGAGCCGCGGAGCTGGAAACGGAGTGGGTTCCGGAGGGGGTTACAGCGACAGAAGTGGACGGCTTGCCGGTGGTAGCAGGGGTGCTAGAATGGGGAGAAGCAATAGAGCTAGATGAGGCAGCGGAGCTAGAGGGGACAGCGGAGCTGGAAGAAGCAACGGAGCTGGGAGCAGCAGAGCTGGAGGGGACAGCAGAGCTAGAGGGGGTAGCGGAGCTGGAGGGAGCAACGGAGCTGGAAGAAGCAACGGAGCTGGGGGCAGCGGAGCTGGAGGGAGCAACGGAGCTGGAAGAAGCAACGGAGCTGGGGGCAGCGGAGCTGGAGGGAGCAACGGAGCTGGGGGCAGCAGAGCTGGAAGAAGCAACGGAGCTAGAGGGGGTAGCAGAGCTGGAGGGGGCAGCAGAGCTGGAAGGAGCAGCAGAGCTGGAGGGAGCAGCAGAGCTGGAGGGAGCAGCAGAGCTGGAGGGAGCAGCAGAGCTAGAGGGGGCAACGGAGCTGGAAGAAGCAACGGAGCTGGGGGCAGCAGAGCTGGAGGGAGCAGCAGAGCTGGAGGGAGCAGCAGAGCTAGAGGGGGCAGCAGAGCTGGAAGGGGCAGCAGAGCTGGAAGGGGCAGCAGAGCTGGAAGGAGGGACGGTGGAAGACTGAACGGGGGTAGAAGTAGGCTTGGGGGTCGGGCTCACAGTCGAAGAGATGACTGGAGGAGGCGCGCAACCATACAAGATCTCCTTCATGTGTTCGGTGTAGGTCAAGCCGTCAATGACATTGTTGTCACCAGCAGTGGCCTCCCAAAGCATAATACCACCGAACTGATCAGGGTGGGCATCCATGTAGGTCTCAACCAGGGGCTGAACCTGGTCAGGGGTGATGTAGTTGCCAGCATTGGCAGCGGTCTCGGAGGCGGGAAGACCAACGTAGAGCTTGGTCTTCTTGTTGGCGCTCTGCTGGATGACACCAACCCACTCGTCGAAGTTGAAGCCGGCATTGCCATTGGCGAAGTTGATGGCAGCGCAGGCTGGGTTGTTGTAGAATTGAACCCAGAGGAAATCAAAGACAGAGTTGGAGATAGCGTCGCTGAGCTGGGCATCGGGGATCGGGCACTGGGGAGAGCCGGAGATGTAGTAGGTCTTGTCCGAGGCAGTAGCGTAGTGCTCACGCATACGGTTGACAAAGGCAGCCCAACCAACGCCGCCATTGGCCTCGACATCGATATCGAATCCATCGACAGAGACGGTCTGGAAAGGACGGGGGTAGGTACCGGCAAGCAGGGAAATGGTCCAGGAAAGGCTGGAGACGCTGGAATCGTAAGGACCGAAAGAGTACCAGAGGAAGTCGGCGAACCACTCGGCAACTTCATCATTGGGAAGGGACTGTGTAGTGGCAGAGCCACCACCAATGGAGAGGAATACCTTCTTGCCAGCAGCCTGGCACTTGGGAATATCCTCCCAAATCTGGTGGCAACCGGACAAGAGGTGAGAACCAGAGAAGAACAATCCATCGCACTGGTTGGCGAAGTTGGATCCAGGGAAATCACCGACGGCCTGAGGGTACTCATTAATAAAACCGATGTTGATGATATCCATGCTGGTCTGTTCACAGAAGTGGCTCAGACGTTGTTGGTCCGCACCCTGTCCGTAGTAGACCGCAACATTGTTCTTGACATCGGCATCGAAGGCAGTAGCAGTCGATGCAAGGAGTGACAGTGCCGACACCGCGGCAATAGATTTGGCAAACATCTTTGCGGTGAAAAAATGAATGTGATAATTATAGTTAAATGCAACAACAATCGCTAATCAACCTGATAAAAGGAGTGACAGGCTCGTGGACAACGAGAGGACGCAGACAAAAATCTGCTTGGGAAAGTTTCCCAGAGAGGCCAAAATGAGAGTGTGTTGATGGTCGAAGGGAAATGCAACTCCCCGGGGGCCAGGGTATTGAAATACAGATAGCAGAGCACTCGGGGGCTGTCCGTCTCCGCCCCCTGATGTAGATGCCGACCTCCGACATGAGGCGCACTAATCAGAAAGCAGAACAGTACCAGCAGACGGTGGAAATGAGCCTGTGATATCCGACCATTCCAAGGTGGGTAACTAAAGTGCCGTCGGATACGGTCCACCCTGGCAGGGCCAGCCAACGCATTTGGGACGAATGGATTGAAAGCTTGGTAGTAATTTCACTAGGCTCGGGGCCCAACAGAAAGAGTACACAATGGCCTAATCCATGTTCACACCGTTCACGCCATGTGCACAACGGACTGGTTTGACCGGTCACACGCCAAACGCGTGGCTTGGAAGGTAGGGAAACAGCCGGTGGCGTTCCAGAGTGACATCTGGGTTGGAATGGAATCAGCCAGGTCAGCGAGATACTCGCTTTCGGCAGGGCAATGCACAGGCTCCGTGCCTCATTCGGTGCAGTAAAATTGCAAGAGCCGCATAAAAGAGGCTAAAGACCCTAGTCCCTTTAGCATCAAGGTCATGACTGGATCAAAGAGAGAGTTCGATGTACGCGAACCAATCAGAGGCGAAAGGTAGGCTGCATAGCACGGACTCCCCGAAGGGTCCACCATTGGAGTCAGAGGCAAAAGCGCTTGGTTGTTCACCAGAGGAAAGCCAGGGGTAGCCCATAATGCGGGGTGCGTTTGTCAAGTCACACAAGTGTCTCATTCCATATCTTTTTAAACATCCACCAAAGTCCACAAGAGTGCAGAATCGAAGCCATCCGGAGTGGTGTAGAGGGGTAAGATAATCTAAGGTGATCGGAAGCGAGCAACGGCGAGGTCATTGGGTTTACGCTAAGCCTCCGGGGGCCAAGAAGTGGGCCTAGCCTCCGCCAGGCACACCAATCACAGCCTTAGGTTCGGGACACCGGAGCCCAGCCGGATCACCGTTGCCCTTTTTTTTAATTGTAATCTTTTCATTTCTTCGTCTTTTTCCTTGGAAATATAGTACTTTCCTCCGTTAGCATCATAACCTATGGCGTATTAATATCCTTGATCTGAGTTCGTAAATCTCGTTAATCGTTGTTAGTGCCTCTTGGCTCGTGCCCCTCCGGTCGAGAACCCTCAGGGTCCTAACACGCCCCCAATTCCCACGTTGCCCATTTCCCAAAAGCAAATAAATTTTAATGCAAGGTACTGCGTGCAGGGCTCGGAGATATACCCATTCCAAGAATATTTTAGGCGAATGTGACGCCCCTCATCCTATAGCCTTGATTCTTCCATTATTGAAGCGCTAATGAGCACAATTTCATAAGCCGCCACCAACTACCAACTAGGGCCAACATTAGCCGAGACAGAAATCCGCCCTTTTGAGCAGTCTGTTATGATCTGACAGATTTTTCCGGGTCCGGGAGGGTGTTCATCCACCGAGCAAGTCCGATAATGGCGTAAGTGGAAACTTAGAACGATAAGTGTGGATCGTAATTACAAGGATCCTCTCTATGAAAGTTCTAGCCTTGTCACAAGTACTCCGTACACACACACTCACTGAAAAGAAAAGGCGAGGATTCCCCGATCTTGAAGTTTGTTTAGTGTCAAAATCAGTCCATTTTTGTTTGCCTCAATTTAGAGATTTACATATGTCATTTATACGCGGAACTGGCTCGTTCGGCGTGCTAATGGGGCCGGACCCGTAGAAGACTTGCGCAAGATTCAGTCTCCGGTAATGACAGGAGTGACTTTTAATCTTTATAATGGCATATCCGTATAGCAAAGATCTCTGCTAGGGCAGTTTTTTTGGTTTTCATGAAGACAGAACGAGGTATTGAGATCGAACATTCTTCGCGAAAGCCACCAAGCCACGGTGGACAAAGCCGAACGCAAAATGAGAGTGGAGATGTTCAGACCCGAAACTCGCCACAGAGTACGGAGTACTCATATGGAGCGTCTCAGAACGAGACCTCTTCCGGCCGACGACGCACCATAATCCTTGCTGACATATCGGTCTGTATCACAATTCCATGTCTCTTGAACTGAGGAATCATCCCCTCTGCAAGTTTGAACTCATACTTCAGCAGTATATGGCACAGCGCGATCTTGGCCTCATTGACAGCAAAGAACCGCCCGGGACAAGCATGGGTTCCATACCCGAACCCCATATGCTCAGGGGAGACCGAGACCAACGAAGCAGACCGTTCATAGCCTGGAACTTGTCGCAGTTTCACGAAGCGATACGGATCAAATGTCTCAGGGTCCTCGTAAACCTTCGAATCCCACATCTTGTCATTGGTGATCATCAACCCGGTTCCTTTTGCAATCTTGGATCCGTCATTCAGCTCAATGTCATCCATGGCCATGCGCCGGAACGTAGCTGGCAATTCAATCAGTGTGAGACACGACCCTTGAATGTTCTACTAACCGAGACTCAAAGGTTTCAACCGCTGTGACTCCTTCAGGAAACTGTCCATAAGCCGCAGCTTATACATCGATGTCTTCTCCATTCCATCTTCGCGCAACACCGTTATCATCTCCTCCCTCAGCTCCGAAACCAACGCGTCCTTCCCACAGATATCCAATAAAGCTTTCGTGAGAAAATCAGCGGTGGTAACGATAGCCACCGTGGCAAGTGACAGCTGCATGACTACAGGGTCAAAAGGTCGACCATCTGCAATATCTTCCATCCACTGCAGGGCATTGTCATTAGGCTTTGGAACCCGGCCATATTTTACCGTCATTTCCTTCTCTCGCGCCCGTTGCGCGAGTATTGGCTTCATGATCTCGCGCGCCATCTGAACTTCGTTTCTGAGAGTATTCGTAGAGTTCAAAAGCAGGGCCACAACTGGGCGGACAATCTTGGGCCATAGTTGCAGCTCTGCAGCTCCCTGTATAACAAGCCCAGTGTAGCTCGTCATGACTCGAAGCCAGTCCTCGTTTCGACATAGCTCGTCGCCCAGAAAGATTTTGCACGACATCTGGGCCACAAGCTTTTGGATTGTGGGATATAAAGCGACTTCATGCCAGTCTGTTCTTGTCAGCTTGGATTCTTTATTTTGACAGGAAACGGTCGTTTTACTTGGATCATCTGTCCAGCCATCCTGAAGAGCGACAGAAGCCTCGTCAGAGAGAGGCCCTGTAATTCTTCCTGTCATAAACAAGGAATACGTTGTTAGATGTGTATCTGTCGAAGTTGATTTCCAGGGTTTTGAACTCACCCTGGGCTTGAGTAAGCTTCTTACGAATCACTTCCAAAAATAGATCTCCGTCTTCGCTGAAGGGCTCAAATCCCCGGATATGGGCATGAGTTTCTGCCTGCAGCAGGCGACTAAAGCTCAATGACGGGTGGCTTCGGACTTCATCCAGATATTTTGGAGCCAAAACGAGCCGGATCCCAGTATCGCAAGTTAATCGAAACATATCACACTGGACAAACTTGAAAGTCAGCGGAATATATTCTGTCAGCTTTCTTGACGCGATATGGCTGGGTCACCTTTTCAAATCCCTTCTTTATGAGGCCTTTGGCGTCATTTACGAATCTGATCTTTGCTTGAGAGGCTGTGAGGTCGGACTTATCCGACGGATTGATGAGAGGATACGGAGAGTCGGGCCAAAGAAAATAGTATATCGTCACCGGGCTCAAAAGCAATATTGCAAAAAGGGTGAGAGGATACGGCCGAACAAACAAAGGCAGATTGTCTACGGAGCTCGTCATCGCGTTGAAGTCTGCGTGCGGCCGTGAAGGTCGGTTGAAAGGAATCTTGGGATTAGCGTGCAGTATGTATGAAAAACCACGAATCAGATGTATGAAGTGAGAGCCTTCCACGGGTCTCGTTTTAAGGTTCTCTTTTATATAAATACGACAGGAACGCGAAGAACTCTCTCATCGGCTTAACGGCACGAGATCCTTACATTCGGAGGCTCCCATGAGAGTTCATAGTGGGCTTCGGGCTCATTTCTTGAACTTTGTACGGTGTCACAGAAGAGGGTGTTGTCGGAACTAGTATGACTCGGTAGGCTCCGAGGCGGTGGTAGTTGGTGGTGGTAAGCCTTGGGATCGCAGTTATAACCTTGGAATGACCTGGGTCCACGGGTATATATACCTTCTCATACCTGCCCAGGTGATTAGTTTTCACAGGCGAACTCTCCCGAGGTCTCTATCTGACCAACTGGGAAAATCAGGGAGGACTGGGCATCCTATGAAATTACTAATACCAACGCACGATCATCTACTACAGCCTCCAAAGATCTCTTTGCTAATCATAATTGCTTTATGTATTGGAAAATCGAGGACCTCCGGAATACCCCCAACACCGTGGAAAAATTGACATAAAAGGTCCACGGGTTGCCCGAAAGAAAACACAAAGATTCATGGATGTAGAAGGACTTCGGGACGCCGAAACCTTCACAAGTACCTAGAATCCTCAACAACTCCGATCTCGGGAGGGTCGATGTACAATATTATGCTGTCATGGCCGTCATTGTGTAACACACGAATGTGTAAAAAGCCTCAACTTGGTTATACAATGCAAAAGAAAACCTTGGAATCCACGAGCATCATACGACTCTATAATTCTTTGAAGGCAAAAATGCCAGTCATCTGATTATGGATGCGACGAAGTCAGGTAAAACCCGGATAGATTACATTCCAACAGTTGTTTGCAACCTTAAGGACTGTTTATGTAGACTGACCACAAAACACACCGTCTTGGATGCTAAAGCCTGCACTTGCAAACATACCAACCCACGTAGCATCATCACTAAATAGGAAATTTGAAGCTTCATCAATTTGTTGATTGAAGCCTAGTCCCGATACAGGCTGGCCGTTCGGAGTCGGTTGGATAGGAGGCATAGTCGGGTCATATGGCTGCGACGGGCGATGAAAGTAAGGTGGTTGAACAGACGATGGTTGAGAAGGATGCGAAGGCGGGAATGTTGAGTCTTGGCTTGCTGGGCTGGGCTGTAAGTGGAAGGACCTGACCGAAGAGGTCGGATGGGTATCTATGGTTTGCCCAGCTGGAGATTGAGATTGAATTGTGGCGGGGGAGTCGGGGAATGAGGTAGCTGCCGAGCTTGGGGCGGATGGCCTGTCGATTGGTCGAGGGGCCGATTGTATTGTGAGTGGGCGGGGGCGTCGGATGGTTGAGTACTCCGATAGAATGTTGCTGAGAAACTTGGACTGGAGATTACAGCTTGTGCTGGCAGAGGATTGGGCCGTTAAGACACTTGCTGCGGCGCGGATTGTCGCAAGGGTGTCAGCCTCAATTTCTTGGCTGATGGGAGGCGGGGAAGAAAGCAAGAGCTAGGTCGAAGTCGTCAGCGATAACTCCATTGGAAGACTGGGAAGATATTTGATTCGGGGATCTTACCTTTATGAGGAGAACGGCGGAGTATGCTGTCATGACATGAATTGAATCCTGACAATGACCCAAGAAAGTCGAATACTCAGGCATCAAGCGCAACATAGTCATGGCACTCTGATAGCTAACCCAAAACGGTTTGAGGTCGCAGGTTTCGTCAAAATTGCTTTTCTTCAAAGTTTCTTGCAGCGGAATGGAGAACAATTGTAGGGATTGATGGGCGCCATAAAACCGGATGAGGAAGTTATGGCAGCTCACTGAGTCTGTGACCTCAAGCCATTTTGCTTGCCAACGTTCGATGCGACTTTGCAAAATCGACAACGGGCGAGGAGCCGGATACTGACTTCCCGGGTTTGACAGATCAAACACCTCCGCTGCCAGCAGTCGGAGGGTCACAAAGCTACAGAGAAGCCGGTCATTATCAATTGCTTGTGGATGCATCCACCACGATTGGACCGATTCAATGAAAGGGCTGCGTTCGATCATCCACGGTTTCCCCGTTTGTAGACTCATGCTGGTCGAAATTAGAATCTGGGTTTGCAAATAACCAAGGCCAAGTCTTACCTGCGGTCGTATACAAACAGCACCAGCCAGGTACGTTCATCGTTTCGGATTTCTCTTTGCCGGATGTCGGTCAGATCTTTGGGTGATGTCAGGGTCGTTCCCAGTTTATGCCAGCCAAGATCCATTGACATGCGAATTGCCAGTCCGACGGACATCCAGGCTCTTGTATCGCTTGGCTCTTTCCAATAGGTAAGCACCATGATTGCCTGGATAGTCTCCGCCGATTTATATCCGCGCTGGAACGCCTCCATGAACAGCTTTTCAGCGTGTGCATGGATACTTGGGTACAACGCAGGCTCAAAAGACTTCGAAGCAGCTGTAAGCACAGCAGAAAGTAAAAATGACGACTTTTGTCGCACATATGTTAGCGTATGGAGATGAGGGTCCAATTGACTGATATATGGATTTAACTTGGTCATGAAGCTATGGAAGAATCAGCAATTGAATTTCGCTGCCAGGGTTCTCAGGCTCACTTCTCAAAAAGGCCGACAACTCGCTCGTAGCTCACGAGCCCACACCGAATTGGATCATCGGGCGAGACCCCGTCGGCAGGGCGATCGAATGTCGCCCCATGGTTAGTACTGAGAATATTCTGCAGTGAGAACTTCCCCTTCATCGCCTGGTGGCTCAGGAGGCCATCGGGCTGCAACCCCTCGGACTCAGCCCAGAAGTCTGAGACGCGTTCATCGCGCGAATTGGGCCGCACTTCAGATCGCTCGGGGATCGCATCCTGCATATGCGAGTCGAGCGACCGTTTAGAACTGGCTTTGACCAATCTGGGTTTTCTTCCCGTGAGCGGACGATCTCAGCTGTGCGACCGGGGGAACACCTACCGTGTGCCGGGCTTTCTGCCACGACGATGCTCGCGGAAAGCGCAGTCTATTGATTTTCGCACGCAGCGATCACACTTGACGGGATCTATCGTCATGGTGCATTTCATCTTGACGCGACGGCAAGCCAAGCAGGCATTGGCGCTGTTTCATCAGCAGGGGTGTCACCCCAGAGGCGTTCGGAAGGCTTACCTGGCCTTGGGGGCCGTGGACCCATCCGGCGACATGGTTGTGTAGAGAGATCTTGCAAGGTGGACCAGCGAAGTCACTCCACGTCCCCCGAGATCAACCGGGACCCGACTGCCCGAGGGGAGCTTCTTCTGGGGGGCGCACTGCTTTCCTATTCGGGCATCGTTCGCGCCGATCATTTCCCGATTGCCCGACGGGTTCAGCCGGCATTTTAACTCGGGTTGAAACGCCGGTCACCACCTCGTGCGCTTCTGACGCAAGCCAAATTTCCTGAAACGGCCCAGAAGTCGCCGGCCGGTGAACCTTTTTTGGGTTTCTTGCAGGGGTCAACTATGAGGTTGAAAATATCTTTAATCGGGTTCAGAGAGTCTCTCTTTCAAACGGCGGGAAACGGGTATATCGAAACTCATATTCGAAATTCCAAGTATGGCTCCCTCTAAGCCAAAGGCCGGTCATGTCAATATGATGGCGGATACCAACATCGCCAACCTGCCCATCGAAGGACTGCGGGCAGTCATGCGTGGGATTCTGGCTAATAGACCTGACTGCACGCCCGTGTTTGAGGAGCAGACAAGACAGTATCTGGGAGAAACGGCGTCTCGTTTCTCGAATATCACCGTGATTGATCAGGCAGCAGATGGATCATTCCAAACGACAGGTGCCTTCCAGCAACTGCGAAAACGCGTTTGCTGTATGGTAGGATGTGGAATGTGCTACCAGGCCCTGCCTCTCCTGCAAGAAATTGTTGACCAGGTCTCGCAAATTAAGCTCGGGACTGGCCAGTCGGCTATTGTGGACCAGATTGCGGGTGTGGATGGGGACATAATCCAGGCCATCACCGCCGTTCAAAAGACCCTCTTTGTGGAGTCAGGGTCTCGAGATCTGTCTGAAACTGAAAGAGTTCCCTTGGAGGCGTTGTTGAAATCTCTTACCGCTTGCAAGGCTGCTTGGGAACAGAACTCATTACCCTTCGTGCTAGAAAGAGGTCTCGAAGCCACCATCGATCTGGTTAACCCTGCTCTTTCAGCTGCCCCATCCATCAATGAGTCTTTCTCGGAGAAGGCTCCGCGTGCCATCTCGGAGACCTTCCAGATGGCAAACGTTCAACTTCCCCGCGTCTTCTCCGGTCTGTGGCAGTTGTCCAGCCCTGCGTGGGGAATCGCACCCCGGTCCAAGATCATGCAGCAGTTCTCAAAGCATGTGGAGAGTGGTCTGACTGCGTTCGACATGGCCGACCACTATGGTGACGCAGAGATTTTGTTTGTGAGTTGCCCCCAACCGACTTTCAACATATATTCCTTACTGACTCCACAACCTAAAGGGCCAATACCGATCTTCAAGCGCATTCTCCGATTCCCTCTTCGCCGCAACCAAATACTGCGTCTTCCACCCCATGACCGTTACCGCCGACGCTATCCGCTCGAAAGTTGATGAGCGTTGCCAAAGACTACGCACCGACAAGATCGACCTGTTGCAATTCCACTGGCAATTCGTGAGTTGCATTCTGGTACTTGCCATGCCTATGGTCTATCGCTAATCCGATATATAGTACAACGACCCCCAGTACATTGACGCTTTGAAATATCTGCAGCAAGATAGCCGAATCCAGCATCTTGGTCTCTGCAACTTCGATACTGAGCATATGCAGAAGGCAATCGAAAGTGGAGTCAAGGTCTACACTAACCAAGTCCAGGTACGTTCATCCCCACTCTCTGCATAACATAGGCTAACGAACGATCCAAGTTCTCCCTCATCGACTCAAGACCAACAGTCAAGATGGTCGAGTTCTGCGACAAGCACGACATCAAGCTCCTTACCTACGGCACTCTGGTAAGTGAACGAAAATCCTCTGCATCAAAAAGCGAAACTAATCATACCAGCTCGGTGGATTGCTCGCAGAAAGGTGGGTCGGCCAAGCGGCGCCGGACCTGTACGCCGAGACCATGACCCCCAGTCTTCGCAAGGTGAGACAATTCAAGCCTGCAACGTAATCGAATACTAATCTGATGATCTCGCAGTACTTCGCCATGATCCAGAACTGGGGTGGTTGGGATCTATTCCAAGAGCTCCTCCGCACTTTGCAGAGCATTGGCCGCAAACACAATGTCTCCGTTTCCAACGTCGCCACGCGATGGGTTCTGGACTTCAAGTGTGTTGGAGCTGTGATCGTGGGTGCGCGCATGGGCGTCAGCGAGCAATCTGAGGAGAACCTCGCCAGTCTGGGCTGGTCACTCGATGCCGAGGACCAGGGATTGATCCAGGCGATTTTGGACCGCAGTTCCAGGGCTGAGATGTTTGAAAGTCTTGGTGACTGTGGAGGTGAATATCGATGATTGATGATTGACGATTACATTTCTATTATGGTTTATGCGCGTTAAATACAAATAGATACAAAGTGCACTCTATATGTTTGGGTGGATATGTGCAGTGGCTCCATCTTTAGATCCAGTGGAGTGTACGTCTCCACCAGGACCAGCCCATTTGGTCTGAGGTGAGATAGAGACCTTGGGCTTTTTCCTTTTCGATTTGTTCGAACTCGCCGCGGATGTCGATCTCATCCAGGGGAACGACCTTCGATTTGAGGAAGAATTTGAAGAATATGTATAGTCCTGTCTTGCCGTTAGCGCTGCCGGGTTATTGAGGTATGGGTACATACCGGCGAAGATCGCGATGTTCAGGTACGAGGTGAGGAATCCAGATGCGGTGAAATTGTTCTTGGTGAAAACATCGAATCCAGAAGTTAGGACGATCATTACGACCATGAACAAACTGGCCCACGCGGTGTAGGGCTGCCAAGGTGTGCGATATGGAAGCTCTGGTATAGTGATCAGCATCAATCAATTTACACGGCGATCTGGAACATACCATCTCGTGAATACCCCTGCCTTTTCAAGCACGCGTAGAACCGCAAGTAAGTACCCGCAATGACGATCCATCCAATGAGACCAGCGACCGTAGTGATATTGACAAACCAGGAGAAGACGATGGCCGCACTGCTCCCCAGACTCATGTACATCAGTGGCAACAGAAGCACAGTCAGGCCCACAGCATAGTACGGAGTTCCAAAGCGGTTGCATCGCTGGAAGAACTTGGGCGCATGGCCGTCCTGGCTCAGGCCGTACAGGGTGCGTGATGCAATGAAAATACAGCTAGAACTGCCACTGATGGCAGAAGTACAGACGACCGCGTTGATAATATGCGGAACGACTGAGACGCCAGACCGCACGAATGCAATCACGAAGGGCGATTGGGTTGCTGTGCCGGTTGAAATGGTGAGGTCCTTATCGTTAGAGGGCCTGAAATGCGGTTAGATTTTCAGATCTTGTTGGCTGCTTGGAATGGGTCTTACACGATGAGTCCGACGATAAAGATACTGACGACATAGAAGAAGAAGATGCGAATGAATGTCTTCCTTGTAGCATCGGGAATGATCTTGCGCGGATTCTGAGTCTCGGCGCCTGCAATGGCCACAACTTGGATATTACCGAAACTGAAGGCTGATGTCAACAGGACTTTCCAGAATGCGAGGAACCTTCCCGCAGAGCCTGTGTCGATGAATTCGTTGAAAGCGCCAGGGTCTTTCCAATAGTGGAACCCGAGACGCTCCTGGCCTGGGGTACCACCAAGGTCAATGACGATACCGCCGATGATAAGACCAATGATGAGCATGATCTTGAGGGATGCAAAGATGACCTCCGACTGAGACAATTGTTAGGCATGGACACTGAATGATGTCCCAGGGGTCCGCTTTCAGATACTCACCTCTCCATAGAGTTTAACATTGCAAAAGTTGAGTGCAGTGATGAAGACACCGAAGACAGTGATCCAAACCGCAGGACTGACAGATGCGTTCCAAAACTGAACAATAGTAGCAGCAGCCGTAATCTCTGTCGGCGCTGAAATAGCCATGGTATACCCTGCGCCAAGATTAGTGCTCAGCTCACACGAAGCAACATGAGCCATAGGATCTCAGCACATACAGAAATTCCAACCTGTAGCCGCACCAAGTGCAGGCTCCACGAATCTCGTCGCATGACGGACGAAACCACCACTGCACGGCATGAAAGAGGAGATCTCACCGGTAGTGTATGCGATACCACCAGTGACGAAGCCCATGACAATATAGGCCAAGAAAGCGCCCGCAGGCCCAGCAATGGCAATGACTTGCCCAGAGCTCAGAAACAGGCCGGTTCCCTGTGACAGTCAGCGCGCCGATCCACGCGTCGATCGAACAGATCAGAACTTACAATCATTCCTGCGATGGCGATCATGTTGATATGCCTCGATTTGAGATCACGTTTGATCTCCTCCCCTCCATCGTCGAGGAACTATAGGGTCTCTCGACGTCGCTCGCCGTGCTGCCATTCTTCTCGTCCTTGGCGAACGCCATGATAGCGCGCTCAGGGCAGTGTAGTATGTAACAAATGGTCAATCATACAATATACAATATCCCAGTGCGGAGATATATAGTCTTCAGCCACCAGAGTGCTTATGTGCTCGTCAGCTCGTCAGCTTAGGTGGAGAGAAACACGGGGCAGCAAAATCGGGAGGTGGCGATCGCGGAGCTGGAACGCCGAGACTGAGTTGCCGGCTAACTTTGCTAGCCGATGCAACTCCCCATAAAAAAGAGGTTCGACCGCTGAATATTGAGTCGCGTTTTTAATTTACTTCACAGATTCTCTGCTCCGATGGATGCGTTCCAGCTGTACGATCTCCGCGTCGAAGTGGTCTGTCCCCCGGGCAAACGCATTATGTGCGGAGCCAAGGAGGGGGATTACTTCACGCTGAAGGGCGAAATGATGTACCTGCCTCCCGGCCAGGGGATCAGCATCTACAGTCTCGGTACGTTTGGACCTTCCGAGAGCTCCGAGATACTCTCTACAAGTATAAACTGACACCCGCGCAGCTTCTGTTCTGCCCCTGTTGGCCTCGAAACAGCGAATGACTCACGAAAATGACTGGATGACCACCGACGCCAGTATCGCGTGTCCAGATCCTCACTGTCCTTCGCAGTTGAAGATCATTCGGACTGGAATCTCCACTTTCAATCATTCCGACACTACTGTGGTTCCCAAGTCTTGAGGATCACCGAAGCTTTTCGATTTTCTCTCACCAAGCAACCTCACGGCACGGGGATTTTTGGAATTTCGCTCGACATCGTCGGCTCAAATGCCTCGCGCATGGAATTGCTCATCAATCTCTTGATGTGGTGAGCCCACACGTGGTCGCGACAGGGGTTAATACACTAGTGGCCCGCGAGTGTGCTCAAACCCCCCAAAGAACCAGTTATCCGGCCAATAGTAGACGCGACTTTCCGCCACCTATCGCTGACAATATTATTGTGCCTTGTGTTTGCGTACTTTTGTTCCGCTAAAATCTGCATGAGCCCGTGAGGAGTATCGAGTAAATCACAGTTGCGACAGTCGATCCAGTGAAAAATCCAAGGTCGACTTGGAATACTCCGTATATCTGATGTGGATTATGAAAAGCTCGCAAAGCCGTGACAAGAGATTGCGGGACGTGTTTTGGCATTTCGCTCGAGCGACACAGCTATTTGTACCCCGTATCAAGAAATATTCATGGATCTTGGGTCGTTGGCGGCCATACCCCCAGGAAAGGATGTGTTGAGTCCACCGACCGTTCCTGGGGAAAGGTATTGATCGTCATTGGTCTGTGTCGCGAGATTTGATTCCAATTTGACCCCAAGAACCAAGCCATATTCTAGTTAAGAGGTCTCTCCAAGTTGGCATTGCCAACCAGTGATCGTCGATCTTCCACCCCACTAATAGGTAGGCGATTACCCGGCGCAAAGCTTTGGTGAGGTCTCGAATGCTCCAAGCCAAGTATCATCGCCTATCGTATGTTCTTTATTATCTTGATCGATTGCAGTGCTGAGTCTTGTAGCATGAGAGGGAGTGCAAAGGGAGTGGAGTGGAGTGTTTCGGTCGTTCCCGATCCGCAAGACACCTGGGAGGGCGATTAAGCCGCATTGCGGGCCCCCGGGGCAGGCCGATTTACAAACACTGGAGGGTTATCATACAATATAGCCAAATACCAAAGTGCAGTGAAATGATTGATGGACGTATATTTTAGTTAAGATGCAACCTTTTAGCATTTCACAAAGTGCGAATTGTGCTTTCTATCCCAAGAATTAATTAAAACAGCGTCTATGTTATAGTCTGAATCAAGCCCAGAAAGCCTTCTGCAGGGCATCGCACATAAGAGTAATACATCTCTTTCCCTCCGATAGAGCCCCATCCATAGCAAGGAACGGATGCGGCATGCCCTTCATGACCTGCAAATCAACGGGCACACCAGCCTTCTCCAACTTCTCCGCATATTGTTCACCTTCCGTGCGCAACACGTCCAATTCTCCGACCATAACTAGCGCCGAAGGCAACTGCGAGTAATCGCCCTTCCAAAACAGCGGACTAGACTCAGGGTTGGTGCGGTCGGCATCGTTGGGCACGTAGTGATCCCGGTACCAGTACATTTTGCGCGCGGGGAGTGCGGGGGTGTGCTCATACCGCCTATAGGATTCATTGTTCTCGACCGTGGCCGTGTTATCGGTGACGGGGACAGACAGCAACTGGGCACGGAACCGAACAGGCGGTGACAGGGTTAGTGCCTTTTGCGTCATAATCGAAGCAAGGTTGCCGCCGGCGGAGGACCCGCCGGTTGCCAGTTTGGATACGTCTACTGATAGCGCGGCGGGGCCATCAGCGACCAGCCATAGGAGTGCTTCCCAGCTATCGTGTACGGCGGCGGGCCAGCGATTCTCGGGTGCAAGTCTGGATGAAGCTCAATTAGGTTTGGGGTATGGCGTGACTTGATGCAAGTTGGGCTTACCGGTAGTCGACAGTAATCACGACGCAGTTGCCCCGAACACAGAGATTCGAGCACACCACATTCTCGGTGTCGATATTTCCGAGCACCCAGCCACCACCGTGGAAGTATAGCATCACAGGCCATCCATTTGGTGGTGCATGGCCTTTGGGAGTGAAAGCCCGGATGGGCACTGCAGGGCCCTCGGTCGCGCGTCGCTGGACGGTGATGTCTTGAATCTTGCCAACCTCTAACATGGGACCCGCGCCAGGAATCAAAACACCACTTGTGCGCGAGGCCTCCACGGGTTGGAGATGGACTTGTTGGTTATTGATGACATGCTCGTTGTAGAAATCGACGTACTCCGGGTCCAACAGGTCCTTGACGGACTCGTGGAGAGGGTACGGAGGCTTTGTAATACCGGCAGTCATATTGAATAGAGAAATTGGGGTCCAGGGAGAGTTAGACGAGCAGGAGTTCTGGTCTCTAATAACATTTCGACCCCCACGAAAGCAGTGGGGGTCGACAATGCGGGGGAGGAGCCGATAAGCTGATAACAGCCCCGATGCGGAGAAGATCGGCAGGACTGTTGCAATGACCCGCGCGTGTCTCCATCGTGTCTCCATCACGTCTCCATTTATGCCCCCAATATGGTCCATTTTGGTCCAGTTATTCCCCATTGAGCTCGCTGACAGCCGACCCGACTGAACATCGTCGCTACCGTACCACCCGTTACGTTTCAGCCGACGTGGGATGAACCGGATGTCGGGTTGATAAAGAGCGCGTCTTCCCCCGCGCAAGGGGGAAAGACAATCCCAGTTTTTGTTCTCCATTCAATTCAATTCATCCCATTTCCCATCATGTCCACCAAGACCCCCGTCCTCACCGACAAGGCCCCCAAGCCCCTCCCTGGCATCTACTCCCAGGCCATTGTCGCCAATGGTGTCGTATACTGCTCCGGCGCTGTCCCTATGGACGCTGCCACTGGCAAGCTGATCGACGGAGATGTCAAGGCCCACACTGTAAGATTGGAATATACTCATAGTTCTGCCCAATTTGTTCTGAGCTAACCTTATCAAATAGCACCAATGCATCAAGAACCTGACCCACATCCTCGAAGAGGCCGGTACCGATATCACAAAGGTCGTCAAGGTCAATGTCTTCCTGTCTAACATGGATGACTTTGCCGAGATGAACTCCGTGTACATGCAATACTGGGGCGATGTCAAGCCCTGCCGAACGTGAGTCTACCCCATTTTCTATCTTTTTCTTTTCAATTCTGCCCGATTTTGTTTCTTGTTATCCCGGAGTTCGGCTTTCTGAAGTACATGAGCATATGCATGTGCATATGTGACGCATTCGGGATCTGATTTGCTGACGAAATTTGCAGCTGTGTTGCGGTCAAGACCCTCCCTCTTAACACCGATGTTGAGATCGAGTGCATTGCCGTCCTTTAAACTGGCACCATATAGAGTCCATATAGAGAAAGAATCCAACATGATTTTATGACTGATCTTTAGGCGCTAGCTCCCTTTTCCTTTCTTTTAGACTGTCTTCATTTCGCTTTCGCCTCCCTTCCCCTGACGCGGATACTGTCGAATAGTAATGGACGCCGTCCAAGCCAGATTGCGACATTCTCAGACCACTTCCCTTACTAGGCTGGATCTCTCCTGTGCTGCTCATGGAGTCATCACAGGGAGTTTGTGCCGGAGCACAAATTTACAAACAAACCTGTCTACGCGCGAGGATAAGGAATCCCAACCCGAGTCAACCCCAATAGTAGGGATTTGTTGATGTTGAAATTACGTCCAAAACCACGCGTTTCTATGATGGCAGCACTTACAGCCAATCAGTCATCTGAAACACTTGTTGCATTGCCCAAAGCGTCGCGTAATCTATGGATCTATCAGTTCAGATCTATAGATCGAGCATTGTCAACAACACGCGTGATTACCTATCCGCTGCCTCATGACCTGAGGAGGGCATTCTTCGCTCATCAGACACACTTCATTCAGGTGCCTGTCAAATACGTCAGAATGCTAGGGATCCAGGTGGAAGGCTAAGTCTTTGTCCTTACAGGTGAACCCCTCGTATCACGTGGGTTTGAAATTTGGCAAGTCGTTGAATTAACAGCCAAATGAGTTAATCAAGATGGGTTCGAACCAATGTGCAACGAGTATCGCATTCAAATAACATTCAAATAGTATTGCAGCACTTGTGATCGTGGTTGGGAAGGTGAACGTTGACGACGTCATCGAGGGATCCAGGGCTGCGGTTAACCGCACCGCACCTCCTTGACTAACAAGGTCACCCACCAAAGGCAGCCCTTCAACGCACGGAGAATCGCCAATTCCTAGAAAACAAAATGAGCCTCATGCCTTCCCTTTCAGGGACTGAGACCATGAGAAGCTGCCTGAAGACTGATTTGCAGGGATAGGGCGAACACACCCATCCCTACCCAAAGTCCGTAGCATTCCAACAGATCAAGCCAAGATGGGCCACTTCGAGGATGGGATCTTCCTCGAGGCCTTGGATTCCTTCCATGACCGCCCCTCGGGTGCTACATTCCACCCCTCCACGCTTTATTCGCGTCGACGCGCTCTAGGGCCATAAACCCTCCATTAAATTCCCCTTTTAGTCCTGCGACACTCTCACCACCAGACTTATAGTGCTCTTGACGCGCCATCCATGACCGCTTAGTGTGACTGTAACTGGGTTGGATTTGGACCCGGCGATTCTATTACGCCTGTCCTTTGCTTGCTATTTCGCAGTCTTTCCCAGCTTCAGCATCAGAGACGACTTTGACAAGGCGATCGATAATCTGCCTTGTCTGTCATCGAGTCTTGTATCGCAGTCATGACGTCCGGCGTGTTAGGTGCGCCTCGAAGGGAGGGTACTTGGACGAAATTGGTGATCTTCATCGCGCTATATGTGCTGCTTCTACAGTCCATCTTGGAATCAGTCCTTGTGCTCTACCTGTACGGCAATGGACAGGTTGATTCCAAGATGACTCTGAGCGTCGTGCTCGCCCTGGTCGCCGTACGTCTCTACCATTGCTAATTCTTTTTATTTCTGCTAATCCTCTGTCTAGTCGTTCTTCTCGCTACCCCTTGTCGGTCTCCAGAGTCTGGTCGCATGGCAGTACAACAATATCGGTGGTTTTGGAACCCAAAAGACCGTATTGCACAACATCTGCACCTATGTCTTGCGCTTGGATCTCATGCTTTGGCTCGCAACCAGTGTGGCGGGTCTGGTGGTCGCTGCACAGCAGGTGTACTGCCTACCCGCAGGAACAGATGCGAGTTTTTGGAGAGTTGGAACAAGCTGTGCCTTCCACCGAGCATCTGTCATTGTTGCGGTCACCTCAATGTATGCTCCAGTCTCAGTCCAGAATCTCCCTTTGCTCTAGCTAACGATTTTCTCTCAGGGTCACTATGTGTGTCATGTACTGTGCGAGAGAATTTTGCGATCGTCCGTATGATGTCTCGCTCCTCGGAATCTACAGGCGCCGGGAGATCCTCCGCAATGGCAGCATCAATTCTGGGAACAGCTGGGACAGTGAGGAAACACTGAAGAACGAAATCATCTACCTGTGTCGCCAACATGACGGGAATGGAACTGGCGACTTCTGGTCCGTCGACCCGATTGCCAACAAAGTCAACTGCCATCCCAGTATCCGACACCCTGCACCTGTTCGTCTACGACCCCAACTGCGAGTCAACACCGACCCTGGTTCAACATATGGAGAGATCGTATCTGGAACCAGCATCTCGCCGGATGAGAACCCGCATCGTGTCTCTCCTGGATCACAAAGCCTGAAAAGCGAATTCTATCCCATCTCGAGAACTTCTACAGTGATGACCACACAGACTGCAAACGAACTGCGTGCTCTTCTCTCAGATGCGCCTGTTCCCAAGATCCCTGCCATTCCCAAGAAGTACGCCAGTCACAGTCGTGGGAAGTCCTCACTGTCTTCTATCAGACGAATGCTTCCCAAATCCTTCCCATTGTCGCTTTCATTATCAGACGACCCTCAGATCCGCGCTCTCGCCGACCCCAACGCAGCCTCGGACGTCGAAAAACAGGTCGTCACACCCAACAGCATGCCCCAAGGAATCTCCCAATCTCCAACCTACCAGCTTGGTGCCACCAACACCCCCAACACCTCCACAGTAACCCTACCGCAACCCAACAACCCCAGCCCCGTGCGACCAGGTCACACCCGAACAACGACAACAAACTCTGCCGACGCTCCAGAAGTCGTCCCTGAATTCGAAATGCATCGTTCTCAGACCACCAACGCCGCACCCGCCCGCTCAATCCACCACCCCCACCATCCAAACTACACCAGCGGTCCTCCACCACGCGCATACTCGCAGTCCTCCCGCAACGGGAATCTGCAAGTGCGGTCCGTCCAAAACGCCCACCCGCAACGCAGCACAACCTTCCACTTCGACCCGTCTCACGCCCCACGCCAAAACCAACACTACCAGCACCCCCAAAGCCAAAGCCAGTACTTCCCGCCCACGAACCGCTGGCCCAGCCAGCGACGCTTCGATAATCGTTCGGCGCCCCGTCGCAATGATGTCGAAATCATTTACCCGAACGGAAAGCGCTCTCGCAGCAGCACGCATGGCGCAAGTGGTCCGCTAAGCTGTATCTATGAGACGGCGTCGAACCCGCGCACTTCACTCGATGACACGAGGCCTGTTTCGGCGGTTTCGGGTGTTTTCTCTGAGTTGCCGTCGAGTCCGTCGCATGTTGTTTCTCCTGTGACTCAGCGTGGTGCGAACCGTGCCAGCTTGAGCTTCTATTGAGATGCTTGCTTTAGTAATTGGATCTGTCTGCTGGTCGGATGAGGTTTGTGCTTTTTTTGTTACTTTAATACTATATGTGTTTTTGGATAGTCTCCTCCGGTATACGAGGCCGGGGTTGGGGTGGATGTTGAAAGTCGTGGGAACTTGTTTAAGAATCGTGTTATAGCTAGTTTTTAGTTACTTATACCAAATCAAATACCATCCAGATTCAACTTCAGCAATGCAAAGCAACCTTGGAAAGCAATGCAGAAATTGGAGACTGCTTGGATAGACTACTTATGGTTGGAGAAGTTGGGATTAAACCAAAGGTTAAACGTGGTATTGAATTAGCTTGAAAAGACAACATTCGCCAGAAGGCGTTCAATAGACTGGCAGGTTCGCACATCCTGAACACCAAACACCGCTAAGATGAAATGAAAACGCCAGGAGGGCCCATCATACATAAGACAAAAAAGACGAAAGACAGACACTAAGCCTTTGACTCGCTCTTCGGCTTCTTCGTGGCATACTTGTAACGATAAGCCTGCCCACTCTTCTCACTGCGCCGGTTCTCTTTATCTGTTACACCAGGACCACGGCCCATCTCTTTCTCGCCCCAACTCATCATCAGAGCCTTTGCCATGCGATCCCGTTCCTTGAGAAGTAGATCGATACGGCGTTCCCATTCACGTTCACGTTTATCGACGGAGAGGGCAATGCGCTGGTCGACAGCCGCGGCAGTTTCTTCTTTCGCGGCGAGAATAGCTTCCAGGCGTCTGAGTTCGGTTTTGAAAGATTTCTTGAGCTGGGATTCTGAGGTTGCGGATGTAGAGCGAAGGGTTGCGAGTTCATCGCGGAGGGTAGATTCGCGTTCCTCGGCGGTTGTAAGTAGGTGGCGGATCTTGCGCATGGATTCTGCGTGCGAAGCGCGCAGGGTGGAGACTGCGGTTGAGTGCGCGGTTTGGAGACTACGCAGCTGGGTTTGGTGGTTTGCTTCAAGGAGTGCTGTGGGATCTGGGCCACGGGCGGTTGGGGGTGATGAGGGCGGGCTTGGTGGTTGCAGGATCTTGTCTTCCTGAAGCCGAGCAATTGTTTCAAGTGACTCGGCGTGCTCTTCCTTTGACTGGATCAAGTCGTGTTGCGACTTGTTGAGAGCTGTTGTCAACTCGGTCACTCGGGTGGTGAGGCGCGAATTTTCCGTCTCAATGGTCTTGAGTAGAGATTGGGTCTCAGATGTTTGACTGCTCAGGCGGCTCAGTTCAGCTTCGGAAGCCTTCTGTCCCGCGATTGCCGCATTGAGTTCTTGCTGCAGATTGGCAAGCTCGTTGTGCGGGATGGTCACAAGGTTGGACTTGGGTGATTGCGGTGCGGGTTGAGATTCAGGGAACTTTTCTTTCAAGAATGGGGACTGCGGTCCTGATTCTAGGCCCCCGGGACCGGGACCCAAGTCTTTGATCAAGTCAAGAATCTCACTGTAGGTGCTGTGCCCACTGATCGGAAGATCAGCAGCTGCAGCCTTCAGGGCGCTCTCCTGCGCCTCCATGTGGGATTGAACCCGGGTGAGATTGGCTTCCAGCGTCGTATTCTTTTCTTCCAGGGGCTTGTTCCTGGTTTCCAAATCAATGAAACGCTCCTCGAGGACCTGGTAGTTATTGTGGGCTCGCTCTAGCTCGGTCTCCAGTTTTTCATTCTCCAGTCCATAATCATCAATCTGGCCTTGGAGTTGGTCGATCTCAGAATTCTTTTGCTGTAATTGTGTGTCCTTCGATTCGGCGACTTCCTTGAGCTTGGCAAGGGTCTCATCGAGGGTTACATCACGCTTGCGTGCTTGTTCTTGGGAAAGAGCGAGTTGCTGTCGCAGGTGCGTGATTGTCTCCAGACGCTCTTTGTCCATACCACTCTGCGCGTCGCGGTCGTGTAGCTGTTGCTGCATTTGGCGAATCTGCTCATAGAGAGGGTCAAGATCCTTCTCGCTCTTAGATTGGGTCAACAGCTTCTGCAGTTCTTCATTTTGTTCTTGCAGTGATTGGATCTGTTCGCGGGGCACTGCCTCTTCACTTCTTTCAGCCTGTGCTTGCTCAATGAGCTCGTTCTTCCGCTGTAATTCCATCTGAAGGTGACGGATCTGCTCTCCTGCAGAGACTGCCTCAAGAACACGATTGCGATTCTTCTGAAGCTGATCATCTCGTTCCCTCAATGCCTGTTCAAGTTGTGCGACCTGCTGCTGGAGATCCTGCTGCTCGTCTGGTTGGTGGCTCGACACATCGGACAGTTTGCGCATGGAAGGGGATGCTGGGTCAGGGACCTCGTCGTCGTCGGGGAATTCTTCAATGTCCTCTAGGTGGGGGAATCTTTGGGGAGGGCGCTGGGTCGGTGCAAGAGATGCGAGGGGGTTGACATGTCAACGGGCGGGCCAAATTCACTGTACTCTACTGAGTCTGCCTCCTCTTCAATCGCGGGCTGTTTTGACCGCTGGAAAGACCGTCGCACCGATCCGTAATTAACTTCCCCGTCGTCCTCGTTTTCTCCGTCCTCCATGTCGCCCATCAGGTATTTTTCCATATTTGCAGTGAAGTCTTCGGGTCCTCCAACCTCGGATAGCTGGTCGGCCTCCTTATGGAACGGTGGTAAAGTATCCTCATTTCCGTCTATGGCGAAATGACCACTAGGGAAATTACTAAAATCCAATGTGTAATCGGCCAAGCGCGCATCGAGGTCTGAGCCCGAGGGGCTGCCTGGGGTCGGTGGACGTTCCACATGTTCCATATCATTTACAGAGCGGGTGTCTTGGTTGTCATCGCGGCGATTGTTCCGATCGCCTTTCTCTGAGACACGTTCGGTTGCGGGTGTTTGCGCGGTGGCCGGGGTTCCCAGCGGGCTAAGCGGCTGTTGTGGAGGCGACGATGGCATAAACAGAGGGGTCACCAAGGTCGATTGCCCGATCGTATCGTGGGAGGTGGGAAACGGTGAGGTATAGCCCGTGTTGGCCATGATTGCGCACGCGTTGCGGGATGCGCAAAGATCAGGAACGCGACAAGGCCAATGTTGCCGAAGCAGCGACTAGGCACGGTTCAATGATGTTACAGTAGACAGTTGCAGCAAAGAAGTATCGGTCAGATAAAGGGAAGAACAATAGTGTGATTGCGGGAAGACCGAGACAAGAACCTCGCGATGAAATGTATCTTAACACCTCAGGCATCAATGTTTATCTAATTCCCTTTTGGGCCAAGTGGGGATTTTCGACGTTGGAAGCTAATCTTGCGTTTCATCTTGTCGTCTCCAGGGCTGCTATATCTACGCAATATGTGGTAGAGATTGTGGAGGGAAATTTTCAAGAAAGAAAAGCCCTAATCACGCGCATGTCTTCCACTCTTCGAATCCAGGGGGAACAATCGAAGGTTCCGATGACCGGCCACGCTGCTTGGCTTCTAGTTCACTCTCCTCGTGCTCTGCAGCTTTCCTCCGACTCGCTTTCGCCATGCCCTCGGACCAAATTAGCCTGTGCTGGTGGATGTCAGGGATGATCCTTACATGTTTATCAGTTTGGTGCCCCTGAGACTCTCCGCCTCGGGCTTTGCCACCTTTCTTCCCGCCTTTGTGTCCCATGGCCGAAAGCTCGTCGTGAGAACGATTGGCAAAATTACCAGGATTAGGATGGGGTCTATGTGGCAGTACTGTGGCAACACTTCGTTTTGATTCCACATTCAAAACACTTGCCGACCGACACAGTTTGGCCAGCGGGCTGGTCATAACGCGACGACCGCTGAACAAGAACATGGCGTGAAGAAGTCGGAAATCGGGGACTTCACATTCAAGGACGTGTCGCTCTGGAATGGCAACTTTCAGTCATCAAATCCTTCAAGGTATCTTACTCATGAGCATCCTTTCGGTTTATATAGTTCTTTGGGAACAATGTCGCCTCTTTCATCATAGATGGCAATGTGGCTCTTTCCAATTTCACACTACACTGATGTGGCCAGCTAACCAGATACATGGGTTTTTCGTATATCGCTGGAGCAATGATATGACCAAGTTTGATGTCATATCTCAAACCTCATTAGGGATTTGGTTGCCCAGATGTGATACAACTCGAGGAAAATGCAGTGATGATGCCCAGATGGGCTGTAAAGGAACTCAAGGTCGAGGCGTAGTCTGCGACTTGAATGGTTCCTCTGAACTTACCTAGCTCGCTCTCTTCAGATATTGCTTTTGAATTGTGAAGCCCAAAATTCCATCGCAAGTTACTGGGAGCAAGGTCCTCGGCCCGGGAGGCACACGTACTAACCTTGAAATCCATGGAGTAGCAAAACAAGAGCCGCGATTACAAGGCTCATTGATCATTTTCACTGTAAAGATTCCAAAGGCTTACCAGTACAAACTGACAGCCTCAGAAATTGTTGTCAGAAATAATCGACGGGGGTGCTATGTACTCCGCATGTTTACACCAGTTGGTGCCAAAATGCCCAGGTTAGGCTTAGTAACAAAGCAGGTCGGAGTTTATTCTACGTTGCTCAGTCCGAAGCTACTACACTGTGTTGCAGTGATATTTGGCGCATGATTATTTTTTTTTCCCCATAGAATCGTGGAGAGAACGGATGTTTAGTTGATCATCTCCGTCGTTCATGCATTGGGGCCTAGCTTCCAGGGCCCGCAATCACCCCACTCCAATCATCCTCCAACACTCATCTTGAATTCCCACATGTTGGTCTAAAATCTATTGACCAACATGCCACCTATCAGAGGAGGACTCGGCGAGCGCCCGCGGGTGATCTTGTACCACCAAACACTCATTCCGGGAGGGGGCCAATACGTCTCCATGCTGCCATTATTGGAAAACAACACTGGGATCACACATGTAATTCTGGCCGCCGTCCACTTAAACGAACAGCCAGGCGATATCACTCTCAACGATGATCCGCCCGACAGCTCCAAATTCGATCCCTTGTGGGCCGAAGTGCCCCTCATGCAACGGCAAGGCGTCAAAGTGATGGCCATGCTTGGCGGTGCAGCACCAGGCTCCTTCACACGACTCGACGGCAGCCGTGATGAATTTGAGCGGCACTACGCGCCGCTCCTAGCCATGATCCGTCGCCATGGTTTGGATGGCATTGACCTGGATGTTGAGGAAAGCATGTCCCTGCAAGGCGTGATCAATCTGATCGATCGACTCAAGGCCGATCTGGGCGACGCATTCATTATCACATTGGCTCCCGTTGCAGCCGCCCTGTTAGGTATTGGAAACCTGTCCGGGTTCGATTACAGGCAGCTCGAGCAATTCCGTGCTTCCAAGATCAGCTGGTACAATACGCAGTTCTACAATGGCTGGGGCCCAGCTGAGGATCCACGGATGTATGCCACGATGATTGCGCAGGGCTGGTCGCCGCGACGAGTCGTTTATGGTCTGTTGACGAACCCGGGCAATGGCTCCCAGGGGTATGTGTCAGAGGAGAAGATTGGGCCTGTTCTGGCTACGTTGGTAGAGCAATTCCCTAACTTTGGTGGTGTTATGGGTTGGGAGTACTACAATGCTCTTCCTGGGGATACAGCAAAACCCTGGCAATGGGCTACTCAGATGTCCATGAATATGGGAATGAAGGACCTGGTCACCGCAACTCGGGAACTCATGTCGGCTGGGCCGATGGCGAATAGCCTCAATAATTTGCTTCAAGATATGATCAACCAGGGTCGGCGATGAGTGTACATATTATTTAAGGGACTTATGCACATAAAAAGCCGAGATGTGAAGTTTGTGGCTTTGTTGTCATTGTTTGCCAAGAATTGCTTGGAGCTGTCAGGCTACGTCATAGTCCAAGAACAACATCTGCACATCCTCCGCCTTTCTGTCCTCAGTGAGCGACAAGGCCGTTCGCTAGTTTCCATTGCTTAGCATGTGCTGATCGTCATCATATTCATCATTATTGGTCAATACCGTGCCATGGTCTCTTTGCAGCGCATCGTCGCAGCCACTAGCTCGGCAGCCATCCGGCTAGGAGCATTTGTGTTTCTAAGATGGGTTGGTGCCTAGATGAATTTGAACCACTGTGAACATGACACTGATGATATCCTAGCTACCTGGTCATAATTTTGTTCCCCTAGTGCTAAGCTCTCTGGTGGTGTATTTGACCTCAATCACTTCTTTGGTATATGGCACCGAGACCCCTGGGCGTCAGACCAACAAATCACGGGCCAAACCTTATGACAGTGAGTGAAACACGACTTTATTGACAGCTTGGGTGGTCATAGATTCTGACTGTCACTCGCATAGGCCGAGGAACAATACCTAGGACCCGAACCGGAGACTCCGTGTTCAAGACCCTATTCGGGGGCCTACCCCACGCAGGTTCAAGATTTCTGACATGGACAACTATTTTGATCAACATTGTTCTGTCACTATTGACCGTCGACTTTCTGGCTCGTGACTTTGTGCTCCATCCTACTGAGAATGTCTCGTTCTCTCGTATCGGATATGTCTCCCCAACTACGGCTAATTTGGTCTTCCGTGAGCCAGACACAGCACACCTGCCTGTGACTATCAAGTATCAAGACCTCACAACCAATACTGGGGACTGGCACGAAGAAGGAATCATTTATCAGTTGAACAACAGCACCGACTTCACAGTTGCAGTGACTATCAATAACTTGAAGCCCTCAACTCAATACCGTTATTCGCTGTCCAACAACAAATCTGGCACATTTATAACCTCACCAAAGCCCAAGTCACCTGAGGCTAGTCGACTCTCGTTTGTCACTTCTAGCTGCTTGAAGCCAAACTTCCCGTACAACATTCTTTCGCACCCGTTGCGGGTGCCAGGCATTGAGCAAATGACCGATGTTCTCGCGAAGCTGCCCGAGGTACTCCGTCCAGCATTCATGCTGTTTCTGGGTGACTTCATATACATCGATGTACCCTACCGACTCGGGTCATCCTTGACCCACTACCGCAGCGAATACCGGAGAATCTACTCCTCCCCTTCATGGAACTATGGCCCAGAAAACAATCGGGCCATCGACCTCCCTTGGCTGCACACGCTCGATGATCACGAAATCGAGAATGACTGGTCTCAGGGAAACAAGACATCGCCCTACCCAGAAGCTGCAGACCCATTCGTTCACTACCATGTGTCAGGCAACCCGCCAATCCCAGAGACATCATTCGCCCACCCTGACAACGTGACCTACTTCTCCTTCACCAATGGACCAGCCTCATTTTTCATGCTGGACACACGAACCTATCGCACAGAGCCAGCACAAGAGGACTCTACGATCCTCGGACATGCCCAGCTGCAGTCCTTGCTTACCTACATCTCAACCCCAGAACAGCCAGGTGTCCACTGGAAGATAATCTCTTCCAGCGTCCCATTCACCAAGAACTGGCACGTCGGCACAACTGATACATGGGGTGGATTCCTCAACGAGCGCCGCACCGTCTTTGAAGCAATGTGGCGTGCCGAACGAGACCTCGGCATCCGCATCGTCCTCCTCAGCGGCGACAGACATGAGTTCGGTGCTACACGCTTCCCAGACCCAGCCCTGAACCTTCCGTCCAGCGCTCTGCAGCCAAACACGCCTGGCTTTGGTCTGCATGAGTTCAGCGTTGGCCCACTGAGCATGTTCTACCTCCCCATCCGCACATACCGTCAGACAGACGACGAGGATGTCACGGTGAAGTACGCGCCGCAGGGAAATAGCAAGTTCGGCCTTATTGATATTGTGGACGATGTTGAGGATTCGGATCCGGGTGCTGAGGCGCCGGTCCCTGTTCGCAGCTCCGTGCTTACATATTCGCTTTATGTGGATGGTGAGGCTGTTTGGAAGTACCGGCTGAGCGTTCCATTGGATCGAAATTTGCGATCCAGCGCTACCATGTTGCCACCTGGTCGTGTGCTTGAAGATCAGATTTCGGAGCTGGGTTGGAACGTTGCTCTTGGAGCCGCTGTTGGGCGGGTGCCGGATTTGGCAAAATGGGCTCTTGATAGATGCCAGGAAAGACTGGCAGGATATCTACATTAGATATTAGACAGTCGTGTTTGCAGCAAACTCAACGTAAATCAAAATTCCATTTCCAGGATGGTATATATGATAGTGATGAGTTCATTACCATGTTTTGGTCTCATGTACAATATTGCGCATAATGCGAAGAGCAAAAGTAACGCCAAACACCAGCCCAGATGCTAAGTTGATGAGCCAGTGGTTCGAAGAAATAACAAGCAAGAAAACATCAAGGATTGAACTTAACGTCCTCCTCGGCCGCGTCCGCCGCCGCCGCCCATTCCACCCATCAAGCCGCCCATTTGACTCATGAGACTCTGCATGTCCATGCCGCCCATGTTAGGCATACCACCACCTCCACCACCCATCATCTGCATCATCTTAGCCATGTCGGGCATACCTCCGCCTCCGCCACCACCACCCATGGACTGCATGCGCTTCTGCATGGCAGCCATTTGTTGGTCCTTGTTTCCACCCTTCATCATCTTCTGCGCTTGCTGCATCTGCTTCTTCTGACCGCCAACACGCTTGGCCATGCCGGCCATCATGCGGTGCTGGGAGAGAACATCTTCAACTTCGCGAACAGTGGTTCCACTGCCGTGTGCAATGCGAACCATGCGGCTGGGCTGCTCGACAAAGTTCTTGCCATCGCCATCCAACTCAGCCGTGGTCATACTGTCGAAGATGTAGACCATGCGGCGAAGCTTCAAGGAGCCATCCTCGTCGTCCAGGCCCTGGGTCATGTTTGACAGACCAGGGATCATACCAGAGAGCTTGGACAAGGGACCCATCTTCATGATTGATGTGATGTTTTCACGGAAATCACGCAGAGTGTAGATACCCTCTGCGATATGCTTGTATGTTTCCTTGGCACCGGCAGAGTCCTTGGTCATGGCCTGGACGTGCTCAACCAGTCCAGCGACATCACCCATACCCAAGAGCTTTTGAACGAAGGCACGGGGCTCGAATCTCTCAAGGTCCATCAAATGCTCACCCGTACCAAGGAAGATAATAGGAGTGTGTGTAGCAGCGACGGCAGAAATGGCACCACCACCAGCGGCGTGGCCGTCAGTCTTGGTAATAATGATAGCACCAAAGTTTGCAGTAGCCTTGAAAGCCGAAGACTGAGCTTCAGCAGCCTGACCAATAGTACCATCGAGCACCAGGATCGTCTGGTCTGGCGTGACAGCGTCTTGAATCTGAGTCATCTCTGTGAACAGCTCCTCCTCCTGTCTGTGACGACCACTAGTATCGACAATAATGACATCAAAGCGCTCCTTCTTGAATTTGGCCACACCCTCAGCAGCCACAACGGCAGGATCCGTCTGGGTCAAGCTACCGTAGTATGGAATCTTGGCCTTGGTTGCATTCTGCTTCAGCTGATCGAACGCACCAGCACGGAAAGTATCCGCGCAAACCAGCGCAGTCTTGAATCCACGCGTCTGGTAGTGACGAGCCAGCTTTGTACATGTTGTGGTTTTACCAGCACCCTGCAGACCAACGAACATAATGACATTGGAACGGCCCTTCTTAGGACGGAAGGAATCTGCGTGAGGGTCGACTAATTTGACGAGCTCATCGAAAACGGTCTTCTGAATCAAGCGCTTCTTGTTCACGGCGGCGGGGAGGGAGGCGAAGTTCACACTGGCTTTAATTGATTTGCGCAGCGTACCCACGAGACGGACGTTAACATCGGCAGATAAAAGCGCGGCGCAAATCTCCTTGAGCATATCATCAAAGGCCTAGCTTGGGTTAGCACCAGGCGTTATGAACGCACAGCAAGTAGCATACCTTCTCATCGAGGTTGTTTGACCTCGTCAAGTCATTGACGGCGGAGTTGATTCGCCGCCCCAAATCCTGAAGAACCATGGTGGATATCTGTAGATTGCAAGTGTGACAAAGATAACGAAAGTAAGGACCACCGTAGTAATCTAGAATCCCGCGATGGAGGAGGGGTGGAAGTGCTATCCATCGAAAGACCAGAGAGGCAATGTGGAGGGGCCAATCGGAGAGCGAAATGATCTCACCGCCCCCATACGACCGCCAAAAAAAAAAAGTTGATACGGCTCGTCAAGATCAGCGGATCTTTCTGTTTTACTTCAATTTCCACCACTTTGAAATTCCCTCACAATGCCTCCTGGGTTTTCCAAGAAGCGCAAGGTTCTTGATGGCCTCAAGGGCGAGACCGGCCGCAAGAAGAAGTTCACAAAGCAGCGCTTCTACCACAGCAGCTCCGAAGATGAGGAAGACGACGACAAGTTCAATGCCGTCAGCCTCGGCGACTCCGACGAAGAAGATGGAGGCGTCAAAGTGAAGAAGCCCTCGGCTCTCGATCTCCGCATGAAGAAAGCAAAGGAAGCCAAGGAAGCACCCGCACCGCAACCGAAAAAATCAGATGACAGCGAGTCCGATTCCGCCGACGAAGAAGAGATCGAGCTAGGATCCGACGACCTCGAGGATGATGACGACGACGAAAATGATGCCTCTGGCTCTGACGAAGACGTTTCCGATTCTGCTCCTTCCGAAAAAGGTGCCAACCGTGGCCGCGCCGTCCCCAAGCGCAACGACCCTACCGCATTCTCTACCTCCATCTCCAAGATTCTGTCTACCAAACTCCCTTCATCCGCGCGGGCTGACCCCGTCCTCTCGCGAAGCTCGTATGCCTCCAAACTTGCTGCTGAGGCTGCGGATGATAAGCTCGACAAGGCCGCGCGCGCCAAGATGCGCGCCGAGAAGAAGGAAGAGCTAGACCGTGGTCGAATTCGTGACGTGATGGGTGTCAAGAGAGGACTTGCAGGTCCTGTGGCTGAGGAGGAAAAGCGTGTGCGCAAGATGGCTCAGCGTGGTGTGGTCAAGCTGTTCAATGCCGTGCGCGCAGCTCAAGTCCGCGGTGAGGAAGCCGCCAAGGACGAGCGCAAGAAGGGCACAATTGGTATGGGAGAGCGCGAGAAGGCCGCTAATGAGGTCAGCAAGCAAGGATTCCTTGAGTTGATCAATGGAAAGAAGGGAAAGCCTTTGAACATCGAGGAGGCTTGATTGCTGGATCTACGATTACCCATGGCATGTTTCTGGCGTTTGGAGACTTTCGTGTTATATACTCTTTTCTGCACTGTGATATAAAAAAAGTACTTCTGTGGAAAGTATTGGTTGAATGGTACAGGAGATTTTCATTCGCGATTTCGCGCAAGCTTGCTAGATGCATCATATGAATAGTACAGTACAGAGTCCTCACGTTTGGACCATAGCCCCCGGGCTACCTTGATATGTTGAAGTGGGTCAGGTGAGAGAGACGCAATGTCTCTCCGGGTTTTTCTTTTAGCTGGTTTGATTATTTCGACTCGAAGTCGCTTGCTTGCAAATTCCGGGTCATGGTCGGCAATCGCACGACCAATCCGTCAAGCTCTTTGGTCATGAGGACCTGACAACCCAGCCGAGAGGTCTCGGTGAGTCCGAAGGCCAGGTCCAACATGTCGTTCTCGTCGTCCGAGGGCTCTTCCATTTTATCAAAAGTATCCGGGTCATCGACGATCACATGGCACGTTGAGCAAGCGCAAGATCCTCCGCAGGCACCTGAATGACTTGTCAGTTTTATATCGCACGCTCGTGATTGGCTCAATTCACCTTCCATCTCAAGATCATTTGCCTGGGCAATGTCTAGCAGATTATCACCCTCCGCAACCTGTAAGTCGATCTTGGTGCCATCCTTGTCGATAAAAGTAATGTTGATCCTGCGAATGGTCAGCGCGCACGACAATGACTCAAGCCAGCGCATTCCGAGCTCACTCTTCTCCGGCCTTTGGCGGCGTGATGTGACCGTGTGCGGCTTGCGCAGTAGCAGTGAAAGAACGGGTAGTATTATATCCTTGCCATTGTGGAAGGCTTCGGCGTGCAGTGTTGCGCTGTGTTGTGATTCCGTTGGACCATGTCTTTGAGCTCAGATGTCTCCGCGATTGAGCAAGGATATCGGCGGACTTGGGCACACGGCGCAATTGCAGGCCAACTTCTCTCCAGAAAACCATTTTGAATAGAATCCAATTAAATCAAGTGGAGGATTGGGAGGGAAGCGGGAAAAAAAGAGGATCCGGGGGAAGTTGGGAAGTGAGCAGCGATCGTCCAATGGCCGCGGAGGAAAAAAAAGACCCAAGGCGGCGTCGGACAATTCAACTGCTCCTCCCGTTCTTCATATCCCCGAACTTCACCACCACCATCATGGCGAATCGTGAAGGGATTAATCCCTTGCGGCCCTACTACATCCCTCCCTCTGGCTTATCGCCAGCTTCAAATGCACCTCCCGAAGTGGCGTCCCCGTCATCGGCTCAGGTCTTTGGCAGCACGGCGCGCGACCTCATCCCGGATTTAGACTATGCCGATTATTTGGACGCCTCGCCTTCTGTCTCGGACTGGGTCCGCGATGCCCTGAATGGAGCACTCGTGCGCTATACCAAGGTCTTGACCGCTCAACCATTCGATGTCGCCAAAACTATCCTACAGGTGTATGTTGTGTCCGATGCCGCAGATGAGTGGGATCGGAAGGCCACACCGGAAGCTCAAGGAAGCTCATACGACTCGGTAAGGAACTTGCTCTCAACAGCTTGGATGAAGCTGTGCTGTATCATCTAGTGGATAACTAACCCTGGCTGTGTATAGGAGTCTGAATCATCGGATGACGAAAGTAGCTACTTCACCTCAGCAGCCCCTCCAACACCCACTCCGAGTACGCCTCGATCCCGCAGATCGCGACGTCAAATCACCGACCGGAGTGGCTATCTTCGTCCCGAATCTACGGCCAAGCCCCAGCATGCCTTGACTCTGAAGAACTCCAACAGTCTCACCGAAGTTCTATCCCAACTCTGGGCTTCCAGTGGCCCAACCTCCCTATGGAAGTCCTCCAATGCGACGTTCATCTACTCGCTCCTCCTACCCACCTTGAACACCTTCATTCGAAGCTTGCTGTCGGCTATCGTTGGCTTACCGGAAGATGATATCTCGTCGTCTATGACCGCCGACATTCTCACAGCGTCCTCACCGCTAGCAACGCTGGTCCTCTCGTTCATTTCCTCCTCCCTCTCCGCCCTGATTCTGGCTCCTATCGACACAGCTCGCACCTTCCTGATGCTCACATCCGCAACACATGGCCCGCGGTCCCTAATCCGAGCTATCCGCCAGCTCCCCACCCCCAACTGCACGATCCCCTCGCACCTCGTCCCAATCACTGTGCTCCACTCAAGTCTGCCAAACTTCATAATGACCTCCACCCCACTCTTCTTGAAATCATACTTCTCTATCGACCCTCTTCTCAACCCCAACACCTGGAACCTCTGCACATTCCTCAGCTCCGGCCTCGAACTCGCCGTGCGCTTCCCTCTCGAAACCGTGCTCCGTCGCGCCCAGATCGCCACATACACATCCCTGAGTCTGCGTCAGAAGTCCTCAGCAGGTAGCATTCGCGCCGCATCCATCGATGCCTCGGACGTCGAGACCATCGTCCCTACACCACGCACTTACCGCGGTATCATTGGCACCATGTGGCATGTTGTCTACGAGGAGGGCGTTAGCTCCACTCCTTCCGACTCTGAGCGTGCAAACCAACTCCTCGGCAACCCATCCACCAAGAAGAGCCTCCAGAAGCGACAGCAAGGCCAAGGCATCCAGGGTCTCTACCGCGGTTGGCGCATTGGCATGTGGGGCATTGCTGGTATCTGGGGAGCTAGTCTTCTCGGTGGCGTGGCCGGAGGCAGCGAAGATGAAGTCACGATGAAGGGCGGCCACGGCCGTTCCAGTGGAGGACGCTTCTAATTGAACCCACATCATGGTTTGATCGACACAACCTTGGCAGTAGGTGCACCCCTGGTCACGGAAACCTCATATACAGTTGATAGCCTGGATTGTCATTCTGGGGCATTGGCGTGCTTGCTTTGTTCGCTCTCCTCTCATTTTTGTTTACATTTACCTATACCCTGTCAGATGTGCGAGGGGTAATGGCGATCGGCGTTACTTTGAGTTTTCATGTATAAATCCTTCTCTACACATAGCTCAAGTATGTAACGAGCTCGATGTATGCCGGCGATCTTTTGGCCGGGTATTTAATTTGACGATCGACTATTGCTTCATCAAATCCAATTTAGAATTCCAGGGCTTTGAGGGGCCTGACTAATAGATAAAACACTGAAATTGCAACATCCTCTTGGTGTCCTCGAAGGTCCATGGGTGAACATGACCTCGGGACCTCGGGAGCGCGTGGATATGTTCTTGGCAAATCAGTGGGATTTTCGAGTCCACGACTGGAGACAATTTATTTGTGCATGAGGCTCAAGGCTCAAGGTTCCAAGGTTGAAGCGAATGAAAACTTCTCCAAGTTTTTCACCCGAAGAAGTAGCTTAACCTCTCTGGGAATTCTACATAGTGGTACCAGATTCACATAAATTTGCGTAGTATCGTTTCATTTATGAGTAAAAAAATCATCCACGTTGTACACATAATCCCCGGAAAAGAAAAGAAAACTCCGCTAGATGATCCATCTTAGGAGAAGAGATCGAAATAAAGGGACCACCAAATCGACCACTGACCATGTTCATAGCGGCCAGCCCCTGCACCAAAGGCGAGATCGAGAGAAGAGTGCTTTTGTGTAGCGGAGAGAAGGAATGAGACATGAGAGTATGTAACGCCGCCTCCCGCAACCCGTGGTGTGTTTAGAGACAATCAATGTCAGGGTCATGATACAGAGCAACCGGGGGACATGGGTATCAAAAGAAACCCCTGAAAGGGATCAACGCAAGCAAAACAAGAAAAGAAAGGCCCCCGGCGGCAACACACACTTTATTTTTCCGCGAAGCGCCGATCGAAGTAGCGCAAGACGCCCATGACGCTCGCGGCCTCGACTTCCATGGCAGCGCGACTGTCTGGGGGCGCCAGGTCGCGGGGGTTAGGGAGGGTGTGGAGCTTTGGCAGCCAGGAGGAGATTTCATCGCTTGCGCGGTTGAAGTTTGGGTGGCGGGAGAGAGTTGTGAAGGCGTCAGCGCAGGAGAGGGTTAACTCTGAGGGCGAAGCGGGCTTGGGTGGGGGAGGTTGCGCAGACATGGTGGTGTTCTTACGCGTGGTGGTGGTGGTGGTGGTGGTGGGGGCATTGGACTTGCAGCATCCTCCGTCCTTGCCGCCCCCTCCGCAGCAGCCTCCCGATGGAGTTCCGCTCGCTGACCGGGAGGCTGCCAGCGTCTTGCAAAAAAGGGTGCTTCGGGGGTCGGCAAGACACTGGGCGCAGGTGCCTGGCCCGTTGGCACAGGGGTTGGTTGCTTGGCTGATTGGGGGGAGGGTGACTTCGGAGCGGGCGTCACCCTCGGATGGTGGTGGGGTAAATTGGGAGATGGATTGGATTGGGGCGAGACGGTTGGCTTCAAAGGTACGACTTCGCTGCTGCTCGTGGGCGGCCATCTCGGCGCAGATGCAGGGGGTGCCGTCCTGGCAGAAGCCACAGGGGTCAACGGGTGGCGAGGAGACGTCGTCGTGGGACTGGGCAGGCACACCGGAGAATTGAGCGGTGAAGTCAATTTCCATCTCCTCGGGGTCGGGCTTGATGGCGGGGTCACGGACATCGCGTTCCGGGCTGCCGACGCCGTGAGGTGGATGACGGCTTGCATGGGATGACTCGTGAGTGTCAATTGGCATACCGAATGCATCTTCGATGCACTGGCAGTGAGAGTTAGAGCAGTTGTTGCATCCAAGAGGAACATTTGACTGGCTGTCGTCCTTGTGGTGGTCGACGGTGGTGGGACGAACATCCTCCATGCGGGAGCTTCTAGTCTTGCGAGGTGGCAAGGGCACAGAGTCAGGGATGGGAGTGGCCTTGGTGGTGGCAGGGCCGGAAAGAGAGGATCGGAATTCCTTGACCAGGGCTTCCTTCGCACTGCGCTCAATCGACACCTCTTTCTCCAAGGCGTGGCAGCGGTCGCGCCACCAGCTCATTTCCTCGCGGCACTGGTCAACCTCGCCGGAGAGATTGCCAATCTGCTGCTGGAGGCTAGCCACTTGGATATCATGACTATCTTCGACTTCCTTCATTTGCTCTTCGAGTTCACTGACGCGTGCAGCCCGGCGTTCCCGGAAGGCGCGCTGGGCAGCGCGGTTCTGAGCCTTGCGCTTGGTTGGTGGGGTGTCGGTAGCTGGCTTACGACCCGGCTTAGGGCGGGGTGGAATGACCCATTCCTTGGAGGTGATAGAGCCGGGCGTGCCTGGTCCTGGAGAAGGAGCTACAGAAGCCTTGCAAGCTAGGGCGGGGGCGGGAGCCAAAGCCATAGCAGGATTGGTAGCCATGGCAGAAGTCATGGACACACCAGGGGTGGCCATGGCAAATTGGTGTTCAAGTGCTGCGGTGAGGTCAGTTGGAGATCCCACAGTCGGGCGTGTTCGGGGACGCACGAGCCGTTTCTCGGTCGGAAGAGCGGAAGTGCGCTCATGCGAGCCGATAAGCGAGAAGAGCCAGTAGAAACAAATGAAGTGCTCTTCACAAAACACTAAATGCGTAGGGGTGAGTAAGTGCGACTCGACGATGGATATATCTAAAAGAGAGAGGGAGAAGGGGGGAGGAAACGGGAAAAGAAAAGATGATCAGATTAGATGTGCTCACATGATTCCGGTTTCGGACGCAACTTTCGGTACGTTAACTTAGGAGTCTTTGCCTCGATTATTCTCTGATTTATTCTCTATTTCTCATTGGTGCAGACCTGAAGGGGGATCATGTTGGAAAATTTTTATCTGATCCGACCCCAGGGATGTGGAGATCCGAGCAAGCGTTGGTGGGCTGACGCACTTCTCTCGTTTTCCACTATTTTCTCGCTAACTGCGTTAAAGTGCTACCCTTGGGACTAGCTGTTGGCTCTACAAGTGTTGCATTGGATACTCATATCGGCTTCTGGCCATGCCTTGGAGTACCTGCGTAGATCAATCATGTAATTAGGCACATACATCCTGTATCTCAATGCACAGTCTCCTGCGCTGTACATTGTAGTACTTGTACATAGCTCTTCCCACGCAGCTCACCGTTCACCCGCCTCTATGACTCAATCACTAGGCGGATCAAACTCGTTCCACGGCAAAAATTGCTCGGAGTGGAGCGTCCTGTCCACCGAAGGAAAGGCCACCCAGCCATTACCTAGCAGAAACGACGATTGGGCCAATAATAAAGTGCCAATGCGCCAAAATCCGTTTCCCGAATAGCAGCGGTGAAAGGGCATGGATCGACAGTGGGAATTGGATCCCGTACGTCTTTCCTTCTCGTAGGGCCGTTCTCGGTCTGATCTTATCTGATGGCCCTAAAACTCAAATGCGGCGGTTCACACTGGTGGAATTGATGTTAAATTGGAGAACGGCTTATTTCCCTCCTGACTCTCCTCTCTCTTTTTTGGTTCACACCCTCCCAAGGTTGCTGATTCGACCCATCCCCACCAGGCCAATGGACAGATCCTTATCAATCAGTTCCCGAGCGAGGGCCGAACAACGGAACTTTCGCAAACTTGGCCCGATTGGGATGTGCTCGCGACTTTTCACGGATTCCGTGACGTGAAAATGGAGTATAAGGTGCAAAGTGGAAACGGTGGCCAACAAAACGAGCCGCCGCTATTGGGTGGTTTCCCTCGCCAGTGCGAGCCATCGCGTTTAGAGGTGCTTTTCGGCGGCGATCCGAGGGAAATACCCACTCCATTTGGTCATCTTTTGCATCCTGTCTCAAAGGGGTATGTTGTACGAATGAAATTGACACTGATGTGATTTGCCTCTAAGGAATTGGCTACCTGGTGAAGAAATGATACTCTACTCTATTCCGTACACAGAGGCCATACGCATCCTAGGTGCTGATCTTAATTTGCTGACTTGCAGAAATATGCCTTGCCCTCTCCAGCTGGACACTTTCCCGAGCAATTCCGAACCTATGATCGCATTCCTTCACTAGTTTGAAACGATCCGCTGTTGCCGCAAGGGTCACATAGCACACAGGCGACAAGGTGAATCAAGTGAGCTGTGCTTTGCTAATGCTTTGCTAGGCATTAGTTAGTTGGCCATGCGCTCAAGTAATATCTTGTTGTATCAATATGAAGAACTTCACTGCCAGTACAAAGGAGGCCCCTTCAAGATCAGCTGCGATTGACATGCAGTGATTCGAAATCGAAATCCAGGTATCTCATTAGTTATAATATGGACAACATGGAGCGAAAGACTCGGACAGAAGCACGAATCATACCTAGACAGGAGGTACTTGTACATGTATGCTTTAGTTATCTCTCTTCCCAGATTCATGCCCAGGTGGATGCGGTTTCTCCTCCATGTTCCATGTCCATCCTTGGGACATTTCCTCTCCCCACGACAAGGGCCCGAGATCTGCCTTCAGCTCACTCCCTGTCCTCCCCGCGTCTCTCTCGACCCATTTGACAACCAGCCCGTCGCTATTTATCGCACTCGTTCATAGCACGTCACATAGCCCACGGAGAAAGTCATCTTGTGTGATCAATGACATTCCCCGACCGCCAGCGAACCACCTGATCGACAACACTCCAGGGCTCCAGACGGCTTTCAGCCAGGTGAACTTTCTTGTAGATCATATTCCACAACTACGGCTTTCGGATGAGCTTCAAATTCAATTCAAACCTTTGAACACCTGGGCAGACCCCCGAGTGGCCCCATTGACTGATATTTCAAAGCTGTGCGATGTACTGTCCAGGTGCCATCGAAAATCTTCAAGGTTCTTAAAGCAGATGCTCCAGCCCTGGAGCGTCCTGTAGCCCGAGACTGATAGATCTTGTGAGAGACCGTGCTTGACAGTGAAGACCATCCCGAACCAACTTGGAATATTTTTATGTATGTGCTACCTCCGGAGCAAGACAGCGACTTGCGCAGAATTGAGTCACATGAGCACAACCCTAGAAATACCGTACTCATGAGGATTGGCGATGCAAGACGGAGCTCCTCGTTAAGGCATCTTGGCCATTTTATGACCTTCGCGGCTTCATCCAGACAAAGAGCAGAACGCTACTTTATCATGGGAAACAAATCTGTGCATGGGAATATTCATAACCAGAACTGAAATTGAAATTTCCTGCCGAGATCCTTCATGTTGTCTCAATCAACCACAGGAGCACTAGATGCGGAATGAATATGACAGAGATCAATTAAGACATCTGTTTACTCCGTACGGAGTAGGTGACCCGGGAGATCTGCAGAAGCTGAGGTCACAAGCAAGCAGCCCTGCAGTTATCGCGTCACCGGATGCGATAAGCAAGGGGCAGCGGGCGCCAGCCTCCGCCTTTCCCCTCACTCTCTCCAACTCTCTCTCTTCTCCCCATCTCAAGCTTGCACTCAATAAATTCACTCCATTATGACTAGAAAGCACTCCTCAACTCAAGGCCTCGACATGCCCTGGGCCTCCCAAATGTCCGCCCAGCTCCCCAACCCATTCCAGCCCGTACCTGCAGCTCAGCCCGTCCGAGCTCAGGCACCAACCGCGGACGAGCCCGTCCGACCCGAAGACTACTCAAAGCCATACTGCGAGTTTATGACATCCAACCCTACAATCTTCCACGCCGTCAAATCCTTCTCTAAGCAACTCGAAGACCACGGCTACAAGTACCTCTCCGAACGAGCGGTGTGGACATCAGAGCTCAAGCGCGGCGGAAAGTTCTACACCTCCCGCAACGGTAGCTCTCTGATCGCCTTCAATGTGGGCTCAGAATACGAGAGTGGAAATGGTGTCGCTATCGTCGCCGGCCACGTTGATGCCTTAACAGCCAAGCTGAAGCCTGTTTCCAAGGTTCCCAACAAGGCGGGCTTTGAGCAACTTGGCGTCGCCCCGTATGCTGGTGGCCTCGGTCCTACTTGGTGGGATCGTGACCTTGGCATCGGTGGTCGCGTCCTCGTTCGTGATCCCGAGACCGGAAAGGTCGAGACTAAGTTGGTCAAGCTGGACTGGCCCATTGCCCGCGTGCCTACTCTCGCACCCCACTTTGGTGCTCCTGCAAATGGCCCATTCAACCCGGAGACTCAAATGGTCCCGGTTGTTGGAATTGATAACTCGGATCTTTTCGGCGCTGCTAAGACCGAATCGAGCGGCATTCAGTTTGGCAAGTTTGCTTCAACCCAGCCCGAGAAGCTTGTGAAGATAATTTCCAAGGAGCTCGGAATCACCGACTACAGCACCATTGTGAATTGGGAACTGGAGCTGTTTGATACCCAGCCCGCTCAGCTCGGTGGGCTGGAGAAGGATATGATTTTCGCCGGTCGTATTGACGACAAGCTCTGCTGCTATGCCGCGCAGGAGGCTCTCATTGCTTCTTCCGACAGCACTTCAACCGGGACGGTAAAGATGGTTGGCATGTTTGATGATGAAGAGATTGGCAGTCTGCTTCGCCAGGGTGCTCGGTCCAACTTCATGAGCAGCATTATTGAGCGAATCACTGAAGCATTTGCTAAAGATAACTACGGGCCCAACCTTCTGTCGCAGACGGTTGCCAACAGCTTCTTGGTGTCGTCAGATGTCATCCACGCGGTTAACCCTAACTTCCTTAATGTGTACCTGGAGAACCACTCGCCCCGTCTGAATGTCGGTGTCGCAGTGTCTGCTGATTCTAACGGACACATGACTACCGACAGCGTTAGCTCTGCTATCATGAGCCGTATTGCCGATCGCGTCGGATCAACTCTGCAGGTCTTCCAGATCCGCAATGATTCTCGCAGTGGTGGCACCATCGGACCTATGACCAGTGCCCAGATTGGTATGAGGGCCATTGATTGCGGCATCCCGCAACTCAGCATGCACAGCATTCGTGCTACCACCGGAAGCCTTGACCCCGGTCTGGGTGTCAAGTTGTTCAAGGGATTCTTCGATCACTACGAGGCAGTCGACAAGGAGTTTGCTGACTTCTAAGATACACGCGATAATTTTATTCTAGGGCTCTTTATATTCAAGCTTGTCTTCAGTTCGTGAATGTTCCGCTCTAGACTTCCGTCAATTTTTGCATTCGCTCCATGCCCAGGTGTTTTCGATTCCTATGAATACATGCGTTCCAAGATTGTTGTTCAAGTGACTGGTATTTAAACTATCTAGTGGGGCTCGAGTGCTGTACTTCGACTATATATCCAAGAATTTCCTTATCCCATCAAACAACACCATAGCTCCGAAGGAACCAAGAAAAACAGAAAGAGAAGGAAATCCAAAGAGTGTCTCCGCCGCTGTGAGTTGGGATCATTAAAAAATAGAGTGAATGAGTGGAGCTCAACATCATGAATGAAAGCACGAAAGGTATGTCCACGACGTTCTTCATGATATGCTGACAGAAAGAGAAGATGCAATGAGAGACATGAGCACGGCAGGTCCTCAACTGGGTATCACCTTAAGTAAAAGAAGAATATGATTCCGTCGAATGAGTAATTCGATGGTTAGATTGAGTCCGGTGTGCAACAAAAGCATTGACCTGGGTCATCCCCATCTCTTGTTCCCGAGGAGTTCCATCGTGTGATGACTTGAATCCACTCACGGTGTCAAGCTCGAGAATCCGCTCTGGATCACCAGCACCGTATTCGGGGTCTTCGCCTGGCGCACCGAGGGTGGTTTCATCTCCGTTCCACGTTGAGATGCGCTGAGTTGTCTCGCTCTCAGTGGGGCGACTGGCGCTGAACGTGGTAATCATGCCTGGGAAGACTCGTGCAATGAGGGGCTTGAGAGTTGGTAGGCAGGCGCAAATGATGCCTGTGTTACATTCAATAGCTGACCAGGAGGCAGCACCGACGTTGTCGTCTATTGTTGGTTAGCTTTTGGAAGGTCCGATCTGTCTGAGAGTACATACAGGTAGGATCCATGGAATCGGAAATTTTCTTCAGGCTGACGAGGCGAACAATACTAGTGATGCAGACACTGTTGAATGGTTAGTATATTCTCTTTTTGTGTTTTCATATCTGGGTATCAAAACTCACAATCCACCCAGGGCGAACATGATCATCAACGCAAACTTCTGTCTTCGTGGCAGATCTACAGCCATGAGAGCTGGAATGGGAATGATCAGAATGGCAAGGTCGGTTGTAATATGCATACTAGCATTCGAGAACCAGAGTGCAGTCTTGCTCAGGCAATGGCCTTGAATTGAGTCATCCCAGAATTTCGCAACCGGGATACAGTTCAAGAATGCACTGAGGACCGCCCAGGTTCCATATATACCCAGAATTGAAATCATTATCCAACAGACCACGCGCATTCGGTGTGTGGGGAATACCCGGAAATACTGCATCAGGATCGAGGCTTTGGCGCAAAGAACCGCGGCGTTATAAAATGGGATGGTGAGCCAGAATGCCTAAAGCGTGTGTTAGATCAATCGGGCTTGAGAGATTGAAAAGCAAGACCTCGGGAGCAATGGCCGCATTACCTTCATCTGTCTTTCAAGAATATGTGGTGGGATATCTGCGAGATGCATGCCCATTCCGCTGACGGCTTCGATGATATCTAATGACATGAACACATATGAATTGACCTATGCATTGAATTAATATTTACAACTTTTCATTCAGCAGGACAACTTACCAAAGCGATGATAACCATCCAGTCATTTGCTTCCACTCGTCTCATAAGCTTGATCCGAGTATACATCCTCAATGACACAAAACACGACGCCAAGAACGTGAAGACAACGCTCACGGCCAACCCCTGTACACCACGAGAAGACAGGTATGTCTCATTCTGTGCTCTTTGGAATATCTCATCTCGAAGTTGGAACATGGTGCCTGTGTTGATAGTTGATGCAGTTTGCGGTCTTGGCAAATTGTTAAAGTAGGATGCCTACCCCGGACTTGATCTAGATCAGATCTACCCAGACTGAGGAAGCCAAGTGTGATCAAAAAAAGAACAAACCGGGAGAGGAGCAATGGAAGAATAAAATCCCTTCCACTGAAGGGAACACTTTTGGAGGCCATCCCCTTATTATAATCCCATGCGCATGAATCCGACAGCATACCCAAATGGGAATAAAATAATTGAAATAACGCCATGCAGCCCCAGAAACCAAACGGTCGAGGAAAAAATCCGCTATCCCTATCTGAGCCAGCAGAGAATCAATTGGAGACCGGCCTGCGTCAATTCTCCTCGCCTCCCCGGATTGGCGGGCCGACTCCTAGAAATGAGACAGGATTCTATCCTGGAAGGGTGCGTTTGCACGCAGCGCAAGGGGCTGCAGAGAACCAAGTCGGGTCCAAAGTGAGCCCCGACAAACTCAACACGTACTCTTAATAATCTAAAAAGTTCTAGGTCATTAATCTTGATAGGGTTTTAGTCCATTGTTGTCATCATTTTACACGCACCCAGATATTTCAGTCTGGATGCTCCCGCATGAACGAGGATATAAAGTTTTGCGGTTCTTTGATATATCGATTCCCCACAACTTCTGAAACTTCAAGCCCCTGGGCTCTTTGCTCCTGTTGTACTCTGAATGGTCCAACTGTTCCTTGATGCTGATCATGACGATCGCATGTGGAACGATCCGAGATACCGATCAGATCATGCCTGTGCATGGACCAATCTCTTTCCCTTTGGGGGAACGGAATGACGCAGGGCAACTTATACATTGCTAACTATCATCCTGTTCCATACAGCCGGAACCTCTTAGGCGATTCTAGTCCAGTTATAGTGCAACTTCTCGATTGACATCCTGTGATTACATCTGGGAACGACAGCCAGCAGTAACCTTGGAATCAATCTTCCTTGTTCAATCCTCCTGTTGTGCTACCAGGAATACGGAGTACACCAACATGAGATGGTGGCGAGGGGATTCCGTACTTCGCGGGGCACATGAGAATCTCCTGCACTGAGTGCGGGCAGCCGCGCACGGAGTCCTTGTACTGAATCTTCATGCATCTGCTCGTCCGATCTGTCATGTACGGAGTACAAGGCCAAGTGGTCCGCAAAACTCAGCCTTGAAATTATGCCCATGAAACAACGGAATCAAGCCCATTGGGCATGAAAGCTTATGTCGTGGATATGCGCGTCACATAAGGGCGGAAATCCATCTCTCACATCCCCATACGCGGCAGAGCCGTCGTTCGGCGAAGACGGCCAGGCAATGAAGATCCGTGGCGCACGGCAATGGCGGAGATAATCAATAGAGCGTTCCGGTACCCAAGCTGTCGGGAAACTTGTGTTGAGATTCTCGATTCATCAGAAAGTGGCCCGATCGTTCTGACTCTATGCATCGGGTGATCGACACCCGATCTGGAATGCGTAATGTCAACCTTGGTCACACAGCTCCATGGATTTTTTGAAGGGTTGAGATATGTCTCGTGTAAAGCTCAAGATGTTTTTGGAGGTTGACTGAGAAACGGACTCATGGTTGAAATGGTTTCAATATTGGATGTTAGGGCTTCATTCATTAAGCTCAGCGCACGGATCACTGGCGTGCAAGGAGGTGCTCCCCTTGCCACCGAACTCTGCCACAAATAAGTCCACAACTCGAATGAGTAAGAGTAATTTGACCTCAAAGTTTCTGTACATAGAACGAGCAGTAAATTCTCCTATTCGTCACATACAGGCACTAGGGATTAGCGGCGGGCTCTTGGGTAAGGGACCTCGGGATACTTGTACTCCGTACTCCGATCCATACTTGCTTATCTTTACTTCACCATGTGGCCCGTAAGCCTACAGAAGATTGCGAGCCTCTCAGAGTGGTGTGGTCTCATTGTGGGATCATTGATTGCGCTCATTGGCCACATGTTTATACTTGTCAGGGCTGTAGGTCCAGTCTTATGCTCTTGTCGCACGTCTAAAATATGCAAAGACGCAGGCTGCGCAATTTCAGTTCGTGCGTAAAAAACTGCTCAAAGAAGAAAAAAAAATGTAATGACCAGCAATTATTAGCAATATTCTCATTCATTGAGAATTCCAGGGCAAACGGAGTAGTACAGCCCACCCCACAGGTGGAGTCACCAAGTCGAGTGATAGATCACATTCAAACGGAATATCTGCATACCCTTAATTAGGACTAATCTTAAGTGGAAGTCTTTTCATGCTGTGCAAATTAAGTGCTGCCTCAACGAGATTTGATTTTTACATGCAATTCAGCGTTGGACCGCTGCCCTCGTGAATATGCAGGTCCATGGGCAGTACACTTTGGACTTGCATGCAGGTTGCGCCGGTTGGTCGGTTGCCACAGCAGCTCAGAAATAAGGAGTTCACAAATATCTAAGCTACACTTAGCATCAAACGCGCTTCTCGACTCATACTCCTACATCGAGTTGTCCATGCTTTCTCTGGCGTTTGATCGACTACGAAAGACGAACATGGAGTATTTTTTGCACTCGCAGGACATTCCCTCGCTCGGGCCCATACGGCGGCTCTAGGCCTACAGTGGTTGGTGATGCTATGGGATGAGCCTTCCATCAGGTTGGGTTTTAAAGTCATGACCGGCTGACAGCTTACTGCTTAGCCCCGGAAAAACCAAGCACATGCTCTGTTGTGCTCTAGACAGACAGACAGGATGCGGTATACCGAGTGAACGTGGATCCAAGGAACGTTTTGATGTTTTGCCAATGCTTGAGCTCAATGGGATCTCCGAGGTCAATGGAACCCTGGAAATTATAAAATCCAGTCCACTTGAATTGACCGCTCTTTCGCGTGGCGTTTTAAGACTGAATTTCAGGATCATTCCTTTTTTATCCCCCGCTGGCAACAACTTCATTAGCTGAAGTCCAATACAACCTAAATCAGTATGGCTTTGGGTTATTATAAGCACGCGCACTCGAGCCAAATGTCTCTGAGTGGTTTTGTAAACAAAAGCGCTGTTGAGTTCAATTCCTTTCAACATGGAAAAGCATGTCTTTGTCGGTTTAAAATCAGACCGAACCTGGCTTGATGCAATGCATTCAACCGAAATTTGAAAACAAAAATATCCATGCTCGCTGGATTCGTAAGTCATCATCTGAGACAGGCTTGATTTGAAGTAGAAAGACTGCGCATCGACTCGCGTGTCTGTATCCAATCTCCAACTCACAGAGACCTCGGGAGTGGTAAATCTCGAATGTCTGCTCGTGACAGTAGTTGATAGACCTGTGGACAACCGTAGCTCTTGAGTATTAGACCTGACAGCTTTCTCACCAAGGACTGTTGTGATCACCAGCGCCATTGCAAGCTCATCATTTTGAAAGATACCGCTGTAAACATTGGCATCCTTTCCAAGTTTGCCACGGTACTGATCATCAATCCTAACCCTAGACGTGACTTCCGGAAGATTTGGTATTAGTAATCTCACCTCATCCAGCCAAAACTTGGAATATAGCGGCCTTGGGATGCGCCAGCCTACCAAATCTGTAAAGGTGTTATGATGGGGTTCTAACGTTGATATATATAGCGGCCCCAGGCATTTTGGAACGTTGGCTTTGACATAATGGTCTTTCGGCATGCGTGTGAAAGGCGCACCCGCCCAGACATCCATGGATAGCCTTTTGAAACAGGTAGCCCGATCCCAGTGGCGCAAAGCAGAAGCAGTTTGATCAACATTGGAATTGGGTAGAGAGAGAGAGAGAGAGCTTCAAGGTCCTGAAGCATATATGCCAAGAAGTGCCCCCACCACAAAGTAGTTATACCCAGCTATTGTGTACCCAAGAAGCATGAGATACTCAACACGACCTTGGCCATATTTCAGATATAATTGCGCTATTGTTCAGAGGGTGTGCGAGAAACCTGAAGTTGTATACAGGGGAATTCCGATGTTTCCAAGGTCCCTAGATGTGGATAAGCGATAAGATAGACGATAAGAACGCACAGGCCAAAGAGAAATTTCCTTCCACCACCAATACGAGTATATCGAATCACCAACGACCTCACTCTTGGCTTTTATCGGTCTGTGGAATAAGTCCGCAATTACAGGACAACATGGCAGAGACTACTGCTGCTTCCACGAAGCCCGTCCATACCATCGTGTTGGATGCTGGCCCAATTCTCAAGAATACCCCGCCGCTTTCCACCCTCCTCGCCCAGTGTGAGGAAATTATCACCACCCCCTCCGTCGTGGGCGAGATTCGTGACCCGGACGCCCGCGCCCGTGTCGAAACCCTCTATCTCCCGTTCTTGAAGCAGCGAACCCCCACCCCGAAGAGCTTCAACATTGTCAGCGAGTTCGCCCGCAAGACTGGTGACCGGTCTGTGCTCAGTAGAGTCGATATTGAAGTTCTTGCGCTTGCCTACGAGATTGAATGCGAGAGGAACGAGGGTGACTGGCGCTTGCGCAGTGTACCCGGTCAAAAGAAAATCAATGGAAAGCCTCCTGTCAAGGAAGAGCCCACCGAGACCAGTGCCGAGTCTGCTGATGTGGAGGCCATCACTGAGGGCGTGAAGGATACTACTGTCGCGGATGCCTCAGAAGCCCCCAAAGAGGAAGCCGAGGCTCCTGTGACTGAGGACACCAAGGAACTCGTTGAGGCTGCTGTTGAGATTGCCGACGAAGAGGCCGAGGAGGAAGAGGAGGAAGACAACGATGATGCTGCCGATTCTGACGGCGGAGAATGGATCACTCCCACAAACTATAAGAAGCGCCTGGCTCAAGATGAGTCTGGATCCGCCACTCTGACAGCTGCACCCAAGACTATGCAGGTTGCTACCATGACTACTGATTTCGCCGTAAGTATATCTCGCAGTCTGAACATTATCCGTTTTCTAACCAACTGAACCAGTGTCAAAACGTTCTCCTGCAAATGAACCTCAACCTTTTGTCCACCACGACTCTCCAGAAGATCCAGCACCTGCGAACCTTCATCAAGCGCTGCCACGCCTGCTTCTTGACCACCAAGGAAATGAACAAGCAGTTCTGCCCCCGTTGCGGCAAGGACACCCTCACCCGTGTATCCTGCACAACCACCGCCAACGGCGCATTCACCATGCACCTGAAGAAAAACATGCAATGGAACACCCGCGGCAATGTTTACAGTGTGCCCAAGCCTACCCACGGAACCTCCAACGGTAAGTGGAAGGGAGGCGGTGGCCAGCGAGGATGGGGCAACGAGCTCGTTCTCGCCGAAGACCAGAAGGAGTTCGTTCGCGCCAATGCGGAAGAAGAGCGCCGACAGCGCCGTGAGCGCGACCTCATGGACCAAGACTACCTGCCCGGTATCTTGACCGGTGAGCGCAACCGAACTGGTGGCCGTACCAAGGTCGGCGCTGGTCGCAATGTCAACTCGCGGAAGCGTTAAGTGTCTTAGAGCTTGCATTTGATTACATGGGCTGGAGTTTTGGGGCATGGAAAGACAAAAGTTCACTTGGTCAATGCCGTAAGCCGGTTATTGGCTTTTTTTTATGAGGAATGACCATGTCTGTGATTTACATTTGAACATAGAATATAGCCAATGGCTTTTTTTGAACAATTACCAAGTTCCTTGGTTTCATATGAGCCTAGATCAGGTATCATATTCTGTAAAATGCCTAGGTGAAGCCCCGGCTAGATTATCCAAGAATATCAGAACCAGTATGGACATCTCAGCCATCCGTGACCGCAAGAAAAACACCATTCGCCAAAACATGGGCTATGCCCGGTAATTCACTTTTCCGAGGGTCGGAGCATTTAGAGAGCAGCGGGGGTACCTGCAAATTGGATGTCAGTTTAGGAAAATGGTTCTCAATTAGGAGCAATGTGACATACCGGTCTGCTGGGTGAGGAGAAGACCGTAGCGCTTCTTCAAGGTGACACGGTGACTGCCGATGAAGTTAGTTTCGATATGTTCATGTCGTATTTTCCGTAGAGTCAATCGCTACTCACCGAGAGTACTTGTCATCGGGGGAGAAGCGAGCAGGGTGGGCGGACTTGGTGACCTCGCCGTTCTGGACCTGCAGTAGCCGAAGATTAGTTCCATTGCTCGACTTTGAGGGTAAAGCAAGCGAAACCGACCACCATATGATGGCGGCTTCTACTTGCAGATTTCCACATACCTTCTTGAGGGTGTAGACACGCTTGCCCTGGGCGTCGAGAGTGTACTGTTCGTCGAAAATTAGAGTCTGGTTCCGGAGCTGAAATATTCCTCCTCGCTTCGGCTAGACGTACCATAAGATGCATTCTAGAAAAGAAAACTGTTAGCAGGTGAATCGCAACGAATAGCAGTATCCAGAAACTCACTTGGCGGTATTTGTCGACTTGTACTTGGTTAACTGTTGTATCGGCGATAAGTGGAGGATTTTTTTTCTCGAATTGTGAAGCTCGGACCATATGCTTAGTCACCACGTGCATTTAAATGGAGCTTCCGACCGCAAAATTTCATCTTCTTCCACTTGCGGGCACTGTTGTTTTCCCATGCAAAAGTGATCACTGTTAATGTGCAGTGCTGCTTTCAACCAACTCCAGCAGTTTGCTCATACTTCAAAGCTACCAGGTAAGACTACTCTCCAATCCTTCCATCCCCATTTCCCAATCACCTTCGGTGATGACACCACTTATTTAGCTCAGGCAAGCGGCACTTTGATTTCTAGCTGCTTGTCAATGATCTGCTGAATTGACTACAACGGTATCTGAGAATATCATACCATGACAATTGAATCGCTGGCATACTTTGAAGACCATTCGCTAACCTCGAATGTCTTAGATTCTGCATATCATCTCCAGTAATAGTTTGGGATGGCTACCCCAGTAGCCAAGACGGACAAGCCAGTGGCTGCTCCGTCAGGGCCTGCAGGATCAGGTCGTCCTCGGACCCCCCGTCCTCCTAGGCCCAACTACAGACAAATTCACCAGTTTCCTCTGCCGGTCAACGTACATCATGTTCCTCCTGTAATTCCTCATAACCCTCTATCTCTCATAAGCGTTGCTCTCTCGTACCTCACGTTCCTTATCATGCCGCCTCGTCAAGAAGTCTACTCGGCCTACTTTGACAAGGCCACTTCGTCGATCCACGTCACGGACGAGAAGTCCATTAAAGCCCTATGGGAGATGGGTTTCTTTGGCAAAGGTAGTCTCAGTCGAAGTGAGCCCAGCTGGCTGGCGCGAGAGAAAAAGCGACGAGGGTTACATGATGGCAAGACCAGCGAGGAAATCACAAGAGCTCGCCGGGAGGAACGTCGTGCGTTGAAGCTAGAGCGTGCTCGTTTGGAAAAACAGGCCATCGAGGAAACGTTGAAAGCCGAAGCTGCCGCCAGAGAATCCGGCTCTACCGAAGCCACCGGACAAACCCCAGAGGACAAGGCCGATGGCACAGCCACCACGGCAGAGAAGATTTCCTTGAGGAAGCTGAAGGATGCTAAGATCTTAGAGGCCCGAGAGGCTCGCCTCGCGGCCCAGGATGCGGAGGCTGCAAAGAAGACCGAAACAAACGGTAAATCCGTACGCTTTTCACCACTTGTGCAGAAGAAAGAGTTCTCGTCAAACTCGCCATCCTCCGAGACTGTTGCCGAGCCATTAGATGCCGACGATTTCCCTAATGAGGAACACCTTCAACTTTCCAACGAAGAAGCCTTCTTTCTCGCTTACGGCCTCGGTGCATTACAAGTATACGATGCACCCTCGACCTCGACGACTCAATCTACCTCACCGACCCCCATACAAGCCCTTCTCCAACAGTTCTGCCACCACTCCTTCCAACCAGCCCGAGATGGCACCGCCTCCCTTCAACCTGATGACCCTTTCATGATCTCCTACACAGTCTACCACCATTTCCGATCCCTGGGCTGGGTCATCCGATCAGGTGTGAAATTCGGCACAGACTACTTGCTCTACAATCGCGGTCCCGTCTTCTCCCATGCCGAATTTGCCGTCGTCGTCATCCCCTCTTACAGTCACCCCTACTGGTCAGAGACCGAAGAGCGCAAGAACTACACAGCGGAGAAACAGGCGCGGAGCTGGTGGTGGTTACATTGCGTGAACAGAGTCCAGGCTCAGGTTATGAAGAGCTTGTGTCTTGTTTATGTGGATGTTCCTCCACCTGCTGCTTCCATTGATGACGTCGGCGCTTTGTTCGGCCAGTACAAAGTGCGCGAGTTCATGATTAAGAGATGGACTCCCAACAGGACTCGTGATTGAGACTGTGGTTCCATTTGCGAGTTAAAAGGGCTTCTGATACCCTGCAATATCCAGTACTGCATTCGAATGTATATGTATCATAATTGAACAGCGCACTATGACTCAATGAATCATTGTAGACACGTCTTGACTCAAACTCCCTTCGTATCATGGTTGTAATTAAAAAGCAAGTCGTAATTGCCTGAACAAGCTGAACTGTATAGATTAGGCGCTAGTCCCAAAGAGGTCATATTGCCTTCAGAGCCATCACGTGGCTGACGCGTTCCGCGTCGTCTCCAGTCAAGTTTGCCTTTTCTAGATGCAGTATGGAGTACAGGAAGTCGAAAATGCCAGGCAATCAGGGAAAATCTACATTTGAGTAGCTTGACATCGGTAACGTCGAGACGATGGAAAGTCAAGATAGCATCGATTTCGCGAAATTACAACGCGACGCGTTGGGGCTAGTATGTAACGACCCTGCAGGGCTCCTCACACCTCATTGGACTAACTCCAACATCCAGCACGATCCATTCCAGCCGAATATTTCGCAGTCCATCAAGTCAAACGCTCTCTGTCCCACCCACGAGGCAAACGAAATCCGTCTATCCAACCGCCAACCCCCAAAACCTTCCCCAGTCCACCCGAACGGAAGCCGTCACACTCAGTTTCGACCACGACAGCATGCAGCGCACATGATGTTCAACAACAATGGCAATGAAGCGGCAATGGCGCCGGGCTCGCAATTCGCCAACATGAGCTCTGCAGACGCTACTCCGGGGGATACCCAGGTCGTCTCGCAGTCCGTGTACGATAGCATGATACGGCAAAACGGAGAGTCGATGCGAGACGACTACCTACAAAATGGGGCCGACGGCGCTACCTTAAGGACATTGCATGAGGGCGATAGCGGGCATATTGATCTCCTCTCGGAGCTGGAGACACAGAATGGACCGGCCTTCTCACAAGACGACAACGATGCTGCCAGCACCTCGGAACCAAACCAATCTTCTCCAATGGCTTTCGCTCCCGATCTCTTCCCTGAATCACAACGATTTCTTGCGGAAACACCTGCGACGGCTGTGAAAAGAAATGATGCGAAGGGTGGGACAACCGAGACGCCGACCGTCTCACGAAACCCACTGGCGGGTGACATTGAGTCGAGCGGAGGCCTTATGGGCCTGAGTCAGGTGTTCGGAGCCACGCAGGCACCATCGTCTCCTCTTGTTCACGGACTGAATTCTGAACTTGCATCTGATCGCCCGTCGCCCAATATTCCAATTCAACGCGCTCGGTTCACCACAGGCATTTCGTCACCGTTGGTCGGCATGGCGGGTCATTTCATGAGAGATTCATCGGAGCCAAACCTGAACTATATTTCCATGAAGGAATCACAGACAAAGCGTGATCGTATGCTGGATGAGAGAATGACCCGGTCTGCTGACAACATTATGTCGGATCAGAGTGATAAGGAGTTTTACAAAGAATCAAGCTTTGTGGAGCGTGCGCGGCGGCAGCGGGAGTTTGATTTGGAAAGCGCAGCGCAGTTTCATGGATTGAGTGCTCCTGCTCGATCGACTTCCGCAAGACCACAGACTTCCCCCGAGCAGCCAATTGAAAAAGATCAGGTCATGGCAGAGGCCGTTGCCAGTGAAGAGGAAACAGAGCAAGAGGAAGACTCCGTTATGCAAGTACCGAAGTCTCAAGAAGGCCCCCAATCTTCAACAGAAGAGGACAAAGAGAACTTCAATGAACCCCTGGATGCTGCTGCCGCTGCTAGTGCCCACGAGCGTCTTTCCCAGGTACTCGGGTATCAGCAAGTTGAATCTCCATCTCGTGAACACTTCGACGTGGAGAACAGCGATGCAATCGATCACCAGGGTGCCCTTGCATCGCTATCAAACGGACAGGTGAATGGCATGGTTCGTTCTTCCCAAGTAATGGTGAAAGACTCCCAGCCCTCGCCTCAATCATCGCCGAAACGCACCAACCCCGAACAAGGGCAGAGCGCCCCTAAGTCGCCCACACCGTCTCGCTCTCGCTCGAATTTGTCCCCGCGAGAACGTCTCCAGTCCTCGCCTCCCTTTTCTCGACCAACATCCAGACGTTCAAACAGCAACAATAGAAGAGATCGCTCCGTATCACTTGAACATACCACGGAGCCCAAGAAGAGCATATCTACCATCGTAGATGAACAACCACATATCGACAACACGCCAGAGGAGCCCGGCGTAGCTTCACCTGGCACGGGAGGGCAAGCGGGAAAGGGAGGAGCCTCCTCGTCACAGCGATCTGCTTTAATAGAGACACCAGTGCATCGGCGCCTGAAGCATGTTGGTGATATGGCTCGGCTGACGAGTATTCCGGAAACAAGCCCTACTCATTCCCAATGCCATTCCGAGGCTGGCTCAAATATCGAGGGGGTGAACAACGAAGATGATGACCTTCCGCCCATGTTCAGTGGGGCACCCGGCACTGATCGAAGCATTCACATCCGGCCCACCGGGCCCAGAGCACTCTCTTCCCCCTCAAAAAGTTGCTCTCCAGTCCGGGGGGAGGTCAGCGCAGAGCCCTCACTGAGATTGCCGCTGATCTCTCGCCGCAGGTCGGCACGGGAGGCTTTGATATGAACATGGGAATCTTCACAAACGAAGACCAAGAGTTCCGCGCCTTGGTCAATGGTTCGCCCACTCGCCCAAAGAAGAAGAGGCGCGGTAACAATGGCACAAGCTTCATCGTTTCTGACCCGGTCATACCCACGACGCCTCGGCCATACCCGCCAAAATCCGTTGCGCCAACTCAATCTTCACAGACTCGACCCGTTGCTTTACCAAAGGAGCAATCGAGTGCCTCTTTCGTGCAGGTCCCCGAAACAGAAAATCGGAGGCAACCGAAAGCTTCTCGACGGGCCACCGATGACATCTGGGAAGTCGAGGGCTCGCCTGAACAACCGCGGCGACGGAAGTCGCGAGTAGGAAAAAAGGCCGAATCGCGCTCAATACAAGAAAAGGTCGACCCGAAACCCAGCTCGGGAGCTGTAGAGAAATCAGCACCTCCCCCCAAGACTGTGATACCCAATCAACAAACCTACAACCCACCGCCATATCCATCTTCAGAGCCCACAGAAGTATCATCAGTCATTGCGTCTGATGATTTCATTGATTCAGACACAACAAACATCCAAGATCCCCCTCTCACACCCCGGAAAGTCCATACATCGCCAGAAGACGCCGCTCAGATCGCTCCAAGTCAGGTACTTTCGGTGTGGATGGGCCAGAAGCGAGCATATTACCCTGCAACTTGCTTTGGAACGCCATTGGGTGTATCTCAAACCAAATATTCCGTTAAATTCGAGGACAGCCTTCCTGTCGAAGTGAACAGAGGTGCTGTCAAGAGATTTGAGCTTCGGATCGGAGACGGTGTCAAAGTTGACATGCCCAATGTTCCCAAAGTCACGCATGTCGTTCGCGGATTCGATGACAAGTTCACTCGAGAGGAGCTCTCCAAAGCAATTGATGATGGCCTTCACCCCATTACGGACATTTATGGCAACTCTACTGTCATTGTTGGCCCGAAGCAACGCAAGAGCTTGCCTAATGGTGGATTGAACAATAACGAAAACGTTATTAGGGTGCCTTTGGCTCGCATCTATCTCGATACAATTCTTTGGAACCAACTCAAAGATCGAGCCTTCACCTATCGCCCAGCGCCTGCTCCGCAAGAACCTGCCGTGCATACCCCGTCTGTAAAGTCTGCGCCTGCATCTCCCAGCGCTCGTCTTTCTCGCAGCATAAATCTAGGAAGCGGCATTTTCGCAGGCATGGCATTCGCGGTCTCTTACAAAGAGGATGAAACATCCAAAAACCGCATTACCAAGTTGATCATGGAAAATGGGGGCACGGTGCTCTACGATGGATTTACTGAGCTCTTCGAAGCTTCGTCTATCGTTCCCATCGACACCCCTACCAAATCACTTGACAAAGACGCTTCTAAAAGCAAGGGGCTACAACTCACTTCGCTCGCCGAAGACGTAGGCTTTGCATGTCTCATTGCGGACACCCACTCTCGCCGCGCGAAATACATGCAAGCACTTGCACTCAACCTCCCCTGCCTCTCCGGCCGCTGGGTCGAAGACTGTATCTCCAAAAGCCGCGTCCTGGATTGGGACATCTACCTCCTTCCCGCAGGTGACTCAATGTACCTGAACGGCGCCACAAAATCACGACTCATGCTTCCAACACCACCCACCACATCCCGCCTACCGGAGACCATCTCCGCGCGGCCCAAACTACTAGCCGGCCATTCTGTCCTTCTTGTCATGGGCCGCGGCAAAGCAGAGGAAAAGCGCAAAGCTTACATATTCCTCACTTATGCTCTGGGTGCGTCGCGAGTCGAGAGAGTCCCAGATCTGCCCACTGCGAGGGCGTTGATGGACTCGCAGGCTGAAGCTGGCTTGCCGTCCTGGGACTGGATCTATGTCGATGATGCTGATCAGGCTGCGGCGAGATCGATGCTCACGCCGAAGACGCAGAGAATCCACTTGTTCCATGGGAAGAAAAGGAGGAAGTCTATCTCTTCTTCTACTCCGGTTTCTGATACGAGTTGTTCTACCAGAGTTGTGGGCAATGAGTTTGTTTGTCAAAGTTTGATTCTGGGGCGTCTGTTTGAATGATTGCGTTTGATACCACTGTCATATATCATATTTATTTGGAATATCTCATTACAATGTAAATTTATCATTCATCATTTTTTCTGTGTCTCTTTGTGGTCCTCGGAGGTTTCCTTGGGGTGAGTGCTCGCCTCGGCAGGTGAGGTTTCGGCAGGTGCGGTCTCGACAGGTGCGGTCTCGTTGGTGGCTGCGGGCTGCTGTTGGTTTGGCTCCGAAGTAGATATATCAGCATTGTTCGCTCCCGTGTCTCTAGCCGCCTGCTGTTCATGCTCGATTGCCGCGGAACTCGGTGCTTCAGAAGTAGAATGTGCACTCTGTTGCGATTCAACATTTTGCGGCTCTGAAGATCGCGCGGGAACTTCGGCGCCTTCGGCCCTTTCGGCTCCTTCAGCCCGATCGGCGATCTCGGCACCCTCGGCACCCTCGGTAGGCTCTGCCTGGCCTTCTGACTCGGCAGACCCAAATTGGAAGAAAGTTCCATTCAGGACCTTCAAAAGAACTTCCGCTTCAGATGGCGATGGAACCGTTCCAGTCAACAACTCCTTTGCATGAATTTTGCGCCCGTAGAATTTCTTGTTAGCATCAGCACGCTCTACCAGAACGCCGCCTTCAACTGTCAGACCACCGTACAATCCACGGGTCTTCGAATACGCAAATACCCCAGCAGCACCCTTAGTCCCCACAAGACCACTCGCTTCGGCACTCCGACCAACAGGACCAACAGCCATGGAGATGTTTCCGCCAAGAGTCAGAGACCCAGACTGCATAAACGTCTTCACGGCCGCATCGGTTGTGAGCACGAATACGAAGTCGGTCAACTCGGCGCCGAATTGACCACCCGCGCCAACACCACCCATGGCTATGGCCGATGGCGCGGTCCAGCTGCCATCGGGAAGTCGTGCGATGATAAGCCCTGAGCCAAAGCGAATGGAGCCCAGGAAGCCTACTCTGAAGGCTGTGTAGATGGCAATTCCCTAGAGAATGAGTGAATTGCGGGGGAGGCATTGGTGGCTGGTGTTTACCTTTGCGCCTTCGAATATCTTCCGAGGGATCTGTCCATCGATTTTCAATTTAGGATCGATGAACGATTCAAGAATTGCGGCGGCCTTCTTGCACTCGCCTATCAGACAAAGTTAGATTGAGGTGTTTGGGTGGAGCATATGGACGTATTACTTGAGAGTGAGGCTGGCAATGGGTTGTGAATCGGGTTCTTCATGTTGGTTGGATTGTTTTCCGCCTCACAAGATTATCGTTATGACGATATAGATCTCTACAACAGGAGATTCAAATTTGATTGCAACGGCTGTCTGACAGGGGCGTACAGGGGCTTAGGAACTACGCACGGACGTTGGGGGCTTTTTTTCACTGGGACTGTCTTGAGCTTATTCACAGCACATTGTTTGGATTGCTCAACCGTTTCCCTTCGCTCTCTCATGGCTCTTAGAATAGGCTTCGTCTGAGAAGAGAAAAAGAAGGATCGAATAATTTGTTTCTCATTTACAGTTGACGATTAGAACTCGACCATTGTTATATCCAAGAACAACCGTATTGTTGCTATAAGCCAAGTCTGAATATGAGCGATACTCAGTGGGGAGCCAGAGAAGCCTGTCACTTTTGAAGACGACCCAGTTATTCTCTATAGAGACCTGGCAGACTGGTTTCTCCTTCGCCGCTGATAAGCCCACTGCATGAACCCAATCAGAATAGCTCTCAGTGGACAGCAGCTCTTCTCCAGTAGTGGTATCCCAGACTTTGTGAACAAGGTTGTCCGATCTAGACCCCACTACTTGACCATTCCGGGAGAAGGTCACTGAGTGAACATTGGAAGTGTGGCCTGTCAAGGTGAATTTTTCTTGGCCCGTATTAATGTCCCAGAGCTTGAGAGTATTGTCCCTGGAGCCGGAGCCGAGCATTTGGTTATCTGGCGAGAATTTCATTGAACTAACTGGGCCAGAATGGCCCATTAGCAATATTTGGTCTTGACCAGTCCATGTATCTGAGAGTTTGATCTTGTAGTCAGGCATACTGGAGGCCACTCTTTGACCGTCAGGAGAAATGCTGACTGAGCTAACAAAATCAGAGTGCTCTTTGAAAAACATATGCTCTTCAATCGGCCGCTGGCTTCTGATGTCGACATCCCATAATTTCACAGTGCAATCAGTGGAAGTCGAGGCCAATGTTTGACCATTAGGTGAGAATGCCACTGATGTAGCTGTAATATAATGGCCATAAATGGTCATATATTCTTTTCCGGTGTTGACATCCCAGAGTTTGATAGTACTTCTAGTATGGGGAGGTAAAATTGATCCATCTGGGTTGCCGAGGTAATTGCTTGAGAGTTGAGAAATCGTTGAAGAAGCCGCTCCGCGTGCCTCCCTCGTTCCACAAAGCGGCATACGGTCTCCGCAAAAATGAACAGCGGTACAGCCATTCCAACCAGGGCTTCTATAGTATCGACAGTTGGCCAGCCTTTCAGTCCCTTGTCTTTGCCAATTGAGTTGAGGCGATGTTTCAAAAAGAGGCGTATGTCAAGCTCAACTATAGGAGTGGGAATCTCATGCAAGATGATCCCCTGGTGGTCATCATGCTCTTTGAAACCGAGACGGATTGGAGTTTCCGGCCGGCTGGTGAGAAATATCTTGAGCGTGATGGTGGTAGATTTTTGGAGCTGTGGTAGAAGCCGGAGAATAAGACGGATATCGCTCTGCCTTTCGCATTCGTCCAATGCATCAATGACTATGACCAGGATTTGTACTGGGGACCCAGAGGACGGCAAGCTGAGAAGTGGGCGGTAGACTAGTTTATCAAACTGCTCCTTCAGGGCCTTCTTCGCAATCCCCGGATCCTCGGCCAGGGCGCTTTGGAGTCCAGTTGCTAGTTGGGGGACATGCATTGCTAGCTGCCTTGCAATTGTTGGAAAAAGCTTCATGGCATTCCCGCGATCCCCTTCGCCTCTTTTGAAAAAGAAGTTTGCTCCAAGTAGTTTGGCTTCTCTGAATGACTTGGCTAATGTCCGGGATATTGTCGATTTTCCCGTCCCAGCCATTCCATTCAACCAGAAGATGCGTTTTCCTTGTTGAGAGGAGCCCCACTCGTTAAGCTGACAGAGAATCTCGGTTCGCGTGCCTGGAAGACATAAATCTTCATCTCGATTGTCAAACGAGTCAAACAAAGCCTCATGGACCATGGGCAAACTTTCGTCGAGGTCTATATCTTGGTCAGTGGGGTGGCTCTTTCTCTGGGATGACGATGGCAGCCTACCTCGGTGCAGGGAAGTGTTGATTGTGCCATAGTTATTTGCAACCTGGGTTCCAGAATTCAGATTTCCAAATGATATCTGAGAGCTCATAGCTGTACGTAGTGCAGGAGAGACCTGAATACGGGGTATTGTGGTGGGAGTCAGAAAGGCATGCGGGGCACCGATAGCTCAAGTGGAATGCGTTGTTTGTTCGTCTTTTTCCTGCATTTCTGCTAGTCTCACCTCGTCAGGGCAAATTTGCTCTCACCACCTCTTCTTTTTTTCTCTTTCTCAAACTTTTCTTCTGTGTCCCAGGATGGTTCAAGTAAAGTCAACAGTAGAATAAATGATAATATCGACAAGTTGCGGCGAGATATCTTTCATTCCGAGTGCAAAGACACCTTCTTCAGTCTCACGGAGGGCGAAGACGCATCTTGCGAGGTTGGCAACCATCTCCAGCCCCACCATATTACAATAGAGGAGGTATCTTCTTCGTACGTGAATATGACCAGTACAAAACAATTGTACGCCGATCAAAATGAGCCAGGTGAGGATGAACTATGCAGGGAGCCTTTTTCGCTCCTCGGGGCTACTTCTATTCTCAGACCAGGGAGCTTTCTATGAATTTCATGGCGCTAAGACGAAAGATGCAGACAAGTTGTTAGAATAACTGTCATGTACGATAAACTTAGATGTTTTCGAGACGAGGAGAAACAGGAAAGAGGTCAAGCGAGGCTCTCTAATCTAGGTCTATCAAACAGCAAGCAGGGCCCTGCAAACAAGGAAAACAACGGCGCCGACACAAGTGCAAAGTCTGTGTCGAGGACCAGCAAATGCGCGAGGTCAAGTTTGTCGATTGGGGCATCCCGTCGCCATTCATTACACCGAATGACGCATACTGCCTTGCTGGGAGGATATGACAACCTCTGACTGGAAGTCCAACCTTGAGAAGTCTGCTCACGCCCAGGTGGTAGGGCATAGTTCAAAATAGAAATAGAGTTAGAGTATGTACCACCAATAAGCTACCTAAGAAGAGACATACAACAAGATTATGTTGGAACCCTCATAATGACCAGTATGCTCCATCGAACTTGTTAAGTTCTTGTAACTGCAAATTGAGTGGTGGAAGTTTCACCGTAGAGAGACCCAAAAATGCGTCCTCGGCTTTAGTTACTTGAAGATGAAACAACCAAGTGATCCGCCCGGCGAAAATAACGTCGAATGGATAACCTCACGGCCTGTAACAACTGTGATCTTAGATGCTGCAGTCAAGGATTAGATCAGAGTTTCAAACTTGAAGGGACCATCATTGGCGACTGCAACATCATATGTAAAGGTATGTGAATTTAGATCAGGAGTGCAGGAACTTACGGGTGTTCCTAGATCTCAATATTGAGACGCCCTAGGCGTACCGCTAACTACCACAAGTACGGGCACTATAAACGTTTTTGCCGTGAAACAAAGTGTCTCAGTCAATATTCCATTGGGAGCTGACTTGAAATATTCTACAAGGGCTTTTAAACACTGAGAGGCTACTTCTGCCCTGGGAATCTAATGTAGACCTTCTGCGCAGTATTTCATGTGGCCGGGATCGACGCGCTCCCGGGGTTCAGTTAGGGCCAGCCATGCTTAATTTTGAGCCACTAGCCCGTCCGACCAATTCAACCGCTCGGCATCCCCGAGGAAGCGATGTAATATTCGTCGGTGCAAGGACTCAGCAAAATCCATAACTTGTGAAACCAGGTTATGGGGCTCCCACATTCTTAGACCGTCATTACTATCTCAAGTCCCTCACAATATAGTAGGACCACAAATACTTCCAATCACAGTGACACAAGACTGGTCCTAATTACCGAGGCATCGGATTTGCGAACTTGATGGGTCGTAGGATAGTACATATTGGCCCGGTCTCGCTGTTCGCCTAGTATTCTGGCCCCAAGTGCTTCAGCTAGCCCCAATGTTGTTCCAGAGTATTCTTGTGTCTCTCGCGCTGCAGGCGAGCAGCGTATCAGCTGATATCTTAATTCAAAGAGAAGCTCCGCTTACTGGGCATACGTTTGATTATGTGGTTGTCGGTGGTGGCACTGGTGGTAGTGCCCTCGCGACACGATTGGCACAGAATAACCTCAAGGTCGCCCTGATTGAGGCTGGTGGACACTACGAGCTGGAGTCTCTTGCTGAGGTTCCGGCAGCTGACGTACTTCCTGTTGGATCTGACCCTAATGCGAAATCACCCGAAGACTGGGGATTTGTGACGAGGGATCAACCAGGTGCCAATGGCCGAGCTATCCACTATGCGCGCGGAAAGTGTCTCGGAGGATCGTGAGTTGATACCAATTGGGTCTACAGTTCACAGGTTTGAGAGCTTACATGTCTCTAGATCTGCGTTGAACTTTATGATATACCAGCGGTAAGTTTTCTAGAGTGATGCTTGGGGCCCAATTCAACTGACATCCCAACTGACATCCAATTGAAGACCGACGCGTGAATCTATGGAGCAATGGGCAACGTCAGTCAACGACTCTAGTTATACGTTCGAGGAAGTTCTACCACTATACAAGAAAAGTGTTGACTTCACCCCGCCCAACACGAAGTACAGAGCCGAAAACGCCTCAGCGAGTTACGACGCCGACGCATACGACTCGGAGGGTGGCCCATTGCAAGTGTCCTACGCCAACTTTGCCATGCCGTTTTCCTCATGGATGAGCCTCGGAATGGATGCGATTGGCATCGACAAAGCAGAGGACTTCAACACAGGCACACTGATGGGAGCACAATACTGCTCCTCGACTATCGATCCCGCCAACGAGTTCCGCAGCAGCTCTGAGGAATCATTCCTTTCCAAAATTCACCCGAGAACCTTGACCACATACGCCAACACTCTTGCAAAGAAGGTAGTGTTCGACGACAACAAGAAGGCAACAGGTGTTGAGGTCAAGGGCATGCTGGGTAACACGGTGACCCTCAAGGCATCGAAAGAAGTCATCATCTCAGCTGGCGCTTTCCAATCACCTCAGCTGCTGATGGTATCTGGCGTTGGGCCTTCCGATCAACTGCAGCAGCATAACATTCATGTTATCGCCGATCTTCCAGGTGTTGGTCAGAACATGTGGGATCACCCTTTCATGGCTCCCACCTACCGAGTCCAAGTGACGACCCTGACCGAATTTGCGACTAAGTTGATGTACGCGGCTAAACAAGTGGCCGGGGGATTGATTCTGAAGAAGGGATTCTTGACAAATCCAGTTGCCGACTTCCTGGCCTGGGAGAAGATCCCGCAATCCCTGCGCAAGTCTTTCTCTCAAGACTCGTTGGACAAGCTTTCTCAGTTCCCCAGCGACTGGCCCGAAGCAGAGGTAAGTTGCCACACCCCAATCCTCAGGGTATCTGCTGACGAGAACAGTATATTTCCGGCGCTGGATACATCGGCAATGTTTCAAACCTTTTGACATCCCAACCCAGAGATGGTTATCAGTATGCCTCGATGCTCGGCGTTTTGATCACACCTCTCTCCCGCGGTAATGTCACCATCCAATCTGCAGACACCAAGGATCTGCCAGTCATCAACCCCAACTGGTTGGACGATGAAGCGGATCAAGAGGTTGCCATTGCGATGTTCAAGCGTATGCGCGAGGCATTCCAGAGTAAAGCTATGGAGCCGGTGGTGATTGGCGAGGAGTATAACCCAGGTCCCGAGGTTAAGACTGATGCTCAAATCCTTGAGTTCATCAAGGACAATGTCATGACCCTGTGGCATGCTGCCTGTACTTGCAAGATGGGTACGGAGGATGACGAGATGGCCGTTGTCGATTCTCGGGCGCGGGTCTTCGGCGTTGATGGATTGCGTGTCGTGGATGCCAGCGCTTTCCCCTTCCTCCCTCCCGGTCATCCCCAGTCCTCTGTTTGTGAGTATTGCTAGTCTCTTGCCATGGCTGTCACTAACAATATATCCAGATATGCTTGCTGAGAAAATCGCCCAGGATATCATCGATAATGCTTGATCGGTTGCGCTAGCGTCGAGTCGGGGTGTGATTGTTCGAATTAGTTTGCTTGCCGATTTATATAATTGTATACTACAACCTTGGAAGAATTTCGGGTCCTATTTGTTTGCTGCACGTAGTTCAGAAATTTCGGAATTGAAATAATAATGTTTTGGAAAGTTGGGTAATGCTCTTTCTATAATACAGTAAACACCAGATACAAATCCTCATATCGCTACAAAAACCCAGAAGGTAATGGAACAAGAAACTTATGCACGCGACCGATGCCCTTATTTCTTGTTCTTGTTGCCCTTCAAACTCTTCATCTGGGCAGCCCGCTCAGCACGCTGCTGACGCTTTCTCCACGCAGTCCAGCGGTCACGACGATCGTATCCAGGGGCAGTGATACCGGCAATCTCAGCAGCGCGACCAATCTTCCAATTGGCCTCACGGTACATGTATCCAGGACGCAATTGAGGACCGAAGACGGCCTTGACGGCCTCGACATCCTCAACACGAACTCCGTCCTCATCAACAGTAGCACTCAAGTCGGGCTGGGCCTCGACCTTCTCCTCCATGGGAATAGAGACCATGTTCAACTTGCGGCGGTTGGGTGCGTTGCGCGGGTGTGGGAGCTGCTCGTTCTTATCGAAGACAACTCCGATGTACCGACGCTTGGAGTGCTTCTCCGGGTCGAGGTAGTAGCGGACGTAGCCGGCCTGGGTGGCGTAGATGGTGTGGTCACGGCCCATACCGCAGTTCTCACCGGGGAACCAGAGGGATCCGCGTTGGCGGAAGATGATGCATCCCGGAACCACGTATTCACCGCCTGAGCGCTTCGCTCCGAGACGTTTGCCGGCAGGATCACGGGAGTGTCGGTTGGCCGTTCCTTGGGAAGCGTGTGAAGCGTGACGCACTTGTGTGAATGGGAGGAGGGTGTTGGAGAGGGAGGGTGTTTGTGGTTTCGGGAATGCGGATGCGGAGAGTGTTCGCAGGATGGATTGCGACTGGGTGAGGGAATGAGTCGTCCGGATTGGAGTGAAGGATCGCTCCAGCGCCCGGAAAGGCGCTAACACGCGCGGTTTGAACATTGTGGGTTGTTATGGAGATGTCGGGTTGGACGTGAAGCTCCAGGGAGTCAAAAAAGTTCGGAGATGGCTTGGCGTCACGTGAGCCCCAGTAAGCCATCTATACCACTTCCAATGTTTAACCTCAACACTCACGCGATTGATTCGCATTACTGTCAATTCATACATTCGATATGTTGCAAAGCTGGCACCAAGCCCTCTGGGCCCTTCTTATGCTCGTTTCTGTCGCCCAGGCTCAGTTCAACTTCTTTGAGCAAATGTTCGGAGGCGGCGAGCAGCAACAACGTCAACAGCAGCGATCGCAAAACTCGCCCAGCGACAGCAGCCGATACCAGCAAATGTGGAGTGGAGGTAAGGAAGCTATATACACAGCTCTTGTGGACACCGCTTGACGCTCCATCGAACCACACTGTAATCGAACATCATCACTGATTACCACGTTCTCCACAGCTCAATGCGACAACTATCTCTGTCCCGGAACTCTTGCATGTGTACACTTCCCACACCACTGCCCATGCCCCCATCCAGACGTGGAGGAGAAGGTCGAACTTGGCGAAGGAAGTGCCATTTGTGTGTCGAAGGGAGGATACAAGGCAGGGGAATCTGCGCGCAAAATTGAGCTGGCTCGCAAGGGTCTCCTTTGAAGATATATAAGTGATAGTCTCATCGCTTTCAAGCATATAATTGTTGCATGCAGTTCTCCGACCTGTCTTTTTGTCATTGAGTGCCGCGGGTCGGATTGTCGCGATTGTTTTACGGCAACAGCAGAAACAACATACATCTTCCAAGAGTTGAGAAAAGAATAACACTCGATCTTCCCAAGGTCATACTTAGTGTAGCTACACTGCTTTTCTAACACCAAAGAGAGAATGGCCTCTGGCAATCCGTCCATAGCCAAGCAAGTGTTTAGCACCTGGGCAGTGGTCAACCTAGATATCCTTCCAATTTTGGGCCCGACAACGATCGGTACGCTCAGAAGTTCCATCATTCCGAGAGAACTAGAGCCCACTCATCTCAACGCTGATTTACAAATAGCAAGGAGTTGTATGGACTTCTCAAACCTCGGGCAACATCAAGGACAGGCGCGATCTACAAGGCAGTGTTATCTCCGATAACCCCGCGGTACGGCAGCACATCGTCGCCGTGCGGCCAAACCCCTTTGTGCCCTAATCGCTTTTCGTCAACCTTGGAAATCACCAAGATGTACGTGGACGTCTACCATAATCCTCTGCGTGTCAGGATAGTCGGTCCCGAGCTTCCTCTTGCTCGTCTCCATAATTTGCATTTCGAGCTGCTCTGCCCCCTGCAATTGGCTGTCCTTTGAGCAAATGCTATTGATGACAGGGGCACAGCATCAGGTTGGACGGTCTATGGTTCGACCATATGCGACCCCGCATTGCCTGGCCAGCTCAGCAGCGCGTATCGCCATTTGCTGACTTGGCGGTCAGCTCTTTGGGCTGAGACAATCAAATAGGCTAGGAGAGAGTGAGAGCACTTGTTGTTGTCGCACCCCCCGCACTTGGCCCAAATTCCCAAAATGTACTGTATCCCTCGCGTCAGGAGCGTGTCAGTATCGGTAGAACTTATCACTCTTCTCCAGGTTCGTTCCCGTCAGCAGTCGCCTCGACATCGAGAATCTCGAAGCGGGTGTAGCAGATATCCTGGCTGCGACCGGTACGCCGTCACTCAGTTATACCATAGTCCAGAATGGAAAGACTCTTCACACCAAACATTTCGGCTATCGCGATATCCAACAGCACGCTTGTCCGGATGATCAAACAAGGTACAACATCAATTCTATGACCAAGGCTATGGTCGCTGCTCTTGCTGGAATCATCGCTTCCACGGGGGATATTGACCTGTATGCTTCTGTCAAGCCTTATCTACCTGACTTTGCCTGTCATGACTCCAGCTTCGATGACCAGGTCACGATCATCGATCTGCTCTCCCATCGTACCGGATTCACTAACTTTGATCCCATCTGGCTGGGATCGCAGAATTCCCTACTCCTCAGCAGGGATCAGACACTGAAAACATTTGCTACATTAAAACCATGCGAGCCGTTTCGTGAAAGTTTTCTCTACAATAATTGGGGCTACGAAATTGTTGGGAAGATTCTCGAGACAGTCACAGGAGACCCCTTGCATGTCCTGCTCCATGAGAAAATATTCAAGCCCTTGGGAATGACTAGAACAAGCACTAGCTGGGATCTTGACGAAGAGAACACCACAAAGTAATATGGAGTCCTTCAGGATCTGACACCAGTCCCGATTGGCCGCCCGGAACTCGGACAAGGCACGTTGATGGAAGCCGCTGGTGGTGTCAAGTCAACTATTGAAGACTTGACTATATTCTACACGTCATTTATATCTGCAGTTAACGATCAAGTGGCTTCTGATTCGAATTTGACTCATGGATCTATCTTCCATCATTGCCGCGACCTGGTCACCAATCATGCACGGTTGCCCGGCATGTCACTCTGAGAACAAGGCTATGGTGCTGGCTGGACCAGGAGTCAACTACCTGGCCAGCTGGGCCGTACTTCATTTAACCCCTCGATCGGACCTGAGCCAATCACTGGGAAGGGCTCTGAGTCTAGGCTTATACTGTATCATCATGGCAGCATGCCAGGGAGCACGTCATGCGTTCACCTCGTTCCCGAGCTTGACGCCTTCATTGTGGTACTACAGAACTCAATTGCACCCATAGACACAGCCGACTTTGTGTGTCAGTGCCTCCTGGAAGGCTTTCTCCACACCAAAAGACCCAACGACTATAAGCAGCTGGCCACAGAATTTACCACTCAGAGCCTTGGTCATATGGACCGCATCAAGAAGGACCCGGATACTAATAGAATGGTAGGCACATCTCCACGACCCCTGGATGACTACACTGGGATGTACTGGAATCAAATAGAGAATTTCTTCATCGAGATATCTCAAGTGGACGGCGCTCTTCAGATGTGTTTCCAGGGTAGAGCCTCCGAAGTGTTCCAGCTTACCCATTACCACGACGACGTATTCTCTTGGTGGATGCGATATGACGAGGTAGCTCGGAGAGGGCGAACAATAACGGATTATCAGGCATCTTACTATCTTATTTCATTCTCGAGTAAGGACGGGGAGGGTATTCACGTGTTGAAATGGGCTTGGGACCCGAATATGGAGATTGATGTAGAGGAATTTCGGTCTAGGTCGAGTTAGTCTCCGGCGACTCGAGTAGAATATAATCAAGTCTCTGCCATATGCCATCTTGTAACAAAAATGTTTGCGCCATTCACGAGACTCACGGGTCATTCGAATGTCCAGGTTATCATCATGTCTTTATTATGCACAGACCATCCAGCCAAGAACGCAGCACCCTGCCAATGAATGTACATAGACCATACGTGGTGACCGAAAACCTCTCTGGTTTGTGTGTAAAAATGCCGAATCATCTGCTGTCAAATCGTGTACTTGACGATAAAATAGGGTTTGGGCGCATGGCCACTATATACTGCCGCGCTCCGTACCGTGCGGGGGACTTCCGTCATAATTTGAGCCTCGCTTCATTATCTCCAACTCGTCGCGAACTTCCTCCCGCACAACAACAACCCAGCTGTGCCGCCATTACTCGCTGTAGCACGCGTCAATCGATATGTGGAGCTTAAGACTCCGGCCACTGCAAATGCAGTTGGCCTCGAATCGCTTTCGAGCTCTTTCCAGCTTCAAAACCCACGGCTCTCAGCGCGGTCCTCGCAACAGTATCCAACGGCCAGACCCCATACAAGCGCGTAAGACAGTCAGACCATCCCAATCAGCCGATCAACAACAGCCTGATCCCGCTGCCCCCGAACCTCGAGATGCTGCCAATCCGAACTACGACCCGTCGCAAAACACCTTGCTTGCTCCAGTCCATATACCAGAAGATCCCAATGGGGTACTCAAAGAGTTGCACCCAGCTACGTCAATTCTGGCAAATTCAGGGTTGGTCGTACAGCGACAACTTGAAATGATGAACGTCATGATGTGAGTGCGGCTTGAGTCATTGGTCCCATTTTGAGCACAGTTACTAACCTGTCTTTACAGTGGTTTCGAGCAGGCTAATAAATATATCATCATGGATGCACAAGGAAATCACATTGGATACATGGCCGAGCAGGAAAAGGGACTTGGAAATGCAGTAGCACGGCAATCCTTCCGCACTCACCGAAGCTTCGTGACGCATGTCTTTGACCGTCATGAGAATGAAGTTCTGCGAGTAAGTTTTGATATTGAAAATCATCAGTTATGGCTGTGCTATATGGCTAATCGACTCAGTTCCATCGTCCATTTGCCTGGATCAATTCCAAGATCCATGTCTACGATCCTCTCGACCAAACACCCAACTCTTACTCCCCATCCACATCTCTCGATGGTGTCTCAACAGGATCCCTCGTTACGCCTGCATCTACATCAAATGCACGTGTATCGCCACTTGACTTCGATCAGATGCGTGTCATTGGCGAAGCCCAGCAGCAGTGGGCACCCTTACGGCGAAAGTACAATCTTTTCACCCACCACAGATCCCCCGACCTAGCTACCGACATGGGATCAAAAGCTTCTTCAACAGGGACCGACCTCTCGCAAGGGAATCAAATTCAGCTCCAATCCGCGTCTGACCCAAACTCTGGCCATTTCAACCAGTTCGCATTTGTGGACGAACCTTTCCTATCATGGGACTTTTCCCTGAAATCTACAAATAATCAATTGATCGGATCTGTCAATCGTAACTTTGCAGGATTTGCCCGGGAATTCTTTACCGATACCGGTGTCTATGCTATGCGAATGGACTCCGCGGGACTCGGCGCCGAGTCTTCAAACAATGCACCCAGCGCAATGAGCCTTGACCAGCGAGCTGTTATGCTCGCTACTGCGGTGAGCATTGACTTTGACTATTTCAGTCGCCACAGCGGCTCCGGTGGCTTTGGCTTCATGCCTCTCTGGTTCCCCGGTATGGGTGGTGAAGCTGCAGCAGGCGGTGCTGCAGCAGGTGGTGCCGCGGAAGCTGGCGCTGTTGGAGAAGCGGCGACTGGAACCCTTGGCAGAGCTGCAGCTACTGGTGGCATGGGAGACGGCATGGCTGCGGGTGTTACGGGTGCAGGTGCCATGGCTGGATATGACGCTATGCAGAGAGGTCACTCAGGCCACCCGACTGATCCAAACTCTCCAGCGCCATCTGGTCAGCAAGAGTCGCAGCCCACAGAGGCAGAGTCATCTGGCTTCTATGACGAACCCCAGGACCCCTGGGGTCAGCAGGACCCTTGGGGCGACGGAGGTGGTGGCGACGCCGGTGAGGGCGGTGATAGTTGGTCTGACTTTTTCTAGAGTCGATGGCTGTAAATAAGCATTCTTAGAATGCCACTTTAAAAATGTAACAACACAATTGAATTCCCATGACACCCTGTTGAAGTCCACTGTTTTGCCTACAACAATCTTGGAACTGCCGGGGCTTCCTGATTGGGTGGAGTATATCTGTCCACCGCCCCGGAATTATTCCATCTCCAACGTTTATCCCACCACCCCGCAGAGTCATTGCCACTCACTCTTTCACTGCCTTGTCACTTCAAAATGGTGTCCACCGTCGCCCAGAAGCGCTTGTTCCACGAGTACAAGAATCTCTCCACCAATCCACCAGAGGGAATCACCGCCGGCCCAGTCTCCGAAGATGACATGTTCTACTGGGAAGCGCTGATCCAAGGCCCTGAAGAAACACCTTTCGAAGGCGGCGTTTTCGCAGCAGAGCTCAAGTTCCCCAAGGACTACCCTCTCAGCCCACCGACGATGAAGTTCATCGGCGGAGGCATCTGGCACCCCAACGGTACGCCCTCTTCATGCCGGTGGCAAATCCATACTAATCAATCGATCACAGTGTATCCCAACGGAACCGTCTGCATTTCTATCCTCCATCCCCCGGCGATGACCCCAACCACTACGAACATGCCTCGGAGCGCTGGTCGCCTATTCAGAGCGTGGAGAAGATCCTCATCTCGGTCATGAGCATGCTGGCCGAGCCCAACGACGAGAGCCCTGCCAATGTTGAGGCTGCCAAGATGTGGCGTGAACGCAGACCGGAGTATGAGGCCAAGGTCCGGGATGAGGTGAAGAAGGGTCTGGGGCTTTGAGTGGGCGTAGATGCTCTCAGGGACTCCATACTGCTAGCAAGAGTTAAGAATTGATGACCGGCGTCAGGGTTTGCTTTCCGCATGGTTCGGATGTTGGTTTGTACAGCGCATTCGGATCCTTCGCATCTATAGCGAATACAAGTACATGCACTTTTGACAGTTCACTTTTTGGTCTTTTATTGGTTGTATGCCCAGGTGCTAATATCCGCCCATTGAAATCATGGGCAGGATATGTCCGGGTGGTGTATCATTATTTTGAACTAATCTATATGCGGTTTACTCATTTATTGGCATATTGATACCTTCGCCCCTGCAGGTATTCTCGATGATCTTCACTCCTGCCGGAACATGCGGCGATCAATCCACCCTTCTAGGCCCCCAGTGTGCTCATACAGGACCTCAATCTCCGCCTTGAAATTGAGCATCAGCATACGCTGCAGCTCCACTCGCCACTGAGGCTCTGGACCATCACTCGCCCATACAGGACTATTTTGCAGCATAGCCAGGATCTTGTTGCGATCTCGCTTGGTCAATGGGCAAAGGGCTTTGTCCCCAAATTCGTCAGGAACGGCAACGATATCCGAGACCCGAAGACCGAGCCATTGGAGTCGGGGAAGGCTGAGTCGTGCATTCTCATGCAACTGCGCTACCGAGCCATACTTGTATGTCGACATGATGGCCATTCCGTGTGGGTCGCCATCTGTGAGGGCATAGAAACGAAGAGGTGTCGGTCTGGTGGATGCCACATCATATAGTTTGCGCAAGAATGCTCGGGTTGAAAGATCCGGGTAACCTTTGCCCTATGTGTGTCTCCTGGTCAGAAGGAGGCTTGGCTGATGGCGCAGTCTATCACTAACCGTGACCAGGATTCCTTCTCCTGCGGTTGCTCGGATGTGATACCCGCTGCGTGCGAGTCGATGAAAGACCGCCTGTGAAGAGCATTGGTGAGTCCATGCTCTTTTGAAGGTCTTGACCTCATACCTCTTTCTCTATCACCATCACCCATCGAATCCTCGAGATGTCAATCTCATCGCCATTTTTTAGGCGAGGGATCAAAGTGTCCTGTCCTTGAATAAGCTTTTATCTTGTTTGAAATACAGGCGGCTCACCTCCGTGGGCGACTGTGCATTGAGAACGACTTGTGATTCGCGAATCAGACGAAAGTTCCCTGCGACAAGACCTTTGCCAGCCGCTTCCTGTGGAGAGGAACCTAATGTCAGTGAGAAAGTCTTGCAATCTCCGACATTCCCCCACATACCACGTTCAGAGCCCCTCTGTTCACCCCGATGGTGCAGGCGAGATCATCAATGATATTGTTTACTATATATTGGGCACGAAAGAACTCGGGTTCGATATAATATATATCTCTGACGAGGCATTGTCAGCGGACCCTCTTCAGCTAGACCCAAGGCCAACCTACCTTTTGGAGATCAGCTGCCCCGTCCGAATGGCGTCCAACAAGATAGACATGATTCGAAGGATGACGGCTAACATAGTGTGGCCTGTCAGTGACTCTCACAAGCTATGGTCAAGAAAACATAGAAATCCCAAGTTCATACCGAACTTCCATTCCTCATACAGCGTCTTCCCAGGCCAAGAATATGTTCTCATAGATTCAACCCTCGAACCTCCATCTAGAGCCCCGGTGATGGGATTGATGAAGCAGCAGGCGGGATTGGCTCGACGCTTGAGACTGATCGAGAGGTGTGCCTCTGACGCAGGTAGTGAGAGCTCATGAACTAGTGCCATCAACGCATTCTCGATGTACTCTTGCACCGAGACAGTTTGCTCATCCAGCTCGAATGGCCGGAATGATGGAGATGCCATTTGATTGAGATGAAAAGTCTCATGGGAGAGACCCCAGTCTTTGTAGATTAAAGTTGCTATGGTCGCCTGAGGCTTGAACCTGTGACCTGCATATACTTCCGGTGACCAGTTGGCATCCCAATCTAAAACAATGAATCGATACGGAAAACGCTCCCAAATACTCTGTTCACACCTTAGGATAATATCAATATCAAATTCAATGTACCTGCAATCCTGACACAATTATAGTGCTCATTTTGGCCGGGACTTCCAATGTGGATTGTTCGGCCCGATGCTGCGGTGCTGATGGTGCGCCGGGGGCGAGATGGCCGGCTGTGGGGAGACCCATCCCGTCTTGCCGGTTGGCTCGTCCACCTTGCTTCTCACCGTTTCGCTCTTAACTTCTTCACTCTCGTTGAGAAAATTTTTCGCGTTGGCTATCATTCGTACAGCCCTATTTGCTTCGGTTGATGCTTTGATAGCCTGCTTTTGAGCTATCCATTAGCTGTTGAAGATCATATTCTTCGAGCTACGGTGCAGTTTTGATACCGATGACTAAGCTTCCCCGGTATCCACCAACCCGCGGAAGCTCCTGTTGATCCTCTGTTTGGCAGCAGTTGATCGAATCCAGTTGCTTCAAGTATGTCTACAACACCTCATATTGGGCCTTGGAGGACTCCAGCCCAGGGCCATCTTACCCCAGACGTCAATGGAGATCCGCAGACCGACTATTCGCGTTGGCGATTGGTCGATGAAGAAGGCCGTCAGACATGGCGCTATCTCGAATCTGATACCGAGAACGAGGCGTGGCCACAGTCAATAGCTGATAAGTATCACTTGGGACTGCCGACTGTATGTTAAAATCGTCGCCTTTTACCATGACCAATCGATTGACGTGTTTGCAGGGCCTTCCAGAACTACCAGAGGCGAAGACGCCATTGGAAGCTGCAGAGAATGGATTATCATTCTTCTCGCACCTTCAACTGGAGCCTGGAAACTGGGCTTGCGAGTATGGTGGCCCGATGTTCCTGCTGCCTGGTATTTTGATCACGTACTACGTGACCAAAACCCCTATCCCTCCTGAATATGCGACGGAGATCACCCGTTATTTGTTTGCTCGCCAGCACCCAGAAGACGGCGGATGGGGCTTGCACATTGAAGGCCACAGTTCGGTATTCGGTACCAGCATGAATTACGTCGCACTGCGCCTGATCGGCGTGAGCGAAGAGGATCCACGCATGATCAAAGCTCGGGGTCTCTTGCACAAATTCGGGGGCGCCATCTATGGCCCTCACTGGGCTAAGTTCTGGCTCAGTATTCTGGGCGTGATGGAATGGGAGGGCGTCAACCCGGTCCCTCCTGAGATATGGCTTCTTCCTGATTGGGTGCCGTTCGCCCCTTGGAGGTGGTGGATCCATATGCGCCAAGTGTTCCTTCCGATGTCATATCTGTGGTCCAAGCAGTGGTCGCACCCTCTGGATGATTTGACAAAGCAGATTCGCGAGGAATTGTACACTCAGCCTTACGACTCTGTTGACTTTGCCGCCCATCGCAACTCGATTCATGAGACCGACAATTATTACCCCAAAACATGGTTGCTGAATGGTGTGAATGAGCTGCTTGTCCGTGTCTGGAACCCATACCTCCGTATTCCAGCTGTTGTCAAGAGGGCCGAGGATTGGACCTGGGAATTGATTCGCATGGAAGACGAAAACACGAAATATGCTGGACTCGGACCTGTCAACAACCCGATGAACATGGTTGCTTGCTTCATCACGGAGGGTCCTGATAGTTTCTCCGTCCGTCAACACCGCGAGAGGCTCAACGATTACATGTGGGTGAAGGGCGAAGGAATGCTTGCAAACGGCACCAATGGAGTGCAAGTCTGGGATACAGCATTCATCACCCAGGCCATTGTTGTGGCCGGTTTCGCCGATGACCCCAAATGGCGACCCATGCTGACGAAGGCGTTGGAGTTCCTCGATGACCACCAACTCCGTGAGAACGTGCCAGACCAAGAAAAATGCTATCGTCAGCACCGCAAGGGAGCATGGCCTTTCAGCACCAAGGACCAAGGCTACACAGTCAGCGATTGCACCGCAGAGGGTCTTCGCTCCACAATTCAACTGCAAAACATGCACGATTTCCCCAAGATCATCCCGGAACAGCGCCTCAAAGACGCCGTGGACTGTCTGCTCCTCATGCAAAACCCTAGCGGCGGCTTCTCTGAATACGAGATCACTCGCGCATCTCCCAAAGTCGAATGGCTCAATGCCGCTGAAGTCTTTGGCGGTATCATGATCAGCTATGACCACCCAGAATGTACAACCGCCTCGGTCACTGCCCTCTCTCTCTTCAGCAAGTTCTACCCCAAGTACCGCGCTGCTGAAATTCTCGATGCAAAGAAGAAGGCTGTTGGACACATCAAGCATGTCCAGCGGGCCGATGGAAGCTGGTACGGCTCTTGGGGAATCTGTTTCACATATGCCGCGCTGTTTGCACTTGAAAGTTTAGCAAGTGTCGGCGAGACGTATGAGACGAGCGCAGACTCTCGGCGAGGCTGTGACTTCCTCATTGAAAAGCAGCAGGCGGATGGCGGCTGGGGAGAATCTTACCTTAGCTCTGCGACTCATCAGTACGTCCAGCATGAAAAGTCACAGGTTTGCCAGACTGCTTGGGCATTGTTAGGCTTGATGGAGGCCAGATACCCCCACAGGGAGCCCTTGGAGCGGGGTATTCGTTTGTTGATGAGCCGTCAGCAAAAGAATGGAGAGTGGTTGCAAGAGGCCATTGAGGGTGTTTTCAACCAGTCATGGTAAGTTGTCCACATTTTATCCGATATGGATTTGCTAACAATTTTAGCATGATCTCTTATCCGAACTACAAGTTCTACTGGCCTATTCGGGCCTTGGGCTTGTACGGCCGGAAGTACGGAAATGGGGAGCTTGTGTAGGGTGCTTCAGATGGATGAACATCAGTCCATATAGGCCGCAATCAATGATGGCCTTTCTATTGAACTGAAACAATGTTCTACCGTGGCATCCTGCACAGCTTATCGCGGAATAATACTGGGTTTATGTACTTAATTAACAATTTATTTGGGGGAAGCCGACAAACCGTCCGTGGACTACATTTCAACCAACTCTTTTGCCAAATGACAGTGGCAGCGCGTGATCCCGCTGCACCCTTTTGCTTCCGGGGATGCTTGATTTGCCTCGGTCTCTCTCGCTGGCCTACCATCCTCTTTCGTCCTATTTCGTCTCTACGCGTCTTCATACTTCGCGATTTCCTTTGATCCTCCTACCATCCTTTCGCCGGATTATCAGCCGAATCTGCCAACCCGATAACCACGATATCCTCTCGCCGTGGTTCAATCTTGCACGATGGACCCCTACAAGCCCAAGTCATTGGGTAGTCTTGCCACTGAACTCATTCTGATGGTCGGAAAATCCCTGTCCCTAGGAGATGTTCGCTCCCTTGCCAAGTCCAATCGCCGATTCTACATGTTATTCCAAGATACCGTTTTACGGACCGTCTACTGCCACATATGCAAAGAATTCCACGAACACAAAGGCGATGGTTTTGGCCTATCTGGCCCAGTTTCGCAATCGACCTCCCAGCTCCCATGTGCCCACTCCTGTCACGCCAAATTGAGGTGCCTACAACTGCCCAACATTCGTTCGGAATACGTTTTCTACCATGTGCAACTCAAATCCGCTATGAAACGGTTTCATGTGGGCCATAAATGTGGAATAACTACCCAGTCGCTCTCATACAAAGAAGTGACCCAATACTCTGGCTGGACAACTGATCCCACATTTGGCAAACACACCTTGTTCTCAGTCGAGGCCATGATATGTGGCAACCCACCAAGCTTGCATCTCCGAGCCCAGACAATAATTCTCTACCGTCGCGATCAAGGAGCCGAGACATTTCCCAGCAAGATCTGTATGAAGCTCTGGCGGGATACTCTTTCATTTGGGTGGAAAGACCTCAATTCCATGGTGACCCCTGCCGAAGAGCATTACACAGACCAAACCATCCGGCAATTCTGTGTTGAAGAAACCACTCTTCGCAAGATAAATTGCGAATGCTCAATTAACCATGAGCTTCGTGTCCACAATCTGGCAGGCGGGGCCAGAGCCGCATTCGTGGTTACAAAGTGGCTGGACTTGGGGGAAGGCCAATTCCAAACTGATCGCCGTTGGACACAAAACTGTACAAATCGCTGGTATCAGAACTTTGGACAAAGCAGAGCAGCAAGCCCGCGGGCAACATTCGAGAATGCATGCCCCGAAGACAACTCTGCCCTGAAAGCTGGTCTTCGAAGCGTGGCCTGCCTTCGGGACCAATCGTACCAATGCTGGCAGCGCGTGATAGTCTCGTCTGGGACCCATTTCAATGGATGGGTCCAATGATCTTGTTGCTGCCCTGGTGCGGGTGCCAGTGTGTCCAGGTGGCTAAATTGCTTCATTGCACATAGGCGAATAGGCGGATAGGAGGGGCTCAGATTCATGTGAACCAAATGTACGAGCCTTTAATGCATGATTTTTTGGACGTTCTCTTTTCTCGTAACAAAGGATAGTTCTCACGTGCTGCCATGGAGCCCTAATGCGCTTTCTTATACTTAGTACCTAATATCAAACAATGGCCAATCTTCAAAGCGCCATATACCTATCAGTAACCTGCTCACTGAAGCCTAGAGCAAATAGACTTAGATGTTCGGTATGGCAAGTCCACGGAACAAAGCTCGGAAACCCTAGAGGCAGTTCATTATAGGGAAGACATAGTTAGGATGATAAAGATGATCCATTCTTGGCCGAACTATGGCTCGTATAGTTCGTATTCGGCTTGCGGGTACATGAGAGTTGGCCAAAGGCGAGGAGACAACTGCGAGCACACTGAGAACTTAAAAGGTAAGCACTTGTAGGATCTCTGCACTGACAGGAGTCTCCAGCCATGGATATTTGATTCCAGACGTCTCTGGCAAAACCATGCCTGTATTGGAGTCCAGGAAGTCATTTTGTGCTCCGTAGTCGTAAAATCTCCCAATGAGATAAAACAGTTAGGAGTACACATTACACATGCAGCGGCCAAATTAAATTGACCAGTTGGTGGGGAAGCTGCAGAAGGGGGAGCGCGGCAAGAGCGGCAAGAGCGGCAGAGGGTGAGTCTTCCAATGACGTCACGGCGCACGTGACCTCGGATCCTTTTTTCTTCACCGCTCTACTCACCGCTCGCCGAAATGGAACCAGAGCTTCCGACATTGAGCCCTCCCAATGAGGAGGAAAGGATCTGGATCGCTTCTAGAGTTTGTCCAGTCTCTGCCCCCCTGGTTCTCTGCAGCTTCCGAGTGCTTTCTTCCAACCCCCCAACCCATTCTGTACATTTCCCGATCGCGCGCTCCCGAGCCTGCTGCCAACATGGACGCAGCAAAGAACGCCGATGCGGCCATGCAGAAATCTGATTTCCCCCTCGCGATTCAGAAGTACACCCAAGCTTTGACCGAGCTCCCCCGGGCTGCCGTATTTTACATTGGGCGCTCTACTGCCTTTTCCCGCCTCAAGCCCGAAGACGGCGGCCCCAAGTACCAGGATGCGCTCGATGACGCGGAGATTGCCGTCCGTTTAGCTGTTGAACGCGGTGGCCACGAGATCATGCTTGCCGCTGTCATGCGCCGTGCTATTTCTCTTTTCCAGCTGGAACGCTTCGGAGATGCCGAGAAGCTTTTTAACTACGTTGCCTTGTCCATTGAGAATGAGAGCACCGTGCCTGACCCTAAGAAGTCGATCAACAAGTTCCGCTCTTCCGTCCCTACCTGGGTGGCCAAGATGAAGACTCTGCGGGATAACAAGGTCGAAGGCGATGAGAAGTGGGTTGTGAACATCGACGATGACCTCAGCGATATTGGAATTCCGACTTCCGAGCAGTTGAAGGCCCAGCTGGATGTTGTCTTGGCCAAGTACCCTTCGCGTTTTCCTGCTCCCGTGAAGAAGGAAGAGGATATGTCAACCCGCCCTGTGGAGATCCGGCCCGACTGGTACGAAACCCCTCAAGTCATGTCTGTGATTTTCTTGTTGAAGAACATGACTCTTGAAAACGTGGAGGTCGATGTCCAAATGTCAGAGACTTCGGTGAGTGATTTTCTGGGTCAATCTGGCTGGAGGCCCAAGCTAATCTTTTAACAGCTGGTGGTGAAGGTCCCAACCCCGTCCGGTTCGATCGCAGAGGCGTACATCTATCCCCTGTGGGCTCCCATCGACCCTGAACAATCCACCTTCGTCGCCAAGAGCTCGAAGATCGAAGTCAGCCTGCGCAAGAAAACCTCTGGAATGTGGAAGAACCTGATGAAAGTACTTGTCCCTGCCCACCAGGGCGTCGTTCCTAGCGGTAACCCGAACTCGAATTCCGGCGCAGACAACGTCGAGTCCTCCAAGGAGCCTGAGCAGCATGGCAAGGGCCCTAAGGACTGGGACAAGGTCCTGGCCGATCTTGACGCCGAGGAGAAGGCTTCTTCTGGGTCCAAAGTCAATGCCTCGACCGATGGCGCTGCTGATATGGACGATGATGAGCAGCCTGGCGACATTGATGCCTTCTTCAAGAAGCTGTACGCCGGTGCTGATGACGATTCTCGTCGCGCCATGATCAAGAGCTTCACGGAGAGCCAGGGCACTTCGCTCAGCACCAACTGGTCTGACGTCGGCAAGGGCAAGGTTAACCCCCATGAGTAAGCTCCACTCGTCCACTTTTCATGCGTCTCGTGTTCCATTTGTGTTTTCAAGCCGCATGTTGCGAGCGATATTACTCGAGGTTATTTTCCTATGTCCCTGAGGGCCACGACTTACGAATTTTCATTCATCGGTTCATATGGGTTTTGTCTTCTGGTCTTTTACAGACTGCATGCATGGAGCGAAAGGTGTTTTTGAAGATATCCCATTTAGTTTTATCCGCAGCTTTAGCTGCCAGATAGGTTCAATCTACCGGGGAGCCTCATGGCTGGACCATTTATTTTGATGCATTTGACAGTAACACTCATTGCCTGCGTAAAATGTTTGACTTGACGTACATGCAGGTGCCCAGGTGATGCAGACCCATGTATATCCGGCGTTCACAATCAATATCTTCAAGTGATTTAACTACAGGTTCAATCCTTTTGTCTTGACATTTACTACTTTCTCACTTGTTGCTCATATCTCACATCATAATATCCATTCCATCAAATTTCACATTCTAGCTCTAAGAAAACATTCGAGAACCTCTTCCTCCGTCAATCTTGGAACACGATCAAATTCCCAATGGCAATTCAACTCATACCGGTGAGCTTAAGGACATTTCATAACCGTCCCGTTCCCCGAAAGTACAACTGCAGTACCTTGTCCATCCTGTCTCTGCAAGGTAGCCTGAACACCACCCCCGGACAACGCGATCGAGAACTTCGCTCCGGCATCATTGGTCTTGGCCATATATGACTCTCCGTCATAGATCTGCACAGATGTCTTGACAGGCTGAGAGTCCATCATGCCAGGTTTGAGAGTTGGTCCTGCAACGGCGTTCACCTTCTCGTAGAGTATCCAAACCATGGCGTCCTCATTCCCAAACACAATTGACTTGTTCGCTTTGTATTGTTGGCAGAGCTTTGCGGTCGCTGGTGTCTCTTTGTTCTCTCCAGCGGAGATTGCTGAAATCACGAACCCGTGCTTATTGTATATAGCTGCGACGGAAGCGGCGCCCAGGTTGGGGACTGTCACTCGGTTCACTGCGCTCCATTTGCCGGAGGTAGTGTAGTCGACAAGCAATGTAGATTCTTTTGGGGAAGTCATCGCGGTTTGAGTGATTGGATTTCGACTTTGGTGTGTTCTTGAGAATTGTTTGCGGGCTCTTTGAAGAGTTGAGGGCAATGTTTAGAATGGTATGCTTCTGACATCTTCCTGACTTCGAATGGTATATATACTCGATTTCCGCCTCAAACACCTGTTGACCTCACGAAGAGTGTATAGTTGGGCTGGAAACAGGGCAGCAGAAAAGTGTCAACCAGGTATGAGGCAAAGTTCCATCCCGTACATTGTTGGCTGGCAAGCAACCACGGATGGTATAGATCGGGTAGGCATAGATGGGGTTCACTAGATCGCCAAGAGGTCTCAAATGGCTGGAAAGGGTGGTTGCAAGACAGTTCATGACTGTGAAACTGGCAGTTAAACTCAAAGATGAAATGATAGGCTGTCGGCGGTTATAGCTCTGAGTTTCATGGAGTTCTATTCGTTCCTGGGCGGGAATGTTGCCGCCGGACCCATCTTGATCCATCAAAACTTCATTCGACTTGCGCTGGACACTGTGAGTTGGCCCACAAGCCATGTTTTGCATTAGCTCCGTAGCCTTGGTAGAGCTGCGTGCTGTCCGCGCTGGTTGGCTCAGGGGTAAAGTTGAAATTCCACCAGTTCGTTTAGGCCTCTACGCTCCATGCAAGGAACCACGCTATGCAGTGTTTGACCTGCTGGGAGGGTGTTATATTGAGTCTCTGCGGCCTTAGGCATGAGAGAGACTACTTGGTTCCATGGTTCACTTTGCTGGTGTTCGCACAGGCCTCATCGCGAGTATGTGATCCTTGCTCTTCCCCTCGCCTTGCCCGAGTCATAGTTGATGATGACATTAGTATGGACCGTGATACTACTTTAAGTCATGCCTGACGAGGGGGTTTGGGCACACGTTGTTTGATTTTGCGTTTCCTCGTAACTTTAGAGGATTAAAGGTCAGAATAGTCAGATAAGCCGAGGCACGATGTTTCAACTTGACACTGTTGGGATCCGTATGAGGCCACAACAGTCAAGTCAAGCTGTTCGCCACGACACGACCATGGCAAACAGCCTTGGAAGCATAGTTGGCAGACCTCGGGAACGCTTGCATGCTATACCTGTGAGCCGCACTCAGTTAGGAAGGACACTAATTTAAGCCATGCCTCAGATGTCAACACCTTGGTGTGGGATCTAACAAGCAACATTCTCCCATGATCATTCGTTGAGCCATTCCTTCGTTATTTTTGTGTGTACATACAATAAGACAACTCTTTTGGGTTGCGTTTGGTGTTTCAAGGTCAACGTGAGACGTATCCGTAGTGGTTGGCCCTGATGCAAATGAAGCGACGCGAGTCTATCAGGCGGCCGGGAGTTTTACTCTTCGTCATCCTCACCAGCCTTTGGATCGCGATACAGGAAGAACTGTGTGAAAATGGCCATGTCCAACAGGAGTGTGCCGGCACTGCCAACCAACCATGACAGGTTTACCAACACATATTGACCATACAGCGCAGCCGCCTCACCAGGGCGGCACTTCGCATGATGACGGTGATGTCCCATGATTTCCTCTGGTGATCCACTGGAGCAAACAGGGGAGTAGGCCAAGATGGACAACACATAAGTCAAGTTTCCAATGCAGGCGAATAGGAAGAACAACAACGAGACTCCATCAGTTGATTTGCGTCGGTAATTCAACAGCAGCTGAGGCAGGCGGGATCCCAGATACAGCACCGCACAGAAGTACCCAAACACTTGACCGAAAAGATCCAGGGTGATGGGCTCTGGGTCCGGGGAGGAAGACTTCGCAGCTGGACTGACATACCAGCCTAGTACACCCGCAGCGCATACAAGAGCTACGGCCGTCAGGTTGAACAGAATGGACTGAAGGGCGGAGATGCGGCGACGATGGGCTCGCTGGGCGCGTAACTGCGCTGAGTCAGAGGACGGCTCAATGAACGGCGTGGCGGGGGATAGATGGGCCGAAGTCTCGAATATGTCATGGTAAGATGTTGCGGAGGCTCTTCTCCCAGCTGACACAGGGCGCCCGTCTCGGGTGTCCTGAGACGCACTTCCATGGCCTTGAACCTGAGTATGACCGTTGTTGCTGCCGTTGGACTTGGGGATCAGGCTTGATTGTTCTGTTGGCTCCTGTTGGCTCCCGTTGCCGCCTTGTTCGGCATCGGAGTGTAGGAGCTCCGGTGTGGGCGAGGAAGAGAGCTCATCCTTGAGGCTGAAACCTCGGTAGTAAAAGCACTGTCCCAGCAATACTATGTCGGCAAGTGTGTAATACACGGCAAGAATAATCATAGTAGGCAGCACACCTTGCATGACGGCGCCGAGGATGTTAAACACATCGCCGGCCAACCAGACGATGAGGAAAAGTAGTGACAGGCCATCGGCGGAGCCGCGGCGGAAATTCTCAATAATTTGAGGAGAAAAAACAACGACCCAGCAGGCGATGGAAATAGAGCTGAGTTGGTTAGCATATTGTTCAGTTTAAATGTGACTAAAACAGAAAATGATCGGCTTGTGTCGATATGCGTAGTGCTCCCGAGGTCTGTCGCACAAGTATGCGTGACATGCCTGAACAAAACAGCTATACAAAAGGACTGATTTGGATTCCAAGGGTAAGAGAGAGGTTGCGGCTGATTGGACTTACCCACAGATGCCACTCAGGGCCTCAATGTTGAAATTAGCCGCCTGGGAGGGGAACATGATGGAATCGTATGATTCAAATCACAATTTTTCGTAGCGGCGTAAAGCAACACAATTGATCAATCTACCCACAACTTTTCTATTAGATTAGATGGGGGTTCACAGGAGGCAATAAATAGAAGTCCCCCCGACAATTGAGGGAAAAGAATTGGAGAAGTCCCATTCCGCGGGTTCAAAGGCAAATGACGTCGTCGGTCACGTGCAACTATACATTTGAGCAAAACATTGACTCATCTCTTCGTTTCTTTTAATTTTTCTTGTTTCTAGATACCTACGTGAATATCGTGATTTGAGCTATGTCTGGGCGGTCATCAACCAAAGGCAAAGACTATCAAGCAGCAGTCTTCATCAGTAGCTCAAGCTTGTCTTGGCAATCACAGAAGATATTCACAGCCTGACAGCAGTTAGGAAAGCTTCACAATGAATCACTTAAGACGGTGGACATACCTCAGTCAGTTTTCTTTGACTAGCACCACCCTGGTCTCGGGCAAAGGTAATCTGGAAGCTTCCCGGGTCGTTGATGAAAGACACGCCCTTTGCAGGGATAGGAAGTGTGGGCGCCATGTCGAACAAAGACTGGATATTGCCAGCATACGGTTGAGTCAATTGCTCTAGCAATGCCGGCGCAATAGTCAGATGATCCACTCCTGCAAGGAAGAAGATCTCCTCAACTGAAGTCAAGCTTGCAGGCAGAACCTTAGTTGGCGAATTGATTGACTTGTAGTATTTCTGAATAGCTGCACACAGTGGCAGGAGCTTTGCCTTGTCCTCAAATCTATGCTCATATTAGCATACTTCAGGTCTTTTATTTCTTGGTATAGACACATACCCGGCATCAAAGTGAACCTTCAACTCATTCACATATGGTGCAATATAAGTGCAGCCAACTTCAGCCGCTAGCACAGCCTGGACCATTGTGAAGAGGGTTGTTGCAAGGGTACGAACGCCGGCTTGCTCGAGAGTTCGACAAGCCATGATTCCTTCCCATGTGCTTGGAATCTTGATTGAAATACGGGCTACGTCAAACCCGGGCTGAACATGCTGGAACAATTGCACAATTCCTGTCGTGGATGGTGATCAGTATAAATATGCAACCAGGATTCTATGATACCCACGAAGTGCGTTGACCACAGTCTTCTCTGTGGAGTATGAGTAGTAGGGGTTGGTCTGCACATGAACGAGCCCACGGATATGCTGGGCCATTCCAACGGCCATGCGAACCATCTGTCGAGTAGTGTTATTATTCAATTGCTGGTCTTCATGAGCCCGGTGTTACATACAGCAATTTCAACAGCCAATTCTTCAATGGAAATTGAAGAGTACTTTGGGTGAAGAGCTTTGGCATCGGCCAGCGACGCAGCAATCAACTCTCCTCTCGCTGGCTTGGATAGTTCCCCGAAGGCAATGGCCTAGCCTAGTTAGCTCTAGCATCTCGAAATACACTGATTACCTACTTGATTAGAAGTGGAATCCTGGAATGGGCCCAGAGTTTTGGCGACTAAAATGTGAATATTAGTTCTTGAACACAATCATATAGACCATGACTTGTACCCTCTTCGTCCATTGTATCGCAGTCGACTACCGTACGCGAACGCATATACTCGAGGCCTGATTGGACTGCCATGTTTGCGTTTGAATCAAATTAGGTAAAGTCGAGGTAGGTGAAAAATTGTATGAGAGCAGACAAATGGAGTGCAAATGGAGGTTGAGAAAGTCTGGGGAAGGAAAAAAGGGGGAAAGTCATCCCACATTCTCCAGATAAACGGTTAAACATGACATGATTTAGTGGGGTAGAATTTCCGGGGCTGGCTCCTCCGAGTCATTTGATCTAGATTACCATTGAGACTATCGATTTTACACCACATGCTGCATCATCGGTGCGTTAGTACTTCAGAACTCTCGCTTTGTGGACTAATGAAGCATTGGAGTTTCACCAAAGTGCTGCTGTACTACAGGGAATCCAAAGCGGGCTAAACATTCATCCGTGAATATTTGAAAACTGCGTGACAACGAGCTCTACAATTGAGACGAATCTCTCCCAGTCATCAAATCTGCAGGTGAGGATTGAGGGGTAGTGCTTAGATTATCCCGATTAGGAAATGTTGACATTGGATAGAAGATGGTATATTGATATGCCAAGAAACGCCCCGCGATGCAAAGTAGAACCCACCCCCAACCTACTATACCAAGATACCCAAGATGTTTTATGAAATCAAATGCTGTTTGTGGGCGTTTTTATTTGGCCTGAGTCGCCAACCAAGCCTCGTGAGCCTTCTTCTGGTTCGTCCATTCTTTACGGAGCTTCTTGCCCCGGCTCTTGTTGATCTCCTCGCCTGCAGCATCGCGGAGAGGGATACCTTCGTCATCCCAGGCACTGTACTCACTGGTACGGAACATGTCCAAGTGGCTCAGCTTGCCCTTCTCTGCCTTCTTCAGGGCCTCTTGCTCCTGCTTCTTCTTTTCCGCAAGCTTCTGGCTGGCCTTGGCCTCCTTGTCTGCCCGAGCCTTGATCATCTCCTGGGTGACAGGTCGGACGAGGGCAGGTTGGTTCTCCCGATCTTCCAGGTAGACACCGACGCCGAAAAGATCGATGTCACGGACGCGATCGCACAGAGACAAGATGTCCTTGCCAATGGACTGGGAGGACTCCAAGGATGCAACGTTGTTGCGGAAGTTCTCGAAAATATCGGCGTACGGCTTGGCAGACTCAGACGCCTCCTGTGGTGGGGATGTGCGGGCAACTGCCTCTTCGAGATCCTTGGCGGTGATACCAGCCTTGGACCGTGCAGCCTCGCGGAGACGGTCACGCATAGAGGCGAGCGGGTAGAGGTAAGGCTTGGCCTCGCCAGGGACGTCGATACCAGACCAACCAATTTCGGAGCTATCGGCCGAGGCAGTGCCGTTAAGACCGAAAATGTTCACCATTGAGGTGACCCATTGAGCAGCCGCCTGAATGTCCTCGGCAGGCACGCTGGCCTTGTCAGCAATGTTGAACTTGGAGATGAGTTCAGAGATCGACTGCATAACAGCTGGGGTGTTGAAAGAATCGCAGAGTTGCTCATTGACAGTCTTCTTGGTGGCTTCCAGATCAGCGGCAAAAGAGGTGTCTGTGCCCGAAGACTGGAGAACAGACGGGTCCTTGACCTTCAGGAAGAAGTTGTTGACCTTCTCCTCCCATGAGCTACCAAATCCGACAAGATCGTCAGTGATCTCAACACCGTCCTTCCAGCCACCCAGAAGGAAGACAACACGCAAGCTGCGTGGGGTCCAGTCCTTGCGGTCGAGGGCCTCCCGGATGGTTGTGAAGTTCTTCAAAGACTTGGACATCTTAGATCCTTGGATGGACAGGTGGCCCATGTGCAGGAAGTAGTTGACCCACTGGTCGTGAGAGTCATGCTTGTGGCCATCGTGCCAGTAGGCTTCACTCTGAGCCAGCTCGTTGTCGTGGTGAGGGAAGGCAAGATCAATACCACCAGAGTGGATATCCATCTGCTTGCCTAGTCTGGCAGATGCCATGGCTGAGCACTCGATGTGCCATCCAGGACGACCCTTGCCCCAGGCACTAGACCAACTGGGCTCGCCAGGCTTCGAAGACTTCCACAGAGCAAAGTCGGAGTTTCCGCGCTTCTGAGTGGTTTTGCTAGCTAGAGATCCTTCACCCTCCGCGGCCAGCTTGTTGTCTGACCGACTCCACGGCTCAAGGCGAGCGTACGGGTGACCAGCAGCCTCGAAAGCATTGATGTCGAAGTAGACGGATCCATCTTCCGTGGCATATCCGAACTTGTTCTGCACAATGCGGTCAACGAAAGCCGCGATCTCGTCACCGTACTCCGTCACTCGAGTCAGCTCAGTGGGGTCGAGAACGTTCAGATCGCGCATGTCCGTCAAGAACCGCTCCTCATATCTCTTTGTCAGCTTGGTAAAGATGCTGTGGTCGTTCGCGTCAACAGATGCACCCTTGAGCGCATCCAAAAATGGGAGAATAAGATCTTGCGCCTCCGTGTAGAAGGTTTCGGGGAGAACTGCGGGACCGGCACTTTTGTCATTGTGGGACTCAGCCAGCACGATAACCTTGGCGGCCGAAGCAGCCGTCTTGATGTGCATCTTGACCTTTGCCTCATCATCACCAGCCTTCTCGTTCCCTGGCAAAGCTCCGCCGTTCAAGATAGTCGCATATGTCTTCTCGACTTCCTTCTGGTACTGCGAAGCGGGGAGTGCGGAGTCGAGCAAGGGCAGGTTCTTCTTGATATAAGCGGCAAAGGCGAGGTTAACGGTATTTAGGACTTCCGGTGTGATCGTTGGGTTTGCGGTGACGAAATCGTTAAATAGGTGTTGTTGTCTGGCGCGGAGAATGATCTATGGAAAATTTAGTGACTGCTCTCAGTAACGCGCATGCTTCGACGCGGCACTAATATATCCATACCTTGTCGTCCACATCGGTAATGTTCATCACAAAGTTGACATCGAACTTGAAGTAGTCGCGCATAATTCGACGAATGATATCGGTGCTGACATAGTTGCGAGCATGTCCTAAATGCGCGTCGTCATAGACAGTCGGTCCACAGGCGTACCACTCCACCTTCTTACCCGCAGGGTCGATTGGAACGAAAGGTGTCTTTGACTTTGTCAAAGAGTTCCAGACCTTCAATGCGGGCAGTTGCGCATTCGCACCGGTGGGTGGCTGCTGCCAGGGCGGCTGCTGGCGAGAAGACATGGACCTAAAGAAAGCGAACGACCGTGAAGATTTGGACCGAGAGAAGGAAAAGTAAAGTGATCGGGGAGCGAGCATAAAGAGGGGAGCGAGGCGCTTAGAGGGGCTCTGGTATCGACTCATCAACAGCGGCTTGGCTGTGATTGGCGACCATCAATTGCCATCGTCCACCGCCTCGACACCGCAGCCCTGTGCCCTAATTCGAGGCCCCATTAGGCAATGAGCCCCGTCTTTTTCTCTGCGGAGAGGCGTTCTCCAAGTCATTGCTCATTCACGATGCCGTCTCCGTTTTTGACTCCGAATCCTATAGCAGACGCAGACAGTCTCGCTCTGCTGCAGCTTCGTCGCGACCAGCTCGTTCCGACAATACTTCGCGACCATGACGATGAGAACCAAGGCTACTTCGAAGGCAAGGTCACCAACACCCGCTTTGGTTCATTCCCGCACAGCACCTTGATTGGAAAGCCTTGGGGATCTCAAGTGGTAGCTTCCAAGGTCGATACCGGCTCGCGCGGTCGTAGACCAACCAACAAGCGCAAAGCTGAAGATCTCGACGCACCCGCAACACCGACTGCTACGGAGGAGGAGAACAAGAAGCCAGCTTTAAGGACACCCGTCGCCGCAGACAGTGGTTTTCTACACATTCTCGCCCCAACACCAGAAGCATGGACGCTTTCTCTGCCGCACCGCACGCAGGTCGTGTACACCCCGGATTACAGCTATGTTCTTCACCGACTGCGCGCACGACCAGGCTGCACAGTCATTGAAGCCGGAGCTGGTAGTGGCTCATTCACACATGCATCGGTTCGCGCCGTGTTTAACGGCTACCCGGAGACCGAGCCTACGGCCAAGAAGCGCCGACTAGGAAAGGTGTGCAGTTTTGAATTCCACGAGCAGCGCGTGGGCAAAGTGCAAGAGGAAATCAAAGACCATGGACTCGATGGCCTAGTTGAGGTCACGCATCGGGACGTGTACGAGGATGGCTTCCTTTTGGGAACGCCTCACACTGGTAAATCGCCCAAGGCTAGCGCGATCTTCCTCGATCTACCTGCACCCTGGCTTGCCCTGAAGCATCTTGTACGCAATCCCCCTGCTGGTCAAGAGTCAGCTCTTGATCCAGAGTCGCCAGCCTACTTGTGTACCTTCTCCCCCTGTCTCGAACAGGTAGAGCGCACGATCCGCACCATGCGCCAGATGGGATGGCTTAATATTTCTATGGTGGAAGTTGCTCAGCGTCGAATTGATGTGAAGCGCGATCGTGTCGGTCTGGATACCGAAGGCGAGCGCGGTGCAACCGTGTTCCCCCAGACTGTTGAGCAGGCAGTCGAGAAGCTTCGCAGTGACGAACAACACGCGAAGCTTGTCCGTGAAAACCGAGTCAACAGGAGTCACCCAGATTATGAACCTATTGAGAAGGGAGACTGCACTTTCCATGATAAAGACTTTGGTATACCCAAGTACGCCCAAGGTCGCTTGGTGCATCGGTCTGAAATAGATCTCAGAACGCATACCTCATACTTGGTATTTGCCATCCTCCCTCGAGCTTGGAGCGAAGAGGATGAGAACAAATGCAGGGAACAGTGGCCATCGGATAAGGTCACCAACACTGGAGCTGCGACAAAGCCCAGCAAAAAGCAATTGAAAAAAGAGGCCGGGATAGAACGGGCGCGAAAGCGCCAGGAGAAGGCAGAGCAAGAAAAGCAGGCCCAGCCCGAATCTGGCGATAAGCCTGAGGATGAATCCGAGGCTCCAGTCGAACTTAAGGTCGAGGCGTCCGGGTGATTGTACAATGATTTGTTTTAATAGAAGTACCAAGCCGAACAACCGCACAGCGTTATTCCCAAGATATCATCGAATGATCTGACTACGAAACCAAATAATTAATGATCTATGAGCTCTTCATCGACTCCAGTCTTTCATTCTCAGGCGTTGCATTTCAACTCAGCATCGCATGCCTAGCCTTAGTTAACAGCGCTGAAAGCCAGAAATCGCGCATGGATAGAGAAACATGGTCATTTGCAGGTATCAACCCCTTGCTAGTGAAGAGAGTCAGTGTCTGGAGCAAGCATAATATTGCTTCATCCGCCAATCTCAGCCTCGATAATCCAATTGCCATCACCAGGCGAACACCGATTGTGTGTTGGAAAATCCCTTTCCAAGGTTGACAAGTTTACTGTCTTGGTATTTCCCTTCAAATTCAAACTCAATATTTACGGCAAACTGGCATTCGTTCTGAGAAAGCCCTGGAGAGATTCCTACATCCTCAATACAACACTAGGAATTACAGCTAATGGAGCCTGCTAAAGAGGCCGATCCGCTTTGTCTGGTATAATATGATATGCGAGCTTACTTTCAGGATCTCGCTGACAAGTCACACCGCTAATCCTCCGGGCCCTCTGACCTCGCCGTTCTCAAGGAAACAATGCTCTCGCCTTATCATTCTTATATCCAAGCAGGCTTTGATTATCACATCTACTAGTTCCACTATCATCTGTACAACTATGTCTATGTCTATCGACTCAACCTCTTGGGCTACCGTTGAAGATTTCCTGCAAGAGAGTGATAGGGAAACCACCGACTGTTTCAACCGAACTCAATGGAATGAGCTCTGTCGAATTGCTTCAGATCTGAATGGTCATTTGAAGTGTACTGCTTTAAACCAGGTCGCAAATGGGCTTAATAATATTGTTCGTCTACTGGAATTCTCTGATGGGACTCGTTGGGCGGCCCGGGTTCATATTCAAAGAAATACCTCCATCCCTATCAGCCCTAAACTCGGAAGCGAGGTTGCAACAATGCAATTCATCAAGGAGCATTCAAGCATACCAGTTCCCCGGGTTTATGCTTATGAACTCGAGCTTGACGACAAGAATACAGTGGGTAACACATTCATATTGATGGAGGTTCTCCCTGGCAGTGTCGCTATGGACACCCTTGGCGGCCACAAAGCCCATCGCGGCGTGATACCAAAACAACACCGACCAATATTTTACCGCTCTGTTGCAAGATGTCATGTTTGTCCCCTCAAGCTGTCTTATGAGCTCTCGTCTTGCTTAGCTGCTTACCTTTTACGGAGTACTGTAGGTTCAGTTGGCTTCTTTGCGATTTCCAAAAATCGGGGCGATAATCCGTACCCACAACGGAGGATACGAGTGTGGCCCTTTGCCAGGACTTGGTGGTCCATTTGACACAGCAACTGCATTCTTCGAGGCGTGGGCCGACAGCGTCAAGTTCAAGCAGAATAAAGACACAATCAAACACATGATGCAGAGAGCTCCAATATCAGCTGAACGAATGCTGGCTAGTATCGACAACTTCCCATCACAGATCAAATCGATGGCTAGCCGGCTGTCACTATGTGACGAAGGGCCTTTCCCTCTATCACACGAGGACTTTCTTCATAGTAACATCATGGTGGATGAGAATACCTTCGATGTGACGGGAATTATTGATTGGGAAGGAGCTTGTACTGTTCCTATTGAATTTCTTACGTTCCCGGATTTCCTCACAGCTATGCCTATGTCCTTCGATCTGCCAGGGAAATACGACCAAGATGGGCAGCCATTTGACGAGGAAGTACGAGAAGTGTGGCGTGAGCGAGAAGAGTACATCGAAATGGTAAAATCTGCTGAGCTCAGCGATAGCCTACTTTCAACCTGCCTCAGCAGTAAGAGGACCCAGGCTCTAGCTTATTCGTATGGAGCGTATAGCTTTATTGGAAAACTAGGTCTCTATGATCAAGTTGTGGCATTTTTGGAGAGTGAGGAAGAGACCTCAGATAATGCAACTAAGGCTTCCGGGGTATGAAGAGAGGCCGACGAAGAGGACCTGTGCATTGCTGAGCTGAGCGATGGTGCTGATGAGTTTCCGACACGTCACACTGATTGCTAGATTTTTGGGTGGCAGACCTCAGTCGCATCAAGATATTTGCATTTTAAGTGGTGTCTAAAGTGACCTGAAGATATTGATCTCGCTCAGGGCGATTGACTGTCCTAGAGATTGTCTAAAAGTAGCAAGTTGATATAAATTCAATGGATGCAGTATCAAGAACAAGCCTCAGTGCCGCACTCACGCGGGGCCAAAAAGACTATTACGGTTGCTTATAAACAGGAGTACAGAGTAGTTATGTGTTGGCTTAATCGCCTATTTTGAATGTTAAAGGAAGAGACCTATCGTCAACTTGGGGCCTCTGCTTGTCTTTTGGACTGTCTTTTTGGCTGCCCTTTCAACTGATTGTCGAGTCATCATGATGGTCGAGTAAATGAAGTCTGGGCTAAGCCGTGAACAGAGAACTTGAGATTGGGGATACAGGTCCTCTGCTATGGTGACACTAATCTAGAGATGGAAGAAAGAAAGGTGAAGAGAGAGCGAGAGAGAGTAAGTATATGAAGCCTGCCTTCCTCTCAGTCAACCTCCGTAACATGCTCATGCTCAGTTTTCACCCCCAAATTTATCATCTCATCAAGACCCGCGCCCAAACCTCGATTCCCGCGATTTGACAGAGTAGTATCAGTTGCCTGAAACAATAATTGACACATTTCCCACGATATGAAGTCCAGAGCGCCTTCTTTCCCTTTTATCAACGTCACTTTTAGCATTTTTTCCAAACGAAATACCATCTCCCTCCGCTTTACCATGGATTTATAAACTGTCCCCAGTACAGAAAGCAAATGCTATCTCAAAATGCCATCAGTCAGTTGACAAGTAAATTGCCTACAAGCAAACAGTCTCTGCCATGACTTCCTTCACAAAGTTGTGAATGCCCAGACTGACTTCGTCGGGCTTTTCCAACTGCAAAAAGTGGCCTGCATCAACTGACTTGATCCGAATATCAGCAGCATAAGGCGCAGTGTTGGTAATCTGGGAACTGGCGATACCAACAACATCCTTGCTCGCGGTTAGAAGTAGAACAGGGTGTTTAATGACAGCCTCGGATTTTGGAATAGCTTGGACAGTATTAGCTTGGTGGAACTTTTGTAGCTCAGTTCATTAGATCTCGGTTTACCTTTTTCATCGGCCGCATTGTAGTCTCTCATGAGGGATTTGTATGACTTGACTGGCCCATCGAAGCCTCCCTGGGACATGGTAATATTTTCGAAAATGTCTTTCTCGTCTTCTGTGATAAAGGTAGTCCAGGGCGCGATGCGATCCGCCAGAAGCCACTTCTTGTATTCTCCCACTGGAGAGAAGTGCTCTTTCAGGTAAGTGGCGTTGGAGCTGTAGGTTAGGGTGTAGGCAGAGTCAAACTAAAACACTTGTGAGTGTGTTGTCTTGAGCGACCAGGCCGAGAAACTTACATGTTCGTCCATGATAGGGGCCACATCGTCTTCATTCATAAAATACCAGTAGCCGAAGGGTGGATAGCCGATGGCATCGAGGCTGGCATTGTTGATGGCTTCGACTCCAGCTTGATTGAAAGCCATGGGAGGTGGTGAATAGCCAACACCAACGAATGCGCTTCCCTTGATACGTTCGCCCAGATAAGTTATCACGCGTGATAGTATGACAGAACCACTACTGCAATGTTAACAGAGGTATGCTATCCGGGGTTTTCTGCACAAAATCACATACAAGTCATGACCAATTGCAAACACATTGTCAATGCCTTCACAGTCCAGAATAGCACCAATATCCAAGACCTGTCTCTTCAAGGTAAATTCCTCGAGATCTAAAGGATTGTCTGTACCGCCAAAACCGAGCAGGTCAGGCGCGACGATACCATATCCCCTGCTGACAAAGTAGTCGATCTGATGGCGCCAGTCAAATGAGGTTGAGGGAAATCCGTGAATAAACAGCAGGTAGGGCTTCAAGGAGCTAGATGGTTCCGAGAAAATATACCGGTAGGCTGGGCCGGATGGGACGTTGGCTACCTTGACAAGGCTGGCGTAACTGGTGCCAGCTATGTCACTCTTCGGAGAGGTCAATTTCTGTTAGAACATGGGTATCTCATACAGCACTCACAATATCCGGGGATGAGTGATAGCTGCAATTAGCCTTCTATCAACTGGTTGTTAACACCTCCACTGTAATGCCCTAAGATGAAGAAGTAGTGATAAGTACCTGAGCTGGTGCAGTGGGCTCTGCTGCTGCTATCCCGCATATAGCAGCTAAGGATATATAGAAATGGTGAGCTTCATCCTAAAGAGAGATTGTAAGAGGGAATAGAGGTAGGAAGTAGACAGGAGGGTTGTGTGCTGAAGGGTTGAGTGCTAAGTACCTGTTTATATAGTGATTGTCTCATACTTGTCTACTAAGAGTTTGATTTACGAGGACAATACCGAATAAGGAGTTTGTAGTATTTGCAGCGTACCCATAGAACCCACAGGGAAGAGAGTAAACCACTCACTGTTGTATGTTTTTGCTTTTTTTTTCTTCTTGGGTCATGTTCACTCCAAAAAGAACGAAATTTGATAGCTTCATGTATGAGTGATCCGCAACAGAGACAAGACCTACTGAGTGAGGAGGGAAAGGTAATATGACGGTTTGAGCTTGCAGACGGGTCCGCAGGGATGATAGAGTGTATGTCAAAAGCGGGCGGCCTATACCGAGGTCATCTCTGTTTATCCTGTTGATTCAGTATCAGGAGGAGCAATGATTATATTATTCTGTACGAAACCTCCACACTGAACTATGTGTTTTAGCGTTTATCATGTAAAGCCCTGTTTTTTCTCTCGTTGTAGCTACCTGATAGAAGATAGCAAAAACAAAAACAAAAGCATAGCACGATCTTAGAAACAACCCAGATCAGATGCCTTCCATGGGCTTTCATGTTCGACTTGGTCATGGCGCAAGACCTCCAGGGCTGCAAGCCCCCTTCCCCCAAACAAGAGATTGGCTTCCAAGTGGGATCAATTCAAGCCCAGAAAGAAATTTGGTAGCGAATGTCTCACTATTTCAAGGCTTGGAAATTTGATGTATTTTCCCATGTGTTTAATCAACAGCAAAAGAGCTAGGGCGAGGAGTACCGAAAAATATCCTCGAATCAAAAGAGTATGAACAACGTGATAGCAGTGGCATTCCTGTCATCTGTCGACCTCTGTAAAGCAGGCTACCATGGCTCGATGGATCTGGTGGAGGCTACAGGAAAGGCCTTCCACGCCTAATATCTTGTTAATAGTGGAATATGCCAAAAGTTCAAGAAAAGCACTGTACCTTCTCCAATTATAATCCGGTATGCTATCGTGTTCAAAAGGTGGCTTCTTCCACTCGGTTCCGAAGAAATATAACTCTCTTGTGAATTCAATGTCATATGTTTTGCCATCATCGGTTAGTATGACATCAGGATATATACTGCATTCCGAACAATCCAGTGATTTTGACAATTTTGACAATATCTTGGTTTCTGTCCATTTCGAACCGACACGTAGTGAGAGCGACTTGAGTCGCCGAAACGCATTATTGTGTTGGCAGAACATTATCCTGCCACAATTTTGGTCGGTAACGGTTGGATCAACATGAATCAAATATTGATAGTTGAAAACGGTCAGACAATTACTCTTCGCCAAGAGAGATATTCTTAGCTCATAAGAAAATCTCTCGGATGGATCTGAATACTGACATTGGTGCCATATTGGTATATGTTGTTCGGTCATGTCAATAAATCTCTTTGGCCTGAGTTTCAGACAGGGACAAAACACAATGATACCTGGCCATCGACAAAAACGGCGCATTGGATTCTCATATCCACGGGAGGTTGGATCAAAATCTTCCAATGGGTGTAACTTGAGACAGGCAGCACAGTATTTCCATCGTGCAGATTCGAGTTTTAAAAGAAGGTCGGTTCGAGTAGAGTCCAACTCGTCCAGTCCATCAGAATATGGGAATCTGAAAGCTGGGGCGCTCAAAATATAATTGAAAAGACGGTAAAGTCTCTTGCAGGTAAGGAGTAGGCAAGCTTGTGATAAGACGGGGAGGTGAGATCCAATTTCAAGCATCATCTCCGGCGGAAGATCGAGAATTGATAGAGTTTTATCCTTCTTGGATCTTTCCCTGTCAGGTTGGTCTTCGGACAGAGACTGGCTTTTGCTGGGCAGTTCTTTATAGGACTGACTTTTCGAAACACCTTGATCTTCGTTCAATCGTTCCTCGTTGGACTGGTCTCTGTAGGTGTGGCTCTTTTTGCCCCCAAGGTGGCATCCCCTCATGATCTCGACCATAGTTGACATCCAAGCTGTAGGGCACATTTGATGAGGCATGTGTGCTTTACGGAGGACGTGGCTATCTGCTTTCGAAGAAATGGAAGTGGGTACTTCTCAGGATCGATAAAGAGAAAATGAAAAGTCGGGTTATTTCCTAGACATGCAGAGAGGTGGGCAGTGGCCAGGGCATCGCTGAATTAGGCGGCGGTTCTGATGAAACCTTCCGACACGTCACGCTGATCGCTAGAGTTGCGGGTGGCAGACCTCAATCTCATCAAGATATTTGCATTTCGAGTGGTGCCTAAAGCGTCCAGAGGAATTTCATGTCACTCAGGGTGATTGCCTATTCCTTAACAGAGTCCAATATCACCGAGTTGCCTTGACATACACGATGCTGATAAATCAATACTTTTTAGGATGAAGACACCAAAAGCTAGGAGCAAGCAAAAATTTTCACGTCAGGACAAGTGATTTATCGTCTAGACCTTGGACGGTCACTGGTCTTTTGTTTACCGACACAATGCAATAGCCATATACCCTCAGGATGGGGTGTACCCACTTGGGCGATTGTTTTCATCAAACGCGCGGGCTACCAGCCTTCTCGATCTCCTTTCGCTCCATGGCCTCTAGGCCCAACACGAATAGCTGCTCTTGGGAACTGGACGTCGACAGCCGGCTGCGAATTGATTGTGCAACCCGCCTTCCCACTCGGGCTTCTGCCAGGAGTTGTTTGAGGCCACCATCTAGGATGGCTGCAAATGTTTTGAATGACTTTTGTAGGCTCTTGTCTGCTTTTCTGGCTTTGATAAATCGTTTTTGAACCGATCTCCTAGCTCTGACGATGGCCTTCCGGTCACGTCGTTGTTGGTTTCTGATGAACATCACTCGACGTTTGTAACGATGTTGTTGACTCCGTAGGTGTCAGACAATTTATTGATGATCGCTTTCATCTTGCGTTGGTGAATGTTGATTATTGACTTCATCGAATGTCTCATCGCGGTTTGTATCGCTCGTGCGATTTCTGGCTTAGCCACACTCAGCTGGCCGTTGATTGCCTTTCTCAATACACGCTTGCGCATCCCTGCATTTGTTCTGACTGAACGATTGCCTGGATTGGTTGAGAGCCGATTGGACTGGGTGTTTTATTGTCTTCATGGGCTTTTGGAGGATGCATTGTGCGGCTCTCTTCAGCCATTCTGCGAACAGCGGCTGAAGGATTTTGTTCCATCGGTTCTGAAACAGTTTGGTTGGGTGCTTCAAGTACTTCAAATCGAATGTAGACCAGGAATTTCTTCAGTCACTAGGTGACGATAGGCTGAAGCAGGTTGATTTCAATGGAGAAGAAGAATTTCCACATGTCTGCACTTCATCTGCGAGCAGAGAGAAGAAGAGCAAAAAAAAATGAAAGAAATGAAAGAAAAGAGGGTTTCAGGCGACATGTTCCATTTCTCCCTTGAAGGTAGACAGACATATGTGGAGGAGAATGAGAGATCAGGAGGGGGAAACATTCCAAGGTTATAGATAGGGAAAGAAAGAAAAAAAGGGAAAGAGCTGGGCATAGACAGCAATGTAAACACTGCAAATAGAGTGTAAACCCATCACACGGAAACTACCAACCTTGAGCAACCTTGAGCCACGCAGGTCTATAGCGACCAGGATTAATTGCAGTTCCTCGCGACAGTACCTCTACCGCTCCGGTCTCTCACCTAAACTCTTGAGTCTTCTCGTTCAATGTCTTTTCAAGTGCCTTTCCTTTGCTACTTACAAAAACCCGCGGCTGCTATACTGGTTGACCACCAGCGAGTCCTCACTGTAATGTGTCTTGGGTCAGGAGTTTGCAACAATTTTGCTAGCCTGCTGAATGCCAGTATAAGTGGAGAGTGCCATCATGTGACTGAGGGGGATTCCACTTCACTAATTACCTCCTACTGCATCGTGACTCCAAAATTGCCCCACTACCATGGAGCGCCGAATATCTCCAGCACTTTTGACCGATGAAGCCCGCCTTGTACCAGACAACCACATACATTTCTTTCGCGTGGACTAGAAGACAGTTGTCAAACTGTGTGGCCCAGAACGTCTCGCTGAGGCAGAGGCGTTGAAATTCGTCCGTGCCAACACTTCTCTACCAGTTCCCGAGGTGTACGGTGCTTATGTGGACGAAACCATCAATCGCGGTGTGATGGTCATGGAGTATATCGAGGGGGATGTTCTTCGAGATGTCATTGAAGACATGGACGCAGACCGGCGCCAAAAGATTGTTTCACAATTACAAGCTTACATGTCCGAGCTTCGATCCATCAAAGGGGACTTCATCGGCTCCGTCGATGGATCAGCCTGTGAAGACCCCGTCTTCTGTGCTGAGCTGGGAGGATTCGGCCCCTACAAAAACGAAGATGAATTCAATAATGGGCTGATCCGGGCAATGGAGATTCAAGGGAAGAATTCCTGGCACACCCACATATCCAAGTTTCTTCGAGCAATGCCTCCTCATGAGATAGTCCTCAGTCATGGGGACTTCTCGCCACGCAATATCATTGTCAAGGGGGACCGAGTTGTTGGAATTGTGGACTGGGAGATGGCAGGGTTCTATCCCGAGTATTGGGAATATGTTAAGGCGATGTATCATCCAAACTGGCAAAGCCGCTGGATCGAAGATGGTCTTGTTGATACCATACTCAAGCCCTATTACTTGGAGCATGCTGCCATGTTACATATGCAAGAGGCTGTCTGGTGAGAGCTTTGAGGCTAGGAGAATGTATTTAGGTGGCGATACATTTAGCACAGGCTTTGGAATGTAAGCTCCCACTGCCCCTAGAGGAAGTGTGTAAGAAGTGATGGCGATTTTGAGTATCCATTATCAGTCAATTTATGCGTGTATATACATGTTTCTGATGACTATGCGTATATATCGAAGTTTAAGTTCGGTCAAATGTAATTCTCTCATTTTACCTACAGGGTCACCTGACCAATGAATATGTTGTAGTAGACAGTTGACATTTATATGAATGACAACGCTGACTATTGAAAGATTCTGGATAACTTTAGCGCCGTGTCAGACCCCCGGAGAGTTAAGGGCAAGTCGTTATTGTAATCGAGGGTACCGATCTTTGTAGTTGCGCCTCAGTGTCAGCAGGGGTATTCTGTTGCCTCTGCTGCATCGAATGAGGGTTTTGTCTCTCCTGGGGCTGTTGAGTTGTTGAATCTCCAGCCCTCTGATCATCACCATGGTTGGAAACTCGTCGAGAGAAAACCCGGCGAGTAAAGCGGGTAAGAGCCCAGATGCAAGCTTTGAAGCTTCTGCCAAAAGCATGAACTATCTTGACAAATGGCCGCAAGAGGAAAGCAAAGCTGTTGGTGACAGCATTGAAAACGAGAGCAAACTGGTCGTCGGGAATCAAGCGAAGAATCATAGCCCACGGCATACAGCCCACGGCACAAATGAGACAGACAATCCACAAAACGCCATTGATACGTGTAACGCGAAATGCCTGACCGCCAATAAATATGATCATAATTTGTCCGCCCACAATGACAGCGTTGATACCTAGGAACCAATAATTCTTGAACATACCCTCGAAGACATTGAACTTATTGTCAAGGCGGCGGCAATTGAATTCGTTGAAAATCTGCATCCAAACAAATGTGTTAAAAACAACGGTCGAAAGTTGCTTGGCTCGAAGCTCTAGGTTGTTGCTGTCAAGTTGTGGGCTCAAAATGTGGTCCCCGGCGAAGTAGAGCATAAAGATCACCGCGAGTTTATAGACTGTTTGCCCGAGGATCATCTTCCACATGTTCATCGTGAAGAGTGGGGCACTTTTCGGCACAGGTTTTCGATCTAGAATTTCAGGCGTGGGCCCGTCGGTGGCTCTAGATTCCATGATTCGTTAGCAGGATAGTGGATATACCGTCAGAAGGCCTAATATTTACAAGGCTAGAGCAGCAAACGTATCCATTATGAGATTGACCCACAGCAATTGCACCGCATTCAGCACGGGGTTGTTCGAATCGCTATAGATCGACGACACGAATGTTAGAATAACAGCCGTGATGTTAACAGTGATTTGGAATTGAAGAAACTTGGCGACGGCGTCATTAACCGTCCGTCCCCAGGCGATCGCTGTAACAATAGATCGAAAATTGTCATCGAGGAGAATGATTGAGCTAGCTTCTTTAGCTACCTCGGTACCGGCAATACCCATAGAAAATCCGACGTCCGCAGTTCGCAATGCAGGCCCGTCATTTGTGCCGTCGCCCGTTACAGCGACTGTTTCGCCAAGATTCTTGAGACGTTCTACCAAAAGACGCTTATCCTCTGGCGAAGAACGGGCTAGGACCTGTAGGCGTGGAATCACCCGATCTAGTTCCCCGACTGATAGATGTCGAAATTGGTAACCTTCCATGACTAGGCCATCCGTTTTGATACCGCAAGATGATGCAATGGCGACAGCAGTTGCAATGTTGTCACCAGTCACCATTTTCACTTGGACACCCGCAGAATGACATCTGCGAATCGCGGGAGGAACCTCAGGCCGGAGGGGATCCTGGATACCCACCACCCCAACCCATGTCATGTCTCGGAAGGCATCGTTAAAACCGGCCAAAGATGGGTCATCCTCCATCTTCTCCGCCCCTGTGGGAGGCCAGGCAAAGTAGTCCTTATATACGAACCCGATGGTTCGAAGGGACGCAGTAGCGAATTGATTGATGATCTGAAGGATTTGATCTCGCTTAGCGTCGGAGAGGGATTCCGTTTGGAGTCCGTTGCTAGCAGTAGCTATTCCTGTGATGTGTGTAGAACACGCATCGATCATGAGCTCAGGGGCACCCTTCACAAGAAAACGGTACTCTCCTCCAGGAAGCCGGTAAACGAGACCCATGGATTTTCGGGTCGAGTCGAATGGAAAAAGTTGGACAGTAGTAGTCTTGACGTGTTCACGCTCCAGTGTAAGGTCCATGCCCAAATAGTCATAGGCCAACTGGAGAAGGGCAACTTCAGTCTTGCTTCCGATGAACTCTTGCTGCCCACCCGCTCCTTCCTTGAAGGCGGTAGAATTGAGGGCAATACTCTTCAATATAAGATCTCGAGCCGGATCTGTAATTTGTTGAAAAACGGATGCGATATTAACCGAGTTAGTCTCATCCTCCGGCATTCGGCTGAAGCTGTGATCTAAACCCCACACACCGGCGACAACGGTCATCTTGTTTTGGGTCAAGGTTCCTGTCTTGTCTGAGCATATCACTGTAGCATTTCCCATTGTTTCGCAGGCTCGTAAGACGCGAACCAGATTGTTCTCCTTGACCATGCGAGTCGTGGCAAAAGCCAAAGCGAGTGTCACGGCGAGGGGAAGGCCCTCTATGAGAATCAAAAAGATATGAGAAACAAGGAACGATCAAATTCAAATTCCGTGACTAGACACTTGCCTGGTACTGCGACAACAATAACGGTGACCGCCACGATTAAAATGTCGACAAAATGCTGACCCTTGACAGTTGAGGTCTGATCAGGGTGATTAGGAAGATCGGCAATGAATTGAAACACTAGGACAAGGAAAAGAATAATAGCAGCACTATAAGTCATTGTCAGCACCTTCCTTTCATATATAGAAAGTTCAATACATACGCTGATCCCAAATATCCGATCCAATTAGCAAGATGGCCGAGTTTGACCTGGAGCGGTGTTGGATCGTTCGAGACTTGTAAAGATAGCATGAGTCGACCGTAAGTGGAGAAGGGTCCAACACCAGTCACTAGATAGGTCCCCACGCCTTCCAGTACCTTGCTGCCAGAAACCAAAAATGGGTCAAGCGTTTTATCAGCACGGCCTTCAGTGATACACTGCCATACCCTATGTCCATTCGTCTTCTTTACCTGATCTGATTCACCGGTGACTGATGACTCGTCGCATTTAACAGCATACCCCGATATCAAGACCCCGTCAGCTGGAATAGAGTCACCAGGCTCAAGATGTAGCACATCGCCCACCATTATATCATATATTGAGATCATTATCGACTTTCCGGAGCGAATAGCTTTGACATCGCGGTCGTTATTCTGATTGGAAAATCAGATAGTTAACCAACATAACCTAAAGATAAGCCAACTAACTTACTCGTTTATTGAGTTTTGCAAACTGTTTCTCCTTTTGCCAGTCATTAGCAGCTGTGACGACTGTCACAATTAAGATTGCCACGCAAATGGCAACCCCTTCCACCCACTCCACGCCCGTGCCGGCATCTACCGATTCGTAGATCCCTAAGGATAGTGAGATGACGGCGGCGATGGTCAAGAGAATGATGATTTTATCGTTATAAGCGATCCAAAATAGCTTGAAAATCCCAACTGACTTTCGTGCTGGTAATTTGTTCTCGGAAAAAATGCGTATGCGGTCCTCGAAACTCGATCTGTTGTTAATTGCTGCAGCCACTCCCCCTGTTGGGTTACCGTCTAGTTTTGACTCAACGAGACAGGTTGGCCCATCGTACATGTGTGAAATTGCTTGCTGAAGGTCTATAAAACCATCTAATTGACCTTCGTCGACGGATAGACCGGCATCAAGGTCCGTTCGTAGTCCTTTTCTTAGCCCTTCCAACCCACCAACAACGAAGAATGCTGCGAGTGACTTCGGGTTTTGTAATTTGTTGAGCTGTCCAGGTGAAAAGGCAAAAGGGCATTTGTCAACATGGAAACCGGCATCATCCTGAGAATCCAGCGTCACTGCTTCTAACAGCGACACGTCATCACAGTAAAATTTGGATGTCTGAGTTGAATATAAATCCGAAAGAGTCATGGAATGGGCCATTGAACGCTCAGTAGATGCAATCGACTGCGAGCGCGGATTCGGGGCATCGTCATCAATCGATGGCGAAGACCGATGTAAGGCTTGAGGGAGCACCGGTAGGAGGGTATCATGCTTCTCGCTCTCAGCATCAAGTGAGTGAGATGAAATCGAGGCATGGTTCGGATTGATTGGTTCTAGATGTGCCGTTGACGCTGCAGGTGATAAGGCCGATGAGGACGACTGCTGACAGGGAATTGGTATCTGATCACCTTGTGGAGATGCATTTTGAGGTTCAATAGCTCCTTCATCAAAGGAGTCTGTCCCCAAAGTAGATAGATCGGCTGAGGGCTGCTGATACGAATTGTCACGAGAAGAAGCCATAATTGTATTTTGCAGGACCGTCATGCGTCTTGTACATTTCAATAGAAATGATTCACCTCCCGTGAGAGGGAGTCGTTTCATGTATCAAGCTATTGTTCCTTATAATTTTTCTAGTAGGGGGCTGTGCAATTATGCCCAGGAAGCCTTTCAGGGTTGAAAAGACTGTCGTCCATGGACCAGCCTTCACAGGCTTGCAGGCCAGCATAAATGCCAAGAAAATATAGACAAGATATCCAGTATGATCTTCCCGATCCCGTATTTCATGCCCAGGGATCCCCATGTAGCAGCAAAATTACAATATGGAAGACCACAAAAGTTTACTACGTAAGCCAAGCGCTAGAAGAACTAAACACAGGTGAGCGTTGATACCGGCACACTGGCGCTCTTGGGACTTGATGGAAATGTAGCGTTGTTTCCTCTGTAAGTCGAATTATGTCTTCTGATTTGTTCAGTCCGATTAATAAAATCATATCGAAACAGAAGATTGAAAAGGCCTTCATGATCCCAGCCTCAGAGTGAGTGTGTTTGTTAGTGCTTGTCGCCATGATTTCAAGTGGCGATAAACCTCGACTGCG